ATGTATGTATGTATGTATGTATGTATGTATGTATGTATGTATGTATGTATGTATGTATGTATGTATGTATGTATGTATGTATGTATGTATGTATGATACGACCATTACCGTAGTACATAAATTACTCGCTCACCTCGCCATCAAGGGTTACCTAGTCAGTATGTATACTCCGTACACAATCGCCCACTTACTGACCCATCAAACAAGTCACTCTCCCTGAAGCAAACGAAGGAGATCATTTCCCCAAGTCCAAAGTCTAAATGTGCCAAAGCGCATGCGGAGTACGGAGTACTGTACTGCAAGGAGGCTTCAGGCCTGGAGCCTCCGAAAGAGGGGCAAGGAAGGCATCTTGTCAAGAATCAAAGCCACCTACAGTACTCACCCATCCACGCATCCACGCATTCATTCGTTCATTCACTTATTCGTTCGTTCTTTCCCTGGCTAGTGAGAATGCAGGACAAGAACGTACAGTACATAGGTTGGACGGATAAACCCACATCCACCCGTCCTCCCCCCTACCGTTTCCCGGCTACTGACCGAACGCCTCTGAATAGGAGGGAGACTTGACATGCCGTATAGGAAGACGTGTGGCCGGCAGGTCAAAAGCGTCACCATATGCATGTTGCGCTATATTGCGTTTCTCCTTGCAGGCGATGCATGCCTCTGCCAGGTAAAAGCAAAATGTGCGCGCGATCAGCAATCAACCAGCTTTTGCTCGATATCCAAGTACGTAATGAGCCATGGCTTCACGGAGGCTGCAAGGCACACGCGAGCAGTGGAAGAAATATAGGTATGTAGTTCTGAAGTAATGTAATCATGTTTGAGACATTGTTGTGTTGCGATGATTGAGCTCGGGGCGGTGAACACAGCACCCCCATCCTGCTCAATCAAACCCTGAAGAATGAAGAAGTGATGTGTCTCGAGTACAGTATTGGCGGTTCGCCTTTGCTTCCTAGCCCTGGCCCCTGTGTGTGTCCCTCATTCCCCGACAAAAGGTGGTGTTGCTGTACAGGAGGAAGATTCAAGGGTGGCACACAGTTAGTGCACCTTGCTTGCCTGCCTGCTTCGGGGCCCGGCTTTGCCCCTAAAGTTTTTGTTGCCCCCAAAAGAACCACTGGAGCTGGGCGGTCCACTCCCGAACCGCTGCTGCCTGGCTCCGTTATGCTGCATCGGGAAGCCCTTTGAAGGTAATTCTTTTCTCACCGACTTCGTCGCGCCAGGCATTCTAATGAGCGCATACAGCTCTCGGCCCGGTTGACGGCGTGGTTCGAACCAATTGACCACCATGAAGGGGAGCACAGAGGTCGTCTCTGGCGCAGACGCGATAAGCCTGGATGGGAAGTACCTGGGCATCGGTATCTGTGAGGTCTCGAGCGGAAATTTGATGGTCGGCAATGAACCGGGTTCGCGGTCCTCGAAAAGGTCATCTTCACTTTCCACATCCTTGCTTATCACCGAGGTATCAATTTCTGACGATGCGGCTGCCACTTCGACGGGCAGAGAGACGGACGCCGCAGGAACAAGCACGTGCTGGACGTCAAGCGGTTCCTTAGTCACCGACGTCACAGCAAGCACTGCTGCAACCGGCCCAGCGGTTGTTTGTGCAGGAGAAGTCTTCTTGCCCAACAGTCCATTAAATCGTTCTTGCCATGAAGGGTTCTGTACAATGGGCGTAGAAACAGTTCGAAGAGGTGCCGGAGGAGGTGGGGGTGGCATCGAGACCCTTGCTGCCCAAGTCAACGGGGCAGCTGGAGCAGGTGCCGAAGCCGGAGCCACGGCAGGCTCAACATGCAGCGGACTCGGAGGTGTAGGTGGCATAGCTGGCGGCAGTTTGACCACCGGTCTATGAGGGAAATGCACAACAGGTTTCTTGAAGTCTCCATCGAAAGCAGGGTGAAGGCTGGCAAACTCTTCGGCAGGAGGTGGTGAGGGTGTTCTTGGTGGTTGTGGATGACTGTACGTAACAGCACGTCGATCGTGAAGAGGATACTGTTGTCCGACGGGCTGTGGAAAGAACCTCGACCCCCGACCAGGAGGTCCATTCATGCCACGAGGTCCAGCATCAGCACTGGCCAAGGATCCAACGGCGCCGAAAGCGCCAGAAGCTGGCACTTGCGACTGCGAGACTGCCGAGATCGAGCGTTGCGCTTGGTCGCCGGTCTGAACCTGTTTCCAGGTTTCATTAAACATGTAGGAAGGACCGTGGCGAACACCGGTCCGCATTTCTTCCTCGCGTCGGGCCACTTCTTCCCGTTGAAGCTTCTCATTTTCAGCACGTTCTTGCTGACTGGCGACCGAGTGGAAGTTATTCCAGGATTGCACACCAATCGGTCGTGGCCCGCCGGGTAAGCCATTCACTCCAGGATGGGCTTGCTGAGGTTGAGGCGGGGCGATAGGGGCAGGTTTCGTGGTTGGAAAGAGAGAGTCGACTTCGCTATCAGCTGCAAGAGGTCCCTGATCGGGGGAAGTGACTGACTGAGAGGAGTAGGATCTGTTGTCCGCCATGATGTGATTGGCATGCGGTATCTGGGGCGAGCGGCCCGAGTGAGGTGTTCTGCCATTCATCCAACCAGCTGCAGTAGAAGACGTCCTGGACAGATCTTGCGGCGAGTATCCCGCAAGGCTTTGGTCGAACGTGCCATTGCCAAGCGCCTTGTTCGGCATACCCCACAGACTGGAAGTCTGCTGCGACCGGTGATCGTGGTGGCGCATCTCTCCCCATCCGCCTCTTGTGTCGTTGACCATTGTGCTTGGCTTGGGCAGTACGGGACTCGGCTCAGGGACAGCGACTGTCTCTTGTTCGCTGGTCCGTCGCACCTCTGGGATGGTTCTGGCGCCGTTGACGACAGGCGAGGATACTTGTGAAGTCTCTCCGTGGGCTTGTTCTGCTGCGCTGGGTTCAAATCTGTCACGAGCCGGCAGTCTCTGCGGTTCCACGGATCGGGTTGTAGAGTTCCCCAGCTTCTTGACAGAGTCCAAGGGATGCACCTTCATCATACCGTACTGTTGCGGCTCGCCAGACGCTAGTGGTTGAGGTGGTTTTGGTGGAGATTGAGTGGAAACCGAGGTTGCGCTGACAGCAGAAGCCAACACAGTCGCTGGTGCAGTTGTAACCGGAGGTTGCGCCATTGCCTCTTCTTCGGTCTCGCGAGCCGCCTTTTGTTGTAATTCTTCCTCCTGCTTCTTTGTAAGCCTGGGATCCGGCCCGAGAGATGCTAACTTCAAGCGAATCCGCTCTTGTTTGGCGGCCTCCCGCTGCTGTTCCTCTTCAACCTTGCGCCTTCTTGCTCGTTCGATATTTTCTTTCATCAGGGCTTTCTGCTGCGCGCGCTGAGCTTCGAGATCGGCATCAGTGGCAGGGGCAGCTCCAGAAGACATGTAATCACTCGTGCCGCGGGCCTGATATGTTGGCGTCTGCGAGGCAGAGATAGGTCCATCCCTCGACGCCGGTCGAACAGCAGTATCGATATCATGTCTGTGTGTGTCAACGATTGGGGAGTGAACATCGCTTGATTTGAGAGACATCCGTCTGCCAAACTGCCCGCTGCCGCCGGAGATTGTAGACGACGCCCTACGTCGTGCTTGGTCGGTGCTTGTCCGATGTGTTTGGAATGCAGCCGAGGGTTCAGCAGGAGCATGTGGATCCATCGGGCTCGGTCTCTGCAGGACAGCAGGCGCCCGAAAGTTCTGATCATTCTTCGACATGCGTCTTCGACCCTCGGGCACAGCCTCGTAGCGTCCAGAGTTCGGCATGTACAGCTCGCGCGGCTGATTCGGTAAAGAGTCCCGCCATCCGCGATTGAAGTCATCTGCAGAGATCTCTTTTGCTGGAGATTGTGCCTGTTGGACTGTCGGGCCCTCTGTGTATCCACGGCCTGCAGGAAATCTGGCCGGTAGAGGCACTGGTTGAGGAGTGATGGCGATAGGCGAGACTTTGTCGACCGGCGGTAGCGCCGCCCACGGAGACTTGGCTGGGGCAGGCGCGGGACTCGCCTTGGTGGTGATGGAAGGCTTTTCTGCTGGGGCTTTGGCCTGAAGAGTCGCGGCCTTCTGAGCCTGCTGCCTCTCGGCACTTGCGCCAAGCTTGAGAACGGTTGCATTAGGACCGATTGAAGGTGCAAACTGGGGCACAGGCGCTTTCGGGGGCGCGGCAGGCTTGGGCTTGTCGGTAGGTGGTGTGGCAGGCTTTGTTGCAATCTGGGGTGTAGCTTCGGCAGGGGTCAATGTGCTCTTGGTCCCGTCGTTCCACTCGATGGTCTCTGGGGCCCAGTCATCTTCATCGTCATCAATGTCTGCCCACTTGGCCTCTTTCCCATCTCCGTCTCCCTGAATCCGTGATGTCAGATGGATTCCGTATTGCTGCTTGAGCTCTTCGTCCGTAAGGTGTTTCGTTGAAGGTTGTGGTGTGACTGCAGCAGGGTTAGCAAGGACCTCGGGGCAAGCGGAAGAGGAGCTGCGCAGTACCTCTGTTCTTATTCCACACCTGCATAGGGTCGGGAGTGGCGCTTTGGTAGGATTTGGACGTGGACTGAAGCGTGCTTGTAGTCTTGGCTACCAATCGAGGGCGACCTGCTTGAGCGAGGGACGGGGTCGTCGAAGTTGGCGTGGGAGCTTCGACGAAACGTCAGCTGTGACGAACAAAGAGCCGAGCGCACATACCCTTCTCCGTGGCCTTTGCAGCAGCGCTCGCAGCGATGACCTTGGGCACCGAATATTTCGCGAAACTGACGGGTTTCGCGGCGAACTTCTTCAATGGTTTGTTGTCAGCTGTCTTGTCGCCCGCAACACTGCCCTCCGCTCGACTGGTGTCGGTATCTGAGCGAGCGGAGGCATCGTCGAGTTCTTCCATCTTGATGTTTGGGGTAATAGTGTGGTTTCCATTCTCTTTTGGGGCAACGTCCGCCTCCACTGCTGAATTACTCGTATCGTCCCCAGACACTTTGATATCAGGTGTGGATGTGGTCGCAGGAGCGTCGGAAGGCGAGACGTCGCCCACCGACTGAGATTGGTTTACCACATCTTGTGTGCTCTGCTCTGCCATAACAGACTCGGAACTACTGCCATGTCAGGTTTGTAAATATGGATTGTAGCGGTAGCCTGGTCTACCTGGTTACTGCGCGTCGTCTGCCACGGTCGCCGATCGCTCGGTCTTTTGCCCGATCAAATCCGAGGGCGCTGCAAGGTCGCGTCAAATATTGATTATAAAAGAAAATTAGAAGAGGTCAAGGGATCAAGACAACACCTCAAGAGGTCGTACGAGGGTGTAGAAGGAGAAATGGTGGCGGTAGAGTTGTTCGAGATAGGAGAGACGAGAGGCTGCGCACCTGAAGTTCGAGCCGGCGGAGCCACCATCATTGATCGTCTTGCCGCGATCGAGTCTTGGCAGCTGAGTAATCATTTGAAACACGTGACCGTGGTGACCGTGCCGTCTCTTAACCTCACTCCCTCACTCCCTGAACCTCAGTCACCTTGCTGATTTCTACCCTCAGCACCCTTCACGAAACGCATCACCACCCACAGAGTTATGGCACCGATATAACAATCATGAGGGCATACGACTTACTCAAGTTATCAACTATGCTTGAACAAATTAGTCATATCTCCAGGGAAGTGTCTGAGAGTTCGGTACAGGCGAACCTATTTGCATGGGGGATCGCCAGCAGTGTTGACAGTTCCCTTCAGAAACAAGGCGGACTTGTCCCCGCAAACGACGGACCCTATCTCCTAGCATTCCAAAGAGGGGAATTATGCTCCTAGGCCTTTCCTCTTGCTACTGTTACTATGAAGAAGGTACAATCGCCAAAGCTGGCCTCACCGACTGCCCGTTCCGTTTCCAGACTGAGCTTCCCGTTGGGAGGATCACCGGTCGACTTGGAGCGGATCGGTTGACTCGCTAACCCGTGACCAGCAGCCCTGGGCGTCGACTTTTGCACACGAATCTGCCTTCCACATTGATAGACACGCCTAATGGATTTCATTCCCCTCCCTGACAGTGCTGTCGCCTCACGAAGTCACACCCGACCTCGGCGGAGACCCCTGTGCGGAGTAGACAACCTCTCTCTATCCTACACAGAGCTTGCTTTGTCCACGTCATCCCATGATGCCACCCACCCACTTATTGAATACACCATCGCACCCTGTCCGACCATTTCTCACATGAATTAATGCTATGTGTAGAGCCATTATATCGTTCCATCTGCTTGCACGCCGCGCGGGTGTACGTCGAGAACATCTCTTTCTGGACTTCAACGTGCTGGATGATCCGCGCCTGGTACTCGACTGCGACATTTGAATTCGGGCCCTTCGCTCGGGGACGCTTGTCTTGAAGTGAGTCTGTTGTGTTACTGGTATCGGGGCTTGCGTCCATGACACTGGCGGCGACAATGATTGCTCGAGTCGAGGCTGAGAAGCTTCGACGCTCGGGTGTATAATCTTCTTCGACCGTTTCTCCCCGGGCCTCCATCATCATCTCCCGCAGCACTTCTTCTCGGGCTTCCTCCGCGATCAGGTCGCCGTCGAACATGCGCGTCATGGAGGTACCGTCCTTGCGACCAACGGCTTCGCCCAGATCTAGGGCTTCATCAGTCACCAAGGTAATGTCTTGCTGTAGGATGAGAGCAGGAAAGGTCTTGTGGCGCAGTGAGTTGGCGAGATCCCAACGTCCACGGGCCATGTCCCAGCGCACGACGTAAAAATAATCCCATTCCAAAGGCATCATGAAGAACGCCTGGTGCAAATCTCCCACCACGGTGGAGTTCATTTCTGCCTGGGTGAAGATATCCCACCCTTTGTCCGGGATGAGAGCGACTAGTGATACGTGGAGCCCAAGCTCATCGGCCAAAGCAAGCTGAGTGTCAGGATGTTCAGGAGCCGACTTCCGCGTGCGAAAGACGAAAGATTGAGGTGCCCATTCTAATCCAACAAGTGCTGTTGTCGAAGGTCTCGTCAGATCGGAATAATCACCTTGGAAGATAGAGCCCTGGGGGAAATACTTCTGGAGAAGGATGAACGTTTTCATTCGTTTGATCTTGGCCTCGCTCTCGTATCGGCTGACCGCGAGGATTGAAGAGAGATCGAGACCAAGCATGTTGGCGAAACATATAGTTTCGTCCTCTTGGTAGCTCGTATTGCGCCACTGAACAGCGGTCCAGATATCTCGAACTCGGGTGGAGAGTGATTTAGACTTGAACAAAAGTAGCTTTGAGTATGGCTGACAGGCTTCTAGAAATATCATTCGGCACAGCAGATCTTGAAACTTCGACGAGTCGTCCCATTCTTGGACTACCGTTTGAAGCTCCGAAAGGTCGACCGAGCCGTCCTGGAGCTGAAAGACTGTCTTCTCTGCCAAAACAGCCTCGTGTAACGTCCAAAGACGTCGGAACCAAGTGGTCCGCGTAATGCGCGCTGACAGTTCCCAGGGGCTGCGAGCAACAGAGATGCTATTCAATTCATTGTTCAAAACAAGCACCGTTCCAGACCTTCTGTAAATGGTTGCCATCTCCGCAATCGCTGTATTTCGTTCGTCTTCGAATCCGCTCCCAACAGGGATGCACAAAGTATCCATCCAGAATGGTTGATCATCGGAGGGAGCGAGAGGCGTGCTCCCTGCGTTTGCTATCATGTTGACTCGTTCTTGAATCAGCCGAACTTGGCAATGGGGCAAGGCATTTGCGGCATGGTTACCTAGCCCGTCAGCCCAGACGTGCGAAATAGCAGTGAAGCGAATTGGTGTTCTCTGATCAATGGCAACTAATTCTAACCCGGTTCCGCGGCGGTCAAGGCGAAGACATGGGATTTGACTGACGCGAATGATCTCGGCAATCCTTTCAGTGGGAAGGCCGACAAACATGCAGTCACACAGTGTATTGACGTGCTTTGGTCGGTAATTTGATTGATCGACTTGCCATGCTTCACATTGCCAGTGTGAGCACTTGGAGTGGATGGTGGGCGATCCCAGGATGCTGAGTCTGGAGGAGAAATAGCCGCTGACCACAGAACACTCTTGGTTTAAGCGTGAGACCTCACTTGAACACCATCCATTCTTTGCAAGTTGATCGTGGACGAGTCGCGAATTGGTATAGGTCGGAATCGGGAGATGGGCGTCCGGAAACACGACGTTGCGTGCCAGAGACAGTGTGTTGTGAAGGACATCAAGTGAAAGATTGAGTTCATCAGGGAGGAGATCGGAGTGGTAGGAGCCACTGCCAACCTGTACAGTCTGGACGATGTTTGCAGTAGTCCAGCTGAGAGTAGCATGCATAGAATCCATGTGACCAAGAACCTGATCAATTCCGGCCCGGACTTCAAGCTGCTGATTGCCATCAAGTTGCTTGATCCTGGCCCGCCATGCATCGAGTTTTCCGCAGAGCTGGGAAGTGCGAATAACTCGATGACCCTTCTCCGTAGTGACGATCCATTCGTCATGATCCTGTTTGACGCCGAGGAATTCTTCCAGGACACCAAAGAACAACCATGACTGGACGAATGCGGCGAGATTGCTCCTCAAGCCTCCAGGGTATTCGTGCAGCTCATCAGAAACTTGGATCGCGATGAAGTCGAAGCCGTGCCTGGCCGGGTAGGACAACCACGGCTGAGTATACCGATAAGGGTTTGAATCGCTTTCGTAGACGGGGATCTCGATGTGGGCGAGTGCTGGAGCCTGTGGCAGCGGGATATGATTCATCGTAGGAGGGGCATCATGGTCTTCGGCACTGATATGAGAACGAGGCGGAGCAGGTCGACGATAACTCTCGGGGAGTCCTGTGGTTCGATGCCTCACCAGAGGTAAAAGAGACCGGCCATCACGGCCTGAGGCTCTGTTCGGCGCATGGACTCGCAGTGCGCAGGGTAAGAAGGACGAGAAGAAGACGATGGCTCGACAGGTTGGTCGCTTTGACAGGCGGTGCCAAACTAACCAGTGTAACCACCATCACTCGCACCTTCAGTAAGTTTCGCTTTAGCAACGCTCTTCAACAAATTGGAACACATCTGTCTCTTTTACACAGGGTGTCTTCTACGGCTATCTGACGTCCAGAGACGGCGTACTGTATGTGCCACATTATTATCTCTAGAAGGACAAAGATTCTACGGACGAGTACGCCTTTGCGCTGTCCACCCGATCTGCTGTACCATACCCAACTCGGAAACTGTTCGACCTCGCAAGATCTGTATTACCGCAACCGGCGGCGAGACAGTAAGGTTATACATTGATACCAGGCCGCAAGGTCGTCAGTCTCCACCAGCGGCCACGGCTCCCATAGGTGAGTACGCAGAACACCATGAGTAGACCAGCGTCCTCGTCCTAGATATATCGCTTGTCGACACTATCCCCGACATCGTGATGGCGACCACCACTCCATCCACCGCCGTTGGCAACGCAGAAGCATCAGGCCTACAACAACCAGAACCGCAACAACCGGAGAACCACCAACACCAGGATGGCAGAGCACCCACCACCACCACCACCACGACGCGTGGTCCAACGCCGCTTCTCACGCGACTCCGCTTCCTCCTGCGCATCTACACCATGAAACTCGCCGTCTCGCTCTTCCTGCGGCTGATGCGCATCGCTGCTATCATCACCCGCCGCTCCAGCTCCAGCACCCTGCCGACCTACACGAAACGATACGCCATCCGCCCGCAGCTCAGCAACCGCATCTTCATCCCCCGGTCCCACGTGCCCGGCACGACGCACCCGCTCCTTATCATGATCCACGGAGGGGGCTTCGCGCTGTGCGACCCCAGCCTGGACGACTTCTTCAACCGCGCCATGGCCGACCAGCACGACTTCGTCGTCGTGAGCGTGAATTACCGGAAATCGCCTTCCCACGCGTTCCCCGTCCCCGTGCACGATTGCGCGGAGATCACGCGCGCGGTCCTCGCCGACACGGACCTTCCCGTCGACTTGACGGCATGCCCCGTATCCCTAGGCGGGTTCTCCGCTGGTGGCAATCTCGCGCTGGCGATCGCGCAACTGCCCGGCATTAGGGAGCGCGTGGAGAGCGTCGTCCCCGTGTACCCTGTCGTCGACTTCACAGGGCGTCACAAGGGACCGTACCGCCCCACGCCGGACGGGAAGGAAGACCGGCTGAAGGAGATGGGCCCGGTGTTCAGCTGGGCGTATATTCCTGTGGGTCAGGACTTGGCGGATCCGTTGCTCTCGCCCATTTGCGTCCGAAGCCGGGAGGCCCTGCCGCGGAGGATCTTCTTCGTGGGCGCCGAGTATGATTACTTGTGTCATGAGGCGGAGATCATGGCGAGGAGGCTTGCTTACGGAGAAGAGGATAAGACCGGTGAAGTAGGCGATGAGTGGGAGAACGATGGGATTAAGTGGAGGAAGGTCAAGGGCGTGGTCCATGGGTGGACGCACATGCCTGAGAAAGGGGACAAGGAGGTGTCGAGGCAGAATGAGTTGAAAACGCTGTATAGGGAGATTGCGCAGTGGTTAAGGGAGGAGTGAGGCGTGCTGTTAGAGCCCAAGCGTTGTGTGGCGTGGCTCAGCGATCTACTCACGACACTCGCGATGAAATGATATACCCCGTGCGTTCACCGTGGAACTGTCGAAAAGTCGGTCCGATCATGTTGAATCGCTGGACATTGAGCGGCTTCCTCAACCCATCGACTTTCCTATGCTTTTCGCCTATGTACCGGCAAGCCCAGCCAAAAACGCCATGCTATTCTGAATCGTGATCTCTTGCCTATTACACAAATGCAGCGAAACCAAGCGACGGCCACCCTTCTTGAAGGACCTTGTTCTAAGCATCCTCAGTGCTCATATAGACCTAGGCTTCTGCCTGTGCGCACAGGGCTGCTCTTCCCGTACCCCGTGGACAGATGATTTGGCTCGTCAACATGCTAATCCAAGAACAATTACAAACCATGTTTGTTCCAAAGGCACAGATGGCGCTTCCCGTCCTGTTCTCGGTCTTATCTCTCCTCTCCTCCATGATCAGCATGCGCATCCCTCCTCGGCGGGTTTCTGGTTGTTTATCGAAACGTCGATCACTACACTGATCAGTCTTGTGTCAATCCCGCGGTTCGCCAATAGGACTCACTCTGTGGGTTCGGTTGCTGCTCGGCTTCGCCCTCCATGCCAGGCAGCGCCTGCGCTATCCTCCTAAACAGCGCCTTGACATTGTGCCCCAGCTTCGCGGATGTCTCCATAAAGATGGCTCCTGCCCGCTTCGCTTCCTCCTCCCCCTGCTGGGTGGTAACCTCTCTCTTTTCCACGCCCAAGTCCGTCTTGTTCCCCACTAGCACGACGATAACATCGTTGCCCCTCTCGCCCCGCACATCATCGACCCATTTTCTCGTCTGTTCGAACGTTTTGCGCGATGAGACGTCGTAGACGACGACCGCGACGGACGAGTCGCGGATGTAACTAGGGATTAAACTGCGAAACCGTTCTTGGCCGGCCGTGTCCCAGAGCTGGAGCCGCACAGTACGGTCTTCTAGATACATCGTCTTTGAGAGGAAGTCGATGCCAATGGTGGCTTGGTAGGTGGTGTCGAAGGAGTCGTACATGAAGCGGGTTATCAGGGACGTCTTGCCGACTGTGAAACGCATTTTTGTGAGTATACGGATCGACCTTCTTTGGCCGAGTTGCACATACCACTTTGTTCGCCCAAGAATACGAGTCTGTAGGTAATCTCGTCAGCCCGAGACTCTGGCGAGAAGGACAGTGCCAATACTTGAACTTCTTCAGCGGGTTCGAATACGACCCTACCGCGCCCTGCGCCATATTGGAAGCAGTATTCTCGTAAAGAGCTGCGACAGCCTGAAAGCGTGCAGATGATCAGAGCCGCGATATGACGGGCCAGGAAGTGGGAGTCGGAGTGCGGTGGTTCGTGTTAGGGATTAAGAACTCAGGCTACCGTAAAGTCATGCCAGGGGCAGATAGGGGGTCGCCGTACGGAGTACTATATGACAATAGGTAGTAGGGAGTAGACACGGTGATTTCAACTTCAATTTCGACGTCGAGAATACTCCTGGCAACCGCAGGCACGACTCGATCCGAGTCGCGAGATCCGACGGCCAGTTGTGGAGAGAAAGCAGGCGAGCCGTTCGCCAACAGCTTCTATTGGCCAGTGCTCGAGATCAAGTTCTCTCTCGTGTCGCTTACAGTACAATACCCGGCACGCACGACCTAGATACTCTGGCCATGCTTTATCGGTGACGATGCGCCCTACGCTCCAGCTTTTGAAGCGCTCGGTCTGGAAAGGTATGCCTTGAATCTCCCGACACTCCGTGCCGTCGCCATGGTTGAATCAAAACGCGACCGCTATACACCTCGCTCACACCTCTCTATGCAGGCCCGAACCTCGTCTTTCAAGACCTCCCGCAAGTCATCCAGGGCAAGACGCCGCCGACCATAAAAACACAGGCCCGATCCGCAACGATCCTTCCGAACTTTGTGGGCTTAAAATTCGCGGTGCACAACGGGAAGATCTACCAGGATGTCTATATCACCGAAGAGATGGTAGGCCGGAAACTGGGTGAATTTGTGCCGTAAGTGCTTTGAGTGATGATCGATGGAGAGGGCCCAAAGAGCAGGATACTGACGTGTGAGTGTGGGAACAGGACAAGAAAGCGGTTCACATACAAGATGAGCAAGAACAAGTAACGGAGGGGGTCAAAGACACCACATCAACCGAACTGTACAATATGCTATCAAGGAGCAACTTGAAAGGAGCACTCTCGGCCGGCGCGGTGGGTTATTTGGTGGAAGTCTGTGACGCAGTCCCAGACAGCAACTCTTTCCGGAACTGCTTGGATCTCCAGGTTGTGAGGCCATGCACGCAGAGATTACGGCAGCATTTTATCTGTGAGGAAACCCGCATACGAGGATCTGTGGAGGAACAGTCGTGGGGAGCGGATGCTTCTTCTCTTAGATTACGAGCCGGTGTGCTCGATTCCCTGAGGTTCATGTGCGGGCCCGAAAAGAATTCTGATGATATCCTCCCATTCAGCAGATGCGGCCATTCCTTTGTGATCTGGTGTCTTTCAGATGATACCCGGCCCAACCAGTTCCCTTGACTCCCCGATGCAAAGCACGCCGTAATGCAATTCAGGAGCACCCATTTTGGGTCTGGGCGAACCGTCGTCTTATCTGTAGAATTCACCCCTCTTAACGTTGACTCCATACTCGGCCACTGCCATTCCCAGATCCTCCATCGTCAACACCGGTCTCCCCTGCCCACTCCCACCCTGCCCACCACCACCAAATCCACTCCTCTGCACGCCGAGCGTCGTGTTCTGTTGGCCTTTCGCCGCCTGCGCGCCGCTCGCGGCACCTCCTCCAGCACCGCCTGCAAAATTGCCAGGGCCCCCACCTCCGGCGCCGGCATTGCCTGCTGCGCCTAACGGGTTATTTGACGACGCCGAATTTGAGCTGCGGATCCGCGAGTATTGGTATGCGTCGGCGGCGACGTCTGCGACAAATTTCTGCGTCGCGAGCGCGAGCAGCCGGGCTAGCGGGAGGGGCGTGGTGTTTGTGCTTGCGCCGGTGGGATCGGAGATGGAGGGAGGCGGAAGTCCCGCGAGAGTTAGATAGTGCGCTGTTACCGCATCCGGAATCTGCTCGAGCGCAAGTTAGATCAGTGCTGGGGCTGCAAAATAGAGATGTCTCCCGTGGGTACACCGAAACATACAATCGGAGCGTAGTCATCCATTTTGCTCAGGAACTCTCGGAGCGTTACATCTTTGCGGTTGTGCTGTGCTAGGCCTGACGGCGCTGAACCCGTGGCAGGTTGTTGTGTATCCGTTTGTGCCGTCATGTCTTGGTCGGTGCTGTCGTTCTGTCTGGCTGCGCCGTCTTGCGTTGTGCCCGCATCCTGCATCTCGGCGTCGGGTTCAAGTTCCCGCCCGGCAGAATCATCGCCTGCTACGTTGGTCGGGGAGGACATGACTGTGTGTGTTGTCGTCGAGGTTTGAAGGCAGGAGGATTGGAACTTAGGTGTGACAACGTTCAATACAATTGCGCCCGTGGTGACACTCAGTTCAAGTGATGCAGATTGTTACGGCATATGCAAGATGCGACCCGACCAGGGTACATACAGGAGAGTCCCTGATGATGCTGATGATACACGTCGGAAAAGTTATGCCGAGGTTTTTCCAGACTAACCTTCAGCCTCGCGAGCCCTCGCAGGCCTCATCAATGGGATCAGCCTACAATACTCAGTAAGGACGACGTATCTACAAGAATGGTAAGTAAACGTAGTGGTGAATTCTCCGTGCGCTTTGAGGGCCGTTGAAGCAACGCGGGTGAGATTAGTGACGCAGTCCAACTCCTGAGGAAGGTATCATGTTTCCGCTTCATTCAAACCCGAGCCCGAGGGTTGGCACATTACAGTCGACGAAGCAGCTTTGGCTACCGGCTTATCGACAGCCTCCTAGCTCGGCTCGAGAGTCTGCGCCGGTTCACTTGAAGGGACAGCAGAACCATCTTCTGCGAGAACAGGAGCTTCTTGCCTGACCTCGGATTCAACAGTATCTATTCCAACTGGACGCTCCTCAGCCCCTGTGGCCATTTCGACTTCCTGCTTCACCTGTGCAGTCTGCGAAGCATGCGAAATATCTCCGGTTGCACTCCCCTGATCGGGTGCTTGTCGCTCGGGAAGCTTCTGTTCAGGTGTTGGCACTTCGGACGGATTGATCATCTTGTTTGTTTGTGATATCCTTGACTCAAGTGCAGCTGGTTGCGGAGTTGATATGTCGCGAGATATAAACGGTGGCGCAGCTGCTGTCGGAGTGTTCGATGAGGGCATGTCTGGAATCTTATCTGACGGTGACAGGCCCAAGGTACTTTGCAATGCGATCTCTGCAGCTCTCGCTGCAAGCGCCACAAAGTCCTCCTTGACAAATGGCTCGTTGAGATTGAAGCCCATCGAGGACCCCGGTGCAGGGAGGCCATGGTCCGGAATATGACCCTGCGTTTGCCCTGGATCAAGGTTGTTGGTAGATCCATTTCTTTCCACATTTGCTAAGCCCGTACCATTGCTTCCAGTCTTCATAATGTGGTTGATTAGGTAGGAAGAAACTTCCCGGCTGAAGTCTTCCCATTTATACGTCACTGGTAATTGATCTAGGGTCTTGGTTTTGACTGCACTTTCAAGAATACCACGACGGGAGTTCAGCGTTCGCAGAAACTCCCGTTCAGTGTCAGTCAATGTTGTGCTGCCAGGTCTTCTCGCCAGGAGCACCTTGTCAAGATCGGGACCGAACATGTCGCGCATGACGAGATCAGGTGGAGCAGCACCTGTCCTCCAAGCAGTAATGAAACCCTGTGTCTTCAATTCGAGGAACATAGTACCCTGTTCTTTCAGCAAACCCCCATTTTCAGGCACGAAGACAGGAAGAAAACTCCGGTCCATGTCCCGAAGACCAATCTCACCCGTGAAAATGCTTGACATGAAGATAGCCTGATTTGCCTTGCGGATAATTTCGATCTGATTGGTATCCTGCAAGCCCAGATCATGCTGTGGTAGAAACGGCCATCCAGGGCTAATGAGTCTTCTAGTTCGGTCGAATGCAGCGCGAAGGGAAGCATACTCTCTGCTGCTTGCGGCATTTGGTCTGGTGGACAAGCCCATGGCATCAGCCGGACTCAACCGAGACAGAAATGCTAGGATCTGGGACGCCTGCTGATCCAGTATGGGTAGGTATTCGAGAGGGCTGTTCCTGGGCGGCGTCGGTCGCTGGGGAGGCTGCGACGCGACATTGTGTGCTTGGCCGGCTGGAGGCCTCGGGGCACTCTGAGGCTGATCTCCTGAAGCCGGCTGTATGATATTCTGTGCTTGGACGCCTTTAGAGACGTTTGTAGCATTTCCTGCTTGTTCCTCTTGCGGGGCCTTCCTTTCCTCGTTTGGTGCTTGGCCGTGGGGGCTTGCAGGCCGATTGGCATGTACAGTTGGATTTCCTGAGTCCAGTGCCTTTGTTTCTGGCTTTACGTCCGGCGCGACGCCGTCAGTAGAGATGCGACGCCGTTTCGGGCTTCTCGGGTTATCGTCGACATCGGGGGGCGCAGACGGAGTAAGGGTGCTGATCGGGGCATTGGACTTGCCTGAGCGCCTTGTCAATTTGTAGCCGGATCAAGTACAGCAGAGCTTCTCACCTCTATCTTTGGGCGGCGCAGAAGCCTGCGGTATGGCCTCTGCAGGTCGATCTGTCGGAGACATCTGATCCATGTTGCTTCAAGCGCCGTTTAGACGGTACTGGCTCTTCCACCAACATGGCGAATGCATGTGCAGAAGAAATTCCATCACGTGTTCAGGGCTAACAAGTCGAGGTGAAAATGGATCATCGTGGCGCGCAAGGTGCCGTGAAGCGGGGCGCGCAGCCAGTGAAAGCGGTGAAGTGGTGAAAGTGAGGGGCAGCGAGCTAAAAGCTTAAGGTAAGCGAACGCTCACGTGACACTGTGGGCTTCTTTTCCCCAGGCGTGCCTGGGCGCTTACCCAGTACGAGCTAATTACCTTGTGTACTCGTATGAGCAGCTGGCACACCAACTTTCATGAGTCCTTCCCAGCCCCCAGCATTTCTTTCAGGACCACCTCTCGTGGTGGATGCATCGGCCGGAGGATTGCCCGGAAGTTCCGTTATCATCGTGTTGATGACAGCTGCGTTGACCACAGCTTCAGGAAGGTATATCGATACGAACCCATCCAGGAGTAGTCATCGTCTCCATCTCACGGAACCCTTCGATATGTCCGGTTCTGTAGTGTGTACACAGTACTCGAGGCTTGTGGTCGGGTCGGTCGAATCCAATGCCCCAGAGGCATCCGAGGCCGATCTATTGCCTTTCTCAGTGACGGAGTACAATGCATCTTCTGGACCTTGCAGAAATCCGGTCATGGCCCGCTGTCCCTTGCTCAACAGTTGGCAGGGGGAGCTTTCGGAGCGTCATGCTTTCTTGAGCTACATACAGCACAAAGCAAAATCCAGCGAATTGAGTCCCAGGTCTTTGGCTGACCCCACTTCTCACACCTGCTATCGAAGCTCTGCGCTCCCCTCTGCCCACCCCTCCTCTACTGGTACCCTCTACCTCGTACCAGCTCAGCTGTTGATCATGGGACACTGCTCTGAATTGAGTAAGCGGCGCTTCTGTAGCTTGCTGGACGATCCCGCCCAAGCTGTCCTTGTCATCCGCTGATAGAGCTATCAGAATAGCCTTACCTACAGCTACCTAGGCACATAATGCTCACCAACCCCCGCAGCTGCTTGTGCTCGCTTTCTGCTCCTCTGCCTCTTCTCCAGTAGTGCTCGTGCCGACTTTTGCAAACTGACATATGAGGAAGTAAATCTTGACCTGAGATGGATGCGAGATTTCCGCTCCATGCCTTGTGCATCTCTCTCATCGCCTTGCTCTCCACGGCATCCGCCCAGGCACGCTTCAAGCAACAGGTCTTGAGCACTTTCATCTACACCAGGTAATATATCCGTCACCTTCCACGACGGGACGGCTGCGCTGACTTGCAACAGATATGGCGATAGAACGCCCTTCGTGCTTGATACAACGCCGACGTTGACACCTCTCGGGGCTCACCAACTGTACGAGGCTGGTAGTAGAATTCGGCAACGATATCTCACTCCTGACGACGATGGTTCGACTGAGCCGACTGGAATTGCCGGCATTGCGTCTTATCAGCTTGAATGTGACCAACTGACTGTCTTATCCACTAACGACCAGTACGTCTTCGCTTCGGCTCTAGCATTTATGCAAGGCCTGTACCCGCCACTCGAGACGTCGTCCAATTATACCTATATTGCTGGCCAAAGTACCATCCAGAACGGATCGAACGTCGTGGCGCCACTGAACGGGTACCAGTACCCCGACATCACTACGGTCTCCACAAACGACCTCAACTCCATTTGGCTCAGTGGATCGAACAATTGCCCCAATTACCTGGCATCCACGAATGACTATTATGGCAGCGAGGCGTTCGAGACTATCCAAAACAGCACCCAGGACTTCTACTCAAGCCTACAACCAGATCTTCTGGACGGAGTCTTCTCAGATGCATCTGTGGGTTATTATGATGCGTACTATATCTACGACTACCTCTCGTATGCTTCAATCCACAACACAACGGCGGCGCAGCACCTGACCATGGAGGAACTGACACGAGCCAAGATTCTTGCCGATGATTGGATTTTTGCGTTAAATGCCGATGTTGACACTTCTGGATCTATTCCTGGGGATCATATTCGAGCAATAGCAGGTCGAACTCTGGCTACTCGCATCCTCCAGGCTTTCTATACAACGATCAACACCCAGGGAGCTTCGGACAAGATGACGCTGCTTTTCGGAAGCTTCGAGCCTATGGTCGCCTTTGCAGCTTTGGCAGGTCTTGTCTCACCACAAAATGCGGCCTTCTACAACGTCCCAGAAGCAGGTGCCAGCTTTATATTCGAATTGTACTCGCTGCAAGCTGAGGATGTCGACACGTATCCCGACACGTCAGACATCTATGTCAGGTTTTTCTATCAGAATGGCACTGATCCCTACTCCTCCTTGGTCGCTTATCCTCTGTTCGGAATGAGTCCCAGTCAAACCCTAATCAGTCTGGCAGACTTCATTTCGGGCTTGGAGGGTTTCCTGATGTTCAATGTGGAAGATTGGTGCACCACTTGTAACAGCTTCAGTGTATTCTGTCCCGCGTTTACAGGTACCGATGGGAGCCTGGACCCCTCGAACGCACTCTCCCCCAGTCGTCATGGAATATCTCCAGCCGTTGCTGGCGTTATAGGAGCACTTGTCACTCTTGCAGTGGCTGCTCTCTTATTCGCGGCAGTGATGTTGCTTGGTGGGATCAGATTACACCGAGTTCCAAGGCGACGAAGATCCGAACTAAACGGCTTCAAAGGAGGCAACAAACTCGCAAGCGATCAAGATCTTACCATACCGAAAGGAGGTGCTGGTGCGACTGTCATTCATAGCGAAGATCCGGCTTATCCAGCACCTGTAAAGGGCCACGAGCGCGTGGGAAGCTGGGAGCTGAGAGAACAAGCCAAAGCGGAAGAGGCACATGGGCGAGGGCTCAACACATTTGCCAGTCGACCAAGTCGACCAAGCTTCGAAGAGGACGAGATGGCTATCAACCCATTTACGCCTCCAGCCGCGCCGCACGATCATGTATGAACGAATTCCGCATCGCATCCACGAAATAATGAGAACATGAGATGGTCGGGTTGCCGAACCGGCCTGGGTTCTGCCATACCCTAATACACACAGTCCTGCCTTGTAAAAATTGTCACCGCAATTCCAGCATGGCAACAGTGAAGTCTCTTTTGTTATGCCGGACCCTTGCCACTTCCTTACTCCCTGGAGTTCCTCCTCCTGAAAGGCCGCCGAGCTCTCTCAATTCCATCATCGGTATTTTTATTCTGCGGTTCTCCCAAAACTCAAGCCACCCCGCAAACCTTCAATTCGAGGGCATAGGGCTCTCTTCTTCCTGTTGGATACCGCTTTCCTTCCTGCCTTTGCGCGGCCGATATTGCTTGGTGAGTTACGCGCCTGCTTGTTCCTTCCTGCTTCATGGCTTGCGCTTTCGGTCTGTGAGAAAGCAACTGCTTCTGCACCTTTCGTCCACAGTCAAGCAGAGACTCAATCCACCTCTCTCTCACTTCTGCCACGACACGATCCACACCGGCCTTGCTGTTGGGCTCAACCTTCTACAGCGATCTCCTTTTGGTCTCCCCTTGGCTATTCAGTTGCACCCTCACGACTCCATTACCACATAGTCTGAATATGACTAACCATAGTACAAATAGCCCGGCTGGTCGGCAGCGCAGATACACAGTGTCGCGTCTACTCGAACTTGCTCCTCAATCCAGACCTACCAGTTTTGACCTCTCCAAATTCACCTACGACGCAGCCCGAGGTGAGTTTCACCAAAATGCCCGACTAGTGAATGCCGAAAAGTACTGACCTGAGAACAGCTGGTGTAGTCCCGCCACTAGGTGGCTGTGTGATGTCGAATCGACGAACTTTGAGCGATCGGCCTCGAGGCTGGTCGCAAGAATCCGGTAGTTCTCAGGAAGAAGTCATCGTCTACCAAGGCAACCGCGTGGCGAAACTACCGGAGCGACAACCAACTGTCCCACCGAGTGGACACAGTGCTCAGAAAGACGAAGGATTTGCACGATTCCTCAAAAAGCACTCTTCTCCTACACATCAACGAGTCACTACTGGTGGCCGTGTCGTGCCCATGGAGCAGCGTCCTCCGTTCTTCTCTCTGCAACAGCCAAGCCAAGACCCAGAAGATCAGAAGAAGGGCGTACACGAGGACGCCAAATCCACCACAAAGCCGATAGCTGCGGGTTTCGATCCAGCAGAACAAGCTGTGGCAGACAATAGCATCCTCCAACCCCAGCCTCAGCCGTTCATGCCTGTCAGCAATGGGGTCATGGACGCCGCCACGTTCACCGCCGGCGCTGATCCCTCTGTCGTCGCTTCAAGCATGCCTCTCGGCCTTGATGCTGGCCGCATGCAGCCAAATTATCTGCAAGCCATGACATCTGCGCCCTTCTATGCGGCCATGCCTGGGGACCCGTACAGCTTGACGCCCATGCACTGTCAAATAAATCCAGCGGGTGCAATGCCGTTCGCTGGCTTCAATGGTGCCGTCGCTCCGAGCTTCCCTATGCCTTTCATCTCAAACCCTCACATGTTGGGCTTTCCGCCTTCGTGCGGCATCACGACTACTCCTACCGTTCCTCCAGCTCTAAGCGGTTCGTATGCTGAGCACATGCTCAACGAATCAACTGAGCTATTTCAGAACCTCGGAGTACAACTCAGGACCCTTGACCGTCATCGGGCTATGAATGTTCTGGACCCTTACGTTGTGGACCAGCGCAAGGCCATTGTTCAGCTGCGTGCTGAAGCCAAAAACCAGATCACGTACTGGTCAGACCAAGTCGGACAAGACCCTCATCCCATCCCAAAGGACCCCAACGGTGCTCCGAATGGTAAGCTGAATGTGCAGGCTACTTCGTACGTTCCACTTCGAGGTGATCGGGCTGCGGAAAAGTTCTCCGACACTCCTGGAGGCAGCTTGAAACCCAACGGCATTAGTCAGGCGCACACAAAGCCCGATTTCGTGGTGGACAGCACTCGTCGTCCGATCCCAATCGTGCCCCCTCCAGAAAAATTGTCGACTGTGCAGAACAATGGCAGAGATGTTGGGTCAAAGAGTGATTCGGTCGAGGTTGACGGATGGGGCGTTCGTGTCGGCGCAGCGCCACCTGAGATCCAACACCAGCAGAACGAGATGTTGAAGGAAATCGTCCGTCAAGCCAGTATTTCCCCTCTGGGCTCCAGTGAGAATGCAATCATCTTCACTCCCCAAGGCTCTCATGTGATCACTCCCACGACACAGCCTCATGAGACCAAAGAAGCCCAGGCCAACACTGATTCCGGGACGAGCGACTGGTTGCCCGCCCATCCCGGTCGGGCTCCGCCAACTGTGGAAGCATGCTATGAGGTCCAGCTTGACGCCATGCGACTCCCGACCGGTGTGGTCACCAAAGTCCGAATGCCCGACGGGACTATTACCGAAGTGCGTGGCTGTGGCTTGAAGCGGCCACCATCCTTCGAGATGGACGAGTTCGAACAACGCTATTGGACCACCAAGCCTCAAGTGACCAAAGAGATGTTTGAGAACTTCGTTGAAGTGCGTGCAGATGGTGGCAACAATGCTTCCGCCAACATCGCTAGTTACCTTGAGTTCATGGGGTTGGAAAGGTATGCTCCCATGATTCACGCTCAGCTCGAGGGCTTATGCTAAGGTGCCAGCAACAGCACACAGATAGGCAAAGCCGAGATATCGGACAAGCAAAGCAACGAATCCATGCATGCAGCAACGGATTTGACCAAGTAAGGGCCCTGCCGCGTGCACGTACTTGAAGCTGACAGACCACAGTGTTCAAGACATGCTCCGCGAGATTAGTGGCCACGGTTATAGCTCCACGATCGAAAAATCAAACGGCTCTGGCCCAAGATTGTCAACCTTGAAGCTGTCCTCTGCGTCTTCACCGCCGATGTGGTCGCGGGCGGATGAAAAGGTTGGCTGGTTCGCAAACGAGCATTCCAGAAGCGGCCGTATGACTGGATCTGAAAGCCATAGCAGCAAAGGCATCTCGTCGGTCTCGGTCCAGAAATTCCATGCAATGGGCCGGCTCCCACATGTGGATGGTCCCAGCGACGGGCAGAAGGTGTCGGCATTGTCATTGCTTGCTGCCGCCAGCAAAGGTGTCAGTCCCCAGCCGGCGCCACGATCGGTCCCTTCTTCGGACAGTTTCTATGGATCGTACGGCCATGAGGACCACGGTGTCTCAGTCGTCGGCGACGACGTCTTTCGATCCCGAATGCCTCAAGAAGAAAGCATGTAAGAGTTGTCACTGTCAAAGAGTCCTCTGTCGCGCGTTGGGTGACAGGTTTCCGATTGAATACAGGATTACCTCATTTCAGAGAGCGCATTGATACACAAGACTTGGACATGTCTATTGGATGACATTGCTTGGCACCTAATAGTGGTTGGTTGTATCGTGTCACAGAATATTGCAGTCAAGCAAGAGAAAGTTGTCATTGGGCTCGAACTGGCTATCATCAAGGCAACATTGTGGAAAGAAGCATACTGAGGCGCCTCAATCCAGGTGGCGTACAAGAGTTGAAGGACTTCAGCATGTACCTGTGCTGCATGGATTGACACTGAAAGACGAGCAAGCACAAAACAGAGACAAATAGTGCAGGCAGGTTATCTGAAAAGTACTTCGTCAAGATACTCCGTAGGGCTGAATCATATGTAATCCGCAGGGCATCCCTAACCACCGCACCCAAGAGGGCCCAACACACTTCTCATACGCCCAGGCACAAGAGAGTTGTACACAGTAGCCGACGCTCGTTGCGGAGAAGACCTGATCAATCGTTTGCTAGTGGAACAGCACGATCAGGAGACAACCAATTGATTGTTCGAGGAGAGTGTTAGTGGCAAAACGGGTTTTGCTGAGAAATCAACCATTGGAGAGGAAGGAGGATTGACATGCTTATGCGCAGTGACGACTTTGTCCGTCAAAGACTCCCCGTTCGAGATACGGGCGTCTGAGTCTTGATGAGGAATGGTACAGGCGCTGCAGAGCCATACTGTGTAGGTACAGTACTTGGAAAAGACACATGCACATAAGGGAGGACACGAAGTATTTGAGTACAAAGGGAGAACGCTTTTCTCAGCGGTCGCTCGTGTCTAGACCTTCAAGAGAGCAGACCGCTCCGACCAAGACCCGGGCTAGATGGCGGGCTCATGATTATTTGGAGTCGTGAAGGTGCGAATTCTTGAACTTGGCATTCTTGAAGTGAAGAGAACAAAGACACAGGCTTGAAGACCCCACCTGTTAAGTGGTCAAGTTCCTGGACTTCGGGACATCGTTGTCTGACCGGTTTTCCGATTGGGCTTTGGTGGCAAAGAAGACAGACTCCCCTTGAAATTCAGTTTTAGCGGTGCCCGTGCAGCTGCTGCAGACGCCTAACACAGTAAGGGTCCCAGGGAGCCTTCATCCCCACCAAACGCAGACAATTGCGGGTAACACGACCTTCCAACAAAGGTCTTTCCCTCTCTTGCGGCTGCTGCTTCCTCTACTTCCCCATCGTATCAACTCCTCATATTCTTCCCAGTTCTTGCTTCCCTCACCTTCCAGTTACAATTCGGTGCGTCAAGCCGGGTAACATCGGGCATCGCATCCAGCCATTGCCTGGGCAAGCGTCGTCCAAGGATCGAGTCCAGGAAGGAAGAGCCTGAGATGGCGCACCGCAGATAGCGCTGGCAAGCCGACCCTCCCTTGTCCCTTCAGAATTCCGCACTCCGTACTCCCGTACAATCCCCAACTCGACTTGGCCTGAGGACAGCACCAGGCCAGCTGCTCGTTTGGCCCCATTCATCCCTCGAATTGACGGACATTCGGTCACTTGAACAAAAACCCGCAGTTTCCTCATACATATCGATTCTGCGGATCCATTCAGTTGGCACCCTGCAGCATCATGGCCGCCGCGACCGAGAAACGCAATTTCTCCTCCCTCTCATTCTCCAAGAAGCACATCAATGGCGAGCCGGCGTCGGGCACACATACCCCCACCACGACCAAGCTGAAGAACTTTTTCCGTATAAACAGTGGTGGGAGCCAGACCTCGATAGGTTCAGATGGCCTGCCCACTCCAAAGACCGAGTCGAAACCTGTCAGACAGTCTAGATTTCTACCTGGGTTGACCAGAAATAGGTCTACCACGGTGGCAAGTGAAGGGCACCCTCTTGACGATGCTATTGCGTCTCCTACAGCCCAGGCCAATCCTTACTTTGTTCACCAAGGTCCTCCGGCTTTGCGACATCACAATGAGGGCAGTGTGCCCCCATCCCCTCCCGATACCCCCAAAGTTCAGGTCAATGGCACGGCGGTGGAGGAGAAGCCGGTCACCGCAGGCAAGGAGGAGCTGGCGCGCAAACTAAGGAGAGTCGCTTCCGCCCCAAATACTCAGGGTTTCTTCAAGGGGAACAAGAGTCCATCGGATAGGCCCTCAACCGCAGAACTGGGAAAGGAGCCGCTCGCCGTGGTCAGTGGCACATCGCCCGAGTTGGGTATGGTCCCTCAGGACAATTCCAGCACCCAGGACTTGCCGGGCAAAGGGAAAATCCCCTTGCCCGGGCAAATTCGGCAGGCGGTCGCATTCCGCCGGACCTACAGTTCCAATTCCATAAAAGTGCGCAACGTTGAGGTTGGCCCACAGAGTTTTGACAAAATCAAGTTGATTGGCAAAGGCGACGTTGGAAAGGTCTACCTCGTCCGGGAGAAGAAGTCCAACCGGCTCTATGCCATGAAAGGTATGTATAGGGCGACCGTACCACGCTTCCCCCGCTGACTTTGAGCAGTCCTCAGCAAGAAGGAAATGATCAAGCGGAACAAGATCAAGAGAGCGCTGGCCGAACAAGAGATCTTGGCAACCAGCAACCATCCCTTCATTGTTACTTTGTACCACTCTTTCCAGTCCGAAGACCATCTCTACCTTTGTATGGAGTATTGCAGCGGTGGTGAGTTCTTTAGAGCATTGCAGACTCGCCCCAATAAATGTGTCGGGGAAGAAGATGCTCGATTCTACGCGGCAGAAGTCACAGCGGCGCTGGAATATCTGCACCTAATGGGCTTCATCTACCGCGATTTGAAGCCAGAAAGTGAGCCAAACTTCCGCTCTCCCGTTTTACGTACTGATCACTCTAGACATCCTACTTCACCAATCCGGACACATTATGTTATCGGACTTCGATTTGTCCAAGCAGTCTGATTCTGGAGGAGCTCCTACCATGATTCTGGGTACCCGCAACGCGGCAAACCCAACCGGCTATCCTCTGGTTGACACGAAGTCCTGCATCGCCGACTTCCGCACCAATTCCTTTGTCGGCACGGAAGAGTACATTGCTCCCGAAGTAATTAAAGGCAACGGGCACACGAGCGCTGTCGATTGGTGGACTCTGGGCATTTTGATTTATGAAATGCTTTTCGGAACAACGCCTTTCAAGGGCAAGAATCGAAATGCGACCTTTGCCAACATCCTCCGAGACGAAGTGCCTTTCCCAGACCACTCGCACGCCACGCAGGTCAGCAAGTAAGTACACCTCTTATGCTGGCAGCTCGATCATTGGCTGACACCAGTAAGCCTTTGCAAGTCACTCATTCGGAAGCTCCTCATCAAAGATGAGGTGAAACGCCTAGGCTCTCGTGCAGGAGCATCGGATGTCAAGAATCATCCTTTTTTCCGACCGATCACGTGGGCCCTCCTTCGACACATGAAGCCTCCCATGATCCCCCACCAAGGTCGCGCACTCGACACAGTGAACTTCAGGACGGTCAAGGACAGTGGCAGCGTCGACATTGGCGGCCCAGCCAGTCGTCTGAAGGGTGTGCCGTTGGATTCGGGTATGGCGACACCGGGAGCAGAGATCGCCGACCCGTTCCTCGAATTCAACAGCGTGACGCTGCACCATGATGATGACGATGTGGTTATGATGCAAGATGGCGGGGGACATGCACAAAATGGGCGGTGATGATCTTTCCGTTGAAATGAGACCTCATGACCTGTACGTCCTTTCTATGGCCCTATCATCTTTTGCTGGCATCGGCGTTTCGGTGTATAGATCAACAAGAAGAGGACGAGACAGCAGGCGAAGCGGCATTCTGGCTTGGGCGACCACGAAAGGACGCCGCGGATCACATGTCTCGAGCTTGATGTTGGCGTTCGAGATGTTGGCAAAAGAGCTGCGTGTACAGATATACAGCTGGCCAGGATCGGGAGTTTGACTCGGTCTCTTTACTGCGTACGAGCGGGCAATAATCTCGGGTACTACGTTGAGCTTGACTCGTACCACTGATCATTGATGTGATGGTATCAATGCCCATGTTTGTAGCGTCCAGCTTTTGGTCACGTCCGTAGATCCCTTCCAAGGTCACGGAGATCGCTCCCAAGCTTCGCCTCCGCATCCATGGAGCCATGTCATGGCGTGCCTAGCGAGAGCGACAGGGGCAACGGGACAAAGGGACAAAGGGACAAAGGGACAACGGGAAAACGGGACAACGGGACGCCATGGCGGTGGAGACGGTCCAATACTCTCTGGAAGCCAGCAGGGAAAGCGGTCTAGCAGCGCCAATCAGCTTCGACCGTTGCGATCGATCTGGAGAAGCCAATCGCCTCGAAAATTTGTGACACGCAGCTCAATTCTCTTCACTCACGCCGTCTCACAAAGCTCATCCGCTTCTGCCGTCTTTTGCTTCACAAAGGATGGCCCGTCCTCCGCTCGGCAGTGAGAGCAGCAGCTGGCGAAACAAAGGGCCAAGTGAAAGCACTCTGTTCTCCCTTGCATCGTCCTCCACGTGCCCCTCCTGGCTGCAGTCTGCGTGACACAGCATGGCCGCGCCCTCACGCTTCCTGCCCTTCGTTCCTGTGCTTCGTGTGCGAATCAGAGCGCTTGTTTGACTCTTATTGGCATGCCCCGTATTTTCACATGGCATCCTATCCTATCCTCACTTGACTTTGTACCTCTTCACCCTGCCGTGCCCGAGGCCGGTTTGACACCGGGACCTAGACCGCATTCACGACAAGGTCAAGCGACGGCACCCGGACATCATGAAATTCGGGCGGAACCTCGCTCGAAACCAAGTCCCAGAATGGGCAACAGCTTACATCAACTACAAGGGGCTCAAGAAGCTCATCAAGGCGGCCGCAAAAGGAGGAAGCGAGGAGAAGCAGGAAGGAGACGGTCCTGATCTTGCTGGTAGGATAGCGGGTTGAGATCCGACGTGTCCCTGCGGCGAATACTCATAGTTCGTTTTAGGATTCTTTTACACCTTGGATCGCAACCTCGAAGACGTGGACCATTTCTACAACAAGAAATATCAGGACTTTTCTCGCCGGCTGAAACTCCTAGAAGACAGATATGGGGTGTTTCCTCAAGCCGTGGCGCAACTCGACGCCGACGAGCGCGAAGACCTCCTTGCAGCGCTGCTCGAACTGAGAGGACAGCTGAGAAACCTACGGTGGTACGGCGAGGTGAACAGACGGGGCTTCATCAAAATCACAAAGAAGTTGGATAAGCGGATCCCGCAAGCGCATGCGCAGAAGAAGTACCTGGAGCTGAAGGTTGATCCTTTAGCGTTCGCGACCAATGCCCAGCTGTTTGCTTCATTGGGCAAGATCAACGATGGCATTTCTGTGCTGGGAGAGGTCGCGTCGTCTTCCGCCACCAAAAACGATGATGTGGCCTCTATTTCGTCGGGGTCGTTGATGCGCACTACCTCACGGCCGTCCTTACATATATCGGCTGAACAGCTGGCAAAGATCGAAGCCAACATTCGTCAGGACGATGCGACCAGCCTCGACGAGTGGGTCAAGGACATTAAACAAGCTTCTGAGAACCCCGAAGCAGCTGTACAATCGCTTCTGAACACTCTACTTCAGCGGGCCATCTCGTCCCGGAGTCGGGCCTGCACCGCATCTCTCCTCCGGGAAATTGTCTTCCTCGATGCACAAGATGACATTAATAGACGCAACTGCGTACACCGACTGGTCATCTCAATTGGCCGAAAACAAAACAATGCTGATCAGGATCCCGCTGCAGAAACGGCCTCCGACGCGGAGACGGCATTGTACAACTTCATCACTCCCGCTGCCCATCCGTCGCCTGCGTTGAAGCGGTCGATCTTGCAGGAAGACCAGAGAGTACAACTTACGACCCGCGACAATGAGAACATTTCGTTTCTACAATTTTTGCTCGACAATTTACGCCCCTCTCAGCGACCATCACTCCTGGCAAGGGATAGTGCAGGAAAGACGCCCCTGCATTTCGCGGCTGAATACGGCGTCAAGGTCATGTGCGAGGTCATTATCGAGCATCTCAACGCCTGGAAGCTGTTTGATGTCTCGGAGGGCATCGATGGGCCACGCTGGCAGGATCAAGAGGGCTGGGCCCCGTTGCATCTGAGTGCAGTTGGTGGTCATCCATTAACAACCAAGGCACTGCTCGGCGCTGAGAAGGCTATGGGAGTGCGGATCAAGCAGCGGCCCTCAAAGTCGTCAGCCGTTCTTGCGCTCGCTACGAAAGCAAATTACGTCGAGATTGTCCGTCTCCTCATCAATGCCGGTGTGAACATCAATCACCAAGACGAACAAGGGGATACAGCACTTCACGTCGCCGCTAGATTTGGCCATGTTGAATGCGCCAAGCTGCTCTTAGAAGGGACAGATGGCCAGACAGCCGATGTCGAAGTGGCTGAACACACATACGGTTGGACCCCTCTATTCATCGCTTGTGTCGATGGCCAAGCTCCCATCGTGGAGTTGGTGATCGAACACGGAGCAGATCTGGAACGACTTGACTCCTCAGGTTGGAATGCTAAAGAGCACGCCGCACTTCGAGGACATGTCAACATTGCACAGAGGCTCGACACTGTCATGCCACAGCAAGAACCAGAAGCGGACGTTTCTATGACGGGGACGTCGCCGCCTGTGTCTTCTTCGCTGTCTGCAGCACTGACAGAGCGGAAATCCAATGGCCTGGGGTCTAATGGGCAGAATGGGAAGACCACAGAACCAGTGAAAACCTTTGGACATCGCTATTTGACGGACAAGAGCATGGTTCTGGTCAGCTTGGGGACCATGGACACCCGAAAGGCTGTCAAGGCTGTCAACCTTGACAAGATTCCACTGTCGAATGCTCATTCCACCCAGCTCGACACGGCATTGTCAGTTGTTGTATCTGCCAAATCCGCGGAGGGTGAGCCTGAGGTTATCGACCTGCCTGTTCAAGACAACATCTCGACAGAGCCTATTGTCTTTCATGCGGCAGACCCGTCCAAGGTCAAGATATACTTTGATCTGATCCCAACTTATGCCGGCTCGCAGAACCGTATTGTGGGCCGTGGTGTGGCTTTACTTTCGTCTGTCAAGTCCGACGTTGGGAGGAAGAGGATGTCACTCCAGGGCGACGTCACGGTTCCCATCGTTGCGGCGAGTGACCTCGAGGTGATCGGCTCCGTCACCTTCAACTTCCTGGTAATTACACCCTTCAGCCACCCAAACATGTCCGTCACGGAACACCAGACTTACTGGAAGCGTATGGCCTCCAACACCATGCTGATCGGCCACCGCGGGCTGGGCAAAAACTTGGCCGCAGGCAGGCGCTCGCTACAGCTAGGCGAGAACACGATTCAGTCCTTCATTGCAGCCGCCAATTTGGGAGCTTCCTACGTCGAGTTCGACGTGCAACTCACCAAAGACCATGTGCCAGTGATCTATCACGACTTCCTTGTCAGCGAGACAGGCATCGATGCACCGGTCCATACCCTCACCCTTGAACAGTTCCTGCATGTGAATGATATGCGGACCCCGCGTCCATCAAGGCCCGCATCGCCCGTCGCATTCGAGATTCTGAACAGGAAAGAGCACCCCAGGAATGGCAATCGTGATCCTCGAGCCTCCCGGTTACGGTCCATGTCCATGAGCGGAGCCGACAATAACGAATCACTCGACATGGACGAACGTATGAAACACACCCGTGACTTCAAAAAGAAAGGGTTCAAGGGTAATAGTCGAGGCAACCACATACAAGCTCCGTTCGCCACACTGGAGGAGATGTTCAAAAAGATCCCCCCAGAAGTTGGCTTCAACATCGAAATGAAATACCCCATGCTCTTTGAGAGTGAAGATGAGGAAATGGACACCTATGCCGTCGAACTCAATTCTTTCGTGGACACGGTCCTCACGAAGGTCTATGACTTGGGCAAAGGGAGGAACGTCATCTTCTCGAGCTTCAACCCGGACATTTGCCTCTTGTTGTCGTTCAAACAGCCCTCGATACCCGTTCTCTTCCTCACCGACTCGGGCACATCCCCTGCAGGCGACATCCGAGCCACTTCGCTGCAAGAAGCGGTGCGCTTCGCCTCGCGGTGGAATCTGTTGGGCATTGTCTCCGCCGCGGAACCTCTCGTCGCAGCACCACGGCTGGTGAGGGTGGTCAAAGAAAGTGGTCTTGTGTGCGTCAGCTACGGGGTGCTCAACAATGACAACAAGATGGTGAGAAGACAGGTCAGACAGGGGATTGATGCTGTCATTGTTGACAACGTGCTTGCCATTCGGAGAGGCTTGACCGAGGATGCGGCCAGGGTAAATGGAACTGGCAGTGTGACCATGACTAGTCCCGGCGAGAGCAAGTCAGGGGACAAGCAAGATACCCTGAATGGAGACACGGACGTCGCACTGGACAAGATGGACACGTTGAAGATCCCCGACGCCGTCCACTCGGCCAAGCAAGTCGGGTTGAAGGCCGGGACACTCGTCAATGGCAACAACGACGATGGAAGATAGAGATGGACTTGGAAATGGACATGGAAATGGAGGCAGTGTGAGCGTGTGTGCATCGACTGTACAGAGGCTACAGGGTCTAGCCGGGACCTTATCATTAGACTAGTACTGTACATACCCAGTACGGAGTATCTTTCCCTATACACTTGGGCCAGATCCGGCTCGAATGCTTCTGGACCAAGGTCTGATCGACCGATGGATAGACGGACGGACCGACGCCCTTTCGAAAGAAGTCCGGGGAAAGGAAAAATGACGACGGTATGGAGTACGTACCGTACCGTACCGTATCATTCATAGTTGTGATGGATACAAGGTAGGTACGGGGCATTGATCTCGAACTCACTATTCCGTACGTATCATTACCATTATCGACATCACCATCGCCATCGCCAAACTTTATCTGCTCGACTCGCATGTACAGTACCTCGGACTACTGTATGCTACATCTCCAAGCTCTAGTCCGTTCCGTAACCAAACCCTCAAGTGCCATGTGTAAACATGAATTACATTTCTAGAGCAGAGCCAGAGCAGAGCAGAGCCAGAGCAGGGCATCAATCCTCAAGCTTGGGCACCCACTCCGCAGACACACCTGTAGGGATGCATGCGGTGGAGTAAGTAATGATGGGTAGAGTAATAATCATCATATATGTGTACTGTACTATGGCATTTGTTGTGGTAGTTTACAGTTTACAGTTCACAGTTCAGAGCACCGATGATGCCGCGTTAGGTTGCGTTAGGTTGCATTATATGTGTATATCCTAAATACTACTGTAATTAGGTAAACCACGATCCGGAAATGCGCAAGCATTCCATGTTCAGGTTCAGGTTCAGGTTCAGGTTCAGGTTCAGGTTCAGGTTCAGGTTCAGGTTCAGGGTCACGACGATATACTTCGTACAGTAGAGCACCAGTCCAATTACAAGGCTGCCAGTGGCGTGTATCCAGATGTACTCTTCAGTCGCACGCGTGTCGTTGATTTGCTCGCCTATTGGGATTTGCGGTTGCGATTGCGATTGCGTCTAGGGCTGGAACTGGAACTGGACTGGGATGGGAGTGATCTGGGTATCAAATCCAAGGCTAGAACGCTGCTTCATCGCGGAACTCTCATATTTCATTTCATATCAAATGTAAACTGCTTCTATTCTCACAGTCCTTACAACATATCCAAGAGACTCCTAGTACTCGTATCCGCCGCGTGGGGCAGGGGCAATAACAAATCAACTGCCCTCCTCCCCAGATCCGTCGAATTGACGCCCGTCGAATTACTCAGCTGCAAGTTCCCAATCTCGCACCAATTGTTGATCGGTAAGCAACTGAGGTATTTACACCACGAGCACGTGTCATGGTACTTGTAGAAGTTGTTCAAGAGGATAACAAACACGACGAGCGCGCCGATGAGGGCGCCCAGGCGGAACAACCACCACGCCCACCAGAGGGGTTTGCGGCCCTTGAAGAAGCCGACGGGCTGTTTGGCAAAGTGGGACAAATTGGCTGGGGAGGCTGTCGTTGTTGGTGCGGTTTTGGTTCTCGACCCTCCGGCTGCCGGCAGCATGGGATCCTTGGGGTTGATGCTGAGTTCGGCTTCCGAGCCGACATTTCGGTATGAGGATCTGTTGAGCAGCGAACTGGTGGTGGCTGAATCCCCGATACGTTGGCGGAGAATGTTGGGTGAGTGGAGCAGGCAGATGCCGGAGGCGAGGCCCATGAGAAATCCCCCGATGTGGGAGAAATTGTCCAGGCCCGGTAACAGGCCCAGGACGAAGGAGATGACGATGTCGACAATAATCCACATCAGATCTTTGACTGGGTGGCGTCGTTCATTCCACCCATAGATGAGATCCAGGAGGACCAGGGCCAGGATGCCGAAGAGACAGCCTGATGCGCCCGTGGACGCGATTGCCGTGGCCGCAAAGTTTCCGCCCAGGACGAACCCGAAAATGCCCGAGCTGAAGTAGACGATGGCGAAGCGAATACTGCCGATGGCCTTTTCCATCTCTCGACCCATGGTAAGCTGTAAAAGGAGGTTGAAGGCGATGTGGATGAGCCCGGCATGTAAGAACATGGGGATGATGAACCGGAACCACTGGTTCGGGTGCTCGTCGCTGAACCCGGAAAAGCCACACAAGGCTTTGAGATCGCAGTGGTTGCTCGGTGAATTTGGATCCGATGTCGTCGTGTTCGGACACGGCCAGGTGGGAGGGTCCGGACTGTCTTGCACGCCTGGGGTGACGCGCATACAGGGGACAAATCGAGCGCCCATGTTGATTTGTACGTAGGTGGAAGGGCCGATCATAGGATTGAATTGTGGATGTATCATGATGGGTGAGCCCGTAATCATCGCTGCTCGCGTGTTAGCATCGATCTGCCTGGTCTTCTTCCGCCACCTTGTACTCACAGTTTTTGATTATCTCGACAATGAACACCGTGACCTGTATCAAACTCAAGGTATATACCACCCATGGAACCTTTCCCTTGAAGTAATTTCCGAAAGAGCCTTCCATTTTCTTTCTTCCCTTCGAGTCCGGCAATAGTTGCGGGTGTGGGGAGCGTAAATCGGGTGAAGGAGGGTACTGCGTCGGTTGGTTCCGCCAATCGTCCCCATCTGGGCCAGTATGTATCTGCGACTTGTGCTTGAGCGGTATCGAATCCGAGTGTAACGAGTATCTCGAAGGGTCATGAGGTTCGTAGAAATTAGACATTGGTCTAGCGCTGGAGGCTTTGGGCAGGCGAGGCTGATCAAGCGTAGAAGGACTTTGATTAGGATTATATGCGAGGGCGATGTGGGAGAGTGGTCGCTCTTTGTGAGGTTGGGAATGTTGCGACGATTGCTCCGCGTAGGAAGATTGGTAGTAGTTGTTGGCGGCCATGGTGAGGTACAGGTATCAGAACGAACAGTAGGTTGGCGGGGGCCAAAAAATCGAGTCGAGCACAAACGAGTGTGGTTTCACCTCATCAGTGAATGAAGAGGCCGCCGTCAAGGGCGAGATTGAGAGGCTAGACGCAGACTACCATGTCCAAGCGCCACGGATGCCGGCGAGGAGGAAATCAACTCCAGAGACAGTCTTTGAGCGGGATCGGCATCCGCGTACGTTGTCAGTTCCGCAAACTGTGTTTGACAGCTGGCAAAGGGGCAAGTGATTAGACGGCAATATCGTGCGGGGGATCCGGCAGTAGGCGATCCAGGAGGAGCGTTGAGTCAGGTAAGGAGAGACCAAAAAGTCATTCAGCAGAAGCAACAGTCGCGAATCATCAAAGGAGTGTAATGGCAGTCAAAGAATGGTGATTCAACAATGAAGGGCGGCGAGGTTTGAGGTTGAGGTTCGTTGGCACTAATGGGCCGTGAATGGGGATGATGCTGCGTGTGGCTGAAGAATGCGCGTCTAGGCGGAGAAGGGCGTAGAGCGCTGTCTCAGGTTCAGGAACAGGCCTAGCCGGCTTTCCCAGGCGGCCTGGACCAGTCACATGGGCTCTGCACGCCGCCCGTTTCTGGTACTCGCACACAGTACTCCGTACTCGTGCTCTCTGCGCCCTCGTTTCAAAAATAACCCCACCCCTGCTCCGCTTTACCGACTGTGGGTGCATGTTCTCGTGGCAGTGAGGCCCTTAAAATAACTTTTACAATAAATACCCACGTGCAATCGCCCTCAGCCGCAATGATCAACACGACTATCTGTTTAGTTGAACATCGCATTCGTGCATATAATCATGATAGTAAATCGTTTTCCTCGTTGGTCTCGTCAGTGGCCATGAAGGCGTGCAATCAGACAATTCGCTCAAATGCTGCCAGAAAAGTGTGTCGTTCATAAAGACACGTCAATGCATCCAACATAGCCAACCATGTGTGTGGCGACTCATGTCCGGTTCGGCGTGCCACAAGGATGGGCTGCGGCACCCTCGTACAAATACAGAAGCGTGGAGCGGCAAATCGGGGTCCTAGGTGCCATTTCGCTCCCGATAGTCCCCAGAAACAGAAGTTGAGGTGGTCGAGCGGGCGTCAAAGATTCGGGGTTGGAGTAGCGAATGTGTGCTGTCCCTGTCGAAGGGAACGAAGATCGTCCCTAGATCGAGCATTCCGTCGATGCGTAAGGATGGAGATGAGTTGGGAAAGCAGCATATCGGTGATGGCGGCTTTGCGCTCGGCCTCCTGGTTCGCTCGCTCTGAGGATGAGGATATTTGGCCCAGCCAATACCCTATCCAAGTCGGGTCATCGCTTGACGGCCATCAATGTTGGTGTAGACGTTTGCATCGTATAGACTCAATTCCACCTCGGGTGTCCTTCGTGGCTGTCCGGCGCAGCAATTATATCTTGCACTTAGTTCAGGGTACTTTATTGAACAGCACCACGCCCAGGTACGCTGTGCTCTTACGCGGCCACCCGTTGTTCTGAACATAGCTGTGGCACGTTGGAGATAAGAGCCTGTGACGGCACCACTCCAAGGTACGCAACGCTCTTCCGCGACCAACCGCTGTCATGAACATAGCCGGGGCGCATCAGACGTGGAGCCCGTGGCGTAGTATAGCACTCGGCAAAAGCTGTTGACGACAAAGGGCTCGATGCCGTAGAAGAGGGCGTACAGTAGGGCGCAAAAGGCGCAGAGGACGATCGAATTGAAGACAACCTTCTCCGTCGGCGTCATCACATACAGCCCAAAGGTCACTTCATACCGATAGTACCGCAGTCGCAGATAATTCGACACTTTGGCGGGCACGGAAACCCGGGGTTTCCGGAGATAAGAGGAGGCGTCGTGAGACTCGTGTGGGCTGGAGGAGGTGGCCAAAAGTTGGATCGCGGCCATGGCCATTGGGGAGGAGAAGTAGTTGGCCGAGTTGGGAGGGGCCGAGTCGATGAACAGAGGGAATGGCTCAAGGGAGGAGGAGGAGTTGTGGAAGTCGGAGCTCATGGTGAGGATGAGGGTGAGGGAGTGTGCGGCATCAAATGCGAAATCGCGAGGGCCGTGTCAGGGTGCGATGCGTTGCGGATCTGTTTAGTACAAGAGACGGTGATGCTAGCACGCTCGAGGCACGCCTTGACAGACCAAGATAGGCAGCGAGAGTGCCAGAAGAGGGAAACGTCCTAAGGATGCCCAGGGCATGGATTTGATAACCCAGCCTTGCGGGATTTGCCAGGGCCTCCCGGCCGAGAGCGGATATGAAGGGACCCCGCTGCGAAAGCGAGTCCACAGTGACGAGCGATGCGACGATGTCGACGAGGCTGCAACGGCCACAGGCGCGAGCGGGAAGACGGGAGTTTGCTGTCTGACGTGCTGATGGATCTCGCGGCGTGAGGGATGGCAGAACGTCAAGTGTGTGTCGTGGCTCGAGGGAGGCAGGGCGTACGTGAGGAATGATATGAACTCAATCATCGACCCGCGCAGCCTCCTTCACGCCGTCGACTTGCAGTGACTCTTGTGCGCGCAAAGCCGGCATCGTCGGATCGTGAGGAGCCCAAGCTTGAGCCATCATTGGCCGACGCTGAATGCCCAGCGTCTTGCGCCGGAAGATGCGGCTGAAATTTCGCAGCCGAGCATCAACATGACCTTTTGCTTAGCCAGTACAGAGTAGCTCGTACAAAGTATGCATGATGATGATGTCGCTTGTCATTTTGCGCTCACCTTGGCTACGATGACGGACGAGTGCCCGGTACTCGTAATTGTGTCCTGAGGAGTAACTCGTAGTTGCTGACCACGTCCCGCTTGGCTGACTACAACGATAGTCACTGGAGACCTTTACTTGATCACAACTCTCGAGTCCATGGGAGCGCATCCGTCCCGCCCAGCCGGTATTGACGACTGGATACCGCGGTGAAAGAGTTCATTGTCAAGGATGATACAAGTTCGGCAGCGGCTTTTCTACGCAGCTCGGCTTCGCATGCATACTATCCCTGTACAGCGTCCCCATGTTGCACCATCATATCTGTCCATTATCGAGAAGCTTTCTCTATGGGCCCACATTATTTTTATCTGCGGCTCGCGTAAACAAAATCTTTCTGGGGAGCAGAATTCTGAGTCCGGTCTCCCTGTCCTCCTGTCTTTTCCGGGTCCGATGCCTCTCACGGCGGCAGATTGAGATCAAAATCCTCATGGTCAAGCGCAACCCTCCCAATGATACAGTTCATTTCATTCGCCACAATCAAGCCCGGCGTGCGATTCGGCAGTCGATGTGTATCCAGATGTGCCAAGAACGCGTCCAGCGCAGAGAACGTCGGCGTCACGTTGACCGCCGTCGCTTTCTTCTCCCCGAACACGCCCAAATTGGCGAGCTGCGTCGTCACACCATTGTCAAGCCAGCCCTTGGCCGCCCCCTCTGCGCAACAGAAATAGCACGCAAAGATGTCGCCGCTATTGAGCGCGTCGCCGATCGTCAACTTCTTCGACACGTGACACTTCGCAAGTAAGTTCCACCGGTACTTGATGCCGCCTGCCGAGCGTCGGACTGTCGTGTCCATCGTCTTCTCCACCTTGGCTGAGCCCCGGCCACCGCTCGGCAGTGCTTTGGACACCGCCGCCGGTCCTTCAAAGTTGCATTTGCTACATCGCCAGAAATACTCGTGTCCCTTCAGGCCTCTCTTGTGCTCGAGGGTAAAACCCTTTTTCCGTGCCCCGAGTTGTTGTCGCACTGCGCCCTTGCAGAATCCCGCTAGGTTCGACTCGCTTGGTATGTTGAGCTGTGATCGAGATATTTGCACATCCGGCGAGATTATCGGGACTCCGGAAAGGCGCATTTTTGCTTCCAGGGATCCATTGTCTGCGGTCGATACCGATGCTGATGCCGATTTCGTGGTCATGCCCTCTAGCATGCTATCGATTTGTTGCGCTATCGGCGAAGTCGGGCTGGCCACCTGCGACCCTTCCCTACCATTGCTGAAATCGAGCGGCTTCGGTCTGACATAGCGAGGTTGGCCATTGAATTGCGCCTCTAGCGCGCCTGAGGAGGGTTTGTGTATCGCGTCTGCGATCCCAGGTGGGAGCCCTTTCCGTATCGCAAATGATGCAATCTTGGACCCGGTCGAGCTCGTGGAACGTATCGAGAGTGGCCGAGGAGCCGAGTGGATCGGAGGAACCTGAGAAGTCAGCAGTGTGATCAATGGACCTCCTGACAAAACACCTACCCTTTGGTGGAAGAGAGGGTCCGTTGGGGCAGGCAGTGCTTCCGCTTCTGCGCTGCTGGGTTGCGGTCGCGAGATTGGAGAGTTGAAGATCGGCTGTCTTGACACGGGCTGCTGCTGATGTTGATATGGAACCGGCATGGACTGCTGGACTTGTTGCTGCAGTTGTGGAGGCAAATGGTGCAAGACTTGCTGATATTGGTATTCCGGTATGCTGGGTATCGAGGGTGGAGGTGGTCGCCCCCGAGAGTTTGTTGTTGCGACAAACTCCAGCGTGGGGTAGTCCGGATTCACCGGGACAGCCTGTCTTTGACTCAACGGAGGACTTTGAGGAGAGAAGCTGGGTACTGTCGACCCCTCCTCTCTCGTTGGTCGCTCAGCGGGTGGCCCAGTATCTAGCTCATGCGCGTGTGCCGGGGTTGTGGCGCCCGACTCATTCATTTCGGGTGCTAGTCGTGGACTAGGCTGCAGTGGAGGACTTTGTGCCACGTGCTTCTGCACATCGATCGGTGGCGGTTGGTAAAAGCTTGAGTCTGGGGGAAACCTTTGTCCCTTGTCGTCAGTAGTGTAGACGGGTCTGAGTAGATCCTGCTGGTAAGGCGGAGGGCCAGCGCTGGGTGAAAGAACGCGCTCTTGTGGTCGGTAATTATGTGTCAAAAGGTCTGAGGTGGTCTGCACAGCACCATGGCTGGGCTGTTGTTGCATGGCAAAAGGGAGAGCCGGCACGTTGTCTTCACCCGGCGTACGAATCTTCGGGGGCTCGCTTGAATAAGAGAGCGTCGAGTTCATAGAGATCCTTCGTTGCGGCGTCAGGCCGCCAGATGCTTTGTGGTCATGGCCGATAGCTGTTCGTGAGCTATAGGTCGTATACGATCCAGTCGACTGGAGGTCATACGGTCTCCCACCGTAGGAGGAGTGCGTACTGCGGCTGCTTGAATAGGCCAGCGAAGCCGGGAGCTGGACCTTGTCTGGCTCGTCGACGTACGGACGAGCCATCTGTTTCATCGCCGCCGTAGCGGTGGACATGCGTTGATACAGCTGGCCCAGGCATACTGTCGCATTTACTTGGCAATCGTCCGACGTCTCCTTCAGCATGTGGAGGTCGAGAGCTGCCTCGTCCATGAACACTTCCCGCAGGTGTGAGATGACGTCTTGCTGGAGGTGAATGAGAATGTCCTTCATCTGTTCCCGGGCAATCGCGTCTCCTCGAGCATATGTCTCGCCGAAGCGACGGACATCGCGATCGTATTGGCTCCGCACAGCGCCAGAGCCTAGCGAGAGCGAGTCCTCGAAGTCCTTCGTCAGCTGCTCCGGCAGGATAAGCTCCTCCGACTTCTGTGACTTGTCCCTAAGTCGCTGTACTAGTTTTGCCGCGTCACGATAGGCGTCCGTGACTGTAGCCAACAAGGTGTCAGTGACTATCCGCTTCCATCGGCGTAAATAAACACATTCATCTGATCCAGACACGAAGGACGGCTGTTACGACTGCGCAATTATGCAGACCGTGTCCACGGCATGGCCCCTTCGATAACTGTCATACACAACCATCCCGGAATAGATCCCCTCGTGTACCCAAGTCGAGACTGCATCGTGCTGTACAACCCAGCACCAGCCTGCATCCACCAGAGGCATCAACTCGGACCTTTGGCCCATTCAGGCAGGACGCCTGTCGTGTAAACAAACCATGAGAGGCCCTCGCCCGCTCGTACAACATGACTGTTCATCGACGGCGACGGCATGGTGTGAGGGTTGTTGCGTATGGAATGAAACCGAGCTTACCTGCTTGAACACACAACTCGACCGACATAACATCCATCGCTATGGTCTTTATGCTGCGCGTAGTCCACTTCCAAGGTGTAAAGAGGAGTGTGCAAGGGGCGCAGGTAGTCTGTATTACCTCATCAAGGCGCCGTTTGCTCCTTTCGTGACCACGTTGGCATCGAGCCGAGCAGGGGAAGGACCCTTAGGGCGACAAGAAGCGACAAGAAGCGACAAACAGGAGAAATTGAAAAAGTGGGAGAAGGCCTGGTACTTGAGGCTTGAGGCGGAGTCAGGCTATGGGCACACAGGTGACGCTGTGCGAAAGTCCCAGTGGCAGGCTCGTAACGCAGCCTCCCCGGTGCAGTATGCCTGCTTGTACGGAGTAGGACTCGTATTGATGGGCCGCCGCCGAAAAGGCCATGTAAGCGAGTCCAAAGTGCTGCTTGCGTGCCACAGGGCCAGAACGCTTGTGGATGGCTGGCACCAAGTTTATGGACGCCCACAGCGGACAGGCACATGTCGAAGATAGCCTGCCGAATAGACGCGCCTCATCGGACGAGATAAGAGTCCAGCGCTCGAGCCAAATCGAGGCAACTACATACGAGGTAGCAGCAGAGCATGGAGGCGCCATTGACCGATTGCCATCCGGCTGCTCGTGATCCTCAGGGGCCCGACGCCGCGAAGGGCAGATATAGCTTGCAAATACTCCGTACATAGGGGAGGGGACCCATGGCTGGACAATTGCCATGGCGTGTTTCGTCCCGCTTCGGGCGATTGCACAGCAATTTTCCTGCAAGTCTGCAGGGGCCGGAAGATGAAAATGTCCGATTTAACAGGAACGGCGCTGCCGGTTGATTGGTGGTCCGCGATAACGTCGTCGGCCGGCGACCTTGGCCTGCAGAGACGAGCCTTAGGCACTGAAGGCTATGGTGTTGACTGGCGCAAAAGGAGGCTTGCGGCGTTCGAGCTGAAGAAGCAGACCGTGGCCCTCATAGTCCCATGGAAGAAGAGTGGGTGCGGATGTGTCTGGACTGCGCCGACCCCCCACCCTCCGCTCGGAAACGCGAATCTAAGAGCGTGTTTCCCACTCCGTGTAGCGCATTTCCGGTGCTTTGGCACTGCCCCGAATCAGGATTGCTGTTGACGTGAAGATGTCGGCTCCTCACGAGTCACCGTCCTCCAACTTTGCCCCCGCCCGGAGACACAGTAGATGTGCCTGTCCAACCATGTCGCCTATCTTGTTGACTTTTGTCGAAGCATTTAATCATCTCATGTGCGAGCGAGAAGCAACGTAGCACCTCGGGTGTTTGAACCCACAACCTCTGCCGCAATACCACAGCCAGGCACGGGTTGTACACTTTTGCGCACATGTGTCCGATCAAACATGCTCAATGATACGAAGGGGAGGCCCTCGAGCCTCGTTAATTTGGTCACGTTTACCCAGTGCTAACTAAGTACCGATAGCGTACAGAGCATCATTCCACTTCCGTGGCGGCGAATTATTGATCGACCGTGGCGCGTCTCCCTTCTGCACGGCTCGCACACGTGGTTCCGAGTGTGCGCGAGCTGTCGCGAATCGGGCAGTTGAACGACTGGGGATCGGCATCATCCGTTGCTTAACCTACTGGGGCCCACTCGAGCTGTTACTCGTACAGTAGTCACCAGAAGGATTTGGCGATGTCGACACTGGCTTATCGTCGACGGTATCCAAGGTCAGGGGAACCTCATAATTGAGCCTTGCCAGAAAGAAGACGTTGGATCGCCACAGGTGTGAGAGGTATGTATCCGTCTCCTTCCTTCTCGATCCAGTACATTCGGTCTGGGTTACCTTCCGGGATCAGAAAACCTGGTCACGCTCATCAGTCAAGACCACTCGGCGGGTGCAGTGCGTTAGGTGGGCAAACAGACCGTCTTTGCGAAGACCCGTCTTCAACTTCTTCATGATCGCCGACACTCTCTCACTACCACTGTCACCGCTCATACCGCCGGAGTCCGGCGCAGCACCATCGTTGACAAGGACCCTCACGAACCGCGGCACCGCGTATCGGGGCAGAGCACTTTCGGACGTCTGGAGCCAATCCTCCAACTGTGATATGGTGTCGCGGTACGCTCGGTCGAGCTGGTCAGCGGACACGTTTTGCAGTGTAATAGCTGCGCATCCCAACTGCCCATCGTACCCGTACCGGTTCATTGGGATAGCATACACGTTCACGGAGGCAATCTGTGGATGTCGACTGAGCCACGCCTCCACCTCGGTCGTGGAAATATTATGTCCCTTTGCTCGATAAGTGTCCCCAAGACGATCTCGGAAGGAGATAAACCCGTCTTCATCCTTTAGGAGACATTGATTTCAGCCAGTCAACGCAAAGACGGGAATGCCTGTACTCACCATGACCAAAGCGTCCCCAATCCTTGTATATTCGTCGCCCTTCTCAAAGACGTCTCTCAGTGTTTTCTTGTCTGTGGCCTCTTCTCCTCCTGTTCCGATGTAATCATGCTTTCTTTGGATCGGAGGCGCAATTTTACAGATCGCCTCGCCCACTTCCCCTGGCTTGGTCTTTATGCAAAACCCTGTCCGAGGATCTCTCACCACTTCCCCAGTCTCAAAATCGGCCCGGACAATTGCGAAAGTACTTTGACCAAACCACTTGCTTCTCATTAATGCGCCATAGCGCGCAACTTTACCCACGCCGAGATCGTTCTTGTTCGAGTTCACGAGGGAAATGGTGGCCTCGCTCGCGGAGTAGTATTCAACGATCCAGGGTATGCCAAACCTGTCTCTGACTGCACGCCACACGCCAGGAGCCAGGCCAAGCCCAAATGCGAGGTCGACAGCATGATTCCTCTCATCTGGGAACCGAGGATCGGGAGGAGCCTGTACCAGATAGCGAAACATCTCGCCAATATACAGGATTGCATTCGCCTGCGATCGGCAAATGTCTGCCCAAAACTCACGCCGTGAAAACCGCCGTGCCAGGATAACAGTGCCTGAAGCGGATAATGCTCCTGGGAGAGCCGCAAATGAGGCCGTGCCATGGAACATGGGTAGGCAAATATACCACCGCCTATGTTTTCCCTGCATTCCTGGCCATCTCTTCGAGCATGCAGAGAGGCGATTATAACCTAACGGCCAAATCAATCCCTTTGGCATTCCGGTGGTCCCGGACGTAAAGAGATACTGGGCCGCATCGGTCGGACCAACCTTGGGTCTTTTTGACTTCGGAAAATCCGCCATCTCTGGCGTTACCGCAGGCAGATCATCATGCTTCACGAGCACTACTCCCTGCAGGTTGTCTCTGGGTGCTGGATAGGTATTGTAATCGTACAACAACACCGCGCGCAGATGGGGCAACTCTTGTGCAGTGTCAACATCCTGGTCTGAACGTTGCAGTAACGCTTTGAGGAGCGTTTCAGACAACTCGTGCGTGGTGATGCAGAACTCCGCTTCGCAGATCTTCAAACAGTGTTTGATATGCGTGCCCGTGATGGCTGTGTTAATAGGCGCACTGATGGCTCCAATCTTATACAGCACCCACCACGCCATCAGAAACTCAGGTGAGTTGTTGACAAACATACCGACAACGGTTCTATTCCGGATGCCTAGGCTTTCGAAAGCTTCGGCGAGTCGACCGATCTCTTCCCGGAGCTGACGGTAGGTCCAGGACCGGTCCTCGAAAACAAAAGCCTCCTTGTCGGTATGATGATTTTCAGCGTATGTCGAGTGAAGGACATGGTAAAACGACCAGTCATCTTCACCATGCTCTTTGTACATGTCCTCAACGTACTTCTGCAGTGTTCTCGACCCACGAAGCTGAGCAAGATCGCTCCGGATCGAGTATTTGGCGTCAAGGTACATACCGATACTTGTTGCCGCTGCTGCGGCGCCCGCAGCCAACAGCGCCATTGCTCTTCCAATGGCTCAGGAAGAGGTGCACGTAGAGAGGGATCATGAAGGTGGAAGTAAGTGCGCTGCAACATTGGGATCTCATCCATGGCCGTATGCAGGCGAGCCTCGGATGAGAAGATGTGGAGACATTGTCCTCGAGAGTATAGCCGAACTAGCGGATAAGTGCTGTGTACTCCGTACTCCGTACTTTGGTCCATTTCCCGTCAAGGCCGTGATGGCCGTCCCACATACTTAGCTTTTTCATCCGCGGAGAATCGTGCGGGGAGCAATTTGCGTGGACAATTCAGCCACTAGAGTTAGTGCCTGCTCTACTTGCAATATCACAGGCGCTTCTCGCTCATGACGTGAATAATCGGCGTGCTACCCTCCAGCAGCTAGGCGGACACCGCAGCCAGAGGCTGCCAGTGACCGGCGAGGGAGGAAGAGATGAAAAAACAATGAAAGCAGCAAGAACGCTGGATCGGTGAAGCACTCGGTCATGTCTAGCATAATTTACGGCGGCACATATGACCAGTCACGTAACTCGAGCGCGTCAGTGTCTGGTGCGTCTGACGGCAATCGAAAAGCGTCCCCAAACTAGGAGAAATCGAGAAACCGAGACCAAATACATGAGACCCTTGCGGCCGCCAAAGATACAACAGAGTGGTCCTGCGATCAATCTCGCTTCGGCAGTTCATTTCCAAGATGGACGACAGCACGATGTACAACAATACGCAAAATTCGATTCTGAATTTGACAGGTCAATCTCCCTCTGGGTTGTCGCCTCTGGAGCAGGAAGTCCTGGATGAGTATGAGAAATTGGCGAATAATATGAAAGAGGTAAGTTTTCGACGCATTCAGTCTGGAGGCGTGCTATAATTTGGAGAAAAATACGGGCTGATTTTTCGAACCAGCTCTCGGCAACCCTGGCAGACCTCTCCAAGGGTCCTATAACACTTGAGATAGCGGAAGGTCTTCGGCTACTTGAGCGTAAGGTCGCCAGCGTCTACACCCTGATGAAAGCCAGTGTCTACAGTATCGTGCTGCAGCAGGGCCAAATGGAAGGCGGAGAGGAAGGGGGCCAGGACAGCAACGACGATGGTGGGCAGGACCATGGGCAGGGTTAAGACTGGAAGTGCAGGCCGATATCACAAAAGGTTGTGGTGATCTGTTGAAAGGCCATGACGCGCCCACGACCAACGCGACCACGACTTCTCTCCTGAGGCCTTGGAGGGCTCTCTTATTTTTGTACAGCTTGAAAGTCAGGTTGAAGCAGATAATGCCACAGTATCTGAGCAACAGAAATGCTCTCACGTTTGTCCCGCATAATACACCTTTCGGACGTCAACCAACTTTTTGCCCCTTGCTCTCGCTATTTCCTCTGGATGCTTCTGGCTCAGCAGAGCCTGCACGGTTGCTTTCACCGTGTTCATGGGGTTTCGAGATCGTGTCACTCGAGCAGCGAGATCGTGTATGCCCGCGCATCTGCAAATCTCCCAGATGTATTGTTGACACCGGAGTCCGAAGCCTAACAAGAGCCCGGTCAGCATCCAAAAGCATATTCGAGGGTTGTTGCCGCATCTGACTTACCTGGGGGTCTTGCATACAACTCCAGCTCCGTGGCGCTGACTTTGGCACTCAGATCACCATAAATGGTTCGATCTTCGTATCGTAGAATGGGCGTCATATTCCGGATGGCGCGATACTGACTCTGAAGAATAGCTTGAGCGTCTTCGCCGGATTTCCCCTCTCCGATACCAATCAGCCCTTGGCCATTCCCAGCCACACTCAGACAGTATATCTTCTGGATTTTGCCCAATCTCGTCTGGTTCACCACTCGATGGCTGACGACGGTCTTGACCCGCAGCCGAGCTATTTCTCTCTGGCTGTATCCAGTCATCTGCATGAGCTGGAGCAGAGCAGGGGAGACGACGCGTTGGTCGCTTCTCTCAGTTTCACCTTCTCCATCTTTGGATTTTTTCCGCTGCGGTGGTTTGGGCTCTGCAACTTTAGGCAGGTCGGGAGCCAGAGCTGTGGGTGGGTTTCTTTCTGCCTCTTCGCGTCCAACAGTGAGGCGTAAGTTCTTGTCGAACTTATCCCACAATTCCTGATCGTAATCGTTCTCGTGTTTGGGGTCTGGGATTTCGTTCATGAACTTGACGAAGTCGGCTTCAATTTCCTCGTCGGTCTTGAGCCTTGCGTTGTCGTCGATATTGCCCATCGGTGCCCGAACCGGCTTGTCGACCACAGGATCAATCTTGGTCAACTCATCGTAGTATTTCAGTTTCCACGGGTCTGTCCGCATGCCCGTCTGTTTCTCCAGCTTTGCGAAGTCGATGAGCTTCTGAGCGGCCTGGATGGCTGCACGTTGCTCGGGGGAGTAATGTTCCGGAGCATCTTTTGCAGATGGGAACTCCTTTGCTCTTTCGTTGAGGTCCAGCTGCTTGAAGTCTGCTTTGACACTTGGAAATTTGGGTTTGCGTTTCTGAGCTACAGGAGAGGTATGAAACTGGCGGCGAGGAAGAGATTTAGGGCGAGAGGTCCGCGTAAAGAAGCAGAAAACGCACTCTGAAGATCTCGCGGCACTCATGGCGCCAATGCAGCCTGACGACTGCAAGAGCGAGACGTGTACAGCTTTGAGGTTGAGGTGAAGGAAGCGACGAAGCGATGGTCGAGCGCAGCGAAAGTCTCCCCAAATAAAAAATGACGCTAGTCTCTTTTGGAGATCGAGCTCGTGGCTTCACATTCTTTCCAGCGACAATTTGTGTGCCTTGTTAGCAGCACCCAGCATTGCCCTCAGTCCTGGCTTTCCAAATTTATCCTTCAGTCATCGCTACGGGAATGTCTGAATTTGGCTGAAAGGCTCTGACTTTCCAAGGTCTCTGGTCTTCGATCTCAACATCAAACGGCGTGGGCCGCAAGCACTGTGGAAGCGATCAATTCCAGCCAAGTGCAGTCTTGATTCTTCTCAGCCGCTACTTAAGGAAGTCGTGAGATCACAGCGCCAATATGGGGGACTCTCCCAGGTTCATCATCGGGCATCACGACTCGAAGAGGCCTATCCCGGTCACTGCGGCAACGATACAGGATGCCCATGCTGCAAATGTAAGGCGCAATTGTCCTGACTTGCGCCATGTCGCTGATCCTCGACAAGTATGACATGGTGACTAGCCCTATTACAACACCTCACTTTCATTCTCGAGTCTTGACACTGCTGTCCTCGTCGCTTTCATCCCATGCAGGAGGCGACATCACCAAGAACAGGAACGCCTCGCCTGTCGTTGTGACGCCTTTAAATCCCGCTGATACTCCATTGACTCCCGATGAGTCCATCAGTCAGATCATTGGTATCACCAGTTCCTGGATCGACTTGGGATCACCCGACCCCATCATTGCAGACGTGTCTCGACAGGTCCTGCAACTGGAACTAGCATATGCTGCTTTCTGCGGAGTTGTCTATGCTTTGATACCTGGCCCACGTCTCCGAGGCCACGGTGCATGTGATAGTGGAATGGCCCAGTATGCGAGAGCTCTCGTGGATGCTCTAGCACAAGGGCCCTATATGCAGCTCTATATATGGTTTCCTATGATCGACAACTCAACGGAACAAGAGGAGCAGATGGGTGACCTGGCTCCATTTGCCCGACCGCAATATTTGGATCAAGCCGAGGCCGAAAGCAACAGATTGGATTTGTTCGGGACTTGGGAAGCTTGGGACATGATTAGAACGATATGTAACTATCCTTCTAGATTATGTGTAGGTAAGCATAATACATTTCCTTCGAAATTTCCCTGGCTAGCGGTGACTCTCACTAATGCCCATCCAGCATTGTCAGTACCCAAACTGCTCCCGCCTGTGCCTATCCAGTCTCGATGGTACTCAGAACCCGTTCGGCTCATCACCCTAGACAAGCACGTCTTCACCGCGAACGCCAAAGGATACCCCGTTCTGACGCGCTCTCACCAAGCATTCATATGGAGATTTACCCGACTCCGCACAGCACCATGGTTTCTTCTTTGTGACATTGGCCCTTGCGCGAGCAGCATCACAAATGGATCAGTCGTGGATCCATCTACTGCCAGCAAAGCCTTTCCCACCCTCGCCCAAGCAGCAGAATCACCTGGCCTCAAAGACCCAACTCCGCATCTCTCATATATGCGGAATTTGCAGACCAAACAGCCTATACAAACAGCCCTTGACCGCTTCGGCGCGGGATACCAAGACTACCTACAAGCACCTCTTCAACCACTAAGCGTCAATCTTGAAAGCATCACCTACGAAGCGTTCGAGAAAGATCCCATCAAGTATGCGTGGTACGAACGTGCTATTGCCCGGGCTCTGCATGACTGGATTGAACAAGCCAAACCCACCTCCAATCCTGATGGGCGGGTGGTGGTCGCCGTGGTGGGAGCAGGTCGAGGCCCATTAGTGACACGTGCTCTGAAAGCGAGTGAAAACGTTGGAGTCGAGATTGACATGTGGGTCTTAGAAAAGAACCCAAATGCGTTTGTGCTTTTACAGCAGCATAACGAGACGACGTGGGAAGGCCGTGTAAACTTGGTGAAGTCTGACATGAGGACGTGGAGGGGACCGATTCGATCAGCAACGAAAAGTGCACCTAATCGAATCTATAACACAGTGCCAGAAGAGGACGCCGACAACGAATGGCCTAGACCAGACTTCAGCGCGACTCAGCAATCACCTACAGGTCCCGCAACCCTCGACATAATCGACCCTCTCGCTACGGCACCTGAAACCACAACCCCGATTCCTTATAAGATTGACATCCTGATAAGCGAACTGCTTGGCTCGTTCGGAGACAACGAGCTCTCTCCGGAGTGCCTTGACGGCGTGCAGCACCTGCTGAATCCGGTGCATGGTATCTCCATTCCAGCGTCATACACAGCTCACATTACACCTATCGCCACGCCCAAGTTGTATGCAGACATCATCCACGGCATGAGCCCATCGAACCCGAGTGCGACCGAAACACCGTATGTCGTCATGCTAGATGCCATTGACTACCTTAGTACGGCGACAATGGATACAGATGGGCAGGTAGCAAATTCACAACCACCACACAGTCAAGCCTCAAGCCCGATCTCGCCGTCCGGAACAGCAGGGACACCGTACTCGAAAGCCCATACGCGATCCTCGCAGACTGCATCTCCCGCTCCGGCCCAGAGTCCTCAGCCACCGACCCCAACCCCGATAATCCACCAAACATGGGCCTTCCATCACCCGAATTCGACCCTGCCGTCTCTCACCCCCTCAACAGTGGGACCATCCGTAACTACCGAGCCATCGCTATGCAACGCTCATAACGCCCGCGTGTGCACATTGACGTTTCCCATCCCGAACCGTGGGACATGCCACGGGCTAGCGGGCTACTTCGAGACCGTGCTCTACCGTGGGGTTGAACTGTCGACGAACCCGAACACAATGGATCACAAGAGTGAAGGCATGATAAGTTGGTTCCCTATCTACTATCCCTTGAAGGTATGAATCTCTCCGATCGGTGACTTGGTTGTTAGAAACGTGTATGCTAATCTGTGACTGACACCGCAGAGCCCACTGTACCTGCCTGACGACTCCGAATTGCAATTGACCATGTGGCGCAAGACCGACGACCGCAAGGTCTGGTACGAATGGCTTCTCGATGCGTATGCCTATCTTCCTACTTCACCTGTTCCGGCTCCTTCTCTGTCCCGGGCTCCCACGCAGAAAGCAGGCACAGAAGACAGCGGGAAGCGCAAGGAACGAGCAGCTCCGCCCATCTCCGTCGAGCCACCCAAAGCAGGCCAGGCGAGTGCCGCGGCAGTCCGAAAGGGCAAGAAGATCCGGATCGGAGGCAGCGAATTGCATTCTTCAGAGAAGGAGGCTTGTCTGATGTAGTACGAGTACTCCTTAATGACCAAATCATGTGCATGGGGTTTCCCAGCTTCCCCGGCCACGACCGACCATGCACGCACCTGCACTATCAAACGCTCTCCCATCACTGCGCACAACCGCCTCTTTTAGCTTCAGGCTTCCACGACGAATTGACATTCCACGGGTCCGCCGTGGTTGATCGGCACCAGATCCTGCGGACAACAACTCATCACGACAATACAGTCCACGAGCGCCTCAAACGCGACCCTGCCGCCCTTGGGCGAAATAGTGGGCTCGAAGCTGAGTTTCCCACCCGCGGTGACGTTGCTTTCGTGCAATGCATGCGACAACGGCGCAACCGGTATATTCATGAACAGATTCAACGGGTCCGGCACCGTGGATTCGGGAGTGTTGAACGGCGCGGGAAGCACATAGCCCGGTACGTCTCGCTGGAGCGCCAGGCGGCAGTTGTCCGCGCAGTTCTCGTGGTACTGGCCCTCCGGCACGCCGAGCTGGCGGTAGCGGTGGATGTCGCACGCCGCCATGAGCGTGTCGTGGATGCCTCCGGAGGTGTCGGAGACGAACTTCAGGATCGGGGTCCGTTGGTTGGTATACAGTGTGCATGGTGCCACGGGGGAGAGGCCAAGCAGGGCAGCCCGAGTGTGGGACATTGAAAGGCAGGTTGCCAAGTCGACCTGATGGCTCGAGGGAGCTGAAGTCGCTGGGTTAGGCGCAGGGAGTCTGAAAGCCCAGAAATCAACGACTTGAGTGCCGTGGGTGTTGATGACTGTGAGTTTCTGGGACGCGGACAAGGGGATGGCGACGGAGGAGCGCGCTGGGATCGTGTGCGTGGCATTCAGGGCATAGGGGCTGGGAGGGGCAGACATCTTGATACAGAAGGTTTGTGACGAGACAGATGGCTTGAAGTAAGGCAAAAAGGAAGTTAGAAAGGAGGCAGGAAATCGATTTCCTATATCATCTCCCAAAGTGTGAGACAGGGCAGGGACGTAATGTGCCTTGGGTGATATTCGTCGTTGATCTCCGTGAACGAGACGAGAGCTTCCCCGGAGTATTTGCGTGTCTCCTGGGATAGTGGGCGAATGTCTGTCCGGAGCGAAGAGCGTTGGTGTCTTCTATTTGGCTGTTGCGGTCTGATGAATGCTGATGCCCGGAAATCTGTCAGTCGATATCAAACTTCGAGGGTAAGATACATTCTGGACGACGGCAGTGAGTAGCTCCCACATGCACCTGTGGAGGACACTGGTTTGCGGTACTATTCCTACGGCCAAGCACGCAATGTAATATGCATCTGCGTCGCGCGTCGGCTGTGTCCGCCTGGGGCTTGCTTTCGAAGATGTTGAGGTTTGACACCAGTTGGGCTTCATCTAAGATATTTCTGGGGAGAAAGACAGGTCCGAAGACGCGAATGTTGTATGTGTCAAGGTATATTCGTACGGACCACAGGAACCCGTGGTTGCGTGAGGAGAGGCTGACAGGGCGACTGAGACAAAATGTCCAAAGCAAAACGCGTCTGGCATGTAGATACTCCACCCTACCATATACAGGGGAGCAAAGCCTCTTTACCGTTGTCACAACAGTTGAATCCAACTCTTGAATGCACATGACGACCGACTGTACGACTTCTTAACCTTCAAAGCTCTCGTAGCGACGCCATGTCCCAGGCAGCCAGGGAAATCTCTCTTGAAGACACCGCACCTCATGCGTAACCGGGGTCTTGGATTCGACCTCAAAGGCTACACAGACGGGGCCATGGCCGCCACAACAAACCCTCAAACGCCGCGCTCGACCAAGACTCAGCAATGGATGGACGACGACGTGCCCATCATTGACTCGCGAGAGGCATTCTCTGACGTTGTCCTCAAGTTATCATCCTACATCGCCAAAGCCATCGATACTCCCTTCACATACGAACAACTTCGCACCACCGTCGCCGGCCAGTCGTTGAGACCCCTGATCTCGAATTTGAGCGAAGAATGTCACCATCCAGCAGTCGTTGCTGCCTTATTGGCAGCTCGATACCTGTTCATTAACGACCCAGGCGATGTCGATCCCGGGCTAAATGAGTCCAGAGGCCTTGCCTGTGAGCTCGTTGCCTGGCAGTTTCTGACCTTCCTGTCGGAAAAGGAGCTCATTGACTATCTTCTCTACGACCTCCCCGAGGTCTCAGAAGACAACACGCGTCGTTCCCCTTCAGAGACACATACAAACAGCCAGCATACAGGCAATCACAACGATGGCGGCAGCTCGAACGAGTCTTCGCCTCTTCTTCGATCACGATCTTCCGAGCACGGCAATTTCCTCCGCCCTCCGAGACGTGCGTCCACGCAACACACAGACCGCTTCACCAGTGGTGCTACGACAAGCACCTTCGGAGGTGACGAAGATGGTGCCTCTCGGCGGGCAGATCTCGACGAATCCATGGCTGGTATGAACGCGCTCGAGATTGCCGCCATCGGTGACGCCAAGAAATTCATCTCGAAGAGCCCGGTGCAGAAGATTGTCGAGGATATCTGGAACGGCGATGTTATATTCTGGGAGAGCCTTTCAGTCCATGCTGTGAAGAAGCCACGCGCGTACAACAAGCGAGTCGCGGACCCATTCACTCGGCTCAGGGTGCCAAAGTACCAGAAGGCATTCCAGATCAGCTTCTTTCTGGCCTTCCTGCTACTCTATTATGCCGTGCTTGTGGAGCGGAATCCCAGGCATATCACCCCTACGGAAGCGGTTTTGTATGTCTTCATCGCAGCATTTGCATATGACGAGTTCGGGGAGATCAAAGATGCGGGCATCATGTTCTACCAGACTGACTTTTGGAGCTTGTGGGATATCGCGGTAAGTCTGTCTGCTTCCGGAAGCCGTATCGATGACTTCCAATCTCATCACATTTTGAGACTGCGAAAAGAGACGGCTCCCTTGGATCCATCTTAACCACTGTGCTAACGTATGGGGTTGCAAGATTATTGGTGTTAGTGCCGCTTTCGTGGTGACGAGTCCGTGGCCTGGCCTTCAGGATGCTATTCGCGGAGCTGACATACTCTAGGGGTTGTCGGCCTTGTCAGAGACAGCGACTATATCATCGATGTTGCCTTCGACATTTTGTCCATGGTAGCGCTGTTCCTGGTGCCTAGGTATGTTACCCACAGAGTCCCTGCAGAACAGACACTTACTACTGCAGGATATTCTCTGTGATGAGTCTGAATCCTTATTTCGGGAGCTTGGTATGTGTACGGTATGAGAAATGGGCAAAGTAGCAACTGACAATCTGCGGCAAAGATACCAGTGCTCAAAGAAATGGTACGTTGTCTCTCGAGACCTGTCGGAATAGGTGCTAATAGGCAGCCAGACAAAAGCGTTCTGCAAATTCCTACCGGTCATTATTGGTATGCTCACAGCCTGATAATGTGATGTGGGTGCCAACCATTATAGTACTTTACCTAGGTTTCTTGACCACTTTCACCATGTTGGCCAGAGATCGCATGACACTCAATGATATGTCCTGGCTCTTGATCAAAGTCTTCTTTGGGTACGATCAAAATCGCCGCCATAGTTGACCCGGCTGACTAGTGATGCAGGTCAAGTTATCTCGGTTTCGACATGGCCGTCAAGGTATGCCTCCTTGAAGCAAAGTAGAGCGGCCCCCACTAATGTGACTGCTCCAGATATCGCCACTATTTGGTTATACATTGATGTATGCACACACTGCGTTTTATTGACCAGCAACGCGGCCTTTAGGGCTTCACAGCCTTGAGAAATTTCACCGGCGCTTAGCTCTCGGAGCGTCGATCGTCGACCTTCCACTTGCGGAGAAGGAGTCAACCCCAGCGCTTAACAAGAGCCAAGGCTAACTTTCGGATGCTACAGGCTCGTATTTGTCTGTTTGACGAATATTCTCCTCATCACGTCCCTCGTCTCACTAGTATCAAATTCATTGACCGAGGTAAGTGCTCCAGTGTTCGTGATGTCTGGTCATGGCCGCGTAGACGCGACCCTCCTAAAGTAGCCGCCCGATAGAACGCCGGAGATCGTCGCTGATTGGAGGCTAGGTCATGGCCCATGCTCGCGAGGAATACCTGTTCCAATACTCGATCTATGTGCTAGAGAGCAGCACCTCACGACGACTGACCTATTTCATGCCTCCACTCAACTTGTTCCCCCTGATCGTACTGCGGCCTCTTCGGCTGTTTCTCCCGTCCGAGGAAGTGCGTCGAATCCGGATCTTCGTGCTCAAAGCCACCCACATCCCGTTCGTGGCCCTGATCTGGGCCTACGAGAACTCTAGAACTATCATCACTCGTCCCCATCCGACGCTATCTAAGGCTCCACATTTGACCAGCCGGCCGTTGAGCGCAGGCCAGCTCAACTTCGACGGGTCTCGGGATTTTCTCAAGTCCCCCACTACGCGGCGAGCGCTTAATGAGACGTCGCCGTCCGTTACAGCAGACATGGCCGCTTCAACCACCAGGTCTGCCTTGGGCAGTGCCGAGAGCGCAGATTTAATCGCCCTCATCCAGAAATTGAGTGCGCAGGTTGATGGGTTGACGGCAATGGTCGCTGGCCAAAGCAGAGATTGAGACCTCTCCAAATTCTCAACAGAATGGTTCGGTCGCTAGAAGGCATCCCTGCATGGTGACCAATATCTTCCGCCTAGACTGCCTTGAGATCACCTGCACTTTCTCTTCCGGGAGAGCCCGCGAATGGAGAGGCTCACTTCAACAGGGGCGGCCAGCACGGCCGTTGCTCACTGGCGAGCCAATGTTTCCGAGATCCAGCCAAATGCTTCCTCCACCCCGTCTTGGACGGGCACTCAGAGACCGAGTCTCCTCTCATCCACAGCTTCTGAGAGGACGCCCGGTCGGGCATCTCTACCTGCTATTGGGGTCAGCAGCCAGTGGTCAGGCAGTTCTCTTTCTACCGCGATTACCTCACTGGAAAGGCCCTATCTCGCATCCATCTTGCCATTGCACTTGCTGCAAATCCATTTCTCCGGAAGTGAAAAGCGATTCGCATCTCGGAGAAAGTATGAGCGGTTGTCTTTGGGCCGCATCGCTAAAGGTGGACTGGGAAGCTGGTCTGCATGCACAATGGCGAAGCAGCCCTGTTATGGAGCAGCACAGGCCTGCATGACAGTGAAGTCAGCCGAATGTGATCAGTCACTCGAGGCAGCTTTGGAAGAAAGCTATAATCTTTACTGTTTCCGCTGCTGTACAGAACAGAGTTTTTGTCACCAACGCCCTACACAAGAGGTGCCTCACTACATCCACAATGGATTTCTCTTATGCATCGATGGCTCACTGCGACTTCCCTGTGCTCAACCAAGACTTTCCTTTCTCCAACGACCTGGATGACGCTCGCCCCTACCTCGGGTCAGTCTGTGCATGCCCTTGTCCACTAAATTCCCTGGAATGGTGTTCACAGTTTCGTTCTTTCTATCCCAATCCATTCAAAGTCACTCCCGAGCAGCACCCAGTACCTGGGCCTCAGTTTGGCTATAGAGCTTGCGAAGACCCGTGGGTGCTGAGGTGGACTGAGGGCTGTTCCTACATTCAACCGCCGCAAACGTCCTCCCAACCTACACCGGACTCGGTCGTGGACAATACGCTTGCACAAAATGCGACAGCCACCTGTCCGACAACCCCTGTCGAATCATCTCCAACGAGGCTCTGGCAAAGCTGTGAAGCATCTGACCATACCGCACTAATGTCAGGTGAGTCTGCTGTAGTATCGTCCAAATCAAGATTACAGCATGGGTCTTGCTAACCCTGATGGCGGCCAGGCACATCTTCGCTACTGAACCAGTGCCTTTCTGTGAGGCCACAAGCTCCGTCGCCGCAAGCAAAGGGCCCGAAGAAGAAGAGAGGCAGCGGACCCGTGAACTGCCTCGTCTGCGACGTGAGCTTCGAAAAGCCGTACCTGCTGCGAGAGCACATGCGCGAGCATGGTGACCAATACAAATGCGAAACGTGCGGGCAGACGTTCGCCGAAGCTGGCAACCTCGCAGTCCACCAAAAGATGCATAAAGCCGGCCCTCAAACATGTCACAAGTGTTTCAAAGTGTTCACCAAAAAAACAAGTTACCGATCACATCTCAGGTCTCACGACGAAACCCGGCCGCGAGTCAAGTGTCCACAGAAGGGATGTGGGAAGGAGTACGCTCATCAGGGCTGTCTGAATCGGCATCTCAAGACGGTAAGTGCTGTTTGTACTTTTTCTGCCTTTCGTTTGATCTTTGAAAATGTGTGATGGCGACGGAGGACTGACTTCATCCTTTCCCACGATAGCATGATGCAAGGTACACCTTCAACTGCAGTGACTGTGGCAGGTCATTCAACCGGCTGGACTTGCGGGACAGGTAAGCTACACCCTCAAACCTAACGGCTCGAACCAGGTCTTCTTTCCTCCCATGTCTGGCTGCTTTTGATGATTGAGTTCTCCCTTGCTATCCTGACATGTTGTGCTACCAAAATAGGCACCAAGGCAAGTACTGCCAGAGAGCGCGCGAACGGAAAGTGGTAGAGCAGCAGGCCTCGGGTACGTTTAGTGCGACACCACCTCAACAGCTCGACCAGCCACTTCGCGGGTCGATTCTAAGCATCCCTGGCTCAACAACCCTTCCAGGGAGATATCCAGACTGCGTTTGAATGGCCACTGGGGATATCACAGGCACTTGAACAGGTCGTCGCTCGAAGTGAGCACCAGCAATGGCACACCCATTCAAACGTCGAAGAGACATCTTGACGTCCTTGTTCGTGGAGAATAAATCATCTATTGACAATCACATTTCACATCCAAAATCGAAGATGCTCCAGTCCTATATAGATGGAAACCGAGACCGCTTCACAGACGGACAGCCCTGATTTCTGTGCAAGAGTCTGGATCTGCTCTGCTGCACTGTGCTGCTCTTAGACAACAACCCAGTCTAGACCCATTTCCGCAGCCGCAGCTTCGAGGCCCTCCTGCACGAGCTCCTCCTCTTTGTCCAGACGTCGTGGTGGGCCTGGCGCTGGCAGTGGCTGTTCCGTTTGCAGCATCTTCACGACAAGGACCTTGATGTTCTCATACCGTGGGTCTCTGGTGGTCGTTTGTCGCATCCGTGGTTGAACTTGCCTCTGGCTTCCCACATCGGCCGGAGTTGCGGGCTTGGTATTATCTTCGTCCTCCTTCATCAGGGGCAAAGGTGAGGCGTCTGATGCGACGATCTGCCGGAGCCGGTTCAGGATGTGGAAGTCGTCCCGGGCGAGGGTCGCGCGGATGGAAGCTCGAGCGTGGGGTATGGTCGAGAGGAGGGCGAGGCCGAACCAGGCTTCGGCTTCAGCATGAGTTTGAGCTTGAGCTCGAGCTTGGGTATTGGTATTGTTGGCGTGTTGCTGTACTGGTGCTGGCGCTGATGCCAGTGTATGAGGTTGAGATTGAGGTTGAGATGGGCCTTGAGGCTGAGTGAGCGTGTAGCATATCATCTCCGCCACTTTGTCCTTGAAGATCCCGGCGCTAGGTATAGAGGATGAGATGTCGAGACGGTTGAATTCGTCTGTAAGTGAGGAAGCGGGTGGCTGAGTAGGCACATGCTCTGTCTTATTCTCGTGGGGGGATGTCGCGTTTCGCCCTGTTGGGTCTCTTTTCGCGCCGTGTATCGTGCGTAGCATCTCGATGAATAACCTTCCTATTTCGATCTTTGTTTGAACGTCGGTGGTGCGGTCCCAGAGGCTGTATACCTCCGAGGACAGACTGGTGATGGTTGATAGACCAGTCTCATGGGAAGCCTGTGCCGGGTCTATGCTAAATTTCGGAAAGACGTCTTCGCTCTGCCCCTTAACAAGGAGTCTTGCAAGTGCGATAGCGTTACGCTGTACTTCGAGGCCCGTGGCGTCCACCTCGCTGGCTCTGTTGTGAAGGATCTGCGCAATCGCCAGGAATATGCTACCCTGACTTTTGCAGAACGCGTCTTGGCCTTCACGATACAGCGCCAGCCGGGCCGCGAGGTCGACCGCCGGAAGGAGGATTTCGGGGTCGGAGATCTTGATCAAAAGTGTTTGTAGGATGATAGCAATATCGGGGACGTCACGAAGTAGATTCTTGGCCCGGTCTGTGGTGTTGATGCAGTTGGCTAGCAAGACGCAGATGCTGGCGAAGGGACCAGAAGCAGGCGGTGTAGTGGATGTAGGTTGGTGGTCGAGGAATCTACCCAGATCCAATATGCAACTTTTGGTTAAATTCGAACTTACGTCGAACGTCTCCGTATATGCCTCTGTCGCCGAGATCGTGTAGATCAGCTTCAAAATCTCTTTCCGATAGGGCGCGAGCGGGGTTTCTTCCTCCTCGTCATCTTCGTCGGGCTCCAAAGGACGTTGTAGGTGTGTGGGTGAGTAAGGTAAGTGGATCAACTTGCGGACGGCGTTGTCACTGCTGATCACGGTAGTGTGGGTGTCTTGTTGAGAAAGAAGGTTGAGCACCGCCTGACATGTAGAGACGCGGCACTCGATGTCCTCGTCTGCGAGGTCGGCACCATGCGACAGGAGTAAATGGACTATGTCGGCGGTCGTGTCCACCTCGATGATGTCGCCTGGCTCGTTCCCGTCGTGCTCTTGAACAAAGTTCTGCGTGCCATACAACGCGACACGGCTGGCCATCTCGACCAGGTCCGCAAGCGTCCCAGCACAATCCTCTGCCTGCTCCCGGGCGTCCAGGAGGATCTGGAAGGATGTCTTGTTCTCGTACGGGAACCAGTACGTTCCCAGTCTCTGCTCCGCCATACTCAGTGTTGTGGCAGAGGAGGTTTCGCTCTCGCCACTGGCTGCTTGCATCTGCGGGAGGGGATCCCAGGGCTTGCCGTGCACGTCTGTTGCCGGTTCATCGAAATCGACGCAGACATTGTAGAGGACGGGTATCACGAGATCGCAGTCTTTCCTGAGTCTGAGAAGTTCGAGCAGTGCTTCTATCCCATCTCGGCCGATGAAGCTGCTCCGGTTGACGTTGTTATCTGCACAACAGTTGGCTATTATCCGAAGTGCGGGCCTCATCTGTCTGCTTGACGTGGCCCGAATCGTCCCCGCAACGATTCGTCTGGCCACTTCGAGGATTGAGTCCGGTGGAGTCTCTCTGTCCATCTGCTTCAGGTTCATGGCGCGGTCAGGCCTCTGTGACAGGCCAAACACAGGTCGCCAGATTTGTGCTTCGCGGGTTGCATCTGCCAGGGTACCGAGGATGGCACTCTGAAATCCATCTGGCCGTCCTTTTTGGAGTATAACTTCCACATGGCGTGCGAGAGTGGGCGTGAGTGCAATGATCTGTTGCGCACCATCTTTCGGATGATCGCTGGCTGACTTCAAGCTTGAGATTATGGCTGCGTGCGTGCGGTTCAGGTCTTCGTCCTCTGACCAATGTTGCTCTAGGTCATCAGCAAGACGACAGCACGCCTCGTAACCTTCCGCCGACGCCATGACCGCCTGGAATCTACTTTGAGCCCAAAGTAGATTTCCCCTGCAGTTTATCGATCGTTTGCCTTGCAGCCAGCATGGCAAGCCCAGAAACTGATGCTGAAGTTCATGTCTGACAGGATCCGCTGGCCAGGATAAGCAGGCGATCCAAAAAGGCTGAAGGTGAACAGAAAGCAAAGGGGACGGCCAGGCTGATATGCAAGGCTGCGTGCCAAGCCCTACGGTGAAGCACGTGGTGAGACGCGACACTGATTTACTGCGATACGCCGAGTACTCCTGAGCGTTGGTCTTTGACTTGTACGCTGTCCACTCTGCAGGTCTCCTTGTCGCAAAAGCATCAGCGTTGCGTTCCATACACCACTTAGAGGATCTACGCTACCTGACAGCTCCTTATCTCAGAACAGTCACCCACGCAGCCATGACACGCGCACGGCAGACCATTTCCTTTGCGCTACTTGTCTCATCTGTACGTGTCCTTTGTCCCGCGTCAACCTGAAGCCGTTGGACCAATGTTGATACATGCGCAGGCCTACCTCCTTCTCGCCCTACCTTTATTGACAAATGATTCGCCAATACCCTCAATACTGCCCACCAAACTCCAAGTGGAGATCATTCCAGTTCTGCCCATCTGGGCTATTGTGAGCCTGGGTGCCTACCTTCTGGGACGGCTTGGTCTTGGGGTTATACGATTCAACGACACGGAGGAAGCCTACAAAGAGCTCACGGCACAACTGGGCGCTGCGCGGAAAAGCTTGGATAACAGAAAAGTCCGGTGGGACTAAGTTGCAGCCGCCGAAGTCTCACATGGGATATGTCTCGTCCTGCGTGTCCAGCGCCGGGAGAGTCTTGCCGTCTATTTTATCACGCCATGGGAGTCCACCTCCTCAGCCTCTATTGGACGCCATTGGTCTGAGCGAGTCTGTCGTGCTCATCAATGTCGGTCGCTTCCCAGGGGTAGCAAATCCAAACATCCGGCACAGTGACTGCTGCCAGATATCGATTCTCATTGACCATGTCTTCGGGCAGCTTCCCCTTCTTCTCCTTGTCCTTGTTGTGCAGCACGAAGATGGAGAATTTGGTCTTCTCGGTTCTGCCCTGTTGTTGTCGGGCGGCCTCCACGTCCTTTTCCAGTTCCTTAACAGCGTATTCAAGTGTGGTGCGTGTGTCATCCACTTCATCGACGATCAAGACGTTCTTTCCGATCAGGTTGCTCATCTCGAGTGACGAAAGGTCGAGCCATTGTGTTCGCGTGACTTTGGTACCGGGTGCTTCCACGGGATCTGAACCGGAGAGCTGCTCGTACAGGGAGAGGCCGATGGCTTGGATGGGGATGTTCGGGGCACCAGTCTTCTTGAGGAACGATCTGAACGTGCATGGACATCAACTCTTGCTCGTGAACGCCTTTCATTCCGCGACCTTGCCTACCTCAGAATGCGGGCAGGCACGTAACCACCGCCACCAATTGCAATCATAAGATTTGGCTGGAAGTCATCGAGGATCTTCGGGGCCGACTGCTGGCACAACTTGTGGATCTAGCGACGATGGTGAGTTCACCACTCGGTAGGGCGTTGGCGAGAGCAGGGCGCATGCGACCGCCTGAAAGAGTTTTCGACCAACCTGATTGTACGTCACGTAGACTTTTTCCACCATCTTGGCAGTGGTAGTTGAGCAAGATTTACTGGAGAAGGCCGTCTATTTGCGAGAGGAGAGGGAAGATTTTGAAACAGTCAAGGTCACATTTTCAGACAGCCCATCATTCACAGACAAGGCGGCGGCGGGAGGCTCTCGGGCCAAAAAAGTTTCGCCCTTCACCACCTGCAGTCGAGTCACATCCCCGCAGGTGGCACCAGGTGCCAAATGCTCCACTGAAGGACTTGGGTTGCATTACGCTGGAGCAAGGCACTCCGCACCGTCAACTCATGCACGCTCGCGCTGGTCGTCGTTAACATCCTCCCTCCAACATCAGACTGATTCGACACCGCAGATCGAGACGCATGTGAAGTGAGGCAGGACCGTAGACGCCTTGCCCATCAAGAAGTAAAGCCCTACTCCTTTGCCATTCTTCCCCTCTTTTCTTTCGGCCTTCATTCAGCGCGAACGCCTTATGCCTTCGTACGTGACTGAAAATACAGAATGGCCAACAGCAGTCCCAGTTCGCCCGGAGGTACAGCGCCTTCTGGAACGTTTCTATCTCCTTCTCGACATCGCCGACCCCAATGTCGGTCATCGCTTTGCCGAAGAAGTTTTCAGCCATGACGCAACCATGTTTGGAATGGGCCCTGGGTTTCGGGGTGAAGGTCAGTAGGCGGGACGTCGTCACGCCAATGTGCCCGGGCTCGTCTTCTACTGGCGGTCTCCCTCAGCCCCAGGCAGAGCCGCGCTAATCTCCTATGCACCTCCTCAGCCGAAATCCGCTCGAGCCGCCAAAAAGCATGGGTCGACTACGTATCGAGGAGACACGAGATCCTGAGGGTGTACGTCCATGATCCAGAGGGTCTCGATCTGCTCGTCATTGGTCGGGTGGCAATGGGACTGAGGAATGGAAGGTCAGTGCAAGAGGAGTTTGTCGCGCGCTTTATTATCGACGAAAAGACCCTGGGAAACGATGCTCATGGGGCTGGACCTCGATTGAGCTTCAGCCGTGTATGGTCGGTACGTTGTCCCTGTCCAGGTTCAAAAGCGAGTGGTGAGAGTTCGCGCGAGTCGAGAAATCTGGTGGTTGGGGTGACCATCTTGTCTCATGGTTTGCTAGAATATGGAACCCATCACTACTGCGCTTCGGGAGGATCACTCTCGTGATGCTCAACCACCACCACGCAATCCCTGTTAGTTACCGCACTGCTACACATATTGAAAGGCGCCTATGTGTCGGAAGAAGTCGATCTGAGCATATAATGTTCCCTGGTCGGATGCGAAGAAGAACATAGAACTTTCCTGTATGGACCACACGTAGACCAATAGCGCTCCACAGCCGCGGCGGCGGCATCAACAAGCTCCATTGGCTTACGAAAGCCGCTGTCGTCTTCCTTATCGTCACGATTGCGGCGAATTCTCGTACGCGGACGATTCCCCATCGCGCAAGCTGGAATCCCGAACCCGGTCAGAGCAGGGTGGAACTGAGGTAGCCAGCTGATCACCACTCTCGGACCTTCTCCAGGAGAACTGTACAGATGGTCCGACCGCGGCGTACCGCAATCAGCCACACTTTTGGGCGCTATAAGATGCTGATGAGGCGGATGCCAGATGGTCTTTTGTACGGTTCGGGGGCCTGGCTCGACGTGTTGGGTACTACGACCATGACCAGGTAGGTGCCACATTTGAGCATAATTAAGTTGACATTCCTGCTCCATGTGATGAAACGTCGAGTTGGCTATTCAACTTTGAAGTGGGGAGGCCATTATCCCGCGTACAAGCCCTTTAGCACACCCTTCCTGTTCGTTACCATTCTTATTTTCTCCTCCTTGACTGACCGCGAGTCCGCGGCGTCAGTCAATGCCTGGAGCAGTAAGTGGACTACTAAACCGGAGCGGTCTCCCTTGACGTAGTCAGTCGAGCGTAAGACCCTGTTCTGTCTCACGAGATCATTGGGAGTCGAGCTGTGCCACGTACACCTTCCTGCCCTGGCGTTGTCATGTTAGATAATAGACCTTCTTCGTCCAAAGCGGTCGCTGGAATGCCCGAATCGCGCGGCAGCGATGCAACTGTGTGCTTCCAACATCGGGCTCCAAGTCGAATGCCGTGCGCACACACTCTGCTGTCCTGGATGGGCATCTTGCGTGTCACCGCCTCGGCCCGTCCCTGGAGATGAGCACTTCAATATATCCCACACCTCACTACCAGTGGTTTTCGAGTTGCCCCTTGCGCTTGCGTTGACTCAATCTTGGAGCGAGAACGCCGCGATGTAAGGGGTGTAGTGCGAATGTTTCCGGGTGGACTTGGAAAAGATCAGCGAGCGGCCTCGACGTCGCTACTCAAGATGTAGTAACGCCAATGTTGCTGAGGCCTTCGACTTCATCGACAAACTCGAGGTCATCGAACGCCTTGTCAGCATCAGCCTTTATCAGGTCAATCATTCCCTGGACGAGATGTCAGCCAAAAGTCGAAGCCAAAGGCGATGGGAAGGAAGAGCTTGTACCGTGGGCATGATAGGCTGTCCAGACTCATCTGCGACATATCGGAACGGCATCTGGGTGGATTCGTGCTCATCCAGCTTCAGTTCTGGGAAGTCGACATAGGGAATTTTGTCGAGAGGAACTGTCCAGCTGTGAGTCTAGCGTCTGGCGGCTGCAGCTGCTCGCCTTACTCTGCTCAAGCACGACCTTCCGCGTCACCCTGACGGCTGTATCTGTGGTCATCTGAACTGGGCCCAGGCGGCGACCGTTGAAGCCTTTCTTGCGGAGCTCGCTCGTGCGATCTAGCCACGTCAACCGCTGAAGAGTACAAGGATGGAAGTCAAATACCTCTAGGCGGATCATCTCCTGTAGCATTTGTAAGAGGCTTTGGGTTCAGTACGTGGGCTTTGTGCTTACTTACCTAGTATACCGCCAAACAGGAAGACATCAAAGTGCTCGGCATCGGCAGGGGCCAATTCCTGCTTTGCCGCCGGGTCGAGCAGACAGACCCTTTCTTTCTTGCTTGGGAAATAGGTTTCGATACTATCGGTCCGCGCCTGTGCTCCCAACCCGGCGAGCTTGTTCAAAGTCTGCGTCTCCAGCAGAGACTGAGGCAAGGATGAAAGAATGAACTGGCATGCGGACTGCTGTGATTCCTTGGCGATGGTATCGTACTCCAACGCGGACCAAGGGCCGAGCTCTGGATCGAGGTGCTCGACCACGAACGTGTATTCCGTGTCAGCCATGTCTTTGATTGCTTCAATGCTACGATCAAATCCTTACTTGATTGTCAGGCGCCGAAACGGCGTGTTGGTTCCCGGGGAAACTTTTCGCGAGAGTCTTGGCACCGACGCAAGATGCAGCACAATCAGCCGAGGCGCATGTCATTGGCTTCGTCACCTCCACCACCTCGTGTGTGCGGACTCGCTGCCGAACCTTCGTACCAACAACGACTGACCTTTCTTGCCAGGGCATCGAGCCACCGAGCCCACTACTGTATCTACTTCCTGTCTTGTCAGCTGCACCGCTCCAATCGAACTACTCACTATTTTCCCCAGACGCATCGAGAGTTCCACGGCAACCGCCTGCCTTTCCCCTTCTCGATCAGACCCCACCTCTGCACACCCTCCTACCGTCCATTCCTGCTCACCAACCCAAACCAAACGACAATTCTCCCCCATTGGCACTCGTGTGACAGAACTTCTCTCAAACAAAAAGTTGCGGAAATCCAAGCCGGCGGCACTCGTGCACAGCGTCTGAAACGACAACAAGGACGCTCGGACCCTCTCGCAGAGCCCCTCCTCCGCACCCACTACCTCAAATACCCCTTCATTCACCACTCAGACAAAGAAACAACTGCGGTGATCGTCGTTCAACCTTGCCACGAATCACAGTGTTGCCACACTCGCCGTTCTCTCGGACTTGGAGCATAGAAGAGTGGCACAAGGACGGATCACAACCATGAATCCACACCAGAAGAACAAGATTGACATCAACGTACGTGCGCCCTCTACACACCACCAGCTGAAGTCATGGCCCCGCTAACAATCACTCACAGAAATTGTCGGCGGACGAGCAGCGGTTGTTTAGACTCTATGGCAAGCTACCGAACAAGAAGGACCTGCTGCAGAACAAGTTGAAGGTAGGATCACAACCGCAGGCCCAGAAACCCTCCGGCCAGTCAACTAATGAGCGACATATAGGAGCGCAAGTATTTCGACTCCGGCGACTATGCCCTCTCCAAAGCCGGCAAGGCCTCCGACACGGGCGTCACCACCATCGGCACCGAACACCCCCAGGCCGACAGCATCCCCCACCTCTCTCCTCTTACACACACGGTCTCCCGTTCCGACAGCATCGCTCCTGGCACCCCTGGCGTCGGCTCCCACGGCAACTCCCCAGAAAACACGAATCCATTGTCTTTCGGCCAGGGCGGCCCGCCGGGTGGAATTCATCGCGGCAGCATCAATGGGATCCCAGGCGGAGGTTTGCCAGGAGCGCCGTTGACAAGTCGCAGCCCCGTGAAGGAAAGCAGCTTCCTAGCGAGGAGTGCAAGTATGGATGAGAATGACGGCAAGGGCGCCGACGGACAACCGGGATCTCTGGACGGAAGCGTCAGCCCGCCGGTGCAAAAGGTGGGCATTCCGATCCGGAGATGAGACTCCAATCCAAGGACAGGAACGAGTCCCAACATGGAAGTGAGACGCCCTGGCGGTGTTCGCCTTTAAGAATGCGCGACAAGGCCAGACAGGTGCTGTGCAACGACGACATCACGAACCAAATCAAACCAAGCCAATCCAAACGAACAATACGAGATGAATTACAAGCTTGAGCTAAACACTAGCAGTGAGGGTTCGAATCTATTTCGAAGTCTCTTCGACTTACCATCGACGTCCCCGAGCTTGGAATCCTGCCACAACAGTCCTTCCAGCAACTGCCTTGTCTGTCTACGTGAGCTGAGCTGAGCTGGTTTAGTCTTTTCGCTCTTCTGCTCTTCCACTTTTCCAACATGTACCTACGATCGGCAGGTCCTGTGGTTTGTTTGTACGGACGGAGTTCTGCGACCCCCTGAAACAATACAAGTGCCAGAAACCTGGAGGCCCCAAGACTTACTTCCAAGGCTAGGACGGGGAACTGGAAAATGGGAAATGGAGAGCAGAAACAGAAAGCAGATAAAAACAATTGCGGACTCGGGTCGTTACTCGTACTTCAGTAGGCCTTGCTCTTACCCCTGCCCTTGCTCGCTCTTGCTCTTGCTCTTGCTGTATGTATGATATGGTACCTAGGATCGGATATGGTCACAGTAGCATATGCAATTGTATCGTGCTGGGGCTCGAGCATACGTCTTGAGCTAAAGCATGCGAATCCGATTTTGTCATTGAGTCCGCCGTGTACTAACCTCTCCGCTGTTCGAGAGGTGGGAAGCACAGCTGTAACTATCCTGTCCTGTGTTCCTGTCCTGTGCCGTGCCTTCCAATGGCTACAACGCAACACGCTTCACACTGCCCCATTTAAAAGCACAACCTAACTTTCGTGGTGGAGCAGATCAACGTCCTTGCTGGTCCTGAGCCACCCATCCTTCACGTCCAAAAGTCAATCACTCATTCCCAAATCGGGCGCTGAACCTTCCGCTTCTTCAGGCACCGATCCCACTCCTTGGAGGTCATCAATTGTGACCAATATTTCACCCTGCGCCGCCTGACTTCCTGCTATCCGGCAGTGGTGTCGTGATTGCGTCGTGCTAACAGGCATTTGTACATCTGAGAACACAACCCCCATTTCGTCATGATGCTTGCAGATCACTGCACTTGTTCATCCGGCGCATGGTGAGTGTTACATGCTGCCGATCCTCTTGGTGCACTGCTTGACATCGTCGTTACATGGAATGGAACGATCTGTGCGCCGATAGGGCGGATGTAACATCGAGGTGCCGGCGATTCTCCTGCAAATTCGCAAGCTCTCAGGCTGTGATCCTCATGAACGAGTGGTTCAAATATCCTTCAGGACACTAAGTCCATGGCGCTGGTGCGAATGTATCAATCTTCTCACGGTCTTCTCTGACTCATCAGTCCACTTTCCAATGCTCGCCATTGATGTCATCCTCCTTTCCCAACCATAGCTCAACGGCATAGAGTGTCATTGTGCCGACCAGATTGACCCATTTCCACAGATTCCCGTTCATTGCTGGCTCGCCATTGCCGCTCCACCAGGCGCCGATTGTCTCGGTCAGCCCTGGAGCATAGCCGCCCATGGTGGTTGCGAAGTGCTGCATGAGAAGGCTGGTGTAGACCGCAATGAGGATGCTGGGCGAAAACCAGGAGAGAAACGCCAAGAATTGATTCCCAGCATTGCTGTCCTCAAGAGCTGGCTCCATACTGAGTCCGTGAGCACCGCTTTCATTGATGGCAGGAATGATGCGGGTTGAAGCATAGAACACGAATAGTCGATATCCGAGGGAGATCAGGACGGACGGTGTGACTGCTCTGAAGGCTGCAGCAATGAAATCCAGTGCATTGACTAATGCACCTGGAAGGGACGACAGAGCCGCCATCAACGCAGTGTAGGAAGACATGATGATGGGCGGAAATGGCGGAAAGTCGGGAGCTGCGGTAGCCATAGCCGCCTCTGCAGGGGAAACATTCGGCTTGTAGTCGGTAAAGATCTGGTATATGCAGAGCACAATGTACGCAAACAGCAAAGACGACTCGGTGGCTGTGCCGCGACCCGAGACAACTCCGTATCCGCAGAGAAACATGGCCGATGCAATAGTAATGCCGATGAGCATGGAGTCCAGGCTTGAGATATCGGGAAATTGCAGCACTCTCCAGAGGAAATAGACCGAACTAGAGACGACTCCGGCGGAAGTGACCAGCAAAGTGAGCAGCCACGCGTCGCTCCATTCACTCCGGTTGACCAGCCATCGAGAGAACTGGCCGATGGCTTGAATGACTAGTAGGCTGCAGAAACCCTCGAGCAGCTGAAAAATCGGCGACGACCAGCGCAGGAGAATGTCCCAGCTTCCAAGCGTAATATTCTCGACCAGACCTTCTCTTCCGACGATGGACTGCCACAGGTCTGGTTTCGAAGTGAGAAAGTCTTTGCTTGTTCTGAACGTCCTCTCGACCCAGCCTGAACTGTTGTCTGCGTCGACCGAGAATCTTCCCAGAGCCCAGATGCATAGTATTGGCAATATCAGCAATTGTAGGCCGCGCAAGATGTTGACGACAGCCCTTCTGAAGCTGGATCCATCCGGCGTCGAAATGCGCAAGAGTGAGAGGATGAAGTAGAAGGAGGATATCGATAGGGAGAAAGCCAGACCCGCGTCGCGTCCGCCCACATCGAACGTGAGTGGAATAAGGACAATAATGAGCGTCAGGAAGAGGATCGCGGAGAGGGCGCGGAACAACATTCGGTCGGTTGGTGGGTAGGACGACGGCGGGGTGCGCCAGAAGGGAGCGAATATGCAGTCACAACAGACTGACTTGTGTGGTCATGGGAGCAGAGGTTGGTCTGTCCTCAGCGTCTGAATGGCTCACTGCGCTCGAGTGCTGCGCTGTCCGCTAGACTGGCTTTGTGTAGTTCGTGGTGATACCGCCCTCTGGATTTTCACATGTCATTCCGGTTGTGTTCGCGGTGGACTCTGGGTGGACTTTCGTGATTTCAAAAGAGCGGCGGAGTGATTTTATTTTCCGGTTGACAGGAAAGGGAGGGAGGGAAAAGAAATAGGTAGTCGGAAGAGGAAGTCGCGTGCTACGCGATTCGACTGGCAAAATCAAGGTCGAGGTGGCCAGCGAGATTTCAAGAAACTCGATCAACAGACGTCAGTCAGGTGCCACGTTGGCGGCAGGCAGAGCAGCAGGGCAGCGCAGGGGAAGCAGGGGCGCTGCAGGACCTTGGAAGAATTGTGCTTGCTTGCCCGAGTCGCGACGCCCGTTCACTGCTTTGGAGTTTTTATGCTATTGCCCAGCATTCCTTCTCACTTCTCTCACCGCAAGATAGCCACATGCCCGCAGCGCAGATTGTAACGTCTTTGGCAATAACCATTTACTAACACTACCCCACCGAGATCTGGATCCCGCCTAGGTCTTCCTCAAATAGCTTGGTTCCTGCCTCGGATCGCTGCCCGAGAGCCGACGACTTCGAATTGTTCAGGCGAGGAGAGGACGGCGAAAGTGTGCACCCGATACTACATAGACTATCCGCAATCTACACAGTACACAGGATAGCGACGCGCTGCTGTGCAAAAGAACATATTGCAAACGCACAATGAACAAGAACTTACGCGGGTGTGCGCGCCCGGCTCTCGGTGTAATAATCATCCGGTATTCCCCCAGAATTTGGCTGCGATCAAATTGTATTTTTCCAAATCCCATACCTTGAAATCTGCATCAGGCCACTCTTCTTTCCACTGCGCATGTTCCGTAGATTGACCAAGATGGCTACAGAAATAGCGACTAAGCGGCTCAAGGCCAATGCTCCCTTGATTGGTACGCATAATGGTCACTTTCACGCAGATGAAGCCCTGGCAGTGTACATGCTGCGGCTTCTCCCAGAGTACGCCTCGGCTGCCCTTGTCCGTACTCGAGATCCGACCGTGCTGGAGACCTGCCACACTGTTGTTGATGTCGGTGGTGAATACGACGCTTTGAAGAACCGGTATGACCACCATCAGCGAAGTTTTGACACCGCCTTTCCCGACCATAAGACACGACTTTCCTCCGCCGGCCTAGTCTACATGCATTTTGGTAAAGCCATCATTGCTCAGCATACCAAACTCCCCATTGACCATCCTGATGTCGAACTGCTCTTCCGCAAATTGTACGATGATTTCATTGAGGCCGTCGACGCCAATGACAATGGAATCTCCAAATACGATGGATCGAAATTGCAAGAGGCGGGTATCGAGCAAAAGTTCAAAGACACTGGTGTCACGCTTGCCAGCCTGGTGAATGATTTGAACCATGAAGATCCTCTCACTCTAGGAGCCCCCTCGAGAGCGACTGCAGAACAACCGCAGGCCGAGGAGGACTACCGGTTTTCTCAGGCATCTACGTTGATGGGTACCGCCTTCTTACGCAAGCTGCACGGCGCTGCCACCGCCTGGCTTCCTGCGCGCGCCGTTGTTAAGGAAGCATTCGACCTTCGAACCGACGCTCATCGGTCCGGTCAGCTCATGGTACTGCCTCGTGCTGGGATCCCATGGAAAGAACACCTGTACAACATTGAGGACGAGAGCAAGATTCCGGCAGATAAGCAGATCCTCTTTGTGATCTATCCGGAGAAAGAAGAGCCCGGCTCAAAATGGAGGATTCAGGCGGTCAGCAAGGACTTTTCGAGCTTCGAGAATAGGAAGAGCCTACCAGAACCATGGCGCGGTGTAAGAGACGAAGAACTGGATGCTCTGCTGGGTGACGCAGTCGAGAATGGAGCTGTCTTTGTCCATGCTAGCGGCTTCATCGGCGGCCACAAGACTGAAGCTGGTGTCCGGGCGATGGCTGCTCTGGCTCTGGAAGCGTGATCACATGCTCGTGTTGCTGCATTCAGCTGAACGAAGCCACAATAGGAATTTCCTGTTCGAAGGCCCGTAACGGTCCTCGACATCACGTGCGAGGTAGTAGTTTACTGACTACTTTTCACCCTCAGACGGCTTAACTGCGTGGCACTTCGAACACGTGAAGATGCTCGAGTCGACACCGTTGGCAAAACGCAACGACCGCCTGCGCCAGGCTAACACCCACTCCAGGTACAGCCAGCTTTGCTGTGGAGCGACGATACTTTCATGCATGGGCATATCGAGCTTTCAAGATTTGCTGACACGCTCATTATGGAAGATGTTCCCGCCTAAAAGCGGAAAATGGCGACTGCGGATGAGGAACGAAATTGAAGTCGGGGGGTTTGGGGTGAGACGCAGTTCAACACTCATAAGTTCGACGGCAGAGAAGCCTTTTCATGCGCAGTGGATGTCAATAAGAGTGCCGCACCTCATCAAACCGCGCAAAGTCGTCCATATCAAAATACCGAGGCCTCGGATTCTTGCTTCCCGGAAAGCTCAGCCAGCACTTGTGCACGCGACAAATACACGGTGTACGTCCACGGCCGTATAATCAGATTGCTTCCAACCGAATTATATCCGTTCCCCGGCTTTTACCCCACATATGTGCTCTCTTGCAGAAATCATTCTGATCTGGCCTCCTACCATCTGATGTCCATACTGATAAGTCGGATCGCATCAAATGAGCTGGCAGACCATCTCGTCACGAAACTGCCAAATACCTGGTATACCTTAGATTGAAGGTCGCAATGGGAGGGGCTGATGACGCTGCTTCAGTTACAGTCTCCTTGTCTGAACGTCGAAGTGGCACCGTCGCAACTCTCGCCATATCGAATCCCTTGCGACTAAATAGCTTAAATTCCACGGTTCTAAATGCCATCGTCTCTTCCGTCTCGTCTCTGTCCGACCAACCCAATCTTCGCTGCGTCATTGTAACGGGTGCTCTCCTTCAAACCAAGCAACAAGCCTTCATAGGCGGCGCCGACATCTCAGAGATGAGCACCTTTCCCGACGCCGAAGCGGCGCGCAGCTTCATCACGAAGATACATCTGGCCAGCCAAGCATTCCGCGACTTACCAGTTCCCGTCATTGCGAGGGTCAATGGGCACGCGCTGGGAGGCGGTCTTCTCATTGCAGCTGCAGCTGATTTGCGGGTGGCTACCTCAACCGCACTTTTCGGGATGCCTGAGGTGCAGAGAGGTGTCCCCAGCACAGTTGAGTCAGCGTTGCTACCTGCAATCATTGGATCTGCGCGGGCAAGGAGACTACTGCTGCTGGGCGACATGATCACGGCGGGGCAAGCGGAATCTTGGGGCCTCGTGGACAGAGTCGTTCAAGCGAATGAATTAGACGATGCTGTGGAGGAATGGGTGCAAATACTATTGAGGGCTGGACCCAAAGCACTCGCTGCTCAGAAGAGGTTAATGAGCGTATGGGAACAGGTTCCGGCACAGGAAGCCATTCACGCCGGTGTGTGGGAGTTCGGCAGGGCTTTTGAGGGAGATGGACTCGCCTCGGAAGGGAGAAGGATGATGAATGAGTTTCGGGCAAAGAATCATGGAAGGAAGAGTCGGCTTTAGACAAAGGCCGCCCATCATCAGCGGGTATGGATGATGTGTGCTTGAAAGCCAGGAACGTCCCGCGGTGCTCTAACAGACCACTCATACAGGCCAGGCACTACTTACTGTCTGGTGGATAACGTACGCAAGGCTGAATATCAACATGTACAGTTTCCTAGGACAGTGGAAATCCAGCGGAGGACTGAGCCGCAATCGGGACTCGTTCTCTGAATCCTGCCTGTGACGTCACATATTGTCGTCAGGGCTCAACTTTGCGCATCCCATCATTCTCGATATATGAGAACATGGCAATTGATATCACATCCTGAATCCTCCATTATTGCCGGACTCTACGATTGTCTGAAAATCTTTCTTTCTCCCCTTCTGCCATTTTCGAACTACGCTTCAAGATCACTCACACATCACATTATGGCATCGACCGACGAGTTACACATCTCGAATCTTTTCTCGCTCAAGGATCATGTCTGTCTCGTTACCGGTGGCGGTAAGATATTCAAACTGCGCAACTAGAACCCTAAAGATGTTCGTGATATAAGCTGACAACCATCAACAGGAACTGGAATTGGTCTGATGGCTACTCAAGCCCTCGCTTCAAACGGTAAGTCACGAACATTGACGGATGGTCTGCCAACGTCGGGCAACATCTGGATCTGACCGACTTCTGCGCCAGGCGCCAAAGTCTACATCACCGGACGCAGGAAGGAAGTTCTCGACAACGCGGCAAAGACGCACAGCCCACAGTCATCGAACACCGGTCAAATCATCCCCATCGGCCCATGTGATGTAACCTCCAAGGAAGACCTCGAAAAGCTGACAGCGGAGCTGGAATCCAAAGAGAAATATCTCTCACTTGTGGTCGCCGCCGCGGGTGTCTCAGGCCCCAAGGGCTACCCTGATACCAGCGACGCCAAGCAAATGAAAGACAACCTCTGGAGTGAAAAGCTCGAGGACTGGAAAGACACGTACCAGACGAACGTCATCAGCGTGTTCTTCTCCGTCGTCACCTTCCTCCCACTTCTCCAGGCAGCACCGCCGAAATTGGAAGCTAGCGCAATCATCATTTCGAGCATGTCGGGCCTGATGCGCCACTCGCAGGCCCATTTCTCGTACAATGCCTCGAAAGCCGCGACGGCGCATCTCGCGAGGATGATGTCCAAGGAATTCAGCAAGACGGGCGTGCGTGTGAACAGCATTGCACCGGGGTATTTTCCCAGCGAGATGACGATGAAGGAGTCGGACGAGAAGAACAAGGCTCACATGCCGGCGGAGAAGGTCAAGGACAAGGGTCATGCCGTACCAGCCGAGCGGGCGGGCAGTGACGAGGAGATGGCCATGGGGGTGATCTTCCTCACAAAGTGCGGGTATGTCAATGGGGAGGTTTTGAAGTTGGATGGCGGAGTTATGAATGAGGTGGGTGGTGGTTGAGAGGGGAAATGCAATGGTGACCATTGTGCGGGCCTGACTCAGAAAGAATGTTAGACCTTCAATACGGCGTACTTCAGTGGCTCGGACGATATCTTCGGCCACGTCGCGTGCACTGGCGAAAACAAGTGGTGGAGCTTCAGTCTCGCTGGGTTCGGTATTCAAGGCATCACAAAGTTAAGCAGGCCTGGTACGAGCTGTGTAGCATGGTACATATGGAGCAGCACCTTGCACGACCGAGCAAGGTGACAATCAGCAAATACTCCATCTCCAAGATCTGCCCTATACCCGTACACGGTACGCCGCACTATCGTTCGGTAAAAACAGCATGATCAAATGAAGTACCGCAAGAAACACGTCAGAGAGTAGATGCTAAACATCTCATTACCCGATCCTGCACAAGGAATGACTTTGCCCTTTTCTTCCCCTTCGGTCCACCACACCAGGCTGGTGTCCCAGCATCTGCCACTACGCGTACTTGGTATGTCGAAAGAGCGTCTCCCAGACTTCAGCATATCATCCATGCTCCCGAGATTATAGACTTCTGACCTCTGATATCACCGCAAAGCCCAGGCTGAGCCTCGTCAAAACTTATCAGCAGCCACCCTCTCGATCCACGTATCTTGCCCCTTCGAATCGGGCTTGCCTTTGGTGAAGACAACCCGCAGCTTGTTCTCGCCAGATTTCTTGTAGTAGAGTCTGACAATTCCAATATTAAGATCGTACGCCACGGTGAGTGGCGAGTCCGCGGTGGCGATGAGCTTTTTGTCATCGAAAGTCGGAGATCGATACCAATCGGACTTTTTCCCTCCCTTGAAGTCAGTGACGGTCTGAGTATAACAGACTAGCCTGATTTGATTTGCGACGCCAGGGGCGTCTGACGGCAGTGTTTTCTGGATGTAGAATAAGCGAATCTGGCAGATTTTATTAGTGGAATGCGACGCGCTCGTGTGAACATGGGGGCAAACAGACTTGGTATAAATCCTGTCCAGGGAGGCCTGATGGCTCAAAGTAATGAAATGCTGCAACCTTGCCAGGATGAGCCTCGACGGTGACCTTTTTGTTGATCAGAATGGCATTTTCCACTTGGTATTGCGTGGGATCAAGCTGGCCCACCGGAGTGAGCTCGTTGCCAGTGTAGCTCAGCCAAGCAACGACACCGCTTGTTGCGGCGGTGTAGACAAGACCCGTGGTGGTGCCCCAGGAGAGAAAGGCCAAACTGGATGGGACGGTGGACATGTTGTCGAGGTGTTAGTATTTGTCGGATGATAGTAATGAAAGAAGTCTTGCCCAGATTTCTGAAGGGGTCGTCACCGCCTTATGTATGAGGAGATTCAACAGCTTTTCCATGCCTACGAGGATCAACTCAGCCTTCACAAACCTGAACAGCTGAACAGACGTTGGACAGCCCCTCAAAGCTGATATTCAGCCAGCCTCACGCGTAAGGACTTCGGGCCTGGACCATGACGAGTTTGCTCGCTAGGTGCTGGCTGGGGTAGATGTCGCACGAACATGCCTTGAACGCATAAAGGTCAATGCTCTACCTGGCAGATTCTTTGCTCAGGACTGGTTCCAACTATTGATGGCGACAGGACGTTCGAGGATCCATGCCCACGCACCCAGCCAGCCACTATCAGGTGGAAAGCCACGGGAACGGAGACCTGAGAACTCCGTGCAGCTCGTCTCTCGGAGTAGTTGATCAACGGTGGATATCTTCAAAGAGGGTGATCGGAGTAATCTGATACGTCTTTTGTGCAAAGTGGTGGTCACGCCTTCCCCTTCCTGTCCTTGCCATGTGCCATGTAAGGCAAGCGCGCCCATGTGCACGGGCAGCATACATAATCATGGCTGACGGACTAGACCTCGCATAGGAATCAGACCTACTACAGACAATGGCGGTGGCCTACCACATGCGGCATCGTGACGCCAGAGCAGGAAAAGAAACGCGTGGCTTGCTGAGATGGTAGCGTGCTGGGTCCTTTGAGAACTCCTGTTGCGTTTGATCGTGAACCTGAGAGGACTGTCTCCTTGCGAGCTGCATGTTGAAGTGGTCGAGGTACCTACCTGTCCTTGGGTTTGTTGTACGCGGACTTATGACATCGACATCAGCAAGCCACAGCAGAAGTGGGTAACTGATCCCCGCCCTCATGGCACTCTTACAGTATTGGTATCTCTCCAATCCTTGCTCGTCCCAGCACCGTCGACTGAACGAGGACGGTCTCCTAGATCCTTTCAGAATCTGCATGTTCGAGACCTTCCGCACACCTTGTGGCTCAGCTGAGCAGAACTGCTCTTCAGCATTTCACATGTGAAGAGTCGAGGATGTGGAGGCAGGCAGACAGAGATGCTTGCATTTTCCTTTGGCGCCTGGATCAGTTGGAGGAGACGGATAGCCCGGGACTGACTTTGAAGGAGATGTACGCATAGACGGTTCTTTCGCCAAACGCTCCTCGTATCCGGGAAAGGAAGTTAGATGCTTGGTAAATGCTTGGTCTCCATGTGGGGAGCTGGGGACTATTCTTGGTGTTAATCATGTTTATGACTTGTTCTAGCCCAGCTGCTCTCTTCTTCAATGCTCCCGTACCACCTCTACGAACACCGAAGGTGGCACGAAGCTGGCCAATCCGAACGTCCCACACCCGTCTCTATGCAGCAGCTTCACAACGACTCGCTTTCAAAGCATTCGCAGCGCCAGTGACTAAGGAGCGCACGCCGCTGTGCTCCTGAGGGTATTTGCCACGCCATAAAGCGGCCACGTTAGGGGTCCTTGCAACGTGCTCACGGCTGCGCTCGAATTGCGCAAGCCACGCCTCAGGGCATGTCAAGCCGCGCACAGGATTACACAGCTGTAGCCCACAATGATTCGGTCATCCCCCATGTCAAAAGGCCGGTTATCACGTCCAGCAATGGAAATGGAGCTCGCAGAGGTCAATAATTCGCCGCGGAGTATTCCCGAAAATGTCCCTCCCAAGCGGTACACCACGAGCTTCCTGTGCAAAGTGCCGCCGTTGATCGTGTCTCCGGGTTTTCGAGTCGGACTTTGTACACAAGCTGCTAATGGTAGCTAGGACAAGCCTCAGAAACCGATCCAACCATCCAGCATACTCAAGCAAAGCCTAGTCCGTTCTGTTATTGAATACTTACAGCTTTGGCCGGGCCACTTCAGGGTTCGCTGCTCGGTACCCTTTTGCAGCGTCCGCAGGTAGATCACAGCCCCAGACTAATCTGCAATCCCAGTTGATCCTGTCTCCGTCATCCATTACGAGCGCTCTTCCTGACACTCGAACGACATGCGGAAGATGAAACTCGCCGACATTGCCTTCCCCATCCAGAACCCAACGTCGAGCAATCTCCATGGCGATGGCATCGCCGTCTCGTTCAGCGTCCAGGGTGAGGAGGACACCTGCCACGATCCACGCGAGAGAGAACATCAAATGCCGTCCCATGGCCAGCGCAGACATCATGTCGGCGCGCTTGCCTTCCATAGTCCTGGAGAACTCTGTCCAAGCTCGATTCAGCGTCTTCTTCAGCTCAATGTCCCTGACGTGGGCGTTCGCTTGCTTCACCCAGTCGCCGAAACTTGACAGATGTCGAGCGTTTTTGTTCAACAGATGTCTGACGACCTCACTACTGAGCACATTCGTCGTGCCTTCCCACGTCATATTGGCGGCGGTGTCGCGCATCAGGCGCGAGATATTGAACTCGGGCTCTGCGGGTTCGTCCAGATACCCGACTCCGCCCATGGCTTCTTGACATTCCTGCAATGCAAGCGTCGCAGTCTTGCAGATGACAGCCTTGGCGGTTGCCGTCAGAGCCCTCAAGATGACTTCCGCTTGCTCGCCCGGAGATGGGAGAGGCACGTATCCCTGTCGTTGGACATGTTCTGGAGGAAAGCCATTATCCACGAAGCTCAGCAGACTCGTGGTGAAGAAGGCGAGCTGAAGGGCGCCTCGGTGCTTGACCTCCATAGTCGCCAGAAGCCGGAGGTGCATGGGGAACGTCGCCAAGGGCTGGTTGATGGTGGTCCGGACTTTGGCGAAAGACTTGGCAATGGCCATGCCCCGGCGCCAGCATGACAGGGCGGTGATGAAATTGTGCGTTCGTGTGACATTCAACAGAAGTGCTATCGTGGCGATTCCACGGTCAAGTGGACCGATCAAATGTGCTCTGACGTTGTTCAGGACGAGCTCTGCTGTCGGGAGTTCCTTGGTGCCCATTTTGTTCTTGAGACGATGGATGCGAATGCCATTGGTTACTTCCTGCCTCCGGCCCTGCACGGTGACGGTCTTCCTAGTCGGTGCGATGAAGAGACTGAGCTGGCCGGATTCTGTTTTCGCCAGCATTAAAGCGACATTGCAGTCGGTTGCCGACGAGAAGAACTTGAACCCGGACACAAGGTAGTCGCCCTCTTCGATCGATCCAAATCGACCTGTCTTATGGGATGGGGGAGAGTAAACAGCCACTGTTTCTGAGTTCTGCACATCACTGCCGCCTGGCCGTTCGGTCATCCACTGGGACGAGATCCAGTTACCTTCGCGCGCAGTCAGGAGACGATATATCTCATGAAAGGGGTGATCGGCCGGCACAGAGTCCAGGTGTTTGGCCACCAGCCTCGCAGCTCCACTGGTCATTGAAACCGGGCACGAATACACGGCCGAGGATGCCGAGAAGGTGTAGTTGCTGAGCCATGGTCAACTGTGGCTCGTAGGAGATTTTCAAGGCACACTCGCACTTACAAGGCATGTTGGACGAGTCTCCGATACTCTTTGAATTCCTCCTCGTAGCCAAGCGCTATCACACTGGATATGTTCCGTGAGCGTCGGAGGATGGGAAGAATCACCGTCCGTCAACGTACCCGTTCTTTGATCCCCATTTGCCTAGTTCTTTCCACCCGTGGCTCGTCACCAAGCGATCATAGGGGTAGCGCGCACCCCAGACATTGTGGGTTTTAACATGTGGCTGTTCAGACTCGGCGTTGGATATGAGGTCGTTGATCTCTTGTGAGACTGCCTCATCCGCGAACCTGGTGAGGCGTGGGATGACCTTTCGAAGAACATCCGGCGGTAGATACCGTTCGAGAATCCGCTGGTAAGATGTATCCGACGTGAAAGGATTCCCCAGAGGTGGTGGAGTCAGAATAAATCCCGTGTCCGCGGTGGAGGGCTCGAGAGGAGCCATACTCGCTATGGGTGTTGATCGAGCCAGAGCCAGAGCTAGGAGCTCTCACTCCCATGACTGAAGTTGCTCGGTCCTTTAAATGGTGTCAAAACTATCTCCGCGCACCACATACGAGGAATCACCGACCCCCATGGGGTGTTCAGCCGAGAAACGCCGAGCGTGCCGTTCTTCCCCAGGCCGGGAGGGAGATTTCTCCCAGTGGGACGGTAACATTACTCAAATGACAGGGATATCTTACCCAGTTATCCCTACTGCTGGCCTCTTTACAAACCCGAGGTCGCGGCGTAAGACGGCAATGTCACAAGAATGGTGGGCACAAGATACTCAGTCCCGTCCACGTTTCCGACATTGACGGACTGTGAACCCCAACTCGGCCTTTGATTTAAAGAAATGGACAAACACGGGCATTCGCTGCTCACAGGTCCTTTCCCGTGCGAAAGCAGCCGGGTTGCCCTTTACTCACTATGGCTGTAACGACGGCCGAGCACATGACTCCAGGAAAAGATAGATCTGACTTCCACTCCACCCAACTGAAGCCAGTATGGAAGCCGACAGTGCCGTTCGATCAAATCCCCATGAATGTTTACCGCGAGCATGTCAACAAGAAATTCCAACAGCGCCTGAAGAACTCTCACGAGCTACACAAATGGACTGTCACGGAGCCGCAAGCCTTCTGGATCGATCTCTGGGACTATGTCGGCTTGATCCCAAGGTTGCCTCCAGGAACAACGCGAGCGTACGACCCTGATATCCCCATCTCAGACGTTCCGCCATTCTTTGAAGGCGCTACCATCAACTACGCCGAGAATGTCTTGACTCAGCCACGTGTTGCGGGCCATACTCCTGCCCTCATAGGGCTCAAGGAAGGCCAGGGCCTCGGCGGCGAAGTCTGGACGTGGTCGGCGCTGCGGGAAAACGTGCGCAAAGTCCAAAGTGCTCTGCTGAGAAGCGGCGTCCAGCGAGGCGACCGTGTGGCGGCCCTGGTCTCGACCTCTGTCTGGTCGGTTGCCTTGTTCCTTGCCACAGCCAGCATTGGAGCCGTAATCACTTCGATCGCGCCTGACCTGGGTCGTGAGGTAAGCTGTCGACGACAAGACATACAGCGCGACCGCTCTGCTGACGTGACAGAAGGGATGTGTTTCGCGACTGCAACAAGTGCAGCCGTCCACGTTGTTTGCAGATAGCCACTGCACATACAAGGGACGACAAAACTCGAATGCGACCAAGATCGCGAACATCGTGGGAGCACTGAAAACGAGACCGGAGGTATTCGTGATACCCACGGGAGGAGTGGCACGGGATCGGAAGTTCCACACTCTGTCAGACTTCCTTGCCCGATCGAGAGAGAGCGACAAACTCGAGTTCGCAAGACTACCCTTCACCACGCCGCTCTACATCCTCTACTCGAGCGGGACTTCAGGCCCTCCGAAATGCCTGGTCCACAGCCACGCCACTATCCTGCAGCACAAGAAGGTCGGAATGCTGCACAACTCGCTCCAACCAGGCGAGGTGGTCTTCCAGTACTCGAGCACGTCGTGGGTGCTCTGGAACATCATGATCGGCCACCTCGCCATGGGTACCACTCTAATCCTGTATGACGGATCACCCACCTGGCCGCAGCCCCAACGCATGCTGCAGATTGTCGAGAAGTTCAAGGTGAATTACTGGGGTGCCTCGCCCAAGTATCTGAAGGAACTCGAATCGACGGGCTGTAAGCCAAGCACGGAGTTTGATCTTTCCCATCTCCGAATGGTTCAGACAGGCGGCTCACACCTCGCGTCGGATCAGCACCGTTGGTTCTACGACGTCTTTTCCCCAGCCGTGCATCTCACGAGCGTGACGGGCGGGACGGATCTGGTCACCTCGTGGTGCGGCACCGACCCCGCCGGACCCGTCTACCCGGGGGAGATCCAAATGCCCATCCTCGGACACGACGTCGACATCGCAGATCCGGTGGATGGTCATTCCATCAAAAGTACCGGCCAGGCTGGCGAGTTCGTGTGTCGCAAACCATTCCCCTCCATGCCCGTGTTCTTCTGGGGAGATCCCACGGGCGCGAAGTACCGAGCATCGTACTTCAGCCGTTACCCGTTTCCGTGTTGGGCGCAGCACGATTGGGCCGGCGTCAATCCACTAACAGGAGGCTGGGTCGTGCATGGAAGAAGGTACGAGACACACACCCGTGAAGAATATTCGTCGCATACTGACTAATCCATGCGCAGCGACGGCGTCCTCAACCCGCAAGGCGTCCGGTTCGGCTCGGCCGAGATCTATTCCATCACGGAAGCAGCGCCCTTCACCAGCAAAATCGCCACCACATTCTGCGTGGGCCGGAAAAGGCAGGGCCTTGATTCAGACGAGTCGGTCTTCCTCTTCGTCGTCATGCGTCCCGGGCATGACTTCTCCAAACATCTACAGAAAGAACTCAAGGATGCCATCCGTCGCGGGCTGAGCGCTAGACATGTGCCGCGGTTCGTGGTCTCGGTTAGGGAAATCCCCATGACGTCGAATGGCAAGAAAGTCGAGACGCTGGTGAAGGAGGTCATTTCCACGGGGAAAATGCCGCAGACTATCAGCTCGACCGTGGTCAATTCAGGTTGTCTCGAGGAGTTCCGACAGTTCTACCACCTCGAGCCAGAGCTGGGTGCGAAATTGTGAACTTCCATGACGATGGCTAGACTGGTTTGATTCTCTTGATCGGGGACATTCAGATGGGGGGACCACTTGTCAAAAAGGGACCTTTCCATGGCATAAGTGTATGGAGGAGTCAGCTGAACCAACGCTGTCCCTCCCTTGCCTCGATGAGACAAATGATCGTGTAATTATTGGAGGTCACGCGTCCTGGAAGGAAGACGTCGGCCCATTCCTGCCATGATAACATTTCCGCGTGTTTGGGAGCAAACAGCTGAGATTGGACGTATGACGGGTGTGCAAGGAGCTATCATGCAGGTGTACAACCTATCTTGTATGACTACCTACGTAGGTGTTCAGCACCACCGGGCTGTTCCGTCTCCTTTATTCCCGTAAAAACGCGAGTTGACGAGCCTCACGCGCCCCCGCTATACATACCTTCCCGTGGATATATCATTCGCCTGGCTGGGACTGCACATCAACCCCGATATATTCGACAAACCACTTCCTGACCCGTTGTATGCCGAGGACGGGACACTCCTCCTTGGAGCCTCGGCCAGGACCAGTGGTTGCAGTCTTACCAGCACCGTGCATCCAAGCCATTTCAAGTATTGTGGTTCTGCTCGTAATGAGGAGAACTGGTTTCCACACCGGCAAGGCTGGGAATGCGGCGGTGGTGGGGGAGGAGGGAGGCGGGGATGGGTCCATCATTAATACCGGCTCGGCGGCGCCCACGGCACGGCGTTTCAAGAACTTTGGACTTATCGATCGGCGAACGCTGGAGTGATGCCAGCATGGAGTAGGACAAGACGGGCATGTGACTTGTGCCACCGCAGAAAGGTATGCTCATGCTCATGTTCCACTAAAGGTCGGGCTCGGTACGCTCACTTGCTAATGCATCAACTGTCCGATCCAGATCAAATGTGACATTGACGCAGAGCTCCGTGGAGAGTCATGTACCAACTGCAAGCTGGGCGGCCACCATTGCAAGCCTCACCAGAGGAAGCGCCCGAGGTATCTATCAACGTCGGCAGGCCATTCAGAAACACAAACAACCCCCCAGAACCCTGACTCTGTGACCTTAACACGAGGTGAGGCGGAATCCCCGGTTCCTCCGCACGAACCTCAGCGCGGCGAAGCATCCACGCCGATTTTCAGCAACGCTGCCGAGATTGACAGCCTTGGTCAGCTTCCCTTCAGTCTGCGTAGCGTGCCAATCGACACGCAACCAGTGTCAGTAGCAGCTCCTCAGTCGCCGGTATATGTCGCGACCGTGGAAAGCCATGTTGGCAGGAGCGACTACATTGGAGCCGGAGAGGTCAGATTTCGCGAAGAAATGGGCCAGGCGCAAAATCCTGCTTCTTCAGGCTTGAGCCACACGGACTTGCGACTGCTTCAAGTCCAAAAGGTGTTTGACTTGCCGCAACGATCGGTGCTGGCAAGTCTGATCGACTGTTACTTCGAACATTGCTCTCCATGGGTCCCCGTCCTGGAGCCTGCAGTGGTTGAAGACCTTGATAGCAATGGGTCGTCGCCGCTGTTGTTGAATGCCCTCCTCCTTGCTGGCAGCCGTGTGACATCGAATGACCTCTTGGCCTCGTCGGCTGAGGATTTCTATCGGAAGGCAAGGCTATTATTCATCCTAGGCCATGAAAGAGATCCGCTCATTTCCATCATTGCCGTCACCCTGCTCCAGTGGTACAACCCTACGGGTCCCGAGCGCATCTCCACAAGTACCAGTGGGTTTTGGGTCCGAATCTCGGCTGGACTGGCATACCAGACTGGGCTGCACAAGGAGCCTCCTGTTGCGGCGAAAGACAGGGCCCTTCGGCGCAGGCTGTGGTGGGCCATAGTTGTTAGTGTGCCCTCCACTTCCTTCGATCCACTGCTAAGACGTGAGTAAACAGGCACGAGACGACATTATCTCGGTGGGGACAGGGAGGCCGAGAACAATCAATCTGGACGACAGCGACGTCGTACCACCCACAGTCCATGATTTTCCAACTCCTGACAACAAAGCACGCTTGTTTGTGGCATTCTCGGTGATCATCCGCCTCTTGGGAGATCTTACGGAGAACATCCGCCGGAAGACCGTGACGGCGACCAAGCGGACAAATCTCGAAAACGGCCTCTATCGCTGGGTTAAGGACTTGCCACCCAATTTCCGTCTCTTCCATCGATCATCAAGAAAGCTCAACCCGTACAGCTTCGAGGCCAGACAGCTTCTGGTGCCCTATTTCGTGACTCTGTTCATCTTGGCTCGACACTCACCTGAACAAAACGACAGAACTCTCAGAGCGTCGTTCATTGCGTCCTCCTTCGTGGTGGGTATCTTTGAAGATTTCCTGAATCGGGGCGAACTCTGTCACTGTGGACCGGTCTTCTCCTTCTATGCCTTTGCAGCGGGGCTCGCTCAGATGCCTGCGTTAAGATACAGAACTCTTGCTGAGAGTTCGAGAGAGTCGTTCTCCATAATCCGCTCCTCTCTGACGGAGATGATGAAGAGATGGGGCTCCGCGGAAGGTGCCCTGGCTGTCTTGGTCGAAATCAACAAGCTTACCTTGCAGCGTCCGCTCCTCAGGGATGTACCGAGTCAAGGATCGACGACAGACTTCGCGCCATTCTTTGACGACTTTGGTCCAGAACTCTGCAAACACTACTGGCTTTTGGAACGGACTGCAAGTGGTCAGATCTCAAATGCCCCTCCTTCGCTATCGTCATGTTTCGGCCAACCAGATTTGAGTGAGACGCGATCGGACCATGAGGTCGAGAATTCAGTCCACAGACTTCACTCTCAACCCGTGTTGGACCCATCAGTCATCAGTACTGAGCACGCCGACACGCTGCTCATGAGTCAAAACCCGCTGTTCTTCGATGACCTGGACCCATCCGGTCGTTGGATAGACGACTTGGGACTAGGTTTAGCCACATACTAGGTCTTTGCCTAACCGATGCCAGTGGCGGAAGGATGTGCCCGTATTGGGACGCTGAATTGAGGCGGTATCCAAGCAACGAGGGGCGTGTGATCGAATGAAGAGTTTTCTTTTTTGAGGTTTTCTGGAGGAAGGAGCCAACCAACATGCTACTTGCCCTTCTTGTCTCGATACCCAAGGTGCAAGCTTGGGCGGCCACCATTGGTCTTGTCAGTTGATTACATCAGGCGCGGCCAGCCTAATAATGTTCCCATATCCCCCGACTTGCTATCTCGCCGACATTCCCATCCAAATCGCTAAAGTACACGCTCTTCCCACCCCTAGGCCAGTTGACCTTTCCGAGAATCTGCACCTTTTTCTCCTCGAGCCACTTCTCCCAAACCTGCACGTCCTCGGGCGCGGTAACGGCCAAGCAAAAATGCTGGTTCAATCGTCCTGGAATGTCATTCCGATTCGAGGACGGGTGTGAATTTGAAATGCCAGTATCCGAGTCCGAGCCCGAGCCCGACAGGACCAGGTTGAGGATATCCTGTGAAGGGCCATGGCCTGGGATCGTGCCGCGATTAGCCGGCATTTCGCTATCAAGCGCAGTGGCGCCGAGTTGGAAAAGGAGCAACGTCGTCTGGGACAGGGCGAAGCCGGACATGCGAGCCTGGACATGAAACCTTTATGTAAGCAGCGGTGGTTAAAGAGGATACACATGCAGTACGAGGCAGAGGTGGCCAACAGACATTGTTCATAAATGGATCAATCCCAAACACGGTCTTGTAAAAGTCTGTTGAAGCTGCGATATCTTTGACCATGAGGCAAGTCTCGAGGATATGTGAAATTGCGGGTGGCTTTTGTGCTGCAGGCGCGATGCGAGTGTCCGTATCATTCTTGTTCTGTGCCATGGCGGGTGTCGATACCGCGGATCTTCTGGTCGAACTGTACCTGTACAAGCTGACGGAGAAGTTCAGTTGGCGGCGGTAGTGGTATGGTGCTCGCAACGATTGAAGAATTGAGAAGCTTGCGAGCTTCATGTGAGCGGAGAAGGCTCGCCGCCATAGAGCGAGTGATGGTTGTTTTATGGACTCCCTCCAGCTCGCTGCCTTGCGTATTGCATAATGTAATCTGAGCTACCAGTAAGCATTACTGGTGGACGCATGAATGGAGGACAGGAAGTGGTCACCTCGTGGTGGAAGATCGTGCTGTGTTATGTCAGCATGAGGTCTAGATCCTGGCGCCCACTTGGTGGATTGGTGAGGTACGAGGTACACAGTAGCGCGTGGGTGACGTGAGTCTTTGCGGGGTTAAGGTGCTTACCATTGATGGAGCCGCAAGCTAATTTAGGCGCCTCGGCCTTGACCCGCTCACCGAATGATTAGCAGAGGACCGCCCCGAGCCAAATAAAGAACACTGCCAAGGCGGCTCGTTCACTCTACCCGGAAAGGTGAGGACTTCCGATTCCGCAATCATAGCTATTTCCCCCTGCAGTGATGCCCGACATCCAGCAGTCAGCCTCACAAACGCCATGGTCTACTCCGTACAGAGGACCACAATTGGTCGGCGGACTGCTGGTCGATGCAGCCAATCTGCGGCCTGCCCTGTCGGCGGCTATTTCCAATATTGTGTACAGTACCTATGCCTGAAGTGCTCGAAGGCCTGGGAAGGGCCACCCATGGGCGTTTTACCAGGGTGCTGGGCGGCAATAGGATATGTCATGCCCGTTGGGTCGGCCTCATAGTATAAGACACAGAAACACTCTCGCGGCCGGCCACTGAAGTCAACCTGAAGCCCGCGGACAAGAACTTAACTGCAACCAACTTCTCGATCCACGCCCCAAAGCTTACCGGCTCGTCACGTCCTCCTATCACACAACATGATTCGGAAAAGCAATTCCGTCACTGCGCGTAGTCAACCGCGGAGGCTGTCGTCCTCGACTAGGAGTCAGAAGTCGGAGAGGAGAACATCATTCGGTTCGATGGACTACCGGGCGACCACTCTCGAGCCACATCATATCATCGTCGAAGACCAACAGATGGACGATGAGAGATGGAGCCGTTTAGCTTTCGCCCTCGGAATGCCATACAGCGATACCCGCCGATCTAGCCCAGAAGCCACCAGGTTCGCGCAGCAGGTCAGAAGTAGAAGGACCATCAGCAGCAAAGAAATGACAAGCCTCCTACTACCACTCCTGGTGGCTGTGGCCAAGGACCACAAGATGATGAAGTGCAGAACGGATGCCCTGTTCCACCGGGACGGCATTCCAGACGACGTCCCCGATTATGAGGTCGAGGAAGGATGGAAGATGCAATTGCCAACTCCCAAGCCTACCATCACCTTAGGCTACTCGAGTGGAGCATTCAACAGCCATCAATTGGAGCTACAACACGGCATCATTTCCAACAACCGAGGCGAACCGTGTGACCTCCACAAGCTTTCCCAGCCGGTGCCAGATGTGTACTGGCCGTTCTTTATCATAGAAGCTCTTGACGATTCCATGCTGGCGGCTCGGAATGCATGCGCCGGTTCTGCAGCAACGTGCAACAACGCACTGATGGTCTTTGCCGGAGCGGCGCAAGAGCCGATGAAGGCCTACCATGACATGAACTTTCTGTGGAATTTGAGCAAAGCGGCGCAGTCATTCTCCCTCGCCATCAACGGCAAAACCGCCTGCCTTAACACACACAACTCCGAGGGCTGCCTACCTCATGCCGTCGGCGTCATCAGGACATACCGACTCGACGACGAACAAGAGGTCGAGGCCATGGCGGCGCGCATCGGCAGCATCTTTGTGTGGGCCGAGAACTGCAGGCTTCAGTGGATCAGCGACCTGTTGGGCCATTTTGACAGACGCGTACAGCTTTGCAAGGACACCATGGCCAAGAACGGCGTTTCATACGACCCAACCGAACTCGCCAATTTTGGCGTCGTCCCCAAGACAAGGAGGAGTATCATCAAGAGTGTAATAGCCGAGAGTTTGCCTCGATGGGCGTGGCCACTTTGAGTCGAAAACGGACAGCTGCATATTGACCGGAGTTGCGAGTGGCTGATAATTTTGTACATAATGAAGGAGACCTATAGAGAGTAATGACTTGACGACTATTCTTATTGTGGATTCTTCGTGCTCTTCGTGATCATTCTCGCATCCGGTGTGGTTGGTGGAAGCTGCGATTGCGACATGTAGGGGGTAGAAAGGGACGGCGCGTGCTGGATGCAGCCGGCTGTGTCGGGCCTGCTTAGCGAGGCTGGGGTGGAAGCTGGGGAATGTGTCATGACATGTCACCCTGGCAGGTGAAAGGAGCGTGGTACAAGGACATGGGGAAGGCGTCATATTGAGGTCTTTGACTGGTTCCTCATGTGCTCGAGTCAGGTCGGACTCACTTCACACTACACCGCCTTGCTGTACCTTGACTCGGGAAGCCAAACTTAGCACAAAGGCAATCTAGCAGAACATACCTTATCTCCATGATCCTAAGCCATTTCGACTCGTCCACGTTGAAGCTGCTGTTCTTGCTCGCAACATGCATATCATCGTTACACAAGAATGTGATAGCGCATGCCACCTCCTGCGCCGGCGCTTGATTGGTTGAGCAGATTAGCGCCGTGGCTCTGCGACCTGAACTGCAACCGCTTTCAAGCCCTATCAACACCACCTCCAAGCGCCCGTCTTGTTTCGGGTTCACCTCCCCTTCATCGCCTTCTTTACTGACTGAACAAAGATTGCTGGCTCGCCCCAATGATATCGGGCAGCATTCGACGGGCTTTCCCCATTCGGACCTCTGCATGGCCCTTCCGCCTGCACGCTGTAATTGCTAATTGCAGCTCCTTCTCACCTGACCCTCACCACCTCTATGACGGCCAGCGGTCTCACGTCAAGGGCATTGAATTCGACTTGAGCTCAACTACCTCAGTGCTGGATTATGCTTTCTAGCGCTTAACAATCCCTGACAGACGCGACAAGTGTTGACCAGCCTCCCTCCGTCTATGCCGGCCCCTTGCCAGCTCGGGACGAGAGAGGTGTGCCAGTTTCAGATTCTTTGGACGGACAGTATTCACCCGCGCGCGCTTGCCTGCATGCAAGCCATGGACCTATTCACATTCGAGGTGGTTGCAAACGATCCTAAAAGTCTATTTCTTCCCCCTCGAAGTAAAAGACGTCCTCTCCTGTTGCTGTACTACCGTGCTGTTGACCTCGTTCTTTGCCTCTACCTAGACACGTCGGTATATGCCATCACTCTAATGTCTTGCTGACCCATCGTCGTTTGTAACGGACTTCACCTCTTGGTGGAGTTGTGTCCTTTTCACTTCCTTTACACTCTACAATACATTTCAGTCCCGTCGCCTGTCGATCGAACACAACCATGTCAGCCACCAGCGGTATCAGTGCTGTCTCAAGCAACGGCGATCTGCCTCCTTCTTCATACGACGGCAGTCATCTGCCATGGAAGACCTTCCGCCAACACGTTCTTGGTGCTCATCGCATCAGAGTTGTGGATACTCCGCCGAAAGAGAAGCTGCCAGCCGTCCTCCTCGCAATGATAGAGACTGAAATATCGAACACTGCCAAATACGATCTTCAGAAAAAGCAATTCCACGACCAAGTCGACAAGGGCCGCGGGTTTGGGCCGTCACCTCTGTTTCCACCGAATCTGCTACCGCCAATCGAGGACGAGCATCGCCTTGCTCGGTGCATGGTACCATCTTTCAGCCGTGAGGCTTTACCCGAGCGTGCTCTCAACCAAATGAGCCCATTGTACGAGTTGAGTGTCCCGCGCAGTGGTCTGGGCTGTGGCTTCTCCACCTCGGCGTTTGCCAATGAAGAGCTTGGGGTCTTGCCTTCCTGGCTGGTATGCACTGGGACTGTTGTCCACTTCGATACAGGTGGGTACCAGCCGATCCGGCGCTTGGTCCTACTAGTTCCGGATGCTAACAGAGGTGTAGGTTACATCTCGCCTGGTGCCGCTCTCTATTGTCCCTTCCTTGTATTCGAACGCGCGTGGGGCGGCAAAGAACATGGCCTGGAGGCGGCGAACAACCAATGTGCTATCGGCGGCGCCTGGTGTGTTCGGGCGCTCCAGATGCTGTACGCCCAAGCCTGGAAAGGACAGATGATGCCTGAACTGCCGGTGGCTTTCTCTTGCTCCATCGATAACACTTTCGCCGTCTTGAACATGCACTGGATCGACCATGGTCAGGCATATTGCATGGCTCCTCTCTGCAAATTTGATCTCAGCAAAGATGACCACTTCAGCAAATTCCTCGTCTGGATTGATTCGATTGGCAAATGGGGGTTGACTCACTTGCTTCCATTGGTCAAAACCGCCCTCGAACGCTTGCGGACAAAGGACGATACTCCACCTCAAACTCCACGGGCCACCAAGCTGACTCTTGACACGGGAATCTGTCCCAATGAACAACTTATCAAGTCCCTCAAGAGTACTTTCGAGAACATTCCTTGGCGATTTGAGGACGACGAATTCACACCTGTTAGCAGCAGCACGGCGAGCTGGGGCAGCCCTATGGTCACGGACCTGACCTTTTCGAACCTGAGCTATCCAACCATGCCGTCTCGTGTAGTGGGCAGCACCCCGACGTCAACAATCCAGAGGAGGAATTACCTCACACAGCTTGGTCAGCACCCGACGCCACCTCCAGCGTATGCGCAGACCCCGGACCTCGTATGGCAAAAGCGGTTCAACCACGCCATGGACGAGATCCGAGACCTACAACGACAAATCCAAAGCCTCAAGACTGATGTCTGTGGATCAAGCACGTCCTTGCAGACCGAGTTGTCTGCGGTCAAGACGACCATGAATACAGTGCTGCGAAAGGAGTCCTTCACGGCGCGCAACAGATCACTCTCGCTCAATATGCAAGAGACATGGGCTACGCAAGGTATCCCGCGTAGTCCACTCGTCAACGAAGTGCTTCCCGAATTCAGGATCTCCGTCCTTCCACGGAACAAATCTCTCCGTGGCGAAGCATCCCCGAAACTCTTGTCGCCGGGTCTTCAACTCAGAGGGCCTCTCTCGCCTGGAATGCCCTCCCCCGGTTTGTCCTCCCATGGCATGCCCTCGCCGACGTTTTCTGTCTACAGCGAGACCACAAACATCGTCAACGTCCCACCTGCCCCTCCAGCACCCGCTTCTTTGTTCAAATTCGCGAGCCTGATGGTATCGGGGCATATGGTCAGCATGTTCATCCCGAACGTCTTACTACGCGTCTTTGTTCTCGGCTGCATCACCGATGTCTGCATGCTTGCCTTTGCAAGCCCTCACTTGCCGAGTTCAGCGGAGTATTTTCTCTCGTTCTGGAGGTCGCGATGAATCCGTTGCAGGCAAGACCTCGACACAAGCGCACTGCGCCACTATGACAGTTCTTTCATTATTTCTTTCGTGTCCGGTACTATTGGCGGAGGCGTTGGTGGAGGATTGATATTTATTTGATTTTGCAGCTTACGCTTGACATCTCATATTTCCTTGGTCAGGAAGTCGAAAAGTTGGCACGGATGGGGATCATCGCACCGCCATGCATGAATGGATATGGATATGGATAGGGATAGGGATATGGATACCCCCTGGGATCAGGGAGCCGGAATCAGGAACGGCAACTACCGAACAGATTGTCTACCTTCAGGATGGATCGGATAGCGGTCGCACGCAGTGTACAGTAGCAGTAAGTAGCAGTGGCACAGGAATGGCTGGGAATTCTTAGCACCTCACAACAACAATAATCGAACTTGTCGATTTACAGCCCCAACCGCGAGGATGAATGTGTCACGCTCAAGGACAGCGCATTCAATTGAGGTTCAAGCCTGAGAACTAGTGAAGCAGGCGGCAGACGCCACGTTTTCGTGTCTCGGGCTCTCAGGCGCTCTCGGTCTCAGACGCCCAGTGCCGAACTCGAGCACTTGAGCAGCCAATACTTTCCTAGCTTAGCCGCCCACCATACATGGACTACAATGCACGCCGACAACGGTGGCCGCCATAGCTATGGCTCTACCATGCGCACGGCACCACACCGCACCGCACCGCACATATCCTTGGGCGAGGAGCACCGCAATCGGACAACCCATCACGGTTACACGGCATGCCGAGTGGCTGAGTGGATGGCATGTGTAGCCAAAGGTTAATCATCATGGCAATCAAACATACCTTCTCCGCGGCCCCCGTCTTCTCTTACTTTCCCTTCTCTCCGTTCTTCACTCACGGACCACGGGCTATTTATGGACTAAATCATGGCATGGCATGGCATGGCATGGCATGGTATGGCGTCTGACCACCTCCTTGCATTGCACCGGACTGCCACCCAGGTACTGTAGGTGACTGCAGCGGTCGTGTTTTAGAACGAACACAGCCTCAGTAGAAGAGCAGAGCCTGCCACGTGACGGACGAGGCTGCATCCCTTTACACCCCATACCGCGCAATGAACAAGGGTGAGCTACAAGACAGCTGGATCAGATTCAACACAGTTAGCAGTCAGGGACGCAGGTGGAATCGGCCCATGAATCGACAACGGCGCGCATCGTTCCCTCCCCTGTTCTTCACCTCAACTATTTCCCCTCCTCCTCAAGCCACACCTCAAACGCCCTATTCGTATCAGCTACAGAGTCAAACCCCAACATCTTCCTCTGGTATCCGATATCCGCCCAGATCCACCTCGACGGCTTCTCCCAGTCTGCCTCCGCTAGTTCTCTGTCACGCGCCTCTTGTTCCGGCGAATCGTGCATGTGGACTACAGTACAAAAGTGTCCCATGTCAGCGCGTCTTGCGTCTTGCGTCTCCGGTTAGGTAACACTTTCTCAGGCCAAACTTACACATATATCGATTGGCTATCGCGCCTTTGACGTTCGTAGTGGTGCGCTTCTTCCGCAGGGACTCGAAAAGGAGGAGGATCGAATTGATGTAGGAGGTGCGCTTGTCCGGCAACCTCTCGGTGGTGGTGCTTTGAAGACGAGCGAGCAGGAGCCCGAGGACAAGGCCGTCCTCAACCGCCATTGCGGCGCCTTGCGCTTGGTATGGGAGACTCGGGTGTGAGGCGTCGCCTATGAGCACGATGTTGTCTTTGACCCACGTGCGGAGCTCTAGGGTATCGCTAAGATTAAGCATATGATGAGAAGATCTAGCGGTTGCCTACCTTCATGGTGGCACAACTTCCACTTCAACACGGTGGTGTGGCATGATATGATCTTTGTGAGCCTAGGTTGCGATCAGCACATCGTGAAAGCTTGAGAGAGAATGGACGGACACCGGGTCCCAACCCTCGTATGTCATTCTCATGTCGTCAACGTCGCCGGCTGCGGTTCGAGAGCCTTCGGGCAGGTCATCGGGCCGGCTGCGGTGCCATGTCAGTGAGTCATCTTGAGAGGCACGGCAATGAAACTGACATTAAGACCAGGTTAAATACAGTGCTGTTCTTTAAGGGGTAGAACACGCTGTGCCGATCCGGACCGATCCAATTATAGGTGCAGCCTGACTTGATGAGCTCGTCGATACTCGGATCCTGGAAAGCCTCTAGTTGTGCTCTGGAGAAGGTCCCTCGATACGCCAGGTCTCCCGTGGGGACCGGTGGCGAAGGCTGTCCTAGGACAATGTCTCTGGTTGCGGACCAAAGACCTAAAGTGATTCAGTACACGTGGAGCTCGTTACATACCGCGAAACATACCGTCCGCCCCTACTATCACATCTGCGGGGACAACTTCTCCTCCTTCAAGCACGACTTGTGGCGTGCCAGAAGAGGTAATGTCGACGACCTTGGCGTTCAGTCGAAGTTGGGCTCCCAGTCGGACTGCCTCATCCAGCATCACGCCATGATAATCGGCTCGATGGATCACGCTGTCCGTCTCAGCTGTGTATAAAAGCAGGAGGGTTGACTTACTACCACGGACCATTGAAATCTCGAATCCACTTCTCTCCGCCTAACCTGCTGCACAGAATCTTGCCATCTTTATATCGCTTGAGATGGTTCGCGTTGACTTGGATAGCCCCAGCGTCTCGGATCTTCTGCTCGAGGCCGAAATGCTGTATCACGCGTGCTGCGTTCGGTGGTATCTGTATGCCGGCACCTATCTGAAGGGATAGCTATCAGGCATGGGAGGGGACAAAACCCGCACTGTTGTGTCCAACCTACAGGTGATATTGCGGGTGCTTGTTCCAGGATCGTCACTTCACATCCTCCGCGTAGACACGAGATCGCGGCAGCAAGCCCACCTGCGAGTTATCAGCGTCTTGGTGCAGCGCAATTAGAACGACCCCTACCCAGGCCAGCTCCCACCACTACAACCTTGAAGGGCTGTTGGTTCTGGACAAGGTCAGCTTGCTCGTTTTGAGACATCACGGAATATACGTACAGCATCGGGATCTGTTGTCATTGTTTTCAATATGCTGTGTTTCGTCCTGTCGAAAGTCCTGACTAGGATATAAGTAGCCTGCGTATCATGACACGACGCAAAACAGCAGTGCTATATCATTTCTTGATGGCCGTCACGGCCGAGTGCCCTAGTGAGCTAATTCTCCACATGGGGGGAGGAGAGAGAGTTTCGGGAAGATTGTCGCCGCTGAATGTGGGGAACGGTGCTTCTTGTCGTCAGTCGGAACGCCGTGGTCGGCTTCCGGCATCATCGACCTTGCCGCTCATCATTGACGAGTGAACCGCACGGGTATCGTTGAATTATCAGATCAAGAGCGGAAGGTGCCACCTCGGTCTCAACGTCGCCCGGGCAGCGGACTAAATCGGAATGCCATAATCCCCTCTAGGGCTTTCAGATATGCCTTGAGGGCACATTTCCATTCCTTGACAATGTTCCAGCCGGACCGCATGGCTATGTACTGTAAGATGACCACATCTCCATTACTTCGGCGCCGTTCTGGTCGTGTTCGGACTCTGTCATACTGGCTCTGCTTTGAATCCGAGCAACATGGCAACGTCTGTTCGTATGCGTATGGAAAGGCTATATACGCACGAACGGCGGCTGACAGTCGTTTACAAGCAAGATCTTGGCCCATCGTCGTCGTAGAGAAGCCACCGTCCTCGGCACATTGCAGTACGCGAACTTCAAAGCCCGGTCCCGAGGGAGAGTCCACGCCATCTCGTAACGCCGGTATTCATCCGCCACAGCTAGAGAATGGTGGGTGCGGACGAATCTCCTCGCGCTCATGCTTGCTGGGTACGAACAAGCTTTACAGCTGTATGCGGCTGGTCATGCGCTCTCGATATAAACCTCTAGCCCCTTCTGATGCACAAAAAATGTATTCCAGATGTGTAGTTTCTTGTTGGGATCCACAAGTTTGAGCTGGAGAAAAGGCACATCAGTTAGCAGGCGCTATACCGAGACAGGTCGCAAAACGATCGACTCACCTTGAACATCTTCAGCAGCAGTGGCACCAACTTATGGACCTCCAATAGGCTTATATTCTTCCCGATGCACGTCCTTTTGCCGCTTCCAAATGCCATGAAACATCGGTCCATCTCGCCTTTCTCTTCTTCATCCGCCTCCAACCACCGCTCTGGGTGATATTCCTCGACCGAGTACCGCCGTCCGTAGACTCGTTTGTCCTTGTGGATGACGGCAGGGTTGCAGCCCACGACGGTGCCTTCAGGGAAGAAGTGGCCACACAACGTCACGCCGCCCTGTGGAACGACGCGTTCGAGAAGCAGGCCGACGGGCGTGTGCAGGCGGAGGGCTTCCTTGATGACGGCGCCCAGGTAGGGTAGGTGGCTGGTTTCGTGCCATTGGGGGAGCGGCGAGAGATTAGCGTGGTCGAGTTCGACCTTTAATTTTGACATTGTGGATGGGTTGAGGAGGAGGAAGTCTACGCACAGAAGGTCAGTGATGATGCACGATCTGCTGGCCCGTTCAACGAAGCACCCACGAAAGATTGCACGGAGCGTTATCGCAGTGGTGTCGGATCCCGCGTTGATGTTGCTCAGCGACCATCCCAACAACTGTGACTGCGGGATTGATCCATGGTACTTGTCGAAAGCCGAGATGAACTTGGCCGTAAAGTCTGTTCGATCCTTGAAATCGAGTGGCGCTTTCTCACCTCCCTGCAGACGAAGCCTGTCCGCTTCTTCAACGCGGGGCTTCACGAAATTCAGGACAAACCTCGAAGTCTCCATCTTGCCCCTTTCAAGCGCCTCCCCCCAGAACCTGTTCTTGCCCAGGCAAAGATCCAGCCAGGGCATTTGACCCACAATTGCGGTGTAAGCTCCAGACTTGGTGAGCGTCTCAATGATGTTGCCGACGTCTCTGCGTTGCTCAAGGAACCCGAATCGGTTGCTGAAGGTCATTTCGCCAATGACGTCGAAGGCATACCATTGAAGCCACTCGCCAAAATCGCAGACTCTGCCGGTATCGGCATATTGCTTCGACAGTTGCTCGACGAGTACTCGTGAGGTGCTGTCCACGAAGGGTTCGTAGTCGAGTAAGCTCGTCATAGCGTAGGCATGAGCAATGGGTCTCTTTGCGGCCTTGTGTTGGTCTTCATCTGTCATCATGAACAGCGACGCGACCCGCTTGCCGTTGACGAGAGGTTGGGCCACTCGATACCACTCCGACTGAAATTCCTGGTTATGATACGCCCAACAAAGGGGCAACATTCTGGAGCCTCACCTTCTGAAACAGCCTTGAGATACCATAGATCTGCCTGACCTCCGCCGGATCTCCCACGCTGATGCAATTGGGCCCGATGCGCACCAAGTCCCCATGTCGGTCATGCAGCGCCTGTAAAGTGAGCTCGAACCTGCCATCATAGACGGCGAGCAAGCGCCAGAGATCAGTAAAAGAGGCGACGAATGGTCCAGGAATCGATCCCAAGCCAGCCGCGAACCTCTGGTAGATAATGTACACAAGCCCTGAGCAAAGCAGTAGCCCTCCAACTATTGTCGGCCAGGTCCATGCACTCTGTGCCATCCTCTAACAGTCGCCTTCAGCTTGTTAGCAAAGGCGAACATTCGAAATCCAGGCAAAGAAGCCACTCCATGTTTTATATTTCGTACCATCCGCAAGCGTGTCCAGCTGGACACATTGCTCATTACTGGTTACTTGACTAGGACGAATCAGTACACAGGCCAGCCTCCACCTTTGCCATAGCTGAGGTTGCGGGGAAAAGACGGTGTCTCAAGAGGACCATAAACACAGGTCTTCACGGCAAGCATTTGCCGAGAAGATCTCAGGTGTGGCGGATGGTGTCAGTTTTGATCTGTCTGTGAGCTTATCCGAGCCCTGCGGGAGCCCTCCCCGGCCGTTAGGTGCTCTGATATTCGGCAGATCAGGCTGTTCAATAAACCCTACCATGTGATGAAGTACTCGCTTGCAAAGTAATTCTCGGAGATCCTGTTATCCCAGGTTCTGTTGGGTTCAGCCCTGACATCCCTATGAGCTGCTCGAAAAAGTATCACACAGCGGCAACTTGATTGCGCTTACCGTGGCGAGAAGAGTGCCCTGCGCAACACCCATATCTGCCTCAATCCACAACAGACAGCCTTATAGAGACTTTGTATGTCTCGATGGATGAAGCGCAGGCGGCTGCCACGAAGGGAGGACGCATGAGCAGGAGACGTGGCCAGACGTGGGCCGGGGCATGGTATTTCTCTTCTGTTTCCCTGCCCGTTGAAAAAGGCCTGCAGATTATCCGTCAAGTTCTATGGTCCTGACGCCACCATAACCTGAAATGTCCGATGAGCGGAATGCCGAACAACGGACCAGATTGAAAAAGTCGCCCATTGCGGCTGAAGATTTCATGGTCAGGCTTGCAAGCAGGAGTCTAGCTCCACGGAGGGTATGTCATACGCCAGCCACGTACGGAGTAGATGTTGATTTAGGTCCAGCAGGGCCCTTGATTCGTTTCAGTCCTGCCTGATGTGACAGACTCCAGTGGGCTTGACTTCGATACCCGGGCAGCTCTCCCATCGTGCAAACTGTACATCCAGTGCAACAAACTTCTACCTCCGCGCCGCAAGGCCTCTGAGTCGATCGTTGTCTTGAACTCTGTCCGAAAGTCGCCGAGTCTGATCATGGGGTCGCCAAGCCAGCACCATGCTCGATTGAAACAAGAGACACAGAGCACTCTTGATGCCTTGTTGTAAGCACCTGTAACCATGATCCCAACGCGCCAACAGGCGCCACTCCGGGTGGCGAATTAACGCACAACCATGGTTCGACAAACCTCCTTGCGGCGCCATCTGCAACTGTTGGAGCCCGTCGTGAGTGTCACCTGCTCTACTCGAATGTAGCGGGAGTGAGAAGGAGTGAAACGCGATCCCAGGAGTCGCGAACCGTCCAGGCGACGCTAAACTCGTCCTGGCAAGGGACTGCACATGCTTCAGTCTGAGGAACACTTTCGAAAATGCAGAGGACGATTCCAACAGAGACAATAACAATTATGAAGTGCCATGGTCTGTCGGACCGCAGGCATAAACAGGAGCTCATATCGTCTAGAAATATTCGACATCAGGTCAATCGCTACACATTGTCCGCTTCATGCTGCCTAAAAATCACTCGTAATCATCCGCCGATGCACCTTTCTCCCTCTTTGCACGTCTACGCTCTCTGATCCTCTTCTCCGTGGCCATAAAGTGCCGAATACCGACAGGAATGCCTTGGAAGAGAACGTCGTCCTCATCGGCGGAGCTCGAAGGTGTGGTCCACAGAGCCTCGCTCCCGCCACCGTCGTCGTCCATACTGCCCGAGGCGTGGTCTACCTCTGGCCTGGACATCTCGATCTTGGGAGCGCTTGGATGCGAGCGCTTCTTGGGCGATTTCGCCTGTGCCTCTGCAACTCGAGAAGCCCAAGACTCGATGTCGTCCCGATAGTCGTCCCAAACACAGTGTACGCAGCCGCTCATGCAGCAGTTGTCCGGTTCAGCAGGCCTGGGTGGTACGGGCACACCATTGATCGTCCTCCACGTATTATCTGGTTTGTCATAAGTGTGCCGCTCGTACCCTGAGCCCTCGATCGAGCCAAAGAGCATTTTAGCCCTCTCTTCTTTTGTTTTGTCTCCTGACTGGACGAAGGTAGGAAGGCTCGTCTCCTTTTCCCCTTGGGACTTGTTACTCGCGGGAGTGGGGTTTGCCAGAAGATCGGTGTAGAAGTCGCCTAATGGCACCGCTTGGCGTTGCTCGTCTGCTTCGTGGCCAAGGGGCCTGGAGGTATGCAGTGGCCTGATGCTTCCGACTACAGACTCCCGCAGTCGCTTATCGCGGCTGTCTTGTGGCAGAGGATCACGCTGAAAAATCGAGGTCGAGAGCTTGCGGGATTGCACCAGCTGCTGCTGCCGCTGTCGACACGCCACGCAAGTCCATCTGCTTCTCAGCGCCGTACTTATCAAGGAGGTTTGTGCCTTCATCCTTGCTGTGATATCGAGTCGGACGCGATCAATGGGGAACACAGCGGCGGCAGCAGCAACAGCAGCAAATAATATACCACCGGTCGAGCGGTAGTGAGCGGTTTATCTGCGCCGCGTCAACTCCGCATTTGGTGGCAGCCAGCGAGCCAGCTTCAAGAAGCTATGACGTCGTTCAGCCTCGTCGCATTGTCACGTGGCTGTGCTTGTCGTGCCGCGTTCGCGTTGGTAATCCAGCCTCGGCTCATCTCGCTTCGTTTCCCGCGACATGCACGGCCTTGTCATCCCGCTCATCAATCAAACGGGGAACATCTTCGTGGTCCCATTCCAACCATGTTGCGATAGTATAGAGTCATCATTCGGCTAGGCCTCTCATCGGAATCATGGAATACCTCAACGCCCTTCAGTCGCCCGTCGACGACCGCAAACCGTCACTATTCGAACTGCTCTCCGAGCAACAACTTGCGGCCCTCCTCCCGCCGACACTGCGTTATCTCCTGGCAGTCGCGACACACCGGTGGCCGCGTTACTTACTGCGTATCTTGAACAACTACGATGAGGTGTATGGCCTCTTGTCCCTCGTCGTCGAGAAGTACTACCTGCAAACCTTCGGCGGCAGTTTCACCGAGAACTTCTATGGACTGAAGAGGGAGAGAGTGTTAAGTGTAAGAGGCGGCGAGGTCAAAAGGACGCAACTTGCCGTGCCGGCGGAGGTAAGGGAGCGCCTCAAGCTGAGGGGTGCGGACATCTGGAAGAACCTTGCAGTTCTGGTGGGAATCCCATACATCAAGAGGAAACTTGATGAAAGCTATGATATACATATTGCGCCCAGTGCGGGCCTGCTGATGGGCGGCGGAGGACTTGGAGGTGTTGAAGGGCGGCGGTACTTGGATCGCGATGCCCTACCACCTAATGCGACCATTAAGCAGCGGATCATGTGGTATTACAAGTGGTTCTTGCGGAACGTTTATCCAAGCCTAAACGCGGCCTATTACTTCAGCATATTAGCCTTCAGCCTCGCATACCTGTTTGATGGCACAAAATTCTCCAGCCCGTTTCTCTGGTTGGCTGGCACGAGGATGCGAAGGATGGGAGCAGCAGACTACCAGGCCATCGACGCGGCCAGAGACGCCGCGGACAAAGCTGCCACCTCCATTGCTGGACGACCTGGACAAGGATTGAGTGGACTTTTGAACCCACGGACGATGTACCCGCGGTTGTTGTCCAGCCTGAGGATCCTTTTACCCACAAGTATTTTCGCGTTGAAATTCTTGGAGTGGTGGCATGCCAGCGACTTTTCGCGACAATTGAGCAGAAAGGCTGCAGAAGGGCTGGAGTTACCGCCTCCGGTCGTTTCCGGCATGGAGCTCGCCAAAAAGCTCAATGTGTATCAGCGAGCCGCCCAGGGCAAATCCGCCAATACAGGAACGAAACGGGCTCCGCCGACATCCAGTATCACATATCTTCCTATCTTCACCGTTCCTCCACCGTCATCTAGCGACCTTTGTCCCATCTGTCTTCATCCCATCTCGACCGCGGCTGCGTGTCAGACTGGCTATGTGTTCGACTACAAGTGCATCTTTCAGTGGATCGAAGGAACACACGAACGGCAAGAAGCTTTCATGAGGGGAGAGAAGATGAGTGAGTGGGAAGATGATGACGGCGAGGCTGATGAAGAGGAAAAGCCGCATGACGCATCCAAGACGGAGCGAAAGAGTCGTGAAGGAAGCTGGGAGAGCGGGAAGGGAAGGTGTGCTATCACCGGAAGAAGGGTGCTGGGAGGTACTAGTGGGTTGCGGAGAGTCATGGTGTGATGATGGTCGACCTCATGCCCTGGTTGCCAGAAGACCCTTCGATTGGCTCAAGAGCCGGTGTGCTTGTCCGGGTGAAATTGACTACCATCGATGTCGGCAAATTCCCAGTATCGGCTTTGCTGGTGCTGGCGGTATCCTGGAAGTTTGGGGTATTGTCCCGGGACAACCATCGATCAAGTTGCAGATTGCATCCCGCCTGAGCAATCGCACGGCTTCTGCTAGCGCATGTTCCAAGAGCTTACTGGTGGCAGGAGAGCAGACTCTTTGAATCGGATGAGCAGCTCATTGTGGACATTGCCATCCACTCTGAGAGTTCGCCACTAATAGTCTCCGTCCTTCATTAGGAGATCAATGGACCAATGTTTCAGGTTTGAGCAGGGACATTCGGCACATCGATCGAGATCCGCTAATGGGCCTGATTAGGCGCATGCGTATTCCGATTCTGGCACAGCGTTTTCCAATCACCGGCACCGGGCCACCAGGCAGGAATTGAAGAAGGCACGGCATGCAAGGACCGTTCAAGTCAAGTGGGCAGTCTTCGCCTTTCGCTTGCAGATTCTGCTTACTCTTGGACATTGAGGTATAGACCGAAAAGGGTTCGACTCTGAGGCTGCTCGTGCAGGGGCGTTGTTCGGAGGGATGGAATCTTTCACTCTCGCAGCTTTGATGGCGTCGACAGCGGTCTGGTTCGCGACTATCGCAGTGGCTATGGTGGACGCGAGGCCGTCGAAGTCCTGCGGCGCGGCAGTCACTGTCAGTTGAGCAAGCCCCTCGGCGCGAGTGATGAGCTCGCTGACTTTGTTAGAGCGTTGCCCGAATCTTCTCGACGAGGATACGACGCCGAGGCTCCCGAAGGCTATAAAGCAGGGATAGGATGTCGAGTCGTGCTGTGGGCTGCCGTGGCGCTTTCCGATATACAGCAGTTGATACGATGGATTAATGGCACTAATTTGATTCGCGGTTGTACGCACGACATATGCTTGCTTGAGTGTAATTGTGGCACTCACCTTTAGTGAGGTACTTGCCCGACATAATTGATGATCAGGAATGATGGACCTGTGCCCAGAAAGAAGTCAATATAGTGCTATCGGAACTTGAGGATTGGAGGCATGAGATCCATCCTTAGAGTGCTCTATCGAGGGATAAGAGGGACCATCAGCAGTCGCTCACACCCCACTCGCTGTACCTCATTCAAGAATCTCGCCCTGCACTCAAGATAAAGTACTCTCTGCTCGACTCTGAGACAATGGAATGAATCCTGCCGGGGCACTCGGCAAGGGAGGCCCTCGCCTCGCCGCGACTCTGGCTTACGAGTACGACTTCCGCCAGCACCAGCACAAGAATATCCAGGGTCCCTGCCGGTTTTTCATTCGCCAGGACGGAAGCATGCGAAGGTGGACACGGTGGACCATTGACGCCGGAATGGCGGCAAGCTTGTCGTTTCAGCCATTTCTCAAGCTCTTGGCAGGTCAACTCCAATCTGAACTGAACTGAAAGTGAATTGAATGGCCTCAACAACGTTATCCTTTTCATATTAGGCACCACTTATTTTCTCGTACAACCCAACATCCCGCTGCTAGCATCTTGGAACTGGAGTTGCATGACACGAATTGAGATGTAAACCATCTCGGCTGCAGTCGCACAATATGACAGGGCTTTGACCGCGCAAGCCAAGATCTTCCATTCGCACCCCTGCTCGCCACGTTCAACATGAAACAGTCAAGAAGAAGTCTTTACCCACAGCCTGATGGCGCTATGATCGATCCGCTGACCACAGATCTAACGTTTGCGATCCAGGCCCCTGCGCTACCGACAGCTTTTTCCAGCTGTTCCTTGCCTCCCCCGCATGTTATGCCGGTACCAAGCCACCATCTCACTATTTCCTGCAAGGAGATACCCATATTCTCCTATTCGTGCTCTGCGTGCCATATCACATGCGTGGTCATTATCTCTTGGCCTCTCGACATGAAACGGGCCAGCCACGGTGACCCAGTCGGGACTGAAATTATACTCCGCTCCAAGATATGGTGTCTAAGATAGAGTGGTAAGCCAGAGGCAGCATATATCTAGGTCTGTCCGTCTCAACATGGACCGTTTCTTTCTCTTCTCTCCTCAGAGCTCAGGTCTTCCTCAAAAGCAGTTTTTCAAAGCCGGTCTTTCATTCTTCAGGTCACTTGTGACCGTTCCATTCATTGCCACTACCACATTCGTTTCTACAGCCCTCATTGATTGAGGCCAGTCAGTCAAGCCCCTCGCTTTCACAACCGACTTGCAACAGCTTCCGATCACTTTGATCTACTAGCCGCCCGACATGTCGTTTTCCAAACTCACTGCCACTTTTGGCACTCTCGCCCTCCTTTCTAGCGTCTCAGCCCATGGCATCGTGTCCGGTATCGTGGCCAACGGCGCCTGGCAATCAGGATACGACCCCTCCTTCCAGTACTCGAACCCTCCTCCAGTTGTGGCCGGGTGGAGCATGCCCCAAGTCTCCGACCGCGGCTTCGTCAGCGACTACACTTCCCCTGATATCATCTGCCACAGGGGAGCCACTCCCGGCGGCTCGTACGTCAGCGTCGCTGCGGGAGATTCTATTGAGCTTCAATGGACTGAGTGGCCGGAATCACATCACGGTCCGGTAATTGATTACCTTGCAGCCTGTGGCGACGATTGTACCAACGTCGACAAGACCCAGCTGCTCTTCAACAAGATCGACGAGGCTGGCCTGAACAATGGTAATCCCGCGCCCGGGAATTGGGCGTCAGATGATTTGATCGCGAACAACAACTCCTGGACCGTAACCATCCCCTCCAGCATCGCTCCTGGGAGATATGTCCTTCGTCACGAGATCATTGCCCTTCATTCCGCATTCGACGCCGGTGGTGCCCAGAACTACCCGCAATGTATCAACCTGGAGGTCTCTGGTTCTGGCACGGACAGCTTGAGCAGCGGCACCAAGGGCACTGAGCTCTACACCGCTCAAGACCCCGGTATCCTCCTCAGCATCTACTACCCTACCCTCACCGACTACAGTATCCCAGGCCCGGCCTTGATCGGCGGATCTTCCTCCGGTCCTCAACCATCTGTTTCAGCTTCCGCTAGTGCCACGAGCGCAGCACCATCCACTGATACTTCTTCCGCCAGTGCCACCTCGTCGTCTGCCAGCGTTGACATCACCGCCTCGCCAGCCAGGCCTTCCGCAGTTGTCTCCCCTACCGACGACTTGCCATCACCGGTCCCAACAACAACTGCTGACTCTGACTCCGCCACCACCACTGTGGAATCAAGCTCCACAACCACCGTCACCGCCACCGTCGCGCCCACAGCATCACAACCAGAGGAGACTGACAGCGCCACCGACGTGCCGCCCATTCCTCTTCCTACGCCAGTTCCAGCGCCAGGATCGAGCACCACGGCTCCCGTCTCCTTCACCAGCACGGTCACCGGCCGAATCGGCAAGCCGACGAGATTCGTGTGCTATATCGAAGACGACGAGTTCACGCTCAGTCCTGCCTAAGTTGATTACTTGGGTTAGCAAAGAACTTAGGTGTTGATATCTGTGGGAGGAAACCCCGCAGTACGCAGCGCCGGCTTGGGTATAGACATCTCTGAGAATGAGATAAGGTGAGCTTACTGGAATTGGACTGGGATTTGGACTCGGATTTGGGTGGCGGCCGCAGCTGTTGCGAAAGTATGGCTGCCCCGTCCTGGCTTGACTTGACTTGACTTGACGTACAGTACGCAGCACAGTACAGTACAGGAGCTTGACTTTTTGACTTGATTTCTCTTCTCATGTATATACTAACCTTCAGCACTCCATTACGCGCCAGTGTCGCTTGATTCGTGCGGTACGGTCTTCCATTCTATGTGCAGACATACATCCACACGTAGGTATACTGCATGCATATATGTATAGATCAATTTATGTGGATGCATTTATCACGGGCACTAACTTTCCAGTCTATCCACACCTGCATTCTAAATATGTACGGAGTATGGATGGACACTACTAACCCCCGCATACACGAGTACGCATATGCATACTTATAAGCATAGCCCGAGGAATCAAGCACTCTAAGTCGCATTCACGCGTCCACATCCCAGTGTACCTACTCTATTATGCCTGCGCCTGCACATTCAAATCCACCGCCTCCCCCCTTTTCAACCGCCCGAAACACCGTCCCCAAAGCTCGCTCTCCTCGCCCACGAAATAATGCACATCCACGTCATGCATCCCGGCCTCGTCCCCGCCCGCCATGCTCTCCAGCTGCGCAATCACGTTGCCCAGCCCAAACGCCTTGCCGACGCTCTGCGTCGTCCCGGCCTCGAGCATCGCGTGCACGACGTGGACGTGGAAGTGGTAGTACGTCGGCTGGTAGTGGATGTAGCATTTCAGTTGGTCCTCGTCGAGTGGCGCCACGTCTGGTGGTTGTGTTTCCGCCGCCACTGCTTTCGCCGCGGCTCCCACAATCTGCCGCCTCATCTCCTTCAGCCAGGGGACGTGCTTCTTCCGCAGGTCCCGCAGGGACCAGATATCGCGCCGCTGCACCAGCGCCAGGAGGTGCATGCCCTCGATGGCGCTCCGGTCCCAGTTCAGATCCGGGAGGAGGAGGAACCCCGTGTTGGACGGGTTATCCCAGTCGACACGCGCGACGATGTCGTCTTGCTCCGTGCGCCCGTCGAGGATGTTGAAGATCCAGTCGAGGCGGGGCGGGGCGCGCTGGCGCGCCATGTACGGACGGATGTGCTGCGCGTAGATTTCCGGCGTCTCGGTTACCATGCGGATGCGTTGGGCTGAGTATTTCTTGATGTGCGCCTGGGTGCAGGGGTAGATGAGGTTGAGTTTCACGTCGGGGATGCTTCTCTTGTCGAGGTCGGCCGCATCCTTGCTTGTAATTGTACGTGTCGTGTCCGCCATATCTGTCCTTGACGCCCGACTGGCCATATACCATCTATAGATGTCGTTGGCGCCGAGGTTGGTCACTTCCCCCAGAGACTCTAACAGCAGAGTGACGAGGTGCGGGTCCGTTGGGAGAGCGGCGCGCTCGAGCGTGATGAGCGCGGGTTTGTCGGCGATGTTGCCCAGGAGAGAGATTCGCCTGCCATTCTGATCTGGTGGGTGGAGGTCAGAACGGAGGCCAAATCAGTTACCCGACGAACGAGGATGAGATGATATAAGACTGTTTCGACTGAGAGGCATGCTTCGTCTCGGTCGTGTCTCACCTTGGTTGAGCACTCTCTCCAGCTTGAAAAGAGGGACGAGCGCTTCGGCGTCGGCTTTGGTCTCCGGCTGAGTTGACATTGTCAGTTGAGTTCATGAACTCTCAAGCCTCCGTGTTCGACTATGTTGGCCTGATGGCCAGCCTCCCCGGATTAGGGGGTTTTGACGAAGTGACGGGATTCAATGCTGGGAGTTGCGTGGAGATGCCAAGAGGGGCGGGGACGTAGAAAGGGGGGGGGGCCTGACTAAGTAATTCTCCGGTGAAATCGAAGTGAGACTCACAGAACACGCCGATGGCTCACAACTTTCTGACCTACACTCGTCTTTACGAGCAGTACAGAGCCGACGACGTCGGCAGCATTGAGCCACGATGGCTGGCATACATTTTGTAGAAAGGGAATTTGTACCTTCCATGCTCCCGAACGTTGGTACCTGAGGTCGACCTCGCCTCGGAACGTAGTCAAACGCATACAATGCCATTATCCTACCAAAATAAACACGTGCAACGACTTTACCCCAACTACACATGGGCTTCCTGGCAGTGGAGCGGCATCCAGGGTAAAGACGCACCCTGCGAAGGGATTGCCGTCCTGCGATACAGCACAGCGCAACACGGCAGTTTTCTCCCGAGAGTCCGCTACCAAATCTGTGGGCATCCCAACGTCGATGCGCCAATTCCAAGGCCACCTTCGAGGCAAGCGGATCTGACCGAGGAGTGTGAGCATCCTGTTGAAAAAAGTCGCAGTGTCGCGCGACGGCTTGGAAGCCGAGAGCCAGTATATTGAGAGTGATGCGCAGCTCAGCCCGCAGATGAGGGTGTAGATCGTCGACTAGTCTCGCTCCTCTGCTTCGAAGAATCAGTCGTTGTGCGGCTGAGACCACCAAACTCGGACCTAGAAAGAAATGTTAGTCACTAAACTCCGTCCTGTACTGTCCCGTGTGCATCTGTCATGTTCATGGCCTTCGCTTCTTATCGAACAGTAGACCCCACGAGCAAGTCTTGACTGAGCTTATTGAGCTCTTCCTGCGAATTTAGCGTTTGTATAATGGTAGAGATTCTGATAGCACATTTTCTCACGCAATCGACCATAGGATGTGGAAAACAGGGCTTCCCGTTCGCTCAGCCGTACTTAAGCCACATGCCGGTCAGTTAGTACTAAGGTGGGTGACCACTTGGGAATCCTGGCTGTTGATTGTTTTTTGGCTTTTTGCTTCTTTGGTTGGCATGACTTGAATTCAAGTTTTTCGGTGGGAGGCCAAAAGGGCCAGAGGATAAAGCTGCGGGCTTATTGAGACGTAACTATATATACTGTGTACTGCTACTGGTGTGCCTGAGATAGCTACTGTAGGTACCTACATCTGCTTGATCGCTCAGCCGTGTGATCGAGATGGGTCGCTGCCTCAAAATTCCGAATAGAGGTATGGTACTGGTGTTCCGAACGCTATTATCCAACATGAGGTACTGATGCTGACCAGGTTGTCCGAAACGCAGCGGGCGGGAGGTAGGACAGCGAACGGAAGACCTCGACGAGGATAAAGAGTCTTGCGACGAAATAAGGGGTGGCCAATATCCACAAGAGCCAAGACAACCTTTTCAAATAGAGCGTTTGGTATGCTGATGTTTGCCTGTTCCTCTCAAAGGTTATCCGATGCCGCTTGTGAAAGAAGACGTAGATTGCATTAGCAGCAACTCCTGCGAGTGGCAGGCCAGTTGTCACCGCAGTTGAGATTCTCCAAAGCAATTGTTCCGTCGGTGAAGGAAACGCAAACTTCCACGCTATGAAATGTAAGCTGCCGAACAAGACAGAGCCAATGGCAGAGGATACTATGAAAGTGACTCTCGTCCAGGAGTCAATTTCATCAGCCTTCTCAACATTTGTGGTGATCTGCTCTGAGTCCGGGTTACTTCGTGGATCCCCAGGGATTGTGCCCCTTATTCGATGTACGGCATTATTCGGTATGCAATAGCCAGTACGATAGTGGAAGAAGGTCGAAGGTCCTACCACGGCGAGCTCAAGCAGATCCTCGGCACATGGTTGTCTGGCTGCTTGAATGGACACTCTTGTCTGAATGTCCTGCGGCTTGTTCCAGAACAAGGAGTAGGTGAGTAAGGAACAGACCGCGAAGGCGAACGTCAAGATCTCGAGCTGAGAGGTTGCCAGGCGCCTGTAGAGTCGCACAAGAAGCTGGATCGCCATCCAACCGACTTGCCAAATCGTGATAAGCTTGAGCAGGGTATCGCTTCTGTTCCCTTCCTCTAGCAACTGCTCATGGATATCTGGTAACTTGCCAATGAGGCCTCGTTCTCGCGCTAAGCGAAGCTGGGCGGCGTCAAGTACCCATAGTTTACCTTGAAGAGCAATAATGTTTCGTTGACGTGCTCGTAGGCGTATGGAAGCACCATTAACATCCCTCAGTGCGGATAGAGCCTGCCTGGCTAACTCGTGATGAATAGCGCCGCTCTCCCATATCTCCTTTCCGTAGCGGCGGGGGATACGTCGAAGCGGTTTCCGGAAGCAGTCGACTAAGGGCTCTGGTGAGCACCAGGCTCCCCTGGCTGACAAAGTGCTGTGTTCGCGATGGGCAGGGGTAGGCAAGTGAATGTTTGCTTCTGAGCTGCCTTCTGAGCCGAGATGGAGCATATCTTCGTCAACACTTGTGTCCACCACGGCCACCGAGCCGGGTGAGCCGTTATCTGTAGAATCTTTGGGCGGCCCGCTTCCATGGTCTTGATGATTCGTGGTAGACTGATTGGGCCCCCTTATGTCAGGCTGACGATGTCTAGAGTCTCGATCCGAGCCCGAAGACCGTGTAAGCTCATTGGGTGAGTCTTGTGGGTAGCCGGTTTCGTGAGTGGAAGCAGCGTCACGATCTGTTTGGGTTCCCTTGCTCGTCTCGTTATGGTACGTTCGATCCGGCTGTAACTCCGGGCCGAACTCAACCACAAACGCTCCCATATTGGCAAAGTACGCATGCGTGATCGTCCACCTTACATGATCAGTCTGAGCACGTTCTCGCAGCTGTCTGACGGAGTGCCTAGCAGAGAGCATGTCCAAGACTGCTTTTCCAAAGGGACATTCTGGAGCTAGAAAAGCAACCACCATCCATCTCAGCTTATGGAATACGCGAGCAACCTGGCATAACCACCATTCGGTTGTCCATTTCTCCGAGGGATGTAGCTGCGGAGCTACATTTAGATGCAGTATGTTCCAGGTACAGAGAAGAAGTACGGTTAAGCAGCTCCAAACGATATCGAGAGTTCCCCGAGCATTTGGTGGATCGACGTAGGCTACAGTTGTAAGAGGAATTGTGCAGTTAGACCTAAAAGTTAACATGGCTGAACTCTCCAAGTGAAGCTTTCAGAATTCTGGGTAAGGAGCGCATGGCCGGCAACGAAGCTATTGTACCCCAGACTCTTCCGAATTGCAGGTGCCGGCTTCACGTTTGTGGACCCGAAAAGACGGGTGGTGTAACAGGACGGATGCCAACCAGTGGTATGAGGAGATCAGACGACAGACTTGATGACTGCAAGGGCTGCAAATGCCTCAAGGTGTCTATCTGCATTGCTGTCGAGAGAGAAAGAGAGAGAGGAGAGAGGAGAGAGAGCGTCACAGTGCTTGACACCTTCCCAACTAGCCATATCAGGCCCAGTGTCATCATGTGACATGTGGCTCAACGCTCGCGGTTGACGTCACCGAGCATACTCCGTACAATAGGACTAATCGCTTTGCATTGGCCAAAGTCACAACAACACAGATCATCTTGGCTCAATTCACCAGGCCGACTCGAGAATACATTAGCAACGGTGGAACCCCTCCGACATACGCAAGACTTCTGTCAGTCAATTCATCGTGGTGGCCGGCGGTAGTGGCTGCTTCGTCTCCAGACAATAAATACCATGTCGATTCGCACTGCCTTTCTCTTGGACCTGGACCTGGACCTGGACCTCAGAATAGCATCAGAGAGGAGAGAAGAGGATTGGCCCGTGGATACTGAATGGAGCAGGGAGCTCCGATCGGGAAAACATATCCTGTAATGCACGTTTGTTAAGGAGACAGTACACGCTGCGTACGGTATGGATTGATGGTATCGTCCATCTGCTGGACTCCGCAGACAAGTGTACTGCAGTCCGACTCAGCCGCTCAGGTGATGTATCGAGCCGAGTAAAAGCGGCGAAAGGTATATTCTGGAAGGGCGCCAATGATGCGACTGGACAATCTTATGTTCCAGTCTTCGGTAGCGAGGTCGGGCCAACGAGGCTGGGATACATGCTTCGTATTATGGTAGAAGACGATACCTCGTACCAGCTTCTCGATGCGGCGAACCATCCAAGTATCGTGAATGGCCAGGCCGGTCGCACCACTATTCCGCATGAGGAAGGAAATTTTCCCCTCTGCAAAGCCACATCTGCTCATTTCTTGGCCATGTTCGCTTACGGAGTACATTCAGACCTTCAGTCCAGATAATCTGGTTAGGTAAGATGGCTCTTGTATCATTTGGGTATATGATCGGTGTGCCTTGCCAACTTCCCCTTGTGTGCCCTGCTTTGGCGTGGGGCTCCACTTGTGGCGTGTTGGAGACGTGCAGTGTTACACGGTACTGTACGGAGTACCATGATATTGATGGTGGCGAGTTGGGCCCGAGTTCTACACGAGTTCTGGCGACATATGGCGACCATCAGAGCTCCTCCTCGTACTGTGCCGCGCTGCGCTAGAACAGCCACGGCGAAGTGCTTGGAGGTTGAGAACCGTTGTTGACCTCGTCGGCCCGAAAGTCATCTACCTGGACGGTCTGAATGTATGTGACCTTCACTTCATAGGGTTGATTTCCGGCATGACCGAGGGGCTGCGAAAGACAAGCCAAAGTATGTATGTATAGCGCATACATGCACCCTGTGGGCGGAGATCTGATCGTCTCCTCATAAAGTCCTGGGCTTCCCACTCACAAAGGGCTGACGAGCCTCAGGCGAATTTCAATCATGGACCCTGCTTCTTCATCCTCCACATTCTTCTTTGGAAAGAGAGTCCGGACTGAAGCTGCGATTCACCCCTATGTGTACCTCGACACTCACCATGGTCGCTTTGAAGACGACGAGGAGCCCGCTCTCCGCGACTGCGAATGGGATCAGGTGAGCAGATTCTCGGTGCTCCCGGGTTACGGATGAACTAATCCTCGGCTCCGAAGCTGCTCGCAACATATTCTCTCACTTTGGCAACATCACCATTTGCAGCCTCTACGCCGACGGGTTCTTGTCAGGACCAGAGTGAAAATGAGATCCTTCCAGCGGGAGCTTTCAGCGGGATGCTGAATGAATCACATTTCCTGGTGATTGACCCTGATGGCAGGGGTTGCGAAGTGGTACAATCTAGGTGTGAAGTATGTGTTCAATGAACGGCCGCTGCGGTTGCTAGAGCTAACTCGGTTTCAGAGAAGACGGTGAGTCCTCATCAAAACCGTTCCATGCTGGTTAAGTTATAGATCCCGTTTTCATCAGCATTCAGAACGTGGGTGGCTGATATGCCTTTTGAGGGAACGTTTAGTGCCCAGAACAGGAAGGCTCAGCGTGCATATCGTGCTCGTAAAGAGGCGCAATTGGAGACGGCATCGTCGACCTTGGCCGAGAAGCAGTCGCAGCTGAGGACTTTGCACCTTCACAACCAGGAACTCCTCGGAGTGATCGACCAACTCAAGGCAGTCATTGTACAGTTGGAGGCTGAGAACCAGCTGCTGAAGGAACGTCAGTGTGCAGATGGCGGCCTGTCAGTTGAAGCGTCCGAGTGTATGACGGAAAATGCAAGTTTCGTGTCAGCCTTGGCGGAAACGACAGTCTTGTCGCAAAAGAACAGGCTAGAAGATGGGAAACAACTCTAGGAAGTCCTCCATTGTTTCGAGGGTCGGCGCTAAGGGGCACGGCGATCGGCGGGAACAGGCCGTCGACCGTTGAGGCAGGCGTAAAGGGGTACTTCGGTCGTGGCGTACCAGACACGGTTGAAGCTTCAGCAAAGTCATCAAACTTGAATGGAATCCAGACGTCGCTTCAGCCCTACTAGATGGGAGTAGACAGGGTGCGATTGTAACAAGGTTTTTGGTCGAAAGCTTCTAAGTTGCCCAAGAAGCTAAGAAGTGCCTGCAATTCTAGGAAGATGGCGCTCCGAAGGACGCATAATCTTGGCACTAGAGCTGACTGCTCTTCGCAACATTCTGATGTTGGCCCTGGCAATGCCAGATCCTGCAGCCTGTGCTCCATCAAAGCAACGGCACAACCGCGGTGGTACGCCAGTGTTGTGGAGTTCGTGGATCAGCCGATGCCACAGCCTCTGCATCTGCTCCAAGCAAAGTGCGACGATGGCGTGGAAGAGACCTGCGTGGTGGAGCGTCCGGTGAAACAGCTAGCCGCGGTAACGATTCTGCATCCCAAGAAGGAAAGATGTGGCGTCAATATCCGCTGCACGTTGCATGTCTGATGCCGGCGGATTAGCATCCTGGTCTGCCACGTCTCGAAGTGAACGCTTAGAGGTCCGTAGCCACGGGCATCCGCTCGAAGATCGGAACGGGATATGCATTGAACTGGTCCCGACAAGTGCTAGAAAAGCCAACGGCGAACAATGTCCGAGAAGGGGCCGTTCGCATGACATGCTGCCGATGATCTTCCGCTGCCGCCGACGTCGTGGAAATGGTGTGATACTGCTGCAGAGTTGACAAACCTTCCATGCGACGCCAGGATCTTCGCCTGGTCGCCTCACGCACAATGTGGCTCCGGAGTAGCCTTACACCGCGGTCTCCGAGCATTGACGAAGAGCAGCATTGATCGTAAGGAGGACGGCTCTGACATGTTTGCAGCGAGATTCGATCAGCGCAGCGCCCTGCTCGTAAGCGGTCTGCGCGGTCCAGGCTGTCCCGATGTGTTGTGTAATTAATTAGGCGAGATGTAGTCATCCACAGAGCAGTTCAAGTGGATTGAGGTCGCGAATTTAGTAAGCTGAAGGTCGACAGAGGCGATCACGCATCATCTGGAGAGAGAGTGGTGTGCATGCGTCTTCACTTAGCTGAGGAACAGAATCTCCTGCGCGTCTTCGTACCCGATGAGGTTGGTCTTGTGAAGCCTCTTAGAGAAAACCGCTGGGAAGTGTATGAACGGCCCTGCTTTTGCAAAGGCATTGTTGTGCCGCCGACTAACAGACATGGAGCAGATGAAAGCCACTTCCCTGGCGCACGATCTCCTTGGCTTGATGCGATGGCGCCGCCCCCGCCCGAATCCGGTAAAAGGGTCGTTGATTACCAAGAAACCCGCACGTATCTAATTGTCTGCTTGCGGCGTGGCGGCAATGCCATCTGCCTGAGCCAGCCTCGAGTCTCAAATGTGGTTCGTGAAAGCTTCTGCTCCAGCCGCAGGAATGCACTCGACAAAATTGGGATGCCGCCGCTTCCTCATCGGGATAAGCGGGCACAAGATCGGTTCGTCTTCGTGCTGCGGTGCATGCACTAGCTCTCGTCGAGAAAGCCACGCGAACAACCGGTCGATGCTTGTTACATAGTAACGCCGACGCGATGAACCAGTTGACGCATCGCTGGCTGCGGTCATGCAACGCCAGTGTTTTGTTTCCATCTGGCTAGGCCTCGATGCATCCAGACTCCACAGTGACTGGGTTCACTAATGCTGCTCGACCAGCTTGCACAGGGGTCCTTTCGAAAACGCGACCAGTGGGCAGACAGCTTTGTGCTAGCGAGCCATCAAATCAAAATTCAGGTCGGTTGGGGTGCGCACGCGGCATTTCTAGGGGTTGAACCCAAGGTGCTCCAAACGGTATCCTCTGCAAGGTCAGGTGCTGTTTAACCACGACCCCAAAATGCGCGAGCTACCCCACCACGGTGTACCTCTGTTGCCCAAAGACGGATGCTTGGACATAATGATCTGTCCCGTCAGAGACATTCCATTACCAAAACTCGAGAAGTAGAGATGGTAACGAGTCGTGGGGAGGATTGCGGTTCCCCGGCTGCGACACTGCGTCAAATGCGGCGAAGCTCGTTTCATTTGAACCATGTGTCGTCATGACCGTCTCCGACCGTCTCCAGGGGCATCGAGGTGATCCCTTTGTCTCTCGACTCTTTGAATGCTGCGCACTCTCTCGGTTCTGCGAACAAAATGTGCTCGTCTCACGACTACTGAGATGCCCAAGGCAACCGTTGACAGCCTAGTCGCACCAAAGTCACCCCTCGATGCACCAGCCCTAGACGACAAGCAGCTATGCTTCTCATACGAAATTGCGCGAGGAGAAATGGGAGTCTTGTCCTTCGAACCATACAAGAGCCTCATCCTACCATTCTGGGCATTCCGGACAGTACCAATAGCCCAAAAGTCGGCTGCAGCCTTGTGGTCGATCTTCGAGTCCTATGTTGATCGAGGTGATCTCGTTGGAGCAGATATGACCCGGAAATTCATCCAGATGGGAATGACTCGCGCCAAGCGGTATGCAAACCACAAAGGCGGCCGCAAGTACGGTGCCGACGGCAAGCAGTTGGGAAAGTGGACTGAGGAGGATGTCGACGGGAAGAGGAAGGAGAAAGAAGAAGCCAGCGAGATCTTCAAGGGCTACTGGCGGAGATGCCTGGCGTCCGAGCGGTATATCCGGCTGAAGGAAGAGTGGTTGAAGGCGAAGAAGGAGTATTGTGAGACTCAGAGTGTGTGATCTCTGCAGCATGGTGGAATCGGTCAAGCGGATTTCTTCTCGTCACCACCAGCGGGTTGGTGGTCTTTGGCCCGGTCACCGTGTATGGCTTCAGCAAAGGATATCCACTCTTCAATGCCTTTGACAAAAGGATCTTCAATCGTTGGCAAGATATCATGCCCCCAGACGATGATGTCCTCGAAAGTCGATGTCTCTTCAAGGATTCTGACAGGCTCCGAAGGCTCCTCTTCGTCGTCCGCGATCTCGATATCTTCGTCGACAGCGGTGTAAGTCGGGCTTTCCTGAGGCTTGATCGGCTGTGGGAGGTATCTCTCGGTCGATTTCGCGACCACACCTAGGACTATATCAGACGGGTAACAAAATGTAGACAAACTGTCTAGTACCTCGATATCCCGCAGGCAAGGTGATGACTTTTCCACGTAACTTGCGTCCTCGAAAGTAGGAAGTCGTCGTACCTTCTGACATACAATATCAGCATGTGTTTGAGACACGACGACGGCAAGGTTTACTACGCACCTTTCTCGATTTGAGGCGACCAATATCGTTTGGTCACTTTGGTAGGCCCATTGTGGTGTATGCGGCAGGGTAGAATGTTGGCTGTGCGCTTGTTGGCTTTCTCATCGACGCGCTGTAATGCAAGCATCTTGTCTAGTATCTGAAGGAGTTCCAATCCAGTTCTGTGTGCTGTAGAAACTCTTCTGTAAGACGGATGGGACTTAGTCCGTACTGCTGGACGCGCTCACACGCAACTGTGGCGCGTCGCCCCAATCGGGAAAAGCGGTGGTGCCTGTCTTGTGCTCACCCCGCCCTTCGCGATGGGGGGCAATTAAGAAAGAGATCAGTCACGTCTCGTTCATGCTGACTGCTCTAATAATACAGTAGCACGCTCTAATAATGTCGTGTCCGAATCGCAACCATCGATATTCCAGGCGCCTCGTACAGTACACGAACGAGCACAGAGATGTTCCCACTGATAGCGAAGGGGGCACATAGCATCCACACGCGCTTCCCTTCCACAAGCTATTACTTCTCCCGCGAGGACATGAACTCCTGCAACCGCTGGCTAAACTGCTGAAAGTACGCACTATCGAACATCTCCTCAATCTTGACAGCTTTGTCACCGGCCTCGTTGAACGACGTGATCAGGATACACTCATTCCGATACGGTCCAACCACAGATTCCGACGTGCTGATGCCATGCAAGACCGACTTGTGCGCTTCGGCGTCGTAGACAGCGTTATGCACTTCAAACTATGTAGCACGTATTAGTAGTCGAGCCGTCCGCCACAACATCTCAGTGGCCTGTCGATGTAGGTACCTTGATGCCCTGTTTCATCAATGGCATAATCTCAGTGGTGTACCACTGGCGGTACTCCGCGTTGTTCATTGGTGGCATGCCTGCTGTCTCCGGACGGGCGTGGTAGATGCACTCTACCGCCCTGTCTGCGAGGATGGCGTCGAGATCCCACGCCGCGTAGGCATCCAATAGTTTCTGTGTGTAATGCTTCATGTTTTCGAGGACCGTATCGGCCATGTCGTTGATGTTCAGCTTTGCGGCTCAGGTGATGATGATGATGATGGCTGCGATAGGACGAATAGATAGTATATATGTACATTATATACGCCCCGAACTGTGCTTTATCCATTACCGTTTTCGTTCAGGAAAGGGAGCGAGGCCGCTTTAATCGCGCACGTGACGGAGCATCGAGGATGCCCGGCCGAGCACGGGGGAGCGTCGAGGGAGGCACGGCAGGGTACGGAGGAGCGCCGGGAGAGCACACCCGAGTACTTCTCCGGACGATTTCGGGTTCCTGGTATCTGACCCTTGGCCTTCGCCCTTACCGGGTTGACTTTGGGTCTGGCGCCTCTTCTCGTCTTCTTTCAGCCGGGCGTTATCAGGTTCAGGGGTACTTTCTGGCGATGTCAAACGATGGACTTGGCGGGTCCCGGTATTTTCGTCACCGACAACAGGTCTGGCGGGAGAGTCGTTCGCTGCCGCCATGTGTGGACTCAAACTTCAGCGACTACCAGGGTCGTGCGACGTAGATTTCTCCGAGAGAAAAAGACCAATCCGCCGTATATACTGTACACTGCTCGGGCGCTAATGCTGAAGTTCTGGAACCGGGCCAAAACTTGAAAAAGACATTCAAAAGTGTGGATTGTTCGACCTCTGTTGAGGCTTATTTGTAGGCTTTTATATTGCCAAGACCTTCCACCAGTAAGAAGTACACTTATTAGACCCAATCCCACGCGCCCTATCCGTCTCGTCATTGCGAGGGTAGGGAGCCAGGAATGGCCGCATCCGAAACTTCAGCTCACTTGGTTGAGAAGGACATCAAGGTCGGAATGTAGCGAATGAGTGGATCCACTGCATATGCAGCAAGCTAGCACTAGCTAAGCAAAGGACTCTCACGTTGACTGGAGGACGAGGAAGTTTGGCATATGTTTGATTTGTTCTCGCATACGCGCGCGACTACTTCGTTGCGCTGTTGTAAGGTACCATGTTTACGGGCGGTAATCGACGAAGGTGTGGGGATCATGGGCATTGTGGCGTTGCCCTCAAAAAGCTTATCCGCCAGGTTCTTTTGAATGACTTAATTCACACGAAGAACTCAAGTGCCCTGCGTTTTTGAAGTCTGGCCTGGTGATTAGCCGCACGGCTAAACTGAGCTGGCTACCTAGAGCGGTCGGAGTGGAGGCCCGTCGTGGAGGTTCCGCTCGGCCGGGGGTGTCGAGCAATATCTCCTTGACCTTTGTGGTCACTAGCCGACCCGCACGTAGTCCAGGACATAGCAAGCCCATTGAGACTCCCACAGAATGCTGCATGACTGCTCTATCTCCCGAGTGGAGGGAGAACTGGAAACCTAGCTATTGGCATGGCGGCGGCAAAATCATTCTGAAAACTGTACAAGACCTAGCACAATTGTGAAAAGTCGGGGTATGAAAGACTGGTAATGTTGACGTCTATAGGACTATACCTATTGAAATTCAGCTCTTCCAGTAACCTTGATTCAACAAGATTCAGCTTGTTCTGCTCCGTGTCAAATGGGAACTTCTTATAGCTCGGACTATCAGTTCCAAAGGCCGATGGGTCCGGCAACGAAGTGTTGTGGAGGAGTATCCTCCTCCGTCTCCCCTTTGGCAACGTTCTGTTCTGGAAGTGGCCCTGCGTAGGTTGGCTCCGCCTCGACTTTGCACTTGGTCTTGGCTTTGTGCGAGCATTTCCCTTCCCCCAACGTGCTCAAAATCCTTTGTGGACAGGACCTCTGCTTCTTGATCGGTCATCTTCTGACCGAGCTTAGCGCTCAGCAGCTCACGGTAGATCGGGTCGATGACTTACGAGATCTTCGATGCTACGTGGCAACGATCCTCCATTAGGCGTCTGGAAAAAAGTCACCTGCCCGCTCTCGGGATTGAGGAGACAGACCGTGAATTCAAACCCGCATATCTGCCAGAGTAGAAATGTTTTGTTAAGCCAGCCTCGCTTTCTCTTTCGTCGCTGTGTCGTTCTCTCCTTTCTTGTCTGCTCTTCCTTTTGTTTTACAGAGCTTCCGGAAACCGCCCTCCGCCCTCCCCTTTGCGGGACACTTTGTAATTTTAGCTAAACTTGATCCGTAGTAGCCTTCAATGGATCTTTCTGTGATATTTCCAATACAACGCGAACACTGAAAAGGTTCTTCGGGAATACTTGGAACCTACAGTATAGTACTCAAGCCGGCGTCAGTCTCACTTTGAGGCTACAACGTGAAAGCTCTCAAGAAAGCTGCTTCGACCTCGTCCCACCGGTCACCCATGTTGTTGGATGTACCTAGAAAATGGTGATTATTTGCGCTCAGCGAACACCCCATTCTCCCAGCACTCCTTCTCGGCCCTGCCCTTCTCCTGCTCTACCCTCCATTTTTTTAACTCTTGCCACCAATGTTCCAACAATTACCGGTCCTACAATAGTGCACAGCATAATTGCCCACGTAACAATCAAGAAGATGGAAGCATTGGGTTCACCACCGAAAATGCCATTACTTTCCGCAAGCGCGGAGATAAGAAACCCGATTTCACCGCGGGCTACCATGGCGCTTCCTACGATGCAGCCAGGATAAAGTGATATGGGTTTCAAGGTGGAAGTGACCGTGGACCTGGTGCGAACGCGACCCTCATTGCTCTGTCGTGACGCAGATTGCTTTTTCTCTGGTATAGCAGAAGACTTTGGCGCTGGCAAGTCGTCTAAAGATGCTTTCTGAGGGTCCGAGACGCTACCCGAACCAGCTGCTGCGGCTGTGGCTCCTATCTTGTTAGCACCTGTAAGCTTCTTCTCTGTGTTAGAGCTTCGTTTCAGCCCTAAGACACCGGCTGCCAGACCAGGCAGGCGCATGAGCCAAAAGCCACACGCAAATTTAGAAATGAACATGAATATCGTATAAATGACCCCACGCCAGATGACACCGCCGGTGAACATGCGGGTGATAGGTACTGAGAAGCCAATGGATGCAAAGAATAGTGGTTTTAGAATCCGCTGAAGTGGTTGGTAGAAGAAGCGTTTGAAAACCTCGATTCCAGATGTGCTAGATGGCGCGCTCAACATAGACTGGGAGCGGTCGGTGTGATCGATCGAAAGATTTCTGCCAGACCCATGAAAAGTTGGGTGTGAGAGGGTGTTGTCCCACCAGTTGATTGATGCACCGGCTAGGTAGGCTGCGAATAAGTTTGAAGTACCAGCGTAAGTTGTTGCGGTTATCAGACAAACCAGGATCGCCGTGTGAATAATCAGAGCAGTTGTATCCCGAGTTAGCACGTAGTTAATATAGCCAGTGGGGCTAGTTGTCCGTTTACCGTTCAACCAAGTCGTAAACGGTTGGACAATGAAGCGAGCTGCCAGCGGGACGGCGCACACGAAACCTATTGAGACGCAAATGGGTCGTACAATGGTAACGGCGCTAAAGGAGGAAGATGTGCCTCCTAAATTAGAGATGACTTGGACCATCACAAGTCCAACAACATCATCCATCATTGCCGCACTTGTAAGCACGATGCCCATCTTGGTGGTAGATAAGCTACTGGCCTTCATGACAGTAAATGTTGTTCCTAAACTCGTAGAGCATAGCGCAGCTCCTGCGGCGAATGCCTGTAACGGTGTTGCCTCCACTAGGGTGACCAGAATATAGGAAGCCGAGATTGGAAGAGCAATACCAGTGATTGCGACACCAAGCGATAAGAGAACGTTGTCTTTCAGAGCCTTAAAAGAGGTCATCAATCCTCCTTCGTATACAATAAGGAGAAGCCCAAGATATCCCAGGTTAACGGCAACATGCTCAAAATCCCGGCCGAGCCAGTTTGCTCCAGGAGTTCCCCACCCAATACCGAGGAACAGCTGCACGAGGAGGCCACAGTAAAGTATCTTATCGATGATATGGTTGGCGACGTTAAGCAACAGTATAAATGAGACCAGAGTCAAGATAGTGACGATACCTGGCTCGTGATATGGCAATGCTACTTCGTCGGCGGTAGCCATTTTGACGGCCTGTGGGCACGATTAGGAGGTTCGGTAGATTCGTGACTGACTGGAGTAAGTCTGGTATTTGATGCGAATTGATGAGACAGTAAGGGTGATCTTAATGGCCACCTCACTTACTCGCCGTCAATTGAAACTTTTCCGGCCAAATGAGTCATTCCCAGGCCCCGGGCGGCTGACTAGAGAACGAAGAGCGGGGACAGATCTTCTGCTTGGTCATGGGCAGATTGAGGGATGAACTATTACTGATTAGGCGTAGCATAGTCGGCTAATATCTCAACTTTCCGTGGAGAAAGCTGCAATGTGTCAGCAAAGGGGAGGGCGGTTTCGGGAAAGACTGTACCATGCCTTTTTCTACTTTAGACTTGGCTGCGAAATCTTCGTAACGAGGGCCGTTTTATATTTCACAACACGGTAAAGGCACGGAGCCTATTGTGGCTCCTTCTCTTCGCGGTCGCCATCGCACCTGTCCATGGAGGCGTTGCTGAAAAGAATAGATGACTTCCAGCGAGGCAAGAGCTGATGACGATCGAGAGCTTGGAGAAAGATATATCGACTTTACGATGCCAGATTTCATGCTACTAGAAAAGTCTGCACGCCACCTTAGGTTTACTGGTGTTACCCATCGAAGCCTTGCATGCGGTATCGTTCAGCATCGCACGCGGACCAGATCATGTCGTGCACACCCATAGTCGTGTCATCGGCCAAAACGAGCATCGGCTGCCTACGCGTGCTGTACAGGACATCACCCTTTGCTAAGGATACCTTGAGCAGAATTGTTCTCGTGTGCACCATGGACAGGAAGTCGTTGGGCTCCCGAGGGTTGAAAGCCCAGAAGTCGACGACTTGCTTGCCATAGGTGTTGATCACCTTGACCTCTTGGCCAGCATGAACCTTGAAGGCAACTGCTTTGCGGGCTGGAAGGATGCCCATAGCGTTGTAGGAGGAGCTGCAACTGATAGTGGCCAAAAGTCCGAGATGAGTGACTCCTCGGGACCAGCTGACTCTATATCTCGAGTAGACCTACTTGTATACTAGAGATAGTCCTTAGCAGCCTGCAGTGATTACCCGTTTAGGCGAGAAGCCGCGGACATGCCCACCACAGAGGCTCATGGAGATCTTGATCCGCGTCAGCCATTATTCCCCAGGTATGTAGACACCCAGTAGGAGATCTACGGATACTCGTCGATCCTGTCACCTTCGCTGCTGGGATCTCCGACAGCAACACGGGCCTCTCCGGAGACTTGTTGCTCAGGTCCATGACACCTAGGTGTCCCGGACAGCCATGAGATCTGAATCGGCAACGATCAAACCCACTAGTATGAATCAACAAGACCTTGAAAAGAAAGAAGTTGAACGCATAGAGAAGGAGAAGGAGAGCTCAAGATCGTTTTGTACCCTGATTCTGGTATCGTAGCCGCCTCAATCAATCGTTAGAAGCTGCTCCATAAACGCCCCGATCTGGCGCTCGCGGTCGACCAAATGCACTTCGAGAATCCAATGCCGCTTGTGACCTTCAGCATCGGACTGGTCCATCGACTGCGTATTGCCCTTTGTAATGTAGAGCGTGATCTTGTCGTTTGGGATACGCTCGTGCGGAAACGACCCGACAAGATGCCCCGCGATCTGCCCGCCAAATTCCCACCCATGCTTCCGGGCCTCGTCGCACGCGATATCATAGAGCTGACATCCCGTCATGTTGGGCTTCTCCCGGTAGCGGGCCTTGACCGTGGTCCAGACGGGCTCGAGTGCGTCGTGCAGCTTCTTTTTCATTGGATCGTCGCCTAGCACGAAAGTGCGGCCGAAATCAGCCTCCCATGCCTCGAATACCGGGCCCAGATCCACGAACAGAATGTCATCAGGCTGGATGACACGGTCCGGAGGGTTCTCCGCATACGGCATGAGCGTATTGGGACCACTTCGGACAACGCGTTTGTGCCAGTGGGTTCGGACGTTGTGGCGCTTCGCTCCGAGTTCGTGGATCTCGTCGCTCAAGGCCTTTTCGCTGATTCCAGGCCGGATTAAGTCTCGCTCGATTTCGCGGAAGAGCTCGAACGCCATGTTCTGAGCTTCCATCAGGCGCGCGGCACGCTGCTCCTCGGTCAGAGCACTGGTTTCGGGCGGCATGGTGGGTGAACTGAAGCTCTAGAGGTACAAGTCCTAGGAAGTCAAAAGCACTGGCATTGTAAGGTTGAGGTTCTGGTGGTGTAGGGTTTGAAATACCAATTCCAGCTTTGCTGATTGGAGGCGACAACGAGTCGCCGAGACCAGGCTGGGTGATGCTTGGGAGGGGGTTTTCCTCTTCGTACTGCAGAACCGGCCAGATGAAGGTGGACCGAGGTTCTGAAGACGGGGTTGCGGAGATACATTGCCCACGAAAGGTTCCTCTAAACCTTGTTCCAAGAAGCTCTTGCTCCATGAAAACCACGTGCCAGACACCACCATCGGCTTTGCCTGTCAGGAAACCACCTTACCAGGGGCCTGGTATTCTCAATCTTGAAGCCTTGATCTGTTGGACGGTCAATGCGGCATCAACCAAAGGAAACACTACACCAAGCGGTGCCGGAGCATAACTTGCAGGGAGGACCGCCGGCGAGAAGACATGCTCTATGTAGGCAAGGCACTTTCTCGCAACGGTCAACTGCTCGAGCCACAGAGTATCCATGCGAGCGGGAAGCCAAAGTTGGCCCTGAACCAAGATATTACTCGTACCACGCCTACGCGAGCTTGGGTGAGTACCCTTGCTCGATCACGCATTCCAATGGCAGCTCAGACCAGTGTATTACCTCTCTCGCTGTACCAAGCGCCTGCGGCTCCAAATGAAGATGAATTGTCGTTGTTCGGTCGTTCTGTCTGCTGGTCCGGTATGCTCTGCCGAAGTGAAATGTTCGGATTTGACAGCCTTTTTCCCGTGTGAGCAGTAATTGAGAGTAAGCCGGTATTGAATTGGATGTGCGGGATTGAGATATTCAGGTTCTGATCACCAACTGGAACAAAATGTCAAGATGCAAAGATATCGACTACCTACCTCTCCTACCATCGGCGTGACTGCTCCAACGGAGGAACAAACACAGAGAAACGCTCATTTGAGCATTAGCATACGCTGTGATCCCAGCAGTGTAATGTTCGCAGGCTTTGTTTCCGAATGAGACGACACGCTCCTGCTCCCGCCATAGGACTCGGTCTCCAAAGTGGTAGAGGAAAAGAAGAGGGACTCACTGGAGGAAGCAGGGGGCAAAAGCTGGACCGAGTCATCGGAAATGCAACTGAAAACCGTCGGACCACGTGCTGAAGATTGGCACCAGCTGCGGCAGATTTGCCATCAAGGATTTCCGAACACCGCATGTCAATCACTTCTTTGACGTGGAGCGGTGAGTAGAGAGATTTTGCGGATTGACTCGACGCATTCCCGAAGAGTATGATTCACAGGCAATATCGGTATTCTTCTGTACGACTGCGGTGCGCTCGTTGTGTCTGGGAAAGGGCCTTCTGATAAGATTATAAATACTGAGAAGGTCGAAGCAGTTGACCGCGGGCTTCTTGCCAGGTATTTCGCATCGTCAAATAGAATGCAGGCATTGCAGTCATTCAATGCATCACAATGCCCAAGTTCAAGTTTTGAGGCACAAATGAGAGAGGAGACTCCATCCGGAAATATATCGTCCCACCTGGTCACCTACCGACTGCCAATAACTGGTCGATCCAGAAAGGTAGCCAAAGTCTGCTGGTTGTCGACAGAGTTGAGGACCTCAGACCTAGTTAGGCGCAGACTCTATACCGTGGCGCAACAGTACTCGTCCAGAGCGAAGTCTGTTTGTCCGTTCAAAGCGATGGTCCTAGTGCTTCTTTTTCTTTTTCTTATGCTTACGAGGCTTTGTCGGTGCTTCAGCCTCCTGCTGTGTCTGAGTCGGTGCCTGTGGTGTGGGCCATCTCTTGGAATGTTCTCGTTCAAACGCAGCTTTGTCTTTCCGGAAGAGCATCATGCAGGCTCGAGCATCTTCGACGCTTGAGTGCTCACCGTCTTGGATCTCCGTACCCAACAGTTCTGATGCGAGGATCTTCAGCTTCGGATAGCTGCCTCCGGCAATCTTCCTGTAGGGCGGGTGGCGAGAAGTGTCACGAACATCTCGCTGCGGGTGGCTCAACATCAATGCCGCTAGATCGTGTCTTATGGAGTGACCGATGAGAACTCTGTCCTGGAGGATCTTCACCACGTCCGCTTGCACCTCTTTCAACGGCCTGGCAACCTCGATGTGTTTTGCTGATATCCCGCTAACATGTGTCCTGTAGTCGGTCACCGGTTCCAGTGGAAGAACGTAGGAGTCGTAGACTTGATCCCCGTTATAGTTCACAATGCTAACGCGGGCGAGGGCGGACTCTCGGTCGGGGTTAGGCCCGACTCCAACCATCTCGCAATCCAGGGCGACGTATCTGCCGATTTCTACCCTAAGAATGAGTTAGCATCAAGCAGTACGGGCGGACGTATAGACTTACTCGGCTGACAGTCCAGCATTGACCTTGTCTGAAGCAGCGAGAGGAGCAAGTCTGGGTCTCTGCACATTCTCATTGTTCTCGGCTTCCTTGACCGACACCTTTTCGATAGAGTTGTTGCGATTCTGAGCCATGCTCTTGCCAGCGCGCAGCCGTTTCCTAGGTTTCGAGGCCTCCGCAAGAGACTCCCGCGAAGTACGCTGACGGTGATCCTGCTTGCGCTTTACGCCATGGTGGGATGAGGTCTGTCTGGGAGAGATCCCGCTGGTGGAGGCCTTGAGCTTTGCCTGTAGTTTCCTCCAGTTGGCTGAGAGGGTATTGAGGTCCATCGTCCTTCGCAAGGAAGAGTTGTTGGGCGCAAGTGCAGGACAGAGGATGCACAAGTAGCAATGCCGCTCAGGTGGAAAATAGTTCCACCACTCCGCGCTGCTCCATCTCCACAGGCAATACGGAGTGCTCACTGTTCTTCATTGCTACGTTACTGCAGCTCCAGAAACTCTTACAGCTTTGGTCAACTCGGCATTGGTTAGGCGCCTGGCGTTGAATTCATTCGAGTCTACATTCAACCCCTTCCTAGCCGATTGAAGTGACAGTCCTGGTACTGCTCATCTAGCCCAACAACGCACCTCGTTCGAGGTGTGTACAGCGAGCGACTAATCAGCCAAGAAACCCTCGTCCCGGGCAGGAAGGAGGGTATCCGAAGGAAAGATGTCAGATGAGACAGATCTGAAAAAGGTTTCAATTCTCGCATCAGCCCGAAAAGCAGCAGAGGCGGCAGATCTTCCACAGAAAGCCCGATACACTCCACCATGGGCGGACATGAGCATCATTGGTATCGCTGGATCTTCGGGCTCGGGGAAGACAAGTCTAGCTATTGAGATCGTTCAGTCTCTGAACCTGCCCTGGGTCATCATCTTGTCTATCGATTCGTTCTACAAATCACTCACGCCCGAACAAAACGCCTTGGCGCATCGTAATGAATGGGATCTTGACTCTCCAGAGTCGATCGATTTTGACCTTCTAGTGGCAAAGCTTCTCAGCCTGAAGCAAGGAAAGAGAACCGATATTCCCGTCTACTCGTTCCAGCAACATCAGAGGTTGGAGAAGACCGTTTCACTATACTCGCCACATATTGTGGTTCTCGAAGGAATCCTTGCTCTGCACGACCCAAGGGTGCTAGAGCTGCTCGACATGAAGATATTCGTAGAGGCCGATGCGGACGTGTGCTTGTCAAGACGCATCGTCCGGGATGTGAGGGAGCGAGGCCGCACCATTGAAGGGACAATCAAACAATGGTTCAGATACGTCAAACCAGTATTCCAGAAGTACGTCGAGCCGCAACGAGAAACCGCAGACCTCATTGTCCCACGAGGCATGCAGAACAAGATGGCGATTCAGATGATCGTCAATCAAACAAGACAGATCCTCAAGGAGAAATCCATCAAGCATAATGCCGAGCTGGAAAGGCTGGGTCAACAAGTGGATATCTACAAGCTCCCTGAGAACGTGATCGTACTTGGGGGCACACCACAAATCACAGCCGTGTCAACGATCCTACGGAATCCAATAACAGATCAGGTCGATTTCATCTTCTATTTCGACCGGTTGACGGCCTTGCTGATCGAAAAAGCCCTGGACTGTCATAACTACGTGGCTCATGAAATCTCCACCTCGCAGAAGTTCGCCTATTCTGGCCTGAAATCCGCGGGCACGATTTCCGCTGTGGTCATTCTCCGCGGCGGAAGTTGCATGGAGACTGGTCTGAAGCGGACTCTGCCGGACTGTCTGACCGGGCGACTACTCATCCAGTCCAACATTCGCACTGGAGAACCAGAACTACACTACCTGAAATTATTCCCAGACATCGGGGAGCACGAGACGGTCATGCTTTTAGACCCGCAGATGTCGAGTGGCGGAGCGGCGTTGATGGCTGTAAAGGTCCTCGTGGATCACGGAGTCGCAGAAGCGAGAATCGTATTCGTCACTTGTTTGGCCGGCCGTCGTGGCTTGAAGAGGCTGATGACAGTGTTTCCCAAGATCAAGGCTGTGGTAGCCAACATTATTGAGGACCACGAGAAACGATGGGTTGAAGAAAAATACTTTGGTTGCTAATGTGGGTGTTGAAAGGGCTTCAACCAAACCTAATGTCGAGCTTTCTTTCTAGGTCCTCAACTCACTCTAGGTCCTCAACAAGGCACAGGGACGACAGCACAACTATTTAAGCACCGCATGATGCCCTTGAGAAGGACCTCATCTTCATCACAGCTTCCAAGTCAAGATACTCGATAGTCAGAGCGTCCGTCAACACACAGGCAACGACGGTTACAAATCTAGTACTACTCGACATCAGGGACGTCTTCTGGCCGATCAACTCGTTTTCACCGCTCGTTACAACAATGGTCGCCATCAGTACAGTTCTCTTCGCAATCGCCATGACCCTCTGTCTTGTCGGCGCGGCGCCAACCCAAGCCAACCAGCCCAGGTCAAGCGGAGGGATGCCCTTCCCATCGCCTGACGGCAAGGAGCTCGCCAAGCTACGCGAGCGGGTTGTTGCCTTCCACACTACTGAAGTTGAAGGCGCCAAGACAGAGAACGGAGGGTACTTGGGCTGGGAGCTTACCAAAGAGCTCGACAATGCTCCTTCCGAGGTGTTGAGGCCGCCACTGGAAATGGCAAAGGAAGATGCGTCCGCGGAGGTCACCACGGACATCCAGTACGCCAAGCGCGCCGATAAAATGGATTGGCAAGACTGGCCAGAAGACCAGAAGCAGCTCGTCATCCAGCTCATCATTGACGAATTTCATCTGCACATGTGGATTGCTAAAATCGAGTATGAGACCTCAGTGGAGGAATGGACCGCCGTGACGGAGCTTGGGGAGCTGCAGGAGTGGTTGGTCAAGGAGACCTGGCAATCAGTCTACCAGTGGGTGAGGGACAAGCAGTACATCTTGAACATTGTCACTGCGGGGGAGTGTAAAATGGATAAACAGGGCCTTATCGACCTGCCCAAGGAATGGAGGTGTGAGCAGTTCTGCGAGGAGTGGGGGCGTTGTTGAGCATAACGCATGCCCTGAGTAGCTGTGAGGGATTTAGCGGGTTCTCTAGGGCTCCACGAAGGTTTGGCCCAAAATTGAGGATTTCTACAGTTCGCCGCCGCCTGAGGGATTTGATGTTGGACGTAGCGAGAGCATACTCCGTACTTGGCGGTTGAGATGAAATTGCACAAATGAATTCTCAGGGAACCCCGCCGTAGCCATTCCTGCCGAACACTACTCCACCAGACGCCATATCAAGAACGCGACATCCATCCGTGCCTGTACTCTGGATTCGTACCTCTGCCTCCAGACCTGCAATTGCGCTTTTCAACAACATCATTCCACATCGACACGACTTCAGCTCTCCAACCTCCGCGCTCCTCCAAAACTCAAGCATCCGTACAATAAAGTCGAACTCAGACTACGATAGACCTTTCGGAAACCTGAGCCCCGTGCTCTGTCTCGATACTCACTTGAGCCTCACCTCACGACCAATACCACTGCCCCCCAATATGGTAAGAGAAATGTATCCTCAGTCACACCATTCTCAACCCTAAATATACATTACATCATATCAATCCTACAGCATCCACTGACACTGATGCCACGTATAGTCCCTCCGCCTAGCACCCCCGTCATCCCACCCGACCACAACCTCCAACACAACCACAGCATCGAAGAGCATCGCCTCGACTAAAGACTCCCTGGACCGCGGCGCACCCTCGGCCCCAGGTCTGCACGATACGCTGCGCGCCTCTCTCTCGACCGTCTCGCCGTCCTCCACGACGCAAATCTCGTCCTCGCACCCCCTCGAAGCCCGCCTCCAAGCATGGACCGCCACCCAGGAATCGACACGCCAAAACATGCTGCGTCGGACGTTTGGCATCGCCGAGCCGCTCCGCCGGGGCATGGAACTCAAGCTGGTCCGCGACGCCGATGGGTTTCGACCGTCCGCTCTGGGCGCGCCAGGGCGGGTGCATGAGGATATCCTCTGCGGACGGGACACCGAAATCAGCTGGGAGGATGTGTATAATGGGCAGGACGGGCTGCGGTTGTCGAGCGGCGGAGACGGGCAAGGGGTCGGGTGGATGGAGGAGATGGAGCGGAAGGTGGGCATGGGCAAGTGGTGAGGGTGTGTGCGTGGACGGTAGAGCGAGAAATATGGTATGGGAGCGAGGCAATCAGGCAGGCAGGCGCACGGGCCCGATATGAGGGTAACATTACTGCGACAGGGAAGAATCATGCTGCTGGCTGTACTGTGGTAAGAGCCATGCCGACCGTTGCCGACGCTGTTGAGGAGGAGTTAACATCATCTGCTGGCATGCAATTTCCGGGCAGAACAAGCAGAGGTGTCCGTCCACCCAAGCGTCTACAGTGTCTCCTCTTCGAGCGAAAAAAACAGGACTTACGTTCTCCAGTGCCTAGTGTTTCCGCAAAAGTCTAGGCCATCCTCCTACAAGATCATACCCATCCAGCCTGACGTCCATCCATCCACACCCCGTGCGATAGGTTCCGTGGTGTCCTTCCGTATCTTACTTATCATCTGTGCGGTGCAGAAGAGCGTGGTCGCCGTCATCCAGCTCTACATCCGTCCGTCCATCTGGCCATCAATCGTTCATTCACTCATTCTATGAAACCCCCCGTCCATCCTCGTCCACACACGCCACCTGCAGAGGAAAAGAAGAAGTAGAGTGGTTGGTTGGTTGGTTGGTCGACTCGGTCGTTCATGGCCATAAATCATGTATAACCCCTCGTCCATCCTCGTCCACGCACGCCACCTTCAGTAGGAAAAGAAGAAGTAGACTAGACTAAGTAGACTAGACTAACCAGGTTGGGTCCATTCCTCCGTGGACACATGGACGTGGTCCGGGCACAGGTAGATTTTCGAGAATGGAAATAGTCCTGTCATACGGGAGAATACACACGTACTCCCTTCCGAAGGTCACACATATATATCCTCATTTCTCACGCTGAGGTTCGCTTGCTCACACATATCCTCATTCTCACGCTGAGTTTCGCCTGCTCACCCTTACGCTCACTCACTCACTCATTCACCCACCCTCGCTCTGATTCTGACGTCGACTGGGTCACCCTTACACTTACTTTCGCTCACTACATATCAGTCTAAGATCCATTCAACCCAGTGTTGATGGCGAGGATCTGACGAGCCAGGGACGAGAGTCGGGATGAGTCGTGGCACTGTAGCCTTGCTACCTAGTAGTCAGCAGCTGGATTCTGGCATCATCATGTACTCCGTCCCCCAGTTAGTACAAGAGTTATCCCGTCCGCCTATCAGTATCCATAGTCCCGTGCAACGAATATAGTGGTGTGGCAGGAGACACTCCAAAACGCGGAAAGTTCTTTGCAATGGGGCAGAAAATGTATATGCATCTTAGTCAACATATATACTCCGGTGCGATGCCTGGAAGATGCGACCTCCCCCCTTACCCCTGACCTCGATTTGGGGCCCAGCCTTGACATAAACATCAAGGCATCAAAATCCCTAGCCTGAAAGACAGACAGTATTCCGTCCACCACGAAGATCTTCTCCAAAGAGCAAACCCTCTCTCCATATTTTCAATGCTGTTTCCAGTCCTGGCAATACTCGGCTAGTTCTCGGCCAGCCCGCTCTCCATGCGATAGGCCAAGCCCGCCAATACTCAGTCGCTTTCCTTCCCCTCAAACTGCCTGTTTTATTCATCAAATGATCTATCACCCCGTTGCAGGTCCCCAAGAGATGCTCTGCCAAGTGGTCGCAGACGTAAGCCCAGGAGGAGAAGTGGATGGAAGGAGGAGATTCAGCCTCCCGATCCTCTCGCAGGCTGAACCGTGTGATAGATCCCAATAGCCTACCCAAACGCCGCGCCAACAAAGTAGCGAAAGAAAGACTGAAAGACAATTTGGTCGGGCATTCGGGCCAATTGAACAACAAAGGCGCTCCATGGCTAGCAAGGCTGCCGCGTAGTCAATCAGGACAACAAGACACATGTTCAAGCGTGGCTGTGCGTATGCTGACAACATGTGCACTTCATGATTGTTCGAGCCATGTACCAGCAAGCCTATCCACATGGTGGCTCGCGGACAACGAGATTCAAAATTGTGTCGAGCAATCACATAATGATACAGCGACAGCCGGGACTTCTGTTCTCTTCACGGTGTGTCGAATAGGTCGACTTGCCACCTTTGGCATCTTCTTCCTCAACAAAGTCTTGCGGTTTGATGGTCATGTGTAGAACGTTCGGTGAATCAGTGGAAAACTTGTAATCTATTGCGCGAGCCACGGATTAGCATAGAGTCTAGTCGCACCGCATTGGCTTATGGCAGCCAGTCTCTTACCTTTTAAGGATGCCTTATCGTCCAACAACTTGCCCATATTGATCAGCCGAATCGAGGTTGGACTCGACGGTTTTGCTTCCCAGTCTTCCCGCCACTCGCGCAGAATCAACTCTTTCAATTTGTAGACACTTAGATTGAAAGGATCATTGGCAGGTACGTCTACACTGCGCTTTGCAAAGTATTTGCTATCCAGCTTGAAAGGATGTCGCGCTCCCGAGGTCAGGAGCAACGTGACTGTGAGCGCGGGTCCCGTAACCCCCGTCGTCGCTGACGGCGATTCGCCGTCCTTGGCTGGCACTGTCGGTGATGCTTCATCTGAAGAAGGGCCGATGGCTGTAGAGAATTGCCCTGATATTTTCTGTTCCGATTCCGCGATCACGGCGGGCACCGGCGGAGGCGGAGGAGGGTTCAGAGACTGGACCATGGCAGTGTTTGTATCCATCCGAACCGGGCCGTGCATGCGCGGCACTTGCGATTCGCCGGAGGGCTCGGTGTCTGGAGGAGATGCAGAGACATCGTGATGATCTGAGGTAGGAGGGTTTGGAGGCAGGTCCGACATGTCGAGGGAGTGAGACAAGAATCGATTGGCTGGTGCTGGACAAGATCGTGTCGCAGTTGAGAGATTTCCTGAGGCCGCGGCCGACTGCAGGGACTCAGCGGGACGATTGAGGTCGATGGCCGTGCGAGTAAAGGCTGGACTTATCGCCTCACCATCTGCGCAAAGAGATCGAGTCGGACGGGAAAACAGAGATGATGGGGATGTGGGTTGGCTGATTGATAGCAATTCACATAGAGCCAGAGCAGCACCCAGTTGAAGCGAGTGACTAGAGATGGAACACGGGCGCCAAGTTTCTGGAAAGAAACAAGATCAGAGTCGCCCGAGGTGGTGGTGATGGATGAGGCGAAGCTGAAGGCCAGACTGACAGAGGCGGGAAGAGAACCAAACCGGTCTCCCGTTCGGGCGCGGCTGTTGCTGTCGCTGTTGCGGCACGAGAGAGACTCGGCTAAATAACTAGACGTTGCACTCGAATGCTGCTGCAGATGTGAAACCGAGACACGGCGTCCTTTAATCAACCCTGCACCACTTCACAATCAGTAGAGATAATTAGTATGATACTGTCTGTAGCGACCGTGATGGCAGCGATCAGTCACGACTCACTGCATCCACACTGACACCCGCTGGGTCAAGCAGCTGCGATGACGCCAGGTGCCTCTTGCTACGGGGATGCCGATCGATCGGCTCTTGACGTCTGGAAGCACATGTGGGATTTCTGGGGGCGTCCCTGGGTCGCCTCTGGGCTGGTTCTCCAGTTAAAGACCTGCGGAACCGTCTTCCCCAGGACGCTCGGCAGGAGCGGGCTGCTCCTGCAGTGGTAAGAACTATAAGCCTAACTTTCCGGGTGCTGGAGCACGTGCCAGGACATGCCCAGGGGCCGCCCATCTGGTCCGCCCGCCTAAACTCGTTAATCCCATCCACTGCTTCGTCTTCGTACAATACTCGGTATGACCGCTGACGTCCATCCTCGAGGGAACCGAAGAGTATGATTACGAGTGCGTCGGACGGGAATGGGGTCTTTTTCAGGCCTGACATATTTCAGGAATCTGGATTGACCCAGCCGTGATAACGATCCCCCTCTTCAATCCTTATGCCATCATTCTCCTGCTTGACGCCTAATAACTTGACATTCCCAATCTTCGCCCCAGTATCATCTTGACTCTTCCATCCCTCGAGCCTAGCTTGTAAAGTCTTCAGAACAGCAGGATCGTTCTTCAGGAGCAGGGCGACAGCATCATATCCGCCCGCCCCAGGCGCAACGCCTCCCACCACCCCGGGTATCGACGAGCAAAAGTCCAACAGCTCGGTGATCACAGGCGGTTCAATAGGCACTCCGGACTTTACAGACATCTCGCGCACGAGACTGCGGACCGTGAGAATGATGTCCTTTAATGCTGTGAAATCACTGTCGACGGCCTCAACTGCTGCCAGCCGCCTCAACTCGCGACACAGGTCTTCCTGGCCCTGCTGCAACGCATTCCACAGTAATGTCGCCTCGTCGGTCTTCTCCTTCCGCCACTGTAGAACCTTCTTCACCATCCCCGGCGTCTCGGATCCACAGTCCACATCACACATGACCAGCAACAGACTCTGCGGGATTCGCACCGCTTGACTCGCAACTTCGACATCCCACTTCGATTCACGCTGTAGGTCATCCACGCAGAGGCGCAGCCGCTCGCCGAAACCCGCACTCGACGGCTCTCCGACATTCTCGAGGATCGTGGGCGTAAACCGCCGATAGAGACATGATCCGTAGACTGCAGCAGCAACATCGAATCCCGACCCGACCTTCCCCTGGGCAGCGCAGTGCGCAGCCTGGGCTAGATTGTGAATTGTCCGCTGATTCAGCGGTGTCTCATCGTCAAATTCCCTCTTCTGCAGACACCAAGCCAGAAGCGCAGAAACAAGCGACGTGACCAGCGCGGCCGAAGAGCCCAAGCCCGTCTTGTGCGCCTCACTGAGCCGAACGCTGAAGTCCCTCCATTCACCAGATCCTGAAGATGACTGCCCTTGCACGAGAGAGGCGGGACCCGAGCTCGTAGGTTGAGAGTAGTAATCGTGATCCGCCAGGATCGTCACCTTCACGGGCCCCCTCCCCAAAATACCCTCCTTCCCTCCAGGCACAAACCCTCTGGCCACATAAGTCAAAACATACCGCAACGTCGTCTCCACGAACTTGTTGCCACTGGCGGAGAACCCTGCGTCCTCCTGATCACGCACTTGTTCGACGTGCACAGCCGCATCGTTGCCCCCGGCCAAGACGTCGCGAAACCCTACCCTGTACAGCCACCGCGCATCCCTGAACTGAGGTGACTCTACCTCCACGATGCTGGTGTGCCCATCGCTGATTATGTCGACTTGTGCGGTTGCGGCCGCGCTTGGTCGTTGCCTTGCGATGGCATGAATCCGGGCATTCAGTCCAAAGACGAGACCGGTGTGTTGGCGGTCAAGCACCAGGAACCCGCCCGCGAAGAGGACCTTGCCTGGCGCGGACACGGCTATGGGTGGGAGAGACATTGCGACGGGAAGGATGTCTGCAGCCAGGGTCCCAAACAAGCAGGACGGCGCTGTGGGGAGAGAAGTCGTGTCCAGTCTCGCGAGAGTTGTGCTGAAGTTGATGGATACCGGCATACACCATACGGGATTATGAGATGGGTACTCGGTGTCTCGTGGGGCCAGTTCAATAACTTTCTAGACCACTCAGAGCCCAGAGACTGTTAAAGTGGGTCCGAGTGAACTGTTTAGGTCACAAACTCGGAGCTTGGCGTTCACGTGATCAAGAAGGCACAGATGTAATGACAGGACAGGACGGCAAGCGCTTTCACTTCACCCTCGCGTACCTTTATCGTGCCGTTGCATGCAACAACGTGTAGGTGTGTGACATGATCGCCCCATCTCCAAGCCACGAGCAAATCATGCTCGAATCACCTTCGATAGCCTAGAGAAGTCACCGTATCTATGCTGCGGGGTGATCTTGTGTAGTGTCACGGATCTCAAAGTCATCATGTGCTATCCAACCGCCTTCTACGCGGCTCTTTATCTCCCAGCCGCTATCTATCCTGGCCATTGAACTCCACCAAACGCCTGACCACATCAAAGAGCCCAGCATCATCAGCCGTGACGGCGCCGCGAGCATCTATCCGCCTCCTCAACGCATCGTCCAAAAGAGCTCGCAACCTCGAAGCCAGCACCCCGATCCTCGCCCACCCCTTCAGTCTCAACCACCCATCCACAATCACGCCCTGCCCGGACGTATCGACCTCGATCGGCCCACCGAACAACAGCAACGAATAAGCGTTCAAGGGCGTCAAATCGCGAATAAACGTCTTGCTCGTCTCCATCTTCGTGAAATAGCTTACGAAACTTGCATTTCCCGAGAAGGACTGCGCGTCGAAGAGGACACTGCTCGGATGCACAAACACACGGCCATTCTCCTCGTTGAAGTACTTGATCGTTTTGGCCTCGGGGTCGAGTTCCTTCGCCCCGCTCACCGACGCGATGTACTTCTTGTCGGGCATTTGTATGCGCGCGATCTGAGGATTGAGAGCACCTGCTATCAAGGCTCGGAGGAGCATGTTATTGCCCTTGTGGCGATTGCCGTCGTTGGACTGGCCGTTGCGGTACGTAGGTGGCAGAAGCCCTGCCTCGATCAAGGAGTCGAGGAGTTGGCGACGTGTCGAGTCGATGTCGCGGAGGGTCTGCTGCGACAGGAACTTGGACGAGCACCAGTTCTGCACGTCGCGGTAGCGTGAAGAGGCAGAGACCTCCTTCCACTGGTCGAACGCTACGCTATCAAGCAGCAAGTCACCCTCCGAAGTTGGGAAAGACATTCTCGCGTCCTTGGCTTCATCACGCTTGTCGCGTGGGGAAACGAACGGGCTTTTCGTCGTCAAGATCGCAGCTATGGTCAGACAGACCTCAACGCAGCCGAACAGGACGCCGTACACGAGCAGTTTCGCGCATCGAAGGTCGGCTGGAATCATCGACAAATAAGTGCCAAGGCCAGTCAGGCCGTCGTTCTCCAACGCACCCATCCTCTGCAATGTCTTTATGGCCGTGGCGACGGCCCGGCTGTCGGGAGGTGAAATCGTCCGTGCCAGGAATTCCTCCACCTTACGGTCTGAGCCAGTAGCCTTCACGGAGAGACACAATTGCTCCAATGGCGTCCTGTGCATCTCGGGTGCCGCTGCCGCTACCATGTTGGCCTCGACATTCCTCGTAAAGAGCTTGTAGCATTTCCCGGCCTGCACTCGGCCTGCTCTGCCACGCCGTTGTTTACATGCGGCCTGGGACGCCCATACTTCCTCCAATCGTACGATGTTGGAGACCGGGTCATAATTCGTCTCCTTGACCTTCCCGGAGTCGATCACAGCGACAATGTCTTCAATAGTAATGGACGTTTCGGCGACGTTAGTTGCGACCACGACTTTTCGTTTCCCTGCCGGAGGCTGCTTGAAGACCAGTCGTTGTTCGGTCGGCGCGAGCGACGCGTGTAAAGGGAGGGCATAAGTGTTCGCCATGTCAGACAACGACTTGAGGCAGCGGTCAATCTCCATCGTGCCGGGCATGAAAATCAAGACTCCGCCACGTGTATTGCCTAGTTCTTGATCGATATGGCGCACGAGTGAGGCAATCAGCTCGTAGTTGATTCCAGTTCCGAGCCCTTGTATAGCTTTTCCAATGCTCTGTTCGTCCTCCCAGTCGGACTCCTGTTTATTGCCACTACCGCCCGTCAGCCTCAGGACGTCATCAAGGTAATAATCCTCAACAGGGTATGCACGCCCTTCGATGTGAACCCTGCCCACGCGGTCCCCACCGAAATAGTTGGCGAATGTATTTGCATTCAGCGTAGCACTCATGAGCACGACCTTCAGACGAGGCAACCCGGGTAGAGCATCGCGCAACAGCGCCAGAAGGAAGTCGGTATCAAGTGAGCGTTCGTGAACTTCGTCAATGAAGACGTGACTAACTCCTGCCAATGCAGTCTTGACACTAGAAGAACTCTGTAGCCGGCGCAAGAGGACACCAGTAGTCTGGAATGTGATCTTGGTCCTGGAGGAGGTCTTGGAGTCGCCTCTGATTATGTACCCGACGTCGTCGCCTTCGTTGCAGCATCGCTCTGCACTCACACGCTCGGACAGTGAGAGTGCAGCGACTCGTCTCGGCTGTGTACAGATGAGATTGGCTGAGGAGCCTCGCATACTCTGGATGGCGTCGTCGAGTATGAACTGTATGGCTTGAGTGCTCTTGCCCGATCCGGTCTCACCTGTAATCAAAGTGACTTGAGCTTGGTTGACCACTCTGACAATTTCGTCCTGTGTGGACCATGCTGGCAATCTTTGTCTCGCGGCGTTCATCTGTCGCTGCTTGTCTGACGACTGCCGCGCCTTCCAGGTATCAAGCATGACTTGACTCGATCTGCTGTCCTTGAGATCGACTCTCTCAGCTTTTTTCGGACGCAAAGGGAGCATGTGCACATCTTCCTTTGAACGGGGAGTCTCCTTGCGCATTGTCTCGGATGATATCTCCAAGTCGCTTAGTTTGCCAGGATCCTGGATAATGTCAGGCATTGAACTCTCCAGCCATTCTAGTATATTGAAAACCATAGAGTCTCCGAGTAGACCGTCCTGTGCATATGTGATTGCTTTCTTGGCTGCACTCAGGCGTATGTAGCTGGGTACATTGGGAGCTTCGATGGTGACGATAGGTGGTACGTCTGGATATCCAGAAACAGGGCGCCGAAAATGGTAGGTTGCAGGGATATCTGATGTTGAGTCTGCGCGAATGGAGCATTGATCGGGTCCTGATGCCTTGAATCTGCTATCAAGAATAGATTCGAGTGCACTCATCTCCTCGCCCCAGATCTGTGAATCAAATGCGACACCCGAGGTAGTGGCTTCCTTAGAGGGCACGAGCTTGGACTGCAGAGCCTCTGCTGCTAGCGCCTCATTGCCATCGTTGTCTCGCAAGGCCTGCAAACACAGCTGAGTTGCGTATCCGCCCACGGCCAGCCTCTTCACTTTGGCGTCGGTTGCGAGATCACTAGTAACTAGTGTCACCCCTGCACTGTATCCCGGAGGGAAACTCCAGGCCGGCAAGCAGTCCTCGGGAACATGAATGAGAAGCCACTCCAAGACCTCTTCCCGAGTCCCGCAACAGCCAAGAGCCTCCTGAATATGGCGTTGTTGAAAGCCCGACTTTGCCAGGTCGGATTCGATTGAAGCTTTGTCTGTTTCCGACAGCGTAATTGCGCTCCGGTTCCAGACGCTGTGTGTTCTGATCAACGATTCTATCCTGATGCGGGCATCTTGTCCCAGCTCAATGCGCGGCGCTCGTTCCCAGCTCCTGGCACCGATACTGCTGAAACCAACACCCACAAGACTCACTGTCTCTGGTTTGAGAGGCTTGCGTGCTTGCTCCTCCTTCCTCTTCTCCATGGCAGCCTTGATTTCCTGGCGCTTGGATTCGGCCGCGAATGGATCGGCGTCATACTTCCAAACTCTGCCTTCCTTAACATCTTCATCTTTGAGGCGCTGGAAATCGCCCTTCCACAGGTCTCGGTAGGTCGGAGGTAGTGCCATAGAAAGATTCTTCATGCTTTGTAACCGGTAGAGAGTATAAGCCGCGGCAAAATGACGGGCCTCAAGAGGTGATGGCTGGTCTGCGAGATGTATATCCGTAGGTGGAAACTGAAACGGGGGGAGCCTTGTGATTTCACCGGACTTCGGGTCTGCTTTAGATAACACAATACACGCCCGGTAGACCTTTTCACCACCATTTGGCGATGAAACCTGGCGCATTTGATAGTCAGGCTTGTTCCATTTCTGGCGTTGACAGTATTCCGACAGCAGATTAACAGGCAGCTTCCCCGTCCAAGACGCTCCTCCAATGATCTTTTTCACATCGGGACGTGGTGCGCCTTCGGCTTCTTTTTGCTCCTGTTTCTTTTTGTCACTCTTCTTGTTGGTGAATACTATGTGATCACTGTCTGGAACGCCTACAGATGAGTTCTTGGGTGCGTTGCCCTTACTCGAGGATGAACCCTTCTTGGGCGCCATTCTGCCGAGCCCTGAGTGGTCGGTGAAGGACCAGAGTGCAGGTAGGTCGGCGTGGTATCTCTTACGCACGAGTGGAGATGCCCGAATTGAGACCCGACTGGTCGAATAGGTGGGTTCTGAAGGGGCGAATCAAGTCTCGTCACAGAGCATCTTGCCACCCCAACGCAGCCACAGCATTTTTAGATAACAGAATAGAGGAACCCAGATAGACTCTTCCACTTGGTCAAGATGGTGAAGGGCAGGGCAATGAATCTGTGGACGCGATGTGGATGAGAGGAACTGCTGGCAGAAGGAAACGTAAAAGAGGCGAGCATGAAAATACGGATCGGAAGACCTGCCTAGACCGGAACACCAGAAACTGGTTGGAACAAGGCTGCCACTCAGCCTCCTTTTAGTTCAGCCTCGTGCCTGTGGACAATCTTCACTAATTAACATATGAAATAGTGATGAAGCAGCACACTGCATCGGCAAATCTCGTTGATGCGCTCACATCAAGGTAATCTTTACATAATTCATGGCTGACCACGTCTTTGTTGCCCAGTGATTAAAGAGTCCCGTTCTATGGCGCTGGGCGGCACCGCCGGACTCCCTCCGCTGCCCCGTGAGAGTTCTTCAACTCCGCCTCAGCCCTCTCCAACCTGACCACAAGCTCGGTTGATGTCGCTCGTAAGTCGTTGCAAGGTTTTGCAGAAGCCCGAGAGCAAGGCCTATTTGACCTCATCGCTCCCGACCAACATGCCAGGGCGCCAATTAGTATCTGTCATAACTTCGTATTTTCGTCGTCAATGTTTCTCATCGAGCGTCGCGACTCTATGATGGAGAAGAACGAATACCGGGATGACCAGTGATGACTAGCAGCTCCAAGTCCGTCACCGCCAGTACCGTAAAGCTGGGGATACAAAGACAGCTCCCTTCGTCCGTGACGACCCGGGATGCGCGTCTTGGTGTGCTGAACGATAAAATGCCTCGTCAGTGAAGCAGTCCGAGTGGCCGTAATCTCACATGCGGATGTAAGGGACACTGTCGTAGAATGACACCATGGATGGTTGAAGTAAAGGTACAGACGCAGCTGGATCTGGCAACTGGAACCCTCTCTGGATCTCCGTCTCGACGAAGGCTGAAGCTCTCTTGTATCGCTTGTCGCAGTACTTGTTGAATACTGCATTGTGGTGCTTGCGCGGATCTTCGCAGCACTCCAGGAGGAGACCGACGAGTGGCTTAAGCTGTGCATAGGTGTAACCAGAATAGTACACATGATGAGGGGTCTATCATTATCAGCAAAAGGCCTTTCCGCGTCGCTGTTGCGAACTTACCCAGGTGCCTTTTCGAAGCATGACGCGTGCTAGGCAATGCGACGCAGCTGATGTAAAACTAGGAGGACTACCGATGAAACGTTCGTCCATCAGCGTGACTTCGAGAAAGTATTTGGCCAGCGTTCGTGTTTCGAGGTCGTAGTCGTCTGCTTTGCTGATTCTCCTCAAGAAGCTCATCGGCCCAGGCCAGCCCAACTCAAACTGGAGCATGGTGAGCATGAATCTCTCAGCCTTCAGAATTTCGTCCATGCTGTAGCCGCCATCGACCATGTAAACAATCTCTTGGACCGAGGGACAATTGATCTCCTCATACTTGGCAGCAATGAAGATGGCTGTCGCGCCAACGAGCTGTAATTTGCCGAGAGAAACAACCTTGCAGGAGAGGAATCTGTCGATGTAGTTGACGGTCAGGAAAAGAGTCTCTGGTAGTAAGTTGAAGCGGAGATGAACTTGAACCAGCCAGTCCATCAACACCGAGCGCATTGACCACTGGATCTCGTGCTGGTTGTCCATGTAATGAGCGTTGGGGAGCATCTTTATCTCGAGGTGCTTCATGTAGTCGAAGATCTCTTCTCCATATTCAGCCACCATACTGGTGTCGTAGCTCTCGTCCTCGACTTCTTCAGGAGAACGAGTCGCCTCGACCAGCTGTTTCGCTGCAGCAATCTCCTTGCGGGCTCGCTGATTCATCTGGGGGAACAGGATTGTGGTGGCCCCTCCCGTGGTATTGTCTCCTTTCGATCGGAATGACCTCGCCGTCACGTAGCTCTCTTCCTCATAGTTGTCATCATCCTCTTCATCCCAGTACTCTTCTTGCTCGATCTTTCGCTGAATGTAGGAGTGATGGGGACTGAGAGGAGGGATGTTCTCGATCGGATTCACAAGTGTTGCCACCGCCATTGGTTGCGCTTCTTTTCGAACAGCTGGAGCATGTGTCTCTGTGGAGCCCTGAAGATGTTGAGGCAGGGGATGGTCATAGGAATGTTTTGAAGGTTGCTGAGGAAGATATTCTGAAGAAGTGACACTAACATCCTTTAACTCGATTTCGTGGTTGGCGTCGCTGGAGACACAGGGTCCAAGGCTGACCTCTTCAATGCCGGGCAAGCTGGTGTCAGACTGAAGACTTTGGGCTTCCTTGGTCGGCTCAGTAGGAACAGGCGCTGGGGCTGGGGGAGGAAGAAGGCAAGTCTGAGGCTCAGCTGAAGTCGTGGCAAGATCCGACACCGGCTCCTTCTCTGGTAGCGCGTTGACAACCTCTGATGAAGGAAGTTCCGTCTCCTGAACAACATCGAGTCGAGTATCCTTAAAAATGGCTGTATGACGCTTGGTCAAGGTTTTCTTGGGTGGCTGTATCGAGACACTATCTGCTGTCGAAGAATTCGATGAGGTCTTCGATGCCGCGACCGCGCTTGCCCCGGCAAGAATGTTCTTCAATCCTTTCTGGGCAGGTCGAAGCAGGGCAAGGGATCTTCTCTGGTCGAGGGACTGGTTGGGTTTAATGTTGCCCTTCGTCTGCAGAGTCGAATCATCTTTGCTTGGTCTACCTGCAGCGATATTGCTCACATCGCCAAAAGCAGACCTCTTCGCCGCAGCTTTGAGACCTTGACTTTCGGCAAACGTCGTCACCAGAGCTGGACTTGACTTGTTTCGTTGATGGATCGTCTTGGTAGGATGGCCCTCAGGGGACAGGTTTTCGTCGTTTCTGACGCGTATAGCCCGCGGTGGGCGCTGTGGCTGTTGGAAACGTCAGCGACATGTGAATGCACTGGGGGCTAGACTCCTCGCGTAATTCCACCACCAGTAAGGAGAGCGCGTCGCTAAGGGGTCTATGTGGCTGCTGAAAGACAACTTCACTCACTTTGACGTCCATTTTTGAGCAGTCCTGACGTCTAGTATCTGACCATGAATCGGTCGAAAGTGTTGGAGACGAGGGAGGGTGGAAGGGTTGGCGGACACTCCTAGGCTATGCTGTACGCGACACAGTCGAGAACATTCAGTCGTAGAGATGAGAAGCGCTCGTGTCGTGAGGGGGAGAGGACAATCGAGTTCAGACAAGAGTATCAATGCAGATTCTATGGTTGCAGGAGGGAGCACCGCATAGTGGTTGGTCCTGACAACAAAACAAGACAGCAGTATTTTGTTATGATGGGTTATGCAAGTTTCGAAGTTGCATGCACAGAGGTAAACACCCGAGTTGGCTGTGATTGGTCCGAGGCAGTGCTGCAAGGCTCTTGCCGCAATTGGCTTGCCAAGACCGAGCTAACCCAAAGCCTAACATGGTAAACAACACGTCACTTCAAGAACGGCCAACTCAGCTTCTGCCAGCTTCACAGCAACCAGCAGCTCGTGTATACAAGGAAGATCTCATCTCCTGTCCCGTCATGGGCACAAAGACGGCCCATTCAATTCTCAGATACCCACGACCGCCAATGCTTTTTGAGACACGCAAACCTCGAAAGTGACGTCAATGTGGGTGCAATTCGCCAGCCGGTCGCGAAGTCACCTGCTTTCAGAGTTTGGCTTTGGGAGAGCTCTGCGCCCAATCATGAATCCATCGCATCGAGCGCGGTGAACAATCATGCTACTTTTCTCATCTCATTCCGGTCGGCACAATAAAGTGTTGCGTTCCACATTGTACCTCCCAACAGGATGTCTACTAGCTCTCCTTCGAATCGCCCAGTTGCCGGATGGTCGCGTTTGAGGCCAGCCGCCCTCCCTGGGGCGCTTACTCAATCTCAAACAAGGTTGTCGGACCGTCGCCACGAATGACACGCCATGTTCAGCGATACAGCAAATGTCCGCGATGACAGCTCTACTAATACCTTGTCAGATAGATCGGGCTAGAAGCATAATTGGCCCGTGAACGCAAGAATTCGAAGTGATGCTCTCACTAAAGAGTGGGCTTTCTGCCAATGTCAAACTGGGCATTTAGTCTCTCTCTGGTTCACTCAATGCATACTTTGTGGAGACTGGTCGCACGTCGCTTTGGGCAGTAAATAAAATGATATATCGCGCCGACAAAGGTGCAACTCTTACAAAGCGACCAGCCGAGGTCTCGGAGTTTCTTGCGCAAAACTTTCCATTTGGCAGCCAGCGAAGCTTGTCGTTAGTATCAATGCGACGGCCCCAATTTGCACGCTGCTGTTTGCGCCGAACCGCGCTTACTACTGGCGACTTCCTATCTGATGTTTCGGCATTCGATCCTGCCATCCGAGGCCATCTAGAGATGCTGGAATGACTAGCGCGGTGTGGGCTCCTCGTCAATGATATTTCTAGAAGTGTTGGGTGGGGATGGCCAAATCTGAGCATCAGTGACGCCAAAAGCGTGTTGATCCCGTCACCGAGCTGAGATGCGATGCGACCTCGACGGTCGGGACATTGGCGTTTCTGCGAATAGTAATGACCTCCGGGTGCTGATTCCCACACCGTATATACATGTAAGGATGCGGCTACTCGTACCATCAGCTTCTCCTGCGCATAAGTCGTGGCGCCTGGTTTGAGGGGCCCGTGAGTTCCGCGCTGCCGCCAAGATGCTGGTCGAAGTGTGGGAACCGCCCGTGCTCATCACTACGGATCGCAAAGGGCCGAACTTGGCTCGAACGATGACCATCTCTTTGCCGCTGTGGCGGGCTGGGAATAGCTCGATCTAACGTAGACTTATCTTCACTCACCAGCAATACGCAGCCAGGCTTCAGGATGGGTGGGCTAAGCCCTCGGAAGTATGTGGGCAATTTGTGGCAGCCACTGCGGCAGCCCACGTTCGAGTTGTCGAGGGATTGGTCGAATGACGGCGGCGCATGCTTGCCTGTTTCTGCGACGGCCTCTTGAACGGCATCCAAACTCCTTGAACTCCACTCAAATACGGCTCGTCGAAGGTCACAGCTCCGGCCTGCGGTATTACAGGCCCAAACGCTGACGCTTGCTAATCTTTGCCATAGCGGTCCTACGACGCTCACCAGACCAATGCACGACCATCATTTCACCCGAATGAGGGGTTCGCCTTTTTTCGATTCTTTTTACTCCTGCAGCCAGCGCATCGCCGGGTCTGGCTCGCATTTAATGTCCTCACCTTTCCGCGTTCGAATCACTGGGACTGCTCAGCTCCGCCTGCTGACTGCCTCGGGGTCTGGCAAACTCTTTGTGTCTGGTGCCCGGTCTCTAATCCGGCCATACACAACCAAGGCATGTTCTCAGCCTACCAGTGCCGGATGGGCTCACGACACCGCCCGGATTATCACCTAGGGCCATTGGCTCATGGCTTGACGGACCATCCTGTCACCTGATAGCGCTATAACATCAAGCGACCGACCTAGATAGTAAATGGTCGCGGTCCAAGATATGCACCGGCGCTATGCCATGCAATTGAAGCTCGACAGAGTAGTCACTGTACAGTAGTCTGGTGCAAGATACGAGGCTGTTTGCTCGTCGTTTTCTTGGGCGGCCAGCTTCGTCTTCTGTGCGAATAATCAGCGTCTTCATAATCGTAGTTTTCTACACTGCTCGAAGCGCACGTTCTTGTGGTACGAGTACGTACTGGCATAGTTGGACCGGGGGTGGGCCCCGTTTCACACACCCGTTGACCATTGCGCATCCCAAGCCTCGATTCGCACCTTGCCTTCCCTTCTTCCCTTGACCTCAACCCTTCGCCCTGTTTCCTGTCGTTACCTTTTCACCCCGTATCTGCAACCGCTTCAGGCCATTGGAGTGCCATCGAGAGAGGCCCGCCGTTCTACCTTTACTCTTGACATCTGTTGGGGCTGCCACACCAGACATCACCATCGCCGTTGTCACCATGCTCTAGCCCTCAGCGATGCCTGGACGGTAGAGCCGGATACCATTGCAACTCCCGTTGCGCACTTCCCAGTCCTTGTCCTTTCAGTTCTCAGGCCGTCGCAAGCCTTCACCGTTGCCTTCTGTGGCCTCCACTTTGTGTGAGTTGCATACACTTTGGCGGTATGTTGAAGCCCACAGTCCCCCAACCATCTGCCACATCGCCAGGCCCGTCCGTCTGTATTGGTCAATTCCAATAAAATGTACCTGGTCGCTAGAGCGGAACAGAGCTAATGATCACGTTCAGGACTTTCACCACTCGAAATCCGGCCTCGACTTTCTATGACGAACCCTCCCTGGCCTCAGCCGATCATTAATGATCGTTCCCCCAGCGCCCGCAGTATAAGAGACAGAGCACATAACCCGAAGCCCTTAGACGGTATGCAGGTATCTAGCCTGCTGTCTGCCGACGGTGAACAGACACCCAAAGCGAAAATGCTTCCTGCCAAGTCTGTCTCCTTTGAGCTCCTCCTGGACGAGGGCTCAAAGACGAGGGCACGTATCCCACTCCGAGTGGTGCTTAATACCCATGATAGTACCGAGTCTATCATCACCACAGTCAAGAATTTCTACGGCATATATGACGGCCATGGAGTGACCTTTGAAGATGCCTTGGGAAACACATTGATTGCCTCGTACGACAATCTGGCTCACAACTCCACCGTTCATGTGCGCATTGTGCCGGCTCTACAAGCTACAGCAAATGCGAACCCACATGGATTCCATCTTGAGAATGGCTATGAACCTAGACGACGGCCCAGTTTAGGTGAGCCGTTCTCGATGCTCCCTCCTCATTTGCGCGAGCAGTCTCAGTCGCCTTCGAGGCCTGCCTCGCGGGTTGCGCGGAAACGGAGCACATCTCCTACTCAGGGTCGAGGTCGTCGCAGTGCATCCCAACAGAAAGGCACTTCCTATGGTGCTGCCAGTCGTGGTTCTAGTGCCAACGGAAGCTTCCACGAGGACAATGGATACAGCGATAGTGAGGCTGGGCGCAGTTCAATCTCCGGGTCCAAGAAAGCCAAAAGCGAGCAATTCGCCAGCTCGGACATCAGTACAGCCAACGTCCTGCAAGATGGTCGACGCGGGCAGCCAATCTTTGACAGCTCGGTAAGTGCCCGCTCCTTCCACTTCTCGCTCCCATGCTGACCTGGGCCACCAGACCTTGCCTCTTTTCGTCCCTCCTCAGGTACCTGTGACTGCCTCCCAGTCTTCCATATCACCTCAGCGACGTTCGCTCCCACAGGAGGGGCCCTCCCCTCTACACCCTCCTGGGCAGAAGCTGTACGGATATGGACAAGTTCCAGTTTTTTCCCCACAAAGTTACGGACAGAATTCCAATGGCTTTGCCTATGGATATGGCGGAGTCGAGGCAGTTGCAGAAATGGGGACACCAGTGCACCAACATGGCCACCGACTTCGAGACAGGTCGAGTATGCAGCAAGGCCATAATGGGAGGCAAGGATTTGTTGGCAATGGGGTGCTCCCAACTCCAGACCCCACCGTGGCCAGCTGCATTTCAGATGAAGACGTCGCCCGTACCCTGATTGCTCTTGGAGACGCGTCGAACTACTCCCATGGACGCACCTCCAATTCCACGATGGACGAAACTTTTAGTGCTGTTGCCGACGCGGCTTCCTCTACTGGTGCTACAAGCGACAGTGATGAGTATAGCGATGCGGAGGCAGCGTCGCCTAAACACAGGAAGTATCTGGAAGAGAACGATGCAGATTATGCTCATGACGGCACTAAGGGTGAACTTGACGAGTATGATGGTCCTCCGAAGACAAAGAAAATCAAGACAAAGATGCATGATGGACCCAGCAATGGCTTCCGAGTCAAGTCCACATCATCGATGAAGAACAGCAAGTCAACGAAGCCTCGGACAAATTCGTTGTCAAAGACAAAGTCAGTACAACCAGGACTGATGAAAGCACCATCCATCCCTGCCTCTGCCGGGCAAGTCAGGAAATCGTCGGGTTCTAGCCTCAACTTTCAACATTCGCTCGGCGCAGATGAAGAAGATCTGTCTTCCAAACCACGTTGCCAGCGATGCCGGAAGAGCAAGAAAGGTTGCGACCGTCAACGGCCTTGCGGACGATGCAAGGACGCCGGTATTGGCATTGAAGGATGTATCAGCGAGGACGAAGGGAACGGACGAAAGGGCCGATATGGTAGGCACATGGGAGTTTCTGTCAAGAAAACGGGCGACGGTGCCTTGGCCGACGAGCCTTACGAGATTATGACTGGAGTCGACATGTCCGACGAGGCGGCTGGCATGCACGGCAGTCCCGAGAAGAACAAGAAGAGAAAAAGATGAGCAGCCTGTTGTTTCGACCAATCGCCATCTGGTGTGCAGAGAGGCATCAAGGAGGGTAGGCGCGGCCATTTGGTAAATAGAACTGACCAGGGAGTGGTGAGAAGATTGGATTTGACCAGGCCGCGAGGCCCTCGTGTGAAGACATGGACAGCTGGTGATGCTGGCGGGTTTACATTTGAGCTTTGTTTTCCAAACGAGTTTGGCATTCATTCGGGTCGAAGGAGCGTGGGGCAATTGTCACGCGGTGTTGAGCAAACTGTGAGGGTCTCGTTGTGGGTTGTGTGTCGCTTTGGGACGCAAATTGGCGATTGCTTCTGATCTATTCTTCCACGCAGAGGGGAGTATCGACTTGACCGGGATCCAGTAGTATCTATGAATGTACGAAATGAGAGGGACTCTGTCCCGTGCAAATACGAGTGTTCGATTCTAGCGATGCGCAGCCGACACAGCCTTGTGCGGGGTGATTTCACGACGAGGCTGAGCTTCGCCAGTTAGCGAGTCGAGCGAGTGGAGACTGCGAAATATTTCCTGATGAGGTTTTGAAGAAGCAGTCATATAGACCTTACTGAGCTTAGATGGTTTAATGAATACCGCACTTCAACGACACCAGTAGCAGCGTCGCTAATGACCACACTCAGTCTCCCCCATCTTGTTCCCGAATAGACCTTGCCGTTCATTCCTACGACTCATTGCATTCTGTTCGCGGTCCTCACCAACCACTTTCACTTCTGAGTTGCACTATGCGTTGCGACTTATGACCCTGACGACGACCCTAACAATTCGGGGGCACCCACAAGACACTCGCTATGCCAGATACACCTGCAGCCTCAGCTTCAGCGCCCAAGCCCACCACGCGCGGACGCGGCGCACCCAGACCTCGCGGCGGCATCCAGCGGAAATCCAAAGCCGAACGAGAGCAATTCGCCAAAGAAGAAGCTGAGCGTCAGAAAGCGCGCGCTGCCGAACATGAAGCCTCGACGCGGGGCGCGAGGGCGGGAAGCAGGGCAGTGAATCGTGGACGAGGCGGCGGCGCTACACCAGGTCAGCGACAAGGTCCGGCGGCAGGTAGTGGAGGTGTCTTTGGTGGTGGCGGCGGCGGTATCACAACCACGCAGTCGAGGCACAAGTATGAGGGGTATGCTGAGTTATTGGAGGGTGGAGTGAACAGACGTGGTCCCGAGGATGGCCTGCCAGGAGACGGTGATGCCGGAGGTGCCGCAGGAGCAAGCAAAAGAAGTGGTGGTGCAGGCGCAGGCGGATCCAGAGGCGGGGGTGGTGGTGGTGGTGGCGGTGCTAGAGCGCCAACAGCAGGAGAAACGGTAGAGACAACTACAGATGACGAACGCGACGATGGACCGAAACGAGACATCGAGCGCATTTGGATCTCGAGTGACGAGGACGAACACGAACACGAACACGAAGCCGACGATGCCGTCATGTCGAGTTCAGGAAAGGGCAAGCAGAAAGTCACCGCCACCAATGGCGCATCAAAGTCGTCACGATATAGGGCAGGCCTACGACCAGTCCGCGCACCTCGGATGCAGAGAGACGAGGAGGACCAAACCGGGCGAGATCGCAGTGGAGTAGGCCGGAAACGTCCACCTCCAAGCAAGAAACCAGACGTGGGACCCCAGGAGATATCCTCAGATGAACACAGAGAAAGAGACGGCGACGGGGACGGGGGCGTAGAAATGGACATGGATATGGACATGGGCATGGACATCGACAGAGATGACTCGGTCCACTTCATCAAAGAACAGCCCTCGAGTCCGGACCTGCGCAAGCGAGCGCTCAAGAAACAGCCCGGCGGCGTGCCACACAGGCACCATGGGCCCCTAAAAGCTTTCGCCAACGAAACGCTCGAAGACCGAGCCGAGCGCCTGCGCATGCAAGACGACGTCGACAAGCTGCACCATATCTTCGTTCCCAGGAACGATAACAGTACCAATGGGGATGTTGACCACGAGCCCTCGAATCTCCACGACGGAAAACTCCTCCTCTTCCAACTTCCCCCCTTGACGCCCTTTCTGATCGACCCGGGCGCTTTTGCGGACTCGGAACCAAAATTCAAGACCGAGCCCTCGACGGCCACCAACGGCACCGTCGACCTCGATACCCTCCCTGACGCCGCGCCTCCCACGACAGAGACGGACGGACCCGTGAAACAGGATCCGGACCGCAACGTACTCGAAGACAAGTCCGCTTCCCGAAACAAGAACCAGGATCAACTACTGCCCGGCGCCGACGGCCTCCTCACGGCAACAGCACCCCTGGAAGGTCGTCTACCCGCCGGTGTGGTGGGCAAGTTGCAAGTCCACAGGTCCGGCAAAGTCACGCTAGACTGGGGCGGGACGGACATGGAAGTCAAGCTTGGGAGTGAGGTGGATTTCCTGCAGGATGTGGTGCTCGTGGAGCGGGGTGGCAGTAATGGGGATGGAGATGTGGCCCAAGATGATGAACATGAACACGCAGATAGTGGTGGTGCTGGTGGTGCGGCGGGAGGAGGCAAAAAAGACAAAGACACCAAAGGAGCGGGCAAAGCGTACGCTCTCGGCCACGTGAGGCACAAGATGATCTTGATCCCGGACTGGGCCAAGTTGTATGATTGATTGATTGATGACGACAGTGGACGATTGATCGAGGACTCACAGTAGCTGTTCCCGAAACAAGTGAGCGTATGCGAATGAACAAGTGGTGCCTGGCTGGCCGGATGGATGGATGGATGGATTGCATGGAAAGGAGAAGCGGCACATACAGAACAAGATACCCTCCCTCATTGTATCATAGCATAGCGAGACATGGTGTCGCATGGCGACGGATATGTATATTCCCTTCACGGCGGAGGGGAATAAAAGCCATTGCAAGACAAGATGCCGCAGATGTACTCCATAGCATGTGGACATGTCGAGATATATGTATGCTTGCAAGCCTGCACGATGTATTGCTATACCGGCTCTACAGACTCTGAAACTGTGATCCCACTCGAGCGAGTGGCTCCCTCGTCTGTACTTCGCATGTCGAAAGCAGACAATTTTCGAAATACAGAATATACGACTCCTGGACCAAGCAAGGCGTACCCAATAGCCGCCCACCCAAACTCCAGGCCTTCCTTTTCCTGCCCTTGTCCTGTGCTGTACGTTGCGCCGGACGCCGCTCCAGGCCGTTTGATCAGGGCTGTCTGATCGATTGATCATTATATCCAAAAATTCCCTCCCGATCGACTCCGCAGTGCGGAAGCGCAATGGTAAGATAGAAAGCAGTGAGCCACTTCCGGTACTCCACTCACTCTGCGTCCTTGCCACGAGTCTGCAATCGAGCAACCTCTTGACGGCAACCCAGACACGCCCCCCTACCCGAGACCTTACCAGCAGCTGCCCTCTTCTTTTTATGTCTTTGTCTTCACGCACTCCAAGTCTGCGGCTTCCGCACCTCCATTTCCAAGTGGGCGCTATCACCAGCAAAGGGCGCTTGCGTCGGTTCCGCCATCGCTACCGCCCGCTTACTGCTCCTCACCTGCCCGATCTGACCCTGGATCGTGCCTAGGCCGATCGTCCCAGGTACAGGGCTGGGCCACTGATCCGGCACGGGCGGGAATGTCTGCGTATACACGACAGGGACCTGCGCGAACGACCCCGGCGCCACCTCGCTGTTGATGTAGTACGTCGTGATCGGGCTGATCTGGCCGACTGCCGTTGGTTGGGCGTCTGGGGCAGGGGCGGCCACGGGGGCGCCTTGGCGTTTCTTGAGTTCCGGGACGGCGAAGGCGTCGAGGCCCAGCGGGAGGATGATGTCGTCGTCGGGCGCGGGCGTCGGTGTTGGCGTCGGCATCGACAACGTGGGGATCGAGGTGACGGGCGCGAGGGTCGCCACGGGGACCCAGCGTGCGGTGTCGAGTTCGAGTTCCGAGGGGAGAGCGTGGTTTCTTAGATTGTTGTTGTCGATGGGTGGGTGGATGTCTTTTAGGGGCACAAAGGCCTGGATCGTGCCGTAGAGGAGGGAGGAGAGGAGTAGCGTCTTCATCGAGGGTATCGAGATCGCCATGGTGGAAGAAATTCGTGCTCGTGGTATCGTGTGCTGTTCAGCTCGTGTGGTCGATGAGCGCGAGCCTCGTTTTCGTTTGTTCAGATCGTGGTAGTGTGGTGGTGTGATTATTGTTGATGTTATGCGACGGTAAAAGGGGGTTTCCCGTAGAATCAAAGGACACGTCTCGGTGCGGCTTGCATACTCGGTACGCACACTGTGCGGCAGTAAGGAACGACGGTGAGGGACCCTGTGTAGGAATGTGTGAGGGCAAAGACTCCAGGTCTGTGAGGCTCAGCTGCAGTCAAAGGTGCATGAACACGAGCTGCTGCTTACGCGTGGCAGGAGGCCGCGCTGAGAAAATAGCAATCACGGTGTTTCGGCCTGTCAGACTCCTTTGTCGGCCGCAGCCTTCTTTGGGCAGCCAATCGCTGGGGGTGTAGAGCCCCTTGAGCTAGCCGTATATGGATTGAGCGGGGCCGACATTGCGACACTCCGATCACCGTGCTATGATTGGTCGAGGTTGAGGAACACAATAATTCACGGGGCAACGCCGATGATCCTTTGATGAGTATACAATACCGTCCTCCGGACTGTGATACGATTATCAGCTACATACGGGGGGAAGGAAGCCAACCGTCCAGCCCATCGAGCCCATAATGATCACCATCAGCGCCAGCCCGACACCAACGCTGGCCAACCCATATGTCCAACCATGGCGCCGCCGCAGCCCGTGAAGCTCAGCAACCCAAGTACTCACAGTCGTCAAGCAACCACAAAATCCTTCCATGATGCCCTGCAGGACGACACAAGCATTCGGCTCTGATGCTCCAACTCTAGCGGCGTGCTGCAAGTCGAAGGCCATTCCCAGCACGGCTGTTCCGAAGATGTTGGCTGCGAACGTTCCCAGAGGAAAGCTGGGTGTGATGGCGTTCATATGTTTTGAGGCGTAGAAGCGAAGAAGGCAACCCAGTGGCGCGAACACCAGTGGCATGACTGCTCGAAATCGCCAATGCGTATCGTTCCCTGGGGCCCAGATCGCCAGGAACACGGCCCCAAGCCAGCATCCGAAGCCGAAGAGCACAGCTAGCGGATCAAGAACCCTCCTGCAGAGATTGAAGGGCAAGGTCGGGGTTGTTGGCTGAACAAGCAGAGCCAGTTGTGCTCCGACCTGAAGGGCGGCTAGGGAGATAGCTGGGTGGATGATCATGATAGCCAAAAGAGCTAGGAACGAGAAGCCACCGTTTCTGTGCGCAACGCTTGTATCGACGTGATAGGGCGAAGTGAGTGATGGCGATTGGAGTGCATTCGTCAACGCCAGAAAGCAATCGCGGATGAAGGACGAAAAGGACGTGAACGAGCCGCAGAAACCTGTAGCAAGGCCAATGTAGAGAGGAATGGTCTTCTTGACCTTGAGGTGGTTCGAAGCTGGCGCTTTAGGGTCTGGAGATCCCCATTCTTGTTGGAATAGCTGGCGATCTTCTGCGAGGAAGCCCAAAAACAAGGATCCCCCCAAGTTCGCCCATAGCACCCTACTAGGGAACGGTGAGTTGGGATACAGAGTGAGTGCGACCACTCCGAGGCGTGCCAGAGTCCCCAGGAGCGAGAACAATACCAACCACGAGATTGTGTAGAGTTCTGTCACCCACCGCTGGGGGTTATTTTTCTTGGTCGTCGTATCAACTGGCTTTTGCGTCTCTTCCATACTCCTGCTAGCATGTCCTGCCTCTTCGTCTTCACGCCTCCCTCTTTCCGTAGCGGGTTTGGGTACGGCTAGCTCTCCCAATGCAGCTTCATCCTCGTGTCTGCTCAGTCGCCGCTCCTCGCCCTCGAGCGAGGGTCTTCTAGGGTCTTCCGCATCCGCAGGCTGAGGAATGGCTACTTCAGTCAGTTCCGCGTTGTCCTCCACCTCGTCGAACTTTTCTCTCGGTCTCGACATCTAGTCGACGGGAAAACTGTAGGTTCGCAGTATCTGTGGTATTCAGAACGCTATGCTTCAATCAGCAGTCCGGCAAAACATGCTGTCTTCGTCCGTGCAATAAGCTGCAACGCGCTGGTCGTAGTTTTTCAGAGCACATTTGCAGAAGTCGCTTACGTCAGGGAGTCATTCGCCAGTGACAGGCGATTGATGAGAGATGGCAGATACGACGGAGAGGCTTCCTGAAGCACAAGCTACGTGCTGAATGCACAGAAAGCAAGTGTTTTGCGGGAACTGAACATCTACCTTGTCCTTCGTTAAACCCGCTCGGAGATGAGAGCGAGAGTCCCCCAGCTCGCCCGGTAAACAATTATTTGACGCTGCAGTCGCATCACGTGACTACAGCAGGGAGACCCTCCCCGCCGATAAAAGCGGCGACACCCCGCCAACGACAACTCCGGAAGAATGCCCGCATCTGCGGCCGATAAGGAAAACGCGCTTCACGTCGCATCCTCACTTCAGATGACCACTTCTGTACTCCGTCCAATGTTTCTATGAGACCACTTTGTCGATAGGCTTTCTGTATTGTATTCCTATCATCACCTCCGTAGACATGGCTTCATCCCTGCCTCCAAATGTCCACATCTCTAAACATCCGTGCCTTCGTGCAAAGCTGAGCCAGCTGCGTTCGAAAAGCACGAATGCTCGAGAGACCAAGGCACTCGTGCATGAGATTTCCTTGCTGCTGGGTTCAGAGGCGCTTGCACAACTTGAGCTCGAGAGCACTGGGACGGTGAGTCTGCATTCCTTCCCGTCTTGAGCGTCGACGCTGATTGAGATCTAGGCTGACCCTTGATTCGTGGTAGGATGTGACGCCCATAGACTTCGAGTACCCGTACGAGAGCATTGACTGCTCCAAAGTTACCATCGTCCCCATCCTGAGAAGTGGGCTGGCCATGGTCGAAGGTGCGCTTGCTCTACTGTAGTGAAGCTTGCGCTGAGACTGACTCTCCTTGCAGGCGTCCAGACGCTGCTTCCCGATCCTGTCTCCGTCCACCACCTCGGTCTCTTCCGTGAAAAAATGACGCTGCAGCCCGTCGAATATTACAACAACCTTCCTCAGTCCCCAGAGCAGGTTGCAAAATTGGCCATCATCGTCGACCCCGTGTGCGCCACGGGTGCCACAGCGTGCGCCGCTATCCAGAGCTTGAGGGACTGGGGCGTGGAGAACATCATTTTTCTGTGCGTGCTGGGAGCCGTTCCTGGTCTGGCCCGCGCCGCCGAAGAATGGCCAGAAGGGACCCAGGTCTGGGCAGGCGGCGTCGACGATGGGTTGACCGATAAAGGCATGATAAAGCCTGGACTGGGGGATATTGGCGATCGCCTCTTCCTTACCCTGGGAAAGTAATGGTACCACTGGCCGTTGTCGCAAGTTCATGAAGGTGTTGTCTGGCTTCCTTATGTTAGAGAAAACCAATAGATGTACTGGTCTGGCCCACGTCGAAATTCAGGCATGGATCCGTCCCTAGGTTAGGGGGTTGGCCAGACTTGAACCTTTTCACCTTAGAAGAGTCTCGGTTCACCTAAGGCAAAGGAGAGCCTGATGACCAAAAACCTTTTCGACCGAGCCTTCCTGTTTCAGAAGAGTGCCCAGCCATCTTCTGGCCCCGTCGATCTCTTTGGCTCCAAACTTCACCAGCACAAACCCTCTCACGTTTGCAGCTGTCCACAAAAGACCATTTTGCTGTTCGAGTCGCTTGGCTTGGTCATCTTCGTGGACGACATTGCCCTCAGCTATGCCATCGCTTGTAGTCCAGTTTTTCGCCCCGATTCGCGGCTGGGTGGAAAACTCGCGAAGGAGGAATTCTCCAAGGTACTTGAAGACAGGACCGTAGACGATCAGGGTGCCAAAGATACCCATGTTGTTGGACTTTTCAACAAGCCCCATGCCGCCGAGATCATCCCCACGCAACATGACTGCATCCCGGAGCAAGAGCCTTCCTTTGCCCTGGTCGTTTGACTCTCTAACTTCATTCTTGCCTTTCCAACTCCACAACGTCCAGCTCTCTCCTCTGGCGCGCCGTCCTTCGCTGACCCAGTCAAGCACCAGCAAGCTGCTCGTGCCGTCATGCTGAACAGTAAAGGTCTGTTTCTGTTCGTAGACGCTTTCGGCAAATGGCTGGGTCGGATCGGGCAAGTAGCATAGAGCAGCCTGAGAGCCGATCGTGACATTGAGGGTTTGACCACTGACCACGGACTTCTCTGGGGACTTGAAGATCTTTGTACTGCCTTGGGTGAGGAGCACTAGCCTGGTAGCATCCTGTAGCTCGACCTTCAGATCGATCTGGTCGCCGCCCACGAGGCCGCCGCCATATGTTAGGAGAAATGTGATTGTCACGTGTTTCTGCTCGCTGGAATGGTGAGGGTCGGGGGCAATGAGTTTGAGCGGGTACTGGTATGTACATTTCTGCAGGGTTTGTCTGCCCGGAGGGAGCAGGGCCAAGATGATCTCTCCGGTTCCTGCTGCAGCGGACGAGGCAGCAAAGGGTGAGATCGGGACAGACATACCTCTACGTCAGCGGTGAGAAAGGATGATAATCGCGAGCGAGACGTTAGCAGCTATCTAACCATACACAGTAGTTATGTACAATGACCTACTGTATCTGTGCCCGGCAATAAGGCTTAGGTGGGGTCTGCGGGAGCATTCTTGCTGGGAGCCGCCTAAAAGTCCCTAAGGGTGCCCCGGGAGCCCACTACTGTAGCTTTGGCATTGCGCAACTTGGACCACTTGCACCCAAATTACTCCGTACTCGCGCCCACCGATCCACTCACTTCATCTTCGCGTCACGCGTCTGTTGCCGCAATTCCTTGTTGAGATCTCTGAATATCCGGCAACGACTTTCTCTTCATCGCCACGCTGCGCGTTTGCGCGTACTTCGCCATCGCATTGCAAATCCAGAGTGTTTCACCCATGGTTTCCCTGCCGCCAGACGACCGCTGAGGAAACGCGTCGCATTCTCCACATTGTCGTCCTCTCCCACTAGCCCACCTATGCGCCATGGAGTTAGACACTAGTACACCCAATGGCAAGCCCGAATCACGGCGCAAGTCCGGAAGAGTGGTGAGGCAACCAGCAGTCTTCTCTCAGGAGCATCACATTGGCAGTGTCGTCACAAACGGTGCATCGAAGCGGAAACGAGGAAACAACGTCTCCACGGAGCACGTAGAAGAAGAAGAGCAGGACGTCTCGTCCGAACACGACAGCGATGACGAGGAAGAGGAAGAGGACGATCCTGATGAGGAGGAGTTGAAAGAACAGCGACGCGCGAAAAGAGCCAAAGCAGCATCCGCAAAGCCTGCCTCGAAGCGAGCGAAGACGACGACCGGGCCCAGCACAACTTTGGCCATTCGCTCAGCCAACGTTCGGACTAAGCCTGCTGCAAAGACGGCGAAAACACAAAGGGCACGTGCTCGACCGAGCCAGGCGCAGCACCAAGGACTCTACGCAGAAGTGTTTGGAAGGGGTCAGTCGCCCGAAGATGCCGCCTCGGTCTGGTTTGAATCCGTGCAAAAGGACAGCGTTGCGGCCCTGCGAGATTTGGTCAATTTTGTCCTGCAATGTATCGGATGCGACTCCAAGGTGGAAACACAGGATATTGAAGATCTAGATTCAGTGCCCAACAAGCTTGGAGATGTGCTTCAAGAGTATGAGCAGCAGAAGGCTACCGATTATCCTCTCGCATCCAAACAAAAACAGTATGCCGGATTCCAGGATGTGTTGGAAGAATTCTTCGCGGCCATCATCAAGTCACTGCACGCGTCTTCGGCGTTCTATGACCAACCCGAGATCTACGACAACATCCACGTCTGGGTTGCCACCATGTCTGGTGCTAACTACAAGTCGTTCAGGCATACAGCCACAATAATTTCGTTAGCCATGACTACTGCTCTCTGTGAGGTCGCGAAGGAGATTCAAGATACGATGGCGACGCTAAAGAACCAACTTGATGCCGAGAAGAAGAAAAAGAACGCCAATAAGGGCCGGATAAAGACCATCGAGGAGAGCCAGAAAGCTGCAGAGACGAAGCTGGCGGCGATTGACGCACAACTGAGGGATGTGTTCGACACAGTTTATGTGCATCGATACCGAGACGTCGAGGAACGGATTCGTGCTCCCTGTGTTGCAGCACTTGGTGATTGGATCGTGCTCTACCGCAAAATGTTCCTTGAAGGCCAATACTTGCGTTACCTGGGATGGGTGCTCAACGACACGAGCGCTCCCACCAGGCTCGAGGACATCAAACAGCTGAACAGACTTTTCGCCAACAAGCACAATATAGCCGCTTTGAGGGCCTTTACTGATCGCTTCCGATCACGGCTGGTGGAGATGGGTGCAAGGGATGCGCACATCAATGTGCGCGCAGAGGCCATTGAGCTTCTAGACCGGCTCCGTGACGCAGAATTGCTGGAACCCGATGATATTGACACCATTGGACGGCTGATCTTCGACAGCGAGCCAGCAATTAGAAAAGCTGTTGCCAAGTTCTTCGTGTCCAATCTGGAGGATCTCTACGCGGCCACAATCGAGGACTTCGACCAGGCTCAATACAAGGCTGCGGTACCGGATTCCGGCGATGTGGAGGATTTCAAAGTACCCAACCGATCATGGATCAAATTTAAATGCCTAGGCTCGGTCCTCGCGGGTCACGACAATGACGAAGAATCTCTGGATGATTCCGGTCAGTCTCTGCCATTGAACCCGGTATCTGACTCCCGGTACACCCTTGCTACACAGTCGATCTTCCCCTACATGCCAGAATTACGGCACTGGGAAGACTTGGCCGGATATCTCCTGTACGACCATTCGTCCATTCCGTCGTCCGGTGACGATGACGACATTGAATATCGAGTCCAGCAAGCCTACAAATTGAGCACGGGCGAGGATACGATATTGTTGGACGTGCTCCACGCTGCAGTCAAATGCTATTTGCAGTCCATCGTCGAGTCGTCTACGAACCGTAGAACCAACGCGACAAAAGACCAGATCCGAGAAAAGCAGGAAACCGCGGCTCAGAACCTTACGGTCATCCTTCCTCAGCTTCTGAACAAGTTCGGCAGTACACCCCAGGCCGCATCTTCGATTCTGCGGATCGAGCAGCTGCTTGACATTGGTCTGATCAGTGACTTGCAGAGCGGAGAGGCGACGTACTCTGCAAACCTGGACGCCATCAGCAAACAGTTCACCTCGCATTCGGATAAGCAAGTGCTCGCTGCCGCCAGCGCTGCATTCAGAAATGCTCGAAGTTACGAGCAGAGCAAAGAAGCCGCTGATGCAAAAGTCCAGGAGATCTGGACCGAATCGGTGACCGCGCTGGCCAATCTTCTCCGCGACAAAGCTGTCGGAAATCGTGGCACCTTCGACAAACAGCTGCTGACCGAAGTCGTTGACATTGTCATTCGTCTGGCCGAGCTTGCCGGTGTCCACGACTGCAGCCATATCGTCGAAGGCAGACTGCCCTCGGGCCCTTCAAGGAAAGAAAAAGGCAAAGCCACCACTCCACACACCCTTCTCAGCCTCCTCTTTCGGCTCCTTCAACGCGGGAAACCAGACGAAGACACTACGGCGACCTTCGCGGAACTGGAAGACCAATTGTGCACCTCTCTGCTGGAACTCTTCTCGCTCTATTTCCGCTGGAAAGTGTTCGGGTTGAAACAAGCCGTTGCCGCGAAAGATGAGGCTCAGCTTTCGACCACCTCGCTTAGGGAACTGGCAGTAACGCGAGCCAATTTTGTGGACCACATTGCACCGATCATCCAGATGAGGGCGCCACTGGATCCGGTGCGGTATCACGCTATCTTGAACGTCCTGGAACTCTTCGCACTGTTTACGACGATCCGGCACATGGCACCAGACAAGGGCGAGCTGGGTGAGGAAGTCGAGTCAGCTTTGCAGACCTTGATCACGCAGATCCCAGACGAAATCGTCAGAGAAATTCTCCTGACGTTCGAGAAGACCGAGAAGTCTTTCGCCAGGAAAACGCACCGCAAGGTCGAGACGAGTAGTAGCAAGGAGAAGAAAGGCGGCCGGGCCAAAAAGACGGCCGAAGCGGAGGAACAGACGCAGGAAGAGATCGAACGACCGCCCGAGGACTCGGACGATGAAGACGAGGCGCGCGAATCTGGCACCGAGGACGACGACGGAAGCGCCGCCGACGAAGACATCACCGAAGAAGGCGTGAAGAGCAAGAACGCGAAGAAACAGGCCGCCCTACTAGCCGAACAGTCCCTCTGCGAACTCACGTCCAAGATCATCTTCGCCGTCCTGGGCGGTGCGATCAAGGATGATGGGGACGTCAAACACCGCTTACTGCTGAACCGAGGCAAGCTCGGCAAGAATTACTCCGTCCTCGTGGGATACCTTGAGAGCGACAAGAAGAAGAATAAGAAAGCCTCTTCCGCCGCGAAGAAGGGCGGCGGGAAGAAAGCAGACGCCCAGAAAGGCAAAGGGAAGACAACAGGCGACAAGGAAGGATCGGTGGTACTCGAGGATGACGATATTGACGATCCCGATCTCGATCCCGACGCGCCTGACGAGCCGGAGGTCGATGAAGAGGAAGCTCAGCGGCAGAGGGAGTTACAGGAGGAGGAGGAGGAGGAGGATGACGACGAGGCTGCTAATGGAGATCAAGATCGGAACGCGGAAGCTGATGAGGAGCAGGAGCAGCCCGAGGGCGTGCCTGGCGAGGAGGACGACATTATGGGTGATTGATTGATCAAGTGCTTGAATTGTTCGACTACTGCAAGCGAGCAAGAGAGTAGGTTAGGGGTACGTATGCTTCAAAGCGACTTTGCCACCTTCATGTACGAACATAGATACGTACTTAGGTGCGAAGAGGAAGTCCGCGATATTTGTGTCGTCTCTTCTCCTCTACTGCACATCCTCGGACTGGCTGTTAGTAATCTACGAGAACTGTGGGATCTGATCAACGCGAGCTAAAATCCCGGGCATTGGATGTTGGTTACATGCCATACACAAGTGGCAACCATTCTTTGCAACGTTTTGTGATTTTTGTTCAACTCTGCGTGTACCACTTCCTCCTTCTGTGCTTGCTTACAGTACTTTACTCGCTTGCATATTCGGTAGGCAAGATGACCCAAGCTCTGTAAGCTCGTCTGAAGCAGGTCCCAGGGTTGCTCGGAATACCCTGCCAAATCCGCCCGTCCAACTGGCATTTCACCTCCCTACAGTCCTGACCTGCCCTAGCCAAGGCTGCGGAGTTGATAATAATACAAACGAATAGATTGGACCCAAGTAAGAGCACATCAAGCATGGTTTCACCAATTGTCCATGCTCAACCTCCATGCAGTGGTTCCATCTTCGTGTTCGATCAAGGCAAGGAAACGTCTCCGTATCTCCGGAAGGGGTCAAATCCCAGATTGAGATCGCGATTACTTGACGCGAATTTCGCCCTTTTGCTTGATTGTGTTTCCGCATAGACCACCCAACTCCAGTCCTACTCTGGTTTGCCACGGCTCTTGGGCCGTCCTCCGCTCTTGACTCGTCGTGCTTCAGGACGTTGGATATGGTGGGACGGGATCCAATCTTCATTGTATGCCTTGCCGGTGGAGACCGCAGGGCCTTCAGCGTCAGATGTGACGCCACTGTCGGCTTTCTTGGCCATGTCGGCTCTCTTGCCACCTTTGGCGGTCTTGCGCTGCTTGGGGAAGTAAGGGACGATCCAGATGTTGTAGAAGAAGTAGCCGACTCCGACAGCGCAGGCGAGCAAGAAGAAGTAGAGGAAGAGACTGGATGCACAGTTAGTGGCAAACCAACACACGGAGGCTCCAGGAGCTTACAGTTGGGGGTCGAAGATACTGGCGTCGGGCTCGACTACAGTAACGGTACCGTTGAAGGCGTTCAAGGTGTAGAAAGTGTTTTGGGAGCTGACCACAGCGGCCAGGTTAAGTCTCAGATCCTGCGGGTGCAGATTGGTTTGGAAACGATATGGCAGGGTCTGCTTCTCGCCGGGTGGAATCTCGATGGCGTACTGCGCGGTGGTCAAGTTGCGGACGATGCGTGGCGTCGGGTTCGCTTGAGTCCCCTCAAATGTCCACAAGCTCCCACCCACAAATTGTACCGTGACCGGGTCGGGCTCTTCATTGAGAAACGAGAGGCGCGACTCGTAAGGTTTCCCGTTCGTGATCTTGATGCCGAAGATCTCAGCATCTGGGAACGTCGCCTCGACCGAGACGGCAAGGGCCGGGCTCGTCGATGGGTTCTCGATTTCCTCTTCGACCTCCTGGGAATGGACGTGTTAGCTAGAAGTCTTAACACCACCACAGGGGCATTGCAGCTTACAGGGCTAGCTTGGGCGAATACGCCTGCGGCCTGGAAGCCAAAGAGCAGAAGAGCGAGATCCAAGAAGCGACCCATTGTTGCGACCCTGCAGACAGTTGGACAGGGAAATGAGGTGGCAGAAGTGGTCAAGCAGCTGTTGGCACAAAAAGACAGAGTTTGGATTTTCCCAGTGGGCTCATCGACCGCCGGATCGGGGCAAGCTTAGCTGCTGTATGAATCGTACAGTAGCCGCCCGACGCTGGTGACGCTGGCGATGCTGCAGCCGCGGGACACGCTAAAGGCCTCCCGACGCCGCCTGTGCCAGTTAAAGCGCCCCGTCGAGATCCACCTGCAACGCGTCCAAAGGCAACCCCAGGTTCTACTAAGAAAAAGTTGCCTGGTGCTTGGGTGCGCGGCTGCATAACGTGTGTGCGCCTCATTCCCAGTACCTCACCGCCAACAGTCGGACAACCCGTCAAATTAAAAACCACCACCTCGCCTTCTGCCTTTTGTGTCCTGTCTCTCGTCTCACGACCCTACTCGTTCTCTGCCAAAACACCTGATTGTCCCTCGCTCGATGCCCGACATGGCTCGCTACGATCCGTTTTCACCCACATTTGACCATCCTCTCATGAATTCCAGCCCAGACTATGCTTCCCGCAATGGCTCCTTCAGATCCAGCCGTGCCATCGGCGACTTGGGTGCTATTACGGGCCAGATATCTTTTCGGGAGCGTCACAAGCGTCTCAGGAACCTTGAAGAAGACAAAAACCAGTTGATCGAGGTATATTAGCCTTGCTCAAACCGTCTAGAGCCTTCGCACTGATAGCGACGCTAGGATTTGATGTACCAGCTTGAAACTGCCCAAAACCAATTTGATCGCCTGCAGCTTGATCACAGCAGAGAAACTCAATATAACAGAGAAGGCCAGCTCCGCGAACAAGCCCTCCGAGATCAACTGTCCGCCGTAAAGCTTGTCATGGTACAGCCTTTGCACCCAAGACAATAAGAAAAGAGGTGGCTAACGGTGTTGTTAGGATCGAAACTCCTTCATCTCAGTGCTCCTTGACGGCGACAACATGGTTTTCACCAAAGAATTGTTGTCAAGAGGTGAGGATGGTGGTAAAGAGGCGGCAAATATGATTTTCGACAACGTTACAGCCTTCATCGCCGAGCACCTCCACCACCTGGATTCTCCCAAGATTGTCACCAAGATTTACGCAAACTTTAAAACGTTGTCCGAACACCTTGCCAAGCTGAAAGTCGTCGAGAAACAGGCTGTATTCGACGAGTTCGTGCGCGGCATGAATAGCGCTCAGCTCCTTTTAGATTTTGTCGATGCCGGAACGCAACCAGAAAGTACCAGGGAAAAGGTGACTGATCAGTTTAAAGTCAGTCTATACGACTGTCATTGTCACCAGGTCATACTTGGATGCTCCAGCAACCGCCAATATACCAGGCTGCTTGAAGAAACCATAAAAGATCCATACGTGAGCAACCACATCACCCTCCTGGAAGCTGCCCCCTTGGACAGAGACCTGGCCATATTCAAAGAGACTTTGAAAACCACCAAATTTGAAAATGTGTTCCGAACCACAAAACTGGCTGCCGCACCCGCCATGCCCAAGGGTCCTCTTCAAGCTGTCACTGCAACCCTGCCCGCTCTTGCACGCGTCGAGTCCAATGGCACAACCGGAACTGCTTCTAGTTCAAGCACCCCGGCAGTGACCTGGGCCCTCCTGACTGCCCAACCTACGCCACCAGCCTCAAAACCGCCAAGCACCACGCGAACCTCGACCCCCAATTCACTGAAGAGTCCCGACGCTGCTCCGCCCGCAACCAAACCATCGACAAGAACCATTGACCGGAACCGCCACGGCCAACGCATTGACAAAGTCGACAACTCGATCCCCAACCATGAGATCCAGCGTATCAAGAAACTCAAGCTGTGCAATATCTTTTACCTGCAGGGTTCCTCATATTGCACCACGAACAATTGCTCCCACTCACACACCTACCCTCTGTCCAAGGCCGAGCGGAATGTTCTGCGCGAAGTAGCGCGCATGACACCTTGCTACTACAAGATGGACTGCAGCGACCCGGAGTGTATTTACGGCCATCGTTGTCCGCAGAACAAGCCCGACGAGAATGGATGCTGGTACGGTGAAGACTGTAGATTTTATGGCTGGGGCCATGCTATCGATACCAGGGTGGTAAAGACGACCAAGGTTTGACATGGCAACCGTACTCTACTGCGAGTTGAATTAGTACAGCGAGACCTGCCCTATTGTTACGACACGACCAACACAATGCTTGGGGTATGTGACTGGGCGATTTGAAGCGCTTCGCATCTCTATTATCGATGCTCTGGGCATTTTCAGGAACGAGATGGCACGCTCTGGCAGGTGTTCAGGCATGATGTGTACCAGCTTTGAGCAGGCGGGAAGCTGGTAGTTTCGGTTTCGGTTTCACAGGTTCAAGGTTAAACGTGCGCGCTGGCGACAGCGAGTAAGATACCCAACTTCCTACTTCCAACTCGCCTCTTTCATGATCTGGGCTCTTGCTCTTGCTCTTGCTCTTGCTCTTGCTCTTGCTCTTGCTCTTGCTCTTGCTCTTGCTCTTGCTCTTGCTCTTGCTCTTGCTTTTTAGAGGCTGCAAGTCCAGCTCGTCTCCAAGCCAGCATCCATACTGTTATTGTGACTCAATCGCGACAGGGTAAGGATCAGCGTGGTCGTTGCGACGAAGGGATAGGCAAGCCGCTCGAGCACTCTCTGCAAGCACCCTTGCAGCGATGGCGACACTAAGCCAGTACCAAGTAAGGGCTGTGCCAAATTAGGTTAGCTTTAATTCTGATTTTTGGGATTTCGCACACACACACCCATGCTGGCACGCCGAATACTGGTGAGTACACTGACTGGCACATGTAACCCCCGTCTTCCTCTGCTCGTTTCCTTCCTTCCTTCCTTGCCTCTCAAACCTGTCTAATCCAGCTCTACGTCTACTACTCGCACAAGCAATAAGCAGTTACTGCCCCTCGTCCCCTGCTGCTGCACACGGTAGAGAGCTTGTGTCTGTCAATGATTGCTTGGTTGAAGTCTGCGAACGACAAGCCATGCGCCAGTTGAGTCAGCGACGGCTCGTTCGGATCAACCCTTGCTTGAACATGCTGTCGTAGTACACAGTGGCTGGTATGGATAGTACATACCTACATTACCCCCAGCACCTCAGAATGGAACACAGCACACTGTAGACGTGGCTCTCCCCAACCTCCCGACCAAGATATTGCAACCTCGAGTCATCTTCTTCGCCAGAATAGGACGCCTCTCCCTCAAGACTCTGAGGACGTGTCTCTGTCTCTGATCAATCAGAGACATTCGCTGAGCGACATGCGATATGGGTCTACCCCGTTGGCATCACGAATTTCAAGACGAGGGTCGTAGAAATCGATAGCTCTGCCACTGTCTGCACCATTGATTGGCTGTCCCGTGGCTTGCTCGTCCGACGTAAGTTCTCGCGTGACACAGCCGAAAGCACAGATACCTGCAGTCTCTGTCGCTCGCAACAAGCGTCGTCCTTCCATCTGCTCCTTTCGTATCAGGGCACCTGTGATTCGAGTTCCAGTGTGTCTGTCCATCAGGATGTTGAGTCTTTTGAGCGTACAGCCTCCGAAACGCGTATTTAGGTGCCGTGTGAAGTAACCGCGAGATGCCCTGTAGCCCTCGACGGTTTCGACCCATGCTTGGCCCTCGGCAAGGTCTATAATGCTTTGCGAGTCTCCCCAGGCTTCTCTTTGCTCTTTTTCAGTGTCCCTGTAGCGCAAGAATGCTGTGTTTCCACCCAAGAAGGACCTGTACGGCGATTTCACTACCTTTGCTTGCGGAACCAACACTTGCTCATTGATGGCCGAGAAGACCGTCGGTCCTTCGCAGTTGCGTGGTCTGTTATGGACGCTGAAAATCGACAGTCGGTCAACGCCTGTGAGAAACCCAGCCCCAATGGCGGAGGCTGCCCTGCGGATCAGTGCCTCTCTGGGTAGGGCTTGTGTTGACACACCATCGTTAAAGTGTTGCGAGACGCCTTGCGCACCGGCATCATCGAGGCCGGCGTTGATGATGTTGATGACGATGGTCTTCCCAGGATTGCGCTTCTCCGCGTCTTCGTCATTTCTTGAGTTGGGACTGGAACCCCCAATCTCAACGACTGGTGGCTGGAGAAAGAGATGTGAACATAATTCGGGAATTCTAAGGCGGACATCTATCAATTTGCTGATGGTCTTCCACAATGGCGGCCCAAGACTGGGAACAGCTCTGCGCCTCACGCTATCAAAGGTTGCAATGTCAAGTTCCATACACTCGAGAGACATCGGCAAACCTGCTAACAAGTCGGCAAGCTGAGTGCAGCGGTCCCAGCAGTGGATTGTTGACCACATTACCGGCGCCGGCATAACACGCAGACTCAAGCTCTCCAGGTTCCGCAGGCAACTCACAACTTGGAATAGCGTCGAGAAGACGCTGCTACAAAGTTGGCGAGCTTCGTCAGGGTTGTCAAGCAGTTCCGAGGACGGAATTGAGACAGTCAGTGTCTTGGTCTGGAGGCCACGCATGCCGGTAATCGGGAACTTCACTAGTTGCTTCAGCTTCGTGATGACGATATCAGTGTAGAGAAGAGACTCTCCAATATCATTCCACCTTCGGCAAACGGCGAGTGAATTGAGGAACGAGCTGTTGTCACACTTCTGCGGACTGGACTTGACCTCCCATAGCACCTGCCGGAGGATTTCTGTGGGGGCAACCGTCGATCATTTCTGGTGACTGCCTTGCCATGGCGGCGACTTGAGCAGGCTGAGATTCAAGCGGCTCCAGCAGGTTCAGGAGAGTATGAGCCTTGTATTTATTCCAAGCAGCTGCTCTTGATTTTTCTTTTGGGGCAAACAAGTCCATGGAAAGCCACTCAACAAACATTTCACGATCTCCACAAGTGTCAAAGAGCCCAACCCATCCCACGGAGGCATAAGTGATTGCGAGGCTGAATCGAAAAACCAACACAAGGTTGACTGTACGGTGTGTCGATATCTTGGCTGTCGCTGTTGTGACCCAACCTCGACGCCATTTGAGAAAGTGTTGACAAGGTTCCCTGATCCAACTCCTTGCAAGTTCCTTTGCGACAGATGCCAGTAGTTGTGCCCATTACTTGGAAAAAATTGCCAACTCCGACGACGACACCACTCATGGGTTCACATAGTCTCGCCGCTTGTGGTCAACCTCTGCAGCGCTGGTGTTGTCCATTGAGGAGCGATATGGTGACGGCGTCATGAACCTCACATCATCCACGGGGCTGAATGTGACGTTTTTCTTCACTTTAAGATGGACGGCATGCGCTGCTCTGGAGATGCCATGCTCCAGCTTAGTGAGGACATTCGGCTCATCAACCGTACCGTCATGGTCATCATGAGTCGTGGAAAACCCGGTACCATTTCTGCCGGATTTGACCGGTGCCGCCGCCTCGAGTTCATAGATGTTCCCGTCACCTCCGATTCCGGCGGCACCGACCACCCTCGGCGGCGAGTCAAGGTGGCCGTGGGAGGTGGCGTCCTGAGCACTGAAATTCGTAGGAGGCTCATTTTCTTTCTTAGCCGTTACTGAAGCTCCAGGCGGATGACCCATAATATCCCCTTCTGAGACTCCTTTGACAATGGGGGCTGGCGCAGGATTCGAAACCCGACTGTTGGTGACGCTACTCCGCTCCTGTTCAACAATGACCCTCAACGGTGATGGCTGTACAGTCACTGGCTCAGCAGATTGCAGCTCGGCCCAGGGGGTTTGTCCGCTGTCTAGCTCTGAAATACCAGGAGCACATGTACCCCGTGAGCTCCTGTTATGCTGGCTGTCATCTTCGCATTCACCCATAGGAGATGGCATGAATTCTTTCGAAATGTGCTGGTAGGGCTTCAAAACGCCGGTATCGGTTGATATTGTGGATTCTGACCCTGAGCTTCCGGACCAAACCTGAGGGCTTGCTCCACTGCTCTCCCTGCTGGAATCGGTCGACGAAGACGAAAGGGTTGCCTGGAAATCTTCAGCTGGTGACGAGCCAGCGGACCTGTTTGTCGACCTGTCTTGAATCTCGCAAATGTCATGCGCCTCGATCTCCGGGAGTGTCTGTTCCATTGCATACGTGCCGGCCGGATCCCCTGGACGGGTGTCCATAACGACTCCATCAACCTTCTCGTACACGGGCCCCTCCTCTTGAGCATTATCGTGGACACGGCCCTCCTTCAGACGCGAAAATTGCACCGAGTCAGAGGGGTATTGAGGATCTGAGTCTTCACGGGCAAAGAATGGCTGCTTGAGCCGTTTACGGGCCTTGTCGGACAGAACCCATCTCTCGAAAGCATCCCTCACATCTTGCTCACCACAGTCTCGCTCTTTGGCCAGGTTTCTCTTCTGCGAGTATTGCCGCATTCCATCGTCCATGGTCTCGAGCACACGACAATCTTGCCCCAACACAGGGTCAATCGACGCTTGGTCTGCGTGATATTGGGCACTTGTTTGATGAGATGCAGTTTGTTGGCTGTTGGCTGTGGCGCCTTTCGTGTATCCGAAAGGAAGCCCGGTCGAATATCTCCACTGATGGCCCCGTCGTGGACGGGAGAAGTTGGGGTACGGTGATTCTGGTCGGAGCTGAGCGGAAGACGGCGGCTGGCAGCTAGGCTGTCCAATGGTGTCGGACATGATTTCGATGAAGCCCTAATGGACTCAGTGGCATCCCAAGCGCCAAGTCCCTAGTAGAAACTGGCACAACTGCTCCGCGAGAGTCGCACTCCATGATGGATATACCACGTTGCGTTTTGAGAAGCGGCTTGAAGTGGCGCAGCGTCATGGAGGTCGTTCCCGTGCAACATCAGAGTGATGATGATCGATGCCTTCGCAGACAAGGATGAAGCCTGAAGGGTTCGCAGTGGTTCGGTAGGTGTTCGGCTTGAGCGATCGCTGACGACGTCACTAGCGCCTTTCTACGGAGCCCTTTTCCGGCAAGCGTGCCACGTGCCGCCACCCTTCCATTTCCACGTCCACTCACGTGGCGGCTTTGCTGCAGATTGTCAACCAGAATTTCTCCGAGCTGTCACATTGTACTGTAGGGGCCTGGGCAGTAGCCTACCACACGGCCCAGTACGAGTAGTCCCAAATCACTACACAAATTGTCGGTTCCTGAGACTATTCATCCACTCGCATATTGCCCAGAAAGCTAGTCTCGGTATTTCTTGCCATTATTACTACTTAGTATCATTACTGTTGTCTAACTGATCCTCTCACTGTGGCCCATACTTGCTTTCCTCAAACGCCTTGTGCTGCCGATTGGTCTCGATCTTCACCCAGATATAAGAAATAACCGCTCAGATGGCAATGTACGAGAATAGGACCCCTAAGGACAGCCCGAACGCATAGTGGAACTCCAAGGTCCAGATAACAGCGGACACGCTCCCAATATAAACACACACTCCAAGCAGCCACCACGAAGTCGAGTATCGAACATGTTCCGAAAAGCCTTGTTGTTCTTGTATCGGTCATCGTAACGAATACGAACCTCGCGGTCCTGCAGTCCGTCGACAGCAATGAAATCTTCCGCAGCGTAGTAAATGAACGGTCGCAGCTTCGTGCCTCCAGGCCGCGAATTTATCCCAACCGGGATCTTCACGAATGGGAAGAGCTCCGTGACGAGCATGAGCATGCCCAGGAAGCCCATGATAAAAGTCGGCGAATAGAGATAGAGGTGGGGCTTGACCAGGGACCTGACGACAACGAAGGGGATCAAGGCCAAAATCATGGCGACGCCGTACACACAGGACGTGGCATCCCTCCTGTTTCTCGATAACAGGGGCGCGCAGTCCCCGGTATGGACCAAAAGCCAATATATCCTTGCTATCAAGATGCAGAATTCACAGGCCTCAAATGAAATAATTGCGTAGCCGAGGATGTTTTCGTCGTATTCCGGTTTGGAGATCGGACGCTGTGCTCGAGGGAGGCTCCACGAGTTCGTCCGAGCGCCCCAGCGTAGCCTTAAGCTGGTAAAGCCTACCTAGTAGCCACGGCTGGTGTGCCGAGATTCCCCAGCTGCAGACGTCATCGTTCCAGACTGAGTGGGCCCCTAGCCGAGCACTCCACCCACTCAGGCACCCAGCCAGGCACCCACCAGGCGTCGAAATAATTAGCCCTTGTAGCCCTGGAGTTGGCAACGTGTTTGCTCACTTTTGGTTCAGCCCCTGCCGATCGACAGTGACATCGGTGAGTTGATGAACTACCCCATACTGTGTACCTTAGGTAAAGTAGACATGCAACGGACATTCAGTGAGGGCCGGGACATGCACTTTGGAAAGAATGCTTCGAACACTCGGGACTGCACTTCGTGCGAGATGACAGACGCTTATTCTCAAACCCAGTCTCGCTTGCGAATACTGGATCCCTTGGACTTATCAATGTACAGGACTCCTTGGCTCTATGTGGCGTGCTTGGAGGAATGCGCCACAGAGTTACTGACAGCGAAGTGTACCGCGCACCTACCACAGACGCCGAACATCCTCCATGCAATCCCCCTCGAAGGCTCTCTCGCCGTACGAGTACCGCGAATTGAACGGCGTTTCTTTCGAGCTCGGAACTCCCTCGATCTCATGATCCTCGCAATGCCACTGAACATGCCTTTTCATGGTCGCATTCTTGCGCTGCTAGAGAGCCACAAGACACAAGACAGACATACTCTTACATCCCTACATCATACCTCCATGGCTCATGGCCAACTTACTTATGCTGACACGGCCTAGTTCGCCGAAGTAATTCTCTGAGTCTCCCTCCAGTGCACGACCGCGAGCGCCACGACCAGCACCTCTTCCATCGTGTCGTCAGTCGTCCAGCACTCAGGCAACAACTCCAGAAGCCCACCGCGCTTCGACCCCCAATACTCGGGCTTGAACCTGGCGATCGCCACTCCCCGCCCATTCAACAGCACCATGTTCAGCGGGTCGAGCTTCTTGCGCGGTCGCCAGGTCAATTTCTCCCCACCCATCGCCCTGGATGTGTACGAGTACTGCATGTTCAACCGGGCAGACTCGAGCGAGAACTGCCTACCACGCAGCGTCACGTCGATGCGCGTTTTGAGCATGTGGAATACGACGGTCGCGACCTCAATGTTTTGTGCAGGCGACCGGATTCGCATTTGAGGTTTGCGGTGGCGGGCGTCGATTGTGTACAGTTCGGTGGGGACGTTGGGGTTGGTGTTGTTTGCGGTCGTGACATGGATGGTGGTGTGCAGGTTCCAGTAATCGTCGTATTGGACGTGCAGCTTGCGGGCGTCGCTTGGTGACCCGGGGAAGTCGGGCCCGCCTATTTCCTGTGAGTCCTGGTGCGTCTGGTCTTCGGCTCGGGCAGCGGTAGCGGTGCCTTGGCTGGACTGGTATGCTACCTGAGTGGACGGAAAGCCTCCTGGAGGGTTCTGTTCTATGAATCTGCTGAAGAGGCTCTTCATGTTGAGTCGCTTGGATATTGGGCTCGATGGGGTGAGCTAGGCTATTGGGGCTGGCCAGTGTGTGCGACTAAGTTAGATAAAGGGTATTCTCGAGTGGAGGCTTACCACGGATACTGGAGCCTGCGCACGGATAGATATACATGCAGTACATCGTACTGGACCTTCGACTATGTACCTCTACGCCAAGCTCGCTGTGCGGGTGTTGGCATGTTTCTGGTGTTCGTGGTGTTCGCCTTCTTCAAATGACGCAACGTCGCAGTAAAAGTCGTCGATCACTCGAACCAACCCCAGGCACCGCCACGTGCTGGGCTGGAGAAAAGAGGTCTCTAAGCTACAATAGGCGCTACGCAGCGCTCGGTGGGGCTAAATGGTCGCATCGTCTTAACTGGGGTTATCGAGGCACGCGCACCGCCTTCGTGGCTGTGCCATGGGCGATCTGTGCACTCGGCAAGACGGCAAAGTTTCCAAAGATATCAAACATTCTGTATCCCGCCGTATCCGAGCATAGGTACGGGGACGCAAAGAAGACCTAAGAAACTAGTGAGAATAGAACAATATCACATATGCTCAGCGACATACATGCGCACGTCAAACAAGGGTGTACAATGGAGACCCATCGACGTCTGCTCATCGTAACCTTCATCAAAGCGATGAGAATCATGGTCATCCCCTGGAAATATCTACACTAGAGCCCGTCACCAGGTGTCCAGAACTTGTTCCACCTCTCGTCAGTAGACCCCGCATCGACATCCTTCTTGCTGTAGAACCGCAAGTCGGTGCTCAGCCGGATGCGGCCACCAGAATCGTCATTGGCAGCAGCGGTGTGAATGGTGTATGGTAGATGGAAGACCACGTCACCAGCCTCGTAGTCCGCCACGAGCCAGCGGAGCCTCGCCTTTTTGGATAAATGCTCATTGTCCCGCTGAAACACCATTGGGTCCATCGACAGGACGCCAGTAGCGGTCATGTTGCGATTGAACGCCGAGATCTTCTCCTCGAGGGTGAAGTTCTGGGCACGGGCATAGAAGTCGTCCTCAATGGCTTTCCCTAGCCCCGTGCTCTCCTCCAGATAAACCAGCCCACCGCCCTGATGCGTGATGTCTCCGATCGGTACCCATGCTGTGAGGAAGAAGGCATCCCCACCTCGCAGGAAGAGCTTGTCATAATGCACACCGGTGCTTTGCCCGCCGGGGATGTTGTGACGCAGCATGGTCCTCTTGACCAGGACTTCCTCGTCCCATTGCATGAGATCGCGGACCATCCCACGCAACTTTGGATGGGCGACGAAGTCCAAGTACGGCTGCTGAACGTGGGCTTCGACAAGCCGCTGCAGTTCATCACTCCCTGCAGGCTCTCCACCGCCGATGCCGTTGTGCAGTGCTGGATCTTCCGCTGGGTTGTAGCTGCCCTCGACGGGTTCGGTACCCGGCTTCAACAATCCCAGAGACTCGAATTGGGAGAAGTAATGCTCGCGCGTCCTGAGCACATCGTCACGAGGCAGGAGGCCCTTCACAAAGACGTACTCGTCCTCGAATAAGCGGCGGCGGATCTCCTCTAGTGGCGTGTCTGCGGGAGTTTCGCGGAGCCAGCCCAGCATGGGCTGGGGGATGGAGCCTTGGATCGCGCGAAGTTTCTCGGGGAGACCCTTGGGACCGAGCGTAGTGACGGTGGCCGCCATTGGAAGTTCAGCTGGCGCAGAAAATTAAGCGCACGAAGTCAGAAGGATCGGAAGTGCAAAATCTCGAAGTACGAGATGCCATGATTATCGATTGATGCGATGGTTTATATCCTGTGCGGGTACGTCAGAGATCGGGCCACCAGTTCATGCGAGTCGGGGAAGCTAAGGTACGAGTATTGATAGCTTGAAGTGGTTGGTTCTGGTCAAAAACGTGGGGAGGGCGACTTGACACCCGGTGTCTTGCCTCAATGTCTAACGGGCCGTGTCCGACTCAACAACGAACCAGGGTCTTGCTGTTGTGATGTGTTGTATAAAGTGGTGGCTGAGGAGGGAAAGGCGACGGCGAGTGGGGAACGAAGAGGAAATCCGCGACTCCAACAGGTAGGTGACAGGTCATACATAGGTAGGGAGCGAAGCATTCGGCTGAGATTTCCTGAGAACTCCTGGAACTCCTGGAACTCCTAGCCAACGGCGCGACTTGGCCCTTTTCTTTCTCCTGCTTCCCTTCTTCACTTTTGCGCGAATGGAACAAGCAGTGACGCGGCCACTCACGGATTTATGACTTGGGACTGTCCGGTGTCGCTTCCAGGTACGGTAGGGTGCAGCTCTCAGTGTCTTGAGCATGCATCAATGGTCATCTTCAGCAGACATACCCCGACCGACCCTTGAGTTCTTACTTCCCATATCGACGGAGCTTTTACCATGTTGCGCACATTTTACGTTTCGAGGCCCAATGACTGGCAGACATCGTCCAATTAATCGTGATTGACACAGGCAAGGATTGTCGCCGCTTCTCTCACATTGAGCTCACCTCCTGCTTCCTTCCTAGCGACCTTCCTGGCTGGTCTTAGATATTTCTCTTGATTATAGCGCAAACAGTTTCGGTCGACATAAGAGTATACGTTCTATTTCGCAAGGGGTCCGTCTTCGGGGATGACGGCCGCAGCTGGTATTGCGCAAGATCGAATGTGCGGATATCAAAAACGTATTTCTGAGTGACGGGACAATATATCCGGTCTCCATCCAATGGGGTATCCTCGTGTCCTCCTCGTGTTGGTATATCAAAGATCCAGTCTTCTCAGCCTCCAAACTCGCGTCCATTCTCTTTCTTCGAGGTTATCCTTGTTCCTGTGACCATCAGGTGATGGATGATTACTGACCCGCCACGTCGAACTTCGTGTTACACCTGATGACCTGCATCCTGGCTGACAAGATGTGGATGAGGCAGTGATACTCATAGCTTACAGGATCGTGGAGACGTTCGATCACAGACGGGCCGCACGCACCCTTCTCAAGGTCTTTCAGACAAGTGCATCCCTTAGAGATCGATGACAGGCCATCGTCAGACCGATTCAAGAGAGCTGAATGAGCAGCAGGACCTTCTAGAAGGGATCCCTCCATCACCCGCCGTGACGTGGTTGGTTCAATGTTCTCAGGCAAGCGCAGACGAAAGGAGAGGTCATCATAGGTGCAGCAGGGGTGATGTTGGTGGTCTGCCTAGGATTCAATGGCCTCGCGAAGATCCTCTTGTGAAGCCTGGGAGTACCGTCAGAGATTTGTAATGCGTGTGGGAGGATCGGACTCATGACAGAGCGCTGGATGCTCGAGGCTGAGCATGCATGTTTTTACCTGGAGCGATGACATTTAACGGGCGATGCTAATGTGAGGTGTGAAGTCAGAAAGCGAGAAAGGGGGTGAGGCCAAACTATGAGTAATTACAGTATGTATGAAAAGTGAGCACATGGACTCGACGAGGGCAAGAAGCGGGAGAAACTGAATGCGAGCGAGAGGACACCCTGAGCCCGTACTCGCTGTCCCTAGCTTAGATTACTTGCCTTTACATCTCGAGCAACTGGGGGTCGACGGAGTTCATCTAGCTAGATTCATCAGGTCAATGTTCGCCTGTGCGAAAGATGCCACGAATGAGTCGTGTCGGCCAGTCCGGGTAGCTCAGTCTTCAAAGGGAATCCAACAGGGTTTCAAGTGACGAAAGGATGAGGATGTCTGATTGGAGGCATACCATTTTCAGATCCCGCATAAGTCAGTCGTGTCAAAGACCTTCCAATCAGATTTCTGGTACATACTATGTACTTGTATACTTCCTCACCGTCCATTCATTCTACCTTGAGATCAATCTGTTGACCTCGCATGCCCGACACATTCGACGTCCTGCTAGAAGCGCCTTCTTATCCTTGTAGCTCAAGGCAACTCTTCTCCACAAGAAGGCAACTTCATTCATCTGCAGTCATAAGCAGCTCGCTCGGTCCAGGCCTATCTGCAACTTAGTACTGGCTCGCTTTTTGCTTGTCCTCCCTTTCACTTCAAGTTGCTCCTCGTCCCATCAGCCAAAACTCTCATCCTTGCTACCCGGCCATACCGGGTTTTCGTCCTCCTTGCTCAATCCCATAGCCGCCATTCACCCTTTCATGGTCGATGGTAGACCTCGAGCTACGTTAGATCACCTCCCTGCTCCGTTTCGTCCTTTCTCCCTCCTAACCTGGATGACGGTGAAGCATTTGCCAGACTGTACCATACCGCCAACTTCCCACCGAAAGTGCCGCCCATGGAGCTCTGGCAACGCTCCGTTCAAAAACAGGCGCCGGCGTCGGCTAGCATGCGTCACTCATGACCAAGAGAGGCGTTGCTGAGGAGCCTGTGGAACCTTCACTCCATGTTCACAAGATCAAGCATCCAGCGAGAACAAGAGAGCGGCAGTATGGATTCAATCCGAAGTCAGTACACCCGTCCATCGGGAAACTTTTTCCATCACAAGCTGACTTTGCTCAAACCCAGCAAGTCAACCTACCGGTAGCATTGCATTCAATGGATGGGGACCGGACGAATCAACTAGAAGTCTCTCAACAACCAGAAGTCACATCCTACATCGGGCGCATCGAAGAGCCATGCAAGCCAAACTGATGACCGACTGTCGTTGTCGCAGGTGCGAACATCGGTGGTAAAAAGCTGAAAAGACAACTTGAAGTGAGGCCAGCGCCACAGAGAACTTGAAGTCTACCTTCTCGGATAGATTGCTTTTCTGCTCTCGTGGAACGCTAGACCCAATTCACTGGATGCCATCTTCCTTTGGTGACAAGTTGTGTCGCTATTATCATCAGCTAGTTCAAAACTCTGCTGATGGAGGATACAGATGTCTGGAGTGGAACGAAATACACATGCCCTTGGCTGCCAAACGATTCAGCGGAATCTCATCTCCCAATGTCCACCTCTCCCCTACTTTCGTGGTTCGAGTCTCAAAATGCACGTCATGCGGACGCCCTTATCTGCCGCCGGCCGCCCTACGCAAATCACACATATACTGGACGAACCCTCATCACTTCCCGTCGCTACGGCGGACACCACGGCATTGGATGCGCTCAACTGTTGTCGCATAGGCGGCTTGATGGTCCGCCAAGGCCAGAGCATACGGAAAACCCATGATGTTGCCGATATTTGCGTTCGCTCCCTTCAGACACCTGGGAAGGGGACTTCATGTATTGGGCACTGACGACCTGGCCTTCGACGCTTACGGGTCTACTGGCCGATACAGTACTAACACAAGTCCGCGGCCTTCTGTCACATTGCTCACCTTTATGAGACATTAATGATTCGATCCCACGAGAGGCGGCAACACGCAGATTTCAGCCTCTCTGCAACGTATACGGATGGTTTTAATGGTGAAACTTTATGGTAGTACATTTTACCGTAGTAGGACACAAATATCACTGATCCGGGTTAGTCTTCTATACTATTCTATATTTAGTATCTTAGGTTATGGTTAGCGTATAGTAGTACTTAGTACTTATATATACTTAGTACAGTATAGCCCGCCTAAGGGGGGTTTAAACCAGTCTGAGATCAATCTGGGGCCGATCTGGAGGCGATCTGGAAGTGATCTGGAAGCGATCTGGAAGCGATCTGGAAGCGATCTGGAAGCGATCTGAAATCGATGTGGGACCGGCCTGGGACCAAGCTGAGACCTCAAGTGGAATATGTAATTATCAAAACCGCTTTTAAGGTCTCAGACCGGTCCCAGATCGATCTCAGTGTGGTTTAAACCCCCCTTAGGCGGGCTATACGTACTGAAGACTTGATCAGTCATGCAGATGGTTCTCAGACTTACGGCGTTGATGCCCCAGCACTGCTAGCGCATTCGACGGGTCAGGGCAGTTGGTGTACAGTACTTTACTGTACAAACAGTATACGGACAAAAAGGACGGGAGCGAATCGCGGTGACGGTTACATTACCGGGTCCATCAAGTCAAGGCAAGCGCGATGGATTTGGAGCCGCCACTGTTGGCCAGTGGTTACGGTATGTGGCGGGTCACGTGCACCTGTCTTGGCAAAGAAATGTTGCCAGTCCTTCATATTTCTGTTCTACCTCGAACGTCATTACAGTATACTGCGTATGACAACTGCAATTGACTACTTTACTGTCATTTGCAGCTCTACAGGTGCAACTCATCACGCTGTACAGTGTTCTTCAATCTGGAACCTTAACAGCTTAAACTTCTGCTACAGAGCACTCCGGGCCTTACGGCAGGGAGCCTGTCCCACCGCTAACTCCGCAGTTCGATCCCGACCCCGAATTTCCCCAAGCTCGACCGAGGTTATCAGCTCGGAAGAAGCCAAGTGCCTCTGTGCCTGTGCGGGTACATCAACACTTTAGTACTCCATCCGGAACCGATATCTTCGGCGGCATCCACGATGGTTGGCCACTCAAGGACAAAATACTTAGTACTCCCTAGCAGCTGCATCGAAAACGAGCTCTGCCCGGCTTTATGCAAGACGCTGGCCTGGCCGCTGATAATACAAGCAGATATTAAACACCATTGATATTCAACAACATAAGGTATTTCGGGACCGGCATCTCCATAGGTAGCTTTGGAAATGCCGTACAGCTCTCCTTTTCCACCGTTGGACATCCCAAAATGCAACATCCTCTCCTACCTGTTCCCTCCTGGGAAGACACCGTCCACGAAACCACTATGGATCGATGCTGCCGACACATCGCACAGTCTCTCACCTGCCCAGATGTTGTCTTGGGTCAAGAGATTCGCTCTCGGCCTCGATCGACTCGGCGTCAAGCAGCAGGAAGCGATCATGGTGTTCACGCCCAACCATCTTTATGTGCCCATGGCTTATCTCGCGGCTGCTGGTTCCAAACGCTTCTTCACGGGTGCGAATCCCATATACACGGTCAACGAGGTCGCTCATCAGATGAAGGCGATAGAGGCGGCCGTCATGCTCATTCATCCGACTCTGCTTGAAACGGGCACCGCTGCGGCAAAACAAGCCAACATCCCGCCTAACAGGCTTTTCATCTTCTCAGACTCGGGGCATCCGACCACGAATGGTATCAAAGACTGGCGATCAATGGTAGCCTCGGAGTCGGACGCCGAGTCTTGGAACTGGGATCCCCTCGAGGGTGAGGCTGCTCTGAAAACCGTCGCGGCCATCAATTTTTCCAGCGGAACCACTGGCCTACCAAAGGGAGTCTGCATCACACATCGCAATCTGATCGCCAATGCGGCGCAGTGTATCTTCAACAAATACGAGGGCACTGAGTACTCGGAGCAAAACCCTGGTCCAGAGCGTTGGCTGGCCTTTCTACCTCTCTACCACGCATACTCGCAGTTATGGACCATCAATATCGCGTGCAGGCTTCATGTGCCGGTCTACGTCATGACGAAGTTCGTATACGAGGACTTCCTCAAGTACATACAGCAGTACAAGGTCACGACGCTCCAACTGGTCCCGCCCATTCTCATCATGTTCGCGAAACGGCCCGAGACAGCCAAGTACGACATCAGCAGCCTCAGACAGCTCCTTTGCGGTGCGGCGCCGCTGAAAAGCGACCTGCAAAACGAGATCATGGAGCGATTCAACGTGACCATCGTCCAAGGCTGGGGCATGACCGAGACGACCTGTGCAGGGATCATGATGCCGGGGATGACCAAGGACCTGACCGGGTCGATCGGACACCTCCTGCCCAACACCGAGGCTAAGATGCTCGACGAAGACGGCAAAGAAGTGACTGCCGAAAACGAGGCGGGGGAGCTCTGGCTCCGAGGACCCCAGATGCTGCTGGAGTACTGGAGAAACAGGGAAGCCACGAAGGAGAGCAAGACCGAGGACGGGTGGTTCAAGACTGGCGACGTCGCCGTGCGGAGGGGCGACAAGTGGTGGATCGTAGACCGGAAGAAGGAGCTCATCAAGGTCAACGGATTGCAGGTCGCCCCTGCGGAGCTCGAAGCCGTGCTGCTCGAACACCCAGATGTCGCCGACGCGGCGGCCGTGGGCATCACTCTTCACGGCGAGGAGCTACCTCGAGCTTATGTCGTGCTGCAGGAGCGAGCCAAGGGCAAGACGACAGTGGAGGACATCCAAATTTTCATCGCAGGCAAAGTGGCCAAGCATAAACGTCTGGCAGGTGGGGTCAAATTCATCGACGAGGTGCCAAAGCTGGCTAGCGGCAAGATCGTGCGCAAGTTGATGAAGGAGTGGGCCAAACGAGATGCCAAAGAGATGGAAGCTACCGTGAAGGCGAGACTATGAATAACTCTTCTGGGAAGGAAAGGGGCATCCACCACTTCCGTCCACGTGGTGATACTGGGTTTCAGTTGAGGTCGGAGCACGCGCCCTATCCCATCAAACCCATGAGAACCCCAGACGGACTAACATCAATTGTACGGGGTACGAGCCACGGCACGTTCAGAGGAGGTCATCACCCGCACATTGTCAGAACGCAATCCCGAGCATGTTAAAGATGTATACCGAGCAGACGGCAGCGCGGGGTTTGACTAAACTTCCAACCAGAAACAAAGTACGGAGTACCCGGACTGCACTCGCACAGATGTCACGTTAGTAGGAGTATATAAGAGTATAGGACATTTGGGAAGGGAGAAAAGGGCATTGGGTGCCTCGCCGCCAGATCGCACGTTCATGTGCACAGTTTAGCCGGCCTGAGACGGCTTCTGGACTTTAACGTACATGCTTACTTGGTACAGCAGCAACTATGCGAGACCACTCCAACGCTCTATTCTGCATGGTCTGATGCTCGCCACGGTACTTCACTCGAAGCCAGCTATGTACATACAGGTATCTGTCTGGTTGAAACTACCATTGAGACAATTTCTTACATCCTGTCGCGAATAAATCAATACTGTATCTGAGAAGCATCTGACGTTGTATCTGAGAAGTAGCTGACACTGTGTCCGAGAAGTACCTAATACTTCTCACAGTCCTTAAATCGCCGAGGTTCTCGCGGTTCTGAGACGTATCAGGTACAGTACTTCTCGGACACCTCTCGGATACTTCGCAGACGCCTTCTGGACACCGATTCGAACCCTCAAGGTCGGGCAGTACCTGTCCTAGCTACCGAATACCCATATATGTGTCTAACATTTAACTTGTACTCCGTACGTACTGCCCTTGTGCATTACCGAATACACACTCGCGTTATATACCCCTCGACGCACATTGGATGTCTGTCTCACTGATGAATCTTCCCTTTCGACGTCGTGCACCTGAGGTAGCTAGACTGGTGGTTGCCGGGCAAGGCCCATGCTCGAGGCGAGAATACAGTATCCTCTTCAGACCAGGGACAGATAACAAGGACCTCTGGGCGAGGTTGGCAAGATATACTTACTTACCTACGGTAATAAGTTACTATGTCGCGAAGACCTACGCGTGCGACACCAGTGACGAGCGACGGCAGTAAACACATCTGAGACGAAGCTCATCCATTTTCATTGCTGACCTGCTCGTACAGAAATGCAGGCACGTCAGAAGTCCAAGCCGCCGCTCTGCACGGCCACGACTAATCCTGTTCCTGCTTTCCTCCCTTTCGCTACTTCATCTGTCTTGCTCGCTTCCTTCGGCCTCCCCTTTCTATCGACTCGTTCATCTCTGGGATCGAACCCGCCGTTGCCCCAGAGCGCCCACTCCGGCGTCTCCTTGCAGTAATCCTCTGGTTTGAAATCCTGGCCGCCCTCCAGTAACGCGAAGAATCTGTCATAGTCAATGATGGTGTGCCATTTGCCATCCACCAGAAAGCGCTTCGACGCAATCAGCGCGCAACAGCTGTGTGCGTGCTCGGCCGCGATGCCATATTCGAGACCTCTCTTCGCGAGAGCGGCATTCAGGGCTTCCACAAAGGCGACGACCTCCTCGTAAAAGGGGACGTTCTGCATGGTGAGACCGGCTGAAGAGGAAGTCGACGTCCCGCAGTACGTGACGCCCTTGATCTCGATGAAGCAGGGTAGCCCCTTGGCGACCAGGTCTGCGTACCCTTCGACCTCGTCCTCCACATTGAAGCCTTTCACCAGCGTCAGTCTGAAAACGGTGCGCTGCTCGAATCTTTTGGCTCGCAAGATGTCCAGACACGAGTTGAAGCGTTCCCAGAAATCACGGTGCAGAGGACGGTCGATCTTGCGGAGACTGTCCCGGTTGCTTGCATCAATGCTCACGTATAATTGCGTGACTCGTCTCAGGTCGTTGAGTTGCTGCGGATGTTGGGCATTGCAGACCAGAAAACTCGAGATGCGCTCGCCGTGTAAGAGGCCGACGAACTCGTTGATCCGCGGATAGAAGATCGGTTCACCCACGAGACTCAGCGCGCAATGCCTGATTCGCATGGCTTCCTCGAATCGTTCGCTCCTCACGCCCGGCACGCCGCGCATCATTTTGATCTTCTTGTAGTGCCCCTCCTTGGCGCCGTTGAAGATCATCTCGGGGTCGTCGACCTGCCACCGCCACGTGGTGGAGACCGGGTTGGTGCCATGTCTCCAGCAGAAGACGCACTTGTTGCTACATGACAAGGACGGCGTGGTTTCCATGCACAGATGGGAAGCAATGCCGTAGAAGGAGTTTTTGTAGCAGGACCCGCGGCCTCGGAGGGCGGATTTGGTCCATCGGCAGATCTTGACGCCAGAGTGGGTGCCCACGATGGTGTAACCTTGTTTGGTCAGGGCCGCGTGGGTGGGCGATTCCCTCGGCACCATGGCTTTTAGAGGCGCGGGTAAAGAGGAGTACGTGGTGAAGTCGATCGCCATGGGAGCGCTCTCCCCACCGACGTCCTCGAGGTCCGTGGTATTAGCCAGTTTTCGTCGCTTGTTGCGCCCAGAGTCTGGGAAGTCGTCGTCATTGTCGTGCCCGGCATCTGGCTCGTCCTCCTGGTCGCTCTCAACGGCGGCCCCGCTGCCAGGGACACCATCTCCCAATGTACCGGAAACACTGAGTTCCTGGAGGACATGACACACTCCACCTGTCCATTCCTCCGTCGCTTGCTCGATGCTGCTCTTCACGTCGCCCAGTCCCAATGGGTATGCTCTTTTCCGGCCCGTTAGCTTGGCCATCCATTTGTCCACTTCCACGGCCTGTGAGCAGAACCCTTTCTCCTCTGTCGGCCATCCTTCTTTGTCTCCGATGCCGAAAACTGCATACCCTGCCAATGAGGCGAGCGGCGCCGTGTCAATGCGGAAGTCATTGTGCGTTTCATCCAGGTGCGCGAGGAAGGTATTCAAGATGGTATCGATGTCGTAGGACGGAATGAGGAGCAGGTAGAAGTATCGCACATTCGCGGCTGGTTTGGGTATCTTGGGACCAGAGATGAAGTAATCGTCGAGATCGATGTATGAGAGATCGTACACTTCGGGCTTAAGGATCGTGGGTTGGGTGGTCGCGAGGGATTCGAGTTCAGCAGCAACCCTCTCTGACAGTTGTTCAGTTGTTCCCGTCAAGGACGAGAAGAAGACCAAAGGCTGTAGACAAGATGGCTTCGTTTGTCTCTGCGGAGATGTGTGCCCTCTTGAACTGACCGGCTTGCGTCCGGTCACGACCCGGGCGGCTGCTGGGCGAGGTTTTCGAGCCTGGCCGGATGTAAGCTGATCAACGTATATGGAAGTCGCCTCGTTCTTCTTCTCATTCGTGGCCGTTTTCGCAGAACTATCATCCACTGCGAGCCAATCTGCTTTCTCTAGGCTGGGAGAAGAATCGCGTAATGCGCTTCTGGCGGCGGCACGCCTGCGCCGCACGATGATGGCAAGGACGGTCAGGACAAGTCCCGAGGCCAGCAGGAAGCGATTGTCATGCCAGAAGGTCAGCAGCCGGTCCAGCCAATCTGCCAGGATGACGACCGGCGCCGCTTCTTCGCCCATGTCCATGGTTGCTCGTGGTTTTCGCCAAGGACAAATATTGAGAAAAGTCGACGACTGGGATGCGGGGAGTCGACCACCCCGCCGCTTTAACTACGCACGGTACAGACCGATCTCGGCATTGTTCCTTGTCTGAGCCTCGATACATCTTGTGTACTCCGTACCTATGACAGATACCCAAGGGTTAATATCTACCATAGCCCCTATGCTGGCGCCGAAACGGCTGATTCCGACTACCCTACTATTGATGAGCTTGGTAGTCATGGGCCGGATCGGGTGATGCCGTGCTTTAGACCTGTCGATGGCTCGATCGTCGGCTGATGAAGAAGATACGGAGCTCGGAGACGGGACGTGGCGAAGCGAAAATCAAGGTCTGGCGGTTTGTGCAGGGATGACTGTCGTTCTGGTACCATGACATGCACAATGCACAGGTAGCTGGTCTTGTCCCGGGTCCACCGTCTGCACTCCATGGGGACCACCGACACGACGGAGGGGAGGCATGCTATCTACATGGTACACGGTACGCGGTACACGGTCCCGCATTTCTATCGACTCCCACGTTCGAAGTGGCCGATGCAACAGTTCGGACTTCGGACTTGAGGTTGAACCGAGTTGAAGTGAACAATACCTAGGGAACAGGACAAAGCAGAAGCAAGGCTGACCGTGCAGGGTACACGACAGAGCTTTGGCGTGGAGCGGTATGCTCAGGTAGCGAGCGCACACGATATGATAGTGTGTAATGTACTAAGTAGTTCGCTGCCCATGCATTAGTTACTTAGTACATACTGTACCTTGCTGTACCGAGAGTTGCATTGCCTTGCGCTGTCCGGCCCTCTGTTGTCGGGGGAGGCGGCTTCGCGCGCAAGGTGCTAGCATGGTAGATACACAGTTTGTACCATGTACCATGTACAGTGTACAGGGTACTGTGTACAGGGTACTGTGTACAGGGTACTGTGTACCTCGTCCCTCGTCCCTCGCTCCTGATGGTGCTATGTCTACATCTGCATCTCTGTCCTGCTCCGCTTGAAGGCACAGCTTAATTAATCCATGGCCAACAGTCAGCCACTGGCCGTGCTGGTTACACTACAACTCTCTTTTCTCCGCGTTGACAGATCTTTTCTCCGGAACAAGGTACAGTACTCGAAGAATACGTCAGCGGAAACACTGTGCCAGCTGGACTATATTGCACTGTACTGGCGGCAGTATCAACGATTGATCGAAATGATGCGTCGACCGAAACGGTTGATCAGGCTGCGATTGTTACTGCCACCGTTACTGTCACTTTCAGAATACTCCTCAATAGTCATAGATTCATTATCTACTTCGCCCTCCCCCTCTCTCGCTTCGCTTTGCACCCCTTGCCCCTCCCCCTCCATTGGCATACCAATGTGTGTGTGCGTGTATATATGCATGTATGCATGTATAACTGTGGCCGCCATCCCACCTCGCAAACGGACAGTCCAGATAATGCAGTCCGCCCCAGCCCAATCCAGTCCGGTACGTGTATATGCGCGTTGGGTATGTGGATGTGTATGTATATGCCGCCCATGCTAGGTAAATATAATGGATGTTCAATCAGCCACTCCAGGGGTATTTGACGTGATATAAAGTATCGGCCGTAACATCGTAAGTAGGTAAGCGCGGCGTCTGCTGTTCGGCAAGCAATTAAACCACGCGAACGAGTAAGCGATTAAGTATAAGGAAGCAAGCAAAGCAAGTCCTGTTAAGAAAGGCAAGGACTTCGTAAGCAAATGGTCGATTGGAACCGCCGGTTTCGCAGCACGCCTCCCACCCCACCACACCTGCGCAATGAAAGTATGCATGCATGCGTGTATTGTGTATGCACGGATAGTGAATGTCGCCTCCAACGCCATGCACGAGGCCAAAATGCATCAAGCCTCATGCAAACACGCGGGTCAACTCCTCGCATATATTCGTGATGGCCGTTCTGCCGGCTTCGAGCACGGCGTCCATGGCGAGGAAAGGGTGTGGCATCCCCTCGGCGACGCTCAGCTCGGTGGGAACACCGTTGGCGGTGAGCTTCCGGGCGTATTCCTCGCCGTCGTGTCTCAGGACATCTAATTCGCCGACAATGATATAGGATCGGGGTAACAGCCTGAAGACGTCGTCCGGGGCCAGAAGGGGCGAGGCCTCCCGGTTCGACCAGTCGCCTTTGTTCGGCAGGTAGTGGTGCCGGTACCAGAGCATCTTCTTCGCGGGGAGGTGCGCTGTGAACTCGAACGCTTTCCACGTGGGACTTGAGTAGGGCGTGGCCGTGTTGTCCGTCACAGGCACGACCAGGACTTGCGACCGGAGAGACACACCCGGCTGGGGTCTAAGCACGGCCTTCTGGGCGATGACCGCCGCGATGTTGGCCCCCGCCGAGGCTCCGGATATGGCGACTCTACCGAGGTCCAGCTTGAGGCAGCTCTGTCCTTGGGAGGACGTCGACCACAGAAAGGATTCCCAGGCGTCGTGGATTGCGGCTGGGAAGGGGTCCTCCGGCGCAAGCCTGTCTCGTGAACATGTGAGTCAGACAAGGCCCGGCTATAAAGCAAAGCTTCACTAAAGATGTTGCGCATGCGCGGGTCGACGAGGCTGAACGGGGGGTGCTAACCTGTAGTCGGTGGTGATTACCACGGCTCGAGAGCGGACGCACATGTGCGTGCACACTGTGTTCTCGGTGTCGATGGCGCCGAACACCCAACCCCCGCCATGGTAATAGTGCACCAGTGGCCAACCAGACCGCGGAGGTACACCAGGTGGAATGAAGCAGCGGATGGGCACCCCCGGGCCCGGGGTCTCTCGGCGGGAGAGCAAGAGGTCGTGGACTTTTCCGACTGGCAAGGGCTTGCTATGGCTGGGCGGTACGGTTCCGCTTATCCGAGCCACGTCAACGGGCAGGAGATGGACCTGTTGGGCATGCAGGATATACTTGTTGTAGAAGGCCACATATTCGGGATGCAGGCGATCTTGGACACTGGGGTGGAGAGGGTTGGGTGGCGACTGTAGCTGTACCGGGGCGAGCTGGGCCACCATCTCTGCCTTTTCGGGGTCACTCTGCCGGGCGCTGGGTGTTGTAGTCATGGATTGCTTCCATGGAGAGAGGAGACAAGGGGAGGAGAGGTCGGTTTGCCATTGTTCAAATACAAACAAGCTGTGGGTGCACCATAGTTTTTGGTGGCACAGCATGGGCTACCTGTGAAGCTTTTGCTCTAGCCCGAGCCAACCGCTCTGGCGGGACAGGGTCGACAACTGTGCTACCTGTACTGAAGTACAGTAGCGTAGAGCCCACCCTCTAGTGGTCCTCGTGGTGTCTGTAGTCGCGGCACCGCAGCACAGGAATCCAGGGTCTTGCCAAGTCGCCTCTGTGGGCTAAAAACAACGTTTGGGACGGTTCTGTCAAACCAGACAGGCTTACCTGGCGATTTGGCCACGTAATTGGCTCACGCTGAGGCCTGGAGGAGCTGCATTATCAAGGTCCAGGCTTGTTGAGCGCTACTGCGTGGGGAGTGGGAGTTGCAGCAGTGGGCAGGTACCGGTATCTCATCTGCTGCTACAGGTACCACGAACACCTACAGCCGGGTCCCTGTTTGCGTGCAAATTGCGTCACGCTACCGGCGTCTGTGCAATGGAGCTGCCCTGGACGAGGTGGCACGCTGTGCTGCCCGGGCAGGCGCTCTCCGCCCAGTGACCCTGTACCTCGTACACTGGGAGTAGCGTTTGCACAATTGTTTTAGGTCACCTCCATCTGTGTCCTTGGATCGAGAGTGACTAGCAGACCGCAGTGACAAGCTTGGAAGACGGCTAGCACTAGCTGATGGCAGATCTCTCCTGGCTACAGCATCCCATTCAAGAGATTTGTGGGCCCAAGTTTGGACGATAGCCAGAGTAGAGCTTCGTTATTGCCGACCAGACAAGCGAATCGGAGTGGCAGGTGCCCGCGACCGATCTTGCGGTGCAGCTTTGGGGCCTGGCAAACTCTATGCACTGAAGGTCCCCATTATCAGGTACTGTGACTGTGTAGTTGCATTGACTGTTCGGAGAATTATCAACGTCGTGGGATCCGACTATGCCAATGTACCCGGGCAGGTAGATCCGGTCACTTGACTTCGATCCACGTAAACGGTTCCAGACCCTGGGCAGCAAAATCGAGGATAGCAAAAGGAACCAAGGCGTCGTTGATTGAGCTTCGAGCCTGGGCAGGAGCCCCGTCCCGGCCCGACCACCAGGATCGGCTCTTCTGGCTGTCTCAGGCGTGCAACTAAGTCCCCCTCATGCAGAACACAAAACAATGTGGGCTGCTTGCTGGCCGAATGGACCCGGCCACGAAGCTGCTGTCGAATGCTCGCTTTGCGACGGAAGGGTACCTAGAATAAAAGGCCATAAGATCAGCATCTCTCTTGTCGATCCCCTCGATAGCCGAGGGCAAAAACGCGGACGAGGTCGTGGATAGCGCTGAGGGCGCAGACTCTGGAGAGTGGGCGGGCTACCAACCAACTTAGACTGCCTAGAACTGCCTTTCGTGGCAGTAGATCCTGTCACGCGAATATAGTACATATTCAGTAGAGCTATTTGTGAAAAAGTGATAGTGTCTCATCCGCTTCTCCGACACTTTGCTTTTCCCCGATGTCCACAGCACCGGGCGTGAGTCTTGTGCGACGGCATGGGCACTCGCCGCAGACGTGCGCCGCCGGTTCCAGTCATGCCTCACCCCCGTGTGCCATCGGTCGACTTGCCCTTTTCTCGAACCGCACGCATTTGCTGGCGGGAGACAAATCGCGTGGCTGGTCTCAGTCCGCTGCGATACCGTCGGACGCGGGAGGTCCCTTGTACACCTTTCGGGCGTGGACTGCGTACCATACCGCCGAGATGAACATGAAGCCGACGAACACGACGCTAGCATAGTTCATCGTCACTACCGTGACAGGCAAGGCCGTGGGCATGCTGAAAAGCACCACCTCGAAGCCAATCCAGCACAGGGCAATGCCGTTCGCAATGGGACCGATAATCGGGCCACAAGTCCAGCGAGCAGTAGATACCTCCTTCCGCCGGTGCACAACACTGATTGCTATCGGAATGGCGTAGCTTACTGCCAGTGCAATAACGCCGACTGACACGAAGGCGAGGAAAGCTGATGAAGAACCCAGATAGATCAAACCGAGCAACATTTGCACCACGGTGGTGAGAATGAGAGCGTAAAGAGGTACACCCAGACGTCTGTCAACTCGCGCCCAGACACTGGCAAGGGGCATGGCGTCGTCCCTGGCAAAGGCCCAGGTGCATCGGGAGGCGGCCACGGTGATGCTGATGCTGCAAAACATGGTGATCATCAGAACCAGGAATATCAGGCCGAGACCACCACCGGACGTGCCCATGACAGTGTGGAAGATGTAAGGTAGCGCTTGGCCGTAGGGTGCCGCAATGACATCTTCCAGTGGAGGGAGTGTGAAGCAGATGGGCAGAATGAAGAACAGGCCGGCGGCACCGCCGACAGGAACGCAAAGGCTGATAGCCGTCGGCACTTTGACCGTAGGGTTTGCACATTCTTCCGCCATCGCTGAAATCATCCCGATGGCGCTGAACGTGTATGCCGCCGGCAGGAGACCGATGAAGAATGTGAAGCCTCCCCACCCCGAAAACGACTTGTCGTAGTGGCCTAGCGCATAGCTAGCACTATGCCGACCGACATCAGCTTTGACAGAGAGAGCAATCAAGATGATAATGATGCTCACAGCCGTCCAGGCCGCGCAGATCGTGTCGACCACTGGGAGGAATCGATTTGCGAGCGCACAAATGACCAGCGTCATAAGGCAGATAGCGTAGAATATCAGGAGCAACTGCCAGTCCTTTGCAACCCAGTCGGGATGATACATCGCCACCGATGCAACAATGAGCGAAGCAAATCCAAAATTGACCGAAAGCGCTGTGTCCCATGGTCAGCTCTTGTATACATCAACCACGTAGAGGTTCAAAGTCATGAAGGCAGCCATTGCAGCGCGACAACCACCACGCCTCTGATGAAGCCGTGCGTGGCCGCTCTTCGAAACTCAAATCCCGCAGCAGGATGACCCGAGTACTGTGCATCTTCCCAGAGGTGTAGGAGGAGCTAATGCCAATATCCACCAAAGTAAGAGGTCGGCGAACAGAGACAGACAAAGAAGGCAAGTAAGAACAAGTCACTCACTGATGGTCCAATTGCCCACGAGCCATGTCCAGCCAGTGATGAACGACAGTGCAGTTTTCCCCTTTGTTGCCAACTGGAAAGACCAGTAATAAGGTCCCGCCGACGTAGGATACTTCGAAGCCAGCTCGCTGAGCGAAAGAGCTATGCACTCGTCTAGGACGAGAACGACGATCCAACCAACGAACATGGCCAGCGGCCCTCCTCCATAGATGGCCGAAATCAAAGGACCACCCTCTCCGTAGGGGATGGCAGCAATGGCCAGCGATTGGAACAGCAGCGTGGCCATGGATCGGTTGCGGTTCAACTCAGGCTTGTAGCCCAGTTGATCCATTATCTGGACGTCATCGATGCTGCCAGCTCTGAGTGAAGCTCTTTTCCCATCGACAAGGACGGGGACATCGCCCACAGGAGGGGCCTTTTCGGCGTCAACAGCCATGTTGGTAGAACAGTCTTGGCACCCGTTGTGGTGTACACGAGGAAGAGTGGAAGAAGACTACCAAGTCTCTGTGGTACTGGGGCGCTGGAGTCTTTTTACGATTCACCATCGAAGTTGAGGGTAAAGCCCTCCAAGAACGACGAAATTCCGTTCATCCTGTCGAAGTTCTGACCAACATAGGTCGAGAGGGCGAGTGGAGGCGTCCCTCTCCAACGCCGCTACCCCCGGACTCTTGAAAGTATGGGTTAGCAAGCAACGGCGGTGGGCGATAAAGCAATGACAAGCATTGTTTGATATTGTCAAGCCTCCACGGGGAATTCTATACGATTTTAGGCCTAGTGCGGGTAGAGCGTCGAATTGGCAGGCCCCCGAGCCCCCCAAACTCTTATCAGTGTCCAATCGCCTCGGGGTGAACTCCCTCTTTTCGCGTCGAGCTCGAGTACCTATCTCAAAAGGGAAGATGGCGAAATTCCGGGGCACGACACTGACCATGCTTCGCAGCATGATAGATTGGACTCCTGGATAGCCGTCCTCGAGCATGCGTCCCCTCTGGTCGATTGGTCAAAGCATGAACTGACTCCAACCGCGTGCCTCTCGCTGCAGGTACTGATGAGCTGCTGCACGATGGTTTCGACGATGCTGCTTAACGACGCAAGAGCCAGCCAGCGTGGTTGCGTCTGATCTCCCCAGTCTTCGAGTAGTGGATCGGACAGCCCAGGCATGGCGACAACCCGGGACGACGAGCTACCCAATAATGGCCAGGACATTCTGGACGAGATCCGTGGCGCCGAGAGCGCGGCCTAATTGGCAGATTGCGTGCAAAAGATAAGACGAGGATAAGAGCAGTGCCACAGCCTTGTGAGCACTTCTCATCCCGAGAGTCAATCGACACCCTGGTGCTGTCAGACACCACGTGAAATACTGGTCCTGCTTTTACGGCATGATCTCGGACGTGCAAAAAGGCTGGGAGGCCTGCGACAGAATTGACACCGTCTTCGTCCTGGTCTGCACCGTTTTCTGCTGGCCCATCATACCTGCTGTCGGACTGGGCTACAGCGGATACTCGACCAGACGGAGTGGACTTGCTTCCTTCATTCCTGCTGTTCTGACGGTGTGTGTCTGCTCGATCCAATGGTTCATCGTCGGATATACCCTCGCTTACGGTGAGGGTCCGGGCGGCGTTGTTGGCAACCTCAGCTATGCTTTCCATCGGGGCGTGCTTGCAGAGCCGGTTGGAAGCATTCCTGCGGTGCTCTTCAGCGAGTTTCAGCTGGTCTTCGAGGCCACTGTCTGTGCTATAGCAGTCGGAGGAGCTTGTGAACGTGGCCGCATCCTGCCGTTGATCCCATTCATCTTCGTACGTAATCAAGGCGGTACTGATTTCTCTGGCTGCTAACACATAAAAACAGCTCTGGTCCACGTTCATCTATTGCCCCCTGGCCCACATGGTTTGGGGCGGTGGGTTTCTGAGTGCGCTCGGCGTGCTTGACTTTGCTGGCGGTACTCCTGTCCACATTTGTAGCGGAGCGACCGCTTCTGCTCTCAGCTTATATCTGTCGTATCCCATTGCACGGTCTCGGAAGTCCGATGTTAGAACGCCTTCCCATCTCAAACTGCACCGCCCACACAACTCGATGTGCCAGGTTCTCGCACTGATCATCATCTGGGGATCGTGGCTGGCTTTCGACGCAGGCACCGCGCTCACTCTCAGCTTTCAGTCGGTCATGGCACTGTGCGTCACCAATCTCTGCGCGTCGGCGGGTGCACTGACCTGGGCATCGATCACCTATTTCGAAACAGGCAGATGGTCTTTGGACAGTACATTCATGGGAGCAATTGCTGGTTTGGTGATGATCACTCCCGCAGCAGGCTTCATCGACCTTCCCACTTCCCTCTTCTTTGGAGTTCTCGGAGCCCTCGTTTGTCGCCAAGCGCTGCGAATCAAGTTCACAGATTTTGCTCGAAGGTGGAGGTGGGTCGACAACGGAGATACGTTCGCCACGCACTGCGTCGGCGGATTTCTGGGGACCATCTGCACCGGTCTTTTCGCTCAAAAGGCCGTGGCGGCGTATGGTGGGGTTGAAGTGGATGGAGGAGTATTCTTCGATGGCAACATCCGTCAGCTTGGTGTCCAGATCGTGGAAGCATTAATTGGGTTCACCTGGTCTTTCGCCGGTTCATTTGTGATCATTGCTCTGATTGATTGCATTCCAGGCCTCGAGGTCCTCGCGGAAGATAAGTACGTCGCGCTCGGGGGAAACAGCGTCGGCTTCCTGCTTTGCTAACAACCTCACAGGGAAGTCACAATGGGCATGGACGCCTCTCAAATGGATGAGAGTCTATATGAAGCTCAGTGGGCCGGAGAGGAGGATTACAAGCCGCTTGCAAACGGTAACATTGTCCTGGATTAGATTTTGCATGTAGGCATTGCCGACGCAAAATCAATCATCCCAGAACGCTGCTCTGGGAAAGCATGGAGAGACATCACTGAGCATGAAAAATTTGCCAGGCTCGAACGAAGACCGTCGCCATGACTTGTGTGTGCATCCACTTTCTGACCCGAAACCTCAGGCGAGGTGTGCTGGAGAGTAGCTGGAGGCTGACGTCGGATGACAGTCGCATGTGCTTGAGCGTGGCGCCTTTCCCAAGTGATAATTAGGCTTGGTGTTTGAGATCGAGGCCGGCAGGATTTGTGGCAGCAGGCTATGCTGGTCACCTAGATCATGGGACAGTGATCGGACCATCTGTGATCAGGAGCTCAATCGCAGCTCACCATGATAGTAAGCCGTGAAAATGCTTAAGGCTTTTCGGGGAGAGGCACCGACTTTTTGAGCAACTGAGGGACTTGGATCCCATACTGAAGGAATTAGAGCGAGCTTAAAGGTCAACCTTGGGCTACGACGGCGAACGTGTTACTGTGCGCAGATCAGCACCCCACTTTACAGGTCCTGTCCACAAAAATTTTAGGTTCATAAACGAACTATCCAGCAATGCAGACAACAATCGCCTCAGAGCGGCCGGATGGTGTAGTGTTAGTTCCTCCTCTATCCTTGCCAACTTATGAATCTAACATCTGCAACAGTGGTTATCACATCTCCTTAACATTAAACAATGTCCGGAGAAGGTCTTGAGTTCGAGCCTCAATCTGGTCAAAATTCTTTTTGTTTTTGCCTACTATATCAGGGATGATGTGGCTGTAGAAATGGAGCACTAACCATTGGTGATTATCAAACCCGCGCCTTATTTTAGCCATCTCTGTTTCTAGGAAGGTCAAGCGAGACCGTCAACGCAGTCCTTCAAACTCGTCGAGCATCACACAAGACATGTCTTTTTTGAGAATAGGCAGGGATGGGATTTAACTCTGCAATGCTCATCCCCGAACCTCTGTCTAGTAGGTCGAGGTCCCAAATTGCACAACCCTGTGATCGCTGCTGAGTGACCGATTCCACGCGTCTCCCTTCCTGGATGTCAATCTAGACCTAACGAGGATACTTTGCCTGGACGTCGATGCTGTCATGTTTTGGTGGCTGCGACCGCTTCAGCGTCGATACGTTGCCGAATGCGAGAATCGGCGCTGATATGGACCCCCCGTGGGAGGCTTTAGGGTTTTGATACCTTGCCGGAGGAATTGTACCAGCTTCTCGCCGACGAGATTGTAACCTCTCCACACGCCCAACCTCCACCCAACACGGGAGAGGACGTGGTGGAGGCTGGGACAGCTACCCAACAAGCAATCCGACCGAGACCGAAGCCAGAGACGAAGATAGTGAGTTCGTCGCCGCGTGGACAAGCGTTCCGTGCCAAGGTCGCCAGCACCAACTCAGCCGAATGATTCGGTGATCGTCACAACAGGAGCAGCTTTGATGGAGGCAGGCATCACCACAGGCATGGCGGAGAAAGCGGGTGGCATCGTGAAGAACCCCTCCTCGTCCGGCCTGCCGTAATTTCGGTTCGGCCGTGGTCTTTGTTTTGCGGTGTTCAGGTACCCTAGGACCTCATGTATCGCTTCCCGCAGCGGTTGCAGGGCCGTTGCGTTGGTCGGAGCTCGAGAAACAGAGATGACCGTCCGGGTCTGCGCGAGCTTTGCGCGGTGGTTATTCAGTTTTCTTCGACCATGGGCTAGCTTGTCGATGATACTCTTGGTGTTTGGCTGCGTGGAGTCCTGGACAAGCCTACTCAACGCCGTGAGGAGATCGTCGGTTTTCCTAATAAAGAGGCCAAAGGGAGACGCGTATTGCGCCTCAGGCATCGCGGCAATGGCTTCTCGACACTGCGCGGCCAGGCCCCCGCATTCGAGGCCAAGCGCGTGTGCCTTCTCCAACGTTGCAAGGCAGGAGGACGTGGCCTCGGCAGTGTTCGCTATTAGCTTGTCGAAACCGTCGATCAAGCGATAGAGCATCTCTTCAGCAGAGGCGTGTTGCTGCGCTGTCCACGTCCACCGTTTCGAGGGCGTCGTCACTTCGTCGACCATCACCTGAACTTCCTTGAGATTGATGACCGCCATCACGAGCAATCTGTTTGTTGTGAGGGTTATGCTGTACATACGTTGTGCGCTAATGAGAAGCTCCCGCATGTATCTCGTTAGCGTCTTAGTGAGCGCTTCCTTTGGTGGGAGGGCGACGTCGCTCCACTGGAGCCGTGTTTGCACGCTCTGAAGAGGCGTGGTGGCCCAATAAAAGGAGTCGATGTAGGGAGGTAGGGTGTCCGAGATCCCAACCCAGCCATCAAGTTCGCGGACTGTTTCATTCAGAATTCCAGTCACTATCTGCACGTCAAGTGGCACGCAGGGGATATGTAGCCAGGTGGCGATCCACAGAGTCGTTGTGCTCGCGCAAAGTGTGCCCACGCCGAGTATCGACTCGGTGGCTTGCCGCAGGAGGCCTCGATACCCTCCTTGGTTGTCGATCCAGCGGCCACCCAACACGGATAGTTGGACGACACTGGCGGCGGTACGTATAGCAATATCGAACGCGGCGAGGGAAGTCGTCTCCAGAAGACTCCAGCTTCGGACAGCCACGTCGATCATGGCGGCATCAATGTTTGACACCTGCCGGCGTGCCAACCAGACCGCACCGAGCAGGATCAAAAAAAGCAGGACACTCCTGAACAGGTGGCTCGTCACAAGCTGGTCCGTGGCAGCGAGCAGGCCCTTCTTGATATAGCCAGTCGTCGCCAAAGTGGTTTCAAAATTCGCTCGGACACGGACGTTTTCCTCAGCCTGTCCGGAGCCAGCGTCCGGTTCAGGTTTCGAAAGGACCTTGCGTGGAGCCCTCGACGCTGGGACGCTGGCGTGATCACCGTCACAGGAGACGGATGGCATAGGAGTATGAGTCGAGCTTTTAGAGCTCGAGGCGTTGATACTCACGTGGGGGCTGTTGTCTGGTACGGCGACGTGTCGACGTTGTCGATCTGACCGCGAGGGTAGCGCCTCACCGCGGTCCTTGGGGCGGGTGTCTGCATTGGTGACATACGACGTCTTCAGCTGCTGGCGACGTTCGCTTCGTTCTGTCATGGCGGCTCTCTGCGATCTACCACGTCTTCTACGGGCGTCCCGGGCGTGCGCAACAGCATAGGGATAGGACAGAGAAAGAGGGACTCGCTCGAAGAAGAGACAACAAAGGGAGGGGGACGAGGGCTGACCCCGGCGGCTCGCACCGACAGTACAGGGTGACTACCAGCTTCAAGCTGGATGCGTGGAAAGGGACAATGAGGAAGGGGGAGTCTCTGGGGCATCCACCAGACTCCTTAGTCCTCATCCCTTCTCGTGACCGATATTTCACCTGACTGTGTTTTGGGCTGATCTGTGCTTCTGCTCCATCGGCCATCGGTGCCGCAACTTCGTCCTGAGTGGGGCACGAAAATCACATTCCTCGCTGCCGTGTCCGGAATCCCTTTGTCAACAAATCGAGCCGTCACGTCAGCAAACATGGATCAGGCAAGGGACAATGGATGCTTCCTCCGACCACGCAGCAGCAAAAACCCGATGCTAGCTGATCACCTATGCCCGCAAGACCGGCCTGCTCAATTTCGCCCTCAATTTGACATCCCTTCACCAATTGCATCGGTACAGGAAACCAGCGAACACAACCAGCCACAGTGAAGGGTTCGCGAAGATGAGGAACAGGGATCCCTTAGAGGAGACCTTGCCAAAATCTTCACCCGCTCCCAGGCTGCGCACTACCCGTCAAAGCACAATTGAACACGAATCTTTCCAGCCTAACGATGCCAGGGTGCCAAGCTTGGTTATCGTGTCTGGCCATGGCCCATCTTGCTCAGCGCTCAAGCTTCATCCCGCCGTCCTATACTTTCGAGAGCGACGCTTTCCAGAGTGGCAAGATCGGTTCGTCGAGCTCCATCGAGAACACCTCCGCTCAATCTGCAACCTCCAAGACTTGCGCCCGACCTCGTCTCCCCACCAAGGCCTCTAAACAGCCTTGACAACTCCGACGATGCCACTACATCGCGTCACATGGACAAATGCCACCACAACAGGCGGTAGTTGGCACCTCCAGCCAGGCACCTTTGTGGACGCATGCGTCCTCCTCATCTGCCCCTGTAGGCAGCACCAAAGATCGATCAGTCCGCACTGACCAGTTAGTTACCTGATGAAGTCGCGGACAAGCACCAGCCAGATCCACCTCCGACCATGTCCGCAGACGATTCCGCAACGTCTGGACACACAATGGCAGTGCCTGTGAAGAGGAAGAGGAAGATCAACTGCGCAAGAGCTTCCCCACCCGGAACCTGAAGCGTACCGAGACAGACGTAGACTCAAGACGCCTACAACAGCACTTGCCGTTGGATGTGGTCGAAGCGCCGGCAAACCCCATATCCTCTGCCTTACCAGAGCATCAGCAGAACCAAACCATTCCAGAAGGCTATGTTGCAACATCGACACCGATCTGGCGCTACTTAGATTCCTCGCTGACTGCAGGAAATATCGCGGCCACAAACCATTGTTCCGGTATTTCTTGTTCACACTGACCGTCTTGAGTGGCATATGGATCATCCCTGGAAAGCTCGGGATTTTGGGCCATGGGGTTGACGAAGTCGGCGCCAGAAGCTGGAAAGCTGGAGTAGAAACAATGTCACTCGCGTTGAGGGACCATATCGACAGTCTGTTCGTCCCTCACCCGGTCCATGGCAACAATATGTATCCGGGCGGTCGAAGTTTCCAGCGCAAGGGGTTTGCTTCGACGCGTCGCTATTGCCACTGGTGGACACGCTCATCTCTGCACAAGCCCTTGCTTTCATGGCTCGCGGTGTGGCTCGGAGGCTCGTGTTCCGAGTCAGGCCTCCACAGCCCAGTCTTTGTGGCTCTCAACGATACTGTGCCTGAGCTGGGTTATTGGGCAGGCATTTCGGAGATGATGATACCCCAGATCGATCCGTCCAAATGACTGCTGAACCCATGCAGCGGCAGCAAGTGCGGCTCGAACACGCCAACATTAACATTGCTGAATGAGAAGTTCTTGCCCATGGGATGCAGGCTACATCCACGGCCTTCTTATGAGTGGCACTTACATGTACGAAATAACGTCGTTGACTGAGAAGACCATGCTAATGCTCGTTAGCCGCAACCTAGATAATTCTTATTCTGGTGTCAGTGAGCTCGCACTGGCCCAGAGATCCCGGGGGTAGCCAGGCCTGTATGGGAGGAGGCGAGAACTTCGCGTCGTCCTAGGGTGCCTTGTCGGAACAATTGACCGCATGATCCACAACACCCTGAAGACAGTCGTCCCCTACACGGAGCACCCCTCCTCGTCCACAAGCACCATGAACGACTTCGATGTGCTTCGCAGAGATTGCCAAGCTGCGCGGCCCAAGGGCGGCTTCGGGAGGATTAGCGCTCATGGTTGGCCAAGTCTGACCCCAATCTACTTAGATTCACAAAGAATCTCGGGACCTTTGCACGGGTGCCTGCGAATGTGATACTCGAGAGATTGGGAGAAGCCACGGATCGTTTGACAGAACATCGAAAACATCCTATGGTCACCAAGTCAACTCTGTCAAACTCCTACGGTCTGTCATCTGATACCGGTCTGCAGCAGCAGCTCGAGGTCTTCCGTCATTATATCAGTGTCGTAACCACTGCAAGGGACAGGATCGCGCTGGCAAAAATGAGGCATGCAGAAGAGCACGAAAAACAAAAGAAGGCCGGCCTCTATACAGCCCCTCCGATTTGACAGTCATATGGTTATCTATTTGCAGCTCTTGGCTCTTCGAATCCATTTCGGTTGCACTTGGGACCCGAAGGTCAAGACTTGTGGCGCTCACCGTAGGATACCGTCGACGAGCAGCACATGTGGTAAGTTTCACACCTTTCATTTCTCTCTTCTCTCGACATCCCGATCGAGAGCCATGTCATCGGTAGCTATTTCCTACCGAGGCACGGATCTTTTCGGGATAGTGACCTCGACCTTTCCAGAAACACCAGAGCTGATCCCCTGAAGCTCATAAAAGCTGCCATGGTGGCGCAATCGGATCCGAGACGCCGTCCGCAAGATTATATTCTGCAGACATGTATCTTGTGTGAAGAGGGCCAAATGTCCCCGGGTGGCAAGAGAGCGATCGGACGTGGTCGTCTACGCACCCCAATACACTCATTCTTCCTTTCCTAACCTCACGCCCGTCCATGAAACTCGCTGACAACAGCGCAGAGCGAGGTATAACATCAGGACGGGCTCTCTTTTGGACCCCAGAATGGGTGGTCCTAACCGTAGCGACACCTCTTTCGTGGAATGAGTTCCACGGCAGTACCAAAGTCATAGCGTGACAGTGTGAATTAGGTCCAGGGGCAGTTGTAAGGCCTTTGTTGTCTGTGTGCAATTCACCGCACCCGGCATCGAAGCAGCATTAGTTAGTAGGTCTAGACAAAGGCTGTTTCCTACCGGCCCCACTCGCACCCGCATAATATAGCTTGATCAATGTAGGTCTTCGGTGCTCTGCGACGAGCATCAACTTTCTACCTATGGAGCCTGAAGAGTCGTTGTCCGGTGCGTCGCCGCACGGATCCCCCGATAGCGAATCTCCAGCGAGTCCACGCGACGGCGGATCCCAGCACACGCGGGAAACTCCCAAGACCAAAGATCACCCTGTGCAAAGTTCCTGGATCGAGAGCGGAGCAGTCGAGCTGTATTGCCAGGCTCTGCTAAGCCGAGCCCATTTCCTGTTTTTCAACTCAATACCCGAAGATGTTGATTTTCGAATGGACCTCTTCCTCCAAGGCAAAGAGGCACTCGAGGAAGCCGAAGCGTCATGCCAGTCGAATCGATACTCGGTGAGCGACCAATTGATGGCGAAGTGCTGGTACATAAGGGGCTTCCTGGCCGATGTCAGCGGCAACAGGCCCAGCGCCGCGGCTTGCTTCGAGCACGCCACGAGGCTTGATGGCCAGATGTACGCGAATCTCAAGCGCGTGAGATGGTACCGACAATGGCAGGAGGACGCTCAGGAGCTCGGCGACATGTGGAGTAAATTCAGCGACCTCGATCGCTTCAGCGAGCGTAGCCAGCAGCCTCTCCACCACGGCCTGGGGGAGGTGGAATCGAACGAGGGACTGACGAGGGTGGGAACATCAAATTCGCATGAGACGCGGCACAGCGTGCTGTTCAACTTCCTCAAACGCGACATCACGAACAGACCGCGGCCCCAGGACAGTCGGTCGAGGGAATACCCAGTAACGCCGCCACCGCAGGCCACCACGCCCACCAGTTCGCTCACTCACTCGCCGCCGATCGTGACGCCGCCTCATGCCCGAGGATTCGGGGCCGTCGACTTATTCATGAAACAGCTGATAGAGGAGCCTAGCAGGGCGAAACGACGGGCGTCCGAAGAGACCCACAAGCTCTTGATGCAACATGTCAATTCGCCGGAGAAGGACGCCTCCCTGCTCGCCGCCGCCAGGGAAAACAGGCGGAGAGCGATACAGGAAGCGGCAGAACGGGAACAGATACAGCGGCTGAGAGAACAACTTGAGCTGAGGAGGGAGTCGACGGCCAAGAAGAAGAACATCAGACGTCCGTCGCGCCAAGTGGCCGATGAAGCTGTTCTCCTGTCAGACACACCCGGCATTGGAGAGCTGGATTGTACGCGGTTCACCGCTGGGACGATTCATCGGAGCGCCGTCTCACCCATTTCGCCCGTCTCGCCTACAGATGCCTTGAGGATCAACACTCATGGAATCAGAAGGTTGTCAACAACGCCTGCTTCGCCTTCCCCGGGTCCGTCGAGTCCACTGAGAAAGTCCGCCCTTCCTATCGAGGTAGAGGAGGTGGGCGGATACGAGTTTTCAAATTGACGGTTGGGTCATCGAGGCACAATGTTGGCGGTGGCAATGGCAAGGTCAATGGGAATCGGCGTAGTGTACTTATGTTAGCAGTCTTGAACAAAGCGCAGGAAGGGGAGGTGGCCCAATCTTCCAGATGTGTTTTTGTCTATAGTGGTACGAACATGGAGCGTGTACGACTATGCAGCGTCCGACCCGGCCTTTTGTGTGTACGCATTCCTCAGTGGTTAGCGTCGACGGCCTGTGGCCAAATTCTCTCCTTGTACGGGTTACACATTGACGGGTACCTGTGCCTTGGCGTGTGGTGGAATCCGAAACCTGGCTGCGCTGCCTGCCATAAAGCGCGTCCTGGCCATGAAGAACAACGTACCAGCTTCCGACACGATGTTATATTTCTTCTGATGAAAGCAGGTTCGCTTCTCGTAGACTTTGACACTGGTTTGTTTGACAATGTAAGAGCTTCGTGGTGCGTGGATAGCTGAAACTGCCGGCACGTATGTGAGTGTCCGAACAGGTGGGTGCGTACGCACGACCGATCTCAGCGGTGACGATGCGAGGAGTTCGGAAGGTAGGTTTCATCCTGGGAGGGGAATCAAACATGATAGCATCAGCAAGTTGTGAACCGTGCCTACCTAGGTAGGAATACCAAAAATCGCCTGCGAACTGTCAGAGACGAAGCGGATTTCATCAGGAATTCCGTTGGCTCACCTCCTCTCGCAGTCTTTTCTCATCAAACTTCAGATCGCACTCAACGGGGTGTAAATCATGCTCTTCTCAAGAATGTACCAGCTAGGGTTCCACGCTCATGAAAAGTAAAATGGCCTGTCAGAGTAAATCCGTCGGTACCTCCCGTGCAGGTCGGCACGAAGCCAAGTCACCAAACACAGGTCAAAGATCATCACCACTCTCTTGTCCTGGCCGTGATCCGGAGACCGTCGACGCAGGACGCAGCGAGAGCAAACATAAGGCTTCACTCTAGGGTACCGAGGACTTCGTTTCATCAGCCAGGTTGAGGTCCGCGGCTTGTGTGAGAAGCTCAACGGAGGACGTTTACTATAGAAATGATTCTATGAAGTAAAGTCTACCTGTGTGTTAGCTGTCGTCAAAATGTAGGGGGTAGGGAGGAATTTCGTACCGAACTGAAGAAAAGAAAAAAAATTGAGAGGGAGCAAGCAGAAGATATACTCGTTCGCAGGCTAGCGCGCCAAATCTGTTAAACTCGCCAAGCAACGCCAAGCGAGTTTTTCATGCTTTCTGTGGCCGTTCACGTGCCATTTGCGGTCCTTTCATTGTCAGGACATTTTCCCAGGCAAAGTTTTCACATTTTTCGAATACACCATCGCAGCCACAGGTAGAATCGGACTGCTCAAGCCAGGGCAGCTGTGGCGCACGTCAAAGCAGAGGCAATGTCTTCGCCCTGGATTCAAGTGTGGAGATTTGCTGTGAGGTTTACGACGATATCAGCATCTACCATCACTCTCAACCAGCACCGCAATTTTCATGGTAATTGACGTGAACTTCTAGTATACGCGGCCGCTGTCAGGATATGGTGAGCCTACCGCGCTCTTCCGTGACCGCGTAGATCTACAGAGAAATTCTGGCGAGACCAGATTCCGGCCCTCCAGACACTACCTTCTGTGTACCTAGTAAATATAGCTCCCAAGCCTGCTGTGTACGCAAAAAGTACGCGTACTCGTAGCCCATGCAAAATTCTACTGCACGTCTCGCGCACAGCCACCCAGCTGGCCAATCACATAGATTTGATGGGCCACCGGCGTTCTTCGGTCAGACTCTCCCTAGAATTTTTTCCCACCGAGGCTCCTTGACTCTGACTCGTGTTTGAGGTGGCATTGCATGTTTGCTTGACGACTTGACAGTGCAGACATAGCCACCTAAGAAAGGCCGCCGAAGGGGCACTGAAAAAAGCAGCGCTTCATGACCATTAGAACGACCTCGCCTAGACGACTTTTCTGAGTGTTGTTGCTCCGGGCCAATCACTACAATGGTGGCCAACAACTCAAAGTACTCCAGTACTCGGTACGAGGATCAGTCGTCAAGAGAGTTCTTCAGCTTCGAGGAGGTGGTACTGAAGGGCTTGGCCTCTGACGGAGGTTTATTCCATCCTCATGCAGTGCCCAACGTCAGGTCGCAGTACTTAAACTGGAAGGACCTTTCGTTCCCAGATCTTGCCCACCGGGTCATGAGGCTGTACATCGATGAAAGCGAGATCTCGGACCCCGAGCTCAAATCGATAGTCGACCGCAGTTATTCAACCTTCAGACACCCCGACACAGTGCCGGTGGTGACGTTGGACGAGGAGAAAAATCTGCACTTGTTGGAACTCTTTCATGGACCTACGTTCGCGTTCAAGGATGTCGCGCTTCAGTTTCTGGGCAACCTGTTCGAGTTCTTCCTGGTGCGCAAGAACAAGCATCTCGAGGCAGGGCACTCGCGACACCACCTTACCGTGATTGGCGCTACTTCCGGGGACACTGGCTCGGCGGCCATTTACGGCCTTCGGGGGAAGAAGGATGTCAGTATCTTCATCATGTTCCCAGACGGCAAAGTCTCGCCGGTCCAAGAAGCTCAGATGACCACCGTGTTGGATCCCAACGTACATTGCTTGAGCGTGCAGGGGACCTTCGACGACTGCCAGGACTACGTCAAAGCCTTGTTCGCCGATCCGGAGATGAATAAGATCCACCACCTGGCTGCGGTGAACTCGATAAATTGGGCACGAATATTGGCGCAGATCACATATTACTTTTACGCGTACTTCCAACTCCTGAAGAGGCGTCCTGACTTGAAGCAAGTCAAGTTTGTGGTGCCAACGGGCAACTTTGGTGATATTCTGGCTGGATTCTATGCCAAGAGGATGGGCCTCCCGGTCGCGAAGCTGGTCATAGCGACAAACGAAAACGACATCCTACATCGGTTCTGGCAGACGGGGTCGTACTCGAAGAAGCAAAAGCCAGCGACAGAACCGCACGAGGGGATCGAGGAAGACGGTGCGCAGGCGCACGAAGATGGAGTCAAGGAGACATACAGTCCTGCTATGGATATTTTGGTGTCTTCGAATTTTGAAAGACTGCTCTGGCACTTGACCCTGGAACATGAAATCGATCTCCACCCACACGTCAAGGTTGAGTCTTCGGTGAGGACGGCTGGAGGCAAGATCAACCAATGGTTCCAAGACCTGAAGCGGACTGGTTCCTTTACGGTGGATGGGGAAATCTCGGACAAGGCTCGAGAGACATTCGGTAGTTATAGGGTCAGTAACGCCGAGACGCTGGATGCTATACGAGGCTGCTACAGGGGCGAGGCGATCTCGTCGAAAGGATATGTGCTGGACCCTCATTCGGCGATCGGCGTGGCTGCAAGCCTGCGAGAAATCTCCCAGGCCGGGTCGTCATCAGACGTGCCTGTCGTGTCGCTGGCGACAGCCCATCCAGCCAAGTTCGCAGGTGCGGTGGAACTGGCCTTGCGGGAAGAACCCGGGTTCGATTTCAACCGGGTCTTGCCAGAGGAGTTCATGGGCCTAGACAGCAAGGAACGAAAGTTGTTGAAGGTATCGGCCACAGAGGGATTGCCCGGCATCCGCGAGATCATTACTCGCGAGGTAGAAAAGGAAAAAGGGGATGGCCGCAATGGTGGGTGATGGAGCGCGAGTCAGCACAGATGTCGGCGAAGGAGTTGATAGTCGAGGGGTGTGGTAATGCCTCTATTCCTATTCAGCAAATCAGGGCACTTGGTAGACTTGAATGATCAAGGCTTGTTGCTCTCAGGCGCAGCCAAGTACGAGTTACAGAACCCCGCTTTCTGATGTCCAGCTCGCTTGTACTCGTACTGTGCAGGATTGGTCGCGCCCCGGGCGTCGGACCCCGATCGTTCCCAACAGGAATCGGGGACGTGTGTCTTGCTCGCAGCATAAATCGTGACATCTGTTGGATGGAATTGAAATGATTGAGGTTGCTTGTTTGATCTGGTATGCTCAACATGACTGCGCCAGAAGTCCTTCCTCTTTCAAGGCCCACCGTCTTCGTCTGATGTTATTGGTTGGATTTTCAACTTCTGCAAATCAGGCAATGAGGAGGAGATGAGGTGCGACGACGGCGACCGTCAACCGCGTCTCCTTGTGTGCAATACTCCGTACTTTTTGCAGAACACATAGGTGCCCAGCGTGTCATGCCCAGCACTCGCTACGAGCTTGAGACCTTTAGACTGCTTGATAGATGCAGCTGCCCAGCGTCGGGACAGCACGCACAGGTGCGCTGTTCAGCTAGCCCAGCCTCCAGAATCGGCGAGACGTCCAGCCTCAAAGCTGGAAAAGTGCTGATCAGCTTCCGAGGCCTGTCGGTAAGCCAATTTCGGGCAGGGATCTGGAGGCTTCGCCTGGCGCCACGCGTGCACCTGGAGTTCTGGGTTAGGCCCCGCTGCTTACCAAAGACACCCCTGCCCGATGTTCTATCTTGGGTCTCACTTAGCTCACCACTACTGTGTACTGAACCCAGCTCCTATGGCGCCAGCCCCAGCCGTAAGCCGTAACCGTCGCTGTCGCCGTCTGAGGCAGGAAATAACATGGACACGCTCTATGGCCGCTGTTTCGGCGTGTCGGTATATCGGTGTGAGCTGTGAACCACAGTGAGCAGCACATGAGTCCGTGAGTAAGTTTGCTGTGACCGCGCGAGTATTAGTCGTTGCTTGTGCCAGCCCCGTCTGTACGCCCTGCTCCTTCACATGATCTACGAACAATCGCCAACATGGAATCTGGCGCAAAGCGGTAGGCACGAGTTCACGGAACACAGCAACCTGGAGATGGAGATGGAGACTGACACTCGTTCCAGGAGACACATCCCGCAATGGCCACCCTTCAAACAGCCATATCAACACCTCAACTCAGACGACAATGTACAATTGACTCCGCTCCCCGTCACTGGTGGCTCGAGCCTGCCGAGCGCCAGCATCTTTAGTCCAGGCCTCAACAGCGCCACCGCATATACTCCCGATCCTCTAAGCGGTACACCACACCCTCTGCTACCGAAACCGCTGGGCACGGCAGACAACACTGTGTCGAAGAGACGGAAAGGAGGATGGAAGACAAGTTCGCGCATAGCCCTGGGTTGCGCCGTCTCGGTGCTCGTGACCAATATCTGTTTAACCATCGGACTAGTAACGTCGGGAATGGACATGAGAGGAGGTTCGTGCATGCACACGACATGTCAAGGCAACAATGCTGACTTTGCTTAATCCAACAGGCATCTACATGGTCTACGCCGGTGACTGTGGAAAGGTCGAGAACAAAGATACATGGGTGCATCTGGGGCTCAACGTGGTGGCCACGGTATTGCTTGCCAGCTCGAATTACTGCATGCAGTTACTCTCAGCGCCCAGTCGAAGTGAGCTCGACAAGGCTCATGCCAAGCAGAAATGGATGGATGTCGGGATTCCCAGTGTGCGGAATCTCCTCTTCTTGAGAAAGAAGAAAGTCATTCTGTGGTGGGTTCTGGGATTATCGTCGCTTCCGCTGCATCTAGTGTGAGTCGCGCTGCACGCCCAACCTGGTTTACATGGAGCTGATATTCCCAGGTACAATTCCGTCTTCTACTCTGCCTTGGCGACGAACAACTATAGCGTCCTGTACGCCTCGGAAAGTTTCGTGCAAGGCGCCGCCTATGACAAATCTGAATTCCCAGACACCGAAGCATGCAACGTCACCGAGATCCAAGCCGGCGCCCGAGCTGGGAATTATACCGTGCTCAGCAATGACGACTGCATTCGTGCCTATGCGCGGGACTTCGTCGAAGACCGCCGGAACGTGATCGTGGTGGTGAAGAATCCTCCCTCGAACCAGGGCTCTCTGTTCAAGATCGCCGACAACGAATTCCCCGAAGAGATCACCAGCCAGTACAACCCTTTCTCCTGGATTTGCGATAATCCAGACGTCGTCAATCAAACGGACGCTTGCTGCGAGAACAGATGGGGCTTCATACCTTGCTCCAAGATCACGCCGAAGCTCATCGACATTGCGGACGAGTGGTCGACGGGCGGGTTCGAAGTCGATCACTGCCTGTCCGAATCCGTCAAATCGGAGTGCCATATGCATTTCAACCTCATCCTCATGGGCGTGGTGCTGGGTTTCAACATCCTCAAGGCCTGCGCCATCGCCTATGTCGTATTCTCGCTGGGAGAGACACCCCTCGTTACCGTGGGCGATGCTTTGCAGTCCTTCCTCCGCAATCCCGACCCAACAACCGAGGGGATGTGCCTTGCCAGCCATGACAGCATCGTCGCATCCTCCCGGCTCGGCTACAAGTCCATGCCCATGAGGTACGACCCCAAGCAGCGCCGATTTTACGAGGCCGCAACCTGGAAACAATGGATGTTCCTCCTCACCGTGTTCTCATTTGCGGGCATCGGGACGTCCATCTGCTTGGCCCTCGGCATCCAGAACTTCAAGGGCGACAAGACGATCCAGAACGCGTGGTCCATTGGCCTGGGCACGGTGAAGCCGCAAAACCTGATCATGGGCTGGAACCTCCCGGGCTACGAGAACAGAACAATCGCGATCTCGACCCTGATCGCCAACGCGCCGCAGGCCCTCTTCTCGTTCCTCTACGTCTGCTACAACAGTCTCTTCACCGTCATGTTCCTGGCGCGCGAACTCATGCGCTTCAGCGTCACGGCCGGCCGAGGCCGCAAGTACCTGCGCGTCAGCGACGCCCGGGGCGAACAAAAGTCGACCTACTTCCTGCAGCTGCCCTTCAAGTACGGCATTGTGCTCCTTGTCGGGTCCGGCCTGATGCACTGGCTCGTCTCGCAGAGCATCTTCCTCGCCAACATCGCCATCATCCCCCGCGACGGCACCGTGCCCATGAAGGACGAGATCACCACGGTGGCCTACTCGCCCATCGGCATGCTGTTTATGCTCTTCCTCGGCTTCTTTCTGTTGGTGTTTCTCTTCGCCACCGCGCTGCGCAAACTCCCCTTCGGCATGCCCTTGATTGGAAGCAATTCCATGGCCATCAGCGCGGCGTGCCATTTACCGCCCGGCACCACCCAATCCGAGCGCGAAGACATGGTCCTCAGACCGCTCAGCTGGGGCGCCGTGCCCGGCGGCGGAAAGGTCATGGATCTGGGTATTCGGGAAATCCACGCTCACGGCGGGGAAGGCGAGTTCGATGAAAATGGCACAAGTGGCTTCGGCCACTGCTGCGTCAGCGACCGGGTGCTGGATGCTCCTGAGAGGGGGAAATTTTACATTTAAAGCTGCAACGATGAACCAGGAACCAGGGACATATGCAACGAAGCGAGCACGAGCACGAGTACTTGCCTTTCCCAGTATATTTTATAGTGTATATTGTACAGACACAGTCACAATAGACCCAACGAAGGCCGATGGAAGCTTTGGGCCTGCTCGCTCTATTGAGATGACAAGATCGAAACGACTTGAATTGACATGGCATGATATATATGATCCTCTCGCGACGCGGCGCCGGCAAGGCAAGACAATGCAAGACTACATTCATTGCATAGCGCCGACGACTGGACTGGCCATGGATATATGCACGGAGCGTGGGAATCTGGAGTACAGAGGCAGAGGCGAGGGCGAAAGCACGAAAACGGCGTCCAGATCTTTCGGCATTCACGCGTACGGCTCTCAGGCCGAAAGGGACTGAACCGGAGGTTCGGGGGGGTTTGTGTGTGAGTAGAGTACATAGTGCTGCAAGATCTTCTACTGTACCTGCAACGCTCTGTGAATGGATGGTAGGTCCTCTCTACTGTAGTGCACTGTACTGTACTGTACTGTACCTACAAACCTACCTAGGTAGGTCGCTTCGCTCCAACCTCGGTACAGTACCAGCATGGCGTTCAAGTAGCTCGACTCGGTACGGGAGGATGGAGGGGTGAGGCAGTACATCTAAGTATACATGTAAGCGGTTGGTACTGTGTATTTTCTTTGGGGATTTCAGTCGTAGATCGATTCGTCTAGCCTACCCTCCCACGCTCCATTCAAGCCGTTTGGGTTGCAGGGTGGATGTACACTACTGCTACGGGCGAGGAGTATGCAATGTCAGGAAGGTCATGGTATGTCATTTATGCTGCACCACATGATATGGATTCAACGTTCAAAGGACGCGAAGCACTCCGACGCAATGCATATCCAATTGCCACACTCCGATGCTATGCTATGCCGATGCTATTCTGCGTTATGCAACGACCTCTCTTTTCTTGTGTGAACGCCAAATGAAACAATCGTCACTATGCCGTGATGCGGGCTGCGTTATCCCGGCGAGTCTAAGAATGGGGTGCGATGCTGATTGAGGGTCCGGACCCGTCAAAGACGACGAACTGAGACTTGAAGAAGACGTCGCCGTAGATGGCAAAGGGGATGCCCTGGTTGGATTGCAGGCCACCGAAGCAGACTAGAGCATGCGTTAGCGGGGATGTCCTGTTCAAAAGATAGAATGGAGAGATACTGAAATGTTTGGGCGCATTGAGAAATTCCCACTGAACCCGGAAGGGCGAGGGGGCTTAAAGAAGGAGAAGGAGTCAAGACTTACACTGCTGTCCCGTCTGAGTGTCCCTGCCGACGTTTGCAAAGTTCATCCCATCGCCGGAAATGGTGGCCATGTAGCTGTCCCCGATGGCAACCTGCAGATCTGGCAACGCAGTGTCGCAGGGGAAGATAACCCCGCCGGCATCCTGGCTCAGCTGCGCCCCGTCGACAGTATTCCAGTATGCCACCAACATCTCGTCAGGCACCAGCATGAGCGAGGTGCCCGTGTCGACGATGGCCTTGCCATTGGCAATTTGGCCTGTCTCCTGGACGCCTTGGACGGCAAAGCTTGCAGAATCGACTTCCCAGAAGCCGCGTGAGGAGTCGACGGGTGTGGTGGTCAGCTGGCCAGTAAATGCTGTTTGATCGATGTTGCCGAATTCGTAGGACCCAACTTCGCCGGACTTGAGTTGCGCCGTGAACACGGGCAAGGTCAGGTCGGGGAGGATATTGTCGAAGAAAGTCTTCTGCTGTTGAGGCTCGATGGTGTTCAGCTGGGAGAATGCGAGACCGACAAGTCCATTCGACGCAGAGTCCGTCACGAAGCTGTCGGCCACGGTGTCTGGGAGACCGATTGCCTGGGCGGCAACGGTGGCGCCACCGATGTCGAGTTCATCAACGCCCACGGGACCGGATGCCGAAGAGCCATCGCCATAGGTGATGTTGAAGGTTGAGCCATCAAGCGCGTTTGAGAAGGTGGTTGATTGGGTGGGGTCGTAAATTGTGTGGCCTTGCTGAGAGGAGGCGGGGAGGTTGGTGTTGAAAACCCAACTGTGTGTCGGTGGCCTGGTTAGTCTCATATAATATGTGATGCGTTTGTGGAACTGCGTGGGGAGGGGTCTGTCATACGTATCCGATGAACCACTGTCAAAGTTCATGATCAGGGTCTGGCCTCCAACATTAACCGGCGACAGAAATTGAGCATCGTTTTGGGTGGGTGAGGCAGTCGTCTCGCCGTCCTCGCCGTCTCCATTGATCTGAGCTTCAGTCGCTGCCGCGATCCGCGTGGCTACCTCCCCATCGGGCAAAAATTGAATGTCGCCAAGTCCAAACTTGACGAGGGCTCTGCGGTAGGCCGCTTTGCCGTTAGGGACGTAATTGTGCTGCTGTATACGAGGGACTTTAAATGAACGCTTTTGTTTTAACCTGACTGGCGAGGCGAAGACTGTTGCGAGAAAAAGAACGACCAGGAAAATGGAATGAATGCTAAGCATGTTATCCGTAAGGGTCGACTGGCGACTCGAGACGAAGGTGAGAACGAGAAGGATGGATGTAGAAGTGAGCAGTCGGCGAGGGCAGTGGCGAAATGTTAGGTGAAGGACCGGCCCTCTGTGAAGTGAAGGTAAATGCGAATACACAAAAAGGAAGGCAACAAGGCTCAATGGCCAACGAGGATAGAGAATGCGGATTGATGGCCAGGAAATAATAGGGTCAGTAGGGAGGCAGTTCTAGTACTCTATACATGCACGTCCTCGTCTCGAACCGTGCAGCAGAGCCGTGGGCCACGCCATCTGCACGTCTCAGGATCTCCGTCTGCATGTCAACGGTGGATGCCGAGAGCTCTCCACCGAGCTTCTGGCGCGGCTGATGGATCTTGGAAAACGGAGAGAGCTTTTGACGAATGTCAGGGCTCTGTGACCGGCCAGATCTGAAGGAGCCAACCATGGCCAAGGACAGGAGGGCATGGCGGTGGGCATGCGACGGCAAGGCTACTGGCTGTGGAGGCAGCTGCCGTTGATCTCGAGGCTGGGAGATCTCAGAGTGGGCAAAGAGCAGGATATCGTCTGGATGAGCAGGCCAGAAACGGCCGGTTTCGTGAGAAAGGGATGAATGTGAAACAGAGGCGCAGAGGTTGCAGTTTCATCTCCCCGCCGTGCTAGCCCGTTTTGGCCGACCAGTGCTTGGCACCGCCTCCGCACGTTTGCGTGAGGATTATTGACCCTACGCCGACCTGTCAATTGTCCGAGCGTGGCCCAGGGACCGCTAACTCGCAACGAATGTTGCTGGCTGCGATCCGTGGAAAATCATGGCAGTCTGCAGAAGCCTTTGGATGAGCATAGGCCATGACACGCGGCATCGATCTACGACACGCCAAGTCGCTCCAGCTTCATCTGCCGCCGGGGTTTCGTGACCGTCACCCAGCTAATAAGCTGTACCGCTGCACCATTTTCGCCATTAGTACGGAGCAACGACGCCTTTCCATGCTGGCGGTCGGTGTGCCGCCCGCATGCCATTTAAGAAACGCCCGAAACCTTGTGCTTCTACTGCCGCGATCCTGCAGGGGGAACGCGCGCAGAAGGTAGTTATATCGGTCCATCCGGAAGAACTTGGTCGGGGTCCTCGCCAATCAATCGGCCGACTGATCTTACAACTTGTCGCAATGCCTTGCAAGCTGGACTGTCTGGGAAACTGTCCATGAAGCTTTCACCAAAATCGCATGCCATCCCTATCCGCGGATCCAACGGTACCGAGCCCAGGAAAGGGATGCCCATATCTGCACAGAGTTTCTGCCCTCCTCCTGTCGTTGCCCGGAATATCTGAGATTCGTGGGTGCATTTGGGACAGACAAAACCAGACATGTTCTCAATCAGCCCGAGCACTCGAATCCCAGCCTTCCGACAGAAGTCGATCTCTTTGCGCACGTCCAGGAGAGATACTTCTTGTGGCGTCGTTACCACTACCGCACCATCCACGCCGGATTCCTTCAGGAAGGAATTTACCGAGAGATGCTCGTCTGATGTGCCTGGAGGGGTATCGACGATTAAATAGTCCAGTTCGCCCCATTCGACGTCTTTTAAAAACTGTTTAATGAGTCCGTTCTTCTTCGGGCCTCTCCATATAACGGCATCGTCCCGGTTGGGCAGCATAAATTGAACACTCATGACCCCTAGATTGTCCGTCACCCATACTGGACTCCATCCGACATTGCTGACGTGTATTGTCTCGGCCTCGACACCCATCATCTTAGGTATCGAAGGACCGCAGATATCCGTATCCATAATTCCAACGGTCGAGTCGGGGTTCGCAGCAAATGCGTGGGCCAGGAGAGTAGAAAAAGTAGATTTTCCGACGCCGCCTTTCCCGGACAGAACAAGGATTTTATGTTTTATACCGGCGAGCCGTTCGGTTATGAGAGGGATGTCCGGGTCTGGACCCTTGGGTGTAGAGGCACATATCGCTTGATTGGGACACCCGTCACAGGCATCACCTTTGCCTGCTTGTTCAGACTCGGGGCCAGGGCAGTGTTCTAATGCATCATGTTAGCAGGACTTCATGAAAGGCGCAATCACATACCAGGTTCTGGGGCGACGAGTTCTGGTTTCTTCTTAAGAGGGTTCTCCAGCACCTCCGCGACGGGTTCTTGCAGTGGTTCCTCGAAGGAAGGTGCCATTTATGATTTCCGACTCTACAGCGGGACTAGGAGAATTGTTAGGGGAAAAGTGTGTTCGCAATCGTCGGTAGTATGGTCATGCGGCGAAAATGCAAGATGCACTGGATTGGTAATACGTCACGGCCATGATTGGCTCCTCTGCAGCCTCGTCTCCCCCCTCAGCCTTGCGGCTACCCCTCCTTGCGGCCCTGTCAATCACAGACAGCATGAGGAGCTCCGTCGAGATTTGCTTTCCCATGTGCTGCTTCTGCTCATACTCTTGCTTCGGCATATCTTCAGGCACTCAGAGTGGGTGAGGCTTCCGTTGCAAGAAACCAATGATAGCGCCCACTTGGAAGTCATGGGCTAACTCTGGCGTCATGCGCTGGGGCGGCGTGGGTAGTAAATAACTGCGAGCCGCTGCCATTGGTCGCGACAATGGCCGAGAGGAACAGCTCACCCGCACTTTGTTTTCATCCACTGCTCCGGTGGTGCCTCCACGCACAGCGAAGTTACTTCACTTCACTGCCCCAACTGCCTTTGTTTCTGCGACTTGGATCTCAAGCTCCTGCGAAAATCCTGCCATGGACTTGGATCGACACTTGAACATCTGCTCTGTCGTGCTCTTTTCTGCTTTACCCCTCATTGATAGAGGGGGATTCCACTTGGCCTCCTCCATTGAAGGCTGTCAACACCTTGCTGGATGAACGAAAATATGGCTAACCCAGCTGCTGCCGATGCCGGTACAGAGAGTCTGCGGAAGAGAAACACACCCATCAGAGTACACAGCAAGGAGGATGCCCGAAGAGCGGTTCTCGAGCTCAACGCGCTCGAGGAGAAGGAAGTCAAAGATGACAAAGACCGCAAGACTTTCGGCCGCACCCCAGATGGTACTGGTAAGTGCAGTATGTGACATTGTTTACGCCTGACGCGACGCTGAAACACCCCAGTCTTCACTGTGCCATACACCCATGACATGGTCTCCCAGCTGCTGTCCCCCACAGAGCCGAAGAACTTGTCAGACATATGTGTGCTCTTGATCCTGTTGCTCCATGTTCTTCTGGCCTGGTTCCTCCCTTCAACCGCGAGGAAACCAGTACTGGCCACCATTTTCTTGTGCTGGAGAGCCGGTTACAACATTGGCATAGGATACCTACTCCATATGCAGTCTCATCACAAGTTGTTGGTGCGTTGGGCTCGAAAGTCGAAGCTGTTTCCCATCGCTTCGAACGGAGAAAACCCTCATCCAAAGCTGCGTGCCTTCCTCAAGAGAGAATTTGAGACCAAGATCCCCAAAGATTACAATTTCGATACTGCTCCGCTTGAGTACAATACGTGGTTACTCTTCCGCCGCCTGGTCGACCTCATTCTGATGTGCGACTTTACGACCTATATGCTCTTCGCCATAGCATGCGCTCATACACCAGCGTCTGAGTCGGTCTTTGTGACCTTGCTTAGATGGTTGGCCGGCATAGCCCTGTTCGCCTTCAACATCTGGGTTAAGCTGGATGCCCATCGCGTCGTCAAGGATTTCGCCTGGTATTGGGGTGACTTTTTCTACCTTATTGACCAAGAGTTGACCTTTGACGGGGTTTTCGAGATGGCCCCTCACCCGATGTACTCCATAGGGTATGCCGGCTATTACGGAGCATCGTTGATGGCGGCCAGTTATAAAGTCCTCTTCATTTCAATCATTGCTCATGCTGCGCAATTTGCATTTCTGGTCATGGTTGAAAGTCCTCATATCGAGCGTACTTACAGCTCTCCGCCTCCCCGCCGAGCGATCAATGAGTTGCCGGCGGTGGCACAAACGGACAAATCGCCGACAGATTACAGCTCCACAGCCGAAATATGGCCACACCCAGCCCATGCGCAACCATCCCAAACGCACAATCTACTAGGCCTGCAGAACTTCGATCTGTATCGGACCACCGACACTGCGGTCTTTTTACTGCAACTCTACTTAATTGCTTTGACCGTGTGCACCCCGAATACGAGACCTTATCAGACACTTCTTGTTGTCAACGCGACCATTTGCCGGATTTGGTACTCCGCGGGTATTGGCTATTTGCTGAACAGACAATCAGAGAAGAAGAAATGGACCCGACATTTCCTCAAGTACGGCGAAAGTACGGGCGAAGCTTGGAGGCAGTGGAAGGGGATCTATCATCTCAGCATGACTCTGTGTTATTCCAGCTTCGTTGCCGCGGCTTGGAAGATGTACCACATCCCTTCGAACTGGGACAACGGGATGGCACTGCCTAAACACGTCATCGGACTAGGCCTGATCGCTCTTCAGATCTGGGTTTCTTTCAGCATCTACGACTCACTCGGTGAGTTTGGTTGGTTTTTCGGCGACTTTTTCTTCGACCACTCTTCGAAGCTGACATACGGTGGTATCTATCGCTTTCTCAATAATCCAGAGAGGGTCCTCGGTACGGCGGGAGTTTGGGGCATTGCTCTCATTACGAGTAGTAAAGCCATGTTTTGCCTAGCCCTCCTAAGCCACACCCTCAGTCTGACCTTTATCCAATTTGTCGAAAGACCCCATATGCAGAAGCTCTACGGCAGGAGTCTTCGTCAGGACGCGGGCCTGGTCAAGAGCCTGCGGAGGTCGCTGCCACCACCGCTACGCGAATGGCAAGATGGCATGGACAAAATGCTTGGAGAAGCATTCGACGTGATCGAGGATATGATCGACGCGGCGAAGCCGAGATTGACCGCGGGTATGACTAGCATCGTTGAGGACACGAGGAGTCTCTTGCCAAAGAGCGCACACCGCCTCAGCTTGACAAGGCATGACTCGGACCTTGCTGGACTGAACCCGAAAGAGTACGAGCTGGAAATCGAAGGCACGCCTGCATCAGCTCTTGCTGAATCACAACGGTCGAGCGATAAGGAGTCCGAGCAAGCCAGGGTCCCCGCGGAGCGGACCAACAACTTCAAGCCCCTACTCTTCGAGTACGGCGCTCCGATCAAAGTCAAATGGACCGCACCTTTGAACCACAGCAAGCGGGACTGGATTGGTCTGTACATGGTTTCGGACAACAACTCGCGCGAAGTGACCAGGCTATCGTCGTCCGGAAGATGGATTGCTACAAATCGTGACGAGTACGAGATCCTCCAATCCGAAGTGGGCATAATATCAGCAGACATCAAGAGCACGAAAACTACAGAGGACGGCAATTTGAAAGATTGCTTGACAGGTGAGATGCTCTTCTCTGGCGACAAGTTATGGTGGACTCAGGGCGTTTTCGAGTTCCGATACCACCACAATGGGAAGCACAATGTCATGGCTATCTCGTTACCGTTTGAAGTGCGCATCCCACGCTTTAGCGAAGATGACCTATCTCTGGAGTCCAACATAACACTTTCCACTCCAGTAGCTCCACACCAGGATGCCTTGGTCCGTCACACTATTGAGAAGATACTGTTGCCCATTGTGCAGAATTGCTTCGACCGCGACCCAGATATCGCACCACGGACTGTCTCTGAAGCATTTGGAAGCCTGGTCGATCGAGACGGGAAATATGCTAAACGTGTGGTATACGTGATCCACCAGATGTTTGGCATTGAGTTTGCGCCCGAGGTGGTCAAGGCAGATGGGAAGGTGGAGAACCTGGCCTGGCGGATATGGGAGGCGAAGAAGGTGTTGGCGCCTTTCAGCATGTCGAAGTCAAGAGGTCCAGGGACACCCATTGAGGGAAGCTCTTGATGATTCATGCGTCAGAGTTTTTATTCTTACCGAAGACTTACAAACGATGCAAGCATGACGGTTCGCTTCGCCCGAACACAACAAAAATCAGAAGTTGAGGGTTCTGTGCGAGATACACGCCAACGGAAGACGAATGTTTAAGGGACTGATATTCCATGGTGCTCGTCAGAATGCACGAAGCAGAACATTGAACACAGACATCACTAGTCGCAAAAGTCCACCCACAATGACATGTCCACCATCAAGTCCACCCGGAGAGTCTAGTAGAATATTGATCTTGTCCGATGATGCGGCAACGACCCGTCCAATTCACCCCTCTTCTCCATTTCTTTACACGTATCGTACAAGAAGAAATCTATCAGCACCGCGTTCACCTTTCCCTTCACCTCGGAGTGCTTCTTCAGGATCTCCCGCTGGACCAATTCCACACACCAAATGCTGCAACCCCTAATTTCGACTTCAAGCTCCTGGCCTGGCTCTAGCAACTCAGCCCGAGAAATCTTCGATTCCAAGCGCGGAGAATACCAGAGGCAGTTCAGACTCTGCAGCATCTGGGGGATACGGTAGTCGGCAAACATCGTCAGCGAGTCGATGTCTGAGAAGGAGCCGTATGAGGTACCCTGAAAGCACGCCCAGATGTCTGCCACGAGGATCTGTGCACGCTTCATAAGGTGGACTCGTCGGCCTTGGAAGTAGGCGACGTCCCGGAAATTTGGGAAATGATCAGCGAGGAGGTTCACCAGTGCCGCTGCCGAACCGTTTGCTTGCTGAATGAGGTTTACCGGTCTGCAGTCGAAGTGATGGTAAAGAATATCGCCCGCCTCGCGGAGGATAGAAATTCGATCACTCAACAGAGGCATCGGCTCATCTGTGGCGGACCGGAACACATGCTCGAGCACACTGTCGGGACATGCGTCGCGATCTTGCCAGAAGTCCGGGCTGGTGATCGCGTGTCCCTCCTCAAGGGCCCTCTGCAACGCCGCAACAAGGGACCAGTATCCCGTCCACCTCCCGCCTCTGAACTCCACAGCGAACCTCTCCGTCTCCGACAGTCCCGACCAAAATGAGAAGTTGAGCAGATTCATCGTGAAGATGAAATTCACAGTTTCCTCCTCGTTGTCTTTGGTGAGCTTTGGATGCAGAGCGTGACTGGACCACGTCCCTGTCGAGTAGGATTTCTGCTGCATGAGTTGGTAGATCTGTTCGGCCGCCTTCTTGGTGTTACTGCTGGAGATGGCGACGTCGATTGCGTTGTTGCAAATCCACTCTGCTGATTCCAAGACGCGTGTATTCGGCGGTGAAGCTTTGCTCCCATTGTTCCCCAACCCCAATGACTGTCGAAGGAGAGCCAGTAGCTCGGGGTCGGCTTCGTCGTCAGACATCTTCCTTCCTCTGGTCAAAGGGCCAGAATGAGGTGGCTTGAAAGGTGCCCAGATGAATAACCCCCGTTCCGCGTTCTGAAAACCGCCTTGTTTTCCTCCCGGCTTGTTCGTCCTGACAAACAACCGGAAAGACGGATAAAGCAGATGTGAAGCCACAGTTTACCGACTAGCGCCACAGAAGAGCAGCTTTCATTGCCGCTCGCCGTTGACACGTATCATTGTTACACGGGAACTCTGGGCTAGAACTGTCCTAGTCACCAAGTACGGACTGACGGCTTTTGAATTCTGTTCCCTTCAATTACCACTATCTACAGTGGATCCAATCTCAAAATTCCTTAGGCTTGAACAAAATGTGTCATTTTCTTACTTGGCCAAATAGAGGCAAACGGGGCCGATCCTGTGCGAGGTTCGATGCAAGGGCAGTCACAATTCACCCATGAGGAGCGGCATCTTCCAGCTGGCATGACGGGATGCTGCAGCGAAGGAGAGCCCCTAAAGGCCGTCAGCTTGCCACTAACGCCTCCACTAAACAGTAGCGAGTGGGCACCAGGCGAGCCCTTAGGGGTGGATGTGATTGGGGACGGTTCCGACGGTGCATGGCCCTGGGCGCAGTGGGCGGGCGATTCTGAACCCTCTCGCTGCAGGGTTCGGCGATCCAGCTCACGATTTCACTGTGCGGCTCGCCAGCCCGAAAGTCAACGCCGCATCTGCACGTCGTACTCCCAGGGCGCGCGGCAGCAACCATCAGCTGGTCCGCCAATTCAATCTCTCTTTGATCAGCAAAATCGTCGCGCCTCCTGGACTTACTGTTTGCTTGGGTGTCCTTCACTCTCAATTCACTTTCCAGCCTCGTGTTCTTTCCCGCGTACCGTTTGCCTCATGCCTGCGCATTTGCTGGAGGGCACTCCCTAAACACCTCATCCCCTCCTTACCCAACACACAGCCTCACCTTGCCCCGAAGTCACAGTAATGGCCCGCGAAACTTATACCCGTCAGTCTCTGGGGGCGACTCAGCGGCTAGTTAAAGAGGTGAGATCTACGGGCCAGCGAGATATGCGGTCGGCAACTGACTTCTCCCCCACTACAGTCCCGGGTTCTTCTTGTCGGCGCAGGTGGCATCGGCTGCGAGCTGCTCAAGAATCTGGTGCTCACGGGCTTTGGCGAAATACACGTCATAGACCTTGACACCATCGACCTGAGCAACCTGAACCGTCAGTTCCTGTTTCGTCACGAACACATCAAGAAGCCGAAGGCGCTCGTCGCAAAGGAAGTAGCCGGCAAATTCAATCCTAATGTCAAACTCGTCGCATACCATGCAAATATCAAAGACAAGCGATTCAACTTGGAATGGTTCTCCGGGTTCAATCTGGTATTTAACGCGCTGGACAATATGGACGCTAGACGGCACGTCAACAAAATGTGCTTGACGGTTGACGTCCCGCTGATTGAGTCTGGCACTACTGGCTTCAAAGGTCAGGTGCAGGTGATCAAGAAAGGCAAGTTCGCTTGCTACGATTGCACGCAGAAACCGACAGCCATCTCATATCCCGTTTGCACGATACGATCTACACCCAGCCAGCCGATCCATTGTATCGTGTGGGCCAAGAGCTATCTCCTGCCCGAATTGTTTGGTGTGAGCGAAGACGACACCCCCGAGATGGACACGTCGGCGGATTCAGATAATGCGGAAGAGATCAAGAAGCTGCAAGAAGAGGCTCAAGCGCTGAAGACGATCCGAGCTTCAATGGGCTCCAACGATTTTGCAAAGCAGGTGTTTGACAAAGTGTTCAAGGAAGATATCGAGCGCCTGAGGAAGATGGAGGATATGTGGAAGGACAAACAACCCCCTGAACCACTGTCTTACGATACACTTGAGCAGGAAGTCGCAAAGGTCGACCTTTTTACAATCACGAACGGGCAGCGCGTCTGGTCTGCTGCGGAGAACTTCGTCGTGCTGAAAGATAGTTTGGACAGATTAGCGTTACGCTTAGCACAAGACCAAGCAGCGGCATCAAAATCGGGTTCACCACAGCCTTCAATCTCCTTCGACAAAGATGACGATGACACGATGGACTTTGTTGCCGCAGCAGGTAACCTCCGAGCAATCATATTCGGCATCGAGCCCAAGTCGAAATTCGACATCAAACAGATGGCAGGCAATATCATTCCTGCAATCGCCACGACGAATGCCATGGTTGGCGGGTTATGCGTGATGGAGGCTTTCAAGGTCTTGAAAGGAGATTTCGCCCGGACGCGTTTCTTGTGGGTATCCAATGGCGCGTTGGCCACGGACAAGCTGGACGAGCCCAACCCCGAATGCCCCGTTTGCAGTGTGGCCATGGTTCGAGCACGCGTCGACTTGGAAAACGCCACGCTAGGAAACCTGGTGCAAAATATTTTACGAACAAGACTGGGCTATGGCGAAGAAATCACCGTCATGAATTCGGCGGGTATCGTCTACGACCCGGACCTCGAGGACAACCTGGAAAAAAAGCTTTGCGAACTAGATATCAGTGAGGGTAGCTTCGTGGTGGTCAAAGATGAAGAGGATGACGATCCCCGAGTCGATCTGCACCTGGCCATCGAAGCGAAGAAACCAGAAGACGGAGAAAGCCCCATCGTATTGGTCGACAAGGAGGGTCAGACGTTCGAGGTACCGAAGAGGCCGAAGAAGAAGTCCGGAGCCGACGGCGAAAAGGCAGACCAAGACGAAGACGAGGATGGTTTGGTCATGATGAACGGCGATGCAAACACAGCACCTGCCACAGGCAAGCGGAAGCGACCGATCGAAGACGGCGCAGAAGACGGCGCCAACCCAGCGAAGAAATTACAAGGTCCAAAGAGTGACCAAGTTGCGCAAAATTCAGCGGCACAAGCTATTGTGATTGACGAGGACAATGGAGCGTTCGTGATTGCGGATGATGATTGAAGTGGTCTTGGTTCGCGCTTGATTCCAGACGAAGCTGGAAAAACACTCCATTGAAACAAAGCAGCGTCGACGGTGTTGGGAAGTGGCTCTTTGCGACTGTTTGCCCATATCAAAAATGACCCCAGGATGACGTGCCCTACAGCCTTCCCACAAACTACCATTCTTGTGCCTCTACCCTTCTCCTGTACTTTATACAGTTGGACATCTGCTTGAGCTCTCCAGGAACTAGGCGATCTCCTCTTGGACATTCTCGATACAACCTTACTGGGGACCGAGCTCCCGGGTTTGGATTGGTGGGCGATTGGCTTGGTAATTGAGGTCTGGGAACGACACACGACGAGATTCTGCAAGAGTTCATTCAAGCGCTGAGTAACTCGACCACAGAAGAAGACATCAAGACAAAGAAACAAACTGTACAGACGAGCGAAAGCGTTCTTCTATCTTGACTTTACTGCTCTTTTGATCCGGTGCCCTGCTGGCTGTATTCCATAACTAGACATACACGGCGCAGGCAGGGCAGCGCGCCAAGTTTCACTCTGTCGTCTTTGTGTCAGGTGACTGAGAGTCAGCCGCATTTCCACCGCCGTGGCGGATCCACGATTCACGGTCAACGTCTTTTTCCGCGTCCTTTATTCTCCATTCCTCATCTGCTCCTCGCAGGCCGCTGAGAACTTTTGCGGTCCCTTCCCCTCTACCAACCCAAGCAAACAGCGCTCAGGACCACACCCAGTTTAGCTCGAAGCATGGCCACGAACGGAACAGTCTCCCCCTTCGTGACGCTCGTCTCGTCCGACGGCTTCGAGTTCCACGTCCGCCGCTCCGCAGCCTGCGTGTCTCCCACCCTCCGCCGCATGCTTGACCCACAAAGTAAGTACGTGGCCCACTGACACGCAAAATGGGCCTCGAGGTTCCCTGCGGTCGTCCGTATTCGTTGTCGGCCAGACAATAATCTGTCCTCTTGCTTTACTTCATGCTCGTTCCTGTTGAGACACTAACCTCTTTGGCCCCAGACAACTTCGCCGAAGCCCAGTCCGGAGTCTGCCACCTCGAGAACATCAGCGGGATCGTGCTCGAGAAGGTGGTCGAGTACTTCTACTATAGCGAGAAATATCGCAACAGCGAGGGCGTGCCGGACATGGATATCCCGTCGGAGTTGTGCCTTGAATTGCTTATGGCGGCGGACTTTTTGTTGTTGACGTGAAGAGCAAGGTCCGAGGGTGCACGGATTGAAGAGCACAGAACACCTGCTTGCGGGTTGACATGATGGATGTCTATCGAAGACTCGAATGAACTGCTGGCACACCAGGGATGTATGGCATGATGGTAACGAGGATATGAATCGAAAGGCATGCGAATATCTTTTGAAGTCTCGAACGCACTGCTGGAATACCAGGAATGAATGCTATGATGGCAACGAGGATATGATATGAAGGGGTTACGTTCGGGTGGAAGCAAGACTGCAGGCCGACCTTGCCATGGCCATACAACCATTTTCCACCCGACAGAGGCAAAGACTCGGAAAGTCGATCGGCACTGCGGGCTGGTTTCCACCACTACCATCATCACCGTCGTCACCAGCGGCCGGCGCGACGACGATCTCATCGATTGACCATGTCCCACGAAAGCCTAGAACCTCAATGGCTCCGTCTGCAGAACGGATGAGAACGGTCGAGACCTCCGCCAACTCTGTTGGCAGCGCGAATGAAGGCAAGCCAGTCAGACAGTAAGCCGGCAGTCAGCAGACCGGTCGTCAATGCGCCAGGGGAGATTTTGAAATCATGCTCAGGCGCAGACGCAAGCTGGGCAAAACTAAACGCAAACGCCTGTTTGACTACCGTACTGTACTCAGCACTCATCAGGCAGGACACACTGACAAGCCGGTCGCACAGCCACTCTTCGCCGGGCGCCGCAACTCGCAATCCAAGAGAGAGCCAGGACTTTCAGATGCTACGCAAGCAACATCATTTTAACAAAGCAACATCATTTTAACAGGGTGAGAGTCGATTTGGGTGGCCAGAAATGAGTCTTGTTGCGTACCATCGAAACCGGAAGACCACAAACACAGTGAGCTGAGCATGCATTCTTCCATCTGACTAACTGATTCCCATGCTACCCACAAATTCTCTACCTTCAATCACCCACACCGCACCGCATCGTATCGCACCATACACACCATGCCTTGCCTTCCCTTTTCTCTCCCTCCCTTTCCCGAAATGCAAATTAAATGCACTACCAAATATCAATATGATATGATATACACAAGCCCCCATTCCCTTTGCCACAGGGACAACCCATCGGCTTCCCTAGGCATAACCCTCCCGTCCCTTCTGCACCCATCTCAAGCATATACGTCGCGACACACCTGCTCTCTCACAGGCCGACGTCTATAGAAGATGGAACATCAGAATCCCTAGATCATCAGGCAGTCCGCCGCACTCGTTCAATGCGCCGAAGCGGACGTTCTCTCAAGGGGAGACATCATCCATACCCCGTGCACCTGTGCGCACTGCCTCTACTCCGGACGTGGTCTGTACTTGTACTTGTCCGTGGAGGGTGGCACACCTACTTATTGCAGTGCAAGTTAGTATACTCCGTTTTATCATGTCTCGTCTCAGGGCCTTGCTATAGATATCGCTTTCAAAACACCCAAAAGGGAGACACATGGTGTGGTGTGGTGTGGTGTGGTGTGGTGTGGTACTTGGATATTGTAGCTCCACATATCCGTACCAGTTATTGCACCTGCGTAAACTCAGAAATCATCATTTCTATAAGCATAGCATAGCATAGCTTGGGTATCACGTCTATCTACTGTAACGTATATTCCGTTGGCCCGTCCCGTGCTGGGCGTTTCGTTCGTTCCAATCCATGCCATCATATCTCGATTCAGGGGTCCACGCAAGACTTCTTCCGACGACGGCGTGCCTAGCTGTGCTCGCCGTGGAGATAAGTAGTGTATTCCACTTCCAAGCCAGGTCCAGGCTCAGTCTTGCTTCACGTCACTGCATCAAACTCTGCCTCGTCTGCCCCGGTCGACGGCCCTGCCCTGTGCCTCGCGGTCGCCTCGCCCCTTTGATTCCCGCCCTGACCTTCTCCTCAAACAACTTCTCGCCTCCAAAGCACGCATCACTCAACCTTAGATAACTCACCACCCCCGTGTCCACGACCGCAAGGAGCACGTTCCGCTTGCCATACTTGACCCGCGTCTCCAACTTGGATGCCTTGTCTCTGCTCAAAAAGTCGTCGGGCTGAGAATCGAGCAGGCGGCCAATCTCCTCAAGACTCGGGATCGCAGAAGTTGTGCGCGCGTCGATCACGCAGATGCGATAGTCCGGTTCCGGGGGCGACGTCTTTTTAAACGTGCCTGAGGCGGCGGGTTTCCAGACGTGGAAGTGGATGCGGTATGGTGGTTGTGGCTGAGGTGGTTGAGGTGGTTGTGATTGTGTTTCATTCGCGGGACCGCCGCGGGTGCTGTGCGAAGACGAAGATGATCCGGATCCGGATCCGTCATGATATGGTATTAGCGCCAGTGCGCGGAAAATGTCGGCGTAGTTCCTGTAGAGGCCCGGCGCGACGAGTGGGCCGAGCGAGGAGCACGATTCACTGCGCTGAGGGGAAGGACGCAAGAGGTACGAGACTAATCGGTGGATGAGGGATGCGATGTTTGCCACTGCCGAGTAAGGTCGAGAAAGGCTAGATTGTGACTGCGATCGCGATGATGTCGTCGATGGTGACGGCGTGTGTAACGAAGATGTCGATTCGTAATTGTGACCATTAGGCTGAGCAGCATCGGCGTCATGCCAAGTTGGCGCTCGATGGACGATATACCCTGCTCTCTTCAGCCCCGCGTAGACTGTATATCGTTCCAGCGTCAACCCGCCCGTGCCGATGAGACTGGCGTACGCGCCTTGGACACTCATAGGCAAGTCGCCTACTTTGGGCCCAGGCTGCTCCCCATCTTGGGGTAGCTGTGGCTCGCGGCCATTGTGAGTGAGATTGACATCCTTCCCATTCTCGTCCTCCCTGCCTTGATCTTCCTCCGGGACGTCTTCTCCCTCAGCGTCCGGCTCCGGCCACCGGATATCAAGATTCCCCCTCTCCAGCAGCCAGAGAGCCTCCTCAGGCAGGAACCAAGTCCAATTATTCCGGTCCCCCACGCCCATGACCTTCGAATGCGTGCTCTTGAACTTTGGCACCACGACGCATCGTCCTTGTCTCGCGCCTGTGCCGGTGGCATCTTCGTCCCACCTCCAGTCCGCCTCGTTGGGCAAATATTGGCCCACGACATGGGGTTTGCCCGCATGTATCCGCACTGAGCTGAGCGCAGTGTGCATGGCCAGGCGGGATGCATCGAGGGCCGAGGACTGCGAGCGCGTCGGGTTCGGTTCAAAGTCCTTGGTGCCGCGTTTGGGGATTGTGGTTTGTCCCGTGCGCGTAACGGCCGTTATTTGGGTGAGGAAGCGGAAATCTTGGGTCTCGTCCTCGAGGTCGTCCGCGTCGGTGGTGGAGGTTCGGGGGATGGCATCCTCGTCGGCGTCGGCCATGTTGTCGTCGTTGAGCGCTTCAGGAAGGAGAAGGGGCTGTCGAATAACCGGCGTGTGGCTACATGTTCGCTCTGGTCACACAGGATGCATGACTCCAGAACTGGAAGGGGAAGGGGTCGGAAATACGCGAGTCAGTTTTCCGGCGCCCGCGAGTCATGCATGTTTTTAGCGGCTGACGCTACACAGTAGTTCTGGAATTAATTCTCCTACATCACGTGCTAGCTGTCTGCATCGTCATGATCTGGGAATTTGGTCTCTGCGAGCCTGATATGAGAACGCGGTCAAGGCGGAGGCAAATCACCATTTCCGTCCTCGGAGATGATCCAAATTGCAAGCCGCGCAGCATCCGTGCGAGGTCTCCCCATGGATTGGTGACTCTTCCTGTGCTGAGAGCTAGCTTGCGGAAGAAAAGACTTGGAGGAGGCTCCTGCTGTAGATGTGAGTATTATTGCCAGCTCTGTATTCAACGGGCGTGTCTTCAAGACGGGAGCACCCTAGTCCGCCAGTGCCAGGTCACCGCTGTGTGAGCTACCAAGGATTGGCCCACCAGTTCTGCAGACGAAGCACCGTCCACTGCATCTCGAGCTCATGCAGTCTTTGCTTCCGACTGTTCAACCTCAACGTGACTGGTCGCTGGCTGCTTTTCCAAGAAAGCACCAGTGTTGGCTTGAACGTCGTGTAGCGCTTTCTCCTGGATCTCTGTGCGATACGTCTTGAACTTGAAGACGCCAACTCGCTTCTCGAACAGCTCGTCAATCTCCTCCAATGATCTCCCTTTCAACTGCTTCTGGTTAGTGAAGTCCATTTTCATCTGGAGTCCTATCCTTACTTCGGGAATGCAAAAGAAGTAGAAGATCGCGCAAGCAATGTTGCTGCCGAACCAGATATATCCGTATTTAGGACCCTGGAACAACGCGTTAGCGGCATTGAAGTCTACTTAGTCTGCATCAAACTCACCCAGTTCAAATCACCAGGGTTGATGAAGTACGGCGTGCAGAAACTGGTCAGCCATGCGAAGACGTACTGGATTGACGTGGCCGATCCGACTGTCCACGCACGGAGGCGGGAGCTGACAAGTTCCGTAGCCACGGGATACGTGGCAGCGCCGACACAGCCTGAAGTTGTGAGCAATAGACCCGAAAGAGACGGGGGGGCACTCATACCATTGTAGAAGAAGCCAAAAATTGTGGTCATTGCCACAGTCACTTTACCGGTGGTAAGGGTACCAGGGGAAGTACTTTGCGCGACCGCCATCCCAAGGAAGCAGAAACTTGTCACGAGTGACCCAAAGATACAGATGAATCTCCTTCCCACCAAATGGCGCATGGCGTACATGCCGCAGTTGACTCCGACGAATCCGATGCAGGTGATCATGATCGAGTACTGGAAGGCCTGTTTGATTCCGGCAATCTGGAAAAAGTATGTCTGATAGGCGATCGGGAACCACGATCCGCTGCCTGCTTGTGTCATGATCGTTCCCCAACACAAAAGCGTCCGTCGCAAGTCGGCACCTCGCACAATATCAGCGGCCGAACTCGTACCAGTATCAGGGTTACCTACCACGAAACATATCCAAGAACCCAACAGACTTCGCAGTCTTCCTTTCTTCCTCGACGCCGCGAACCATTTCGGCCCATTCGAGCTCAAAATATTCCGGAGCCAGCGAATTTGCTCGCAATGTCTCCAAGGATTTTCTGGCCTGACTCTCTTTGTTATGGTGTAGCAACCAACGGGGAGTTTCGGGGACGAAAAACAACCCGATGGCCAGAAGGACCGGCACAATATAGAGACTGCCGATCGGAATTTGATAGGAGCCTTTATCCATACGGTCCTTGGTATAGTTGTCGACGATGGTGCCGATGATAGCACCGATATTGACCCAGTAGGCGAACAGCGCCACCATAACTCCCCTGAGATGAGCTGGAGCGATCTCGGCAGTGTATATGTTCGAGAACGTGACGAGGAAGCCATTCGAGAATCCTAGGACAATGCGACCAAGGTAGACCACTCCTTTGTTGGTGGTACCAATCTGAATGGCCAATCCGACGCAATTCAAGGCACATGCCAACCAGAGAGCTGTCTTGCGACCGTAAAAGGCACCAAAAGTGCCGGCAAGTATGGATGAGAGGAACGCGCCCAGCGTCAAGAGCGAGCCGATGAGTTGTTGGAACGTGCTCTGCCCACGATATCAGCATGATTGGCATTTCCGACGTCAAGGCACTTACGTCGATGCCGTAGCCGAGCGGGCTGCTTGGATCTTCGAAGCCAAATACTTTCAAGAAGCCGGGCATGGCCTGGAGAGCGCCGATGGCTGCACTATCGAAGCCTGATATGGTACAGCGTGAGTACCGCGGGGCTCCCAGGTCACTGATTACATTATCGGCTTACCATATTGGGTATTCGCAGTCGCGACGATGCAGGCAATGATCAGGCATTTGCGATTAGCCCAAAGAGAGGTCACGGGCAGAGTGACTTGGGAAGTGTGCGGAACTTCCGACATCCCGAACAATGCTCGAAGACAGATGAAAAGATCGGTGCCCCATGAACCAGCTCCAGGTCGGGGGAGTTTCAGGGATATATGTCCTTTTGTTCCCTCCGCAATGGTCTGAACAAATCCGGAGGATGCATCCACAACTGCATAGACAAATTCGACTCGCGGCTAGGAAGCGATAAATCTCGGCATGATCCTTCCAAGGTCAAACGTCCACATGTGGAGCTCGACCTAACTCAGTATGTAATTGGGCATCGCGGACGTCGAATGTGGCCTACATCTCACATTGTTGGTGAAAACAGCAATTGGACTGGGTACTCCGTACTTCGTCCTAACGAGGCGTGACAACACCTGCATGTGGAGACGGGTGGCGTTGGACTCGCTTCTCACCCGGCTAGCAGCCATAAGCTGCTTTCAGCACAAGCAAGGTGCCCCAGAATGTGGGTGTGCTTTCTCCGCAAAAACATGCAGCGCTTCGCTAATGAGCTTGCGTCGATACAGTTTCGGGATGGACGACTGTCGTTGAAGCCTAGCATCGGAACAGCCTCGCTGCTTATCCGTGGCAATGCTTGGCTCATCTCGTCCCGATCGAGAACCTAGATCTGACATATCTTTTGCCGTCCCGATACCTTCTCGTTTTCTGATATTCCTAAATCCATATTGGGCCCCGGAAACCAGCTTTCATGTATGCTTATTATGCCCCGCATGCGGAGACATGCAGCAAACATATACACAGTACACAGTAGACAACTGCCGCGTCTCGCTTCACCCCGGGCTAATGTGGCCCGGTGATTCGCCGCTGCAGTAGAGGGTGAAGACCTGATGTCGCCGGTCAAAAACCGCAGAAGGGCGGGCCAATGAGATATGGCCTTAAATGTTCGCGAACGAATTGGATAGCTTGGACATGGGGACGTCTAACTGCTATAGTACCCGTTCAAGCGAATCTGTGACCAGAGGTTAACCACACATAGTGGTATTTGTCGACGACAATCCTCCAAGGAGAGCAAGGCTCCCCCGCAGACTTGCTCTCCGACGGACGAAATGGAGGCCGCGAAGACGATACACGAGAGAGCCGCTCGCCTGTCAGTGAATGCTGGTAAATATCAGGATCCGAAATAGAGCAGCCCATGCGACAATTTGAGCCGAAGTTATGACCGTGAACTTGACGAGCTTGCCTTACCGTCCAACAGGTGAGAAACCACTGATCACATATGTAGGGATCCTCTCCGGCAGTCAGGGGCAACCAACGGTGTGTGAAAAAGATCCTTCGCTTCTTTGAGATTTCCAATGCCTCCGTCCCGAGGGCCTTGACGACGATGCGGTCTGCGTCTTTTGTGAGTGACGTGCGATATGCTTGGACTGCTTCTTCTCTACTCTACACGTGGTCGCGATATCGGGTCGCTTTGCCTGATACCAAGGTATGGCGCTCCATCTATGGATCGCCAGGTACTCGAACTGCTTGACCATGGGATTTGGCCCACTAGAAACGGGGTTCTGATCGTACATTACCTTGGCCCTTCGGGGCTAGAACCCATGCGATGTAGGCAGGGTCGTGGGGACGAAGTGCTGATTTCGTCTCGGCGTAAAGGAAACCGTCACCAACCAGGGCACGAAAAGATATTCATGGCAATGGGTAACCAGGAAGTCGGGGTCCAGCTCGAGGTGAATGCTCCCGCCAGGGTCGTCTCGACGATGGAATCGATTGTCTTCTCCATCCCGCCGTACACCTTTGGGTGTAGACGATTGTGTTGGCCCCGTCCTCGTCCTCGTCCTCGTCCTCGTCCTAGCGCATGTTGCGCAGCATCGCGTCCGTCGCGATTCTAGATTCTCACAGTGCTTCCGCTGGACAGTGTCACACGTCTGCCACGAGGGCTCGAGTCTGGCGCAGTACCTTCTGGCATGTACAGCGGTGAAGGTGTCGGGCTCTGCCTCCACAGCGTCCTGGTAGTGGGAGGGGGAGCGTGGTTTGGATGAAGCGCGGATAGCCTCCGAATGTGCATGCGTCAAGTCCGCCGTGGCCCATGAGTGAGAACCAAAAGCGAGAATGTTATCTGAGACTCGGGCAGTCCATGGTATCAGTCACCTAATCGGTCATTCGGGCAATCATGCAAACAGGCACTTGCTTGATTCAAATTGACATGTCGATCTCGGGTAAACAGGAAATGCTTCTTCCGTATCTGCATGCCGAGCGACGTGCGTACGGTGATGAGAAGCCATGTCCCTGTCCCCGTCTTTATCTTCGGCTGTGACTGGAAGTGTATCATGTTCTCGAGTCGGCTCGTCCGTGCGTCTTCAGGTTAATTCATGGCTGAGGTGCCACAGGAGATGTGGAATGAAGGCGTCGAACGTGTAGAGAAACGGTCAGATAGGGAACTCAAGGATATCTCGGTCTAGAAGAGGTTAATTACGCGATAAGGTAAGGATGGTCCGAACCGAGAGTGCGTTCTCGTCAGTTATAAATGCGAGTCTATTCTACTAAACGCTGCACCTAGGGACTTCGAGGGTCGGGCTAAAGGAAATACTGCTGAATGTAACAGTTAGTATCTTCAGGAGATCGATTTCTTAAGAACTTAATAAAGGAGACTTGAAAAGGATAAAGGTTAAATACGGGCGGCTTTAGATGGATAAGGAGTATTGTACGATAAGTTATAAGGAAGTGGATTAGAGCCGCGCCTTTATTATAGCGCGAGTAAGCCTACGCGCGTACTACAGCATCCCACAAGAATCCGAGTTAGAGTCGCAAAAAGTCGCAAAAAGAAATGAACCTTCTCTCTCACAAGGCTATATCCCGTGGTGGCCAACCCCCGGTCTACTCCCTATTCGTGTTCCTAGAACACCGATTTGACTTGTCAAGTAGGCAAACGATTTCCAATTCCAACTTCCCACTCCCAGATCCCGTGTTCGAGCGAGATTCGGCGGTTTCGGTTCGGTTCGATCATCAGAGTAGAGGCGAGGATTTTGATGCCTTCTAGTCTCGGGGACTAGTCTGTCACATACATTGTGTATGCCCTGATCAAGCCTGAGTCTCAAATCCTGTCGCCCACTGGGGGAGCTGCCAACACTTTGTCGACTTGAGGAAGTGGTCGCTCGGACTCCGCCCAGATGGGGTTCTTGGTGATTGTGAACCAAATCCCGCGTTTTCCTTTATAACCCCTAATTCTTCGGCATACATGTGATGAGTGGGCGTGTTGTAATTTTCTGATTCGTCGAGCAGTCTGGCGCAGACTGGCCTTCAGGACCCTTCACTGCTTCCAATCCTGTCTTGCCTGTGCTCTCCTGTCCGTGCATATGTTGCTTGAGCAGGCTATTGTCTTTTACCGTCAAGTCATGGACTGTTCGCAACTCCCCAAGCTGCGGCATCGAAGACTCGATCTCGGCAACTTTCTGGGCAATGGCATCGTGCACTGAGCATTGAAGCGCCAATTGTCGCTGCAAAAATCCGGGCGCTCGTTCGGCGGTGCCCAACTAGTCTTGTAGCAAGGCAAGACCTTCCCCCGTGCAATGACTGATTCGCGGTCGCGATGGATCACTGTAAGGGCTTGATCCACTTTATCGGGCATCGTCTGATAGCTCGATTGGGCCGGTGTGCTCGGGTTGCTGCTGCCGATTCTGTGATGTCCCAATTTTGGCGTCACGGAGAAGTCGCAACTAGTGGTTGCACGTCGTATGTCCTCACCGTCGCAGCTGCCCACGAATCAAGCGCTCGCGCTTTTGCCGTCAATGATGCGCTTTCCGCTAGCGAGCATGTCGAAGGAGTCGTCAAATCATTAACGCGACGAAAGGGTTTCTGGCTCGTGACCGGCTTGAGACTCTGGCCGACGTCTGTGGGCCCATACAGGCCAGCTCCTGCCGGCTTATCAACCCGGGGCTGACTCCTTTGCGCCGTCTGAGGTCGCGAAGCTGATGCCGCGGCTAGGGAGCTGAACGGCAGCGACACTGGCCTCGCGAGAGTTGCAGGAGTCAGAGGTAAGATATCTGGCGGTAGGTTCAGGTCCCAGCCTCGTTCCATGCAGGCAGGACAATAAAACGGATCTCCTAATGTTATCTCTGCTGGCGAATGTTTGCCCAAATGTGCGGGATGATATGAGCGTTTGCACGTCTGGCATTCCAAATCATCCCCTCCTGCTTGCGTGAACCAAGAAAGGACATACGGGCCGTCAACTGAAAGGTTTCTATCAGCATCGTATCGAGGCCCGCCGAGGCCTGTTAGAGCACCTGCTCCTCCAGTGCCGACAACCGGGACGAACTCAGGTGCCAACTCTCTCTTTCCCTCGGCATCGCGGACGACTCCATTTCTATCGCGCAAGGGTGGAAAGCCGTATCTGGAAGACGGAACGGTTGGTACTAGTTTGCCGGTCGGCGTTGCAGAGGGGCAGAGGTCTCTGTTGTCTAGATGGTTGGTCGGCACTGGCGTTACGGGAAGCTGACTGCTGGTATTAGCACCTGCAGGCACTATATCGCGCGGTGCCTATCCACGTCACTCGGTCCACTTCGACTACAGTTGTCTTGGTCGCATTGTCTTCCTGCGCTTCGAGCCGCGGGCACGTCTGGTGACGCTATCCGGGACCATCGGTGTGAGCATGTGTGCCGATACACGAGTAATGGCAGCTATGGAAGTGCCGCAGCATGGCTCGAGCTGCAGAAGCCGTCTCAGATGCTTCGCGGTCGCCCATTTGGTCTGCTTGTCGAAATAACAGCGTGCCACCTGAGTTACAGCTGAGTTTTGCCTACCCACATATTTGTCAGCTGTTTCACCCTCATCTCACTGCATGTGCCAAGTCGGAAGCCACCGGCAAATGAGCGCCCGTGCCCCTTTACCTGACAGCCTCGCTAGGCTGGCACGTCGGAGGCGCCGGTTGCGGATATCTTTACCATGGATGCGATATTTACACAGTACCATGCATATGGTCCTGGCCCGGGCTTTCTACTGCCGAACTCAGCCCTGGACTTACCCTTCCGACTGCACAGCAGGTTTGAGCATAGGCGGATGACTTTATATGGCTAACGCTGTTTCAGGAGGTCACGACTTCGAAGCAGGGGCGGGGAAGCTTAAGGGAGGAGTCGGCTGCAAAGGATTGAGATTGAAAACGCCAGCAAACATCCCATTATATTACGACGAGGCAGGAGTCAGCAATATGTCACGCATCTCGACCACAAGTCCAACCAAAGCAGCAGCGATTCTTCCCAATACTAGTTCCTGGCCCCTGACTTTATTGATTTTGTACCGCAATCAATCTGGCACAAGTGCGAATGCGTGACCCGGATCCACGTGTGCCAATATGAAGAAATCAAGCATGGGACTGCATAAGTCGTGATGCCTCAGAATTCGTAATCATGCTTTATTATCTCCTGTACTTGTAGAGTCATAATGCCTCAAGACTCCGCAATCATGCTTTAAAAGGTATCTCCTGTAGTTGTATGGCTGAGTGTGGGTAATGTACAGGCAAAACTCCTCGCTCGCTTCGTCAGGACGTGATACTTCATCCAATAAATGCACTCAGTCCTGTGCCTGTGCCTGCCGGAAAACACCCTGCCGCCAAAAATACAAGATACAAGCTCAAGTCGCGTAGCAGTAACATTTTAGGTCGTCAAAGTCATGATGTGCGGAGGATTTTCACCACCGCTTTCCAACAAGTTCAGGTCGGTTGGCCGATGGCTGAAGTGGGGAAGGCATACCTTCCAATTCCACTCATTTCGAGGGAGTGAATTGACGTGCTCCCCTGATTGCTCGAGTATAAGGCGCGTCGTGCGCCGACAGTGGACCAAAAGTAACGAAACCAGAAAGTGGGTGTGGTGAAGTGCTGCACGATCCGCGCGTGCATACAAGCACGGCTTTCGTTCGTCCCATCTTTTATGGGATGACGAGTTCGACCACCACCGAACTCACAGTCGCCAGCCGTTAATGCCAGGCTGACTGTCGTCCAAGGATGCGTAATCCTCCAGCCAGGCACAATCAATGACTCTTGAGATATCCCATCGTTGGCCTTCGTCCATATCGAGACAGCCACTGACGAGCTGCTCCACATCACCGCCTCCTTTCTCCGCCAAGAGTGCACGGTTCCAGTCTCCCGCCAAAATCGCCATGACCACGCGTGGTTGGAAGGCGTTGTGAAACGGCCGTGAGCCTACAACCATGCTGTAGACGCAGACACCATACGCCCATATGTCTACAGCAGGCGATACGATGGCGCGTTCTGCATTCCCAGGGTCTTTGATGCGGTTTGCAACTTTGAGAATCTCGGGCGCTGCATACTCTAGGCTTCCACCAGCGAATGCTGAGGTGGATGTATCAGCGGGTCCGTAAGGTTTTCGCGGAGGCCTGTCAACGTTATTGAATTCGGGGCTCGGGGGCCCCGATATGCTGTCCGTGGACAGCCATTCTGCCATGCCAAAATCGCAGAGCCGGAGCAGACCAGGACCACCGTCGCTTCCGGGCTCTATGAGGCAGTTCTCCAATTTCACGTCGCGGTGTACGACTCGCGCATCGAGGTGGAGATAGCGTAGGGCTGCAGCAAGATGAAAAGAGTAGCTTTTGGCCAATTCATGTGGGACGCCTTGCCGGTTGGCGCGTACCAGATCGAAAAGAGTCCCTCCGACGTTGAGTGGGATGAAGCAGAAAGTGGCATCATCTAACTTGTAAACCGCTTCTAAAGGGAGGATATTTGGATGGTTAAGAAAACGCCACAGTTCGACTTCGTGCTCGAATTCGGCCTGAGCTTCCTCATTTTCAGCCTCGCTCTTGCCGTCGATCTGGCGGCGGACAATCTTGACGGCCAGAATGCGCTGTCTGCCCTCCTGCAGTTGTGTCACTTGTTTGATGGTGCTGGAACCGCCGTAACCTATCTGCTTCCCAAGAACATAATCATCGCCAATGGTTTGTCCTTCGGCGTCGCACGCAAGTGGACCGGCCTCAACTGCCTCCCCATTTGTGCCACTGCTCATGGAAAAAGCGCGCAGATATGAGGATGCTGCGGATCTCGGCGACCTGGTGATGGAGCCCGAGGTGTCCCGGCGCGAGGACCGCCCACCCAACTCTCGCATGCTCTTGTTGCGCAGACTGCCTGCGCGAGCGAAAAAGTCTTGCGGAGACGCGCTACTTTCGCCGTCCCTCCATCTCTGCGAAGCAGTACGCCGGAATGGTTTCGGTTCTTCGTAGGAGAATGCTTGTCCTGTGAAATGGGCGTTTGGTAAAGCCACATTGGGAGAAAAGGAGTACTTCCCCTCGTCTTGAGGAGTGACGGCTTGCTCATCGGGGGATACGGTGGGACTGGTCAGCATCGACATTGTGTCACGTAAGTTTGGTTCCGATTCTCTGGCCAAAGCGTCGACGGTAGTTTGTAACAAAGGAAAACGACGCTCGCCAACGCGCGCTTGTTCTCTGGGCGGGCTGGAAGAGTACTTGGGTAGGTGACGGCCTGTGAGGGGATCGTAGCGCGTGCGACCCTCCGATTCACTGTGCGCGCGGGATGACTGCTGCGCTTCCGCCATGGCCTGAAGCAGCGTACGGCCCCGTTCTCGAGGTTTTGGAGGTTTCTCCAGAGGCTCTTCCATGCTCTGACGGTGTCCCGAGTCCAACTTGATCTCGGTATTAAAGCTGACCGAAGGATGGCGATCCTGCATATATTGGTCTATGTAACTGGTAGGACCCTCAGAGTCTGATAGCACGGCTGGAGACTCGCTGGGAGCAGGGATGTCGACCGGAGGAGTCGCCGTCGCGCGGAGAGTGTCCTGGCTGGTCCCAAAGCTCTTGTAGGGTGGCCGCGACAGACCCATTGGTATCTCATGGGACCGGGTGCCCACAGGCACATCTTCGTTGCCATGTTGGGTGGACGAGTTCAGACGTAGGCTTTCGGGAACATGGCTGTTGTCAGCCTGCGCCATTCCGCGTGGACCAATATCATGAGATGAGACCAGCTCGAGACGACTTTCGCAGGGAGGTTCGGTGCCGGCTTGTGCAGGTAGAAAGCGAAGAAGAAAGCAAGGCTCTCAACAGGCCTGGAAGCTGACTGTTGCCATGCTGCAGCGGGCGGACGAGCGTGAGAGAAGTCTTTGGCTCTTGAGAACACAAACCGGGTGGCAGTTACTGCACGTGCAGCGGGGCGAAGAGCTTGGTTTGACGCGGAAATGCGAGGGGAAAAAAGATTAGCAGGCGATCCGCGGCACCACCAGCACCTCCAGCACCTCGCATGGCCAGCGCCCAGCCTGAAGCATGTTCGAAGTGGCGGCGGATTCCGTCCAAGTGCTCCGTGCTCTTACGAGTACTCAAGCGCTCTTTGCGCTTCGTGGCGTCTACACAGTACAAGACAACGGGAAGGCGACAATGAATGGTCACATGCACAAGATAGCACCGAAGAAAAAAAAAAGCGCCCTCACGCCCTTCCCCATATTCAGCATCGAGAGCATCATCATTAGGACGTGGGCATGCCAATAATTGGTGACCCTGCAGCCCCCACTAATCTCGCACCTCGTAATGTGCTCGGGCCTGAGCCGCCTAAGACCCAGATGGCCAAAACAGACGCTGGACACTTGTCGGGCGCTAACCCACCCTGCACCACCTGCATGCCCAACTTTGTCCTGCCCTAAACATTTCCACCAACGGCTGCCGTGAAGACGATTCGCCGGTTCCTGAGCCCCCTCGTTGAAGCACGGCAGGCTTAGCAGCAGGGTTGTCCGCCCATCCACCTCCACGAAATCCTGAAACAACATCCTCCTTTCCGCTTTCGCTCTTTTCAATTATGGCCAACTCTTGACAGGGGAAGTCACGCCTGCGTTTTACCTGCCCTTCCTTCATTACCGTCCACTGAGTCGATTCCATGATCTACGCTTGACCACACCACCGACTCTTGGTACTATTCAGCATCTGCGCTTGCGCGCACGACTCTCTTTCGGACCACTTCAACTCTCTCACTCTGATTTCTTCGCCTTGGACGCGTCGCAAATATCGCCGACCGAACCGACAGATCCCACTGTACCATCACAGTCCTTACCGCGTCTGACCTCGAGGAGCAACCTCCGCGACCTCTGTCCATTGCTCCACCATTGAGCGCTACACACCATTGTCCGTACCTCCCCTCTGCGAACGAGTGCTCGCTTATCTACCACCTGCGATCATCTATGCGACCTGCATTCTCTCCAAGCCTGTCAATTTTGGTGGGCGAGCACTCGACGCGACACCCGAGTCTGCGGCGTAGATGGTTCGCGCCATGACCACCTTGAAGCCACAGCTTGTGAGGGCTGGTAAGCGCATTTCACTGGCTCTCAATCCTGGAAAACGAACATGCTTACTCGGCCTTTTATCTAGATACGCTCGATTTGCAAGATCACAGCTCGCCCTCGGCCAAAGACCACTCGAAACAACCCAATCATCCTTCGCCCTACGGATACGGCCCAGCCGCGCCACATCAAGCGCAGACCTTGAGGCATGCCGAGCATGAAGCATACCAGGAACAGCATATAAGTCCTCGCGCTTCCGAGGAAAGAGTCAATGGCGGTCTCCGATCGGATCAGCATTTCTATGACGATTTAGACGACGAGCGAGAAGACGAAAACCCAAATCCCCAGAATGCTGCGGCGAACGGGGCCGGATACAGTGGGCAGGACCTGGATCAAGGGGACGGCGGGGATTCCCAGGATGAAGATATGGATGATGACCTGATGGACAAAATTTCAAGCTCCCCCTCAATCGAAGATGGTAAATACTCCCTTCCCCTGTGGCCGCCACGAGTCGATTCCGTGGATTCTGAAGCTTCCCCGGCTTCACTTTCGACGCCGGCTCGAGGCAATCCCTTCTCTTCCTCATCACCATTTTCCTCCACGCCCGATCATTCCCCCTTGCACCCGTCACTTTTATTTTATCCGGCAAGTCATCATGGTGAGTACACCGCAGACCAGGCCCGATCGAGGACAGACAAGTATTTCCCGAATCGGCGGTCTGAAAATTGGGAGACTTCATCGGCGACGCCAGCAGCCAATTGTTCCCCACCACACACCTACATCCCACTTTCAGAGTCCCAGGAGTTTCGGAGATATCTACTGCCGCTTGACGATCCGCTTCTAGCTGATGCTGTCGAAGATTATGGCGGTGATTTTCCGTACGACGAAGACGACGAGTGGGAAGACGAGGAGACCTACCTGCCAGCGCCTGATTCAAGTTCGGATGATGACCCCGACGATTTGCAGTTTTCTCCAGATGATCGCTTTGTCGACTCAGGATGGGGAGGAGAATGCTTACGAGAAACAGAGGACATTGATTTCGAGTTTGTTTACGCTCTTCACACGTTCGTCGCGACCGTTGAGGGTCAAGCCAATGCCACAAAAGGTGACACCATGGTGCTGCTGGATGACAGCAACAGCTACTGGTGGCTTGTCCGAGTGGTGAAGGATGGCAGTATCGGTGAGTGACTCTTGGGTCATATCAAGTTCGTACTTGCTAAGTTCGCACAGGTTATCTGCCCGCCGAACACATTGAGACGCCCACCGAACGCTTAGCCCGTCTTAACAAGCACAGAAATGTGGATGTACGTTTTTGACTATTTGCGTCGTCCTTCACTAACCTCGCGCCAGCTTTCTGCTTCTATGCTTGGAGACAACCCGGAGAAGTCGAAGAACCCCTTGAAGAAGGCAATGCGTCGAAGGAACGCCAAAACAGTCCAATTCGCACCTCCCACGTATTATGAACCCTCAGATTACGAGTATTCTGATGAAGAGGAGGATGGAGAAGACGTCAGGAATGCCCAGACGGGTATTGTCACTCCAGACGAAGCCGACAGTGGGGAAGACCAACAAGAGGCCTCTGCTGCCTCGGCCGAGTCCCAGGAAACACGAGGTACAGCTGCGATAACCAGCATCCAGCGCATAGCCAGCAACGACAGTTTGAAGAGCGAAACAGCGTCAAGTCCCGTCAAGGCTCAATACCCTGGGTCGGAGCAAAGGCAAAGCGAGGAATCTCTTCAGCGATCTAGGAAAGGAGTGGTCAGGAACACCGATTCCTTCTTCAGAGATGACACGGTCGAGACGAAGAAGATCTCATTAACGCCACGACTGTTACGGGGAGATTCTGATTCTGGGGCCTCTGCGGAACAAGAAGTACGCCAACGTGCAAGCCTGGAAACATTCGACAAGCTGGTCGGCCCGGACGACAAATCCAAGGAGAAGAAAAAGGAAAAGAAGGGTATGCTGAGCGGGCTATTCAAGCGTAAGAAGGGCGGTGCGCAGGATGAGCCCGAAAAAATTGGCGAGGACGCCCGGCAGTCGCCAGGCTCGAAAGATTCGGCGGAGTCGTTGTCCATGAAATCCGAAGGAGGCCCTGAACGCAAGCCGAGTAAATTGCAGAAGACCCCTCCAGTTCTATCACCAAAGGCGTCTCCCACTGAGGCACGGCATCCCCAACAGTCACTAGGCCCGACACCTGCGGCTCTGACAGCCACTGTCCCCGAACCACTGACAGTGCGAAAAGCTGATCCCGAACCTCAGCAATCGGAGGCGCTGCAGCAGTCCCAGCCGGCACAGGTCAACCGCTTCCCTTCTCTCACCGAGAAGAGGTCAATCTTCTCACCTATAACGACAGCGCTCAAGACGACACCTTCAACCGGTGCAGACAATGGCTCGCCAAATAAGCCGGTCTATTCGAAACGAGCCAAAGAAAGATTTGCAATCGACGAGAGCGACTCTGAGACAGACGACAAGAAGGCTAAAGTAGAAGAGCAGGGTCGCAAAAGCGTGTCTCCTATCACAGACCCACAGGGACCAGCACAAAGGTCAGACTCTGCCATGCAGATTTCACCTGTGCTCGCTTCGGCACCTGGCAGATTTGGAGAAGGTACGAGTCAAAAGCAGGCACCGGCAGTTCTTAGTTCATCTCCACTACCGCACGAGACTCATCCACCTGAGTCTGAAGGGACTGCTAGTACCTCGAAGCCGTCGCCTTCTTCGGCCACTCATACTCCATCGACGTCAAGGTCTACACCGACGTGGTCTGACGCATCGTTAAGATCATACATGGAGAACAGCCAAGATATCAAAGACCTACTCATTATTGTCCACGACAAGTCCAACGTAACGCCAGTCGGACCGGATCACCCGCTCATGAACAACCTTTTCCAGGATGAGCGAACGAAGCTGTCAGAGATGCAGTCACAACTGGATACCATGCTAATGTCTTGGATCTCAAAGAAAAACCCGAACTTAATGCCTACGACGACTTGAGCGATTCGAACCTCCGGGGTGAGGATTTTACTTTGTTCTCCCACGCTTTTTCGACTACTATTGTACAATTTCGGTTCTTGGCATGTCGAAGCAGCTGCTCGACTTGTATTCCTAGGGAACAGGCGTTCTTTTTCTTGAGATCTTTTTCACGACGATACATCTAAGAGGAGAATGAACGATGAAAGGTCGGAGACAGTTATAGGCTGGGCTTATGTACAGGCACTAATCCGCATCCTAGCGGATGGTTCGATGGGCTGTTGGAGCTCTGAGAAATGTTGAGATGGAGTCCTTCCATCAGCAATCAAGCAGAGGCCACGAGAAAGGCTACAATGACTCTGGAAATTCACGGCCTGTCATGCAAATGGTCGTAGTACAGTAACTGGAGAACGCCTTCCGTTCTACCTGCGTAAGCATGGCACGTGACCAGTAGTCGACCGTCTGCGGAGCGATTAAGAAATGATTTCGCTTGATACACGATCATCGCCATGAATTGGACGTCCTCTCACTTGGCTCTGGAGACTCTCTTCTTCTCACCCTCTGTGCCCGACGTCCCAGCCTTCAAGGACGCGTCACCTGCCTACACAGCTTTCGGTTGACCTACTTCATGGATTCAACGCTACACCATGTCAGTTACGGTGAGTACTTTATTGTCAGGATCTTTATTCCAGGAGGCTAACGATATAGCTGCATACTACCCACGGTGACCTCAAAATCGAAATCTTCTGCGAATCCGTGCCCAAGACGGCAGAGAACTTCCTGGCTCTCTGCGCGTCAGGAGCCTACAATGGCACGCCCTTCCACCGCTTAATCCCGGATTTCATGGTCCAAGGCGGCGACACCTCCCAGTCACCGCGCAATGCCAGTGCAGAAACCCCCATCCCAAAAGGCGGCGCATCGATATGGGGCAGCTACTTCGAGGACGAGATCCGAACACCCGCATTAAGGCACAACGGTCGCGGAATGGTATCCATGGCAAACAAAGGGCCTGGCACGAACGCCAGTCAATTCTTCATTACCTTCAAAGACGCGCCGCACTTGGATGGCAAGAATACGGTGTTTGGACGAGTTCTGGATGGGGCAGAGGAGGGTGGTACGCTTGAGAAGATGGAGAGTGTTGAAGTGGATAAGAAATATCGACCGAAGGAGGAGAAGATCGTGTTGCAGAGCGTTGCTATCCACGCGAATCCGTTGGCGGAGTGAGGTGGAGATCATGGACAAGCAAGACCCGTTATGGAAGCATATCGACGTCGAGGTCGCCCTTGGTATCTGAGCACGACACAGGCTGGAAAGTTCAGCGAGCCAACATTCGAAGAACCGCAAAAAGCATCAGTGTCACGAGAAAAGCAGCCCGAGCGCGATCCCACTTTGAGACCGAAACTAGGACCAGCATGCTGCAAAGTTCAGGGAGCCAATATTCGAAGCACCGCACGAAGCATCAGTGTCACGAGAGATTCAGCCCGAGCGCGACCTCCTTGGAGACCCAAACCAGGACCAGCCAGATCGCGAGTGGTCGAGATCAGAAGTTCTGTCGGCAAATCGATTCTTAGCAATCAGGGTCTTTATGGCCGTTACGGCCGTGTCTTTTGTCCCGGAGCTCACGTCTTGATATCCAGAGACAGACAATGGTGCCATTACGCACAGTTGAAAAAGTTATTGCGACGAGTAGATCACCGCCCTCAGCATCACGTGGGACTATCAAGAGACCCTGAACCTTCAGAACGCAAAGGCTTAACTCAATCACTCGCTAAAGTACATATCTTGATGTTTTCACCAAGGCAAATGTGTACGTGAACGGCGCATCTACTCTCCGGCAAGCGGCCTGTACAGCTGGCCTTACACGCACATGGCTGCCGGAGGGCATGGGTGCGCTGTCTGTGAGCAACCCTGGGGGCTGGCCCACCTACTCACTCCGTGGACGGACTTGAGAGTCCCATGGAGTCAGGGACGCCACATCAGCAGATGGCTCGCTAGTGCCGCAGCGATTAGCGTATCAAGTGTCGGAGATATGTTGACTGGCATGTACTCCGTACGACCGGCAGGTCCTCCCACATGGTGCTTAGAACGGGTAGGCGGTGGGTGAAGAGCACAGGAACAGGGGGCCATACCGGTGACGAATCTACAGAACTCCCTCTGGAGAATCGTAGCATGCTCCAAGCCACCCACAGTGACGACGCCATTGGCGTTGCGCATGCTTCCCAACCCTGATGGTCCGAGATAGGGGTGCGGGGCCAGCTGTGGCGCGGTGCCCGCTAAGCGACCATCAGGCGCTGATGAGGCTGAACAGCTTAGGCCCCTTTAAGAGCCGCCGGATCCTTGCCGACCAGAGTCCGATTAGGCGTCCACAGATCTCGGGCTGCGAGCACCTGATGAGCTCTTCCGTATACCGGAGCCATGATGAGCGACTGACTGGCTGCAGTCTTCGCAATCCGAGCCTGGGTTGGTGCTGACCGGTAGCGTAATAGCTGGTTAGTGATATAGGTGATCGGTGCCAAGGGCTTTGTTCTGTGGCCGCAATGTTGGCAGCAGGAAGCTCTAGGCACGGCGAAAACGCCATTTGACGTAGCCGGTACTCATACTCCGTAGATCAATGAGACAGCACAAGTACTTTGTGGGATGCGCATGTTTGTGGGCAAGAAATGGGCGATAGGAGTTGGGGTTCCGGATCGACTTGGTCTTTAGCAGCGGCGGCCATAGCGGCCTTGGGGACTGACTGTTAGGCGGCCGTGATGCAAGCTGGAAAGTGCCTACGTGTGTCGTGTCCTACACTCGACTCGTGCGTATGAATCCGGGCCTTGCGCACTGCTTCTGGGCATCGACTTGAGGATCTGCGAATTCACGTCCATCATCCGCTCCAGATTGACACCACATTTACCTACACACTCGTCTGTCGCTCCTGCGCCTGGGCACAGCCGCTCTCACACTTCACTTCCGCCTCCCGTCCCGCTCACCTTCAACCACTCTCATTCGAACATCCTTAAGACACTCACCCATTACCACGGCATCTTGCTTGTCTCGTCCCCGCTATTGTTCTCGACTCCGCGACACTGACTTGTGTGCCTGCGGCCCGCCCTTGTTTCCATTCTCCACCCAAAACAAAGACGGACGTCCAACGCAGGCCGATCGAACCAGCCAAACAAGGACATATAACCACGCATTCGTCGTTCATTCTCTGCATGTAAAAGACCTTGGCGCCTCATGGGCTTCATACTGTCGCTCAGATCCAGGCCGCCGCAACTCTTGACCTCCGGACCTATCAGAAGCCGCTTGCAACGGACATCCTCACTTTCCCGTGGTAATGGTCCCAGTATAGGCTCTGGCTCGACGAGAAGATGAGCGCATTTGTGCGAGTATCTGGCCGTCCGAACACGAACTTTCTGGTCGGGTATCCGGGTATCTCTGCCACGCTGGTAAGTTAGAGACCGGTGGCGCATGAGCCGTCGTGCTGACATGTGGTGTTGTAGCCTCGCATTGAAGGCACTGTCGAAATACGTCCGGGCGCTGGAATCACAAGTCCCGTCAACATCTCCATCGTAACCATCTGCCTGCAAAGGCGAGAGAGCATTCATCCCCATGCCGATTCAGTCACCAAGAAACACCTGGCCGCGCCCAGGAAGGAGGCGACGGAAACGGTGGGGAAAGAGATGCTGTTGTTCCGGTGTCCTGCCAACCGAGAATACGAAGAGATCATGTACATGGACCTGCCGTTCGTGATCTTCATCCCCTTTGGACGAGGAGGACAGGAGACCGCGAGAAGAGTACCGCCTGCAAGCCTACAACTACCGCGGAGGACGGCCGAGACATACTACGAGATGGTGGTGACAGTTGGATATGGAGGCACAGATCGCAAGACGTTTGCATTTCCCGTACCTATCTCGCGATACGACACCCTTTCGACATTCGGCATGTACAATCGCCCCGAAGCCGCGGAACGAGTCTCCGACCATTTGGTGACCTTGGGCATCTCGTTACCACGATGGTCGTACGGGCCGCTTGACCCTGTCAGCGTGTACATCAAGTTATCGCCGAATCCAGATTGGTTGAGTAAAGCGCGGAAAGTGACCATCAAGAAGCTCGAAATAGGCATCGACGAGGAGGTCATCTACAACCACGAAGGCGACGAACCGCAAAGGAAGACGAAAAGCCTAGTCAAGAAGGTTGAGAACGTGGGCATAAAGATGCCCGAGGCCGGGTATTTCACCAATCTAGGCCTTGTTTTCCCTTCCAGTGATCTGCGCGACTCGGATGGGATCATGCCGCGAGGGAGACCGGCGTTTCCTACATATTCGGTCACGGGGTTCACGACAACGGCAGGGCTGTACAAGGTCGAATATTACCTGACCATCAAGGTACGTACGATTCGGTCCGAAGTGATCAACGGGGACTGACTTTCCATCTGTAGGCCTCTATGGCAGGTGCAAAAGACATCATCCTGAAACAACCCATCGTCGTCTGTCCACTCGACCATGCCGCATGCAAAGCCGAAATGGAAGCCATTGAACAGGCCGCTAGAGACGCCTCACATGTGAATGCCGAAAACCCCATGCTCCCACTGGCCACGATCATAAGGGCTTCAGATCCGAACGCGTTGAGTTGTCTAGGGGTTGCACTGGTGGGAGCCGCCAAGAAGCCACTAATTGATTGAGAAGTGCATGACAGGAGTCCACGAAAACAGACGTGGAGGAATTGAACAAGCTTTACACGGCTGCGAGGAGCCCCTTGTGTGAGACGCGGGACTCAGTTCTTCGAGATGGAAACTATGGTCCAAGCCGGCACGTGATGAACTCGATCCGGAGAACCATGCCGGCGAACATTGAGTTTGTCGAGGAAGGCAATGCTCCATGCAGCCACAAGACTGCGCTTGCAAGCACCAGTGGCTTGAAAGGGCGATGGGGACGGGGCATAATGCGCGCATCACCAAAAGTCCACTCCAGGGGCCGTCCATTGAAACAGGCGGCAGAACCCACACACCGCAGCATTTGGTACCGGTTCGAGCAGAGGCGCACCGACCATCGGTCTAAGTGCTCGGCGTACACGGGAAGAAGGCACCCGTCCTTGTGCCGGCTCAGAGCTTGGAGCGCTTGGCGAGCTGAAAAGCAAGCGGATCCGGGAAGGGATCAGTTGCGGGCCAGACCCCAGCCAACAAGCTGAGAAGCCACCTTTGATATTTATGCCGATTACTGTTTTGAACATGCAAGGCGTTGGGTTGGACGAAGTTGGTCGGGACAATCTTGGGCACCAGCGATATCATGGCTTAGTCTACGAGGTACGGAACAACCCGGCGGCGGCAATGAGAAGAATTATCTTTCAACTTCCGCAAAGAAGGCACCTCCATGTCCTCGTGAAGAGATGTACACGTTTTATGTTCTATGGTCCGTGTTTTCCTCTTGTGGTTGTTTATATTCCTCTTCCTCCTCCTATTGTGGTCAACGTTGATATGGTCGACTCGACACAGCCAGCAGTTACGCCACAGAAGCAAAGAGCACTTACACTACAGTACTCTAGCACGAAGCACTCACCACGTGGAGAGCAGCCTCCTGACAGACAGGCGCATGAAAGGACTCTCAGGAGTAAGATGACGGGACCTGACCGTCACCGAATTTTCACATGAAGCCCTCATCGGTAGACTCGACGCTGCTTGAGATTCAAGCGTGGACGGAGCCGGGGCAATATGAAACTAGTATCTACGCGGATAACACCACGAGGCCATCGGTCATTGAAGACTCTGTCTAGGTATCTAGGCAGGTTCTTCCTCGCATATCTCCGAAATCCAGGCCCTCCCCTAATGCTACGCCGCTTGCGCCGTAATGCACTGATGCGAAGCAGAAGCAGAAGCAGAAACGGATGCGACTAGGGTACCTGTTGTCTTCCAAGTGAACGTACGCGAGCCTGTCCGTCAACGGTCAGCCTGCATGTCCCATCCCGTACGGTATCTCCCTCGCGAATTGCTGGGACACTCGAATCGAATCTCATATCCGCCCCGGACTGCCGTGAAGGAAGTGATGGTACAGTACAGTACATAAGTGAGGCGACGATAGCAGCAGCATCGCCTACCTAGATAGAGGTCGCATTGGGATCATGACAGTGCAGTACCCAAACTCGAGGCTCCCGTACGGGCCCTCGTCGTGTTTCCCTCCCGCTACGTAATTACCTAAGTTCAAGTCTCCGTGAGAAAGAGGCCAGCACAGTACCCGTCGTTCGTGAGCTCATTGTGTGGACGTGCTGTTTATCAGCGCTCGAATGGATCAAGCGTGGGTTCTCTGCTTCTTTTCGCGCTCCCCCCTCTACCGGGCACGGCATTCGCGCCCTGGGGTACGGCGTATGTATGAATCGAAACCAACTCCCTTCATCCGGTAAGCACACGTAAGTCTAGACGTTGCAGCTGGCCATGGATCGATCCTCTCGGATCGAGGGGCTCTGGGTAAAATAGTGGTCTGCGTACTTGGAGCAGCTAACCCTTCGGTCAGATGATCTGGGCTCTAGACTGGGGGTACCATGAGTTTGCATTACCTGCGCCGCCTCTCGAAGCCACGAGAGAAGTCCTGTCGTCGTTCAGATGTAAAGTGAGCCTGGAGCAGCCCCGTCGCATCGGGTAATTATGAGCAATCAAGGCCTTTCGTGACACTCACGCGAAAAACCGCCAGGACTGCGAACGGGGTGGATGCAGGTACGCAGAATGCCGTTCGGGGGGGAACCATAACAGTGATGCAGCGCGCGAGAGGCGTAGACTTCCAGAGAAGAGTACCTAGGTACAGCGCGAAGAAATCGAGACAAGGTAGAGTGTAGAGAGCACACCCAGTCAGAGGTACATACAGTACTCCGTGCAGCGCGTACGTCCATTTTAGCTCTCGACGTCAACAGCACGGATACCCCGCCCACCCCCTGCAGGTGTCAACCATGTTCCATTTCCCCCTCCTGAATCCCGAGTACAAGTACATACTCCGTACTGTACGTCTTTACGACAGCACACGTGTAGATGCGTCGAACGGACGTGATATATTCAAGTCTTGGTCCGAGCTCAAGCTCGAACTCAAAACTCAAACTCAAACTCAAGCTCACACTAGCACCACTAGTCAGGCCAACGTAGACAAGAGTACGGCAGCCCGGCGGAGTCGGAGTATGGGTCTCTCGCCCTCCATCGTCCACCACACCTCGACAGTACGCTTGATGGGGCGGAGCCACCATAACCACAATCTAGATAATCCCGACCAAGCACATCCACGACAACACCCCCAGCACATCGGCATGAAAAGATCCCCTTACTCGGATCCCGGGCCGGGGCAGCCTCAGCCTCCAGGTTACCCTCAAGGCCAAGCTCAAACTCAGTCTCAGGTGGCTGGCCCAGCGACATCCCACACGCCGGACGCTCAGCAACAACAAAAACCTAGTCTAGAGCTGGAGCAGTGGAACCTCGTGCTCGACACGATCCGCTCAAACCTCAACCTCATCGTCGGCACGTGGGGCCGGCGGAGCAGACAGTACGACGAGGCCCGGGGCGTCATGCTGGCTTATTTGGAGGATAATCTGGGGAGGATGAGAACCACTAGCGGTGGTGAGGCAATGGCATTGGAGACCGCAGGCGAAGGCGGGAGAGCAGGGAATGGGCATGGTGGCACAGGAGGCGGACGAGACGTCGAAATGAGGGCCACGGTGGAGAGGTCGATCGAGGAGTTGATGGGCGAGCTCAAGATATGAGGTCTAACAGAGGAACGGGGGTGGTACGAGGTACTCGTACAATAAGTCGGGCGTCGGGACTCGAATTCGAACTCCGAACTGCGCCGGAATGTCGACAAGGTTCTCTCGAAGACTTTCCGCCTTTCTGACTCGCGCTCGCGCTCGCGCTCGCGCCCAAGGACCCCGACACATGTCTTGACATGTCCTGATGAATCAATCCAACAGAAACCGACGACACTAAACACCCGCCTGGGGCGCCACGGGACTGAGGTTCTCGAGGGAGTCGACTGGGACCAGGACTGGCTTATGGATCCCACTTGGTCATCCAGTCACTGCTCCCTTTCCACCACCCCTCTCCTACGGACCGCGAAGATCAAAATCCCTCCCATGGCCATGGTTCCGGACCTGCAGACTTACTCACCGGGGCGTGGGGCGGGAATATGTCAGAAACATGCCGTCGCTGCAGCGGCTTTGAGAAATCCCCAAGGTCCGGGGACGAAAGGGGTGTGCTGGTCTGCAATATCCCATCCATGGCCATGTTTCCGGACCCGGAGATTTTACTCGTCGCGTCGGGGTGGGAAACATCCAAGAAACATACCGTTGCGCCAGCAGCCCCTCGAGGATGCCCCCGGCCCCAGCACAAAAGAGGTCCGCCAGGCGGTTCGGTCAGGGAACGGAGGCAAGGGGCCAGCAGCAAAGGAGTCAAGGTCAAGCCAACGCCTGGAGGATACCCTGTTGTTCAACCATCCGCTCGATGGGAGCGAAAGCGACGGGGAACGAAGCGGTGTTCACATGAGTGAACGAGTGAGTCAGACGATGCGCCCGTTGACGCAATACCGGCAGTCAATCGCGTCAGCTGCAATCGGACCTACTGATCAGGAGAGCATAACGTATGACAACATGTGCACGTGCACATCGGCGTGGACGACAGGAAGATCATACGAATCCGGGGCAGACACAGATGAAGCAACACTACGAGCATCTCTTACGGCGGATCAAAGCAGTGTGTTCTCTATTCGTGCGTTTATTTGCATTCGCTCAAGAGGTATTTCTGCTGTAGCTCGGTGCTTGAGGCGCCTCGTCGAGAGGACAGCCTCAGCTCAAGTCCAAACCGACACCTCCTGTGCCATGTGGCTTTCTGCGTGTTGTTACATGTGTTCGTCGCCATCGTGATCTTGGGTTCATGAGACAGTCCGGGAGTCCTGCTCGCTCATGGACAGACAGCTAGCTGTGTCGCATGTCCAACTTCGGAGGTGTTTTGAAGCTCCTCGAGCACGAAGATGTTCCCTCCCTCGAAGCCATTGTCGCGGAAACGCCGGTGCGGAATGCCGATACCGCGGCTCGCGCCGCTGATTGTCATACCGCGCTGGGTATGCTTGTCGTCGCCATAATCATCATCATCGTCATCTCTGTTCGTTGTTACAGTACATGCCGCTCCTCCGTATGCATAGACATTAACTGATCCTCGTTATTTATCTCTGCGCATCTCTTCCAAATTATGTTCTTGGTGGTTTGCAGGACCTGGCCCATGCGCGATGCAGGTGTTCCGTTTGGTCCAGACATGAGGTTGCGTGGACGAGTATGTGTCCTCTTGCATTGCTGCATTTGATTTCGTCGCGCTCCTGATCTCGGCCACCTCATGATACCGCTAATACCAGTGCCACCAGCAGTGACAATGACAGTGACGGCAGGTTCACCTGCATCAACTGTGACGGCGCACTTCCGATAAAAGCGCCGTCGAAAGGGCTACCGCCACCACTCACACCGCCTGACCCCTGAGAATTCGAAGTGCTTGTCGCAGAGGCCGAGCTTGACGTACTGGAGGTCCTAGACGCCAAGCTCGACGTCTCTGATTCAATACCGGTCGGTATTGAGCTGGAGGTTGAGGAGGCCGTGTTTGTGCTTTTGGTGCCCGTGCTGGAGGTGGTCAATGTGGTTTCGCTACCGGACCCAGTCCTGCTGGACTTAGTGGCAGTTGTTGTTGATGGGTTCAACGAGGTCACTTCTGTGCTCGTATCCGGAGGCATCGTATCGACTGCCATGCTCATAGTCGATTGTACTGCGGAACTACTGGTTTGGGTGATCCGCGCGGTAGTCGCCGTGGTGGTTGCAGCATTGGTATTGTCGCCGCATAGGAAATCGACAATGTCGCCCAAGAAGAGGTGTCCGATGATGCTGTTCCCGTCCGCCTGTTGTCCCGCACACAGCCGCTGCACAAATCCCTGCGACGCAACCAGGTTCGCCTGGCAAGCAGATGAGCAGGATCCCTTCCCACCAATGCCTTGGAAATCTTCGTTGTCGCAGAGGTTCACTGGCGTGTCGTAGGCGAGGGTGCACGGCGTTGAAAAGCCGACGATGGGTTGGATGGAGGGGAATGAGGCCGAGGCCGATGATTTCTGGAAGAGGGTATATAGTAGGATGGCAAGCGATAATCGCGCGTGGGACCCTAACTCCATGGCAAGGGCGATGCGTGATGATGAAGGACTGAATGATATGGCTGGGCTTGTTTCGCAGATGGACTGTCGGTTGTTGTACCGGTCATGAGCCCAGCTGTTGTTCTATGTTTACAGTGTCTGGCAGAATCTTGTTCGCTCGAGTGACCGCTTTCCGAGACACCGCAGGTGAAGTAAGTCAGAGAGGTGAGCAAAGACTGCCGTCACGAAATGCAAGCACGCAGTCACCGCTGCGTTGGTGGACCGAGTTGCATCCCCGAGGCGAGTGTCGAAAGAGGTGAGTCGAGATGCGGTCCTCCCCAGTTGCGCAGGAAGAAGTCGTGGTGTGGCTGTAGCAACGTCCCTTGCTCACGATTCAGCCCGACCGGTGCCCTGACTTTGCCGGTGGTCGTTTGGTGACAGGGAATACCTCGTATCTACGCCGACAATCTTCTCTTCACGAACAGTCAGACCAACACGACCGTACGTCAGTCCCAAGCCACCGCAACACGCTGTGTAATGGCAGATGACGGTCTGGTGAGTGTCGGGACTGTTATTGTGACAGATCCTCGTCGATCGCAATCAAAGATGCTCAGCCTGATGGGGCTTCGACCAAGCGATCTCAAATGTCCTCCTCTTGGAATTCGCTGAAGGGCGACGGTTACTCTGGCAGGGTGGGAGCCGGAGCCGGTGGTTGGGACGTTAATGGAGAGTACAAGGTACGCGCTTCTTCAGTGCTTCTGGTCAGCTATCAGATCTTTCAGTATGACGGATAGTCCAGCCTGCTGCTACAATTGCGCAAGAAAGAGAGACAGGGGGACGCGATCTATGGTTCCAGATTGTGTGCCTGGTACTCAGCTGGGCCCCGTGGATGCGGTGATGGTAAATAGCGTCAGCCAACCTTTCCTCTTGCATGCGACGGTGAAGCGCCATCGCTTGAGCGGTTGGCACGAGGGTCTTTGGCGAGTCGCCATGGTTGGTGGGACCTCATTCTGCGACGATGGTGACTCCTGACGCTATGCTGAAGAGGATGTTGACCGTGAAGAGGTGCAGCAGGAAACGTCGGATCGCCAGGAACCGAGGGCGATTGATTGGTGGACGGCGGCATCGGCGCGCCAGGGGATGACAGGGGGTCCGATGGTCACCTTACGGCTGTTTCATCGCATGCCGACACCACCGAAGAGAAGCTTCACAGCGCCTGCGTCACTAATAAACCACTTCGGGTGTCGTGCTGATGCTTGTTTCTCGCGCGCACAGTCGGACAGTCCAGAACACGGGCGATGATGCTACGAAGTCGCCGGTATGAAACGGTTCATTTGTGGCTCCCTAGGCTATGTACTCCATGGAAGGTAGGATAAGTGTCCTGATGTCCTGGATTCATGCTTCTCGACAGCCCCTCTACGGAATGAGCACCCCTCGGAACCTGACTTTGCCACTGGTCATCTTTTCCAAGGCCTCGCTGGCTTTTTCAAGAGGGAATTTCTCAATCATGCACTTGACGCCGTGCGTCTGAGCAAACGAGATGGCTTCTTCGCTGTCTAGTTGGTGCCCGCTGGGCCATGCCTGGATGCTCAATCCCTTGCCGATCATGGACGCCGTGTTCACTTCGACTGGTCCTGCCGCGGCCAGAACGATCAATCTGCCCAGTGGTCCCAAGCCGTTGAGCAGCGAGGGAATGAGTTTCTCGTTGGGGGCCGTGAAAAGAATGCAGGATGCTCCGCCCAGCTTCTGAAGTTGTTCGCCAATGTCACCCTTGGATGCGTCGATGTAGTCGTGAGCACCCAACTGCATGGCGAAGTCCTTCTTTTCGGCGCTGGAGGAGATGGCAACCGTCCTGTATCCCGCTTTGTTGGCATATTGCAACGCAAGGTGGCCTAGTCCACCTAGTCCTTGTACCGCGACGGTCGAACCCGCTAGAACCTTTTGTTGTCGGAGAGCTTTCTCGAAATCAGCCAGCCGGCCATTGAGGGAGGAGAAGACAGACTCACAATTGAAGACCGTCACACCAGCGCACAGTACGGGGCAGTACTCGGCAGGGTCTGCGTCGCTGGGAATCCGGACGACCGCCTCGGTCCTCAGAGTCACGTACTCTCCATATCCCTGAAAGTCGTGTCAGCACACTGTCCGGTACGCTACGGAGAACATGCGTACTCCATCCCTGGTGACGCCGTTAATGGCCTCGTTCTCGCACATCTGGAACAAGCCGCGTTGACATGGGACGCAAGTTTGATCGTGGCCCCCATGCCAGGGTCCTCCAACATGGTCGCCAACCTTCCATTTCTTCTCTGTGTCCGGGATGGCAGCGACTTCCCCAATGACTTCGTGGCCGGGGACGATTGGGAAGCTATTGCCGAACAGGCCGAAGCGGACGGCATGGTCGGAATGACAGACACCACAGGCGAGAACTTTCACCAGGACCTAGGCTGGTCAGTCCACATTTCTGACAGTGGTATCGGCCAACCACACATACCTCTCCAGGCTTTGGCAATTCGAGTTTGACCTGCTTGAACTTGATCGGTTCGCCCTTGGCCTCGAAGACGCCGACCTTGTATTCGGCAGGAAGGTTTGGTGCTGATGCCATAATGGATGGATAGATGCGATCTCGATGGCTTTGTGAAGTAAATTAGAAGCCTCGGTGGTCAAGTGAACTAGATCCAGGTTTCCAAAAGCCATTGGGACCCGGACTTTATATCCTTGCCTCGAGATATAGTCGACTGGCATTTTGAGGTTACCTCGAGGTGGGTCGACTGACTGATGATGTCAAAAACTCAATCATCAAGGATCCCTGCAATCCTGAGCGAGAAGCTTGCGGCGCTCTGTCCACAACTTTCCAAAGATACGAGGTGATGCAGGAGACTTGCATACACGGACTCTCTGTTATGATTGGTACACACTGAGGCGGGCATGCTTGCTTTTCCGGCCGCACCGGTAACTCGCATCGCCAAGGTGAGGTCTCCCTGTACGCGAGGGATAGCGGAAATCTCGGGTTTACTGATCTACGCCTTCTTGGCAGCCATTACTGTGTAGGCATACAGGCGAGTCTATAACGAGCGAGGGCACCGAATCTGATGTGCACACCCTCTGGCAATGTCCGCTCCGGCTGCTGGGGCGTTATCAAGTGAGTTCGGACAAAAGAGTTTGCTTCAGAAGCATATACCTAAACGAGCGGCTGTATCTCCGGGTCGGATTTTGGTGTCAAGATTTTGCCTGTTTTCGACAAAGTCTTGATCGGATCTGGCATCTGCCTCTTCCGAGCTTGGAAACATCCGGGGTGCTGTCAGGCAGTTGCATGGGTCCTTTGAACTCTACCATATCTCGTATACAGCATGCTGAGCGATCCTCAGGGCAAAATAGGAGTCATCGCAGTGCGTACAGGCTTCAGATTGTTTGCGCAATCTCCAGAAGGAGTTAACATGTGTCCATGCGATTGCAGTATCCAGGAGTCGGATTAGTAAACATTGACCTCGAAGCGCGGCGCAAGGATTCTTGTCTCGGCCATCTGCGATGAATTGTCAAGAGGAGCCTGCGATAGGACGGTTCCATGGATCGGGAGAATATGTCAATATTCCGCTGCTCCAAAGTCCGGTATCGACCTTGCTAACTAATTGCTTCACTCACGACACGATGCCTGGATGTCTCTCCTGGGAGGATTGACCGTTTCGTCCTGATGATGGCCACGGATCCTCGACCAGCCGATGCAAGAAACACCCTGCGAGGCACAATGATAGTAATCTTGTTCCAGATCCAGAGCAATAGAGGCGTCGGAGCTGTCGCCACGGCCGCCACCGAAAATCTTGAGGAGGTAAGTGAGCTTTGAAGTCGATGGTCGGATGTGTCCTCTCAAGCCAGTCCTGCAAGCTGTAACAGCCCTGACATCAGAAAGTACCGCCTATCGATTCTGTGATTTCCTGCCATGGGCGCCACATGTGGAAGAGAGCTGAACAGCGTCGCTGGCTATCGACGCGGAGATCCCTTGCCCTCCTTGTTTCGCTCAGCTCGTTGTTATTGTGGTCGTCCTGTTCATATTCAGCTGCACAGTGTCAGACACCCTCATCTATTCGCCGTCTGGCCCAATCGAGCCGAGAGCTTTCCTGTGTGCTGCCTTCAGCTTCATACGGCTGGTGGGTACTGCCTGGCAGTTCGTGCAGAAGAGGATCACTCCCCATGAGCTCGGATGGGTGCTCCTTCTCCCCATCCGCCGAGAGCTCGGGTTTTGCTGTCGGGTATGCGGCTTTAGCTCTCTGGTTGCCGTCCAGCTCTGGTTTGGAGAATGGCGTTTGGTTTGGCACGGTCTCGTTGAACGTTCGTCCTTCTCGCTTGAACATATGGTAGCACAGGGCAATAAAGGCCAGCCCCACCACTCCAACACCGATCCCGGTGCCCGCTTCCGCGCCCGTAGAGAGTCTCTGAAAGGATCAACAACATCTCAGAACGTTGTGTACAACATGCCATTCTTACCTGGGCAGGCTGCCCCTCTTTTATCAGAAAGTGCGCCGACTTGGTGAGATATTGGGCCTGTTCAGAAGGCGAGTTTGTAGTCGTGAAAGTGAAGCAGTATCCTCCCCTATGTAACAGATGTCAAACCCAGGCCGAATATGAATCATCTCCTCCTGGGGTCGGAGTAGCGTACGTCTCTAGTGACCGCGAACCGTTCGAGTAAAGCGCCGTTGGCCATGAAGAGAAGTCATAGCGGCACGAAGGCACCGAAACGTGAGCAAAATAGGTGGCATTGCCGCCTTCCTTCTGAAGCCAGATGTCGCACTCGGAGGGGTCGGCACTGCAGAACGTCGCCACACAGTCAGTGCCCCAAGTCTTTGGGGCGGACTTTGCGAGCTCACGGCTCTTGCTGCCACTCGATCGAGCTGGGACCTGGACTGGAACTGTAAGTTGCGACGTCTGCAGGCGCAGTCACGATGATGGCCAAGCTGAACTGGGTGAAAGCAAGGAGAATGTGCGGAAAGAACATTTGGCAAGCCATGCTGGGCAGGCCGGAGGACAGAGTCGCCGGAGAGGAGATCGAAAGAAGGACGAGTTTTCATGAATTCAGCTGGCGCATTCAAGCAAATTCGCCAGCTCGTGTTCTGCATGGTTCATAAGCCGTTTTACTGGCTTTGCGGGCTGATTCGGTTCAGGTGGGTCGAAAACGATGCTTCGACCAGGTCAATACGAGGCAAGCCCCTCATGACCGGTATCCGAAGTGGGAAGAGACTGGATCGCAGACACAGCATGCTGGTGTCCATTTCATAGAGGAAGAGGCCGTCGTTCCCAAAAGCCCCGTGGTACGCGAGCAGCAACGTTGTCGTCGACATGGGGGAGATTGGGGAAGAGCCATGTGAGCGAGTTTCGACATTACGAGTTTGGAGGCTCGGTGCCAAGATGGGTACAAAATCGCTAGGGACTCACCCTGCATTGGGACGAGGGGTGATGCCGCCCTGTGCTCACCTTTGGCCTCACCCTCGACAGGCGGTTCTGGACAAGGATATATGTAGTACTACTGTGTACGTAATTTAAGCGGCACATGCACCAGAAGGCTCGAAAATTCTCGTCATTCTGGCTGTGAGCCGATCGTCTAACTCTCCAGTTGCCGCAGTCACATAGGGACCCGTATGAAAGGCACTACCTCAACCTGGCCCACCACCCCATACTCTACGACGGGCGGCAAAGCCACATTGGCACCAGGGTCTGTCGGTCCTGTCCCGCTACTTTCCAGCTCATTCCAGATGGTCCTGACCACGTTCCCAAGCGGCGTTGCAATTGTCAGACTGAGCGTGTTCTTTCCGTCGACGAGATGAGGTGTAAGATCGGCTTGTGGCTTTGTCACGTCAAGGGGCGGAAGAGCTTGCCCATTTAGGGCTACACGTAAGATGTGCCGAACTGGGGGAAGCGAGAGGAAAGCCCCCGAACCTGCGGCTGTGGCAGCAGACGGCCAGTCGAACTCGGTGCTGTAATATCCTCTCCCTGAGACGTTCTGTAGACCTGGGATATCTTGCCAGGACACCAAGTCCGATAGAGAATGAGTCGTGTTGTACTTCACGGCGCCGCTTGTAAAGTTGTACAGATCCGCTGGGGGAGTCCAGTGCTCGGCAACTAATGTCCAATTTGACAATGTAATAGCCAACATCTGTGGGACCGGGATCGGGACTATCGTACCGTTAGCCAGTGTGTAGGTATTTCTTTGCTGACTCCCCGGGGCCGGGCCGGAGAAGAGGTTGATGCTTCCATTCACTACCGACGCCGAGAGCACCCCTTCGGAGACATTTTTCAGGATTTCAGATGGGTAGTTCTCCGGCTCGAGGGGAGCGGCGAGGAAAGCAATAATGGTCGATTGATTGCCGGTTAGTCGAAGCGGGATTTGCGTCGTACTGTTCGTCTGCGTGTACGTCACAACCGGTGTTTGGGACCCGGTCCAGGCATCGTAAGAATAAGGGTAACCTTTGCTCTGAAACTCAATGACGCCTTCGGTGTCGCCTTCGCCGTATGCCAAATCTTTGGCATCGTTGTAGACATAGACGTAATCAGCTCTGGAAACCCGAGTGTCATTCGAGCGCCAATATGTGAACCATTCCCCTTTCCCGGATTTGGAGAGGATCTTTGTGGATGGCTGGATCCCGATCGATGCAACGGTTGATGCCACTTCGTAAGTCTCTGTAATGTGGACATTTGGCAATGTCTTCAAAGAATCCAAACACTGTCGAGATTGGGTCAATCGACTAGCATTGTTAAAACCAAGATAAGTTGTAGGAATTCCACCAGCAAAGATAACCGGTAGCCCAGCGTTAGCAAGATCTGCGATTTTGGAAGCTCCAGAAATGGTCAAGGAATCGTTGGCGCGTATCACCATGGCTTTGAACGCCTGGGCATCAGGAGCAAGGACACCTTGCCTGACAACGGCCGCGGGCAGTGCGAGGTTGTCAGGACTAAAGTACTCATAAGTATAGCCTGATAGATATCAGTTCAGTGGTGATCTTGGCAGAGGTCAAGGACTACTTACCTAGCTTCTCAAGATCACTGGGTGCATAAGTTCTGAAGAGTATATGTCCGGGCTGAGTGGTGAACTTCTGGTACACTGCAATATCCACCTTGGGTACTCCCGATTGTAAGATGAAGTTATTTCGGGCAACAAAATCGATCTGATCGCGGTAAAAGTCCCAGGCCGGCTCGCGGGGTCCGTGCATCATCGAGTACTGATAATTGAACGTCGTCCAGCCGGGCCACGTGGTGTTACCATACTACTCGCTCATCGATTAGCGCAAGGAAGTCTTGAAAAGATACCAGACAAGTGGAGAGATCTCACCGGTCCTGAATAAGGGAAACCATGAAAGACGAATTGGTTGATCGCTCCCGCGTACGACCGTTTGACATGCCACAAAAGCTCCGTAAGGGTTTGCGTTACGGCCTCATCACGGACCGCTCCGCACTCGGAAGAGACGACGGCTCTGCCAGCCAGATGGGCGGGACCTGAATATTGACGATATCCGTCGATTAAATCGCTAAAATCTAGGGATTCACATTCGGGAATGTCCACTGTTGGTATCGACGAAAGCATATCCATCGGCATGTTATAGGAAATTTGAGCCGAGAACTTCAGGTTGAGGTAGTTTTCTGCCCAGGAGTTTAGAGCGCCAAGGTATTGCTGGTATTGTTTTGCAAGCTGGATACTGTTAGTACTCGTCTCAGATCGGGAGGGATTATCTTCACTGTTTCTCTGTAATCCGCTCGACGAGATTCTCCGCTATCCATGGCGTCAGTTACATACCAGACCGGAGGAGAGGACTGTGCTCCGTGGCCATTCCTGTGGAAAAGGGTCGGCAGCCATTTTGCTATAGAATAGCCATGGTCGGAAGCGAACTGGTCTGGCAAATGCTCGGTCCAGAAAACGTTGGATTCTATCTCGACACTATCTTCCCACCCGTAGTTGCCAACACCCATGAGAAGCTGGCGTGTCCCGTTGATGAGAATATGTTGCTCCCAGAAGTCCGTCATAACTTTGGCTCCTCGGGCTGAGAAGTGGTCCACTGCCCATGAACCATTGTTGATGTAGGACTGCGGATTGCTCTGTGGACCCTTGATATCTAATGGTCCGTCTTGAGCTCTGTAGTTCGAATGGACGAGGTAGATGGCGAAGATGGTATTATGTAGACCTGTGGCATTGGCGTCAAACTCCGCGGATAAGGAGCCGTCCTCGGTGATATCGTCCGTAACGTCTTTGAGACTGGCCTCAGAGAGCGTGATCTGAGTACGATTTGCAGCGAGATCTCCTGGCAAGCTAGGCCCCAGGGCGTTTGTAAGATTGTCCGCTTTGACCGTCAATGCGGTCACAGCAGCTTGCAGTTGGCCAGTGCCCCAGCCGGGGAGCGTTCCGTTGAACGATCCTCCGATCGGTACTGAAATATTGTAGGCGACAAGATCCCATGAGAGGCCCTCGGACCCTACTGGGCCTGGTACGCCGGTGCCTTGATTAGGACCCATGGCAAAATCCATCAAGATACTACTGTTTTGGCAAGCCTCCGCAAAAGCTTGAAAAGTAGCATCTGAGAAGCGTGGTTAGCAAGTCATTGGTAAGGGGTGAGACTATCTACAATCGTCGATACGTACGCCACGCCGGGGTGCCAAATCCATAGACAGCCCAGTCGACTGGAGCGCCATCACCTCTGCCTGCGCCATTGGACGGCGGCCCTCCATAGAGATAGTACCCAAGCAGCTCGAGTCCACCAGCCCCAACCTTCTGGGCGGCGAGGACATCTCTGGCTACAGCGGTATGGTCGACAGACGCATCAGGGATCCAGTAGCGGAATTTCGGCCGAACATGAATGGAAGGGTTCTGGAATGTGCCTTGGTATGGTTCGGAACCAGCTGAAGAGACCTTGCCTGTGATAGGTGAGGCTACCGAACCCAGGCACAATAATGAGCTTGCCAGCAGGAGAAGCATTGTTTCGGCCGTCGCTCTGAATGACATGAGTCCGCACGCCGAAATTGACAGACAATTAGCCCTGTGTTGATCTGAGCTCTTCCTGCTCACCGTGAGACATAGAGCGCTCGGATCAGGACAGGAATCGTGAAGGTGATTCTTTGGTGATGTTATATCGCCGTACTCCTTGAAATGCTCGGTCTATCATCTTTGCGGAGCACTAGTGGCTTTTACATAAGAGACAGGAAATACTCCGTGATAGGTTACTTTGTGAATGCGATCTACCTCAAGGTGAGGAGACAAATAACGCTATCAGGCAGTTGACAATTCAGGTGTCTTCCCAGAGCTGGTTTGAGTGCAACTCTCGGTGCGTTTTGGACCGAGCCGCGTTGACCATTTTCGGGGACGTCGCTGTCGATCATTGGTAGTAAGAAGACGGCGTGCGGGCATAACTACAATGACGGGATAGAGCCGTCTGAGTTAGGGCCATATGGAGGGTAAGTAGGCAGGTGAATATAAGGTAGGTGAGGAGGGTGAGGAGGGTGAGGAGAAGGTGAGTTGGGGGTGATGCCAAAGTGAGCTCCGACAGATTTTACATTGCTTGCCCTGCCAAGCTTCGATTGAGTGCCCCATTGGTGGTACTGTCGCTCGCTTATCTATCAATCCCTTTCTCCGATAAACACTTCAAGCCCGATCTGAGATTCTTAGGGGCTCTGAGATATTGAAGAATCACACTCGGAACTTCAGCTCAGAGCCACGAATATGACGATCGAGATAAAGCCGATAACCGCAGGTGATATTCCTTCGGCGGTCGAATGCATCCAGCAAGCATTTGCCGACGACCCGTATCACCTATGGGCTTTCGACGCAGCAAAGTTCAACAAGCAGAGGAACTTCGCCAGTCTCAAGGCCAAGTGCGAGTGGGGAATGCACAATGCGTTGTTCTATGTCGCAAAAGACCCGGAGGACAAGGACGGCAAGGTGCTCGGAGTCAGCATGTGGATGAAGCCTAGGCGTGCGGACCAGAAGCAAACGTGGTCCGAGTGGATGGACGATTACGTCCTCTGGTTCAAGCAGGGACTGAACCTTGTCTGGTACAGGGGACGCGGCGGATTGCAGACGAATCGATACTGGATCTGGAAGCGGGAACAGGCTATTGCTCAGTCCGAGATCTGGACGGATCCTCATGGGTACTACTTCTGCAACATTGTCACGGTCAGGCCCGGCATCCAAGGCAAGGGGGTCGGCCGCCAGCTGTTTGAGATCGTGACCAAGATGGCCGATCAGGAACAGCGCAAGTGCTACCTCGAGTCATCCAAGGAGAAGCCCAACATCGCCATCTACGAGAAGATGGGATTTCGACTAGCACGGAAGATGGTGTGCGAGGAGGGAGGACACGTCTGCGATCTGTTCTGTATGGTCAGAGAACCGCAACCAAAGCCGTAAATACCGGGCCTCCGGGCAAGGCGCTGCCATGCAAACCTTTGTCAGTCCTGCGTTAAGCCTGCTGAGTGGCCATGCCATCATCTCAGGGATCACATTGCCACAATTGACCAGGACATCTGTGGCGCCCAAAGAAACCCCAACCAGATAAGCTAGTGCCATGCATGTTGGATGCTGAAGTCGTGTCTCGCGGACGGTATCGCCTTCACTCGGCGGATATGTTACTCTATCCTACGCTCTATGGACCTCTCAGACTCGGATAGGAACAATATCCCGCAGGGAAACATTGGTTTCCGGGACTGCGATGAAGCATGCCTTGAAGCCTGGATGGCGCTGCGACATCAGCTCCATTCCCGATCTGCCCGTTTAACGGCGTTTCGCACGGACGGCAGATGTGTTTGATCATACTGGTGTAGACAAAGAAAGGCCAAGGAAGATTACTTCTTGCTCTTCATAGACTTTCGTCTGCATACGTCTCAACAACATCTACAAGAAACAAAGCCGTCGATTTGCGCTTAGCGTTGATACAAATACGCCGAGGACAGCAAAACGGGTTGGTTGGTCCAATAAACATTTTGACTGCCCCCGAATAGGAGACACTTGGATCAACAGACAGTACACGGGCATCTACCTGCGAGCCAGCCTTCTTCCGCAAAGGAGACACACCAATCACCCTGGCCATCCAGGACGTGACGCCTGGCGGATAAACAGACCAGCGGTGCCTAGCCCAGGACCACAACCTACCGATCGGCGTTGGATTTCTGCTGGGCACTGTACGCTGTACCCATACACTGATAAACGTACTTAAGAGGATTGGATTGAAATCGATAACCACCACCTCTGGGTATACCTCTACTAGACTTGAGAAATACGTAGATAATCATGTATACAGGCCGTGTAGTGACGCACAAAAGGGTATCAAAAAATACTCCCAGAGTGGGTGGATTGTTGATCAGGTGTAGGCCAGCGTGCAGCCAACCTATCAATTTCGGTTCCGCTTGGTGTACTGTACTCATGCAGCATGAGCGGTCTTGCGCCGTACTTGGGACTAAGCCAACTCACGCGGCATAAGATATGGCGCGAGTTCCAAGAGTCGGACTGTCCAGGAATGAAGCACAGCTCCTATCCTGGGACCTGTACTCGACCCGATCGAAGGCAGGCTTTCAGTCCCCGACAGCGTCGCGTCATCGCCGACCGGCATCTGACAGACAGACACTTGGTAGCAGTCTTCTGGAATCTGTCAGCTTACAGCTCACGGCTCACAGCTTGCTTCCAGTCGCTTTGTCGTGGTTGACATCTCCGTGCTCATTCTTGACCTTTTCTACCACCTCGGCTGGGAACCGAAGCATGCCGTCTTGTATAGTGGTGGCGATGATCCGTCCATTATCCCGATCCCACAACAAACTATTATGACACCCCCGATTGTCGCCGCCGTTGCTGGTCCACGACTCTTGGACGAACCACTTCGATTTCCCATCCGCGTCGACCATGGCCAGATGATCCGCCGAGCCGTGGAAAATGACCGTGTGAGACAATGAAGCCATTGTCGTGCGAACGGTCTCGTAGCCGAGTGCGCGCTGTATGAGGAAGAGAGAGTTCTTGTCCGAAGCGTAAAGATGGGCCGCAGCATGGAGGTTCAAGTCAGTGGCGGCATCGTCCTGTTTTCTGGTATTGTCATCCTGAATGAGTCGATAGAAGAGTAGTTGGCGATATCGAGCCGTGTCTGCCCCATCCGGACCACCACCGGGTCGGGTCTTACCATTATACTTCGCCATGTCGACCTTCCTCGTTTCGACACCGGGAAAGGCAGCTGCATCGCGGCTCCAGAATTCTTGCTCCTCCTCTTCCCACCACGTGGCGTCGGCTCCGGGTGCCAGGGGGTGGTCTTCGGGGTTTAGGCCCTCCAGGACGTCGGCGTACTGTGTCCTGATATGCTCGGGGCCCACGTTTTGGTACTCGTACCCGGACCATTTCTTGTTCCCGTGCTCGGACCGCTTGAAGGAAACCAGCGCCGAGAAACAGGGCGTGGTGCCCTGCGCGGCCGCCTCGGAGTGCTGGAACACGTCCACTCCTCGCAGGCAGTACATTCCGCCGTCTCTGATCCTCCTTATGCGATACACATACGGGATGTCGATGGCACCGGGCAGTAAGAAATACCCTGTTACTTGCTAGATCCCAGATGTCTGTCAGTGTTTTGTGTTCATCTGTCAGAAGCCCACGCGGTGGAAAACACACATGGACAACGAGCCCTTTCTCCACGGTCTGGCTGGCGGCATAGACAGCCTGAGCATAGACGTGGCCGCCAAAGGCTCGCTTGAAAGGGGCTGGCGGCCAAGCCGGCGTCAAGGACTCAAAGACGTCGTCCCCTGTCTGTTTGAGAGCCATCAGAAGCCTCCATGAAATCGGCTTCTTGCCCCTGAGCACCTCGAATTTGGTTGTCGTTGGCATTGCTGGCTGAAGCTCTCCCTGTGCGATTGACGAATGCTCCGTAATTGGCCGCGTATTCACCGACAAGCCACAGCGCAATGCGAAGGTTAAGTCATGGTACCTGGGACATTCGTGATAGCCCGTAAAAGCTCCATCATCAGTGTCTTGCAGGGGTCAGAAGCTGGTTTAAGTATTCCGTACAGGGAGAGCACAACGAGCTCGAACGCGACACAGACAGCCTCGGTTCGTCGTCTCCTCCGAACAAACATGATCGCTCGTTTGGGGTAAGAATTCCGAGGCACGTGAAGATAACACCGCTTGATTTTACGATAAGCTCTATGTGACATCATCGGGCTGTGTCACATCGATGAGCGCCGTCATTGATGGGAGGCGTTTACAAGGGCCTGCCTGAGCTTCTCGCGTACCCCGTCTCTCTCTACATTCCTGTCAACAAGCCAGAAACAATCCCTACGATCACCTTGAGCAATACGACTACCGTCAGAACAGAACTTGTGAAAAGATGTCATCGAACCAATCCTCAGACTCTCAACCCTCCATGATTGGTGGTCACGCCAAGGTAAAACGATATACGCCCACCATTACAAAGCACTGAAGCGTATCTCTTACTGACTCTCTACCCGATACAGTACGTCCAGGGCGTCGTCTCTTCTACCCTCGGGTATGAATCCGGCGAACAAACCAAAGCCGAGGCCGTCCAGGAGATGAAGGACGCGAAAGCACATTCCGAAGGACAGCCGGCGCAGTCGTCGATCCTGGGGACCGTGGAGAATGCCGCGGGCAAGCTCACTGGGTGTGAAGGGATGGAGCAAGAAGGTCAGCAGAGGATCCCGAACAAGAAGGGCATTGAAGAGCAGAGTGGTACTGGTTGAAAGGGGCACGTGAAGTGAGTGGCTTGACGTTCTAGGTTGAAGATGATAGATGCATGCGAGGTGCCAGCACTGCGATTCTAAGGAACTCAGAGAGACTATTTCTAGACATCTGATTCAAGTCTGAGCGTGGAGGGCTTGGCTACTAATAATTCATGAGCGATTGCCGACAACTTTGAATCCAAAAATTTCCTCTGCTTTTGTTCGGCAGACAGATGCCTGGTGCTGTAGGAATACCCAACCTTCTGTGTGTATCTCGCTTTTCAACCTTGGCTCTTTTGTCCAATATCGAAGCATGCGTGGGTATCATAACATCTCTCATGCTTGAGATCTTCGTCATCCTTCGTTTTGTGCTGGCGTGACGAGCCTTTCTTTGCAACCCGGGGGCAACAGTCCAACCCCTCACAAGCCTGTATTGCTCCTTGGCTTGGGAAGTGGAATCTCTCCTTCGGCCGCTTTGTTCTCGATAATAACGCTGTCGTCGAGCTCTTCGTCTCTCATCCTGACGTCCTCGTCATCGAGAAAGTCGTCGATCCCATCCTTGCCACGGCGCAGGTCGACGGGATCCCAGTCCTTGCCTAAGGTGCCGTCGACGTCTGGCTTTGGATACTGGTAGGAGTTACCGTACCGCTCTCTAGCTCTCTCCTGGGCTCTGATCTCGTCGGCGTCCGGCTTGACCCATCCACTGCTAGGTGATTCGCCTAGCCCGATAGTGTGAGTTGGCTTCAGAAACGTTGGACCATTGCTTGTCTCATACCAGTCCCGGTCAACCCAAGAAGTGATGCACTCCTTTGCCCTCTCACCCAATGCATAGAATCCTGGATTGTCGCGTGGCAGGAACATGGATACATGTGCGCTGGTCTCGTCGGGGGCCTTTTCGTTGACCGCCTTGATCCATTTGAATCGACTCGGCTTCGATTCCTCTGCGCCTTGTTTGATCTCCTTGCGGTCACGGCTGACGTGGACGGGCAGGTTGCAGAACGTCCGTTCCTTTCCTGCCACGCTCTCCGTGATGCCGTATCCGCCCCTGGCTCCCTGACCGAGGTTAGTATAGAGGTTAGCGCATCCGCCACCTCGCTCCTGGCATTCGTGCTCAATGCTTTCGACTCGCTTTCGCAAGTTCTCCGGCTTGAAGAGCTCGCCCACAAAGAGAAGATGATCACCGGCCCACTTCCACCCAGCACTGAGCTTCTCCCGCTGTGAGTACAAAGCAGCCGCGCCGCCAGCTACCACGGCACCGGCAGCGCCGGCAAACATGGCGTACTTGCCCCATGACTGCCATTTAGGGGTGGCGGCAGCGTCTCCGGTAGAGGCCGAGACGGGCGCGGGCAGGGCTTGCATATTCCTGGACTTCGCGGCGCCTGCAGATGAGACGTTGGGCTCGGACTTGGTGCCCCAGCTGAACATTGATGTCACTTCATTGTAGGTATTGTAAGCGTTCGCAACGACCTTGTGACCTCCTTCAAGGCTATGCGCGACCATTCCAGGTGCGAGGCCGAGGAAGGGCGTATCGAAAGCCAGAATGCCTTGGATATGTGGGAACATGAATGAATGTCGGTGTGATGCGGGGTTGCTACGGGAAGGCGTAGGGTGCGACGTGGAAGTAGTCGAGCCGAGAGTCGTGTTGGAGGGGAAGTTTGGTCGCTCTGGGTTTTGGGCCGATGATGCTGCCGGTATGGGTTGCTCACTTGCTAGAAGGAGGTATGTCTCTGCCGCAACTATGCCGCCCATCGAATGTCCAACCAGGATGACGTGGACCGAAGGGTCGACTGTCGGGGACGGCGTCGACCGAGCGACCTCGAGGTCTATGACCTTGTCCTGTAACCTGGTATCGCAGCTCTTAACTATCTCACTCGGGCCCGCGGAACGCCATACCAGCACCTACCATTCTCGAAGGCGCGCCACACATTCCTTTAATTCACCTTTCGTCTCGAATCTGGGATATGTCGCAGTGACGACGTCGATGTTTGGAAGAGCATGGCTGACGAGAGCTCGAAGATGTTCCGGAAAGGCCGCGAAGGTGTCATCGCCACCCTAAGCTATCAGTAGAAGAACAACACAAAGCAGTGGTGGTGGTGGTGGTGAGCAAAGTCATGGCAGTGCATAGATGTCGATGACGCGCACCGCTATTCTGCCAGAGACGTTATGGACTCACCTTGAACCCGTGTATGAAGACGAGAAATAACGTCCGGCGCATCCTCAGCGGCTGGCTGTCCACCTTGACACTGCATTATACACCACAAATGCTCGCCGACCTAGTCCGTAAGCAATGCCATTGCCACAGTCGCGAGAATCGTTTGATTGCTCTGGCACGGAGTACGGAGTATGTAGGAGGTGTCTTTTCACATCAACCACATTTCGGACTTAAGTTGTTCCGGCAGATTCTAGTTCTAACCATTGTCACGTGAACTCTGACAGGGTGGTAGCATGTGGACAGGACGCTCTACAAAATGAAGGCACAGTGATGACAGAAGATATTTAGTGATCCAGAAAGTGGATGACCTCGTGAATTTACTTTTCTTGCATCTCTTGAGAATCATCTTTGGCCAACATAGACTAGATGTCTATTTCTGTACAGTTCTTTAGTCTTGATCGGACCAAGTGTCCAACGCCCCCAATGATGCAATGTTGCCATGTTACCCTCTTGTCCCTAGCGCCGTACGCAATGATGCTGCTAAGCAAGTCGCTTTTGAAAACGGGAAGACAGAAAGCCAAGCCCCGCCACGCTATGCATGTAAGATGATGAGTCTCCCTCGAGCCAACAAATAGAACAAGAAAAATGTAGGTGTACACCCTTCCGCATCATCTAGAATTGATACTGTTGTTGAGCAACTGGAGTCGAAACATTGCTGTTGTGCCAGCCGTCTAGTTGCAAGAATGGGAGGAGCCCAGTTCTGCGCTCTGTGCCGGTCTTGCTCAGAGGCTGATAATGGATCTGGTCTGATGGGATGTTTCTGACGGGTACCTGCAATGCCGCAGCAGGGGGAGGAATTAGAAGTGTGTTGACATGGCGAACTGGTCGATATGGAGAAGTGCGGTGAGTCAGGAAGTATGATGGTGACAAACCCGGGAGAGTGGGAGTAGTGGTATTGTATCCGGTAGGTGAAGTATGTGCCGAGGGGTAATTTGATAGCGATCGGTGGCCGTCACCCAAGCTTGGAATGGTATTCTGGAGGAGATTCTGAGGTACTGCAGATATGGGGGTCACAGGATGCGAATAGCCATTGCTTGTGGTCGGATACACCCCTGACATTGCGCGGTTGGGTTGTGCTGATATCAGAGGTAATGGAGGGACCGAAGGTGGCATTGAAGTCGGCAACCTCGGGATGTCCAATCTTGGAATATCCTGAGACGTGGAAAATAAACCTGAATCTGGTATGCCAGAGGACCGAGTAGGTGACACCCTGAGGCCAGTTTGAGGGTGGGGATGGGAACTTGCCAGGCTACTACTTTGCCCGGACTGCTGGCTAGCGAAGAGTTGCCGCTTAGCGGGAGGAAGCTCCGCAGAATAGTCTGCACTTCGTTTCCGATCTTGCCGATATCCCCTGAGATCAACCTGCTGTCGCAGTGGTGAGTTTGGAAGTGGTAGTGCTGACGATGATGGGTGTGGCAGTACAGGATAGTGACTGCTCAAATGACTCGAAACACCATAAGGACTAACGCTGTGATGCGTAGAAGGAGGTGAAGGGAGCTTGTGAGAGAAACTTTGGCCAGTAGGAGTGACTGGGGTCGGCCCGATTGCTCTGGTCTCGTCCACCACAGGAAGCTGCGAGGCCTTCAGGTAGAATGCGCCCAACCTTCCCAATTTGGCTTTCCACAGGCTCCACTCCTCGGCCGAGGCGTAAAGATCGTACCTCATGTTGCTGAGAAATTCCACTTCCATAATATGGATTTCAGTCACAGATATGCCCGAAACCTCTGCCCAGGTCTTGTTTGTGTAGGTATTGTCGTCCAGAAATTTGTTGCCCAACATCAGAGCGATGGTCAGGAGGCGGAATTCGCTCCCACGCTTCCCACTAACAGACGGATTGAAACGTTTGAGCCGGTAAATGAACATCAATGCCAGTAATATGACGTTTCTGCCAACTTGTGTGGTGCTTACGATTGTTGTCACCCATTTCCGAAATCCGATCGAGGGTATGGCGTCCGGCAGCAGGCCTCTATCCACCGAAGCCTCCTCGGGCAAACTTTCTGCGTATTGCAGTGTGCTGGAGGTTTCGAACCAGAATAAGCATGTAATTTCTGCCGCAAACTCCGCGAGGCTTCCCTTGCTCTTGTTCACGGACTCTGGTATCTGTAGGTGTGGTGCAATTGCATTCACTTCTTTCTCATCTTTCACCCGACGGTTGTAGAGACCTGTTCCGTTTGTGGGAGGGACCAGTGCGTACGGGTTGGGCAAAGAGGATGTCGTAAAGGAGCTCCGATGCTGCTGAGCAGTATGGGTGGAGTCTGGTAGACTGGTGTGCTCTTGCTGGTAAGCTGGGAGAGGGTAGCCGGCATAGCTGTTACCTAGCATCACCCCAGACATGGCTTTTGAGGTGGGAGGGGTAGGTAGACCACTGTCGAAATAGGTATCGGTGTCGTTCCACCCTTTATACCCATACGCAGCTGAGTCCTTGTACGATGCTTTGAGAGTCGAATCCGCCCAATCCAGAGGCCCAACAACTTGAAGAACAGTGGACGTCGACGACATGAGTCTGGTCTTCCTCCTGTTGTTTGGAGATGTTGTGCGTGGTGTCAGGGACGGTGAGGTGCTGGTGACCGGTCCAGCATAGAGTTGTCGAAGGTGGACAGCGTTCGAACAGTCAAGTCGACGTGCCTGACGCTGTTTGAGTAAATATCAAGAAGACGGTGATGCCCCTTGATGATAGAGGACATGACAATAGGAGGGTCAAGAACATTCAAGCGAGGAGCATGTTGGATGTTTTGGGGTCTTGGACTGAATCGGGGTCTGGAATGAAGGTGAGGTATTGAAGAGTGGGCCCGGATGTTTGGCAGAGGTGCAGAAGGCCTTCACCCACGCGGCACTCAAACAGCCACTGTCCGAGCCACGTAGGCAATGCAATCAGAGCCAAAGGATGGATGATACAACTGGAGCAATCCCAAATGACAGCACCGTGATTAATGAGTGAATCAACGAAACGCAAAACAGTCAGCCGAACACCGTACGTTCGGCAGCAGGGAGAGTTTGTGGCGGCGACCCAGGCAATTGGACCGATGAAGGATGATCTTGTATTCCGTTCTCAGGTCTGCAACAGGCATGCTGCGCCATACTTACGCACAGGGCCTTGTCTTGGAAGGCGGTTCGAGGCTCGGCTGTAAAAAGGTGTCAGGGACCCCTTCCGCGTCGTAAGTGATGAGCCCGGTTGACCCAGTAGTTGCAGCCAGGAGACGAGCGTCGGATGGAGACAAGACGACGCAAGAGAAAATGAGAAGCAGCAGTAGTCAGAAGGACAGGCAAGCCGCAGAAGTGGAAGGGAAGCTACGACTGCGGGCTGGGTAAACGCGGCATCAGCCAATCAGGGGGCAACCCAGGCACGAAAGATGGAGCGACAGGCACACTGGCGCGATGATTGCCAGAGTGGACTAAGACGGGCTGGCTGGGGGGGAGGAGTTACAGTCAAAAAGTGATGGGATGTTTTGGATAAGAGAAGGATTGCTAGGATGATGTTGGATGGGGTGGAAGCACCGAAAAAAGCCAACAGGAGACGGCAAACGGGGGTCTAGTTTGACGGTCATGGACCAAGGTCATGCAAGCGGTCGGGTCACGGTGATGAGCGATGATGAATCCGTGAACCGCCGACGTGCCATGGCTGGCGTGCTATGCGAAATAGCCATGAACACAGTGAGCCATCCGTGGCACCAGCAACCAACTGACCGCATTTAGCTCGGCATGATGGCAGCGGCGAACAAATTTTAGCCTCCTGGGCTGTGGCAGGCAGGTGTTGCAAAGTGTGGCCTAAGCACCAGCTGGAACAACAGGGTGGTAACTTTGCCGGTACTACTACTAATAGTCATTCTCCCGTCACCTACTTACTCCGTACGAGCGCTGGGTTATGATTCCACCCCAAGGCATAAATCATTTGACGGATCCCGACATCGTAATGGAGGGGGGAGCGAGACAGGGATGGTGGATGCTGGGTGGAGTTGGGGCCGTGGGTTTTGCCATCGCCATCATCGTCTTTTGCCCCCCTGGAGCCTACTTGTGCAAAGGTGACTAGCACTGTTCAGTGATGGAATGCATGAAAAGTGAGCAGCCTGATGATAGACACCAGACACTGCCCACTAGATGCCCCCAGATTGCAGCTTGTTTGGCACGCATGGTGTCCCTTACGGCGGGATCGAACCTCCCCTGCTGATGCGAGTCACGAACAGAGTACTCCGTACGCGGGTGAAATCAACTGGTGCCATGCAACTTGCCAGGCTGGACGGGAACGAAAGCAACAGCGAAGCTCGGCGTACGCAGCGGAGTTTGTAACAGAGCGCCACGATGAATGCGGACTTAGTGCGAGGGAGAGGAGGTCAGGATGGCATGAGAATCAGCCTACTGTGTACACCATATGGAGTACTGCCGGCTTTGATGGAACTCAACTTCGTGCATGGGATGGTAGGGGGTTTCGGCAAGACCTGGCCTTTTACTGCGCTCGCCGGGTCCGTGACTCCTACCAGGGCCACCTGCCTGCGATGCACTGCGCTCGGGTTGCCTTAGAAAATAACGAAATCTAAAGCGTCGGCCTATTGGAAACGAAGAGGAAGCCGCTAAGGAATGAAAGTGACTTGCGGACCGCACGGTCAGCGTACCCAGTAGTTACAGAAGGCCCCTCACAGTCTCGTCAAAAGTGATGATCTTGAAGCTGCCAGCTGAGTCGAAGCCTAGAGGATAATTTTGACCAGTGACAAGTGCGAGCTTTAGGCCCCAGTTTCCCGAGAAGGCTGCCCGTCTGCGCTCCCTCGGCTGCAGATGCACGGACACGCAGAGTGAAGCCAGCACACCCGCGACCCTCAAACCCGCCTGGCACGGAAGGCAAAAAAGAGCAGTGTGGCTAGCCTGAAAGCAGCCACTCCGTGTCTCGTCAGAATTTCAGAACACGAGACTTCCGAGGCCCGGTTTTTGGAGAAACCACCTGCGAGTTGGGGCAAAAGGCCTTGTCTGGTTTGCTAGTCTCGTGCCGCGCGCAACGCCAAAGGGTTGCCGGACAGACGACGCGGCCTGGCAGTGTGTTATTGGAGGATCGGCCGCTCAATAAGCTGTCGAGAAACTCGCATGGCGGCCAGAATCCAGGCGGTCCGATAGGACTTCGCTGGATGTTGCTACCACCTCAGTCACTTGATTCAAGATTATCGGCGGACCAGCACCACCCAGCAGGCATCATTCGCTAGTGTGTTTGAGGCTGCAGGCTGCGAGCGGAAGATGGGCGGTGGGCGAAGGGGTGCCGGAGCATCCAGACAGGGCACAAAATTGCTTCGTGCTGTATGCCTGGCTGACACTACTTCCGGGCCTAGCACGAAACCTTTGGCGACGTGACTGGCGCCTACGTTGAGGGGCCTAACGTGATGTGAGGATCGCGAAGGCTCTCCCTTACTGACACCACTATTCCCAAAAGAGTGTTGAACATCGCTTCGACAGTCTTGTCTGCATTCCGCAAAGGCAGGCTGATCAAGACCTTGTTCCCATCCACCACGGGCGCTCCTGGGTCACCATTGATCAAGAGACTGCTGCACCATCAAATCTCGTCCGAGCTCCCGGAAACTCTGACGAGTGGAGATTCTGGGAGGTGCATCAGAAACTTCGCTGGAAGCAAGACAAGGAGGAAAAACATGTCTCGGTGTCTAAACCTTTCGTCAGGATTTATCTTGACTCTTGTGGACCTTTAGTCATCTGTCGTTTGGGGCGCAGTGAGGTTGTGCGTAGTCAGTCCAGGATATGATGTCTGCTGTTCGGAGAACCGCCAATTCAAGCCGTGGATCTGCAAGGAGCTTTTCGAAATCATCGTAATGACTCGTTGCTACGAGAATGAGGATTGACACAAAAGTTTGCAATCCTCGCACAGCTCAAAGTGATTGTTGCCGGCCAGCTTTGCGAGGACAGTGGGTAGCACCGACATGAATTCGTCGTAAAACTACTGTCCATGCCGTCTGGCGAACTTCCGCCTTCACATCACCAGCACTACACCCTCTCACTACACCCTCAGATAGGGTGAGCTGGAGGCCCATAAAACTTCGCGGTTGATAGTCAGGTCCTGGAAGAGGAATGCAAGACCTCGCTAGTCGAGCCGCAAATTGGAGTCCTGAGGTTCCAGGGCGTCTTGCTACCCATGTACTCCGTAATCCGGTTAAGATTTTGGAGGTCAGTAGAATTTGCAGGCCCTAAAAAGAGCAGGTTTGGCGAAGCGAATCAGGGGAATTTTTCTAGGCCCTAGGCACTGACAGGAGCGCACATGGTAACTCTTGTCTATTCCTAACGGGATCTTTCGGCAAAGTGCAAAGAAGGATCCGCTGCCTGTGCAGAACGAGTAGAAACACGAGCACCTGATCGAGATCTTGGTTTTTTCCAGGGAAACGCGAGCATGATCGGGCAAAGAAGCAACAATCCACTGGTCATGCTGTGTCTGGTGCCTGATGAACGTTGATCAAAACCACAAGACCAAGGCCTCAGTTTGAGCGTGTCCAGCGAAGTCTGCCACCACTCAAGTAGTGTGGACTTGACCGCCGATAGGACCCAGTGTGACATATACAGTACATAACACGCTCTCATGCGTACGGAGTACAAATCAGTAAAACCAAGCGAAGAGGTGGCGGCAAGCGGGGAGTGATCCCTCATGGATACTTCTATTCCGGACGTGTCCACGGGAGCTTTCATCCAAGCTCAGAGTCAATGAATACACAAGCAGTCAAGGGCACTTGAAAGGCCAGGCTAGTTCTGTACGAAGGATGTCGTGTAACGGCTGAGCAAAGATGGCGCGACGATCCAATCCCGCTTGTTTGTGATATGCGTGGCCTTGTTTGTTTGCGAAGCCTTCTGGAGGCGATAGCGATATGAATGTCTCGCTGATTTCCCAGTGCCGCGACTGCCGACCAGGGGTCGTAGCTTGTGCTCAGACCATTGGACTCGTAATGATCGCTGGGTTTGCAGTAATGCGAGGAAGGTACTCGTGACAGTGGACACTTCTGCGGTGATCATTTTATGACTGATAACCATAGAACTTGCTGTCGTTGGGCAGACCCGGCACAGCCAGTTGCGCCCCACGTCAGGATGCATATTCCCTGGGCAGATTACTGGGCAATCGGGAACAGAAGTCGAGATACGGTTTCTCGTCCTGGTGCACGGCATCGCGAGTACTTTGTACACAACCACGGCTTGGCGGTCTTGCGCTGGTCTCATTCGGAGGCATCCTATTCATCATAGAAGTCTTACGAGTTGTTGCGAGGGTTGCCTGGCTCGACACTTCTCGGTCTCGGTCCTGCTTGGATAGTTCACCGGTCCATCACTGGTTGTACGACTGATCATCTTCCAGCTCTACAAGCTAGTCCTCTTCCTCTTGATTATCCCTTGCAGCGATGCATAATCACAGTCAGACACAGAAACGGGTGGCAAGGCGTCACGGGCGTCACCATGAAGCCAAGCATGTCGATGCGCTCAGCTCGACTGCAGCGCTTTAGCTCTAACTCCAGGTGCTCCTCCCAGAGTGACCCGCATTGTCGCTAAAATACGGGTTTAAAGCCTCCAATCAATTGTGTCTCATGTCGCTCTTGTGGCCCATCAATCGTTGTGGCTGATGATGCAGGTCTCTTTTGCAGCACCTGCCACAAGACACTCGATTGGCCCGCGTGCAACACGTCGAAGTAAGGAGTGACTCGAGCTAAATACCCGTACGGAGTACATAGTTTGGAGTACGAGTCCTCCGTAGTAGCGGCAGCTTCACCACATTGCAACCGGACTGGCCGTCCTTCTGTCCACGCTCGTTTGTGTTCTGTGTCGTCGGTCGCGCTTTCCGAGAGGTTATTGATCGCAGCGATCACACACGCTCCAATATGGTTTCATTTGACGCCAGACATCAGCGTGATGCAACAGTGCCAACCAGCCAGTAACCTACTGTAGATACGGGTGTGGTTGCCCGCCCGCGCTCATGATCACAACACCACTTGCAATGTTGTCTCCCCATCGTTCTCGGCCCCACCGCCAACCATCGTTTATTTGCTTCGAACTTAATTCTTAGGCTCAGTTCACAATCAGACACACCTGAGCCAGTTCACTTTGTCGTTCCACAACTCTGCCGACCCGCAGCCGTCTTTGTAACCGCAACTCCAGCGTCCTCTCTGCAGACGATGGACTAAAACATGTTCTCCCTGCTCCTGATGGTGCCAGGCAATATCGGGATAGGCTCTTCTGGCGTTGGGCCATTCCTACCTCGCTAAGTCTTACGTATCAGGCCCAATTTTGCGCGGCACAACCGCGCCTTTGATGTCGCGTCCAGAAACCTACGGCTTTCATCGCCAAGCGAACAACGAATGGGGTCCTTGGTCCGGTGTAACATCTCTCACCATCGTCTTGCTGCCCTTGCTGCCAATCGCAGGATGCTCCTACAGCGCCAGTCGACGCCTGTCATTTCTCTTTTGAGGCACTGCTCTGGACCTGCTCCTCAGGCTTTGTCTCGTATCTGTGTCTCTGCCTCCGTGTCCAAATTCAAGTGCCCTGACACTGCTTGGGCAACTTCCGGGTTCGGGATGGCGAGCTGCCTGTCAAGTCGAAAGCTCTGGGTAAACTCTAAACATACATTCGATTCAGCCTTGGCGACCTGCAACATGAGAGTGTCAGATCCTCCTCCGGACCATCCGTTGCCACTGCAGCTCCAGCTCTCCCTTCATTCGTTTATCGAATTTCGAATTTGAGCGAAAGCCAGGCCGGTGAACAACTCCAACGCGGCTCCAAAGATCAAGTATGGCGTCGCCTTGGCCATCCGACGGCTTGTGGAAAGCAGTGTCGGACGTAGTCGCACATGCGTATCGATGGAGTACGTACTTACTGTAGAAGCTGTCCACTTGTCAACGCGCCTGTGAGCATTGTGCAGCAAGCGAGCGACCCCAGCTGACTAGCAGCGATGGGCCGCTGAGATGCACTCTTTACCCTTATGCGTATGGAGAGCTTCCCGAGACTATCCCTTCCAATTACGGACTATCTCGAGATGGCCTGTTGGCGCTGACCAAGCACTCCTTGCACCCGGTCCCCTCCAAATGCCGTCAAGGGCATGCAGGCCACGCCATTCGGGAGGGGGACGAGCGTTTCTGGACGACCACGATGGCATTGTCTATGTGTAATCGTCATGAAGGTCCTCAGTCATCATCACCGGCTCTACTTCTCTTCACAGCGACCTCATTTGGCTCTTGCAGACGCGCCAGAGGCACCAATATATCAAAGGCCCAGAGGACAAGTGGTGCACAAGGTCGGGAAGAGACTTGACCGAAAACTCATGAATGATTGCGGGCGAATTTCGACGCAACGACGATGTACCTGTCCAGCAGCTCAAGGTGCAGGTGGTAGGCTCCATTCAGAATCATCTCCTTCCGCCGGCGTGCTGCTGGTTTGGGAAGCCCTGCTCTGGGAGAGGTGAAATTGACTGACTCAGACGTCCAGGCACAAAATTCGGGTCGAATACCGATTTGAAAGAGCTCGTTACCCGGCGGGCGATTGCTCTTGTCTTGCCTGCCTCGCTCACTGTCTCAACTCGCTCGGTCAGTTGCGTTTCCACATTCATTTCGAGCAATCTTTCAGGTCATCGAGAGAGGCAGTCACGAGTTGTCCAGACTTGACCTTACCCTAACCTCGATTCCGGGCTTGAAAGTTCTTCTCAATTCGCCTGGTCCAGACGACGAGCCTGTACCTCGACTCCTGGACTATCAACATATGGGAGAAGAAAGTAGGCTGCCTCCGTGTATCGCCGTGGCCACGGACATTAAGCCCTTTTGACGTAGCACTCAAGAAATGGGGTGTGACAACTATGCATGATTTGCCAGCCGTGTACAGGATTCTCAGTCTCCCACTTCCATGTTCAAGGTATACACACTCGAAACGCACTGCCTCATGCCGGAAGGGACCAGGTGATCTAACATGCAAGACTCGCTGAGAGACAACCACCCCAGTATTCATGAGGGAATGGATTCTCGCATGCATGTGTGCAAAGGTAAGGGGAGCATAGAGCAGACACATACAGGTCTGATGTCACTTTGCTCTGGTCCCAAGCTCCGGCATCTGGTGTTTTTGTCGATCTTTCACTCTTCATTCATGCTGCGATTGACAGTCCCGTTTCTATCGACTTGGACAACGAGTCTGCGATAACCCAGCGGACAAAGTATATGTTGGCCCAACCTCGAAGTAATGCCTCTTTCTCGACTCTCGTTTATTGTTGGAATCTATCCTTCGAGAAGCCATCGGCTTGAGGCTGGGGTCTTTTGGACACTCGGAGCAAGATATGAGTGTAATGGTATTTGCTTTTGCAATAACAGTCCCACTGCGCCAAATGAACGACTCTTCCGACTCACAACGTTACTACATGAGCGCGACTACTCGCCAACAGTGAGGGAACTGCAGGCCGAGATATAGACGACATGTCCAGGTTTGTTTCTACCCCTACTTCGCAAGCGAGACCAACACTTGGTGGTGTCGCTTCGCTATTTGCTGCAAAGTGCCCATGTCTTTCCAAGCGGCTCTCTTGAAGCCTGATAAGCAGCTCTGCGAGCCTTCTCTTTGGAAATGTACGTTTATTTCACTTTCACCAGCGTATCAAAGCTATGATCCCCATGCAAGCCATTGCGCAGGCCGGATTTGATTTCCTGCGCATGTCGTCATTTTATCGTCATCCGATGAGCCATTTGCGGCTTCGGCCATCGATTCAAAGTCGCGTCCTTCGGCAGTAAGAAGCAGTCAAGCAGTTCTGCACACATCGCCATTGGGAGCACCGACACGACCATGGCAGCGAGCAAACCAGGCATCACTATTGACCCTTCGAAAAAGCAGTCCCCGCTTCGAGATGAAAAGCAAGGAGCAAGTCTGAAGGAACGACTTCCCCCGGCCAAATCAAGCCAGACTCACCCGCAACGAAGTCAATCAATAACAGATGACTCCAACGCCTCGCTCTTCTTTGTCGGCACAGCCACAACAATTCTCGAATGGGAAGGTTTGCGGCTTATGACCGATCCCAACTTCCTCCACGCCGGCGATCACGTCCACCTGGGCCCGGGCGTCACCGCGACACGTAGGACAAACCCAGCGGTAAACCTGGAAGACCTGCCGCCCGTCGACCTGGTGCTTCTCTCGCACTACCACGCCGACCACTTCGACCAGAAAGTCGAGGCCGAGCTACGCCGCGACCTGCCCATCATCACCACGCCGCACGCGCACGAGCACCTCGCCCACAAATCGAGGGGCGAAGCCTTCACGTCAGTCCACGCCCTCGACGCCTGGGAGGACATGTTCGTCGACATGACTTCTTCATCGTCGCCGCCCAAGGGACGTCCCCCGCGCCTACACGTGACGGGAATGCCGGGCAAACACATCGGGGACGGGCTCCTGGCGAAAGCGAACGACATCCTGGGCGCCGTGCCGCCGACAAACGGCTGGATGCTTGAACTGGGCCACGCGGGCAACACGGCCGGTGAAAACCCCGACGCCTTCGACTGTGGCTACCGCATCTATATCTCCGGGGACACGCTGTACGTGCATGAACTGGAGAAGATCCCGGAACTGTACACGCACGCGGGCAAGCCGATTGATTTGATGCTGATCCATTTGGGCGGCACGACTGTCCCAGGCCCGCACATGCCGCTGGTGATGGTGACGATGGATGCGGAGCAGGGCTTGAAGCTTGTGCAGCTTGTTCGGCCGAAGGTTACGATCCCGATCCATTACGAGTAAGTGTCTCTGCGTTTGCGTTTTGCTTGTATTTTGCTCGTCTCGTTGTGCCCGTTCAGATGGACGTGGGATGCCCGTATCCTCCCTTCACAACAGAGCTGGACCCTTTTCTGCCATGTGAAAGACCACGACTGAGCAAAGCCCATGTTCTACACTCGTGTTATGGCATGCCATTGTAATTCTGTGGAGAGGTCCCATCCCCCCAGTCGCGAGGCACATTCAAGCACAGGGTACAGTATTTGATATCTTCTCGAGAGAGACGAGTGGGTGAGTGAGTGGGCGAGCGAGATCCCAAACAAGAAGAAGCAAGCAGCCGTTGCTCACGTTCACGTTCACGATCATGTTCATGTTCATGTTCTCACTCACGCTTGCTTTCCACCTTGCGTCTATACGAACTACACGCCCCTACAGACGGAGTATTCACACTACGGTGCCTCACACCACTGTACATCCCCGAGTTCTGAACTTAGGATTTAGCCTTGTCCCCATACTCCCCACCCCTACTCTATCACAGTATGCGCAGAGGACACCACTGCTCCTTCACTTCCACTTCACTTCACTAGCCAGCTCATCCGATCTTTCTATTCTCGACTAACGTACCCCACAGCGACTACGACGCCTTCCTCTCCCCCCTCTCGGACTTCCGCACGGCCATCACGAACGCCAACCTTACGGATAAAGTCGTCTACCTCGACAGGGGGGATGAGTTCAAGTTCACGGTCCGCTGAGACGAGCTAGCCTGACGTGACGTGAGATGACCGGCGTGGAAGTGGAAGGACGGTAATCAAGACTCACGGACCGAGTCACTGGCACGTCTGCAGGCAGAGTCACATCCACACTCACTTCCACACAGTCACTTGCACACAGTCACTTCCACATTCAACATTTTCGTCACGGAGTTGCAGAAGCAGATTCTAGATCCAGATCCAGATCCAGATCTGGAACAAGGGGAACGAAGGGGTGGTGAGAGGAAACGAGGATGGGGAGAGAGAGAGACGGTGTTAAGCGCCACGAAATATATGACATACGTATGTCCACGCGGTGGTGAATCTGATGATACAACCAGCATATGTATGACATGAAATGAAGTGCGGACTGATTCGCTGAAGCGGATGATCTTAATGGATATCGATATGGGATGGGATGGGATAGCATGCGATGCCATGGAACAGTAAATGGAGAAACGAAGCGAGGTACTCCTTAATTACACTTGCTGGTCTAGAAGAAGCAAGTACCTAGCGAAATGTCAATTGTACGCCAGCCAATTCGAAAGCCCACATTTTGGACCGAGTGAGTGTAACGCGGGAGGATGATGACACTGGTGGTCCATTGTTGGACGTACAGTCGCCCATATCACCACAGAGTACCTCTACGCATATCAGATACAAACACGCGAGATTGGTGTGGATTCACTCACACCTTTCTCCTTGTGTTCAACTACAGTAATTACTATGCTGCTAATGGGATGTGGCTAGCTGGATTCTTGACCCCTCCGTAGGATGCTCAATACCCCTATCATTATCATTTGTAGTCAATGTTGATACATTTCTATATTAGGCTATTTTGTGTGATGCTACACATCAATGCAGCCAGACCCATCACATTTGTCGACTTGAACTTCGTCATTATCGCCATGATCTACCCAGCCATTCCATTGTCGTCAGAATACCTCCCAGAATGCAGAGCCACACACATGTCATCGGGTTGCTCACACCTAGTAAGCATATTCCCTCTCCCTTTCCCTGTGGCCCAAACCATCACGACTCCTCAACCTTGACCGTGGCGTCTGCACGTCGGCGTATTCGTCATATTGGGGCAATTGCCGCCGAATGTCGCCGTAACTTTGCCTCCCTTCATTCAGCTGCCCGTACCCGGACAGTCGGTCCCGACTTGACGAGTACTGGTGGCTCGGCTGCAGCTGTTGCTGAGGCATAGCTGGATGCTGGTGGAAATGTGCCGGGACTACCGGAGTGTAGTCCATACTCATACTACTTGCATCGTAGACCGATTCTCGTCCGCTAGGTGCGCCGTAGAAACTAGTGCGACGGTCGTCGACAGCAGACGAAGGGTCGAGGAGAGATTCTTTGACGTCCCAATTGCCCTGTTTTGTGCCGACGCTGAATTCCAGGTCCTCCTTGGTGATCGAGTCCCAGTACTTGAGTCTTGGTTAGTGCAAGAGGAAGGGTAAGGTAAAGGGCTCGGTGACTCACCTTATAGACCATCATGACACCCAACAGATTGCAAACCGTGGCGAAGAACAGGCCATCAAGGTAATGGCCGACTCCTTCGCAAATCCTCTGGCCAAACACGTACAGAATGACCTGGCCAACGACGAAGAAGAGTGCACCAAAGCCAAGGTCGCCCAACGGCCATCTGTCTTGTAATGTGTTGACCACCAGGATAATCTGCATGACAAAGTATACGGCCAGACAGATGGCGTTGATAATATACAGTACGATAAAAAGTCCTGCGGTGTTGGTGGGCGACAAACCTGCCCAGCCCTTGAAAGTGAGCAGACTGACGGCAAAGCTGATGACAAACATGATCAGACTGCCAAGTCGTAGCAGCCATATCGACAGTGTGGTGCCATCCTCGTACAACTGGAAGCCCACAAATCCATTGATCAACAGACAGGTGCACAGCGCACTAGCCAGGCCGTTCTGCACTGCGACGAACCAGGGATATGCAGATGTGGTCGTCGCCTGAAGGACCCCTGCGTCCAGCACCAAGCTAACCACGGTCAACAGAGTGTATATGTAGAAGAAAGTCAAGATCTCTTTCCGGCCGACTGCAGTGAACTTGGAGCGGACGTGGAAAATCATGATGGCCGTCATGAAGAGGGCGGCAATATGGGCAAAGTCAGAGGCGGCCTCGAAGATGATGGTGTTGCCTAGCTCGATGGATCGGGCGCTGCATGCTGGCAATAGCACAGGGTTCTTCGAGGTCGTGAACTCGGCAGGAGGGCCTAGGAGGAAACATAACGGCAGCGCGGACTGCTTGCAGATCGAGTCGAAGGAGCCGAAGCCCATGTTGGGCAATCTGCCCGGGACAGGACGAGTCGAACAAGATGTCTATCGGTGACGAGCCTGCTTTGTGCGGCGTGTAGAACGATGGTCGGATGTATCTTGGTAAGGTGACTCGGGAGGCGAGTGGGCGCAAGGGGTGGTGCGATAGGAATGAAAAGCGACGCGGAGGGGCTGAAGCGACCGGCGTGGTTGTTGGATAGGAGCGAGGGACGGTGAACGATAGTGAAGACGTAATTAGGCAAAGAGCGTCTAGAAATCAAACATGAGATGGCAACGAACGGTGGTGAGCATGGAAAAGACTCTCGAAACCTTGAAACCAGTCTCACCAGTCCGACGCTCCACCACCGCCGCGGGTGACAGGGAAACCGTGACAGATGCTATGCCTATTGTGGTTTGGAGCACATCGGCGAGTCCCGAAATAGCAACTCTAGACCCCAACCAACCAATTCGCCGCGTCGTCACCAAGGCTGAGTTCAAGATACGTACTGTGTACCTCGTACCGTGTGTTGTGTATGGAAGATATGGACGTACCCTTTAGTACCTGAACCTCTGTTCACGGGAATATGGGACCTGGACGCTGTCCTCCTACCTGGATGCGATTTCTCGGGGGTATAAATCATTCCGCGTAACAGTGCATCACCCCTTACAGCATCTGTGCTCTCAGTTGTCACTGGTCACCTTACCACAGCACTAAGCTACCCAACGCCGATTGCTGTGCCTACAAAGGCCGCAGTCCCTAGGTCCATACAGAACAACACCGTGTATTCCGTGTTTACAGCCGCTCTCATATCCTCCCAATGCGCCACTGTCACTCTTGCCCGGTCAACCGCCTGCATTTCGTGCCCGCAGATTCCGTGCTGCGCCTGACACTAGGCGATGCGCTCGTCCTCGTGCGGTCTCAAGCTTGTCAGCAACGATCGCCTGGCCCAGTCGCGGTCGGATTCGCTGCTGGTCTACTGATCCTACAGTATCCACGACGCGTGAGCAGGCATCAGAACACTTGGTCCATAGGGCATCGAGGAGCATTTGTCCATGCACGAAGCATTCTCTGCTTCGTTGAACCGTCTGGTCATGCAAAGCTTGCATCTGTCGATGAAACTTGTGTTGAACACTGGTCATGTTCAATTCGACCAGCTTCCTGTAATGAGCGCTGTCTCGGCGTCTGCGTTCGTCCAGCCGATCCCTAGCTAGGCGGAGCAGCGTCTGAAAGCGATCAGAGACCAGACCGGGTCCGATATTTCGCAGAGATGAGGAGATATTCGAGATCTTTGCTTGCACATGATCTTGCAACATGCTCATCAGATCTTTCAGATGCTGCCCCTCGAAGTCGTACCGGTCACCGAAAGAAATATTGATGATCTCGCTCAGCTCAGGTCTGCTCATGGTTAAGTTGACTTGGAAGTCACCATAAGCGTCGTGAGGCAGTAGCTGCACGCTGACCACTCCTTCAAAGAGCTCTTGTACTGCAGCAGGAAGCTTTTGCGTATCCCGTCTGAGTTCGACAGCCAACTCGGATCGGCGTTTGTGATTCAGTGCGACTTGAGGGAGTTTGACCAGTAAATGCTTGTCGCCTGCAATGCTCACTCGGAAACGTCTTGGGTCATCGGCGAGTACCAGACTGCCTTTGGTCGATCTCACACCAGGAATGTGTTGAAGTGCTTTGGTTTGTTGCTCAGGAATGCAGGAAGTACTGGACGAACCTTGACAGGGTGAATGGATAGTCGTGGTCGGTACCGGCAGTTGTGAGCTGATGTTTGATACAACTTCTCCGCTGATCCCTCCAGAATTGAGGCCGGACAGTACAGGCCACAGTTGATATCCTAGAAACATGTACACACCGACGACCCAAAGAAGCATCAAGGCATTCTTCAAAGTCGACAGGTTGAGTTGTGGTGAGCTGTTAACGAGGGTCGCCGGCTTCTCCACAGCGTTTTCTTGCAAAAAATTCTGGCTTTCCACCTCGCGATGAGGCGCTCTCTCTGCAGACATGACAACATAGGCTATGTGACGATTGAGCTGGGTAGAGTCTAGGTTCAGGAATGCAGTCATATCGACAGGTAGCAGCGGAGAGCCCTTATGCTGTAGCTGCTTGTGCTGCGGCTGAATGCGTTCGTGAAGGGACTCAACAGTCACGGCGCCGTTATACTGACCGTGCCAGCCTCGGTCCATGCGGATGAGGATATGAGGTATGCGGTGTCGTTCAGCAAACGAAATCATCCTGTAGCTGTCGAGATCCATAGTACCATCGTCGCTAAGATGAACACAGATGATAGCAAGGTCTGGAAGTGCCCAATGCAGATTGTCAACCACGAACCTGGAGCCACTTCTCTTCGAGATGAGCTTCGTTCCTGTCTGGCTGTTTGTCAGAATCAACTCTGTCTGTTGCCCGGGCTTTCTGCAGGCTGTGACAAGATCGTAGCAATCAAAATCAATCTGCTTGTCAATGGCGACAAGGTCGGCAAAATCAGGTTCTGCCCCGGGCCCGAATGTATTTGGTACCAGGAGGAATCTCGTGACCGAGGTTGGATTGGTGTAGCTAGGGGTTTCGACCCGTGTCACAAGCGCGTCTCCTACTTTTCTCTGAATCTCTGGCCTAAACTGCTCGATTTGGCGCCCGAGTAAAAGGACCTTGAAGTGGTTGTGCTTGTTCAAATCCAAACCATCCTCCAACACAGGCATCTCGATAACTCGAGAATACTTAGTCGTCTCGGTCCCCTCTGTTCGGCATGAAGGGAGCGTCTGGATTTCGGCTTCATTGAGTTCTTTGCTGGCGGTAAAGGTGGTTACGGTATGAGGTTTGATTTCCTGGACAGTATCCTCCTTGCATTGTAGAAACTGCAGGCTGTCGGAAGCCCGAGCGTGGACGGGCAGCTCATGGCGGATGTAAGGACCCAGTATATGACCCCTGTCCAGCTCTTCTGTGAGAGTGTCTCCGAGATCTTCTTCATCTGTAGATACAGCGTCATCCGTGGTGACTTCGTCTGTCACGCTGTGGACATCGTCTAAACTGTGTACGTCGAGCAGAGACCCGACATCGGTATGCTCGGACTGTAGGTCGTCTTCATTCGAGGACTCCTCCCCAACAAGAGAGGCCCAACTGCCATCGAGGGACGGCTGATCTGCCTCAGGCGGCAGCATCGCCGTTCTGGTGGGGGATAGACTGGAGGAGGAGGAATGGGCCAGCAGCGAGTCAAGGGACAGATGCAGCGGTAACTCGGGATATTCGAGGTCGAAGGGATGAGGTGTGGTCGCTGCAGACGTGCTAGATCGTTCCAGTTCGTCTACCACAGCGTGACCGCAGCCTTGACCGGACATGTCAGTCATGTTGTGAGCAGCAGGCAGTCACACTCCGGCACTCAGGCTGGCGTCGATACTTCCTTGAGGTGTTTGGGAGGAGGATGAAACTGAAAGGACCTACTGAGGATATAGGAAATGGGTCGCAGCTACCTTTGGACGTGCGGAAAGTGCCAACAATGTTCCTGTGGATTCACTTCAGACGATACTGGGTCAACAAATAGAACGTCGGGTCCGGGACAGGCAGTAATGCCTAAGACGCGAATGGTTTCTGAACAGTCGACTGAGAGCGTGTTTCTCCTGATGAAGAACACCACTGCTAGACAAACGCCACGAAGAGCAGCATGGTTCACAGGAAGTCACGGAGCACAGAAGGGACATACTATAGGCAGTAAAGGCAGAGATGTCGAGCAGTGCAAGGGTCAGTGACACTGGCAGGCAACACATCTCGACCCCGCAACGCGCTCAGACAGGCAGGCTAGGACAGCCATTGCCCCGCCTCCCTGCCAGCGGCTTGACAAGGCTGCAGTCCAGCCTCGTGCGACACCGTTTTCCATTTCAGCACACGGCATGCCTGTCTCTCGCCGTAGAGATATATTGTATTCACACAGGCCAACCTCTACACTCGATTCGTGGTGTATATAGATGGCCTCTTTCCCTCCTCACCTGCACCAATTATAGAACGGCCCTTCAAGACCCATCGGAGACCAGTGACTCTCGGCTTCGTCAGCACTGGGCCCAAATGCCGCTCATCTGCTGGACTTCGGAGCCCCGAGAGGCGTCCTACCTCTTCTAGCAAAAGGTCCTGTTACTCATGTCTGATGACCTGATGCCTCTGACGTGTTTGGGGTTGTTGCTTTTGCAGGTGTCAAGTACTGAGATCTTCAGTACAATATCAATCGGAGAACGTGCATCCAGCACCCAAATCTTTCCTGAACAATGGCAGGAACGCTGGTTGTCTTCTCAAAGCCAGACCGCTGCAACTGTACCTGCACCAAAGTACTCCAACGCCGGACTGCCATGCAATAGTCAAACACGCTATCCTACCATTGCTTTTTTGCTCCTCACCCAGTCCACTTCGTTTCACGGCGAGGCGTAACCGCCAGCTACTTCGACCCATTCCGCAAAACAGCTCCCTTCTTTCCCCTCCACGTCGCGGATGTCGGTGTCACACCGGCATCGGCATCCTACCCCGTTTTCTTTGGGCGTGTCTGGCGTGGCCCAATATTCGTCTTCCTCCTTTCTTTCTTTCTCGTCCTCGGTCGTCTTCTCCAGCCATGGGATTCTGGGTAGCTGTCGTGTGGGTGCATTGGCCGGACAGTGTTGAATCGTGGTATGTCGGTAGCCGATGTCGCGGAAGTAATGGATATCCCGGGGCGCCAAAAGAGCGCCAGCGGCAAGTGAATGGATTGGAGCATCTCCCCACTGGAACAAGTCAGTACAACCTAAAACAGACAAGGAACCTGGGAGTCACTCACCCTTTCCATCCAGAACCCTCCACTCTTGTCCATCATATCGAAGAACTCATTGTACTCTTTACTCCTGAACCAGTCTAACCGGGCAATCTCGAAATTGCTCCAGAAATGGCACATGTTGTATTTTTCACCTTCCATAGCTTCGCCGTCAATGTCTTCGATGTTTTGGTGGCCGGGCTCGGTCTGTAGGATCTCATTTGGCAGGGTCTTCAGCCGTTTGTCACTCGAGGTGGCCTGCTTCTCTGGCTGTGGCTCGATGAACATCTCCCAAAGTCCCTGAGATTTGATGTTGTTCTTGCGCTTGTAAGCTGACGCATAGCGGAAGATATTGGGTACTGTCTCTTTCAACTCCTTGACGGCAATCGTGAAGCCGTAGGTCTTGTTCGCCCTGGCCATTTCAACGAACGGGTCGTAGGTGATGTCGCAGAAGTATTTGATCTCGGGTTCCAGGCGCCAGTACCATTCGTACTTGTCGAGCAACTCATGCTTGTAGAAAAAGCCAGAGTAGAAGCGACACATGTGGTGATAGCTCTCCATTCCACCGTACATGATGGCGGCGTCTCCTTGCTTGCGGATCCCCTCCCGTGCGACCTCATGGTCGACCCAGTCAGGGTATCCCCACATCGTAGGATCAATCTTGCCAAATTCCACGGTGGAGCTCGTATAATTAGTGACGGTATCTTTGAAACCCTGCTCAAACTCTCCGTCGTTGAGGAAAACGTAGGGATAGTGGAACCATCGGTTGAAATGCCGCTCGATGCTCTTGATCGATTGTATGACTCCGTCCAACTCTTTATTCCTGGCAAGAACGACAAAAGCGGCGTTGGCACGCGGCTGCTCTGCGGCCGCCAGGACATCCTGGCATCCCGTTGCGAAGACGCGGTCGTGTTTCTCGCTGATCTTTCTGCGGCAGGAGTTAGAAGCCACTCAGGTGGGGTGGAAGAAGATGAAGAGCATACCTTATCGACGGAGGCGTGCCAGCGGGCACCAGTATCCGCCCCGGTGAGTTGGGGTGTTTTATGACGAGGATGAGAATGGTGAAAACGACCACGCTGGGGAACAGGAGGAGGAATCCCAACGGGATTGATATCGAAGAATTTCCTTTTAATCTGATGCGCCTGCGGAAGAAGGATAACCGCGAGAGGGCCTTGGGCTTCTCATTCTTCCAGTCTTCTGCTGCGACTGCCGAGGGAACAGAAGGCAGACGCTTGTATAGCCGCTGTACAAACCTCATCATGACAAACTCCTACCCAGGGCGCAGGAGAGCAATTCGCGCTGCTTTCGAGCTTTTATGTCGGCAACATGCAACCGGCATCGAATGTCGGCTCCAGACACAAAGTTTAATCGGTGGTTCGTCTAATAAAAGGACGCAATTGAACTGTATGGAGGCGACGAAGTTTTTGGGGGACGTCGCTGGACGTGTCGAGTTAGGAGTCGAGAAGCGGATAGGGATGAGCGCGCTGGGCTCGGGGAGGAAATCTGGGTGCGGGCGGATTCGCGTGGGTAGAACTACTTGGTTCGATACGAAAGCCTCATATTGAGCTCACGGTGTTGACTAGACAAGGTACAAGGACAGATATCGCTCTTCGCGGTTGTTGGGCACCTCGAAGAACTTCTAGATTGAAGGTGCAGGCGACGATCCACATCTAGTCCGCCGAGTGCTCAGGGGACCGGAGACAACCACCTCCGCCAAGAGCAGCATACGTACAAAAGGATCGATCATCAAGGGACTGCGCGTTCTACGGGTATTCCGTACTTGTTCACTTCTCGCCATGTACTGCTGTACGAGTTAATGGTCGGAGAGGCTCAACGTCGTCAGGCGCTGTCGGCAGCAACAGCTTCGTGGCAGGCGTTGAGTCATGACTCAACTGACACTCTCACTGCTCCCTGTGGCACCACCCTTCTTTTCAATTTTTGCCATGCGAACTGCATTGGTGGCCACGGGCGAAGACAAATATACTCGCCAATGGCTGTGGGCTATCGGCGGAGAATTAGTTAACCCCAGGCAGCCCTAAACCGAAGCTTTGGTGGTGTTGCGGCGGCGCTCTCCCAGCCTCATGTGGCGAAAACAATGCATTGTTGACGTTGACACTCACTCACTCACCATCCCGCCATCAAATACTGTGGTACGCCAGACAGCCGTCAACTCGCCCACCAACCATCCTCTCGCCAAACGTTTCAACCGTGACCCTCCTCTCAGCCTCATGCCGACGACCTGAGCCTTTGACAAAGTCCCCCGCATCGTCCAACCGATCGAAGGTCGTGCGCTTCTACCTGAAACGCTCGTTTGATCTTGCCTGAGACCCTTCCCGCATCACTGCAGCTGCGCCCTCGTCCTGCTGCGAATCCCGGCGACTGACCTACAGCGCACGGAATGATATAATAGCCACACCTGAGCGTCCAGGACGCAAGAGCTAGTCACTCGTTATTGCAAGCTTGGTGCGGTACTTTTCTCAGTAGTTGCATACCATGGCCGCAACTTCCCCCCTCCGTCCATCGACTCCCGCACGCCCGATTCTTAATGCGCCTCAGCTATCCCCAAGCCGCATGCCGCCACCATTGACGTCGCAGTCGTCTTACAGGTCGGGCCATCGAGGTCTCGACATGTTCTCACCCGTCGACCAGAATGGGAGCTTTTGTTTCGACCGTGTGATCAAGAGTGGAAAGGTGCATCGACGGGTCAAGAACAAAGGAGCATGGAAACCCTCGTGGAAACAAGCATATCTGGTCCTGCGCCCAAATCTCCTCTCTGTGTACCAGAACCCAGACGAGACCGACCTGAAGGCTTCCATTACCTTGTCCGAAGTCACGGCTGTTGCCCGGGTACGGAAGGCCCGTACTGACCATGTTTTCGGTGTCTTCTCCCCTTCCAAGAACTACCATTTCCAAGGAACGTCCGAAGCAGACGCGGAGGATTGGATTGCACATATACGCGTGGAGTCAAGGATGGACGAGGATGACGACGTGGATCTCAAGGCTCCGCAGTTTTCAAGCAAGCTCCCTGACCTGTCAAATACATACGAGTCCACCGACATATCGGCTGACGAGATGCACCGTGCCCCTGGCTCTCCCGAGGGTCGTTCAGCTGTGACGCAGAATAGAGCACGCACCGGCTCATTACTGGCAAGCCGACAAAGAGCCCACTCTACTTTGCAAGAATACTCAGGCAATGAGCAATTCACAACATCCCACTCTGATTTCTCGGACACTCTTAGCAGTTCGTTGCCGAAGCATTCATCTACTTCACTCGCTAAACAGCCTGTCCTCACTCCTATCGCCTCGTCCGGCCATCTTACCGAGAAGCTCAACTCAACCGCAGCCACGACACTATCGCATCCCGACTTAGCAGGCACAACAGACCCTGAACGCGTCGTTCGCCAGGGGCATCTGCAAATCCTCAAGTCGCACAAGACTGGTGTCAAAGGCTGGAAAAGTATCTGGGTGGTCCTCCGGCCCCGCAGCCTTTCCTTCTACAAGGACGGCGCCGAGTATGCGGCTGTCAAGATCCTCCCTATGCACACTATCGTCAATGCCGCCGAGATTGATCCAATCAGCAGAAGCAAGAGGTTTTGTTTTCAGATCATCACGGATGACAAGACGTATCGATTTTGTGCGCGAGATGAGGAGGAGCTGGATCGATGGCTCGGCGCGATCAAGAGTGTGTTAGCTAGGAGGAACGAAGCCGAGAAGGCTGCCGTTGCCAAAGCCCTGGAGAAGGAACTTCAGAAAGAAAAAGGGAAAGCAAAGGATAAGGGCGTTGTTGAGGCAACAGCCAGCTTGACCCTGAGGCCGACGCCCCAAGCTGGCTGAGCGATCGCAAGTCCCAGCAGTTTGGAAAATGCGGGCCAGACCTCCTGATGACTTCACGACATTCATGTGCATGATTTTCCCTTTGCTAGCATATACCCCACGACCGCCGTGTGCAACGGGTTTGGATATTGGAATACCTTCAGCGGGTGCATCCGCGGTTGTGCACCCGTTTGGATACGGGTCGAGTCGGTTGCTTTGGACACCGGCGAATTGTGGCACCCCCGATGATTCGATTGGAAGATCCACCACATACCCATGGAGTACAGCAGGGGAGGTGGGCGTCACAGATAGATAAGCCCATATGTAGCAGAGCAGAGTCGGGCTAGGAACGATACCATACCGGTATGTTCACCTGTGCAGAGGAGAGGCGTCTATCCATCCGTCTGTCCATCTATCTACCTTTCTATCGGACAGTTCGGTGACCTGGCTTCCGAGAGTCCATTATACTCCCTGTTCCGTGTACCGAAGGCACTCGATACGGTGAGTAGTCATTGTGTATACGAGTCACAGATCCGGCGCTACAAGCCAACAGGACGCGACGCGGGTCGTGCCAGTGCCAATGCTAGTGCCAGTGCCGTCAAGTCCGTCTCCATTCTACCGTACTCTGTACAAGGAGAGATGGTTCAACTCTGTTTGTTATACAATACAGTATGTCCGGACGGCATGCGGCCAGGCACCTGTTCCATGTCCCTACTACATGCATATGCAATCTTCCATCTTCGCGTGCGCTTCCACCACTACCTCCCAAACATACGCCGAACGCGTGCCCAGAGGCCTTGTCGTCGCTCTTCGACCACGATGTCCTCGTCGTGGAACACGGCGGGATCTCTTCTGGGCGATGTGGCCGACTCGTCCAAGCGCTGGTACTCGACCTGCACGTCCTCCTGTGGCACAGGCGGCGGCGGCGGCGGCTCCGCCCACACAGGAGGTCTCTTTCCTCCCTGCAGCATCTCCTCCGTCACCCAGCCGTCGTCGAGACTACTTCCCATGACGTGCACGCTCTTGCCCACCACCTTGGCGACCTTGACCCGCGGGCTGTCTGTGATGAGGCTGCCCGCCTCGTCGAGATGTGGCGCCCATGTCCAGGCCTTGGCGACGCCAAAGGGCGCGAGAGACCCGTGGACGACGTTTCTAGGCCACGACGAGGCAAAAAGCCCGTCGTTCACGTCCGCCCAGTACATCTTCACGGAGCGCGGTTCGGTGGCCCAGTCGGGCTTGAGGGCTGAGAGGCTGGATTGCACGGTTTCGGTTTTTGGGGTATTGTCTGGCTTTGATCCAGTTTCCACTTCGCCCGCTGCGGCGAGTTTGCTCATCTTTTGCTGTGTGTCGTAGGTGTCCAACGCGTTTTCTCGGGCCAGGGACACGGACTCCCACAGCGAGCCCGTCTCCGTGCTAGGGGTTTCGTTGTGCTGGAACCAATCCTTGATCGCCTCATGTTCGGCGTACTTGGCCGTCTGTATGCGTTCTTTGAACGCATTGTTTTCGGCCGCTAATGTAGCACGCCTCTGTTGCCTCTGCAGGGCGAGGGGCTCTTTCCTGTTCACCTTCACTTTTGTGCCTGCTGGTTCAAATTCCCGGAGGTTGTCCAGATCGACCGAGAGTTGGGTATCGGGATCGTCGAGTTTGTCACCCTTTTCACTAATGATGCTGCGATGTTCCATGCTGAGCTGATGGATGGCATCGAAGGTAAGACGCAGGGACGCTCGGTCTCCATCGGCAAGACTCTCAACCGCTAGAGAAGCACGTCGGCGGATCTCGGCGGCTTTCTGCTCGATTTCCTTGCGGACTTTTCCTAGCCTCGCTACTGTTCTACCAGACGATTCTGAGGCCTTGATGGCTCGCTTCTTGGCAACTGTTGTTACACGCTCCCAGGGACTTGGCCCGGACAGGATCCAGTCCAGCACAAACGCGGCGTCGGCAACGCTGGTAGCTTTCTGGTCCATCAATTTCTGTGCCCTCAGTTTCTTCGGCAGGATCTCGTTGAGCTTGGGGATCTTGCCCTGTAACTCGTCGCGGGCCGCCATTTCTTGTAACGTTGTTGGAGATCCTAGTTTCGACTTGACAACGTCTATATCTTCTTGAGTGGCTCGTATGAGGTTCTCGGGAGGGGACAACTGCCTTTGAGTCGAGAGCTCGCGCAGTTTCTGAAAAGCGAAGAGACCTTCCAGGGCTCCGGCGGGCGTTGGAGGGAAATGTATGGAGAAATATGGCGTCCACATGTCGTTCCGAACTGAGGAGGGTACAGTCTTCTTGCCATGATAGAGCAGTTGGGTGAGTACCTTGTTTTCCTGATCACAACCCTAGTCAGCAGAGATGAAATTTGTAGATGACAGTTGCCCGCACCTGCAACGTCCTTGTCAAGCTATAGACGACCTGATTCGTTCGAATATGGCGATAGGCGTATATGTCCAACCCATGCGTCTGATGTCGGAGGGCCTTTGCGACTTGGATGTCTTGCGTTGCCCTTTTATTCTTGACAGCTTTAGAATTTCCCGTCCGCCATTTGCCTTGCACCCATTTCGCGCTCGGGTGATTGGGGGATACGGGTGGCATTGGGGCATTGTTAGGATGTGGCTCTCCTTTCAGTAGTCGTGGAGGCCGTATTCGAGGCATGGCGGGAATAGCCATGGGCGGCATTTGATGAGCCATGGCACTGGCTGCGGTAGCCGCCATTGCGGACGACGCAGTATTGATGGACTTGACGGTGCCCGTGAGATGAGTGCAACTTGTCAGGAATGCATTTCCAATGGGCTCAATGTCGGAGCCTCCCAAAGTAGACGCGCGGAAGACTGACCAACACGGCTATTGAAGTTCTTCGACCATCGAGCTTCATGCGCGACGAGCAGATATGGGGAACAATTTCCTCTTGGCATGTTTGCAAGCCTCAGCCTTATTCGTCAGCCTTGCCTTTATCCAGTTTGCTATTCGGTCATGACAAGACATACTCGCACCAAGCACCTGCCGCACCAGTCTACGATCTTCATGTCTTGATCGATGGTAATAGTAGTGGACGGCCCTCGACGGTCCTGACTGAACGAGATACTTGGATATAGTGATATGCCCAGATTGACTGCTATAGGTTCCCAAGGCGCTGCCCTCCCTGTCACTACCGACGGGAAAATATAACTTCCCAGCCCGTTCCAATCAGTATCCCAATTTGAAGTTGCCATGAATTCGACGAGTCTTGGTAACACCTGTCCGCTTGCAATTCCAAGAAGTTGCTTTGATCACTAAGCCCGCCTGTCGTAAATGCTGCCCTGAATTCGTAATGTTTCCCTCCCGATTCCTCAATCAAGCCATGTCGTCTACGCCGACAATAAGAAATACATAATCACAGCTCAATGAGCTATCGAGGCTGATGAGGCCAGGCCTGAAGGAGCTGGGGTCGAGTGGGCTGGCCCATCAAGCGGGAGCCAGTTCCGAGGAATATCCATGGACCTGTTGACGCGACCTCCTGGAGTGAGAGGGTGGTCAACACGTGATCGATCCAGCCGATCGTCCTCATCGGATGTTTCGTCCGCCAGGCGAGCAAAGTAGTCCGCTAGTGCACTCGTCGAATCGCCGGGCACAATATTATCGTACAGTGGAGGCGGTGTAACCAATGGTGGTGGCGCTTCATCATCATCGAATGCCGGCGGGTTGAAAGACGGTGCTCGCAACAAATGCATCGGTCTCGATTGCCCGGAATTTGGGTCATTATGCACGTGCGCTTGCGTAGGCAGCGCCAACCCTCCTGTATCGTTGGTCCAACTCCTGCTCACACCTGGTGCTGGTCCCTCTGCTGACGCGTTGACAGTTTGAATACGACTTTGCGACACGGGAGGAGTATTTCGTCGTCGAAGTGCGGCACCAGGACATCCGCACTCAAATTCATCGGTCGACAACTGGATACCGTCTCCAGCGCTGTAGGCTGGCAGTGAGATGTTCGCTTGTGTCGCACGGCAAGAAAGAATGTTGAAAGGTGAATCAATCGAGATCTCAAAGTGACGTCGCTTCCCAGAATCATTCTCGTCCGGTCGAGACAGCCGCATCACAATCTGGGAACTATGTTATTTTTAGAACAACATGTAAAGCAACGAAAACATACCTTGATCCAATGATTCACCTGAATGTTGGAATATGTCGTGTCAAAATGCAGTCGCTCACTTCTCAACTTGTCTTTCATCTGATGACAGCTAGGAAGTTGGACATTGAATTCCATTTCCGTGGGACCAATGCTGCCGGCATCGTTGTCGAGGTTTCCGAGTAAGTTGGTCTGGTCCCTGGGGATGTCCTCGTCTCCTGCCGCCGCCTGCTGTCGATAGTCGTAAGGAACACCACCACCGGCCAGAATCCGCATGGAGCTCCCTGGGTAGGAAGTCACACTGTGTCCATCGGCCCGCTTCTCAAAGAGCTGCACTTTCCTGGTCGGTTCAAGCCTGTGCACCTTCTTGTTGTTCGTAAAATATTGTATGTTCTCAGTCACAAATACCTTGATCCTGTGGCATTGAACCTTGGCCAATGGTGTCAGCTTGAAGGCGATGGGCACTGTTGAGCCCAATGGGAACGATTTTCCAGAGATCACAATGTCATAGTGTAGTTGGTCTTCCCAATTTCTTGAAATCGCGATAGGTTCGACCTGTTCTAGGGAACCCTCGGCAGGGGCTCGGATTAGGGTCAGCTCTTTGGTGCCCACTAGGTTGGCACGGAAGGCGCCAGAGCGCTCAACCAGAGCTTCGAGCTCATACTTGACATGACCGAGATCGACACTTATTGACTCGGGCAACCTCGAGTCAAGGGGCAGCTCGAAATTGTACACGTAGTCGCCTGGATGGAACACTTTGAAGCCTCGCTGAGCAACGGTGGGACCACCATTGATCGTGTCCCCTTTACCAAAGCTTCGCGAGTGATTTGCCTGTAACGATAATCTCTTTAGGTCGCGGTTCGACGTAGGACCCTTGGCTGGAGACGCACTGCGCTGGAAGAGATCAAAGGATGAGGCCGTGACACCAAGTTCCTTGGCCTCGACGGATGGGCCTTTGGAAAGTTGGACGAGATCGGCACCGTAGGTATACTCAGCTTGGGGGAACTGGGCGTTGAAAAACGACCAGGTATGGTTCATGATTGTGGTGGTATCCCGGAACTCGACGCGCTTGGGCGGAATGCCTTCAGGCCATTCCGTTTCTGATTTGCCTCGGAAGTTCAGAGATATCGACTTTAGCTTCGCCTGCTTCTGTACTCTCAAGAGCAGACTTCCACGAAGCATGGTGGTACTGCGCGTGGAAGGGTCATTGGCATCGTAACCTTGGAGAAAAAGGACTGGCTCTGCCAGTGCAATGGAGACAGACACGCCATTTCCACTTGCAACAGGTTTCTCATCCGATAGTAATGCCACGCTCGGCGCCACGGGTTGTGTCGTCTCAGGTGAGGGCGGCTGAGCAGTAGGAGTCGGAGCATTGCTGTTGTGTCTTGACCGGTTGCTTACACCACTAACCACACTAGAGCTCCTCCCCCTTCTTTCAGGTGAACGCCTTCCAACGTCGGCGAACACCATTTCCTCCGTTCCTACAGAACTCCGTCTTCGGCCAGTTCGTACAGGTGCAACCGGGTGAACGGGAATGTGTTGTGTAGACACGGGAGGCAGGTTGAGTCTAAGGAATTTCTTCGCGTGTTCTCGTGCGAAAGCCAGTTTTGCGAATGGCTCAAAGAAAGTATGATATTGCGGGAGATAGGTTCAGTAGTGTTGCAGCACGATTGTGCAAGTAACAGGAGTGAAGGGAGGACTCGATTGGTGTGGCAGCGCTTGTAGAGTCGGAATTGTCGTAGAACTGCAACAGATAGCCGTCAGAGTGATAGTCAAAGCGTAGGACTTGGAAGACAAGCAACAAGAGACGCAATCGACCGCGTAAGGCGATTCTGCGGGCAACAGGTTTAAACGTGGGATGGGCCGATCAGGTCGTGCCAACTTGTTGGACTCTTGGAGGGCTTCCCCAAGTCCAACTCCGCAGTTTCTTTGACTTTGTCCTCTTCGCTTGCTCTCCTTGGCTAGAGTGAACGCACCTAATGTGGCTGCAATAACACCGCGCTTGAATGGTGTCCTGCAGTGCTGCTGCCAGTCGGTCTCAGAGCGTATCGGAACGACGTACCGCCTTCGTTTCCATTGGTGAAGTTCTCTCCGGTATGGTTTTCGACGGTCCTTGAATTCAAGGATGATGGGAGACCGACGAAGATCAGCGGAAAGAAAGGGTCTCTGGGTTTTGCTCGCTTGCCAAATGTGCCAGAGTGAGATCAAGAGATCAGAACTTTACAGTGAGAAATATGCGCTCGAATGCTGCGAGACCGAATGATGATGCGAGTGCAATATGTAAATGGCACGGCCGGCCCGGAAGAACCAAGGCAGAGGGTTGCTCTGATGGTTCAGATGAGGTTAGACCTGGTGGGTACCTGAACGAAGCGCCCTCTCTGCTGTTTGGGCAGCCCCTTCTGATCGGTCAGGCGATGATTTATGGGCAAGATCTCCTCTCGTACAGCAGCCGACTTGCTGGGGAGTTTAGCTTGGAGCCCGCGGCCGTCGACTCCAGAGATTGCAACTAGGTGATACTTATGCCGGAAGTCAATCTCGCACTTTGTCACTGGCAGTGCCTGGTAGACCCTCTTTTGTGTTCGGCTCGGCGGATCTTCAAGTCGAAGCATTTGATCGACAGTCTGCCTTCCAGCAAGCACAGGAGAGAGGACACCGCACTCGACTTGATAGTGGTGGTCTTACTATGTACTTATGTCGTGTGCCTTATTGACAATTCGCGCCCCCTGCTCACCACTCACGCCTGTTCCCTGAGGTATTATGACCCGCCTTAGGGCTGACAACGATCTCAATTCGGCCCACATGCTGGTCACGAATTCCAACCGACTGTATAAGAGAATTTCCTCCGGCTTCCGCTGATTTCTTGCCACAGACCCTCAAAATCCTTATTATTGGGTCCCTGATGTGCTCGTTGACACCGGGCACCTGATGAGGCCTGCACAGTGCCCCTCACCCATCCCTCAAGGAGCAAAGGTGACGACGAATAGAGCAGACGTACTTGCCGAGGTTTCCGTACTTCCGTGCTAACGCAAGTCGCCCTTCCACCTGTATTGACTTTTCACCGCCCATGGTGGACGGGTATACTGGTACATTGTCTCCGGAAGCGGGACCAACAAATCACTGCGTTGACGTGACGACTCCATTGTATCCGAGAGAAAAGCCGCATGTACATTATTCAGTGTATCCTTTGGACACATCTAACTTGCTCCGAAGCGAGCGAGATCTTGCCTGTATCACAGAATCCCGATGTGCATACGTTACTCCTCCAAAGCTCGCTCGATGAACTTATGTACGCGTAGCTTGGCTGACTCCTGGCTACTCACCCTTTTTCCGATGCTGTCCACTCGCGTGTGCATACTTCCTTAGCATTACCAGCAGTTTGATGGTTGTACAAGGTTGATCAGGTACATTAACGGAATCTGATTGCCTTGTACAATGCCTGAAACGGAGAAGACGCATCAGAAGCCATAATGCGTCAACGCGAATACCATGCCTCTGTTGACTGTTGTTATAATCCCAATGCAGAAGGAACAGGAAGAACTTTGATGACGTCTTCTTTGTAATGGCCGCCACGACTTATCCCTTTGTCTTGTCTAGGTGCCCTCCATAACGATCTGCTCATTCTGAGGTGGCCATCGACGGTAGAGCCAAGACCAGCAGCAGAGTGATTGTGGCATTGCGTATGTTAATGGGGCTGAGCAAGATCCTGACCCAGAAGAATCCTTGCTATGCTTTTATAATCCCAGACAGGCCAACAATTGTTCTTGAACATGGCGGAACGAGGGAGGGGGTTAAGCCCAGTGGGCCTCGAGGTGCTATCCTCCCGTGAGAGACATGGGATAGTCAGCGGATTCCTCGGCTCGCTTACTGTACATCTGACTGTAGTAGCCCCTCACTATGTCGCCATGTGGCCTGAAGGACGTGTATCGTGAGACTTTTTCAAAAGCCGCCACGCAGCTGCGCAGAACTTTCATCAGTGAATGCAGGATGGCAGCAGTTTCTTCCAAACGCTTGGCTCCGGTAAGAGTACTGTCACCCTCACTGTATATGGCCGCTAGGATATGGCACGTGATGATCTAGGCCGAGCCCGGGAAGGTATGATGCTGACATTTAGCATGTTTCCAGGCACTTAGGTTCCGGGCCTTTGATTTCTGATTATGTTGCATGGTGCCCTGCAGTATGCGAGACCTCGATGCGGGCACAGCGGAAAACCGAAAGGTGGAGGCTAGACTCCCAGCCCGGACAAGACAACCAAGGATATGTAGCTTCTAGGCGTGAGTTGAAGTAGTCATCATATGCTGCTCGCACAAGGACGTACAAATATCGAATATCAAGTTGATTCCAACTCCTCAGTGGCTTCCAGTTCCTTTAATCCGTACGGAGTACTAAGTCTAGAGGCATTTGCATCGGTGGCTGATCTACGTCATTCGCCAAGGCGCTACCCCACATGGCCGCAATGTGGAATGACTGCACCTCGGCCCAGTTGCCGTGCTTCAATGGGGACGCGTCTGGGAGAGACGCGTCAAACTTAATCCACTAATTCCAAGTCGCATCCCACTGCTCAGTACTGACACTGTAGCATTATTGTTGTTTACTGATTGCATGTACCCATTGACATAATGCATTATGCCACAACAGGAGTCCCCAGGTATGTATGGAAACAATCTGTGTTTGATATCTCGCTAAATGACGCCTCCCAGAATCCGCCGAGCAACCGCTTCAGGGCGTGGTGTTGTGCTTCACCTCAATTGGACCAGAAGACCGGGTCAGTACCGAAGCAAGATCGTTGCGTTATGTCGCTGACGACAAGTCAAGACTCGATATGCCGATATCGCTATCAAGATGGGAGCCGAGCACAAGCTCGACTTGACTTCAGATACATCCCACCTAATCGTCGGTAGCACAGACACCCTCAAGTACCAGTATGTCGCCAGAGAAAGAGAAGATATAAAGGTCTTGCTTCCCGAGTGGATTGAGGCTGTGCGAGAACAGTGGATCAACGATCTTCCTTCGGACCTGGACGCTCTTGCCGTCAAATATCGAGTGCCCACCTTAGCCGGCTTGAAAATATGCATAACCGGATTCGAAGACCTTGTCTTCCGTGCCCAACTACAGAAGAATGTCAAGGAGAACGGTGGTGAATATACCGGTGATCTGACCAAGGACGTCACTCATCTGATCGCCGCGAAGCCCGAGGGAAAGAAGTACGAGTACGGGATGCAGTGGCAGAAAAAGGTTGTAAGCCTGAAATGGTACAAGGACAGCCTTGAGAGGGGCATGCAGCTGGACGAGACTCTCTACCATCCCACACTTCCAGTCACTGAGCAGGGTGTTGGCGCGTGGAATCGAAAACAGCGACCATCTCCGCAACTGGGCAAACGTGCACGGGAAGAGACCATTGGTGCGGAGCCATCTCGGAAACTTCGAAGGACTGCAAGTGTTCGGCTGGGGAGTCAGAATCAGGGCATGTGGTCGGACATTGTTGGTGGTGCTGGTTTCGAGGCTACGACTGATGGCCGTCCGCGGCTGAAGCCTTCTATCTCCATGCCATCACTCCGAAGACTAGACGGACCTGCAACCCCGGCGGAGACCGTTCGAAACGATCAATCCGATGCTCGATCTGATCCTGGCAATACACGCTCTGAAGGGTTCCTGGCTGGCTGTCACTTCATGGTACAATGCCTGGATCAGAAAAAGGTATGCTATGTCCCATGACTATGGTCCCACGCACTCTGCTTACACACCGATAGAATGCACACTTACGAAGAATATTGACCTCACTGGCCGCCACAATCATTGATGAAGACGAAACTCAAAGCATTGTTGAACCTAACAAATTGTTCGTCATATTGCCACACAATGTGGCCGCGGCTGGAGCATTTCCTGTGGGGACCATTCCTGATGGCTTCCAGGTGGTATCTGAACTCTGGTTGGAGAAATGCATGATCGCGAAGTCATTCATAGCCCCTGAAAGCTATCCACTTGGCCAGGTGATCAGAGAACCGCGAACATCGTTGAAAGGTTTGACCATCAATGTCAGCGGTTTTGACGGAATCGAGAATGTGCATATTATTAAGATCGTCACATTGCTCGGTGGCACGTACGTGGAGGCTTTCACTTCGGCAATTTCAGTGCTTATATGCAGAGCCGCATTTGCGAGAAGGGACAAACTTGAGCTGGCGCATCATTGGGGTATTCCTGTGGTGACGGAGGAATGGCTGTGGTCGACGATGAAGGATCATGCCAAAGCAAGCATAAAGGATCATCTTCTGCAACCTCAACGAATGAATACTGACACGACTATCGTGACGAAAGCACCCACGACCGACCATGAGCAGCTCGGGACGATATTTCTACAGAGAAAAGCGAGCGATGGGTCAGCGCGCCGACAAGGACGGCCACAGGCAGCTGATAAGCCAACTAGGACAGGAGCGGTAACAGTTACTCCTACAAGGTCGAGTACGCCCGTCATTGTTCACCAGGAGTCCGCAGATGTTGCAGATGTCCCAGATGTCGCAGATGTCGCAAATGTCGCAAATGTCGCAGATGTTGGAGACGTTGCGGGTGTCGCAGATGGGCGCGAAATGAAGGTATTCTCAGGGCGTACGAGTGCCTCTGGACGAAGTGACACACAGGACGGATCGTACATTGGTGGGAAGTGTCCCCTCCGAGAGCTCCCTCCAACTTCTGCTCGCAGGAACGGTCAGGCTATTGAACATACTAAGGCTCCGATCCGCTCACTCGACGATGCATCTAGCGTGGAAGAGCAGAAGGCAAAGGAAGAGACGCAAGGGGCGGTAGAAGTCGCAGCAAAGCTCATCGACGTTTGTGCGATCAATGGGGCAATCAGGGACATGTTGAGGGGCCGCTCAAACCAGAAAGCGGCCAATGAAAAAGCGAACGATGAACCAAGGAAGAAGCCTAACAGACTGGTCGGCCGAGCCCTCAGCAACCTGTCCAATGCGTCGTCGGCCTCGAATGTGCGACACTCAAGAGCGAGCTCTGTTGGCAGCGTAAACACAGACGGCATCGGCAGCGAGCTTCCGACCAAGCAGTTGGGAGAGAATCAGGAAGGCGAGTCAACATCCGCCGCCGAAAAGAGGAGCTTCAGCCTCAACGGACGAGCTAAGACTCCTCTAGCAGGGCTGAATTCTGCGGCATATGGGATGGGAGATCCTGATTTGGTCGGGCCGGCAGGCTTTCACGCCGAGCAGGAATCAGCGCCTCGCATGACACAACTTGGTTACGAAGACCCCGAAGAGGCAATTCTGTTGCGCGAAAAGCTGGCTGCTTCGAGACGGAAAAGGTCAAAGAACCACGGCGACAGTGAAGCTGAAAATCAAGACGAGGAAGCGAAACCACCGGTGACCAAGCGAAAGACCGCCGACCGCAAGATTCGCGACGACGATCTACTGGCCATCGCGAACACAGGGTGGGGAAGCCGAACGAGGACGAGGCATAAGCAGCGGAGTCCTCCAGGCATCAAAGGTTTTTGAGTAGCGGGTCTCTGTTCACTGGCATCTGTGATAGCCTTTGGTCTAGAAGAATATGAGAAATGTCTACCAAGTATACTCTTTGTGCTAGGATGCATCCTCTGCCAACCAGGACCTGATGCCCTGCTGCCTTTCCTGGCAAGGTTCCAATATTTGAGAGTTCGTCAAAGGCAAATCTCAGCCCAACCTACGGGTACGGAATAGGGTCGATGAGGTTCGATCGGAGACTTGCAGGTATACGGAGTACGAGTTGGCGATGTGAATCAGCATCGAGGTGTGATGGACAGCGCAAGTTGTTTCACCGGTAAATGCCTGTAAAGCTAGGAGGTGCATCTGAGATTAGCGTGCTCTGCGGATCATCGGTGCGGCGGAGTTTCGCAAAGCAAGAAGGATCCAACTAGGACATTGAGGGTGGTGGTACTGGGTGACTGGGTACTCATGGAATTGGATGTGAACTGATTAGTCAGTCTGGGCTCAGTCTTCTGAACAACGGGAACTGAGGCCTCGACCTCGTGTTGGTGGTGGTTGCAGCAGCCACCGGTGACTTCGGACAATGGAACATTGACGCTGGCTGCACATGATGGTTCCTTTACCGATGGGATGAAGTGCTCACCGAGCACTGCTGCAGGCCCCGTGGCCAGAGCCAAGGGAGTGAAGCTCAGTTTCTCGTGCTCCGTACGTAGCTTGAGCTCAGGCGCGTCGAGGAACGAGATCGACGACCGAGAAAGCCACAAGTCAATTGAGTTTGTTTTGACCTGGGGATGCAACGCTTGGGAATGTGATAGATTTCACCGAGCTGACCCGTCACTGGTCGACGCAGGCTGGAAGGCTGGCATTGACCCCGGACGGGATCTGCTGATGCCGTTGTCAACCTGTTGAAGACAAGTTCGGAGTGACAGGAGTGACAGGAGGTCAAATGAAACCTTGTCGTGTCCATCTTGCTTTCGAACATTCTCCCGTTTCGGTCTCGGCTTGGCACCGTCCAGGATCACAGCAGATGATACTCAGTATTTCTTCGCCCGCAGCCTTTCGAACTCGTTGTGGATCATACCAGTACACAATACTACGTGCCTTGTCATCTCATCATCTGCCTTCAGCTACTAACGTCACAGCCTGGCGTGCTCCGGCGACTACGTAGGCGCCTGAGCTTCCCTTTGAACGGCTCGAAGCCTCATCGACCTGCCAGCCAGGTCTAGAGCCACGACGTAATTACCTGTTGCGTGCGCTTGGGCGCCAGGTCACCGAAGCCTTGCGTTTCAGGCTATTCCCTGCCCGTCCGGGTGGCGACGACCTGTCACCGACCCGACCAATCCAACCCCGGATCCCAGATTTCTCAAACTGCCAACGCCTTGTGCTTAATTCACATCCACCCTCGATTAAGCAAAGTGGAAATCGCGCTACGGACTTTGCTCTCCTAGGCTGATCGGTTTTCTGGTCGCCGTCCACGCCTGTCTCACAAGCACAAGCAGAAGACAGGGTTCGTCAGGCTCAGTCGGGCTCAGTGTCACAGACCCGACAGGCCTCCCTCACCAGTGACATCCGCGCAACCCCACCGGCGCCTTGACTCCTGGGACCCCCGGCACGTACTCCGTATCTTGAGCGGCTTCGTCGCTAACTAGTCACCCGAGCGGAAGATCTATTCAAATACATCATGGCAGACCTCGCGCGCGAAGAAGCCGAGCGATACTTCTCTCATCGCGACCATCCCACATCTCATCCCGAAGATCGCGACCGCGACCAGGATTCGATACATTTATCCGACGACGAGGCCGCGCCTGAGCACGACGACTTCTCGGATCCAGGCACAGACGACGAAACCGTAGCCAACATGGCGACCATGACGAGCACGAAAACCACATACCATCTCCCCACACAGACACACTTCGCCAATACGGGCCCCAAGGGCGTCATTGCGGACGCCCAGTCCTATACGCGAGCCAAGCAGTCTACCTTTCGCCAACGGCTGGCCAGCTTCGCCACCAACCTGGCCTCTTCTAACGGAAAATCCACAGCCTCGACCGCCGTCACAGAGAAAAGGGACAACAAACGACGATCCATATTCGGGACGTCCCCATCAAAGTCGACCGCGTCTTCCGCGGACTCTGAAAACATCGCCCTATCCGACGATGACGCCGACTCGGAATTCATGCGGACATGGCGCGCCAACCGACAGCAGGAACTCTCCGCGCAGTCCCAGTCCTCCCAGTCCGCGTACCAGAGAAAACCCAGCCAACGAAGCTGGGGCACGTTCCAGGAAGTCGATGCGAATGGATATCTCGACGCCATCGAGAAGGTCTCGGACGACACGTACGTGTTGGTGATGATCCACGACCCGTCCTCGTCACAGAGCGCCGAGGTCGAGGACGAATTGGGCATGCTCGCGTACAAGCACACCACGACGCGCTTCGTCAAGCTAGATTACGAGGTTGCCGAGATGGAGGCCGTCCAGATCCCAGCCGTCCTGGCATACCGGGCCGGGGAGGTCGTCGCTACAATATCCGGCGCCAAAGCCGAGGGCCTAGAAGGTGTACTGTTACAGTGAGTCACTGACTGACAATGCTTTCGCCGCCCCCTGTCCAAAAGTATGGAACCTGGGCTGACTGACATGCTGCGAAAAGGCATCGCGTCCTTAAGTGATGTGGACGTTGACGTTGACGCTGGCGCTGGCGCCACATGCAGGCGTTGCGCTCGTCCTAATGAGTTGCCGCCTCTCTTTCTCAGTCATGTACATGCATACATACATTGCCACCGCTCCATTGCAGTGGTTTCTCGACACGGACAGTCATGCCATGCATAACACAGAAACTAACAAGCACGTCAAAGCCAGCGCTTTAAATCCTACCAGGCGGGACGTATACTAGTTCCTCCAACGACGGATTTGGGAGGAGCGGACACGGAGACCTTGCACCCGTCAGACCTCAGACCGAGCCAGCCATCCTGGTTACCCCAGACACCGGCAGCTGCCTCGAGCCCAACTCCTCATTTGGAAAGTCTTTGGCGTCATACGTAGCAGCTCCTCAGATCGTCATAAACACCAGTTAGCCATCGCCAGGCGATGAGACGCTGCACAATTTTGAGGATTTCTAGGACCTCAGAGCGTCATAAGCACCCGTTGTCATCGTCAGGCAATGGGACGCTCCACAACTCTGAAAAATTCTAGGGAGAGGAGCCGATCTAGTTGAGAAATCTGGTCACGTCGTGGGTAGGCCCGATGTCCCGTCCGAGTTGTACAGCAAGGACGCAAGGACATAGACTTTGGATATTGGAAATGGACTCGCGTTCACGTTCACGAATCGTTGCTTCGTCATTGCCCTTGGGGCCAGCTCTAACTTGCATTTTCGTGAGCATCCAGCCAGGCACAACTAATCTGGAATCAGAACGTTCAAGGCCGCGTGATGAGATGCACCGAGCCAAGGTCAGGCAACCCATTGTTGCGCTGTCTGTCGCTCGCTCCCGCGGCCTCGACGGCGGCGTAGCCATGAATCCAAGCCTTCCCAGACCGTCTCCATGCGCCTCATTGCGTTAGGAACCCCTTGCGCCCTCTGGAACCCCGCGTTACGTCCGTCAAGATTTTTTGGTATCATCTCGGTGAAAACTGGTAAACATGAAGAAAAGCTCAGGTTCCCCCAGATGACTGATGGTACAATGGATCCAACTCTGTGGAAAGATGCCCATGCCTGTGCCCTGATGCTGTCGCAATTGGTGAGCGCAAGCTCCAGGAGATCCCGGAAGAGTCAGGTCGATAAAAGACGCAACGCCGTAGGAGTCCAGTGAAGAACTGCGATGCAGACCGTAAGGGCCCGCCGTTGTTGTCACGCTTGCTAGTCGCCCCGCCTTTGCTTCACACGTTGGATTCGTCGCGCATGCCACCTCATTTTCACGTCGGTTCTCGTGCTCTAAAGAAGAGCAGGAAAACTCGTCGATGCGTGCCGACTCGAGCATCTGCCGTCTCATGCAGAGGCCGAGATGGCGTTCTTCTCCGTCGTGAAGTCCCAGAGCATCTTGATCAGGTTCTCAGGCAGGGTGTACAAGTCGACGTGGAACTCGCCTTGCTCAGCGTCATTTCGCATCCACGAATCCTCACTTTTGTTGTCATGAACCATCTGGACAACCTGGAGGAGATCGTCTTCGCCGAGCTTTTGCAACCCCTCGGCCAACTTGTCCATGTCGACGACCTTGGAGTCTCCCTTCTTCTTCTTCTGCGTCGACGCCCCTCCACCAATCTCGCTTGTTCTCTTCTTGCCGGCTACGGGTGTATCCGCACCGTTTGCCGCAGCACTTTCGCCTGGGATGGGACCGGAGTTTCGAAGTGCCTCGAGCAGCGCCCCCTTGGGGTTCTTGAACGTGATGATTTGCTTGGTCTCGTAGCGGGAGTTGGCGAAGTTGAGGTCATGGACTAGGGTATGAATCTTGCCAGAGAGGTCTTTCAGCTCGATTTGCAACTCGAATTCACCCCAGCCATCTTCAGAGACGCGGAACGGCGGTTTCTTGAACACTGCGAAGGCGGTCAGGTCAGTAGGTCCTGTCGCGCGGCGTCTGCGGGGCGGGGTCCGGAAAGTTACCTTGTCTGGCCTTGTCGCCGAAGGACTCGTGGAGGATGTATGTGACTGACTCGAAGATGTCTGCGTCAATCTCTTGTTTGGTGTCGGCGTGAAGGAGGACGATTCTGGTAGACCAGTGTCGCAGGGGGAAACCTGCAACACCGCTGTCGGCACCGGGACTGTAGCAACGAAGTCAGAACAAGCGCATGTCGCGTGTAACGAGTCCTTGATCTTCTATGCGCAAGTAGTCACAGCATAGTCACGGCGTTGCCGCGGCGATGGGAAACCGTAAGGTAGGGGTGATGAATGGGTGAGGAGTGGTGGTGGTGTAATGGCACATACATGACCTTCTGGTCGGTTATGATTTTGATGCTGCGCTTCACCTGTAAAACCTGTCAGCCACCGTGTCGCTGAAGCACCGTGTTTGAGACGTACGTCCGGCATGGCGACGACACTGTATGCGGTTGAGCTTTCAAGTTGTAGAAAACCGTGTGGGGTGGAAGACTGGCTCTGGCGCCGTTGACGGGGATGCAGCGGGGATCGAGCGTTTCGTCACGGGAAAGAGGAGGAAAAAGAGCGGGCAGAGAAAGGATAGACAGACGCGACTTCCGCGACGTAGGCGGTTCTGGTGAGTCTACGATGTACTGTCAGAAGTCGTCTGTCTGTTGTACTGAGTAGCCGCACGAGGGATGGGAATGAAGTGAGCGAGGCTGCGACTGACGCGGGCTGGTCTAACCTGAGTAGCCTAGCGTTCTTTAGGCTTGCACTAATTCTCGGTGCATTCTGTCCGTGTCTTGGGTAGAACTCCAATCTCTATCTGGCTAAGTTTGGGTGTTGACACAGGTCCTGGCAGAGTCCAAGGCAAACTTCCGACTGGCTCATCCTTGTTCTTTCATGCTCTGCTCTGCGCTGCCTTGCGTTGCTTCACCTGACTCCGTAGATTCATGCTGGACACCAATTGTCACACATTTCACGCTTGCTGGTTATGCGTCAAAGGATCATGACTTGAACAGAGCCTCATTGTCTTGCTGCGCCTTGATAAAAGCTTCTTTGAAGAGGTTCGCATCTGTAGAGAGATCAGCACTCGTACAATGTTCGCACGGTGAAATTCCACATACTCTCACTGTTTCCAAATCGAATGGCCAGTGTTTGGGCTTCGGGTTCCCCTTCGCTGACATCGGCGGCGACGTTCCACACCCAGCTGCGGTCACTGCCAACGTTGGGGGAGAGCTTCATGTCAGGAGTAACTACATGTATGATCAGCGCTTGCTCGGGTATAGTCTCACCTAGGCAGCAACTTACCGTAGTGGTTGGCGCAAACCTTCAGAGTCTTGTCTCGGCGCATGACCAGTCGTGTCTTGCCATTTTCCTTGTGCTTGAGCAGTCGGACATCGCCAGTGCCGCGCTCCTTCCATTCTCTTGAGTCTCGATCAAACTTGAAGAGTTTGGCCCGCATCTTGAAGACCTGCTCCTCAGATTCCTCGTTGGTCTTGGTGTCGACTCGCTCTGTCAATCGGACGACGGGTTCGAACTCGACGTCCGCTTCTTCCTCGTCGACCTTGTCCTGTTACAGCGACCTCAAGTCAGTTCACATGATCATCGGTTAGAGTATAGTAAATCTTACCTCTTCGTCTTCGTCCTTCTTTTGCGCCTTGGAACTTCCACTGGGTTCGTCTTTAGCGTCATCCGCCTCTTCGGGTTTGCGCTCCTTTTTAGCTCCGCCACCAAACATAGAGAACATAGAGTCCTTCACATTGGAGGCCGCAGCAGATGCGGCGCTGGCCGCGGTGGTGGCGGCATTGGTGGCGGCTTCCGTGTAGGTGGGAGGCTTAGTATCGCTGTCGCCCTTGGCATCAGTTGCAGGGGCTTCAGCCGAGGGGTCACCGAGCGGGTTCTTGACGAGGTTGGTCTCTTGTTCCGCAGGCCTCAGGTCGGCGGAGGCCCCTTGAGTCGCAGAAGGGGTGGGTTTGGCATCGCCTGCATCCGCCATGATGGCCGAGGTCGGGAAGGAGGTTTGATGGAACTAGAGTTGGATGATATGTGTACAACGTCAAACGTGGTGTTAAGTTACCTATGGTCCGTGAGCTGAAACTGAAAGAATTGTTTGTCACGGTGAGGGACAACGCAGGCCATCCCACTAAACTGTCCGCCAAGCCACTGCTCTGCTATGATATCACAGGTGACCGTAATCTCGTCGCCCTTAACAGGCCGTCGCCCAGGCCATCACCCAAGCCCTTGTGAGCGTTCCCATTCTTCTCCGTGTTCCTCTTCTGTTTGCTGCCCAAATCTTCCATCGATATGCTTGGTTCGCAGACATGCCACTGCTAGATCTGCCAGATGACATTCTCTCCATCGTGCTGTCTTACCTGACCCCCGAGGACTACCTCAGGTTCTGTCGGGTGTCAAAGCAAGTGTATGTCAAGTATCGTCAGGACTCGGTATATTGGAGGAATGAGACCTCAGACACATTCCGACTGCCTATAAGTCCCCTGCTCGCTGCAGATGGCCCTCGCTGGTACTGGCTGTACAAACGACTCAAGACCCAAACCCGCCTCTACACATGGGGCCAAGGAGTTAAAGGGAATCTAGGCCTTGGGAGAGCCATCTCGGTCCCTCATCGTCCGCCACCACATGTTCCACAGCGAGTACTTCCGCGAGTCCCTGCTCGGCCACAGCCAGGGATGCTTCCTCCACGACCGACTCCTGCCAGGATACCTCCGCGTCAAATCTTTCATAGAACCTCCTCCAGCTGGCCCACCGAGGCGCACATTCCAGGCGAGATGGGCGTAATTACCGATCTTCAGTGTGGAGGGTGGTCGACGACCATCCTATCTGCCAAGGGAAAGCTATACACCACGGGCTCAATTGATTCAAGGGATGGCAGGACAATAGGTGAAGCATTTGAATCCTTTCAGCAACTCGAATACTTGACGCAGAGCACGTCTGCAATCCGACAGTTTTCTTCCGGACGTTCTCACGTCCTAGCGTTGACCGATCACGGGCAAGTCATCTCTTGGGACAGAATCAATGCGAAAGGGTTGATTGTATACTCGAGAAGCGGGTTGCCCTTCGGAGGCAAGCCGACAAGAGTCGCCGCAGGCTGGGGAGAAAGCTCTGCCTACGCGCCCGATATAGGCATCGTATACTGGACTCCCTTGCAAAACGACCAGACAGATGAAATGGAGGACTCGAAGCCCGTGAATGAAAAGGTGGTTCCGGGAACTGCTCTTCGAGCTACCGAGAAAGGGCACGTCGAAGTCATCAAGCACATCGTTCTCGAAGATTTCATCGTCTATATCACGAACGAGTCCAAGGCGTATGCCTGTTGTATGCGCACAGACAACCCAACCCAGTCCGAACCGTCGCAATCCCCCTTCGAGATGCCAGGATACAGCGCACCAGACCGTGAGCTGAAGGATATCCAGGGCTCGTTCCGGAGGTTCAGCGTCTTCACGGCTGCAGGCGAGGTCTTATCCGGCGATGTCGACTACATCAGACGATGCGCCGACGCGGCTCGAACGTATCCGGAAGCAGTGTCATCGGGCGATTGGTCCACCTTGACCACCTTGCTCGCTTCCAGACCGCAAGATGTTCCTGCCTTGCAGCACACTGGTGTCATTGCATTGGCGTACGGTGACTATCATTACCACGCCCTGCATGCCAACGGCAAGATCACCTCCTACGGCACTGACTCTCAGAGTTGTGGATCACTAGGTCTTTCTGGCCCGGAGAACGGTGGACGTTTCCGCGGTCTCCGTCGCGAAAGAGCGGGCACCCGCAGTGACGCGGAGTTGCTTCCCATCGCGAACACCCGAGGCCGACAAATCTGGTTCGAGCCCGAGAGGAAGGCCTGGCTGCAGTGGATGGAAGACAAGCTCAACGAGCCGCTCCTTGCCGCGAATGGCCAACCAGCTCGCCAAATCTGGGACGTAGACGCCGTCAAACAGGCCGCGTTCAGCGAGTGGGTCGAGCAGGAAGGGAGGCACTGGGAGGAAGGGCCAGTGAGTGGCGTGTTCGCCGAAGGAGAGTCTGCCCACGCCACCAAAACCGACAGAGCAGGCGACTACGCAAACCTGGGATCCTACTTTCCGATTGCGATCGCCGCCGCGGGCTGGCATAGTGGAGCTTTGGTCCTAGTTGACGAGGACAGAGCCCACGCAGTCTGGTCTAAGTGGGTGGCTCGTCGAGAACAAGACCCCGATGACGACAAGATGCGTTCCATGCCCGGTGCGTTTGAAAGTCTCGAACCCGACAAGACGTACATATGGAAGAAGGGCGGGTTTCCGAAAGTGATACTGCCCGATGGATTTGAAATGCCCGGCGAGGGCGAGCCACGACCGTGGAGGGACGGGACACCGACCATGCAGGAGCTGGGGCTGGGGATTTAGCTGTGCGCCGTAACAGCAACGAGATCAGCCCGGTCCATAGGGTTGCGATGGGAGTGATGTTCCGATTGCTGTCCCGGACGACAATCGGGCGGGCATGAGTCCGATTAGCACAACACGGCGCAGCACGGTCAATGATGAGATAGATACAGACATGGTCGGTCAGTCGTACGGCAATCAAGGTTCATTGCTCTCAAATGGTGATGGACTCACACCCTATCCACCATGGCCAGCAGTACCATTGGCAGTTTTTCTTGCCTTAGAGCTCCCGCCCTCCTCTGCGCCACTTCTGGGCAGACGTACCAACATTCTGCATCCAGATACGTACTAGAACGCGGCACGAAGCCGTCACCGAAGTCATTGATACAGTAGCGGCGTACAGGGCAATGTTATGGGCTCCTGTGCCACATGTGGTGTATGTATGTATGGTGCGCGGTGTATCTACATATCTCCATCAGCCTAGCGTTGAAATTGACGGTCCGTAAAGTCCGTATATTATTGCAGTATTCGGAGTACCTGCTACGCGCTCCGCCGGATCAGCTTGATTCGATCAAGAAGCACTTCTCTTGACTAAACGCATGTAGTGAAAGGTGGTGAGACCTATTTCAGATCCACTCTCATGGCCCTGATTCCTGTCCAGTACAATCGGTTCCGGTCCAGACCAAATCCAGGTCGAGCGCGTTGTAGCATATCATTTAATTTAATTTACACGCTACTCGCTCGGTCGCATGAATGCCGACGGCGGCGACTGTATCGTTCTATCCAACTTAAGCATGCCGTAGATGTACAGTGCCCATGTGCAATGCAAACACCGTAGTGGTATCCAAAGAATCTCAGCCGCCCAGTCTACCTAGGATGAATGCGTGGTCGTGGTCCCCCCGGCTCCATAGCCAAGCGACGACGTAGAGCGCCGCCCTCCGATATCAACCTCCCCTTCTCTCTCGACCGGTCGTTCGTGCCATTGCTCTTCGCTTTCGCCTTCCTCCTCCCTCTTCTCCTCCTGGTCGATGAACAAGAAACTCCCGACCACGATCCCCGCCCCAACCCAATAAACCCACCCCTCATAATGCCCCTGCAACAGCATCTCGCCAACCAGAGACAGCGGGATCGTCAGACTCAACCCGACCGTGACCAACAACGGAGATGTCAACACCATCGCGTATGCCCAACAGATATCCGACGCAAAGCTGGCCATGCTGTTGATGATCAAGACGGTCCAGATGCGCCGCGTGGGCGGCAGCGCGAACGGTTCCAGCCCCGTGAAATGCAGGATGGGGAAAAGAGGCGACAGAAAGACGAAGTTGAAAGTGCCGACAAACCCGAAGAACAAGGGCATGTTGATCGATCGCGGCAGGGCCGTCACCGTGGCCTTTTTCAGCATGACGGTGTAGACGCCGTAGAGGATGGCCGAGAGCAAGGCCAGGGCATCGCCCAGCGCGAGTTCCGCCGCTGGTTTGTCGGGGAAGGTGTCTTCTCGCTTAATCAGCCTCACCGTCGCATCTTCTCCGTCCGTCGTCCTTGCCGACAGATCGACCTTGCTGATGAGCAGGATGCCCGCGAAGCTCATCAACACGCCAAACAGTTTGCGCCACGTGAATTTCTCGGTGTGCGTGAGCGCGCCGATCAGGAGCGTCCAGAAGCTTGATGTGGATGTGAGGATCGTGGTGGATGCCACGGTCGTGTACTGCAGGCACGACATGGCGAAGTAGTTGGCGCCGAACCAGAGCATGCAGAATGTGAATGAGAGGCGCGCTGTCGGGATGATGCCCAGGGTTTTGCCTTCTTCTGCCCCGTCGTGTGACCCGAAGTCGGGGTCGCGGTCGCCCACTGTAGAGCTATCACCACTTCGTCGCTTCTGTGTGGCCACTTCGGACTCGATGTCTTCTTCTCCCTGCAGGTCTTCTTGGGGAGTGTCATTGTCCGGTACCGGTCTGTAGCCTTCCTTGCTGACTTTGATTGAGCGTAACACGTTGGAGCGAATGGTGTCGTACAAGTCCCCTCGATCGCGGTGTCTCCTGTATGCAGCCTGCAGAAGGTTGGGGATCATGGCCAGCATGAACGTCGAGGTGTTGAGATACGTGAGGAAGAAGGGTTTGGCATAGGTGCTGTCGGCGAATATGCTCTACGCCTCCAAAGTCAGCCTGCTTGTCCCTTGTTGCGGCGCGCGACAAAGGGGTATCATCCACACACATACACTACCCAGAAAATTGCACATGGTCCAAAGAAAGACAACGCACAGCAGCAGCATCAACCCCAGCGTGTGTCTGGCGACGCCGCCGAGCCATCCTCGAGGAGGCTCTGAGGAGTGCTGAAGCAGCCTCTGCCTTGATTGGCCTCTTGATGTTGAGCCGTGGTCGTCCATCTCGATCCCGGGGCTCGAGGATGGAGGGGAGAAGGAGAGGGTGTCCACCATGTCGGAATGTCCAGGCGCGACATTGCTTTTCTAACAATCTCTGTCACGGGCGCGGCGCTGACGTCGTGAGCCGCGGCCTAAGGAACGGGAATGTCATGCAGGTGTAATAAATATGCGATAGCCAATGCGCCAGGTCCTGTCGTCCCGAACTGCCGGGAATGATAAGGGACCGTTAATTACGGAGTCGAGCCATGCAAGCCACGCATTCGGCAGGACGAAGCGTTGACGGACTGGAGTTTAATTGGGAGTAGGAGATAACCGCGCCAATCGCTTTGGTTGCTTGATGAAATGGTGGGCGCTGTCAGCTGGGTGTCAACTGTATCTCGCGTTCTCACAATGATCGCATTGCTGTCTGAGTATGAATCGAATAGCCTTAGCCTGACAGTCCATTAATCCAAGCTGCTAGGTGTCTTGATCCGGGCCCCTTCGGATGCCCATCCCAACATGCCGCTGTGGAATACCCAGCCCATGCTAGGCGCATCACCCATCACGCTCTACAACTTGATCGTCCACTTCATCCCCAACCTCTGAAAGAACGAGAACAGACTTCCCTTCGGCACATACCCAGCATACCGTGACTGCCACCACGCCGCAAAGGTTCCTAAGCACCAGGCAATGCCAAGTTAGTTACTGTACATCTCTTCCAGTATCGCCACTGTGTAAGCGTTGGAGACGCGCAGAGCAGAGGCAAGGAGTTCAAGGACAAATCTCATCCGCAGAGAAGAGGCAAGGAACGCGCAACGCAACAAAACAGAACACAATGCAACAGAACGCAGTGGAACTTACGAGCAGCCGGCCCTTCTACACCAAACCCCAACGCCTCAACAGCCCAAGGCAACAGCACGGCCAAAATCCCCACGGCAATCAGCGTCGTCCAGACCGGGTGATCCCGCGCGAAGCCCGCCGCCGCGTCGACGGCCTTGACGAACGCATCTTTCAATGGCCCCTTTACTACCATGCCTGTCTGAAGTATCCCAAGCGGCAGCGAAAATCAGCATCCAGCATCCAGCTAATCTTGTGGACATGGGGGGGTGGGGCGCTTGTATCGTGTCGATACCAGAAATGATACAATTCCGCGTGGGTGCTTGCATCGTGTCGATACCAGAAATGATGCTGGGAAAAGAGGCCCTCGCTAACTCCCGTACAGTACCACACTACAAGACGACGTATGTACGTACCTTGATGCCCTCATCCAGATGGGCCAACACGGCCTTGGCCAGCGATTCTGTCCACCCCTCGATGTGCACCACGTCCGCGACCTTGACGCGGAGTTCGTCGTCCGTCTTTTCTGCATCTTGCATCGCTTCCACGATTTTCTGCGCGAGGACCGCCTCCGGGGTGGTGTCGATCAGAGGGTTCTCAGCCTTGTCCGACCAGTTTGTCTCCGCATGGAGGGAGACGTCGTCGTCTTGGCCCCCGTTGAGACATTGCCATATCGTTCTTAGCATGGTGGCGCTGTACGATACTTTGGTTCTTGGGCGTGTGCACTAACTTTGTAGGAATCACTTGAGTGACAGAGGTTGAGAAAGAGCAATGAGGATGAAGCGGGGTGGCAGGCTGCAGAAGTAGTTCTTTGGGAATCGTTTGTTACACAAGACTACTGCACCTTGGCGGGTCTGGTCCAATGGTAAGGCTTCAGGCAGGCTGTGCAGCGACCTGCCGGACGACCGTTCGAAGCGCCTGCGCATGGCCAGACCCGCCTACTCGACAATCTGTCCGGCAAGGACCTGGAAGTTGGGCTCTCAATCGATTGGAGAAAGCTTGCAAGGCTGACCGCCAGACACTGCTCGCCTGATGGCCACCTCGAGGACAGTGCTTCCGTGCCGAATTGTGAGGGCCTACTCCATCTGAACCAACTGTCGCGACTGCCGCAGTGGCGTAGGGTGATAGCCCCAAGCCGCAGCGGGTCGGTCGACCACCCACGGGCCGGTCTGACCCGTGATTGCAGACATGCATCTCTCAAGCGGAGGCTTCGCGTCTGCTCAGCTCCTTATGCTATGTGATCGTGTAGGACGTCTGACCCGGAGCCACCCTGAGGAGATACCTCTTGCTCGAAGCCGTGTCTCTTGCCAAGCGAGAAGGTCAGAATAGGACTATTCCTGGTCTCTCAGACCATTTTGAAGGTACTGCCTGACTCTCGCATAGTTTTCATCGTCGAGAAAAAAGCCACTCGTTGACCTCAGAGAAGAGCTTGGCTTCCTTTACCTCTGTACCTGGCACTTGAGTCGCGGCATAGAGCTGCCACCAGTCAGTATCGGTATGCTAAGTAGCGGGTTGTGAGCTTCGCTTACGGCGTCCCAAACCTTCCAGGCTCGGTCGAGACTCTTTGTCAACGTTCCGCTACCTCGAAGCTGTGCGAACCAGTTGTATTTCCCCTCTTGCTGTTTGATGCTGGCCTTCAAAGCCTCAGTAACCTCTGGCTCCTCGTTGACCGCATCCAGGTAAGTCTTGACAGCGATACCGTTTCCCGACCCGTTGTCGCTGGCAAAGGGCAGTCTGAAACCGATGTTAGCCATGCGAATCGTGAAAGAGAGAGGGCGCTACATACTTCTGAACGAGGGTGATCCAATCTTCGCGGTCGCGATCAACGTCACCATTGAGGAACATACTCGTCAGGATTGTCTCCAAGAGATCTCGAAGAGTAGTGCGAACCGCGGTGATCTTCCAAGCGAATGTCAATAGCTGCCTATCAAGAGGCCCAACAAAGCCCATAGATTTGTGCTGAATCCTACTCAAACACGCAATCTTGGAAATGAGGTTGGTGTTGACCTTCCGATCGTGGTCTTTGTCTGCAGCTCCGTTAGCTATGTCCAGGTACAGCAATCGTTCCACAAACCAGTCTTGGACACCGGGTCTCCAGAGGCGAAGTTGCCAGTGAAGAGCCCCATTCTCAGCATCTCTATGCCGACAATGGTGTATTCTTCATCAGCAACTTCCAGTGCAGCTTCCAAAGCTTTGCCCCAGGTGGTCAAGTTGTGCTGGTCGTCGACGTAGCCGCGAACTTGTAGATACCGAAAGATGGCATTCGCCACCACCTCGTCGGCTGTTCGAAGAGCCGGGTGTTCGACCCTGTCTTTGGTAATGGTCTCTTTGGCGAAGGCCGCATCCTTGAGAGATCGCAGGCAGGGCAGGAACAAGCTAGCGTCCTTCGAATGTTTAGCAACGGTGATTGATGAGCTGGGAAAAGCACTCACCTCGCCTTTGCCGACGACGGATTCAATCTGGGCGCCTCGAACTTTCCATTGGGCCAATTTCTGCTTCATGGCTGGGACATAGCGGATCTCGATGGTCAAATTGCTGGTATCCTGGTTGACCCACGGGGTTACCTTGATAACCCTGGATTGATAGTAGTAGTGCAGAGACTCGGCCAAGATTTTGAGGGCTTCGCTCCGAAAAGGGTTGAGCAACTCAATGACCAGTCTCCTATAAGGCTCCGAGTCCAGCACACCTCCAGGCAGCGACAGCACAATTTCGCCCGAGGTGAGCCAATTTGGTATCTCGGGAGCCAGCATGCCTTTTGACAGGTAGAAGAACAGTTCTTCAGGAAGACGTTGTCCGACAAATTCGTGGACGTCGCCAGGAGCTTCGTCGAAGTGGAGCGGAGCCACCACGCCCGCCTTGTCCATAACAACATGATGCCTGATGGTCATGATGGCTTTTTTGTAGCGATCAGCATACTTGAGATTTTGTACCTGAGGGTTTTCGCGGTGATAATTGCAGAGTTGCATGACACTGTTGCCAAAACCCTTGAGCATGGCAATAGCATCAACGACACCCGTCGATTTTGTAGTAGCCATGGCTTCAAGGATGGGAAATGTAGGCGTAAAGGACGTTCCAAGCAAGATTTGAGCGTCTCGAAGCAAATCTCTGTCGGCTTTCAGGATCCCCTCGCACGTAGCACGGCTGACCAGGCTCAGGGTCGAGTCATTTCGGTTGAAGTCCGTTACCACACGGTCCATGCCAAAGAGGAAGCACTCTGTACTGCCCATGACAGCATCGATGAACTGGTCTTCCAACGCGAGCAGATATGACAACTTTCGCCTTGTTTAGCTTCCACTGCCACTAGTCTTGACCCCCATGGACTCACCTGTGCCGTCGCACTGTACGGCGCAACCATGTATTCCACGCCGTTCTCAGCCAGCAGCTTCTGCAGCCCTCTGGCCGTGGTGTCAACATCGTATGTGGCTTTCCCAAAGTCGGTCACGGTCCGCTTGCTGTCCCCATTGAGATAGGCGTGCCAGGCATCATCCTGCACTCTCCTGCTGGCAGCCAGTTGTGCAGTGCGCAGGTTCTTGTTGACGTAGTCCAAACCGTCGAAGACGAAGATGAGGTTGATGCCGTTTTGGCGCAGAAACGCAATGTCTTCCTCTATCGTTCTCTTGAAGGTGAAGGGTTGTCCGCCGAGGGCGTGCTTGAGAGGCTCTTCGTTGTTCCCATTGAGGCGCAGGTTGAGATAATACGAGGCATCAACGCCAATGACGGCATCCTTCAGCATGTGCAGTTGGCAGTATTCGACATGTTTGCTCGCCCAGACGTCGAACCTCTGGACTATAACCGGGTAAGAAAGAGAAGCAACGGTTGAGGGCTTTGGGCATCCATACCTGACATCCTGAAGGTGCTTGGAGAAGGAAGCGGGAGGGGGCCGCGTCAAAACGAAACAACGCCGAATACAAATAACTAAGCGCCGGCAAAGGACGGACGAACAATCGAAGAGTCGCGCGAGCTTCTCAAAATGAACCTGTAACTCGTGTCGCGGAGAGAAAGGGTGAGAGAGAATGGACAAGAGAGAGAAGCTGCACCCGAACAATTCATGTAATTACTGCGTTACAACTTTACTCCGCATCGAACAAACAGACGATCTTCAGGGGTCCGATGCAAGGCTGTACAAAAGCCTCGTCAACGTAGGTAGCTCTCGTCCACGAGCCACGGGGACCGTCAGGCAGTGGCGCCAATCTCCTCCTTCGTCTTCGCTCCCCTAAAGTCATATGTCGCATTCAAGCGACTAAGCAGATGCTCGTGCGCTGTCAGTGCCCTTTTACTTGTAGCCCCGCCTCCATAGCCGACTTCTTCGCCTTCCTTCAAGTGATGGGCAGCCACGATCTTGCTTGGCACAGCCGTCAATTCCACGTCGTTGCCAGGATGAGAGAAGTATACTATCGAGTAGCGATCCTCTCCTCCCCGTCTAGCGTCTTTGGGGAAAATGACCCGATGCACGGTGCTCTTCAGAATCCCGTTTGTCCAATACGACAGCAGGTCCGCGATGTTGACGAGAATGGGTGGAAACGTCGGCGCGTCGTATCCTTCCGGGATGACGGGCACCGGGGCCCATGTACCTTCGGGCGTCCTGATCTCCAGTCCAGGCTGCGACGGCCGCTGGAAGAGGAGGGTGATGCTTCCATAGTCCGAATGAGCACCAGCTCTCACATCCACGTCCGGCTGGTAGTCGACATCTGCGGGGATCGCTGGATAATGGAGAAGACGAACGGTGCACCCGCTGGGCTGAGTATGCCGCGAGGAGAAGAAATTGGGCTCCTCGACCTCCAGCCCCAGACCGAGGAGATCAAGAACCCGGTCGCACGCTTGCTTACATGTCCGTTCGAATTCTGCGAGCTCAGCAATATGGCTTTCGAGGAACTTGGGAATCGGTTGCTGCGGCTTTCCCTCTTGGAACTCTCCCATGTTGAATGCCTCCTTGAAGTCTCCCCTTCGCTGCGCTTTTGGATCGAGGATCTCGCCATACATGCCGGTCCAGCCACGGTTCGTCTGATTGATTCGGCAAGGCTCCTTTTCCCCGTCAGGCAAGGCGAAGAATTGACGTGAGAGGTCGAACTCGCGGGTAACCATCTCCTCCGTAAATCCTGTGCCCTTTGTGTCGATGTAAAGGAATCCATACTTCGTTGCAGCCTTCAACACCCGCTTGCCGACTTCGACGGAGAAGTCTGAAATGTCGACCACAGGCAGTTGTATGGCACTGTTGCTCTCCCCCAACGAACCCATCGTGCTGACACTGAGTATTCCCTGGAGCCTGGTGTTTGATAGCGCGTATGCGTCCGTAGCAGACTCAGCGATGTGACAGCACACTCAGTCGAACCGACGAGAGGCTTTGCTCGAGGGATCTAACAGGCAATGACAGGAAGAAGAGAAGTCACCGACTATCGCACACGCGGATGTCACTAATGGCTCCGACCCACCGCCAGAGGCGAATTCTGATATGCTCAAGCGGCGACCTCCGCGACTGTGTCGCTCTATTCGTACAATCACAGACTCCCGGCCAACGAACACTGTCCAATGAGATACACTGAAGGAAAACTTCTGTCAGACACCGCAGCTGGTGTCCTGGAGGAACCAATGCTCTGGATCAAATACTGGAGGGAGGGACCTCGACAAACGAGACATACACAATCTTTGGTAAATGTTCATTATTTGTGCAATGCGCTGGTCGTCATACTACACGTTTTTGCGTCAATAACAGTTCATCCAAGGCTGCACAGTGGCCGCCCACATCGAAACGCTTGACACGGGCTCATAGGTTCAGCAATCCAAAACACCTTTGATAGCCTTGATGCTCGTCTCTGTCCTCTGGACACCGTCTCTTCAAGTCAACGCCGCATCCTCGACTACCGTCATCGGTAACATGTTCTGCGCAAAAGCCTTTCATGCTTCGTTCAACAATATGAAATCGCTGTACATCAATCGTGGTGGCCGCTGCCCTTGGCCGAGTTCGAAAAGAGATGCTGATATTTACGCAACAACAGAAACTACCCAGACGCCAACTCAACGCTCAGTGCCCGTACTCCATGGCTATGCAGATTTGGTAGATGATTCAAGCATTGCCGCGTCGATTGAGGTACGCATTCTCCAAGTGACACCAGTGCCTATGCATACTCCACGATTCTCGTTGGCATTCCTAATAAGAGGGGTCAGCATCAAGATTTCAGATGGGAGTATAAGCACAACATACCTTGCTGCAATACTTAGTCCGGCGGCAGCGTCTGCACTTCGCGAATTGGCGTGTGAACTCTTCCCACTTGCCACATTTGTAATTGGCACACTGCCGAATCCCTCCTCGAGCGTCATCTTTCCGACAGAGATTGCGCATGACTACACACGCCCAATATTGCATGTCCTTCGAATGATGACGGACAGTAAACTTCTCAACTAGAGGGAAGATATTGTAGTCGTCGGGTTGCAGAAACTCCTCTTCTTCGTCTTCGGTGGGTTGCGGAAGTGGTGGACAACCTCGAACGGGTCCGTAGATCTTTTCGACCTCTCGATCGATCCTGAGTCTTGGGACCAGATGAGTTTGTTGGAAGTAGTGGCGGAGATAGCAGTATTTTGATATATATGCTAACAACTGCAGCCCCATCAGAACGTCCTCATCTCGTGGCATGAGAGCTGTAGTTGAGGCTGTGGCGGTGGCATTTCGCAGAAAGAAGTTGGGGTATGCATTGAGCGGTATAGCAGGGGAAGCGGCAGTGGCTGGCGGAGGAGGAATAGGCGAAATACCCAACGTGTCGTGGATCGTCCCACCTAAGGGATTGCCCATGCCGCCTGTGATCGGTGTTTGTTGAGCAATATCTACATCGTCAATATCTCGAGTTTGCGGCGGAGGAATGGCTAAAGTCAGGGGCTGGCGTCCGTCCATCTCGTTAGGACTGGGATCACGCGTCTGATCCCTGCTTCGACCTTCAGCAGCACCTTCGGCGTCGAGCAGTTCGTCGTCGGCTCCAGCCACATCTTCCATGCTCATATCATCATTGTCACCAGTCGAGTTCTGATGACGAATCGAGGGTCTTCTTAGTCTGCGTCCGACCGGAGATAAGAGTCCGCGGTGCAGAGGTGCAGATGGTGTGGTCGGCGAATCGGGATGCGAGGTAACCCCGGTGTTGAGAGGCGGCAGCATGGAGGGTAGTCTGTCTACCTCGCGGACTGGGCGCAATGAGAACCCGTCTGAAGTGTCCATAGAAGGAACTGCGGTAGCCGGCGGCTGTAAGGTCAGAGAGCCGTGGTTTGAACCTCTGCTCTCGCGTCCCCGGCTGTGGTGGTGGTGATGGTGTACCTCGCGGCGCGGGAAGACTGTCCGTTCGGGGGGAGAGGTAAGAACGCCAGGAGGTAGCACGCCGCCATCCGCGGGGCCTGTCTCTGCGCCGCCAAAGCCTTGAGAGAAGGATTGAGGAAGCTCAAGTGACGGTGGTGGTGCTTGACGACGGGAGCGGTTGTCTGCAGCAGCGTGCAAGTGTTCAAAGAAGGAAGTCCTCGCAGCCGAGTCATGAGTCAAGTCTCTCGATAACTTGGATGATCTGGAGCTCCCGGAGTGTTTCGAGCCATTGCGCTTTTCCTGCTCAGCATCGGCCTTGGCCTTTTCCATTTCAATCACCAAGATGTAGTCCCACAAGATGGTCGCAATGACAGGCACCATGTCGGCCTCAACGACACGCGTGCGCACGTTCTCTGACCCTCGTACTCCGATGTTGACAATGCATTGAAATGCGAGATTCCATTTCCACATGTGCATTTCATCCTTGCTCCTTCCCTCCTTCAATATGCAGACGAGACGCTCCACACCGCCATCAACCGTAAGGATATCTCGAATCCGCGCAGAGGAAGTGGTTAGGTAGGCCAGATGGTTTAGAGAGTTAATAAGGGGCAATGTTGAAGTGCAGTCCAAAGCTCGTCGGTCATACAGGGTTGTGGTGATATGGACTGACGCCTTGTTGACATTGGGGATGCTGAAATTAACCTCTCGCATGTTGTGAGATGCCTCTTTACCATGCGAATGGCCTGGGATTGAGGTTTGATTTTGCAGTCAAGCAGCTTTTGTGTCCGACCCACAATGGTAGCAATGTTGCAGCGAACTAACTCTTGTTGGAGTATGATGAGGCCACAGATCGTCACCAAAGGGGTTCTCGCCCTCAAGAGAGACCTTCGCCAGCTAGCTTATGCAAAGTAATAGGGACAAACAGCCATCAAGCGTCCGACTCGCGCAGAAGGGGTCGAATTGGAGAGGCACAACAGGGCGTGAGAGCGAGAGAGGTGGGTGGGAGGTCGGGGTAAGGAGGCGGCGCCAGCAATTGTGGACGTTCAAAAGGCCAGTGGTAGCTGAGTATCGATGTGTCGCAGAACCAGGTCGAATGACGAATACAGAGTAGAGGTAGATTTGTAAAGAGTGTGGCGGTTGGAGTCGAGGACGCGGAGTTGCCAGACGGAGGCGGAGGCGCTGAGGCAAGGCAAAAGACACCGGCAGGACTCGAGGATTTCCGCTGCCCGAACTTTAGGGAGGATTGGCACAGCTGCGGCGGAACAAATCAAGCAGGCTCCAGAGAGGGACTCAACACGCGAGGCACAAGAGTAGACAGATGTGAAGGATGGCAGCTCGATGATGAAAGAGACGACAGGATGATGGAAGAGGAAGAGGCAGGTGCCGTGCGTGGGTGCAGCCAGCGCCGTGGCAGTGGCAGCAATGAATTAGCGTCGTTGAACCCTTTAATTCTTCGGCCACGATCGTCGGGACGAGAACATCGCTGGCTGGGGATCTCGCTGCTCTTGGTTCGCTTCCTTTCTACTGTGGTACCTCGTACCCAAACCACGGCTCTGGGATATGGCCTTCGCGACCATGTACTCCGTGACCGTGAAGTCTATGCGTGTCTATCTATGATTGCAACTTCACCACAGGAAACATCCGGCTGGGCCAGCAAACCGTTTGAAACCGTGCTCTGCGCTGCTGATAGGCTCTGCCACCGCTGCTACTGTACCTGGGATTTTGCTTGATCTCCACAGGTGCAATTTTGCAGACAGCCCTATCTGCACCCTCCTCGACTCTGCTCTGGCGTCGCACCTTTGCAAGCCAGCAGGCAGGGACCGTCAGCACAATTAATATGTGGATGTGTTTTGACCGATCTCGGTGCGTTATTAAGATTACAGCACGCGACGAGCTTGAGTTCCGGGCTTGGAGGTGTTTCACGCCCGAGGTGCGCCCAAAGACGGTCGCGTAGTTAGTCAGACAGCTACTTGCGCTGAAGGACTGAAGAATGAGGACCGAGGACTGCTTGGGTCTCGTCGTTTATTGTCCGTGCACCAGCCTCCTCCGCGTCATTTCTTTGTTCACTTTAACCCCTGCGTGTCAATCGTGTTGGTGCATTCGTGGCCAACGCAACCAGGACAGTGGAAGCTTGCTTTGTGACGAAATTCGTCGGACATCGAGCGCAGCCTGGGAGTCGGGACCGGAACCCGACTGGTCTCGCCCATTTAACGTTGTGGAAGCATCCGCGGAGGCTCTGGAGGGCATGGCATCCAGCCTCCAGGCATCTCAGGCGTGCCGATCGTTTTATCCCCGACGCCTAGCCTCCCTACGCAAGGCGTACTACAAATCTATGCAACAAGCACATCAGTCCACGACATGTTGCACGAAGTCAAGAGCCTCGGCTACTACTCCGTACCTTCGTAACCCATTTCTCCCCAAGGTTGCTATTTTTGCCCGCTCGCGCATGCCAGCACGGCCTCGATGTTTTTAAAGCGCCCTACTCGGCCAATGGCGAAAACATGCCGTCGATGCGAATCGCTTGTCCGCAGATCTTGCACTAATCTCCTTCCAATCTGCTTAGACAACCACAACACCTCATCCTGACAACTGTTCCCTCATTGCTGCTAGATCATGCAGAAACGACGAGATGTTTCCTATTTTCAGTACAACTTCCCGTGCTGTCTTCGTGTTGCTTTTCGGCTCATCATGTAAGTCTAAGGGATGAGCGCCCGTGTAGAGCGCTTCGCCGACATATCATCGTTGCAGCCGGACATGAACCATGCAGAGTGGTCGAAATGGCTGCGAATTGTACCCACGCTCGACTTTGATGCGGACAGGCAAGTGCGCAGCTCCTCAGCAGTGATCCAGTTTCTCGGTTCTCCCCCTCCGCGTGTCCAAAGAAGTGCCAACTGGAGTCACCCGGTAGAGCCACAGACCGCACGAGTCTGCTCATGTCGCTATTGTGGTTTCCGTCGAATGATGCAGCACGAGTGTCAGGGTACAGCTCAACTGAGCCAGATTGGTCCGCGGCCATAGAAAGACACCATCCAGCCACCCATCTTGGAAGAAACGGTCTTCTTTGGCATGGAAGGAGGAACTGGAGGGCTGTGAGAGACAGCTTCTAAGTGGAGCCTGAAGCTTCGGCGGCACCACATGGCTCCCTGCTTTCGGCTCTGGTGCTCGAGACCCGTCTTCGCTCCCCAGTCGATGCCCTCTTGATATGCTATTCCAAGGAATTTTTTTGGGCCGGGTTCGACAGCGTACTCGTTGCACATCAGCGTCGACGTTGGGGTAAACTGGTCTTTGCAGATAGAACCACGGCTCAGCTCACTTACATTTCTGCGGTAGGACCTTGGGCTTGCACATTATCAAGCTACGTCTGCCTTTGGGGTGTGTAGTTTGACCGTACCTCGTTACAATGGGTTGTCACGGGAACCAGGAAGTCTGCGACATCTGAAGGGAAGAATTTCCAGAGCTGGATCAGAAGATCCGCCTGGGCCACCCCAGCAGGCATGTCCACCTGAAGGGTCCTTCAAGAGTGACAATCGTGCATCCCGCGAGATATTGGGCGTGAACTACCAGCCGTTCGCGGTAACAGCTACAGATACCGCAAGAAGCTTGCTCGAGGTGGAAAAGCAACTGAGCGCGAAGGCATGATTTAACCAACGTGCTTGGCTCATGTTGCAATCCAGGCCGTGATGAATAGGAGAGTCGCGGCATAGATTACATATAGACCATAATGTACACGTGTCGTCCATGCTTGCTCGTCTAAGGGAGGGTGATTCTCCCCCGACTGCCGAAAGCAAGTGCACCCCATCCAGCAATCAGACACAAGCCGCCGATAGGAGTCACGGGACCCAGAGCCTTGAAGCGTTGGGGATCCAGGACGAGAAGGTAGATGCTACCGCTGAACATAGTCATTCCGGCGGTGAAAAGTGCTGCTGCGACTTTGTTCTTGGGCGCTATCGATGCCGAGAGAAGTAGCACGCCGCTATGGATCAACTGTGGCAACGTACGGGACGTTAGATACTACACAGCATAGGCTTTGGACATGTTTACCTGATATTGTGCCGCTGTAGACCAATTTGCGAGCCTTGCAGGGTCTGCGATGTGCTTCTTCAGACCGTGAGCTCCGAAAGCGCCGAGCATTACGGAAGAAGCACCGTAGATGCAGCCTATGGTCCAGAACATCTTGGGGGGCGTTAGGTTCGGTGGGACGGTTTCGAAGGAGGTCACGCTTTTCTACACCTGATGTTGACGCTGATGTCGGCCACCCAAGGAAGCGACGAGAGGCCATCACAGACGAATCCAACACACAAATGTGTGTGGTGTTTGTGGTGTTTGCTGAGTTTGTCCTGCAGCTACGGTGGACTACGTACATCCACTTGTGAAGAATCCACTTGCTCGATAGCAACAACAATAATGCGTTTTCGGCCGAAAGTACGGAGTATCTGGGTTGTACAATCTCTACTCGACGTTTGTGGGAACCCTGTTCAGTGCTATTCTAGAAGGGAATACTCCGCAAGAACAGTGGAAAGGTGAGACCATGTGTTTTCGCTATAAGGTTGCTGCCACGCTCAAGATATCAACAGTTGCCTGCCATCAGCTGCTGGAAAGGACATAAAATTGATTGCAACTCCATATCGAGGAGATTAGCGATTCCACGTGTGGTTCGCGGTAAATGGAAATGATCAGCAACTGGTGATCCTCCTGGCTCGACATTGCCGATCAACCGTTGTTCCGTTCTCTGCAGACTGCGTGCTCTGCGGGATCACCAGAGCTGGCTGGATTGCCCAAGAGCCCAGGTCTTCCTCGCGTAGAGATTTCACTGCGCACAGGCTGCCAGGGATTTACTGTGTACTTGTGTATGCAAAGGTCGAGCAGCACATCCGGGCGCACCCACCGATAAGGTTGCGGGGGATGATTGCCTGTGCGCAAGTGGGAGGATCAAGCCCCAGTAGGCAAGCCCCTCAATGGAGACGGCGCTGGAGAACGGAATGGGTTTGACAGGCGCACCCCTTTCTGCAGCGCGGATATGAAATGCACGCTGCCGGAAGCTGCAGACGGGGCTCGGGCGTACGAGGTAGCACCCAGGCTGGTGGCTGCGAGTAGCCACCGCCTAACTTAGACGCGACCAGGCCAATTTCTCTTGCAGTGCGACTTGTTCTCGCTTCGCGACTCTGCTCTGCTCTGAAGTCGGCTTTCTACGCCTCTGATTGGCACCTTGAAACCTTGGGCAGGCCCGGCGCGCCTCGTTTGGCCTTGTAGAGCCACTCGGCTCTCGACCCCCGGCAGGGCTACGGCTCAACCATCGCATCCTTTGGGACGCGGTGAGAGAACGAAGGTTGCGCCAGCGACTAGCCCAGCCGAGGGAAGTATCGTGCGTGAGTTGTCTGTTTGACCACGAATTTTCGGGATCAATTGCAGACGTATTCCCTATTTTGGGAGAGATCCTATGTCCTTAGAGCTGCATCACTCACCATGAGCCAAACCTAGTTCACGACGGTGCTGGAACGACGGTGCATGCCGTGACAGCGAAGATCACAACTGTAGACCCGAGTAGCCCACACAGCTGATCAAGGTTGGATGGTTGTTTTGGCCGGCCAGTGAGAAAGGTTGTCCTTTGTCACTGGCAGCTCGTAACAGTCCTGCCCGTCCTGGGGCCTCTCAATCCCTTCTGGGACATTTAGTTGAAGGCGCAGGACAGGGGAGCACCCAGACCAACCCGCTTCGTTAAACAAGTTTGAGTGGAGTGGGACCCAGACACCAAGAGTTCACAGACCAGCGACCCAGAACCGGACCTCTTCCTCAATTCTGTGCCCCCGAACTCACCACCGACCGACCCTCAGTTTGTCCTGACCTCCAGACTGCAGTTGTCTTCCCTCGACCCTGCAGCTCTCTCTCTCACCTCTACGATCCAGCAGAGGAAACTTGTCCTCACCTTCCCGCTCGACTCCTCTGCAACTTCCCGCGACTCGGAACTCCCGTTGAAGCTTTGTGGAACCCCCGGCAATTATCCACCCTATCCCTGATACCTGGCTCGTTTGAGCTCCTGCGCCCCCATCATCGTCCACCTGGTCCCGACATCAGAGACATACTCGTTGCTTTGTGCGCGTCGCCTTGAACGGCCCTAATCGCCGCAGCTGGAGTTGTTGCGAGCTTCCATCGTGTCTTGGTCCGGAAAGGACCCCAGCCCGGCACCATGTCGACCGACTTGACGGGAGAGCAAATGCAGGCCAAAATCACGGCTGCGAGAAGAGAAGCGGAGGGTCTGAAGGACAGAATCAAGCGCAAGAAGGATGATTTGGCAGACACCAGCTGTAAGTTGCGGGACATCTCGTGTCGCAGTCATTGAAGCCCTCGCCGCCAGCGGATTGCTAATCAAGACCGCTTCATCCAGTGCGACAAGTCGCCCTCAACAATACCGAAGCCTTGCCACGGATAGGCATGAAGCCTCGACGGAACCTCAAAGGCCATCTCGCCAAAATCTACGCCATGCATTGGTCGACCGATCGCCGGCATTTGGTCTCGGCCTCTCAAGACGGCAAGCTCATTATCTGGGATGCCTATACCACCAACAAAGTCCACGCCATTCCCCTGCGATCCTCCTGGGTCATGACCTGCGCCTACGCTCCTAGCGGCAACTACGTTGCCTGCGGTGGTCTGGACAACATTTGCTCAATCTACAATCTCTCCACCCGGGAAGGTCCCACACGCGTTGCCCGCGAACTGTCTGGTCATTCCGGCTATCTGTCGTGCTGTCGATTTGTTAATGACAGAAAAATCATCACTTCATCTGGCGATATGACCTGCATGATGTGGGATATTGAGACGGGCTCTAAAGTCACCGAATTTGCAGACCACTTGGGCGATGTGATGAGCATCAGCATCAACCCAACCAATGCAAATATTTTTGTCAGCGGTGCATGCGACGCCTTCGCCAAGTTATGGGATGTGCGAACCGGAAAGGCTGTCCAAACATTTGCGGGACACGAATCTGACATAAACGCCATTCAATTCTTCCCGGATGGAAATGCCTTTGGAACCGGATCTGATGATGCTTCGTGCAAGCTTTTCGATATCAGAGCAGACCGGGAGCTGATGTCCTATCAGGTGAGTTCGAATCAACACCTCGAATACGGGCGTTTGCTGATAATGTGCCCAGAATGAACAAGTCCTCTGCGGCATCACGTCTGTCGCTTTCTCCGTTTCCGGTCGATTGCTCTTCGCCGGATACGATGACTTCGAATGCAAGGTTCGTATTGAGCGGCCCGGCTTTTCGTTCCAAACACTGATGGTGATTCCTAGGTCTGGGATACTCTACGTGGCGATAAAGTCGGTTCCTTGAATGGTCACGAGAACCGTGTCAGCTGCCTTGGTGTTAGCAACGACGGGATCAGCTTATGTACTGGCTCATGGGATTCTCTTGTAAGTCGCCATCTTCCGATGGTCCGCAAATCATACAAGCTAACGCATTGGTTTCTCAGCTCAAGATCTGGGCTTGGTGATCGGGCGCTGGGAAGGTTATATTCTGTCACATCAATGATAGCTAGCTCGGTGCTATCCTCAACTTGGCGGGCACCCATCATCATCAAAAACCAAAGTCGCTGTATCAGGAAGCTCCCATCGCCAGCTTTCGACGAATTTCATGTGCTGGCCATTGGCCTGGACTGATGACGGGGGCCTGAAGACCATTATTGTGCTTTTACACACCCGGGAGATTCTTTGACTGGATAAACGCCCTTTTGCGAGTGGGATGTTCGAGGGACAGGGGAAGCTACGGCTACGGACGGATGGGTCTATTTTCCTTGCCCCTCACAAGTCGCTTGCAGCAGCAGGGGAGAGACACAGCGCGCGTTGTTTGAAAGTCTACGACTGTCATGACTACCGGGTACTGGGTATGGGCGGGCGGAGACCTCTTTTTGTTCCATGTGCTCTGCTGTCGGCACATCGAGCCTGCCCTATCTCCTTCACCTTTTCTTCCAGCCGAACAAAAAGGCCACTTGCCAAAACCGACACTTGTTCCGAGTTCCTTCGAAAGAGCAGCACAGCAGCAGCAGGAGCATCACAGCAGCAACCTTTTCTTTACCGCATAGCGGTGTCAAAGAGCTCCGCAGGCAGAAGAGAGACCAAAAGTTGACTGTTCGACATTCGAAATTACCCTTTTGATCTCGCTTGTCTTGCGTGGATTTTCTCTCTTCTCTTGCCTGCATTGCCTTTGCTTAATTATGCGTTCCCCAAGTCTGTGAGTGTGTACGTTCTCCGTCACTCGTACAGAGTGCAGTGGCTCTCGGCCGCCCTCGGTCAATACCAGCGAACTCAAACGGAGTACGTAGTATGTACTCGGCCTTGCGCGTGCTCGTCACCCAACACGAACACGGACTAATAACTACCTAGGCAGGTACGGGCTACAGTACAGAGTCCGGACCACTCGATCTGTACGGAGTATGGAATACAGGGTACCTCGTAGGCTAATGAGCGTGACCCGTGCATGACCTTGCATGACCTGACCTGACCTGACCTGCATGGCCTCGCCGCCTCAATTTTTGGCGGGAGAAGGATTGGCCGGTCCGGCACAAGTACGGTACACAGCACAGTACAGCATGAGTTTCTAGAAGAAGAATACTACCTAGGTACCACACAATGTACTTTTGGGAGTACAACGCGTGGTCAAGGTATATGTATATGTATATGTATACACTGAGAGGACCTGTCGAGTGCAATACCTAGGTACCTAGGTAATTAGATACTGTAGTACTCCGTACTCCGTACTCGTGCAGTATACTCCGTACTCCTTACTCCGTAGTAGCTATTGCTTTGATGTGACGCACAGTTTCAGATTGAGTTTGAGTTTGAGTCTCAAGTTCCAGTGCGATTCCAGTTCTCTCTTCTAGCGTTTAACAAACGGAGTGTCCGTCCTTGCCGGCTGGGTACATGCCCTAAGCACCTACTAGTACGTCTCGTACATGTATCTATGCATTCTATTCTGGGGATGGTAGGGGAGGCACGGCTGAGGCGCAGAATGTCCTGCTGAGCGATACGGAGTACTGGGGGCACTTTCACGTCAAGCAGCGCAATGTTCCGTGGCAGTTGATCCCAGTTCTGTAGTGTCTTCATGTCTGTCTGTACACTCAATGCTACCTAGCCGTGCTGCGTGCGCCAATAAAGCCCGGTTCCAATGTGCGCGCAGAACAAAATACAAGCCCGAGCCAACCCACTTTAACAACCCTGGGACATGAAAGCCGATGAACAGACAATCGACCTCTTCTCCTACAGACCTGCCGTTGGCTATGGATGCCCTCTTCACCATCACAACGGAGATGGTCGGATAGGAGGGCGACTTTCCACATCCTCCATCTCCATCCTCGTCTGCCAAATGGAGTGTCATCTTACTCGTAAAAGTAGAGTGCTTCTCTGTAGGGTGGTCACTGGACATTGCCTTTCCCTTTCCTAGCAAGCGCAACCGTCCCTCTCCTGATCCAGATTGATATTGATCGGGTCTGAAAAGTCGCCACCATACTCCTCGCTCTCTTCCTGCGCGAGGGCATTCCTGGCAATCACCTCAAACGCCTGCTCCACGTTGATGCTCTCCTTGGCACTGGTCTCGAAATACGGCATCTGCCCTCGACTCTGACAATACTGCTGCGCCCGCTTCTGGCTGACCATCCTCCGATCCTCGCCCATGTCGATCTTGTTGCCCAACACGACGAAGGGAAAACTCTCCGGGTCGCGCGGGCTGGCTTGGATGAGGAATTCATCGCGCCAGCTGTCTAGGGTTTCGAACGACTTTGAGCTGTTGACGTCGTAGACCAGCACGCAGCAGTCTGCGCCACGGTAGAAGGCCACGCCGAGTGATTGGAAGCGCTCCTGGCCGGCGGTGTCCCAGAGTTGGAGCGTCACGATGCGGTCGTCGACAGTGACTTCTTTGGTTAGGAAGTCGGCGCCGATCGTGGCTTTGTAGGAGGTGGAGAATTTCTTATTCACCTGGGAGGGACGTTAGGATGGTTCGCTCTGTGGATTGCCACAAGGGCGCTCGTACATATTGATTCATTAAGCTGGTCTTGCCGACGCCGCTGTCGCCCAGGATGATCACCTGCGTAAGATAACTTGTTAGCTGTGTGTGATTGCGATAAAGCTTGGACTCGTACCTTCAGTAACACCTTCTTCCTCGACGCCATGGCTGGTGTAGTCTGTGCTTCTCCTCTTTCGTTGCCGAGCAGATGTTGCGAGATGCTCGTACGGGTGTCACTTCCTTGCCTTCAGCTCAATCACACTGCGGCTGCGAGACTGGTGGAGGCTGTCCGGGAAGAGGTCACGCGCGGCGTGAAGGTTGTCAGAGTAGACAGACGGTGGCGATGCCCGAGCAACCAGTGAACCAAAACCAAGTGCCTTACTTTCTGGGTATCTGGGCGTGGAATGGCAAGCTTGCGAGTTGTGTTTGTTTGATGGTTGATAGATCTTGCGACACAGGATGCATCACTACAGACACAGACGTCAATCGAACCAAGCCACAGACCTCCAGCCTCACCATCGATCGGGATGTCGGCGGGTAGGCAGCGGCCGACGGCAGAAGGAAGGTGAGCCGGGTGGCCGGATTGGCGCCTTGCTTGTTTGGGAGGCTCGTCCCTTGTCCACATGTTCTCAGAGTCCAACACTGTCTGTACACGTTTGACGGTTTACCATATGCAGAGCATACTTTTGAGATGATTCTCATTTGCGTAAAGAGTGTGCTTTCAATGAAATGCAGATGACAAGCTCAAACCAACCATGGCAACATGGAGAGAACAATACCTCTCTGCCTTGCAAGCCCGAGATCAGGTAGAGCAAGCCAACGTCGACCTCTACGACTACTGCACAAAACTGGCAGATGACCGGGCTGGATTGGAAAAGAAAATCAGACTAGCAGGGAGGGCAGCATCCGCGTCAGAAGACCCCCCCGCTGCGCCTGAACCTGTGACGACCCCAGGATGGGGCATAAGGAGAGTCACGTCGCCAGCCGCACGGCCTGAGTCGCCCAACTCCAGCCCCACGCAGCTGACACAGCTGAGACGGGACCTGTCCAAAGCCCAAAGCGAGCGCGCGGACCTGCAGACGCGGCTGGACACAGCACTCCGCGACCTAGAGGCATTCAAAAGCAAAACCAAAGTGGACAACAAACGGATCACCCAACTCAGCGCTTCTGTCAACCAGTTAACGATAAAAGTCCGTGATAGAGAGGAAGAACTCCGCGGCAAAGCGAAACTGATTGAGAATGTGCAAGACGAGAACGTCACGCTGAACCTTCAACTCAATATGGCAGAGGAGCAGTCTGCGAAGCTGAAGAAGGAGAACCAAGATTTGGTGGACCGCTGGATGGCCCGCATGGGCAAAGAGGCAGACAGGATGAATGAGGAAGGGAAATTTGGCTGAGATGGCAGTACGCAATGTTTGCAGCCTGTCTCGCATTTGGTGCCGCTTTTCTCGGTGAGAGTAAAGAAGCTGGATATCTCGTTTTTCATCCTCCACGGAACAAGTGAGTCGAGACGCTGTTTGGACCGCTTCTACTTCCCGTGCAAGCCATCAAGCCTGCTGTTACCTGCCTTGCAAAATCCGTCAGCAGAGCAGTCGATGCTCAATCTGTCAGGAAAATGAGGGATATCCCCCGGCGGTTTCATGCCAGTGGCCCAGCCAGAATCGATACTAGGGCACCCTTAACACATAATGTGTAAGTCGACCATGAGCCTTGACCCCCCCCATCTCGACTATTCGACAGGACTAACAACGTAGTCATGTTAGGCCCATACAGATAGAGGTGTATATCCAGCAGGGAGCGAAGCGTGTGGCCGCGCATGCTAGAGAGGTAAATGTTGGCGATAAACTGGTGTCAATGTCGGACTGTGCAGCGGCTTCAAATCCACCGGCTAAAACCAGAGTCTGAAAGGTCATTTATATCCTAAAAGCCACAGAATGCTGCTCGGCCAGTACTGTAGCTCTACAATTGGAGCGCCTGCGGCATGCGCTGTGCAGAAAGTCTCATCGCTCATCCTACGCCTTCGCAATGCTTGTCCAAAAGTCCCGAAGCCCAGCACGAGTCGTCAAAAGCGGATCAACTGTCAGTACTACATCTTGTCGTTCTTGATCGCTCATCTCCTCCACCGTGTAGTACCCTCGGCGCCCAATGTGTAGCAATCGGCTCCTAACACTTCGTCGTCCCACCGAGCCCCTCCATAAAGGCTTGCAACTCCCTGGAATCCTTGTGCTGATGATACCATTTGCCCGGATCATCAGTCCAGCTGACCATGGAGCTCCACCGCTCCTTCTCCACCACCCGCAGCACGTTGATCGGGTCGTTGACATTCGCGGCCTTGATCTGGTGCGTCGGACTGCGGAACGGTTTGAGCGACACGATCTGGCACCCTTCCTTCAAGTCGAGGAAGACGTATTTCAGCTTGTCATTCAGCTCCGAGGTGAACGCTTGGTTGTTGATCAGGATGACGTCGGCTCGCTTCAGGACCTCTCGGATCTGTTTGTTCTCCAGGAAATCACCGTGGACGAGGTGGATGGCCCCGGGTTTGATGCCCCAGAGACGGCACCGCGCCGGGAACTCCGCGGCCTGAAGCTGGGCGAGCGTGTCGCAGTTCTTCATCACTTCGCAGCCCCATGATTCGCACCCGGTCTCCAGTGCGGCTTGGAGGACGCAGTTGCCGACGCCGGAGCCGAGGTCGATGAAGACTTGGTCGGACTTGAGGTTGGTCTCCTTGAAGATCTGACTCAGGAACTTGGGCAGGAGTTCGCCGTAGACATTGTCCGAGAAGCCCTCGTACTGACGCACAAGGTTGACCCGGGGCGACACCGTCCGCGCGTAGATCTGATTCTTGATGATGTGTTCCACCAGTCTGAGATCGACGCGGCGCATCTGGTCCAGTTTTTGGGCGATTGTGCCGTCTTTGCGCTTTTCCGCCACCAAAGCGTTGAACTTGTTGACCAAGTCAATGTACTTCGACTGAGCTCCCTGAGCGTTCGGACGGCGCTTAAAGCCTAGAAGAGCTTGATGTCGCAGTTGCTGTATGATCCCTGAGCCGTCCTCTTCGCTTGTGACCTTCTCGGCGGATGCGCTATCAAGATAGTATTCCGCCACGATTTTCATGTTCGCTTCGATCTCGTCCAACGGTTTGAAATCGGACTGATCATTAGGCCTGACCAACTGGTATCTTTCCGTCTGCAATGAAGTAGGATATTGTAGCTCGATGGTAGGGCACTCCTCCTCGTCTGTATCCAAGATTGTGAAAAAGGCCGCGTACTGGTCATGGCCATGCTCGACGAGACCATTGTTCGCAATATCAAAGGCGTGCACCATGTGGAAGCCGCCATCCTCCTCTTGAGAAAATGCCTGCACATCTCTGACTTTGCGGTTCTGGTCGATGCTGTCCTTGCGCTCCAGGCGGATGCGCTTCCGAGGCTGAGTGGCGGCGTCGTCGTCGGTGTCCTCGTCGGAACTTGTCAACCTGGGCGTCGAGACGGCGGGAGAGGCTCGCTTGTTCTGATTTCGTCGGGCGTTCTTGATGCGCTCGATGGGCTCTCCGCTGCCTTGCCGCGACCGCACCGAAACCGGCGTACTTGATTTTCGAGGGATGCTTGCGGTGCGGGAATGCCCGTTGCTGAGCGGCTTCTGCGAGGCCGATGTTGGTCTAGCGGGGCCTGCGGAGGGCGAGGGTCTAGCGACTGGTTTGGGCGTCGAGGCCACCGTCACAATCTTGGTAGCGATCTTGAGAGGAGCCTTTTTGGCTTTCATGGCAGAGAACGACAAGGGTCGCCCTTCGGTAGGCAGAGATCCCATGATGGATTGATGTGCGGCTGAGGATGATAAAGACCACGTAGTCCAACGACTCAAGAAAAGAATGTATTATAGATTATGTTGACATAGTACGAGGGGTAAAAAGGAAGGTGAAGATGAGATCCAGCCGTACTGCCTTTCCTGTGGCACGAGACAAGTGGAGATGGGATCGAGGCACGAGGGAAAAGAATGCGGAAGAGGCGAAGGAGCCACGAGCCTTAGTGAGGCGCCACGGCGTCCACGGTACCTTGCATTATGGCTCCTTGGCCTGCGTCATGCATGGGCTCGTTCTCGGAGCGGAAGTGTGGGTGACTTTGATACAAAAATACAAGGGCAGAGCCATCAACACTCTGGGGACGAGCTGTTCCGCCTCGTCTGTCTTGCATCGTTCCATGACCTCTTCCGGCCACCTCCCCTCCATCCACCGCCATGGTTCGACCGCTTGTAGCGATAGTCGCTCTCCGACCGATCACGATCGTCAATTCTATTCTGGGTCGAAGGCGGCGGGTGCGTCTCAACCCAGTCCTCCAGCACCTTCGTGATTTTGGGTCCCCAGGTATCCTCTCCAGCTCCCAGATCCTCCCAAGTGATGGCAGGCACAAAGCCTTCCGGAATAGGTTCAATGTTGGTGAAATGCCCTTGCTTGCTGCGGACCAAGGCCGCCATCGTTCCGTACGAGTCACAAGCAGTTCCAAGGTCGTACGCGAATGAGCGCACGTAGAAGCCACTACTAACGGTCAGGCGTATACGGGCCGCTGGTGCATTTGCTGGCTGCGCCTCGAGTGTCCCTATGTCGTGAGTGTGCATTGCCGCCTTCTTGTCAGGAGGGAGATTGTTGGATTCCCGGAACTCTTTGTACCTCTCGCTTGGAGGAGTCCGCGGCCTAGTAGGTGCTGCGTCTTGACCTAGTAGCTTTTTGGTCGACTCTGCTCCGGCGATAAGCTTTTGCGCAACAGCCTTTTCCTCGTCGGTCGCTTGCTCAGCGGGCCATCTGTAACCATGCTCACCAGGGTCATAGTAGTCAAGAAGCGTACACTCTGAGATCTCGATATCCCGGCTTTCCAGTTGCCGGGGCAGTTCCTTTCCACTTCTCGCATACTCGTACAGCTTCATACCTTGGACCTTGATAGCACTGTAGATGGGTGGAATCTGCTTCATCTTGCCCCTGAATTGGGCCAACTTGTCTTCAACAACCTCTCGGGTGATGTGCTCGGTTGAAGCCGCCGCTACAACTTTGCCCATGATATCGTAGGTGTCGGTGCTTTTTCCAAAGAGGACCACCGTCTCGTAGGTCTTCTTACAGCCAAGAAAGTCGGGCAGAGATTTGGAGCCGCGGCCGATTCCGACGATCAAAACTCCGGTCGCCAGAGGATCCAAGGTGCCGCCGTGGCCCATCTTGAAAATCTGGTCATCACTCGTCCTTTTCCGACGTTTGGGCTGGTGACGGTCTTGCTCCTCTCTGGCTCTTTTAGTCTGCTCAAGTAATGGCGCAAACGTCTTAGACTCCGCAAACTTATGTTGGAGCTCGCGAAGAACTTGGGCCGAAGAGACGCTGGGTGGTTTGCTGACAGCTATTGAACGACGGGAAACCAGTTAGGGATTGGACGCGAAAACAGCAAATGTCTCGGGAGAGGAATCGGCCTCACCGAAGACGCCTTCGAGGAGTTTCCCCGACGGCTGTGCCATCTTGATGATCCAAAGTGGCCTCATACACCCGAAAGGTATTTCAAGAGATGCGGTTGGACGTAGGGACCCAGTGACGCGCACCTGGTAAAAGGAAGATGGAAAGACTCGAGCAACCATAGCCGGCGAAGCAATCGAATCCACGTGACTTGAAGATGCTTGCCTGTTGCTGCGATTCGTCTCCCTCCACCACTTGTCCAGCCTCTTCTCTCATTACTCTAGCAGAATGACTCGGTTTTATTCCTTCAACGACTCACTCAAGCCCACGCTGTCACCGACAGTGGTTGACATAGAATCCCTTTCGCGCTTACTCTGCACCGACAGTCCCACATGAGCCCAGGGCCTTGAGGAGCATTTGCCCTGGCTACGACAGTGGACCCCGTTTACGAGGCCGCAGCATGAGCCTGCCACCTTTCTGCCTTTGGACATGGGCACCCTGCCGGAAGAACGTGTTCTAAAGGCCCTCGATCCTCCTCCGGACGATGTCAACGAATGGCCAGACTTCGCGCTACGAGAAGCAAAGATCTTCTACCAGGGCAAAGGCCGGTATGCAGATCTGCTTCAGGCTTCGGATGAGACACCTTTATGCGTTGTAGGCGAATTGATGCCATTAGACGACGAGCAGGACCATCTAGCTTTGACAGACGTTCCCACTCACGCAAGAATAAAGATAGACAATGTCACAAATTACAGTTTTGGTCAAGATGACAACGGCAAGCCGGTCATCTGGGCTGCGGGCAAAGCAGGCTGGTACGAGATATCGCCCTCCGACCGCTACCTGAGTCACTACAACGATACGGTCGAAGCTATCGACCTCTTCTACTTTATGGTGGATCAGCACAATAAGCTGCCGCGGAAACAACAGCGGTTCGGCTTCAAGATAGATCCCTTCCTCGCAGACTACCAGAAGCACACGGACTATAGGTTTGACGACGACGACGAAGCCATGGAGACGATCCACAAACACCATCGCTTTCTGCTGAGGCAGATGATAGAGGAGCGGGAAGAGGTTGACTGGTCCCAAACATATCTCTGGAAGCACTTGGCCGAAACATATGCCGACGAGCTGGAAGAATTGAAAGCCACTCTGGCGCGTCTGAATCAAGCAGACCAACGGATAGAGGAGGAGGAGGAGGAGGAGTCGTCGTCTTCATCTTCGTCATCGTCGTCAGAAGGAGAGGAAGAATCAGAGTCAGAATCAGAGTCAGGGGAGCAGAATACATTGCGTGCCGATGCAACCAAAACGTCGGACGATCCCGACGAAGAATCTGGTGAAGACGAATCCGAAGACGCTTCCGAAACAGCTAGCAGTGGCTCAGGGGACAACAAACCCGAGCCAATTGACTGGACCGAGCCGATCTGGGACATGCTCAACATCCTCCGCAAATCTGCCAACTTCAACATGCGCCACTGCGGCATCGACCAAGCCGCTTCGGAGCTCGAAAAACTTCCTACATTCCAAGGCACCCATTCGGACGCGGTCGCGGCCTTCGAACGCTCAGCGGCACCGCTTCTAAAACTTATGAACGAGGCCAAATTGCGCAAGAAATTCAATTGGTCTACCCGGAGAATATACGACGAATTGGAAGCCACGCTTGCAGAGGAAGTCGCCGAGGAAACGATCAAGACGCCAGGCAAACCCGGGAACAGAGAGAAACAACGGCACCGGATGAAGTCTGTGCTGCGGCCCAGTGGAGCCAGCAAGTCCCATAAACGTGCTAGAGGCACGGTGGACGAGGATGAAGACGAAGAGATGGAGGACGTGGCTATCTCGTCCCCCGTTGCTCGACGGCAAGGTGCAGCTGCGCTCTCCGCGCCGAGGGCCAGAGAAGCCACCATCGACTCGGATGCCAGCCGGGAAGACAGTCCGAGTCGGCAGCTCAACGGGCATTTCGACCCGTATGGATTGCCAGAGTTGCCGCCCGGGCCGGAGGCGCAAGAAATGCTCGACTTGGTCGCACAAGAGGCCAAGCGAGTCGGTCGGCAGAACCAGACGGGCCATCTTAAGGAGTTTCTCGGCCAGTGGGTGGTCTAGTGGGTTAATACTCTGAGCATTGACGATGGCGTTGTGGGACTGCGCGGCCGAGTCGAGATTTCGTGGCACAAAGGAAGGACGCATCTGCATGATTATGATACCCCCCTTGTGCTTTGACAGCTGTTTCGCCTTCTTGTCTGTGTGATAGAAGAAGCAAAGAAGCGGGACCAATATATTTTCTTCATCACTTCCATGCTGGTTTCACCGAGCGGCCGACGACCTCCTGCTCTTGCCCGGTCTTTTCGCCTTCACCTTGTTTCCTCCCTTTCCTTTCATCCTCGCCGCCGAAAACCCACGCATGTCGGAACTGCTGGCGGCGTCACCGCTCTTGGAATGCCGCTTCTTGCCTCCAAACCCGTACTTTTGATCGCGCTTCTGCCTCTTCGCATTGAACCCGGGTCCCCGCTCGCGACCGGAGCGGTCCTTGGCACCGGCCTTCTCGACATCGACCCTCTGAAAGAGATCGTCGTCGACATTTCCCTCGGCGACTTTTCCCGTGTCGGCGCCTCTTCGTTCTATTTTTCGTCACGTTAGCAGCGAACCACACATACACATACGCACCACGCCAGCCGTCGCGAGGTGGGGCAAAGGGAGGGAGAGGGGTTTCAACGCACTCCTCTTCAGCTCCTTGATCCTGTCCAGCGTGGTTTTCTTCTCCTTGGCCCGTTCCTGCTCCTTGGCGACCTGGACGGCCTTGCCGAACTTGCGGGCATCCCTCAATTTCCGCGCCTCCTCGGCGGCCTTCTTGCCCGCCGCCTCGTCGTACATCTTCTGCTTGACCCGCCCCATGTGCTCGTCCGTCTTGACCATCTCGGCGAAATAGTCGGCCGGACGGGTGAATGGGATGCCTTCGGATTCGAGTTTCTCGCGCGCCGAGAGCACCGCCGTGCGGGCGATGCGGTAGAACTCGAGTTCGCGGGTCAAATCGTCATTGGGGTCGGGGATGGATTCGCTCGCAGGGGCGAGGGAGGAGGTGAGGGAGTTGTGGTGGTGGAAAGGTGTGGTTTTGGGGTTCTTCACGACGGCGATGCGGGTTCGCGAGGCGAGCAGCGCCGGACCGTTGTTGATGGTCATCTTTTGGTAGGGGACTGTGTCTTCGAGGTCCGAGTCGTCGAGGTCTGATACGGGGACGTCGGAGTCGTTTTCTTCTGCTTCAGACGCCGAGGCGGCCGTCTCTGCTGGTTGTGGGATTGTGGTGTTGGCTTTGGCGTCTATAGCTGCGTTCTCGTCTTCGTCAAAGTCGGCAAAGTCGTCCTTCTGGAGCGCCTCCTCTGACGGGTGTGACTCCTGGTCGTTGTTCTCTATCATATCGTCTTCTTTCTCAACGCGCTCCGGAGTGTCGAGTTTCTGCCTCTTCCGTTTCTCGGCCGCTTTCACTTGTGCTTTTCTTTTCTCCGCCTCGTAGTCGCGGCCCTTGTGTGCGTCCAGCGCGGCTAGCAGTTTACTTTTCTTCGCCATCTTGCCGGATTAGCTAGTCGTGGTGGAGGGGTAGGCTTTTGTAACGAGAAAAGATATCTGTCTATCGGTCAATCGCTCTTCGGCACCAAAAAAGTTGAAGAGTCGGGGAAATTTTCAGGCTGGAGTTTCCTCCGCAAAGGTGCTTGATGCCTATTGGCGGAGAGGCCACGACGAGTGGTACGTCGGAGCATACCATCACCACACGCATACACAGTAAGGCTTGACTCAAAGCCTCGAGCCGCCGCGGACAGCCTCGCCGCAGAGCGAAATACGAGCACCCTGCACGAGTCCTCCGTACCTCGTACTCCGCACTCTCCGTTGTAACTCAGCAACCGCACCACCCTCACTCCTATCTCGAGCGACCGTTGCAGCACAGGTGCAGAACAACTTGGTCTGGCTGGCCGGACGACATGCATCTCAAGTGAAAGAGCCGTGCACCTTTGTTTTCTTGAGTTTCTCACATTCCTTCTCCGTAACGAGTACGACAGGAGTCCCGGTTGAGTCGAGGCATTCCAGACGTTGTCGTCGACTGCGTCTTGTTTGCACATACATGAAATCCACTACGCGAACAGGGTCGGGTAATAGAACTATCATCATGGTGAGTTCAAGTCCACGTCCCCTGTACAAAGTCAACAAGAAGCGCCCCGGCGCGGAGCGTCGCAACGCAACCACTGTCCCCTTCCCTTTTCCGCGGAGACGATGCCTAACGGGACTTAACCCCCAGTCGACGCCCACCCCGCCGCCCCTTCCTGGTGGTGGGTTCAACAACACCAGCTCGGCCCTCTCGGCGCATCACGCAACGACCACGCACGCCCCGCCGCCGCCGTCATCCGAGACAGGCCAAGAAGCCACGACGAAGCTCGCCGAGGCGATTGACGACTTTTTGGGCGATCTGGAGAAGAAATTCAAGGGCATCAGTGACGAGATCCTCACCAAGCTGGACGATATGGCGGAGCGGTGTGACCGGTTGGAGCAGGAGATGCTCGTGAGGGAGACGAGCAGTAATGCGCTGGAGGGGGTCGGGGCGAAGGGGCCGGGCAGTCAGGCTGGGCCGGGGTGATTCCCGCTGAGGAAGTCAAACTCCGTCCTATGGCACACTGGAACTGGGCGTGGTGTCTAATAAGCGTGTGTGCCGCTTATCTAGGCGGGGTGATACCTTTTTGAGGGACTCGACTTTTCGCTCGAAGAAGAAAGACAACATACCTCCCTGTTCAGTATCGTGGCAGAGATGGTACAGCACAGCACGGGAAGGATGAGGTCGCGGCCTGCTTGGCACATGCTTCCAAGTAGCAAGCCGGCTTTTTCCGAAGCGAGGCGGGTGGAGGGGAGAGGAGGGGAGAGCAGACACTCGGGGTCTGGCAAAGGCAGATTGGTTGGGAACGGCACATATCCTAACCCGTGTAGTCAAGCGGAGATCAGCTCCACAATCGACTTGCAGCGAGCTACAGGCAAGGGGAAGGGCACACTCGCCCGAAGCACTCACTACGATAACAACAAGAACGAGGGCAAGTGAACATGACAAGATCCTTTAGAAATCATGATGATACCTACCTACCTAAGCCAATGTATACAAATCAACACCAGCAGAGTAACTCCTTCCTTCCCACCAGGCTTTTGTGGCGCCCAACCTCAGTTTCTCGTAGCCATCGTACTGCACCTTATAACTCGCTCTTCGCCTCGGGCTCCTTGACCAAGAACTTGGCCAGGATGTTGCTTCTCTTCTGCAAGTCGTCAATCTTCTCCGGCGCGAGACCCCCCTTCTTCAACAGGCCAGCCAGCCGGGTCTGCTCCTTCATGGCGTACTCGGGGTTTCCGGTCAATTTGGACACCGCACGGAGGTAGTAGTCGACGGACGAGTTCTTAAGATCCTTGGCCAGGGTCTTGATCTCCTCTGCCAGATTTTCCGCATCCTTGAGACCATTCGCGGTGACGTACTTGGAGAGAAGCGAGTCAATGACCTCGATCGTGCCGGCCTGCGAGTTCAACGTCCCGCCAGGCGCCCTGTACGTGCCGGCCTTGGAGTTGACAAAGTCGACGATGGCCTCCTCGCTTCGCGCGCCGCTGTACGATTCCGCCTCCTTGGAGCCCTTGGGGAAGAACTTGATGGTCGGGTAGCCGGTGATGCCTTGGTCCTGGGCCGTGGCCTTTGCGTTCTCGGCTTCGGCGTCGACCTTGGCGATCAGGACGCCCGGCTCGCTAGCGAAGTCGGCAGCGACCTTTTCCCATGTCGGAGCGAGGGACTTACAGTCTGTAGATTAGGTAGATTAGCACGCATGCCATGCAGTCCATCTGGGGCAAATTCAAACTTACGGCCACACCACGGGGCAGTGAAGGCGACGAGCACGTCCTTGTCGCCCCCGACCTCGGTCTGAAAGGTCGAATCCGTCAACATCTCCACATGGCTCGGCGCCTTCTTGGGGCCCTTTGCCTTGACGCCACTCTTCTCGCTCACAAACGCCGTCAGACTCTCCAGATCCCGGCCGCCATTATAGTCTTGCGGCTCGGACCCGGGCTTGCCGTCAAACCACTTCAGCGTAGGGAACCCCTGGACGCCAAATCTCTTGCCTAGATCTTTGTGCTTGTCCGCATCGACATTGGCAATCGTGACTTTGTTGCCCGAGGTCGCGAAGGCGGTGGCCAGTTCTTCATAGACGGGGGCGAGGTTCTTGCAATGGCCACACCATGGGGCAAAGAACTCGACCAGCGCGGGCTTGCCGGACTCGAAGACGACGGTGTCAAAGTTGGACGGGATCAGGTTGACCACATCAGAGGCGGAGGCGAGGAGGGGGAGCGCGAGGGTTACGAACGGGAGGAACGAGCGTAGTTGCACCATGATGGCGCTCTGTTGTGTAAACTGGGGATCCGAGCGTCCTGAAAAGGTTCGAGTGAGTGTCTCAGGAGTAAGGAGGATGGCTGATTCCAGCGGCGACGAGGCGAACAGAAGGTGAATTGAATTGAAGTGAATCGTCAATCACTCAGATATATTCTTTGGTGGCGCCGCTTTTGTTGCCCTGAGGCATCACTAGCATGTCGATTTCCAAGCAAAATCCCTGCATTTTCTGATCCATGAGGACAAGGACACCTTGCCTCAACCGCACAGCCTCACACACAATATCAGGATCAATCATTCTTTGGACCTTGTATTTTACCTCACCAGCAGCATGATTAAGATTTTTCTGCCACATACAAGGTAGGCCTGGACAACTGTCCAACCTGCACTGACCTGGGTGATGCGCCGTCTTTTGGAGGCCACAGATGCTGGAGACCATGACTGTTCGCTTGCTTGTCGCAACACATGAGCATTACAGTCACCGTGACCGCTTGATCGACCAGATGTCAGTCATGTGTGGAAGCATGGCACTAACCACAGAGAAGAATCATGTTGAATTCCACTACTCAGCCGTCCTTGAAGGCAGAGTCATAATGTCCAGGCGGCCTTCTTCTATCTCGACCAAGGTTGCTGCCAAGACCAAAGTCGTACCTTCACCAGTTGTCGGGGACGAGTCTTCGTTGGCCCAAGCCCGCTCGAATTCTACTCTGCGCCTTGCATCCTTCTGCTGGGTATGAAAGCGCTGAAACTGGGATTTGGCGTTCATTGCTTACGCTACAGCACGGGCGTAGGGACCAACAAATGTAGCAAGTAGATCAACCACCTCAGTAACCACCTGTTTCCTGGTGCAGACATTATTTAGGGGTATGGAGAACAACTGTGCTCTTTCATAAAAGGCTGGACTCCGAATTCGGGACTCTGTAGGTCGTCAAGTTATCAAGAGCATTCCAACACCTTTATCGCCGTCGCTTGTTGCCAGTCGTGCAGTGAAATCCCCCAGAGCTATGCAAAATTTCATGCTGTGCGTCTCCTGGACTGGATCCCTCTACTTGCCCTCATCTGGCCCCGTATAATTGGAGGTACGCAGAATGGGCGTCAACAAGCACTGTCAGAATTGGTCAGCAGAGATGGGAATACGAGAGTGAAGACAACTCACTTTGCAGCACTTGTTGCTGGAACTGCTTGCTTTCACACGCACACTGTATACATCTCCCATCTTTCAAGTCAAGTATGACGCTCCAAGCCATCTCTTCCCGTTCGTAATCAGGCAAAGTTGGTCGCTTGAAGTCGCCCAGGTGATATTTGCGGCTGACACTTTTCATATTGCTTTCTGTCGCGGGCTGTGAGAAGATTAGGTATCCTTGGTCATCGATCCTCATAAAGCGCCGTTTCCATAAGAACGACTCTGGAAATTGGACGTTGACGTCGCCAATGTCGACTACGTGAAGTAACGAATCTGCTATCGAGTTCTCTCGAGGCAGGTCCTGGTAATCTTGACTTGGCTGAGATTGGTGGGACTGTCCCTTCGCTGGCGACTGGTTTCTGTTGCGCGAGGTGGTGAAATTCGACATCCGCTTCATTAGTCTGCTGGTCATCGATGTTTTGGCCTTGTCGTCGCCTATGGATGCGGCATCACTGACGGACAAAGTGACATGCCGCTTGTGGTTGCCAGACTTGGAAACCTTGCTGTGATCCGAACTTGACCGAGGGAGGTTCGTGTGGGAGTTCGACCGATGCGAAGAAAAGGAAAATCGGCCTCGGTCGGATTTCGTGGGGCTTTTAACCCTGGGTTGATTGGCAGCCAGGCTTCGATCAGACGCTGGGTCGTGCTTCTCATGTTCGACAATCAAAGGACTCTTATGCAGATTCAAAGGAGCGTGGTAGTTGGAGCTGGGGGCTTGAGGGGGATGCTTGCTGTTTTGATCCCGCACAATACGTGCTGTCACGGAGATAGTCTCGCCCTTCTGGGACGCTCTATGCACATCAACTGATGGCCGTTGGATTTCTCTCCCAGCGAGCGAGGAATGGGGGTCATACTGAGGCCCTGTCGTTGGCAAGGCTTTTGGAGGTGAATTATCAGTCGACGCGTTGAGGGTTTGCTGCTGATTCGAAAGAAGCGACGAGCGCTTCATGAAAGTTGAAAAAGCCGAAGTCCCGGCACTGGTCTCGCGAACCGGCTGACGCGGAGGGCTTACATCTTTTGTCCTCAGCACTTCTAAGGCTTTGATGCGTTTTGAAATGCCCGTGCCGAGTGTAGCCTTCTTCGTTAAAGGGGCTGAAATGGGCTCTGCGGGTAATGGCGGCCACTGTGGCAGGGCCGTTGACACGCTCCGTACGCTTCCACTGGCGGATCTGCCGCGCTCAGGTGTGGTTGCGGCGCTCCGTCCGGTTGTTGAATGGCTTGTAGTTGGAGGCTTGTTGACAACCTCACGCAGACGATCAGAACTTCCCTTGGACATGATTGGAGTCACTGGTGATCGCGCGACAGATATTGGCTTAGCTTCGTGGACCGTGGCAGTATGTATTTCGTCCATCAACGAGTCATCGTCCGAAAGGTCTGATGTTGAAGCATGGCTGTTTGGCCGTAGCTTCAGAGGTTCTGGTGGTGCCAGGCGCCTTGATTTCCTAGGTGAAGAGTGCTGTGTTGCTGATGTGACGACTGGAATTGCGCGCCGAGCCTCCGAGCTCTGTTGAGGTCTGATCTCCATGACACAAGTGTCTGGTTCCTTGTCTGGTACTGCTTCCAGATAGGCCAAAGCTACCTTTACGTCAGCATGAGGGTCGTCTTCAGTCTCGATTGCGGCAATGGAGGTGGTTGAAATGCTTGACGGTCTTATACATGCAGATCGTGTACTCTCCGCGCCGGCCTTCTCGTCCTCGGCCGGGGCTTTCGGTGTGAGTGATGAGCTGGTAGCCGATGACAGCGAGCGGCGGGAATGAGGAGTATTGGCGTGTTCGCTGAAAGACGAAGCCTTGGTTGACGGTTCTTCAGAGATGTACGTCATAGTCGTCGGGGACGTTGTGTAAGAGGAATGTGTCAATTTCGTCTCCTCATCCAGATTCGAGAGCTGCTCCTGGCTAGGTATCGATGACAAACGAGTACTCGAGGTGTCCGTGCTTAGACTTGCTTCCGACGCGTTCTGGCTGTGCACATCTGATTGCGTTGAGGATAGCGCCGAAGCTCTCTGAGCTAAGAGCATATTCCTCTTCCTCAATTGCAGAGCCTTCATTAATCGGACCTTCTCTGGGGTTGCTGTGTATGCATCTCCGGTGACCGATGCGGGCCCTAGTATAGCAGATCGACTATCGCTGGGGCTATAGGGTGCCCGCAGAAAAGATGGTGATGGAAGGGGAGGAGCGCCGTTTGTCGACTGGCTCGACGTTGCAAATCGACCTGGGACACTCCGGGTTGACTGCTGCGAGCCGGGTCTAAGTCCCAGACTGACCAGAGACTTATTATTAACCCGAATAGAGGTTGGCAGATTAGCCACTGGCCGTATACCCGTGCTACTGTCGATTGTTCCAGATGTTTTTGGACGTCCAGTCGGTTCGACATGTGGACGTGGGCCTCGCTTCTTCTTCTTTGGCTTCGCCGTTGCATAAGACGTCACATTACTGCTCCATTGGCTGATACTGTCCGACTCAGCGGCTGAAAGATGACGAGTGTGAGGGCGAGGGGTAGTCTGACTGGAGGATTCTGCTGCAGTCGCGGCGGTGGCACCCAAGAGGATATTGCTCGTGGTGTCGAAGTCTGGTGCTGTGGGTGGTTCTCCCTCGCTGGTAGAGGGTGGTGTGGGCTCGGGCGTCGCTGGGAGCGCTTTATCTGTGATGATTGAAGGCAGTGGCGAAGGTAAGGGTGAGGTAGACAATTTGGGGGACGCAAGCAAACCCTCCTTTCGTGGAGGATGCAGGTCCCTTTCCTGCGAGGAGTGCGCATTGCTGGTGGGAGTGCCAGTGAGAGCAGACGCTGCAGCAGCTGCTTCCTCCTTCCTTTTCGCCAGTAGAGCTTTAGCAAGCACGGCGCTGGCCGGTAATTCATCGAGTTCGCGCCTTCCGAAAGCTGTGATCGGACTCTGTGGCAGAGGCGCCTCGTCTGTTTGTGGTGGTAGAAAATCGAGAGCGAGGCGACTCTGTCCCTGTTGCTTCTCTTTCTCAACGTCTTCTTCATTCTCCTCCTCGGCCAGAACAGTGACCTCCTCGGCATCTTCGGTGATCTCGTTCAGCCTGCGCCGCCGCAAGGAGGAGCTGGACGAGGCCAAGGAGACAGCAGACGGGAGCAGCATCGTCGACAGGCCCAATGCGGACTCGGTCAGCTCGGAGGCCGCAGCGAAGGAGAAGACGGTATCATGCGGTGTGAAGGTCTCCAGGACAGATTGAAATTGCACGGTAAGCCGCACTGCAGCAGGTGAGGCAGATCAGTCAACCGCTCTCTCTCCAGAATTCACGAGTCCACACACCTTGCAGCAGTCGCGATGTCCCGTCCGGCACATATTTGAGAACGACCTTCTTGCGTCGATATTGCACCATTCCGTACAGTGGTGATTTCTCTCCATAGTTTTGGATCAAGGCTCGCACTTCGGGCACTCCCCCAGTTCCCTTGCTCAACACCTCCACGGTATCGCGGTTGACGTACTTCAACAGGAACCTGAACCACGTCAGCATCGAAATCCTCAAGCAGCACGAGGGCACATACCATCCTCCTGCATCCGCCTGCGCAGCTTGGAGCGCTTCGGCGACTGCAGCTCCGTCAAGCCCATTCAGCGACATGTCTCAGGCCTCATTGGAGAGGCTAGAGTGAGCGCGCCTGTTCACAACCAGCGTTCGTGCTATGTACGGCGCCGCCCAAGGTGATACAATGCGAGGGACGTAGAAGCACATCAGCTGAGGCTTTCACTGCAAGGCCGGAAGATTAATCACTTCCCACCATCGACAACAACTGGCAGGAACAGCAGCCTCGACGCCCCGGGACTGTCAGGATGCATCTTCGAGAGGAGCCCACATGCAGGATGCAGGACATTTTTACAAATGGGGCACAGCGCGGAGCTTTACGAGGATGGGCGGGTCAAGCGCTGTCAGGGGTGCAGGACCAGGCCCAGTTCGGGGGCCACCGCATGGGTCGCACGCCCTGGACGCTCGCAGTCCGTGGTCGATGTGCTTCAAGAGCGAGACGGTGGAGTGCGCTTTGACGCTGAAACCCCCGAAGACAACGTGCGATGCGGACCTTTCATTCGCCCATCACGCCATCTCCGTGGGCCAATTTCCCAATCCCTGCTGCCGGCCTGCGGCTAACAGCGCACGAGACAGACACCATTCCTCTTCTGCAGGTTTGAATTTCCTCCCCTCACGTAAAATAAGCGAGAGCGTTCCCGCAGCTCGATGCCGTCGATGCGTGAAAGAAGACGGCTGAACACGAAGCTGTTGGCGATCTCTGATCTCTTCGACGCCTCAGGTCTCTCAGCTTCTCGGAGGAAGTCCCGATCTCAATCTGGCGCACAAGTCGGGCGGCACTCGGAGTGGCAGCCGTTGTGCGTAGAGATGCGCAACACCTCCTGAAACATGCCTTGCGGCCCTGTATCTGAGCCTGTCAAACAAGTCTTGATCGACTTGTGCTCGGACTACGGAGGACATGCATAATAGTTCATGCCTTCTTCCGCGCACGTGCATAAACAGGATCTTTCTGGATACGCAGGTTCGGTTTTCTCGAACCTGTGCCACGGTTGACAGCGTTGCCAGTTCCATTCTCGTTGATGGGCTGGGTGCCGGTGCTGCGAGATTTTGCTTACTCAAGCCACGCGGCATATCTATAATTCTGCAGCCGAGGCCTCCGTATTCTACCATCTATGAACTATTGACACGCCGTTGCGTGCTTGGTCGTAAACGAGAAACGTTTCAGCAGACGGCGGGCGGGATGACACCATCAAATGTCCGCATCATCCACATTTAAAAAGGTTGGCTCCTCGATGTAATTCTCGACGCATCGAGTACAGAGTGCTGTGCTGTGAAATGTATTCGAGCCGTTCCCCCCCCGCGAGGTGAACGCCACGCCACGTGAGTCGAACACTGACATGCTTGGGTGTGGCCGACGCGCAGAAGGTTTGGACGCAAATGACGTCGGAGTACGTGTAATACTGGTGAAACTGTATCTACCACAGCAGAAGCAACTCAATTTCCACGATCATCTTGAGAGAAAGAGTGAGGACCTTACCGTTCCACGCACCAGTATCTCCTTCGTGACAGAATGGCCTCCCTACCACCCATCTCCACCCTTCCGTCACTCGACACCGAGGAGCGAGCTCGAGTCCTCGACTTGCTCTTCGAACCATGTACCCAACTCCACACCCTATCCGTCAGCCTGCTGCACGAGCATGGGTTCTCATCATACAGCGACCTCATCGACGCCGTAGGCAAGCAATTAGAGAATCTCCACCGGTCAGACCTGGAAAGCGACCGCAAATGGCTGGAGGCAATACTTTCCGCTCACCCCAGGCTAGGCGAGAAGAAAGTGGACAGCGAGCAATCCCGCAAGGAGCAAGCACAGCTCAACCAAGGCGGCGCAGCGGACGAGGCAGAGAAGTTGGCAGAACTGAACAGGAAGTATGAAGACAAGTTTCCCGGACTCAGATACGTGTACGTGGGGCTGGTCTTTGCTGTTGTCGTTTTCCTTTCGTTTTCATTTTCATTCTACCCAGCTCCCCCCCTCCTTGCACGTCCTACTTCAACCAGAACAGAACAGGCGATGCTCAGTGTCATCTGTGCGTACAGAGTCTTCGTCAACGGCCGAAGTCGCCCCGTCATCATGGAAGACATGCAGAAGCGGATAGACAGGGGAGATATCCAGCTGGAGAAACAGGAAGCCATCCAGGTAGGTACCTTGACTCCTGGTACTGTATGTACCACAACCGGCCATCCCTGTCGACAATGGGCCGGAACAGGAACCCCTGCTTCGAGGAATGGTACTGGAACTGACTGATTCCTTTTTCTCTCTTCGTATAAAGGCAATGGTCGACATCGCGAAGGACCGAGCGAAGAAGTTGGCCGGATGAGCACGCATGGCCAGCGTGGGTCTGGATGTCTGAATGGGGACGCAGTATAGAACTGTGGGAATGGCTACTTGTCTGTATCTATCGGTGTAGGTATGGTATGTATGTTACCTACCAGTGACCGATGACCAGTGTATACCAGCAGCGCCAATGTTCGCGCGGAATGATCCTGCCGCTCCATCGCAGTCTTGTCGAAGTGCGAGTCCGCTACATTCTAATTCATGGCCCCGGGATCTCACCATGGGGGCATGACTTCGCTGTGGCGCAAGGACATCGTAACACATGATATGGCATGGCATGATATCGATATGGACATCCTACCTACACGACCGCAGCTTGACAGTAACAGACCGTTGGCATTCTTCTAAACTGAGTCTACGAGGTAGCAGGCATGAGCTTTGCCCAAACCTGGCATGGGGAACAAATAGACACAATATCTTCGCAATGCTGTCTTCGATCGTGGGGATTCAATCCGACGCAGACCATCGTATTCCCCTCGTTTTCGCAGGGTCGACGCCACCTCCTCCACTCCGGACCTACAGCCCGGCTACTTCTCAAAGGTATACCTCATCCACTCGCCTATGGCCTTCAAACTCTCCCACCGGACACTCTCGTCACTATCGCCCATCAACTCCAACAACCTCGCCTTCAGGCCTAGTTTCTCCAGCGCCGTCCTCTGCTCCGGCACTTGCTTGACGAGGTTGCCCACATCATTACTCGCGATTGCTAACACTTTCTTGTCGTTGTCCCAGGACTTTGACAAGATTTCGGCGAGTTTCTTGGGCAGTTCGCCGTTCTTGTCCTCGAGGATTCTCCGCGCGTTTTCGCGCCAGAACGTTGGGTTCCGGTGGGGTGGCGACCAGCGTAAATGCCCGGATTGCACTTCGTCGGCGTACTCGTCAAAGGTGGTCTGGTTCTTTGTGTATTCTTCCAGTATGGACTTGAGAGCTTCGAGGTCTTCAAGGAGGTCTGGGTCGGTGAGATGGCGGCCGCTCAAATTAGAAAGCAGGGCCGGAAGTCTGGCCGTGGTAGCGGTGGCGATGAGAGTCTCCTTATTCGTCGACAATAGGTTCGTCAGGGTCGCCAACAGAAGCCGGGTGGTCTTCTCCTTTGGTGACATCCGAAGGAGCTGGGTGTATAGGGGCACGATCTCCTGGTCCCTGGGTAAACGTTAGCCCGGCCTCTCACTTTTCGCCCTCCGCGCTCTAGCACTCACTGTTCGAGCCCTTCGCCCACCAGTTCCCCTTCAAAGCTCAGCTGCCAAATGACTAGCAAGACGTGGTACATTAGCTGCAGGGCGACACCGCCGCCGAATCTGGTGTCACTGCTTCGAATGCTGGCATTGCCACTCCATAGCGTAGAATCATTGTCCTTCGCTGATCCCGCTGCTTTGCGAAGGATGTCGAACAATGGGTCGACCGTATCGGCTCTCTGCTTCCAAAATATCTCTTTTGATTGCGTGGTTCGCAACAGTTGCGACATGTGCTGGACTCCAATATCCTGTAGACCGCTGTCTTGGTTCTTGACCAGTTTCGCAAGGTAAGAGTAGAGCCGCGGAAGCGCTTCGTCGTCTCGCGGGGCTGGATGTGAGGAGGTCGTTAAAGAAATAGCAATGAGGTTGACCAGGAACGTAGCGGAAAGCAAGGGTATGGGGTCCTGAGACTCGCTGCCCTGGCTGAGGAACGACAAGAAGGATTTATAAGGGTTTGAATGCCTTAAAACGGCTGCTGCGAGCTCTGGGGCATCTAGTTCGTGTCAGCTGTATCCCTGGCGCCTGATGCGCGCAAACGGTGAGCGGGTATACCATTGATGAGGTCGGTAGCCAGCACGAGGATATACTGGATGATATCACTTCGTTTCGAGGCTTTGTCGAGAACGCTGCCACCATCCGAGCCGCCTACGAGCAGGTTGCTGTAGCTGTTGACATCCTTCTCGATGGTCTGTTTCCGCTGCTCTTTCCTGACCTTGTCAACAGATCGTATCCTCTTCAGTTGGTCCTCTGTAAGGTTTCCCGCACGCACGGCGCCGTCCCAAGGTATCTGCGACGCTATTAGACAGTGCGGCCAGCCAGAGGGTTTTCGAGACTTACTGGACGGGCTCTGATGTTGCTCTGCAGGGAAGCGAGATATGCTGGCGGACTCAATGACATCTTGTCCGGCTGTGATGCAATCAGTTCGGGAGTATGTCGAGTCCAAGGTTAAGCAAGCAAAGCCATGAACTGTGCTGTTGCAAGCAATATATACACGGTGTGGGTTACAAGAAATGGGCGTCACAATCGCTACTGTGGCTGCATCATAGTCTTTTGGCAGCTGTGATGGGAGGAGCTTCCCACGTTCTGCAGGGCAAGGCAGGCAGTTCGGGGACAGAGCAAGCTGACTAGCCGAGCCAGAGGCTTGACGTCGGCGGGACAAGCGTCTGATGCGCCCTTCTTGGCCCATCCGTGTCCGTGTCCGCAGCCCGACAATTTGTCCTCAAGGAGAACGCGTCAACATTCGTGGGACAACCGCCCAATTTTAACAGTGCACTCCTCCGCTGCCATGCTACATATCGCGCCGTCTGCCCTGCTGCGGCCGGTACCGGACTACCTTTCGAGGTCATCACGACGTTGATATCACTGCCGAAAGCTGTTAAGAGCATACTTTTAAATGACTCTACAACCATGGCGGCCAAACCAAGATCAGGGTGGAATTTCTTGCAGCAGGCGGTCGCCTCTGTTGAGTCGAGGTTAGATGACATACTGGCCGAAGAAGGCGACCGCCCGAAAAGGACGAACACACCTCCCCACACCAAGAAGCCGTCCTCAGATCTCTCACGGAGCAACAGCAACGCCTCCGGCACGAATGACCGACTTCAGGAACGTCTCGCCCGGGCGATGGCCAAGAAGAGCCCAAGTCGAACCGAAAGCCCGGTGCCTTCTCAAGATGTATCGGCGGACCCGGTATCTACGGGGGCAGATCTCTCTACCGCCGCAGATGAAGCGGAAGCCGGAACAGACACATCCCAACTCTTCCGACAGGATATCAAAGACGAGGTTGACGACGGCAGTCAGGTCATAGCTAGTGGGGGACCTCCACAAGAGGAAGAAACCGCTGTTCTGCAGGGGAAAGAAAGAGCTGTCGCAGCAATTACGCTACAGTCAGATGGCGATACATCACGAGCTTCCACAGACGCTACGCGAGAGAGCCAGCCGATCTCAACTAGGCCGTCGCGAGATATACCAAGATCGAGCGTAGACAGCCAGACAAGACAGAGTGCAGCGGAGGTCCTGGAGGCACAAGCAGAAATGAACGTCTATCTTGAGCGCATAGATGCTCTGAGGAGGGACCTGCAAACGTTGGTTGACAGTGTCTCCGATTCTGCCCGTAACAGTGCCGAGACTGCAAAGCAGGCCGCTTATGCCGCCGAGCCTGGGAGCCTGGAGCAGAAGATCTCCCAGAAGGACGAGAAGATAGCTCTTCTTATCGAGGAGGGTACACGATGGTCAAAGACCGAGATAGAGCTTCGGGGTACGATCAAGAAAATTCGAGCACAGGCGACCGCCCACGCCAAAGAACAGGAGGTATCCAAATCCCGCGCAGAAAAGGCTGAAAAGGCTTTCAGGGCAATGGAAGATCGGGCAAAAAGAGCGGAAGCTGCAAATAAGCGCCTGGAGCAGAATCTGTCGCTGAGCTCAGCCACGACGAAAGAGATTGAGGCCGTGAGGAAAGAGCGCGACGCATTGAACGCGACTCTGGCGGACATGAAAACCCAGCTGTCGAAGGCGAATGCAAGAGCGGAAGCAGCTGAGACCAAGGCACAATCCGATCAGTTGGACAGGGAGAGGAAACGGGTAGCAGAACTACAAGATGACCTAACTAGCGCCAAAGTCGAAAGACAAATCTTGGAAGAAAAATTGCGTCGAGAGATCAAGGATCTTCAGGCAGCCTTGGAAGCGGAGAAGGGGCAAGCGCGCGCCATGGAGTCTGAAATGCTCAGCGAGCAGGCGGCTCTCGAAAGCAAGCTCGAATCGTTCCGGATTCGGGCTGAAGAAGCATCCTCAGCGGATATTGGTCACACACAGGCCAAGCTACTTCGGCAGATTGAGACGCTACAGAACCAATACGCCGCGGCGAGCCAGAACTGGCAAGGCATCGAGACCTCGCTCCTGGGTAGAATCACCAACCTTGAAAAGGAGCGTGATGAAGTCGTTTCGAGGGATGCAGAGCTGCGGAAGAAGTCGCGAGACACGATGCTCAAGCTCAAGAATGCGGAAAGAGAGCTGGACAGCCTGCGGAACAAGTATGCTGACATGGACAAATCATTGGCAGATGCCAATGAAGAAGTACAACGATTGCAGAGGAAGACGACCCAGCTTGAAAAGGAGCTTGCGGAGGCCCTGAAAGATCTCGAGACGCAGAAGCAGACTGCGGAGCGGGAAATGCTACGCAGGATCGACGAGGAGAAGTCCAAGTGGACGGCAAATCTTCATATTCCACGCACCGAATCTCCTGCGGCGTCACTGCGTAAGAACTCGGGTCTAGGATTTGACATGAGTCATCTGATGAGCCCCGTTCAATTCGAGCGACCAACGAGTCGACGCTCCTCCGTCATGCCCAACACATTTGGCTCGAATACTCCGCCTCGTCAACAATCCACCACTTCTTTCCGCGGTTTGGTGAACGGGTCGACTACTGAGACGCCGTCCGTTGTAACATCCATGGACCACGACGAATACTTTGCTAATGTACCGCCGACTCCCCTGACAACAAGCCACCACTCTCAAAGGGGCGTCGTCAACGATCTGATATCCACTTCCACTGTTGGTGCGGGTCCTTCAGTACAGCTAGTGGAACGCATGTCGGCCAATGTACGGCGCCTGGAAAGCGAAAAGGCTGCGTCCAAGGATGAGCTTGCGCGCCTTACCACCCAGCGCGACGAGGCCCGGCAGGAAGTGGTAAGCTTGATGCGCGAAGCCGAGGAAAAGCGCAAGATCGAGGAGCGCCTGAGGGCCTTAGAGAAGGAGCACGCCAGTTTAAGCCAGCGACACCAGACCACTCTAGAGCTGTTGGGCGAGAAGAGCGAGCAGGTGGAGGAGCTCAAGGCCGACATCCTCGACGTGAAGCAGATGTATCGGCGGTTGGCGGATACCATGAAATGACGAGCGTTTACCAGTCGGATACGTCTTCACTCATCGATAACAGCTCGCTTGTCCTCATTGCGTTTCGTGTGACTTGGTCATGTAAAGAAGTCGATACCCTCCCTCTCGGCCGCCTTGACAATATACAACCGCACTTTGGCATCCGGCGCACAGTCGATCGCCAGTCTGCCGTCAACGTCTTTCTTGTCTGTCTCCGCACCAGCCTTTAGCAACTCGACCGCAACATCACCATTTCCCTCGCTGACGGCGTGATGCAGTGCGGTCAAGCCATCCATATCTGTAGCATTGATGGGTGATTTGTTCTCTAGTAACAACTTGACAATGGGCACATTGCCAGTGGCCGCAGCACGATGAAGAGCCAGTTGTCCTCTTTTATCCTTCACCCTTGCGCTCGCGCCCTGTTTTAGCAGCGTTCTGCACACCTCGAGGTTGTTTTTCGACACGGCCAGGTGTAGCGGGGTTACGCCCGAATTCGTGGCCATTTTGGGATCCGCATCTTTGGAGAGCAGGAGTTCGATAATGGGAAGGCCGGAGTTGTCTTTGAGGGACGACGCAATGGCGAGGGGCGTCCAGCCTGAGCCATCCTGTGCGTCGGGGTCGAAGGAGCGAGTGGAGGCGAGGAGTTTGACGATGTCCAGGTGTGCAAAGGCGCAGGCCCAGTGGACGGGAAGGCGCTCGTCTTGGTCGTGCAGGTTTGCGAGTTTGGGGTTTGCCCTGAGGAGCGACTCGACGACTAGGATCCTACCCTCGCGAGCCGCCTCGTGTATTGCATACTTGTTCTCTGCCAACTCCGCCATGGCGAGCAACAATGGGTGAGAGTGTTGCGCGGGTAGAGGGGGGTGAGGGCGAGCGCAGCAGGCGTGAGGGACTGTCGCGTCATGCCCGACTCGCCGAATTGCTTTGTTCGGTCGGGGCCTAGTGGGGGTGGCTGCCGCTAAGTAAATCCGATCCGACGAGGCTGCATTTCTTTTTAGCGGTTTCCCTGGCTCGAGGCAAGCCCGTAAATCCCACGCCAGAGCTGAAAACGTGAATGGATCTGTCATTGGCCTTCAACCTCAACTGGGTGTCCACGGCTTGACTAAGTAACGTTGTCCTCTCGCTTAGGCTTCGTCGCAGTCGCCAGTCGGTGCTGTGGGTGTGAATTCAGGCCGTGACTGCCCGCCCTCCACCCACTGTCCGTCCGCATGATCTAACCATCTTTCTACCCCTCCCACTGGCAATCCACCCTCGCCTTGTCGCGGTTATCTCAAGATGCCCTTGCTTCAATCTCATGGCTGGTAATTCGCAACAAAGTAATGGGAAGGCCGCCAGAATCCAGCGCAAAAATTACCACAGACGGAGCCCACGTGCGTGCGATGAATGCCGTTTACGGAAAATCAAATGTGACGGAGGCCTGCCGTGCGGCCCTTGCAGTATCTCCAAAGATGGTGAGACCGTCGCCTCATGTCGTGTAGACTGTAGTTACAAAGATGCTGACCGGCCAAGCCTGCTCATATGATTCGGGGACAAGACCCCGAGAAACGCCCACACAGAGGATCCGGAAGCTGGAGGCATGCATACGGTCCACGCGGACAGCTCTTATGCGACTGAAAGCGGAAACTCCAGAATCTAGCAACGGCGACATCGATTCAGTAATCAGTTCCCTAGACACCTCATACCCCGAGCCAGGGGATGGCGAGTCGAGCGCGGACGAAGACGATGCGAAACACCGCCGCTTGAACGGCATGATGGGAAGTGCTGGGCGCATCATTTCGCATTCCCCGTCGCAAACGACGTACTATGGCCCATACTCCGGATACGCCTTCATCTTCAAGACAGTCGAGCTCTTTCGACGAACGCCGGACAACCCGCTCTTGACCACGGAAACGCAAAACATTACGGCGACCTTGTTCAACGCTCCCATGCCCGAAGGTGATGGGGGTCCGCACTACTCCTCGCAGTTCCAGAGTCTACCCAGTCTCTCTATCACCCTGAGTCTTCTGGACGTGGTCTTCACGAGATGTCATCCACTCATCCAGTTCGTCCACGAGGCTGATTTCCGAGACATGGTGCACCGGTTGTACAGTGAATCGGCGTTGCAGTTTGGGGCGTCGAGCCGTGATTTTATGCCCCTGTTCCACTCGGTCCTCAGCATCGCATTGCTTTTCGAGACGCGATTGCGGAAAAAGCATGGATGCGACGACATAGCTCATGAAGCGTGAGTGCCAAACGGCTTTGGTCCTTTCGTCGCTAACTCCGCGTAGTACGAGACATTTCATCCTGGCACGGAAAGAACTCGACATCGCACAATGCGCTGATCTCATATCCATGCAGACGATACTTTGTCTAATCACCTTCTTGGTCACCACGTCCCGGTTGACTTCGGCCTACACCTATCTTGGCATTGCTTGTACATCGGCACTAAGGCTTGGTCTGCACAAAGAGATTGGCAAGGACATGTCCTTGGCGGGAACACAACAAGAGGCGAGACTACGAATCATGCTGGCTGTTCTACAGCTCGACACCTTTGTGAGCATCGTGCTGGACATGCCCACTCGCATTAATCCTGGGTGTGTGGACCCAGCAGTCCTCGCAGCATTACAGCCTCCATCCACGAAGAAGTTGGCCAGCCCAACTGAGACTCTCTCCGATCCTCAAGCCAAGTACGCTACCTCCGCAAGGCACATGCAACTACTGGCTCTCACAGCCTCCGGTCTCCGAGACATTTTCGTCCACGGCAACAGCAAAGAGAAACCCACCAACGGCCCAAACATCGATAGCGTTGACACCAAAAAGATGGCAGAGACTGAAGATGCATTTCGGAAATGGGCCAAAGCCCTATCTGGCGTACCTCCCATCCCACAAAAGCCTGAAATGTCTGCAATGTAAGTCAAATCCTGGGTGGTTCGAACTCGCTGACTGGATGAACGCAGCCTCAAGTACGAACTAGAGATGGCCTTCTATCTCGGGCAATTCATCCTCTACCAACCATTCCTACACTATCTCATCCAGATGGCCAACGGCCTACCTATTATCAAAATACAATCCCAACATGCCTTGGCCTGCATCAAAATTGCCTCGACGACGATAACCCGCTCGGAGATCATGCATCAACGTGGTCTCCTGGCCCCGGCGTCATGGAGCGTCATGTACACGCTGTTTCAGGCGGTAATGTGCCTCTTGTTCCTCATCGCGACTCACAACGGCACGTCACGACCAAGCGAGGCCTGGAAGAAAGGCGAACTGGGCATAAGACTTCTGGCGACGATGCGCTGCTTCGACAACGGCGCGGTCCGGTGTCTTTGGATCATCAAGGTAAAGAGACGAGAACCCTCCCTGCCTTGCATAACGTGTCTGATTTCTCACCTATCGCTCAGATGGTCATCAAACAACTCTCCCACACCGTTCAATTCGACGTCGACCAAATCGTCGCCGCAACGGGCTGTCTCTGTCCCTGCAGCCGCACGGCTCTTCTCTCTCCAGAATCTCTCGATCGACGTCCCTCTCGCGATCAACACCCCGACATCACCATGACCACTGGGAGTGGGGGCGGCGCAAGTGGCTACGCCACGCCCGAAACACCACACGACGCACGAGCGTATCCGCCGTCCGTGTGGAGCCGGCCAGGCATCGAGCAGCTTATGATTATGAATCAGGATTCCCCGCGGCATGATGCGGATTATATCCTCGCCGAGGCTCAGGCGATCGCCATGACGTTGCCGATTGACAACATGGATATATTTAACTTTGGCGAATCTTCGTGACGGGACAGCATGTATATATTGGACAGTGGGGATTCTTCATGACGGGAGAACATTGGGGAATCCTCATGATGGCATACGGACGTCGGTTCAGGCAGGGAGTTGGGTTGAGCATGAATATATGCATAGATATCTGATCTCAGTCCAAGGCAAGGAGTTGGGGTTGAGCATGAATATAAATATTGCACATATATGTCGATTCGAACATGGACGTGGATGTTCACTTCCGGCCATGTGAGACCTCAGATATAATTATGGCCGAAGTAGAGTAGAGTACTGAGTTGGCAGGCCCTTGATTTTGGCCTACCTAGGTAGGTACCTCTGCTCTTAGCTCGTACATGTTCAAGAAATCCCTTTGGACAATGTGGCGGTGCTTCCATCAATGGGTGCGTGGTGCTTCCCTCAAATGGGTGCGTGGTGCTTCCCTCAAATGGGTGCGTAAATCATCATCCGTGCGTGAACGGTGATGTGCGGCCCCAGTCTTTCACAGCCAGGGGTTCGTTAGCTGGCGGTGGTTCACTGACTAATTACATACTGTACCGAGTACTCCGTACGGCGTAGAATGTCCAGCGTACAGTGAAGCGCGCAGACATGTACGGACTGATACCTGGATACCTGGATACATGGATATGTATATACCTTATATGCGTCATGTATACTCCGTATACAACGGATGTATCGTACCTCGGATACAATCCATCAAATAATTACCTATCTAGGTAAGTAAGTACGTAAGGACCTATGTATGTACCATGTTCATAAGGAGAAGATCTGCTCGTCTCCGTGAGAGCCCCTTTTTGACTGCAGGGTATGGTATGGTATGTATGCTCACCCTGCGCGACGAGTCCGATCCACGAATTTTTGGTCTGCGGCTGTGTGTACTGCATGTCGCACCTGCGCACCCACTATGTTCCCCGGACCCCGTACTGTCTGCTCTCTCTTCGTGTATGAGTGGGGGGTATGTATATATCTCGGAAACTGTCTGTCTGGAGGTCAGTCAGTAGGTATACCACTTGTATACGTCCTTCTAGGTATCTGTACTCCGTACGATTAGGTTAAATCTATAGCTAATCACGTCGATCCAGACGCATCCCGACGCATCTCATCGCATCTCTTCCTATCCTATCCCATCCCCTCGCATCCTATCCCGTCGCATCCCATCGCATCCCATCGTATGGCATCGCCATCACATCACATCACCACATAGCATAGCATATCCTTGCATCGCAATGCTTTGGTGCCGCTCAAATCTCCTTGAGAAAGCCCACCTCAATCACCTTCTCAATCGGCACGTTCAGATTCGCCATCTTAGTCCGCGAGTTGTCCTTCATCCACAGGAACAGTACGAGCAAGAGCCGCCTTAGTATAGTTGTGGTGTGCTTGATCTTCATCTGCTCCTTGCCCACGATGTACATGATTTTGTAGCTGAAGGCGCGGTCCAGGCGGGCCAAGGCCTCCGCATCGGTGGGGGATTTTTCCGGGTTATGGCGCGAATGCCTATGAGAAAGTGGTTGCTCTTTCCCTTGCCCTTGTCCTTGCGCATGCACTTGCGGCGTGTTTTCGTCCGAGGACGTGGTAAACATGGCCTCGTCCACATCACCATTGGAGAGGACTTCAGGTCTAGAGTGTCTGGTCGTGGATTTATCTGCGTTGCCCTCGGCGAGTCCCGAAGTGGCCGGTGTCTGGACGGCGGCAGTGGACCTCTGCTCACTCAAGATATGCACCCGGAGCTGCTCGTAGATGACTGACGCAAGATCCGGGGTGATGACTTCGTCGTTGTAGCCGTAGCGGACGACGAGGCGGTAGCAGTGCGGGATCGCGAGGCGGGACACGGTATGTCGGTCGGAGGGCGGCACGGAGGGCGTCTCGAGTGGGCGCAGGTGGAAGAAGACGCTCACTTCGGGCATGGCCGTGAGTTTGATCGCGAACTGGCTGAACACTATGGGTGTTGTTTCGCCGGCCTTGTCGAAGAAGATGCCGAACCCGTTGATGGAGCTGAGGGGCGTGCCGTCGAAGCGGTCGGTCAGTTGTAATCCGTCCGGGGTTTTGCGCACGAAATGGGACGTTGGGAATCGATCTTCTGCTTCGGCGAACCATTGCTATAGAACGAGCGGTGGTCAGAATGTGTATATGCGACAGCGGAATCTAGGGATGCGGCGATGGAGACCATGCTTCGTTCACTTATCCTTCTATCGGCGGTGCAGGTTCGAAGTGAAAAAGAGCAACCTACCTGTTCTTTGCCGAAGCGCCATAGCATGAATATCATGCCCAGTACAATGGCGAGGGTGAGCGTGAACCAGGCTCCGTCTGGGACTTTCGTGAGTGCCGAGGAAAGAAAGGTGCCGTCCAAGAGGGCGATTGTGAGCCAGGGGAGGAACACGATGAAGGGACTGAACCGCCATACAAATATGGCCGCTAACGATACCCTGCATATGTTTCAGCATCGTGGGTCGAGTCGGAACAGCCATTAAACGGGCAGAATGGGAGGCGCTCTCGTCAAAGGGCGTCAAAGGGAACTTACATGCAAGTATCGAAAAAGGTGACGAACATGACGCAGACGCCGTAAGCATTACCCAGCGACGTGGTATTGTTGTAAATCGAGGCAATGAGGATCGTCCCGATCATGAGAAGCCAGTTGGCAAGCGGAATGTACAGTTGTCCGTGAAAGATCTTCGACGTGTGCTTGACGGAGAGTTGTGGGAAGTAGGACAGTTTCATGACCTGGTGGAGCAGCTGGAAGGTTGCGGTGATGATGGCCTGCGAGGCGACAATCGCAGCTAGGATCGCGATGATCAGAGCCGGATAGACGGTGCCAGCTGGAGCCGCCTCGAAGAACGGGTTCGCGTATCCTTCGGGATGGTCGCTTATGTAGGCTGCCTGCCCGATATAGGCCAGCAGGAGGCATGGGAATGTGTAACACAGCCAGCTGAGCTGGATGGCTCCGCGGCTGAAAGCGCCCAGATCTGCGAACAGCGCCTCGACGCCGGTAAAGGCCAAGAGGACGCCGCCGAGCTGTCTCCAACCGTGTTCGCCTTTGTGGACCAAGAATGTGAAGCCGTAGCCGGGATTGAAGGCTTTGAAGACGGAGGCGTCGTGGTGGATCACATTGTATATTCCAAAGACTGCGTTGAATCCGAGCCAGACGATAACGATTGGCGAAAAGGCGTAGGTGATCTTGGTGATGCCAAAGGGCTGGACGAGGAACAACAAAACGAGGATCGCGTCGGTGATGCCGATGATCGCCCCTTTGGAAATGCTGGGGTTGACCACCCGGGCCCCTTGAACAGCTCCCAGGACAGATTGCGCAGGTGTGAGCACGCCGTCCGAAAGTACCATGGACACGGCCAACACTCCCATGGTCTTAAGGATACCACGCACGATGCGGCTGGACTCGATTCCCTTCCGCATTACCCTGCCGGCGCTCTCGAGATCTCCGGAGGCATGTCGCTTCAATCTCACAAGCGTAGCTTCCCTAGGATCACGATTTGTGATGTTCATGTACCGGCTGAGGAGCGTGTATGTACTGAAAGTGCCGCCTTCGCCTTCATTGTCTGCGTGAAGTATCACCACGATATACTTGACCGTGACCATCATGATCAAGGACCAGATGATGAGGGACAATACGCCAATAAGGTCTTCTTTGGATGGCGCGGAGGTGAACGTCGACGAGTAGACGTAGAGGGGGCTTGTACCGATGTCGCCATAGATCACGCCAATTGACTGATACGCTCTGAGGTTGATTTTCAGCATCTGAACCTTGTATCGAGACTACCACGCAGACGCAGAGAGAACTCACAGCCAGAGTAGCATCTTGCCGCTGAAAACCTACAGCGGCGTCAGTCAGAGCGGCGTCAGTGGGGGCAGCCAGTTCCCTATCATACCTGCTTCTGCTTGAAGTCGCCCTCCTTGCGCAAACCAGGATCCTCATCAAGTTGCAGAGATTTGGTCCGATAGAGGCCCAGATCGTGCGAGGATCTCCTCGAGCGCATGTTGTAGATGCCATCATCATGCGCATAGATCGAGGTGATATCGGCGGTTCGCCCTTCCTTGCCCTGCAGCTCATTCTTGGGATGGACCTCATTGGCAATGCGAATCGTAGCCATCGCGTGAAGCACTGCTGCAAGGCTTGGGGAGAGAAGAACAGAGGAGATCCGGACTGGCAACTGATCACATAACGTGGACGGAGGCAGACCTTCTTAAGGCACACAGACACGCAGCGTGGACCCCTCGGCTCCATTGCGCTGGATCTTGGACCGATCCATTAGATAGAGAGCAATTGCGCATGTGCTAGACAAACCGCATGGCTGCAGAGTTAGACCCTTTCAGGTCAACATCGTGAGTGGATGGGAGCCTTCAGCGTAGCCTATGAGGCTCCTGGCATCAGGTACCTAACCAGGGTCGTCATGTCGCAAGATGCGATTGTTGCGAGGCAGCCAGGGGAGCTGGGATGGAGCTGGCCCTGCCACCGCCATGACGGGTGGGGGGACTGTGGAAGACTGGGAATGTGAGGTTGCAGGTGGCAGTGTTGTGGCCGCCCACCCATGTCATCTGAGCTGAGGCCACATGCACAATGAGCTGCCGTGCGCTGCTAGTCCGATAGGTAGATTGTTGCCAAAGAATGAGCATCCTGCAGGCTGGAAATCAAATGTCGATGGTGGAGAGATTGGGAGCACAGATCTTGGCCGGCAGCATGTCGTTCCGTCTATCCAGGAGGCTCCTGATTGGCTTAGTGCTGACCATGCATTCCCCGTCTATGAGAGATTTATCGACGTTTTCGTAGGTGGAGGTCCAAACTCGACTTCATCCTGCATCTCTCCCACCTGCTCAGCCACCTGAAGCAACGGCAAGACGGAACAGGCAGAAAGCTCATGTCGACACTGGTCTGATCTGGATCTGGCTTCGGCTTCACCACACCGTATGCTGTATTTCCAACTATGAGCCGAAGCAAGCTAACAAGGGTGTTGTACTTAGACAATCAAGGGGGTTTCCCCACTCGATGCTATGTAAGAACGGTGGTCGACATGCCTGAGTGTACGAGGCATTTCCGAGCATTCGATGACGCGGTGGTACAATTGGTGTAGGGCATGCTGTCAGCCGTGCGGCACCTATGCCCATATGAAAGACCCATGATCCGCTCTCAACCGACCTCAACCTTCAAGCTGGGTTCTACTGAGAGCGTGCGGCCCTGAGAGTCTCATGGGGACTGCTCCGCCACCGCCTTTTCTAGCTTCGTCTACCAACACAGGCAAGTAGTGGACGCTCATCACGATACCTGCGTTGATCGGCAGCGTCATCGTCCTCCTCCTATTGGTCTTGACGGCACAAGACACGGCCCACGGGAAAGGCTCCAGAGTGAACTTCGACGATCTGGATCTCGGCGACGTTGAGAAGAACAATGAAAGAGGCGCATAACGCCAACGCTGCTTCAATTCGTTCCAGCTGTCAAGTACGATGGTACGAGGGCCGGATAGCGACCGAGGAAGAGCTTGGGTCTAGAGGAAGGACACGCTGAAGGAGCCACTCAGACCTGGTTGCTTGCACAGAGCCAGCTGGAAGTCAAGGCAATGCAAGTCGAGATGAGTGAAGTGCGGATGGGGCCCGGGAGGACTGACAGAAGCTGAACCTGCGAAACGCCTCACTTGGACTTTGAAGAGCAGGAGTCTCTTTTCCGCACAGAGCCATTCGTTCACACCGAAAATGTTCATGCCCTACCCTGCGGTCACATTCACCACAAGAGTTGGATAGACTCGTGGCTGTTGGACTTTAGTCGAAGTTGCCCGGTGTGGTCGGTGGATCTGGGCCTGTTGGTGCGGGTCCTTGCTGACACACGTTGACAGTCGTGTACACATGCACACTTACCAATTGCCGTCCATGGATGAGCCTGACATTCCTCAGTGACCCGGCCTGTGGTGGCGACTGGAGAGTTTTCGAGCATCAACACCGTCCTCGCTCAGATCCATGGGGAATGCTGAAGCCTTCGAAGGATAATGCTCCGCTGCTTGGAAAAGAGCTCAGAGAAAGCAGATTGGCCAACCTAGCCTCGGCCATCTGGACGTGAGCGCCAGGCTTTCAAAGGTCCTATTGGAAACCTTCAACAGTATGTACCACCACTGCCTGAGGCTGCAGGCTGGTGGGATCTCCCTCGCACTCATGCACTATCGGGTAAACACTAAGAGGAGACCAAGGGGCCATGGACGCTGTGTACGGTATCAATCTTTGATGCGCCACCATTTGGATTCGAACCTTTCTCACGACATATGGAAACTCTGACGCGCCCGACGACGGCTCTATAGTCGAAATGCATGATATCGGAAGCACATATGGCTGACCTGTTTCCGGCGAGTTGCAGAGCAACGGGGCATTTGCGCAATCCCTTCTCATCGCACCGAGACGTAGTAGCCTTTGGCATATGTACGTTTCAAGCACCAATGTCATAGACCATACAGCGGTGCCCGTGCGTGACCTCGGGGATTGGCCTTTTCCCTTTTTCCGCATACTGCTCCATCATGCTCTTGATAATTCGCATGTATGAGGACACATATTTCCTGCCGCACGTGAGGTTCGCACACCCGTCTGGCAACACGTTGGGACACTGTCCATGTCCCACGTCCAGCCCAGATACGGTAGACCTGACACGTGTTTCGGTCCCGTTTCCGCGCGTCACGGTGCTTCAGCCTCGTCCCGTCAATGCCAGCCTCGTAGACAGAGTTTCACACCGCCTTTTCGGCACAGTAGCGCCTAGGGCAGCCTTGGGCGACCCTGCGCCCGACTGATATGTGTGATCATGCTCACCTTCACAGACAAGAAGAATGATAGAAAGTCTCGTGGCGGTGTTCATCGGACGCGCTCCGTGGGAGTCCATTTGTGTCCCTACCTGCGTTGTTCTGCTCAAGCATGCGGGCCACCTGGCTGGATCATGGAGGCCCATCCAACTCATGCGTCCCGGAAGGGCGAATCCCGCAATGTGCAAACTGCGTGCACATAATGAGGATCCACTTGTGCTGCGCTTCTCAGGCGGACAGACTAATTTAACGTCCGCAATATCGGGCAATGTTGTTTCGACTTCAGCCTTGCCCTGGCACACTACACAGTACACATCACTTGAGACGATCTACACCATTAGAACCGCACCTCGTGATTGAATCATACATAATTGATGACTGGTATACAAGCTGGTAGGGTAGAAGGTCTGTCAGGAATGTACGAGTAAGGAATGTGAACAGGGTGAGAGTTCGCGGGGTTCGAACGCGACCCAGACGCCTGACGTAATTGTGCCCCAGTCGCGGGTGGGCTCCACGATTGACCATCGCTCGGATATCGTCGAGATGGAGAAAGATGATGGCCTGTTGTCCGGAGTTCTTCAGTCGATATCTTGCCAGCGCGCAAGCCAGGCGGTCAACGGTCGTTGCGTGCCCGAACACCATCTTCGAGACCGGTCTGCCACCGAAGTTGATGCACGAGGGAGACAGGGTTCAACGCCGAGCCCGTCGATACCATGGCACCACCCAAGACAGCCTTGCTGGTCATCGACATGCAGGTGTTTTTCGAATCCATGACGACCGCTGCCCTTCCAAACATCATTAAGCTATGCGAGCACTTTGTGAAGACATCAGCGCCCATCGTCTTTACGAAGCACGGCCACCCCAAGTCCGAGATGGTTGCGCACTCGACCAGTCAACTTGTGCGAAAATGGAACGTCAATGGTTCGATTGGGGAAGGGTCGGCAGAAGGGGAGATCGTATCAGAGCTGCAGAAGTTTCTGCCCAAGGCGAACAAGACGCCGACCATTGGCGAATCGCTGCCTGGGCCAGAGTCTTCCCAGTTTCCCAAGCTCTTACCGAAGAACACGTATGATGCCTTCATCAACACGCCGTTATCGAGCGTGCTGGAGAATGCAAAGATTGAACGTGTGATTGTCTGCGGCGTCATGACCGACTGCTGCTGTGACACGACGGCTAGGTCGGCTTTCAACCGGGGCTATGAGACATGGCTTGTAAGTGATGCTTGTGGCTCTGCGAACAAGACACAACACGAGGCAGGCTTAAGGGGCTTCGGATTTGCGTTCGGCGAGGTGATGAGGACAAAGGAGGTGATATCGATGCTCGATGAATGAAGCGGAGCTGCTGATGGAGGGTTGCAACTCACAAAGACTGGGCGGTTTGGGCCCTGTCAGGGGGCTTACATAGTAGGAGCGTCTCGAAGCGAGGGCTCGGGCTCCGGGGGCCCTTCGGCAGTTGGAGTTACACAGTTCCGGATACTGTGTGCGCCTGCGAACACATGATCATGCCTGTTATTCTGTAGAGCAATGTGAATTATGCCACTCACTCTCCTCACTCGAAGGGCGCCATCACGGGGTCACTCATGCTGGTAAGCCGCCGCGGCGTCGCCGCCGTTGGGATATCGATCCTGTTCAGAGCTGTTGCTCGCCGCTCACGCAGAGCTGCAGCATAGTGACTGTTCGCTCCAGTACTTCAATGGCGGATGTGTAGCAACCCAGACCGAGGAAGAGGCCTCAGGTCCTTCTTCGCTCTGATAAAATAGCTGCAGACGAAAACAGATGAGAAAGCGATCGATCTCTTGGTCGTATCGCCCTTACCAGGTAACAAACCATGTGGTCAAAAACCAGCTTCATGTCCACTCTTTACTACTCAGGCAGGAGCGAAGCATGTCAAGGTCGGAACGCACCGAGAGGTCAACAGCACGTGGGCAATAGCTCAGAAAATCGAGAAAGTCATCCTTGCTACGTACGCTTTACATGCCCTTGGCCAGTGAAGTACCCTCTTCTACCGAACCCCCTACCTACTCTATCAGGACGTACTTCCACTTCCACATCCGTTTGAGTTCCCAACAAAAACAACTAGCACCGCTGCAAACGCAGCTGAAGCCGCAAAGACTTCGGCTCTCTTCGGCCTCGCGATAAGCGTCAGTGTTGTTGAGAAGAGTAGGGTACACCCGACTATTGCTGCCATCCTGGTCACTTGGTCGTTGATGAGATAGATCCCGAAGGCTGCCACGGTGGGTAGAATGGAGGCCAAGATGGTACTGAAGGTGTCGATGGTTCTCGTGATACGACTGTCGGGGTAGTTGATGATAGGCTTGCGTTTGCCTGCGCTCCCCCACGTCTCAACGACGGAGAGCGGGTCGTGATACTTGTGACCGATGTGCTTGTGGTAGACTGACCTTACCATGTTGTCGATGAATTTTGAGAATGCATCTTTGTTAGCGTAGCAGCCGGCCAACGAAGTCAGGTCATCGAAGTGTTCGTCCTCCCAGGTCTCGAACTCGCGCCCGCGGAGCCAGATGTCTCCACTCCCATCGTTCTTCTCGGTCAGTTCGCGAAGAATTGACAGATCGGCCTTGTTCGCAGGAGCGAGTTGACAGAGACGCGCGAATTGGAGTAGAGCTTCATCTGGTAATGTGTTAGAAGAATGACCAGGAGCTTGTCAATAAGGCGCACTCGCTGTATTCCTTCAGAAGGCCACGTAGCTCTAGGGTCCTCTGCCACTGTACACCGTCATCCTGGCTCTTATGAGGACCTTTCAGGGCTCTTATTTCATATTCAAACAGGTTCCGTAAGCTATCTTTCGCTTCGCGGTCCTTCTTAATCGTCCAGCGTAGTCCGTGCTCTAGATTGATGATCTCGGCTTGCATGCAGAGAAGATTGCGAGCGTTGAGGATCAGGAATCTCCTGAACACTGCGAGGGACTGGTCAGTGCCAATGTAGCCAGCGAGAACATTGTATCCGTTCATCTCGTTCATGCTGGGCGGTGCGAACGGCCACTCTGCCAGTGTCTGAGGCGGAAGTGCTGAAGGCAGACCACGACGCAGCTCAGCGACACAGCCGGTAACATTGTGGCATGCGGCTGCACCATCTTGCGGTCAAGTCAGGCAGCGGTGTGTTGGCAACAGAACTGCATGGTTGTCTCCGGGACGTCGACCCTGTGTCAGCCAGTAGGATGGAGAGTGCAGGTGCGGGCAGCGAAGGAAGGACAGGATACGAGTCAAACGCTGCTGAGACAGCCTCCCCAGCAAGCCACCCTCCACCAGACCATCCACGGCAGTTGGGTCATGCAGAGGCTCATGGAGGGTGGGAATGAGGGCGAATCGACACGATGCTGCTATCACTGAGGCTGCCAATGACATGGGAAGAGAGTCAAGAGCAGATGGGGAAATATCTCCGAACCAGGAGCGAGATCGATTGGCGCCCTTGAGTGTCAGGTATGTATGACAGAGAACGACAGACGTAGCCTGCAGCTGTATTCCTTCTGCTGGGGAGCTTCCTGTCTTTGAATATCTTTTCTTCCCTCCCTCTCTCCGATATCCCGGGGAGCCGCAAGATCGATCAAGACAATTCTGCTGGTGCAATATGGTCACTGTGCGTTAGTGCGCCTGTCACGATTGGACAAACCATCCAGGTATCCGGTCCCAAATTTCGTGGGGCAAGCAAGCCAGCACCAGGACAAGACAAGACATTCAGCTGGCAGATTGCACCTCCTGTCCAGCTTGAATCCGGGGCTCTGGGATGGCTCATGGCCGCTTCCAGTCGATATGAAGACGTTCTGCTCCTGCATGAAGCCTCGTCGTTGAATAGGCTCGAAGGAGCGCCTGCGGTCACGTCAACAATGTGAGATCTGATTGCAGCTGCTGGAATTGCCATGGGCCTTTTTGTGCATCGTGCTTACCGAACAATCAGTCACCGCCACATCCACCGCCACGGCGGCAGCCACAGCGGCGGCGCCGGCTCCGGGAGGCGCGCCTACAACTTGACGCGATCAAGCGCAAGCATGCCCCCAAAAGCTTGCAAATGCAGGGCATCTCTCCCCTGCGATGAGTCTTTTTTTTCCTTCAGAAGGGCGACAAGAACAGGCTCACGCGGCGTCGGCCTGCGAAACGTCGGTGTCGACGGTCGAGCCCTGCCTGCCAGCTTCTGTTTATTTTTGTTGAGCCCCAGAGCCGTAAGGCAGACAAGGCTGGAGCAGAGATCCGCGAGCCTGCCAAACCCTTTGCTCCCAATTGGATTCTAGCGTTGCAACTACACGTCTCCCCGGGCACCTAAGAGATCGCCCTGGCCCGCGAGCCTATCCAATATGGGACACGTTTCAACGTATCGACGCTCGGCCCTTTCCGTGAATCCGTTAGCGAAAACAGCAGGGCTAGAAACTAATCTCCATGAGCAGGAAGATACTGGACCCACGCCGTTTCGAATGTGGGCGACGAATGTCGACGTGATGGGCGACTCGCGACTCTACACGATACCGCGTCTTGTTGTCTGAAACTCCAGCCTCCAACCATCGACATCTCAACACATCCCAAGGAACAGCTTTCGTCCACCTGGGAGCGCCAAGCAGCTGGTGACTCGAGAAATTTTCCTGGCACTTCTCGTCGACCTGCAGCTGGAATACCTTGCAACTTGGATTTACAGTTCACGCTTTTCTCGCCATTTCCTTTTCAGGATGCGTCGGGCGCGCTTTCGTCGTGTTCACGATCTTTTACTATCCCCAAAGCCGCGATTTTGGACATTTTCCGCAGGCTGGCTCCCTGCTCCTGCAGCGGGACCATCATCCGCACATGTCTTTGCATTCATTTGGGCTAAGCTCAGCTGCGCGGTCCTTGGGTGTTCTGGACTGTCTCGCACAACGTAGTGAGCCCTCAAAGGCTCAACCGACAGCAGAGGGGGGCTCGGTGTGAGCGCGAAGTCCCTTCGGTTCCCACTTTCGCTATCATAACGGTAAGCTCTGTCTGCTCTCTGCTCTGCCCGCTAACCGCTCGTCTCCCACCGTCTTCTCTTTCGCCCAACGTCTGCTTAGAATCGCTGTTGTCTTCTACCGCTCCGCCTCAGATCTCAAGACTCAGATACACCCATATTCACTGTCCTTTGTGGTTTCTGTTCTCAATACGATCCATCCTGCTGGCTGGCTAGCCTCCCCGCGTCCGTCAAAGCTTCAAGCCATGGGCTTGAAACTATATATCAACGTCCCGCACGCCTCTGCCCGAACCATCGTCGTCGAGATACCCAGCCACCAATCGACTGGCAAGGACGATGTTGTGAATATCTGCCTGCAAGAAGGTTCGGAGTTTCAGTGCCAGGTTATGATCCCTGGTCGCGAGCACACAGATCAAAATGTGCACGTGCTGGCGCAGCAAAATGTTGACATTGGGAGCGAAGTACAGAATGCCAGGAATATCATGGGTCAAACCTGCACTCTGGGTGGCAGTTATGTAGAGCCGTCGGACACCCAGCGGCATGATAGGGGTGCTTGGCACCCGCAAGGCTGTGGCTCCGACTGTGGCCACGGCTGCAACGTAGGGGTAGGGACAAACAACGAATCATTGCTCCTCCGAGCCTATCTGGCGGGTTGTAGCACAGATGACGCTACCGACAAGGGTATTGCGGCTGGACAGCCAGTCGCGGTCATCCCTGATCCACAGCTGAATGGAATGGTGTCCAGGACCCAGGCGACACCAGTAAATCGATGTTCACCACACCCTGTTGCTGCACGCTGCGAGCACCTGTCCTGTGCCGCTGCATACCCCTGTTGCCCTCCCTGTCCCGGCCGTGGTGCCCAACTCCAAGCCTCCAGCCATCCCGGGGGTGGCAGAGCTTGTGAGCCCTACCCGTTCGTCGGCGCGGTGGGGTCCACGATCGGGCTTCAGGCAAGCGAAGCGGAGCAGCACGCCACGCTGGAGCAAAGAATCAAGAACTTTCGAGGGATCTCTCTACTGATGCGCAAGCTGAACGGCGACCCCATCAAACCCACCGCAACGATGGACACAGGGGCGGACCGCAACGTGATGATCAAGGGCCTGGTCGACCTGCTCAGATTCCCCATTAACAAACACAGCGACTCGACCACTACTCGCTTGTCCGTTCTTAACGACATGGAAGCGGACACTCTGGGCACGGTGGAACTAGATTTCTCGCTGTTCTGCAGTGGGACCCCGCTGCGCAAGGTCGTCTTCCATGTGGTCGAAAAGCTGGGCCGCCATCAGATACTTCTCGGTGTCGAGTTGATCATGGAGCTTGGCCTTTTGTACCGCCTGCCGTGCATATGTCATGCGTAGTGCTCGGATAAGAGTGCCCCTCCCGAGAGAGGGAGACGCCCGGCCGAGAATCTGGTACTCTGACCGGTGAAGGGGTGAAGCGCGATAGCCTCTCTCAACAGGGGTTCATGAACTGCCCGTATCTGCCCCTGTTGGACGATACGTATGTGCGAGTTCGATCGATCATGACAAACTGTGACGTGGCAATGCTGGATCACGGAGAGGATGCCAGCAGGACTCCGCCCCTACGAGTCAGGAGTCGCCTTTCCTTGTTGTCTTGTCTTGTCGTCCACATCACTGCCATAGAGAGAAAAAGAAAGGAAAATACGTCTGCATGTTGAGGGACTGGCTTGCTGGCTCGCTCATACACATACACACACTCATTCACTCACCGACATCTGCTCCTCCTCCTGCTCCTGCTACTGATGAATGCTCTTTCGTGGCCTCGAAGCGGTCGTCGTCCCGGCCGCCGACTCGTAGGCTCTCGCGACTGGACCGTGAGTGACACCCCTGACAACCTGGCCTTGCGACGACTGGACTTGCCCTGCGCCCGGCGGCCTGCCCTCTGCCTTCTGGCATCACGAAGCACAATGGATTAGGATCCATGGATCCTCGCGCATCGTCGGGCACGTGCGAGCGCGACCAATTGGTGTTTCTAGCTCTCATGCCTTTACCTTAGTCTCGTGTCACCTTGGTCGTCGTGACGCGCCATTGTGAACTTGATAGGGCCCTGCCGACCCCAGTCAACTGCCCAAATGCTCTCTGGAAGGGAGGCTGAGCGCACAGGATACACCGTCTGATCGACAAGCCAGCCAGTCAGCCGTGTCGGTGGGAAGATGTCGTTGCCTTACCTTTACGAAAGCCGCCTACCTGGCTGTCCAGCAGGGGCCGCTCTGCTATAATAATAACGCCCGTCCAGGTCTCTCACCTTTCCTCCCTTTCTGATCTTCAGCCTTGTTGTGGTCCTCGGAGTCTAGAAGACCAGCGAGAACTGAAGCAGGCGAACAGCAAGCAACACGGTAGCAAGAACCCATGGCCGAGCCACCCCAGCAGACAGGGGCACAGACGGAGCCCTCGCTACCCCAAGAACTGATCATGCTCTGGTGTTCAGATACGCTCCGGAACGTGCCCCTCGCCGCCGCAGCCATAGACACCCGTTCGCCATGCAACACCATCACGCAGCAGGAGATGACCCGGCTCTTGGGGGTGGTGCACTACCTCCGCGCCCGGCCGGAGGCTGACGACCCGGACAATCCAGACCCAGACCCGCATCAGCATCACCACCGAGGGCAGGGGCTCGTCGGCACGAAACTCCTCCAAATCGAACACGCCGAGGTGTCCATCCTGAGGGAGGAGACCTTTTGCATCGTGACCCACGCGCCCTGGCCGATCGTGCTGAACAGGTCGATCAATGTGGCCGACGCGACGCCCGAGGTGCATGTCTTGGGCGGGTCCGTGGATCCCAAGAAAGGTGCGTTTGTACAAGGACGTGTGAACGGGTTCTCCTTCGTCCTGAAGACCTGCCCCGGCTGCCTACCTTACCTACCTGTGTCGTTCCCTACCCACCGTGTCCGCGAGGCTGACTTGCTTGACCAAAGACCAAAAAAGGAAGAAAGAAGCCAAAGATCAAGCCAAGAAGAGAGAGCAACAACGAATCAAGGAGAGGGAAGTGGAGGGAGGGGAAGAAGACGTGAAGGACGAGGGGGAGAGGAAAGTGCAGAAGCAGGCAGGACAGGGACAGGGACAGGGGCAGGGACAGACGCAGACACCAGCTCAGACACAAACACAAACACAGAACCCGAGCCCAAGCAATTGAGCGGACTGCACTTCCACGCCGAGTTCGCAGTTCCAGGCTCCCTTCAAGGGGCTTGTCCGGCGCGGGTAGGGCGGGTAGGGAAGGGTAGGGTGGTTAGGTAGGGCAGGGCAGGGTAGAGTACGGAAGGGTATATCCAATAGCGTGGTGACGTACTGACCGTAGCTAACAGATACGCACCAAATAAGAAATTAATCAGTAGATGGGACAGGTAGAAGTACTTTACTCTGTACTCGGTCATTTCCGCTGATATGTCGAGTGTAAAAGTAGGAGAGTGCCGAGAGTCTGTGGTGTCCATCTTCCCCTCCCATCTGCATGTGCACACATCATGATACGTGGGGGCAGTTGGACCATGAGAGTTGACATTCACAATATTTACTGGAGAGACCGTGACCTGAACCCGCAACCAGAGGAGGCGCACGAGGCGGTCAGGATAAGCAAGTGTCGCCGTTCCTTGTCCCAATGGGCAGGTTAGTCGAGCACGTGCATGAATCAGCTAATTACTGTACCGTAGATGGATGACATGGTCGACCGAAGGTGATGTTCTTGTCTCGCGTACCACGCGCGACTTTGTGCAAAAATTCAAGTCTCGCATGTGTTTATTTTACGGTGGGATAGTATTCCACAGGGGCGGTAAAGGCATAGCTATATCGTTACTCATATGGTCTCACTCGACGGCGCGAAGACTGGGTGATGGTCGCCAGTACATACACAGAACAGTATCGGCATTTTGTCCCAAGCGGCTCATTCCAGGGGTTGCAGCCTTGTGGGCTTTGTCTGATTCAGCCTGCAGGACCATGCCGTGCATGACACCATACGAGAATACACTACAGTGCAGTACAGCGCACGCGCCAGCGTGTGAGACGAAGCGCTGTGCAGTCTGTCTTAGTGACGAACACTCATGTAAAAGGGAGACTGTACATGAATCAACCGACTTTACGGTGGTTGAATTGCATCTACTGCCTGTGATCAGACGAACCATCTACTGTATGTGACTTTACCCGACCGGCGTGTCTACGTAGTGAATTCTCGACCGAAGCCAAACACTCCTTCCAGGATCAAAAGCTCACGCTGCACCGGATGGGCAACAGGGGGCTTCCGTGCGGCGTTGAGCGGGCACTGCAGGAGGATAGACGTAAATCGCCACGGCTATCGTCGGCACGGAGCAACACAGACTTGATGTTGGAGCTGCATTCCATCATCACGGACATATGCTCCGACTTGACGACCCTGATCCAGTAAAAGCATATCAACGGGTGCTGGCAAATCCGAGACAGGCTCAAATAAACCGGCTCTGGGTGAAGAAGACAGCACCGAGGCCTAGGATGTGTCCCTTACCCTCGAGGAAAGGGAACACTGAGCCTCGACCATGAAAGCGTGGTATCTGCTACCGACGAATTTTCGCCCAAGGAATCGACCACCTGCCGTGGTGTTCCGAAGGCCGTCAACATTACTCTGCAGCGATTCATGATGGCGTTGATTCCACGCAGCCCAATCGCCTTCAGAGAGACTGGTGATTGTCGAAACGGCTCCTGCGGCAAGACTGCATCGCTCATCACCTGCACCAGGAGCATCTTCCCCACTGATCTCAGCCCAGTCGTCTTTTTTGAAAACATGTGGGCGGCATCGGAATCGTAGGCAGAGTACGTAGAAAACCGCATCTGGGATCCCTCCGGCATTGCAGGACTTCGAGAGTCTGCGACATATGAGCAATCAGAACTCGCTGTCATACCCAAATGTGTCTCGTTGGTGCGCCGCTCGTCCGTTCGAGAACATCGACTACACGGTATGTATATTCTGATTCCACGACGGGAATCGTCGACAGCTCATTTGGAGGCATCGCAGCCGATTACAAGAAGTGTTGCACTCCTGTCAAGACATTCCCATCCTTTTGGTTGGGACGACGAAAGAGTGCACGGATGACGGTCATCCGAGCTAGACCGCTAAGCTTCCGAAAGCCCCGTATCTCGGAAAGAAGAGAGAGATTCGCTCAAGACGACCGCGGCGTATTAACACGTGGAGTGTTCCGCGAAGACAGACGAGGCGGCTCGGCTGGTCTTCGAACACGCTCCCCCCAACCGCGCTACTCCACTCGACAAGCAAGAAGTAGCGACGACCTTCATGATGCTGGCCAGCTTTTGCCGAAATCAAAAATGCCACAACGACTCGTCCGCACGGTGTATCCCACGCAACGCACGCAGAAAGTGCAAATCCTCCTTCAAGCCATGATGTGCTCCGTCTAGACCATGGAGGAAAGTTGGCAGGGTCGCGTTGTTGTACATGATAACTGTCTGATTTGTTGATTCCTCATCGAGCTCTGCGCTTGCATCTGTCTCATCTCGGGCTTATCATATCCTGTCGTGTCGGTTTATGCCAGAGAGCCGCCTCCAAACACTCATTCCACGCCCGCCTGAATGCGCCTGACGCCCTCGCTGAATAAAAGAGCTATACCGCCGTTCCAGAATCCTCGCGTGCTATACATCTTTTTCAATATTTGACCCTTCCCAACGTTGGCTTCCAGTCCAACGGATGCGTCTCAGGCGTGGCCCTTGGATCCGGACCCCAAATTTTGATCGTCTTATCCGCTTCACCCATTATCAACCGCAGCCCAGTCTGATCAAACGTGCTGCTCATGATGCCAGCCTCTGCATCCAAAGAACCCGGTTGGGCAAGAGATTCCGTGCTCTGGAAGCGATGCCCTGTCTTCCAATCCCAGAAACAGATGCTGCCGTTATCGCCGCCGCTGAAGAGGACGTTTTCTTCATTCACGGCGAGTGTGTTGATGATGGCGTTGTGGCCGTCGAAATTCTGCATGAATGCCCCCTCGGGACATTTCCACTGCTTGATCGACCCTGCTGACCCCGACGCGAACGTAAATTCCTTGGGGTGGACGGCTAGTGCTCGCACGCCCTTTTTGTGATGAGTCAGGACGCCCATCGATTTGCCGGCCGCGAGATCCCACAGGCGCACGGTAGAGTCGAGGCTCGACGAGATGACCTGTGGGTCTGCTTCCTGGCATTTGACGTCACTGACGGTCCCCTTGTGGCCGGAGAGGACGTGGATGTTGGAGCGCGTGCGCATGTCCCAGACGCGGGCGACGCCGTCGCGACCGCCTGTAACGAGCACATCGAGCGTCGGGTGGAGAGACAGAGTGTACACGCCGGACAAGTGACCGTGGTAGTGGCGAATGACCTTGTTGGTCTCCAGATCCCAGCACTTGACCATCTTGTCCTCGCCGCACGAGAAGAGGTACGGATGCCGCGGCGAGACGGCAAGGCCGCGAACTGTCGAGATGTGTCCCGTCAGTGTCAAGCGCAGTTGTCCCGAGGCCAGATCCCAGATCTTGATCGTCCTGTCTCCTGCGCCGGACGCGAACCATTGATTCCCCGGTTCGACTGCTAACGCGCGCACCCAGCCCAGGTGGCCTGAGATGACTCTCATCAATTTCCACGGCGCGTGCCACTCCGGACGAGGCTGTTGCATGTTCGGTCGGCGGATCAGACTGTTGCCAGTGCCGGCCGTCTGCCGTGACGGATCTTGTGTATCTGGACTCGCCTCGCTCTTGACCAGCGCCATCTGACTGTTCGCGGCCGCCGCCATCTTTGGTCTTTTGGGTCCTCGTGCAGCAACTGCTTTTGCCTGTTTCTCGGCGAGCGCCTTGGGTAGTTCGCGGACGGATTCATATTCGACTTTTCGCTTGAACGAGGTGGAGATGGTGAGTGCGCTCGGGTCGGTGGCTTCGCCAAAGCTGTCGCCAAAGAGAGCTCGCGTGCGCTCCGTCAGAGCTTGCGCCGTGGCCGCCATGTCTGCTGCAGAGGAAACTGGGAGTCTAGGAAGACAACTGAACATTTCTTAGGCGACCAGTAGAAAATGTTCCAAACGTGCCAAGACGAGAATTGCTATCTTGGGACAAGGGTGACGCCGCCTTGTCCGGGCATACAGCCTCGCTGGTGTGGGCAGCAGCCTCGCTGATCTGGAGGCTCCGATGAGGCGGTAGATACGTGAAGTCACGTCATGGGCAGTTGATCTGGGCCTGTGTGAGTGCTCGACGGACACACATACCAGACTAAAAAGTGTGTCGGCATATTACTGGTGCAATCGTTCCTAGAGGGCAGCTCACGGGTCGTGGATGTCAAGGCGTTCTGTCACAGTAGGGAAGAAGTTAATCTATGCAAAGTTGAACGTGTCTTGACCTGTATGGGCCTCTTTCTTCCCTCGTCTTATGCCATTTGTATTCTAAGCTGGGGGTATCATGGCGGTAACGGCTCTGATTAAAAGTGACGAGAAATCAAAACCTTCCATTCTTGACCAATCAACGCCTCGCTGTGCCTGTGCCCGTGCCTGTGCGATGTTTGGCATGGACGATCTCTCCGATGCCAAACCAACATGGACTGTCTTCGGGATCTCGATTCTTGCTACTGTAGGAGTCAACTTGGAAGAAGACCCTGACTGCTGTGAATCCAGGTCCTGTCATCCAAGACAGGGCGTTGCGCCCTCATCTCTAGCGTTCCCATCGTCGCCTTCAAATCTTCGAGTCATACTTTTCGTTGTCGTTAATCATGATGATGTGTATTTAGGACGTGACCTTGGAGGACCTGGAGGACGTGAATTTCCAGGGGCCAGTGAACCAAGTGCCCTTCTTGCCCCAGTTCCAGTCGTCTTTCGTTGCGGACTTCAGGTCGTCCACGTTCAAATAGTCGACGCCTTCCTTGACGAGCGTTCGCCAGAGGTAATTCCGCATGCCTCGAGGCCAGCTGGGAACGCTCCAATATCGGACCTTCAGCCCGCGGGCATGAGCGCCGGCAATCTGTCTGCGTAGCGTCTCGACTTGCTTGCGGGAGAGGGAGCCGCGCCACGGCCAGCCGACGGCACGGCCGAAAGAGACAGACGCGTAGTACGAATTCGCCTGGGAGTACATGGCGGGACTAGAGGGGGCTGCACCGGAGCGACCTTGGCCTTGGTTGGAGCCTCGCTTGGTCAGCACGCCATCTTGAGTGTCGAAGGACGTGGTGCCACTGCTGCTGGGGTCTGCTGCTTTGGCCATCAAGTCTAGAGGGGCGTCGAAAAACATATCCCGATACGTGGGGTTTGCGACGACCTCCTCCCAGGGTGCGTTTCCCGTGACAACCACCGTGACGGGACCTTCGACGAAATTTGTCCCATTGAAGTAGCTGAGCATCTTCCTCTCGCGGAGTGGCTCCAGCTGTTCCGAGACATATGGCCAAAGGCGGTGGCCTTCGGTTTTGAAATCGATGAGCAACACCAGCGTCTGGGACGGGTCCGTGTCGAAGACTCCATTCCGAGGGGTGTCTAGAGTCGGGTGGAAGGATGTATGAGGGTTCTGATCGTCGAGGATCTTCACCAACGGGTCGACGTAGAGATTGCGCAGTGTCCTCTCGGGAGTGAGGGAAGCGGTCGAATGTCCAACATACAGCTCTTCATCGTATAGCCACACGTCCGCCTCGACTCCCGTGCAGCCGGCGTCCAGTGCAGAGAATAGAGGCTCTTTCCGCCAGTAGTCGTTATGAGAGTGGCAGGCCACAGGGTGGACGTCGGCCGAGAAATCGGTAGGCCAGTGTCCCAGCTCTTCAGAGAAGGCGCGGCCGACGCCTTTCCAGCCGTCCAACTCATCGTCCACGTCATCCGGGAAGAAGGAAAGGAAGAGCCCGCACGTCAATGCGATGACTTCTAGAATACCCCTATATGACGCGTCAGTATCAGTATCGGTACAGTCAGGTGCGAGCTTCTGTGGGGGCAGTCTTCTCACAGTATCATCAGGGCAAATGCCAACAGGCGGAGGACTCTCTTCAACGGAGTGGTAGGAAGAGATCTATACAACGGACTCAGTTCAGCAGTGTGCTCCTTGTGCGCCGGCCCCGGGCGTCTCCCTCGGAGCAATTCTCTCAACGATGGTATAGCCGCTGTCCAGCGCCATTTGGGAGAAAAATTTGCCGCGGTCAGATCGTCAAAGGACGGTGAGGTTTCGAGTCGGGTGCAGGTGACTGTGGGCCCTTTGGATGCATCGGGTCGGTCGGCAGCGGCGGCGTCGGTGAAGGATCCATCTTCGAGCGTCGGACACTTGAGAAACGACTGTTCCTGGGTCAAAAAAGGCACGCGCTCGGGTTGGACTGAGGTTTCTTTATTCGTGCCATTATTGTTGCGGAATGGCCGGAAGGCCGGGGAGGGAGGCATGCTGGCTAAGCCTGGAGCGCAGGTTCGACGACGCCTGAGGCCCCTGGAATGCCCGAAAGGTGGCTAGCGCAGGCACACCACGGGCGTGCCTGGAGATGCTCGCTTTCGATCGAGGCCCCGCAATTCGTGGGTAGCCGAAAAAAGCTTCACCGGCAACTGGCTGTCATTGCATGTCGCAGTGTTTCCTGGAGACTGGCTGAGCTCAGCAGGCGACGCACAAGTGGTGCAAGTGGTCGTTGAAGGTGATAGATGGGTAATGGCTTGGGCCCTCGAGCACGTAGTTTCTTCGTGTAAGATAAGTGGCTTACGGAAATAAGTAAATGCCCGTGAAAAGACCAGTCGTTCACCCACTCACTCACGCACAGAACAGACGAGACGTAGACCGAGGTGGTGCGGATGCTCGACGATTATAACGAACGGCGCACAGATTTGCTTCGCGGTTCCGGGATGGTAGGTGTCTGTGACAAGAGGGACCGGGAGGTATCAGGCTCAACGATCAGAATTAGCGATCTACAAGATACTGCGATGAGCCGTGGACGAGGGGTGGTGACGGTGGCAGCTTTACCGTAGTTGATCTTGCGCTGCCGCGTGGTGGTCCGAGGATTCGAGGTACACAGTGATGGGATCGATCACGCTGGTGACGCCTGAACAGAACAGTCTTCACTGCCTGATCAGATGTCAATCAGTGGAATGCCGTGAAAGCCCATCTCGTCCCGTCGCATCCCATCGCTTCTCCCACATGCCCTCCACTTCCCCTCCCTATTGGATGACGCCACTACTCCCAGCCCGCTTCAACCACGCTGGTGCCACCATCTCGAATGCTCCCTATTCCGCGCTATCGTGCACCTTGTCTTTTAGTGAAGCCGCCAGAGAACCACATGAGCTTCTCACCGTGTCTTCACAGACCTCTCGTTCGACGCACGTTGGTCCGTTCGAACTGAATAGGCAATGAGGCAACAAAGCATCCGCCGTCACCACCGTGACTCCTCCGCCAATCCCTTCTGCGCGTGTTCTATGCCTTTGGAAAGCCCGATTTCTTGAGCATCTGGAAAGCCATTGAGCTCATGCCAAGAACCACTCCGTACCCTGCATTATCTCCGCCTGTCAAACCCACCAGCCACACCTTTACGGAGTACGGGCTCTTCCGCTACGGGCACATGTCCGCAGCAAGACCGCCTCGTCCTTGACGATATACGTACCTTAGTACACGAGAGAGCAGGTAGCTGATATAAGGAGTCGAAGAATCAAGAGTTGGATGAGAGTCTGAATCCGTGCACAGAACACGGCACTGGCCCCTCACGTTGTCCGGTCTTCTCTGGGCCAGTTCCGCGGCATGTTCACACACCTGAATGGTTCTCCTGCCCGCACCAGTCGGGACGGGGGTCTGTGGCCTCATATACAGTTAATATCTAGAGACCTGGTGACGGCCACCTCTCCTGCTCGTGCCCATCCACCCTCGCGCGACCGTCAATCGGCGTATAATGCCTAGATCGCCCCAGCATCGCATCCGACTCCGACAGAGGTGAGGCGACCCGGCGCAGCTCGTTCGTGTCCACATGCATGCCATTCTCCTTCTCATCCTTAGCCACGCCGCCTGCCACGTGATCGTGCCGGCCCAGGAACGGCGAAGGTGCGGCTCCAACACCGCTAGTAAGTTGAACATAGGCGCGCAAGTCGCAGGGTCTCTTTCCGACACGTGCGATACACTGATCCGTCGGCGCCAATTTGTCGCACTCCCCAGGATAGTGGATTTCTCCCAACAGTCGACCCGCCGACAAATGAAAGAGATGATGCCGCACCCGTGCGGGCACTCCTTTCCCGGTGAGCACGGAGAGCAAAGCAGCCAGGAGGACCACGACGAAGAGCAGCAATGCCAGTAGAGCCGGGATGGCAAACGGCCAGTGATACCGGATCTGTCGCTCGTACACAGTCACGGGGACCAAAGCCTCACTAGCTGCGCCGTTTGCGACATCGCGTTTCTGAAGATTCGCAGGTAATGCGTCGTTGCCGGAGTCCCAGCTGCGTGTGCCGACGAGCATGTTCGCGGCCAGATCGGTCCAGATCAGGTTCGGGATCGTGCTCATCGCCGCGGCAGAGGTCGAGTAGTCTCGCCATCTCTTGTACATGGCCATGTTCGTCCCTCCGCTGTAGTCCGCGTAGTCGCCGTTGCTGTAAGTCTGGAAGATGCCGCCCATGATGCTGGCCAGTCCCTCGTGTGCGGGAAGGTTATCTTTGGTGGCGACGGCCGCGGAGAGGATCCCCGAACCCCCGTAGCCTGGGATATACAGGTGAGGAGCCCGTGTGGTCGAAAGATTGACTGAGTTGGCCAGGTCTGGCGCAATAAGCCCCCAGAGCTGAGACACGTCTTGTAGCTGATAACCCGGCGTCTCGACTCCCCACAAGGGCAAGGAATCCTTGTCAGGATACGCCTTGTCGCGGACGTTGACGACGGTCAAGGATCTCAGAGTATTCCCCGTGAGCGAAGTGGTATTCCAGCGGAATCGGACCTCTTTGATGGTCGCCCTCATCGCTGTGGCACAAGTGTACACGTTTTGCGTCCACCACGTTTCGGGCTCCAGCACCAGTGACTTGGAGCCGTCTTTGCGCTGCGCCGCTCCGTAGATCATGCCACATTCCACATGGACGTTGGTCAGGTTTGCCAGATCCCGGCTCCCTGCTCCGGAGCAAAGCAAGGCGATATCGCTGTAATTCTTGAAGCTGAGGCCGAACGGGTTCGAGTAATTGGTATTCGGTGCGTCGTCCAGCGTGTAGTTCGAGATATACGCCTCCGGGTCAAGAAGCGACTGCCACAGGTCAGTGGCATATATGCCGTTCAACTTGGCGCCCGGCGTTTGGTACTTGTTGACTGGGTGTCGGTCGCCAACCTTCGACTTCATGTAGCCGAAGGCATTGGGGCCGGGTCGGGTAAGGTTCATGACCAGCATCGTGTACACGTTCACCAACCAGGCGGCTTTGTAGGCGCGACCCTCCAAGTTCGGGTCCTTTTGCGCATTTGTCACGTTGACGTATGGGTATTCCTGGACCAGGTTCGCGAAGCCGCCGTTGTCAACGAGTGAGATGTTGGCCACGTCAGTAAGGACGGTGAACCCGTTCCCCAAGGGAATTCTGAACTCGACCGAAATGTTCGTGTCGGCGCAGGCTGTCTCCGGCTCAATCCACAGCAGATCCTCGGTCCATTCGGCGCCCAGAGAAACGCCCTGGGGCACGCTATGGTTCCGAAAGGCGATGCCACCTGTAACTGTGTCGACGACAAGACCTTCCACTGGTTCTATCGCGTTGTTCAGCACCATGTTTGACAAGTACCGGAACGCCCCCGCAATGTACTTGGCTCCATGCGCGACTCCGGTCTGGAATGTGTACGTGTAATACCGCGCCTGTATGTCGAAGAAGCTCGAGACAGACTGCGGCTGCTGTTCCAGCCCGCTCTGATAGAGCTCGGCTAGCACTCTCGGTATCCTCGCGTCATAGTCATCGTTTGTGATGTTGGCTTCTGCATAAGTGTCGTTTTCGAAGTACGTGATTTCGACGGTCGTCCCGGGACACTGGAGGGGAAGGAGGTTCCCGCAAGTGCGAGTAAAGCCCAGGTCACTGCGTCCAGGTGTGCCGTATCCCATGGGCCCTGGGTCCTGTACATAGGCGAAAGCAACGCTCTGCGGCGTATTAGAGGGCACGATGTCGTCGTATATCCCCAACGGTGTCACGACCGCGGCGAGTGCCACGAGACCGAGAGCCAGCGGGCGCATCCATGTCATAAATCGAATTGTGGTGTCGACACCCTGGGTCGCAGCTGCATCTGTCCGGAGGAACAGAGGCCTGTCGCCGTCAGAAAGACCTTTAGCAGGGTAGGCCAGGCTCAACATACCACATAGAACTCAGTAGGTTGCGCTCCACCACCGACCAGGTCACCGCGCTGTGTTCATTCTTGAGGTAGCCCACCAGGACAAGAATCAGGGCATTGGGTAGGAGGAATTGAAGGATGAATATCACGGCGGCGATGATGCCAGAAACGTAGCCGATAGTGATGGAAATCATCGAGTCGGTGCCGCAGCTGTGCGAGATTCGATGGGCTTTGAAAGGGATGTGATCTCATATGTGCCAGAATCCACTCCCTTTGTGGGAAACGGGATTCTACGACAGCTGGGCGACGCGCACGACAGCAAGACAAGATAATAAAGAGCAACACACAGTAAGGAGAGGATCTGAGGGAGGGGAAAGAGAGAGCTATACTTGCCTGGTGGTCAAGACAACATCTGCTGCCACCTGCACTGAGTACACGCGACCCATTCTCGACCTTCCAGACTGGGCTATAGAATAGCGCCTGTGCCTGGGTAGGGGCCAGAGGAAATCGAGGGGGCATCTTTGAGATACGCTGGATACGAATGTTCGTGTGACACCTTTGTTTAGTCCTGTGCCAGTCCGGGTTTCTCGTTCGCCATGACACGGTGTCTGACAAGGATCAGCAAGCTTGCACCGGGCAGTCATCAAGATTTGCGCCATATGAACAACAACGCCGGTCGAGAGCGTAAGCAGGGGAACCGGTACAGGAACACGCCAATGAGGAAGGTCGTCGAGGCAAGGCTGCATTTGGGGGCCAGTCTGTAGTCGCTCTCCATGGTGTGTCTTTATGTAAGTGCTCTGTTAGCGGTAGGTATGAAGCACTGCAGGGGCCATCGGCAGCTTCCCGCGCTATGGCTGGCTCCCATCACCATCTTGGCCTGCAGCGAGAGGCCAAGGAGTTGTTCACCAGCAAACGGTTCAAATTAAAGCAACATTGGGACCAGACGTCGCAGAAGATGCGGAAGCACAAGACCAGCGAAGATGAAACACCAAACCGGCCAAGACGCCATGCACGAATGAAAGGCGGTGATCGTTCGCCTGGGCGCCCCTTGATCTCCCGAATACGAAAGCCGACCAGGTCTAATGCTGGCCCGCCGCAGGGTATGGGGGTACAGTAGCCGGATTGATACCAAGCCTGTCACTTCAAATGGTGAAGATAGCGCCGAGCTGTCTGTTTCCAAGAGTTACTGTGTACAGTCTCGATGCTGCTGCGCTACAGCACTTCTTTACCCCACTACAACGGCCCGTTGGGATGGATCAACACCTTGGTGTAGCCGTCGATTCTCTTGTCAAACTTCTCGTATGCGACCTCCGCGTCTTCGATGCCGATCTCGTGACTGACCACAAACGATGGCTTCGCCTTTCCAGCGATGATCAGGTCACGCAGATATCTGTTGTATTGTTTGACATTGCATTGTCCCTGTGTATTGTTAGCTTGCAGGACCTGCCTGGTATCAAGGAGAAGACCGGGAAATCTCAACAGCAGTCTATAGCCTTGGAAGAGTACTCACAGTGGCAAGGGAAAGACCCTATGGCAGAAGTTAGCATCATGTCAAACACGCCATCAGTTACCAAACCACACGTTGCTTACCTTTTCGAATAATTTGCCAAAGCTCAGACTGATCTTGCCCTTGCCGCTCGCCTCATCTGGCGCACCAGGGTCGGTCGGGACATACAGGCCGGGAATTCCAAGGCCACCGCATGGCCTTGTGGCTTGGATCATGTTCTCCAGAACGATATTGGGCTGCTCCTTGTCGCCACCAGACGCCATAGCCTGATATCCTACCGCATCCACAGCCCTGTCCAACATACCGCCGTTCTTCTCTAGGATCTGCTCAACGGCATCGCCTTTGCTGAAGTCAATGGGCGTGCAGCCAATCTTCTCTGCCGCCTTTAGACGCTCCGGCACTCTGTCAACAACGTAGACCCGACTCGCACCCCTAAGTGAAGCTGAGTATGCGGCCATCAACCCGACAGGCCCTGCACCCCAGACTCCGATACTGTCGCCCGGTTTGAACCCGCTGAGAGAGACGCCGTGCCATCCCGTGGGGAAGATATCGGCCAAGAGGATAAAGTCCTGCTCGTGCTCCGTTCCGGGTGGCAGCTTGAGTGCGTTGAAGTCGGCGTACGGGATGCGGATGTACTGAGCTTGCCCTCCTGTGCGCGACTGTCAGATCCTGAGGCGTATAGTATCAGGCAAGTCTCGCCCCTTCCTTACCTCTGTAGGGCCCCATGGCGACGTAACCATAAGCGCCTCCAGCGAATCCTGGGTTAACGCCCGTGCAGAACGCGGTGTAACCCTCTTCGCAGTTCCGGCATCGTCCATCCGCGACGTTGAAAGGCATAACAACTCGATCTCCTTTCTTCAACAAGGTGACGCCCGAGCCAAGCTCCTCCACAATCCCCATGTTCTCATGCCCTGTTTGCGAGGGAATGTTAGCCATTGAGCTGCGTTCCTGGACGGAGACCGACCAAACGTGATGCCAGCTTCAGCACCCGTACGTCCCTCGTACTGTAGTCGCATCAGTGTGAGACGCTCGACCTCATTTACTCGTTTCGGAAAGGCTTACCATATGCAGGTCAGAGCCACAGATAGCTAGTCACATCCATTATCGCCAGTTAGCCGTGTGCGTGGCGTCACAGAGGAGCTATGTACGGCTGTCGGCTTGAAAGCCAGGTGCCTTGGGCTCCCACTTACCAGCCGTAGTGACCTTGACAATGACATCGTCTGGGTGCTCGATGGTAGGCTTGGGAACATCCTCCACCTTGACCTTGAAGGCACCTTGGTAGTTGACGGCCTTCATCGTCGAACCACTGGTTCTAACTTCGGTCGTCGACATTTTGAAGGCAGCGATTGGCTGTTTCCTGTATATTCGTCCCGCTTAGTCGTATGATTGGCCCAAGGCAGAATTGCTACTTGAGGCTTGTCCAGGTATTCCCAGATACCGCCAGATGGAAAGAAAAGGACAAAGAGGAAATACTCTTCCAGCTTCAGCTCACCTAGACCTATATATGGCCCCTCCCTCTCAGCCCGCCCACGGCATTTGTCTATCGTGCATAATCATCCTCGCGGAGCACGTCGCAGTGCAAGCGACTTGGAAAGCGGAGCAGCCGGGCATCATCTCGCGATTCTGGCACTTCTGATTGTCCGATAAGATGGGGTAACCTGAAGCAAAGTGGCGCTCGATTTGCCCGCGCCGACGGCCCTGCCAATATTATCTCCTCATCCAGATTTGCGGGGTACGAAGTACATCACCATGTCACTTGTCCAACGGCTGACGAGCGAAGGCGGAACACGAGGGGCTGTGGCCCTCCTTGCCCTTCCATTTGAACACGAAAGAGAGGGGCCTGAGCAGAGGCAGATGAGTATGCCCCGTCCTCATTGGATAAAGGTCGCTGGGCTCACACAGAAAGAAGGAATCATCGAATCACCCTGCAGCTGATCAGAAGACCTTTTCCGTGATGCCGGACAAACGCCTGCTCACCTGTTTCTATTTCCTAGACATTTTCGGTCCACACAACGCCTACTCGGGCAGTCAGAGACCGAGATCGTTTACCTCTTGCGGGAAAAAGAGAGCGAAGCGCATGAATCCAGTCACGAAGGCTGATTTGAATTTTTTGTATTGGGCCTAGAAGGCAGTCGACGTACATTGGCATGCGTGGCCGAGCTTCAATAAGGAGGTCGTTGGAGGCCGTGACTGCCTCGTCTCTGATTGTTCCATAGTTCCTCCTTCCAAGCGTTCCTCTCCACGCCCGAGCCGAGAACGATAGCCTGAGAACTCACTGCCGAAATGAACGCCTCTACCGGATGCTGGGTGCGCAGTGCTGGGTACAAGTGGAGTGCTGAATCGAGTGGCTAGGGGTTACATGACGGTGCATCTGATCGTGGTTGCGCGGAATTTTAGCAATCGTGCTGGTGCTGGATGGAAGGGCTGTGAAGTCGGGTGGTGGGCGAAATAATACCGGGGTGCTGTAAAGGGGCTTCGGGTGGTGTGCTCAAAGTAAGCAAAATGCGTAGTTGGAGCTGTCTCTCGACGACTCGGCGCTTTGGGTTAGCCCCGTGTCTGTGTGTGTGTCCCAGCGCCCGTCACATTGGGGTGATGAGCTCGGCGACATCGTGCGTGCTCATCGTGAGGAGCAGGAGCTGCAAAGTCTGTGCGTGAGGCTTCACATCTCCCATCGAGCCAAGAGTCCTCTGCTTTCCATTTTCATATTCTACATGTCCATAGAGTCGTTACCATTAGCGAAGTTGAATTGTCCCTGAGGTTGGTTCGATCCAAGGGTGAAGCCAGAGGCATTGGCTTGTGGGGCCAGTTCTTCAATGTCGGCGCCTGCATCCTCTTCGTCCGAGAAGTATCGCTCTATGATGTTGTAGGCTTTCATGTAGATCTCCTCATTGGCGTTGTTCTGGCAGTCGTGAATCTTCTCCATTCCACCAGCCTCTTCAATGAACAGGGCGTAGCGGTTTACCTGGGCTTCAGGAGCTCGCGCATCGGCCGCCTCTTTGTCCATTTCTCCGACTTTGAGGATGTTTTCCAGGCCGTCTAGCGCAACCTGGATGATCTTGTTGTCGGGGCAGGCCAGTAGATCACAAAGAGGCTTGATGCATCCTTGTGCGACAAGGTATCTAATCTGATCCGGCTTCTGAAGACCGCCCGAGGTAGCGTTGGAAATGGCCCAGCAGGCTTCCTTTCGAGTTTTGAAGTCACCATTGGAGAGAAGGTGGATCAAGGGAGGAATAATACCAGCGTCAATCACTGCTTGAATCTGGGTTGAATTGCCGGCGGTGATGTTCGAGATCGTCCAACATGCTTCCTTGCGGATGCCGTCTTTCTGCGAGCTGAGCAGCGCCAGTAGCGCTGTAAGAGCCCCACAGTTGATTATGACCTGAGTCTGCACATCATCACCAGTAACAATATTGCCAACTGAACGAAGAGCGGGGGTCTGAACGGAGGTGGAAGCATGCATGAGAAGCTCAACAAGGCGTCGGGGAATGCCGGCCTCGATGACCGCTTGGATTTTATCGTTCGAGCCATCGGAAAGGTAAGAAATGGCCCAGCATGCATCAATGAGGACTTCGTCATCGAGCATGTAGACAAGCTTGGCCAGGACAGGGAGCGCAGGTTGGATCTGATGGTGTGTTAGTAATGGGGTCTTTCGGCAGTGTCTCGTGTCACTCACAGTTGGCCAGTCTGGCTGAGGAGTCTTGCCACGGCAGAAGTTGCTCAAAGTCCAGGTGGCATTTCGCAGCATGCTCAGTTTGCGGCCATCGGCGATCAAGCTGAGAAGAGGCTTGAGGGCTCCTTGGCTGAGGACATAGTCGCGGCATGCAGGGGAGTCTCCAGCAATATTACCCAGAGCCCAGACAGCCTGCTCACGGACATCTGGCTCAGGGCTGCTCAGGAGCTCGACGAAGATAGGAACCGCGCCTGCCTCGATCACAACCTGTGTCTGTTGAGCACTACCGCTGGCAATGTTTGTGAGAGCCCATGCTGCCTCAAACTGCACAAGAGTATGTGGAGATCGGAGGAATTCGACGAAGCGGCTGACCACGCCAGTCTCAATGACTTTCTCAATGGGAGGGTTTCGTTCCTTGGACAAGAGTTTTCGGAATTTGGTGGTGGCCTGAATCTGAGCGTCGATCTGGTCTGAGAAGACTCCTTTGACCATTTCCGGCAACTCGGTGCTCAACTGTAAATATGGTTCGATCAGAATCTCCGCGCACAAGAAGAGACGTTCATCCATACCTCACTTTCGATGTTAGCCGTCTCATCATCGCTATCAGGCTCCGTGAGGCCGCCGATGGTGATTTCGCCATTTCCACGCTGCACACCTCTTCGCTTTGCTAGGTTTTCCTCTCTCTTCTGGCGACGGATCTCGACTTGTTGTTCTTCGCGGCGGCGGCGCAGCTCATCAGGCTTGAAACTGTTCTTGGCCTTGAACTGAGTGCGGCGATGTTCAGGAATGTATCGTTCCGCCATGTTTCAGGGATATCGCAGGACGTACACAACAATCAGGTTTTCCGAAAGCTTGTCCTCAGGTTGAAGCTGTGCTAAAAAGTATCGCGGGCGACAGGACTGGACTGTCAACAAGCGTCTGGAAGTGTGCAGAGACTTATGGCGGTCAGTGATGGGACTGCGCCGCAGTGAACAAAGAATGAGGATCAAATAAAATGGGGGTGTCGCAGTTTCGCAGTGAATATCGTAGACGCCCGTTAGTCACCCTCCACGGAAAGCACATGCCACCTTGTCTTGGCGTTGCTCACGTGAGTGCGTGTTTCGGCCAACGCGCGTCCCAGGCCAGCGGCTGACCTTGACGCGTCCCACAGTAGTGTCTTCAACTCTCTGTGCTCCTGGACGTAAGATATCCACTGCAGAAGAGACCAGGGAGCTCATTTGAGAAGCCCCTCCTTACGGCTTGCATTCACTGATATGCCTTCACTGGAATACCCTCGTTCTCCCTGAAATTGTCTGTATTGAGATCCACCATCGCATCTGACCAACACAGCATCATCCGGATTGCATGATACAATTATGGCGTCTGACTATGTCGCTCCACCCCCACGCTTCACCGATCTCGCCAGGGCAAGCCGAATCGCAGCAGGCCAGTCGTTCAACGTTATTGGGGTCTGCGTTGACACTCTTGACCCTATCCAATGCAGGACCGGACAGTACAAGAGCGCACTCACATTACATGACCCAACGTGGTTGAGTGGTGCAGGCATGGAGTTCTCGTTCTTCGCCAAATCGGCGGACCAACTACCTGCTGTCAATGATCAAGGCGATGTCGTCGTCCTCCGAAATATCAAAACAATGATTAATAAAGGTCTGAACAAGGGCATATCGAACTTCTCCTCAACCTGGGTCGTGCTTCCATATGTCGAGGTAGCGAATAGAAACTCTCTTCAGGACCTGAAGGAAAAGGCTCGATGGCGGAAAGATGGACGAGAGGCCCTCACCCAGTATTCCAAAGGACCCCAAACGGCTCCTCTCAATGAAGCTGAACTGAAGTACGCCAGATGGATTGCTGAACAGGAAGATCCCAGTACCTGGGCCCCGATACGGGCGAGGACGCAGATGGACGTGGCAAACACCATGGCAAGCAACGGCGGAGTTCCTGCTCCAGCCAAACAGAAGTTTAAATTGCTTCAAGACCTGGAGTTGCCCAGCGACAACGCCTACATCTTCGCCGACCTGCTGGGAGAAGTGCGCAGAATCTACAACAATGATTTCTTGACTGAGCTATATGTGACCGACTATACGACTAACGGCCAGCTCTACAACTACAAATTCGCTGTCCATGGAGAAGGGCGAACAGGTGACCCCCATGGCTACCTTGATGAGGATCCGAGCACATGGCCCGGCCCTTGGGGCCAAATGACAATGGCTGTCCGATGCAGAGACGGACAGAGCCATGTTGCCAACACAAAGGTGAAAGTGGGCGACTTTGTCTACCTCCGCAACATCCAGATCAAAATGGACAAGGACGGGCGGAAGCTTGAAGGCAACTGTCGAGATGATCCCAAGAACCCAAAAAGGGAGCTGATCGAGGTGGTCAAGGCCAAAGACGAGCGGCGGATCGAGGTCTTGCGGCGAAAGCGAGCATATGAGGAGAAGGCAGAAGCCAGTGCCATCAGATTTTTCCGGGACCCAAACCAGGCACGGAAAAGGCGGCAAAGAGGGGAGCCAGCAGAAGAACAGCTCGGTGAGCCGAAAACCAAACGCAGTAAAAACAGAGCCCGGAAGGACAAGAGAGCCAACGAGGCTGAGCGGCAAGCGCAAAGAAAGACGGTGGCCGAACCTGCTGAGCAAGAGCGTTCCCTCACAGTCAATCCGTCCATCCGGATCCACAACCATAAGGGACTGTTGTTCAAGACCATCGTTGACATCCTGGACCCGGACATCCTGCATCGCACAACCCCCAATGGAAATCCATATCGAGTACCATTTCAGAATTGCACTTACAAATCCAAAGTCCGGGTGGTTGATTTCTTCCCTGACAACATCGCCGATTTCGCCGCTCCACGAAAGGTGTCGCAGTATGATGAGCTGGACGACCACAAGTCCTCTGACGAAGAGTCCGACCTCGATTTGACACAAGAAGGGGACGGTGACGAGATTAAATGGGAATGGCGATTCTTCCTCCTGGTCGAAGACGCAAGGCCACAGCCGGGCTGTCAAGGACGTCCAACCCAGATGCAATTGCTCGTCGCCGATGATGACGGCGATTGCCTCTTCAACATGGACGCTTGCGATCTCAGGGACAAGAAGAACGAGACTGCACTGGCGTCGCTGAAAGAGAAGCTGTTCCACCTCTGGGGAGACTTGCAGGAGAAGAAAGAGGAAGCCAAGAGCACAGCGGAGGCGCTCAACGTGAAACCAAGTGCCCGGCCCTTTGAATGCTTGATCAAGGAATACGGAGTGCCGGTTCGAGGCTCCAGAAGCGGTTCGACCGACGTCGTCGCCTATGATAGATTCTTCCGTCTATTCGGGACGGCGATCTGAAGCTCGACGTTATGAGGAGTGATGTCGAGCGAGCGATGAATCTTGACCATGCTACCTACCTGTTATGCTGTAAGACAAGCTCAGGGCGGCCATCGCATCGCATCGCGCCCACATATTTGCGTCCCCGTCCAAAGATTTTTCAGAGTCTACTCTTGCTGCTGTGTCACTCGTAGCGAAGAAGTAGGTAATTACGACTAACGACAGAGGTCGCCGTCGACCTCATGCTCCGTCACAGTACTGTCGACTCGACGCCCATTCATTCTTGATACCTACAGAGTACGTACCCATACCAGGTCCGTTATAGGCGATCTTGACGAAACCGCGGTCCGATCCATCTGCGAGCAGTTGATTCGATCGACCGATCACGATCCGCGAACCAAGCCAAGCCAAGCTCTCCACAACGAGAAAGCCGCCCCGAAAGAGGACGTTGCTGCCATCGCGCACGACGCCACCCGCGCTCAAAAGGAAGGAGACATGAGAGAGACACGGAAGGACGAGTGGTTCTACAGCGCCGTCCTGTGGAGTTTCACCGTGCATGAACATGAGTACGGTATCTTGCTCGCATGTTGCTTGCAGGCATGCATGGCGTTGCATGGTGCGAAGACCACCAGTGAACCACCCTGCGAACCACCGAGTGATGGACTGACGAAAGAGGTGATACAGTTCGGGTCCACAACTGTGCATGGGGCGAACGTATGTTATGCGAATGACCAAACGTCAGCGTACTGTGTACGCAGTATCCCACTTGGACCTGTTGAGGCCGAAGGAGTGAGTGGTCGTACTCGTAGGGACGCGGAGATTCTCACTTTCGTTCCACCTGTACTCGTACTCGTACGCATTTACTTACATATGCTCCGCGGAGTATTGCGTGAGGGCTAGTGCTACAGTAATTACTGTAGCTCCACATGGCATGGAGGATCGTCGGTTCACGCGCAGCCTGAGCACGCATCATTCGTCGGGATTGAGAAAAGAAAGGTCCGTACGCGGGAGAGAGTTCTGCATGTCGTACTTCCCTAAGAAGTGCAGGCTTGGCTTCGCCACAGTCGATGTTCATTGAGAGTTCGATCGGCGTAGGAAAGGAGAGGGAGAGAGGCAGCGAGCTCCAGGAGATTTCGACATCAGGAGAGTGACCACGTCCGTGATGGGAGACAGGGGGATATACAGTACTCGTACTCCGTGAGGGTATCTCATAGGTGGTCGACGCCCCTGCAACGAGACAGGGGCAGCAGTGGCATTGTTGCGCGCGCATGCTCGGGGTATTGGATCAAGATACCCTCGTGCTGGGGTTGCAGAGAGATTGAACGATACATACTGCCTCGCTACGAGTACGAGTACAGGAGACTAGTGTTAATTCGCCGTGAAGGGATCCAGGGGGGAGAGATAGATCTCAACAGGTGTTCCATGGAGTGTCCGTCAACCACTGAAGGATATAGTAAGCGGCTTCGTTCCGCTCTGTGATACAAGGCCTCATTCACGAGTAATTCTGCTCAATCAATATCTACAACCACAGTCACACCGGGTGCTGGTCACCTGTGAGTGTGGAGCGCAAATCTTTATCACAGAGGAATGCAGGGCCCAAGCCACCTCGCCACCTGGCTTGTCGGCTTGTCCACAGTGTGCACTGCTCTCCCAATCTGGATGAAAAGTGCTTCGTACCTACAGTACCTCGTACCTTCACCGTGTACAGCCCACGGGACACAAGCGCGACATGACAAGCAGTACACGATGCGCAGGACATAAACAATACACAGTAAACGCAACGGTGCCGTTGTTCCATTCTGTAGCCGGGCTGCCAACCGAGGAGATGTCGAGTCGGCCGCGCGGGTTAGAGTTCGGAGTTATTGTGTCTGGACCTGCTTGGACCGCCCGATCGACGAGTCGACTGCGTAGAGGAGCGGACCCGTTCGACTCTCTTCGCCGTCGGATCCAGCCCTGCGCATCATGCGCAAGCAGCCGATCTTTCCGTACAGGAGGCAGGAGGACATGGGCTTGGGGTTTACGGCCCACGTTGGCGTTTGGGTGGCAGGACACTGCCCCAGGAAGAAGGTGTCGATGGGAGTACTGTACTCAGTACCGCAGTATCGCGTAGAGTTTTGCGAGCGGACTGTGTGCTGTGTACTACGTGCATATGACCGACTAATTCACATCAGTTGAGAGTCTGTGGGTGCTCGGGCCCTCGGACACAACTCGGTTTGAACGGCATCGGAGTCCCTTTTGCGTGTCTCGCGCGCCGCGGGATGCCGGTAACGATATTTATGCCCCGCATCTCAAGTATTGTGCCCCTCCATGCACGTGCATGTGAGGGGGGACTGAATACGTACCTCGTAAGTAGGTTGGTATGCTCAGTCTCAATACCTGTTCAGTTCTCCATGTACAAGCAATGTTGGACTATGTGCCCAAGGCATGGCTACTTGTACTCGCACTGGCGTATATTCGCATGTGATCGAGAAGTGACGCTGGATCGCGCATACAGAAGACCGCCCACGACAGACTACCAGAGCTGCGAGCGACATCCGAGTAAACTTTCACCTGCCCGTCGTCGGTTGCAAAATCGTCGGAGCTGGCGATCTCGAAGCTAGTGGCTGCTGGCCTGTAGGTATGATCCTCGTTACGGTGGTTCCTCCAGATGCGCGACGTCATTGTGCTGCTGGATCTGTGCGCAGACACAACAAGCGATGATGATTGTTGTGAATTCTCTGTTTCTGGTAAAGCAGGGATGTTCGAGACGACGTCATGACCATCTGTCAAGCTGCACAAAATCAGCCGCTGATGCATGATGGCGTCCCGTGGAACGTGGACATGGGCGAGTAGGTACGAGGTAGAAACTCTGTACGGACGCAGGAGCCATGGCATTTTCAGATCCATCGAGATGCATGATATGCCATTCACTGTCCCGCTTCAGACGAACGACAGGCTACTTGCAAGCTGCTGCTGAAGCCACCCACGGAATATGCGCTTCGTTTCTTGTACACAGTTACTGATTTGGGCGCCGCGAGTAACCCGTATATGTCGCCTATAACGCACCATGGGCAGCTTTGGTTTCTTGATCGAGTAGCTCATCCAAACCTCGTTCCGTTAAAGTGACTAGTACGCCAATGGTAGCTGGTGTACGTAGCGCTCACTGAACAGTGTCGAAAGAGAGTTTTCGCAATTAATCGCTGTCAGCAAACGGACTTTGAGATACGAGTCATCCCAGCCAGTGATCTCGGTACAGACGTGATCTTGCGAGTACGGAGTGTCCGCTGTTCGTGCCTGACCATTGTGTATATGGGAGTTAGCTGAACCTGGACCGCGGCGGGGTCATCTTGTCCTCAACGGGTAGACCTCGTGGCGTGGTAACGCCAAATTGTGAGTTTGTGTCCTGGTCTACTGTCATACCGTGTATTCGGGTCGAGCTTGAAGCAACCCCTGCTGGGATCAGGCCGTCAGCCGCCCTTTAGGCTCGTTTCGCTCAAGTGAGAAGTTTCGGCGCTTTGAGATCAACCGTTCTCAACCACGTAAGATCACATACCTTTTATGGCTCAGCATGAAAGAGCTTCCAGAGAATATGGCTGCAGCCGTCAGCATGTTCCATACGCCTATGATACCCACAAGACACTCATGATCATTTACCAAGTCCATGTCAGGCCCCGAAGCCTGCTCGTCTGGCTGCATGGGGATTCCCATTTCTCGAATGCTTCGTGTGCTGAGTGCTCCGTATCATCCGGCCTTTCATTCGATCCATCGACGAGTCACCAGCGATCTAGTCCCGATATCGTTAAGCAGCACAATACCATCCCGGGTGCAAGGGTGTGACCGCTGATTGTGGGGATGGCGTGCGTTTGGCTTTGCCGATTGCAGCGCATTGGCCTCATGACCACCCCAGATTTGCGCCCGGTTGCGGAATGGCGTGGACACACGGACCATCCTTTCTCACCAAGGGACCCTCTCCAAGGCGGTACGTGTTCGAAAATGGTCCGAGGATGGCCACATTCTTCAGAAAAGGTTTCCTCAAGTCGTCGCGGCGGACTTCCAGCAAGCCTGAGCATTCTATCGATAGTTGTACGTTATTTTGTGACACTGGCGGACCTCGGTACCGGTATTTCAGCGATATGTCGTCGATAGTCCGTCTACGCAGGCCTTGATATACAAGGCCTCACTGGACTCTTAATACCAATCGCCCTGATGGCTGCTATCCCCCGCTAACGGTCGCTGTCCCGCGGCGATGTCATTACAACGTGAACTTGACCAGGTCATGTAACTTAAGTAGACTGTCACATTTCAGCTGTTGAAACTCCAAGCATCTGCTCTCAGCCTGATTCTGCTCCATCCGCTCATGAGCAGTCATCACGCCGAAGGCAGCAGTGCTAAATCCGCAACCGCAGGAATGCATCCGAACCACAAGCGCCGGCAACGATTGGTCTCAACATTCAAGATTTAGAAGCCATCCCGCCAGCCGGACCGTGGGTACATTCAAGGATGGTAACAGGTGCCTGCTCGGTGCTTGGACCACTGCAACGTTAGCGGCACCAGGGTTTGGACCAAGAGGAGTGGATCCGCATCGTCCATGCGACGAACGAGCAGGAAACCGTCGTAGCGCGTCATTTTGCGGTGGCGACGGAATAACCGTAGTCGATGAGTAACGCGACAGATATTATTGCTGGGACAGAAGGCATTCTCCAGAAGTTGATTTTAGAAGCCTGCCACCCGACGATCAGCGGCCGATCACAGGGCTATGTGCACGGTTCGAGAAATGTGATGGTCGATGCTTACCTGAAATCCGGGGCAAATTCGCCCAGGTGGACACAGTGATAGACAAACCGAAAAGACGGGTAGCCACCGCCCGCGTTGATCTGAGAACCTGGGTATGAGGTGCATGGTGGTTCAGTCTCATTAGGGACCACTCAACGACAATCCCCCAGCCCACGGGCCCACTGGACTCGCGATCCCGGAGAAAATTCGACTTGAGTGACTCGAACTGGCCTGTTACCATGCGAGCAGGGTGGTTCCTGTGCGCCACACGTCCAGCCTTCACAGGCCGGGGCAAATGAAAGGCGCCGCATGCAGTTACTTATGCAGTGCTCTGACGGCCCACAGCAACATGCACAGATAGAAGCAGCCAGCTGGTGGCCGAAGATGCCGAAGAGAAACGTCCCCAGGCAGCTAATTCGATACCAAGAGACGATGGACTCTGTGTCTTGCCGCACGCGCGTTCCTTCCTCTGCTTTCTGTCTCTCCCCTTCGCTTCCTTTTGTACATTTGCATAAATGTCGCATGTTGAGTTTGCAAGGCGGGCGGAAGACGGCCATACAAGAATTTCTCAGCGAAGACTGTGGGTACTGGATAGCCAGTCGTGGTGACCTCCGAAGCTCCAGAGAAAGTAGCTGTGGAGCCAGTATCTTAACTACTGCGTCTTTCCATGGCCACACAGTAGGTATTCGCAACCCTCACCTCGGGAAGCCGTGCATCAAATGCGAAGTAAGTACGGAGTAGCTCGTAGATGGCATAGTTGCTGCGCTGGCTAGGTGCAGGCTCTCTAGGAACAGTACAATGACGGAGGTACCTGGTGATGTACTCCGTTCCTATTGCATGGCTGACAATGCTGCTAGCAACGGAGCCTTCAGGCGTGCCTGGATATACACGTAGTAGGCCACGCACGGCTGTGTCAACAGAGTGCACGGCAGCTAATTAGCCCGTCGTAGTGTAGCCCTTAAGTTAGTTTCAGACAGGGACTTGTGCCATGGGGCCTGGGGTTCGACTGCAGCAGGAGTCCGCTGGGGACAAGGCCTCGAGCCAATAGAACCCATGCGGGCTTAACGAACTGCTCGAAGCGCCGCGCTTGGTGCTCCCACGGGCATCGGCCAGCACCCGGGTGCAGCGACCTCGCACTGCGCTCGTCCTTCCAGACTCCGAATCAAACGGCTCTAAACTTCTCCAGAATCTCCAGACTTTCATGCACATCGTGCACAGCAATTCCTCGAAACAGAATCGCCTTCACCTTGTTCCTCCACCTTCAATCGCTGCGTGTTGCCCTCGTCTCTCCGATCTCTTTTCTCTTTTTCACTCTTTCTCACCTCTATGAGTTGCCCGCCTCCCGCACTACCATTCTCGAAGATCCGTGGTCTTTGCACTGTTGCCGACCGCGTGACATTGAATCTTGGGTCTCGCCTTTCCTGTCTCTCCTGCACTCCTTCCCCAGGGTTTCCCCGCCCCTGCCCGCCCGAGCTCTTCTCACCTTGCACATACCACAGTATCCCGCCAGATCAATCGCTTCTTGGAGAATCGGGAAGCTGTACCCCAGACATACGGACCGATCGACCCTCGGCCGGCGCTACCTTTCTCTCCCTAGGCTCTTCGAGCGGCGAGCGACCATCTGGCCAACAGCATTCCAGAACGCCCAGCTCCCTGCCTGAAGGGGCAGCCCACCAATCCGAACTCTCCTTGTACAGCCACCCTGCAGTCTCGAAGCTCTCGTGGCCGCCAACCAGTGTCGACGCCCACCCACCTGTGACGTGCAAACTTTGAGACGCCCCGTCCTGCTTTGCCGGCCTGTTCTCACCAAGTATTATTTTGTCCCTCGGTCGTCGTACTTGCGCACTTTTCGCAACCCATTACCACCGGTATACTTCTCAGGTGCGTCTGAATTGCTCGTGACGGCGTCTCTGGTCCGCTCCACCTGCCCAGCCTTGTCGGTAACCTGTTTGCATACTAAAAGTGGCCCAGGTACCGAGCTCGAGCCTTGTCCTTGCACATGATCGCACGCACTTCCGCCAGCGTTCTTGTATCGTCGCCTTCTTTCTAGGGTCGTGTGTACGGTCGTTACAGAATCGTCGTTTGGAACTGTCCAAGGCGCCCGTGCCGCCGATCCTACCTACTCTGGCAGTCTGGGGGACTGGGTCACACTGGCTGTCTGGCTTCACATGGCGCGTTGAGTTCACACCAAACTTGGAGCAGAAATATCGCCCTTTGTGCATCAGGTGTCCGTGCTCCGAGTGCATTTGAGGCCACTGGAAGTCCATGTGCATGCGACGTCCTCGACTGGCCTGTTTGTGCTACGGGACTGGGTCTGATCTCCAAGGGTAGCATCGAGCGCTCAACCTCAGGCATAGGCTCCCGAGATAACGTTGCGTATCCTGGGAGTCATTGGTAGCGAACTTGGAGGAGAGAAGTGGCGCGCTTATCGACAATATGACGGTGGCTTCGCCGGAGGGGACCGCAAGCGAGGCAATGGACGTCGCTGGGTCAGATATTGGTAAGTCGGCTCAGGAAAACTCCTCTCGTCCCGGATCCGCATCTCATTCACCTCGCTCAGCAAGCAAACCCCCGTCGGTTGCTGGGTCCAATGGCTCCAACACAGCGTCAAATCCAGCTCAGATCCTGCCAAAGACGGACAAGCCTCGCCCTCATGTGTGTACCACCTGCATGCGCTCGTTTGCTCGACTCGAGCATCTGAAGCGGCATGAGCGCTCCCACACGAAGGAAAAGCCATTTGAGTGCCCCGAATGTACTCGCTGCTTTGCCAGACGCGATTTGCTTTTACGTCACCAGCAGAAACTGCACTCATCGACGACACCATCGGCCCGACCACGATCAGGCCGGCGGGAGAGCGTTGCGGGGGTTGCTAGTGGCCGCGTGCGGAAGAACTCCACAGCCGGCAACGCAGGGACGATGAGACCGAGGGCGAACACACTCAGCCATGTAGACTCGGCGACACTGGGGTTGCTGTCCAGTTCTACTGGAAACTTTGGCCGCCAGTACATGTCCGGTCACAACCACAGCAGCAGCGTGAACATGCTTCCTGGACCGCAGGGGTTTGCGTATCGCGGCGTACACTCAAGTCACGCTCCCTTCAATCTGCCGAAGCTGGAGACTCACGGTCTGCCCATAGATTTCTCAGGTGGTCTACGGACGGCACCACCATTTGGAGGTTTCGGATCCGAGTTCGGAGGCGGTTTCGGTCCAGACCAGGGGGACACAATCAATCCTCACGCGCTGCACATGACCAACTTGCACGGGCTTGGTCTGGATCCCATGGGTTCGCCATTCCAACAAATGTTCCCTGGCATGACAGCGTCTCAGGCTATGGCTGAGGATGAGGCCGGGTTTGACTGGATGACGCATGGTTTCGAGAACCAAATGTCATTTGCGCAGGCGCACGAGAATGCCATTGATGATTCTTCGCCCTCTGCCATGAGCACTAACAGTCCGGCTCCTGCCAACGATATGCACAGCGAAGCAAACATGGTACTCATGCAACAATCGTCGGCAACTGCGGGTAATATGTGGTCCAATGCGCTTGAATGTGGGGTCCCCGTCCTGAACAGTCCGATGAGCGTGGATATGATGTCTGCTTTCAATGAAGTGGTCAACGTCCCAATGGAAACTATTTCACCTAAATCTCTCTTGGGCCGAGGATCGTCCATGGATATGAGCCTTCCCACGCCACCGGATTTCGTGTCTATCGGCGCTTCCGCCATGCAAGCAAACCCCCGGTATAACGGGTTCCAATTATCTTTCACGGCCGAGGCACCCGCTTCTACTCCCTCAACGGCATCAAGGGATAGCAGCTTGCGGCAGAGTTCAGCGACAACTGCGTCCTCTGAGTTAGTGAGCGATCACATTCGGAATGTCTTGATTGTGGGTCTCTCGCAAAATACTGGGTTTGGACAACGCAAATACTCTCAACCCGCAATCAGTTCACCACTGTCCCCGAGCTCCAACGTGCGTCCGAAGGGCTTCAACCCTAGTACTTTTCCTAGTACGCATGAGCTGCAGCGGTATGTCTCTGCCTATATTAGGTATTTCCACCCACATTTACCCTTTTTACACATCCCGACTCTCAACTTCGAGGCCCCAGACTATACAACTCCCATCAGACTAGTGTCGGGCAATTCTCAATTTAACCCAACCACTGTTGCTGGAGGGGCCAGCTGCTTGATTCTGTCAATTGCCGCCATTGGAGCTTTGTATGAAGGCGAGGTATCTCAGTCAAGAGAGCTCTTTGAATGTGCCAAACGACTGATCAGCAATTACCTTGAAGAGAGGCGCAAAGCCAATATGACCAAGACACAGTTTGCACCGCGACACTCTACCGAGAGAGAAGATACACCACTGTGGCTGGTTCAGGCTATGCTTCTGAACGTGATTTACGGCCACAACTGTGGTGATAAAACGGCCGCTGAGCTCGCCAGTAACCACTGTGCGGCTTTGGTAAGCCTTGCTCGTGGCGCTGAGCTTGCACGGCCGTCCCAGGGCCACGCTGGAGCAGGACCAAACGACGTCAACGGGCATGGCCATATGAATGGGAGGGCGACCAACGGCTGGAACTCGATGATCAATGAAGTCGACAACTCCGACTGGGTCGAATGGAAGCTTGTGGAAGAACGCAAACGGACGCTGTACGCAGTCTTCATTCTTTCCAGCATGCTTGTGACGGCCTACAACCACCCCCCTGCGCTCACCAATTCTGAAATCAGGTTGAATCTACCGTGTGATGAAGAGCTTTGGGCCGCCGAATCGGCACATCTGTGGCGGAGTCTGGGAGGAACGTCCGGCCCAGAGGCAAACGCCGTCACTTTCGCCGCATCTTTAACGCATCTCCTGACGTCTGCACACCGACAACGACGGCGGAACAGCAACGTCGCTGCCCCCGGAATCACGGGCGAACCGGAGCTCCGTCCCAGTACCTTCGGCTGCTTGATCTTAGTCAATGCTCTGCATAACTACATCTGGGAAACCCGGCAACGGCATCTTGGGCGAGAGTGGACTACAAGTGAAACCGAACAGATGCATGCTCACATTGAACCAGCACTTCGGGCTTGGCAGGCTGCCTGGGCGAACAACCCCAGCCACAGTCTGGAACGGCCCAACCCCTTTGGCGCTGGACCTTTGTCTGCTGATTGCATCCCATTGCTCGACCTCGCATATGTCCGGCTCTTTGTCAATTTCGGTCGATCCAAAGAGGCATTTTGGCAACGCGATTATGATGCTATGGCAGAGGAGCTGGCCAAAGGTTCAGCTATATCGCCAGGCCGAGAGACTGCAAATACAAATCTGGGCAAGAACTCCTCATCTAACAACAAACATGATCAGTGGGGCCAGCAGCAGATGCCATCTCCGGCTGAAGAGGGTATGAAAATCGAACCACGGGAAACTAAGCCTGAAGGTCGTTACTCTCAATCATCTCACCGCGAACGACATCTTCGGAAGGCAGCCTTCTATGCGGCAGACTCCCTGTCCGTGTCGGAAAAACTGGGATTGAGCTTCGCAGAGCGTCCCTCTCGAGAGCTGCCCACGCAGTCAGCCATGTGTGCGTTTGACTGTGCACAGGTGGTGGCGGAATGGATCGCAGCCGTGCAAGAGCGCGTTGGCAAGTATCTGGGTGTGATCGGCCGCGACAACATGAATCTGCTAGACGTCCCCGGTATCCTGTTGCTTGAGGACGAGGATCGGAAGCTGATCCAAAGGATTGACGAAGTATTGAACAGCGCGGAACACAAACTTGAATCTCAAGGTGGCTTTGATCTGGCTGCAGCTCGCGAAGGTGGCCATGGCAGCAGAATTCTCACTCTAACCGCATACATTCTCGAGCGAGATTCTGTATGGCCTGGTAAGTCATTTGCGACCACGGATTCACTGGGCACTAACGATTCTCCCAGTGTACACACTCATGGCTCGTTCGCTACGGACACAAGCAGGACATATCCAAGAGCGAGCCTTAGCCTCCGTCGCCTGACCCTAGGTGGTGTATCCGCGCTCCCTACAACGACTGCGCGCATTTCTCACAACTATACCTTCTCTTCTCACCGAGCTGCATTGGGCAGCGCGGACTCGTTTCGTCTTATGCAAGTCTTAATCACCGAGACGTCAGTCTATATGAGTGTCAGAACATACGATCACAATATACCCCAGGCACGAACACTGTTACGCGAAAAGCTGATGGCATGACATCTTTCTGGGACAGGATATCTCAAAAGTGAATTTTGGGGGATGTGGAGTACATATGGGAACATTTCTGCCGCGGAAATCTGAGCAGCGGATCTTTACGTCTGGGAGGGCCATATCTGCTGCGGTCGCTATGTGTAATAGTACGGTGACGAGAGCCATGGATGATGGTAAAAGTTAGAAGATGATGGCTAGCGATTTGTGCCTCACGGTCCAAGTAGTCCGTGATGGGCTGAAGGAGGCACCCTGCAAATGGATCCTGGTTTTGAACCGGTCATGGCAGCTTTGATGGAAGCAATACTCGAGTGTCTCCAATGATCAAACATCCCTTTTCGTGCTGCTCTTGATGGTTTCCAGGTTCACACAAAAGAGCGTCTTAAAGGCGAGGCATAGAACGAAAACCTCTCATCGGCCGTCCTCAACCGAGATCGTCATTTCGTCCATTCCTGGTTGATATTCGTACCGTCAAAGAGAGGGGACCATTATGTCTCCCATTAGCCAAGACTCACGACTTCCTGCCGCTCGTCGGAATAGCCGGTCGAACCGGCCACTGAGAATGACGGAGCCAAGACAGTCCGTTCGTCTTGATTTGAATCCATGCGGCAGGACTGCCAACCGCGATACAGCGTGCACCTCGCTTCCGGTTTCCCAAGGCCGACTATCTTTCCTTCTTCGATAACAGTTTCATAACAGTGGGCACATCTGCGTCCTGGCCGGAGAAGGAAGATCGATCGAAGACTCGAGGACCAGAACAAGCTGCCAGACTACAGACTTGGGTTATGCTTGAATATCTGTAACATTCGGCGAGAATACGGAGTATTGTCATCAGGTTCATGGTGTCCCCAATACTCTGTACGAGGTACTCACTACCCTACGAGGACAAAGGTTGGCGGATCTGTGTAAGAGTGACCTAAGCTTAGCAATGAGCGAAGCGACAGTCCGCTCTGGTGGCGTAGCCCGCGTGGGTGTTGACGTGGTCGGGAACGGGCGCGGGCACGGGCATGGATAACTCGTAGGCATGCCCAGGCGTGGCCACGGGCAGCACGGATTTGGTTGGCACGTCGACTCGGTCCCCGCAAGTCGTGGGTTGTTGGTCATTGGCCGCGCAAAAGGAATGCAGGGTTGGGGGTTGCACGCTGGGCCAGCCGAAGATCCGTGTTGAGGGATTCCCAAGCAGAATCGATCCCCACGCACAAGGCGCCGAGCCTTGTCAAGAGCCGACCACTGGTACTTGTCGGCACCAAGACCCCATGGCAGCTTGGCACACGGCCGTGTGCTTTAATGGACGATGAGATATGAGCGGAGGTTCTGCTGACCGAATGTGCTTTGATCATGGACTCGTTGCTCGAAGACTTCCCACGGTCCATTCACCTCCACCTGGCTCACACATTTGTCCAGACTGGAGAGGCTTTGTCACTGCCTGTCGCCGCGAACCCCCACCGTCGTGTGAGGTCTTCGGGCCGGAGTAGACATCGGAATCTGTGACAATTTTCCCGCCCAGCGCCGCCACGCTGTTGATTCTCAGACCCTTCACCCGTCGTCGACCTTCACCACGAATCTGTAGCTACGGCCAGGACCTTTTATTTACCACGCATCCCGTATACCGCCTCGTCAACCAATGTTCGTCAGCCTTTCCTGAATGCATCGAGTCCAGCACCACGAGCTGCACCAAAGAGAAGGAGACGACTGGGGCTAATGAGGCGCAAGAGCAATATATAACAGCAGTGTCGGCAAAAGATTTCGAAGAGTCTGTCATCCGTCCTCTCGTGGCCACAGCATACAATCTCAACTCACCTGGGACGCACAGGTGCGGCAGTGCTGTACGACGTTTAGGTCTCACAGTGTTTGCCCAAGATGGCGTGGGAGCAGCTCTCCATAAACAAGCCGCATCTGGTGTATATCATTCTCGGCGGGTTCACCAGCATATTCATGCTATGCTCGCTCTTCATCAAAGAGAAACTGTACATCGGCGAAGCAACCGTCGCGACCATATGCGGCGTCATCTTTGGACCACATGCCGCCAACCTGATCAACCCTCTGACCTGGGGCAACACCGACCAAATCACCCTGGAATTCTCCCGCATTGTTCTGGTCGTCCAGTGCTTCGCCGTGGGTGTGGAACTGCCGAAATCATACATGGAGAGGCACTGGAAGTCGGTCACCTTCCTTCTCGTCCCCGTCATGACCTTTGGGTGGCTGATCACCAGTTTGTTTATCTGGTGGATGATTGTCCCTTTGACGTGGCTGGAGTCATTGGTCATCGCAGCTTGCGTGACCGCCACCGATCCTGTGCTGGCTTCTTCCGTGGTCGGCAAGGGCAAGTTCGCCAAACGAGTACCGAAACATCTTCGAGACGTTCTGTCAGCGGAGTCAGGTTGCAACGACGGCATGGCGTTTCCATTCATCTACTTGTCGCTCTATCTCGTGCGGTATCACCTGAAAGGTCGTCCGGTCGTCTTTCACTGGGTGTGCTTTACGATTCTGTACGAGTGCGTATTCGGCGCCTTCTACGGTGTCATGGTTGGGTACATCGGTCGTCATATGATCAAACTCGCCGAACGGAAGGGCCTGATCGATCGAGAGAGCTTCTTGGTCTTCTACTTCGTCCTGGCTCTCTTTTGCGCCGGCTCTGGCAGTCTGCTGGGTATGGATGATCTTCTCATTGGATTTGCTGCCGGCGTGGGGTTCTCCAACGACGGCTGGTTCACCGAGAAGACAGAGGAGTCGCACGTCTCGAACGTCATTGACTTGCTTCTCAACCTGGCCTATTTTGTCTATTTTGGGACCATCATTCCCTGGGACCAGTTCAACTTTCACGACGTTGGCTTGCTTCCTTGGAGGCTGGTTGTCATCTCAATCTTTGTCGTCTTTTTCCGTCGAATACCTGCGATGCTGGCTCTGAAGCCGCTCATTCCTGATGTCAAAACCTGGCGAGAAGCCCTGTTCGCTGGTCACTTTGGACCTATTGGGGTCGGCGCCATCTTTGCTGCCATACTTGCTCGTGCAGAATTGGAGACCGACTCAACCACACCTCTGGCTGTCCTTCCAACTGAAAAAGAAAGCGAGGAGTTTCTCCTAATCTACCTCATCTGGCCGGTCGTCACGTTTCTGGTGATAACCTCAATTCTGGTGCATGGCTCCTCCATTGCCGTGTTCACACTTGGCAAACGAATCAACACCTTGACCATCACCCTGTCCTACACGCAAGACAACGAAAAGGGGCCGGCGTGGATGAATCGACTCCCTCGCATTACTTCGCAGTCAAGATCCATGTCACGCATGGACAGCTCGGATCTGGAAACGGACGACAAACTGGATGTTCCACCAGGAGAACTTCCTCCTATTGGGATACCCAAGCTTCATCTCAGGCGTCAACGCGAAGATGAGTACGAGAAGAAGCCGGTCTCTCGGTCTTCAAGTCTCGGAAGATCAAGAAGAAGGAGGCGTAAGGACAGGGATTCAGGAGAACGTCTGGGAGGCCCTATCAGCCAAAGCGCCATTGCACCGTCGAGAAACAGTGAACCTGGTCTGCTCCAACAAGAGTCCGGCTCGGATACTCTCTTTGAAAAATCGGGCGAACCTTCGCCTCAGAGTCCCCAAGAGCGCCTCGTAACAGGTTCGCCTACCTCGTCCCCAGAACGGGACCAACTTGAAGCGGAGCACGAGGCCGAAGCCCGAAAGGAGGCGAGCGGCCGCGAACACTCTCCTGTGCCCAAAGATAGGCCCGCCGATGTCGAGGTTTACGAGGAGGGTGATAACATCATCGTCGAGGATGAAGAAGGAAATGTGGTAGATACAATCGACACGAAGAACATGTCGGCAGAAGAGAAGGTGACGGCCGTTGAAAAGGCTCGTAACCGCTTGACCAAAGACGAGTCTGGGAATTTCGCCAAACACAAACACGAGAGCCATCCCAGAACTGAGGGTGAAGAGATCGAGGAGCACCTTGCACATGCGGCAGTGCCCAAGTCCATGCGTCACAGATTTGACCAGTGGAAAGGGTTTGGCAGGCGCAAAGAAGGAGAAGGCTCAGGCGAGCCTCCAGCTGAGAAGAAGACTGAAAGAAAGCGTGGTCCGGCCCATGCATACCAGTTTGGCAACACGGTCATAGTCGAGGACGAAGACGGCGAGGTCATCAAGACGTACACCATTCCTAGTGAGGCTGGTGGCAGCGACAGGCGGAGAGACCAGCAGATGCGCGCAGGCCTGCGTCGCATGAGTACTTGGGTCGGTCTTGGTCGCCAAGGTGCTGGACCAAGCGCTGCCGACCCTGAACCCGCCGCGGTTCCAGTTGAAGGCATTGAAGACAAGCCGGAAGCGAAGCCTGAGAAGAAGAGGCGGATAAGCGATGCCTCCTCAGATGACGGCTTGAGAATGACGATCTCGGGCCGTGACCAGTATGGCTTGACCGGGTTGCAGAAGAAAACCCGCGATGTCCCTGGTACGATAGCGCTTGGCTCAGGACGACGCATGTCGACGAGAGACTTCATCAAACAGATGCAGCAACTGGATCCGAAGAGCAAAATCCGGGAAGTCGAGCAGAGCGATGCTGGAGAAGACATCAAGCGAGAAGTGCGAAAGGCAGCGAAAGAAGAAGGCCTCGACGAAATGGTGACTCCTGGTGACAGGCCTGTGCGCGGCCGAGCTGGAACAAGCAGCACTGCTGCTGCAACCCAAGAAACGCCTGGAAATCTTAGCAGAGCCATGCCCACACGGGAAGCTTCGGATTATTTCGGTTCGCAAGGAAGACCAAAGTTGGGGGGTTCGACGAGTAATGCGCACGCCACGCTGCAAGAGGAAAGTGATGAGGAGGAGGAACCGAGTATCCCCACCCACGACGTCCGGTCTACAGTTGCCCGACACAGCCTGGGGGGCACCGCCGCTGATGCTAGGAGACGACAGCTGGCGAGAATCCACTCGGAGGGTGCAGAGGATGACGGTGAGGAAGGGGAGAGAGAGACTGCTGCGGAGAAGAGACGTCGGCTGGCTGCATTGGGTCTTGGGGCTGAAGATACGAGCAGCGAGAGCGAGGGGGACGAAGAGGAACCCCGTCGTGCCGAGGCGGCGGTCCAAGAACCCGAGTATGAGCTGCCATCTTCACCCTCTGCACAACCCAAAGCTCGGATCCAATGGGGTGGCGAGAGTGGACGAGAGCGAGGGAAGAGGACGGAGCCGGAGCCGAATCCGAATCCGGAGAGCGAGCCTGTCGATATCTACGCGGGCGATCCGGTAGTGGGCGCAGCACGGAGGCTGAAGAGGATGATGAAGAAGAAGAGACAGCAATAATTTCTGATGATGGGGTGACGTGTCGAAGGTGCTGAAGAGAATTGGGCTACATACTGCGTTGCTTGTCGATGAAGGTAGTGGTGCTGCACATACTTGCTCTTCTGCCTTGTGCATATAGTATTGATGATCATTTGTGTTGGTCGATTACTGTGGCTGGTGCCAATAGCAAACAGTGGGATCTTGCTCACTCTAGTACTTCGTACCCGTTACCTATGCAAGCACTATTGGCATGGCCCTCCGTGATGATCTCCAAATATGTTCTGTTAGCTGAGGGCATGGCCAAAAGCCTTCTGTCTTGATGGCGGCTCAATTTGTCCACCTACGACTGGGTCATGCCTTCTCGAAGAGATAGGAGTTACAGAGCCTATCTATGAGTACACAGTCCTCTACTCTAATCTTAAGTGCATTGTCAAGGCTTTGGAGTCATACTACATGAGTCAGACAACAAAACTGTGTCACCACATCGCTTGCCCCCACCCCGCCACAAAAATCTTACCTATATATACATGCATTGCGAAATTTGAGCAACAATTCAGCCGCGGAATTGAACTTTCTCAGGTTGTGTAGTGTAGCGGTTAGCACACGGGATTCTGACACCTCCGAACCTTCCCGTGACCCCGGTTCGAATCCGGGCACGACCTTTTTTGCATCTCCGAAGATATACGCTCGGTTTGATTTTTTGGGTGTCTGCAAAGGACCCAAAAAAGAGGGTGCCGAGTACGGATAGGGCTTTGTGCGGGGATCTGCTGTAGGCTGCTGATTTTTCGGCGATACCAAGGCGAGCAAGGCTGGCTGGCCGTCAACCAATGACACAATACACGGCCTCAGCCTTGCCAGAAATTTTGAGCATCAGATAATTAATTACACGTCAACTACCATATCTACATGCTAAAACAGTGATATGTTCTTGCAACTGTCGTGCAACTTCCGGCGCCTACTCCACGGAATATGCCATGTCGGCGAGACAGGAAGAGAGATCTAGGAAGCGAAGAAAAGTCGAGGGTGCTGCACCTTCAGACTTGAGTTCTTTCACCAGTTCGCGCCAGCTGCAGCAATTGCTTCATTGCACGCCGCATACACCTGCTGAGGAAATACAGTCAGGTAAATGTGCTCAACTCAAGGGCTCGCGGAAGACTTTCCACTGACAAGTCTAGCCATCGGCCAGTTTACCCGTTTCCTATCCTCAATTTCCAGTCCTGAGGGCACTCCCGCCCAGCCTGGGTCCAGTCAATTGAAGGTCTTGAAAGATTACTGTGACGCGCAGTCGTCTACGTCGCACGACCAAGTCGACTTCCCAGATCTTCTAACTGCGTGGGCAAATGCCCGCGAAGCCAATGCCGAACCTATACTGTCGGCTGTCCCTGCTGCGCTTACTCAATTCTTCCGGACGGTTTCCAACCATGTCGAATTCCGTGACTTTGGACTCTCCCTGTGTCACAGTCTGCTCAATCGGGACCAGATACGGCTCTTCGACCGTGGCTTATCCTCGCCGAGAGCAAAGGAACACCTCATAACCCCTTGCTTGCAGCTCCTGACCCAAATAGCCAGTTTCGATGGCGGTACCCTGGCTAGCAACGTCTTCAACCGTCGAGATCTCCTCTACCGACGACTGGATGGGATTCTCAGTCAGCTACCGTCGAACCCAACAAGATACCAAGACGTCAGTGCCCATCAAGCGGCTCTGGAGTTTGTGCTTGTTAATCTCAAGTACCTTGACCCTGCCTCAAAATCCGAGCTCATCACTCACGGCAGATTGATATATTCAGCGATCCGCTGCCTATCCAATGTCGACGCTGGCACTGTCGTCATCTTCCTGGACAGCCTTCGGACCTCGATCCTCGGTGACAATAGCCTCAGCAAACAGATGAAGGTGCGATGCTTGAACTCTGGCGTCTTATCCATGCTGGCCAAGCTTTACGACTTCAAGATAGCCGAAGAAGCTGGGCCACGCGTGGATGTGCGAGACGCTCTGCAGCAGTTGTTGTTGCAAGTTTGCACATCGCCAGACGGCAGCCTGCTTGCGCAGGATGGCTGGTATCCTGTTGGTAGCAGTCCGGAGGTGCTGGAACAATCCGAGAATATGATCGATCTCGGTTTGGACTCGCCGTTTCACTTTGACGACTACACTGAAAAAGTGCCTGTCAGGAACACCATGTTGTCGACTTTTCTGCAGACACTCAAGCCCGAGAGTGACGTGCTGCAAGCCAATCTAATCACCGCCATGTTCGAAGCTGCTCCTGAACTGGTGGCCGACTATTTCACGAAGAAGCAGAAATTCGTCGTCCCTCCGGGAGATGACCCGAAATGGCGTGGACAGTTTGCTTTTGTGTTCTCCGTCATTCAGCTACCTGTGCCGAAGTACTGTGGCTGGCATGATAAGCTACCTCTAGTTCCACCACCCTTGTCAGTTGTGGTGGAAAGCACCCTTCCTCGACCCCTGGATCGGGCTACGATTGGCAAATGCCTTCGGATGAACGACGACGTCATGACCATATCTGCGGCACGGTTGCTCACTGTGGCCTTTGAGAAACTCGAGGCGGTTCTCAACACCTTTGGGAAAGCGCCTCCGGAGGCACCTCTATGGCGTCAAGCGTCTCAGAAACTCATCACCCTGTTCGTCGATCGAATTCCACCTCTGCATGACATCGTCACTGCTCTTCAAAAGGTGGATCAGGATAACGAGCAGACGCGCACGACAGTATTGGAATGCATTGCGACATATCTACGAGTCCTCCCGTCTTTGGCTGCAACTTCCAAATTCGACTTCGGACCCAGTTTGACAAAAGCAATCCACCTATTCGAGCGCGAGGACGCTAATGTGGACAAGGATGTTGTGACCGAGCAGATTCAACATCTTTTGCGCATCACCGATATCTCGCCCTCAACAAGGTGGTTCCACAAAACAGCATCGGACGACGTGTCCCTACTGGTGCAGCTGCTCCGATTCTGCGTTCAACATCCTGAGACTCTCGTCACCCGCCGAGCTCTTCCCATCTTAAAGGCAATACTCCATAGCAAGGGAGTCATTAGCACCAACACGCAATCTTTCGAAGCGCTGGTAGCCAGCCTCGGCAGCACCAAGAAGTGGGAACCGGCTCTTGTCACGTACCAATTCCTTGACAACTGCTTGTCTAGAACGATACAGCGGCCGGTCAGGTACCTCGATCAGCTTGAACAGGCCCAGCAATTGTTGTCCGACTCTACAGACTTGAGTCTCCTGGCCTGTTGCGTGGCTGAGCAATGGCACTACATCGTCAAGAAGGAAGATGGCAAATGCCTCAAAAACGTTACAGGATGGGTCGCGAAACTCTTTTCTGCTCTCGACGCTGCTGGCGAGAATTATCGAGTCATGACCCATTTCAAGGAGGACGTGATGAAACAACCGTGCAACGGGAATGGTAAGGCCAAAGCTCTGCTCGAGAAGTCGTTCGAGAAGCAGAGGGCGAAGCCTACAGTGTTGTCCGACCTGCAATCGCCCGACATCGAGCCATCTGGCGAAATCCAAAAGGAGGACGCAGCGATACCGCATGCAGATACAACACCCAGTATCGACCTCGACGGTGTCTTCCCCCCGCCGCCGAATATTCCACATTCATTGGCCGGCCTCGACCGATGGGTGAAGCCCGACTTCGAATCCGAGATCCATTCTGGCCGCCTCGCCAGCTTGATCCGGTGCCTCATCTCTTCGGAGGCCGAGATCCGCATTCAGGCGTTCCACACGTTACAAGGCGTACTGTACGCGCTGGAAGGATCTGCTTATGAGGAGAAAACGCAACTCTACCTCCTGCTCGGCGAACTATGCGAGACCGTCAAGGCACACAATTTATCGAATACGACATCTCCCTCGCCCTCTATCGTCGCGGAACTGGCCATCCATTTCCTCCCGACGATAGCGGAGCCGTCGTCGCCCTTCTATCGCAAGACGAACAATTATCTCCTTCGCGCGCCGTCGTGGTCCACCACGCACATTTTGAGCCACTGGATCAACGAGACGTTTTTTGTCCCGCCCGAGATCGACGACGCGGATATCCCCTTCCACGTCCCGCAAGGTACCGGCACCGGTACTGGGTCTGGAGGGACAAATAACAACGCCCAAGCCCTCGAGGTGGAACGTCTCCTCGACCTTCTCCTCCGCTCACTCCGCACGCCAGAGGACATGGATCTCTTCCGTCGCGCCCACGTCTTCACGCGTCTATTCTCATATTACCTCGCGCCCATCTGCCCCCGACACCTCCGCAAGAAGATTTTAGGGCTGGTATATCGCGCCACGTCGGTGGCCGGCGGGAGCGACACCCTCATCACCCGAACAGGAGCGAGGGAGTGGTTGGCCGCTGCCAAGCACGTGAGGCTTCATAGCGGATATGGTCCCCTGTTCGGCAGGATCGACGAGGAAATGCATACCTGGGTCGAGGAGCTTGAGAAGGAGATCGAGCGGTCATGTCATAGCGTGGGGATCAAACGGTGGGAAGGCGAGAGGAGGGGTCTGAGTCTCAGACCAGTATCATCAGCAGGAATGGCTTCCCAGGGTGCGAACGGAGTCGCAGTCACGACGAGGACGGGGATGAGGACGGGTAAGAACACGAGGCAGAGCGGAAACGCAAATGCAGAGGCAGATGCAGACGGGGGAGCCGACAAGGTCACGCACGTCAATGCAGTCGAAACACCTGGCGGGGAGGAGACGAGCGACCTGGAGTCCGACTCCGCCACCAACACCGACACCGACACAGACTCTGGTAGTGCTTCTGGGTCTGATTCTGATTCTAGTTCTGACGCGGACTCGCACTCGGACTCGGACTCCACCAGCGACGCAACCACCACGCGTACGAGTACTCGTTTCCTGAGGGCCGGACCGTGACGGACCAGTGACGCCACCACTCCCACCATGAGGACTCGTCCCCGAGGCGACCGCCGTCCAGTACAGCCACCCCACCAAGCAGCAGCAGCAGATCAGGATGCCAAAGTGGACGTGGTCATGGTCATGGATAGACATGATGAGCCGAGCAGCGCTGTAAAGTCCAGAGTAGCTGGAGGTCCCTGTATATTCTATATACTGCGGTTGTGCCCCGAACTCGTCAATGAGACACGCTCCGGAGTATATGGCCTCCCCCCCCGGTGCTCTACATTCAGGTCCAATACAGCCATGGATATACCTAGGATGCTCTGAAGGCATGAAGGACATCCTCCAACCGGTCAGCAAACTTCCTGGCACGCCGGGAACAGGGCAAAGGGAGTGTCGCCGCTCATACAGTACTGTACCTCGGCATTAGTGAGCGCGCCAAGTTTCATTTCGACGACTTCAGAGAAAAACCGAGTACGGAGTACATACGAGTTACTACTGTAAGGAGTACCTCAGTACAGTCTCCTCCCTGAAGTCGTCCAAGTGAATTCACGCCACGTGGTCACACCTCTGCTCTGCTCTGCTCAGCTCAGCTCAGCTCTACACAGCCGATCCAACACACGGCGATGCACAGAAGATACCTTACCGAGGTACTGTACTCCGTAGGTATTCTCAAACACCTGGCCGGGGGCACAGACAGGTAGGTGTGTTAGCAAACTTTCTGATGTGTAAAAAGAGAGGGGCCGCCGCTTACTTGTATTCTAATTATATTGGTCGGCGCTCAGGTCCATTTGATAATTAATACGAGGGAGTTTTCGACTAGCTAAGTAGACCAAGTGTATAGGTGCTACTATATATCAGGTGTATGTTGTAAAAGTTTTGCCTCGTCTTGTCCTGGATTGTCTCGTGGAATCGAATGAAGTAAAAACGGGACGGAACGGGATGAACGAGACGGGATGGGATGGGATGGGATGGCACAAGTACATACCTAATTACTCCCTTCTTGCTCTTCCTCGTCTCTAAAATTTCGAGTGACGGGTATTACATGGAAAAGGCTGGTTAATTGGTGTTCGGCCTCTGCCTGCTTGTTGCTGGACCACTGCGTACACAGTACCTGCTCCGTATGCGCAATGTGATGTTCATCTGTACTCTACTCTACCGTGCTGTCACTGGCTGACCCTCTTCCTCGTCTTGGTCATCATCATTTCGAGGCACCAGACATGGATGGAAACCGGCCGCTCGGACGGTGGTGGCCTCTGCCTGCTTAATGCCGAACTATCGCACACACAGCGATTACCCCCTATGTAAGGCGATGTTCAGCTGTACTACAGTGCTCTCTGTGCTGTCTGGCTGACAGGCAGACTGGCCGTACCTCTATCTACCGGCATCGCGGCTCTATCACAAGACATCAAAAGGAATATCGCGACGGAAGACGAGGCAAGGAAGTCTACCATTACACTTAACCCCCTTGCATGCTCTATCTTGTCTACTGTGTACGTCTCTTGAGTGAGCCACTCTAGCCCCTGTCCTTTTGCGTGGCGTCTTTGCAGCATGTGAGCCGCCCCCTCGTTGAACCCATTTCCCCCTCTGAACAACGCCACCACTTAATTACTTCCTGAGAACGAATCTGCTATCGCGATCGGTGTGCGCCAACTTGCCGACAGCAGAACTTGGCCATAACTGATGCTTCGTGGCCGAGAAGACTCAAAGCTGGGCGCCTTTCAGAATACAATCGTGATGACTCATCGTCGCTGGTCGTCGAGCGGGTGGCACAAGAATCCGGTTAGAAGCTCATTAGGTCTGTGCGGCCATTAGCCACGTTTGCGCCAGTAAGAGACGGTCAACTCACCTCTGCCGAACAAGGCCCTCTTACTCCAATCCATGGCCAACAGCAACCGCGTGCGGAAACTCACGCTCTGGGCAAAATAGATGCTCCGCCACAGATACACGGCCATCAACCCACCCGAGAAGTTCAGCCCGTTAAAGTCAAAGATGGCGGCGTTGCCAATGTACGCCAGCGAGCCCATGTGATGGTAGTCAAATGCCTTGTAGACTGCTTCGTCCAGGTCGCCAAAGTCGACTTCGTTCGCGCGGAAGCCCGGGATGGCAACGGCGATCTTGTTGAATTTGCGACCCAGATACTGGCCTTGTTGGTTCGCTCGCTGTGCTGTGGCCGGTAACGAGGTGAGTTTGCTGTCAATCTGCACGAGAAGTTCGTGTAATTCACCAAAGTCGAGGGTGCCGGACTTGTCCTTGTCGTACTCCTGAAAGAGCTTATCGAGGCGCTTTAGGTGGCCAGCTGCTTGGGGGAACCTCTTGCGGACCTTTTGAGCCACGACTCGCCAGTCCTGGAAAGTGATGTGCATCTTCTCCGGGTCCTTGCCCTGTTCGAAAGCCATGCCGCGGAGGAAGGTTGTGATGTGGTCGGCAACGTTGTTCTGCACGGTCGAGCAGTCGCCGATGGCGTAGACATCCCCCAATGGGGCTCCCAGCAGACGCAGATGCGAGTCGGTTTCCAGGGCGTGACGGTTGTTTTGAAAGCCGCTCAGCTTCTTGGCAATCTTGCGACACAGTTCCGTCTGCGCAACACCGGTCGACCAGAGACAGAAACCCATGGGCAGCTCTTTTGTCACAGGGGTGCCATCTTCCATCTGCGAGAAGATGATCCGGTCTGGGGCGACTTCCTTGACACGGGCATTCGTCAAGACCTCGACGTGGTCGTGCTCGAAGCGCTTCTCGGCATAGATTGATAGGGCTTCGTCGTAGGTGTTCAAGATGTGACCTCTTGACTGGATGACATGGACAGAAACTTCATTGCGCAGGATCCGCGGGAATGAGTACAGCAGATCTTCATTGAGCATGTCGTAGAGTTCTGCGGCGAACTCGACGCCAGTGGGGCCACCGCCACTGACAACAAACGAAAGCAATCTCCGTCGTTCTTCGTCCGTTGTGGTCGGCAGACAGGCCAGCTCCAGGTTGCGCAGGACCTTGAGCTTGATCAGACGAGCGTCTTCGATGGTCTTGAGGAAGTTGCAGTTCTCCAAGCCTTTGACGCCGTGCGGGTTCGTGGTCGACCCAACGCCGATGATCAACTTATCGTAGGGCAGGTAGAAGTGGCGCTTGTTGCCCTCAGCGTCGGCCTGCACCACCTCGACGAGTTTCTCACTAAACTCGATATCGACCGCCTCAGCCTTCAAGAAATGGCCTCGCAGGCGGTTGACGATTCGGCGGATAGGCTCGACCAGGGATCGCAATTCCAGCGTGCCGACCGTGGCAGAAGGTAACATGGGTGTGAACAGGAAGTAGTTGTCGGGCGACACGACCGTGACGTGATAGTCGCCCGGGTGTAGCTCCTTCAGCATGGCAACACTGCCCCAGCCCGTGCCTAGGATGACCAATTTCGGCTTGTCCTTTTGTGCTCGCATGGGCTCACAGTCTTCGTCGTCGACCAGGATCTCCGCTATGGGCAAGTTCTTAGGACCTCCTCTTCTGGGTCGAAGGGCCGCCTCTGAGACGGCGATATCACCGGTGGCGTCGGGCGTCTCGCGGTAGGTGGACGCATCGTAGATGAAGAAGGCGAGTACGAGACTGCCGGAGAAGACGATGAAGATGCCGGTCCACGCGAAGAGGCGGTAGAAGAATCGTGCAAGGGGCCCACGATTGGGCAGGGGCTTGGTGGAAATGTAGCGGAGTGTCCCGGCGGGCGGACGGTGGATAAGGTGCGCCGGGAGCTGCGACGAGACGAGGCGAGCAGGTCTAAAGGGGATTTGAGCTAGCTTCGAGGTCGACAAAGGCCTCGTGCTTTGAAGCCACGGCTGTCGAAGGAGCGACGGCCTCGATTGAGGCGAGCGCAGGTATCGGAGTTGCACATGGCGGCCACTACGGGCCAATCGAGGAAGGGACTCCATGCTCCTCGCGACACTGATGTGGTGTTTAGCTCATGCTGGGCGTGCTGCGAAGATGTCCAGAAGCTTGCACCAGAGCTGTTCACCGGACGTTGACTGGGAGCAGCAGGAAATGCAGAGGTCGGCGGAAGTCAGGGTCGAGGACGTCGAAGGTGTCAAGGGTGTCAAGGGTGTGTGCGGCGGGATGCGTCTGATTGAGCTGTGCTGGATGATGCCAGAGCGAGGATGACGGCATGCATTGGAAAAAAAGTTGACCTCTTACGTCGCCCGTGGCAGCGGCTGTGGCGCCGGGGACGATTGGCGCTGTACAGGCACCAACTGGGCTCAAGCGACAGGACCACAGCAAGTCTTCACCGTTCACGGACGTTCATACGCTCATCCATCTCGTCTCGCTGCACGCGTCGTTGATTAGAGCTTCACCAATCGCTTCCGAGCTCCCGTCTCCCTCGCTTGGAACACCCCACGATAGGACGAGTACTCTGTGCTTTGAGCAAGAAGAATCGGACTTGTTTAATTCATTGCTCTATCCGAGCCATTCATCACGCCCTTTCCTAATCACCAAACAACTTTGTGGGGTATCATAGAATGCAAAAGTGTCCACGCCGCTGCCTCCTACGCCCAGAGCTGAATACCGCCATTGACCCCGAGTAGCCGTTGTTCCCGGAGATCGAATGCTCAAAACCCGTTTTCCTGCTTCAATCTGCTCACGCCATGAAACATGTTCGCAATCATCAATCATTGTGAAGGTTTAATCCTCAAAATCGCCATCAGCACCTTCCAGCGATGAAACGCTCACTGATCGTCCTGCGTAGCCGTTCCTGGGTGGTCGGCCTCGAGGTCTCTTGGGTGTTCCGCCGGCCGAACCAGACATGCTCTTGCGCTTCTTTCCTCGTGGTGCGCCCATCGTCTGGTCCGGTGCACTATCCATCATCGCGTTCAGGTCTGCCTCCTCTTCAGCTATCTTCACCTCGTCGTCCACAGCGACAAGAGTCACGAATTCTCGGCATCGTGCAATCATTTCCCCACTGCTGGCGAGTGATTCGAGCACTGCGTTGGTGTTCTGCCAAAATTTGTCGCCCGTGATACCGTGCACCTTCATCGGCTCTTTCCCACCATCCTTGGTCTGTTTGTTTTGTTGCATTGCCATCCTGACGTCCCGCGAGATCCCATATTGCCGCTTCAGAAAATTTCTCGCCTCAGATATCAACGTGATCGCGCACGCTGCCGACGTCAATCGCTTGAGTAGCACCGGGTCAACCTGGATCTCTGTCGGCGCGGGCTCGACTTCGACCTTTGGCTCGACTTCATCGTTCCTTTCTGTAGTTCGGCCTGGCGCTGGCGGAAGGTAAGTTTCGATAGCCTGGGCGGTCTCGGCGCCATTCTTGCCAAAGGCCAACTCAAGCTGCAAGACCGTATGGAGCAACTCGTCCATCTTTTTGTACTCCAGGAACGCCAGATTCTGCGCCACAAATAACACGAACAACACGTGTTCAGGAATTCCCTCCTCGGTCACGCTCAGCTTGGAGTATTCGGTGGTGATCTTCGAGATGACGCTGCTGATGAATTTCTTCACATACTTCGAGCCGCTGGTGCTGATGATGCTGAATGCCGGTTCGAGCTTGGCTCTGAATCCGGGTACGACGCCGCCTTGAGGATCCTGGAACACGTCGTTCTGATACCGAAATGCTGCGTATACCGCATTGACGTACTCCCGCTCGCATACCGATTCGTGCTGTTGGTGCAGGTGCGCATGCGCCACTCGAGCGACCGTGGCAATCTTGGCATCAGCGCTGGTTTCCAAAGCCACAAACGCCGACGTGCTTTGCTTGGGGTGTGTCATGCCTTGGTGGTCTATGCTGGCCAACGTCTGCGCAGCAAGCAGTGCTTTCTCACCCGTCTCCGTGTTGACGATCCGTATCAAGTGGTCAACGAGGGGGTTAGTGATGATAGCAATAGCACTCTCGTCTTCCCGAGTCTTGTTGTCTCCACCAATGTTCTTCAGCGCTTGCACTTCGCCTCCACCCTCACCTTCCTTGGCCTCCTCTTTCTTGCTGGCTCGCGTTCCATAGAGTTCTACGAAGATTTCGAGTACCCTGACCTGCATCCTCAGGACATCCTTGGTGTCCAGCCCGCTGAAAGTCTTGCCCTCGAGCACTTCAAAGAACGTTTCTCGCACAAGGCGCTTGTTGAATTGGCCCGGCCATGCTTGACAAACGAGGCCAAGACCCTCAAGCGCCTTCAACCGAATCTCGAGAGGCGACGATCGCAAGGTAAATTGCACGATACAATCCGCAATATACCCTGCTACAGATCCGCCTTTGTACGGAGGCTCGGAAGAAGAGAAGACCTTCTGGAACTGGGCTTGAAACCTTTCAAGGTCAATGTGCTTACCAACCACTCCGATGAGACGCAGTGAGTGTTCCCTCATTCGATTTTCTTTGGCTTTGAGCTCTTCAAGCTGGTTTTGTCTCTTCATAGCTTCCCTGATCTGAGTGGGGATATTGGGCTGCAGCACGTTCTTGATGAGCGAAATAGCGAAGGAGGCCATCTTGCCTGTATTGTTTAGCACTCCGTCAATGCTCCTCAGACAGGACATCACCTCCTCTAATTCGTGTCGGGGGACGAGCTTCTGCGCGGCTTTGAGGAGATCCAGCTGAACCTCTTCCAACAATGGGGCTTGAGTGCTTGACAGGTGTGGCAATACCGATCGGAATATAGCCACAACTGACTTGAACTTGAGTATATTGTCATGCTTGGACAGGTCTTTTAGGTAGCTCTTCAAGCTGGTAAGGTCTGCCGGTACCACCGTTTCCGGACGCGCTTCAGCAAATGCGACAAGCGTTGTCAAATCAGCTGCTCCTGCCTCGGAGCCATTGGCAGTATCCAGGAGTTTCTTCACAATACGAGCGCACAAGTCTCGCACTTGGATGGCATTCTTGGTGTCCTTGAGTTTCCAGATCAAGAAGTTCTTGAGCAGCGACGATAAAGCCGCGGTATCGCTAGCAAGGCACGTAACGATATGAGTCTTGAGGTCTTCAATCGCCACGTCGACATGTGCTGTATCACCTGCAGTGGCAAGCATCGTCATCTTCGGATCAATCCAGATTTCTGATAGAGTCTTTTTCGCAAGCTCAGCCACGGAGTTTTCCTGGTCTGCCGATCGGTGTAGAAACTCGATGGCAATTATTGCTTTCATGTTCTGCCTTGACTCCTTCATATAGACATCCTTCAAGTGACCTATGGCTCGCTTCTGCACTCCGACGTTAGTATCAGCAGCACACTTCAAGAGCCTCTTAAATGCTTTCTGCTCAAGTGCAGGTCTAGGCATGATGAATTTGGCAACCAGGAATAGCGCTGAGTCTCGCACCAGAGAGGAGTCATCGGCGGCACATTTGAAAATCGCTTCTGCTAAAGTGGTCTCCCACTCGAGGAGACTGGAGTCGGTCTCCAGCATCGCAGCAATGCTTTTCAAGCTGCGGCTCCGGACTTGAGCCTGGTCGCTGTCGAGGGATAAAGCGAGTGTCTTAGCAATCGCCGGAAAGAGTCGACAAAACTGTCCATTGAGAATACTCAGCAGGTATGCCAATTGTGCCTCCAACTCTTTGACTTCTGGGTAGTCATTGGCGGCTCCGTCATATTCGCCAGGCTCCAAGAGCTGCTGGAGCACCGCCTCAACCGTAGAAAGGAGCCGTGAGTCCAGAGGAGAATGCTGCTCTTCCCCAAGTTGTTTCTCCACAGTGCGACAGACAAGGATAGCATACTGCACCAGGAAATAGGCTCGGGCAGATTTTGTTCTTAGACCCTCTCCTCCTTTGTGTCCCAGGTATGCATGTACGATTGGGAAAGGGCCGTTGGAGGATACGAGTTCCTGCTCCTCAAGGAGGAAGTTGGCTCGCTCACCCGCCAGATTAGAGAGTTCCTGAGCAACTGCAGACGAGCTGGTGTCACCATCCCGCAAGATGGATTTCAAAAGATTCCTCGCCGACGCTCGTGTTACCGAGATGGCAGAACCCATTACACCCAAGGATTCGAGGGCCATGTTCTTTGTAGAGGCTGATTTGTCTGTTTGCACGAGTCGGATCATGCGCATAGCCAGCATGGTGAGTAGCAATTCAGACGAAGGCCAATCTGTCGAGGCAAAGACCACTGTCATGTCTTCCACAAACAAGTCGAGAATGTTGCGATAAGGTGAATCGCCAGATTTGGTGACTTTGGAAGCTTTGTCGACCATCCATATCACAATATGATGAGCGCTCTTCCGGGCGTCGTCGAGCAGGGATTGAGCCGTTTGACTCAGTTTCGTTAAAGGGTCCTTCCCATCCGAGACGGACGCCGAGTCAACCTCCATCTCACTTGCCGAATCTTCATCTTGCTCTGCATTCTCAGAAATTACTGATGCGTCTCGCGGAAGGTGACGAGCTCTACGCTTTTCCTTTTTGCCGGACTGCATGGCCGAAGTCTGCACCAGCTGCAGGAACAAGGCGGAAACCAGTTGGATGTTTTTGTTGCCTCCAAGCTTGTACTGTCTTGCACTCCGGCTATTGGAAGGCAGCTTATCCAGCGAGCTCAAGACCTCGTCTAATATCGCCGACCTCTCTGCGGGAAAAGCAGCATAGAACCTCGCCACAGCTGCCATTGCCTGCTTTCTCAGTCGTTCATAAGCTTGACAACCGATGGCAGATGCCTTTTCGGTATAGCCATTCTGAACGAAGATGAGCTTCGAGGCAAGGAACTCGGTCGAGTTAACGATGGGACTTGCTCCTCTGATCTCCACGCAGACCCTTGCCACAAGATCCAAGAGTTTGCGGCCAAGATCTAACAAGCGCCTAAGCGGTTCGGAGTGTGAGGATGCCAAGCTGAACAGTTGACTGTGCTGGCCATCCGGACGAGCTTCAACAACTGGAATCAAGCAGTTTTCGAATATATTCACCAGTACATTTGGGAGCCATTGCAGTGCTTCCAGGTTGACAAGTTCAACGTTTCGGGACGAACCCAAGGAGGTGTAAATCAGAGTGCAAGCTGAGGCGGCCCCGCTGGTTGCTTTATGAAGTTTTGCCAGCCAAGTAGAAGTGTCCTCTGACGTTTCCGCGGGCACTCGCAAATTGACTGTTTGTGCTGCTTCAATCGCAGGTTCGCATAATCGTTGTAGACGTTGCAGATGTTCGGTCGGAGTATCGGCGAGGCGGCCCGAAGAGACCAGCTGGCTCATAACGGCCTGCAATTTCTCGTGGACCGGGATTGCAAGCCGCGGTTCTTCTAAATCGTCCTCATCGTCAGGCAGATCAAATAGAGCAGAATGAAATTTCGAACTTCCTGCCACTGTATCTGATGCAAGTTGATCTTGAGCCTCAAAGATCTCGACGAGCTGACTTTCGAAACTCGTTAATAGTCGATCGTCTTTCTCTCGCTTCGAGCTCAGCGCTGCCAGTTTCTTCTTTTTGGGCGAGTCTGTGATGCTAGGATAACCATCCCGATTGAATGAGGGAGGCGGTTTCGGGACCTCTACGACGAACTTGGTAGATAAGGGTTTGGTGACAGGCATCTCAATCTTTGGCTTCTTATGAGTTACAGGTGATGATGAAGGATATGTGAAGTCCATCTTTGCCATGTTGAGAATCATGGTCGGTATTGGATGTAGTCCAGATTGCGTATTGTCATCATCTTGAAATGGGGAACGTCTGAACTTGATCTCAGATAAACGACTTGGGTCGAGCAAGACGCCCAAACGCTCCTTGACTCTGGGGGTGAACAGTTCGGACCGATATACCGCCTGACGTTCAGAAGGAGAAGTGAGGCGCGGGTCAGTCAAGCGACCTAGTTGAGGCAGAGAAATGCGGTCTGATGAGAAGAGTTAGCATGCCACCGGCCAGCCAAGTGAGGTAAGGCACAAGTGAGGAAGGAGCATACCATGGGCTGGAAGAACAGAAGTGGTCATCGGAGTATACTGCAGAGCCTGATCCACCGAAAGCTGTCTTGCATGAGAGCCATCCTGGGGTCGTCGAGGGACGACGACCTCAATGGTGTCCCTCGCAGCCATCGCGGGCGCCTTTTCTTGAGCGAATGCGCCGGTCCAGTTATCGCGAAAAGAGGTTCCGGAGTGCGAATGAGGGTGGGTTGGACTGGGCTGTGGGTATACAAGCCATCGATGGCATGTTCTCCCTCACGTATCGCCCCAGAAGCGTGTTGTTGATGGAGTTTTCTTCACCCAATTTTGCCGCAACTGTTTGCGGAGCAGCAGAGACGGTACGCTGCGCTGCGCTGCGCTAGATTCTCCGGAGTTGGTGGTGATGCGCTCGGCTAAAGTGCGGGAGAAGCTCTCCGCGCGATCGCCCTCATCCGTTTTCGGCTAGTCAGGCACGATCTGCGGCACGCCTATCTGGAGATTTCACCGGATTTCACCAAGCAATCAAGGCAAAATTTGAAGTCGAGCACTTCAACCACAAGAAAAAACAACATGGTTGCAATTGGGAGCCTGCTTTTCTGCGATGCCTGCGGCTCGCTTTTGCCGCGGATAGTGCCTGGCGAGAACAAAGATGACATGGTCAAATGCGACGACTGTTTCCAATACACCAAAGACACTTCCTCCAAGGTTATCACGTCCAGGTCAAAGCCTAGTGCTTTCCCATCAGCGTTACGAGCAAAACATTCAGAAGTTCAGGCAGTCAACGCCGAAGACCTACAGGTCGAAGCCGTCATTTCCAGGGAATGCCCAGAGTGTCACAGACCAGAAATGTTCTACCACACCAAGCAATTACGAAGTGCCGATGAAGGTACAACAGTCTTCTACAGATGCGAATGCGGTTTCAAGGATGTTCAGAACAATTAAACAATGGAAGAAGAGCAACACCGTTGCTGTGGTTCCTCCCATTATGCAGTGACGGCTGCCGGTACGGTGGCGTACTCCATTTCGCCATTCTTTTCATACTCGGCCATATCGAGAGCAACAATCACGCTTTCGCGAACTACCTGCTCAGGGTCATTCAGGAATGTCTTCAGCAGATCTTCCACGCCAGGCTCTTCACCTAGACTGCCAAGAGCTTCCGCAGCCTCATGTCGAACCATACTCTCTTCCTTGGAGTTCTCCAGCACAGCCGACAAAGCAGGTATTGATGCGGGGTGAGAAAGCTGGCCGAAAACGAAAGCGACTTCATGTCGGAACAGTGCCGATGGATCTCCGAAGCCAGAAGCTAGGGCATGAATGGCGGGTTCGGCTGTGGGAAGATCTGGGGGAGAAGCAAGGTCCCGGAGCGCAAACATTGCTCGGTAGCGCTGGAAAAGAGGCAACGACGTGTCAAGGAGTGTCTGTTGTAGAGCGGGTATTGAAGGCACCCCTGTGGATGAGGGCAAGGGAGGTGCAGGATCGATGGAGGCAAAGTCGCTAGATTTGAGGGCCTCGGTTTTCCGACCCTCAGAATGCGCCCATTCGATACGATCCACGGCAATGTCGCATGTCTCTCGGATTACCGCTGGTTCCTTCTCGTCGTCCTTCATCTGTTTCATGATCTGTAGGCTCGAAACGTCTTCCAGCGCACCTAGTGCCTCAGCTGCTTCATGTCGGCACATTGCATCTTCTGATCGGTTCTCGAGGACCGCACGTAGGAAGGGTACTGCTTCTAAATTCTTGGTCTGGCCGAGGCAGTATGCCAACTCATGTTTTAGCAAAGCAGATGGTGATGTAAAGGCTGCTGCGATCGCTTCAATTGCTGCGGTGGCTTGCGGGCCGGTGGTTTGCGAGGCAACATGTTTCAACGAAAAGAGGGCGCGGAAGCGACGGGCGAGAGGGACATTTTCGGAAGTCAGATCTTTTCGTAGGATGGATATGAGGTCTGCTGATCTATCTGCGGTGCCAGGAGATGCCATCTTGTATCGTGCCGTCGATACCAGCGTAAGGAGATAACATGCCACAGAGAGAAAGCCTGCCGCGCCTACAGCGCTCGAGGCCCGTGGCTCAAACTTTTTTGGCGGGGTTCGCATTGTTATCGATAAGGCTAGCGTCTAGCCAAGCCACAGCCTTGCAATCACGATCGTCACTGCCTGGAACTCGTTCTTGAATCTTCCAAACGCTCCGTCTTCTGCCCCATTCCCTCCCAACATCTTTCCCTCTCACCACGACCTCGCGATAATACGCATAACACAGAGAATTAGTTGTCGGTCGATACACTGCTCGCACCATGGGTTCCGTTGTCATTCCTCACCTCGTCACTGCCTGGCACGTCGACCAGGCTATCCTGTCCGAAGACGAACGACTGGTGGTCATCCGCTTCGGTCGCGACTGGGATCCCGACTGCATGCGCCAGGACGAGGTGCTCTACAAAGTCGCCGAACGCGTCAAGAACTTTGCCGTCATCTACGTCTGTGACCTCGATCAGGTTCCCGATTTCAAGCAGATGTACGAACTCTACGATCCTGTCACCCTGATGTTCTTCTTCCGCAACAAGCACATGATGTGCGATTTTGGCACGGGCAACAACAACAAGCTCAACTGGGTGCTGGAAGACAAGCAAGAGCTCATTGATATTATCGAAACAATCTACAAAGGGGCCAAGAAGGGCAGGGGCTTAGTGGTTTCGCCAAAAGACTACTCGACCAGATATCGGTACTAAGTACGGCCAACAAACATCGGGCATCGGACACAGCTTGCCCTGCGCCTGTCCGTGGGCTTCGGTGTGCAAGACAGTATGAAACCACCCGGGAATGTGCTGCGAGGGCTCAATGCAACAAGGCAACCTCAAGCGCATGGTCTGAGGGGCGAGCGTTGATCCTGATTTTGGTGGAGTCATCCAGATTCAGATTCATCAAGAATACAACATCAGGGCGACAACACCACGGGTAAAGCACATTGGCGTCGAAAAGGATTGCTTGGAGGAGTTTGTGGTTGGTCTCACTTTACCGTCGGCCGTTCAATGATATCTTGCTGACACAAACGGCATTTCAAAGTCTCTCATCGTGTTCATTGTCCTCTCGTCGGGCACGCCTCTCTTTGTAAGCCCGCTGTCGAAAGGTTATGTCAGTTTCCCCCTCGGGGCTCCAGCGGAGGCTGAGGTCCTCCACATGTGAGTTGCGTCCTCCCCGCCACACCGTAGATGCTGTTCGTAGTGTCGGTACTACGCCCCCACACCGTCGAATGGCCCCCAGCACAGTAAACGAGCGACGACCGCAATAATTTCGAACGGCATCCAAGCAATGCCAACACCTCATCTCGACCAGCGTCTTCTGATACTCGCGAGCCACGTGACGCTGCGTGCCGCACCAACGGATTCCGGCTCCGAAATTGAGCGCGCCGGTGGAGTTCATCGAGACGAAATGCGACGCGCGCGATTCCACTTGCAGGCAGAGTTTCGTTCCATTTCACCGCGAACTGATCAATTGCATCTGGCCACCTTTACCGCTACTTTCGACTGCAACTTCATACTCCACTGGTTCATGCATGGCTTAAGACCATTTCATCCGGGTTGCATGTCTACTTGTAGTAGGTGCTTCTCTTCGTTTTCGCTCACGTATACATACTCCCCGCTCTGAACTTTCCCGTCCAGCTGTCGGTCCCGCGCCGCACATGCGACCACTAGGTCTAATATCCGCCGCGCCTTGCCATTGCAAATTCCATGTCCCTCGACGGCGACTTCACAACCCTACCGAGATATTCCTAGCGATTGTTCCTACATCTCCTGCTCTGCGCGAGGGCGCGTTCAGCTGTCCTGCCCTTGCGCAGTCCTGCCTCTGTCCTCCTCCACCACCTACCACCTTTCCGCAACCATGGCCTTCGCAACAGTCCTCACCTTGACCCTCGTGCCCGTCCTCGTCTTCGTACTATGGCACCTCACCTCGACGAGCCTCCCACCCGTTCCCACCCACCTGCGCAACAAGCGCATCATCCTGCTGATCGCCCACCCGGACGATGAGTCGATGTTCTTCTCCCCGACCCTTCAAGCTCTCACGCACCCCTCCCTGCAAAACCACCTGAAGATCCTGTGCATGAGCACCGGCGACAGCGAAGGACTAGGCGCAACTCGGCGTACCGAGCTCGAGAAAGCGGCCGTAACACTAGGCATTCGACGGAAAGAAGACGTATTCGTGCTAGACGACGAGCGGTTCAGAGACGGCATGACGCAAGACTGGAAGCCCGATGACATTTCCCGCGTCCTAGCCAGCGCCTTTGCGCCGCACATCAACGGCTCGTCCACCACTTCCACGGCGCCCCTCAGCAAGCCCTCCCTGGACTCCAGCTCGGATAAAGAAAAAGAAAAAGACAAGGACAAGAAGAAGCCCGCCAAAGCGTCAGCACCCTCGAAACACACAAAATCCGTTTCTCGCGCCCTCGGCCCCACGTCCCCGCCGGCGCCCAAAGAGCCCGACGGCCCGCGAGCCACCATCGACGTGCTCATAACGTTCGACCCGCACGGCATCTCGTCCCACCCGAACCACAAGGCCCTCTACCACGGCGCCGTGCTCTTCATCCAGAAAATCATGCGCGGCCACAGCGGCTACGCGTGCCCCGTATCCCTGTACGTGCTGCCCTCGGTCAACATTCTGCGGAAATACTCGTTCATCCTGGACGCGGTGCCCACGCTCCTGAGCGGCATCTACGCGTCCACTTTCGGCAAGTTGCTCAGTGGCGGCGGCAGCAGTAGGGATGAGAGGGTCGTCTTTGTCAACGACGTCGTGCGGTACTGGAAGGCCCGCGAGGCCATGGTCAGCGGGCACAAAAGCCAGATGGTGTGGTTCCGGTGGGGCTGGATCGGGCTGGGACGGTATATGGTTGTGAATGATTTGAGGAGGGAGAGGGTCATCGCGACCTGAGAATGAGACTGAGATGGGGCATTTCGTCTGGTGCATGCGATAGGGATGCGTATGCGTGTGCGTGCGTGCCGGCACGGAAAATGGAGTTTCCTGGGTACAGAGTACTCCGTATTTCTCTCATCTCGGCTGAGGTGCAGGTGGCTGGTCGTGCTTTATGAATCTACTATTACTATATCCCTTACTTAGGCTTTTAAGTTGTACATTGCACATAGCACGTTCGCACGACGCACGAGGCACGTGCATTTCTCCTTTTCGGAGAGATTGGGTTCGAATTTTTTCAAATACACACACACACACATACACATATAGGGCAATGCTCGCCATGTATTCCGCACAGACGGCGACAAGCTGATGTTACAATGATGAAAACCCCTCAAGTCGTGGACGCTCGCTACGACGCGAATTGTCGCCGTTCATTCGTCCTTGCCATGGACCTCATCTTCGGCCGTCGAGCCATCCTCCTTCATTTCCCACCGCTCCTGGGAAGGCTTGGGGGCCGCCTTTTGATCAAACATGCCGCCCCAGGGACTCCAAGTCTCGGACAGGTGGTCCGGTCCCGGCATCTCCACGACGCTGGTGGCAACTTGTTGGTCGGTGAGCCTCTCCTGCCTCAGCGCCGACTCATACTGCATCACCCAATCACTCAGACGGCCCGAGGTATCGTTGTCCACCTCGGCTTGGAATATGGCGTGCCACGGGCCTCGGTGGTGGATAAACTCGGTCGCGTGCCGCAGTCGGATAGGCGAGTACGTGTCCAGCAGCAAGCGCATCGCGCCTGCTCTTGTGGTTTGCATGCTGTTGGCCGACTGGATCGCTGCGTGGCGGAAGTCTCTGCCCCATAACCGCACATGGCCTGTTGGCGTGTAGTAGCTTAGGATATTGGGGAGCCAGTCCCGCCATTCGGTGATCATGTCCGGAATGCCTCGATATGGCCAGTCTGTGCCTTCGTCCGTGGATGTCCAGCTCTTCTTCTTAAAGGTGTTGCGGACGCCAATTGAGATGAGTTGGATGTGACAGTCCACCTGCAGGGATGTCAGAATGTACCGGCGTTTGAGATCGAGGAACTCAGCCGAGGGTAGCCCGTCGGAGAAGATGAGGTGGTAGGCTTCATCGTTGATCGACCTGCGCAGTTGGTCGTACATTTCCGAGAGGCGAGTCCTCTCTTGTTCAAGCAGTGCCATGCATTCGCGCAGATCGTACAGTGCTGGGAACAGTCGTTTCGCCACAGCACGGCCTTTGAAGCGGAACATAAGATCAACGATCTTTGGTTTGACGTTGTATGGTTCGTTGTGGAAGACGTGGTAGACTGATTCGACCGCTCGCCTGGCGATACGGCCTTCGCCGAAACCTCTATCCACCCGGGAGTTTCTGTTCTGGATGGATAGGACGTAGGTCCATTCGAGCAAAAGTGTCCAGGTGTACCCGGGGATTGCCACGTTGTAGTTCCGAGAGATATAATCGAGGAGCATGCCGCCAAGAGCGACTTCATTGTTCGTGCAGAAGACGTGCACTACCGTAGTAAGCAATCGGGCAGAAGGTCGGAGCGGCGAGCCTTCCTCGTAGAATGTCGGACTCTCCAATTCTTCTTCGTCGAATTTGTCCAGAGCCTCAACGTCGATATTCCACACGGATTTTAAGACGCTCTTGACACTGCCCAGATCGCCTTCACGACCCATGGCGACCATGAGATTGCAGAATGTCGCCTCGTTGCCATTGAGACCCTGGTTGACAAGCTCGTTAAAAATGCTCAAGATTTCCAGCCGGATCGATTCCTGGTTTTTCGGATTGAGAGGCGAGGCGACTCCGTGCCCGCGGAATCCGAGGGGTCTTGTTTCGCCAGAGCGACGCAGCATGTTGTGCGTGACTATCCTGAGCCTGTATCTTTCGTGCCTGCTGTAGGCATCATTCCACGTGAGCGCCTCCATCAAGTAGTTGTAGCAGTCCAAATCTGGCACGATCTCTTCTGCAGGCATGAAGTTGCGGAAGACATTTCTGGCAAAAGATCCAATTCCTGCCGCAGCTGTACATCGAAGCAGATGTCGATAGATGTCGAGGCCGAGCGCATGGCCATGTTCTTGTCGCTGAGTGACCAAGGTGTCGAGGATGTTGATGAAAGAAGCCACCCTCTCTTCCAGTGACTTGACTACCCGATGCTTAGGTTGTGTCTCCAAGCTTGGCTTCATGTAGCGAAACATGTCCCGATACGGCACAACAAAATGGTCTGGGTCCAGAGCGCATATGGCACGTGCGAAGGCCGTATCGTCTGCAGTTTTGACAAACTCATACCCAATCTGGGGAGTTACCAGGCCCAAGAGTATCCGATCAGGATTGTTCTCTTCCAGCAGCTCCTGCATCGTCACTAACGACTTCGCTCCATAGGTGGAATCGGACGCAGACTCCTGATCTGCCTCTTCCCTAACCGAGCTGAATCCATCATGTTCACCTAGGGCGGGAGGTTGCCTGAAAGGCTCCCAGATAGTAGAGAGCGTGGCGGAGGAGGAGGAGAGGCGCTTGATCTGTCGTAAATTCTGCGCGCTGGAGAGGCACAACTTCGAGGTCCGATGCGCGGATGAAGGGGACAGTCGATGGAGGATGTGGAAGGTTAGGTGCGGGATGCGACTGGGCGAGGGTTGTGAGACGCCATTGATCAACCTCGCCAGAGGCAGCGAGCCATGCATAAATACACCATGCAACAACAGGTCGACTAACCGGGAGCTGAAAGGAGTGGCAGCTAAGGCATTGAAATCGCGGCTGGAAAATCCCAAGTCGGAAGGAAGCAGCGCGAGCACGAATTTCACATATAAATTTCAAATGACGCCAAGGGTTCAACTGAGAGGAGACTGAAGCATTGATGAGCGTTTCTCCTACATCGTGACAGCGAACTTGATCCCCGACAAGTTTACCACGGCAGTCCTCACCCAGCATGGCCGACTCAACGGACGATGGAGCTAATGCAGTTTCAGAGCCGCTCGACCTTGTGCGTCTGTCCCTCGACGAGATTGTCTTTGTCCGGCTTCGGGGTGATCGCGAGTTGAAGGGCAGGTTACACGTATGATACATCTGCATCGTCGTTCGAGCGAGGTGCAGAGTGTAGGCTGACGTCTAGGCAGGCATACGACAGTCATTGCAATCTCGTGCTCGGCGAAGTCGAGGAGACAATTTATACCTTTGAGGAGGAAGAGGACGGCGAGGAGACGGTCAAGGTCTGTTCGAGGCTTCCTTTGGTCGGACTGCCACTGACGACGAGCTAGACGACCAAGAAACAATCAGATATGCTCTTCGTTCGAGGTAGGCCGTCTATCATTACTCTTCCGCAGCTGGTGCTGACCCGAAGCAGGAGATTCCGTCGTGCTCATCTCCCCTCAGCCAGCATCGTGAGACCCAGCTTTTATTCGCTTCAACGAATCTCGAACTACATTCAGACGAAAGACAGTCGGCCCCTCCAGAGCGCCATCCTGAGCACAAGCCCGACGTCGTGGACCACTCTGGAGACCGGAGTATCGCCTAGAGGGTAGTTGGCAAGCCTTGTCAACCGGATTTGAGTCATTCTCGTGGTGGTCATGCAGTTCCAGGTATCGCGCTGGGCTGGTTCGCTCAGTCATATGCCCTGACCCCCGAGAGACGAATGGTCTTGGCGAGCTGATATGTCGCGAATGTACTGGAGCCATGCTGAAGACGCACGGGGCCGCCACAGGCAGCAGATGAAGAGGCCGTGTGCGCGCGTGAGGATGAGTCAGTCACTGTGACGCGTCTTGTGAGGCGACTTCCCCGCTATCAATGACTCCAACACTTGACTCCGACCACCACCTCCTCCATGTATTTAGATTCCTGATCGACTCTGTACCTCTCTTTCATACTATCACGTTGGACCTTTGTCTCTTCTGCAGTCATCTCCCATCCTAGGTCATGACGCTCTGTCTACACTAGAAACCCGCCGAGTTGCCCAACACTCACCGTTAACCATGATCCCTCGAATACCTCATTGAGCGCGGGGGCGAATCATCTTTATTCTTTCCGTGCAACTCATTTTAGTCCTAAAGAAGTGAATATGGGGACTCGTATTAAGCAGACCCTGCAAGATCGCAGGAAGGGAGAGCTTGTTCGTAGACTTGCACTTGCAGTTACACCTTCTGATTCAGTTGCAGGCTCTCTCCGACTTTGCCGACTATGTCGAGAAACAACAGGCCAAAAGCCGCACACAGCACGCCGAGTCCGCGACCGAAGACCACGCCGAACTTGACATCCTCGACTCGCTGAATCTCTCCGATAGCCCTAATCAGGTGAGACTGAAAGACTGGCTGCTTGACACCTCGGACAACGCGCATAAAACACTGCAGCAGTTGTCGGAGCTGCTACAGTCCAGACTAGATGAAGGGCATGGCGAGGCGCTGTTTGATCTTGGGCTCGAGGATAATGGCGACTCCATGGGCTTCACCAAAGAGCGGTGGGATCTTGCCCTAGGTCGGATTACAGAGGCGGCGAACATGAACAAGGCTGCGGTCATGGTGCTCTTGACGTACAACGTGGGCAGCGACCATGAAGCCAAGTCGCAGACGAAAGACAAGTCTTGCCATGGCAAGCTGCTTATCCGGCAGGCACCAACGGCCGCCGAAGAGGTCATCGAGACCCGGATAGCGGTGGTCGGCAATGTTGATGCTGGCAAGTCCACCATGCTGGGCGTCCTCGTCAAAGGAAACCTCGACGACGGCCGAGGCAAGGCTCGAGTCAACCTATTTCGACACAAACACGAGATCGAGTCTGGCCGTACCTCGTCTGTAGGCATGGAAATCATGGGTTTCGATACCCATGGCCAGGTCGTTACGTCTAGTGTTCCTGGCCGTAAGTTGACCTGGGGAGAAATTGGCACCCGGTCAGCCAAGGTCATCACGTTTACGGATTTGGCGGGTCACGAGAAGTATCTCCGGACCACCGTCTTCGGCCTGCTGTCTTCTGCGCCGAATTATTGTCTACTCATGGTTGCCGCCAACAATGGACTTATCGGCATGTCCAAGGAACACCTCGGCATAGCTTTGGCCTTAAATGTCCCTGTCATGGTCGTGATCACCAAGATCGATATCTGTCCACCACAGATCCTGGAGCAGACTATCACGCAGATCACAAGAATCCTCAAGTCTCCTGGCGCGCGAAAGATTCCGATCTTTATCAAGACACACGAGGAGACTGTCATGACCGCAACACAGTTCGTGTCGCAACGAATCTGCCCGGTGTTCCAGGTCTCGAATGTGACCGGAGAAAGCCTGGACCTTGTGCGGACCTTCCTCAATATCCTCCCGCATCATGGCCACTACGACGACCAAGCACCTTTCGAGTTCCACATCAACGACACATTTTCTGTTCCCTTCGTGGGCACGGTTGTTTCGGGCGTGGTTAAGTCTGGTGCCATTCATGCTGGTGATAACGTGCTTGTTGGTCCCGATTCACTGGGCCAATTTCAGACCACCAAGATTCGCTCGATTGAGCGGAAGAGAATACAAGTACCGGCATGCAGCGCTGGTCAATCTGCGTCGCTCGCGCTGAGAAATCTACGGCGGAAAGACGTGCGCAAGGGGATGGTCGTGCTACCGAAACTCGACGGCCCGCCACCCAAGGTCTACCGTGAATTTGTGGCCGAGGTACTCATCTTGTCTCACGCAACTACCATCCGCCCGAAGTACCAAGCCATGTTGCACGTCGGCCCTGTCAGCCAGACTTGTGCTATCATCGATATCGATCGCGAGTATATCCGGACAGGCGATCGGGCTACAGTGGCGTTCCGCTTCGTGCAGCGACCGGAGTTTCTCTGTGTCGGCGAAAGGATTCTGTTCCGCGAGGGGCGCACAAAGGGCTTGGGAATTGTCAAGTCTCTCGGATATCAGGAAGGGTCGTTGAGCAAGCAGGTTCAGATTGGCGAGCCCGGGGCCGAAGAGGAGGAGAGCGGCAGGCCGCCCGAGGACAAGGCCCCCATGACAGCAAAGGTCTCCTCACCAACATCTGCAATGACAAATGGAAAGGCAAAATAGGCGTCCAGGCGTTCAGTACTAGGGGATGGAGATGGGAAGGTGTTGGGAAGGGATTTATCATGATCACGGCTAAGGTACCCCCGTACCTGACCTACATATACTAATCTCTCCTTGATGAAACGATGTTCCGACGCATTGTTTGATACTTGTTGTATTCATAGTCCGCCATTGAATGATGCCATTCAAGTATGAGTGCCTCGTCTGCAGAGAATGCAGGCATAATCGATGAGAATGACTAGCGGAAGGGCATGCATGACCTACATCAACCAGTCCGCCAATCACACCGCCAGCATGCCTCTCTTCGCCGGCCACGCCTGCAAATCCTACTATGCAAGTACGGAGCACGTGGTACTACGTGCAAACTACGGTACAGTAGTGCGTAGTCGCGCTTCAACTCCATCCCCAGCTTCAGTACGGAGTACAGAGTAGATGATGTCCTCCACCCACAATGCCGCCCACGGCTCGACAGCGCAGAAAAGAACACACTCCGTCCGGTGAAGGCCACAGCCACACCGGCATCAAACCCAGAGCCAAGGTACCAACACCACCACTGGCCGACGCAGCAGCCACCATGGACATTTCACCCCTCGTCGCCGCCTGGCGCAGACAACCCATGTGGATGCTCCTCGCCGTGACGAGCGGCGCCTGCGCGGCGTTCAACGGCGTCTTTGCAAAATTGTACGTCTGCACCTGCGCCTGCATAGGGCATTTATAGCACTCTATCATTCAGTACCCAATAGCTAACGGACCGAACCTATTTGACGCCTGCGCAGAACCACAACCTCGCTGACCTCGTCGCTCTCGGCCTCCGTCGCCACGCTTCTGGGCCTCCCTCCCGCCAACACGACGATCGATGTTCTCGTCCGCGGCACGTTTTTTGGGCTTAATCTCCTGTTCAACGCGCTCATGTGGGCGCTCTTCACGGCGGCGTTGACGCGCGCCGAATCCACCACCCGCGTCAGCATCATCAATGTGTCTGCGAATTTTGTGATTACGGCGTCCTTGGGCTGGATGGTGTTCGGGGAGCAGTTGCGCGGGATGTGGTGGGCGGGCGCGGCCATGTTGGCGGCCGGGAATGTGGTCATCGGGCGGAGGGAGGAGGAGGGGAAGAACAAGTCCGCTGCGGAGGGGACAGCGGGCCATTGGGAGGCCCAGGCCGAGGCCGAGGGCTTGATGCGTGGCGAGGAAGGAGATAGGCCGGATTTGGTGGAGTTGGATGATGATGTTGGGCGACAACAACACAGAGACGAGCAGAGGAGACTGAGAGCTGGCCAGGAGGTGGATGCACCGATTTGAGGCAGGCGCCAGAGAGGGTGTCCTCAGATAATGAGATGGCCGTACGAGGTACGGTACGATGCCAGTGGGCTACACTGTCCAGCAGACAGCAGTCTCTCTCGCCGTCGCACGGTGGTCGTGGCGGACAATAGGCGCTGCGGACCGTGCGCATGCCTACACCTAGCCAATTTGCTAGCATTCCACGAACACGCCACGAGCGGCAAGAATCAACTGTGTTTACCTACGCAGTACACGGCGAAGCTGCGACGGGTGCGCCATCGTCGAACCAGGACTCGCAGGGCGACTGCGAAAATTAGAGGTGCGTCAGGCCACATGCCCGTGGACCTTTTCGGTGACAACCGAAGTCACAAGGTCACGGCCGCCGACGTGGAGCGCAAGTGTCGCGCCTTTGGAGCTACACTAGAAGCAATCGGCATGGAGGTCGCATGGTTTTTTCAGCTAGCGAGAACTTTGCATGGCCTTCCAAAAGCTCTACCGTCGTCAGAACATGCCGTGGAGTCATGATCTACTGCACCTGGGATCGGGTCACAGCCATGAACAGCCGAGCCTGCGATTCGAAGGTTCAAGCTGTGCGTGATTGCGAGCTCGACTGCGGAGGCCCAGGGAGAAGAAATGAGTGAAGCACACCAGATATACCGCAGAAGGTCTCTCCACCAAGTCCAGGTACAACACGCTCAGCCCAGAAACGGCAGGTGACTTGTCCAGTTGTCTGCTTCGGCCATTGGCGGGTAATCTTGTCGCCAGCTACGAACAGCAGTGAAGAGGTCCGAGATGGCGAAAATGACTCGCATGAAATCCAACGCCTTACCCAGTACGTCTCTACTGTATAATCTCACAGCGCACAAGCCTGGGTGCGCCGAAAACACTGCGATCGTAGCCACACATACTCGTATTGCTTGCCCAGCTGGATTCCTGTGTCAGGACGTGCAGCATGACATTTGACACATGTCGAATGATTTGACTAGGCCCTGTTGTAGTCTTCCTCCATTGCGGTATCCGTTCTCCATGAGGGCCAATGGAGCTTGGAAAGGTACACAGTACGAGCGATCGTCCAGAGACGCGGTAGAGTTGGAGTTACAGGAGTGTGAACAAATTACGAGTACGAGGTATGAGGGCAAGAGGCGCCCGTTACATTGCGACCTCTGGGCAGAGATCTGGGGTAACGGGCATGGCCGAGACGAGAGCTTCTGGAGTCCACGCACGGGAAGGAATAGGAATAGCCGCAGAGGGAAAATCCTTGATCCGAGCTTGTCCGCTGTGTTTCGATGAGCCCTATCACAACGATCGGCGGAAGCAAAATGCAGTCAGTGGCGCAAGTTTTGGCCTCGAATTGGGCTTCTGCTTCCGACCCTTCAGGGGTCGATTGGATCCTCCTGGGACCTGGCCGTCATAGCGTCGTGGTGTTCTGCTTTGCGTGTTTGCTCAGCTTCGGAACCTGCAGTGGAACGTGGCTTTCAGGGCGTTGATCTGCCTCGGAAGCTTCCTAAATCGACCATTCCTAAAGGCAAGGCGTAGACCCGAGTACCGGACACTCGACCATTCACCTGTTCTGGGGCATATGGATGAGAGCACTGTGGCACTCGTACCATGTAAAAAGAGACAGGACGGTCCACCCGCATTCCCTACGGCCTGCCAATAGTGAGAAATGGTACTGCTCTCAGTACCAGGCGAGCCTGCATCCTGCGACGGTTGAGCCACACAGTCCTCAATACTCTCTACAGCAATAATGTTCAAGACAGGAGGAAATGAAGCGAGCAATGTCTGGTGGGGTAGACCCTTCGATAGCTGAGACACCAATGGTATCGCACGACAAGCTATTCGCACCAGGTCGAGGGGTCTTCCTCATTTAGAATACCGTGCCAGCTCCAAACCGGCCATCTCCACAAAGGTGCCGTTCTAAGCCTTTCCTTATCCCAATATCAGGAGACGCCGGGCGCGGTGGACAGCATTAGGCTGGTCACGGCAGGTACGGCAGCGAGAGCAAAGATCCAGTTGATCAGCAGGTCCAGATGAGTTTGACTCTCTCGCCTTGCCTAATCCAACCGGTCAACAAACGTCAAGTTCAAGTGGATTGGGTTGCACTGAGCGTGGAAAGCAGCGATTCGTTGGCGGGAAAGGCGACGAGGGTAGGGTGTGAAGACACGCTTATGGTGCGGAGGAGGGCGCAGGCGTGCGGCTTGCAGCATCGAGGCAGTTCTGGGGCGCTGGAAAGGCGGCCACGATGGCCAGCAGGGAGGCAGGGACGGCGTGATTGGCCCACAAAGCGCTCGTTGCTTGACCCTGAAGAGATTAGCGGACAATCGGGCTGGGCCTGTGCCAGAGACTGGGAGGGGCCCAAAACAAGGCCAGTGTGCTCAGAAATACCGTGGTAGGCGCCGTCACCAGACGCTTGCAGCCCACAGTCCGTTCTCAGAATTGCGGCGACAGCCCCGAGATGTGGAGTTCGCCACTGGCAAATTGCATGGTTGGGCCACGGTAGCCTGCATCCTAGTCGGAACGCACTGTCCGGCCAACAGCGAATCACAGCATCATGGCAGCGCAGGGAAGTGGGCCTCACGCCAGGATCCAAGTAAAGACTCGCCCATCTGCCTCGCTCTGCCTTCTTGTCCTCTCGCCTTTTTTGCCATCTGCCCACCGCCAGTCCGCGAGCTACATACCTACATCACCATCCCACCGCTGCTTTCATCCCATCTCACATACACCTGCGCTGCTAGTACCATCTGTTGCCTGCCACCTTCCATCAGCCTTTCCATTTCACAACCATATCAAAGCAGTGCACCCTATCGACATCGAATTACACAGTACATTCTTCCCAAACAAGACTTTTCAGCTTAGACCAATTGCGCTTCTCCACGAGCTCCTTTGTTGATCGGCTGACGTCTCCTACCCATCATTGTTTGCCACCGTCTGATTAGCTGGTATCTGCGAATATACCACAACATCCTTCTGCAGCACCGCAATATTTCTGCCTAGACCGTCCAGCTTTCGGCCTTCCTCCTGCAAATCGGATACGAGTTGCACCATGTCGACCTATTTCTATCAACAACACCACGCTCAGAATCCGCAACCCATGCCACAATCTCATAGCCACCATGGCCGCTCTCGAAGAGCACCCCGGTTATCGGCGGCGCAGAACTCTCATCGCCAGTTCCGTGCTGCCAAACCTGTGAAAGAGATAGTTATTGCCGAGCCGCCCAGCGTTCTCGCCTATCGGGCAAGGTTCGAAGCTGGGCGTTCATTCGACCTCGATGACGACCTCGAGTTCTGTCCAAATCTCTTGACATTCGATGAGGTTTGTGGCGAGCCTCTCTCCACGACTTCATCTCTTACTGACTTCCTCGGAAAGCGTCAGTCTGTCACGTCAGGGTCGTCGGATCGCTCGTCTCTTTCAAGCGGCTCGCCCGACTCATCTCCTCTCCAGTCTCAAATACAACCTCAGATCACCCCGGCTTTGTCCATCTCCTCTGCCGCAACGTCTCTCTACATGTCATCTCCAGCGTACACGAGCAGTAACAGCCTCAAGATCCACCAACCCTCGGCTATTCGTTCCCGCAACAACGCCATCCCCATTGTTAATCCCTCCACTGGCAACCGCATCGCAAGTCCACCGTCTTCAATCTCGCCAGGGATGATGCAACATACAACCGCCGCTCGCCGGTGGTAAGAGAGCCTCCACCTAGGAGTGCTCTATCCTCCGTGCCTGTCGTCGTTGTGTCGCTGTATTCGTTCTGGCTGATGTTGTGATGTGTCGCTTGCCTTGTCTTGCCGCTGGTCGAGATCTTCTCCAACTCAAATCATCATCTTCTCTCATCTCTGTACATACGTATCTCACGACCACGGAAAACTGTTTCTTTATCGAGCGAAGGCATAGCGATTCTGACGAAGCTGACATCATGATATCGGCCATTTGTGTGGAAGAATAGGGTCAAAGGAGTATGGCGGCACACGGCGATCCAAAAAGACAATCTGATTTTAGCATGGAGTTTTGAGCATTGCCCGGGCGAGAGATTATGATAGACGACGACGATTATCATCACACAGGCGGGGTTTATTTGATATGCGATTTTGGGAGTTGTTGCACAGTCATCAACTGGTCAGGCATGACGGACGAGAAATATAAAGATACCAGATGGGTCGATGCGGTGTTCATTTGTTGGTTATGGTGAGTCCCTGAAGAATGGGACAGATTGCACACATCTCACGGGTTGACGGCTGGCTTAAAATGATGTCGGACTTCTACGGGCCATTTATTCTGTCCAGCAAAACGGCTGGTAGCTTACCGCCGCTATGAGATGTATTTCTAGCTGATAGAAAGCTGAACAATTCGCTTTTATATCCTTCTTGAGTCAACTGAACCAAGTTCTGCCGACATTGCTACCGATCGCGTGCTGTGGTTCAGTTACTAAGGCAGTGTATTGGCGCTGCCGCCTCGCAGATTCGATGCCCTGTCTGCGGTACCTGCACTACTGAACGAGGACCAGCACAGCACGGCCTGCGTCGGCGATTCAGCTCTGCAAGGTACCGGATAAGTTGACTCATCGCCCCAATCGTCGCCAGCTCTGGCGGCGGTACTGAGCCATTTGACCAATCATTCCTGCATGTTCAGCCCGCGAGATTGCGGCCGTACACGGCAGCGGGGAAGTCGTGGCTGTGTCCAGCATATGTTTCATAGTGGCAGCAGCTTCGCCTTGGAATTTGCGTCTTTCGACAGATTAACAAACGGGTGCGGATGAGGCTGGGAGACGGTACCTTTTGTGGTAGCTACCTAAGAGCAAGTAGAATATGCGCAGTGATATCAGTGCACCATGCTGGTGAAGTGAGGTGGCCTGAACCTGATTGATACAAAGAGCGGCACCGAAAGTCCATCTTGGCAGTGTTCACCCCAACTTGAACCTAAAGTGAGTGAACTCGACCGTCGCTCTTACAACACATACCGACTGCCCTGACACCCATCTTTCGCAACAATCCAACAGGCGAGTCAGTATGGGGCTGCTCTCGCGGAACGTGGTGCTAGTCCTCCTCCTAGGTCTGGTGCTTTTCACGCTGGAAGCGCACGCTTTTGGTGCCGGGAGTAAGTACCGTACGTCCAATACGGAGTGTTACCGATACTGACACAATGTGTAGACATTGCCTCGATATCCGCGGTAGAGGGCAAGAATTGGCGCCATGGCGATATCGAAGACGTTTTGAAGACTGTGGCATGTATCCGTCACCACAAATGGAATTCCATGATGATCAAGAGGGTCTACTTCGGGTATGTTTTGTCCTCTCTTGATGACAAGCCAAGAAGACCACATCTAACGGACTGGGTGTATCTAGGAACTGGCTACGGGACTACAGTCAAGCCATGGATACTGGCGCCCTGAAGAAGGCCCAACCTGAGACCATCCGAATTCTTGTCTGGCTACTGTCATTCCTCGGATTTGGCTATGCCACGGCAGAATTCGAGGTCACCTCGGAGCGCCTTGGTGTCTATCGGCCAGAGGAACATATTGAGTACGGACCTTTTAGTCACTGACGACGGCCATTGCTGACAGGAATTTCAGCAATCCCAAAGACTACAACGACAACGAAGACGCTCGGAAATATGACGCCCGTCTCCGTGGTCCAGTGCGTGACATTGAGCTGCAAATCGACATGGAGACTGGAATGAAGAATTACATCGCCAACGGTAGGGGTGACTGGGCCACCAGCGCAGCTTTTGTCAAGTACAGCTTTGAGCGCAGCATCCACCATGGCCGCCTGTACACGAATGGTCACGGGTTCTTCAAGGGAAAGGACGAGGATCTTGCCGAGGCCTTGCGTTGTCTCGGCCAAGGTCTGCATACACTGGAAGATTTCGGTGCACATACCAACTACGTCGAGCTTTCCCTTCGGGAGCTGGGGTACCACAATGTCTTTCCTCACGTCGGAACGGCCACCGCAATCAACCTCCGTGGGAGGCATGTATTTCCTCTCGTTACGGGTACATTCGGAATGGTAGACTTTTACCACTCTGTGCTTGGAGAAGCTACCGATCACTTTACGCAGAGCGAAATCAACGAGATGGACAATGCTCTCGGTACCGCTCAGCAGGCAGCGCAGTCGTCAAACCCACTAACGTCCTTGGTCGGGTTATTGTCCAAAGTGCCGGGGACCAAGGCTCTTTGTGACGAAGCGGAACAGCTACAAGCGAGTTCGCAAGCCCAAGCTCGTGCCAACGAACAGCGAGGCTATGGAGCGCAGGGAGGCTTTCGCGGCGTAGATGACTACGGCGGGTCATCGCGAGGCATTGATGACTGGGATGGCACTCGAGCCTCGCATGCAGGCTTCGCTGGGCAACCACAAGGTTACGATACATCTGACAATTGGAACCAAGGATATCAGCAAGCAGGCTGGGGCCAAAACCCACCTCAATACCAACAGCAGTGGCATGATCACGGCGCATCTCACGCCTTCGACAATCCACCTCCTCCACTTCAAACTCAGTGGCACGATCCAAACATAGGACACAACTACAACTCGCAAGACCAATACCCCGGTGCCCAGCAAAATTGGCAGCAGCCGCCAGCGGTCGATCAATGGTCGCAGCAACCACAACATCCTCATGTTCCTGCTTCACAACCTCAGCACAGCCAAGGAGGACAGGCCTCGCAATCACAAGTTACTGCACCTGCAGGTCTCCCGGGTATGCCCAACTTCGACCCAGCCAAGACTGTTGCCCAAATATACCCCATCCTTGTTTTCCGCGACAAGGTCGTCCGAACTGTAAGTCTTCCTACTCCCGCCTCAATCCATATCTATGATCTTGGGACTATGCACCAGGGTTGGTTGCTTTCGCAAGAATGATACTAACCTTCGGGTGCCAACAGATTAGCAGCATCATTGAAAAGATCCCTGGTCTCGAGGCTCTCGTCGACCGTATCACCGAGACGCTGACAGTCTTCGTCCTATCTCTTTTGGCGCCATTCGTGAGACCTGTGATCAACGCCATTTCGAAGACACTGCAGTCGGGAAGTTCGGAAGTTCTAGATTCGTCCGCGAGGCACCAGTTTGAGGTTTGGACGAATGCCAACTCCAGTGATCCGACACACTCGATGCTGAGCAAGGATCACTTTAGCAATATCCTCAACGAACCTGCTGGTAACGTGGCAGCCGAGATCTTGAAATTCATCGCTCCACGGGTCTTGTATGCTTGGGAGCACCCCGATGTGCCCGTGCAACAGGTGATGCATGACGTTGAAAGTATCTTCCATCATCCGGCAATCCGCAACGAGGGTAACGAATGCCACCGCAACATGTTCAATGCGGTCAAGACCTGGGTCAATGGCCTGCCAGATCATGGTCGTGGCCTCGAGGCTATGTTGAACTCTGACGCTGTCCGTGCAGGCAGAAACCACAAAGCAGGCGTCAATGAGCATGCTCACAAGCCGCCCGCCGGCGCCAGTCAATCCCACAACACTGGCGGCAGCTTTGGCGGTCTGGGAAACTTTGTTCCCGGTCAACAACATGGTTCCGGTGGCCATCAGGGCAGCAGCGGAGGACTTGGGGGATTGGCAAACCTCATCCCTGGGAAACAACATGGTGGAGGCCACGGTAATAACAACCCATTGGGTATGGTTGGAGATCTTGTCGGCAACTTCACGGGGCAGCACAAACCAGCCCAACAACACCACGGAGGTGGTGGTGGCGGCGGCGGCCTCAACAGCATGCTAGGCATGGCCGAGAAGCTACCTATCCCGGGAGTTTCTGGCGTGGCCGGCCGATTGAACAAGTACTCCAAATTCATGGGAGGCCTTCCAGGTGGAGGCAAACGCGGGCTAGACGTGGAGGACACCGGCCCAGGTGGTCTCGACGTGCCAGTCAGCGGATCCAGCGAGCTTCACGAGGCTGCCGCGCATGCCAACCGCTACGGCTCAGACAGGAGATCACCGAGTCCGATGCCCATGCAGGCGCCAGCGGGATACGAACAGTACGGCCGTCAGGAATCCGGTAGTTACGGCTATGGTCAGGGTCAGGAAGGACAACCATATCACCAGCAGAGGACGTATCAGGAACCATATTCCAGCCAGGGGCAGTATGGAGCGAGTGATGGTGGCTCTGGCGGAGAAAGTGCAAGCTACTATAGTGGAGGGCGTTAACTCGTCGTCACGAGAGTGGTAAGAGAGTAGCAAACAGAATATCACTGCTCCCAGAAACGTCATTTCAGAAAACGCCTTGAAACGCCGGGAAATGGGAACAACAAACAGTCCCATCTTCTCTTGATCAGAGCTTTTAGTCCCAAAGCAGCGTCACAAGGCCAGAAGTATCGCATCACAACTTCGACTTCCCAAACACACCGCCCCTGCCCTGGCCTCCAGCGAACCTCGCCGCCCCAGCCATACCCTCGTGCTCCACAACGCCAACACCCTCATCATACTCCCTCCGCAGCGCATCCTCGAACCCCGTCGCCTCAAACGCAGCATAATAACACGACGCGCGATCCGCGAGCATACACCCCTGCGGGAACTCGACAAGCTGCTCCGCGATGCGCGTCGCCTCCTCGACCGCCCTTCCGCGGCCCACCACGCGATTCGCCAGCCCCATGCCGAGAGCCTCCGCAGCCGACACCCCACGCCCCGTGAGGATCATGTCCAGCGCCCTCCCCAGCCCGACGATGGCCTGCAGTCGCACCGTGCCGCCGTCGATCAGCGGCACGCCCCACCGCCGACAGTACACGCCGAACGTGGCGTCCTCTTCCACGACGCGCATGTCCGCCAGCAGGCTGAGTTCGAGGCCGCCCGCGACCGCGTGGCCCGCGACCGCGGCGATGACGGGTTTGATTACTTGTAGGCGTGACGGGCCCATGGGGCCAATGTTGCGTCCTCGTACGGGTTCGAGGTGGCTCGCGTCAGCGTTAGGGTTTGGGTTTGTGGAGGCGTTGTTACCACTGGGGTCGGGGTGGGGACGGCCACGTTGCTGGGCAGCGGCGCCGGCGGCGGTGAGGTCGATGAGGTCGGCGCCCGCGCAGAACGTGCCGCCCGCGCCTGTGAGGATGGCGACTTTCTGGGTCGAGTCCGCTTCGAAGGCTAGGAACGCGGCGTACAGGGCGCGGGCGGTGGCTGGGTTAACGGCGTTGCGGCGGCGGGGGCGGGTGATTGTGATGGTGGTGATGCCTTTGGGGGTGGTGGTTACTTGTATCAATTGGGGGTCCATGGCAGGATGTAGCCTGGTACGATGTAGATACAGATACCTAGGTAGGTATGGAGTATGGAGTACAGAGTCGGACAATTCGACGAGTCGAGTCGAGTCGAGGTCCGGGTTGGGCCAGCTCGGTCTCTGGCTCTGCCTTTGTTTTCGACTTCGATTTCGGTTTTACTGAGATGGCTTCAATATCTATCTATTCTACCGGGTGTCTCGTAATTTGAGGTACTGTGTAAAGAGAGCTTAGTCAATGCCTCAATACAGTACGCGGTACCAGGCGAGCCAGGCTTGCAGCATGGGCAACATTTCTATATCGGACCTCGGCTTTGTGGATCCACCGAGGTTCGTGATCGCGAGGCTGCGATTCACCATTAATCTCATTCATTCTCATACTGAGTGTTACGGTAGGTAAGTCATTGAGAGAGGCAGAAACTGGGCAGGTCGAGATACATTCTACGTATGGATTATAGTAGAAGAGCCTATTGCAACGCCGCGCCAATCGTCGTTCGGACTGTTAAATATCCGAGTTCTCGATTCTCCCTACAAGCCTCGTTTGCAGTACGGGCCCCAGAACATTCGAATCATCAAGATACACTTCTCATCCAGTGTCCAAGATCACATCTGGGCGTATCATTATGTACTTGCCTACAGCTCTCCAGCTTGAATAGTCCTTCGACGAGATGCTAAAGGGCAGGTCTGGGGCGATGTTGTCGTCGACCAGACCTTGGCTCAGTTTGAAAACTACTTCTGGTTTGTCAAAGCCAGAAGGAAGGCATGAAGATGCCCAGGTTGACAGCCGAGAAAGCGCACATCGACCTGCAAAGCATCGCTCAAGAAGTCGCAATGCGTTAGCCCTCTCAGCGGCCGTCTCAACATGCTTCGATGTTCTCCACGGGAAGCCTCGCAACTAATGCTGCAGTGAAAATCGCGAAGAAATATATCGTGAAGAGTGTTCCATAACTTACCGCCACCATGAGCCTGGGGTGATTCTCAGTCCACCGATACTGTGGTCATAGTCAGAACACAGATCTACTCAAGCAACGAGTACGGATGTGTGGTCGGTGCGGCCTTTTCCTTCAACTCAACATCTCGCAGCCTTGCAAGCCATGGTGTTGCAGAACACGAGCTCGGACGCTCAAGCTTTGCTCGTTCGTATCATTATTTTTCCACCCACGCAGTAACCCCAAACTGAATTTATTAATTCCTCGATGCCTTAGGGTGTTCCAAGCTATTCTTCAACGTATGGCCACGATGGCTGCGCTGTGAGAAGTCGGTCAATCTGCTGCGCCACGAGCCCTGGCGTGTCAGTGCAACAGGTTCCAAGGCACGAAACAGAACGGCCTCCAGGCAAGACGGTGAAATTGCCATGCGCATCGCGGGCGAAGGCGAGCGCCAAACACCCCGCCTAAACTGCCTGTGGTCTAGGCGTGGCGCCCACCGAGCGCCAATTGCTTGATCTGGGGCTCGGCGCCTGGGACTATTGGCTGTCAGGGCTCCCCGTGCGTCAAAGTGGCAGCCGACGACGTCACAGGCGTGTTTGGTTACCCGACACGAGATCTCGCACAGTCGTTTCCCGATCACCAACCGATCATGTTCCATGCTGGCCATGATACCCGAACCACGTACACAGTACTCCACGCCTTTATCCAACTTTCATCTTGCTGGCTTTGTGCCGATCTTTCTCCATTGTACATTCCTTACAACTCCCTCCCTCGAACTCCTGCCTTCGCTTTGTCCTTCCAGTTATTTCGGAGTCCTGAAAGGAGGATTGCCCTTTGAGCCACTTGAGACAACCTACCTCAGGGCATATCGTGATTGTGTCACTGGCACTAGTGACACCCCTCAACATCACAAACTGCCCTCATCTCGCAGCTCGTCACAAAAAGATTAGCGATGCTTTTGCGAATCCTCATTAACGAAACATAACCCAATAATACCACCCTCCCCTCGAGGCACTGATGCAACACAATGTCGAGCGTGGTTAATACAACATTCAACCTCGGCGGCAACCAGACCGCAGCAGGACAGAAAAATGGGCAAAGTGCTGGGCAATTCGCTGCGTCCCTTGTCACCGCCATAACGGTTTTTGCCATCCAAGTCGTTATTTTCCTGCTCATCAAGGACCGGTTCGCACGGATATACCAACCCAGAACCTACCTCGTACCAGAAAGAGAACGCACAAAACCTTCACCACCGGGATGGTGGGCATGGATCAAGCCTGTGGTCAGCACCTCCAACTCCGATTTCGTCCAGAAGTGCGGTCTGGATGCCTACTTCTTCCTGAGATATCTCCGCACGTTGCTCAAGATATTTGTTCCAGCGGCCTTAGTTATCTTGCCGATCTTGATCCCCCTGAACATGGTCGACGGCCGCGGAGCTCGCTTCGCACTGGGCAGAAACGAAAATGCCAGTAATGTCACCGGCCTCGATCAGCTTGCTTGGGGCAATGTCGCTCCGGACCACACAGGACGGTACTGGGCCCACTGGCTCCTGGCACTTTTCCTGATCGTCTGGATCTGCTACGTCTCATTTGATGAGCTACGGAACTACATTCGCATGCGGCAGGCCTACCTGACATCTCCTCAGCACCGCCTGCGCGCTTCCGCTACGACCGTCTTGGTCAGCTCCATACCTCAGAAGTGGTGCAATGTGGAAGCCCTTGACGGCCTCTACGACGTGTTCCCTGGTGGTCTCAGGAACATCTGGATCAACAGAAATTTCGACGAGCTGGCCGAAAAGATCAAACGACGCGATAAGCTCGCTGCAAAGCTCGAGACGGCCGAGACCGACCTCATCAAAAAATGCTTCAAGAAGAACGAGGAAAACATTGCCAAAGCCGAGAAGGAGGCCGGCAAGAAATTGTCAAAGGACGAGAAGAAGCTACGTGCCACGATTAGGGATGAGGCAGGTGATCGCGCTGCTCATGGCCACGGTACCACCACGGGGAATCCTCACCAGGTTCAGCATAATCTGCGCCAGGTCGTCAATGGTGAAAATGACGCGGCGTCCTCGTCCTCGGATTCAGAAGATGAGCAAGAGGTTCAGGAGCCGCAACGTGATAGGTTCAACATCCCTATCATCGGCGGTGGCATCTCTGCGGTCACTCACGGCCTGGACAAGGTTGGCAAAGGGCTCCTAGGTGGTATCCGCGGTGTTAATAAGGGAGTCAATGATACTATCGACACCACCAACGGATTCGTCGCGCCTGACGCCCAGCACAAGGAAGCGGGTCGGAGTTCTCGCGAAGAACCCGAGGTGCCAGTGGAGGACTCGAGCCCAATTTCACCCAAGAAGAACGAGAAGGTGTTCGGCGAGAAGCGTACCACGGGACACGCCAAAGATGCGAGCGCGAAGAACCAGAGCTCGCCCACAAACCTTGGTCGATCATTCGAGAAGTCGCCCCAGTCAAGATCGGGAAGTCCCATCTCCCAAGGTAGTACAATGGGAGGGGAAAAAGTTCGATCAGAAAAACAGTTGACCAAATTCGAAAAGTTCAAGAAAGCTATTGGTATGGGCCCGGACGAGAAGGAGCATGTCGATTACCCTGAGGCCTTCGAATGGAACTTCGAACAAGACCCGGATGATGCTGCCTGGCGACGCTACTTGACCGACAAGGACCGTGAAACAATGCGGCTTCCAATCTTCGGCAGGCAGTGGATGCCCTCTCTCCCACTGATCGGCCAGAAAGTCGACACAATCCGATACTGCCGCAAAGAGGTTGCTCGACTCAACGTGGAGATCGAAGACGACCAGGCCCATCCGGAGCGGTTTCCTCTAATGAACTCTGCCTTCGTCCAATTCAATCACCAGGTTGCCGCACACATGGCTTGTCAAGCTGTCAGTCACCACCTCCCCAAGCAGATGGCTCCCCGTCTGGTCGAAATCGATCCTAACGACGTCATATGGGACAATATGTCGATCCCGTGGTGGCAGTCATACATCCGGACTGGCGCTGTTATTGTCATTGTCGTCGGTATGATCTTCCTATGGGCCATCCCCGTTGCGTTCACATCGGCTCTTTCGCAACTGGAAACTGCTGCCAAAACATGGAGCTGGCTTCATTGGGTGCTCAAGATTCCCGCTTGGATTCGAAGTGTATTGCAGGGTGTCTTGCCAGCGGCCTTGCTCGGTCTTCTCCTGTTCCTTCTACCTTTGATTCTCCGGTTCCTGGTTCGGTTACAGGGAACGCCCTCCAACATGCTCGTGGAGATATCAGTTCAACGCTACTACTTCTGCTTCTTGTTCGTCCAGTTGTTCTTGGTCGTATCTATTGCGTCGGCCTTGACACAATTCTTTGCTCTCTTTACGAGCGTGGATGGCTTCACAAACATTCCGAGTCTACTGGGCAACAATATTCCGAAAGCCAGCAACTACTTCTTCTCCTACATGTTGCTACAAGCCCTGTCTGTGAGCGCAGGAGCCCTCCTCCAAGTTGGATCCCTCATCGGCTGGTTCGTCCTCGCACCGCTTTTCGACAGCACTGCACGGGCGAAGTTCACGAGACAAACTCAGTTGTCAAATATTCAGTGGGGCACGTTCTTTCCAGTGTATACCAATCTGGCATGCATTGGCTTGATTTATTCCGTCATCTCGCCCCTGATCTTGATCTTCAACATCGTCACCTTCACGTTGTTCTGGTTCGTTTACCGATTCAACACCCTGTACGTCACCCGCTTTACTCGCGATACGGGGGGTCTCTTGTATCCTAACGCCATCAACTTCACATTTGTGGGTGTTTATGTGATGGAGGTAGCCTTGATAGGCATGTTCTTCCTCGTCCGAGATGAGCGCGGGAATGTGGCTTGCACAGGCCAAGCCATTGGGATGATTGTGATTTTGATCATGACCGCCGGATACCAGATGTTGTTGAACAACGCATTTAGCCCCCTGTTCAGATACCTCCCCATCACTCTCGAAGACGATGCCGTGCGGAGAGATGAAGAGTTTGCTCGGGCAATGCGCCAGAAGCACGGCCTCATCGAGGACGAGAACGAAGGCGAGGATCTTGAGGATCAGCTGGAGCGTAACGAGCGACAGTCCATGGACGAAGACCGCCAGCAGCACGATATGGAGCTCAGGGAGATCGAGCAAGACAAGCAAGACAGACTTCGGAGACAGGGGTCGAAGAAGATGCCCGAACTCGAGCCTTACGAGTTCCAGAACCCGGAGATTGCAATGAACCTGGACCAGGACAGCAGGGGCATGCGAATGATGAAAACCGCCGCGCACAAGACCGCCCGCACAACCACCGGGTTGATGCCACGCGGGCTCTCGCAGAAGCAAAAACGGCAGCAGCGCCAATCCTGGGCCGATCGAAGCAACGCCAGGAACCGAAGAGCGTCGAATTTCGGCGAATGGGAAAGCCCATCACAGAGTCGAAGCCGGGCACACTCGGAAGCTCGGGGTGGCCAGAAGAACATATTACAGCAGCCCAAGGAAGTTCTCGACAAGCTCAACAACTTCAATCCGCTGACCGGCAACGAGAAGGACGTGGAGGCCCAACGTGCTGCCCGAAGCGAACTGGCCGACGCCCTGTTCGGTGGCGTAAACGACGAACTCGAAGACTTGAGCCCCGAGGAGCGCGACAAGTTGGTGCAGAGGGCCTTCCAGCACAGCGCGCTCCGAGCACGGCGACCTGTCATCTGGATCCCGCGCGATGAACTCGGCGTTAGTGACGACGAGGTGCACCGCATGGGCCGCTTCAGCAGCCATCTCTGGGTCAGTAATGTTCGACAGGGGCTCGACTCCAAGGGTCGGTGCGTGTACAGTGGTGCGCCACCGGACTTTAGCGAGGTCGACGTGATCCAGCTGTAAACAAGTACGCGTGATGACTGAAAGAGATACGTAGAGGATGTGGTTGTGGTAGTTAGTATTCCCTTAGCGCGGCGTTATGGGGACGTCAATCATGAGGCATATTGAGTACTGTGTTGTTAGCGTAGCACGAAGCCTCGAGGGTGCTGAAGAGTGAAGAGCCTTCGGCCACAATTTGATGTATATACTCTCTCTGACGAGATCCGGGCAATGCAATGGCTTGTAATGATAGTGGCCATGACATGACCACCGATGAGATGTCACAACCTCATGCTTCCCACATGGTTGAAAACGAGAAAGTGCTAGCTATGTAGTCCCTGCAGGCAGGCGAGAGAGAGACAGTGAGTAATTACACTTTTCCAGTCTTCTCAATCTCGCGGACACAGGTACTGTACAGGAGGTACGGGCTTCCTAGACTAATTACCACTTCCCGCATGATCGAAACTCTCTCTACAGAGCCCCAACGTCCTTTTTCCAGGCTTGTACATACCTAATACGAGTCTTTGATAGGGAACACCGTTGCGGCAAAAATACAGCGAACAGCGGGACAGCTTGAGGGTGTAACAGCTACGGTCCATGTTGCCTGCGCCCTCTTTCTATACACGTCTGGGTCAATGAGAGATAAAGGACGGCCAGGTTGTCCTGCGGACGGAACAGCTCCATTTCATAGTTTCCTGCCAGAGGTCAAGGAGTTTGCCGGAGACAATGGCTCCGCAGACCCGTTTCGTCGCTGTATCTACTTGTGCAAACCAACGGCTTGGCCAGCACGGGCAGCGTGCAAACGCTGACAAAACACGCCAATGAGACATAATTGTTAGTGAGGAGGGACATTATTGCTCTCTCCTGTTCTGGTCATATCGATGCATTTAAGAACCTTGGGTGAAGGTTTGCGCGAGCAGCGTGCTGGTTTTTCAGTGTTGCGATCCTCAATGCGGATCTGATTCTGAACATCGCTCAGAATGTCACTATGAACAGTGATAGTCACGCTCAGAAATCAGAGCAGGCTCGCCGTGGCTGGTCAATCTTAGTGACATTGTGACATTGTGACATCGAACAGGGTGTACTGTTTACTGGGGTGCCATATGGTGCATGACGGACAGTGACATTGAAATGTCTGTCACTTGGACACTGCCTCCCATCCAGGTCGACCACCGCGAGTCTTCAGGATATATAAACATCCTGCGACGTACTATCGAGCTTGTTATCTGGATTCCTCAACATCACATACCTTACTCACATCTGGGAATCGTGAACAATCAACCTACAAGTCTCTCGGATTGCACCCTCTTCATCACACATCTCAGCCATCGTGACCGACCGGTAGAATGGCGGACTCACAGCAACGCCTAGAGGGAGAGCACAGCATCGCGCTCGAACAGTCGCTCAGCAGCCCAAAGGCAGAGTCAGAGTCAGTCGAGACCGCTCAGACCGCCACCACAACCCTTGTTGCTCTCTCAGGAGAGCATTCAAACGAGTTTCCAGACGCGATTCCTCCTCATCTATGGTACCAACACCAACCCTTTACAGCCGGCCAAGTTGCTCTGTTCCATGAGACGCCGTTGGGGAAACTGCCCGGAGAGATCCGCACCAAGATCTGGGATTACCTTGCTGCCACGGAACCCGAGATTGACATCACGGTGCGCCTGCGCTTCACCGGGCTCCGCTCCCCGCCCAGATTTCGGTCCCAGAAAATCATGCGGCTCGCCGGTGTCTGCCGGCAGATGAGGGCAGAGGTCTTCGAAACCATGCAGAGGAGCGTCTGGTTTGTGCAACGGTCGAGCAAATTTCTGCACGAGACGATTGACCACTTGCGTGGCGGGAACATGCTCCGACACATCTGTTTCCTGTACCTGGACGAAGACTGGTTTTTGTCAGCTTACCACGAAACCCGCTTTGCGCTGGTACTTTCAGAGATCTGCGAAAGCCTGCCGAACCTCGTCCGCTTCCGAATGAGCACCAACGAAGCCAAGCTAAACGATCAGGTCCGAGAGCGAACGCGCGATCTTTTGCGCTTCGGAGCATTCCTGGTAGCGAGGCATCCAAACCTTGACCTGCTCATCTGGCCAGGCGACTCCGGTCAGACGCACGAGCCAGGACAAACAAGAGTCGTCCTTTATATCGACGTGGCTTCGAGCAAACACTTCCGCGATAGGTGGTCGTACAGAGAACCGACGCCGAAGTACCTGAACGAGCGGGACGGGGAGAACGACGAACTCAGCATGGTTGAGGTGAGTGCGAATTGTGGCGGGTGCGTGTTTCCGGCATCCTAACTGACTGGTGTGGCAGGATCGCCTGTTGAACGCCACGATACTGCGACGACTGCACTTCGATGATATCCTTCACTTTGATGTCGACGACTTCGCCATCGACAGAGAGAATAACGCGTCCTCGGAAATTGACGAGGGACATGGTTATTTCGCTCAAGTCGACAACGAAGGTTATCTGCCTGCATGGCAGCGCAAAGAATTGGGCAAGCACTACATCCCCGTGGACAGTTTGATTGATATCTGCGAGAGGAGGATGCGGAGGGCGATGAACAACGGCACTTTTCAGACGCGAGCGGCGGGTGCTCGTCCGTCTCGTGGTCGTGGTCGTGGTCGTGGTCAGGCTCGGGGTGGCCGAGGCGGGGGAAGAAGTTGGGGAGGCGCGAGAGGAGCCGCGCGTGGTGGGCAGTTACATGTGCCGGCGGGAGGTGCCCGGCCAGTGGTCAACCACGATCACGCTGGACACGCAGAGTCTAGTGCCCGTGCTCGAGGTCGAGGTCGAGGTCGAGGTCGCGGATCGTCTCGTGGCCGTGCCGGTCGAGGAAACCGTTACAGAGCTTCCGCTCAGCGTCGAGGTAACCACTGAACATGGGGCTTCAAGTAGCATCTAGCTCGAAAGCGGATGGGCAGCCGATGAACTTGATCTGGAAAGTGTTCGGGCTCAGCTCTAGTGCACAGATCCTGCATAGTACGCTTGGTGTGTTTAGAAGCGCGCACCCGGGGCGAGACTCGATTTGCTGGCATAGCAACCCATACATACTGTGAGGTGTGTCCGCATATATGCACTGCGTGCTCTTGTGGCTTCTCGTCCCGAGCTGATGGGCCGCGATGGGCCGTGGGAGCTTAGCACGACATTTACGAGGTAAATCTGCCGCTAAACAGAAAGGCACCTCGTAATGCGAGCGCCAAGACAATCCACCGCTTCAGCACACAGACACTACACGTGACTCTCCAATCGGTCATCCATCACAGTACGAGGTACTTGCTGTACACGTTCCCTCACAAAACACACGCTCCGTTGATGGGGGCCACCCGGTATTCTGCTCCTTCAGATACTCACACTTCTGCTGCTATTCATCGGTCGACATGCGCCATCATAGCTGATAACAATCATCATGTCGAAATGGCTGCGATACCCCTAACCGCCCAAAGTGGAAGCTCGTCTCCACGCGCATGGCCCAGATGCTTCGATCCGCTCCACTTCGGGCGTCGACTTTTCTCAGATGCATCTGCACAGCCAGCCACATGGCAGGTTCCTTTCCCGTTGTGGCCGAGATTGTTATCGCTAATGAAGGCTCGTGCCTTTTAAGCTTTCACCCGCTCACACAGGTTTTACCACAGTACAGCGCAGCGCGTGGTGGCAAGCTGTCCAAAGCGAGACTGCTAACTAGCGAGCTCGACCAGCTCCACCCATGGCGCCGGAGCTGAATTTGCATCTTCGCATAAGAGCATGAATTTCCCGAGACATCCCAAATGGCGGCGAGTCACTTTTGTAGACGTCCTGGTCAGTCCCGAGCACTGCGTCAATCATGGACAACTACATGTTCAAGAGCGAACAAGATGCGTATCGGCAAGAGTCGAAGAGGACAGGAGTACAGATCACCGAGCACACCGAGTCTGATCAGGAAAGGGACGGCAGTGGCCACGAGGATGGCCCGACAACGCCAAGCAGACTCTCGAGAATGGAACAGCTCATGGAACGGTTATGGGCCTTTGAGATCTTCGCCCTGGTCATCAGCACACTCGCGCTGCTGGGCCTAATCATTCTCCTCCGAGTCACAAACGGCCAGAAAGTCCCCAACTGGACCGTGAAACCCAGACACACGAAGCCGTTCACCGTGACGATCAACTCGGTGATCTCCATCTTTTCCACTGCTGTCAAGTCGACGGTGCTCATCCCCGTCGCGGCGGCTATGGGAGAGTTGAAATGGATGTGGTTTAACTCGGGCCATCGGCTCACAGACATTCAGGTCTTTGAGAGCGCCGCCAGGGGGCCGCTTGGAGCTATCATCATGCTGTGGAGCTTCCGAGGGCGCAGCCTGGCATGTCTTGGAGCTGTCATCATCTTGGGCTCTCTTGCACTCGACTTTGGTTTCCAACAGCTGGTCACTTACCCACTTCGGCCCGTCAACCTTGGACCGGCCACGATCGCACGGACCAACGAATACTTTGCCTCCCGTCCTGGCTGGATCACTGGTACACCTTTGGCCGAGAAGGGTATGGTAGCCGCTATCTACACCGGCATGTATGGTGATGGTAAAAGCTTTTCAGTCACTCCAGACTGTGTCACCGGCAACTGCACCTGGACGGAGGACTACACGTCGCTGGGATTCTGTTCTCGGTGTTACAGCACCACCGACCAGATCGTCAAGCAGTGCAGCACGTTCAACTATACTTTCGTTGACGAGAACGGCAACCCACAGGTCGTAGGCGACCCCATCCCTTACTGCAACTACACGATGCCCTCAGGACAGATCATACCCGGCGTCAACTTCACCCAGGGGTACCCGGATCCCGTCTTCGTCGATGTTAGCAATAGGCCAGCCTCTGACACGACATATTTCGGCAAGCCGCTCACTGCCCATGTGGCTACCTTGTCTGTGATGCGGGCCGAGTGGCAGAAAATTGCCGACGATCAAGAGCGGTACTACGACACAATCACCCGTGTCAACGCAACCGAATGCGGCATTGATGCCTGTGTGATCAAGTACCACGCCACCATGCAGAAGTCCAACTTCACCGAGGTAATCATTGACACCTTCATCAACGAGACGGACCGCCTAATCTTCTCGGACGGAGACGGGGGCTACACCATGCCCGTGTATATCCATCCTCCACAGTCATGGACGAACCACTCCAACGTCAACGACAGCAATATCTACTCCTTAGGCAGTATCACCCTCCAAGCGCTCCAGTTCCAGTTCGGCATGAATGCGAACCAGCCGCTCTGGGGTGGAAGGTTTATTGACTCCATGTTCGGACAAGTCAATGTCGACAATGACGTTGTCGCCTATATCCGCTACCTGGACGAAGCCGGCATGGAGGACATGATGTCCTCACTGACTTCCAGTATGACGACTCGCATTCGGGCGGCGCCTGGAGAGGATACCAACTCATACGGGCCCGGACCCCACACAATCGGCATCACCACGCAGGACATGCCGCATGTGAATGTCCGTTGGGGCTGGATTGCGCTGCCTGCCGCGATTCTGCTCCTCAGTGCCCTCTTACTGGTCTGCACGATGATCGAGTCGAAGCGCCAAGGCGCCACCATGTTGTGGAAGAGCAACGCCCTCGCACATTTCTATCATCCTCTGACCAAGGAGGGCAGAAATAAGTTGAGGGATGCGCACAGTGCGAAACACGCCGAGAAGATCGCCCAGGACATGAGGGTGAAATGGCAGGTGACGGACGAAGGTGGCCGTTTTGTGCCGATCCAAGGCAATTGATGTGATGAGAGAAATACATGTAAAACACTACGCGGGGGGCCTTCATGCCGGGGTGGCATTGTCCAACCGCGTTAGCCATGCCTTCAGATCGAAGAGTAACAGAAGCTGCGGAAATGAACGACATGAACGACACAGCATTGATACTTTATAATTCAAGCATTTATACCAGCAGTCTGCGCGGGATAACTGTTCCAGCAGGCCCAGCAGCCGAATGTTGCGTCGACACTTCTATCTTCGTCTACGTCTGTATCTGTCCATGACAAGATCCCGCTCTATGTCCTGCTTGCTCACGTGACCACGACCACCTTACTGCTGGCGCTGGCCTCTTCCTGTGTACGAGTTACTGCGTACGGAGTACTTAATCCTCCATCTTCCCCGGTCACTCCGGCGTGCCCGGTCGAGCCTCCGCCTCCTCGTTTTCTCCACGGCACTCGGCCGTCCGCCTCCACAGTTTTCTCCAACATCAGCATGATCGTCGACGACTCCTGTGTACGCGTTTGGCCTATGGCCGGCAATTCGGTAAAGACGGAATGCCATGCCATAACATAAGACGGCATCCATTGAATGTTTAAATATGCATATACTTTTCCTTGTCTCGTGCAACTGTCGGTCCTCGACGTTTCGTATCGCCGAGACCCATTGAGAAGACATGACAGGTTTATAGACGACGCGAACACCTCACACAAAAAACAACACAATGGGTTCCATCGAAATCAGCGACATGGGGACAGGCGGCGTGCCACCCACGCCCAAGCCCGCGCCTGAGCATGTCCGCGGCCATGTGGCCGACCACCCATCCATCACGATCCCCATGCACAACGTCCCGGCCTTCACGCCCACCAAAAAGTTGCGCGTGGTCACCATCGGCGCCGGCTACAGCGGCATGATCTTCGCGCACAAGCTACAATACACTTATGCCGCTGAATTCGCGGACCTGGTCGAACACACCATCTACGAGGCCAAGTCCTGCGCGGGCGGCACGTGGGTGGCCAACACGTACCCGGGCGTGCAGTGCGACGTGCCCAGCCACATCTACGTGTTTCCGTTTGCGCCCAACGCCGAGTGGTCGCGGTTTTACTCCACGGGGGCGGAAATCAGGGAGTATTTCCAGCGGACGGTGCGGGAGTGGAACCTCGACAGGGATGTGGTGTATAATACGACGGTCGAGCGGGCCGAGTGGGATGAGGGACGGGCGCAGTGGCGGTTGGAAGTGAGGCGCAGAGGCAGCGACAGCGGAGGTGACGCCGGGGCCGATACCATCTCAGGGAGCGGCACTCACGCCGACGCCGATACTAACTCGGGCACTGCCAATGGCACTCACACTCACACTCACACAGACACCGCCACCCGGACCGAGTATTGCGACGTGCTGGTCTCGGCGCGCGGCATCCTCAGCCACTGGCGCTGGCCCTCGATCCGCGGCCTGCACACGTTCCGCGGCCACAAGGTCCACAGCGCCGCGTGGGACCACACGTTCGACTACGGCGGCAAACGCATCGGCCTGATCGGCAACGGCAGCAGCGCGATCCAGATCCTGCCGGAGATGGCGCGCCTGCCGGGCACGAGGCTCACCTGCTTCCAGCGCACGCCCACGTGGGTGGTCTGCCGGCACACGCCCGCCAAGCTGGTCGGCAGCGACGACCCGAGCCCCAACCCGGCGTACCGCGACGAAGATAAGGCGCGGTTCCGCGCGGACCCGGCCGCGCTCCACGAGTATCGCAAGAAAATCGTCGGCAACGTGAACCGCGGGTTCCGGATCTTTGAAAAGGCGAGCCCGCAACAGCGCGAGATCCGCGAGTTCGCGACGCGCCAGATGGCGGAGAAGCTGGGCCACGACCCGCGACTGTGCGCGATGCTGATCCCGGAGTTTGAGGTCGGGTGTCGGCGCGTGACGCCGGGGAATGGGTACCTCGAGGCCTTTACGAGGGATAATGTGGCGCTGACGCAGAGTCATATCGATCATGTCGACGAGCGAGGGATCCGCACGATGGACGGGGAGTACTATGAGCTGGACGTCATCATCTGCGCGACGGGGTTTGACGTGTCGAATGTGCCGCCGTTTCCGATCGTCGGGCGGAATGGTACGGACCTGCGCGAGAAGTGGAAGCATGAGCCGGAGTCGTATTTGGTGAGTACTTTCCCGCCCGTCTGGATGCAGGGCCACGGGGTCTACTAGCTGCGAGTTACGGACGATGGGCTACGAGCGAGGCATCGGCGCGGAGCCACCCACGGCTCACGCTCTCCGAGGCACAAAGCCAAGCTAATCTCTAATGCCTCCCAGTCCGTGGCCTGCCCTGAGATGCCAAACTTCTTCATGTTCATGGGCCCCAACGCCACCATCGGCCACGGCTCGCTCATCTACAGCCTCGACTGGACGGCCGAGTGGATCGTGCAGTGGCTTCGCAAGCTCGCGCGAGAGGACATAGCAAGTGTGGCTCCCAAGCAGGACGTCGTCGACGAGCTCGTGCGGTACGGCGATGAAGTCATGAAGACGTTGACCTGGACGGGGAATTGTGAGTGCGCGTGCGCGTGACAGCTCCCGAGGCGACGAGGGAGCACACGCCCCCCAATCGTAACCCGTGATCATTGGTGCTTGCCTACTACTCACTTTCCCTTATCAACGTCCATCTTCCATTCACTTTGCCTCCCAATGCCGACTAACGTCGACATCGCAGGCCGGTCATGGTACAAGAACAACCGCGTCGACGGGCGCGTGACGGCCACGTTCGCCGGCAGTGCCATGCTGTTCCGCGAAATGGTCGAGAGGATCCGGCCCGAGGATTTCGAGCTGCGGTATCGCTCGAGGAATCGGTTCCGGTTCATGGGGAATGGGTTCACAAGGTTTGAGTTGACGGACGGGGTGGATTTGGCGTGGTATGTATGACCAGCGCCACGCTCTTCCGCGAAATGGTCGAGAGGATCCAGCCCGAGGATTTCGAGCTGCGGTATCGCTCGAGGAATCGGTGCCGGTTCACGGGGAATGGGTTCACGAGGTTTGAGTGGACCGAGGGGGCGGAGTCCGGCATGGCATGTATGACGTGACACTTGGACGCTATCGCAAAGTAGAAGTTCTGGTTAAGCGTAATGCTGGAGGGAGGGGTGGATGAGCAGGAATGTTGGTAGAAGCATAGCGGATCAATTGATGTGGTGGGAGATGTGTGCGATAGATACTATAACAACAGTTTGGCGTGGTGGGCGCGGTGTACACGCAGTTTGTGTTGCGTCTGGGCTATGGTCGGACGGCAAGCGAGTAAGTGGCCGGGGAGGAAGAGTGTACCTAGGCAGTGGGTATGCGAGAGATGAATATCATGATAGACGGCTAGGAGCGAAATGCCATGGACATGGCATAATTACAGCTTGTAGGTCTGCCAGGTATCGCCATTCCCTCTTGCATTTTTACCTTTCGTACTTCTCTACCTAACCACCTAACCACCTACACGTCTTAGCGCCAATACGGTCTTCTGTTTGAGAGTCTCATTCTGGTATCCGCATAATGTCGAGATGTTCCCGCGGGTTGTTTCCAGGCACGTCCAAAGATGTGCTCCTCTACCTTCGCTCCTACTTGCCTGACTCCTCAGTCACAATTCTTCAAGCCTGGCGACCCTACTCAAATGTGCGCCTACATCAGGCTCGCCTGGAACGAATGTACGGCGTTTGTCGAGTGCTGAGACAGTCTTAAAGCCTTGCTGACAGTGTAACCTCGATTTCTGTGTCTGCCGTACCGAATGTCCAGGCGTGACTGTCTGCTCGATGACATTATCTCTGTCCAGCTCTCTTTTCGTGAGGCTTGTCGGTCGAGTGAAGGGCCTATCCCAGAATAGGGTTTCTGTGAGCGTAAAAGCCTTAGAGTTCAGTGTGACAGCCTGGATCACCGGATGACGGCTGATCTTCTTGATGTGCCGTGATGCATGACAAAGACGCCTTCACCGTGTCACGTCCGCTTCTCCAAGACATTTCGTGCTTACTTCAATCCCCTACCATGCCCCTGACCCTCTCGATCCGTTGCATCTGCTTCTCCAGCTTGTCCAACCTCTTCCGCTTCTCCACGTCCCGCTGCTCTAGCACTTTGACCCTCTCTTCCAATTTGGCTCTCGCCTTCCTCTCGCTCGCAACCATCTCGTTCGCCTGTCCGAACAGTTGTGCGGTAAGTTCTTCCAATTCAGTCTGCGTCTGTGACAGGTTCGACTCGGCGCGTAGTCGGAGCGTGCGCTCTTTTTCGAGGGACGACTGTAGAGTTACAAGGTTTGCTGTGCTTTCGGGGGCCGACAGCGTGGGCTCCGAGTGGTTTGATCCGCCTCCGATGTTGAAGAACGGGGTCTTGGGAGGGGAGAGCGTGGTGTGCTGGGGAAACGTGCCTGTTGCTGGCGTCAAAGGCGGCTGACCTGCGCTGCTGCGATCCCTCTTTCGGCCGGGCAGGAATGCGCTCAGGTTAGCGAGTCTTGACTGCTGCTGCAGCTGCTGTTGTGCTTGTGGCGGATTCTGCCCCGGCGTTGTGGGGGGTACGGCAGGACCGGGACCTTCGAGGGATGGTCTGGTCAGCACAGCGGCCTGTTCTTGTCCTTGTGCTTGCCCTTGCCCGTGCTGCTGTTGCGACTGGCCATACGCATCTCTTAGAACTCTAATCTCGTCCTCGTAGTCGGCAAGCTTGTCCACGGCCGCAGCGGCTTTGGTGTTGAGCAGCCTGACTTGGGCTTCGAGGTCGCGGATGCGACGTGTTGCTTCGGCCGCTTCCGTAGAATTATCAGACACCGCGGCGATGTGGTAGCCGCACTGAGGACACGAGGCCTCTGAGGGAGATTGGTACGCGTTCGTAGGGTCTGCAAAGGGGGCGGCCATGCTTGTGCTACGGAGGACAGATGTCGCCATGGCACATGGCTAGGCTGTAAAGATGCAGATTCTGAAGGACAGAAAGGCGCGCCGAGGAGCTGCCCTCATTAGGTATGCGGGTGACAGGGCTATGAATATATGTGGTGAATATAGACGCTGCCAGGCAAACAATCGCCGTGACTGGGACTTGGCTTTGTTGGCGCCTGCGTCCGTGAGCTGAAGCGACATGCGAAAACCAAACCGCGCAAAAGGAAACTACAGCCAACGACGGAGAACATATCACGAACCAGGTGACGGGCTTCGGGTATTCATGATCCGACTATTAAATGCAGAGAAGCACAGGTCCGTTGCGCAAGACCTAAGATCTGGCTCATCGAGTGTTTCAGCGCCGGTGACGCGGTTAGAGACGCAGCGAGTCACGTGGGTCTAAATTGTTCCGGCAGACCACGTGCTGGATCTCTGACCCTGACAGCTGGCGGCCGATTTTGACCCAACCCTTCCTTCGACAGCCCATCAACCCTCACACTGCATCACCTGCCTCCCAAACCGCTACTCCAACTCGAGATCCAACTTATGACCGCCATATGGAACTTCGTCCCAAGGCAAAAGCCAGCAGCCATTTTCAGTCAGGCGAGCTCGGAGAATTTCTCCCATGTGATGAAGCTTATTGCGAACTGAATTTCCATTGGCAGGGCAGAAGCTTTCCTGACAACCAAGCTCTCGGGCTAGGCGGGTCTCTGCTGGTAGGAAACTCCGAGGCCCAAACGTGGACTCCTTTGCTCTTCTAAATTCCGTTGAAAGGAGAAACGAAGTCTGGGATCGGATTCTCGATCCAGACAGAGGGAAGCTGGAAGGATCCGTTTGACGGTTGAAGCCTGGAGGCTTCACACATCCGTTGCGGCTGGATCACGCCCTTCCCCATTAATTGCCTCTGTCTTGCGATAAAAAAGCCCTCTCTTGCTAAATTCCAACCACTGGTATCTCAAAACAATAATTTGAAAAACAACCCAACAGCCCCCGCATTCGCTTTTAGAAGAAATAAGGTATCGCGGCACTTTTCATGTTAGCATGGAAACAAGGGAATATCAAGCAGAGGAAACATACGCAATAGCCAAGGTGGCCGTAACGCCGAGAACCGCTCGTGTCCTCACCTTCTCCCTCTTCAGCTTCTCTTCCAACACTCTTGCTTTCTTTGCCGGCTGCGCGGGAAGTTCAGCGTCGATGTCGCTGGGGTCTGCTTCTGCTGCTTTGCGCTTCTTGGAAATCTTGGGAGAACTCTCCAGCGCCTTGGCCTCCTCAACCATCTTTCTCGCCGTCTCGAGCATCTTCTCCGTATCTTCAGGTAGAGGAAGCTCCGGTGATCCTGCAGGCATCTCCACTATGACATTCGTGTGTGTAATCTGGGTATTGCCCTCCGTCTCGACTGTTTGATCCACCTCGACCTTGACCGTGTCCGATTCAACGCTTGTCGTCGGTGGGGACGGCAGAATAGTGGTTTCAGGAGACGCGAGTTTTGAGTCGGTTCCCGCCACAGATACAGATGCAGCGTCATCAAGGACTGACTGTGCGACAGATGCGGCATCGTCCAATGCCGACTGAAGCGAGGCGCTTGCCGCTTCTGCATGAGCAATATTGGCTTCCTTCTGCGCTTTCGTCTGTCTCTTCCTAGGAGACGCCTTCGCTCTCGCCGGAGTCCCTACTACTTTACTTGGAGAGACTGACCTCGTTCTCCTTGATCGAGGTCCTTTGGTGGATGCCGGGCCTTTGGTCTTACTGGAAGGTAGATCGGGAAGATCGAATTTGGGAGGTGCTGCGATTGGCTTCTTAGTGCTTGAAGGCGTTTGAGTGATTTCCGTCGGATCAAGAAGCGCGCGAATCCACTCGCTCAAGCCGTATTCCTCGGCGAGTTCCAGCGCTGCGGGACAAGGTCAGTTCGAAGGGCTCTGAAGATCCGCGACGCATCCATACCAAAGTCGGGCGAAATCCAGACGTTACCAGCGACCTCATCTTCGCTGGTCGCGTCAAGGCCTTTCAAATAGTCGCGCTCTTCCTTCTCCTCTGCATGTGTAGCCCAAGGGAAAGCGATCTTGAACATGCCAGTCGCGCTCACAAACCCATCTTTACTTCTCCTCTGCGACAACATGTCAGACGTGCCGTTGATTCGTTCACTGATGGGTTCCCTACCATAAGGAAATAAGTCTCGGGGTGAGCTTGGTTTGACTGCGACGCGAATATCTCGGAGCCTGTCAGGTCTTCTGGGAGAGGAGCTCGCAAATGCGCGTATTCGAAGTGGCCGAGGTTCTCCGCCTTTGTCGCATTCGACGTTCCAATCTGCCCAGGTTTGACGGACAACTTCGTCTTTCCCAGCCGCCTGCGCCCGAGGAGCTCTTCATCTGCAGAACCACGTCAGTCTTGAGTCAGTTCTCTTGCGCCGCTTGACTAACGAGCTGGTGCTGTGCCGGGCGCAATAAGGGGATTGCGTTTCGCGGGTAATGATCGCGCCATGGCCCGTGAAGAGTTTGGGGTCCGTCGACGCTGAATTAATGAGGAAGGAGGTCCGGCGCGCCGCAAAGAGAAGGCTAGATGGATGCGCGGGAAAGAGGAATGGAGAGCGCGAGAGCCGGCAGCGCTTCCGGGCCAGGTCGAGTAAATGCTAATGAGTGTGAAAATTCAGATAAGGAATGCAAGAAGGATGGCTCGTCGCTTCTCACTCGAAGCAAGAGGGACGCGGCAACACAGAAGGGGAAAGACAATTGAGGCTACCGCGTAGCGCAATTGGGAATAGAAACGATCGGGGAGATGAGATGCGATGGGAGTCGGAGGGCTTGACTTGGGGAGCTCGAAGGTTGAGGGGGGCTGGGCTCCTGGGGTAAGCAACCACAACAGCATCACCACCGCCAGCAGCAATAATTGGTACGGACGCCCTCGTACCGATGCCTACGCCATCGCTAGCTGTCATAGTGTGATGACGACCCCGACGCTCTCTTCAGGGGTGCAAATGCTCGGGATGCCTCGGTGTGCATCTCCGTCTCCAGCTGGAGTGTCTGGTCCCTTCCTCGACTAACACAGTACAGTAATTGATCACTCTCGTGATCACTTTTACGAAGTCTCCCATCACCGAACCCTTGGATACTCTCTGGAAAGCTCCAGTGCACAGGTACCACATATTGACTTTCCATCATGTCGATAACCTGCTGAATCAAGTACGCGATGGAGGATCGATCGGGCTGGAGACAGCTCATAATGTCTACAGAGAATTGCGCCAGTAGTCCCTCGCCGCGTGTTCTCGCTTGAGCTCTTTCCGGCGCAAAGCTCTTCAGCATTCTGTTATCGCGCAGCATTTATGACGGACTACTATGTACATCCCTTCGCCAACATTGCATTGCGCACGAGCTCGGGACTGCTGCTCGACTGGCGACTCACTCGACCTGCCCTTTATTCTTCATCAGCCCCAGGCGGTCCTTCACCTTCGCGTCTTCCCCCTCATCACCAATATCGAGAACTTCATCGCCACGATACTGCCAAGCTCCAATGTCGTGGGGTCCGTCACAACCATCAGGTGGTAGCGCCCATCGCGGCACAGGGCTCCGGTAACTCCAGCTTCCTTCAGCAACATCTGCATAGGACAGTGCGTGGAGATATATCCCCAGCTCATGCGGCCCTGGGTCTGAGTACAAAGGGGTGTCGCATATTGAACATTTTTCGCCCGTCATTTTCTCCCCTTTGCGCTTGTTGTAGTCGGCTACCATTTCGTCGTGCGCCTTGACAAATGCACCATACTCTGCGTCGGGATCGCCGCCATTGGTTGTAGGAAGCGATCCCGCGTGCAGGGTGCCAGTGGGCAGTGGTTTGAAGTATGGGTCTGACACTGTTGGAGTGGGTGACTGCGACGCCTCGCTCAGCTTGACAGCTTCCGAGACAGTCATCTGCTGCGTCTGGTCTACTAGTTTCGCTAGTTGCTCTTGCTCATAAGATAGTGAGCTGGCAACCTCGGTCTTCCCTATACGCTTCAACTTCGCTACTATCTCCTCGTCGTTCTCGCCTGTTGACTCGTTCTTCGCAAGGTTAGGACCAAATACAGCTCTATTGCTGTAGATCGGATCGTTTGTGATCGGATGCCCCAGGAATTGTAGATGTACTCGGATTTGATGGGTACGTCCGGTCAAGGGAAGGCAGTGAACGATGCTGTATCCATCTGATTCCGTTCCAGGTACTGCCGCTGCAGGCTGTGCTGCTTCGTGTCCATTCGACTGTTCAATATTCGAATTTGAGAGCGTCGGTTGTTTCGAATTCGTGGGATAATATGCTAGCCGTCTGAACAGCGTCTTCGCCGACTTCCCGCTTGCTCGCGCACGGTTCAGACCGACAATCGGACTGATCTGTAGGATGGCCTCCTCGCAGTTCACAATACCACCACGCATAGGGTCCCCATCCCAATCTTCTCCGTCGGGAAATCGTCCTTTGACTCTGGCAACGTATTCCTTTCGCATGGTCCGACCTCGTAATTTCTCACTGATCATCTCCGCCTCCTTGCTCGTCTTCCCGATGAACATGACACCGCTTGTGAGTCGATCCAATCTGTTGCACGGGAGAGGTTTGAAGGAGAAATGCCGCTCAGCCTTCATAATCTCAACCACGGAGTTGTAGTTGTACCGCCCAGCGGGATGAACCGGTACACCAGCAGGCTTGTCTATGACAATCATCTCGTCCGTCTCATGGATGACTCGTATGGGCTGCGCGGTCACTGGAGGCTCGTGCCTGTGCAGGGTATGTGAAATGACATCGCCATTTTGGACAATGGTGTGGACATCATTACAAGGCTTGCCATTGATGGAAATCCGGCCAGTCTCTATTGCCTGCTTGTAGTATTCGCGGGTGCGGTCGCGAAACTCGGCCGCGAAAATGTCGAGGATTTCACGCCCACGCCAGCGTTGTTTGCAAAACGTGTTGTATGTGAAGTGGTATGGAGCGACCCGGCGCAGGCCATTTTCAAGGTAGTATGGCCGAGGCCAAGGGTCGCAGGGCGTGACCGCAACCGCAGGAGGATCTGTGAGCAATTTCCTATCATCGTAGAATGGAACGGGCTTGAATTCGGTCGTCGTCAGGGCCATGCTAGGGCTTGGATATCGCCCGCGCTTGGCCAAGTAGGCAAGAATTCGTGGTGAGGGAGCCAGCGGTGTCGCAAGAGCAGAGGAAGTCCTGCTGCCGTGGCCGCGACACGACTATGGCGGGATCGTACTATGAAAACAGTAGAGTCAGGGCAGGAAAGTATCTGGTGGATCATCCTCGAAGCCACAGCGCAACAGCCGCAGCCTTGCACAATGCCACTGTTTGAAATCTTTCGCCTTCACGACACTTCTAGCCGGGCAATGAAACGGGGAAAGCTCTACGCCTACCGTTTATTCTTGGAGTGCACGTTTGTACGAGAAGATGAAAGCATTTGTGACAACATCACCTGGTCAAAGATGAGAGCAGCGAGAGGTCATAGCGGAACAGGCTCCAACCAAGCCAGTAATCTGAAGAAGCCCTGGGACGACAACGCCCGTGACGTTGAAATACAGGATCTGCCTGTGCGTGTACATGCTTCATGGGTCTGACGACCAATTTGCAGCATGAGAGTTGACGGTGTCTTCAACTGTATCGATTCTTGTCTCTCATGTTGGTCGTTGCTCCGCGCCTGTTACATTCCATCCTCCCAGGCCATCGGAATGAAATCAGCCCCTATCATCCGTCGTAGACCTTTCCCGCTTGAGATGCCCATGGGAGTCTCTCATGCAACCATCTCCATCACAGCCGCACTACCAAAACCTCAATTTTCGAACCACTCATGACTCAGTGGTGATCTTCGCCTTGGGGTTGGTAACCTTGACACCCAGCGCCTTTGCCTTGGCGACGATTTCGATTCTTTTTCGTGATGAAACAGCAGACGCAATCTCGGCGGCGTAGGTTCGGTTGTGCATCAGGAGGAGTTCGACGTCGCGGGTGTTGTGAACGAGAAAAGCCTTGTGGCCCGAGGGCATCATGTGTCTGGTCTTCTTGTTGGAGCCGAACCCAATCTGTAGATTCGAATGTCAGCCCTTGCGATCTCTGTCCTTCCTGCCTATGCTCGTATGTGCGTGTGTATGTGCTCTAAAGGCACTCATCTTCCCCTTCGAAATCCGACATTGTGTCTTCAACGTACCGATGGCATGACCATTTGGCCCTTAAACCGTCTTCGCACCCGATTGTCGATACCCTTTGGCTTTCTCCATGCTGAGGGAACGCACTTGAATCGGTCGGATTGATGGCGGAACCATGACTGCGCATGTTCGTCAGTTCTGTGCGTACGATTCATGTCCAGATAATACGAACTTTCTTGTGCTTTTTGACGATCGGGACGTGCTTAGCTGAGGCAACCATCTTGCCTGATCGTCTGGGGTTGAAATGGGCGATTCAATGGTCGTAGTGTGCCGACACTGATCTCTCAAAAGTTCGAACTGGATTTCGCAACGCCAAGCCAGATTTCTGTGGGCGGGAACGCCAACAGCCGAATCTAGTTTAGCGTATCTCTTGAGCCTTGTTTACCTTGAGCTCAGAGGGCTTTTGCACGCATTTTCTGCATAGTACGGAATGCAGTACGCTTGCAAGTGCGCTTGCTGTTATCTTACTGTTCGACCATAATCGACGCCCTCTTCATCGTATCTACCATTCCTGGTGCTCCAGCTTGATCGGGACACCTCCCTGCTCACCGCTTCTGAGCATTGCCTCGATCAGCTCCAAATCCGCCAGCGCCTCCTCAGGAGACTGTCGCTCATTAACCTTTCCAGCCGCCAGCGCTTCTCCCCATGCCCTCACCTCATGCGGAACACCGGTTCCCTCGTCCTGGATTTCCTCGGTCTTACCGTCAACCGTGACCTTATTGCCCGTGACGCTCACGAATCCATCCTCACAGCCGACAGCCCATTCGCTTCCCTTGTGAGTCGTGCCGAACGATATTGAAATAGTTCCGACTGTGCCTTGCTTGCTCTTTGCTGTCCCTTCCACGGTGTCGACGGGAGGCAGGTGCTTCTGGAGCTGGGCGGAATGCGCCGACAACGATACGAGCGGATTATCCTTGCCCAACATCATTCTGATCCCTGCGGTGAAATGTACGCCTCCGTCTAGGAGAAATCCGCCCTGGTGAGTAGGAACTTTCCGCCAGCTGTACAGTGATCAACTTCTATTCGATCTCGATGCAGAGATTGACTTACTCGGTCTCAAAATATTTGCCCCCATCAACAAGCGTTTGCATTCGCAATCGGAAAGTCAACTGCCTCCCTTTGCCCTTCACAGCCTCGGCCGCATGAACAGACGTATTGGTGTATCTGACATTCTCAGCGACACCCCACGTTACCCCCTTCGGCTCTATTTCCGAGTGATACCACTTGATCAACTCAGCGGCCTGCTTGACGTTCTCGGCGACCGGCTTCTCCGAGAGAACATGTTTTCCCACAGAGAGCACTTTGCGAACATACTCTGGCTGGTTCTTGATGGGCAAGGCAATTATAACAGCTTGAATATCCGTTCGAGCCAGGAGGTCGTCCAGTGACTTTCCAGCACCGGAGTCATCAGAATAGAGATCAACCTGTGACTCGTCGACTTCCAAGGTTTTGGCGGATTTCAGTGAGCGGGAGTAAACGGCCTTCAAGGTCAAGTGCTTGGACGCTTCCACAGCCGGCTGATTCGCATATCATCAGTAGCGTGATGGTAAGAGCCTTGCTTCTCACTCACTTTGTGTTCTTCGCGGGCGAAGATGCCTCCTCCTAGGATAGCTACTCCAATCGTCATGATGGCAATGGTATGCGCGAAATTCGAATTCTGAAAGGCTTCGTTTTATCAATAAAGTGCTGAATGAAATTGAGCGTCAACGGTGTATCACTCTGTCCTTCCTAAAGCCTTTGATGCAATTTAGCCTACTTCATGCCGGCACATCTACATACGGCAACCGCTCCGTAGCCGCCATTATACCGTGGCCCTCCGTATCACGTGTCGGCTGACTCCACCACGAATTCCGGGCTGCTGGAATGTCGTCATCATGCCTGCCGCGAACTCGAAATCACGAATTGCAATCTTCACCATTTTGAGTTTCTTGAATATCACGAGTCTGAAACAGGTGGCGAGCAGGATGGCGACAGGGAAAGCCCGGCCGTAGCCTACACGGTAGGCCAGGCCCTGGGCTCGATTCGACACTGCTGTGTGCTGCTGTTATTCCCTCTACCTTTCTGCATTCACTCACGGTGAAGCGTGCTATGTCTGCTGTCACCGCAGGGTTCGGCGATTCCTCGTTCATTCGGCCCCACGACAGACACAATTGCTCGCTTGAATAGACTGTCTTTTGGGGCGAGGCCCGTGACAAGCAAAAGTCGTTGATTAAAGGATTTTGGAATATGACCACTCAACCGTGTCGAGATGACAGCGCACAGCTTTCGTTGTCAGAACAACTTCGCACCGCAACGCGCCAAAAGCACCATGCACTGAACACGCTGGTAATCGCACATCTGCCGCTCTGTCTACCACCACATGCCGACAGACCACTCCACTACGCCAAAGGCATGATACTCTACGGCCAAATATACTCGGCCTTTGAAGACTTCATGAAAGTACAGCTTGCTTGTACCCGTGTAGACTCACGGCTGGATCGAATGTACCAGAGCATGTATTTGCCTCAGCTCTTAAGGAAGAGCCGATTGCAAAGTGATATCGAAGTGCTCAAGTCCCGGCTGGGGCGCGGCGAAGCTGAGGACCTTGAGTCTTTGGCTAAATTGGCCGAGGTCTTCTATAGGAGAGTCATGAGCTCCTTGGTGGCAAGACCGCACGTCCTGCTCGCTTATGCTTGGACAATGTACCTCGCTCTGTTCAATGGTGGTCGATGGATTAGGGGTCAGCTTGTCTCAGCTGGTATTGAGTTCTGGCTGGGTGAAGCGTTCCCGTTGTCTTTTTGGGAGTTTCCAGACCTTGTTCACGCCAATGTGGAGGGAGAGCAACTCAAAGATCAGTTCAAGATTGGCTTCTCAGGAGCGGCCTCACATCTGACAGATGTTGAGAGACAAGATGTTGTTGGAGAGACTAGCCGGCTGTTTGACCTGTGCTCAGAAATGGTGGAGTTTCTGAATCGAAACGTGACGACAGAGCCCTCAGGAGGATCATGTTGCCCGTGCTCGCTATACGCGAATCCCGTAGTGGCTGAACGACCATCTGAAAGTATACGCCGTCGCGAAAACCGTGGTGGACGGCCTAGGTAGCGTCCGGGCCCTGCTCGAAACAGCAACAAGCACGGTGCAGAAGGATAGACTCGGTACACCAGGCTAAATACTGAAAATAGATGCCTTACACGATATGAAGCTGAAGCAGTCGCTCCTACTGATCCGTTCTTGAGTGATCCGATTCTTGCTCACGGCCTGCCAACCGACCGCGTGATAAATAGACGTTGCTTCGCCGAGCCATTCAAGCCTAGATAGCTGTCATTCGCGAATACAGTGTTGCGTGGCTCCAGGTCCATTGGATTCGTGGGGCATGCAGAGGCAGAAGATCAATTGCTTGGCCGCAGCGTTGTCGAAACTGCAACTGGCTGATTATTTGCTTAAAGTCGTACGAGTACCACGTACTAGTCCTAAGATGGGTCGAGCTTTACTGTGTAGGTGAGCTTGGACCATGGAGATCGGCAAGCGTGTACGAGGTCCTGGAAGCGCCACCAGTGCCGGTAGCTCGGACTCTGTTGACCTGTTCTGAATCTTCGACCACGCTGCATGATGGTGGTGGAAATGTGCCTCGTGCCTCGTATCCGGGTACACTAACAAGATGCCTCGGGACTTTCTGGGTCAGAAGATCGACGATTGGCCAGATGAAATGGATTACTGTTGTTCGAGGCCTACTAAGACTGCACCATGCAACCAGCCAAGGCACCCAAACTCATTTCGAGCCGGCGATTCCCCGGTGGTGGGAAGCCGCTTAAGCTGCATTGGCTGTCCCTGGTATGAGGTTCTTGGGCGCTAGGGGCCGCATTTCCACCAGCGGGCTGGGCCGGACACGCTGGGGTAAGGGGCCTGTGCACCATGAATCCTCGTTGTCGGATCTTAGAGTTTGCGGTTCAATAAGGAATAAGCTCAAGGTTTTGGTAGTTCTCATGTCATCCAGAAAGTATCACCTTGCACCGCGTCCCAGGATGCGAATATGCACATCCATACCATTGCTATCATTTTCAAAGCACATGGCTTTGAAACAGAACAACATTAGCGATGGCTCAGGAGTGTCCCGACCACCGGTCCAGAACCCGAAGACCGCCCCTATCGAGGCTTCGCTAGGATTGAGGTTGGTTTGCCAGGATTTCGAGCCTTGGTTGGAAACGGGACCACGCAGAATGTGGCAGCCAAGCGATGCAGCGTGGGAGTGCACAGGGTTGCCACGAGTCGGTGGTATTTTGACAGGCTTCCCTTGTGTTCGAGACTTTTTCTCCGGGCCATCACACTTCGGACGAACAGCAAGGGCAGCGACAATGTCGTCGTTTATGTCTATATTCTGGGTTAGGAGCCCAAGTTCATTGCCCCAGTTAAGAGACAATCAGCCTCATTCTCCCCGCGGCGGTTCTGGTAAGAATCGAAAACAACCGTGATTGGGTGCTGTGTAATCGTTTTCATAGCGGCACCTGTGCGAGAGGGATAGGCATTCTGCCAAGTTGTGGACATATCCCCCTTTCGCTACCTTTTTGGATTGAAATCACCTCGTGGCTTTCTCTCCTCACTTCATCCGGCTAAAGGCTGTCGCTTGTTTACCAATTGGCGCCTGAATGAAAACTAACAGGCATGTTTAACTTCTATTTGCAATGGAGGCGCTTCAAATTCTCTGTGCTGCTCTGTTTCCGGATCTTGCGAGACGCCGATGGATTCGTCAAACGAAGTTGAAAAGGCTCCAGGTGAATGAAACTTCAAAGGCCCCCCCACTCTACCCAGTATTGTATACAGAGGAAAGCCTTGGTGATCTGCGTGCATGGTACGTAAATTGTGGGCAACTGCAGGTCGCGTGGCTCAAGCTCGCCTATGACAGGAGCTATCGGCGTAATTTGCGCCGTAATGCGGAACAGCTACTGGCGAGTGAGCAGAGAAGAAGCGCAGACAAGGACAGAAAGACCCAGAATCAGAGCACTGCTTGAGCTCGTGATACAAACTTTCTTCTCTGACGAATAGCACCCCTTTCGACTCATGTTTGTTGAATGGAGCGAACGATTCTGTGTGAACATGGGAATCAGAGTTCGACTAATAACGGTACTCCGTACTCAAAATGACACTTGGCGCTGCCGCGAAAGGCACTCACAGCCCCAAAAAGCAGAGCTCGCTGGCAACTCAACTATTGTTGCATCTCACAAAGACAGGATCCCGGGGAATCTGCAGCGTCTTCATAAAATGTGACCATGCAAGTACCAAACATCGACACCCTCCTACTCGCACCCTTCATATGTACAAATAATCAGCTCCTGTCGGCCACTGGGGCGACAGCATGCATGCACCCAGGTAGCTGGAATGTCCCGGGGCCATAGCACCGGTTCCCTGGCGTCCTTAGCGAGGCCTTGAAATGGGTCCTAGCTGAAACCTACTGTGTAAGCACAGACTCTCACGCCTAACTGGAAGCAGCTCTCCTGCAGCTTCTCTGTTGGGTTGTGGGAGTCGATCTTTTCACGGTGGACAGTGCCATAATAAATGGCCTCGCCACTTCCCGTCGTGGTGGTCTGATGGTACCGCTCTATTGGGAATCTTCATGCAAAGAACCCACCGGCAATGCGGCTTCGCCCCAAGTACTCGGCTGACGGTGTTTGACCATAAACTGCAAAGCCTGCCTATCCCTTATCTTGGTGCCTGGTCCCGAATCATGCCGTACAGGCCACGCCCGCTACATGACTCTTTAGCGTAGACTGAGCTCTGCCGTTTCCACATGATTATTAGCCATGGGTCAGCTTCTTCAGTAGCTCATTCGTTTGTTGGTTGGGGCAGTTGCTCCGCGAGCCTAGACACTGGTAGCTGGCAACCTAGAGCATGCCGGGCCCCAGACTTGTCCGTATTTTCAGTTCTCGGGTGCGCTTGATGCGTCCGCCAGCATCATCGCTGGACGCTCCAAGTCAACTCCCACGGGCCACCATCCACGCCCCCGTTTGGTCTCCTCTGCCTTTCTTCCTCTTATCTCCACACCTTCGGCACTGGGTCAACTCCTCTTGTTTTCGAACTCTTTCTGCCTCTTCAACGCTTTAGGGCGCCCTTCTCTCATATTGTCTCTACTCGACACCATCGGTTGTCTACAGTCTCGACCATAGATCGCTGGTTGCCGTCCGTTGGTCTTGGATATACGTAACTCGAGGTTCGCCGGCACTAGCTTCCACAGAGGGACGATCCTTCAGCTTCGAAGCACCACTCCCTGGATTATAACGGCTTCGGGCAATTGCACCTACACATTCCGAGCTTTGTGTCGACTTCCGCGCTTCCCACATTCCCAACACCACCCGTTATCCTGTCGCGCAAAACCGTGCTTGTTCCCAAGGAAGCGCTCTTCTGCGAGGCGTCTGTGCGAGTCAATGGATCGCAGTTTGGGGGCGCCCAGGATCTCGCTCCCCGACAAGTCATATTCCAATCCACACCCTCGGAATTCTACCACCAATAACTCTGACACCTGACGTTGATTCTTCACCATCTTACCAATCTCCCGGTTCCTTCAACACCCAATAAGCGTATCACGACGCCACCTACTCCTGCTTCCTCGCTCAACCCACCGCCATCCCGCTAGTCACCTCCTCCCTACTATGGTCCCTCTTCTATCAGGCCGCTGACTCTGCTCTGCCCAATGGAAAACAAAGACACACGACCACCGAAGGGAAATAGAGGGTTGAAATCGGCTTGGAATAAGTTGAAGGGAATCTTCAGGTCTAGGTCGGCCAACACACAACCCACCGGTGCTGCAACGACGACTGCACCTGGACCTACCGCACCTACTGCACCTCTTGCATCTACCGCACCCACTGCGCATACTTCAGTTCCTTCAGGGAAAGCCGAAGCTGCGCATACGCCGAGAGAGTCAGTTGCGTCGTCTGCTTGGTGGTCATTGCTAATTTTTCTTCAAGGGAAAAGCCGCTCGAACGTTTACCTCCTCTGGAAGTTGACGACGAGACTCCAACCTCAACAGAGGAAGTCGATTCTCTAGGACCTGCGCTACATATTATCCGCGAACACTTACTACAACAGAGCCAGATGCCGACCAGCAGAATCGAGGCGGTCTTCGCCAGATACCAACTAGAACTAGACGAAACTGAATGGGACAGACGGCCTAAAGTTCCTCATGAAAGAGTCCACAAAAGCATTCGAATGAGGGTCAGATACACCTGTCACAACTGTGCAACCACCTTCGGCCGCGATAGAGTCTGCGTTGGATGCCAGCATCGCCGTTGTAGCCGATGTTCCCGGTATCCGCCCAGGAAAGACAAACCGAAGGTCTTGAAAGACGTGGCGGACGACGGTTCGCCTCGACCTGCAGAAAATCCTTCACTCCCAAACGCTGACAGTGGGACGTGTCACGAATGCCAAACTGACTTCGAGATCCTTGTCGAAGAGTGCCCCAACTGTCACCACAAGATTTGCGATAGATGCATCCACCAAGCATCCATCACCGTTGAAACGAGCCAAGACCCACCTTCCGAGTCGACACAGGTAGCGCCACCCGACAGAGACCCTGAACAAAGGCCAACGGTTCAAGAACAATCCACAGCAGTAAGCTAGCATTGGCTTGTGCCTGCGAGTTACTCGCATAACGTTGCGACTATCCGAGCATTCTCACGATGCAATGACGACTTTTCTATGACCTGTCTTCTGATCTGAGCGTTGCAGTTTGAAATTCTTACAGATTGGTGTTTGACGGTATTTGATTCACAATATTCCCCCTTTGGAGACTGGATTTCTTTGAGCGCAAAAAGCGGAAATACTTGCCAGGAATTGCGGCTTGTTCGGGTGTCTTGACCCTGCCTGCGGCAAGGGACACCAGTACCAGCTTGGAGAAAAGGGATAGGATATTGGGGCTTGGGATGAGGATGGAAAAAGGCAGAGGGATCAGGATTCCCGTCCTCAAGACACCCGGGTTGTGCAGAGGAAGCAGAATGCCCAGTGCTCACTACTGTGTAGAAAGGCCGCATCATTAACCATGGTGCTGGCGATATGCAGCCTGGGGTATGATTCATGCCGAGGCTAAGGACAAAGATCCCAATGATGAACAACAACAATCCTCTACTCTATGGCCAACTCTGCCTTTCTCATGTGTCGAGTGATCCATTCCATTGAAACTCCACTTTTCATTTCCGATCTACGGACTCACTTCCGGACGTACAAGTCTTAGGATGCAACAGGATTCATTCAAGACGACGGGCTCCAGGCACTCTTGCAGCTCCTCAAGGGGACGGACACGGCAAGACCATGAGGTCGAAGTCAAACTGCAATGAAAAGTTATTGCCCCTGTTAGCACTGTACAGAACGTGCTTTTACTTTTCCCAAGACTTGCCAACGCATACCGCAGGCGATGCGTGCAACCGAGAGACAACTGTCCCCCCCCCCCCCCCCAAAAAGCGGGAGGGATCTCCTGTCGATATAGTCTACTGATCCCAGCTTATACGAACGGCTTCCTTCAACGTAGTGAGCACGGTGGTAACCTGTAGGCTCTCCGTGCGAGCGGCGGACAGACTTGAGCCCGGAAGTGGTCCTCGCTTCGACGCAACGAATAGCGCAAATTGTTAGCGAAGCGTTCCAAATTGACAATGAGATCGACAAGAGTCACATTGTCGAGGTTCTACTCGATACGTGACTCGTACCCCGTCCTTCGACACCCAGCCACAGTGTGGACTATGAAGATACCAGAGGCCAAACTCATCCTTTCACTGTGCACACAACTGTTCTCCTCTGAGCAGCGAGCCGAAGGAATAATCCATACAACCAATACGCAGCTTCGTCCTTTTGCGCATCTCACCGGGCGCATACGGGTATGATGACAGCAAACGCTGCTCGGAGTCAAGGTTTGTTTGCAAAGAACAGGCGCTGCCGTTCGATAACACTGCCATCGGCCCATCGCATAGAGCAAGCCGAGCTCCAGCATCCAACAGCTTCCCTCGAAGGATTTGTGGATTGTCTAATGGAGATATACCCCCGACACTACCACCCAATACGGTAAAATCGAGCCTTGTCAATTGCAACATATCTCTCTGGGCCTGACGCAACCCTTGGATATGGATCAAGCGATGCATTTACACCGGAGATAAAAGGACTCCTCAGGGACTCCTACCATAATACGGAGTACATAGTAGGAGATTTCACGAAAGCAGTCTCCTGCGTAGTCAAACCTTTGCGTACGGAGTACTCGGTTTCTACTCGTACCATGGAGCCTACGGCGAGTGGCCTGTCAGCAGTGGCCAGTCAACGGTGTTGGGCAGTGAGCACTCGGGCCTCTCCGGGTTTCTTCGAGGCGAGGTCGATAGCTGCCGCCGTCATCAACAGTAAGTCTTGTCCCTAACCGAGACGATGGCGCCGGCAGTTGAGCTGTTTGGGACTGCGAGTCGACTTCTGATTGGATTGTCTCCGCTAACGAATGAACGCGACACACGTACTCGAAGCTGCCGAGGCTGCACGATTCACGTCGACGTTGTGGGGACGGACCTAATGACACAACAACGCGGGAGGAGTTTCGCGCACCAATTCATTTGCCTGGTACTCCGTACTAGGTGCTTTGTAACAGGTATCTTTGCACCGAGGACGGAGTACTCTGTGCTCTGCACTCCGTACTCCGTAGAATTACGGAGTCTTGCATGACACCCACCTGATGTGTGTCCTGAAGTGCTTCCCTGATAGCCTATCTACCTCAAGTGACACTCGTCATGCTCGTTCATATCCCTGCCGCCACGGCTCCTGACCATCAAATGTCTAATCACCTCAGAGACTCGACCTCAGAAAGCGCTCGCATAATCTCGATCATTGGCGCAATTGCGCATCGCTTCAACCTGACATTGCGAGCGGATAGAATAACTTGTGTCGAGACTAAGGTAGCAGCGTGTGGCAGGATCTGGCTGTCTCATAGATTATCCAGTCTACGAGTACCGTCCCGTTTGCTCAGCTCTCGTCGTACAGGGGCCAGTGCTTCTTCGCGCACGGCAAGGCTGCGTTCAGATCATTCCTCGATAAACGCTTCTACCGGCGAGATAGATATTAGCGAGTCTCTCTTTGCCTTGCTCTCCGCAGCTCGATCTTTTCGCACAGAGGTCCGTTCCCATTCCAGGCGCGTCGCCGGTAAGAAGACGCGTCACGAGAGTGTATGTGTTACTTGTCGGAGCGGGCCTCGAGGCGCTCACTTTAGTCTGACGTCATTGCGCGGTTCTCAAAAGGGCTATTATCGATAACGATTGTGACAAGATAATTCCCAACTAGGCTATTTCTGTAAACGACGACTGTTCCAACACGCATCCCCCCCGTTTTCCGGGGATCACAAAACCTAAAGGCATACTATCTGATCATTGTAGAGCCGGTCCGGCAATATTTCTATATGAGCCGCAGCTATGGCTACCGGTCCACCTGGGTCTGGCATTCGCTTGCCCCAACAACCATTATTGGAGCTCCACGCATCCTGCTTGTCCGATATGAGTCCCAGACAAACAGTCTCGATATACCAGGACGCAGCGAGGCAGTATGTCCTTGTCCGACACTTCCTGTCTTGATTCTGCCTGACTTGGGAGGCTTCGCCCTATGGCTCCGGTATGGTCGTCATGCCGTGCCGTAACCGTCACGGCATACACAAGGACGGCGGCGAGTTAATAACTTAGCTCTTCTGGGTCGCGCGTCGCTCCTGCAGGAACAGAACCCACCCATACTTTGACGTCTCTTCCAGCTCAGAATTCATACCGCCGAGCGCGACAACGTCCGGTTATCGCCGCGGGTTCCCATGGCTCTTCGGTGTTTCTTTTCGAACATGAAAGCTGCTGAGGTCGACGAAAACGGAGCTGAAAGCCCTGAGATTCTCAAGCAGGGCGTACCTTGACGCTCTTTCGTCAAAGGTAATGTATCAATCGGAAGCCAACAATAGCACGTCGTCTATGGTCACTGTGACTGGTCCTACCGCATTCTGGTCCGCACACCGTCGCCGCAAGATCAAAGCAAGCTTTGGAAATGAGGACCTGTTGCGCGGGCTCCCCTCCCAGAGTATAAAAGGCGTGCAGAAACTTACTGAGCCACTCAAATACAGGCCACATGTCACTCTAACGTTAGAACTTGGAAGCGGCCTGGCGCTCTCTTCACCCGTCTATAAGACTGGAGGCAACTCGGGTCACGGCGGCGAAAGCCGACTTGGGCAACCCAACAATCCAGCAGGATTGCTGCATGGAGACCTCCTATTCTCGCGCCGCCACATACACCACGCACACAATCATTCCTCAGACAAAGGATTTTGGCGTCACCACCCTCAGAACGGAGGGCTCGACGATAGGTGTTCTCTCCCGAGTGTCAATCCCAGCTTTTTCCCGACACGTTAGCCAAGCGTCGGCACGTGTCCTAAGGAAGACCATTCATCCCTGCGGCTTCCCACTTTCGACCTTCGTCACAAGCCCCGTGGGATCCGTGATCTTACCTGGCTGTCCTGTTCCCTACACGTACAGGGACGGGTATAGGCATAAGATAGAAGGCGGCAAGCAGGCACTAGGCACCAAGCCTCTCGTCACCCGCGTCATCTATTATGGGCTTCATCCTTTTGATCGGCAGGGGAATCTACGTCTTCGTGAGCACGTACTACACCGTGAAGACGGCGCGTGCAAGGCACAGGCATAGTCACGACGTCCACGCGACACGAAGCCGACATATGGCTTTAGAGCAGCATCGGCACGAGCACGAGCACGAGCATTAGCATTAGCACAAGCACAAGTGATAACACTAGCATCAACATCAGCGCCGGTACCAGCATCGCCTCATCATCCAAAGTCCGAGACAGAGATAACGAGGCGACGCGGAAGCTTGCTGCCTCCAAGTATCGAGACCTGCTGCTAACTACACCACTGTATGGCGACAATGATGGCCTCGTGTCGGGGATGTGTTCGAGTCAAGTCCATGCATGCGTGGGACGTGGTCAGGAGCCAGAGGCAGGAACTCGGGGCGGTCGTATCAGTAAGTGATGTTGGCATGGCGGAGATTCTAGAATGGTGGTGCGCGTTGTTACCGGTACGGTGCATGCATAGGTACGTACATGCAGGACGAGGGTACTGTACTGTAGCAGCACCACCACCACCGGGACGGTACTAATGTGTGACGGTGGAGTGCATGATACTCCTTCTGTACGCAGGTAGAAAATAAACGGCTAGTCGAGATTCTACTGGTGCCCCTGCATAGCGAACTCAAAGATGTAGTATGTATGTATGCGATATCCATGGCGCAAGACTAGGCGCGTGCGTAGCTACTGTAGCTACATAGCTAGCTGATCAACCCCTTTCTCACGCCCTTGTCATCGTCCTGTTCACTCTCTTCGTCTGACTCTTCGTCGTCGTCGTCCTCTTCTTCTTCTTCTTCTTCTTCTTCTTCATCCTCCTCTTCATCAGTTTCTTCGCTCTCCGTCTCCTCCTCCTCGCTCTCTCCTTCCTCTTCACTCTCTGCCAACCAATCATCCAGGGTCCTGGTCCTCGACTTGGTGGCGCCCGCCTTGGCCGTCCCGGTCCCAGCCGCGACCACCTTCTCGAGCCCCTGCTCCCTGACAGCCTCCTCGAGTCGCCTGCTTGCGGCAACGGAGCTGGTTGTCCTCGCAGCGACGGGCACGTACTCGTCCTTGTCGGTCCCGTCACCGCTGGCGTCCCTGAGTTTCGGGTCCGGCTCCATCCCCTCGTCCACCCAGGCGGGTACTTCCTCGTAGCCGGGTAGTCCGAGCACGCCGGCGACGTCCTTGCCCAGGACGAGCGTGGTACTGCCTAGCGTTAGCCCCCTGCGGCTCTCCGACGGCGACGGGGAGTGCGGCACGGGCTTCGGCGCCAGGAGGAGCAACGTCGCTAGCTGGACAGACGAGGGGTTCGCGAGCAGGGCCTTGAACAGGCGCGCTCGGTCGCGCAGGTCGTAGGACGTGTCGTAGCGGGAGAGAACCTGGATGTAGTTCCACAGTTTGGGGATCGGGTGCGTCTGGTCGACAGCTACGGTGGTGTGGGCCTCGCGGGTTTCTTCGGCGTTGGCATCATCCTTCGGTTCCGAGGTCGAGCCCCGCAAGGCTGTCTTTTGCAAGTACAGCAGGTAGACTTTGGCAGCTAATAGAACGATCTGCTGCTTCGCTGTTTCGTTCTCGTCCGCGAACGCTTTGGCCAGGATGCGCAACACGTCTGGGGCGATGTTGTTGTCTGGGTCGAGGCTCGCGAACTCACCTACCAGCCAGATGATTGTGGCGCGGGCTTCGGGACTGGTCGTCCTGTCGAGGTTCCTGGCAAGGCGGACGACGGTCTTCCGGTGGGAAGCCGGGTCCTGCTGGATAAGGTGGCGCATCACGGTGAGGACCTCGGAGACCAACACATTGTCGAAGCTGGATATCTGGTTCAGGAGGACTCTGAAGCACCGGTGGGCGTTTTTCGGATCGGACTGGGCGCATCGGCCGATGGCCCGGACCGACTCGCGGATCAGCCCAATGTCGGACGAGTGCGAGAAGTGCTCCAGCTCGCTTAGGATGACGGACTTGAGGTGCAACGCCGCGTGCGGGAAGATGAGGGTCAGGAGCTCGATCTTCAGTCTCCAGATCTGCGGCGAATCGGATGCTCGAAGGAGGAAATGCGAGGCATAGGGGACGAAAAGCTCCGGTACCGATAGAGCCACCAGGACGATGTTGCAGAGAGCCACTTCTTGCACTTCGCGTGGGCCGCGCATCAATCCCGTCAGCGGTCCAACGGCATCGCGGAGATACTCGGGCGTGCCCAAGTACAAGTAACAACCCGTGACTGCGATGATGACGGCCGAGCTCCGGCTTTGCAGGAGCGGTCTGCACGCCTTGAGGAACAGCTCCAAGTCCGGATCGAGCACTTGGATCGTCTCTCCCGTCTCCTCCGTCTTGTCTTCGGCCTCGTCATCATAGAAGCCTTTCCTGTTGACTTTGGTGACCCGCTGAGTTCTCCGTGGGAAACACCGTCGGCTGTAGAAGAGGAGTAGTTTCAGCGTCCCCAGTTGGCTCCATTCGTCCATGTCTACAAGCTTCTTAACAAGGCTTCGATAATGCGGATGGATCAAGTCCGTTCGGTCGGGACATATTTCCAGAAAGGCTTGCACGGCGGGACCAACGACGTAGTATTGCTTGTCTCCAAGCAGAATGGAAATATAGTCGAGCAGCTGTGGCAGCGAGTTCGGATCGAGGTTGTAGCACTTTGGAATGGCCACGGCGGCGGCCTTGCGAACCACTGGACTCATGTCCCCAGCGCCACGCTTGATGGCGAGGGACACGATCTGGCTGATGACAGGCACTCGCATGCCCGACATGGTACGTAGTGCCAGCGCCCGCACCTGTGGATTCTGATCTGTGAGAGACTTCTGGATGGCATTGACGGACAGCAAAGCCAGGTCGGGATCGGATTCGGCATAATGGAGCAGATAGACATAGACCAGCTTCTTGACTTCGAGGTTCGGATTCGCGACGTTCTTGACGACGGAAGAGAAGTATGTTATCGCCGGTTTGTTCTGGTAGATCATCTGCTTGCGTGATCAGTGGGGAGCGATGGTCGGCATTTTCGAGGCAGATCTAATAATGCCATACCGCAACAACCCGTCTCAAGCCATCGAGAATATCGCGGTCACTTCTGCTGTCGAGCAGCGCTTTGAGCTTTGGGGCAGGGATGTTGTTCCGCGCAGACGCGCTTCCTCCTTTGAGGGCCTTTGAGATGCTCTGGGCAGCCTCGACTGTTAGGTCTCGTGCTTGGGTGGTATCAGTGTACTGAAGCCAAGATTGGTCCATGGTGACCACCAACCTGGGTCCATCAAGGACGCAACACGAGAGACAGACTCCATCCCGAGAGTGGCCTTGCTCAATTCTGTGTCACCGTGACATGGCTGTGCGAAGTGAAGATTGGGTGGCAGAGATGAGCGGATTTTGTTGGTGCAAGCGACGTCAAGGCTGCCACCGCCGCCAAGCCCCTCATTCATCTATCAGCCACGTCGGCCTCTGAACCCGAATCCAAATGTGCGAGTAGCTGTACATGGAACCACGATGGCGAAGAGCAGGAAGTGCGCCTACCACTCCACGGCTCTCTCATGAATGCGATTTGGACCAAGCACGACTCTACCTTGCAGCTGCTCGAAGACATCATCCAGCAGACTCCGCAATCCCAGCAGTCTCAGACCGACTTGATCATATGTTCGACGAAAGAGGAATTCCTCGGTCAGGTACTAGCAGAACTCCATCAACGGCTCCGTCAGGACAGCGACGCCCAAGATGAGCCCGTCTCCCCGGCTCCGGATCACATCCTACTGTCAAGAAGTCTCCATGTGTTGAGCGCAAGCCAGCACATCAACCTCATCTTCTGCCCCACAATCACCGTTCTTCGAGGCTATCTCTCCGGGTTTGCGCATAATCTGACAGACACCCCTCCAACTCTCGGCCCGATCATAGTCCTCAACCTGCTGGCCATGCACCACGGCACCTCCGAGTTCACCTTGCAAGGACTCTCACAGACCTTGGCGACTGCCGTTTCTGCCGCCCACCGCACGCGTCGCGCGCTGAAGCTGGTGGAGTGCAAGGACATCAGGGACCCTTCAAATCCGTCCCGTGGCGCCGCGCTTTGGCAGGCTGAGGTCCAGCTGCTCAGTGCGGCGATCAAGATAGGTGCAGCGGGACAACACTGGGGTCGCCGCACCATCTCAGTGATGAAAATCGCGTCTAGGTGGTTCACAGTCGAGAAAAGAAGCCAGCACAGCGGTCTCTCTCAGGAAGAAATGCTTGTTTGAGCGTTCCAGGGGATGTGCTTTGGAAATGCCTGCCCATCCAAGACCTATAACGCCTAAAGTACGCCCAACAATAACAACCGGGTATCATCCATCCATCTATGAAGCTCGTCGACTCAGTCGTGCGCGTCGTAAGTAGGAAGCAAACTGCTCATATGCTCTGTTCCATCTCCGTGATGTACAGCTTGATGTGGGACTCAAGTTTGAGGTATTCCTCGTGAGCGGAATGGACCTCTTGCTCGATGTTGTCCTTGAGATCAGCCATCTGGCGATGTATTAGCATGAACGCGTCGGCTGGCGGGATTGCGCAGTCTCTTACCTTCTTCTCCGTTTGCTCAATCCTTACTTTCCTCCTGTCCATTTCACGCCCCTTCTCCGCCCGTTCCTCCCGAAGATGCTTCTGAAGTTCTCTCAATTCGTCCATCTTTGCCTTGTTGGCTTCGTCTCGGTCTTTGTGCTTTCGCCGCAGTTCTTCGGTTCGCTCCTCCCACTTCTTCAGTTGTCGCTGGAGCAATTTCTCGTTCTGTTCGACCTCGCGGACATTGTTTCCCCGCTCCGCGAGAGCATCACGATTCTTTGCTGCCCGTGCATCTTCCTCCTCCTCCTTCTGGAGTTCGACCGCGATCTCCTCGAGCACTTTGACACAATTGTGCACATCATTCTGGACGAAGGTAAAGCTGTCACCCGAAGTCTGAAGGGCACGGCATCTGCGCTCCAACGAATCAATCTGAGCCTTTTCCCGCACCAAATTGTCTGACAGCTCGGTCAAAGCACTCTGCAGCGCGGCAGGGCTCTGAAGCACGTAGGGCCTCAACTTCTCGCTCTCCTGTCGTACTCGTACAAGTCTTTCCGTCTTCTCCTCCAGCGTTGCCTGCGACCGTGCCTTCTCAGCTTTGGCTCGTTCCAGCTGCTCCGCGACTCGTTCCTGACCCTTACGGAGCTCCAACAGTCGGGCCTTCAATTCATCGTTGCGCCGCATCTTCTCCTTGACCGCAACCTCCATTGCTTTTCTGTTTCGCTTCATCTCTTCCAACCTTTGCTCCATGCCCTGGTTTTCCGTGTACAGCGTTTCGATCCTAGCTTTGGTGGCCTCGGCCTTGTTGAAGTTCTCGTCAATGACACTGGTGTGCGTTTCCCGGAATCGGATGAAATTGATGGCGTACGACAGAATCTTAGCCAGACGATCGTGGGTCGGGCGGACCAGGTCGCTGAAGGAGAAATCGTTAATTCCACACTGTTCGAGCATGGTCCGCAGTTGTACGAAGAAACCCATCAACAATCGTGTTTCCGTAGGTACAATCTCGGGGAACTCTGAGCATACGTCTTCGGCGGCGGCGCGCATGGCTGGATCAAGCGTGTCCCGTGTTGTGGTCATGACTAGTTCGCCGAGGTGCTCGAAGACCATTTGGATGACTTGAGGGTTGGGTTTGAGGATGTCGGATGCTTGGAAGGGGATGCCCATTTCGCTGATGCATGACGCGATTTCTTTGTCCGACTGATATCGCTGTCAGCAGGGCTTCACGCCTCGAACGCATCTAACCTACAAGTCTCATAAAATCCACAGGCTCTTCTTCCCTCTTCTTAACTCGCTGCTGGTGCTGGATCGAGTTCCGATACTGTGAATTCATCTTGACGGAAACGTGTGGGCTGACCTGCGCGAAGAATAGACAAATGCGACAAGCTGGGGTTTGGACGGTAAGTTGATGCAGTTGCTGTCACCGAATGTACAGAACACTGTAGGTGATTGTTTGGGCTGTCCAAAAGTGGAATAGTCGTCGGTTGCCGCCGCACCTCAACAGCCGACGAGGCTGCGATGGAGCCTTGTCCCACTCCAATCCTCATGACTCTCGAATGCAATTGATCAATGTCAGGACCGCCATCAACTAAGCACAGCAGGACACCTTTTCCGAACCAGCGGCGCTTGGAGAAAGAGTGTTGATATTTAATTCCTTGAGTGTTCGGCGCGACCAACGATGGCTACCTGTAGGTGAATCCGAACCACAACCTGAAATTTCCCACCCATGACTCAAAGTCTGATGCTTGCATCCCAAATGCACATTCATTTTGCGCTGTCAGCCAGAGCATGAGGGCATGCACAGCAGCACTTCGATCTTGTCGGTGACATGACTTGAGTGACTTCATCCAGCCATCATCTATTCCTCGCCTCTTGACGGATATAACATTATCTCTTTATCTTCGATCTACCAGCACAGACTTTTGTTCCTAACACAACTTTTACAGCATCGATCTCGGCTTCGCCAGCACCACGGCCGATCAACGCCGAAGCAGACTCTCCTTCCACAGAGTTCGACATAATAGCCACTTACAACGACTTGATCCGCAATGACCCGACCATCACACCCCCAATCGCCGCCATCGAATCGCTGATCAACCTCCTAGCATCGTCCCCCTTGACGACCATCTCCGAGACCCTCGCCCTTTTGTCCACGCACAGCCGCAAACTTCTGGCAAGTCAGAGGAACCCGATCCCGCTCTCGGCCGGAACGGACCTCTTCCAACGCTACCTGATCAGTTCGTTCCAGCAGCGCCCGTCGTCGCTAGCGAACTCCGACTTCTCCACCCTGAGGCACCACATCATCACGCAGTCCTCCCTGTTCGTGAAGAATGCAGGCACCGCACGCTCCAAGATCGCGCAGCACGCCCTCCCATTCACCATCAAGAGGGACGCCAGCGCCGGTACCAGCAGTGGCACCACCACGATCGTCACGTTCGGGTGTTCGCGCGTCGTGCACGCCGTGCTGGCCCACGCGGCCGAACACTCGCCCTCGCAGACCCGCCCCTTCGACGTGATTTGCGTGACGCCCGCAGCAGCCTCTTGGTTGTCCTCGTTACAAGAGACATCCCTCGCCAAGCTCGCAGCCCTGGGCATCCGCACGGCCACGATCCCACTGCACGGCCTGGCCTACGCGCTGTCTTCGCTGTCGACTGCCCCGCAAGTCCTACTGGGCGCCAGTGCCGTGCTCGAAAACGGCGCCATCGTCTCCGATTTGGGGTCGCGTACCGTGGGGCTGATCGCCCACGCGTTCAACGTCCCGCTGCACGTGTGCGTCGAGTCGTATAAATTCGTGCGCAACTTCCCTTTGGGATGTGGGCCCGGGGACCTGACGCGCATGGGCGTGAAGCAGGACGTGTTGAAGTTCTCGGACCCAACTTCCGGCGACGCGGCCTCTGATTTCGGTGACGGGGACGGTGGTGGCGTCCACGAGCGGAGGGGAGACGACTACTTTGCTTCTGAGGGTAAATCTGCCAGTGCCATTCCTGAGATTGAGGAGAGAGGTGGCCCAGAGCGAGAAACACAGGACGAAGAGGAGCCAATGATTGAAATCACGCCCCCGGAGTTGATTTCGGCCTTGATCACGGAGAATGGCATCATGACGACCAATGCTGTTAGCGAGGAATTGATCAAGTTATGGTTCTGAGCTAAAGTCCAACAATGCTGCCACTGAGGAGTTGATCAACTTAAGTTATGGTGTTGAGTGCGCGCCCAACCCAACGCAGCCACCAAGAAATCAAATCAATGAAACTGTGGTTCCCAAGTACTCATCTCGATCGCCCAGCCCAGCACAGTCAGTTCCCCAGGAGTTCCTCTCCCTCAGATCGTGGTTCTGAAGGACTGGTCACTCGACCAACTGGGCAGCCCCGAACGAGCCCCAAGACGAGACTAGACACTCCCAGATCGGATTCCGTGGCCCCCTTTGGCGAGAGACAGGCGATGGCAAACCACGCGGTCTCGCTCTCATCATGGCGTATCCACGCTCCCACTACCATTCGAGAAATCGCCTCGCTCGTTCGCTCGCTCGCTTGGCCAATCATTCACTCGGTTCAAGACCTATTCCCATGCGCACGTGCATGCTCAGTGGTGTGATGAGGGCTCTTCGTGACGATCATGATCACTGTAGCTCTATATGGTACGCTCAGCTTTCACGGGACATGAGGGCAGGGGTTGATCGGAACGCTGACCGCAATGTTCGCCTGTGGATTATGAGGGGCAGAGGGCGTCGTTCCTTCGTTGAGGTCCTAGAGGCAATCTACACAGCGAGACAGTGGAACAAAGGGCGTAAACAGAGGACGATCAGGGAAGAGGGGCCGTGGATGTTGACGTGAAGCTGTGGGTTGGTCGCTGTCTTTGCAGTAATGTCCCATGTGAAATACCACCGTGAATGATAACCTGTCAGGCGAAACCGCAAACGACGACAAGCAAAAAAATGATTGTGAGAACTCGTGTCATGGTTTTCATTGTTTGGGACTGCCTCAACCTCGCGCAGGAATATGTTGGCTACACCCGCCGTGGATGGCGAATGTCATCCCGCGCCAAGGCGTTCACATGCGTCTTCGTATGAATCTCTTCCTCTCTCTGATAGGCGTAAGACCCTAGAACGCAACCCATAGTCGCACGACCGGAACATGTATGATTCGCCATCCTGGCCAGTTCGCCGTGCCATGCCGGCCACCATGAATGACGATTTCCCACCAGCGCCATGCTGTGCATTCATTCAGCAAATCGTTCAGCCGAACCTTAATATTCCCCGAGTGTCCCAGAGGCTTTGCGCAATGACAGGAACAGGAAACCACAACCTAAGCCTTGGAGATCTGCAAGTCGATCGGCCAATCGACGTGGTCAGGTGAGATCATCGATCTCGCGTTCCTTAGCACGCAAAGCCGCCCGCATAACCTCCGCTTCACGCATCAATTGTGCTCTTCGTTCCGCTCGCAGGGCTACACGCTCTTCTTCAGATCCTGCACCATCGGGACGGGCTTCCAAGTGAGTCGCATCCTGTTCTTGGCGACGTCGACCCGCTTCCAATAGGGCTGGGTCCAGTTGCATGCCCCCTGCTGCCGCCGCCGCTCGTTGAAGCTGAACTGCGTAGTGGTCGCCGGTATCCTGAGAGGGAGGTGGACCTTCAGTCAGGCTGGATTGAGGCACGTATCCAGTGTAGTCCACTGATGGGGGCTGCCGTCTCCGCTTCAGCGCCGGCGAGCTGTCACTCGGTACCTGGTGCTCGTCTGCCGCTGATGCGGTGGGTTCTGGCGAAGCCGACGCTGGCTGCTGTGTGGCAGGTCTTGGAGCGTCAGGGTATGCCGGGACCACTCTCTTCCGTCTCTTGATCGTCGACTTCTTCATCTGTACCGGACGATGTGATCCGTGTAATTTGTGGTACAGTCCGCAAGCGTTGCAGATAGGATGGCCTTGCTCGTCGCGGCGCCAGAGAGGAGTTACCGTCGTTCCGCAATTCTTGCACGCGACAACGAGCGCCACGCTACCGGGTGGTGCTTGAGGCTGAGGCGAAGGATTGGATGCGCCATGAGCAGTACTTGACCCAGCGTCGCTGTGCGCATCACTTGCTCCATCTTCGGGAGGTTGACCGGCGACAGCCGAGGCCATACTACTCCTCGCGACCCGGTTGTTGTACGCAGGGCATCCTCCGCACCCTTCAGCACCACCGGCTCCATTGCATTCTCCTCCGCCTGGACAGGTGCCAGAAGTATGCTCGGGTAACCGATAAGGTATGGTCGAAGACTGGGGCTGGGCTGGTGTCGAAGGAGCTGAGCCGGCGGGGGATGCCGTGATTCTCTGCCGCGGAGTTTCACCAGGAGTGACTGAGGTTTGGCGTCTGGAATTGGTAGGTCTAGGCGCATTACGAGTTTTGAGGTAAAGGCCACATGCATTGCATATGGTATGACCCGTCGGCGACCGTCGCCATAAGGGTGTCTTCGTCGTCCCGCAGTTGCTATACGTTGTGTGAGCAACAGGGGTTGAGCGAAGTTAGAGAAGCATAATGAGGGCCAAGCGGTTTGACGCCCGCGCCTGGAGAGGACATACCTGCAAACTTGAGCCAGCCCAGAAGCATCGTCTCTCTGCTCCGCGTTCTCAATAGAAGAGCGTTGCGGTTCGGGGCCCTCTGGCCTGGGACTGACTTGACGCGGCGAGGGATTGTCGATAGCGACGTTCACATGGTTGTCGCTAGAGATATGAGAAACATGGCGCTCGCCAAGAGCCGAGGATACAAGTTGATGAGCGGCATCGAGGTCTTCGGCTGAAGGCTGACGCATCAGACTGTCCTGCTCCGAACCGAGTGAAGAGGAGTGGTGCAATGGGTCCATAGCACTCCGTACGGCCAACATGCCGGCTCAACCTCTACTAGTTAGCCTAACACGCGCCCCATCCACGCGTAGGGCGAATCGAGGTCAGGATATGACAGAACGTGGGATGTTCGGCTTTGGCAGGCTCCTGGCAGGGATAAAGAGCAGTTGCCGGATCTTGAAAGCTGCGGACGCTGAAGGAAGAGCGAGGCCTGGCCAGAAGGGGATTTAGGCAAGTATGAAGCGGTATCCGGCGAGGGCGGGTTCGTCCAGCCGTGGAGGAATCTGTCAGTCTCGTTTATGATAAGACCTTCATAGGGAGAAGGTGAATCAAATAGCCCGCAGAGGGAAGAGAGCGGTCAAGGTGGCAGAGAGTGAAGAGCCGAGTGTACCTGGTCGAGCGAGATGTTGGCCCGCCTGTTAGATGGAAAGAGTGACGGCACAGTCCACAGTCCACGGTGGAAGTCGCGACGTACGCCGTAATCGAATTACCCCATTGCTGATTGGCGGACAGTGTGCATCGGGAAATATCACGTGACAGTTGCATTTCCGTCAGACCAATCGAAGAGAACAAGCATCTGACTCGCGGACAGTTTTGTATAACCAAGCGTCTGACTCGAGAACAGTACGTGTCAGAAGTACAGTCGATTGCACGCTCGACGGTAACCGAATGCTAACGCTGTGAACTGACTCCTTCTGCATTGCTGGGGGGCTGAAATACCCGTGCACTCGCCAATCAGCTAGGGACGCCATCTGCTATGCTCGCAACCTAGAGTTGAACCAGCATAAGACGGCTAGTCAGATGGAGCACGTTTTTCGTTCAATCGACTCCTGGTCAGGAAGCTGGGTGTCGGAAGTGGCATTTGCTGGAATATCCATTGGCCGATAGGCGAGACTCCACTTGAGTTTAGTCGAGAATATTTCAAAAGCCTGGACTTGCCAGGTCTTGTATCACCCAGATCCTATCTGTTCACCAGCCATGCTATTGCGTACTCAACAGCAGAAGGCCCCTACAGATGCCTCCACAAGCACGACGCTCCCTTTTTCCTGCCCCATTGGGCTCCTGAACCCCGATCCAGACTCGGGATGATGATTCTCATACACAAATACAGCCACCGCTACAGATTGACCCAGCCCAGTGCGCCGAAGCCTTCAATATAGAACATCTTGTGACTCCACCTCCGTTGAAAGATCCCTTGGCATTCGATCCATGGCTAGACGGAGTCGATGAATTTGGGACCTGCGCACCCGCGGCCGAATATCTCGTATGTGCGATCTCAGACTTGCTCGGCGCCCCAGCCCGCATCCGCGTCCCGCATATTGGACGGTGGCTCGATCGAAGGGGCAAACTCGAGGGCACAGTAGCCCACACCAACAGCTGCAACGATGATGCCAGCGATGAGCCGCAGAACGTGTCCTTCAAGTATGATACAGCCAACAAAGACGTAGACTGGCACCAGTTAGCATCCGTTTTTCCCGCATGACGTCTAGGTAACTGACAGATGCCACGGCCAAGGAATGAGAACAAAAAGCTCGCGTATTTAGGGAGGTATGGTGGGACTTGTGGCAATAGTTCAAGACCAGCGACAGCTGTGTTCTCAATCAGCACTTGAACCCCCGTTCGAGCTGTTGAATGGTTTGCCTCGCACCCAGTCCAAAGATAATCACGTAGATGCCCACTATAATGCTCCGGCTATGCTGCATTCAGTATCCCGCATGTCTCTCGGGGTGAGGAGGCACTGACAAGCCAATGGGAAAGAATTGACTGATTCCTAAGGAATAGTCAGTGACCGTTTTGCGGGCGATGCGCACAGGGCCGAGCTCTCGACATACCTCCCAATACCATAATACCACCCACGACCAGGTTAACCAGCCGGCTACAGCCCTGTATCAGTATACATCCCCCCGCAAAAGCCACCCGATGGTATTGCGGCATCGTGCGCTGAGCTTGAGACGTACAATATGTTGGAGAAGTCCATCGTAGTGACTGAGATGCAGGCTGCGCGACTGTGCAAAGTAAGGAGCTGGAAACTACTTCTGCGCTGAGTCGCTCAGGTCACCCAAGGTAGTCGCTGGGGCAATGGGAACAGGTAGAACCCACGGAGCTCGATAAAATGTTCGGGGGGATTCAAATCAGCTTGCGCAGGCCGAAAACAAAGGAGAAGTTGCTATGGGGTCGGGGTTGCAACTTCCAATCTGCCTTGCAGCGAATGGAGCTGCCGCCTAGAACCATCGTCAGCCAAGAAATCAGCTCCAGCTTTCAATTTGAGGCCCGGAGACCTGCTCCTGTACGGGACACGTGTTTTCACGTAGCACACCTTCGAACTACGAGCACGAATACAGTGAGGATTGGTGGAACTTGACTTGGTTCGATTATCTCATATTCGTCTGTTTTAGACCGGGTCGCGAAGGGGAACTCTGGGGAAGGCTGATAGCACGATCCAATGAGCTGCTTCCCGTCCGGCTCATGTACAATGTCTCTAATACCATAAAGGCCGTTTATCATAACCATCTGTGGTTCTTAACCACGGTTTGGTCTCTCATGAGCCCTTTCCTCTGCCTCGAATTCCGTGAATTCTGCCATGTGCTGCCGACGCTATGCTAGGGGTATCAAAATATGCAGACCCATGCTATGCAGAATACCTCACCAAGACTGACAAGTAATCTTCAACCAGTACTCCTTTGGGAACCTCATGCTCGTAATGTAGATTTGGGTCTCTCAGCCATCGACATCAATCTGGAGCTAGACGGCTCCGTGGTGACTACCGAGGCTCTGTCAGCGATGGGGTTGAGGGTGATACGAGGCTGGACCCCGCCATGGCCGTGAGCCAGACAAGCACCCGTGTCAGAGTGATGGACCTCTTTTTTGAGCGTGGTTACCTGGGTCTGGGCCGAGGGCTCATTGCTGTCTTGGATCGGGCCTTCTGATGATAGGTCTGTGTCTTGTGTGCTTGGAGGCGTATCTGGGGCGGGTGAGTCGATTGGCACTGGTGGGGACAGTTCGCTGTCTGCATCGGAGAGTGCAATGATCACATCTGCGCGTCGTCTGGTGCTCTTTCTTCTGTCGGCTCTCTTGCTTGCACGAATAGGTTCATCATCATCGTCAAGTGACCGCTTAGAGCTCGCGCTACGTTGCGACGAAGTCACGGACGGACTCCGGGCACGGTACTTCTCGCCCAGTTGGTCAAGATTGTTCTCAACGTCTTTCTTGCTCTTTTGCAGAAAGTCTTGAATGAACTCTGAGGACAGCTCGGCTCTGCTACCACGCATAGCTCTGTTGCTAACGAGACCGTGTGGAGAAGGAGAGGAGAAACCGTTATGGGAGTTTCGAGTTGAGTCCTGTGGTCTGAGCAAAGGACTATTCTTGTGCCTAGGGATCGACCCATCTCTGCTTCGAGCTGAGTCGTAATGTGCTCGCGTGACCTCGTCTCCGCCATAGCAGATGTGGAGTGGGGGCATGGCATTGGGGCCTTCTCGGTGTTCGTTCGTGTAGGGGATTGAGTCTCTGTCAAAGTTCTTGATCCGTGGGAGGTGCACAGTGACATCTTGATCGAAGACCTGGCAGAAGGCTACCAGTTCAGGCTCTCCACCATATGACCCAAGGCGTGACATGCGAGACAGGTATTCTTCAAAAGCGTCTTCTGGTTCCTGCCGAGTTGACAGCGTGGTGGACCGGAGGGTTCGGCGTTGTTGCACATCATCTATGTGGACGTAGTGTTCGAAAAGTGGTCGGAACGTCCGCATATGGTCGATGATGCTTGCACGGATTTCAGGGTGCTTCGCCGGTGTGCCGTAGAGTTGGTCTGAAAGCGATGCAAACAGACAATTGCCTGTGAGTCAATATGTTGGAATTGAACTTCCCTATAAGAGCAGAAGAGAGAACTTACCATCACCTGCTATCTGTCTCTGGTGCAGACCCATCTTGACCAGACCCGGCCATACAGCCTTGGGCTTTCGGACCATGCTGGGAAGCTGTGTGAAGGATCCATGGTCAGCCATGATCGAGACGGATCCATTGACCAAAGCATTTGGAAGGGATAAAGGAGGGCAGAAAGGCTGCTCAATAGATCAAAATGACATGACCGGGTTGCAACAAGGCAAAGATGTAAAGGTGACAAGCGGTCACCTGCTAGGGGCTTTTGATGATTTCAGGATCGAGAAACCACGTCAAGCACGCAGCAGCAGCAGTAGGGGATGAACGGAGGCGTCTGCGTTCACCGTAGCCCGGAACATGGAAGTGCCAAAAGCCCTTAGGCCACTCGCACTCCGCATCTCCAGCAAGGGCAAAGCTGGCACAGCTGGGTGGTTGCGGCTTACTTACCCTTCAAAAAGGTGTCCGTTCCAGGTGCCTTTCTGGACAGGTGGGCTCAGGGGGCAGCTGCCTTCACTGATAGGTTCCTCGGCCTAGGCGGTTCGGAGGAGGGGCAGAATAGCAGATAAGCGGTAATCGTGGCGGAAATATCCTACAGGACTGCACTGGTGGGGGATGTCAACTGAGAGTTCGTGAAGATTTTCGTTTTCATTTGACGCCCTTGAGTGTACATATATAATAAGAATGGGTTCTCGTGAAGGAAAAGGGTCGGAAAGAAATAGAAGTCTCCAAAGCGCGAGCACTCAGTTGAAGTCTAAGCCCACAGCGAATTCACTATTGTGTACAGGTCCTCACACCTCCAAGTTCTCATCCTATTGTCTATCTTATTGTGCTGCTGCAGGTGCGGCAGAAAAGTGTTTTTGAGTATTCATCCCATTCACTGGGTGCCCAAGTGCTGTGAACCGACCAACGAAATCTTTTCTGCCTGTCCATTTGACATTCACGCGGTCACCAGTCAGTCATTCGCAATGGGCGACAAGAACATTGTCGTCGTAGGGTAGGCAATCAGTGACTCCGAAGCTCCTATCTCCACCCGAGAAATGTTGCCTAACCTGCGTGCAGTGCCGGTGTTGCTGGTCTAACAACCGCCTTCTTGCTCTCCAAGAATCCTCGGTACAGCATAACCATCGCGGCAAAGCATATGCCAGGGGACTATGACATCGAATATGCTTCACCCTGGGCTGGTGCGAACTATATGCCGTGAGTCAAGATCTCCCGAAAATGACACGCACTCATGACATTGACATGGCTGAGCAGAGTATCCGCCAAAGGAACTCCAGCAGAGGAATGGGATAGGAACACCTGGCCGCCCTTTTTTGATTTGGCAAAGAACCACCCCGAAGCCGGAGTTCATTTTCAAAGGACGGAAATCTACAATCGTAAAAAGGACGTCTCTTCTGCCACGGCTGCGTGGTTTGCTGACCTTGTCAGCCCGAATCCGTGGTTCAGCACCCTTTTTGATGATGTGAGTGTGTACAACTCCTCTTGCTCAGACCACCGTGCTCATGATCCTTGTCAGTTTCGCGAGATCCCGAAAACAGAGCTGAAGGAGGGAATTGATAATGCCACATGCTTCACGTCAGTCTGTATCAATACTGCAATATACCTGCCCTGGCTGCTTTCTCAATGTTTGAAGAATGGTGCCATTGTCAAGCGGGCCGTTTTCAAACATATTGCCGATGCCGCTGCTCCCGGAGTTCACCATTCAGGTCGCCCCGCCGACCTTGTTGTCAACTGTACCGGCCTCTCAGCGTCCAAGCTCGGTGGCGTCGAGGACAAGAGCGTGGTCCCAGCTAGAGGTCAGATCGTTGTTGTGAGAAACTCGGCTCCTGCAATGTATGCCACGTCCGGAACAGATGACGGTCCGGACGAAGCTTGTTATATCATGACCCGCGCTGCTGGTGGTGGGACAATACTTGGGGGTTGTTATCAGAAGGGCAATTGGGAATCTCAACCAGATCCAAGTCTGGCAATACGAATCATGAAACGATGTGTCGCCATCTGTCCTGAGCTGACCGGGGGTAAAGGCATCGAAGGCCTCGACATCATTCGCCATGGAGTCGGCTTAAGACCTGTACGTGAAGGAGGAACAAGAATTGAAAAGGAGAAAATCAACGGCGTGTGGACCGTGCACAACTATGGTGCAGGTGGTGAGTTCCAACCATGTCGTCCCTTCTTCCCATCCACATCCCTTGTCGAGTCAGACATCTGGGGCCAACCTGGCTCTCTACTCATAGCCGACAAGCTCCTCATCATGCTTTTCAACTGATTCTTCCGGTGCTAATGATAAACAGGGGCTGGATACCAGTCTTCCTATGGCTGCTCCCAAGCGGCAGTAAAATTGGTCGATGAAGCCATGGGGGCCAAAGCCAAGATGTGAAGGCAATGTGGAAAGTAGCATAGAGGTACGTACGGAATACGTATACAGTAAGATATGGATTTCATAAACCTCGCCCTAGAAAGCAGCCGCGGCAATTGCCAAGGTTTCGATTTGGGGGAATTCCATCGCTGGCTGCGGATGACTCTGAACCTAAACATAAGGCACATATCTTATGCTCGTCAGCGCTTCATGAGATGCAGGTAGTACAATAATGAATGTCCACCTCAACACAGGAGCACCGTTGAGACCGCGTCCGGAAGCCGTAGAGAGTTCATCGGCAAGCTCACTTTGGCGATCGGGAGATTGCCGACAGGGAGAAAGGAGACGCCGCTGACGATTGTTCCCGAAGAAATACTCCGACTATGCGCCACAGCCGTGGACTACCAAACCTTTCAATTTTATGATTGATGCTCTTCATTTTTTTGGCCGCTTTGAGGATGTGAGTATCGGGTACGAGATTTGCTTTGGTGTGTACCTCGTACCCAGTGCTGTGTACTGCAATAGCACACGCAGCCGTGCGCCAATTGCCTGTCCTTGAGAAACGGCAAGTGGTACCAACAGCTGGTAAGAATATCCGAAATGGGTCGTCAGTGTCTCGAAGCAGGGCTGTCGAGACTGAGACATGTGCTCTGGAAAGGAAGCGATCAGATGCAGGAACGGGCTTCCACGCCGCAGCCATGGATTCGCTCCATCTAGCTCGTAACCAACGCCCGCGACCCAGGGGTCGGACTTCGCTCTTGGCCATGGCGTGTGCCCCAGTGGCTGTACCTTGTACCTTGTACTCGTACCTGAATGGCACTAACACAGTATCCAGTACCGAAGTCCGTTGCGGACTGCAGAAACGGAAAGCAGGAAAGATAGAGATGACTCACCGTGGACCAATGGTAGACGTCATTCGACACAGCGTAGACGCCAACGTCATGCACTCCGGTATGCAAGCAGGTTGGCTGGCAGGCAACGATTCGCAGACACAGGGAGACGAACTGAGTCCCGTGCCTGGATACTCACCTCGCAGTCCAACCGAGCTCTTACCAGCAGCGGTGGGTGTGATGGCATGGTTTGCTCACCTCGCACTCTTTGCCCCCGCGCCTCTCACCGTCAGGCCTTGGGGGTTTCTCTGTGCGCTGATAAGAAGAGTGTGTGACTTGTGGCCGCATGATGGTTGTACTCGTACCTGTGCCTACTGAGTCTGCGGTGTTCCTTGCATGTAAAACGTTCCTTGTTATTCCTTCGTTCGCATCATTTACCGGCCGCGCGTACCCACGCCAATGGGAACGAAGCCTTGCAACAGCCAGGGTCTCTGGCCACCAGGGCAACCTTCGTAACTGCCCGCTACTTTTGGGCCTTTAGCTTGAATTAAAGCTCTGCGAGCCGTGAGCCACCATGTGCGCAAGACGTGGTTCTCGACCTCGTACTGGTCGGCAGAAAGGGCCGCAAGTGATTGGGGTAATATCCCCAGCAGAGTGACGGGTGACCAATGCCAGCAGCCAGATCTGTTGTGAGCGGTCGCACGCGGAGGAGGTTGATCTCCCTGCCTGTGATGCAAAGATCAGCCTTGATGTTCAGCGACAAGTGAATCATATGGGGTCATCGGTGGCGTCCAGCCGCTGTTCTTTGCCTAGCTGAGTAGTCTAACGGGCCTCGAGGTGGCTTGTGGAAGAGGGCAGTTTGCCCTAGGAGAAGGAATGCCCACAATGCCCCTCCTGCCGCCACGGCCGGTGTGGTTAAGAGACGATGGGCCTATTGCATCCCTCGGGTCATGGACATCGACGGCATCCACGCAGCGGCCGCTCCACTCGTGCTTGGGGGCAGTTCTCAGTCCTAGTTCTCGTAACACAGCAGCATGACTGCTGCCCATTCTCAGATCTGCGAGACTAAATACTAAGGCCATAGCTTAGCCGGTGCATGCAGACTTGTGCCTTTACCTCCAGTTCTCACAGTATATCTGTTGGCACCTGCATGCGCCTAAGCCGTGCCCGTCTGCGTGCTTGATTCGCGCACTCCCCCACTGCATCGTCACTCGTCATTGCCATTTGCGCATTCTGCCTGCCTCGCCTGCGTACACAAAGTCGCCTCGCTTGCTGCTCTACAGGACCACGTTTCCTGCCCCTTCTCCATCGACGCTCATTCCCAGCTGCGCTGCTCTCGAGCCTGTGACTTCATATCACAGCCATACCACTCTTTCAAGAATCTTGCCTCTAGCTTTGCCGCCACACATCTCACATACCAACCGACTTCTCCACTTGGCTTGACCTGACGATCGATAGTCGACCTGTCAAACCAGCTGCATCTGCCAGAACTGCAATTGCAGACCGCGACCGTGTGGCCCTATGACAGCCGGGTCCGAAGCTCAACCTCAAATTTCCTAGGCCGCAAATGTCATTGCTGCCAAAAAAACGTCCCGCACTTTCTCAATTACCGCTACGTCAAACAATACCTTTTTTTTGGATGCCGATTAGGTCACTGTTGATGTCTCCATTTCAGCCTTGCGAATCGCCGCGTCGACATAGCCATATCCCTTGACGAGTCGATAACACACTCTTGGGATCCATCACCTGAAACTGCTGGGCTCAGCATGGGCCTTTGGCCATTCGGTGGAGGCAAGAAAGCCCGAACAAGCCACGGCCAAGATCAAGGCCGGCAAACCCTCCTTGAGAAGTCGCCGACGGATTTGGGTGCCGGAAGGAAAACGAGCTCGCCGCAAGAGGTCACGACAATGAGCCGTGGAGGACAAGACGAGAAGCCCCGAAGGCTTTCCAAGCAACGGCTACCATCTCAGCCAGGAAAGGTCTCGCGGGTGCAGACTGCGCCTATCAACGTGCCGGGCCAGGATTCGAGAGCATACAAGCATGGAACCGGCGCAGCGGTTGTGGGCTTCCAAGGTCCCGACATGTACTCACACAGACCGATGTCACAAACGAGTGTTGCCCACGAAGACTTTACGGCCCTACCGCAGGCTCCCACGTTGTTGGCCAGGCGTCCTGGATACGATCCGACGCTGCATCGAAGGAAGTCAAGCAAGAGAAAGGCCGAGGACTACGCTCGTGAAAGGGAGGTGCGAGCCATGAGCTCACCTGTACGCGGCCTGAAGAGACCAAGTACATATTCAGGCTCCGGGCCACTCCGGCGAGATACGAAACAGATTCCGGGAGACCTCAATCGGAGACTGCACCGACCTACGTCGGAGGTTTCCTTGCCGCTCCCAGAAACAATACTCGAGTCCGAAGACCTCTCTAACCAAGCCTCCTTCAAGATCGGGTTTCTGGCAGCGTTGAGTCCTAGACCTACGTTGACCTATGTCGCCGACCCTCGGCCTTCAGTTGGTAAGCAACCCGCGAGAGTGAAGCCTTCAGTTGAGCAAGCCATCCAGGAAGAGGAGCCTGCCTCGAGAAAAAGAATCAACGAGCTGGCAGATGACCTTGATGCTGGGGGGTTGAGGGAACTGATGGAAAGAGATCGCAAGCGCAGGGAGAAGAAAAAGGAGGCAGACCGTGCTCGCCTGGAGCGGAAGCTCCAACGCAAGGCCGACAGGCAGCGGGAGGAGGAATTACGTGGTCGCCGGCTCAATGATCCATCCGAGGACCTGATGTCTTTCAGGTCTCAGGAGAGGGAGGGAAGGGCCCGCGTTGTCCTCGCCACTGAAGCAGAAACATCCCCATCAGTCATGGCAGAAACGCCTCCCAGCACCCAGCACAAACCGGTCAACCCATTTGCTGATCCGAGGAGTCCGCCGGCTCGGCCCGTGCAGCCCATTCGAAACCCTTTTGAAGACGAGAAAGACATTGATATCACCCCAGATGGATTCGGCCACGGGGAAGAAGACGAGCCTCCCCTGCCTGTCAGATCGAATCTCCGAACGCTATCTCCCACCCAGGTCAGGCCGGAGCAAATTCAGTCTCACGTAGCGACGATTTCCCCTCCAGTATCTCCTGTGCAGCGGCCTACAGACCGCCAGAGCCTATCGCAAGCCAGTGGGCTCGGTCGCGAACTTACCCCGGAAGTTGCAGAGCAAGGATCGCTTGATCGACGTGCTTCGGATCAGAGCAACCAACAGCTGAGTTCCTGGACCAGCTTCTTCAGACGTGGTGGTAGACGAAAAGGCAGCACAACTGAGCGCGGACGGAGCACTCCGTCCGAGTTCTCAAATACGTCGCGAGAATCATTTGTCGCTCGCAAGCAACAGCCTCCGCCAGTGGTGGTACCCCGATCATTCCGCAGATCTGACGCCTCCTCGGTTCCTCAACGAACCATGTCCAAGTTCCGCGAGGACTTGCCCGAACTGCCCATCTCACCGCCAGATTCTCGTGTTCAGTCTCCGGAAGTGATGACTAGTCCGCAGGCTGGGCAAGCGTCCAGGCAACCTCGACCATCGCTTTCAGGGACCCTAGATAATCGAAGTTTGGCCACCAGTTCGAGTAACCCAGTTCTAGACCGCGCGACAACCGAACAACACCATCCTCAAGGTTTAGATATAGAACCGGGAGAAGGAGCAGCGGCAGTACCGTTGTCTCAGTCACTCGCATCAGTCGACTCGGAAGGATCGTGGCTCTCTGGGAGGCCTCCAAAGAGACTCTCTGGTCCCATGAGCCACCCACTCCGACAAAGCCAGTCATCGATCCCACCCCAATCTATGCCGGGCTCGTTTGGGCCAGAGGATGATGACCTCGCGAATGATGAGTACCTGAACAGGTTGACTCCGGGACCGGGAAGGCAACGAGACTCTGTAACCTCGACAGATCGAAGAGCTAGCAGCAATGTGATTGACTTGGAACGCGAGAAGCAACAGAGTCCTGTGCCCGAGGTTCCGCACATATCAGCCAGCCAAGGCGGGGATGAGACCTGGCACACAGGCATTGCGCGACAACCTACCGTGGTTCGGCAGGCCACCCGAGCCAAGTCTACGGAAGGACTATTAAACGAGGCTAGCAGAGATATGCCAGGTACCTCTCGGCGAGCCAGTACGGAAGGGGATGATGATGAAGGTGAAGGTAACGTGCCAGGAGAGAGTGCTGGGGCAGAAATACAGGAGGCAACATTGTTACGTGCAAGAAGCGTGGATTACAAGGACAAAGGGCACGCGCGCCACATGAGTGCAGGGAGTGCCCGGTTACTTGACATCCGACGCGCATCGATACAGTCGGAAAGTACGCCACGGAGTCCCAGCTTTCCACAGATTGTATCACCATTTCAACGGGATCAGCAAGCACCCCCAGAGGAGTGACTGAGCTGTGACCCTTTACGCCGACGAACACGGATTCCCTTTGTCCACTCTTTACGTTGTCAACCACCCGCCAGAGGGCGGCAGCTATTGGAACACCAGTAAGATGGGTGATTTCCCTACGACATTCACGACGCCGAAAATTGATACCCCAAACCGCTCTCTCCATTTCCCTTTTCCCGACGGGGTTCACTGTATAGTTGCAGTTTGAGTTTGATGGGAACAGTCCGCCAAGCCTTGCAATGAGCGGGTGTATAATCGAGCGAGCAATTGATTTGCGAGGAAGTTCTTGACATTTATGGGAATCAGCAAGCAGGGTTTGCACAAAAGAGATAACTAATAGCCAATGCCAGGAGCATTTCCCACCAGCTGAGTCCTGGTCGACTCGGCAGATGCGTACAGCGAGTCCGTTAGCACAATCTGCTGTGGTACTGGCGAGAGGTCAGAGTCTACGGAGTACCAGTAGCAGATAGCACAACGCGTGCAGCTTCCGGCCCCCTTGATCCAAATCGTCAGTGACCGTAGACCGCCGCTATAGAGAAAGACCAAGCCAGCAGATCCCAGAAGAGTGCATTTTCAACACAAAAGGCGTGCAAAGGGGGATGCTGCTTTGCCGACCTAGTAAACAAGCGGCAGGATCACGCTCGCAGAAACGCAGTAATCCGCCCTTTCGACGATTACTGTGTACTCGTAGTGAGTTCAGTTAGGCGTCATTCCCACCTGATTCCCGCGTGTCATCTTGGTGACGTCCGATGACGTGATCACTCGCATGGGGGACGGCGGGTGATGGTGGGGGGCGGCCACCCGCGTGTCTCCCGAGCGAAGGTTGCGCAAATCTCAAATACTGTTTTCCCATTAATCAGCGGCTTCCAAGACGGCCTCCTGCTTGGTCTCGATCCTTCTCTTGAATCACCTCAATATCACTCAGCCTCACTCACAGCATCCTCCTTCCTCACAATCTATATAGCCTTTCACCCTGGACGTCACTCTGCGTTCATCTGCCGTCAAAATTCAGCGCCTACGCCCACCTACCCGCCAGCTCCTTTCAGCAGCTCGAACAACCCCGCTCCGAATCAGTCCCAATCCACGCCTTTTCACCACCACCCCAGCCAAAATGGTTGTCCATAACCTTGCAGAGTATGTAGCGTACCATCAAGCCAAGCTCCGTGAGGAACAAGCGCGCAACAACCACCCCCAGCCTGCGAAGAAGTACGGTGTTAACCCAATCCACAGCAAGTCCTCGTATACGAGCTCAATCATCCAAGGCCCGGCCGATAAGCTGATCGTGCTCGACTGCTTCGCCACCTGGTGCGGTCCTTGCAAGGTCATCGCCCCCGAAGTCCTCAAGTTCTCCAATTCGGACGAATATAAAGACAAGGTCGATTTTTACAAGGTCGACGTCGATGAGGTGCCCGATGTCGCCCAGGAACTCGGCGTGAGAGCCATGCCTACGTTTATGTTCTTCAAGAATGGCGAGAAGGTCGACGAGGTCGTCGGGGCCGACGTCCGTGCCCTGGAAGCGGCCATTAAGAAGCACGTTTAAACAACTGTACAACACCCACACCATAATCACAAGCTCCTTCATCCCGCAACGACCTCTCCGAATCAATTGATACCTCAAATTCGGACCTGTGGCATCTATCTACGTTGGGCAAGAAGGGCGAGATATCAAGGACGAAGGTGGCGATACAACCTACGAGCTATTGAGGTCCGCTCAGGGAGGATCGTCTCCTTTCGTAAGGGGCAGAAATTAAAATAAAATGAATAGAAGTCTGTCACAAACCACATGTTCCTGGTTTTCTTTTCCCTTACAGCGCGTTCTGACAATTGCGCGGTTGCCAGCTTACCTCCATTGTACGCTTTGTACTTCGCTGTCTCTTCCCTTGCAGTGTGTTTGGACAATCGCGACATTTCCCAGCTTCTCTCCACTGCCCGTTCTGTCCCTCACCGACCACAACGTAATGACAAGTAGTAGTAGCACCTCTTTTGCCCGGCATCGCGTTCTAGCTTCCCGGGAACGAGATGCGACTCCCTTCGAACGTCGGGTTCAGCTTCCCAGCTACGACGTTCGAGTCTCTCAAGTGCGAGCGTCAGACTAAGTCATTAATCATTGTTTCAAAATTGACGAACAGCTACTGTAATAGCCCGCGCAAACTGCGTCAGCCTCGTTTTGCCCGTTCAAAGCCCCTCTAACATATCCACAATACTGAGGCCAGGTAGTGTTCCTAATATGTAGCTCGGATCTCAGAACCAGAAGCGTATAAGGTCTGGCGAGGTATCGATCTTTTGGCATGAAGGAACATTATCGATAGTGACACCTTACTACATCATGACACTTTTGCGAGGTCAGAGGGAAACCACCGCCCGCCATTCTTGGTGTATACTGTATCGACATGGGGCGCCCCTACTCGGACTGTTCTCAGGTTTGGAACCATGGTATGTATCACTTGACCGGCGAAGTGTGGTGTTCGTTTTCATCGTCGGTAGAAATTAGAAGTACAAATAGGTAGACTTTAGTGGAATGCTTATCAACTGGTGTCAAATCCTGTAGACTCGTTCGTTGGGTTCTGCGTTCTCTGTTCTGTGTTCTGTGTTCGAATTCTAACCTCTAAATTCGTCATTCGGATGTCCCGGGGTATCTCTGTCTATCTATACTCCGTACTTACGCTCAAGCCCGCACTCACTCACAAACTCTCTCTTCCGCACACACACTCATACTCATGCCCGTCCACGCACGCGCGGTTGGTCCCTAGCCCGTCATAACCACATGCCTAAACATCACGCAGCCACAGCTATGGCGACAATTCCGCTCGCTCGTCCGTGTCCGCGCTCAGTGTTAATGAGTGTAGACGAAAAACGGGTTCTTCAGGTCCGTCTCGTCGCTGTAGGCCAACTTCTCCCGCACGATGGCTTTCTCGTCTTCGCTCATCTCCGCGAGCCGCTGCTGGTTCTTCTTGTTGAGCCGGTCGTTGCAGTAGCGCAGGGCAAAGCACACGCAGACCTGCGCCGTGAGGCACGCCACGATGGCGATCTTGCCGCTCTTGTAGCCCGGGGCTTCGCTTTCCTGGAAGGTTTGCGTGCCCTGGACACGTTAGCGGTTTCGTTCTGCGTCGAGTCTAGTACGCCCCCGTGCCGTCCCGTCTGATGGGATTTCGATTCTGAGGAGAGCAAATTGGGGTGGAGCAAAAGGGGCAAGAACGTGCTGGACGAACTCACCAGGATATTTCCCGTGCAGAAGCCGACCAAGGTCAAGGCATTGGCCGTGACCTTTTTCGAATGGCCCGCGATGTTGGACGCGTTCCACGCAAGGAGGAGCATAAACGCGGCGCCGAACGTCCCGCTGAGGTACGAGGCGAAGAGCAGCGCGCCTTTACTTTTGGGGATACCTTCCGGGTCGAGCCCGTACATCAACCCTGCTGCGACAATGGTCGGGATCAGACAGATGAGCATCACGAGGGAGCGGTCGTTCCATCGATCGCTGAGATACCCTGAGAGAAGGACGATGAAGATCCCCACCGCGCCCGTGGGCATGTTGAGAATGAGCGCCTGCTGGCTGGTGTAGCCGAACGTCGTGAGCAGGATCGAGGAGAAGTTGGACAGTCCACCTGATAGTTTCCGGCGGTTAGTCAAGCTGGTCATGCTCAAGCAGCGCCGTCTCTCTACTTACCATTGGGAATCGACGTCAGCATCACGGACAGGAAGACCAGCCAGACCCGGACGTCCTTGACTGACTCGATGACCTGCGATTTCTTGAGCTTGGCATTTTGCGTCCCCGACTGGTTCTCCTTCACGCGAAGCAGGGCCGCCACTTTTTCCGCCTCCGTGAAGCGCACGGCCTTCACCGGCGAGTCGGGCAGCAGCATAAACACCCCAAACCCAATAATGACGGTAATCAGTCCGATGATCAGGAAGAAGATGCGCCAGCTCGCGAACTTGCTGGTCGTGAAGCTGGCGCCGTAGGCCACGCCAGAACCGAAAATTTGCGTAATGCTATTACATACGTAAAAATACGACTGTCACGTGAGTCATGTCAGTAAAAGTGGCTCAAAAGCATGGTGTTTCATGCCCAGATACATCTTGTTCCTGGACGGGCTTTCCACTCACCACTCTGCGGCCCTGTTCTTCCTTCTTGTACCACATGGCGACGATCAGGACGAGGATCGGCGCCACGGGCGCCTCGAAGATACCGAGCAGCGTCCGGCACACCATCAGGCCGGCATATGAGGTGCACGCAGCCATGCACGACAGAATGACGCCCCACAACATCACGTTCACGCCCAGGTATTTGCCTAGGCGGCTGATGCGCTGAGCGAGATACTGTGTCGGAAACTCGGCGGCCAGGAAGCCAATGTAGAACATCATGGCCACGTTGCTGTAGTCCTGGCCGACTAGGTGGGTGTCCGTGCGCAGCCCCATCACGGCGGCGTAGGAGATGGTCGTTTTATCCCTGTACAGCGTGTGAGCAGGAGTGCTGCAAATGGGTTGGGGACCGTCATATTCGGACGGGCGTTCAGCGGCTTATAACGGCGGCAAAAGCAAAGCACACTCACAGGTATTGCAGGAAGTAGACGGCGATCATGCAGGGCACAATGGTGAAGTCAATCTTCCTCAACAGGCGCTTTGTGGCCTTCGGGTCATCTAGGATGGCCATGGCCTCTTGTCGGACGCCATTGGCGTTCGGGTGGTCCTTTAGAAAGGCAAAGGCTTCGTCGGCATCTTTGGTCGAAATATCGAGTTGTCCGAGTGCCTCGTCCAGGGATGCGTTGGTGGCGACGCTGTGATTCCTGTTCGCTTCGATGACTTGTTTCTCGTCACTTGAGCCAGAGCCCAGCAGGGAGGGCTTGTCGGCTTGAACGTCCATTGTCAAGGTCGACTATTAACGGACAGCTTGTTGTTGTAGACTGAAGAGACGGCGAGACCGCTCACACGACAACAAGATATATTTAAGCTCCTGAAGCATTTTTTCCCAAACCATCGCCAAGTGCATGTTATCAACCACCGGGCACAGACTCCGCGTCAGACTTTCTGAAAGAAGAAGGTCGATCAGTCGCAGACCGTAGGAGAAGTGCGATTGATATCAAGCGGGATGCAAACGATGAAGCAGAAATGCCCGCATGGACCAACACATTTCACGGCTGGATTGGTCTGCGCAGGCAAGCGATATCGTCTATCAGAGAGTGCGCAGCAACTTCGGTATCGAGGAGTGTTGTCATTGACGGGAGATGGACGTGATACCCTGTCGAGCTGCCACATCAGGCAAAGCCCATGTGTGATCTGCAGACGATGTCGGGCAAAACTTACTCCCGGTATCTTTCGTACATCTTTCGCCGTCCCTCAGCCATGCACATCACGCGGCCGGACATCAGATGCCGAGCGAACAAAAGGTGGATGACGGACACCCGAGGAGGTCGTTCCTCGTGGTCCCGACGCTACAACGCAGAGAGATGCTAGCCACGTGAATGCCACAACATTGCTCGCACTGCAGGACATTACGTCCGTTGAAGCCACCCACGCGGCGCAGGAACTGTCACTTCCATGCTGAGAAGACTGCATCACTTCCGACTCTTGTACATCTTTTCCTGGTGCTCGGCCTCAAGCTTGTGTATCTTATCGTGCTCACGCAGGGCATCGGCGGACGGGAGCCATTTCTCGCAGTAACTACAAGGGACGCGGTCCGAATTCATCTCGATGTGGAAGTTTCCGTCTTCTTTGAAGTCGAGGGACTTGAAGTGCGCGAAGTACTCCGAATATCGCAGTAGCTTGTCCATGCACGCGCCTATGGCAAGCTGTATGGTCTCTGGTGTGCTTGTTGCTTCAGATGTAACCTTGGCTGCTGCCGCTGCGCCGTAGACGGTTGGCATTGTGGTGATGATGAATTCCCAAGACGTCGGTGGACGTGTGGCTGTCGTCGATAGCAGTGACTGTGTTATTCCACTGGCCACTCTCCTGCTCGAATGTGGTTCGGCCGGGACTCGCCGACGAGAACCTTAAGCGGGTATTTCAGAATCTTGAGACCTTCTCTGCGTTCTTGATCAGTGAAATTTGCTCTTTGGACTGGGCCTCGATTAAAGTAAAGTCAAGAAGCAGGCATGTTCAAGCATGGGGACCAGGAGCCTTTAAAGTATGTACTTAGGCCACATCCTCATCTGCATGATTTTCAATCAGGCAACAACATCGCTTAGACGATGCCGAGAGACAAGGGAGGTTTGAGATGCCAATGTTGCTATCAAACAAGGCGTCAAGTCAAGCATTGGGCAGCATTTCGTCGGCAGCAGGGCGTCCAGGCCCGAACATGTTGCAGTAGTAAGTCACACTTGAGCAAACACGCGCCTGATCTTCGACTCCCGAGTATTCGATGGGCTCTTTGAGGCAATGCGGCAATGAAGAAGAAATCTTGGAGGGACGGCCAATGACTGGGTCCTGATCGCTCGTGGAAGAAGTGCGCAGGTGAGTATTTAAGCAATTTGATTTTCTCGTTTTCTCGTGGTGGGCTGGTTTAGGGTTTGGGTAAGAAGAGTATGTTAGGCATGGCTTGGGCCCCGGAGAGTTGAGCCAGGCTCGCGCCCGGAGAATTAACTAGTGAGTTTCGTTCGGGCTGCAGCATTAACTACTCGTAGGTCTAGGTACAGTAGGTGCACGCGCCTGCCAGCGTGGCAAGGCAAATCCTCCCGTCTTTACCAACACCTACTGTACTTTGAGCACCTCTACTCCGTACTTTTCTTTTGATTGTCGCAGTGACATGCCATGTCGCGACCTCACGTACCAAGCATGCCGCCGCGACTAAATCGGAGCCCTTCTCTCGTTAGGCGAACAAGCAGCCTTTCCACGAGCGACTCACCAATGGCGAAAGACAATCTGGTCTGGGCCAAAACTTGGTATCTTGAGCTGGCCTTGGCCATAATTCAGCCCAGGCGGCGAAGCTAAGGCGTATGCACAAAGATTGAAGCCATGAAGGCGCGTGATCTTTTCTGGGCGTTGCCCCAATTCAATGATGGGTGACGAGCTGAACATTTCCCGTGTGCAACATGTCACTAAAATCACGCTGATATCACAATCGATGTCTAGTCCGTACAGTACAGTAGCAATAGCTGCACTCCCATCATGGCTCAGCTGTGCGAATTGTGTACAACATTCGACGCCTGCAATGTTCCGGCAAAGCAGTTATGGTATAATGCGAAGTTTCCACATTATCCTTCAGGTACCGAGCTTCATCAGTCGGCAGAGAGAGGCTGCCACCTCTGTCAATTCATCGAGGCGGCTTTACTCAGAAGCAACCGGACTCCTGGCGAAACAGGTCTGCCGGACAGGCAGATATGGCTTCAATGTGTGCAGCAATCGCACAACCACGACACTAACGCCATTCAGGTCTCCATCGCGCCATTGAATTTACGCTCGGCGGGTTATAGGGGATTGAATACCCACGATACCGACCACTGTATATGGTTACACGCAGAGAATGCTCCTGAAGAACAACTTGCAATGCTGGAGGCCATGTCCAATGGGCCACTGGGCAAGCTAGGGCCTGTTGCCGGCGTGGTCGTCCACAATACAGGTCGTATATACTTCTGTCGTGGACGGACTTTGCCTTCAGACGTTTTCTATGCCATACGACAGCCTTTCTATCGAGCTAAGTTAGACTGCGTTTTGATTCCAGGTGAGTACTGCTGGATGGATCGACATTGCGACTCACGAGTGGAACAGACCATATATCCCAAGCACTGGATACTGGCCCGGAACTTACTGTTCAGGGCGTACTAGATGATACCACCGGTTCCTTCGCGAATTTATTTCTCATCATAGCCTGGCTAAACAGTTGCTTCAGTCTTCACCCCACCTGCCGTCGGTATGCGGAGGTTGCTGGCCAGCTCCCATCTCGCGTCCTCGATGTTGGACATGTCAATAGTGAGGCTGTGCACCTTCATGTTTCCAAGGCTGGAGAGAAAGATCGATACATAGCATTGAGCCATCGGTGGGGCAGGACCAATCCCTTGACAACCACCACCAAGACTCTACCCGATAGAGTAGCCGGTATTCCCTTGACTTCACTGTCGCCAACGTTTCGTGAAGCAATCTACCTGGCACGAATGCTTGATGTCAAATACCTATGGATTGACTCACTGTGCATTCTCCAAGACTCGCTGGATGATTGGAAAGAACAAGCTGCACTCATGGGCACGATATATCGCCAAGCTTTCGTGACCATTGCCGCAACTGACACCGAGGATGCGACGTCGGGCTTGTTCTTTCCCCGGAGTGCAAACAAAATAAAGCCATGCAAACTCCACTTACCGCTGAGGAAAGACATGTTTGCTGGCGAATCAGGACCTCTGTATGCGGCAAGCCCTCACCTTCGGCGTGGCGAGGATATTGGCCGCATCAGAGGCCCGTTAGACACTCGTGCGTGGGTCTTGCAGGAGCAGATTCTGTCGGGCAGGGTGTTGAACTTTACCAAGGATCAGGTCTACTTCGAGTGCCTGAGTACAGAGGCTAGTGAGGCTCTGCCCTATACTGTGGAGAATGCCATGGACGACGATTTTCACTACGTCTCGACACTCAAACATGGCATAGGCGATCTGCTACCGCACGACAAACCAGAAGCCAGCAAGTACTTGCATCGGGCATGGTATCTCATGGTGGAAGACTACTCACGTCGGCAGCTGACCGTGCCAACCGACAAGTGGGTCGCAATGCTCGGTATCGTCACGGAACTGCAACGAGCTACAGAAGATGTCTGCTCATTCGGGCTGTGGTACCGTTGGCTGGCCCATGACCTATTATGGGCTGTATACAGCGCCAGCTATCCTATGACCAGCCTTCAGCAGGAAGAATTGATTACTCCCGGGCCAACTGGCAAGCGGGACACATCCCTGTCGGGTAAGGGTCCTATACCACAGATGCAGGACAGATATACAGGTTGACTGATCGATGAGTAGTGCCTTCCTGGTCCTGGCTACAGATCGACGGCCACATCAAATATCTGCCCGACGGGTTCAACGACGTCTTGCAAGATCAAGTCCTGGTGCAGGAAATGGAGCTCCAAGACGCCGAGACAACAGCGCCTCCCAGCATCGACCACGAGAATCTTCCTCGCCTTCGCATCCGAGGACCCCTTAAGCCCGGCATCCCTGCTCTGTTCGCCGCTGATGCAAATGAAGACATCTCTGAGGGCTCAGGGCAAATTGCTGGGATAGGGAATACTGGTTGCCGGGCAACACCAACATCTCAACACGAGTACCCTCACGTGGCCGAACCGGACTTTCTGTCGGCTGCGCTAGACTCGACAGATGATCGTGCCACACGCACGTGGCAAATCGCCAGCGACTTGGAAGAGGAAATCTACGGGCCCAAACCGATGATGGACGAAGACGAGCCCATAATCGGCGTCATATCTCAGAATAGACTGAGCGGTGTCATTCACAACCATATTCTCACCACCAGACCTGACGCAGACCGTCGGATGACGGAGCTGTATGCGCAAGGTTCCGGGTCGGACGAGCTACGTGGCACTTTTCTTAATGGCAAAGCTAACAAATATGTTGTTGCATCAATGGTCGAGAAGACGCCGATCGGTTTCTGGTCACCGGACATTGATGGCGAGCTCCCAGCGGCAAGGCTCGACGAGCTGGCGACTCTTTCTGATGAGGAGGTAAGTTCTCTGCTATTTCTCGGTATATGTCGTGGTCGAGGATGGGTCCGATGTTTGGGATTGCAGCTTGTTGGAACGGGGGTAGAGGCAATGCTAGCGAACGTATGGCGGCGTGTCGGTATGGCCTGGATACTCGAGGAGGCCTGGGATCAGGCCGGGGGCATGGAGGCAGAGGTCACGCTGATCTGAGAACTGGCCATGTGCCGATAGAGAAGCAAAGTAGGACAGTGGCAAGGGCACCAAACAATTTCTACAGGCATCGTACTGAACACAGTCACGTGAGCGCATCATGCTTCCGATGTGACTCAATTGGAGGACATGATGAATTTCAGAGGGGTCTGGGGAGAGACCCAGCTATATAGTTACGAAGGCCTATGTAAACAATACGGTATCGTACAATAGGGGGTATGGCCCAGTCCACCTCTTGGCACTGTCTGGCCAACCCTTCGGATAACCTTCCCAGTCACACCGATTGTAACGCTAGACCCGATCAGGACAAGGCCTCGCCGTGCTCCAGCACCGAGGATGCGGAGAAACTGAGGCACTCACGAGGTAATTACATACCGATGTAGCATGTCATCCCATGTTGCGCAAAACCCATCACGAGAAACAGCTTCACATCATCTAATCAGGGCGGGATCCCGCGCGGAGGAAGACCAGGTTCCGCTAAGATGCCTCCGAGATTGACCCCCGTGTCTCCAAGATCCTTCGTCTGTCCGTCGTGCCAGAGCCTGCTTCGTCGCCGCGGACTCGAGTCACCTCGGCTCCGGAACTTCACCACCACTCCTCGGCGTCATGCGACTGCGAGAAAGAGCAAATGGGTGCACCTCACCAACCGGAGCATAATCCGCCTGGCAGGCCCAGACGCTGCCCTGTTCTTACACAATCTCATTCCAGCAAAGATCTTAGACATCGGAGGGAGCACCAATCCGATATACACGGCCTTTCTCTCCGCGCAGGGGCGCATACTGCATGACGTGTTCGTTTACCCGCCGTCAGCGGAGCGTGGCGCGGGGGAAGAATGGTTCATCGAGGTCGACGAGGCCAGCGCGGGCGATTTGCTGAGGCACTTGAAGAAACACAAACTGCGGGCCAAGTTGCAGGTGGAGAAGGTGGACGCGGAGCGCATAGGCGCGTACTACTCGTGGCCGGCGCCAGAGGGGCCACAGAATGCAGGCAACGGGGTGGGCGGACGCGATCCAAGGCCAGGAATGGGACTGCGGTGGCTGGAGGGCGACGCGGCCTCGAAATCTTCCCAGTTCCTGCAACAGTTACAGGACTCAGGATGTGAGCCGGCCACGCTGGAGGAGTACACTGTCCACCGGATGCGGAACGGGATTGCAGAAGGCCAGTCCGAGATCATCGCCGGGCACGCCCTGCCGCAGGAGAGCAACCTCGATTTATTTGGCGGGATCGATTTCTTCAAGGGATGCTACCTGGGCCAGGAACTCACGATCCGCACGCACCATACTGGGGTGGTCAGGAAGCGCATTTTGCCGTGCCAGTTGTATCACAAGGACGGTCCACCGCCGCCGGAACGGCAGGAAGGGCCTGAGTATAAGCCTGAATCGGGCATTCTTCTTCCTCCGCCCGAGTCAAATATCTCCAAAATGAGAGCCAAGGGCCGGGGACGGAGCAGTGGGAAGTGGCTTGGCGGAGTCGGGAACATTGGCCTTGCGCTGTGTCGCTTGGAGATGATGACGGATATCCAGTTAACTGCCGATTGCACGAACTACGATCCCTCGGAGCAGTATAAAGTGCAGTGGCAAGAGGGTGAAGAAACGGGCGAGCAGCAGGAAGTCATGCTCAAGCCGTTTGTGCCGAAGTGGCTGAGAGAGGGCGTTGAGGCCAGCTTGAAGAGGAAAGAGCGGAAGAAGCCCAAGCGCGAGGAAGAGGAGGAAGAGGAGGAACTTGATTGATGGGCGATACTTTGCTAAGTTGGCAGCATTCAGGCACCGTCTATAACTTCTCATCGATGACCCGGAGACAGCTAGCTGGGATTTGCGCAAACTTACACACTTCGCTGGCAGCAAGCATGGTATCCGGTATAGGGACAAACGAGCATATCGCTCGGAGCGACGTGCCCTGTTTTTAGTGCCTTGCTCGTGCGAGCACTTCATCCTTTGTCCGAGGATTTATGCTCAGGGCTTGATAGGAGGCTGATGGCGCGTGTATTCTAGCCCAAAGTCTGCTGAGCAAAACCTGCTTGCTGGATGAAGCTTCGCGACTGTGCTTGGAAGTATCCCTTTGCTGCAGGCGTAGTTACGCGGTGGCATGGCCATTTGATGCCAGCGACAATCCTGCTGTCCTGTTCAGCCTTGACGCTGAGCGGGGACTCACTGGCGTTGTAGAATAATGTGCTGATCTCAACCGCCATCAGGCACCTCGTTGGCGTTCCCAGCCGCCCACTCGACACTCTCGATGTTTTCCCACGGTCCCTGTGACACTACTTTCTTAGCGATTGCCAATGTTCTGAAAACGATGACGGCCGTGCCCAGTAAGACCTTCCTATCCCCGCGGCCCTCGATGCGGCGCTTTTTGTCCTTTAGGAGGACGACGTTTTCAACATCCCCGACTGCGAAGTTATCCTCCAGGGCTTCCTGGTCGATTTCCAGCCCCTCACCCTCTTTCACCCAACGCACCTTGACAGACCGATCGATTGACTCTGAGGGTTGCGCTTCTTCCTTTGCCTGAGCGGCCTCAGCACGCGCTTGGGCTTCGCCGACCTTCTTGGCCATGGCATCCTCCCGTCTTTTCCTGTTCTCTTCTTGTATGCGTTTGATTTCCAGCTCACGATCTGTCCACGTGCGCTTTACACCATTTTTCACACCGCCGTTGACGGAGGCAGCCTCTCTCTTCTCCAAGTCTTCCACCATTTGGCGTCTCCGACTGTCAAGGGCAGCGGTCTCGGCTAGCCGCCTGTGTCTCGCCTCTCGAGTCTGGTCATACTTCCGCTTCTCGTCAGCATCAGTTAGGATGTTTAAGGCGGTCTGCAGCAACTGAAACTTGTCGAGTGTCTCAGGCGTTGGCTTGACCTTGTCGGGGTGGTACAGCAGGGAAGTTTTCCTGTATGCGCGACGGATTTCTGCCTCAGAGGCTGTCGGCAACACAGACAATAATTCATAATAGTCAACTTCGGTTGCCACGGCTGTGGCGCGGGACGCCATTCTAGTTGTTGGACGTCTGCATTTATGCCAGGTCAGGAATAGATAGGCAGTCAACGAGAACCGCTCAAGGCAATAATGTGAAGTAGAGGTGTAGCTGGGCGAGAGAGAGTCACTCAAGAGTGAGGGAGCCACGAAACTGTGCTTGATGCTCCGCAGAAATACTACGGCGCTTCATACCTAACTCGGTACGAGCAAAGCGAGCATCCCGAGACTTCACAGGCTTCACGTTCTTCGACGTTCCCCTTCTTCTGTTACTGTGAAAATGTCGACAACAGCTTGGACCCTAGAGCAGCGAGCCATCATGCGTTGGGCCACGTTTCCATGAAAGTACTTTTCACTTGTGTCGGACTCAGTAATGATACACAATGCAAGTCCAACACAGTACGGAGTACAAATGTTGCTCTTTCCCAGTCAAAGTTTCTCAGGAAGGAGCGCGCCTTCCTTCTCACCCGCTTCTTTCAGCACTTTCATTCAGCTTGGAAAGTCCCGACGTTCTGGCTCTCGTTCCACACGAGCGCGTGACCCTGCCACTCCATATCACGCCCTTTCTTCTTCCGCCGTAAGCTGTTTCTACTTCAGATGGCATATAACTGTGACCTTACCGTGATGTTGCTCTCTTTCAATATGTGAATGGAAGATATGACATCTCACCCCAGATCAGATCGGGAGCTGGGTTGCCCCAATCTTCCTCCTCCTGCTCATATCGCTTTTGCTTTTGCCATTGCCAGGTCGAAGCCGCCTCACATCTCGGTTGATGGTAAGCCTTGTACCGGTCAGCTGAGAGCCTTCGCTAAGGTTTGGCAGAATTTCTTGAAAGTCTCCGCGGTGCCATCGTTTCCCATTCTCATAATATCCCTTCGAAACACGTCGACTTCGATGCAGCCATGTACTGGAAAGCGTCTTACCAGAAAGCCGAGTCAGAACGCTTGAGCCTACTCAATGAGTTGACTCAGCTGAAGCAAGAACGAGATTTGGCACTTCAGCCTCATCAAGATGCTCAGCATTCGAAAGGAAAAACCACGACTCGCAAACGCAAGCGGGATACATCAGCGCACATAACGAACCAGAAGAATAAGAGTCATCACGACCTCGACCCCTATCTCGAATGCGACGATATCAACCTGGACTTTAGCAATCTCAACACGCCGAGTACTGGTATGTTGCTCAGAATTTGGTACTTGCAGTGTGCTGAATTCAATGAGGCCATCAAGCTTTCCTCCACGGGTTCACTTCCCTGCGTCGTAGCCTCCTTGCGGAGTCGAATCGAGAGGTACTCGCGACAGCCATCCAGGTCACAAGCAATTCGATATCAAAGTTACTTTTGGAGGACATACACGCAACAGTAAGGCCTGGCACTGAGCGGGAGAGCCAGTCCATGAAGGAAATTTGTACCGCCTTCAAAATGGTATATCCCACATTGTTGAGGGGACTTGAACACGCTCAACCGATGGCAGTGGGCGACAGAGACCAGGGTTTTAGGGGTCTTTCAGATGTGGTCAAGGTGTTTCAGTCCTTCTTAGGACGGCTCCACAAGTTTGCCCTGGATGAATATGCACGACGAGAGCTGGAAAGAACGTCAAAGAGAAAGGGATCTAGGTTCAGACCACAAGAGAGCCAGGAGGGATTAGACCAAGCACATTTATCCACAAGCCAGGAGGATCCCGCTGTGGCTAAAGAACTAGTTCGAGTGATGGTGAGGATGATGACAGCCCTCGACACCACCAAGAGCGTTCATTGCCAACTCCTCGAAGGATGCCTGTGCGCTATCCTTGACCACTGCGGCTCCACTTTGTCCCTTCTCGTGTTTGCGGATTCGGACAAGCCAGACACGAAGCGCAAGGGAATCCTCCAGGTTACTGGCTTTTCGGAGAAGCCAGAGCGCAACGCTCAATCTGCGATTGGGGCCGCCGCGGTCGAAGGGCCCTATGTCATCTTTGTTCTGCGCAAAGGAACAGAATTTCTTCTTGCCAACACGAAAAGTATGCCTGAGAAGTCGCTGCTCCACTTTACTTCGGTACCGTTTCGAGGGGATGATACCGGAGGCGATGGCGACCTCCGTAGAAGGATCGAAGAAACACTTCAGAACACCCTTCTGCGAGGAGTGTTCGGTGACGACGACGAGACCTTTTCCAACTCGCTCCAGCGCGATGAGGAAGAAGAACAAGAAGCCGATCTGATGAAAATGACGGAGACCACCAAGCAGAAGGCGGACTCCGCGGAGTGGTTCATTGGTGAACTGTGGGAGCATTTGGGCTGGAATATCCTATCTGGAAGAAGGGGTATTTGAACCACGTTTTTGTCACCTTGCAGAGGAATCGGTAGATTCATGATGGTCTTCTGTCGCAGGTCAAGATTTGAGCGGTTTATCCGCGAATCTTCTAGTGCTCTAAAGGCTGGCGCGAATGCGTGACGGGTGGGTGGAAGCGCCACCAGCCCGTAGGTGGCTGAATCAAAGGGGACCGCTATAGGTCAAGGCCGAGCACGCTCATGGCATTTCCACCCAGTATCTTCCTCTTTGCTTCCTCCTCTTGTGATAAGCATCCGTCGATGGCTCCCTTGTTGCTCTCCACGCTCAGCCATTTACTGTCTTTCTCATCGCCTAGTGGTGGGAAGAAGGGATGATCAGTCCCAAACATTACCCGGTCCACGCTCCCTGCAGCCTCGATGGCTGCTTTCAGGCCTGGTTGTCCATAGATCACCGCGTCAAGGTATATGTTCGTATGCAAGACATCCCAGATTGACCGCTGAGGACCTTGTTTGCTCCCGCCATTAGCGATGAATTCTCGTTCATGCGCCACACAAGATTCAATTCGACCCGCAAGAAACGGTATCGTTCCTCCAGAATGAGCCAGCAGAAACTGCAACTGCGGGTGCCGATCGAAAACCCCAGCAAGGTACATCCGCGACACAGCAATCGTCGTCTCCAGCGGAAATCCCAAAGCCAAAGGTAACACGTGCCCAGACCTCGCAACGACCTCGGGACCCCCAAAGGCAGAGTCAGGAAGGCCGTAATGTGGATGCAGAAACACCAACGTCGAGGTGGAAGCCAAGGCGGAATACACCTCGTCTAGGGCTGGGTCGTCCAAGCCTTTTCCCAGACCTGTCGTACCCATGATCACGCCCTTGACGTGCTTCCGAGTCTTCAACCGGCGGATTTCGCTGACAATGTCCTGTGAAGGTGCGGAAAGAGGAAGACAGCCAAAGGCATACAGCTTCAGCCCCTCGTTTGAGGGCGACGCGTTGTTCTCGGCACTGGCGCTGTCTAGGTCGTTGTTGATCTCTTGGGCGGTTTTCAGTGCCGAACCCGGGTCCAGGAAATCCAGCCACGGGTTCGCCAGACTGATCACACTGCAGGAGATGCCGTGGCGCTTCATGAACGCGCGTTTCTCGTCGAAGGAGGAATATGTGCCGTCGACGGGCCGGCCGCGGAGGGCCTTGGGGCGCGACGGGTCATCGTCCGACGCGAGGATGATCAGTCTCGGGTCCGAAGTGTCGGAGTTGTCTGATTCTGTGGGCTGGTAGATGTAGGGCACCGTGGTGCGCGAAGCGAGAAGTTTGATGTACGAGGGTGGATACATGTGCGTGTGGATGTCGACGATGGGGTGCGAGGCTGACATGTTGGCGGCCGCTCTTCGATGCCTAATTGTCGATTGTGTTCTGCGGGTTTTGACAGGCCACCTGGAGGATGCTCAGCTTCCAGAAGGCTTGTCAGTGAATCTACAGTTCCGTGGGAAACCGATCAACGGATATTGAAGTGTCTGAGACGGCGTCCTCCGCCACCATCAGCCAATCCCCTACAACGCTTCTGTTCCTTATCCTTATCGGGAGGCCGCCCAATCGCTTGCCGCCTGCCTTGATGGGGAAGGCTCGACCTCCCTCACTCTTCTGGACGAGTCCAGACCTCTTGACATCTTCCGTGAGTTATATTCGACCGTACTGTCGCTAAGACTGATCAAAGACCTAAGGCGTTGGCCTCGCAAACCCCTCGAAAGACACATCGCATCGGATAGCAGACGGCGACTAGCGGGAAAGGAGGCCGGCCATCCGGTAGGCGAATCTCCGGCGATTCTCCTTTCCTCGTGTCGCCCACGACACCAGTCCACAAGAGGAGCGACTCACACGCAAACCTCCCCTTGGGCCCACCTCAGCCTTGCGAAAAGATGGGCTCAATCGCTGAGGTCGCCCAGAAGGGCGTAGAGCAGGATGACTTGGTCATGCCGGTACGTGTTTGAGCACCACCTTCCCCTTTCACTGCCTCCCCGGAGACTGCCTGTCCATTTCATAGTTGGCACACACAGACACCACCTTCCCCATCCGATCACTGACCAGTCACTTCTACCAGCTGATCGACTTTGGCGCCTTTCTCCACGGCGATGCAACCACCAAGAAGACGACCGCCGAGCAAATCTCCCACGCCTTCAAGACCTCGGGCTTCTTGTACCTGCAAAACCACGGCATTCCCGAAGACCACGTCAAGTTGGCGTTCTCGGAATCGGCAGACTTCTTCAAGCGGCCGCAGGACCAAAAGGACAGCCTGAAATGGACCACTCCCGACGCCAACCGCGGGTACGTGACCTGGGGACGCGAGAAGGTCACCCAATCCGACGACCCGGATGAGATCGCGAAACTGCGCGCCTCGAACCCTGACCTCAAGGAATCCGTAGAGATTGGCCGAGAGGGCGTGGAGGGCAAACCGAACCAATGGCCCGACGGGCTCGACGAACAGGGCAAGGTCTTCACGCGCGACATGCAGCGCTTCTTCCTCACGCTCAAGGATCTGCACGTAGACGTCATGCGCGCCATCGCCTTGGGCATGGGGTTAGACGAACACTTCTTCGACAGCTATACCGACGGAGGGGACAATACGCTGCGCCTGCTCCACTACCCGCCCGTGAAGAAGAGTCTGTGGAAAGCAAATCCGAATCAAGTGCGCGCCGGCGAACACTCGGACTACGGCTCCATCACGCTGCTCTTCCAGGACGAGATCGGAGGCCTGGAAGTCAAGTCCCCCAAGGGCACGTGGGTGCGCGCCACACCCATTCCCGGCACCATCGTCGTCAACGCCGGTGACTTGCTCCAACGATGGAGCAACGATATTATTCGCTCCACGAACCACCGCGTGATTCAACCGCCGCCGAAGGACACGGGATCTGACGCCGACGACGATCCTGACGCATGCGTACCGGCCAGGTATAGTATTGCCTATTTCTGCAACCCGAACTTTGATCGCCACATCGAGGCCTTGCCGGGCACATGGGATCCCGCAGACAAGCCGAAGTACCCGGGGATCAATAGTGGAGACTATTTGGTCATGAGGCTGGCCGCGACGTATTGAGACACTGCTGAATGTAGAGGTCAACCTCAACGGCGGACATGTCGCGGCTGTAATTAGCTACTTGGCTGGAATTCGTTCGGAGGAGAGTCGAGGGAGAGAATGAAGTTTAAAGAAAACATCCCAGCAAAAGAAGCCAATACAGGTACGTCGGATAGTAGTTCTGGCATTCCGCAACGAACAACCACTCCCTCAATGTACCACTCAACTCGCTCAACTGTGAAAAGGCTAGACATGTAGGTAGGTAAGTAGGCCTCCTAGCTAGTTATATATGCACCATATGATGTTGGAGAGCCTGGACCTGGTTCCTTTCTCAACATGTCGTCGCATTGGAGTGCAGGACAAGGGGTAGACCATATGGAAATCAAAAGGGGAAAAGGTACCTAGGTAAAGAACCAAGCAGAATGGATGGCGAGCGTGCCGTACAGATGGGCGGATGGAGCATTTCCCTCGTAGAGGTATACAATGTGATCGGCACTTTGCTATCCCATTAATACCTCATCACATCCCACGTGAGGTCAACTTAAATAAACATGAATACGAACACGAATTTTGATCTCGAACGCGGATGTGAATGTGAATGCGAACGTGAAGATGGTCTTGAACGTGAAATCTCACTTGATCTACTCCGTATTGTGTCCTTCAACCCGAAACCCGAACCTGGTATACACAGTACATGGCATATCAATAACATCAGCTAGATAGATACTGTAGGTAACACAGGATATAAAAGGAGAAAGCTGAGCACCTGGGCCAGAACCGAAGAAAACGCCGCGCCACTTTGAGCGGTATCCACACTAGGTCCGTAATGTACTCAGTGTACGAGTAGTTCGTAGGTCGTCGTACAGTAGCTAGATCTGTGTTGGAGGCCTACGCCTCCCCACCCAGAGGACTCCTCCGAGCGGCCATGGTCGCTGGACCTGGACCACCTCCACCTCCACCTCCATCCCCTCCTGGCCCATCATACCCATCGTACCGGAACCGAGCCCCTGGCCTCGCGTCCTCCTCGGGGCCAAACACGCCTGGACTGGGCTCTCTGTCATTACCGCGCGCATACGAGTACCCGCCGCGGCCGTCCCTGTCGCCTCTGCCCCGCACGCTCATGTTCATGTTCATGTTCGGGACCATGAACCCGCTGAACCCGGCGCTCTGGAGTCTGCGCGAGCCGAGCTCCCAGTCCTGGTCGTCCGACCCGTCGGCCCGGAGGCCGATGTCCACGCCGTAGCGTCGCCTCTTGCCCAGGGCCCGTCGCTCGCGCCACCAGCCCATACTGTACCGCTTGCCGGCGAAGACGCGCTCAAATTGTGAGGCAGAAACCCATTCGGCGCCGTCCTCGATGACTTGTGTGCGGTCATCGACTTCGACTTCCTCGCCTTCTTCACCTTCACCTTCGCCGTGGTGCGAGCCCATGCCGCCCGTTTCTTCGGGTCGTGCGTGGATACTCTCCGGCCGGTTGGTGGGGTCGTCGCCGGCGGGGCCGAACGACCTGCGGCGCGGCTTGCCGCAGCATTCGCACAGGCCGTCGTCGGTGCTGTGCACGAGGTCGCTGCCTGCGAGGAGGGACATGGTGCCCGCGATGGAGCACGGGTTGCAGGGGAGGACTCGGTGGAACTTGGTGAACAGGTAGGCCGAGGCGGAAAGGGCGGCCATGATGCTTAGCAGGACTTGCAGGATGAGCTTCGAGTCCATGTCCTGCACGAGGCGCGGGGTGTCGAGTGTGGTGGGCGAGGTTGTGGTTAGGGACGAAGAAGATTGGCGCCGCAGGAGACGCGATGAGTCGGACAGGCTGTTCACCGGGCCGCGCATGTTCGCGGAGATGGCTTGCGCCATGTATATCTGGTAGAACCGGGTGATAGCGTCGACGAGGACGTCTTGATTATCCGGACCGGCGAGGGACGCCGGCTCGTGTGGTGAGGTGCCGTTGATGATGGCTTGGAATAAGACGTCGTATGTGGTGGTGCTGGACGGGTCTGTGGCGGGCGTGCCGCTGCCGCCGTTGAAGACGGTCATTTCCTGGGCGAGATTGTTCTGAATGCGGAAGTCGAAAGTGTTGATGCCGCTGTTGTTGGCAAGCGGGTTTTCGTGCAGGAAGACACTGCTCTCCTGTACGACTGGTGGGTGGTTGGGATCGATGGTCGTACTGTTTGGCCGTAGGGTGACGTTTGCGCTCAGGCCCTGGATCTCTTGGTAGCAGATCATGGTTGTGACTTGACTCTTGTCTGTGCCGTCGAGCTGGAAGTGGCCGAACGTGAAGGCCAAGCTGGGACAGCCCACGGGAGGATTGTCACCAATGTACTGGCCACGACTCTCCCCGTAGTTCCCATAGGTTGTCGCATTCTCTCCAAACAAGAGATCTAGCTGTGCACCAGCGTATGTAGCCCCACCGCCAGAAGGAAGCTCAAAGTTGTTCTCGTACAGGATGAAATCGTCTGTGCCCTGGGTGCCGCCCAGATGGCAGGAATCGGGCAGATTCGCGCGGACGGTGACAAAGGCCTGATCAGTCGCGTATGCCGAACCAGATCCAGCTGCCACCGTAGACAAGCTGAAAGAGTCGGTGGGGAGGATATCGCATCTGAGATTGGCTTGAACAGCTGGAAGGGTATGCGGCGGAGATCCAGTCACCGTTGTGAGTGTATCGGTCGTCAAGGCTGAATTGTTCAACGCAAGCTTCGGAAACACAAGGCCTTCGTACGTGAATTGAGGGTAGCTGAACTTCTGATGCATGATCAGATTCGTCATTGCGCCCGCTCCATTGTCGTTTGAAAAGCTGTCCGCCCACGTTAAGGCGAAAGAGTCGGTCTGCGTGAGCGAAATGCTCGCTCCGTCGACCGAATAGTGCTGCACGTAATAGAGCCCAGAAGCAATGACTGTGAGGATACTGGCCACGGTAGTTGCTGCGATGCTCAGCATAGCTCCTAGACTCCCAGTCTTTACCGCCTGTAAAAAAGCATACGGAGGAGACCTCCCCAGAATGTTGTTCAGAATTGACTTTTTGTGGACGGCACCGACGCTGGCAAGGTTGTTCCAGGGTGTAAAGAGTGCGATATTGAAGTCCAGCATGTTGACCAGCGCCGCCAAGATCAGCATCACAAGGCCTGGGAAGTAGTGGCTGTATACCTCAGTCCACTTGTCGTCTGCCACCGTGTAGAAGCCGCTATGTTCATCGGAACGCCGCTGAATCAGCTCCAATGCCACGATGGTACCCACTGGGAGGATCAATGTAATGATCAACGCTGGAATCGTCGCCGTTAAGGGCGTCCACCATTTGATTTCCATGCTTGGCTGGGTGGTGGGCTCATCCGGCTCTCCTTCTGAAACGACAATCTTGAAGCTCGTCCTCCCAGAATCCGTGCTTGCAATTGCCGTCCCAAATTCATACCCTGCCAACGCTGTCTTCTGATTTGCGTAGCTTGGCACACCCTGTTTCCGCAACAGTCTGTTCAGCTCAGTACTTCTAGTCAGAGTCGTCGCCACTGCACCGATTGAACTCGGATCCCGTGGCACCACGGCTCTGGGTGCGATGAAGATAAGTGTGATGCAAAACAAAAAGAGCAGTCCACATGCTGATGCCATAGTCCACACCGAAACGTCGTTGACACGTAACCTTCGTTCTTGCCGAGTCACCTTGCCTCCTACGACATCACTGTTGTCAGTTGCTCTCAAGTTCAAATGGGCGTACTGTGACAGGATTCCCTGATACGTGTCCGTGGCAGCATCCATCATCACGTTAGGATTGATCAGCGTATCCAGGTTCCGGGATCCGCGGGTCAGAGCCATCAGCATAAATATAGCGCTTGAGTCCGTGATCGTATCGTCATTAATCGCATCGCCAAACAGCACTTGCGCCGCAATGGACGCTTGTGAAATGACGTTGGTCGCGTTCCAGTCTGAAAACCCTTCCAAAGTGCTGTTGCCCCCATCGTCCTTCAAATCGATCAATGCGGCCTGACTACTGTCTAGCAGCTGGGTGTTGTTGGTGAACCGGGCTTTCGTCATCATGTAGGAAGGCGTGCAGAACACGTTGGTGATATTAGTGAGTGTCCTCGAAACATCACTCGCGATGGTAAACGAGCCGCCTGCTAGATCTGTCGCATTGTCGAAGAGCGCTTGCTGATAGGCTATGTCTGTGATGGTGAACAACAAACCTTGCGGCCCTGCTGCATCTGGTACACTCACGTTCGTCGCCCCACAGAAAACTTGTTGCATCGTGCCTGAGACCTGGCGCTCGGGGAGAATCTCAGTGTACGGATTATCGGCTGGCACGGTGACTGAAGAAAGCTTGCCGCAGAGATCGCCTGTGGGGATATTGAAAGTGATGTTACTGGAAGCTGCGAACGCGCTGGCCGAATTTGTGTCGTTGACTATTCGGGGCGTGGTCAACTGTACATCCACTGCTTTGCATGACATTGTCGGTACAAAGGCGTCGACTTCTCCCGAGACAGTAACGTCACCGTCCATCGGTGTGTCCGAAATGATCGATATAGCACTGTATGCTAGCCTTAACGTAACACCATTCTCCCAAGGCATTCCCTGAACTATACTCCCATAGTAAGCATACACTGGTTGAGTCAGACTGCTCCTTGAACCGAGCGCTGAGTCCGGGTTGAACGAAGCTCCATCGAATCCATTTGCCTTGAGCGAAGCCCCTTTCAGGGTCACTTGAGTAGGCAGAGCAAGCAGCAGGCCGGTCGAAAAAACGGTGACAACTTTTAGTAACACAAATCCGGTAATTGAGGTGATGACGGCAAAATGGCTGTTCTTGAACGCTTCAAACAACGCCATGAGCTGGAATTTCGAGATATAGTCAACCAGGAGACTTTCTGAGGCCTTGGTCGGTCCGTTCTGCAGGGCGTCATACGGCATGGCCAATTTCGAATGGTGGTCGACCATCCTCCACGCGGCCACGACGAATACGACAATGATGGTCGGGGTGTAGGCCCATGCATAGTGACTCGTCCCTTGATCGATGTGGAAGCCGTCGTTCTGATCATCGTAGTACCACAGGAGAACGAGGGCGACTAAAAACCCCGCAAACACCAGGGCGAAGAGGCCCAGGAACCATTTCTTCAGCCAGATGGGAGTCCAAAGTGGCGGAGTCGGCCCTGGCACAACCAGTGGAAGCAAACGGCTGTCGTCCTCGTCGGCGACTGCTGTGTATGGTCGAAGTTTGATAGACTCTGGCTCATCCTCCTCCAGTACTGTCGAGATTGGACGATATTGGGCATTTTCGACTCTGTGTTGGAAAGCTGGAGCGAGTTGCCGTGCTACCGGCCCTGCATGTATCGAGGGAAATCTGCTGGGAAACGGCACCTGCAGTTGGGCAACTGGCGGTGGTCGAAATTCTGGCGACGGATCTCGAGAATCTGGCGATGGTTGTCGGGGCTCTGAGAGGAGTCGCTCGGAGCTGTCATCGCGGGCTCGGGCTGCCTGGGCCCGTTCGGATTCCGTGATGGGGACACTGAGGTATCCGCCGGGGTGACTGGTCGCTTCCATGATTCACGGAAGATGCGTCCGGCGACATTGTTGCGTGTTGTTCATCGGTTCATCCTTTGCTGCTCGAATTGATTATGTTTGTGCAAAGACGATGTGAATCCAGCAACTCGGGCACAAAAGGTCGATGTTCAGGCCAGAAGTCGGAATTGGCTTCGACCAAGCGAGACTCCGGCCTGAGCAACCTCAGCCGCAAATAATAGCACACGGACAGTCTAGCTATCTAGGCATGGCTCGGTGTTTCGTCCGGAAGGCCCAATTGAGGCCTCCGGAGCCTCTTCCTCCCCGGAAAGGTCCCAGGTAAGCCCAGCAAGTCGAGACACAGCCTCCTGCTCTTCTTAGCAATTGGTCTGCATCCAGTTTTAACTACGCCCAATCTCAGCCTCCCGAGGCACTTTCACTCTCGCCCGCGTGTTTCAGGGCGTGCAACAGCCACACCGTTGTGAACACGCTGTGAGCACGAAGAGGCGAATGATGCTTCCATAGCCTGACTACTTCTTTCTGAGCAGCGTCCAAGGCTGCGCCTCGTCAGGTGCTACACTATGTAAATCCGTATCGCCTGCCACCGCCGGCGTGCTGATTTGCTCTTGTCATCTCGTGCACCAGAATTTGGCGATCTCATCGCCGCGAACATCCCAGGTGCTGCCACCATGTTTTAGCTAGTGACTCTATCCCGGGTTCTATGGCACCGATCAGTCATCGTGTCTTGCGACGTGTTTTCCAAGGTAACCCTGCATCTGACTGCACGTGCACTGTAGTAAGTAAAGAGTATTCCCCCACAGTGGTCCGTAGTTGTAGTTGCAATTGCTCGCCAGCAGCTCACCAGCCAAGTCAGCATTAAAGACGCAAAGTAAGCTGTAGTGCAGTCCATGCTAATCCAAGCTCGTGACGTCTTACTGTCGCTGCAGGGAAGGAGAATCATGCGGTGCTGGCATCAGCAACCGTGCCTGCCCAGGATCATATACACGAATCCCGACTGTGATTCCGACCCAGACTGTTTTCTCGTGGCCAACGTGGACGATCCAGCCATTTGCAGCACTGACGGAACTCCCTGGTAAGCCATCATGGAAATCCCACAGCCCTGACTCGCATCCATGAAGACGCTCGCCCTCATTTTCCAACGCCGTCCGTCCTGTCCAGTACTTCCAGTGCCACATTGCTCCTTCCCAATGCGCCGCAAAATTACACCATCAGAGCCACTTTTGTTCCCTGTCGCGTCCGCAGAATAGGACGACAAGAGATATGCCGGTCTCTCCTACACGATCATCTGCGCGACTCCCTGTCCTCCAAGCGTCTTACTCCCCACGAACTCCTGCTGTTTCAGCCCTGCTAGTGCGTAGCATGCTCCTGCAAGAGCCAGCACCACGGCCGCGGCGATCAAGCTGCTGCTATCGACTATGATGCTGAGCCACTGGACCAGGGACATGACACCATAGATGGCGGCACGCATATAGTTTGTAGTGAATCGACGGATGAAGGCATCGAATTTGGCCGAAGTCGGACAGATTCGCAGAAGGAGGGGGATTTCGATGAATACCAGGATCAGGGCGGAGCAACTGCGGAACGAATATCAGCAAACGCCAGTCAGTTGGCCAAGGTCGGTCCTGATTGAGACGTACATAAGTAGAATGCTGAATAGAATGAGCAGGTTAAAGTGGAAGATGTTGGCGATGCCCAGGGCGAACCCCAGAAGAATGCAGACTACTCCAAGCCTGTTGACTCAATATCAGCCTCCCGTTCATGTCGCTGGTGTCGCTGCGGTCATCTGTCCTGGTGAGGACATGATACAGCATGTGTTCTCAAGGAGCGTTGAAGCGACATCTCTTCTATCCCGAGTCGTGGAGGCCGCGAGGGTGTCTTACCATTGACCGTAAATGCCTGCGACAGTCGTAAGCTTACACCCAGCGCATTCCTTTGAGACAACACTTACTGAAGTTCCGCGACCTGAATTCTTCTGCAAGCGTCATGGTGCTTCCCTGACGCGATCGCGATGTTGACCAAGCTCTTGTACTTGTTCAGTCAGAAGAGGACAGATGCCGCGGGATGTCGGTTGCGGTGCGGCTGAGTTGGCGCTCTGGATGATCGCTGGGATCTTTGTCGCTGGTCTATGTCCCTGGCCTTGTGTGCGCAGATTGAATGCTTGTCAAAGAGATGCTGAGGGGCAATCGGCTAATATTGTATCCGTGCAGAGTTACTGGGGCTGTCTGTTTGTGAGTTCGAGATTGAGATGTGATGTTGTGACGGCCGTAACGCGAACCCGAGACAAGGATCACGGAACCCGGCGTCCTGGGTAACTAGCGCAAGGACCCTCGCAAGCAGGATCCACCCAAGATTCAGAGACGACCCAGATGCGAAGTGGACTCTTACAGACAAGTTGGTTGTTAAAGAGCTACGGTCTTTAGAGCTGTGGAAATTCTGGATTGCAAAAGAGGTTTATGAAGTCCTGAGAGGGAAACGTCGGAGCCTGGATTCGCCTACGATCGAACAGCAGGTGGCGCCACCAGCACGAGCATCACGGCCACGCATGCTACTGTAGGTGCTTGTCAGACCGATAGAGACAGCTCTGACGCCCACTCGGCAAGGGCGATCATTGGAAACGTTGCAGCCTTGTCAACAGTGTGATTGTCCTCACATCTGCCTGTACGAAGTACTGATTCCCCTTCTATCGTCATAGCATAGTATGAGCGGCATCACCTCACTCGTGCCTCCGTCACTCCACGTCCAAGACCTTTACTTGCAGACTCGGGTACCCTTATGCTTCGAATGCTACGCCTTCCGCAATGCACGCTGACCGCCCCTTGTGTGCTCCAACTTCAGCCCTCTAGGAGATTGATTTTCAACTGCAACGTGGAATGCTGCTAAGAGAGGCTCTCAGCTTGCAGCATACACCACTATCGACACATGTCAGCCACGCCCATCCCGAACGAATTCCTAAACTGCACTTACATCTGAAGACGTCGTTGAAGACGAAGTAGCTACCACTCTCCGGCACCAAGCTGAAAGTTTGGACGTAGCTCATTGGGTGTTGTTGGTCGTCAACCTGTGTTTGCCCATCTCGTCAGACCCATGATAACCGAGAGATCTAGGGATATCCGCTCCCGGAATCCACATACCATCAACGCGCCAGTCACCAAAACCAGAATACCTCCCTGCTCATTGAACGGTTGCGCATCTGTTGTATCAACTCGGTGCTGGACTTTCTGGAACGGTAGGTTCTGTAAGAAGGATCCTCCTGTTAGTTCTCCGTCTCATGCCACGTTGCTCCTTGGGATCCGGGTCCACAGTAGTCAAGGTGAGTACCCACCGTTAGTTTTTCTAGGATGCTTTGTGTTCCCATGAACTGTTCTTTCTCGAAGGTGAGCATCGATTTGTCCCTCTGTGTCCTCAAGTGTCAGATAATCTGTTCCTCATTCGACGCTGAAGCACCCAAGGGATCATCTGCAGACGTACGTAGAGGGCCGCCAACTGTGTACGGTCGGTATCAAAGGTCTTGTAGTAGAACTCGACAAATTGTTCTAAAGTCGCGTTAGGTTTTCAGACACTGGTAGGGTTCGAGCGAAGAGGGATACGTACGAGCGATGGTTGCGAAGTCTGTACAAGCACAAGTTAGCAGATAGTCCGCAGGAGGCCCCCTCGACGTTGCGGTGGGGAGTCACAACTGGGGGAGTGCGCGCAACGGGAACACCTACCTCCCATCTTGACGAGCGTCGACTGAGCAAGACTTCACAGTTGAGAGGTTAGCTAGAGTACGCAGAGGTACCAAGGTTACAGTATCTTCGCGCCGCCGGGTGCTTGCTGGCCAGAAAGCAAACACAGGGAAGATGGAACGAACCACTACAGTACCCCGCCGACAAATTACTGGGGCGACCATCTCTGGCGCGGGCTTGTGTCAGGCTCTGTCACGTGCCACACTGCCAAGCAAATCGGAGACTGTGGTTCTCAAGGTTCTCTTCTCTTCACCTTCATTTTCTCCGTTGTACCTTTCAACACAGGATCCTCCGTGAACACATACAGTGGGACGAGCTGGTGCTTTTTACCACCGCATCATCTGTTCACACGTACAGTACAGCGAGATAAGCTGGTATATGCCTGTGGATGAGCCATATTTTCAAGAGCTTTGGGCGCTTGTGTCCTTGTGATACAGGTTCAGAAACGGCGGTCCAGCACACAGTGTGCCCAAGACAATATGGTATGTTCACCTCTTTTCCTGTTTTCATCCCTGGTCCACAGCTCCGATGATTTTCACCATATGCTCAAACGATAACTGCCGAGGCGGCCGGCCCGTCAAAGCTGGTCGTCGATGACTACAAAAATCTATGTCAAGTCTCAACAGTATGAGGAGCCTCATCCTTCATTTACATTTTGGTATTTCTGAGAAACAGTGGATGAAGTTATGCTGACTCTGCTGAGTCTTAGTCTTCGGTCTGCCTCTGTACAGCTCTTCCAGCTGACCAGACGAATGATGATGATGATGCCGTCCATGTGCCCGCTACTGGGCCTTGGCCTTGTAAACGAGTTTTTATTTCGACTACCAAATTTTCCAATGCCGATATTGGGCATGTGCTCATCACCTGGACGGCCTCGTTCGGAAATCAATGCTATAGCGATATCAATCCCGTTCCCAATGCATCTCATCTTCTTGTTTTGCTTCTCATAGAGCATTAGATTATCCTCTCTTGCCCCTTCCACTACCCCTCTCACCTCTTTCACCCTCCCTTTTATGCCATGGATCAGCTGGCCAGACCCATCCTCTCACTGTCCTTGCCTCCCTCTTCTCGCCCATCTGCGGCTCAGGAATCCACTTGTCCTTACCATCCTTGCCCAACTCCTCGACGTCACCGTCCTCATCAATGCTTAGCACGCTTTCACCATGCTGGCCCCCATCCCACACGCGTTGCCTCGTCAGAGCACCGGGTCCGCCGACGTCCATGAAACTGCTTGGTTGCCCGGGCAGTGGTGTCGCCTTGGCCAGCATGAGGAGATAGTACAGCGCCAAGGTAACAGTCAGGTTGACTCCGCTCTCGCCCTGGCTCTCGTTGCGAGCAAAAGTCTTGGTCTCGACAGCTTCGGCGACTTCAACAAAGCCGAAGTATGGCTGGCCACGCTCATCGCACCCCGCACGGACACAGACAAGTTCGATCTCGGTGATGATGAAACCGTACCGACAACTGTGCTCGCGCATGCATTTCTGCAGGTGCGCTAGAGTGCGCAGGTACTCGACCTTGCGTGCCGGCCCTTCGAGGCGCATACCAGTGTTCCAGCGATCAAACGACCGGACAAGGCCGACAACACGGCCTCTTGGGAGCCCGGAGAGAGTGCGATCGTTGTCGCTCGGGTAGTTCGCAAGAAAGGTAGGGGTATTGGCGGAGTTGGCACTAAGGCCGGATCCTGTGGGAGTGGGTGCCGGGTACAGACAGATGGAGTTGTTGCCTAGGGATAGTCTCGTGGCGGCGTTGATTTTAGGGAAGTAGATCTTCGAGATCAAGTTGGCAAGGTCGGTCTCTGAGCCGGGTGTCACGGTTGTGGTGCTCAGGTTATTACCCGGTAAACAGGAGGTATCGTGTTGGAAGTTGAGCAGGGTCAGGAGGTCAGGGATTGCAGACATGGTCTGGAGGGAGAACGACTTCCAAGGTCTCACGTTTCGAATATCCCACCAAAAGTGGTTGGTCAGACCACGGCCAGTCTGGAATGTAAGATGGCGCACGAGGTTGATTGGCTGTGTTGGCTGGGTCAGATAGCTAAGCATGCTGATGGTAGACATGGGTGGCAGCATCGGGGGCGGGCTCATCGAACAGGGCCGAGAGATGGTTTCAAGGTCGATGGGCATGTCGAAGGTGCCCTCGAGGTTAATCACGGGCGGCTCTGGCATAGCCATGTTGGTATATGGCATGACATTGGTGGCGAAAAGATCTGGAGAAGGTGTCTGCTGATTGTGGGAGACGTAGACAGGCATGTGGCGGTAGGTGGGATAACCGAACCGATTCAGGACATCGCTGTTAATGCTCGACGCCGAGGTCGAGCGGGAATGCGTCTTGACAGGCACATTGAGCTGTACTTTGGACAGGCCTGGAGAAGGGTTCAGCGAGTTCGATCGCGAGTAGGAAGCATTCGAGACCGGCGACATCATTGGTGGGCACTCGACAGGCTCTGTTGCACTCCTGTACATGACCGGCCTCGCGTGTTTAGCGGTGGGGATGATGGACGATGACGTTCGTCGGTGGACTGACGGTCGATGGGCGAATGAGGGCTCCAGGGAGGAGTCCTGAGTCCTGATCTTCGGAAGTAAGGTCGGCCCATTTTGACGGAGAACCGGTGATCGGGTAGGAGTGTAATTACTAGCACTGATTATCGACGCGGGTGAGGTGTCCACTGTGCAGTACGACGAGCTGGACAGATTGCGAATATGGCGATGCTGACCAGCAGCACCCACTGCCTCTGGAGGCGTAAGAGGTCTATAGTAGTAAGGTGCCAACGACATTCTAGACGGCATGTCAGTGAAATCTCGTCCGGGCCAGGCAGCAGTGTTGACAAACTCACATGTTGTCACTTTTGTTAATTCCGAGTAAAAACCAGTGGTCAGTGAGAAGCCAGCTTCTCAGAGTCTAACAACAAAGGAAAAGAGATGACAGTAAAGGAAAAAGAATTACCAATGGCAAGCAGACTCGTTCTTCAGTCTTGCAACTTGGAAGGAATGAAAGGCTCAGAGCTCTTGTGAGGGAGGGAGGACCAGGTATAAATGGGCTGGGTGTATGCGGCCCAAGGTGGGCATCATCAGAGGCCGACCAACAACGTCCTGCAGGTCATACTGCAGATGAAACGTGGAGCAAGAGTAGAGAAGGAAACAAACACGCCGACACCGTGTTCGAGAATGCGATGCTGCGTAACCCGCCGGTCGCCAACTTCGATATCGCGAAGCGTGGAGCGTGGTATACGCGCCTGATGGAAACAATTCAGAATGCAGCTATTTTGGGTGGAAAAGGCCGCCTCAGGCTGCAAATCTCCTCGTGGCAAGTGTCAAACTGGCCCAGACCGAGTGTAACGAGGCTCTGGTTGATTTCGTCATGTCTTACGGAGCAATCTGTGTCGGCGCTTGGTGGTTATTTCGAGAGATGAGGTTCTTGCGACAAAGCGGCCGTATGACGGAACTCGTAAGGCTTCGAGGCGCGCAGCGGCAATCTGAAGAGATTGCCAGCTTGGAGGGCGTGGCTGAAGCGCGGTCCGGAGATCTAGCAGCATTGTTCTAACTTCTCGTGTGGGACTTTCTGGAGCAACGACCGTCCCTCAGATACGCGCTGGGAGCTGCGAAGCGGGTTATGGACTTCGATTGGTGCTGCATTTGCCGCGGGCAGCAAAAAATACCAGTTACGGAGCCTGGAGGGTGGCGCAGCATAAGCAGACACCCGCCGGGCAGGTTGAGCGAAGGGTCCTCCAAGTCGCGCTCTTCTCTTTTTCGCGTCTCCTCCCGTCACGAAAGGCTCACGAAGTCACGCAGCTCCGGAGCCACGGCTGCATCGCCTTGCAGGCTGCATGCATAAGTGCTTCACGAACTAGACACGAAGAACGAACGACCATCTCCTCCCTGCCTCTTCGGTTCCATGCACATCGCTCGTTCTGTGTATGCTCGCACCAGTCCATCGCTGTTTCCTTCATTCCCACTGGCCTCACCGTTCGTCCGAGTTGGCTTGCGTTTCAGGTTGGAGATATTCGTTGTCAAACAGGTCATTTACTGGCCGGCTCCAGGCTGAAGGACGATGCAAGTTGCATTAGGCGCATCCGACAAAGGATTATCTCTCCCAACCTCTTCTCATGCAGAGCGGCTGTTTCGGGATACTCAGAATGCTAGATAATGCTTGACGACTATTCGCTTTCTTCCTCGTGCTGTCTGCTGATCAGGTATCGGTGGCGAGAGGTCCAACCTCTCGGTACCCGATAGGTTGCCTTTCATATGTACAAGTGAGGCCCCAATGCTGCCCTTATGCCGGACCCAATCAATCTGCCAGTGTAACGCCTAGCCTCTATCGATGACTTTGTCGACTCCGTAACTCGTACGTCATCCACCAATGCAGGTCCTGAGCTCAAACCTGAAACACAGTCTTTGGTGCAAGAATGATACACGCTGAGGAGGACCCCACTCATGCCTTGACGTCGTACTTCCGTCGGAACATTTCATCGACCTCGGTTAGATAGTATGTGCCAGGCAGGAGAGGCTCAACTTCCCCGGCGGGCTTGAAATCCTTCTTCAGATGCGCCTTCTCTCGAAGCAAGCACATCTCGTCATACACCTCAGGTGCCACAACCCGACGGGCGTTCAGTCGTTCTTGCAGATTGAGCTTCTCGGCCATCTCTGTGGTGTCCCCAACGACCTTCAAGCTGAACATCGAGCTGGCTAGACCACTGCCGTAGCTGAAGACGCCGAGTCTCTTGCCTTGCAGAGTTTTGGGAGCAATGTTGCTGATTAGGCCGACAATGCCTCCATAAACGCTGCCGCAATACATGTTCCCGCACATAGTGGCGACCTGGATGGCAGGCTGGACACGTTCGGCAAAGCGCTTTTTGGTCAAGCCCATGAATGTCTTCTCAACAGTCTTGTCGCTTAATGATGCCTGGTAGTCAAGGTCGCGTAACTCGGGCGCGACCTCACTGAATTGCGGATGGCTTGGATCTTCCAAGAAATCGTTGTACAGCAAGCGAGCGTATGACTTCGAGACGAGTTTGCATGTCGGCGCATGGAAGGCCATGTAATCGAATCGGTCAACGGGCGCTTTGTCGACCTCTCCGTTGTGGACGCCATTCCCGTTCACGTGGTGGCCGTTGACACCATTCGTCTGTGACTGGAGTGCTCTTTCGCGGGCATTGTATGCTTTATAGCATGCGTCAACAGCCTCGGTATAGCACTTCAACGAAAATTGACCATCAACATAAGGGTACTCGCTCGTGAGATCGGGCTTGTAGAAGTCGTATGCGTGAGTAATGTAGGAGCCTCGGAGACCAGCTTCAAATGCAACGGGCGCATCGGGACCGATCAAGAGAGCCACACAGCCAGCACCGCCAGTCGGACGAGCATTGCCCTTCTTGTACAGAGCGATGTCGCCTGCGAGCACGATGGCGTCTCGTCCATCCCAAGCAGAAGACTCAATCCAGTTTAAAGAGTTGAAGACGGCATTGGTGCCACCGCTATAAACAGTCAGCATTTGTCCTGTCCTGCCAAACAGAGACTGTGTGGAACTCACTAGCATGCGTTGTAAGAGTCGACACCCTCGACGTTAAAGTTGCCAGACTCTTGGAATAATTGCATCAGCACGGATTTGACACTTTTGCTCTTGTCCAGCATCGTCTCAGTGCCGACCTCCAGTCTCCCGACATTCTTGAGGTCAATGTTATATTTCTTGATCAGGCTTGTCAGGGTGGTGAGCGCCATGGAATAGATATCTGCGGGGACAGTGTCAGTCGAGGCAACGATCTGTCCTCATGCGGTCTCGCAACTGACCTTCTCTGTCATCGCAGAAGGACATTCGAGTCTGCCCAAGTCCGATTGTGTATTTGCCCGCCGCCACACCATCGAACTTCTCCAACTCAGCTTGGTCAACGCACTGGCGAACTGTAAGCGCATGCCACCAAAGACACAGTCCACCTCGTGCTGAATCTCGCGTACCTGGTTTGGGAAGTAGATCTCAATGGCTTTGATGCCGATATTCTGGGGTCGAGACGCCATGGTTTTTGGGGAGGAGAAGGAAAATGTGAGAGTAGCTCAGATGTGATCGGTGCAGAGAAGAAGTCCCGAAACGACAGAACTGAGGAGGGGTGTTTTGTTGCTGGGTTGAGAAGGCGGTGAGGTGGGGAGATCAAGGGCTAGAGATAGCAAGGAGCGGCGAACTTTTTTGTGGAGGCGCGCAAACAGGAAAGCGGGCACTTGGTAGATCGTGCTGCAACAACCAATATGCTTTGTTTGTTGTGCAAGAACTCTCTGAGGTAGGCTGTGTGCAGTTCGCTTGAATGCAGGACGGAGAGAGAAATGCGACGAGAGTGCCAGAGATATTGGATGTGAGCGACGTAGCGACCCGCCCGGCACCTCAACGGCGACAAGATTTCGAAAATGATGCCACAAATTTCGAGATGCACCAGCCCACAGTCGTTAGTCGTTGGGGGAGCCCACTGTGCCCACTGGACCACACACACGACCCTTGAGCCACACCGCCCGCATGATGACGCTTCTGGTTGGCTTGTCAATGCCCATCAGGGACAGGCTAAGCTCTCTAAATCGTACTAGCTGCTGTGAGCTGATCCGGATGCTGCTGTTCCTGGTGTTCCTTGCATGAGGCAACCCTGAGGCGCTGGAAACTTTCTGGCCCTGTGTGTCGTTCTACACGGATCTGTCAACTCCGACATCACCATCCCCTTGACGACGCAAACTTTGACAGTGACGTTGCACACGGCCTCGCCCGTGTGCGCCCATGTTGAAATTCCGCGATAGGGCCGCGACGCCACTTGATTTTAATCCCGCAAGATATCGCGAACGACCGTCAAAGCAAGCAGGTACCTACAACATGTCGCACTTGTGAGAATCTACGCTAGAGCGAAGATAGGGCGCTTTGAAACACTCTTCCGTAGTATATAGCCCCTCATACCTTGTCCACTCGCGGACAAATAGGGAAGCTGAAAGACAGGGCACAGAGAATCGCTATGGATGCGCCTAGAGGCACGGAGCGCTTGTACTTGACCCAGTACCCAGTAATCTCCATACTACACACTACTCCGTACTTTGTACTCCGTAGGTACAGTACTCCGTAGAAATACTACAGTAATGCTAGTAGCGGGAACGGTCGCCTAGGTGGGGCGTGCCGGAGCATTGAAAAGATAGTATCGCTTCGCACCGCAGACTAGGTCGTGCATTCCAGTACTTATTCCGCATTTCTCTATACGTCCCTCTATCGACCATCTGTGAACAAACCTCATCTATCATGACTTTGTGCCATAATGATCCATCCCCCTTTCGAGCCTCCCCGATCATCAGTAAGAGGAGGGCACAACACTGAGGCGGCCACCATCCGTGACGACCACACATCCATTAATATACGCTCCAGCCCTTGAACAAAGCCAAAGGATGACACCAGCCATATCCTGCTCGTCACCAGTTCTTGTCGCAGGAACAACATCTTTGCCAAAAGCGCCTTCGATGTTGTGTATCTCTGTCTTGCCTTGGGCTTGATACATGCCGTGCGTCATCTCCGAGTAGTAAAGGCCCGGTGCTATCGCATTTACCCTAATGTCGTAGGGCACCAAAGCCGTCGACAGTTGTTTGCTAAGATGCACGGCCGCTGCCTTGGATGGTCCATAAGAGAAGTTACCCAGGGCCTTTCGATTAAAGCCACCAATGCTCGCAGTGGTAATGATTTGTGGGCGAGGAGTGAAATTGTCCTTGTTCGGCGCTGGTCTCTTCTTGTTTGCGGCATCAAGCAGCGGCAGGAACGCAGCGACGGTAAAGTGGATGCCTGTGAGGTTGACGGCGTATGTGGAGGTCACTTCTTCTGGCTCCGGTTTCCACATGTTCTGAGCGAGTTCTTCGATGGAGACCGGCTTCTGGTCCTTGTCCAGTGTTGGGACTGATGGGCCAGAGATGCCGCTGTTTGCAACGAGCACATCGATGTGGTCGACCTGTGCTTTGACTTTCTCGAAACACTCTTGTAAAGACTGCTTGGAGGTGACATCGCCGACCAGGGGGATGATTGTGCCTCCGGGTACAGAATCTGCTGTCTCCTTCAGGTTACTCTCTCGGCGCCCGATGATGAACACTTTGGATGCTCCATTCGCTGCCAACGCCCTTGCCATCATGCGCCCAAGCCCTAATGCAGTGTTAGTTCAGTACAAGCAACGGGCACTCTGCTCCAGTGTTACGCTCGGGGGCTGCACATCGCCAAAGATTGGGGAGTGGTCACATACCAGAACCGGCGCCAGTGACGACGGCCACGAGGCCGTTGACATTGAATAGGTTCGTCGCCTGAATCGGGGCAGTATCGGTGGCCGACATCTTTGTCGGTGCCGGAACGCTTCGATCGACAACGTTTCACGCTTCTCTGGGTTTCACAAGCAACACCTGTTATGATAACAGTTCTGGTGATGATGGCAACAATGCTAATGGCGACGGATGGCAAAAATTAGCAATCACGTAGATAGCTGACTAGATGTTGTCATGAGGCAAGACTTCTGTTCCGCTGGTCGGACGAAGTCCGTGGTGGAACGCTGACCGGCTATTTCGCCGGATCAATTACCAGCGAACTAAGTGGAAGGACTGAACATCCATATGTATCACCCGCCGACTGGCCTATTCAGAATTAGTAATTGCTTCGATGTCGAGAAGTCCCGTACTTGGAATACCTGTGCTCGATAGTCTTGGTGTTAAGCTTGTACACGTAGCATCTCGAAGATAATTACGGTTGGTGGGGCTGCAGCATCACATTCGTGTTCCCTCTCTGCTGAAATGATCTTGTTCATCAATCTATCACGGCTCGCCAGAAACAAATACTTCTTTCGGATGGAAATTCCGAACTAGGTCGACTTGTCGCCAGGTTGTTTCTCGAACAAACGCGTGTGCTCAATGCTTTCCCATTCCAAGCCTTCCCTTCAGTCTGTGGAGTCCCTTGGAAGGTTCATAACTCTCTCCGCGGTCGCCACTAGTCTTTGCATGTGAGCCATCCGGCATTGTACCTGGACTAATATCACGTTGCTCACTACGTTTTCTGGAAGGATGCGCTTGCGCGTCTAGGGAACCGTTCGAGGTGGAGGAATTGGTCGGTTGTGAGGACGCGGTGCTCTCTGCGTTCGCAGCTATCAGCAAGGAGCACATAACGATGTGATTGCTTACACCTACCTCCAGCATTTCCTTGATCATAGGGCTCAGTTGCTGTGCCCTTGCCCTGCACGCCTGAAAGCGGCTCTTGCCCTGATTGCACACCTATCTCTTCTGTGACAAAGAACTGCTCAGTATGATGGCTCAGATGGGAGCGATGGTGTAACATGTTTTACCTGGCGCATTGCCTTGGTCGTACGGCTCGTCCACTGTTCCTTTGCCCTGGATACCGGAAGGTGGCTCCACGCCTGACTGTGTAGATGGTGTACCCATGTCCTTGGTCTTGGTGCGCGTAAGTATTTGATCGACAATGTCAGGATGAGGAGACATTGTTGCGAGGGAAGCAGTTGAGACGGACTAAAACGATGCACTCTGAATGCAAGGAGACGCAGGGTCAACACGGGCTTGGATGCACAACTTGAAACGAGTCCTATTATTTAAGCCAGGACATGCTCAAGTTAAAAACTAGGTATCAGTCTTATCGCGCCCACGGCCTGACATTCAACTCGTACTCGCCCCGTCCGCATGGGATCTCACTGCGCAAGAGCAGGTGTGGCCGACGTCATCGGTCAACCCACGGCACGTCATACGAGTACCCCTCGCCTCGGAACGATGGTCGACGGTACGGGACCTTATTTCACAGCTGGGGCGCATCAGCAGGTACTCGTAGAGGCAAGTTTCCGCAAGCCGAAGGTTGCATTCCTTGGTTCCACAGAACCCCCAAAGGGCCATTAAGCTCCAAACTGATGTGTCGTAAAAACATCTGCTGCATCGTGACACAGGACGATGGCTACTAACCCCACGTGGTCGGTGGACGAAGAGTGAGGGGCTTAGCGATTCGCCCCAGGGACGTGGCGCCCAGCGCCCAGCCTGCATCCTGAGCCGCCAAGACATGCAGCCTTTTCCTGCTCATGCAATAAAACTCTCCTATACACTTTACATATGTTCCAGAGTGGCCGAAGCCGCCTGTGGAAGTGCCGCCAACAGCCTGACTTTGAGTCACTGGGCCAGATATGACAAGAACTATGCCTGCCGAAACATGTGTCGATTGTCAGGACCATGAGGCCAATCTCACCATCCGAGCTCGGCGCTTGTGTGCCGCCTGTTTCAGCCGTTACGTGAACTCCAAGATCCTCAAGCGCATGGAGTCCTATGGGTTCAAACACCTTGCTGCAGATCAGAAGCGCCGCCTCTTTCTTCCTATCTCGGGCGGTGTCTCTTCCATTGTTCTGCTACAAGTGCTCGATGCTCAGCTTCAGAAGCAGATTGGCAACCGCAACAGGACCGCCTACGATCTCATCATCGCACGTGTGGTGCTCTCAGACGCAAGAGATCTCGGGGCCATTGAGAGTGAGTATCAAGCACTAGCACAGAGGTTTCCTTTGCACACTTTCCTTCCACTTGTGCCTCTTCACGATGTGCTTCGTATGGACCATAGGATACATCACGACCTCTCACACCTTGGCATTGAAACTCCAGCTGCCGGATCGGACGAAGAAATCGTGGAACGGATAATATCATGCGCTACTTCTGTGACAACAAGAGCAGAGTTGCAGTCTATCCTCCTTCAGCGGCTACTCGTATCGTTGGCAAAACACCAAAATTGCGAAGGCGTGCTCTGGGGTCATTCAGACAGCCGCTTGGCCGCTCTTGCACTCGCGGACGTCGCAAAGGGAAGAGGTGGGTCGGTCTCTTCGTTGATCACTGATGGTCCGTCCCTACACGGCATCAAGTTCAACTATCCCAACCGTGACCTTTTCAAGGTCGAGCTCCACTCTTATGTGCAAGTATTAGCCGACCCGCTAGCATTTGAAAGAGAAGACGATGCTGTCGGACAGGCGACATCAGGCATAAGAAACGTTTCCATCGACAATCTCCTCAGCAATTACATAATGTTGCAAGGGGAGAAGTACCCGAGCATCATGGCAAATGTGGTACGAACCGCAAGTAAACTTCAGGTCGGCAGCACGGAAAATGGTGTGAGGGCGTGTTCGTTCTGTGTGGCGCCTATGACTGGGACTTCCGACAATTCAGGCGAGGATCAAAATCTGTGTTATGGGTGTGAACGGATGAGACAAGATCTCAAAATGTGGAACACGCGCTAGCGTGTGGATTCATTCATGATCTCAGTTCATTCGTCTCATATTACAGGATAAGGAACGCTCATCGGTTGCTGCTGCTTGGACCAACCCTTGACATAATCTGAACTCCGGCAAGCCAACGTTTTCACATTTTACCTCAACGGGTGCGAGCAGGCAATGGAGGTTGGACACCTCCTTCTGCCTCAAGATCACGTTGCCTCTCTCGGTTGGACCTTCTAGACTGTCGTTGCGAGGTGTATCTTGGAGGAGGGCCGTTCTGCGCATTCAACAGAGCTTCGTCGTTCTGGTAATCCCACTCGTCAGGTAGAGATGGATCCGCCACATTGGCTTGTGGAGTGCCCTTGATTCTCTTCTGGCCACGAGCACGCAATTCATTCTCAAGAAGTACCACATTTTTGGTGTTGCATTTGTATGCTGCATCTGCAAGGTCGCCAACAAAGGGGATGAGGCCAACCACAAAGTCGATCACGACGTTCATTTGCATTCGCATCTTGACGGAGGACGGTAGCCCAGGTTCGATGGAGCAGCAGGTTCGGTAGACCATAAGCGCGAGGAGCAAGTCCGCAAAGTCGCCGATGCTAAAGCATTGTTAGTCTTGGGACTTTCGAACAGGAACGTTGACCTAGACTGACGCAGGCACCAGCCCAATGACTGCACCCCAGCCGAATCTTGTGCCCAAGAAGCTTCCGAGACACAGATCGATACGGTATGCTCTTCTCTTCGCCTTTGTGAGAATTCTCTCCTCCTCCGGTGTCAAGCCGGGTGGAAGAGCGCGCTTTCTCTTCTTGCTTGTCTTGTATAGGCCACCCAGTCTGCTGGCAGGTACTGTCTCAAAGTAAGGATCCTGCGATAAGTTAGGGTCTGGAAACATGTCCCGGCCGAAAAATGGTGTACCTCATGGCCCTGCTTATTGGATGAGTTCTCCTGGAATAACTTTTTGGCCACCAACTTCGCTGCGAAGGATGCCATCTTGACGGGAGTTGTCCCGGGATGCTGTCTAGGATGTAGGATGAATGCGTGAGTAGTAGGAGGATAAGGGTGAGGATGAGCGTACAAAGGGTAAAAGATGGGCTTTATGTCACTGCAGATATGAGGATTCAAACAAAGGCATGAATCGCCAGACAAGCATTGTCAGAAGCCTGGTTGGGCCGCTGTAAGTGATTGGCATCCGGTGATCGTCAAACGAGTGCGTTAGACGCGCTCGAATTCAAGAAATTGGACCGGAGATCGCATGCGCTCAGACGTCACTAAGCTTGTCAACTGTGGTGACTGCACCAACAACCCAGCCTCACCAGCCCGCTGCGTTCTCCAAATTGTGGCTGTGCTACGCCACAGCTGCAGGGCGCCACGGCGTTGCACCGCCTCATGCATTCCGGTCCCTTCTTGCTCTTCGCCCCCTGCAGCTGGCTGGCTCGCAACGCAATCACATACCCCACAGACCTGAACGGACTAGCCACGTCCTCTGGAACACACAGTTGGTCGCAGTCTAGACGAGAGGCTGTGAACACAACAGTTCGTCGCTTACCGTGCAACATACAAGAGATCTCCAGGGTCGTGGAGATGGTCAATTACCCTGACCACGCCATCATTTTGAGAGATGCAGCTGGAGGACTGTACGATATCCATGCAAACATGCGTGTACTCGTGTCGGGCTAATGCTGGGTGCTGACAGGGCTGGATGACCTTTGTGTCCGTTTCATCATAAATCTGCCACCGGAGGAGCTCCAGTCTGTGGAGCGCATCTGCTTCCAGGTCGAGGAGGCACAATGGTTCTACGAAGACTTCATCAGACCTCTTGACCCTTCCTTGCCTTCTCTTTCTCTGCGCCCTTTCAGCCTACGCATCTTCCAGCACTGTCCGCTGTTCTCACAATGGTCGGCCCAGCATCATACTACGGCCTTCGCGGAGTTTCTGGCATACAAGTCGCGCGTGCCTGTGCGCGGAGCTATCTTATTGAGTGAGGCCATGGATGAGGTTGTGCTTGTGAAAGGCTGGAAAAAGAGTGCAAATTGGAGCTTCCCCCGTGGCAAGATAAACAAGGACGAGAATGACCTCGACTGCGCCGTACGCGAAGTTTACGAAGAGACTGGGTTTGATGCCCGGGAGGCTGGACTTGTGAAAGACGAGAAGGATATGAAATACATCGAAGTGACGATGAGAGAGCAACATATGAGGCTGTATGTCTTCCGAGGAGTGCCCCGGGACACCCATTTCGAAGCCAAAACACGGAAGGAAATCAGTAAGATTGAGTGGTACAAGTTGACGGATTTACCAACGCTAAAGAAGAGTCGACAGCATGAAGGAAGCGGCACAGATCACGCGTCCCTCAACGCGAACAAGTTCTATATGGTGGCTCCGTTCTTGAACCCACTCAAGAAATGGATTGCCCAGCAACGGAAGAAGGAGAATCGATACAGCTCACACCTTTCTGCTCCTCCAATGGTTCCGGAGGATGTGACCATGGAAGAAGAACGAGACACTGATGATATTGAAGCACGACACGCCGAAGCAGCGACGGCATCTATGAGCGATCTGCCAGAGGTTTCTGCTCCTTCGGTCGACCCGACCTCGCATCTTAAGGAGATGCTCAATATCGGATCCCAACCTATCCAACATCAAGCGGTGCTGCAACCAAGCCATATGCCGCAGATTGACACCCAGAAGTCCAACGCCCTTCTGGCTCTGTTACGAGGAAAGGCGCAAGATAAGTCGGGTGCTATGCCCCAGAGTCTGGTGGAACAAACCTCTGCGCCGCCTGAGCTTCAGCGCTCGTCCCATACATTCCATGTACCTCAACCACAGATTGATCAAGCTCGGCCACCGCCACCGTTTCCGCAGCATTTTCCTCATGTGCGGCCTGAAATTCAATCTGCCTCTGCTAGACCGCGAGAAGCCACTGTGTATCCCTTGACAGCAGCTTACCCTGGACAAGCGACTCCACAGGTCGCACCATATCAGCAAACCGGTGATCCTTTAGCAATGGAGCAGGAAGCGCCACAAACGCATTCAGCCCCAGTACCTCCGGCCAGTGCATTGCCTAAGTTGACCATGCATACCAGGGCCCTATTGGACGTCTTCAAACACGCATCGAGCACACCGAATCGACCCATGCATCCCACCCCAGTGCAGAGGTCAAGTGCTCTTCCTGGAATGGACACGATGCGTCAGTCTGAATTACAACAAGGGCCCTTTAGTCGGCACGAAAGCGACCAAACTATGAAGGCCTCTAGCAAAGATACTGTTGCCCCTGAGTCAAACCTCATCTTAGGACTGTCTCCAAACATGGGTCTGGAGGCTCAAGCCTCATCGCTACTGTCCTCCAGACGGCCCCCCAATGCGCAGAGAACATCTCTACTTGAGCTTTTCAATCAACCAACGACACCGAAGATGGTACAACCCACCGCTCAGCCTGCTGCGCCCGTCGAACTTGCAGCGACAGCGCCCCATACGCCTCCTGAGAAGCCAAAGGGGAACAAGGACGACCTCCTCCTTTCTCTACTAAGACAAAGCAGTCAGAGTGCAGCTGCGAAAGTCGACGAAACAAAAAGATTGGCGCCGAGGGAGGGTGAGACCGCGGCTACAGTCAATGGACCATTAAACCAGCCCGTGTTCGAAGTCGTACCAAAGAGCACGAAGCACGCCGACAATGAGATGGGCCGGACACGACCCACTGCCCATCGAACCCTCTACGACCCTAATGCGCCGGCACCGGTCAAGATCTTGACACGATCTGAGGAGACCCGCCCACAGCCTCCACGGTCACCAAGGGGCAATAAACCAGCGACGAAACGGGCAGTGAGGGAAAAGGCCGCTCCGAAGGAGCAAGTAAAGCCCTTTCAACCTCAAATTCTTCGTCGACCGCAGACTGCCGAAAGTGCTGCTCCTGGTGTGCCTCCACCGTTCGGCGAGGCGGTGGCTGAGCCGCGCTCTGCGAGTCCTAATACTCCTTCGACGGTTGTGCTCAACAGGGATATTGGCGAAGGATTGGTCGCGAGCCGGAAATCATCGCAGACTGATGCGCAGAAGCAAACGCTTCTATCGCTTTTCGGAGGGCAAAAGGACACGACGCCGAAGGCAACGGCGCCGCAACCGAGTCCCGGAATGGTGTCGCCTTTGACATCCAGTCAGATCATGAGCGCTAACGGAGCGGGCCCTGTGTCTGGCAATGAACCTATCTCGACCCGAACCTCGCGCGTGGGGAGCACGAGCTCTCTTGCGAGCGGGACCGGAACTGCACGTCCCGGAGTTGAGAAGCGACAGACAGGTGCCGAGAACAAAGCCTTTCTCTTGGGCTATTTGGGCAGGATCGCTTCGCAGGACCAGTGATCTAGGATGGCGGTGAGACGTCTACCAAGGTTATGGAATTGGCGCGCGGGCTCGATTTGACGAGCACATGCGGTACATCTCGGAGCCGGCGACACTCATGCAGCAATCATCTGGCGAAGTTTAAATACGGGGACGTGTCGTATTCGCTTTGGCCATCTGTTCCTCAGAGTGGGGCTCTTCTTGCATCCGTGGGTGGGTGCACAAATTATGCAGAGCTGTCAAAAGATCTCCCGTTCTTTCCTCTCCGTCTCCTTCACCCAGGCGGAGGTCCTCCAGTAGCTTTGTCTGAACTATCACGAATACGGTAAAAGGCGCGAGTGTCTTTGGTAAACAGTTTCCATTGCAGGTCGACCACTTGCTTGGCTACGAAAGTGATGACCTCAGCCGCATGCTGGGTCATTGTAGGAATGAGGCCTAGTCAACAGGACCACAGCGTGGTGAGCGTGCCCGACAAGGCTAGCTGAGGCATAGGGCCTATGATACATTAGCGGCAGCCGAGTTTCCGTCACGAGTCCATCAGTTCACCGACCTGTAGATCACCCGGTTCGAGAATGAAAGGGCGGAAGTTGCAGCATTGCCTCGTCGAATAATGAGGCGTGCACATCTGGAGCGTCTGTGGCAATACGCGGAAGTACGTGAAGCTGCGCTCAGCCGCGCCTGATCGCCCGACTCGTACGCGCGGCGGCGGCGGGCAGAGAGATAAATGCAAACTGAAATAGACGAGGATGCAGAGCGATCCTTCCTGGGATCGGCCCTGTCAGCGACAGTAGACACTTGCTGGACTCCTGAGCCTCATTTCTCCTCCTTTTCATTGTTGATTTTCAATGTGTGGCGTGTCACTCTTTCGCATGCAGCAACATGGCCATGGTGGCCATCGGAGCGGCAGGAGGAAAGAGTGACGGAAAAGACATGTTCCTCGCCGCAATCCAGGAAGCTGCTGAATCATCCTCACCACCCGCTCCCACTCCCACTCTCAGTCCCCGTTCTTCTCACAGCGTCATCCTTAGCAAGGTTGTCATAGTCAACCATGGCACGGTCCAGCAGCAACAGCCATCTTCAGTAGCAGCCGACAGCGGTATGTCATTAGTGATCCTCAATCAGCGACCGTCGTTCGTGTTCGACGCTGCCCATGCGCCGTGCTTGAAACCAACCGCTGCCGCCCCAAGTCACTCGTGTGCTGACTGTGCTTTCCCTACTTCAGACACGGATGTCGCCCACGGCCTTGCTCACGATTACAGTTCCGGCCTGAAAAGACGGACAGGCAACTTTTCAGGCAACATGTCTCCTGTTGTGGCCCCAAGCTCCTCTGAGCTCCGTCCTGCTCCCGAGGGTGGTCTAGATCCGATCTCACGGGTATTGTATACATACCCACCCATGTGTCGCTCGCCAGCTCATCCAAACGTGCAGCAAATTCTCGAAAGGACCCAATCCCAGAGCAAATTGCCCGGGCTTTCGCAAGGCGGTGTGCCTGCCAGGTCGCTTTATGCAGACTCCGGTTACTCCGATGATCAGTACTCGGGCATCTTGAAATCCGAGCCGAGTTCTTTGCGACGGGTCGATAGTAGCAACTCCGGCAAGGAAAAGAAGTAAGTTCAACACATCGTACATCAAGATCAGATGATGCCTGAGCAGACAGGCACCATCGTTTGCAGCCCCGCTTACCCTCCAGTAATCCTGTCCATGGACAAGCAATTTGTCCCCATGTGGTCCCGGTGATCAACCGCTATTGCGGCCGGAAGCTTCAGACTGACCTGACGTCTTGGCCTCCCAGTATACTGATGTACTTGTCTACGCAGGAAAGGAGTCTCCTTCCTCAGTCGAATAATGGGCAACAAAAAGCGAGACTCCTTCGAGCTTCACGACGACAATGCTTCGGAGATCGGTTCCGAGGCTCGACCTGCCGGTGTCGAGGCCGAGGTATTCTCGCAACCCATTGGGTTCGTGCCTAAGTTCCCTGCACCGCCGCGATACATCAAGGTCAAATCCCAGTACAGGAAACAGAAGGACTTCGATAGGTTGTTCCTTGCTCAGATCATACTGAACGCACCCTCCTCCAAAGGTCGCAAGGCTGAGATAGACTCGAAAATTCACGACATCGGCGAGACGCCCGCCGCTACGGGTCCCGCGCCGCCGAGAAATTCAGCAAACCATGCAATATGGGCGATGGAATTCTCAAGAGATGGAAAATATCTTGCCGCTGCTGGTCAGGACAAGAAGCTCAGGGTGTGGGAGGTTATATCCTCCGCCGAGGATCGGGACAATGAGGAGAAGCTCTCTGAGACAAACGATGAGAATATCAAGCTGAACGCCCCGGTATTCAAAAGCAAGCTATGTCGGGAGTATGATGGCCACACCTCGAGTATACTGGACCTTAGCTGGAGCAAGAACAACTTCTTACTGTCGTCCTCCATGGACAAGACCGTGCGGCTGTACCACGTGAGTCGCGCAGAATGCTTGTGCGCATTCAAGCACAATGACTTTGTGACGTCGATTCAGTTCCATCCCCGCGACGACCGATTCTTTTTGGCCGGCTCCCTGGATTCGAAGATCCGATTGTGGAGTATCCCGGACAAGAATGTGGCGTACTGGGCACAGGTCCCGGACATGGTTACTGCTGTGGCCTTTACGCCCGATGGGAAGACCGCCATCGCCGGGTGTTTGAACGGGCTTTGCATACTGTATGACACGGAGGGTCTCAAGGCCCATTCCCAAATCCACGTCCGGTCGGCACGGGGCAAGAACGCAAAGGGAAGCAAGATCACGGGCATTGATACCATAGCTCTGCCTCGAGAGAGTGCTCAACCAGATGTCAAGCTACTCATCACCAGCAATGACTCGAGGGTGCGAATGTACAATCTGAAGGACAGAACCCTGGAAGTGAAGTTCCGTGGGAATGAGAACTCATGCAGCCAAATCCATGCCTCTTTTAGTGATGACGGGAAATATGTCATCTGTGGCAGCGAGGACCGCAAGGTCTATATATGGCCAACATCCGTCAATGAACGGCCTGACAACGAAAAGAGGCCTATGGAGGTGTTTGAAGCCCATTCGGCCATCGTTACCACGGCGATAATGGCGCCTGAAAAGACGAGGCGATTGCTAGCACAGTCGGGCGACCCTCTATACGACCTATGCAACCCGCCACCAGTGACCTTGAGAAGCCGTGCAGATTCAGTCATTTCTTCCCGTGCGCCGACGAACAACAGTTCGGACGAAAAACAAATCAAAGACGAAGCCAGGCTGTCCGAGTCCCCTCGACGCGCGCCAGAAACACCGGCATATCTGGGCCGTCACTCACATCCCGGCGGTCAAATAATCGTGACGGCAGATTATACTGGACAAATCAAGCTCTTCCGGCAAGACTGCGCTTTCCAGAAACGGAAAGCAGAGACATGGGACACTGGCTCTACCTTTTCCAGAAAAATGCTCGGTCGAAGCGGGTCAGTGGCTACGAGGAACTCGGCGGCGACTTCGCCCTCACACAGAAGCTCTTTTGTCATGAATCCGAAGACGCAGTCGACCGATCGCATATTGAATTGGAGGAACTCGGTGACCCCGACCGATTCGGGCAACAACAATTCCTCGACGAGCATGTTGGAGATGCGTGGCTCGTTAAAGGATAACGAGAGGTCACGTAGCGCGTCACCCAGGAAGCTTCTTGGGCATCGACTCTCCCTCCACAAATCATCGTCTCCCCGAAAAGACAGCGTCGCATCTCCCACCTCTCCGGAATATCAATCTCCGCTACAGCAAGCGCAGAATGGGCCTGCGATTACAGTTCAATCGCCACTCGCCCAGTCGCCTCAAAGCTTTCATTCAGCACCAAGGTCACCCGACCAAGAGATGCTCACGCCACAAACCAGCCTGAAACCTCTACCTTCAAACCCCTCACCAAGCGACCTCCCGCATGAGGCAAACGACCCTCTTTTTTTGATGGGCCAGCAGTCCTACATGGCCTGGGACATGAAAAACACATTAATGCCCATGGCGGCACATGTGCCTCGATCACCGGGCCTGCTCGGCCCAGATGGGAACCCTCTTTCCCGCGCAGGCAGCTACGTCAGCCAGTTATCCAGTGATTTAACCGGTTCAGAGGAGGATCCCAGTCCCGGTGGTAGCGTGGGTGACGACGAGCGGCAGGCTTCTGCAGTCAGTGCGAAGAACAGAAAGTCCTCACGACCACGGCGACAGAGCAGTGCCGGTAGCGAGAGTGATTTGAAGTGTAAAAAGTGCGGAGGTACGACGTTTAAAGCGACCAGGACGGGAAAGGGGCAAAGTTTCCGATGTAAAAAGTGCGGGACTTTTCTTTGACAACAGTTGTTCCAGCAGCTTGTGCGTGGGTTGTCATTGGATTTGGAGTGTTGCGATTTGAATGCCTACCAGACAAGTACCCTGAGCAGATGACGAAGCATACGAGGCATGGAGCCGGTCAGTTCTGGACTTGACGAAAGTCAACCACAAGCAGGGCTTATTCCCGCAAAGGTACGTCCTCTCGTGGATATGAGGCACACCAGCTTGATATGCCGAAAATCAACGGATACCAAGATATATACTATATGTACTATACGATTCCGTCTCCTGTGGTCTTATCTTAGTCCCTCCAACCACTGACAAATCTCGCAAGAGGAATCGTTATTCCCCGGGCCCAGAGGGTGGAGTGGGTGCTGCTGGCATGCTTGTATTTGTTGCCCGAGCAAGATATCGCCAGAGTCACAAACACCCATTCTTGGATACAACGGCAACAACGAGTGAATCACAGACCACCGTTCTTGTACTTTGAAATAGCTACGAAGGACCACAGCGCATAAGTACATAGGCGATTAGGGCTTAAGCCGAGTTTTGGCCTCCCCTTCTCTGAATGCCTTCTCTTCTCGTTTTCTCCAAGAACGCAAGGCAAGCTGGAGGCTCATGGCTGGCTGGCTGGCTGGCTGGCACGCACGAGGCGGGTCATTGCTGTGCCCGGCCTGCCTGATGACCTCCCTGGGAAAAGACGTACAGTACCTCGTACCGTAATAGTGAGTACGCGTATTCACTCCCGCTCATGCACCCTTCCCCCAGCGCTCACCCGGCCGGGGTTGATGGAAGAGAAGAAGAGAAGACGGAATCTGCTCTGCCCCAAGAGCAATGAGGCAAGAAAGACGACGATGAGTGAGAAGGTTTTAAAAAGAAAGGGATTAGTCTTGGAGAGGCCCGTCGTATGGGGGACCCCGAAGAGTGGGAAGGAGATGGGTAGGATAGTAAGACCGCGAAGAGTGATCAGGGTTGGGAAGAAAGGACTGTCTTTGGTGCTGAAGTCGTGTGGGAGCACGACGGGTGAGGAAGGTATGGTATGGTATGGTAGAAAAGAGAGAGCACCGGGGGGGGCGAAGTGCGTACAAGGAGAGCATGAAGAGTGAGTAAGGTTTGAAAGGAGAAGAAGAAGAGGCAGTCTCGTGGGCGAAGCGGTATAGCATTGCATTCTCCGGACCTACTTCTGCATCCGCTCAGGACTGTGCAGTTGATGTCTACTGCTCAGCTCACTGGATTTGCAACGTTCGTGAACGTGAAGAGAGTGGGTGAGTGAGGAAGGGTCACCTCTTCGCTCGAGAGCGACAAATGTATCTGCATAGTCCGGTATGCACATCCACCCACTTCCATTGATCCATGCTTCGTGCCAGTTCCTCGTCCTTCAACAAGCCTGTCTGTCTAGCGAGTTGAACGCCGTTTCCTTAATCCAATATGCCCAGGAGGAACAGTCAAAAGTCTTGCGCATCAGGGGTATCATCGTAACATGTTGAATATCGTCAAGACGGGACCCGCGCCAGTGAAAAATTTCGTTTTTGGTAACAAGCAAACCTCGCTTTTTCTTTTCAAGTGCAGCACATAAAGAAAATTCGGTCGTGCTGATCACCACAGCCACCCGCGACCATGTGGCAATCAAGGACACCGGAGGGCTAGCAGATCTGTTTCCGGGTCTGTTGAAACCACAGGAAAGCACACCCCTGAACCCTTCCCCCCGATTCCGACTGTAAAGGAAGAACTCAACCACGCTGTCTATGTGCTCTCACAACTTAGTGGATTTTTGATCCGGCATTTGCAAGGGAAATTGGAACGCTAGGAGTCGTCGGTATCAGCCAGGAAGACAAACGCAAGCTTAGAACTTGAGCGTCTTTGGCTTTTCCCAGGTGAAGGTCTGGTCGCTAAAGTGGCCGTTCTTGGCGGTTCGGCAGTAGATGGGGTTGATGAGGTCGAGTTCCTTGACGATGACACCAGGTCGAAGGTCGAAGTTCTTGAGAATAATCTCGACGAGCTCGGCACTCGACTTGTCACTGGTGCCGTAGGTCTCGACGAACAGGGAAAGCGGCTCGGCCACACCAATGGCGTAGGAGAGTTGCACGAGAGCCCGACGAGCCAGTTTTGCGTGAACCAGAGACTTGGCGATCCAGCGTGCAAGGTACGCAGCAGAACGATCGACTTTGCTGTAGTCCTTGCCGGAGAAGGCACCACCACCGTGGGCACCCCAGCCACCGTAGGTGTCGACAATGATCTTGCGGCCAGTGAGGCCAGCGTCGCCCTGAGGACCACCAATGATGAAGAGGCCTGATGGCTGGATGTGGTAGACAGTCTTCTCGTCTAGGTAATGTGCAGGAATGACCTTCTTGATGATTTTCTCCTTGATCTCCTTCCGTAGCTCCTCGGTAGAGATGTCTTCGGAGTGTTGAGCTGAGACGACGACAGTGTCCACTCTCAAGGGCTTGACAGCACCACCGTCATGTGCGTATTCCACCGTGACTTGGGTCTTGGTGTCGGGCCGGAGCCACGGTAGCTCGCCGGACTTGCGGGCATCTTTCATGGCAGCATTGAGCCTGTGGGCCAACTGGATGGTCAAGGGAAGATATTCGGGAGTCTCATCGGTGGCATAGCCAAACATGATGCCCTGGTCACCCGCACCAAGCTTTTCCAATGCCTCGTCGTAGTGCAGACCCTGGGCAATGTCAGGAGACTGCTCTTCAATGGCTACCAAAACATTGCAGGTCTTGTAGTCAAAGCCCTTGTCGGAGTGGTCATAGCCAATGTCCTTGATAGTGTTGCGAATGATCTTCTGGTAGTCCAGGCGTGCTTTGGTTGTGATCTCACCAAAGACCATGATCATACCTGCATATGTGAGCATGAAGGGCGCGGGCTTCGGAGCAAGTTGGCATACCAGTTTTGGTGGCCGTCTCGCAAGCGACTTTGGAGAGAGGATCATCTTTGAGACAGGCGTCGAGGATCGCGTCCGAGACCTGGTCGCTGAGAAAAGCTGTCAATGGAAATGCCACAGCCGAGGAAGTAGAGGTAGGTACTCACGCAATCTTGTCCGGGTGCCCCTCACCGACAGATTCTGAGGTGAAGAGGAAAGTTTCGCCTTTCAACGTTCCGTTCGCGAGGCCAGTCATGATTGCGACTTGGTGTTGTGCTGGAAAACTACAAGGTCAGAAAGTGGTGGTCGAGAGAAGTCAAGTTTTAGAGATTTCTCTGGAAAATAATGCGGGGGGTGGTGGAGGCAGGTGGGAGAGGCGGTACCAGTTGGGAATCGGCAAGACACAGCAGATCAACCACGGCCAGTGTTTTCGTGAGCCGTGACGGTAAATCTGGGCGATCTGACTAGTTAAGAGGTCTGTTTGCAATCTGTGACGGCCAGTCTGAAGGAATGCGTGAGCAAATGGTGGGGGAGGTGGAATTATATCACCAAGGAAAAATTTGGAGGGGACGATGAGACTCGGATACCTGGATGCTGCAGGTTGGAGAAAAACGTGTGTCGCTGATGTCGTTATCAACTTGACTTTGGCGGCAACCCACTGGGCGACTGGAAGTGCCTGGCTTTGGCACCCGCACCGGCATCGGCAGCCTGTCCCTGCCCTGGCTTGCCCTGGATGTGAAAGCTCAAGGCCTGGTGGCACTAGCCAACGGGAGTACATAGCAGGTCGCCTTGGTGGCCCCATGCCGGGACTTCTCATCATTCACCTTGGACGACGAGCATCTCTTTCTCGTGGTGATGCGGTGAGCGCCCATGATGAATGGTGGGTTTTATCCTTTGCCTCTCTCAGCCTATCGGAGACATTCTCAAAGACCTTGGATCTGCCCGTTCACTCCATTGTCTGTGCTGGTCAGATCGCGCAATCGTCTGTGTTGCCCTGTGCGTTCCCCTCACTAAAACTCTGTGGATCTTGTTCCCGGCGATCAGAGGCGTACTGAACTGGAGGCGGTGGCAGAATATCTTGTCAATCGCTCAAGCCCAAATTTTAATATGCTGTACGGAGTACAGGAGAAAAGAATGACGCAGGGATATAATTCTAGAAGCAGACTTTCATTCTCGTGGACTCTTTTTAACAAGTGCCTGTGAAGCACGACGGCGCTAACGCTATTGGGAAGCCCTGGTACAAGGTCAGACTGACCACGAGCCACCCAGATCCTTCCCTTGTCCGCCATAGTCTTGAACAGGACGCAGCGGAGAGGATATCACCCTACGGATCTTGGCACAGGCTGAAACCATTGGGACTCGGAAAGTTTGGAAGGAGAGATATCCCGGAAGGTGCAGGACTTTGGCTGGAATCGAAGGCACAACCCCCGAGGATGAGGCAGCACGGCGACTTTTCACCACTCTGATAGACGACTCCAGGACCACAAAAGCACTGCTGCAACGCGCCGAGCACGACCGACTCGACGTTGAGATCTAAGGTGCAGAAACGCAGCAACCGACTTCAAAGGCATATCAGGGGACCACCACATCCGTGGTATCTCTCACCATGTCTAAATTCGGCGTGCTAGTGACCGGGCCAGCCGGGGCGGGCAAAACAACCTTCTGCACCAGCCTGATCACGCACCTCCAACACACGCGCCGCTCCTCCTTCTACGTCAACCTCGACCCGGCGGCCACCTCGTTCGCCTACACCCCCGACCTGGACATCCGGGACCTGATCTCGCTCGAGGACGTCATGGAAGAGCCCATGTCGCTGGGCCCCAACGGCGGACTGATCTACTGCTTTGAATTCCTGCTCCAGAACCTCGACTGGCTCTCCGAGGCCATCGACCCGCTGACGGAAGAATATCTGATCATCTTCGACCTCCCGGGACAGATCGAACTGTACACGCACATCCCGCTGCTGCCGGAACTGGTGCGCCATCTGTCCCGCATGGGCCCGCTGAACATCAGCCTCTGCGCCGCGTACCTTCTCGAAGCTACTTTCGTGGTGGACAAGGCGAAATTCTTCGCGGGGACCTTATCGGCCATGAGCGCCATGATCATGCTCGAACTTCCGCACGTGAATATCCTCAGCAAGATGGATCTGGTCAAGGATCAGGTGCCCAAACGGGAGCTCAGACGGTTTATCGATCCGGACGCCCAGTTGATCGATGACGACGATACGGGCAGATATCCTCTGTTACCGTCGGCTGGGGGTGCCGCATCGGAATATACAGCGCTCGACGTCGGCAACGACGCGCACCAAATCGACAATGTCATGTCCGGGGGTTCCTTCAAGGCCCTGAACCGCGCGGTCGCTAAATTGATCGACGATTTCAGCATGGTCTCGTTCCTCCAGCTGGATGTCAACGACGAGGAAAGCGTGGGCGATGTGCTGAGCTACATTGATGATGCCATTCAATTCCACGAGGCCCAAGAGCCGAGAGAGCAGAAGGAGCCAGAGTTGCAGGAGCCGGCGTGGGAGGACGATTGAACTGAGCAGAAGGGTGGGAGCAGCCTATGTGTGGCTGTGCTGCGAGGAGGATGGGAATTTCCACCAAAAATGGTCAACTACTTGTCTTCAGCGTTGGCGTCGGAAGGTCGTGCGTGTGCTTGCATTTTATGGGCCAGTCGAGGTGTAAAAGTAGGCAGCTCAGCCTCCAACAGATACCCAAAATCCAGTGCTTTTGAGTATGATCGTTTCTCCCCAATACCTCGCTCTGCATGGCGTACCCGGTACCCGGTATCCTCATCGGAACATTCTCCGCGTTGAATTGCGAGTCTGGTGCCTCCGCCAACACCTCGCTTTGCATGGCTAACCCGGTATCCGTCCTCATCGGGGTCCTGTGCTTGCATTTTCTATGGTCCGTTCGAGGTGTCAAATCAGACAGCCTCCCGACAGGCCCCCAAAATCCCAGTGCTCTTCTGATCCCGCGCTTTGCAGGACGTACAGTACCTGGTATCCTTGAGGGACCGTTTTCCGATCCTCGCCGTCACCCAAATCACAATGGCTGCATTTCAACAGAATTGCGAGTGTGTTGCCCCGGTCACGTCCAGCTGCTGGTGTTTTAGTTTGTCCTTGTCCCCCAACACCTCGCTTTGCACGGCGCGGAGTACCCGGTATCCTGATCGGAACGTTCATTGTGTTGCCTCAGTCACTCACGCCCACCCGCTCCTCCCCTTTTGTCTTCCTCGTCCCACAGGACCCGTCTGCCGATTATTACTCCACGCGCCATTGAGATGGCCGCTTCCAGTCCCATTATCCCCCGTGTGGCTATTCCCCACGACCTTCCCTTCCACGAACCCCCAGAGCAATCCAATCACCCACTCCGCATCACCGAGCGCCTTTTGAATGCCATTCCGATTGACGTAAAGCGCGGCCTGCGCCAGCACCAATACCACGACGATCTTGACGAGAAAGACAACCCACCCGATCACGCTGCGGCGGATGTAGTCTGCGATCTTGAGGGAGAGGTAGACTGTCAATAGGAACGCGGCGAGCGAGACGATGTCTCCGTTCGACGCGGCCGACAATATGGAGTGGAGGAAGGGAGAGATGTTGGTCGAGAGGGATTGGAGAGGGTCCGGGAGGTGGGGGAGGATGTAGGTGTCGTAGAGGCTCGCGAGGTGGTTGAGGAAGAAGGGTGCTGGAGGAGCCATGATGGCGGGATTTCGCGGGACTGCTCAGTTCATTCAGGGTGGGAAGTACAAAAAGATGCGAAGAGCGCTCGCGCTACTCCAGCAGAGGCGTTGTGGTACAGTGGGTGGCTGTTCTGTTCTGGTGCGTGTCGGTTGTGGGTTGTCAGGGAAGAGATAGAGGTGACAGCGAGCGACAGTTTATCCTAGACCGTGGGACACAAGCGGTAGTGAAAGTCGACCACCCGCCTGCTCTTTCTCCACGGAGCCAACAAGGATCAGTCTCTGATGACCTGGAAATGAATAGTCCGTTGGCGTCCTGCAGTCAAGCAAGCTGAGATCTTGCCCAGAAAGTTCAGTGGCGGTTGAAGATTGAGACGGGTGAGGGTCAGTCGTCGACACTGGCGCACAAAGTTACTTATGATCCAACACGTGGGGAACTTACGGGTACGCAGCCTTGTGCGCGTGCGAGGCGAGACTGTGGAACCTACCATTCAGCAGCGGATGGCGCTTCCTTGTGATGACTCTTCTGTACAGGTGAACTGGGCAACTGTACCACACAGTACGAAGCAGGTCCATCGTAAGTAGTGCTGTGTACACAATTCATGCCTTTCGCTGGCTCGTAGGTCTTTACGCTCCTTGGCAAAGGGCATGCTACAAGGAAGAGAAGGGCGCAATTATGGAAAGGAACTGTCATACCACAAGGCAAGTCATTTATTGTAGACTGCTGTCTGAATCAAGGGGCTGTGACCTTGCCCAAGTCGAGATCACCGTCATCTCTGATCTCTCCATTGCATTCATGGCAGCATGTCACAACTGTGCATATCCAAGTTCAGCCGGACAGCACCTGCCACCCGTTTCCAGTCCACTTGACCTCTAATTAATAGCCATATTGTGCTGATATACAACCCCTCGTGCTGTAAAGGGTATCTTGGTAAGTCCCTGTCCGCCCGCTGCGGCAGGAGACTCCTTAGACGGCAGACCAAAACTCCGGTAGCAAGATTCGACGGAAACCTTTGGGCTCTGCCCCCAAACCGCCAGATTGTTATCCACAAGGCGGATGATGCCTCCAGACCGTAGAGCCGTCGCTAAATATGCGTGAATTAAATATGTGGCAGAACAAGAAAAGATCTCATGACAAGCCCGTTTAGGTCCATCCATATAGCAACGCCCGGGAGGCCGCATCCATTAATAGTCGGAAGCATAGTCGAAATCCTCGTTGAGGAGCGCCTGCACCTTCTGGCGTTCAGCGGTGATGGCAGCTTCAAGACGCCTTGTTTGGCGGAGGGCTTCGTCTCTGTTCACACAAGTCAGTGATCGTCGGACTCGTAGTGTTATTTTTTTGATTTTTACCTTTCCGACTCGAGGTCGGCAACGCCCATCTGAGCAGTGTTCATCCGCCCAACGACTTCTCCCATCTCTTTCTCTGCTTCGGCGAGCGCTTTCTCCAGTTCCGCGACTTTCTTCTCCAGGTATTCGGTCTTCAGTGCTTGCTGCAATGCTATGCCAGGTCCCGACGTGGTTTGATCGAGACGTGGGCTCTTCCCAGAATTGGCAAACATGGGGGACATGGGAGAATGAGGCATTGTGGGCGTCAAGTATCCTGGTGTCTTGCGGCCGGATTTTGTGCGTGTCAATTGTATGTTGTGGCTGGCTCTTAGCACGCGAACTTCTTCCTCGTGCTTCATCACCGCCGTCTCAGATTGCATTTGGGCGACGGTGATAATCTCTTCGAGTTTCTTGAGCTTTGTCTGGAGCTCGTTGATTTGCTCAGCTGATGCTTGTTGGTTGAGTTCGCCTCTCTCCACAGCGGTGGTGAGTCGGTTCCTGAGGTCAGCATTGGTCTTCATTTGTTTCTTGACCTGAGCAGCCAGCGACTCAGACCTTTGAGCTGACATCTCGAGCTCCATGGCAAGCTCCTGCTCGCTGTGAAGCGAGCCCAGAGACTCTTGGTGCCGAGCTTGTTCTCGCTGCTGCTCAAGCTGCTTCAATGCTTGCTCGAGCGTCGACGACAGGATCTCTGGCGCCGTCTCGTCGCGGGCTTGCAGTAGCCTCTGCAGACTGGTTGTTTCTTGTTTGCTGCGGTCGAGGTCCATTTTCAGACCGGACAGACCTTTTTCACACTGCCATTTCTGTTCGAGAGCATCGTCTGCCCGTTTTCGCAGCAGATTGATTTCCGAGCGCAGAGTTCGAACTTCTCGTTCATAACCTCCTGCTTTCATGCTGCGTGATGAAGTTGCTCGATCGCGCTCGGCTTCGGTGAGCTTGAGGCGCTTCTCAAATTGTCGTCGCTGAGCCTCCTGTCTCCGCAATAAGTATTTCACAGTTGTGTGCAACGCGTTCCTTTGTTCTGTCACGTCCTTCAATTGCTCAGCGAGCGGTTGCTGATTTTCGGCGACGCCGCGGTTGGCCGTGGAGTTGGACCTGGACAGAGAATTTGACCGATTCATTGTGGCTCTGGAATTCGATCTGTTCAAGATGGTGTTAGACCTTTGCAAACCACTCATCCTGGAATGCGTCGTGGTCGAGGTTGGCGACTGAACCATTTCTCCCTCTTCGGCAATGGATTGGAATTGCATATTCATTGCCCGAGCGCTTTGAAGCGCGGCGTTCTCGTCTCTCAAGCTCTGGAGTTCTTGTTGCATTCGTGTAAACTCATAATCCGATTTCTGAGATTCGGACAAGCTGGATTCGAGACCTTCGATTTGTGCCCGCAACTGAGGAACCACTTCGTCACGAAGGTTGTCCCTGTCATTTCGATGCTGCTCCAAGTCGACGCGCAAGGCTGTTAACAGGTCTTCGAAGTTCTCCTTGGTCTGCCTTTCCTCTCCAAGTCGTCTCCTCGCGTCCTCCAGTGCAACCTCCAATTCCCTGACCCTAGCAGTAACGTCGGCGGAGTCATTGTGATGTTGTCGTGTAAGAGAAAGCTTCTGCTCGAGTATCTGAATGTGGGACTCCAATGCCTGTCTGCTGGATCTTTCATTCTGGCATTTTTGCGTCATGTCGGCTTTCAACTGCGCTCTGAGCTGCTCTGACTCTCTCTTGATCCGTTGTATGTCTTCCTTGGTGTTTCCCTCACTCGTCGAAGGCCTTATAGAACTGGCCCCGGAGTCGGAGAAGTAGTCGCTCGTTCGGTCTAGCTCTCTGTTGGCAGTGGGACCCTCAGTCTGGAGCTGTTCCACGAGATCCTCCAGGTCCATTTCTCGTTTGATCGAGTTTGCAAGCTCGGTGCTGATGTCGCGAAGCTCAGCTTCGAGCTGTGACAATCGGCCTCCATCACTGCTGCCCATTGGTTGAACGTATGATCTACCGTCGAAGTCTATCGAGTCCTGAGACGGCTGCGACGAGGGAACTCTGGGAGCAGTGGAGGGGAACGGATAACCCTGAGAGGAATGTGCTGAGACATTGGCGGAATGGCCGTAGGGTGATGGGAGTGGTGACTTGCGGTCCGAGATATCTGTAACCGAGGAGTCGCTGCTTGGCGATGCGGCTGGCTTGCGGCTGAAGAAGGACGTAAACTTGCTCCCGGGCGTCTGGGGTTTCTTCGCGTCATTCACAGTGAGTGACTTTATAGAGGAGTTCGAGTCGGTCCGTAGAGGCGCAGGCCTCGACCCTGGTTTCAAGCCCATATCCTCCTCTACAATCACGCCATCCACCGAGTGACCATCTGATCGTTTCGACGCGTGACTCCGACTGGGAGAGCCTGCGTTGTTCTCGGCCGCAATTCGAGGGAGGGACCCGTTCGTGTTCGTCCTTGCCCTTGTTCGACTGTTCTGCTCACTGCTCGGTGAATTGTTGTTGAATCCTCTGCTGTGGTCAGCTTGTCAAAGCGCATGGTTAGCATGGGAGCCCACCTACATCTGAGTTGTCGCATCAGATGGAACCCTCTTCCTTTGTATCTTAGGTGGGGAAAACTGTGAGGTCTGCTGAGGCGAAGGTAGCTCGGGAGAGCTGGCAGTAGGGGATGTGCCCGAAGGGAGTGGTTTTCGACGAACGGGAGAGCCCGTGGAGAAGGGATTCAGAGCGGCTGCAATGGAGTTGGAAAGGGAGGGGAGACGTTGTAGAGGAGGATGTTCTTTCGGAGGAGGTGGTGGAGGAGCAGCCGCCGAGGCGAGGCCTCGAGCATCGTCGTCCATGATGGGCTATCAACACCCAGGGTGACTGTGGAGGTTGCCGGCCGTGCGCGGCGGTAGACAGACAGATCGAGGTCGTTTGAGGCTTGCCGATGGCCCGTTCAGAGTAGCGACATGTTTAGACTGGTGCTTTGGCCATGTAGATCAGCCACACACAGGTAGCGATCCCACACACAGCTCTGCTGGTGGAACACGACGAGTCTGGCTGATTTGCGATTGATAGCAGAAGAGGGTGCTCGAGGTACCAGCAGAGGGATCAAGTGGCCGCCCAGCAATCCAAGAGGGTTAGTCGCCCTGGCCGGCCCGGCATTCCATTGGCCCAGCCGCAAATTAAGCTCACTAAATCTCGACAAGCGGCTACAGCTGCGACACCGTCTCGAGCATCGGGACAGGCTAGAGCAGGAGACGACCGAATTTGCAGATGGAACACTGCTTGATGAACGCAGAGAACGCGAGATCCCCTCGACCGAGCTCTTTGTTCTCTCCGGAGGACGAACAGTGACTTGCATATGATTGCAAGGGCACACGCATCTCGCTAAGAGAACCCATGAAATGCTTGAAGCCCTGAACCCCAAGGACTCTTTTGCGCCCCAGTCCACAAGGTTCTTCTATTTGTGAGGGCCTCCGCTCGTGCCGCTACCATCACGCACTATGGACGAGACCGCTCAAGGGGACCGAGAGTAGGAAAGTGTAGAGGGAAAACCCCACGGTCAGTTTCCTGCTGCTTTCAGCTCCAGGCCAAGCTGAAACCGTCGTGATGCCGATTCGCCTGCCCATTGTCAAACCCTTGTAGCCAACAAAGAACGAGTCCTGCAATGCTATCTCGTACGTACTCCGTACCGTGCATAGCTTTTCTCTTTTCTTCAGCTGCCGAGCATTCGATGCTCAGATGCATTCATCCCCAACTTCTACATGCCAGCATCAAAGTCCCAGGTCGACCGCGACGTCCCTTTAGACTAGCTCGAGATCCCTTCTTCACGTCTGCTGCACCCCGTGTCGATCACATCATGCGTTTTGACACGAGCACGAGTGAGGGACCGTCTACGGCAAGGGCCTCCACTGGCTTGGTCCAGTGGGAGAGTTTTCTCGCTTACGAGCCCCTGTCGCTTGGCAGGGGAAGCTGCATTTTCCGCCATCTGCACCACCGGGCTCCAGAGCGTGGAGAGCATGACCTCGACTTTTCCCCCTCGATCCGGCATGACGACCGAAGAGGATGATCTCGGCTCTGCCCTGTCGACACCGACTCGGGATAGCGGGCTGCTATTCTTGACATGAAGGACGGCTAGTTCGGAGATGGCGCAACGGTCGCACGCCCGCCAGAACTGTTTAGGACGCCACAGAGTACTAGGGCCGCAACGACGAAATTCCAGGCCGCACTGTGAATCTGGCCTTCGACAGAGTACTACATCTACAATACAGATTCGCGTCGATCTGTAAAAGCCATGATCCTTCTCAGGAAGCCTGGCAGCGAGGTTCAGTATCTCGGCGTTTTATACAATACCTCCCACCGCCAAGGAATCTGCACGCGGGGATGGCATAGGTAGGTTGAACGATGGTGACCGCGGCCGCCGTACCGGCTTGCTCGACATCGGTAATGCTAGGATGGAAATCTGATTTGCCACGATGGACCTTTAGCAGATGCAGTAATTTCTTCGAAGGTGGTACTCCATACCGTAGTCGCAGGAGCGACGGCTACTCCTTGACTCACATTACAAGTGTCCCTTGGCCCTACTGTTAAGTGACTGTAAACCCACACGTTTTGCATGTGGAAGTCCATGCGCCGCTAGTCGTTACATGTTTCGCAAACCAACGCCTTGATATGAAGACTCGGAATCTCACCCAAGTCCAAGCTTTGGTATAGATTCCACATCATAACAGCCCCCATTTCGCACCTTACTTGCTCGTCAGCTTCTTGCTTTCATCGTCACTGTCTTCCCCATCACTCCACTCGCCACCTTCGTCTCCAACCGCAAAAATGGTCTCTCCGTCCAAGGACATTCTCGATTGAGGTGGTGCCCGGATGGGCGGAGGTGCTTGGCTGCTGTTTTGCAGTGCAGGTGCCGGGGAGGGCTTGCGAGCAGGTGCAGGCTCCTGAGCCAGCGAGTCCATGACCGTCGTCGAAGCTCCGCCCGTAGGAGGGACAGCACGTTCATGATCTTTGCGTGCGTTTTCTTCGTCCTCGTCGTCGAGGGAGTCGGCGATGCTGCGGATCTCGAAGCCATCGTCGTCTTGAGCAAGCTGTGAATGAGTGGTCAGCCATGCTCCCATGATCCACGACTTGCTATTGTCTATTGGGAACAGAGCGAGACTCACCTCATCACTCATCGCAAATCTTCTGTTATTTGCCGTCGGCCTCCACAGATACGCAATAAAAGCAATGTTAAACAAGTATACTATGTTCAACCATCCGTCCAACACAAACCACCTGGTCTGCCAATGATCAGGCACGAAATTCGCGGCGCTTGATCCCGCGAAGGCGAAGCTGTTGATGAAGAAGAATGCGAAGATGACCAGCACGGAACCCAGGATGCACCAGGAGAGTTTCCTGTACATCATGGCTTTGGTCTTTTGCTTGCGGTCGATAAGGTCCTTGATTGTGAGGTTGAGCGAGGACAGGGTCCAGACGTAGAAGGCTGTCATGGTACCGGCTAGCGGGAGGATGACGAAGAGGATTAGGGGTCCGACGGATTCGGGCGTGACGGCCATCGAGGCGATGGCGTAGATGACGCCGAAGATAAAGTGTGCGGCAGCTAAGATACGGACGTAGATCATGGTTTTCCCAAGTGAGGGTTTCACCACGCCGTAGCCCATGCAGACGATCAGCAGGAGGAAGAAGGAGAAGGAGTTTCTACCAGCGTTGAGAATGGAGACGATGATCATGAAGACTTTGTTGAGGGTGTTGTTGCCATGTCGATTCTGGTAGTCGTAGAATCCCCATGTCATGAGCTGTTCGACAATCAAGAAAATAATGATGGCCGTTATGTAGTTCTGGACGGGGAGGATGTCGGAGCGGTTCTGGAAGTAAAGGAATGCCCAAAACACACCCAGCACAGCGTAGACGATAGTCAAGCCGCCATAAAAAGGGAGCTTGGCTATCTGAGCAGCGGGCAGCTCCCCGTACGCATTGCGGAACTCCACGACGCCGTTGTACTCGTGCTCCGAGTAAGCGTAGGTCGAAACGCAGTAGTAGCCCGTCCGGCGGATCGGGTAGTTGATAGCCTTGGGATCCTTGAGATGAATCGCTTCATTGTAGATCGGGCTCCTCGCCGCGTCTGTAGCATTGGGAGCCAGGATGAAAGCACCGATATCTTTCTCTTCGCATAACCCTTCTGACACCGCCCCGGGTGTGCATATTGTCTCGAGATCTCGGTATGACTCTGCGTTCGGCGGCATTTGGCCTATAAGGGGCTCGTCTTGCCATTCGAATATGATCAGGCTTGCGAGAGGATCTGAATCGTCTTCGGTGTGGTCGGGCAGGAACTTGACCAGGATAAAGGGCTCGATTGTCCCGCCCCATGACTTCCGACTGTACATGCCAGCACATCGTTGCCGGTGCTCGTCATCTTGTTTCTGCAGCGATCAGCATGCCCGCTTTGAATTTAAGCGGATAGAAGTCGTGGCGCACAATCTGCATTTCATTGCCAGCCACAAGGGCCGCGAGATACGCCAGGAGGCCGAGCGAAGGCACCCATCGCCGCATGATGTTGGAAGAGCTGCAACGAATGGGATGGTGGTCGTGCAAGGGAATGGGTTGGATGTCTCTAGCAAGACTGTATGCTAAGCAGAGCGCATCCTCTCATCTTGCACTGCTGCGGGAGATGTGTTCTTGACTGTATTGCAAGATTCAAGCAGTAAGGTGGAAGTTGTTTGTTCGAGTTGTCCATGTTGCGCGGCCCCGTTTTTGGGCGCAGCTGCGCAACCAGCCAACCGCAGCATGTGCAGAGTCACCAGCTCCATGTCGAATCATCCGCTTTGACACACGTACTATCTACTGTATACGGGATCAGGACTTTACTTCTGGGTTGGATAGCTCAACTCCTTTCAAGTACATCGCTTGCATTGCCATCTCGTCCACCACATCGCGAAACCTGAAGGAGGGTGGGACAGGTCACCGCTGATCACAGCCACCCATCTTGTCCTTGTCCAGCTCGGCTGCCTCTTGCTCCTACTTGAACTTCGCCTTCCCTATCAAGCTCCTTGCGGTGTCGCAGATGTGGATAAGCGGACCGACAAATTCCCCGTCGAAGCCACTGCACTGACGCTCGTCCACGTCTAGAATCTCATTGATCGCTTTAAGAAGCCCGCTGGCCACCGCGCGATTGCTCGTAATCGTCGTGATTTGCCGAACCCAGCCATAGAGAAACACCGAGGCGTTTATGGGAGTGAGATGCAGCGAGTCCTTCGCCCGAGTAGCAATAGAGGCAGGGAACGCATGGCAGAACCGAGCATCCACTGCCATCAGATCACGGCCAGACGATAGGACTTCGTGCACGTCCATGTCGATAACTCTGACAGGGAGCCGTAGATCTTGCGGGACATGGTGCAAGGAATGCTCGCCGAAAGCCTGCCTCAAGCCTGATGCTGGTTGATCTTTGTATTGACCCTCGCCCAAGAGGACCTCTGCACGTCTTCGTTCACTCGATGTCGCCATGATCTCAACGATTTCCCGCATCCGCTGTGCGGCATGCGAAGTACATTCCAGATTTCGATCAGCAAAGAGAGGATATATCTCGCTCGGCAGTATAGATGCTGACTCTTCAGCTTCAATTTGGTTCATGATTGCTCTGTGATAGTGTGGGGACTTGCCGATCGCATCGGCACAAAGTTGATGCCGAGAAAGATGAGAGATGTCCGATATCAGAGCTAGAAGTATGGTACAGTCGACATTGATGGTTGGTGTCAAGGGATCATTTGCCGAGGTAGGCATCATTCTGTCGAGGTCAAAGTGCGCGAGCTCGCGGACGTTGTCCGTCTCGTTGCTGCATTGTACAACTGCACCAGTTGCCCGCAAATCAGCAAGAAAGGCGTCCACCTCCGCAAGCACGCCTTCGCGAATCTTCGGAAGGACGAATCGAATCTGCGGATGTCGGAAATGTACTCTGGTTTCCTGAGCAGCCGTCCTAAGGTCTTCCGCGAGGCGCACGAGCTCGAGCCTGCTGCCTCTGTCCTCGGCTTCCTGTTCGCTATCCTCATTGCTATCCTCTCCGTTGTAACCGCTAGCATTGCCATAACGCTCCCAGCCTTCCTTCGCCATCTCGAATAGAAGCCGTTTCTCCGTCAAAGTGGAGACTTTGATCCATTCTAGACCATTGTGAGCGGCAATGTCCACGACAACTCCTTGCTTGTGAACATCTCCAGGCTCGCCAGCTTGGCTTGCTGGAGTCCCGTTCCCAGATCTTCCTTGAGCGCCGCAGCCATTTCGTGCGGGGTGCATTTTCTTACCTAGGGACGTGATGCACTCGCTCGATTTGGCCACATCCCAAACCGTTTCATAGAATGGAAGATTAGAACTCCTCAATGCGTGCAATTGCGGACTTTTCTCCTGCTGGTCGTGGACGGAAGGGCAGCCATCGGGACTCCCAAATACAAGCCTTAGCTTCTCTAGAGTCCTAATCTCTGACTCGATTCCCCGCTTGAATGCCCGGAGCTCGACTTCTTGTTGTCTTCGATGCAGTTTGAGATGCTCTTGGTAACGCCGAAACTCTCGCAATAGTGCATCTGCACGTTTTTGCAGATTTGCGACGAGCTCAACCGGAGATGAAGGGGATGACCCATCGGATACCTCCATATGCACAAGCATCTTTGCCCTACTCGAACCAAGTATGTCCGGACTCGGACTTTCCTGTGTGAGGGTGGAATATTAAAAGAGCCAGACGCAGCGTGGCAGGTTGAAGTGCGACATGCATTGCGGAGATAGAAGCCCAGCTGAACTTCTTATTGGCGGAATGGACATACCACGCCAAGCGTTAAAGTCCCTACGTGGGATCGCGTCTTTGACTTCGGATCCGGCATAGTTCGTTGATAGATTGCCTGTTGTCGTGTCATCGTCGGGGAAAACTCTTCAAAGATCTGTGTGTTTGATCTGGTCGCCTGGCAACCACATGCACACCTTGGTGTCCGCAGTCACCAGCTGATTGTAACGAGGGTTGCATTGCACGACCGGTGTCTTGATGCCTCGACTGTTCAGTCGGGCGGTAGGTTCCAGCAGGATGTCGGCGGTATTCTGAGTGTCCCAGACGAGCAGATCCGACTCGCCTGTTCCACCCACGACATATCTCCCATCTTGGGTAAAGCATACATCTCCTTGGCCCAGTGGCTTTCCAGAAGTTGACACTGGCGCAGCCCTTCCGCTTCCCGCAGTCTTGCCTACCAGGAATGATTTGACTGTCCCATCGAAGGCGTCCAGGACAAAATGACCATGATAATCTGTACCAAGCAGCATATGTTTCCCATCGTTGGAAAATTCCAGCTTTGTCCATGCCCTGCCTTTCGTAGTTGGAGTGTAGCGATCCTCCGCTTCCAGCATGTCAAACGTCGCAAAGGGGGCTTTATCGAAATTGCGGACGTCGTACAGAAGGATCGAAGAGGTAGCTTGCGACGCTATCGCCATGATCTGAGCGGAGGGGTCGTATGCTGCAAGATACGGAGTCACCAATTTGAGCTTGCCTTGGGGGCTCCTTGAGTTCAAGTCCCACAAGCAAACCATGTCATCATTGCCGCATGAGAGAAATTGGTCGCTAGCGGGAGACAGAGCGATACAGGTGACTTGGCCGGTGTGAGCAGTAAAATAGCGAACGAAGCTCTCGTTGTGAAGCTCTAGTAACCGCAGAGAGTTTTCTTGCTTGGTACTAGCGAAAAGTACATTCCGTGAATGGTGAGTGAACCGAGCTAGATGGATGCCGTACTTCTTGCTAGGTATTGTCTTCGTCCTCTTGCCCTCTTTGATGTCGTATACGTGCATTGTCTCATCGTCAGAGGCTGCCACCAGAAATTCGCCCATATCATCGAAATCAAGGGAGGTGACCCGGGTCTCGTGTCCGTCTGACCGAGTCGAACAAGGGAATTGCTTATAGAAATCAGCATGGGCCGGGCCTTGAGGACAGAGGCACTCACTCTTGCAGGACGATAGTGTTTGACCACATCGTGTACTTTCTGTTGGGTGGGGATCGCCATGGGGGTTGACAAGTGTCTGGGTTCAAGATCCCTCAGAATGGCGTCTACAAAGAGGATTCAAGACGAAAGGGCAAAGCCTCGACCGGGAGTTGAGGGTGGCTTGAGGGTAGAACGAACCTTCGAAAGCAAACAATGCAGGGCGTGACTCGTATGGGCTGCTGGAACGAAATCGCATATTGGGAACTTTCAGGTGAAGTTGTGGAGAATGCAGATGCGCCTCAGATACGAATAGGCATGACAGGGTGCAGGTGCAAGTGCCTGGGCTTCGGGTATCAGCGGGTATCTTAACTAGGGCCCTGCTTGCGCCTGCAGCGGCTTTCTCCACGAGGCAGAGGCTGATTTTCGGTTACTTCAGTGCTCCACGCTTGCAACTGCTACCCGTTCCCAAGCCGACCCCAATGGCACTACTGTACTCCGTACCTTGCTCCGATTGTCGCCCCAGAAATCCTTTCGAAGTTTTGTCCTCCCGTAATAATTTATCCCTATGAGCATTTCGCGCCCCGTTTTCCGCAACGCTGACGCACCACCGTCTGCTTACCATTTCGTATCAGAGATCTTCTCACCGACCGGGAACATGGGCGCCTGACCAGCCATTTCTCGCAATAAACCCACGTCGAGGTTGAGGAAACGGGGACAGGAGGGCGCCCACTCGAACGCTTGACCATGTCGACAACAACCGGTGCATTCATTGCTGGCGGCATTGCTGCTTGCGGTGCTGTCACCGCGACACATCCGTTCGAAACAGTAAAAATCAGGCTGCAGCTACAAGGGGAACTGCAGTCCAAAGACGTTGCTGTCAAAAAATACCGTGGTGTCTTCCATGGTGTTGGAGTGATCGTGAAGAACGAAGGCTTGAAGGGAATATACCGGGGTATTGGATCGGCATACGTATACCAGATCCTTCTGAATGGCTGTCGCTTGGGCTTCTACGAGCCACTGAGAGCTACGTGCACAAAGCTCATTTACAAGGACGCCAGTGTCCAATCCCTCGGCATCAACATCTTTTCTGGTGCATCCTCTGGCATTCTGGGAGCAATGGCCGGCTCACCCTTTTTTCTGGTCAAGACCCGATTACAGTCATACTCTCCATTCTTGCCAGTCGGCACCCAGCACAAGTACCGCAATGCTTTCGACGGACTGTCACAGATCTATAAGGCCGAAGGCGTAAGAGGTCTCTATCGAGGCATGGGCGCATCGATGGTCAGGACTGGAGCAGGAAGCTCGGTCCAGCTACCGACATACTTCTTTGCAAAGAGACGGTTAATACGTCATTTCGGTATGGAGGATGGCCCTGCGCTGCACCTGCTAAGCTCGACGGCGAGCGGCTTTGTTGTTTGCATCTGCATGCACCCGCCGGTATGCTAGGCTCACTCCCACATTGCCTCCATAGACACCTCTAACTTGTGATACAGGACACTGTCATGGCCAGATTGTACAACCAGCACGGCAATTTATATAACGGCATTTTCGACTGTTTATGGAAGACCATCTCGACTGAAGGTGTGCTTAGCGTCTACAAAGGATTCACAGCCCATCTTGCTCGGATATTGCCTCATACGATCCTCACTCTGTCATTAGCAGAGCAGACGAACAAACTAGTACGGGGAGTTGAGATGAGAATTCTACCAAAGTCTCTCGAGGAGAAGCTGTAGGGTGGCGGCCTAGGTCAGATCACTTCAGCGTTGCATGCTGCGGCGTCGGCCGGACAAGGCTGCATCTTCTCATCTTGTTTGTGGTTTTATCTTGCTGCGATCAACCAATTGGTACGTGCATGGGGACTGTCTATGGACATAGCACTGGATCGATAAGGAAGGCCGGGGTTAACAATATCTAGCGGTGGAAACAGCTCCATGCAGAAAGGAGAGTTGCAGAACGTGCTTGTAGATGGCCTCGGTCTTCGCTCGAGCTCCTTTGGCTCTGGCTCTCCCAACTCGCTCGTGTCAGACATCCGTGCTAAACATTGCTGGGTGCTCTATCTGCAGATGTTGTCGCATGGTCGTAATGTGGTACACTATTTCCACATGCGCATTTGCGTCCAGACCATCCCAGTGTCTTCACGTACCAGAGAAATGGGAGGCTGGTGTGTCGGCCAGGCTCTGGATGCCGACTTCGGAATTTAAGACCAGCGACAGAGCAAGCTCATACGTCATCGGCTAGATTAGATTAGATTTTCAGGGAGCTCTTATGATGCTCAGTCCTCCCTATTCGTGCAGAAACTTCAGGCAGCTGTCCCAGGAAGGTAATGAAAGGCTGAAGGAGGACTGTGGTCTCAACCCATACAGACACATTTGTTCAGCGTTCCGTAAACCAGAATCCACTGCATGGTGACACTCATGGTGGATTATTTTGATTGTTTTGAGTGGGACTCCAATTAGTGGCTGGCAGTCGACACGCTCTGTCACGCTACGTCGAATACACGTCCACGCCCTAGCGCGTCTGCGTGTCTTTAAGAGCATTGGGTTCCCATGCAGTCTTTCACTTTCTCATACCAACAACCTACTGCAATCTTTACCTCGTCCCACCCTTTTACAACTGCTTCTTTGTTCTCCTACATTATCTACCTCACACGCAACAATGGCAACTCAAGTTACACCGTCTAAACAGGTACATTTTGCCACTTGCATCATTGACTTGTCTGTGAGGTACATATTATTAACGGATACGCGCAGGCGGCTGCAAGCCTCGAATCGCTCAAAGTCAAGGACAGTCCCATCAAGAAACTCAACTTTGACACGGAAAACAAGGAAAACATGCCTGTCACCGTCGAATCAGCCGAGTCCACTGCCGCACCCGCGTCTGAGATGGAGAAGAAGCCCGTGCTAGAAGCCAAAGAGCAGATTGAGCAACCTAAGGTCGCAAAGACCCCCAAAGAGCTTGAGAAGGAAGAGCCTCTTTTACAAGAGAACCCCCATCGCTTTGTTCTCTTCCCTCTCAAGTACCACGAGATCGTACGTGTCGTCCCCTAACAGTCTCTTGTTCATTCAGTAATTGATCTTCAATGTGATGGCTAACACTATGTGTCGCAGTGGAACATGTACAAGCGTGCAGAGGCTAGCTTTTGGACAGCAGAAGAAGTCGACCTATCGAAGGATCTGCACGATTGGCACAACCGACTGAACAACGATGAACGCTACTTCGTCTCCCACGTGCTCGCTTTCTTTGCTGCATCAGACGGCATCGTCAACGAGAATCTGCTGGAGCGTTTCAGTGCCGAAGTGCAGGTACCTGAGGCACGCTGCTTTTATGGGTACGCCTCCTCGCCCCTTGTACTACTGCCTCAGACACTAATGGCCTTCCAGCTTTCAAGTCATGATGGAGAACATCCACTCTGAGATGTACTCACTCCTCATCGACACATACGTGAAGGACCCCAAAGAGAAGACATACCTGTTCGATGCTATCGACACCATCCCCTGCATCCGCAAGAAGGCCGACTGGGCTCTGAGGTGGATCTCCGACAAGGACTCCACGTTTGGTCAACGTCTGGTTGCTTTTGCAGCCGTCGAGGGTATCTTCTTCTCCGGATCGTTCGCTGCAATCTTCTGGCTCAAGAGCAAGGGTCTGATGCCGGGTCTTACCTTTTCGAATGAACTCATCTCTCGTGACGAGGGCATGCACACCGATTTTGCATGCCTGCTCCTGCAGCATCTCAACCACAAGCCCGATCCAAAGCTTATCGAGAACGTCATCACCGAGGCAGTCGCTATTGAGAAAGAGTTCTTGACTGAAGCGCTTCCTGTGGGTCTGCTGGGCATGAACTCCAAGCTTATGTGCCAGTACATTGAGTTTGTCGCCGACCGTTTGCTGCTTGCCATGGGCAACAAGCGAGTATACAACGCTCAGAATCCTTTCCCCTTTGTAAGTGTGGCCTTTACAAGATTCCACTGATCAAATTGCTGATCTTCTTTACAGATGGAAAACATCTCACTAGCCGGCAAGACAAACTTCTTCGAGAAACGTGTCGGTGACTATCAGAAGAGCGGTGTCATGTCTTCGACCAGCAAGAAGTCCGAAGACAAGTCATCAGCTTCATCACCCAGTCAAGAGAAGACTGAGGAAGCCAGCAATGGCATCAGCTTTGACGAAGACTTCTAATCCCTCCAGCTTTCATCATGACCAATTCATCTTTTCGAGGTACGGAGCACTCGGTGGCGTACGGCGTTCTCGCGGGTACGGATGACGAGAACGAAGACCTTAGAGGGTGGCTCATGCTTTCTCCACTTTGTTATACCCACTTGCATCATAATGTCATACTCACTGGGCGAGAGAACCCAGCCAGGCACGGGCGTAGGCGCCGCTCCAGAGACTTGTTTGATGACCACTACCTGACTGCAGTTGAGCACAGTCCGTCGTCACCTCTTGTGCTGTGAAATGATGGTGCTACAGATTTTTTTGGAAATTCAGGCACGGGGGAGGACATAGCGCGGTGGTGTTCGGGCTTTGTACGGAACACATACATTCTAGGAGGCCACTAGGTAGTTCAGGAGCGGAATTGAAAACATGCAGCTTGCTAGTTGTCTCCCTGCTCTTCCACGTCTGCCACACAATTAGAGCCCCTGCATAAGCGAGTATTACCAGCCTCGTCGTCCCAAAGGGCTTGGAAGCATACTGATCCGAGTACCAAGGAAGAATGAGAAATTAACTGATACGTAGTATGAAGTCCTCCGTGCTGTCATGTGCCCGGCGACGATAGCGTTGCGACACAATCATCCTGGTGCTCCTCTCGGCACAATGAAAAGGATTCCAGAGGCAAGAGCACTATACGAGTTTGGAGAGTACACGGGCGCAGATACTAGCCGCTCGAGATTCATGGAATATCCTTCCTGGTGCAGAGGCCCAGCGAGGCCCAGGTAGCGCAGGTAGGTATATATGTACAGTAGCAGGCTCGAGCTTTGATGTCTACCCTCCGCCTCGCCTCGGATTCCCCAAAGCCTATCCCGGTCACTAAATGGCTTTATGTATCTGCATTGTACTGTAGAGCTGGGGTCATGACGCCGGTGCCGCACGAGAAAGCCCAGTGTTAGGGCATTCCCGGTTCTACTAGCATTGCGTGGTCGATGTCTAATCTGGCATTCACAGTGACGTCTTCGCATTCGACGTCTCTCTACTGTGCTTGCATAGCCGCGTGCTCGTCTGATTAGGTACGGAGTAGTTGTCTGCTTGTTGTCCTCGTGCCCTCATGGATGGTGTGGATGTTCGTCAAGATCGTGGCCGGGATGAGGTCTAGACCATCACAGATTCCCTCCCCCTGTGTCGACGTGCTCGAGACCACGAGCGCCCCACCAACAGTCCAGGATAGTGTCTTGCACGTCTGACTCATTCGTCCTGATGCCGGTACGAGTACAAGCACCGGTGCCGTATATCTGTCGAGATCATACCAGTGCAGCCGGCCAGCAAGGTACTCACTCACTCACTGGATCATTCGCTCTCTCGATCGCTCGTGCGCAAGGAACGATGGGATCCCGCCTCGTGGCTAGAACGCCTCATTTCTTGCCCTTCTTTTTCTTTGCCTTCCCGCCACCACCGCCACCACCTCCTGCCTGCTGTGTGACAGCCACGGGCGGCGCAGTGGCTACTTTGTCCTCCATCTTCAAAACCGCCCCGCCGTCGATATCCATCTTATCGGCATCCCCGTCCGTGGTAGCTGTAGCTGTTGCGGCCGCAGAAGCAGCACTAGGCGGCTCGATGGTCTCCCCCCTCGCCAATCGTCCCAGACCGGTCAACAGCCTGCCTACCTCGGCAGCCTTGTCGGTGCGGTATTTCAGGCAGATCCCGCTTTCGGGGTGGTATGTTTTGAGGGTGAGTGTCGCGGACGGGTCGCGCTTAGGTTGTGCTTGCGTGTGGCTCGACGTTTCGGGTGCTGAGTCGTTTGCTGAGGCGGCCGTATCCTTTGAGCGGTCGAGGTTAGGTTTGGATTTTGATTTTGCCTTTGCGTTCGGTTTGCGTGGGAGGGAGTATTTCGTTGTGATGCGCGTCGTGGGGTACGCTTGGATGAGGAGAGAGGACTGGTGGAGATAGATGTTGAGGTCGGAGAAGTAGGGCATTTTGAAGTGCGACGTGCTGGAGGGGGTTCCGAGGTTTTGAAGAACGGGAGGAAGAGGAAATGTCCTTCCTGTAGGCTGGCTAATTGTGACAGGGTGTAGAATTTGTGCCGTGCTATTTCGGCATGCTTGATTCCTAGCCGCCTCTGGGTAGGTCCTCAGTTGAGAGGTTAGTTGAGGCTTTAATATGTCATCTAGAAACCCGGATCTTTCGTCTTGAGACCTGTGATGGACGGACTGCAAATGGATTTGTTCTTGAGCCCTGGTCACATCACACTGGTCACGACTGGTGTGCAAGTGTCAATTGAATGCGGAGGAAATGTGCGGGGGATTTCCGATCTTGGCGGCCGTGTCAGTACACAATACGGAGCACGGAGGAATCAACAATAGACAAAAGCTTGGTGCCAATGTCAAAGACAACGAATCCATGCATCTATTGACCTTCTACGCTGTCCAAGTACGCCAGTAGCATGTGGCGTCGCCTCAAAGATTGCCTGAAAGACGGCATCCTGGTTTACCCGTGCAGGTATGTATCTGCTACCCAAATACCAGTGCCCGTCTCATCTTGAGAACGTGCCCCTTCAGTCAGCTGTTGACGTGGCACATGAGATGCTACGAAGTCAGGACCTCATGGATCACTTGATATCGGGGTCCTCTTGGGATGGTCAGTTCTCGTCACATTCCCCTTGAGCCTACCATCAAAACCTGACCTCCTTGCCATGTTATCGTCCTTCTGCCAGTATCTTAGAGTCCTCTCTATTCTTCTCCGCGGCTCTGCCATGTTGCTCTCCACCGGGCTAACGCTAGCATGTGGTCTTCGCCTTCAACTCAGCGCTGCAAAGTGGTTGCAGCCAATCCTCTCGCAATGAGGAACCTAGCCTGGTGCATGAACATCTCGACTGACGACTGCCAGGCGGCAATGGCCGAGTCGATGTCCCCAAACCACCGTCCAGGCTAGAAGTTCGTCACTGCGTTATGCGAGATGGGCCGATGGCAGTTGGGAATGATACTCACAGGTAGAAGAAGGCAGTGTTTCCTCAACTCTTCAGACCTAATAGCGGCTGGGGGAATATACAAGTATCCGACGTGTACCTCGGAGGGCCAGAAAATGTGGCCATTTCTCCCAATGTATCGTCTCGACGCTCTGAAGCCGTTCTTGAAGCTTGGAATAGTGCACCAAAGCCTGCCAACGGCACGGGACCCCGCCCATTGTTCAACTTCGCCCTCAAGGACGCTAATCGCCCTACGAGCGGGCCACCAGACGTTTTTCGCCAAGACATTGCTGCGTCTGCGGTAGAGATGGACTTTGGGCACAGCTTGATTAGAGGCTTGCCGTTTTGCTGATCTTCGGACTCCAAGCAGTTAACACCCCAAGGAATATCCCGAGTGGGTGGATCGTGGATCAGTTCGTGGCGGCATCCAAACAGTCATTCGGATCCGTGTTCAAAGTCGTGCAGCTGCACGAAGCGGAAGCTACACAAGCCTTTTGAATGGCATCTGAACTCTGAAACTCGTCATACGCACGGGTCCTTGCTTGCCCAGTTCCTGTCCCCCAAGTCAAACCGCCGCATGGACGACTTCGGCAGCACATCCCCAGAGCGAGCTGAGATTGTCCTTCGCATTATTCGCGCTATCAGAGACGCGACAAGCAAAGAATTCTGCATCGGCATCAAGCCGAGCAGCGTCGACGCAGCTTCGTCAGAGTCTGTCTCGGATATGATTGACGAAATCGGCGTGATAGTCGAATGCGGATCGATCCTACGAACAGCCTCGAATGTTGGCTGAACCTGCAGCAGCCACAACGCCTTCCAGGAATGCCGAGAAAACCGCTACGGAGGAGAGCTTCTTCTTGGAATTTGCTAAAACCGACAAGCTCTTTCCATGCTTGTCCTTATGCTGACCAGGGGTGTTCAGGACGCGGCTCGGCATGGAAGAAGCGCTGGAGTCACGCGGGTGTGACCTGAGAGGCATCGCACGGCCGGCAGCAATTCTGCCCAGGTTGCCAAAGGATATCATCTTCAACAGGGAAGATCTCCCTGGCGAGGAGGCGCAGGTGTCGTTGGCTGCGCTGCGCCTTCCCTGGCTGTTCCAAATATCGTCCGGTCAAGCCAGTTGGAGCCGGCTCCGAGACTAAATACTATGCTTCACAGATCCACAGGGTAAGCGCAGCATTAATGCTTATAGGGATGAAGTTGACGGTCTCCAAGAGCGGCTGGTTGCATCATCATTTGATGCACCGACTCTCCAAGGCGAATGAAGAGTCAGTAATAGAATTGTTGTAGCGCGACATAGCAGTCGGATGGAAGTAGACACCAGCGGGCGGGTAGACTCGGTTGGACCATCATTGCAGAGGCACGAAGTACTGTACACGAGGAATGGTCCCCGATCGGAGGATGTGCGGAGAGTCTCTCACTGAGGTCGACGGGGTAGAGCCGGATTCCTTCGACGACGACATCTTGTACGAGTACGAACATAGTACAGTATCTCCAACTCCAATTCATCGAGAGCCGAGGAAGCCAAAGGCCACACATCTCACCCACTGGATCAAGGAAAATCTGGATGCTCGCAATTGGAACCTGTTCGACAAGATCTCTACGCGCCCAAGCACCATGTCGACGGATCTCGACATAGCCTCGATATGCGCTGAAATCGCTCAATCCTACTCGCCGTGCGACGTGTCGGACGCGCTGCTGAAACTCCACGTCCCCTACGCGGGCTACCTTCGCGACATCTCCCCCATCCCCACACGCAATGGCTCGACCACCCGCCTCGTCGCGCCGATCAGCACCGTGCTCTTCGTCGACACGGCCCACGCGCCAGAGACACAGTACGACGGCCTAATCGTGCCTCCTGCGCCCAACATCCCGAGCGACAAGCATTTCACCGACATGGCGCCCACTGGTACTGTGGTCGTTATGCAGCAGCCCGCCCACCAGGTCGCCTCCCTGCTCGGCGATATCGTGGCGACGCGGTACAAGGTCCGCGGCGTAAAAGGGTGCGTCATCGACGGCCGGTCCCGCGACATCGTGGGCTGCGGCGAGCTATGCAAGGATGGGTCCTTCCAGTGCTGGAGCAAGGCGCTGACGAGCCCCGGCACGAGCCTGCAGGCCAGGCCGTGGGCCGTGGACGTGCCGTTGAAGATCGGGGACGTGGTCGTCCAGCCCGACGACGTGCTGGTCGCCGACGAAGCCGAGAGGGTGTGCTGTGTGATTCCGCGGAAGAAGCTGAGTGAGGTAATGCGGTTGTTGCCCGTGCACAAGGAGGCCGATGACGGCTTGTTGGACGATGTCCGGCGTGGGTTGGGCTTCAAGGATGCCATCCAGAGGTGGCCCAAGCATTACAGTAACCATTGATGGAGAGGTGAGGGTTCGGTTATCAACATTGCTATCAGTCAAGGAGCAACAACTATTGTGGTAAGGAAGACGCTCCATTCTCAGGCCCCTTGCGGGCGAAGCATAGCTAAAAGCCCACAATCAATATGTCGTCCCTTTCCTATTCCCAGTCAATGTCGATGTCCAAGTTCCGTCGATCTGTTCCGCCAGTCCGAGATCGATGCAACCTGGCCCGTGTCAATAATGTGGCCCATTTGAACCATCGAGGACGAAGGGAATCTACTTGATGACCACTGGGATGAGTGGTTCGAAAGCCTTGCGTCTACTGCCATTGATCAGGGTACCAGAATGAGCTGACGATCCGACAACGTGTCTACACAAACGAGCGGCAGATCGTATAGGATAGGAAGGTTCAGCACGGCCGACGCGATTCGGCCAACACGCTTTGCACGAGCCGCGATGATGAGATGGCTTTCTGCCCTTGGTACTTTGGACTTTGTGCAATAGCGACGCCGCGTGCGTCTGCTGTAGCCATCTGCAAACCCGCCTTAATGCCACGCCACGTCACGTCCTCGATATGTATGTGCCATGCAAGAAGCTCGAACATCGAACATCGCACATGCCGTGAAGAGGATGTCTATGCGAGTGTCTCTGACAGGTATGCGAAGCCAGGAGGAATGAATGACTAGGTACGTAACAGCTGAAAAAGCGATCACGAGTTCATGGCTTGAACACGAAAGGCCGACCACTCTCCAACGTTGAGGAACACGGGGACGAGTTCTGGACCAGACCACAAACACCAAGCAAGGTGTTATGATCAATGTCAGCAAACTCTGTTCTTGTTCCCTTGCCTTGATACTCGGGCGGTTATGGACGTACTCGCCGCAAAGGAAGGGGAACTCTGTCCATGCCCCGCCGCCACACCCACTCTTTACTTGTGTCCCTCGCGCATGTTACGCAGCTGAAGCCGAAACCGGGATGCACGTCTAGAAATCACGAACACGCACACATCTTTCCGTGAGGGATAATTCAACCGCGAGGAGCGTACTGTAGCATATAAATAAGCCCCAAGCAGAGCCGGAACCCAACCACGAGAAGAGCGTCTCTCTTCCGCGACTCGACCACACCCAGGCTTCATACTGGAAACCACTTTTGCTAGGATCCATCTGCATCTCTACCTACGCCGGCTTCGCATTCTCAACCGTCATGTCAAGCAGTACCGCCGCCGCTCCTATTCCCGTTCCCCCAAATGTCCTGGTACACGTCTTCCCCAATCCGGGGAAAGAATCTCGCGTAGAAGAACTCATCGCCCAAGCGAGCGACCAAGTGCGCCTCCACGAGCCCTATATCAGCCTGTACCGATACTATCGCGTCAAGAGGGACGTCTCGGCCGGCGCCGATCAAAGGGCCGGATACATCATCGTCTTCCTGTGAGTCCACATTGTTGACTGTATCCACGGGATAGATAGTCTATCGGTCCCCGTGCTCCGTGCAATGATCTTGACACCACCTCTCCATACCCCGTGCTCCGTGCAATGACCCTCGACACCACCATTCAAAAGCTGACGTGTCATCTCAGCATTGACGACCCATCACGACTCCCCGCCCGGGCCGAAATGCCGCATCACCAAGCCATCGCCAACGCCATACGCGAGGAGGACCTCCTGCGCGCACCGCTTAAGTATTTGGTCCTAGAAGACATGGGGTTTTGGAAGCGCTGACCTTGTCCATCCGGGAACTGAAGCTATGTAGGTACAATGGTGACGGGTCTGGAGGATCATTGTACTCGTACGTGCTTCGTAAAGGCCGTACGTACCTACCCAGGTAGGTGGAGGGATCCTGCATGTACTGAAAATAATGCTGCGCTTGCGTGGGAACGGATGGTGCCACGGAATTCACATAACTCCTCAATGTTGCTCCCTGTCGTGAGCGTCCAACCCACTCCACCAGTACGCACCACTCGGCGGCCCTCCGAGAGTCCGTCCCAAGTTCAACAGCAAGTACAGGTTGTTCAGAACGAGGGCAAAGGCTGAGGCAGAAGACCAGTTGGATTGGTTGCCATTGAGACAGGACAAGCGAAGCAAGTGCGACGAACGTTCCATTGAAGAATAAGCGGCCCCTCGACTTACTGTATCATACTTGGCCGGAGTCAACTCACTCACTCGACTCACTGACCAAAGACGGAACGGCGGCGCATATCCTTTCTTATGCTCTATCACAACCTCCCACACCTACTCCGTACTGCGAACAGTACTATTATGGTCACCTTTGGTGCGTAGGGAGTGGCCCCAGCGTAATTCACCGCTTCTCACCTGAGAGCGCAGCTTTTACCTTCCGGTTCTTATCTCGGAGACAAGCAGTTGAAAGGGAGCAGTTGGAAGAGAGTAGTGGAAGGGATCATTATGTTCACATACTAGTCCAAGTACCCAAAACCCATCCTGGATCGCCTCATCCGTTGCCAGATACCAAGGCCGTGGTCCCCAGACTCTTTCAAAAGACCAACCGATCTTGCGCGCTCAATGTGCTTTGGCATGTTAGATACACAAGTATTGAAACAAGAAACACAAAAGAAACACAGGGCGTATGACACATGAAAGCCACCCAATCTAGCCCGTCAAGGTCATCACATCCCTTCCCAAGCATCATTACTGTACCCAAATTTTTTGGCGCCTCCCAGGCTCCATAATCTCGCTTTGCTTAGAAACAGTTCAAACTAGTCCCCTTCCGCTTCTTCGTCTTTCCATCCTTGCCCACGGTGAGGAGCCTCATCCTCTCTTCGAGTTGTGCTCGAGCAGCTTCCGCCTCCCTTCTCTTCTTGACTTCTTCCTCCACGGCTTGAACGCTCAGCCGCTCCGATTTCCTCTCTTTCTTCAGGCCGGAAAGCTCTTCCTCCATCGCCCACGCCTTCTTCTTCCAGTTCTCTGCATCCACTCGTAGTTTGTTGGACTGGGTTTCCAGGTCGACCAACGCCTCCTCCAGCGTGGCAGTGAGTTGCTTCTCGGCGTGCAGGTGTTTCTCGATGGTGCGCAAGCGGTTCTCTTGCTCCTCGATCAGCACAGATTGCCGACGTGTATCCGAGCGATCGCGTGAGTTGGTCGAGACGACTGTACCTGAGACCGGAGTGACTGGAAGTGCGACCTCCTTGGACGCGTGGCGGGACTGTGGTGGTGAAGGATTGCTCGCGACGGTGCTTGGAGCAGGCGTCGGCGAAGTGATCTGCAACGCGCCAGGCAGGGCGGGGAGAGGTGGGAGAGGGATGGCTGGCGGCGGTGAAGGTAGAGATGCGATGGATGCCGACTTTCGCAAGTTTGACGTCAATGAATTTGAGCGGGCAGCTTCTGCCTGTGGCGATTGTGGGCGATGCTGTGACTTCATCGTCTGAGTGCGAGATCCATTCTCGGAGCCGGCTTCGTTGATCGACATCCGCTGGTTGAGATCCTGCTCGAGAAGTGTAATGCGCTGTTGCGCCTCGATCAAGGCTTGATTGCCTTGTGCTTGGATGACGGAGAGTCGGTTGTGGTGTTGATCGAAGCTGTTCTGCAACTGTTGCTCCAGCTCTTCAATCATCGCCATCCTGTTGGCCTTCTCGGACTCCACAGCTTGCAAGTTGGCTTCTGCCTTCTTGAGCAGCGCCTCTTTCTCGCGGATGGTCTCTTCGTGGTTGCCGACCTCGTTGGCAAGGCTCCGGATTGTTTCCTGGTAGTTGTTGATCTTGGTGTTAGCGTTCTGCAGCTCTTCCTCCAGCTCTAGCAAGCTCTGTCTGCCGTCAAGCTGCCGTTCAAGCTCGGCATTGGTGCCAGTCAAGCGCGCGTTGGCCTTTTCCACGGCACGTTTCTCCTCTACTAGATCTTGAATGTGGTTCGCAAGCATGTCCGCTGTTGTCGGGTGGCCAAGTGCCTCCTCCGCGTCAGACACAAGTTTCTGCACCGTTGAGACGGCGTCTTCGAGATCATCCTTGTAAGTCGCCTCCAATCTTGCATGCTTCTTGATCACCGCGGAAAGCTGGTCATCATATCCCGAGAGCGCGCCGCCGTGAGCTAGCTTCATCTCCTCGATTTCGCTTGTATGTGCATCATGCAGAGATTTCAGACTCTGCTTGTGGAGTTGAACTTGTGCTTCAGCATGCTTGACCTTCGCTTGAAGGTCTGTAATTTCAGCCCTCAGAGTCGTGATCTCCTGTTGCTGTGACTTGACCATAGCCGCGGAAGCGTCATAATCCTTTGTCAGCGCAGCATGGAGTTGACGGAGTTCAGAGTTCTTTGCAGCATGTTCTGCGTTCTCTGTCTGGTGTTCTTCCAGTTGCTGCTTGAGATTATGGATCAGTTCTTCGTAGTTGTCACGCTCAGTCTGCATAGCATCTGCAGCGGCCGCTCTCGCCGAAGCGGTGTCGCCTTCTCCCGAAGAATGTTGAGCTTTGAGAGTAGCGACGCTTGCTAGAGCAATCTCAAGTTCGGCCTTGGTGCGGTTGTAGTTCTTTTGGCCTTCTTCAATGGCTTGCTGTGACGACTCGAGCTGCAATTTGAGTTCGTCCAGCTGCTGATTCAGAGCGTTGATCCTTTCTTCGTGCCCCAGTGATGGTGGCGGTGTTTGCACATTCGCTTTCTCAGCGATGGCCTTCTGGATCTCCTCTTGCAATTCTTGTTCACGACGGGCGTAGCTTTCGTGCATTGACTTCAATTCTGTCTCTTTCTGGATGATCTGGTCTCGAAGCAGGGACACCATGTTGAGGTCGACTGGAGATCCGGCTTTGATACTGGTTCGTTCTCTCGTCAGGCCCGAAATGATTGTGGATTTGACCTCCATCTCCTTCTTAGCATTCTTGACTTCTGCTTCAAGAGCCTGGATTCGTTCCAGCCGCGCTTGCAGTTCGGTGGTTGCGGCGGACAGGTGGACTTCCGCAGTTTCCATACGGTCAGGCTTCGACTCGAACTCTTCAGCAAGCAGAGCTCTCAGAGATGTGACGGAACGCTGACCTCGATCTACCCCAGTTCCGGTCTGGGAAGTCATGCGCCTGAGCATGCCGGGCGTACCCGGAGACGCGGGCCTCGTTTGCTTCATCTGCGACTTCAGGCGGTCCACAGTGGTCAAAGTCTCCTTATGATCGTTCTGGAGCTGCGCATACTGCTCAGACACCTCTTTCAGGTTGCGTTCGTGTTCCGCCAGGAGACTCTGCAGCTTCTCAACTTCTTCTGACTGAACCTCCACGGAACTAGTTTTCTTGGACACCGGAGTAATGTCTGTATCGGTCGAGGTTGATGATTCCCCAGCCAAGGATAACTCCGAAGAGAGCGAGCGCGAGGATGGCTCTTGTTGACCATCCTCCTCCTCTCGCGTCTCCGCCTCCGCTAAAAAAGCCTCATTCGCAGTGGTTTCATGAACTCCGTTCTCCTGCGGCGACACTGCAGATTGACGATCTTGATCAATAGAGTCCTGCATCTCCGCCAGCGTACGAAGTGCCTCCTGGTATTTTGCTGATAATAAATCCAGCTCATTGACGGTCGATTCGTGCTCGAGCCGCAGGTCGAACAGCTCTTGACTGACTGATTCGAACTTCTCTGTGATGAATTTGGACTGTGCGGGACTCGGCAGAGGCTCTTGCTCTTGCTCAGCTTTGAGGCCTTTCTGTTGAGCAAGGGCAGTCTCCAGCTTCGCGAGGCCAGCTTCATCGCTCTCTGCAGGCAGTTGTTCTGGTGAATCGTCGGCATGCCCCGAGAGCTCGTCTTCATCCTGCGCGGGCAGTTCTGTGGCTTCAGCACTCTCCAAATCCTTTTTGGGTCCCTCGGCGTGGCCGTCCGCCTGTCCATTCGTCTGGATCGGCTTTCCTGCTTTGACTTTGCCGTCTCTTTCTTGGATGTGATCAAGCTCATATAACAGATTGTCGAGCTTGCCGAGACTCCGTTGGCGCTCAACAAGGTGTTGCAGTCTCTCGATTTCACGCTGCATGATTTCCATGTCTTGATCCGACTCCGCTAGGCGCTCTTCAAGAGTACAAATGTAGTCCTCAGCATTTGTCTCGCTTTCTCTGATCCGGGCAATCTCCTTGCGTAGATCTGAGATGATCGCGTCATTCCTTTCGCCTCCAGAACTCTGATCATCAAGCTTCGCCTCCAGATCGTTCAGATATTGTTCGGTATTCGATTCCCTGTCCATCAATTTCTGAACGCGCGCATTGAGTTGCTGATTCATTGTCTCGACATAAGCACACTTGGTCTCCTTCTCAAGCAGGTTGCTCTCGGTGTTGGCGAGCGAAGATCGAGTATTTGACAGATTTGCTTCGAGGCTCTGAATCGTCTTCTCATATTCCATGACCACTTGCTCGATCATTTCCTGATTAGCCTGAGATCGTTTCAAGCGATCCACTGCACTTTCCCCAACAACGTTGACTTGGTCGAGAGGCTCGCTACTTCTGGTCAGTTCCGATACTAGCTTGGCATGTCTCTGGCTGAGAGCATTGTAGCTCTCCTGAACATCCAGTAACTGGTTGTGCAGTTCATTTTCCCGGTCGTTGGATCGGTCTGATCGCTCGGAGATCATGCCCGGTCGGCGATCGCTCGACTCAGCGCTGCGGATCTGCTGTCTCAAAAAGGCAATTTCAGTCCGCAAACGTTCGATCACAGCTTGCTTGTCCGCACCGTCGTCGACTTGCTGGATCTTGGGTTTGCTTTGGATATTTCGAGCCCTCTGCGCGTATTGCACGGTGTTCAAAGTCTCACTGAGGTGAAACTCCGCGGGTGTGACGCAAGCGATCATATATGTAATCGCGTTCCCACCCAGTGAGTCTTGAAGCATCCGCGTCAATTTGGAATCTCTGTACGACACATATGTGCCCGGCGACCTTGATGACAATTGCGAAATCACCTTGCCTAAACTGGCCAATCCTGCGTTGATGGAAATGCCCTCCCTTGCACGGTCACCTGTAGCACCAGTGTTCTTGAGTCGTTCGCTACCAGCCAAGTCGACAAAGTGAAGCTTGCTCTCGACAGTCATTGGGGAGTCGCCGCCAGACATGTGATCCACCGCAGCTGACGACCGTTTGTCTTTCGCCGAAGGAAATCCTTGAGCTTTGGTTTGGCGTAGGTTGATTGTAAAGACGGCATGTGACCGCGACGATCGGGCATTGATGGCGGTGGCATCGGTCTGTCGAATGGCAGATCCGTGATTGAGAACACGCATGAGCTCTTCAACCGTGGACACACGCACCGAGTTCAAGCCTTCCACAAATATCCGGCCACGAGGGTCTTCTCGTATCTGGACATTTGCTCTCTCGGTGAACGGCGCATCCTCTGGGAGCAGCAAGTCCCGCGGCTGTTCGTTGTAGATTTCGACATAAGTGACCGACATGTCCCATCCCTTGTCGGCGAAGGCCTTTGAATTTTGTATGACTTGGTTCAAGCTCGTGACTGAATATCTAGTAGGTGATTTCAGGCCAGAGTTGTGCCTACTGTGCGCCGCTTGCGCTGCGCCCCAATTGAGGCTCTCGAACAGATACTGCGCCGCTCGGGGAATGACACCTACGAAACGTAAATATGAATCTTCGACTCGAGTGGAATGAGACTCACCTTTCAGCGAAGTATCAAACTGTTCCTTGGGGCCAGAAGTTCCCATAGTATAACTCTTGCCTGCTCCAGACTGGCCGTAGGCGAGTATTGAGACATTGTAGCCCTGCAAGAAGGAATCCACACTGTCTTGAAGATCCTCCCATACTGCTTTTTGATTGACGTCCTCGCCGAAGACGCGGTCGAAGATGAAGATCTTTCGTCCCTGCGGTGACTCAACTGCAAGACTAGTGTTTGTGTTAACTTGTACCATCGATCGCTGGAATCTTTGTGGGATGAGGTCAAAGCCGGGATCTGACGGACCCAGAGGGGGTCGAACTCGGACCACTACACATGGTGTCAGCCTGGACGTGTCCCTGAACTCGCGCTTGTGCCTAAACTGACCGACTTTGACTGAAGTCTTCACCTCTTCATCTGACGACCTGCTCCCAATCTGATTACTGCTCTGGCTCATGCGGCTGTGACTTCGCGGGGGCGGTCGATTCATCATGCTCTGAGGCCGTGGCTTACGAAGTGCGTCTGTCGATGAACCCGAGAACACGCTCTGCGGCCGGACCTGGCGCGCGCCATCTGGAGACGCGGGAGGCGTTGAGACCATGCTGTGCACGTCTGGTCTGCCCAGGTGATGCTGCCGTAAGGCTGCGCGACTCCTTCAGGCCGTCACCGAGACACCCACGACGAATGACACTGCACGCAGGCCTCAAGATTTGTGGTTGACACGACACGGTGCTGTTAGCACGCAGCCACGCGTGGAGGCATTCGAGAAGAAATCCGATTTTCCGCGACGGGTGGAGGATGCTTCGAAGGGTTTTGGTGGAGGCGGGGCGTTCTTTGACTTGGATGGCTCCGCGACCTCGACAGGTGTCGAAACCGAAGGAGGATACTTGCTGACAGGCCGATGACTTGCCCTCTCTGTGTCTTCGTGGGGGACAAGGAGTGAATGTGATTGTGGGTGGAAGTTTCAGAGTGAATACAGACGGTGGCCGATGTTTTTTCTTTCGTGTCCGTGGACAGCTGGCGAGAGGAGGATCGCGGTAAAGGTTGCAAAGACTATCGCAGTCGCGTTCGAATCAAGCTGGGAAGTTTGTGAAGCCGCCAACAGCGTGCAAAATTGTTGTCCGACCGATTCAGTCAGGAGTCGTCCAAAAGTTCGAGGCAAAAGGCTCCTGCGCGGCCAGCTCGCGTCGTCGGATCCCTAACCGGTTAAGCTGGCTCCTACAAGGCACGGCTTCAGGTACCTTGCTCTTCACCGTTGAAGTAATTGGCGGTTTAATCTCCGCCGGGCGCGGAACACTGTAGCGGCTAGGCTAAAGCAGGTGCAGTTTATTTAGGGCCGTTGCAAAGTGTGTGTGGGGAGCACCGCAACCTTGATTGGGCTGCCCTGGGTAATTGATGCCGGGGGCTGTTGTAGCCTACAAGCTTGGCCTTGAGCAACGCTTAGGGCTAGGCCACTTACACCCAAGGGTCTCTGCTTGGGAGCTGCTTTGCTGCTGTCCCGTGTTACCCACGACGCTTCGTTCATGCCGGCTCAAGCTGGTTAACATTTCCGGTCAAGCTCCAACCACTGTTCCCTTTTCGTGGGATTCGCCGTGACCTCGAGTCAGCCATATGCCAGGGTGCGCGTTTGAGATGCCTCTGCCTCAGCCTCAGCCACCTCAGGGGTGGTCACGATCACCAACTACTGCAGGGGATCTCGCCGCCAGCCTCGCTAAATTCTCACCTTTCTCTACGGGGTACCAGGTACTCCGTACTGCATCGTTGATGTTGTCACAAAATCTGGGTTCTGTGGATAAGAGCATACCACTAACTCCAGCACACGGTATGCATACTGACGGGGTCACACGACGGGCACCGGACAATCGCCAACCTCTCTTCGATGTGGGCAAGGTGGGGATGGCGCTGGACCCTTCAAAACACTTGTCTTTCGAGGGAAAGATTTGGTCACGATATGATTTCTGGGGCTTGATAGTGGACAGCAAGATCTCCATGCTGTGTGGGCATGGAGACTCGCGATGGGCGTACCCAGGAAGTATGTGCGTTCTCGAAGGGAGGCCGATAAATGTTTAGGTTCCAACGGTGAAACTCTATTCCTTCAGGACGTCTTATCGCGATATCTTGCGGAGGAACAAGTCCGCCCACCGTGGACGCTTCGTAAAGTGGCAGGGCGGTGAGCATCCCGTTGACTCATCGAGATATGCCAACGGATCCCACATGAAATCGGTCTCTTGTAGCTGATCAGCCTGGATGAGTGATTATAGCTGACGCTGAGCAACAAAGTATAAATGCAAGCACCGAAGCCTTCTGCGGAGTGGAAATACGAGTATAATTGATAGGAGTAATGCGTCTAATTCTCCGATGATCCTTTTCCTGATAGGGACACGAAGAATGAGAGTGAAACAAGTGCCATCCACGTGGGGAATTCTCCGTTGCTTTCGACGCTTGACCCTCGAGGACTTCAAGTCGCGTGCAAGTGAACTCGCCGCGAGAAAATAACCAGGAACGCCAGGAACGGAACAATGTCGAGTATTATTCCAGCCCATTATGCCTCTGTGACTGCGAGCAGCCACAGCAGTCTGTCCTATCAACAGTGATGTAACTGGGGGTGCTATTCTGTCACATAATACGGAGTATGATCCAAGACAACCAGTCTGGAACTGTCGTTGTGTACTCCGTACGAAGTATTGATCTCGACAAGTGATCAGATGCGGGGTGTTCAGGCCGAACATCCAACCTCGCTTGCGAGACAGGTTTCACTTTGGGCCAGTTTGAGGCCTCGCACCAGTGTCCGGCGGTTTGCCTCCGGGGGTATCGAGTACCCAGTAACCATGTTGCAGGCAGGTCATATCCGCTCCTTTGCTGTCCTGGCGCCTTCGCTGCGTAACTGCGGGACGGGGCGGGGAATGATACCAAGGGTCGAGAACTCGCTTTGCTGCAGCATCATACGCAGTACTCGGACTCTGGAGTGTATCATCACTTCCACTGGAAGACGTGCATGAAGTTCGAGTTTCAACCATGGGCGCAGAACAGGTCGACTTCATCCCGCGGCAGGTTACCCCTCTGAAGATTCATCGCTTCCATCCTTCTCGTCATCATCCTCATTTTCGTCTTCTGAACCACTAATATCAAGACCATGGGGTTGGTCCTCTTTGGCGTCACCGTCCACACCATGCTCTTTCATGTATGCTTCAAGCTCTTTCGCCATCTTCTTGGAAAATCCCGAAGCCTCAACCTCGACATCAAGCCTTTTGGAACCATCTTTCCCAAGCTCTCGCTTTGCATCTGCAAAGATGGGACCTTCGTCATTGCTAACAAATCCGAAGCGTCTTGAAAAGAAGCGCTTCACGCAGTCGACGTCTCTGTTGAAATAGAATTCGGCGTTGGGGTGATCCACGCTGACCATCTGAGGAAAGTCAATCAAGACCGGCACAAGCCGAATGTCGTCTGCTTGCTCCTCTTCTTTGATCAAGATATTGAACTCGTTGAAATCGCCATGGATTAGTCCAAGTGAGCACAAACGCACAAGGACTTCCATGAGCTCCCCATACAGTCCAGCGGGATCTGGAACCTTTTCGATCTGTCGTAGCGGGAAGCCGTCGATCAAAGACATAACCAGCTGATGTCGATTTTGCCCTAGTGGGATTGGGACACTGAGGCCCGCTTCGTGCAGGGCTTGCAGGAAAGCAAACTCTTTGACAGCAGCTAGTCGCGACATGTACATCCAGCTGCCAGCGCCTCTCTCCTTCTGTGCCTTAGTTCTCGCATAATCGCGTTTATTTCGCACACCTTTCTTGAAGCTGACCCTACCCAGCCGGTGGATCTTGAGTACACGTTGTTCACCCTTCTCATCACTGACAACCAAGATATCACTTTCCTTGCCAACACCAATCTGGTTCCCCACGCTGTACACGGTGTTGCTCTTCTGCAAGGAATGCAAAGCCAGATAGTCGAGGCCGCCATAGGTCAGTCTGTACCCATCGTACTTGGCATTCTTCACCTTGGCTATCAGGTCCGCTTTGGCAAGCAACGAGATGCTGCGGTTGACATCACCTACAGCGGACTTGGAAAGATTGACGATTAGTGTGGTTGGGACGACTTCATGATTGCGGCTCCCAGATTCGACTGCAGCAAGAACCCGCCAGTCGGTGGGATTGAGGTATCGCAAGGCTTTTGTGTCGAGCTTCATTATTGCCGATGATGAACATGCTCGGTTGCCATGCTCTGAATAGTGAATGGAGACTGCTCGTGGCAGGATTTTGGTGATTAAGTCACAAGGGAAATGCCATGCACTAAGAGTGGAGGAAGAATCTAATCTAATCTTGACGGCGCTTCACGGATCACGTGCCACAAGTGCTAAATCGTGGCTCAAATCCCTCCTGGACACACGAAGCCGCACTTGAACATGTCCGCTGCTCTGGAAAGGAAACCCCACCGACTCTGGAAGTTCTCGCTAGGACCCCACGGAAAATGTAAAGAACCCCCACGCATCTATTTGTGTCCTCGACACGGTCCAGGCGACACCTTCAAACTTGGACGTCGACGATTTGCGTCTCCACACTTGTATCTCGTCTTGAACCTTTCTGGTCCAGTCACATGGAGCGTCGAGGCTTTGCGATGTCGGCAAAATTCCGAGTCCTACCAAGGACGGGCACTTCGGCTTGTGTCCGATGTGCTTGCGTCGACCTCGTATCCGGTGTCTCGGTGTACATCACTGCACGGAGTTGCCGGAAATGGCAATCCGAAGGTGATTGTCAACCTCACAGAACCGGTCCTGCGACGATGGCTGAGCGACAGTAGTGCGTTGAAGCTCGCTCACAACAGGCCACCAGAAGAGAACTACATGCAGAGATGCGTTTGACGTTCTGCAGACACTAGCTACTCTCGAGACTGTGTTCCTATCGGCATCGCCTCAGCCCGAGGTGCATGTCATCTCACCTCACCAAACGCCCCTCGAGCACAAGCGGCAAATGGCTAAATGGAAAACGGTCAACGATCCAATGAATTCCAGTCTCTCCACGAGTTCGCCAGGCAAGCCCCACCATAACAAAGCTCTGAAGGGCCTGGGACGGCCATTTCCCCGCATTGCATTTTGCGAAGAAGCGAAGGGTACACGCGGTAGATACAAATACATACTCCTCAGGTGTCGACTCTCCAGCTCCTCAAGTCAATCGGTGCCTGACCTCCAGGATCACTTGTTATATTCACACGCGGCTCGAAAAAGCCCCTCAAGATGTCGTCGAAGCATTTCATTGACGACCCAACTCATCTCGTCCAGACGTCTCTCTCCGCACTGACTCTGCTCAATCCCTCCGTGGCCTTCGATGCACAGAACAGAATCGTGTACCGCAGGCCGACCAAGGAGGTAACAGAGAATCCGAAGGTCTCAATCATCACAGGTGGAGGCTCGGGCCATGAACCGGTAAGTCTCCGCACAATGCGACTGTGCTGTGCCCCCGTAGACTGGCGCCGGCGGGCACGAGACCCGATGCCTACCAACCGCACAGAACGAAAAGAACGACTAACTGGATAAAATGCAGGCATTCGCTGGTTTCGTCGGCAAAGGCTTCGTAACTGCTGCCGTCGCTGGCACTATCTTCGCCAGCCCTTCCGCCGAACAAGTGCGCCGCGCTGCCCTCACCCGCGTCCCCACCGAGAAAGGGGTCGCCATCGTGACGTTCAACTATACTGGTGATGTCCTGAACTTTGGTATGGCGGCTGAAAAGGCCAAAGCCGCCGGCGTTGACACCGAGTTCTACGCCATTGGTGACGATGTCGGCGTGGGCCGAGAAAAAGGTGGTAAAGTCGGCAGGAGAGGTATTGGTGGCTCGATCCTCGTGCTCAAGATCATAGGAGCTTTGGCCGAAGCCGGTGGAAGCCTGAAGGAGGTTTACGAGCTTACCAAGCAAGTCGCAGGCAACCTCGTGTCTGTAGGAGCATCTATGGAGCATGTGCACGTCCCTGGGCGAGACAAGCCCAACTCCGACGAGATCATCCCAACCGAAGAGATTGAAGTTGGTATGGGCATTCACAACGAACCGGGTAGTCACCGTGTGTCAGCAACGTTGCCGGAACTCATCAAAACGATGTTAGCACAGATGTTGGATCCCAACGACAAGGACAGACACTACGTCGACATCAACAAGGACGACAAGACCGTGCTTCTGATCAACAACCTGGGCGGTGTCAGCAATCTGGAAATCGGAGGAATCGTGGCAGAGGTCCACAAGCAATTGAAGGAAGACTACGGCATCGTCCCTGTGCGAGTCATCGCTGGTACCTTCATTACCTCTCTGAACGGTCTGGGCTTCTCAGCCTCTGTTCTCAAGCTAGAAGATACCGGTCTCGGACCTGGCAAGTCGATGCTTGAGCTCCTCGACGCGCCAGCCGAGGCATTTGGCTGGGCTGCCGCTACTCGGACCGAGACCTGGAATGCCGACAATTCTGCCACTGCCGAAGGCCAGCCGCCAGTAACAGCTGAGGGCCAATCCTCCAATCTGAAGCTTGATCCCCAGCAGGCTCACAAGATTCTCAAGGCGGGTCTCGACAAGATGATCGCCGCTGAGGCAGATGTTACCAAGTACGACACAATCATTGGAGACGGCGACTGCGGTATCGGCCTAAAGAGGGGTGCTGAGGCCGTGCTCAAAGAATTGTCTTCGGGTGATGCCCCCTCGGATGCCGTCGCCTTTGTCAACAAGATTGTACCGGTGGTCGAGAATACAATGGACGGCACGTCTGGTGCTATCTATGCGATCTTCCTCAATGCACTGGCGCATGGTCTGAGAGAACAAGATACTGGATCCCCAGCAGACGTCGATGCAAAGATTTGGGCAGCAGCATTGAAGTCAAGTCTTCAGGCGCTGGGCAAATATACACCTGCAGTGCCAGGTGACAGGACGTTAATGGATGCGTTGGTGCCTTTTGTTGACACTCTCAGCAGCACCGGCGATGTCAAGAAGGCGGCTGAGGCTGCTAAGGAGGGAGCAGAGAAGACGAAGAGCATGAAAGCCAGTTTGGGAAGAGCTGTCTATGTCGGCGCGGAGGATGAATGGATGGGCAAGATCCCCGATCCAGGCGCCTGGGGCTTGCAAGAGTTCTTGGTTGGACTGGCTGGTGCCGCTAGCTAAGTGGCGTCCTGTATCCTCAGACTGCGAAAAGGCGGTCGATCATGCCGCTGTGCTGAGCTAGGCAGCAGCCTGCCCAGATAAAATAGGAAAATTCCGTATTCGACGCGATTCTGGGTATCGGTAAATCTTTGCCATCGCCTTGCGCCGGCCTGAAACTCGAGCCTGTGCCTGAAATGTAGTCCTTCCAAGAAAAACCTGCCCGGACGCCACACTTGGACCTTGCTCGGTCGCTGGTTTGGCGATTGCGAGGTGGCCTCAACATTTGATACTGTAACCATAGCAATCCTCTGGCAAGCGGGTGCACATGCACGTCCCAGTCGGAACCCACAAGCGCGAGCGACCACGTCCTGCACAGGAATGAGCTCAACTCAGCAGCACTAGGATGACGCTGTCGCCCCGCAAGAACATTTTACTGATGAATCTGTCCTTGTTGACACCCTTGCCACCTCCTTTGCCTTTTTCTGTCCACATCTCCTTGACGTTTTCCAGAACCATATTGCAATGGCGGTCAAATGCTTTTACTCGAGCCAGCAATTTGCGGTTGTTTCGACATGAAATCAGCACTTGAGTGTGTGTGCGAGTTGCGGTCATGAGAATGGAGAGCGGCCCGGTCGACAGTTCGTGGGCTTCGACGAGGGAGACTTCATATTCACTACAACCGAAGCGTAATAGTTAGTTTGATCTCAGATAGTGCAGGACTGTTTCGTGTTGCGATGGCGATGAATGGATATAGGAGACAGAGGTGAGTGTGCTAGTGCATCAATGATAGCATGATGTCGGCAGAATATGTCATGCAACGACGAAGTCGCGGTGGGGGCGGAGAGCGGAGCGGAATCGGCGTGCCAGGGGGGTGGGCGGAGTGTTTGTTGTGATGGCGGGTGCAAGGGGAGAGGAGTGCACCAAACTGAGGGGAGCGGGGATGTTCACATACGTTAATTCGTTTCTCGGCTTATTGAGCAGATCTCTATTGTGGAAGAACACCAGGGGTCAGCAAATTCGCTTCGGCGTGGAGGTGGCCACCACGGCAGGTTACTCCGGAGATAAGCACAGGTGAGAGACAGGGGTATGAGTCAGGCAATGAACGTACTGTATTTTGGAGGCTTCCATGGTCATAGCAGAAATACTTAAAGAGTCTCGATTCCTGTCCAAAGGTATTGAAATTCCTCGATTTCTCGAAAACGCTTTGGAGGCCTAGCGAGACGGTCGGCTGACCTTCCTATGCTGGAACACGGCTACTACTAGACTGGCCACGGGGTACGTCATCCGCGCCACGCTCCCTCTGGCACCCACCTGGGGCACCAGCCTCCGAAGCCTTGCATACACGCGTTTGGGCCAGCGCGTCCGCGGCCATTGAAGGTACCTCTCAACCTTCCATTTCCCTCGCTTGGAACTCATCCACCCACTTCTCTCCTTCTGTCCTCTTTGCTTACTCTACGGTAGTCATTCGCCCTGTATCTCTTTGTGTCTGTTCAAACATTAAAACGCTTCTCGACGTATGCCAGGAAACCACCCCAGCTGCTTTCCCAACCTTGAAGCAACATTGACGCACCACACGACCGACCCCGTTACTGACACTCTTGAAACTCAGTATACCTCGTTTGAACCTCTCGACGCGATGAGCCCCTCTTCATAAACCTCTTGCATCTCACGGCACCAGCTCTCCAGCGTCTGGGTAGCGTCGCGTCGCTCCTGCAGTCGCTGTCATGGCGACCTCTCCAGCTGAAGGCGTCTCGATACGAACGATCCGATTGAAAGTTCTATACACCTTCGACTCTGAGCAGAAAAATAATCACCTTGCACGCTGGCCACAGCCCTTGGACGTGCAGACCGCCTTCATCGATGAAGTAAACCAGATTGGTGTGGTCGACCTGCGAACGTGCTTGGAAGCTGTGACAACTGCTAGTCCCGAGCTTACGACCTTCACCGAGATTGATTACACGATCTATGCTTATGACTATTCGGAACCTGATACACCTTTGGTGGGACAAGGCATGCTGTCGAAAACCTTCAGCGGCCAACCTTCGAGCGCAGATGTCGACGGCGAAACCATGGTCACAGGCAGGATCACCAAGAACGTGATGGGCCTGTTCTCAAAGAACGCACAAGAGACTTTGGAGGTCAAACTCCGACTAACACCCGTCAGCACTTTTGGCCAGGCGAGATATCGTTCAGGAAGCGTCTGTTCACAAGATGGAATTAGACCCCAATGGACCAACAGCGCATCCTCGCAGTCATTGCAGAGATCGGCATCACCGCTGGATACCACAGGCTTGGAAACGATGCAGCGAGTGCTGAGTGGTGAGAGTGCGGGAATAGGCAGCAGACCTGGCACGCCCACAGGAAGCCAAACCTGCAACCCTGCTGCAAGAGGCCAGCAGTCCCGCCCCGGTTCACGCGCAGGCACACGTCAACCACCCCGCAGCAGACGTGACTCATCCAACTCGGGATACTACAGTGGTGATGAGGTCGTCGACGAAGGTCCGGCAAGGAAGCGGGCCAAGACTACCAAGGTGGATTGGCCTTCAAAATCCAACCTGAATATCGAACGACAACCTGAATCGCTTCGGGTGGCAGCGAGCATTGCCTCAAGCGTTCGGCTCCATCGCCCTGTCGCTGTAAATCCCGCCACAGGTCTCCAGGCTGGTGCTCAAGGTGACGAACCAGTGCGACCGCCTACTCCTGTGCCTGCTGCGAAGACAGCCAAACCTCGTGGTAGACCCCGGAAGCACCCGCTTCCTAGCAATCTGGCTCAAGGTCACCAGACCAGAGACTCATCTCCGGCCCCAAGTTTGGCACTCCACTCCGAGCTTCTGTCTGTGCCCATCGCTTCTCCAGAAGATACACGAGCCCGAAGTATTGAAAGCACACCTGCGAATCTCCCCTCCTCACCACCTGTCATGCCGGAATTCACACAACCAGCGATCACTAGCCCTGCACTTCCTCCTGTGCACATAGGTCCAGATCACGACTCTGGCTTCATGAGTGGGAATCTTGAGGATATGTTTGGAGATGATCAATTGCTGCAGTTCGACGACTTCATATTAGACAAGCCCGACTTGCAAGCTGGGAATGACTCTGGTCAAGAGCAGCAGTCTGGGCACCAGGAAGAGCAGTACCCTCCGGTCTTCGAAGACGGCAACGATGGTGAAGAGTCGCAAGTCCCGAAGTCATCGTACAACACCATGCCACCACCTCTTCCCGTCACCTCAAAACCCTTGACAAGGGCACAGTCGTACACGCCAGCACCTGCCCCAAGAGTAAGTATGTCGTCTCCACGATTAGCTCCAGCACCTATTCCTAGAGCTCGGCAAATCCAGGAAGAACAGCGTGATCAGCTACGGAAGATCGCACCAGCACCATCTATGTTAAACAGTGATCCAGCTCCCAGAACCTTGCAACGGGCGCAGACATGGGCACCCGATAGTGACATACCTATGTCTGACGCACCGACCGGCGAAGAGTCTAAAACCAAGACGGCTTCCAAGAAGAAAGTCGGTAAAGAATTGACCAAGGCAAGACTCGAGAATGCCATCGCAAATGGCCAGATGCCTCCGTTTTGTGACAATTGTGGGGCAATAGAGACTCCGGCGTGGCGACGAGCTTTTGCAAAGATCTTCAAATCTGGCTGGGACGACATCGAGACTTCATTGAGCTATGGTGAATGCTGCTTCAAGGAACCTATCGATCACAATGAAGACGGGACTGTGAAGACTTTCCGAGGCTTCAAAGTAGAGAAGCGGGCAGGAGATGGCGATGACTGGGTTGCAATCACTTTATGCAATCGTGAGTGACTCCGGCGGACCTTGTTATGCTGCTAACATATTCCAGCCTGTGGCTTGTGGTTCCATAAGCAGAAGTGCCCTCGACCTGCTACCAAATGGCAGAAAAAAGATCCAAATGCGAAGCGCAAGCGCAAGCGAAACCCTCCCAAGAACCCAGCAAAGGCGAATGGTGACCCTCATCCCAAGACCGATGATCAGAGCCCTCCTAGCGATGACTCTTCTCCCGGTGACTCAGCTACCGAAGTTCCCGACACTGAAGAAAACGACGCTGAGGCGCAACCACCTGCAAATGTCAACGTGGAAGAGGGCGAACCGCAGCTACCACCAATGCCACAGCCTTTTCGAGCCAACAGTTCCGACCTCGGACCCAGAGGATTACCACGCACGCGTCATCATACCTCTGGGAGAGAAGTTCAGTCAAGCCCTACCCGTGGGCACGGGTCAGAAGACGCCCCTATCGAGGTAGATCTGACACCCAAGCCTGTGCGAAGACAGCTCTTCCCATCTCCCGACAAGATGCGACTTTGCTCCGATCCTGGTCCACAGAGAGAACCCTCCATGATCAAGAATCCTCTGCTGGCGTTCGTACGAAGAAGTCCTAGACTTAATAAGACCAGAGATGTCTTTGCAGGACCGACAGCGATCGTGGAAGTGGCAGTTGATGGGAAGGAGAATGTGGCCCCAGCTCCAGAAATCGCAGATGATGGTCTTGCGGATCTATTCGAGGATGACACGGCAGATGTAGGACTTCCTCCTCCCATGACGCCAACCCCAAAAAGACGATCTGAGCGAATACTGTTGAAGACACCTCAACGTCAATTTGGTTCCCAGCTGTCTCCCAATGCCGAACAACTCCCCTTTCTTCGGACGCCAAAGACTGGACTTGAGCATCCCGCGCTGGCAGCCTTGCTCGGGTCTGCCCAGAAGAATGTGCTCGAGATGACGCCCATATCTCGCTCTATCCACGAAGCTCTGACCAGTGACCATCCCATGGGGATGAAGTTCATGCCGACGGACTATATGACATTGCGGAGTGGCGGAAGAAAAGACACACCTAAGAAGTCGATCTCGTTTGACTTTCCCGACCTCCCCTCTCTCAAGAACTCTTCTCCCATATCTGGTAACCAGATCGCCGACTTTGGCTTGTCAGAATTGACAACTGATCAACTGACCAGCGATATGGTTGATCCATTCGCCAACAGTGCAATGCCTAGTTCGCCGCCTGTGGGGTTATTCGGCTACTTTGACGGGGTCGAGATGGGCGAGAGCGTCAATGCCATGTGGGACAAATTCCTCGATCCCAGCGGTGGCGAATCAGCTGCAGATTCGGCATACCCAGATCCAGAAGGATTGGCTGTTGCAGACACTGGAGCTCATGCTCTCCGAAGAAGCCCACGGCGCCAGAAGTAGGAATGAGGCTATGATACAGACGGGATATTGCAATATCCATGCAGCAGAGCATGGATAATGGACATGGGCCCAATCTTGAAGAAGCAGTTTGTCCACCCACTGTGGCTGGGTACTGTACAGCAGGTGCTTACGACATGTATGATACATCCAGATATGATCACTAGAGCTGAAGCGCCGAACATCAGGTAGTTGAGGCCATCTGTTCCTGACGCAGGACATAGCTCTGAGGCTGCAATGAGACCGATCAAGATCTCCACACAAGCGAGCTTTGAGGTTGTGGTCTGCTCGTCGCGTAGTCCGTATCCCTGGTCCTGCACCTTCGCCCACTCTTATGGACGAACTTATTGTGTCGAAGACGACAGCTCCTACGGCTGATCTCGTACTGTTGATCCGTGTTGCGGGATTGGTTCGACCCACCGTCTGACCAGCCGTTGAATATCTGGGTGTCATTTCCATCAATAACCCCCTTCCATCCCACCCTCTGACTCGCCGTAAAAGATAGTCTTGTATCGATGCGTCACGTCCACGGCGGCCTCGAACAGTTTTAAGTCTGGCAATTGACCTTGATCATTGCGCGGCCACTCTGTGCTACTCAGGACCCGTAGAGCCAACCCGTGGCCGCCATCTGCATTGGTGACTTTCCCAACGATCTCGTACATGGAGCCGACGGACAGGTGTGAGTCTCTGTTCGAGTAGAGTTAGTATTTCCACCACAGGTAGATGACAGGAGGGATCGTCCATACCGGGCCAGAAGGATTGTTACAGAGTCAGTACCACATGTCAGGGTTGCTTGGTCGCCGCTGACGTGGGAGATTGTGCCCAGCATACGGACCGTGTTGTGTGAGGAGGTACCTGGGGCGAAGGCATGGAGATGAGCGGGCAAGATTCGCGGCGTTGACATGGAATTCATCTTGAATGCGGTCGTCAAAGAGTATGAGGCTGGATGGTTGTGTACGCGGGAACTTTGTTGGCTTCAAGGGTATGTATCTAATTGTTCGATGCTCTGCGTAGTGCTCCAGGTGTTTGCGCCTCCCAAATGCGCTCGGCAGGAAGTGCTTTACACGTCGAGCGCACGCCTCACGGAGGACGCGTCTGCGGTTCGGCTCTGTAAACTTCACCGTTGCACTCGTATCCGCATTCCGGCGAGCTTCTGGCACTCCAGGCTTCCCTGTGGTGCCGTGTTCGGGGCTAGAATATCGTTTAACTCCACTGTGGCTCGTCATTGACCATTCCACAGGAGTTTAGATCCCGCATCCATCCCGCCGTAGTTATCGGCACCGTCAGTATCTCAATCATCTCACCGTTCTGCCTTCGACCGAATTGACAAGACAACTTAGATGACTACACCACGCAAGGGCAAGGCAACGGATCGAGGAACCACATCTCAACCCCGCCTCCATTCCTCTCCCAAAAGAGCAGCCGTCGCCGGCGAAGGAACCCCTTCCAGAAGGGCTGCAAAGAGGCAACGCATCTCGGTATCTGACCTAGTACAAGACGACTCGAATGAGAGGTCGCCGACTAGGCAGGTTCCGGGAGGCGGTAAGAAAGTTGTCGACAAGATGCAGTCCCCTAGCAGAGATGCATTCGCCAACATGTATGACTTCGGCCCTGCAAAAGTGATGAAGCAAGAGAACCTCAATGGCACCACCTCCCAACCTCAGAATGGCAAACCGAAACCGGTGTTTGCAGCCCAGCGAATCCCCTTCAATCCTGCGCAAGGTCCGAAGAAGTTGGTGGTGAAGAACCTTCGAGCCGCTCCTCGACTAGACACAAGGCTGTATTTCGAGAAGACGTGGGCAGAAGAAGACAAGGCACTCGACGCCATCTTCGGTAATGAGAAGGATCCATACTCTCTAGAAGAGCTCTACAAGGGTGCAGAGAACACATGTCGGCATGGTCACAGTGCCGACCTCTACCACAATCTGTGCAACAAGTGCGAAGCCCATCTCAACTCTTTAAGAGACAAGATCAAGCGAGAAGAGGTAACTTCTTCAGACATTGACTGTCTCAAAACATTTGTCAACGCCTGGCAGACGTGGCAAAGGCAGCTGCAGACCGTACGACAGATCTTTTTCTACATGGACCAAACTTATTGCCTGCGGTCTCCCGACAAAACAAGCATTTCACAAATGGGCTTGACCAAGTTTCGCTCGACTCTTTTCCAGGAACCTTTCATCAAGCAGAAGGTCCTCCAGGGCGTCATGACTCTGATGGATTACGACCGTAAGGGAAACCTCGGTGAAAATGACCGAGGTCTTCTGCGGCAGTCAGTTGACTCTTTCCACGAATTGAGCACCTACACGAACGACTTCGAGCCTATATTCCTCGTAGCAACTGAGCAGTACTTTCGAAGCTGGCGAGAGGCGGAATCAGACAAAGCCTCATTAGGTAATTATGTGAATAATTGTACCGAGCTCTTTGCACGGGAAATGGCCAGATGTGACTGGCTGACTCTGGACCGCAACACCCGCATCAAGATCTCCGAGCTATTCGACAGGGTTCTGGTCGAAGAGGAGGTCGAGACACTTTCCAACGATGATGGCATCCTTGATCTTCTGGAGGACGACAAATTTGAAGAATTGGAAAGAGTCTACACCTTGCTACAACGCAAAGGACACGGCAGCTTGATCGTGCCATGCTTTAGCAAGTATGTTGAGACGGAAGGATCAGTCATCGTCTTTGACGAGAAGCGAGAGTCAGAGATGGTCATTCGACTGCTCGAATTCAAGCGAAGGCTCGATCACTACCTCAAGTATTCTTTCCACAAGAACGAGACGCTGGGGAATGCCTTGCACAAGGCGTTCGAGACGTTCATCAACAAGACCAAGAAATCCCAGTCAAATTGGGATACCGACAATGCGAAACCCGGCGAAATGATCGCGAAGCACGTCGACCTCCTCCTCAAAGGCGGCGTCAAAGCAGTGCCTCGCCTCCAGACTCAAAAGACCGACCTGTCCAAACCTGATGAAGAACATGATTTCGACGACAACCCTGCGGACGAAGATGCCGAGATCAACCAACATCTTTCCAACGCCCTCGACCTCTTCCGCTTTGTCCACGGCAAAGCTGTGTTCGAGGCCTTCTACAAGAAAGACCTGGCCCGTCGCTTGCTCATGGGCCGTAGCGCCTCCTTCGACGCTGAACGAAACATGCTCACGCGCCTAAAGAATGAATGCGGCGCCGCCTTCACGCACAATCTCGAGTCCATGTTCAAGGACATGGACCTCGCACGAGAAGAAATGATGTCCTATAATCAATTGCTTGACGACAGAGGCGGGAAAGAACCCGGCCTCCCCGATCTCCACGTAAACGTCCTCTCTGCGTCAGCATGGCCCACGTACCCAGACGTTGCAATAAACATCCCCCCACACATCACCAAAGTCATGGCCTCCTTCGAAAAGCACTACAAGGCGAAACATTCCGGCCGCAAACTGACTTGGAAACACGCCCTGGCCCACTGTCATCTGCGCGCCAAATTCCCAAAAGGGAACAAGGAACTTGTGGTGTCGGGCTTCCAGGCGGTCGTCCTGTTACTGTTCAACGACATCCCCTCCGACAAACATCTAACGTACGCCGAGATCAAAGCCAGCAGCGGCCTCGTCGACGCCGAACTGAAACGTACGCTCCAATCCCTCGCGTGCGCGAAATACCAAGTCCTCCGCAAACATCCCCGCGGCCGCGACGTCAGCGACACCGACACCTTTGCCTTCGCGCACACCTTTAGCGACGCCAAGATGCGCATCAAGATCAACCAGATCCAACTCAAGGAGACGAAGGAGGAGAACCGCGAGACGCACGTACGAGTCGCGGCGGATCGGCACTACGAGACCCAGGCCGCGATCGTCAGGATCATGAAATCTCGCAAGAAGATCGGCCACAATGAGTTGGTCGTCGAGGTCATCAAGGCGACCATGTCCCGCGGCGTGCTGGATCAGGCCGACATCAAGCGGAACATTGAAAAGTGAGTAACTGCCGTGCCCCACTCCCTTTACTGTTTTCATTCAGTTGGAACGCTTCTCTTTGGCGTGACGTGATGTACATCAGTACGGAGTAACTGACTCTTGCTGTGCAACCATACAGGCTGATCGAGAAGGATTACATGGAAAGAGAGGAAGGGAACACATACTCGTACGTTGCTTGAGGACATAGTACTCTCTACTGTACTGTACTAGGCCAGCCAGCCCAGCCAACCCAGCCAACCCAGCCAACCCAGCCAGTCCCATGAGACAGCGAAGCAGGCGACTCGGCATCCATCGCACTCACTCATCTTGCGTTTCGGTATGTACTTCGGAGGGCGCTCGTGGGTGGAATCACGGACCTACACGTTATCACGACACGGAGCGGGCACGTGCTAGGTAGATAGATATATCTACATGTGTGTGTGTCTCTATGATGATGAGATGCATGCCCTCTACGCGGTCTCCACAGAGCTTGGTTCCAAGGCTGGGCCAGGGAAGGTTCGAGTCTGGGGAGGGAGGGATGAAAGCCTGGAGTCTAGCCGCGCCATCATCTGCCGTAATGGGCTGAATCGAGTTGAGCTGTGTTGAGTCGAATCGGAGGTAAACCGAGCTGAGCTATAGTAGATGAACTGATCTGGCCTTGGATGAGACGAGCAATAACTACCTGTGATGTTTGTCGGAAAACTCTACGCCCACCCTAGAAAGTATACACACAGAGAGACAGACATGAGACATAGAGACTACCTCCCTAGGTACTGTAGTACTCTATGTAGTTACGAGTACATGACTCTGTGGTAATTCAGTACTACACCCTCAGCGAGCAGTATGGCGAGTGCCGCAAGTTTAATAACACCGAACGGATGGGATTGATGAGGTAGGATATAGGAGTAGCATAATATGAAAACCTGCATCATGGACTGGGAAATCTAGGCAAGCCAAAGGCGGTACTCACATCGCGCGAAACTGGCAAAACCCTGACATACAGTGGATACATGGCTGGATACATCGTTCGGTTCAACACGTGTGGTAACAGATAAAAACCACCCAAGCCTGAACTGAACGACAAGATCTCTCCCTCAGCATCTGACTGCTCGCCGGTCGATAAGGGTCTGCCTGGCAGCTCCGGAAAAGGTTCCTCCCCGGTACTCCGAGATAACTACCACCTGCTTGAGTCAACCCGGTTTGCCGCATAGTAACTCAGCTCTCTTCACAATGCAACTCAAAAGAGCTCGCGCGGCCGAACCACGACGTCTTGACGATTGATCGATGAAGGCCAAATCGCTGCCAACTGGGGTTCCAGCTGTTTAACTCTAGGGCTTCGCGGCTCGTTGCATTTAGTAGCGATCATCAGGACGTCCAGACGAGCTTCGGCCGTCGCCGTAGTGCTAGAGATTCCATGTGTCAGCCGGGCCTCCCTGCCTACGACTACGCAACACGTACCTTCTTCCTCAAAGCAGCGAGCCTCTTCTTCTTGGTGTGAGTGTTGATGTAGGTGCCGATGCAGAACGCCACAATGTTAAAGAATGGAACCCAGGTCTGCTCAGGCAGGAACTTCTGGGCGAAAGCTAGCGCAAGAGGAGAAGTGATCCAGCTGACGCGCATGACGGGCCAGAAGCCGGCGCGGACGGTCGCACGGACTTGATGCCAGGCGCGTGCCCCAGCAATAACAGCCATGCAGGAGAGATAGACGGTGTTCTGGATCGGTGCGATCTGTCGACACAGTGAGCGCGCCATCCGGCGTTGGGCGGCATCAAGGAGGCTGGTTACATACCACTAAATTGCTGGTCAAGATCTGAAGGATCTTCGCTTTCAAGCTTGTGCGACCCGCGAAGACCCATTGTAGGAAACCGATGAGCACATGGCCCATGGGAGCAGAAATGAAGGCGCCATACGCGGCCATTTTTGGTATCCGCGAGGAGAAGTAATGGCCATGCTTGCTCTTGTCGTGCGCCAGCCAGGAAGCCAGCAGTTCTTGTAGAGCGGAGAGTGTCCCCGAGGTCAACATCTTAGTGCGCAGAGGGTTCGATTGGAGCTGTTTGAGATAGGCCTGCGCAAATGATCAGTCGCACCCAAGTGAACTTGGGGCAAGAATATACTTACAGCCAGGTACCCGGTTGCTTGCTTGCCACCAGTCAAAGCCTCTCCGATCTTGTGCGCAGTGCTCTCATCGCGACCGCCAGGAACGGCGGGCGCCATCATCCGCACCTGTTCCTGCTCGAACTTGACCGACATGGTAGGAGGTTGCGCGTCGTTAATCGAGGCCGACAAGGAGCACGATTCGAGTAAGTCTCGGTTGAGACTTTAGAGCGGTCGAGGCAGGTCAATGAACGGCCTAGTGTGACGATAGCGAAAGGAAATGATATCGGTGGTGACGAGAGTGTTGTTGACAAAAGGCAGGGGATTAGGTGCCGAGGCCTTGTTTAGATTGGTGGAGGGGATGGGCGATGGAGACGGGGCTCGATTGCGGAGGGCTGGGACGGCCTGGACGACTCGTACAAGTACCGAATTGATGAACTGTGGACAAGTACGAGTAATTTCTAGTCTTGCTTAGGTCCGCGACTTGCAGTAACACGCTGACAATGATGAGAGTAAGCTGAGCCGACGACGTTGGTGCAGCTGTGCGAAAGGCAATGCACGCGTACTCCGCACTGTAATTACCAGGAAAGAGTTGTCAGGTCAATGGACGCGCCACGACAGGCTGATCGAAGAGGGTCGGGAGGTTGTGAGCTGGCAATTTCAGCTGCGAAGGCCCGGGCCCACCCTGACTCTACCTCGCTCCACCAATCATCGTTGCCGACGGCGCCGAGAGGTAAACATTGTGGGCACGTAGGCAGTCAGCAAATCAATCGCCTACCGCTTCACTCCATACAAGTGCAATCAGTTCTACAATAACTCCATGGCGACGGCATAGGGAAGTTGAACAAGTAACTATAAGCATGAGGTCACAAGAGAGCGAAGCTACCCACTATCACCATGGCCCCATGGCGCGCAGAAGGTTGGCACATGAGAGTCAGCTGAACTGCGGAAGAAGGTAAGAAGAAGCAGAAGTAAGAGGAACACACATAGTCGTCGTGAGGAGGGAGAAAGGGTAAAGTGAAGGTGCGGCAGCTTGCGCAGACCACCTCATCGTTGCATCGGTGCGATGGTGTCGAGGCGCTCCTGCCTGGCTTCAATGGCACTTCATCTTCCATTCAACTCTTCTCTGGCGTGTTTTATTTGAGTCACAACTCATGCTTGCCGTGCCCTTGCTACCTCAATGCCTCTCGTTCGAAGGACCCTCGTGGGTCCGGAGAGGAGGAATCCTTGCACGCACACCACCATGACTCGTCTCTTCCACGCTTACGGGTCCTTCAAGTGCGCCGTTTGTCACAAACATCCCAGCATCGGCTGGCTTTACCGTTGCACTCAAGACACCGGCGGCTTTCTGCCTGAGTCCGACTTTACTGAGGTGCCGTGTCCTTCGAGGAGCCGCGCCGACCAACATGTCACCACGCACTCACTCAGCAGCTCTGTCGTTAAGGCCATTGGAGAAGGCCATTACACTGATGAGCAGGTCAAGAAACTCATCCAGCAGAAAGAGGGAGTGCGCCGTCTCGTCATGTCAGAACAGCCATCGGCAGACAGCAGACCTCCAACAAGCTCAACTTTCTCTACAGCATCCTCCTCATCCTCGGACGGCGATTGCACCTTTTCGACCATCCCGCAAAGCACAACCTTCTCAACAACCTCATCCACTTCGCTCGACGAAGAGATAAAGCAGGCGTACGACTGGAAAGAGTTGCAGAAAGTCTGGATGTCTGAGCCTTCCATGGCACCTCCAGAGCCACGTGCGAAGTCGCTCTCAACGATGCCGATTCCATCACCGCCTCTGGCTGGGTCTCTGCCACAACCTCCAAAGGTCCTCCAGCCACAAGATTGCACGTTCAAGATCTGCCATACATGCCGCCCAACCTGCCGTGAACGTGCATACCAATCTTTGGAAGATATCTTGAACAGACCAGTTCAGATGCCACCAACCTGGGAGTTGCAAAACCGACGAGTCTCTGACGCTCGCATCGTTGCTCGAATCGGTTTGCCAAAACTTGATCGGTTCCGGTTCTATGAGCAGATGGGCCCTGCGGCTCTGCACTCTAGCTGCACGATTCCTGGTATCGTCATCGATGATTCGGACGGCGAGGTAGACTACTACGATCCGGCAACAGAGCAATATATTGCATATGTGCCAGGAGCGGACTCCAGACCCTGCGAGAGCCAAGTTAATAAAAATGACGGAGGCGAAGGGCACTCCCAAGACAATCAGCCCGCTGAAAATCATTCTAACGATCAGGTTGACCTACACTCCGTCGACAAGCGTAGCAGCTTCCGCCAAACCATTCGCAAAGCCCTGACCAGAGCCCGTCGTGACGGCACCACTTCCATAGACTCGAACACAGATACCTCCGATCCCGAAAGCGTATCTCACATCCGACCACAACCACCTTCTCGACCTTCTAGCTCCCTGATCTTTCGACGCTGCCGTTCCCGTGCATCTACGCTTTCGTTTGTCGAAACCCCCGGTGCTCGAGTCGTGGATACGAGTCCTTTGCAGGAATCTGTCATGCTCATGGTCGCCACGAATACACCGCTACCGCAGACACCGAGCATGAATGGTTTCGACATCAATCAAGGTGTGGAGAGTAGGCTTATCCAGGACAAGATGGACGATCAAGAAAGCTACTTCCCACAGGCGGATATCATTAGCCAGGCATAAGTAGGCAAGCACACTGAGAGCAGGATTCCACAATGCATGGGGCATTGCCAACTCAGCGAAATTGAGTAAACATGGGCGATGCGCTGAGATGGGATGTCACAAAAGCAAATGTGCAAACACGTTCAGAGCAAGGGACCAAACAATCACGATCAGTTGCTGGAGACACAGGACAGGAAGCTGGTCGCATTTTCTGGGCGCGGGTGCTGTGCTGACAAAAGCAGCGATAGGCTTTTTTCGCCAGGGATGTATCTGCCCAACCGTACGTCGCATACGTGGCACAACGGCACGACGCCATAATCTTGCTGTAGCTCAAAGCTCTTCAATCCTAATACGTATCGTTCTTTTCCCCTTCCTTCTCAGGTCCTTTCAGCCACACGATGATAGACACTCAATGCGGACGCCGCGGACGGGCTTGCAAGCGAGACAATGCAGCTCAGACGACGAGATCCAATGGTCGGACCGAGTACCACTGATCGAGGAACGAACACTGGCCGTGAACTAGTCTGAACGCTCCGAGGGGGAAGCCACCTCTGGTACAGGAATTGCTTGCACGCTATGGAGGGGTTGGGGTACGTAACAACAAAACAGTGAGACGGTCCTGTCAGTGGTGTTTGACATGGCATCAATGGCTCCATCCAATACCTCTCTGGTCAATCAATCGGGACAAGTCGCCCAGATCCTCTTGGGCCGTGTGTCTAAGCTTGCTGTATTCAACATTTGAAAATCACAACTCCGGTGGTGCCGCGCACACAGTCACAGCATCCGAATCCTTGAGTATCAGCACTCATGCCTTTGACCATCAATCATAGCATACAGTCATGTCGTTCAGGGTATTTCTAGATCAGGTCCTGATCAGCAACGAGACAACTTTGGCGGGGTATAACTCACCTGGCTAGGCGAGAGCGTCCTTCTTGCCGCCAGTGTGACTTCGTCCAGGAGCCGATCCCCTCAAACTTCATTCTCATTCATGCTCAGATCATCCTCATCGCGATATTCCGGCCTATACGAATCGACCAGTCTCTCGCTATCATAACCGTAGGGAATCCCGCTGTGTCCACGTCCAGGCATTGGGATCTTGGCTCGTTCGTTTCTGGCTGGGCCTCGGTTTCGATCGGGGACTCTGTCGTCAGCCCTGCTGGTTATGCGCGGATACTCTCGGCGTCGAAGTGATGGACGATAGTATCGGCTGTCAGATGATCGGGACCTATAGCGTCGACGATACTGGCGGGGTCGGCTTCTGTCACGTCCGCCATCACCTCTGCGAGGTGACGGTGCAGGTGATGCGCTGCGCTCTTCTCGGCAGTAGTCGGATTCACGACGAGTTTCTGGCTCTGGCGTCACCGCCCGGCTTTCGGGACGATCTTGATCATCCAACTCGCTGTAGTGGTCGCGACGGACAGGATCGGAAACAGATACCGCCACATACGAGGATGTCTCCCCGCCATAGCCGTAATGGTCATCACGAGTTGGCTGGTCTGCGCTTGAACTGACGTTTCGGCGAGGAAGAAGCTCGTTACGTCTCAAACGGCCGCGATTTTCATACCCAGTAGGACGATCGGAAGAACTCAATCCCTGGGGCAAGGCCGTGCTGTTGTAGCGGGTTTCGGTATCTGAAGGGTCAGGGTACTGACGGGAGTAGGGATGGCCCAATCGACTCGGACCGCGCGGCACGCCTTTGAGTCCTTCAATCTCTGCCGTGTCGAACTTTCTGATTTTACCACCAGTCAAACAGACAACAGTGTTCTTCGCATGCTTGAACGTCCCCTCGAGCTCGGTTATCATCAAGGCATCCGCGTTCTTGTTCTCGAGGTAAAGCAGAATATTCTCGGCGGTGTCCCGGAGGAATTTGGCAGTGCTGATGGTCTTTTCTCTGTTGCTTCTGTCGAGCGCGATCAGATAATCTGCTCGAGCAAGCTCATAGACATTCCACAACGCCCCTAGTCTGGGCTCCATCTCTCTGCGAAGATGCGAGATGGCAGGTAACGGTCTTGAAGACTTCTTGATTTCGCGTTCGGCTTCCAGCGCGACCATGGTAGCGTCGTCAGAGGAGAGCAAAGCTGGTGAGAAACAAACGTTAGGTCAGGAGCCATGGGAAGAGGGAGCGGCCATTCTACCTTGCTTCAGTGCTTCAGGGGCTTGAACAGTCTGCTGCAGCGTACGGGTCAATTGTGTGATGGGTCCTCCGAGGTCGATGTTGAGATATTCCTCGCAGAAGAACTTGACAGATGCCGAATGCATGAGGCATTTTGGGTGTTCCGTGAGGGCCAACAGTGCTTTGTCGAAGATGGTGATCTGTGCTTCTCTGAGGTCCTGCGAACGAGACTTGATGAGTTCAATCTGGCGACTGAAGAGGGCGAAAAAGGCATTTTCATGCGCAGAAAGAAAGTTGTCGACAGCAGGGCTCAGAGTCTGAGTTTGCTGTGCCTTCTCGACCAAGTCTGCCACGTCCGCCTCAGGGCGCGAAGACAGACGCGGCATCGGCGAGGAATGGCAAAACAGGGGGCTGCTATCGTGTGACATTGCCGCAGCGATGAGTTGGACGATGTGCTGGAGGTTCGCGGTTGAGGAAGAAGGAATTCTCAGACATGAGATTGAGCGCGAAGTGCGCAGCCATCTTGCGACGGTGAAGACTCACCTTGCTGCCGCACCTGGTAAACACGCTTGCGTTACCGCGGCCATGAATGTGAAGTTTGCAACAGCCTCCAAGTCCCACTGTAAGGTGAGCATCATCCTTGTCTTGTGTTGAAGGACTTCGCGTGAGCCGCCCACGAAAATCTCAGAACTTTGCACCCTTTGTCCGCCATTCATGGTTTCACTGACCTTGCACCTTCTGTCAGGCACGACGCCCTCGTCAGAGACCCGCGCCTTCTGCATCTTTCGGCCATGAGACAGGCGGATCTCAAAGAAAGGGTTTTTCGATGGGCCAGAATCACTTTCCTATTGCGACTGTCCAATGGTTGCCGCTGCCATCCCATCGGTGTCGTACCAAACTTCTAACACGAATCAACTTTGAGTCCTCGAGTCTGCAGACGGCTTTGAGCCTTCCTTCCATTCGCTCGAGGCCCTTGATCCAAGCTTCTGAGACGCATCAAGAACTTCCGAGACGAATCACTTCGCAGCATCGCTCCTATCGAGCGCCTTTGATCCAAGCTTCTGAGACGGATCACTTTTGAACCCCACTCTGACGAGGACCTTGAAAGCAACTTCCGAGACGTATCCGTGCTGAGTCTTCCTGAGTCTTCCTCTCTGCCGAGGACCTTCACTCGGAACGAGTTTTCTATAAATTCTACCCTATCTCGTCCGATATGGAGCAACAAAAAGGCATCCCAAATATCTCGCAAAAAGATCAAGCAAGTCACAGACGACGCCGAAACGCCCAAGCCGATCACCTGTCGGCCGCTTTCAGCTCCACCCTCAATATGTCAACCACTGTTTACGATATATCTATCTCAGAACGGGCCTGTGCCTTGAACCGTGGCCTTGACGGCACTCGCGAGAGAAGTGCGGCGGTAGCCCGTAGGCTCAAGCAAGAGTCCGACGAGATGAAACTGGAAGAAGATGGACGCGTCAGACTTCGGCAAGAAATCCGTGATCACTGCAGGGCTAAGCTCAAATGGTGCAAGACCATGAGAAGGGCTTTGCTCCTAGACTTGGAAGTTCTCGAAGCGTCAGAACAAGGCATAAGCTCGGAAGAGCTACGCGAGAATTCTCGTCACCTCCACGAGTTCGAGAAAGAGATGTGGGTTTTGCAGCTAGACTTGCCACGCGTGGCAGAAATCGCCCTTCGACAGTGCTTGGAGCGTGAGGCTCGCATGTCTGAGGCTTTGACAATGGCAATGGCAACCTGCGTGAGCGACATGCCGCTGAGCGGTATGGATAAGGACGTATGGACAAAATCTCGGAAAATTGACCAGGCATATTTCGTTCAGAGTCTCATCAGGAGGTACGAAGCCGGTGACGATCTACGATGGTGTCCTATCATATCTCCGTCGAGGAACGGGCTGAAGTTCAAAACAAGCGACACCAAAGCGGCACACATCGTACCATGTTGTCTTCGAGATGTCCAAGTTGCCCATCTCTTCGGGCTACCAGTCGAAGATGGCTATGCAAAGCTTTGGGACCCAGCGAATGGAATAATCCTGCATGAGGATGTGGAGCAAGCGCTGGATGCGGCCGCAATCCAAATCGTTCCTGGATTGACCGAGGAGAATGTGCAATGCCTAAAAGTCGTTGCCCTGGATCCGGACCACACCATTCGCGGGTACAGCACCAAAGCCTTCGACGGGACAGTACTCGAGTACCGGCCTGGTGTTGATGCACGACCGGGCGTGGAGTATCTGTACGTTGCGGCTCTGCTCGCAGCCTTCCGGAGAAAGCGCTGGGACTGTGTCGGATGGAGAGATGACTATATGAAGCTCTTCCATGAGGTCCCGTGGCCCGAGGACATCCCCGTCGATCTCGCAAAGAGCACGTTGCGCGTTCTCGCGAGAAGCTGTGGCGATTTGCGACGGTTCGACAAGTTCTATAGGAGCTCCCCCAGCCCGGACGACGATGGCCCCAACCACGACTCCGACACAGGCCACGAATCCGACCACGACTCCGACCACGACTCCGATGCCGGAGGCACCCGTTGTGACGAGTCGAACGGCATGGTTGATCTCGTCAATGCGGTCATGAGTGAGGGTATGAAGCCCAGTCACGCTCGGCGTCGGGATATTCAGGAGAATCCAGACAAATTCTGGGACGATGAGCTAGCAGACGACGATGAGAAGGACCAGTTGATATTGGACAAAGGAGTCCTCGAGCTCGACAAGCAGGAATTGATCAACGAGAACAAGGAGCTCGCTAGGAAGCATCAGGCCGAGGTCGAGGAATTGCAGGAGATGATAGCGGACTTGGAGAGGACGTCTGCGGCGAGGATGGCGCCATTGGAGCGAACGTCTGCGGCAAGGATAGCGGAATTGGAGCGAACGTCTGCGGCAAGGATAGCGGAGTTGGAGTGTACGTCCGCGGCAAGGGTGGCAGACGTAGAGAAGACGTCTGCGACCGTCATTGAAGGATTACGCAGAGAGCTGGAAAAGAGGCGTTGAGTGGAAGGGTCCGAGACATAGACTCGAGGAACCAAGACTAGATAGCCTCAGTCTCCTTTTGAGAAGGACTCGAATAGGTCAACGGGCATCCCGCTCGTTGCGGGCAAGAACCAGAGTCAAAGACAATGGCTGTACGTAAAGTGTTCTCATTAAAAGGGAAGTCTATCTATGCGTTGCTATGGCAAGTCGGGCAAGAAAGCCCAGGAAAGGCCCCAGTAAAGAGCACTCCCCTTTGACTTGCTCGGTCGACCATGTGACAAAGTAAAGCATATTGCCCCCAGTCTATCATACACTCGAACGAGATCAAGCTCATAATCACGGAGCCACCTCGGAGACGATCGAGAGACACCAGCTGAACAGTCGAGAGAATGACGCCGTTCGCCGCCATCAGGTACACCCCCCACCCCGGTTCCGCATCCATGGAGCCTCATTGCAGAGCACTCAAAGTAAGATGTTGGAAGTATCAAAACTTTTGGTGTGAGACATATTGCTCAAGTTGAAATACAGTGGTCATGCAATTTGCGGGTCAAGTGTTGTGTCACGAGAGAGAGCGACATTCGGGGTCGATCAAAGGCCGCCTAAGCAGATGCTTCGGCACCCTCAGCTTTGGGAGCGTCTTCTTCTTTCGTGCCGTTTGGACCAGCCGGGTCGGCAGTCTGACGACCTTTGACATATTCATCATAGACAGTGAGAGCTTCTTCGACCTTGGCACGAAGCGCAGCCTCTTCATCGATCCTGGTTGGGCGTTAGCAAGTGGCAGGGCGGATGTAGGCTGCTGGGCACGACTTACAAGGCTAGGAGTTCCGAATTGTCCATTTCCAAAAGCATACCAGTGATCTTGCCAGCAAGTTCGGGTTGAATCTGTTGGATCTTAGGATAGATAGCCTCACCAAGCATCTGCTTCTGCTGATTCGGTGGCATTGAGGCGAGGTTGGCGAGGCCACCAGCCGGCGCATCATCTCGGGGAGGTGGAGCCTGGCCACGGCCTTGTGGTGGCATACGAGGACCAGCTTGAGGGCCTCCCATGTTCTGCATTCCACCTCTTCCACCCTGTGGGAACGCGCCACCGCGCATGCCACCCATACCCTGCATGTTGGGAGGGATGCCCTGCATGCCTTGCATCTGGCCACGGCCACCAGCACCGCGACCCATTTGGGCTTGCATCTGAGCTAGAGCTTGCGGGCTGTTGTACATACCATTCACCAGAGCAGGATTTTGGATGAATGGCATCTGACCAGGCAGACCAAAGTTGGGCGGGAGCTGTTGACCTTGTGGCATGTTGCGACCCTGCTGCGGGAAACCGCCTGGGAACTGTCCACGGCCGCCTTGCATGCCCGGGAGGACCATGCCAGGTTGACTGGGGAAAGGCATGCCAGCGCGCTGAGCACCAGGTGGCAGGAATTGCTGACTGGCAGGGCCATAGAAGACGGTAGGCTGCATGTAGCCTTGTGGCATACCAGCGGCGGCAGCTTGTTGCTGTTGGCGAAGGGTGTTCCGTGCTTGGATACTAGCCTCGAGTTGCGATTTGCGAACATCCTTGCGTTGAGCGAGAGCAACATACAACGGCTTGCCACCGATCATCTTCTGGTTCATCTCCGAGACTGCCTTGGAAGCCTCATCTGGGTTGCTGAAGCAGACGAAGCCAAAACCTTTGCTCTTGCCGAAGGTCTTACCGGCAGGCTTGGCCTCCTTCTTAGCCTCATCTTTCGCCTCATCTTTCGCCTCATCTTTGTCGTTGATTTCAGTCTGGGCCTCTTCACCAGACTTCTCAGCATCATCCTTTTTGTTCTCCTTGTCCTTCTCTGTGGCGGGAGAGGCAGTGCGCTCGTACGCTTCGCGCATAACTTTGGCGGAGGTGATTGTGCCATAGCCGCTGAAAAGATCGCGTAGCTTGTCATCATCGACATCATCGGTCAGGTTCTTCACATACAAGTTGACGCCCTGATACTTTGAGGCCTTCTCCATGCGGGCAGCCTCGTACTGTTTACGGAGCTCTTCCTCGCGTTCATGCTTCTTCTGCGCGCGACCAACGTACAAGTTCTTGCCATGGAAGTCCTTGTCATTGAGCTCATCGACGGCCTTGGCAGCCGCTTCGTGACTGGAGAAGTTGACAAATCCAAAGCCGCGGCTCTTGCCCATCTCATCGCGAGTGATGGTAGCGGAGACGACGGCACCATAGGGCTCGAAAAGTTGGGTAAATTCCTCATCGGTCACTGACTCGTCAATGTTCTTGATGTAGACGTTGGTGAAATTGGCCTTCATCTCCTCGAACTTGCTTTGTCGGTCACGCTTTGCAATGTGATGTCCAACAAAGACCTTTTTGTCATTGAGCAACATGCCATTGACAGACTTGATGGCCTGATTGGCGGCTTCGGCGGTTTCGTAGTGAACGAAGCCGTATCCCTTGGAATTTCCGAGCTCATCCTGGGCGACCTTGCAGCTGAGGATATTGCCAAACTGGGTAAAGGTGTCGTGAAGCGCTTTGTTGTCGATTGCCGCGTCCAAATTCTTGATGAAGACATTACCTTGTCCAGTCTTGCGGAGAGCGGGATCGCGCTGAGACCACATAATGCGGCAAGGGCGACCCTTGATGCTGGTGTAATTCAAATCTTCCAAGGCACGCTCTCCATCAGCCGTATTGTTGTAGTTGACGTAAGCGTAGCCAAGAGAACGGCGGGTGACAGCATCGCGGCAGACACGGATAGAGGCGACTTGGCCGATAGAGGAGAACAACTCGAAGAGCATGGCCTCAGTGACGGAGGGATCAAGCTCACCGACGTAGAGCGAGGCGGAGTGTTGCGCGGTGTTAGGGGTGGCAGAGAATGGAGTAGGCATGTCACCGTCGACCGGACCGGCAGGCGCGACATTGGTGTCGATCGCAGGAGCGCCATTCTGCGCTGGGCCGTCGGTGGCGCCATTCTGGCCAGCAGCGGGAGCAGCAACGTCCGTAGCAGACATTTTGGCTGCAAGATGTCAGAAAAAATCGGGGGTCAAGGCTGCGCTGGCAATCGGTTGAGGAACCGATGTCTCTCTCGTCTCAGTTGAGTGAGAGTGGAGTCAAGGAGCGCTCACTTCTTTGTTTGATTCGAGGATAACAAAGGGCAATGGGTTGGTGGTCGTTCCTGAGGAATGAGATTGATGTCTGGGTAAGAGATATGTTGCTAGAGTCGAGCACTGCGATACACGTCAGCCGTCGCTCCTCGCCTCGTCGAGCTTTTGAAGTCGGAAAAAAGGGTGCGCAGGCACGGGCATGGAGCAACTTACCGCACGACCTTGGGGTTTTGTGGGAGGGTTTTCACGTTTTTTTGTGGGTTTCTTGACAGTTTTATGGGGAAAGGGGCAGGGTAGCAAGCGACTGCAATGATAGCAGGCGATGCGAACGACGAAACTGAGTTCTGAAGATTGGTAAGGAAAAAAGGTGATGGCGATGGGCGAGGAAGTGGTCGAATTCAGACCAAAATGTCAGGCAATCAAAAAGTTTGGGAGGAAGTCACGCTACTCCGAAAGCGGTAAGTGCGACGGCCACTCCCTAAACGGCTGTGGCTGCCTTTGCGCTTTCCTTCACGGAGTACGTTGTGAATTATGGTGTCTGGAAGTGTCGAGTGGCGACCCCAGTGGCAGTAGCAGTGGCCCTCTAATATGGGACAGACCGAATCATCGCTTTCTGGACAGCTCAATCACATCGTCCTTCGACCAAGAAAGACCCGGACGTCGCTGCGCCGGCTTCTCATAGAGACGAACTGGGTACTGTATCAAGACTGACCTGGACCCCAACCGTTACCAAGGATGTTTCTGGTAGAATCGTTAGCCGCTGACTGACCAAGGATGAGGTTCCCTGTGCTTACCCTGCCGTCCCAACACCAGAATGTGCCACTGTCGTCCTTCCCTTTCTGCGCAAAAACCTCCAACATCTTCGTCACGCTTTCTTGGGGGTGGATAATACCCTCGACCTCCCAATCTACATCGATATTGGCCATGTCCCTGGTAGATTTGTCAGCCCCCGTCTCCCCTTCTCTCTTCCCGTGACTTACGTCTGGACTTCCCCAGGATGCATGGCCAGCACGCAGACATCCGCATGCTTGCTCCCTTTTCGTTTGAGTTCGGCAGCCATGTGCCGGAGCATCTGGTTCAACGCGGCTTTACTAGCCCCATACGCGCCAAATCCATCTTCATGGTCTCGAAAGAGTTGTGTAGAACCCGAGTCCGACGAGATGAAGATCACCTTTGAAGGGGGTGCCACTCCACTGATTTTCAGCAATTTCTGTGCGATGATGATCGGACCTATCGTGTTCGTGTGCAGATGTAGGGCGAAGTCACTGAAAGATCTGGAGATGACACGGAATAAGCATTTTGTACCAGCATAAAGTTTGGGATGAGTGGTTTCGGATCGTACATCTCAGTAGCTCTCTGCTTGTAGTATTAGCATTTCGCGTTCAATACCTGGACGTACTCTTACATTTGGATACTTCAATATGCCGGCGTTCAATACGATATTCTCTATCCGCACTCCTTTGTCGATCAGTCTCTTGATCGCACTGACAAATGCCTGCTCATTGCATTAGAGTCTTTCTGACATCATCTTCAGATGGAAAAGGCTATCTGGTCACTCTCACATCGATGCTTGCTTCCTTGGTCACATCGCACTGTTCGATCAGGCAGGCAGCTGGTCTCGTCTGCTGTGCAGCGAGCTGCCAGATTTCGTTTGCGGTTTCTGGTGCGCGCACTGCTGCTATCACCTGGTTGCCTTGTTCTAGCAACTGGCGGACGAGCTCAAGTCCAATTCCACGGGAAGCTCCGACAACAACCCACGTGGACGGGGCCATCCCTAGCTAGCGAAGTGCTGATTAAATGGTTACAGGTGCGTCTCTATGCGTAACCTGCGAGCGGCGGTCTGCGTTGATGCCCCACTGGGGGAAAGGACTTGAGGAAAATGTCAATGCGCAGGGTTTACACAAGAAGAACGACAGTGGGGCGTAGATGATATCAAAAAGGTGCACATGCCGAACGCGGAGTAGATCACAATGAATCAAGGCGACAGAGCTCAGCAGGACGAAGATACAGGGTATGGAGTACGAGTCATGCCTCGCGTTGCTGGCAATGGTGATGCTTAGAGAAGTCGAGCAGGCGGATGGCATAGGAGTTGACCGCATGCACCCATGGAATTCGATGGCATTGTGGTGCATGCCCACTTGCCCACAAGCGTCTGCTCAGGACCGTTGCGCTCGGGAGACATCAGAATTGTGGACACTTTGACCAGGGTGTAGACAAGCCACCGGCTAAAGTTGACTTGATTTCGCTGGAGGCGTTGTTGGGGCACAAAAGGCGAGTGCTCGAGGGGAACACAGGTGACAACGAGGGTCCCGGAATACATACACGTCACAAGAAAGTCAAGTTTACGCAAGCAGCAAATGCAAGGCACCTTCAAGGGCTTCTAGACAATAATTCGGAGAAGTGCGGACGCGCCATCCACGCAGGTTGATACCTCGTTTGCCGCTTCACCGGCGACGATGATTCCCAGCGCAAGCCTCTCGCGTAGTTTGACCCGAGCTGAAGCTGAAGCGAGATGGGGTCCAGGAAGAGCCTCATCATTGAACAGTGATGTCTTATGGCTTGTTTTCGACTCTTCTATATACCTAACACCAGAGCCGTGCACGGAGAGACTCCGCATGGCCCTGCCCCCAGAGGCTCGCCGGATGGTTCAATTGGCAAAACCACACAATCCGTGCTCTTAATGTTATCTTATCCTTGTATGGACGAGTATGCTCGCATCGCTCCAACTTCCGCACGCCGCTTGCCATCACCAGTTTAGATGAGTTGCTGGAAGGCACGATTGATTGGCGATCGAGGCTTGAGGCCCTTGTAGAAGTCGACAGTCGCAACAGCACGCTTGGCAATGCCTTCAGGGGTAAACTCAAATTTCTGCCCACGTTAGTTGTTATAGCCACCAGAAGGTGGGAGGCGAAGTCTTACCTTGTAGACATCCTTGTAGGGGCCGGAAGCACCAAATCGGTTCAGACCGAATTGCTCGTGCGAGTATTTCTCCCATCCGAGGGTGGACATGACTTCGACTGACAAGGCTGGGATGCCATCAGGAATGACCTTGAGCTGGTAATCCTTGGGCTGGGCATCAAAGACTTCCGTGCAAGGCATTGAGACCACACGTGCAGAGAGATTGTGCTGATCCTTCAAGACTTTGACTGTGTCCACGCAGATGCCGACCTCTGAACCAGTTGAAACGAGGGTGATATCGGCATTTTCGGCTTCGATTGCAACATAACCGCCCTTGATGGCATTCTCGAGTGTCGAGTTCTCCAACTGAGGCAAATTCTGCCGTGTCAAAGCAAGGATTGAGGGCGTGGATTTGGAAGTGAGTGCCATGTAATAAGCTGCTGAAGTCTCGTTGCCATCGGCAGGTCTCCAGACCATCATATTGGGAAGAGCTCGGAAGTGCACCAAGGTCTCGATCGGTTGATGGGTAGGACCATCTTCACCCAAACCGATGGAGTCATGGGTAGCGACGTAGATGACTCGCTGGTGAGATAGTGACGACAGGCGGACAGCGCCGGCAGCGTATGACATAAAGTTCAAGAAGGTACCACCAGCTGGGATGAGGGTGCCATAAGCAGAGATACCGTTCATAATGGCAGCCATAGCATGCTCCCGCACTCCGTATCGCAGGTAGCGACCAGACCATTCACCGATACCGAGATTTGGTGGCTGGAAGTCAACCGCGTTCTTCCATCGGGTGTTGTTGCTGCCAGTCAGATCTGCAGAGCCTGACAGCAGCTCAGGAACCGCTTCGTGAATGCTCTCGAGGACCTTCTCGGATGTCTTTCTTGTCGCAACTGCGGAGTCGGTCGGCTTCCAGATCGGCAAGCTCTTCTCCCATCCCTCGGGCAGGGCCCTGGTCAGACGACGGCTGAAGTCCTTGGCCAGCTCCGGGAACTCGCTTGAGTACTTCTTGAAGAGATCATTCCAAGCTTGCTCGGCGGCAGCACCCTCGGCAGCGTGCTTGTGATACGTGTCATAGACCTCCTGGGGTACGACGAAGGACTCTTCGGGATTGAAGCCAAACTTCTGCTTGACTTGCGCAGCGTCGTCAGCTTTGAGAGGGTTTCCGTGCACACCACCGGTGCCTTGCAGCTTCGAACCGAAACCGATCGTGGTCGTCAGTTTGATCATGGAAGGCTTGTCCTTGACCTCTTTCGCCTTTGCGATAGCGGCTTCAATGCCCTCTAGGTCATGATCGCCGTCTTTGACGTGCTGGACGTGCCAACCGTAGGCTTCGAAGCGCTTCTCGACATCTTCAGTGAACGCGCACTTGGTGTCACCATCTACGATCGTCAGCAAGAGTGAGCGTTCATTCGAGCAAGACCTTACCAATGGAGATGTGATTGTCATCATAGATAGCGATCAAGTTACCAAGCTGCAAATGTCCAGCAGTGGAAGCAGCTTCACTTGCAACACCTTCCATGGCACAGCCATCGCCGAAGAAAGTGTAAGTATAGTTGTTGACCAGTTCATAGCCGGGCTTGTTGAAGACAGCGGCGGTGTGTGCCTGGGCAATGGCCAGACCGACTGCGTTGCTGAATCCCTGGCCCAAAGGACCCGTGGTAACTTCGATACCTGGAGTGTCATGAGCTTCCGGGTGGCCCGGGGTTATGCTGTCGACTTGCTGCTCTGGATTAGCTTCGGTCAGTATTCAGCTAGGGAGGGTAGACGAACTCGGAAGTGTTTCAGGTCATCCATGGAGACCGCGTAACCGAACAAATGAAGGAGAGCATAGTGGAGCATGCAACCATGGCCGTTCCTGGGATGGGTTAGTGGGAGGACTTCCTGTTTATGTTGATTGTATTCGAGCGAGGAAGTCCAGCATCCAGCGCAGACGCAAGTGGTCTTGCTCCACACGAGAGCAGCTTGAGAGGGCTCTGGTTCCTGTCCATCTCTTTGCCCAGATGTAGATGATCGTCTTGTATGAGGGTACTCACGATAGAACGAATCGATCTCGGTTGATGTATTCAGGGTTCTTGGGGTTGAAGGTCATGAATTTGTTGAAGAGGACGTGGGCCACAGGAGCCATACCTTCACAGCATCCGTCAGCGGTGTCGCACAAGAAGTCGACTTGTATGGACTTACCCATGGGCGCACCCGGGTGGCCGCTGTTGGCTTTGAGAGTGGCATCGACCTGAATGACAACAGTCAGGAAATCTTTGAAGCATGACGAGGGGCAGGGCAACACACGGCGAGGAGCCGGATGGTGTTGATAGCCTTCCAATCGAGATCACTGTACCCCATTGTGACGGTTTGACGGGTGAATGTGGATAGAGAAGTTGGATTGGGAACAGGGAGGAATTTGGAAATGAAGAAGCTGCTGTTGAGAAAAATTTGGGAGCTGTTGATTGTCGGAATTGGCTCAATTGAGGCTAATACGGTGATGCCACTGCTGTTGCAAGTAGTGACGCCGGGCGCTGGCGGGCGTGGCGGGGCAATGCTTTGGTGGGATGAACGACAAGTCAGGGTCCTCGAAAAGTGACCTCAAATCTCAAACTCGCTTCGTGACTGGCGGGATGCCTCTGTGCTCCGACGGTTCGGCTGCTGTTTTCTGTCTCGTCCCCCACCGTAGCAGAAGTTGTGCGTCTCGAATGTCGAAAAAATGAATTTACCTTAGTGTTGAGTTCATGGGCCCCGGGGTCCCGCGAGGACTAAATAGTCTGCAATCAGCCAGCTCAGTCGCAGTCTGCAACAATCATGCACAAGAAACAGAACAAGGAATCGACCTCATGGGCAGTCATGGTTGCGGTGCCTATCACAGTCGTTGATCCAAACAAGTCCGCCGCTTCCCACCCGACCACGTGTGCCTGATTACGGCAGCAATGTGCCCACGCATTGCTGACTACGTTTCGGAAAGCCCAGTCAGTAGAGCGTTTCCCACTTGCCTGTTCAAGCTGGCGAATCTTCTTGCCATAATTTACCAATAACTTTCTGAGTCTGTTTCCGGTGCTCTTCCGCGTGTCTCGTTATGGTTTCAGCGCGTGGAGCTAAATCGCCAGTACGACTTCTCGGCCCTGGCGACTTTCACTTCCAGAAACATGTCGTTCATCTTGACGACACGGAGATGACCTCCAGATAATATCAAAATCCTGGTCCCCGTGCAACCTGCCTTCGCCTGGGTATATGCTTTTGGTGTGCCGGTCCTTTCACCGCCCAATGTTGTATGTTTTAAAAAAGGACCATCCCGGTTCATTAGCGCCCTGCCCGTTTGAGGAGCAACGCTCGAGCCTCCAACGCCTCGCTGTGCAGAAATATTCTCAGTGTGTCCCTAGTATGAGCCATAACCGCCTGCACCGTAAGGTGTCGCGCCGTAGGGAGTAGCGCCGCCCAGACGACCGCCGTAAGGAGTGTATGCGCCGGCTGGAGCGGGCTCGTAGCCATCAGGGCTCTGAGCTCCGTTCAAGCCGTCGACGCCTGCAACGTCAGCACCTCCGAGGACCCGAATGGTTTCGGCCAGCTTTTTCTGAATGACGTCGATACCTCCACGTACGATGTCGTCCGGTTCTAGGGTGCCCACGCCTTCGACATCGAAGAAGAATGCGCTTGGGACAGCATCAGGATCAAAGGCGGCGTCCGCGGCAGACTCATCTCCTTCCCAGGTCGCGTTCCGCTCGTCCACCGGCCACTCATCCTTGGCATCGGTCTCATACCAATAGTCCACGTGACGCAATTTGTTGTTGGGATCGTACTCGAAGCCAATCGCAGAAGTAGGCGCCCATTTGGCGTGCTCTTTTGCGATGCCCTTTTTGGCGATACATTCCAGCTGAATTTCTTGACCATGTCGCAGTTTGGCAATCAATGGGCCGTGGCCATTAGCATCACGGATGATTGGTTGGCCAATACCGTCTTGACGTGGTTCTTTCACGATCAGATCGCTTGCGAAGACCAACATCGTGCCAGCCTTGTCACACCGAGCGTGGAGTCGGAGGACAACTGAGCAACGTTCACAATTACTGTCGCAGTCACAGTCTCTTGTGTAAACTAAGTTCTCATCCACGCCCTTACTTGCTAAGGGGATGAGGCCAAGTCTGTGGGCGAGGTACTCGTCGGGAAGGACCGAAGAGTTGATTGAGATGTCAACAAGATCGATGGAGATGGTCGGGATCTCGGCCAACATGGCGCGGCGCAAGGAGTTCGCAAGGGCAAGGGAGCAGGATTGCAGGACGAAGTCGCATCGATCTCTCTCAACCTGTCGAAGTTCAGATCTGGTAGAACCAACGTGTGAAGAGCTGTTTGGCTCACCTCTCTCACAGTAACCTTCGATCCGGACGTTTCAACACCATCCATAACATCATCATGGAAGCCGTTGTAGCCATTGTATGCCATGACTGCTATCTCTACTGGTCTCACAAGGGAGAAACTCGTGAGCCAGGCTGAGCCTGGGTGATCTGACCGGAGTGATGGAGGATTGAAAGTCTGGGAGTTGAGCCGCAAGCAAAGGGCGCGCTGATGCGAGGGAAGTGATCGAGGGCTCAAGAAAATCGAGTCCTCACAGGCGCAGTCACGTGAAACTTAAATCACGTGATGAGTCGTGGACCAGTCAGCGCTTTGTGGCTGGAAGATCGTCGTGCCACGCGCGCGCTACGTAGTCCACTGCACTAAACCGAAAATGGCGGCTGCATTTTGCGGCCACAGCAATACCACCATTGTCAGTCTCACCACCACATATTCATCAATTTCGGGCCTTCTCTTTGCTCCTCCAACAACTTCACGCTCGTTAAGTTCACATCGCCTTGGTTCAGCGAGTCAATGCTCAGCGCCTTCTTGTCAACCGAGCATTATACTGCGAAGCCCTCATCTTGAAAGTGCGAAACAAGTACCGGACCCAACCCTGAAATAAATCCATTCGTTGGGCATCATCTTTCAGCCTGCTCCAGCACTAACGATCCCCGGGCGCAAGGCCTCGCCTGACGTTCGGTTCCGACCTCCAAGTAACAGCTCAGCCAGATGCGATTATTGCTGCAACAGAACTCAGTTGGAGTCATCAGTGGACTTCTACGTAGCGTATGGCATCATGGACGCGGCGGCTGAAACGTTCACTTCTCAGCCTCTCTGCATGGATTTCCACCACCGTCGAGCAGTTTCCTCCCCTGCCTGGCAGTAAAGCCATAATCGAACTTCCTTCTCCAATCAGCCCAAATGTCACTCTCAGCTACAAAGCGGTCCCTCCTGGGACTTGCACAACAGTCTTCGCGACTCAGCAGCAGTTCGCGGGCTACATCAAGCTACCGCCGAACATATTGGATCCCACTCAGGGGAATTACTCCATCCACACCTTCTTCTGGTTCATCGAGGCCCGGCAATTGCCTGAGACAGCTCCATTGTCGATTTTTATCAATGGCGGGCCTGGGTCCTCCAGTATGGTTGGTCTTTTTCAGGAAGTTGGTCCGTGTCAGGTTGTCGAGATCGCAAATGGCCAGTTGGGCACGACCGCACGAGATTGGGGCTGGGATCGAAGCAGCAACATCGTCTTCATCGATCAACCTGTTCAGGTCGGTTTCTCATATGATGTCCTGACGAATTCGTCTTTGAATTTGTTGGACGAGACCATTACCTCCCCGCCCACAAGTCGCCCTGATACACAACCCGCCTACACGTTCCTCAACGGCACTTTCGGGTCAGGAAACCCATCCTTCAGCGCAAACACGTCCCAGGCCGCCGCACATTCCCTGTGGCACTTTCTGCAGACGTTCCTCACTTCCTTCCCGCAGTACAACACCGCGTTGCGCTCACAGGCTGCGGAGTCGACTGCTGAGATCCACCTTTTCACGGAATCCTACGGTGGCAAGTACGGTCCAGCCGCAGGAGAATTCTTCAAAAGCCAGAATGCTCGGCGGCGAACAGACGTCCAGTTCGCAAACAGTACCATCGACGTCACGCTCAAGTCGCTTGGCATCATCAATGGCTGGATTGACTTGTTTACCCAGACTCCGTTTCACCCAAAGTTTGCGTACGAGAATAGCTATGACATTGAGGCCATCTCGCAGCTGCAAGAGCTGAATGCCCTCAGTGCATTCAATAATGCAAATGGTTGTCAGCAACAGACTTCTAATTGCAGAGCGCTGGAAGCGAGCCTCGATCCGCTGGGCTTGGGAAATGATGCTGTGGTCAACCAAGTGTGCTCGCAGGCACAGTCCTACTGCCAGTCTTACGTGGTCGGTCCCTACACTACATCAGGACGGTCTGGTTATGATATCTCCCAAGCTGTGCTGGATCCCTTTCCCAACGCTTTGTATCTGGAGTATCTCAACCAACTGCCCGTGCAGGAAGCACTTGGTGTGCCCGTCAACTATACGCAAGACTCGATAGCGGTTTTCCAGGCATTCAACACGACCGGAGATTATGCACGAGATGGGATGATCCAGGACTTGGTCGGCCTGCTCGACTCTGGTGTTAGGGTCGCACTCATCTATGGAGACAGAGATTATATCTGCAACTGGCTGGGTGGCGAAGCGGTCTCTTTCGCCATCGCCGGGGCCGCCGGCTCAACCTACGCGCGCTGGTACACTGCAGGCTATGCACCAATCGTGGCCAACAGCAGTTATATTGGGGGAGTGGTTCGCGAGTTTGGAAACCTGAGCTTCAGCCGAATCTACGATGCCGGCCACTTAGTACCGGCATATCAGCCAGAGACGGCCTTCACCATCTTCTCACGAATCATTGAGGGGACCGATATCAGCATGGGTCTTCCCGTCGATCCGTCAACATATTCGTCCTGCTGTGACGCGAATGCGACGTATCAGAATGTGGCTCCTCCAATGGCAGATCCGACATGCTACCTCCGTGCGGTCGATAGCACCTGCAATACAGATCAGAAGAACATGCTGGCAAACAACGCTGGCGTCATCATCAACGGCGTCCTCTACGACCAGGCCAGTGGCTGGCAACCACCAGATCCAGGGATCGCCACAAGGGCAGGCTCCCCTGGGACGCCTCCCGTCAGCATGATCACCAGCGCTCCACTTCCCGAAACAGCCTCGCCAACGCAGGTATTGTCCAACCCAGCCGGATCGGGAACCTTGACCGCCAGTAACAGCACGACCATCCGCGTCAGTTCCAGACCCTCAAGCCCCAGATCCAGTACCGGCGGTCACCTCTCGAGACCGCAACCCTCCACCAGTCTCCCCACGGGAGTGTTCACGGCGACAACCATTCCGCCGATGACCAGCGTCAGCAGAGCAGCCTCTGCGAGCGCGAGCAACGCGGCGGCGTCTTGCATTAACACCAGTATCTTTCGCACTCTGTCCCTTTCCAGCGATACCCGGCCAGCGACGGTGGCGCTCGTGTATCTTTTTTCCATGTTTGTCATATCCTAAGGCGGGACCATGGGGCAAAAACAGTGTAATGAGGACAACGAGAGCAGTGAGGGTAATGAGTGGCAATGAGCAGAGAATAATGCCCACGAAAAGCCATTCCAACAGTGACGCAGAACGGCACAGAGTAGTGCGCAGGTGCCGTCTTCTAAAGAGGACGATCAATCAGTCTGGCGACGATGGTAGTGTGCATGGACGATAGTCTGCAATGAAAATGAGCAATGAATCGTAACGTCCTGTTGACCAACTACCTTGACGTATCGGCTTGTCTTTGAGGTGGTTCCACGTATATCTAGATTAGCATTTGACCCCGTGCGACCACAGTAGAAACTTCCTTTCCGCTGATCGGTACCTACCGTGGTAGAGAACGGGGATGCACCGGTTTCGGGGTGGTCATTTTATTGCTGAAATCGAGGGACTGAGATGAGTAACGGGTCTCTCGACGCTCCCGCGACACGGCGTACTGGCGACATGTCCAAGGGAAGTCGATGTCATAGGCCCTGTGTATACTGTGCCACCTACCGTGTGTGCTTCCAATAAACCCGAAGAGCTGTCGGCGCATCGACGATCAGTAATCATACGTCGCCTGGATGCCATTGCCGTCTTTACTCGTCTGTCGAGGAAAGGACCGCCAGAATAATGATCAATGCTTCGCTGTTTGACCCTTCTCCTCCCTCAACCTGGTCTTGCCGCTGGCAGGGATCGTTCGTAAGGCAAGCCTTGGTGGGAGCACAAATGTACAGTAGCGACCATCGAGAAGCTTTCACCTCAATCTCCTGCGTGATGCGTCATATGGTTGTGTTGGGCGGGCGTTGTAATCGTACTGTCTTCAAAATACGCAGTACAGTGTATAGGCTATGACCCGGTGTTCGTTCATCCAGGGGTTGCGTCTCCGGCAATTTGAGCCTTGTCGTCCAAGGAAGCTCCTCACTCTGAGCGGGACTTTCCACAGCTGCACCGGGAATCACGGAAATGCGTACGAAGCCCCACAACTACAGTGCCACCCATTACTGCGGTATGCTGCTGACTTTGGCACAATGACAGACAGATACACAGGCCGGCCACCGGGCCGACAGACACGCAGGTAAGCGCTGTGGTAGACCAGGCACTGTGCCGAGACCATGCTGCTGCGCAGCCGAAGCGGGATCTCGAGCAGGGCATACCCGGCACGCTGCTTAGATTACCCACTTCGTGGAGTTTAAGCTCGTCCAGATGCTAGCCTACCCCTGGCGTTCCTTCTCGCTGCACGATGTCGATCGCACAAGGCGGCGTGAAGCGTCGACGAGATCATTGGGAAGTTGTGATTTCCCTCCAAGGCTGCGGGGTTCCAAATCGCTGGGGAGGGTTGCCCGGAATCCGGCCGCGGAAAGTGTATCCTTCCTTAGCACGCCTGTTGTGGTCGTTGCAGAGCGCCTCTCGGGCTCTATCTGATGGGCCTAATGGCCGTAGCGCAGATACCAGCCGCAGCACACCGGGCTCTCGAGAGCCACTTAGAGACAAAAGGACAGGACGCGCCCAGTCGATCGGTAGGGCGCAAGCTACCATCAAGCTAGCGTCCATCTCCGTGGTGAGGTGGTTGTTGGCGCAGCGAAGGGGCGCCTCATGGTGATCTGAATGGAAGGAAAGCACGTGGTATGACAGGGGATCCGTGGCTCACATCATCAGCCCGGGCATGTCGTCTGGTAAGCATGATGTCTCGTCAAGGCTGAGTGACTCGGCACAAATTATGCGAAGTACCTCGTACTTGTACACGGAAAACGCCCAGCGGGTTGCTTGCATTGATGGTGAGGTCTTTGTGTCTTCGCGGGAAAACACCATGGGGTATAGCGCAGAGTCTCCCTGCAGAGAAGATGCAGAGCAGTTCAGAACAGAACCTGAGATAGGGAGACAGCAGTGATACCTTGCCCTGGTGGGACAGAAGTGAAGCCTCTTAGTGTGCAGCTGCCATAGTAGAGTGCCCCCGTAGCGGTTACCCATGCTTGTTCTGATGGTCCTCCCCTCCACCGCACAACGGGCTTCCATGGTGGCGATGTGCTGCTGCAAGGTCCTCGTATTGACGATCGCAAACGTGAACGGAATGGCCACTGAAAGCACTGCACCGAACAAGCATGATATTCCTATTCAAGACCCATGATCATGCTTCGTCATCACCGCCTCGTCTGGGTGCCATGGACATTGCGTCTGTGTAGCTGCCTAGATGGGAAGTCGGCTCAAGCTGCATAGGTTGAGGCAAATAGATCGTTCAGTTCTCATCGAACGCTCTGCATCATGTCGATGGAAGTAACAGAACATTCTCGGATGAGCCAGTCTCATGATTTCCGATTCCAGTGACGGGTGATGCCTGACGCGGCTTCCATCAGAACAGGTAGAACCAACATTTGGCTGCTGATCCATTTGCTCAGTTACCGGAGAGCTGGTGGTCAAGCCGGTCAGGCGAGCTATACGAAATGTCGGTACGGAGTACTCGAATATTGCTGAATGTCGTTCATCCCGTGCCATCCGCCGCGGCAAAACAATCGGGTCGGTTCCAGAAGCGAGAAAGATACAGAAATAATTGCACAGTACTTGATCAGCAGGAAGCTCCTTGGCAACAGATTAGTGCTAGAAACGCCTTTTAATAGCCTTGCGAACTACTGTCTAAATCAAGGGCATTGCCTGCGGAGGTCCATACGCAGTTCGCAGTGGTGCCAATGCCGGGCCAACCCCAAAATTACATCGCAGTCTGACGGAGAGGCTGAGCACAATCGTGGGGAACTCCAAGCAGCTACCCACATATTGCCGGATGCATACACAGTACTGTGTTGAGGACCTTCAAGGCCACTGCGCTCAACAAGTACCCCGTACACTACACCGTATACATGCACCGAGGAGGGGGAATGTGATTCGAGAGTGTGCTGGCAATCGTCATGTTGGCGGTGTTGGTGATGGGAAGCGAAGGCTACCACCTATTTCTGTAAAGGGCTGAAGTGGACATTCAGTGTCTGAGTCGGAACGAGCCTACTGTGTAGAGATGGAGTCTGGCGACTTTGCTGAGCACCATAGGGCTTGCTTAGGGTTGCTTGAGAGTGGCGAGGCGGTTTGGCAAGGACTGCCCAAAGGAGGCGGCGCATCGATATTGCAAATGACGGTCCCAGGCGGCCGGATACAGGTACACAGTACGATGTTGTGCCGTGTACCAGGTAATTATGCAACTTTGTCGAAGTGGACAGAACAGTCAGAGAACAGTCAGCAGGGACGGAGGAAAGGCTTGACACCTAAACAGGCAAATAGTCCGGAGCCACAGGAAGCTTAAAGCTGCAGGCGACGAGCAAAGGGACGTGAAGGCAGGGCGAAGAGACAAAGAGGGCACAGGTCAGGCACGGAGTACGCGCACTGAAAGTGGAAAATGTGGTCAGCCAAGAAATGTGTTTGACTGATCAGAGGAAGCAGCGGGCGATTCGGCCGAGCAGGTCGGGCGCCTGCAAGAGCAAGCGACGGCTGCAGCTGCACGTTGAGGTCTGGCGCCAAGCCCATCCTGGGGCGTCGTACTAGCTATTAGCTAAGAAATTGCTAATCCACGCGTCGACTTTTCACCAGCCCTTCCTCTTTTCACTGATTCCTGATTCCCCAATCGTCGCAGACTCACCGTCTCCTTCACTTATTACTCATCAGCCGGAGCCTGACCACGCTCTCACCATTCAGTTTCGCCCCTTCTCTCGCGGCCCACGGCTCGATTGCTGACTTTACATTTCGTTAAACCGCCCTTCCTTCTAGCGGCGTCGCATTCGATTTCACTTCTGCTGAAGGAGCTTGCGCGCCTGCCCTTCACATACCGATCATCACTCGGTCATCGATTGGGTTTTCCTGGTTGCGTCCCGTCATCTCATCCGATCCTGAGCACAGGAAGCACTTGTAACCGATTTCGTCGCTTGTTCCAATCAGTCGCCCAGCTCTCCACTCGCAACCCCGCGAAACACAGGCCACCAGCGTTGTCCGAAAAAAGGTGATGCAACCGGCGCTCGCTCCTCGCACGGCTAGCTCTCCTTCAACCATGCCTCAGGTAAGCAGCCAAGAACACCCTGCCCTTACTCAGTTTCCTCCTTCGAGTGGTCCCTCGGTGCCCTTTCCAACCCTCTTGGTAAGGGTGATATGGATTTTAGGGAGGCACCGGGAGTCCAGGAACCCGTCGCATCTATCCCACATCTATCCCATATCATCCTGTCGCATGACTACAGTCATCAAGAGGGACGCCAGCCTTGCTCCAGGTGTTCCCTTCCCACCATGTCTGCACCCAAACAGCCACATCATCACTGTGACAAGGCATCAGTGCCTGGCTCCGTCTCTCTGCCTTCCACCGATCACATCCTCAAGCTTCCTCCCCCATCTGGATCTGGCATCGATACCTCACGCACTCCCCACCTCAGTAAGTTTGACGAGCACTTCTGACCGATTTGAGCAATAGGACGTTGTCAAATCCGATCAGCGTACGTACAGTAATCCTCGACCCACCCTGCGCTTTCTCTCGCCCTGCGGCCTGAGACCCTCTCCAGTCCTCGCTGCACGCTATTCCCTCACGGTGCTTCGGCAGTAATGCGCCCTAGCCACTTCCGGATCCCATTCAACCCCCTTGTCGTTCATCCTTCCACACTCCTGCCCATTGCCTATCGCCGATCCCGTCCGCTTCACTCATACAGTATTATTACCACGGTTCGGCTGTGTTATCTTACTGTCTCCTGCAAGACTGCATCATTTGTCCTGTTCTAAACGAAGCAAGCGTGTCGAAAACCCCACCCCCTCACCCCAGTCTGGCTTTTCCGTCACATACATATATCCCCAAGAAACATCGCCTTCATCCAGCCTTGTCTCTTTGTGCCTTGTTGGACTCGGGACACACTATCTTGCGCTCAGGCTGTCTGTGTCTTCACTTCATACAACCAATCAAACACGTCCCCGTCTGTACTACCACACCTCGTTACATCATGACCTCGATTACTCAGTTACTTTCTCCCTGGCCGGTCTCTAAACATTCGATAGTTCTGCGGGAGCAACACTACCCTCCCCCACCTCAACCACTGTCGGATCACATGGATGCAATGCCACATCATCAACCTTCCCCTCCTCAAGATCTGGCGCAGAACGATGCAGTTACTGGCAGTGCCGAGAGTGACGGTGGCGAGAACGGTGGCGATGGCCGCAAAGGTTATGGAAAGCGCGAGTTAAGCACGAGCAAAAGAGCTGCTCAGAATCGAGCCGCCCAGGTAGGCTTTGTCGACCGGCTGAAGAGACCTGCCGTGCTGACCTTGAATGCAGAGGGCTTTCCGACAACGAAAAGAAGGCTACATCAAGAAACTCGAAGAGCAAGTACGAGACTATCAGGTACTCAGCGAGAACTTTAAAGCAGTGCAAGCCGAAAACTATCAACTCCGTGACTACATCATCAACCTCCAATCTCGGTTATTAGAGTCACAAGGCGAAGTTCCACCTCCACCAAGTAATGTCGACGGCCTGCAACCGGGCAAAGCTGGACCTTCACAGCAACAGGGCACCTTGCCTCGATTGTCAGAGCTAGGTGCAGTCGCCCAAACGCAGGACGGCCTCAGCAGCCTGCATCAAGAGCCTCCTCGGACAGGGCTATATCCTGATCCAACATATTCTGAATCTCCAGTCACGAAGCGCGCCAGGACGGGTTCGGCCGAGATGACTCCATCTCAAGCGGCATTGCAAGGACCGAACATCCTATCCCAGCAATCCGCAGGCGCTCGGTAACACTTGCTTGTTTGTAACCTTTTGCATGAAACGGGGGTTTGAACGACTTGGGGCGTCGCGGCTCGGCATGGTATGTTACGAGAGCATATGTCTATGGTGTTGAGGGGCCTTTAGTCCTTGGGAGGCGGACCTTGGCTGTACTGATCACGACTGCTGGGTTGGCTACGGCGTTCCAGGGAAGAGGAAGAGGACGGGCGGCAATTTTCGAGTGTCGAGCAACAGAGTCCCCAATGCGACCGGGTACCACAGAAAGACCTGGCAAGGTCCAAGGAGGCTGGAGCTGAGCAAGGCTGCAGACCGATCAGTAGGCTAGTCTGCGATACTGCCACATGTTTACGGAGTACCTCGCTTGTACCACCGCGAAGCTTCTAACCAGCATATGTACGAGAATTCGGGCTGGTCAATCAACCAATAGCCGACGCGGCGTGGAACACCACGCGCACAGGTATTACCGCACATGGAACCCACCCGAATTGAGCATCAAGGAATCGGTCAGCTCGAAGAGTTCGAGTGACGCTTCCATAGGCATTGGGACGCCCCGTGCGGATGTCCTTCTGTTCCTAAGTCCGGACCAAGTGCCATGGCTATTAGTCATCTACCTGTACGTCTAAGCACGGAAAATGGACGGGCAGCGCTGTACCACTCCCTGATAGGAAGCTACTACTCCAATTGGCTGAGAAGGTGACTGACTGTCTAGCGCCTACTCCAGACGGGTATCTGATAGTTCACTATGAGGTACGGCCAGGCAAAAAGAGATGAAGCGGAAAGACCCCTGGGTGGCTGGGGGAGGCTGCAGGCAGCGGATAATTGTTGAGTGCAATAGTTCCTCTTCAAGACGCTGCGACGCAAAGCGCTGGCACGCCGTGGGGAGCATCTCGCCCACGTCGACCGGGAAGAATCGAGCGATGCAAGAATCGGCGAACGGAAATGCCTGCGGAACACCCCACGAGCACACAGATCAGGTACAGATACCCGCCACGTAATCCCGACGTTGTAATGCCAGGAATTCACCTTGTAAGATACCAAGTACGCCGGACGAAGGTCGCCTGATTGGAAGTGCCAAGGCTAATCTTACGTCCAATCAGAGGAGATTCCAGCGTGACTCCTCTGGATCTAGTTCCCTTTACTGCTTCATCATTATCACAGGACAGAGCTACGTCTTGCAGTTGCCTCCTCGCCGTTGCGGATCGGGCCTACGAGTACCGTCTTGACTGTCGCCCGAGAAAGGTTCATCATTCCAGTGGTGTCCAGCCGAGTTCGCGTGCCAAATATTGCCAGTGCATGGAAGGGGTCGTGTCCGCACGACTGAGTACCGTCTACTGGTATGTCCCTCCCCGATCCTGGCATAACCTCCAGCCCCCAATCTATTCATTATGTAACCTCAAGAATTCTCCCCACGCCAGGTTTCAACCCACTTGTCCCTGAAATCGCACTCCGAAGCGACAAGCGATGCGAATCCCCAAGTGTCCTTGGCCGGAATCTGTGCACAGCATTACAACCACAAGGCCACCGGCAAGAACCTCGAGTCGTGACTTGCTGCCACATCTACCGTTCTCCCAGAGGATCGCGCCATGCTGCCCGTGACTGTTGGGCGCCTGCTTCCACAGTATGTACCGAAGTCCATCTTCGCTCTGCCTGCACCAAAACAGTCGCACACAGCACGAGTCTAGCTCCGCCAACTTTGGCCGACCCATCGTGTCTCCGCCACAAAAAGCTTGGCGCAGTGGCTCGTTTACACAGTACGAGTACGGACTGCAAGGCTCTGGACCAGGTACGTGATATCTAGGTATGGAAATTGTCGAATCTAGACGCTGTCCGCCGATCAGAGGCTGAAGATGACCACTTGTCCAATTCCTGGCGCTTCTTCACTGGCAATCTGACGATACCGTCCCGGATCCTACCTCAGCATCATTCCAGGAAGGCGTGGCGATGCGGTGGGCTGCAGATTCGCCCATCGGAGACCGATATGGACACTGTTGTACCTAAGAAAAGTCCTCGCCCTCATTTCGAAGCATCTTGGCGGCACGTATGGACTCATCGCTAAAGTCAGCTGTGGTGAAAGCCATTCCTCGGCAGCAAGAACACGGCCGTCGGAAAGGTACTGCGGCTGCTGCATCATGTCGACAGCTGCTGCACGCCAGGTTTCCCGTCGAAGCCTCCAGTCGTGTCCGCCAATCCAAGGCAGCCAATACACTTCCGTTTTATGGACACCTTTGAGTACCTCGTCGCATGCATTCTCCATACCGTGCCAAGGTCAGTTCCACTTGCCATTTCGCCATGACATTACTGGGAGGATTGGGTACGTACAGGGGCTGGACTGAGGACTCTTCTAGTAGAGGTCTGGTACAATTGTCCCGCATACGACGCAATGCGATGCAATGAGTCGTCTGTTGTCGATTCGCCATGCGTCTGATATTACGACAGGCATCTTACCGCCATGGCTAGATCCGTGGGGTCTGGGGCAGAAGAGGATGACCATGACCGACCCCGGGCTCGGACTGGTGCCTGCATCGTTCCTTGGAAGAATTGGAGCTGTGTCTTGTTACTCTGTGCTATGTGCGCGTACTGGTTGGCAAGCGAATGAGCATGCTCAGTGTACAAGTGGGCTGACTTGAAGTCCCTACTATTCCTAGTAGGCCGGGGTTTCAAGCGTTCGACGAGACAAGACCGACCAGATACACCAAGCGTGTACTCGGTACGGGTACCTACCAATAGTGCTTTCTGCACAAAACCGTAGATTGTGACCTTACGCATTACAGAGGATACCTATGCACCGTGCACGTACTGTGGGCAGTTCACTTTATACCGTTTACTCGTACCCCATCTAGAAAAGAGTGGTCGAGGCTTGTCTGTCACTGTCGGGAAAGGTTGGCCAGACCCTTCGCCCGCATTCGTTCATGTCGCGCTGGACAACAGCGCCTTTGCGCAAGTCCAACGAGTGCCGGAAATGGGAGAATGCCTCATCTCTTGCATACAGTCCATACGTCGTACTGTATCCCAGGTCTAGATACAGTAGTCATGCCAGATGGTCGTGCCCGGAGGGGATCTGTAATGGCGCATTTTTTGCTTGCTGCATCACATTCCGCGGTCGGTTGCCAGGCTGGAAATGGCTCGGAGCGGGAAGGCTGAATCGGCCTGTCGCATGATGTCTGCGGTGGTTCTCAATCAACACTGCCTGTTACTGTAGCTGATAAGGGAGAGCTCCGGCATGCCGAAGGATGTCCTAGCAGCGCGTGGTTGAGTGATCGAAACACTTCACCTAAGCAACTACGAATCACAGCTGAAAGCTTGCCGTGTGCTCGGAGCACAACACCCGTCGAGGAAGGGCAACCTCGACGACGACATCAGCCGAACGCGGTTCGACATCTACGAGGAAACAGTCCAGGTTTCGTGTCGAGGTTCGAGGAACCTGCGGGCAGCCCGGAGTTGTTCCATGCTGAAATGGACAAGCAGGGGCCCTGACTGCCGTCTGATAACAGGCCAGTTTCTTACCCCCGTGGCTTGTCGTGCATGCTTCGAAGCTGCCATCCGTGAAGCTTCTACATTGCAGAACTTGGTACCATCTTTCCGGGCGGCATGGCGAACGGCAAGGTGCGTTCATGCAGGAAGACAAGCATATTCCCTGTCTCAGAGCTGGCTCACGAGTGGCTGCTCTTGATCATATGTCTTAGCATTGCCCGCTTGCTGTGTTTGGTTCATCACACGTGCTGCTGTCACGGACCACAGAGACAGATGTCTCGGTGCGAGTAGGCTCACTCTTTGGACTGGTGGCAGACTCACTCTTCGAGGTGGTCTCAGACTCATCTTAACGTCGGCGCTCGTGGGTATTGGACGAAGGTACGGTAGTATTCAAGTGTCAGTGATCGTGCCTGACCAACTGCGCGGCGAGGCGGCGGAGAGTATACCCGTGCTGTCTGGGGACGCCGCCATGACTCGTCGTGCATGCGTTGCGGAGCTGGAGTGCAGGGCACCATTTTCCCTAACCGTGTGGCACAGCGCGTTACCCACAGGATGCCCAAGAGCAGCAGGCCACTGGAGCTCCAGAACAAATCGACTCTGGAGCCAGAAGCGGCTGAGGAAAGAGCTGCGGTTGCAGGACCGTCGTGCACTAGTGTGGGAGCAAGTCACGATGCAGACGGTGATTGCTGGCCAGCGGCATGCGAGGATTGTTCAGACATGGCAAACAAGGTGGCAAGGTCAGCATGACACGGCGATGATGGCTGCCTCGGGGCGAGTGAAAGTCCAGCGACTCGGAGAATCTGGGACCGATGAAAGGCTGAGCACGTAGAGAGGCAGTACGATCCCTGAATACATAATCCATCCGGAGAACATTGCGAGGCGAGGGTGATGACTGGATGAGGCGCAAGTGAAAGTTGGGATATTGAAAAGACACGAGGACGAGGGTATTGTAAAGACCAACGACCGGTCACACCGTAATGCCAATACCGCAACCGTAGTTACGAGGCTGTTACCGTCTCACCTCCTTGTCACAGCCTCGCGTCCGATTCTGGCCCCGATTAGGCTGAGATCAGAGTTTGCCACATGGCTCCCCATGATGGAAGCCTCATCGCGTTCGGCATACCCCTGAAGGATGACCGGCTCAATCTTTGTCCCGCCGCTGGGCCGTTTGTGGTTAGGTGAAATAGCAGGGGTAACTTGTAGCGAGAAATTGGCCGGAGGCCGCCCACAGGCCCTTCGGGCTCTCGGGGACCAGTGTGGATGACCGAGACGAAGCCCGCGTATCCTATTGGACTGCCGGCGATCACAATCCAGACCAACGGCCGCCGGCTTACGGCAGGATTGAGTCAGCTTTTTGTCGATTTCCTGGTGTGGCTGCCATGCTCCCTGCAGAACAGACTTCCTCGGCATCGCATTTGTCGGAGACTCTCCGCCTCATGGTTCGGGTGCGAGACATCCATGCGGATCAGAAACGTGTAACTGCTGTACTCCGTAAGCACACGGCTTGAAGGACGATGTGCATACAGACTGGAAGAGGATGCAAGGTGCGCACGCGCCATCAGTATTCGTTGCTGCGGCAGCCGACTGGTCACTTCGAGTCAGCACACGGACCTTGCATGCTGCCTGCCACCATGTCTTGAACGCTTCGACACATGAGGCTTCCAAGTTTCATTCGCTGGCGGCGCCGGCTCGGTTTGGAATGGCGACCTCGCAGCCTTCTTCTTCCATGCTTACGTATCCAACGTCGTTCCGGCGAGACGGAGCAGGACTGTGTACTCGTACGAAGGGCACAAGACCTGTTTGAAGACCGGAAAAGGAAATCCACTGTCGAGATAGGACACCCCTTCTCGCCTGAGACTCATACGAGGTTACTCCTTGGCCTTCCGCATTCGCATCCAGATGCAGCCGCGGGTGGTTCTACTTAGCCACGGCTCCATCGCAGCATTGACAGTGGATTCAGATTTCACGCTGGGGCCAACAGCCTTGGATTGCAAGGCTCTCTGTGATGCGGCCTTAAGTAAAGCCTTCCGTAACGGGACACGTCGAGGGTTTGTGCGCTACGAATCCATCGCTCCCATCGGACGGCTCCCGAACCTCGCTTCTTTTGGGGCACGCATGCAACAAAGTGGCGTACGGGTAAGATCCTATTAAGAAGTTTTGCAACTCCTTTAAAGGGAAACCCTCGCGACCACCTGTAACTGGTTCGCTTGACAGCGGAGCGAGGGTTCGAAACCTGCAAGTTGTGGGGGGAGTACTGTGTACTCCGTATTTACGTCCGGACAGTCAGCGTTCTGGTCGACAGGCAGGATCAGGATTTCGTTGTGTCACTTGACGGCTTGCCCGAGATCAGCATTTTCGCGACCATCCCAAGAACAATATCATGCGACAGACGATCATAGCAATAAACAGCATACGCGCCGATCCAATAAGCGATGAGTAACCAGTTTAACAATTGCCTGCTTGAGTAGATGGTACTTCGCATTAGTTCCCCTTTAGGCATCTGGAACTGGAGGTACCAATGAATGTCAATGTGAGATGTCATCATCATCTGTCAAAATCTCGACGTCGTTTGAAACGGTGGATACTTTGACTGAGGGCACATGAGCACCTAAACCTGCATTCGACCGGGGCCAAGGCTGAAGTGAATTTCGTCTCGGAGGCCTGATGACAAGGCTGGACGAAACTCAGGCCGCCTACAGTTTCTTCATAGCTTCGCCGGCTTGCAGCGAAGAAGCTTCTCAAACTTCTGCTTGATGTCGCTTGATGCGGACCAACTTGAAACCAGGCCGCCTGTACGACCCATACAGCGCCGCCCGTGTCGAAGAGCTGCGCTTTCCATTCCAAACGAGGCGTTGCCTTGAGTACTGGGTAGCCGGATGCGGATCCGTCGGTATTACTTTGTACTGTGATAGTCGTTGGGGCGGCCGCACTAGTGATAGGGTGATCGAAGTACCACAGGATCATGCGGATATTATGCCGAGCGTCGAAAGTCCGTCAGCCACGCGTTGCCAGCGTACTGTAACAACAGATTACACATTGCGAACAGTGGTGATCACCCTCCGAAAGCAAACGGCGATGGCGCTATCGAGTTCCCTAAGTCATGTTCCTACGACGTGTAAGCGAGCGTCACCCAAGACGGAGACGGGGTCGCAACTGGGGTGCTGGATTACCTTGATGTAATCACTTCCTTTCTCCATGTACTCCGCATGTGTGACAGTGGCGGCCTGTCGATCGACCTGTTCTGCTGAACTCCACCAGGAGGCTGCTCCTTTCCAAGCATCAAGGATCGGGTCGTTCGCTTTCCGGACATTGACCGTGAAATCAGAAGGTACCGTGGCTATGAGTTCCTGCCTGAGTCGTTGCTCGAAGGTCTTGAACATGGTATTTCCGCCAGTGAGAAAGACATCCTTGAGCAGTGCCTGTTGTTGGTCAAAGTCCGCAAAGCGACCCATGACAATACCTTCAATGATTTCAACAAGGCCAGCTTGGTCGACTCCGGCAATACCTGGCTGAAATACCACCTCGGGTACTCTGATGCGTTCGACGTTCAGATGGATCTGATTGCCTTCGCGCTGACTCTCTGGGTCCGCAGGCCTCGCTCCTCGTAGGAAAGCATGCAAAACGCTCTTTGTCCAGTCGTTCTGCGCTTCGATAGTGTCCTTTTCTGAGAAATTTGGATCGAACTGCAGGAGTTCGCTCTCCAAGGCCTTCAAAGCGGTAAGAGGATCTTCTTCTGGCTCCTCGTCGTCGCTTGCAGGTTCAGTGGCGACCGTTCGGTAGACGCCCCAGTCTTCGTCGTTGGCTCCAAAGTCGTCATCATAGTCCCCTCCGCCTCTCCGCTTTCGCTTTGGTCCGTCTGAAGCAAGATTCGCCAAGGTCTTCATCCGCATCTGAGAAGCTATGCCCTTGCGATTACTGGAATCTGCCTTTTGCCTTGCTTGTTCCTTTATCTTTGCGAGTAACGACAGTCGCTGTTGTCGGCGCCCTGCGAGCCACTCGTCAAAACGATTCTCGCGCGTCTCACCGTCCTTTCTCTCTTCTTCTGCCACCCGTGCTCTCTCACGTTCTTTTTCCTGTTTGGCTCTTATTCTTGCCTCGACACCGGACTTCATGAGTCTCTGATGCCGCTTCTGCTTGATGCCCTCTTCATCCAGTTGATCGTCGGGTACATCCAGAAGCGGAAACTTCGTCAGCTGTTCTTCGAGGTTCTCTTCTTCTTCAGGAGCACCCAACTCCTTGTTCCTGGATTTACTGATTGATTTGTCCAAGTCTCTGATAATTCTCTCTAGCGCGGCCTCATCTTTCAGCTCTTCGTCGTCCAGGATTCGCCGCTGCTCCTTCTTGGTTGGTGCGTTGATATAGTCATTGTGCAAATTCTGATAGTATTCCAGCTGCTGTTCTTTCTTGATGAGCTTTTCTAGACGCATCTTGGCGGCTTGCTCTTGAAGCCGTCGGCCAGACTCCTTCTTCCGCTCTGCTATCCGGGCAAGCTCTTCGGCCGATTTCTCGACAACGACTTGCTCCGTGAAAGGATATTGGATGAGGATATCTCGATCCTCCTCAAGACCCGACCAATCCAGATACGTGGACAGTTCTGTCGCGTAGTCGGTCGAAAGATGGCAATATTGCTTGATGTAGGTCTCCATCTGCTCGATAGTCATCTTGCCGGGAAATATGGGGTATTTCAGGCGCAACAGTCTTAACAAGAATTCTTGTGCCTGCGAGCCTCCCCAGTTCAATCTTGCGCACATTTGCATTTGAGGTTGTCGGTTCAAGACAGGTATGATGTGCGTCGAGGTATGGGACGAAGAAACAACGAGCCCAGACCGGCCTTTGTTCTGCCGATAGGAGAACAGACTGTCGATACCATAGGTGACACTGGGTGCGCCGTAGCATTCGAAAAGCATTTCGTTCATCATTCTCCTGCTATGGCCCAGATTCGCGACAGGCTCTGTGACGACCAAAGGCCTGCCCACACTGCCATCCCCGTTCACTCCCAGTTTCAGGAATATATAGTCGTAGACGCCTTCCAAGATGTCCCAGTTTGTCGGGATGCTAGTGTGCTGTTCGAACGCTTGTCTGATCTGGCCACGCGTTGTAGCGTCCGCATAGGCATCATAGCCCACGAATGCGCAGTATTTATTGAACTTCCGGTCTTTGAACTTGGCCATGATCGGGGGGACGAGAAATCGGGGAACCTTGTCGAAGGAGAAGCCGGCCTTGACAGTGCTGGCGCCTGTGCAAAGCAAGTCAACCGCCATGTAAATACCTGCGTAAGGGTCTTCTTACCATTGTCAATGACAATCGCGCTTTCTGAGGGAGTCCCCGCACTCTGCTGATATCCGTCAGGCTTGGGAGGCTGCCAGCCTTTGAACGGGAAATCTGGGGCGGCATATATCCGCGGCTGGGATAGCTGCTGGGACTCTGGAGGCGGCGTAGGGAGTCGACGCTGCGCCGTGATGCGGGTGGTTGAGGTTATGGTCATCTTGCCGTATCCATTGCAAGACTACCAACGTCTGGCCCCTTGCTCGGGACGAATCGACGGAAACTGTTTGGGCTGTCGTCGTTGACCAGAGCTACGCTCACATACCCTGGACCGAATTCTTGATCGTCGGTGGTGTTGTGTCACTTGTCCGCAATGTAAAGGGAGGTGATCAGTGGGAATTAAATTTAGTTGGAGAGCGCGTCAAATGCGGAGAATGTTGCCAGCCACGTCGGTCGATGTCGCGCAGCGGTGGTGTAAAACTATTGAATCTCAAATCATGGTAAATCTCAAGTAAAATGCGCGAGAAAGGTACATTGGTAGCTGCGATGTAACGCGGAATCTCTAGCTCCGCATCAGGGGAATTTCTGGAATTGCCACGATTCTGATAGAGTAACACGCCGCAAACCAAGCCAAGCTTGGGCATCTATGTCTCTGCGAAGCTGATATCTATGTATCAACCTACCCATCACGGACGGGGAGAAGCCACAGACAAATTACCTTGCAGTTGTCGAGTTCGATCATTCGTCTGTCCTACGTCCCTTCGGACAGTCCACCTTCGTACATTCAACACCGTCACCAAGGTGTCCAACTAGGTTCAGGCCTATCTGAAAGGTCGCCGGCCTTCAAAAAGCTCATCTTCCACCGAGCAAAGCACTCTTCATAGTCATAGGGGATCTTTCAAGTTCTCTGTTGCTGGAAATTGTCAACAGCATCGTTCAATTGGCGGTCGAACCGGTTTGTACCTTCAAGGTGGAAAAGCACGTTTGACTGGTAGTTCTTGAACATCTGAGCCACCAGTTCGACATTCATGTTCTGGATATTGACCTCCTGCATGCCATAGTTGAGTCTTGCTCACAGGCACTATCGTGAAGGAGCCCTAACCTGCAAGTTTCTGTTCATCATCATAACAGCTTCATTCAGTTTCTCCTGGTCACACGATTAGCCTGAGTCGCCGTGAATCACGGCACCCTAGCATACGATGTTTGTTATAATCCGCGAGAGCAGGAGGGTCTGCTGCTGTTCGTGTGGGCTTTCCTACCGCAGATACTCAGTCCGCGTCTGTAGCAGAAGCCAAGCCAGACTCACCATCGTGCCGTGGCATGGACGTCAATACTGCGATTTCAGCCAAAGTGTTCAATGGCCGGCGCGTGTCGCGTTGGCGAGGGGCATGCCAAGACCTGGTACGCAGCAGCCAGTGTTGCTTCCCCCTTACCCATCACTGATCTTTCCTTCACATCAGATGTACGAGGCTCCTGGATTCTTCAGCACTGCATGTGACCTATTGCTGCATCAGCCTCAGACCCTGGCTGGTCGAGATCCGAGAGGTCCTTCCAACGTTCCTAACCAGCGGAGGACTCGGCACTATCGTCTCATGATCAATCTGCGCCCGTCTGCATTCAGCCAACAGCGCGTATAGAAACCTCCTCCCGAATCGGCCACAACGGCCTCGGCTCGGCGTTTTGGCCGATGCGATTGCATCATTTGGACAACAAAGCAAACAACTGTCCCCTGTGAGATGACCATATGTCTGAGTGCAGTCGGTCCTGACCACGGCTCATTTCTTCTCGTTTCTCTGACATTGACCAGATCGTCCATACAACCAGGGACGTCGGTTCTGTATTAAGGAGGCAAGTTCAGTCAAATCGCAACATGTCACAAGCAGGCTCTTTGCCGTGCAAGAAGCTACTAATCATCGGTGCCACTGGACTGATTGGAAGCCGAATCACCCAAGAGATTGTTCGCAATAAGTCAAAGTTTGACAGGATAGCCATCTTCACTTCTCCCGGCACGTACGAAGCCAAAGCAAGCGAGGTTGACAAACTAAAGGACGAAGGAGTGGACATTATAGTGGGAGATGTGACCAACTCCGAGGATGTCAAAAAGGCCTACCAAGGTGAGGTCAGCGATGGGGATCCTGCTGTGCATGACTAAAGCACGTAGACATTGACACTGTGGTATCTGCTGTGGGCAGGAATGTAATTGAACACCAGGTTGAACTGGTCCGTTTGGCCAACGAAACTCCCTCGATCCACAGGTTCTTCCCGTCGGAGTATGGAACTGATATCGAGTACGGCCCGGCTTCGGCTAATGAAAAACCCCACCAGAAGAAGCTAAAGGTCAGAGCGGCATTGCAAGCTGCGGACAAGCTGGACTACACCTATGTTGTAACAGGACCTTACGCCGACGGCAACCCAGGCCTCTACTTTGGTGCAAACAAGGCTGTGAAGGAAGCCGGGACATTCGACGTGAAGAACAAAGAGGCAGTCTTAATCGGCGAAGGAAACTTCAGGATTAGCTTTACCACGATGAAGGAGTGAGTTGCGTCCCCCAACCAGATCTCTAGAAATAACAAATGCTCTAGTGTCGGCAAGCTCGTCGTCTTAGCCCTGACGCATGCGGAGGCAAGTCGGAACAAGGCGCTACGTGTGAATTCGTTTACAACCACCGACTCGGAGATCCTGAAGGAATTCGAGAAACAGACCGGTGGTCAGCAGTGGGGTGTAAGCTACACGAGTCTGGACACTCTGAAGAAGCTTGAACAAGAAGCATGGGACGCTGGAAAACCGTACGCTACGGTTTTCACGTTGAGAAGAATCTGGGCGGAGGGCGGTACCCTCTACGAGATAAGAGACAATCATTTCATCGATGGCGACGACGTGGTCGAGACATTAGCGGATGCTGTTGCCGAAGCGATCAGAGTCCAGAACTCAATATGATTGACAGCTGTAGTAGGGCGGGAATAGGATCTGGGAAGAAGAGACTTCTATTGAAGATATATCGAAACAGTTCCATCCCGCCGCTCGTCTTTGCCCAGCGCCAATCCCTACTGCAAGGCGATTTGATACTGCCGGAATATACACATCTTACGTGCCCTGGAGGTACCTCGGTAGAGCCAACCCACCAACAAGCAAAGTCGCCCAGTTCGATCGATAAGCGTGCTCTTACCTATTCCAAGAGATGAATGCAGAATCGTCATGCACTCAGCTGGCGGGGATTGCGTCCGACGCATATCCGTTCTTCAAATGTGGGTAAGACCAACGGCCCTGCAGGGACCTGACTGTGGTTTCCCGCTTATGCACACTAACTGCCGCTGAACACCTTGTACAGGCAATGGCACATCGAAGAGAGCGAGTTCTATTGAGGCTGGGGCGGCCTATGCAGCTCAATGATAATGCACATCGTGGCACTAACTCATGCCGGTAAATGGTTGTTGCAGCGCGGGCAACTGAGGGTGCACAGTCTGCTCCTCGCGAGTAACGATACTTGCGGGTGATAGAGAGTCTTGAAGCACAACAGCTTGAGCATCAGGTAGAGTTATCCTCCCGTCGAATTCCCTTATCTGCCATGAAATGGGGCAAGAAGCGTCCAAGCCCGACCCGAGCGCGCAGCTTCTGGTGATCGGCTGTGGAATGTCCCGCACAGGCACCGCATCCTTCAGCGAAGCGTTGAAGATACTGCTCGGCGGTCCAGTGTACCACGGCGGAAGTCAGCTAGTCGGCGCCGGCGAGAAGCACATGCGCGACTGGACCGAATTGTGCAAGCACACACCCATCACGGACAAAGAGGATAGGAAAATCGTGCTCGAGGGCCTCAAGTCAATGGTGGCAGGATACACGGCCGTGACAGATCTACCTCCCATCCTGTTCACCGAGGAGCTGGTCGAACTGTTTCCCGACGCGCATGTCATCTGCACCACCCGGGACCCGGAAGATTGGTGGAACAGTGTGCGCGCAATCACCTCGAAAACAGACACGGAAGAGCGAGATGAGACCATTCTTCGCTTCATCCTGGCGCTGTTGCCCACAATGAGATATTGGCACGCCTTCAATGTAGCACTGAAGAACGGTCGCATGGGTGAGCTTTATTACTCGTCGGGACACAAGCATCCGCACGCAGGACAGTATCAAGAGCATATGGACTATGTTACCAGAGTGGTGCCCCCGGAGAGGCTGAAGTTCTACGATGTAAAGGACGGGTGGGAGCCCTTGTGCAAGATCTTGGGCTGTGAAGTACCTGATGTTCCATTTCCGCGCGTCAACGACGCGAAAGCGACGCAGGAGATTGCCGTGACACAGATCCGACGAGGTATCACGGCGTGGGTCGGCGTTGGTTTGGGCGTCGGATTGTCAGCTTTCGTGGCGGCCCGGAGATGGCGCAGATGACTGGTACAGTGGATGGCAGTGCATAGCTCGTACTGAACCCAACGATGGATATCATCGATGGTAAAGCTCCTGATACAGGTCGAATAATCTTTCAGAGAACCAGAATGGCGAAGGTCGGTACTCCGTAAGCTTTGATAACCTGTAGCTCTGACCTCTTATGCGGACGGCGGGTCACGTTCTGGCGTATCCCATCGCGGGCTCAGGATTCCACCCTCACCGGCGATTGTTGAGACCCCATGCACAGTCACTTAGAGTGAGCCTTCGCACGTGTCGCAACGAACTCTACACGGCAATTGACTGCCATCACGACTCAGTTTCCAAACCCTGTGAACGCTCAGAATGCCATCGACACCAGCGCCACAGGATGACTCCCACCAACAACTCCTCGACCAGATGGACATTTTCTACACGCCCAAACCCTTCCGCAACCCTAACTGGAAACCCGGTACACGACGCAACAAAAACACCAAGCAAATCATATCCGAGTCGCAGCGGAAGGAAGCCTCGGTGCTAGCCACGCAGAACAACTCTGGCGCATCGACCCCTCTGCCTGCGACGGGCGCGAACTCGGACGGCGCAGCTACACCCGTGCACTCCTCTGCCGGCTCACGGCCCGTAAACATGGCACAAGCGACGCAGAGTCTGAGCACGCTCGTTCTAGAGCGTAATCTACAGAGAGACAAAGCCTCAAGCGGTGCGTTTCCGGGACCTCCTGGAGGGTTGACGGCGGGGCCAGCTGTCACATACACGAACATTGAGAGCGCGCCGAGTCTACATCCTGCGAACCAAAAACGGTACTGTGACATTACGGGCTTGCCGAGCAGGTATACAGATCCGAAGACCAAGCTGAGATACTACGACAAGGAGATCTTTGCGGTGGTGAGGAGTTTGCCGCAGGGCGCACCGGATCAGTATCTTGCGGCGCGAGGGGCGAATGTGGTCTTGAAATGAGCGAAGAGAAAGAACGAGACATCTCTCTCTAACTACAAAAGCAGCAACCGTCCGTTCCAGGGGGCAACTTCCAGTCGCACATGCTGTCAGGCCATCCAAGTCAAGCCCATCCTACCACCCGCACACCTCTCGGTATAGCGGTTCCAGGAAGCGCTCCGGCTTAATTGTGGACTGTGTATTATGTTGTTCTTTGCCAGGTGACACGATACCGAATCCTCATCGGCAAGCAGAATCAGTTACAGCGACTTGAAAGAGCTGTGGTCATGGCGGGAATTACTAGACACTGGTCTTCCAAACTTGACGGCAGTTCCAGCTCTTAACTGGGACATCACTGGGTTCGGGAGGCCAAGTCGCCATCTACGGTCGGCTAGGCACAGGACATCGGAGTCTGACCGGAAGGGGAGAATAGCGCATGCAAGAGGGTTGAGGAGAGAGCGAGATTAAAGTGAGATGTGCTGGTACGAACAGCATTTGGCGTGAGGAAGCTCGGACGCAGCAGGACCTAATGTTTGTCAGTCGCGCATCATACCAAGTTGCTGTGGCATAGCATAGACGAAGCAGTAGACTTTGAAGGACCTCACTAAAGGTGAAAGGGAAGGGAAGGTAAAATAGTATAAGATGAGTTTAACAGGAATGAAAGGAAAATGAAATTGAAAAAGACTTGAACGAGTAGTGTCTCACCTCGAATCTCCAAATCTCACGCCCCAGACTGGCCGACCCTCCGACCGGCGTCCCTGACTGCGGAGTTTACTTGTGATAGTTCGGGATGCGTGCTTGGATTAATGTTTTCCATTGCCAGAGACTAGATCCTGCTTACCCAGGCCATCCCAACTGATACCGCAAAGCTGGATATGTTTCAGGTAAGTAGCCCTTCTCCGCGCTCGAAGTCGCCGCTCTGACCCTGTCGGCAGCGCCTCAAAGGCGCCATAGACAGTCGCATAGCGGAAGAACAAGCACGACAACGACAGGCTGCATTAAGTGCCCAACAAGCCCCAAGGACCCCAGCCAGACGCCGCCCACAAACACAGGATGGAGGCAGCCAAAGGACTGCGTCTCGGCGGAGAGACCAACAAGCCAGCGGCTCGACCGAGAAGGGACCAGACCCATCCGAGTTCGAACCGGAATTCGCTATTGGGACGGACGAGAGTGCAGTACCGAGTCGGGTAGCTACTCCGCAACCAGAGGCTTTGGACAAAGAGAAAGACCAGGAGAAGGAGAAAGAACTACCGGCACCCGAAGATGGGCAGCTCACGCCTAACGTCACGGAGGCCGCTGACAGCAAAGTGTCAGAGACAAATGGCACGACCAACCCTACCGCAGGCCATCTACGACCGCAAGACCTCCCTACTGACGTCCGTGTGCGACTGCGCAAGCTGGACCGCATGGAGTCGAAATATGCAGACCTCCTCAAAGCATACCGAGTGGCCCATGCACGAGTCCAAGCTGTTGAATCCTTCGAGGCCTCCCTACGCGAGAATACGCCCCTGACGAGTATCAATGACCCCAATGCTCTGGTAGAGTATCTGAACCAGATCAACTTGAAGACCGACATGGTTGTGGATGAGTTAAAGCGCGTTACGGCTGACAGGGACGACTACAAGAAGAAATTCCAGGCCTCCGAGGAGGAGGCGAAGAGGCTAGTGGAAGAAGTGGCCGAACAGAAAAAGAAGCTAGAGGCGATGAACCATCAGAGGCTATCTGAAAATGAGAAAGGTACGACAGTGGGTAGCTCGCCGGCCTCGGCGGCAGGGGATGACCCGACGGTGAAGGAAGTGAAGGAGGCCGCAGAGTCCGAACAAGTAAAGTCACCTTCAAGCACGACTTCCCGCATCGCAAGTTTCTCTCTCTTCTCCCCTCGTCAGAAACCATTGTCCTCGCCACCACCGAAGGACACAACAGAGGAATTCTTCTCGTACGAAACTGAGCAGTCGAAAATGGAGACCGAGTTGCAAGAGCGTCAAGCTGAAGTGGAAGATCTGAAAAAACAAGTCACCAATCTGAAGGGAGATCTCCAGGTCGCTCGTGAATCGACCGAAAGCATGGTCGAGAGCTTAGAGACCGCTACCCGCGAACTCCATTCCCTTCGAGATGCGAAGGACAAGTTTGACGAGAGCAAGACTGACTTACAGAAGCGAATTGATGAACTCGAGACTTTGGCCGCCTCAAATACTTCGCGTACGGGCGAGGTGGAGAAAGAGCTTGAAAGCTTGAAGTCGGAAAAGGATGAAGCAGTTTCGCAACTGCTAAGCCTTGAAAGCCGCATCAAAGAGCTCGACGCGCATAATACCGAGCTCAAACAGCAGATTGAGACGATGGAGAGAGATACAAAGATACTGAGCGAGAAGCTGGCACAGAAGGATTCTATCGTCAAAGACCTTGAGAATACGTTAGCCATGTACAAGTCAGCGGAACGGCAGGAAGCAGCCAAGGAGCAAGACGGTCAGTCCAGTGAGAAGAAACTCGCCACCATGCAGGGAATCATGAATACCCTGCGTGGTCAACTCGACAAAGCCGAGAGGACAGTCTCCGAACTGAAGACCGAGATCAAGTTCAACCAGGAGGAGTACTTGAGCCGACCTTCCACTAAAGTCCTTGGATTTTTAGACGAGAACACGAGATCGAAGCTTGATACCCTGGAATCGCGTGAAGAGGTCGTCAAGTATCTCTCAGACAACTTCGGCTTGCAAAGAACGTCTTCATTAGCCGCACTCCCGCCACAAGCGGCAACGCCCTCCCAAGCACCGTCGGAAGCCGGCACTGGAGGCTCGAAAAAGAAGAACAAGAAAAAGAGGAAGGGCAAGGGACCGCAACAGGCTGCCGAGGACGCGATGGGAGCTGATGCACCAGTCAAAGTATCCGAGAATCTCGCCGAAGTAGAAGACGCAGAGCCCGCTGTAAACGACAAATCCTCCAGCGATCAAATCTACCAGCTTGAAGAAGAGATCTCCGAGCTGAGAGCAGAGCTGCAAACCAAGGCTGAGGGTGTCGAGCGACTCTCTCAAAGACTGAAAGACCAGGAGGAGCTGAAAGAAGAAATCGAGACTTTGCGCGACGATCTTTTGCACCAAGGCGAAGAGCATGTCAAAGCCCGAGACGCATTGAAAGAGGCACAAACACAAAAGAACGCTTTGCAAGACTCTGTGGATAGGCTTGAAAAAGAGCTAACTGAGACACGCGCGGCAGTTGCCAGTGCTGCTGACCGGGAGAAAGCGAACAAGGAGATCGTTGGGCAATACGACGAGCTCAAGATCAAATGCTCAACGCTCGAGAAAGATCTTGCAGCATCCGAGCAGCTCGCAGCAGGCAGATTCAAAGATATCACCGACCTCAAGGAATTACTCGCCAAAGCCCAACCCGAATTGCGTAATCTTCGGAATGAAGTCGTCGAACTCAAGACCACCAAAGACGACTTGAAGAACAAGATCGGCGAGCTCAATCGTCTGGAAGCCCGCTACGAGGATATCAAAGCCGAGCTTAAAGGCCTCAGCAAGCGTCTCGGCGACAAGGACCAGGAAATCAAAGAACTAAATCAAAAGATTGAGCAAGAAACCACCACGCGAACCAAGTTAGAAAAGGACCTCGAAAAAGCACAACTCGACCTGCAGACCTCCGAAACACGCCGTCAGGAGGCGGCCACATATTCCTCCCAACTTGAAAAAGACCTCGCACGCGCAAAAGAAGAATCGACAACGCTCCGCGCCAAGCTCCGGGATTTGGACGCCCAGCTGTCCAACAATCATCGCGACTTAACCTCCCTGCGAGAAGAGCTAAGTCTCAAAACAGCCCTGCATACCTCCTCCCAGGCGCTTGTCTCGTCCCTGCGCGACCAGACCCACGAACTGAACTTGCAAGCCCGTGAAGCATCCAGTCGTGCCGATAACCTTGAAGAGGAACTCGCCGAAGCGCAACGCATGTTAAGCGAGAGAACGAGGGAAGGCCAGACGATGCGGATGCTCTTGGATCAGTCCTCAAGTGGCACCGAGGTGAGGATTAGAGAAATGAAAGAACGAATGAAGAAGGCGATTGAAGAACGGGACCGAGTCGAGGATGAAGCGAACGTTGCGCAGAGAAGGATGATGAGGGAGGTAGAAGAGGCAAGAGGAAAAGCGAGGGATGCACAACGGGCCATGAAACTGGTGGAAGATGAAAAGGAAGGACTCGAGAACCGGCTTAAGGAGTGGAAGAGACGGAGGGATGAGCTTGAAGAGGTCTCCACGCGTGCCTCGAAAGAAGTCGAGGAAGTTAAAGCCGCGATGACGGGTCTTCGGGAGGCCCTGGATGAGAGTGAACGCCAAGTGAGGGAGCTTGACGCCCAAAAGGCAGAGTTACGGCGCATAAGCGATGAGGCGAAGGAGCGGGTTGAAAAGCTGACCAAGGCGAACAAGAACCTCACGGAAGAGCTGAAGAACGCGCAGGCAATATTACCTGGACGGCCTGGTCTAGGTAAAGTCGACTCGAATGCGCCAAGTTCACGGACATCAATCGATTCTACGCATGTAAACGCGCGGTCTCCAGCTCCGAAAGAAAGAGGCCTACCCACCACGACCAGTCGTAGCGAGACACCTACAACTGCTGCAGGACAAACCGCGGGACTCAGTCAAGGTACCGTTGACTATGTGTACCTGAAGAACGTGCTCCTGCAATTTTTGGAGCAGAAGGATAAAGGCCACCAGCGGCAGTTGATCCCCGTGCTGGGGATGTTGTTGCACTTTGACCGGTGAGTTTCTGCGCTATCTTGTGGTTGTGCGAGGAGATGGGAACAAATATTCCCTCTTCTTCAGTAGCCATTCAGTGGATCTCGTGTCTGATTCTTATGGTGCCTTACAGGAAAGACGAGCAGAAATGGATGGCTGCCATTACGGCGCGGTAGTGACTCTGATGGAGCTCAGGATGCATGGGCCGTAACAAGGCGTGCGGAGCAACTTAGCAAGCTGGAAACGGGAGATTTTTGAGGACGACTAATTGGATTGCCATTGCTGAGTTATACTTCTCTGTGGTTGATGCGTGGCTGGGCAACCACTGGACATCTTCCACCATATGACATTTGGAAGCTGTCTTCTTGAGGCTTGGCTGATGATTTCTATATTGAGCCAGGTGACACCAGACTGCTCGATATGTCGGACAAAGCTAAGTGAGGTCCTAAAGAAATTTTCCACAACAGCGTAGGGACTTTCGGCCCCTGATAACGATGTAACGGTGTAGTGGTGGAAGAGTACTCGCTCCATGACGTCGCACGCAATATAAACACTTTGAAGGCCATACATTACGTTCGAACTGCCTTACCGACGGATGTCGTAGCAACACCAGTAGGCCGATACATCGGGATATTCCACTGGACAGGTAGGTATATGAATGCGAAGTTGCACGGGCGGAGTGTACAGATATTGATTACAATATCACGCTCTGCAGTGCAATGCTTTCCATCCGCTTGGATTTGAAGCGAGTTGAATGCGGCCTTGATGCTCTCGAATAGCCCTTGATATGCTGGCAACAGCGTCCAAGTCCTTGTCGTGTTATGATGCGTCGGTATCTGGTGGTAGATTTGACATTCCGAAGACCAGGAGCCGGTGGCCGAGTGTTTTTAACGGGACAAGCCTCCGAGACCTTTTGGCAAGGCGGAGACCAGCTCGGTGGTAGGCCGGTATTGGGCCCCAAACCATATAGACTGTCGTCTGATCCGCTAGGAGCCTTGCGTATCCTTTCCCAATCCGAGGACCTAGCCGTAGTAGCATTCGCCTTTTTTCACCTCGAAGGAGGCTCGACAAACGAAACACCAAGAATGTGGGTGAGACCACCATCGACATACAAATTGCAAGTGTCCGGCATGTCGAAATACCGTTTTTAGTAGCCGCCGTGGTGATAACGGCTTCGAGTTTGCATGTTAGCTGCTCCTCTGTGGCGTTGACGGTGACTTGAAGTTCGTGAAGCAGCTGTGATGCAGCTTGTGCTGATACTTTGGCTTCTGATCGGAATTTTTGTGTCATTTTCTCAGTCATCATCTTCCGCTGCAGTCTTGACATGGTTGCGATGGTTGTGTGCTTTGAAACTCCATTGCACCAGTGCGACGATGCGGGACTTTTGAGAAGCCATTCTCGACATTTGCCTGCGCTGTTAATAGAATGTCTTGCATGGTCATCAAAGAGCTGGGAAGGAGTTTGATCACTCAGCTACGCAAACAAAGAACTCGCAGCACGTTTTCCGTTTCCACACAACCCGTGTCTGGGTCTAAGCAGGGCGAGTAAGGTCCTTGCTTGGTCTTTTTTACGCTGTCTTGTTTCTCTCAAATATTGGTCATGAAAAGACAAGCCGTGCCGACGCGCAAGGGTCTCCTAATATGACGCGAGGAGAAAGGGAAGAGGAGACTCGCCATGTCTTGGTGGGAAGATTGAGTCCGTGGTGCCTCTGACCGAATGACAGGGCATCCCCACGACGGCGTCAGGACGTTGTCCTTGTCGAGCCTTGTGCTAGAAAACAGCATCCACGCGGGAAACACTCCAACGTATTATCTTGGCAAGACTTTGGTTGATCCACTGGCAGACTTCAACGCCGACATCTTGAAATCTCCAAGTGTACTACATACCGTGCAACTCTTCCTGGCACAGATCGACTGTGCAAAGTATGCCGTGACTGGTAGACTCTACCAGTGCAGCTCCGACTTCTCCAGTCTGCCTGTCGGAGTGTTGGCGCCATGGTAAGTCGTCTGATGCCTCTGCGTGCTCGTACTAATCATCCCTCAAGGCTGCCGCAGCGGCTCATCCCTTCGAGCGCCAGGTCGCCGACACGCCAATTTCGAAATCGTACGTACCACTGTCTTCTCGGAACCCTCTCCACAACAGGATGTACTCTTTGACAAAATGGGAATCTCTCTGAAAACACTTGAAGAGACTGGATATTTTGCTTTCTGAAAAATCGGGCATGAGGACGTATGGCGCGGGCAGGAACGTGAGCACTGACTGACCGGGCATCGTCTACAGAGACTTCAACAACCTCATCATGGACTATTTGATCACTGAAGGATATCCGTCAGCTGCAGAAAAGTTCGCAGCGGAGGCCAACATTCAGCCCAAAGCGGACCTCGGCTGCATCAACGAGAGAGTACAGATTCGAGACTCAATACACCGTGGAGATTTGCAAGCTGCCATCGAGCTCATCAACGAGCTGAACCCAGAAGTAAGTGCTTCGCACTCTGGTTTGCGCTCCTACTTCTATGATTATATCTGTTTTCATGCACCACTCATAGCTTCCGGGCAACGATGAGAGCAAAAACACCTTCAGTCCTCAGTATGATTTCTCAACACGACTGCCACCATGTCCATCCGCGTCCTCTTTGTTTAGCCAGCATGCTGACTCGCGGAGACAGCTTTTGGACACCGACAAGAAGCTTCACTTCTCGCTTCTCCGCCTCCAACTCGTCGAGTTGATCCGCCAGAGTTTCACTTCTGCCGATCCGACTCTGGTAGCCAAGGCGATAGAGTTTGCTCAAAACAATCTCGCACGTTACGCTCCATTGGATGCGCAGTTTAAAGTCGACCTTGAACGGGCCATGGCTCTATTAATCGTACCCAGGGAGTCGTGGACACAAGCCGCTGTGGCAGGATCCTCTGGTCAGCCAAGCTCAAGTATCCAGAGCGAGTTTGGTGCACTGGCAGAGCTCGTTGACCCTTCATTAAGACGGAAAGTCGCAAAGGATGTCAACGAAGCTATTCTCCAGTCTCAGGATCAGAGAAGAGAGGCCAATATCCGTTATCTTGTCAGAGCCCGCGCTTGGGCTGAACAGCTTGCGCGTGAGAAGAAGATTGATCTCCCTGAACTTCCTCTCGGCCTCGATGGAGATGAATCTGCCTGTCAAAGCCATAACGGCCACAACGGAGATACTGAAATGACAGAAAATGGCTCCGACGCCACGGGTGCCGAAGCGGAAATCGCTCGATATACGAACATGCCTACATGAAGGAAACGCCAAATGTTCTTGTGACACTCCAATATGGGCTGAAAATGTTTTAGGGATGATTGGTGGCGACAGTGTCGGAGACAGGACAAGCACTATGTGGATGCGACGACATCCATCAACGCGATTCATGGATGCTCCAGCGACCCAGCGCCCGTTGCCAGCATGATGATGTACGTTATCCACCCAAGCAAAGACGCCTCCAACCCCATCGCTAATTTGGAATTTTAGAAATCGCCCGTCACCAATTCCAGGTCCGACTGCTGGCGGTGAAAACAGGCGGCTTCCAATTCAGCCTACTCGGGTCGATCTTTCTGGCACCCTTGATCTTCTCCTTCTGGCGCCGCTGCTCCTGCCACTCTAGCAGCTCGTCGCGGACGACGATGATCCACGCACCCTTGTGATATCGCAGCAACTTCAGCACCTCTAGTTGTTCATGTACATCCTTCTCGGTCATTGACGTCAGACTCGCTATCTCTGCGATGCTTGTCGAGTACTGAGAGTTTGGCCCGTTGAATCCCAAGGATGAATGAGGATGGAGGTGCTCTGAAGTTGGCGTGTGAGAGGCAGAGCCTGGCGGAGGCAGTCGAGCTGGATCCGAGAGCAACTCAATGAGTACCTCCTTCCAGTACTGCCGATATCCCAGCAGGCCGAGATCAGAAAGTGGCTTTTCAGGCGAACCGAGCTTACCCTCTCGCTTGCTCAACTCGTACGAGAAGGCAATTAGCAACCTTCCTAATCCCTGTCGCTGATATTGCGGCAAGGTCAGAATACAAGCGACATTGTATCCCTCCGCTGATTCTTTCTCCTTGCTAAAGTATCCAACGAGATGACAGCCATGCTCCGAGCGAGTCACCATGCAGTAGAACAAAAACGGGTCGACGTCGTAATACAGTGTCTTGTGATCCAAGAACAGCTTGGACAACAGACACAGATTCCGACACCAGGTCCGCTGTCTCCGTCCGTCGACCTCGAAGAAGCTCACAAAGTCATCCCGATAGATCTCGTTGCCAGGCGGATGCCGCAATTCGCACTTGGTGCGGTGTCTCTCGAAGGCCTTTTTCGATGAGAAATACGACAAGCAGAACTCATCGACATAGACGAGATCGACATCGCCAAACTCCTGCGGATAAGGCGAAAAATACCACGGCTCAATGATGTGCTTGCCCATTTGAATCTTATCCAGGTTGCGGACCAAGTGGAGTTGCGCATGGTGCTGGACCATCGAGCCTCCCGTGCGGAGCTTCTCGATTTCTTCCTCCGGTTCCATTATCGGCGCTACCTTTTCTTCTGTCTTCGTCACGTCCGGCATGTCAATGTCTTGCGTGCCTTCGTCAGGACCGAGGATGGGCAAGGGCGTGCCTTCTTGGGTGGCCATGAGCGAGGCATCGCCATCTGGAGCGAGCCCTTCCTCTCGATTCTCCTTGCCACCGGCCTTTGAAGGGACAGGTCGTTTCCTATCATTCCCGGCTTTACTGCTGAGCAGGTCCGGCGTCGCGGAGCCGGCGCGAGACTCTGTCCTCGCCCGACCTGCGACCTTTGTGGTTATGGATTTGGCTGCGGCGGCGGCTTTGGACGGCGGGCCCTTTGTCGTGACGGTTGTTTTCTTCTTCTCGGGCTTTTCGGGAACAGGCCACTCGACTTCCTGCGAGAGGTCGATGCGGTCGGCCGTGACCCATTCTAGCGGGTGTTAGTCTTGGTGCATGGAATGCATCTACGATGGAGGGGGAAGTAGCACATACCGTCGAGACGCTTATTGAATTCGACATAGTGGACGCTGATCCCAACATGTCAGTGACACAAGCAAGCGACGTCGTAGTAGACATACTAGAATGTCAACGCCGAATTCCGCTGCTTGATCGACAGGACCTCTGCCTTTCTGGGTTCTCCATTCTGCAAGTTTTCCACCGGTCAGTAAGAGGGTGCTTTGCAAATGAACTCGTACTGGTATATTAAGATCGCGGGAAGTCACGTGAGCGCGATTCGTGAAGAGCCAGAAACATCTTCCAACTCACCTTTTCGACAAAAGCCTTCACGCCAATCCTTCATAGTTCATGTCATGTTAGTTACCATTCTCAGATCCGCGGGGCCTCGAAAGTCACGGCAACCCAGGAGTGCCGTACAGTAGTGAACTTACTGTAACTGATTCAGGGTGGCGAAGCCCTTTTCCGCAGGCTCAGGTGTGTTTGTGCCCTCGGTGTGGTCTCCGCCTGCCATATTGAAGGCAGGGCAACGAAGGTGATGCAGATGCTGATAAAAGGGAGATGAATTTGTAGATGATGGTGGTTGTGAATCGAAAGGGTGAAACCTGCGATGTGGTGCCGAAATTAGGGGCGACGCAGCGATACGGCGGGCGTGGTGGGTGAAGTTTCGGGAAGGGAGAGCGTAAGCATGGAGGGAGAAAATAGAGACTCCTAGGCCCTTTGAATGGGCCGTAAGGGGGCGGGCGAATGCTTTTTTCGGGCGTCACCGGCGTCACTTGGGGTCTTGGTTTAGGCGTCAGGTGGGTGTGAGCAGTGCCTAACCTTAACACATGACAAAAGTTTACTTGGGCCAGGATTCACTTCAATGCCTCTGTGGTTGATTAGTCCATTTTGTAAGTACAGGTACTTTACTGTACCTAGGGATCTCTGGTGGGTTGCAGCACTTTAGAGACACCTGCGGACGCCTACGCATTCCATTGTGCCTGGCGGTTTGAAAGCCGGTTTGATCTCGTCTCCAACGTAATGCCTACGTACCTACCTAGGTACTCATTGCGATAGTTTGCTCTTGTATCTCGCATCATACAGCAAACACCCGTTCATGATAAAGGACATTCTTCATCTCAGCCTTTTCCACAGGTGCTGTTCAATCCTCATCCATGGACTCCCACCCATCTGGGCCACCTGCCCTGTCCGCATTGCCTTCCTCCTCCTCATCCTCTTCCTCGTCGCTCTCGTGATCACTCAGGCTGGCGCCGACCAATCTTTCTTTGCCGTCTGATTCTGGCAGTTGGACTCTGCCCGCGAAGACTTTCCTAACACTCGGATTGGTGCTGATGTCCCACACTTGCAATCGACCTTTACTCCCAGCCACTGAGAGCCTGAATGCCACCTCCGTATCAGGTGCAAACTGTGTCGCGAAGATCCTCCCTACGTCAAGGTTCCTCGAAACCACCATGTTTGGTTTGTTGTCCTCAACATTCCATATCTTGACTCTCTTGTCATCCGAGCCCGTCGCCAACAGGCCGGGCACTGAGGGATTGATATCGAAGGCACTGACCGCTCCGTCGTGTGCTTGAAGCGTCCACACCGGCTTGGTGGGCTTATCGTGGGACGATGGGACGATCCGGGCATCGAAATAGTGGACAGTTCCTGCCTCTGTGGTGACGTAGAAGAAGTTGGGGTCATGAATATCCCATCTCACTTTTTCGACGTCGGCCTCCACGACCCATTTCGGTGCTTGCGCGTCTGGCGCCCGCATATCCGTCGCAATTACTGTCCGGTCGTAGCTTCCGCTCAAGAGAATAGTTGACTCTGTCGGGTGCCAGTCAAGTGCGCACACCTTGCCGCTGTGCATTGTGTATGATTTCGCGCACTTCCCGCTGTTAAGATCCCATAGTTTGACCGTCTTATCGGCCGACGCGGAGGCAAGCAGATTGCGGTGGTGACGGTTGGCAGCCAGCGCAAGGACTGCGTCCACATGGTACTCGTCGTTCGCTTTGGGTTTCTTTTTCTTCTTCTTCGACTTCTTCTTGCTGCTTTTCGAACTGCTGCCTTCCCCGTTCTGCTCTATTTCTGCTTGTTCTTCGGGCTCTTGTCCCAATATCGCATTGGGGTACATGCTGTCCACAACATCGAGATCCCAAATCTCGATCTCCGGGTTCATTGTGCCGATGGCCACGAAGTTGCCTTCTGACCGCGACTCAGATCCTTTGCCAACCGGGATATTGATCCACTCCACGCAAAGCGGCACGGCAGGCAGCATGATATCATGATGGACGTAGAGATTGTCCGCTTCGTCTTCGTAGACAAAGACTTCTAGCTGCGCAACTTCGTCCTCGACCTTTGCTGCTAGGATTAGGTTGTCGGAAGCCAGTATCTGTAAATCTTCTCTTTCGTCTTCCGAGTCTTGCTCGCCCTCTGGTAGAACGATGTAAGGGTCCTGCTCGTGCGGTGCGTGGTACGCTAACGAGCCGACATTCCCAAACATGGAGAATTTCTCGCCTTTCTCGTCCACCGGGTCGTCATCGTAGTCGTCGAGATTGTATTCCTTCAGATCATCCTCCTCAGTTACTGTAGGTTTGGCAATTTCAGAGACTTCTCCCGTAGGTACACCGGCTTCGGAGTCTGAGTCTTCGGAGTCTTTGTCGGCGTCGGCGTCTTTGCCATTATGCGCATCGAGCAGATCTTGCTGTGCGTCCTCTAACTGAAGGCGGGCGAGTTTCGATATTCGGCTAAGTTCGGCTTCGTCGACCTGGTATTTCTGAGGGAACTGGGCGGCAACGCCCCTACGCACCCATGTTGTCGCTAGCGTCATTGACATCGTGGTGAGTGGCAGGCTGCGGTATTGAGAAGGGACCAGCCAGTCTCGAGCAGTTGCTGTACATATTTGCGGAGTCGCACCGAAAAAAAGTAACAGTAATCTAATCTTTATCTTATCTTAGCGTCATGCAAGGCTGCAGTAAGGGACGCAAGGCTGCTTTAGCTTCGATCTCCAATGCGGAACATTCGTAACCTTCATCCTTCTTGATCCCTCAACCTCGATTCGCCCTCCTTGTTGAACGTCAGATGTGGGCGTGGCTCGAACCGCATGATCAGTATTGGAGACGAGTCTCCACGAAGATGCATTCCCATCTGCATACAAAAGACAATGTTGGTGCGTGGCAATCAAGTCCCTTCGAATCGCATGCTGTTTTGCTCGAGGCAAAATGTGTTGCGGTCGAGCTTGCGTTACCCCTGCTTTGGTCTCTCAAGATTATTCTCGCAGCAATTCAATTCAAAGGTTGCCCAAAACAGTTCGGTCTGACAAATTGTACCACAGGCTGCGAGGAGATCATGAACGCACTCGACGAATGCCACGCGCGCGGCTTCCTCTACAAGGCCACGGGAGGCTGCAACGATATCAAGCGAGAAGTCAACAGATGTTTATCTGGCGAACGGACGAAGAAGAGCAGGAAGAATCGGGAGACTGCTTTGGAGCGAAGAGCGAGGATCGAGTCGGTTTGGGCGAAGTTCGACGAGGGCGACTTTTCGGCGCTCGAGCAGTTCACAAAGTCGAAATGAAGGTACAAGTAAGCTCTGCAAAGGTCGTCCCTGCGTTGTCCTGAGAGTCCGTCTGAAATAGCATTGGTCGGTGTTCGAGGGCTTCTGCATCAAACAGCGTCTGGTCTGGCTCAGGAAGACTCGGGGGTATGTACAGAAACGGAACGAAGAGAAAGCTTCTCAGCTCAATGCTGCTGCTGCCGTGCTATGTGGTTGAGGAACCAAATTTAATCTGTTGAAATGCCGGGAGGGTGTATCTGTCTACTAATTGCGAGACGCGAACATGACTCGCAGATGGACTTTGGACGGCTTGCGACTTTAGGGAATCCGGATACCGCAAGAGTCACTAGAACCTCTCCAAAGATGAGCAGACGCGTTGTAAGCGCGCAAGCATACACTCTTCCATGGCATGCTTATGACTGTGGTTTTCGTTCGTACCTCGAACCGCGGACTCCTCGCGTGCGGCGAGAGCTGAGAGCTGAAAGCTGAAAGGCCCGGAGGTTTAAAGCGGCATTGCCACAGGCTGCGGTGAATGGGGGACCCACCAAAGTCACTTTCCTCTCTCTCGGCGTAGTCGTAATTAATGCTGTGACGTGAAACGCAATTCTATCTGCCTTTGGTTGCTTTGTGGTGAGAACCGTGCGACCGGAGGATACTTAGGGCACTATCTGTTTCCTGGTATACGTTAGTTCTGGCCCAGGACGTCTTTGTTCTGCATCGAAAGCAGTCAAATTCGAGTCCCCCACAGGTGGCCTTGAGACATATGTCTCACGCTCACCGCTCCGCAGATGTGGCATTATGACCGCTGGAGACAGTACTCATGAACGATATGGTACCGCAGATGTGGCCGTGGAAGGAGCCACAGCTGCCAGCGCTGGCGTCGCCTTGGCCCCCGCAGTTGAACCCGAACTCGATGACTTCGGTCTACCCAGAAAGCCGGTGAGACGAGCCCATCCAGCGGATTCGGACGACAGTGAGGACGAGGCCGATACATTCCACGACGCCGAAGGTGCTACAGATGACTCTAACACAACTCCGAATGCGAAGGGGCCCACTGGGAACAAGTCGAGCGATGGTGCACAGGAAGCTGCTGAGCCGGTCGAGCTGGCTCAGGTATCACGATCGACTCTCGAAACCCCAGCAGACTCAATAGGCTCGGCGAAAAGCGAGTCGGCGGAAGAGACGAAAGAAGAGCACAGTGTAAAGGGGGTCCCACAGGCCGATACGGAGAGGCCAGAGAATGTGCCACCTGTGACAGTCGCCTCGAATTCCGACTCGAAGGGTGCAGTAGAACCAGCCACTACCACATCTCCAAGAGCCTCTCAAATACAAGCCACAGTCATACCAAGGCGCGATTCGAAGCCGAAGACCGGTGCAGCTTCCGAATATTCCCACCAAAGACAAATCTCGGCGCCTACACAGTCAGACGATGAAGACGAGGAGGTAGAGTGGCAGGCTATGCCAGCCCTCGATGAATTTGACATATATGACGACAATGGACGTCTAGTAGCAAAGGGCCACAAGGAGAATGAAGAAGAGTCAAATCCATATTCGGGCATGGGAGGCGCAGGGAAGGGGTATACACGAGTTCAGCTGGATGAGGATGCCCAATCTGCAACGAGTATGGATGAGGAGACGAACTATCTATTCAAGAACGGGCCGAAGCAGCAGGCGACAGCCGATGAGGACAATGACGATGACGAACAGCGGGATACTTTAAGCCAGCTGGAGGCCACCAAGGATCTCTTGACCGAAGGACAACGGATAGCTTACGTCGGAGTGGTGCGGCTCACCATCCATAAGATGTTGGAGGCGCTCAGTGCGCTAGAGAAGACCAGGTCTGCACAGAAAGAGCTCGTCAAGTCTATAGAAAGCATGGATATGTGGGGTCAGAAGATGATGGTGCGCCTCTACTCCCATATGGACATCAACCCTGCAGAGCAGATCATGATCGAGCAGCTTGCCGAGCATGGCGTGCAGCCCTCTGACCTGGTCGCTCCTCTCATGCTTAACGCGAAGGTGAACAATCCTATGGCTGATGAGGTTGCTGCGGAGTCATCAAGATCAGATCCATCTGGAGTTCGGGACGGGATAGCATCCTCTCCTGCTCTCAAAGGCCCGGAGACATCAGTGAAGGAGGTCCAGGATGGCGAGGAAGTCCCGGAAGTACATGGTATGGAGGATATGCCTCATACAAAGGAAATTGACCTCGACTTACGGTGGACTGTCTTGTGTGACTTGTTTCTGGTTCTCATCTCGGATGGTCAGTACGACGCCCGCTCAAGACGCTTGGTCGAACGGGTTGCTTCAACCATGAGCATCACCTGGATGCAAATTTGTCGCTTCGAGAAAAGGGTCATTGATGCACTGGAGATGCAAGAAGCAGAGGCAAGAGAGAACTGGGATGAGTCCGAAAACATGGAGAAGCGACGAAAACGTGCCCTGAAGAAGAAATACATGTTCATGGGTCTGGCAACTGTTGGTGGAGGCCTTGTCATTGGGCTATCCGCCGGTCTGCTTGCACCTCTTATTGGAGCCGGACTTGCCGCTGGTTTCACAACGATCGGTGTCACCGGTACCGCAGGGTTCCTTGGTGGCGTTGGTGGAGCTGCATTGATAACGTCCGCTGCTACAGCAGCTGGTGGTACCATTGCAGTTCGAGCTGCAGATCGGAGAACAGGCAGTGTAAAGACCTTCGAATATCGACCGTTGCACAACAACAAGCGACTGAACCTTATTCTGACTATATCAGGTTGGATGACTGGCAAAGTTGATGATGTCCGCCTGCCATACAGCACGGTCGACCCCATTATGGGGGACATATATTCCCTGCTATGGGAACCGGAAATGCTCCGATCGATGGGCGACACGATTAACATTCTGGCAACCGAAGCCTTGACGCAGACGGTCCAACAAATCCTTGGAAGCACTATACTGATCACCCTGATGGCTGCGCTCCAGTTGCCAGTGGTGCTGTCAAAGTTGGCGTACCTCATCGACAACCCGTGGAGTGTCTCTCTTGACCGCGCCACTGCTGCCGGCCTCATCTTGGCGGATTCTCTGATCGACCGACATCTGGGGCAGAGACCCATCACCCTGGTAGGCTTCTCGCTCGGGTCGCGGGTCATCTTTTCATGCTTGAAGGAGTTGTCTCATCGTGGTGCGTACGGCTTGATCCAGAACGTGTACATGTTCGGCTCGCCTGTGGTGGCCAGTAAAGACGAGTATCTGCGAGCCCGCTCAGTTGTCGCCGGCAGATTTCTGAACGGCTATTCTTCCGGTGATTGGATTCTGGGATACCTGTTTCGCATGACGGCTGGTGGCATTATGGCCGTAGCTGGGCTCGCCCCAGTGCAAGGAGTGCCCGGCGTGGAAAATATCGATGTAAGCCCATGGGTTAAGGGCCACATGGCTTACCGCGCTGCCATGCCTAGACTACTCCGCGAGGTCGGCTGGGAAGTTGAGAGCGACGAGTTCACCGAGATCGAGGACCCCGATCCTGAGAATCATGCTCAGAGGCAACGAGAGTTGATCTCAGAGATAGAGGAGGCGCGCAAGAGGGCTGAAGAGAAGCCAGAGAAGAAACGCTTCGGACTATTCAAGCGAGGCAAGGCAGCAGAGAAAAAGGGGTGGGAGACATACAATGCGAACGACATCAACCACAAGCGAAACGGCAGCACTGCTCCCGACGCAGGTGCGGACACCAACGGCAACGTCTTCTTCGATATCGAAGCGATTCGAAGAGAGTTGGCTGGGGAGATGATCGACGTGCGCGAGCTGGACAGCACCTTGCCTCCGATGCAGATCACATCTATCAGTAAGGATGGCGAGAAGCACGTGGAGTACTTGCGGCTGCCCTCCGGGATGAGGGCGGAGGAACTTGCCCGGCTGAACCTCCCGCCGCGACCAGATGAGGTTGACGTTTCGTTCGAGCCTGTCAAACAACTTGCTCCTATCCGGCCTGCGAGAACTTCATCCTTAAGGCCAGCTTCGATAGCGAGTCCCCAGCGATCTCCTCGCGTCACCCCACAGCGATCGCCTCAAGGTTCCCCAGATCCGAACGGACGCTCATCGTACGCTTTCGCAGAGCCCAGGGAGCTAGCCAGCACGTTGCCGCCGCTTAGCCTGACACCGTCGGCATCACCCAGGCCTGAAAGCGCCAGGGTCCCTAGTCTTGCCCGGCCTGAGCTGAAGGCTCATGTCACTGAGCCGTCAGTGCCGAGCTGGGGTCGACCTCCGTCACGCAATTACAATCCAGGCGGACCTTCGACGTCGGCATCCGAGGTGAACCTCGAGCGCAACGCCTGGGCAGATGATGACGACGGGTCTCGTAAGGGCCGCGATGAGATCAGCATGACTTTTGAGTGATAATTCTGCAGTTCTATTGCTTGCATAGCGCGGCGTCCGAGCGAGGTCATAGGGGTTTCCTCTGCCTACTTGGGGTGGACTCGAGGGCTGTGGCTTCCTTGTGTGGGCCAAATCGATAGTCGTGAGTCCACTGGTGGCTACTTCGTCTACTAGAATGCACATACATATTCTTTCTCCGGCTTATTGTACCTTTGCGTCTGTGCGCTCGGATCATTGGACCTGCACAGAATTTGGCGTGCTGCACTTTGCCGTACAAGGCTTGGCCTGTTTACGGTTAGTGGCCACTGCCACAATCTCACTGTCGCGGCAGCGTTCATAGAACTCTCACTTTCCCGTCATCGCCAGCTCACTCTCATAACCTCATCGCCTGGATTTTTCTTGAGATCTCGGCACTGCTGGTACAAATATGCAAAGCTCCTTGTTTCGACATGTTGCGCCATTGTTCAAACACAAAGACTATGCAGGACTATTCCCTCAACCTCTCCGCCCGCCAAAGCAAGTGTTGTCCCTCTCTTCCTTTGTCGAGCCCGACCTCTTTCTTCGGCCCTGCTGCTCCATTGTCCAGGTCTATACTCGGTCATGAGGACAATGGCTTTCCGCGTGGCTGTTGCATTGACTTGGTCCTTCCTCGTAGACGAGCGGACGATATCCTTGACTTTCCTCCCTTTCCTCCATCAATTCACATTCGACTCAATCACACTCGCCTGGATTCATCGTTCGGCATCCAGAATCGCACTCGAGCCTCATCCATCGTAGCTCAGCCCCCCCTGTTCCTCTCAACAAAACTCACCACAATCAGGCTACTAACATAGGTCTTCGAAAATGGAAACTCTGTTCCAGCATCCCAACCTTCTCTTCGTATTCCTGTTCGTCTTTCGATATTTGAGGTTTGTTGTACACCTGTTCGCTTATTTTCGCTATCGCCCATCGCAAATCTCTAAGTATTCACGACTGACGCGCAAAGATTGCACTGTCGTTATCCCGACCTGCTGTCCAGATGCGCCAGCCTTCAGCCATTGCATCGAATCAATCGTGCAAAACTCTCCCAAAGTTATGCATATTGTCGCGGTGGGTGCGGAGCAAGAGAAGCAGGTATGGTCCATTATAACCCCATTCGTACGACGCCATCCAGACATCTGCTTCAAAGTATCACATTCCGACGTGGCAAACAAGCGACGCCAGGTTGCGCTTGCCATCGCCTCTATCACAACCCGGATTATCGTTTTATGCGACGACCATGTGGTGTGGGCCTCACCCAGATTCCTCGCCGCGGCGCTCGCACCTTTCGAGGAGGACCCAAGCGTCGGTGGAGTGGGCACAATGAAGCATGTTATCCGCCACTCGGGCATCGGCCTCTTCCGGGGGTTCTGGAATGTCATGGGCGCCTTGTACCTGGAAAGACACAACTTCGAGCATAGAGCGTCCAATGCTGTTGACGGCGGTGTCGCAGTGATCAGTGGCCGCACCTGTCTCTACAGAACTACCATCCTCCAGGATCCAGCGCTGTTAGCTGGCTACCTCAACGAAACCTTCTTGTTCGGTCTCCTCGTGCCCTTGAATGCAGATGACGACAATTATCTAACCCGAGCCTTGGTCAAAGGCAATTGGAAGATAAAGTTCCAGGACACCAACGACGCTCTGATCTTGTGCGACGTCGGAGTGTATCCCAAGTTCCTCCAGCAGTGCCTTCGATGGGCACGCACGACATTCCGAAGCAATCTCTGCTCTCTGCTTACCGACCGATCCGTCTATGGAGCTCACCCTTGGTCTGTTTATGCGCTTATGATCAGTCAAATGGTGAACTTCGCGCTCTTCTACGACGGGGCCATGGTGTGGACGCTGACTCGAACAGATTTCTGCTCCCAGAGTGTTTTGAAGGCATTATGCGTTTGGATCCTCATCTCGAAACTTCCGAAACTGTTGCCCTATTTCTGGCGCCATCCACGGGATCTGATTTATCTTCCTACCTATTACATCTTCGCCTACTTCCATTCATTGATCAAGCTGTGGGCTCTGTTGACATTCTGGGACGTCCAATGGTCGGGACGAGATTTGGCGAGCATTAACCAGACCGTGACAGGAGAAAAGGCAGCTCAGGACCCACGTGTCACCCCGGAAGCTGATTATGGGAACTTCACCGACGATTCCAACAACAAAGCCACGATCCCAGCCCGTACGCCCACCAGACCCATCACGCAACCGGTGAGCAGACCCATCACGCAGTCGGCGAACAGACCGCACCGGAGCACACCGCAACCCGTGGCCACACCCTGGGGATTTGTACAGCCGGTAAACTTACACAACACACCGGCAAACGTCCTTCAAACCCGGCTGGCAGGTAGAAGCTGGCCGGCAGAGTGGAGCGTCAGGAAACGACATGCTTACCAGGATCAAGGTTACCAAGGTGACCACTCCCCCGTGGCTCTCGAGTTCGAGGAGAACCTAGCCACCACCCGCTACTTGACTCCGCCGAGGTCGTCAAGCGACGGGCGTCAGTGGACGCGAACATCAGAGCCAACGTCGGTCCCAAACCAGACTCTTCATCCGCTTCCACCGACACCGCCTGACTCACCACGGCCATTCCGACCGTTGTTGACTCCGAGCCGCATGCCAGAGACGCCGTCTCGCTCTTTCATCCGAGTTGACCAGTGTGGCAGGCTACACGAGGGGTATTATTCCCGGCGGATCTGCGACTTGTGAAGTGACAGTGATGAGTAAGTATCCGTCCAAGAAAGATGAGTTTCGGTGTTTGCCAAAGTAACCCTATTCGTGATTGCAGCTCGGTGAACCAAAGACAGATCAAGTCATCCAGGCTTTGTAGGTGAGTGAGTACACATCCCACCGAGGTAGGTCGGCGTTAGAATCATTGCCACGGGGAGGTAGAGTCACGATATTTCGCCCACTGCGGGGCTGTTATGTTCTGGTACAAGGTCCAGTATATCCCAAGAAGGCGTTCTTATTTCGAGCCATTGTGTAGAATCCAGTAGAATCCAGCAATGAACAAGTCCTGTTACCTGTATGTATAGTATATTCCGATACTCAAAAACAAACCGTCGGTGCGTCTGGGCACGCAACCAAGTAAGGTACATAGCCAAGCCCATTACTATATTGCTATATATATATATATACCCTTCCCTTCGTTTATGCCAGGTCCTGTGGTGCCCTAGCTCCGCTGCAGCGAGGAGGAGACGACTCCCGTCTCAAATCGCTGAGATGCTAGAAAATCCAAACATTTGTGAAGTATCATTGTGAACATTCGCGTGCGTAGGCGGCACGTAATTCCCCTGGTATGGCGGGTTCTGTGCGGAAAAGTCGGCGTTTTTGTATAACGGGTTGACGATCCCGACGGGATATTTTGGTCGTGAAGATGTCGCCGCCGGCGCCGGCTGCTGTGTCGATGATGACGCCGAAGGCGGATAGTATGTTGTGGAGGTTGTGCTTATACTGTCGTAGTCCGGAGCACTGCTCGTCCAGCCCCATTTCTCGCGGAGGTCGTCGTGGATGAAGTCCACGCGCCAGCCGGTTTCCTTTTTGATCCGGTCGAAGATCTGGAGCACTTCTTCTTGCTCGCGTCTGGAGGTGAGATTCTCGCCAGCTACGGCGAGGCAACGAATCGACGCCGAGGCGACGCCTCTGTCCTTGACGTGGGCCACGATGCCGCAGATCTGTCGTGAGTGGTGGAGTCTCATCTCTTGCATCTCGTCTGCCGTCTGAGGCTGCATGCTCGCCAGGGGATGCACGGAGCCCAGCAAGGCCATGGCCGTGTGATAGAACAGCCTTGCGACGATGGTTGTCCTCTTGATGAGCCAGAGCTCCGGGAACGAACTCTTCGACTTGGTCAAATATGAGGGGACTTGGCCCAGGGGCTGCATGGTGGGTGGAATGCACTTGTTCCAGCGGTCACAGAATTGCTCGAGACCCAGCCATTGCTGGTGGCGTTGGTGCAGGCGCATCTGTTCCGCGTGGACGCTGCCGTCGTGATACCGTCGCTGCGCTTCGGACCGGAAGTTTGTGATCTTGGACAGGATCCAGAGCATCTTGTGGGTCCAGTCTTCTTCGCGCCCGCCAATGCGTTGAGGTTCCATGTTCATGTTGATGCCCCATGTATCGGGATCCCATGCGACACCCCAGTTGAAATGCAGGCAGCTGAACAGCTCCAGCCCAACGTTCAGCCAGAAACAGGCCGAGCCGATACCCGTGGAGGTGGCGTCCCATCGGCATTCCTTGATCAGGGCACGGGCACCTGCGATGTGGTTCATCCTCTGCAAGGCTTTCTCGGACATAACTTCATAGACATTGAGGATGGTAGCCGTGGTGGCACATAATACACTGTCTCGGTCAGGGTTCTGGAGTGACTTCAGTAGGAGCTTCGTCGCGTGGTTGTAGTAGTTCAACGCATGCTCTTCGGAATAGATTGAGCTGATCAAAGTAAGATGCCGGCTTCCACACGCAAGGAGCGCGTAGCGCAGCATAGGCTCCTTGAGTGCTTGGAAAGGAATGACGCGAGTGAAATGCTTGTCCGGGTCCATTGAGTCCATCCACAGTCCCACCTCTTCCACGAACACCTGCATGTACAAGACTTCGTCGCGGTCTTCTAAGAACGGTAATGATTCTTCTGGTTCAGGAGGGGCCATCATAGTCGGTTGATAATGTTGTCTAACTGCTTGACCGGGGTCCGGGAAGGAAGTCATAGAGTTGGCTGCTTCATCAAAGGTATGGCTTGTGGAAGTCGAGTACATTGCTTGAGGCGGTTCGGGATAAGTGTTCGAGTATTGTTGACCAGGTAGCGGCTGATGAGCCATGAGCGGAGCGGCAATATGTCCGTAGTCGTAGGTCATTTCTGGCATGTCCAACCTCTGCCGCTTTGGCTCTGGTTCAAGTGGATGATACTTCTCCAGGCCGCCCTGATATTCGGAAGCAATGTCACGTGAATCATCCTGAAAGCTGATTTTCCAATCATGCGATCGAGGGACTACATACAGCGTCGGGTCGCATGATATGTCAATGAAGTTCAGGCGAATGCCGCGCTTGCATTTGCGATTGGACTTCTTGCAATTCTGACAGTTCGGTAATCCTTCATCGCATTTGAGATGTCTCTCGCGACATGTCAAACAGCCGGTTCTAACTCGTTTAGGTTTCGTCGACGGGACGTTGTTCGGCTTCGGCTGAGGAGCTTCAGTCTCCTTCATCGAGAGGGGGCTGTTCTGAAGTGTCTGCGAAGTGGGCGTCGATTTGGTCGACGAGTCCCGGGTCATGGAACGTTGATCGTGGGCTGCATCTGCTGTCGCGTATGGCGGAGTCAGTAGCATGTAAGGCGAAGGTAGAGTCTTCGAGGGGTCCAGCCTCGGAGACAGCTGCGAAGTCTGCACAGACAGGGCGTCGCCAGTCGTCCTGCGGAGAGGCACAATATTGGCAGCTCGCGCCTCAGTTGTAGTTGACGAAGACAGAGCCGCTGCGGGCTGGCTCGAGGGAGGGTAGTAATGCGCCAGCTTGAAAACTTTATCGGGGTTTCATGGCCGTGCGTGACGATCTGCGGTTCGTCCAACCCCGGGATCTCGCTACTGAAGAGCTGTTTTTGTAAAAATGGTGTCGTGAACGTGCAGTTTGGATGACAGGTAAGCAGTCGCAACGAGTCTGTCTGGCCGTCGAGTCAGTAAGAACCAGACTCAGCATGCATTGAGAGGATGGTATGAGGAATTGGCGAGCTGGAGAAACTTGGGGGCTGATCGCTCAACAGGACGGCGGAACAGTAAACCATAAGAGTGAAAGAGTCTTCACATCTCTTGTATTCGTTTGTTGCAACTGTTGATGCGCGTGGCGCTCCCACTGAACAATTCCCGGGATATGCAAGGTGCTGCAAGGACAGAGATACCGGGCCGTCTCCGTTGCCACGATGACGACATTCACCTAAACATTGAGAAAGCCTCACATACCTTTGCGATGTTGGGAGCGACGACGCTGGAAACACGCTGCGGTCGACTATGTCTCTGGAGTGAATGGCGTGTGAATGGCGTTTGAGGTTTGCGCAACGAGATGCTCTGTGTCTGTAGGTCCAATGCTAGAACGTGGGGGGCAGACAATTAAAGAAAGAAAAGACGAGAGGGTCCAGGCGTTGATGCGATTTGAGTTCACAGGACATGTTGATGGGAGCTGCAGTATAACCCTGGACGATCCAGGAGTCTGGCACCGCTGACAATTTAGGGTGTGGCTTCTTTTTTTCGTTTCGCAACAAGATGCTTGCTTGCCTGAGACTCGCTTGCGCAGAGGAATCAGAGCTAGGCATACGGAGAAGGCGACAGGGAAGCCCCCAGTGATTGGTCGCCGCCTGCGGCTCTCCCCCCAGCCAGCGCCCTAGACGGCACCATGACCAGCATCATTCGGCAGTCCCCAAAACACGACTGCCAGGGATGAATAGGCGTGGGTTCCAGCCTAGCTAGCGGCTAGCCTTGCTATCCGCAGATGCACCAGGACAGGCCCTGAGGCTTACCGGGGGAGGCCGACGACTAGGGCCTTTAACTAGTGGGCCGGCCGGGTAAAGGGACCTCGGGCAAACACTGGCTCCTGCCGCGCAAAGATGAGAGTGCATGCCTGGGGCTTGAACAGGCGTCATGGCGTTGACTCTTGGAAGGACGCTATCTGATTCTTTAGCGATGTGGACCTGTTACTGGACATCTTCCAGCCTGATGCTCATCAACACCTCGTCGAGAAGCAGCCGGGAAGTGCAGCTGAGAACATGGTTTTCAAGGAGTATGCCTTCCCATAGGCTTTTCTCTGCTACCCGGACGGAGTATGTACGAGGTACCTCGTACTGGTTCGGAGAGAGTGTCCTGTTCTTGCTGTGCAAATCACAGAACACACCAACGCCGTCCAAGCGAATGCCCCGTCGCCGGGTTGCTGTAGGCTGAGCAAGCGCTACGGGGCAGATCTGTGATGATTTGTGTTCTACTGCACGATTGACAAGCGACTGACATTACGGAGCACGGCTATCACAATCCCATCTAGATCTTGCAGCTCGAAAGCAGTAAGTTTGGCGTCTATCAGCGCGCATTCCGACCTCTCAAAGCCTTCACTTGGTGATCCTGGCGATGATTCTCGACCACTTCTCCTCTTGCGCGCCATCCTGACGTCTCTGCCCTGTGCTAGATCCGTGCTACTGGCCGCTCATTTGGGATATCTGCGGTGCTCCTGCCTCTTCTTTCGGGCTTACTATCGTCTATAGAGACCCGACTCGGCGAATACCCCTGCTCTCGGGGTCTTCACTCGCTTGCTTCCCTATTTCCACCACTCAACCTCGGCGACTGAGTCCGAGGCGGAGAGCCTAACACTTCTACAGTAAGTTCCCTGTGATTTTCGTGTCGTTTCCACCTCTGCATTCCAAACGGTCCCCAGAGAGGAGAGACTGTCGGAGATCGGAATTGAGATTTTCGCCCCCTTGTGAACTTCATTTCTCCCCGCCTTGACGTAAGTAAAGCCGGTTTCCGCAATCGTTGTCGCTTCCCATCAACCCTCTCGGAACAACGGTATCTCTCTGTGCCTCTGGCGGGCTCGCGGTGCTCTTGGAGCCGTCAGGTTCCAACTGGACCTTCTTTGCCCTTTTCGTGAACAATACATATACGAGCACTGAGGCCAGGTCTCGATTCATGCACTGTGGCTTTCCAGTTGCCTATTTCGTTACTCGCTTGCGTGCATCTTCCTCTCTGGGCAGTCTCCGCGGCTGACACTGCCATCGGCGCGCCCGAACAGGCACACCCCTGGCCCTGCAGGCGTCTCGCCCACTTCTTCTGCCGGAAGAAGCCCTCGCTTCGACAGAATTGCAGACCAAATCCAGCAACAATGTGGCTGTGGTGGCTTGGTCCCACGTGGTAATAGTGGCTCGTAGTCATCCCTTATGCGAGCGATGTGGCTCGGTCTTCCGCCGGCTGAAGTGAGCCGGCAGGTCTTTGCGAGTCTCAGGCCCTCGCCACTTCTGATGCAAGCTCGCGTGCACACTTCCACCACGACCCCTGTCCAGCTCAAACATGGTCATTTTGGGGCCAACTTCGGAGCACGAAGGATCTTCGCCTTCGTAGCGAATCGCCTTGTGCATGATGGTATAGAGTAAGTCCATCGAATTTCGTCTATGAATGCTTGGGTGTCTGCCCGGACGACTGTGCGAGAAACGTGGCAGCCTCAAACGACCGTTGGTCAACGGCATCTCGAACCGGCATTTCCGGCACGGGCCTATGATGTTTCAAAGACAAGGTCATCGTCGACGGGTAATGATTCTGTCTCGCACTATGAGACAACTTTACGTCAAGAACAGGAACATCATTGCGCTGCACCTCCCCATAACCAAGACAATCGCACAGCTTCCGGTGAAAATCGCTACGTATGGAGTGCTCTAGAGCCGTTGGTAGCATGCATCTACTGTACTATCTAGATTGCACAAGCGCGTGGATGCGAGCGTTGTACCCTGTCCAGCTGACTCCGCGCAAAATGACACCTCAACTTCAATGAGACTTGTTTGAGTTGCGGCCGTGTTCGGTGTTAGGTCCAGACTTAGCAGCAAATAGTACAGACCAGGCGGAGCAAGTTAGCACAGACTACTCCATGCCGTGGTAACTGGCAATAGCCAACTGCACCCTGTCACCCACCCATTCTTGATGTCCATTCGTCCCCAGCGGCCGCCCGGAAATGGGATGTGTGTTATATATTGCATGGACAAAAGTTCACCTCAAATTTCTGCCACAGAAATGTAAAGCACCCCGCCCGCTTGGCCCAGGGGTAAGGCGTCGTATGTTACTATAACTCCACACATAGCAGAACACAATAGCTAACATACATCAAGTCACTCGTACCGACTTACCGGATGCAATGAGAAGATCCTGTGTTCGAATCACAGAGTGGGCAATAATGTTCTTTTTTGCTATTGTCTGCTGGTGAAGCTGTTTAGAAATGGTTTTGCAGGGCCGAGACTCTATGTACATGTGGCGACCTTTGCAGACTACAGTACTCCGTACTAAGCAAGCCCAGTATATCGGTCACGCACGTGGCGGCGCAGACGCAACCTCGTGTCTGCTGTTACTAACGCAGCAGCAGTACTGTTGGCGTTCAATAGGTATATCTTGAACACCAAGTTTATTGCCGAAATGCTTTTCTCCGCAAAGACTTCGCGCGCATCTACCGTCGTCATGTTATCGGCTAATTCCGAGGGAGCCTTCCGTCTCTACAGTGATCAATTTGGGCCTACGCTCTGCTTGAGTAAGATAGCCCAGCCCAGCCCGACCGCCCACAAAAGATGTCACGAAAGACACTTAGCTTGCACTATAAGGAGCACGATTTTGGGATACGTATCCTATCGCGGATTATCCATCCATTGAATGACCCGGTGTAAATCTTCTCGCTGCTGGATTGCTCCCATTGGCATCTGTCAAGGTTTCCAGCCCTTTTTCTCCGGACCATTTGGCCCCAATCTTGGGAGACGGAGTTACCAGCACGAGTGGATTGGTGCTTGTTGAGAAGATGAAGACCACCAAATGTTGCAATTCCGGGGTTTGACCACAGTCAGTCAGTCAATCGGCCTGTTTGAGGTTCAGGGCGGCTTCGTGCTGGCTGCTGGTGATGGACGCTCTCTGCTCATGGACGCTCTCTGCTCATGGTTTGCCGGCTGCCCTGGATCACCTTTCCTTCTTTTCGGCGTGCTTCGGCTTACGCGTTGCGTTGCCTCCTGTTCGTGTATTTGGTTACTCTTTCATTGGTCAGGTCGGTCCTGTGGGAGAAGGAATACACGGCATTCACGCAAACAGTTGCTGTCAGCCCGAGGTGCGCTGGTGACGGACTTTTGTGAGAAAGCTGATTTAGTCTTCGTACGGACAGATCAATAAGGGACCGTCGAAGATTGCTGATACCTCGTGGTCACCAGCATTCTGCATAACGAGGAGTACACGTATTCTCGTTGTACTAGCACTTGGAGCCGTGCAGTAGCATTTGGAAACTGCACTGGCTTGGCAGTTTTATCAGTCAGGCACAGTACATCGAGCGTGGTGTTTCTCGACCCGTGGCAGAGACGTTGGATGAATCTTGATGGCGGCACTAGACTATGACCTGACTGTATTGTTCCGTTTACCAGAGACGCATTAGAAATCCTGTGCCGTCACTTGAATCCATGATAGCCAGCATGTCCCTTATTGTCTAGAGTACTTGCAGCGCTGTTAGGAGATGGTTTGTTGCTAAGTCAGATTGCCAACTACTACCAATGCCAGGAGGACTGCATCTTATGGTCCTTTGTTCTCTGGAAAGGCTTTCAGAAGCTGTCGGAATTTTCTCAACGACTGACGGCCTTCATAAATAGAGCTACGCCGGTATGTACAGACTGGAGTCCTCACTCGACCATCCACTGCTTATGCAGACATCAAAAGTCATCACTTTTACCACTCAAGGGTATTAATGTCGATTTCTTCGCTTTTCGACATCGTTCTTGTAGGCATCCTTCTCATGGAAGCTTCCCATCAGGCTTCGGTAGGCACTGACGTTACTTTCCAGGGTTCTCGCCGGACTTGTCCTTCTCGGCCTTCTGCTTGGTCAAGTTTTGCATTTCTTCCACTGTCATCTCATTCTTGCCGGCATGCGTGATCTGTTCGCTTTGAGATGCTAGCTCAGGCTTCCATTCTCCCCTTCCGGTCCTGGCTTTCTCGAGGGAATCCTCCTTGTGACGGTCGATGTTTTCGGCTCGTCCTTCGTTATCTGCAACATGTAAATCACAGTCAGTTGAGTTGCTCCTGACAGAGATAGATTGCCGCGAAGAGATGCAATCTGCACGCAGCCCCGTCTCAATGGCAGCTTGAGCTGGGCCTCCGTGGGACGAGTATGTGTGCCGATAGTAAGGACAAGTGGAAGTACGCACGAGCATGATCTTCGCTGAGACCTAGTCGTGCTGTTGAGGTGTGGAAACCCGCAATTGATCTGGAAGCGAAAGCTCTTCCGGCACTCCGCAGGGGGCCGGATGCTCTGGCGAGGTATGACATCGTGAGGAAGGATATGAACGTCAAGGAAAAGAGTCCGGAGAATCGAAAGCTCGAATGATTTGTTTTCAGTCGCTAGGGGTGCGTTTGAATAACCGGTGTCTGCCTCTCTACGAAGGGGGAGGTCCTCAAGTTCGGTGGGAAAAAGGTTGGTACGTTCCTGCGGTGGTGCTGGAGAGTGCCGAGGGCAAGCTTCCGTTGCACCTTCATGACGTCGCTAGCTCACCCACGGGATCTCTTCGCTCATTGGCTCCAGCAACTGCTGGCTCTTTGCTCCGAAACCCAAACCCGAAAAATCACAATCGATGGTATCGTCATTGGTGGGTCGGAAGAATTTCCCTTTGAGTTTATTTCGTGGTGTCACGCGGCGAGGCTTGGCATCGATCGCGTTACGGCTTCGGACGCGCCTTCCTCTTGCGAGCTGAAGAAGGCGCATCTCTCATTGAGACTGTGTCAACAACCACGGCAACCACAGCCACGATGCTACAATCCTCACCGAAGAGGCGAAAACTGGATCACGCCCACTCCCCCGCTATCGATGATACCAGCCACGAAAATGAACAGCCCATCACCCCGACCCGAGCGTCGTACCTCTCCCCGACAAAAAGTTCTCTAGCCCGTTCACACCCCCACCTCATTACTCGCTCTAATAGACGCTCTGCCACCGAACCGAGAGGCAAAGCACTGCGAGACGAGATACTTAAGACAAGAACTCAACCTGTGCAGACGCCAAAGACTGTGTCCCAAATCCAGCAGTCGCAAGGCTTGGATGGTGCTGATGATCCAGCTCCGAGACAAGTGAGCGATGGGGCGCCCGAGACACATCTGGACCATACCGCGGAAAGATCTGATGTCGGCGCGGATCCAACAGAGCGCAGTCCTTCTTTGAACGAACGATCGCCAACACAGAATAGACATCGAGAAAGGAGCATATCGGACGAAGACCCTGCACCACCTATCATAGTACCACAACTGGTATCAAGGAAAGAATCAGCCGCTAGACCACTCTCTCGCAGTCTGTCTGGGGAGCCGGACCTACCGCCAACGCCTGTGGAGCTTGGCCTCAGTCCGGCACCAGAACGTCCGCGAGGTCTGGCATCGAGTAGCAGCCCTCGAGGCTCCAGTATGAGTAGGGGCTCTAAGAGACAGAGGAGACGGTCTGCTGCGCCCATTACAAGCAGTCCGCTCAAAACGAAGGCACCCCCAGCCGCCGTATCCGACAATGTGGAAGCAATGGGCGAAGAGTCTACTCATGATGATGGTCAGGAAGCGCCAGAGAGCGAGCCTGTTGAGGCACAACAAGAGAACGCGGGAGAGACAACAGCGTCGGATGAGCAACAGTCAACATTCCATTCGCTGCAGGAGCAATTGGAGCATCTCAGGCAAGATTGTCAGCACCTTCAGAAGGCTATTGATGACGATGACGATTTGAGGGAGGAAAGCTTAGCTATCCTTCGACAGTCTCTCCTGCAGAACGATCCCCTTCGGCTATCAAAGTCTCATAATGACGGAGACAACATCTCTGCATACTTGACATTGTTCGCGCCGGCCAACTTACAACTTACAAGTCATACTGAGACGAAACTCATAAAGGATCGAACAAAGATCGTCCACCGTCTGAAGGTGGAAGCACCGTCTCCATGGCTCCCAAATGCTCTCTTTTGCGTCTTTGAAGTGGCCATCGATGCTGAGAACGCCCAGATTGAACATGTGGCCCTGAACGAAGTGATGTTGGCCGTTACCCGCCGCACCAAGTCGAACAAGGCCGAAATCTACAGATGGGTTAATGACCGCTTAGAGCACCCTCTGCATCGGCTTGACGTTAGCGGCATGGTCTGGGGCATGGGACGGTGGTTCAATGCTGCGGTCGAACGGGCTAAAGTATTCCGATGGATTGACCTGAAATACAAGAGATTCCAACTCGATGCTGCCGGCCAAATAGACGGAAAAGACGAAGGGTTGACTCGAGACACATGCATCGAATTAGCACGATATCTGGACAGCACTCAAAACTCTGCCGTTGATGCCGACGTGATAGAGACCTCTGGCGGCAAGAAGTACCGGAAGAAACTCATGCTAACTTGGGAAATCGACCTAGACTGGGCTGGCGGTCTCACCTCGAACATTCAGATCTCCGCCAGTGGCATCCCTCTGAAAGCAGAGCCTGGGTTGAAGACCATCTTCTGCAGCCTCGTCCCGAGGGTGGGCGTGAAAGGTGCGTTCGAGAACGTCTGGAGCATGATCCATAGTGAGGCCGAGGAGTACAAGTCCGACAGTGCCAAGGGAAAATTCAAGAAGCGGCGGAAAGACGATTGAGCAAGGTCAATCTATACAGATTCCACGATGCTATGAATTCACGAGTACGATGAGATGCTTATGAGCATCAATATGCCTGTTGTAGGCGCCAGTGGGTAGGGCATTGACCAGAGGAGCGCGGGGAGCACGCAATCACGATGCACTGTCGGAGGCGAGCAAGGAGTAGTTGATGATCGAGGTGTCAACAAAGAAAACCTTCGTCTTGACTTGAATCTGAATTTCATTGCTCTTGCCTATGCTTTTTTCATGCACCCCTCTGAAAGCCAGGACAAGATTGTTCGAGAATTTGCACCTGCGGCATGAGCATTACAATCGTATGCCATGCCTTCATTGCTCTGCCTTCATCACAAGCCGGTGACATGCACACACTTTCCTCCAATGGCTTGGCACGCACGAAGCACCGACCTGAGGCCTACTGAACGCAGAGATTCCTTCGATGACCTGGTTGCTTTCAAGGTTGCAGCAGACCCGTCTTCTCAAGCAAGCATGCACATCTTGCCCTCTTGACCACACGACCCACATCGTATCTAACCGAGAGCTGGCCCGCTTACTTCTTCTTCGCCTCCTCAGCCTCCGCCTTGGCCTTGTTTCTCTTCTCCCTCGCGCCCACGTACCGTGCATCGGCTCTCAGGTTCCTCAACTTCGTGTATGCAGCCTCCTCGCCCTTGGGCATATCACCCTTCTTAATCTCGCTGAACGCATGCTTGATGCCCACTCCACTGTCGATGGGCAGCACGCCGTGGATCTTCTTGGCGATCTTGCTGCTGTCATCAGAGGCCATCTTGACATCTTCTTCCGAGCTGTCGAGTTTCTTGAATTGGCCGGACTTGCGGGGGAAGAGGATCAAGCGCGACTTGTAGGTCTTGAGGCGTTGGACGTTCGCCGTCAGCGTCTCCTGGTTGGTGTTCAGGCGGCGCGGGTCGATGGCAATGCCGATTGTGGATGCGAGTTTGCGGGGGATGCCGGCTTCCTAGAGGGCGGAAAATAGATGTTAGTAAAACTGGGATTTTGTGCGTGGGGTGTGACTGTTGGCGTAGCTGTAGGTTTTGAGGTTCGATAAGTCATGACAGGATATTCTCGAGGCAAATGTGGACAGGTGAACGTTTCCAGAATCTGACCTCGACACTCCATCCAGCGCAAACCTCAAGAAGACAGGGAAAGGAATTTCGGTGGTAAATTTCAACGAGGTGTCAAGTTGAGGTGGAGATCGAAACTGGACTTGTGGCTCCGTACCTTCAACTCCTGCATCGTGAAACCTCTACCGGCGCGCGCACGGCGATTGTACTTGATCGTGGGACATCGGACCACAGGTCTCAGCTTGTCGACCGGACGGGGCGCAACGGCGGCGGCTTTGGCCAAACGAGCGGCTCGACGTCGAGACTTGCGGCCTGGCTGGTCGAAGTGCACGCGCACACGGCGCTGCCAGTCCTTGTGGAAGTGGTTGTTGGGGAGTTGCTGGTTGTGCTTGATCGCCATTGCTGCGAAATGACGATGTCGACAAGCGTGCGTGGGTGCAAAAGGGAACGACGGTGTGGTGAGGTTCGTCAACCTGGAGGTGCTGCCGTGAACTTTTTGGTGTGGAGCACTGGCCAAAATTCGCTTGGCATTGTGTGTCATGTGACTTTGGTTTACCCTGCGGTGCTGCAGGAGCCGAATCCGAGTGCCAGCCTCGTTAGTTTCTTTCCCAGCCTTGTTTCGCTTTCTTCGGCAGATTGGCTTCCACTACCTAGGTACTCCGTAAGCACGAGACATCTAAGAGACCAACGAAGTTCAGAGGCGCAAGGATATGCGAAGCAAGACAAACCGTGCGCACTCAGAGGCACAAGTAGTACATACGCATCTGAATTGTCAAATTGGTGAAGCTGAGACCATCTTCATTGATAAGACTGAGCATGAGCTATCTGTGGTAGAGACATCCTAACGCATGACTTCCAGAAATCACTTGCCAACGCCACCTCTGAGAGGAATCGAGGGTATCAATACAATCATCTCTCCAATCGCTCGTCGTTGTATCATTTGTCTCCAAGCATCACTCATTTCAACATTCGTCCCGTTCCACCTAGGCTTGACTCCACGATTCAATCCCAAGCCCAACGCCTTGAGCTACCTTTGCCTTCTTCGCCTTGATGTCTATTTCTTCGGAACTTGGCCCTCTCTTCTTTGAATGACTCGATTTCTTGATCGGTCCGAATAGCTTGCTCTGTAAGAGGTTGCTAGACCGCTCTGCACCTTGTGACAGTCTTAAGCTCTCTTGACTTCCAGGGTTCCTCCGCAACATTTCGCTGGCCATGGAGCTCGCTTGGGACTGCTGAACGTTATCGTCACTGACCGCTTCTTCAACATCGGATATCGAGATGGTACTATCACGGTCATGCCGTTCTCTTTCTGCAGACTCGACTACCAATTGAGAAGGAGGGGCGGAGAAGGGTACCATAGGTTCCGGATAGCTTTCTTGAGTTTTTGGCCGAGTCTGCTGAAGTGGCGTGGTTTGAAGGGATGAAAGGGAGTGTGCCCCACGGGTGTGTCCATGCTTCAGTTTCGAGGTATGTGTTCGAGTGGGAGTCGAGGGGACGCTGAGACTCTCTCCACTAAGAACTTCACCTGCCGCAAGGAGGGCGGCGATGTTGGAAACACTTGGTGCAGACTGCGGAAATTGAGGTACTGGCTTACGTTGAGGCGTAGTAAACGCATCCCGAGGAGTTGTGTATGAGGGCGACATGCTCTTGAGTCTGGTGAAATGCTCTCGGTTTTCTCGAATTCTCTTCTTCAGTAAGTGGTTCTCTTCTTCCAGCAGCTCGCATCTATCCCTCTGCAATTCGACCAGCTTCTTCGCTCGTGCTAGTCGTCTTTCTGCTTCATCGCGCTCTTCTTCCAACGCTTTGCAAGTCCCTGTGAGTGCCTCGATCTGTGGATGTGGTGGCGGCAGCGAGTTGCGTTGAGACATAGCACGGTGCTTGTACTCGGCGGCCTGAAGAACCTCGACTTCCCTTCGAGTCATTTGGTGTTCGATCTCGGCTCGTTGTGCTGCTTCTTCCGACTCCATAGCTAGCAGATTGTGCTGTAATTTGAAGTGAGCGGCCGAGGTTCTTGCTTCTCCGACTGCCGCAACCAAGTCTTTCACCATGATTCGCAACCCTTCGACGTCTGCTGTGGCAATAGCATCTGGCGTAGGTAGCGCTCGAAAAACATTGGGCCTGGCGGTGGTCGAAGGGGGAGAAGCGAGTCGAGTCTCTTCGTCGTTAGTCGTCATCCGGTTCATTGGTGACTGGAAGCGGGGAAGTTGTGTCGACGGCGGAGGAGTCATAGATGCAGACATCGGCGGGGGCGATGTGTAGGCAGATTTGTTCATGCTATCGGCTGAGCGAGTCCGAGCGGGTGGTGGAGTCGAAAGAGGCATCGAGTGGTCTGCGCTGGCTTGCGAGTTTGCCATGAGGATTGAAGTAGCTCTGGCGTAAGGTTGAATAGGATTGTTTTGTGAAGGCCTCAAAAGCTCTTGGGTCTGAAGAACCAAATGAGCAGACTCCAAAGCCTGCGCAAGTTGTGCTGTCGAGGTGTCCCTCGGAGCCGATGCTATTGATAGACGGAGTTGACTGAATGTGTCCGAGCGGCGTCTTCCTGCAACCGTGCGCTCTTTACGAGGTTGCGATTATGACATGGTCGTAGAAACCTGCGAGAGCTCGGGACCTGACTTGAATTGGGATAATAAGAGGGGATAGTAGCATGCACGGACGCAGCATGATATTTGAGCGACAGCGGCACCAGCGGTGCTGGTGAAGAGGTGAAGCAGGAGCTGGGATTCGAAGAGGCTGGTGAGAGGTGGGGCAAGGCGACGCCAGCCTTGTCTCGTTCTCACCTGGAGGCGTGCTTGGGGCGTGTCGGGCGTGCCCGGACGACGGCTGTGACGCGTAACACAGGCGCCGAAGCGCACCCCGGCCGCAACCCCGGCGTCCATGGGCTAACCTATGACGGCTAAGCGCCAGAGGGTTGTCAAAAGTTGGTGTGGCCGTTAGCGCCGTTGTTTTGGGCAACCGACCCCTTATCGTTGCGTGGGACGTCAACACCGAGTCTCTTTTTTCGAGGGCCGCCATCCTCGAAGAAACACCTTAAACATTAAATCCCCCATAGCTTCTACTGCTGCAACACAGCAGGAACGATGGCAGTACAACTGAATGCGACAAAGTCTCGATAAAGCCACCCAAGTCATTTGATATACAGGTCGAAAGCATGGACCACCACAACGAGCAGGGGTCTCATATCCCCATCCGTGGCAGCAGCCTTTCACATCTGTCCAAGCTGCCCATGCCACGTGCGATGGCCTCAATCGACAATTTAAGACTTTCTGCGCGATCACCAACTGTCTTGGACATTCATAACGATGAACCACGCAAGATATCTCATCTCCCTCGGCCCACAGGGCCACCCACGCCGTTGAAGGAGAATTTCAATCAGTCAATTCGGTCGCGGTACGGCTGGACTGACAAACCGGCGAATATGAGGAGCCGGTCTCCCGTACGGGATGCTCTTACGGATGTGCAAGCTTCGGCTATGGAGACTACTCCCCCTGGGACATTTGCTGATAGCCCGGTATTTGTGGCTGGCAACGAGAATCCTACTTCAAAGCCCGCAAAGAACGACATGCCGCGACCCCGAGCGGTCTCACCCACTGCCTCTCCTACAGCCTCTCGACCAGGATCACCAAACAAGACACCCTTCAGGCCACCTGGCAGGCTGTCTCCCACCAAGGACATGACGACGTTACCGCCAGCTATGTCCCCTGGCGAGATTTATACACCGCCCAAGGCTTTCGTCAAAGGCCAACGCTCGCGAATTGCTAAGCCTCTGCGGGAGCCTAGAAGGTCCGCCAGTTCCGCCTTCGATTTTCAGACCAAGGAGCCCAATGCAGCGCCGCCGTCGAAATATACGTCCCAAACTGTGAAAGTCAAACCTACATACACACAGAGATCGGTAAAGTCGCCCACTCTAACGTCGAAGGCATCTCTGTCCTCTCTGTTCAGAGAACCTACATCCTCGGCGAAACCCAGTAGCAAGGTTGCACTCTCAGGTGCCGGGTCTTCGGGAGCCCTGCTAAAGCCGAGATCGAGAGGTGAAAATACCCTCGCTCCCTCAACACCACCCAGAGCAAATTCCAAGGCGAAGAGGGTTACTGTACCGCACCAAGGTCCAGCCGTCGTCACATCGGAAGGATCGCAGACAGATACTCCGCCAAAGTCTTCAGCCGCTCTCCGAGAGACCATTGCAAAAGCCAAAGCAGCGAGGCGGAAGGCTCGAGAGAGTGCAGGTCCCGCCGATGTATCGTCCCAGGGACCCTCCAGTTGGCCAACCGATATCGTTGAGGATGAGTTGTCTTACGGTGGCGATAACCATGGCCTATTACGCAAGCGCATACAGCAGGCCACAGGTTCTGGCTACCTCAACATCGCAGCAATGAACTTGCAGACAATACCCACAGAGGTCATGCACATGTACGACCCAGAGCACCTTACGACAAGTTGGGCAGACCTGGTGGACCTATCTAAGCTGAATGTGGCTGATAACGACCTTGAGGAGTTGAACGAAGATATGTTTCCTGACATGACGAGGGATGATGAGGAGATGAACCACCAATTTCTTGGGTTAGAGGTTCTCGATCTACACAGAAACCGTCTGACGCGACTCCCGCAAGGCTTGTCCATGCTGGAACGACTTCACACCCTGAACTTGAGCGGCAACAAGCTCACCAACGATATCCTCGATATTATCAGCCAGATACCCCAGCTACAAGAGCTCTCTCTTGCTGACAATTCCATTGAAGGCCAACTGGACCTCAAGCGAGCTGAGAACCTTGAGGTCCTTGATCTTCACGGCAATGCAGTGAGCAGCTTTGGTGCAGAGGCACTTCTCAAGCTCAAGCAGTTAAGAATTCTGAATCTTGCGGGCAACAAACTATCATCCTTGGATTGGCTGCTGCTCTCGACGTCTACACTGACAGAATTGAATATCTCCAAGAATCGTTTCTCTGGCGTCCTCTTCCCCACTGGTGGTCTAAGTTTCAAGGAGCTTCGGAGTTTCGACGCATCATACAACGCACTCGAGAGCTTAACTGCCAGCAACGATGAAGCTGGAACATTATTCTTCAACATTCGAACTCTCAACTTGACTGGCAATAAGATGACCAGCTTACCTTCTCTCCGAAGTCTCAAAGACTTACTTGCCCTCGAGCTCGCAGACAACAAGCTATCAGAGATACCTACAGACCTCGCACAGCTCCAGAGCTTAAAGAGTGCAAACTTTGCGAACAATGATATCCGACTGATCCCTGCGGAACTCGCCACAATGGCCAACCTGACGAGCATCAACCTCGTGGGTAATCCGCTCAGGGAGAAAAAGTATCTCACGATGGGGACAACCGACCTCAAACTGGATCTCGAGAAGAAATTGGATCCAACCGAGGCCGACGACGTCCCTACAGAGACCGGCCTTGCCAGTGCTATTTCTAATAGCCAATACCGCTACACTCCGTCGAACGGCACCCTCGACCTCTCGTCTCAAACACTATCCACAATCCCCATGGACTTGATCGACCTCTCCTCCGAAATCCATACTCTCAAACTCTCAAACAACGAGCTCACGTCCTTTCCCACAGAGCTCCTCTCGCACCCTTCACTGAAATATTCCCTCCAATCCTTCGACCTGTCACACAACCCTCAACTCCACCCAACAGATTACCTCACCTGCGAGCTTTTCATGCCCTACCTCAAGTCTCTATATATTGTCTCTACGGGACTGACGAGCCTAGACGCCTTGACAACGCACCTGAGAGCCCCAGAGCTCAAGGAGATCAACATCTCATGCCACAAACTAGCGGGCCACGTGCCGTGGGTAAGGGCGTGGTGGCCGAAGGTCACAACCCTTCTGGCAACAGACAACTGGTTCAACTCCGTTGATGTCGAAGGCGTCCGTGGCCTCGATGTCCTCGACATCCGGAACAATGAGATCGAAGCCCTGCCTGCGAAGATTGGCCTGCTGGGTAATCTTCCCGGCACCAAGGACAAGATCCCCGGAAGGCTGCGCGTCCTGGAGGTCAGCGGCAATAGATTCCGCGTTCCAAGGCTGGTGGTTGTGGAAAAGGGCACCGAGGCCGTCTTGAAGGATCTAAGGAGGATGGTCAAGGCCGAGGAAGTGACGGACGAGTGGAGGGATGTGTTGTGATCGCACGCTGACCTCTTCCAGTCCGGCTAGCGACCGTAGCGGTCGTTGACGCTTTCCTCTGGCCCTTGCAGGGTACGTTCTCTTGGGAAAGAATACCCTCCTCGACGTTGTTGGCGGTGTTGTCCTTCCTATACTCCAGCGCTTCAGCATTTCAGCACTTCGGCACTTCGGCCTCCGGTAGGGATGCCTTTGATTACCAGAAAGGCCGACAAGAGCATTGCGTGGCGTTGATAGATATAGCCCAGGTCTACTTGCATGTAAATATCCTGTATCATTCTACTAATTAATCGATGTCCAAGACCAGTTTTTCCGCTCTCATTGTGCGAGGGTCCCTTTCATGCAACTAAGCCTGGACACGTAGCGAGTGGGCCGGATGAGGTCTGAAGCAGAGATGTCGATTTGAATTCGCACTCCAGATAAACGCATCATCGACAATAGCCACGCCTCTCTAGTAGTTCACGGATCAGGCATTGTTTTCTTACACCGAATGCTATGAACTTGAACGAGATGTTGTATTCTGAGACAAAGTGCCGTTCGCTTTATTGGAATTGCGTCCTTGTGAACCGAAACTTCGCCAATCCTGCCCAGATCACGGAAACGGATTCCGGGGTGCCTCGAAGTAGGTTTGATGCATTCCACATACCTTTGCAAGAGCCCGGTCACTGACAACGTCGGATATTCTTCGAAAGTTACAGCGCTATCAGACAACGATCTATCAGACGGGTACCGAGTAGGGAGTACACAGTAGGTCGGCCCGGCTTCGACTACTGCGGCAAGGAAAATGCGGGGCGAGGCTGAGATGTCAAGGCTGCAGGCGGTGAAAAGCGGCAGTAAGTTACTGCCTCGATGTTTTGTTCTCGCCCACGCCGTCGTGACATACGAGCACTCCGTACGGCCTTGAATATTCCCGAGCAAGGTTTCTCCGTCCCGATTTCATAGATCTGTCTTGTCACCAACTATCGCGTCAATGGCAGGTATGTGTCTGAAAGCCCTGCGCCTGGCTCCTTGGTGTACTCATTGCGATGGCAGGTCAATTCCCCGTCTCCGACTTGCCAACAGACGCGATTTCCGCTCTCCGGTTCTCACCACATCCGAGCTCAGGACGCTTCGCGGTCGCTTCGTGGGACAAGCACGCGTACATTTATGAGGCCGTCGATGGGAAGACCTGCAATCAGGTAGCCAAGTTCGAGCATCCTGCACCTGTCCTGGACGTTTGTTTTGGAAAGGATGATAATGAGGTATATACGGCTTGCTTGGACCGGGATGTGAGGAAGTACGATGTCTGCTGATTATTCGGAGAGAGGAGAACCGGTTACTGATGTCTAGCAGGATCGATGTTACATCTGGCTCACACACCGTCCTCAGCACTCATGACAATGGAGTCCGCTCGGTGGTCTACAGCCACGAGCACTCTCTGGTTGTCTCGGCCGCTTGGGACTCGACAGTGCACATCCACCCTAGTGGGGATGCGGAGTGGTCAACCGCCACCATCAACCTACCCTCGAAGCCGTTCTCACTTGCTGTTTCCGCGTCAAAGCTGGTCGTGGCCATGGCGAATCGTGCGTTGCACATCTACGAACTGAAGGCATTGGCCAGCGAGTGTAAGAGTTCGGCGAACTCGTTACAGAACAGACTTGACATCGAGCCATGGCAGAGAAGAGAGAGCAGTCTAAAGTACATGACGAGGGCAGTTGACTGCATGCCGAATGATGAGGGCTACGCTTCATCTAGCATTGAAGGACGCGTTGCGGTCGAATGGTTCGATCCTTCGACCGAGTCGCAGTCCCGCAAATATGCCTTCAAATGCCATCGTCAACCTGTCGATGATGTTGATGTTGTCTACCCTGTCAACGCAATCGCATTTCACCCGATTCATGGCACATTCGCCACGGGTGGCGGTGATGGAGTGGTCGCTATCTGGGATGCTGTCGCGAAACGAAGGATCCGGATCTATCCCAAGCTGGCCTCAAGTGTTTCTGCGCTTTCTTTCAGCTCGAATGGCAAGTACCTGGCCACGGCCATCTCGCCCGGATTCGAAGACGGCAAGGACGATGTTTCCGAAGGGACGATCGGGATCTTCATTCGCGAGCTCGGTGAAAACGAGGTGAAGAGGAAGGCCAAATGAAATCTTCAGGGGCACCCGTAAGCCACTCTATTCATGACCCGCGGCCGTTCCCAACAAGTCTATCATGTGGATATTACAGCCTCCTGAAGCTCAGAACTGTGCACGGGTATCAGAGGCGGGTATCTCGCGATGACGGAATTCCGCTTGTGCCGAGCCTTCTGTACCGATACCGTGCCGTCGGCCATTCCGAAATAACACGCGATGGGTCTTTGTCCGCCGATGACGCCTGCTGCCACGGCTTCAGGACCGGTTGGACCACAGAAAAGACCCACGGCCAATACACCGTTGATGTCTTTGATGGCTCTGGCGAGCTGCTCGACCTCCCAATACCCATCCTCGCCGTCGCCCCTCCTATCACGAGTCAGGTCTTCGGCGATCAACAACGGATGCGGAAATGGCGCGTCGACTATGAAGAAGTCCTGATCCGTCTTTACGGGACCAGCTTTAGCCATATGCCCCTCGCGAATCATAGGACCTGCACCTGTTGTACTGATGCTGCCAAGCATGCGCAGTCTCTTCATGACTTGTCGCGCTGCCTTTGGCTCAACCTCTATCGGGATCGTGGGCCACTTGGTGACCAGTCGTTTCTGGAGCTTTCGGTAGTCTGCCCATGGGTTAGCAGGAGATTGGCAAACACAGCCGAAACAACATACCCGCAACACAAACAAATTGTTTTGCTCTCATTGCGACAAGTTTCTCTTGGTATAAACATGCACCTCCCCCCTTGATGCAGTTCAATTCCTCATCCACCTCATCGGCGCCATCAAATGCGATGTCAATCAGAACATCGTCTGGAAGGGCATCGAACTCAATAGGTACCAATCCGGCGTTTATAATGAGCTGCTTCGACTGGTACCCTGTAGGCACAAAGCCGACTCTTGAGACGTCGACGCCACAAGTCTTGATTGCTTCCACCACGTAGACAATGGTTGTACCCGACCCGATGCCGACGAAGCGAGGATTGGGGGGAAAGTGATTCTTGACTGCTTCGATAGCAGCTGCCTGTTTAGCTGCTTCGATTTCAGCGGCCATCTTGTCACTGCACCGAGCAGGAGTGGTGTGGAAGAATTTCCCGCGACCGAAGGTAGGGACTGGTCTGTGAAGCAGAAGGGCCACCGAAGGTCTATATTGAACTGAAGAGGATAGAGGTTTAGGTTGGTAGTCTGGAGGATATCAGCCACTTCCTGAGAACATGAGCGAGACTCGTCTCGAGCCAGCTTCCACTCACATGCACGAGACAGAAAAGTGACACTGCTTCTCCAAACCATATATCGAAAACCGTTCTATTCTGATTACGTACCCAAGGTTGGCCGACTTATCTCAACACGGACGCTGCCGCCTGTGCCGCAATTGGATGGAGGTTGCAGAAAAGCAGCGTCTTGAAAATGTTGACTGAGAATGCTTCTCTGGGTCGTGGGGCAGGAACACAAGTTCGCGGTCAAGTAAATGGTGGGGTTACGAGGGATCGATGGGCGTGTCAGGGCGCCCCTCAGGTTGCGTTGGTGCTAGGGATCGAAATCTCCGTGACGTACCTCGTAACTCGTACCATACTGTGTAAATCGGAACAGCAAAGGCTGGCTTGCCCGAAGTTCTGCCTTGACCATTGACGTCCACGCCGAGATTCACTGACACCGTGCTCAGTAAACGTTCAAGTAAACACTTCGCAAGGCTCTTTCAGCTGCATCAGACCTCACCAATGTCGCGCTCCTTTACATCCTTCATCCTACTGCGACAATGACCGAAGTTGCTCCTCGAGAGGTTACCCCGCCGCCCCTCCAGACCCCTTCCGCGAAAGAAAAGAAGTATGACCGACAACTGAGATTATGGGCTGCCTCAGGTCAACGCGCTTTAGAGGAGTCACACGTTCTCTTGATTGTTGGAGATGAAGGCCATGGCTCCAACAGCAGCGTCGCCGGAGCTGAGACCCTCAAGAATCTCATTCTGCCTTCGATTGGGAGCTTTACAATTGCCGATTCGGGCAAAGTCATGCACCGAGACCTGGGAGTCAACTTCTTTCTCGAGTCGGATAGTCTGGGAAAGCCACGAGCAGATGAGATGAGAAGACTTCTACAAGAGCTTAATCCGGATGTCACAGGGCATGCCATCACCGCTCCTCTTGCAGAGTGGCTGCCGGTCGAGGGCTCTCTCACGCCCTATAATCTCATCTTGCTCTGCGCCCCTATCGCCCGAGATTTTCTCCAGAGGATATGTGCCTATGCTTCGGCCAGTTCAATACCAGTCGCCTACATCCAATCAGCAGGCCTTTTCGCTTCCCTTTCCATTCAGCTGCCATCTGAATTTCCCATAGTGGACACTCACCCGGACCCCGAATCCACCCAAGATCTCCGCTTGCTTGCACCTTGGCCCGAACTCGAAGCAGCTGTGGATGAACTCGGCGACATCAAGTCACTGTCGGATCATGACCATGGCCACATCCCTTATCTCCTGCTGCTGTTACATTACCTAAGAGAATGGAAGAAGACACATGACAACAAATACCCCTCTACATTCAAAGAAAAGACAGAGTTCCGTGAGATAGTCGGCTCTGGAGCCAGGAGAAACAACCCAGAAGGAGGGGAAGAGAACTACGACGAAGCTTGTGCTGCCGTGCTCAAGAGCATTGCTCCTCCGGTGGTAGGCAGAGGATGCAAAGAGATGATGAGCATGCCTTCGTGTACCAACCTGAACAAGGACACTGCAAATTTCTGGATCATCGCAAACGCGGTCAAGAATTTCTATGATAATCACGGCGTGTTGCCTCTGCCCGGCTCGCTACCAGATATGAAAGCCCAGAGTGCGGACTACATCAAACTCCAGACCATTTACAAGTCCAAAGCACGAGCCGACGTGGCGGCAATCACCAAGATAGTCCGAGAGACGGAGGCTGCCTTGTCAAGAGAACACTCTCCCATACCCGATCCCGAGATCGAAGCGTTCTGCAAAAACGCCTCCCATCTCCGTGTCTTGACGAATCCAAACAACGAACCACTGGCCTCATTGCGCCTGATGACTTCGGACTATAAGACCCTCAACCGCCTCTCATCTACCATCGAAAACGATTGGGAAGGACTCTCTCCCGTCTTCATTGCACTGAACGCCAATATCTTCCCCTCAGACAAACCCCTCGACGTAACTGGACTCTCTTCGGATCCCGAGGTACAGGAGAATATCACAAAAGCCCTCAAGGAGGTGGAGCGAGCCCAGGGCGGCGAACTACATAACATCTCAAGCGTCTTGGGAGGTATGATGGCACAGGAGGCTATCAAGCTGCTTACAAGACAGTACGTCCCCGTCGACGGAACGTGTGTCTTTGACGGCGTGAAAAGCAAATCGACGGTCTTCAAGTTTTAGGAAGACGAACGCGACAACGCGCAAGACGAGCAACAAGACGAGCAAGAGTATCTCTACTACAAAGAGACCGATGCCGACAGCACGGCCTCCACCAGCCATCCCAAGATATCATTAAAGGCCAAGACCAAAGCTTGGTGGACCACTTATATCTCCCCGACCGTCCCAGCCTTTGAGTCCCTACAGCACCTGGAGAATGAAAGCACATTTTGGGCATGGTACAGCGCAGCATGGGCCATGTTCATGCTGGCCATCGCATGCAACCCGGCGCATTCCTCCATCCGGTACTCCGAGGAGGAGAAACGTGCGTGGCTCGTCCTGACGCTGTGTCTTTACGGGCTGTCCATCCTCGTGACAGCGGTGGGAATGTGCCGATATTTCAGGCAGCAGTACGCGCTTAGGCAGGGGAGGGTGTTGGCTGGCGGGGTTGAGGTTTACATTGTTTGTCTGGCGGTGCTGGTGGCCGTGGTTGCCGTAGGCGCGGCCGCATTGAAGTACTATGAGACGTGGTAGGGAAGCGCATACTTGAAACCGTTGGAGCGGCCACGCTGAAGTAATACGAGACGTGGTAGGGAAAGGCAGGGCATACATGTATGGCTTACAGTGACGCTCCAGGCGGAGCTGTTAAGGATGCAACCCCATTCCAAGTCCCATGAGTTAAAACGAGTCATGAGACATGAGATAGGTATGAAACATGGGAATTGCCGCAAACCACAAATACAGCGCTCTAGCACGACCGGTGCATTCCAGGATACAGTAGAAGCCATGAGGAAAGTCGAAAAGGGGAAAAGAGAGTATCAGACTACCCACTCAGGTGCCGCGAATGTATTTGAAGGTTCTTCAGCTACCATCAAGCAATATTGAACTCGCCGGCACCACCCCCGCCCATCATCATCTTCCTATTCATCCTGATCTTCTCTCTCATCTTGCGCGCCGCTTCATCGACATCGCCTGTCTGTTCCACTCCCTCGTCCTTTCCTCTCTTCCGCTTCTCACCACTGACACCCGCACCCGCACCCGCACGCACCGCTTCCCCATTGCCACTGGTCGTCACCATCCTCTTTGCCCCCTTCATCGCCGCACCTTTGCCCCGTCCCGCGCCCATGCCGGACGGCGTATCTCTCAATCCGAATGCCTTGCACAAATGTCCCAGGTGCAGCTCCTTGATGTCGAAGTATTTCCGCTCGCTCGCCGTGTGGGTCGCGTACGCGCGAATGTGGCTCTGGAACGCCCTGCGCGCGAGCTCTCTTGTGGCAGGCGTCGCGAGGACGAAGCGCTCGAGGGCGAGTTGCAGGTTCGTGGCGCGGGTTCGCCAATCCGCACCGTTAGCGTCAAGGTGGTCACCTGTGGCCGCATCCCGCTTTTTCGCGGCGTCCCGGGTTTTGTTGGTTGAGATGACCCCGAACGTGGGGTTGAATCCCTTTTTGAGTATGTCGTCTGCGTCCATGCTCGACACGTTGGTGGTCACGCTGTCGTCGGTGGGTTTGTACGAGGCCTTGAGCACGGAGGCGTACCCTTCCTCCTTGCCGGGGAGGAGGAAACTCACGGCGCGGCCGTCCCGGCCTAGTCTGGCAGTGCGGCCTATTCGGTGGAGATGGTCTTCGGCGCTGAAGGCCGGGTCGTACTCAATTACGAGATCGAGGTTGGGGAGGTCGAGGCCGCGGGAGGCGACGTCCGTGGCGAGAAGGAGGGAAGGTGTGGAAGCGTGGGTGAAGGCGTTGATTGTCGAGGTGCGGGTCTGTTGCGGGAGTGAGCCGTGCAGCTTGTAGAGCGTTAGGGAGTTTGTTCTCGAGGATAAGATGGACGACGGGGCGGAGGGGTCTGGAGAAGGAGGAGGTTCTTGAGAGAAAGGCTTAGATGGGTGGCTGGCTTTGATGGCTCTGGTTTTGGTGGCTTGCGGGACTTCGGTGTCAGAGTCGGCGTCGGAGTTGTCTGTGTCTCTTGATGAGAGAGTAGTTTTAGGTAGCGCACCGTCGTCACCTTCGAGTGCCGTGGTGAAGGCTTTGAAGTGGAATTCGACCGAGTCTGCGCACGAGAGGAACACAATCGCTTTCATGACTGAGCCTCTCCGCGCAAAAGTGCGTTTGAGTAATGCTGCCAGAGTAACGAAGCGCAGTTTGGCGGCAACAACGATGTAGGACTGCTTGAGTTGTGCTGGAGCGAGGAAGGCTGAATCCACGCCCACAGTCCCGTTGCCGTTGACTTTTTCTTCCGGCGTTTCGGTGTTGTCTCGTGTCCCACTATCGCCACCGTCCCCTTTGATCAGTATCGCGTCCTTGAGACTGATCTCTCCCAACTTCTGCACATTCATCTTCAAGGTCGCGGAACACAGCACCGTCGTCCTCTTGGTAGGCAAGCCCGGCCAGGTGACAGTCCCTCTGGTCTCCCGCGCCTGCTTCCTTTGGTCTAACATCTTCACAATTTTCGTGATATCCTCTTCGAAGCCCAAGTCCATGAGTCTGTCTCCTTCATCTAGGACAAGCCAGCGGACATTACTCACGTCCAGAGCCTTGGTGTTTTCCAGATGGTCGACCAGCCGGCCGGGCGTAGCGACCAGGATGTTGAGCCCTTTGCGCAGGCGAGCCTTTTCCGATTTCTTCTTCTCCCCACCCAGGACGTGGCCAGCGACGATATACCTTGCACAGCCGAGCAGGCGTTCCAACACGACCGAGATCTGTTTGCACAGCTCGCGCGTAGGGGCTAGTATGATGGCAAAGAGTCCCGAGTCGCGGTGTAGCAGTAGTGAAGTGTTGGTGCGTTCTGGCTGTTCTGCCCTCACGGTCATTATGCGTTGGACAAGTGGAAGCAGGTATGCGAGGGTCTTTCCCGAGCCTGTTTCGGACTGTATGAAAGCGTCACTCGAGTCTTTGAGCATTTGTGATATGGCGGCCTTTTGAATCGCAGTGGGTGTCTTCAGGCTCATCTTCGTGAGGAGGTGGGCTGCTATAGTCGGAGTGAGACCGAGGGAGGTGAATGTGTCGATGCCGTCAATGAGGGGCGCGTTGGACGGAGCGATGGGCTTCTCTTCTCCAGTCATCGGCTGGAGCTCTTCGGACGTGATCGATGGTTTCGGATTGTATGTGAACAACGAGGATATGACTTCGCGGGGCCCTGATGTGCCATGTCTCTGCTCGTTTCGTCTTGAGTCTAGGGCATGCCCATTCTCACGCCGTCTCTTCGTGGGTCGATGGTCTGGGAAGTCCTCAGATTGAACACGCCGCTGCGAAAGAGGCAGGCTATTGGGGTCATTTGTTCTTTTCTGCCCTTCTCTGCCTTCACCCCGTCCAGCTCTTTGCGCCGACCTCTTCGCACTCAGGCGGTCTCGCCATGACCCACCTTTGAACTTCGGGCCGGAATGGATTGAGGAGGCGACGGTCTCGTCGACGGAGAAGTTGAGGAACATGCCATCGTCGGCCATTTTATATGCAGCCGATCATCACATCAGTGCTTGGGCCAAGATTCAACAGTGGCAGTCTACGCACTCAGTCAAGGCCGAAGACGCAGATCTCGAACTTTTTGATGCCAGTGGAGAATTTGCGGAGTAAGCTCTTGTCCGATTGGCTGGCCGTGGTTGTGGGGCCTCGGCGTTCGGTGACGGGAGCTGCTTGCCAAAGCCGCTTCGAACTCGCTGCCTCGCCGGCCGCATCATCTACGCTGCACTTTGTATCATGAATTCTTTGACTCACCTTCTGTGCACGACGAGCTTCGAGGCCTCAAAATGAAGCTCATGTCTGCGACCACCGCACACGAAGCCCCCTTTCCTAGCATTCAGCCATATCCCGCGACCCAGAAACCATGGCGAGAGCAGCATTGAGACCTTCCGCCCTTCCACCGATTCAACGGTTAACATGGCAACGAGGAGGCCCCTTTCGACGGGACGAAAGCTCTTCGGTGCTTGTAAGCAAGCACCGCTCTGCGCCTCCGCCAAGCGGTGCGGTTCCATTCAATATCTTCCGAAACGCCAACGAATTGCGTGCCGTGCGCAGGAGGCTTCTCTGCAATGGAAGTACGGTGGGCTTTGTTCCCACCATGGGAGCCCTACATGAAGGACACCTTTCTCTCGTTCGACGCGCCTTGAAAGAAAACAGCCACGTGTTTGTGTCCATCTTTGTCAACCCGACCCAATTCGCCGCACACGAGGATTTGGACTCTTATCCTGTTACGTGGGAAGAAGACCTGGCCAAGTTGAAGAAGCTGGAGGAGGAATACCTTGAGAGCGCCAAGTCCATGAGTCCCTGGAGGCCCTCCTCGATACGTGGGATCTTTGCCCCGACGGTCAAGACCATGTACCCTACTCTACCTCCCACCTCGGACATTGCAGGCCATGGTTCCTTTGTCACAATTACTCCCTTGGGATCCGAGCTCGAAGGGGCATCGAGGCCCATCTTCTTCCGCGGCGTCGCGACTGTCTGTACGAAGCTGTTCAATATCGTACAGCCCGACCGAGTCTATTTTGGGCAGAAGGACATCCAGCAGTCCGTCCTCATCAAACGCCTAGTCAGGGACTTCCACATACCCACCGAGGTCCGCGTTGTGCCTACGGTAAGAGAACCAGACGGGCTGGCCATGAGCAGCCGAAATGTATACCTGGGTGAAAAGCGCAGGGAGGACGCCACAGTTTTGTCACGAGCACTGTTCGCCGTGCTGGACCTGTACAACTCCGGTGTCTTGCAAGTGAAACGTCTCCGCTCGGCGGCCTTTGACGTCTTCAGAGAGGACGTGACTCGGCTCCGAAGTGACGGTCGAATAGGGCCCAGTGGTCAGATCGATGTCGACTACGTCGCCATGTCTCACCCGGATACCATGGGATTGATCCCGGACGACGAAGAACTCAACCCCAACATTGGCGGCATCTTGAGCGCGGCCCTGATCGTCTCTCCCGTCGACAATCCCAAAACGCAGCAGGAGCTGAATCAGAGAAGCGTCCGACTGATTGATAACGTCATCTTGGAGCCGAAAGTCGATGTGAGAGTGAGGAGGGAACGAAGACAGCAGGCAGCGGCACGCCATGCGGCATGTATGAGGGGGGCAGATGAAGCCACGGAACCGGAGGACGTGGATCAGCAGTCTACGCAGCCGCCAACGGCGAACCCACAGGGATCCCGAAAGGTCAAACCGACGAGGCTCAAAGTATATTCCCCTTCAAGTGCTTATAATTCGAGCAAACAGAGAATAAAACAAAACTTGCCGCCTGTTCTCAATCAGGCGGGTATAGACTCCGAGGAGGGATCGCCCACATTGAAGCAAGAGACGACTGTCAAGGTTGAAGACTCGAAAGCGAAGCATGAACAGGAAAATCGTTCAATAGATATCCCACAATGATATTTTGCCATCTTTGCCCCCCGCAGCCAGCCAGTGAATCCGTCGAGCTTTGTCTTCTCGTTTCTGTTTGATAAGGTCGAGGGCGTTCATGGGTCTTGAGACGCCAGGAGTGCCAGCCGCGGGAGAAGACGTGTGCTCCTGCTCCTCAGATCCGTTATAGGCGTCGACCTCGTTTTCGTTCTCAGAACTGATGTCTGCAAACGCTGTCGAGTACACTCCCGCTTTGTGCCACTTGAGCACCGCCAATTGTTTCATCGTCCTGTACGAGTAGATCCGCACACGTCCGTCCCAGCCGGCCGTCGCAAAGATCTTGCCGTCGGAGCGGACGCTGAGACCTTGTTGGCCCGCATGTTTTGTGTTGATGGCCCTTTCGGGTTGCATTTCGTTGACTGCTGTCTGTGCGAGAATGGTGGGTAAAGAGAATTTGCCAATGCGAGCATCGGCGCTCGAGGTCAGAAACTGTGATTTGGATTTGCAGGGGAGAAATTTGACGGACAGGACAGGCTGTATGTGTGGTTTGCTCATCAGGACTTTCTTCCACGTGAAACCGGAACCGTTCAGATCGGATTGATCGCCCTGATGCACGTGCACATGCGCATACACCATGACTCGGCCGTCTTCGTAGCCTGCAGCGAGGACGAGTCCGTCTTCCTTGTGCCAGAGTGAGACCGCCATCACCATACCCGTCGGGTCATCCTTGTCGGATCCGATCTGCGACACCCTCTTCTCCGATGGAAGCTGGAAAATGTCAATGCCGCCTGAGTCGAGACCGTTAGGTGAGGCGATCAGTTGCGAAGGCGCCTCTCCTGCCACCGCTGCTGCTGCTGCTGCCGCTGCTGCTGTTTCTCCCGCAGCGTGTTCATCGCACATGGCGAAGGCGCAGAAGTTGAGCGCGCTAACGGATAACGCATGGAGGAGCCATGGCTGGGTCGGAGGTAGACCTGCCGCTGACCCTGACGCTGTGACGGTGGGTGCTTCCGCTTCAACAGGCAGTTTTCTGCTCAAGCTGGCGAGGAGTTCAGGCCGGACCTGCCAGACCCGTAGCTTGTGGTCCCTTCCATGGCTGCACCAGCTGTTATCAGTTGCCATGCTGCGGGATCAGAGGGTGTTATAACGTATTGCTTACCTGATCAGTCTGTCGTGTGTCCAATGTTGGATCTGTAGGATGCCTGCCTCGTGCGCTTTCCATACGGCAACGGGTCGCTTGGACGAGAGACTCCATAGGACCACCCACCCGTCGCTGTCTCCGGACGCTAAGAACGCATTGTCGGCGTAGAAATGAAGAGCGTGGACTGGGGCTTCGTGGCCTCGCAAGACGTAGGCTGGGACTGCTGGGCCCTGCTCCATGAGGTTGTTGGATGAGGATTTCGCATGTAGCGGAGGAATTCAAGCCAGTTTGCTGGCTGTGCGGAGTCTTTTGGCTTCCAGGCTGGCTTGTGCTTGTCGTTACCGTGACAGCTCTGTCGCATACTCCATTGGGAAGAAGTCGAACCGAGCCCGGTATCCAGTCCTACATCGATCGGAACAGCACAGGTGCATGTGGTAATGCACAACGCAGCAGCGGAAAGTAGACTGGGCGTTCGGTGCTGCTCCAATGTCTCGTACTGCCAACTTCTACTGTTAGAATTTACCATCACCGTGACAAAGGGACTCGTAGCGACTAGTGTTGGTACAAGCTCACAAATTCTAAAGATGCGGCGAGCACGTCATTCAGGATTGAGGCGCATTCTTTAATGGTCGTAAAGTGACAGCTGGGGAGAGCGGCCACGAGGCTGATTTTATCATCCAAGCAGCAGTGGCAGATGCAGATGCACCCACAGGGAGCGACATGGTCTCATTTACTCAACATCATCCGTCTAGATCTGCTCGCGGTGTTATCAATTGTCATAGCATATACCGAAAAGCCCTCCCAGCGACCCTCCTCGAACTCCCGATCAAAGTCTGTTCAGCTTCCTCATCTCCTCTTCCACCTTCCTCCTCCTCTTTACTCATCAACTCATACTCCCCATCCAACCCATGCTCTCGACCAGTTACAAACCCATTCTTGTTATTCTCCTTCCACAGCAATACTCTTAGCACCCCAGCCAACCCTGCCACACCAACCGCCATGAAGCCTGCACAGACAGCCATTCCGGAGACATAAAAAGGCTCATGGCTTTTCGGGAACAGGTGCACCCCAATCAGCGGACCACACTGGCCAACGATATTCAAAATGGTCAGTCCGGTTCCTTTGCCTGTGGTCGTAGCTTGGTTGTTCAGTGTCCACGTAATGATGAGGGTGACCGAGGAAAACAACCCCATCGCAGCGCCGAACACAGCGACATAACGGACCGTAATGCTTCCTGTCTCGCCTAACTCTTCGTGGAGGTGGCCCGCGAGGGCAATCCCGGCGTAGGAAAAGGCGCTGAGAAGTGCCACACCAATCAAGAACAAAGACCTTGAGTCGGCCATCTTGTCGCTATATCGACCGATGAGCAGCACGAAAATGAAGGCGAATAGGTAGGGTGGAGCCGCGAGGGCTTGTGATGTCAGCGGAGAGAACGACATGCTGTTAATTATGGTGGGTAGGAAGACCGGCAAAGAGCTGAACGAGACGTTCACGCTCAGGAACATCAGAGCCGTAAGGTAGGATTTGGGGTCGAGGACTGTGGCCAGAATTTCTCTAGCCTGGAGCCGTTGAGCTAATGTTGCGCCGGCGCTCGCGGACGAGCTGTGGTCCGTAGCCTGTTCAGTCTGCAGCCTCATAACCGCGACCTTTCTTTCCCTAGCGCTCAAGTACCTGGCTTTGGCAGGGGCATCTGGGATCCAGTACCACGCTGCTACGGCGGTAAAGATACTTGGGAACCCTTCCACCAGGAATAATGCCCTCCACGGCGCAACGGGCCCATTCTGGCTCAATTTGACAATCACCCAAGCCAGCGAACTTGCAAAACTCGTCGCCAGTGGCGCAGCGGAGATCTGCAGTCCGACGCGGTAAGCAAGTTCCGAGCGCTTGTAGAAGAACGTCATATAGAACGGCACGCCAGGGCCGAATGCTGCCTCGGTGATTCCCAGAAAGCCTCGCAGGATGAGAAGTTGGCCGAATGAGGTTGTCAAGCTCTGTAGACTGGCTACAAGGCCCCAGGATAGCACACACAGAGAGATGTAGACATGTGCCGGCAGTATGCGGTACAGCAAAATCATCCATTCAAAGCCAATATATGTGATGTAAAACGCGGTCAAAAGCCAATCGTACTGTGAAGACGACAGGGACAAGTCTCTTTCGAGTCCGGCGATGCGTGCGTTGCCTATATTTGAGCGGTCAAGGAAACTCAGCATGTACAAGAAGCCCAGAAATATCACGAGTTTGCGGTCCAGCTTGCGAACAACGGCCGCTTCTTCCTCGTCCGTGTAGTCTTTGGACAGAGTCGCAGTGCGCCTTAGTCGACGTCTCTTATATACCTCGTCGTCTTCGCCTTCGCTGCCACTCTGTGAAAATTCGTCTTCTATAGGTAAATGCCCGCCATGACGGGTGTGCAGGTGTAGCTTCCGCAACTCAACCGTATCGTCGTCGATTTCGCGTGACGTTCGCATGCTTACGACAGGAGAGTCATTGCCGTCCCAGTCTTGGCTGAGCCTGCTAGGTAGGATGTGTCGCGAAGCTAAAGGTGCTTCATTGCCTCTGGGAACGGTAGGTGACGTCGACATGGTGGAGTTCTAGCTGGATCGAAGATGTTGCCGGATCGGCACTTCCATAAAAGTTGGCAGATTAATTGAGATGACAATAATCAGTCCATTTGGATAAAGATGAGATGAAGCCGAATCATGCTGACCCGTCCGGCCAGTGATCAGAGACTGGTCAACGCAATTTACTCATCGCTACGGAGTACTCCGTAAAAGCTCGTGTATTGGAGAGATGGACGCAGACGAGCTTGGTTGATGTGGAGACGTCGAGGAGGTCGAGGTATCGGATGGGATTGTGCGGGGAGGAAGGTCTGACGAGCTTCTGCGAACTCAGACTTCAAGCATGTTGGTCTCAGCTCCGAAGTTGAGATGAAGAGTGAAGAAAAAACATACCCTTGCACGGCTTGGAGGGCTATGAAGAAGGCAGCCCTCTGCTGGCGGGTCAGGGCGATGCACTGAAGAAGCTCGTGGGTATCTCTGAACGATTCCAGCGTCCCTCCTTACCTTACCGCTCAAGGGTTCGACTTCATCATGTCGAGTTGGGCAGCCTTGTAGACTGGCCGAGCAACATCCACCGCCCAAAGAATGGCTAATTACGGAGTAATGCAAACCGTTACATGATCGCGCCAGAGCTAGAGGCTGATGTCCGTCAACTCGGAGTGCAGTCCATAACTGAACAGGCCGAGGGTCTTCAACTGCGATGGCATCTTTCGGGCCAAGAATTGCTAGCAATATGCGAAATGGCCCCCAAAGCCTTTACCTCGTAGCCGTGGCGTGCCTGACGCCAGTGCCTGAGGAGATGAGGCGCCAGGCGGGCTGGTTGCGCCCAGGCAGGCCCGCCCCTTACTAAACCCTAGGACTCTCGCGGCTCCTTCGAGTTCCAACCGCACATCCACTTCTTGCAGCAATCGCCCGAGATCGTCAATCTTGCGGAACTCGGGAGATCAAGCATGCAAGGCACCTAGATGACATCTTCGTCGCCAGCTTTAACGTCAGCTTCAAGATACAACTTTGGACCACAACAGAATTCCCGGGTACAGACTCTATCAAAGTAATGCCTAATTAATTATCACTCTCGTGGCGACTAGTGCTAGACCGATACTGGAGGATTTCTTTCTCGCGAATCGCCTTCTCCTGGTTTCAACTCCTGTTCCATCACCGGCTATCGTCGTACCTCACCATGCGAATGTCACCTTGCCCACGGGGACTCCCAGGCTCGTCCGTTACTCCGTCAGAGATGACCTATGATGAAATTTTCTGCCGGCGATCTCATTTCACTGGTGACTGACCATCTCGTCCAGGGGTTCCGACACGCGAGCAGCCAATTTCCCGATCCGATGAAACACGGGGTTGCAACGGAGGCTGAGCAAGTCAACGACGTCCACCCGTCCACATCGAAGTCTTGACTTGAATTTCATATATTCAACCCTTAGGTCTTGCTTGCGTGCGTGCCTGTCTCCGTCCGCTCTTTTGCTGGTTCTTTGTCTTTCAGCACCTTCAGCTGGTCTGTCGTTCTATCTATACATTTGCTGCTTCTCAGTCACTCATTTGACCTCAACGTTGAACTCCCGATCTCACGTTCATTACATTGTAAGGTACTTTGTGTAAACTTGGCCTCTCTGAGTCAGGCCGTTATCGACAAAACAACCACCCGTCAACATGCAATCATTCATCCTTCTCGCCGCCGGGTTGGCGACCGCCGCCCACGCATTCACCCAACCCAAAGATCAGACATGGGGCCCGCTGCTCACCCCAGACCTGTCCAACGTATGTGACTCCCCCTCGAAAACCCTCTGTCTCCAAAACTGATGACCAATACTCCCCAGTCCGTCACCCAAGGCAAAGACTTCAGCGTGACCTGGGACCCATCGGGCCACCCAACCGACGGCGTAACAGTCAGCCTCGTGCTCTGCCACGGTCCTGGCTCGAACTGCGTCCTTTCCGACAGTGCCATTGCCGAAGGCATCCCTGCGGCTCAAAAGTCCTTTGACTGGAAAGTTCCCTGCGACCTTGCCCCCGGCACGCAATCGACCGACACCGGCTACGGCATGCTGATCATTGTCGACGGCACGGGTGAATTTCAATGTAAGTCTGCCAGACGTGGGGTGCTGGGAATCGCAACTACGAGATAGGTGGGAAGATGAACGTCTGCTAACAAACGTGCAAAACCAGACTCGACTCAATTCTCAGTGCTCAAGAACGACGCGTGCGCCGGCAGCTCTGGCTCCACATCGTCGCGCCCCATCACATTGCCCTCGGCCTCGGGCTCCGCCACCACAACCACCCTCCCAACCGGAGGCTCCTCGATCATGCTCGGACCCCCGGCATACCAAACCGGCTCGTACACCTGGGGCGCCTCCTCCGGCAACTGGTCCACCACCGCGAGCCCGACGGCCAGCACTCTCGCAAACGCGCCGGGTTCGACAGTCATTGTCTCCACTTCCGGCTCCGTGGTTTACACCTATGACGGCACCAGCACCGCCGCGGCTGGTACGGCAAGCACGCTCAGCACACTGGGTGCAGGCACGGCCGGTGTCTCCGCAACCGCCACGGGTCCAAGCGCAAGCACGTCGCCGTTCACTGGCGGTGCCGCTCAGCTAGGATCTAGCCTTGCTGGTATGGTTGTTGCGGGCGCTGTTGCCGTGTTTGCGTTGTAAAGAGGAGGCTCGGAAAAATTAATGCCGAGTAGAAGAAAGAAGAAAGGCATGTGACGCTTCTGGGGCGGCAGCATATTCGGCGCAATTACTGTTCAATGCTGTGGGGGTGCCCATACTGTGAAATGTAGTCTACTAAATTCCACGAAGTTGCAACAAGGACACCCTTGACCTACGAGGCCAGCTAGTGGTCAAAGCTCCTATATCTCATTATGCCCACAGATTCTGTCCTAAATCTCATCGTCGCGTATGTCCCGTCACTGCTCATGTCTGAAATTTTCGGCAGCGGGTAGGAAACCAAAGAGTCATTGAGGGGTCGTTTGCTTCCGATCCGAGGGCGATCGAGACGTGATTCCCAATCACTCCCGATACGCAGGCGGCGGCGACCTCAAGTCCATATCCTCATCGCCATACCGCCTGGAGGAGGAATTCAGGTTCCCTCTCCCGGCCTTGTCATCCGCATACGGCCTGTACCGCCCCGGCGTCTCAGAGTCCAACTCTGCATACCCTTGCGGAATCATCGGAATTGTGTGACGCGCAGGGGTGACATTGATCTGCAGCTGGGAGTACCTATGCGGACCCTGCTCTGCGCCATAAGGTTGAGGATACTGCGGCTTCGGCTGTTGTTGTTGTTGTTGTTGTTGTTGCAAAGGAGTTGAATTTTCGCGCTGCCGCGGATGAGATTCTTGTCGGCCGCCTTCGTAGTATTCTCTTGCTTCCCCACCTTTCTTTGCATCGCGGGGCATTTCCGGAGGGAGCATGTCGTGCTGGATTTTGCCTGTTTTCATGTCGACGTGTACGCCTGGTGGAGGGTAAAAGGAGTTCGTTTGTGGTCGTTGCAGCGGCGGCGGGACGAAGTTGGTCTGTCCATTTGGTGGAGGAGGCCCGTTTTGCCATTGTGGCTGCGGTTGAGGCGGGCGCTGTTGCATCATCTGTTGCTGCTGAGGCGGTCCTTGCGGCCACGTGGGATAGCTCTGCGGCGGCCGTGGTTGGGGCGGAGGCGGCGGACCTTGCTGAGGACGAGGCCACATTGACGCAGCAGTGGCTGCCATGGCTACCGGTAATATTTGGGGTCTGTTCTGTGGTGGGGGTGCACTATACGGTCGCGCGGGACCCTGTTGAGGGGGAAGGAGTTGTTGCTGCGGCGGGCGGCTCGGGCGGTGTGGAGGCGAGCCATCGTGCCGATGGGGTCGATGGTGGTCTTCGCGAGAATGATGGCGCCGTCTTCTTCGCCGCTCAAGCTCCCTCTCTTCCTCCTCCTTGCCGTCATTGTGCAGTTCTTTCAGCAGATAACCTGCTGCAACGAGTTCGAGACCCCCTAGGATGACCATGCCTGGGGTGATACGCGTAGTGTGTTCGGATGTGGATGATCGTAGACGAGCGCAGCGTGTGCTGTATAGTGGTAAGGGCGTCAAGAGAAGTGGTGAAGTCAGATGAAGAGACCGGGCTGCGGCGCACCCGGTGACAATATCTGATGACTGCTCGGGTCCCGGCCGATGTGGCTAGCTGAGTGGCTGTGTCCAAAATGCTCCAAGCGTTCAGCTGCGGCTGACTCGGCGGCTCTAAATTTGATTTAGTCACGTGAGCGTACGGCTTGGAGTTGCCTCATTCAGGCACCAATCGGCTCCCTCAAGCTTGGATCTTGCAATGTATCGGTATTTGCACAGTTCCAATACCTGCACCTTGTCGGGCACGTTTGAAAAGGGCGGAAAGGCACAAGCCAGCAGGGACTAAGCGATGAGACGGATGGGCTTGCTGAAACAAGGATACTTAACTCACAATGCCTGAGACGTTGAACAAACGTCATCCTCGATGGTGACGCTTACCTATATGCTTCATAGAGTACCTATGTAGCGATAGATACCGGGCTGCTTGAAGCTGTCATGTGAACTCTGAGAAAAAAATACTTCCTTTTCTGTATCCAGGGCTGCTTCTTGCGGAAGTCCGCTGTCACAAACAGCGGGGCTCGGACAACCATATAAGAGTTAAGAGGTCTGAAATCCGGTGTGAACTGCTCGGATTATCAGTCTCTGGGCGATCACCAAGGGACTGTGGGGCTCTTCCTGACATGCGCCCATTTACCAACCTCAACAGCTCCGGAATTTTGCTGGATATCTCCAGGTCTTATTCCTCACCTTGGCCAAGATTCACTATGCCCAGAATGCTAGCAATGATTCATTGCCTTCGTCGTTGTGGTTCCCCGACAGAATACTCAAAGACGTGTCCATAGCACGGAGACTCCGTCCATGGCGGACATGATCAACTCCTGACTTTGACTTTTGAAAGTCTAGAAAAAAGATGAACCTTCGATCGGTCCTCAGTTGGCCTTCGCGTTGCGCCGAGCTAAACAGTGAGCCTATTCTCGGGTGCTGGGACGGAGATCATGATCAGACCATTAGCGACAGACAGCAGGCAAGGAAATAGACGTGAGTTTGGCTGTCTTCGTGACGCAATGTGGAAAAACCATGCTCTACCATCATCAGAACAGCCGAAAGATGAAGGGGGAGGAGTTGATCTCCGCTCTATGTTGCGCAGCCGTCGTCATTAGCCCAACCAAGGCTGGCAGCCATGGCCAGAGCCAGAGGATAAAGATCTGACAGAACAAGTAGCTGTCAGCGTCAACAAGTAGAGAGTATCGAAGAGAACGAGCTGGTGGAAAGTTGACGCCAGGAGCGGCTATCACGGATGCCTGGTTGACAAAGGTGGACACCTCCAAGCGTATCGAAGGGGTTGGCAGACTCTGGTACAAGATCGTGTCGGGAACAGGAATGTCTCGGTCTCAGTCATCCAGTATCACTAGAGCAGTCGCTCACGCATTGCAAATTGCAGTCGTAGAGTGTGTACAACGGCTCCGCGCAAGGGGTTGTCGCAGCAGATGTGTCAGGAGAGGTCCACAGTTCTCTGGGGATCGCCCCAAAAGACCAGATATCCTAGCACTTTGTGCTGGATTATTGGACCTCTTAACTTATCATGACCGAGTGCCACATGTGGAATGGCGTTTTGAGGATGCCGAGAAATGTACGGGCATTTGCGGTCATGGAGGCGTGCGTTTCCAGCCGTCGGCGATAGCGCATGCGATGGCGACGAGGTATTGTGTAGGTGTGGCAGTAACAGTCGTGGCCGGAAGTCATCATTTTATGTGGTCTAATGCGGGAAGGCTCTTAGATTTTCGTCTTGGCACACAGCTTTAGCGGATAAATGCAAGTTACTCCATACAGGACACAAAAAGTCAACATGATTCGAACCACCAAAACCAAACATCTACAGCTACATGGAAAAACAAAAAGTTGATCACCCACATCGAGCCTGAAACTTCGCATATCTTGCCAGTGTGTAATCTCACGCCGCCAACTCCGGGTGGAAACGTCTCTGCAGAATCGCTTCCCTCAAGTGTAATTTCCATTGCTTAACGTTCCCTAGCATCGTGGTTTACACACACGAGTAGAAGAACGACCCGAAATTCCGAGCAAGGCACAACTGAACAAGTGGGAGTGTGAAGCGACGCTCACAAGCTCAAGGCAACCTCCTTACTTTTGGACCGTAACAGTCAATCAAATTTTGGTGTCCGCAAACTAATATAGATAATTTTTAACACGTGACCTCTTGTGCCGCGGCACTACTCGGTCTATTGTGCACCGGGATACTCCGCCTCCATACATAACGGGGATAAGGTACTGTAACTGGTAAAGCTGGAGTGCTGCTTCGGTACTTCCACGCTCAGGGGCTCAGCGAGCTCAACAGCCTTGTCTAGTCGTTCGCGATAAGCACCGCTCCGGTGATGGTAGTCCGACTTCGTCCGTACCGAATCTACGAGCTACGAGTGCTGACTGTGCGGGCCCGCATCATCAAGTGTGGGGTATAACACTGTCTCACAGGTGAGTCGGGGGTCGAAAATCAGAGTCTTGGAGCTCGCTCCCTCTTTCTTCTGCCGGAAACCTATCCGCTCCCATGGACTCCCTGCAGCGGAATTATGGACGTCACACCCCTTTTCCCCGTCAGTCTAGGAGATATGGACAAGCTTCATTGGCGGAATCAGCTCTGGACTGCGGCGGTTTGACGCCACAGGCAGGGAGCTCCGCGGGCTTGCGCGTGCCTGCCCCTCGTTTTCGTTTGTTGTTGTTTTGCCCCTCCATGGCTCGCTTTCCCATGAGAATACAGTAGCATCACCTCACCCCTGGTACAAGGTAGAGGCGAGTTACCGGTAAAACTGATGCTTATTCTGACCCTCAACTATAAACTGGAGAATAGGTAATCACAAGTATCTTGGTTATGCGGAGGAATATCTCCCTGGTTCTACAGGGAATGTACGGGAGAGAATCGCATCGAGCTACACAGTACATCTCCCTACAACCGACTCACGACCCTATCCGTGTCTACCCTTTATCCAGAGCACTAGCGTCGAATACTCGAGCTCGAACTGTTCCTGCACGGTCACCAGAGATCTCGTTCTCTCCTCGACGCCAGGCTCCGAGAGTTTGTATTTGCCGGTCCGTATTCGTACGGATTTGCGAAATCTGGAAAGTCGCTGTCGCAGCCTTCTGCGGTTCTCCGTAAAGCAGACAGTAGTGCTCGGCTAGGCTTCGCTCGGTGAGATCTGACTTTAAACAATTGCGGCATAGTAATCGTAGACAGAATCTCGACACGTCCAAACCCCTCTTTCGAGGTCTTGCCACGGCTGCTTCTCCAGCCTAGTCTTGCCGCACAGCCAATCGCCTTCCCCGATCGTAGAGCAACAAAGTCGCTTTCGACCCTTGGACCTCCATCTCTAACCGTCAGGATCACCTTTGATCCAGTGAGAATCAATGGCCCGTTGCCTGACCCTGCCTCGTAAACCCCGCAGTTAGGTTCTCTGACGGAATCCGAGCGCCCTCCAACCACTCCTCGCACTCCTCTCACTTTCGGCCGGACGAGCTCTGGATTAGTGGATCATGACTCCAATCCTAGCGCGACTGACTCGGTCTATAGGATTGCGAAAAGCTCTGTTGTGGATATCACTTTCCTTCGCAGAGCTGACCCTTCCCCGCGCCTGAGTATTTCAAATAGAGTCTTTGCTGTCCTCGGTTGATCGCCTGCTCTCCTTTCCTTCTTGTCTGTTTCAAAGTCTGTGACTTCTCTGCTTTTGTGATACCCCATTCTAGCTTCAAAACTTACCTCAGAAAATACCAACAAGATGTCCTTGACACAGAAGATCGAGACACCAAGCGTCACCTACGAGCAACCCCTTGGCTTGTACATTGACGGCAAGTGGGTGAAGGGTGTCGAGGGCAAGACCTTCGAGACTATCAATCCCACAAACGAGAAGCCCATCGTCGCTGTCCACGAGGCCGGTCCCGAGGGTGAGTGTTGTGGAGAACGCGCGTACTGTTCATAAGCTTCGTACTGACTTCGAACGCCTTAAGATGTCGATATTGCCGTGAAGGCTGCCCGCAAAGCCTTCAATGGCGTCTGGGCTCAGACCATCCCCTCAGTCCGAGGTCAGATGCTGACGAAACTCGCGGACCTCTTCGATGAGTACTCGGATACCCTTGCTGCTATCGAGTCCCTGGACAATGGCAAGGCCCTCTCAATGGCCAAGGTTGATGTTCAGCTCTCCTCTGGCTGCCTCAGATATTACGGCGGATGGGCAGACAAGATCCACGGCAAGACCATCGACACAGACCCAGAGAGCTTCAACTACACGAGACACGAAGCCGTCGGTGTCTGCGGTCAGATCATCCCCTGGAATTTCCCTCTTCTCATGTGGTCATGGAAGATCGGTCCTGCTTTGGCTACCGGTAACACCGTTGTCTTGAAGACCGCTGAGCAGACTCCTCTATCTGGTCTATTCGCTGCCACCCTCGTCGAGAAGGCCGGTTTCCCAGCTGGTGTCGTCAACATCATCTCTGGCTTTGGCAAGACCGCTGGTGCCGCCATTGCCTCCCATATGGACATTGACAAGGTCGCCTTCACCGGCTCGACCGTCGTTGGCCGAACCATTCTCCAAGCCGCTGCCAAGTCCAACTTGAAGAAGGTCACCCTTGAGCTCGGCGGCAAGTCACCCAACATCGTCTTCAACGACGCAAACATTGAGGACGCCATCTCGTGGGTCAACTTCGGCATCTTCTTCAACCACGGCCAGTGCTGCTGCGCCGGCTCCCGCATCTACGTCCAGTCCGGCATCTACGACAAGTTCATCCAGGCGTTCAAGGAGCGGACTTCCAAGAACGTTGTCGGCGACCCGTTCAAGGCCGACACCTTCCAAGGCCCTCAAGTCAGCAAACTTCAGTTCGACCGAATCATGAACTACATCCAGTCCGGCAAGGAGGCTGGCGCCAAGGTCGAGACTGGTGGCGAGCGCCACGGTAATGAAGGCTACTTCATCCAGCCGACCATCTTCTCGAACGTCAGCGAGGACATGAAGATCATGCAAGAGGAGATCTTCGGACCTGTTTGCTCGATCAGCAAGTTTGAGACCGAGGAGGAGGTCATCAAGTCCGGTAACGAGACCACCTACGGTCTTGCTGCTGCCGTGCACACCCAGAACCTCAACACAGCCATCCGTGTTGCCAACTCCCTCAAGGCTGGTACCGTCTGGGTCAACAACTACAACATGATCAGCTACCAGGTGCCGTTCGGTGGCTTCAAGGAGTCTGGTATTGGCCGCGAGCTCGGCAAGTATGCCCTTGCCAACTACACCCAGATCAAGTCCGTCCGTGTCCGGCTCGGCGGTGCTCTCTTCGGATAAATGACATAGAGCGTTGGTGGTGGTAATGGTCCGAAATGAAAGCACGGAAACGAAGAGCACGGAGACCAGCTATAGTGGGATGACCAAAAGCCTTTGCAGTGTTCTGCCTCGATGAGCGTCTGGGCTATGCAGGACACTGGCGCTACCGGATAATACCATGCATATTGTTAGGTAGTGTGCGCGTGTAAATGTCAAACGAGAAACGACGATTGCAAAAGAAAGTGTCTGTCCCGTCCGCTTGATGCGAGCTATTGTTTGTGGAACGAGTCGAAGAAACACCAATGTAATGAATACCTACTTTGTGTCGACACGGACGCTCCCAGTGTCGTGGCGTTGACGACGGCGGAAGATGTCGACCGAGAAATGCCGAAGGTCACATGACACTAACCACTTAATCCTGCCTTCATTGGCTGGGGTCAACCGCATATGGAATAGCCCGCTGCTCATTGGCTGCAGACCTCAGTGCATCTCCGTCCTTGCTCCATACAATATCGGATGGCAAACGTGCAGACTTGATATCATTATCTTCCCTGCTTTTTTTGCTGCCTGTCATTCCATACTGTTCCAGACTCGCCTCGCACTGTCTCCCTTCCGGGTTCATCATGCTTACTATACAATGCTGAAAGCCGACTTTGCTCGGAGATCTCACGCTCAAATTCTGCCTTGGACCATTCCTTCTGAGGGGCGATCATCCACAAAACGCCCATAAAGACCGAAAAATTCTCCCTCTGGGCCTCAGAGGGGACGATTGACCAACGCAAAAGGATATATCATATGAGACGTGGGACATTGCCATTTTTCAGTACCTTGATGCTAGCGCTTGCGATTGCGATTGCCTTCACCCTGTCGACACCAGGCGCACGATTGAACGCCACCAAGAGCCTCCAAGCGTTGAAAACAAGAGTTCCCGTCCGGACTTTCAGTGCAGGGGTCTTTCAGTGGGGGAATCGAATCCAAGAGATTCCGCTATTGTCAGCCTCGACTTCGTCACCCGGACAACATCAGTCATCCTACTCCGTCGAGGGAGCTTTTCAATCGAACATCGAGCACGCAAAGCACATCTCCTCGCTCCCCACCTCTACAGACATGGCGTCCACATCTCCCCTCCCAGAAGACGCCGCCACTGAGCAAAAGGCATCCGCCGCAGCAGCTGAGACACTGGCCGAGAAGTCCAACGCCGAACCGACGCTGCCCAAACTGTCCACCCAGGACTTCCGGACGTACAACAGGCTGGCCGTCATGATGGAAGCCTACCACAACCACTTCCGCTACACCTGGAACCTGCTGTACAGGACATGCGAGACCGGCTCCCGCCCCGCCGGCATGTCCCTGCGTGCTTTCATCTCCCAGGGTCTGCACCTCTGCCATGCCCTGACGATCCACCACACCATCGAGGAGCAACATATTTTTCCCGAGCTGGCGGAGCGGATGCCCGCGTTCGCTCCTAAGGACCATTTAATATCGCAGCATGAGGCCATCCACGAGGGGCTCGAGAAGCTGGAGGAGTACTTGGGTAGTTGTAGGACTGGGGAGAAGGAGTTCCGACTACCGGAGTTGAAGGCCGTCATGGATACGTTCGGAGAGGTTCTGTGGGCGCATCTGGACGACGAAGTGAAGATGCTGGGCGCAGAGAACATGCGCAAGCATTGGTCCAAGCAGGAGATTTTGTCGATGAATTGGTAATGGGGACCCGAACTTGCGCATGATAGAGTTTGTTTGTCCTGGGGGTCCAGTCATGCTAGCGAGCTCCCAATAGACTGATTTTAAGTAGTGATACACGGTATGTACTCTTAGAATCTGTACATCCCATCCTTTGAGCTTCCGTGGTGTTGAGTATGCATCTGCTCTGTTCCGCCCTACTCTGTCATGGCGGTGACGGCTGTCGAGATGCGGTCGTACCTGGCCGCAGGTCGATGCGCGGTAGTCCTATACGTGAAGATTGCGGCGGTGCCTGTATCTCCGATACTGTCGGTTCCCGTGTACTGCAACACAATCATCTACCTACCTAGGTACATATTCTCTGTCCGACCTGTCTTAGCTTGCCTTGACAGCCACGGCTGCAATAACATGTAGTGAATCAAACCTGTTGCTGTTGACTTCTAGCCCGCATCATCGCATCATCCACATGCAGTGAATCAAACCTCTTGCCTGTTGCGCTTGACTTTTCGCCCTCGCAACCGCAACCACATACTCACTCATTTACATCCACGTCCACATTTTCAAGCGTTACACCCAATCCACTGCCCCTTACTCGGTGAACTCCCTAGCACTTCCACTTCAATCCTCATCCCTCTCGAGAAAGCCCGGATCAACCTGCACCTTCCTCTCAAACTTGGCCCACCAATCCTGGAAACTCTTCAACGGCACGACTTCGATCCCGTTGGCCGTATTCCCCGCGAAACTAGCGAGGAAGTTGAACGCATTCTTGATGATTCGTTGCGCCAGGACCCTCGTGTCGGGTTGTCGTTTGGCCGCTGCTACTGTGTTGTTGGAAGTCGGTGATTGGGTCCCCTGTTGCTGAAGTTGCGCCATCTGCGCCTGGATGTTCTGCACAGGCTCGATCGACACCCCCAGGTTGACGACGTCCCCCGTGGGCGTGGCGGGCAAATTGACGCGGAACAAGGCCGAGGGCTTCTCGTTGGCGAGGGCGCCCAAAAACCGGAAGTCCTGCGAGCCGGGCAGTTGCATGTATACCCCGGCTGCTGTGTCCGGGGGGAGGGGGCTACCGGGGTGTAAGAAGACGCCGACGTTGTGGAAGGGAGGTGACGCCGGGAAGGAGACGGCGAATTGGCCGGGGCCGACGGTCAACATCTCGGGGATGACGGGGCGGGTTGGGATGAAGACGCCGAACATTGTGCTTGGAATGCAGTGGGACGGACCGCCGACGGTCGACTTTGATCTTGGAGGAAGGAGGGGCACCAGGAATAAGGAGGGGAATGTAGTTGGTTGTATAGAGCGGTGGATGGGATGCTTGTTGATGTTACAGTATGAACGGTTTCGTCAACGGAGAAAGCAAAAGGCATGGTCATGAATAGAGCAGAACGCATGGAATTGTGGTCATGGTCCTTCAGGGTATTGTCTGCATGCTTAGATTCGTGCCGTGCGCCGGTGACATATGCTCGAGGACCCAGACCCAGAAGTCAGGTGGTGGTTCTGGAATACGACAAGATCATATGTACGGTAAGGCGGACCCTCGACGATCACAGTTGCGGCTGAATGCAGAGACCGAAGGACTGACGTGCGCTAAGAGACAAATGGCCGGCGGCAATTAGTACCACCAGAACTCGGTACTGAGACAGAAAAAGTATCAATACCTCGGACTGAGGGATAAATCTGCCCTTTTTGAGCTTCGAGTAACCATCGAGAATTGCATTCCCCACGCGACTACGAAGATACTAGGTAGTGCTTGGGCGTAAGGCCATCTCTGACTCCCTTGGCTAAGATGGCCCCCAAGTCGAATTTGGACCTGGTCACCGAATGCGACAAGTGAGTCAAGTTCGAACATCCGGTGTGGCCAAGACTGATCGCGCAGCTTTCCATACCACTCACAGGATCCTGAAAAGTTCAAGGCACTCTGGAATGACTACTACCACTTCTACTTAGAAGGCTGTGAAGCATGCCTGGGATATATGACGCCGGCTGTTGCTGAGAAATTCCCGCTCACTCAACATTGGAGGCTCGACGAATTGAACAGACGCTTGATCTTCCAGCCGCGAGACGAAAACGCAGCACCAGTGACAAATTTCGACAAGCGCAATGACATTCTAGCGGAATATCTGCAACACGTCCGAGAACAGCGCATCTTTGGTGTCCTCTCTGGCTGGCGGGACGAGCGATACCCGATATATGGTCCCAACAGAGAACTCCTGCTGAGCATGGAAAGGTCGGCCACGCCACTCTTCGGAGTCGTGACTTATGGTGTACACATGACCGGGTATGTGGAGACTGACGAGGGTATGAAGATTTGGGCGCCTCGACGGGCTTTGACCAAACAGACATATCCCGGCATGATGGACAACACCGTCGCTGGAGGTCTGAGCACTGGAGAAAAGCCCTTCGAGTGTCTGGTTAGAGAGTGCGAGGAGGAAGCATCACTGCCGGAGGATCTTGTGCGCACAGCGCAGGCTTGCGGGACGTTGACATATTTCCATGTCCGAGATTCGAGAGCGGGCGGAGAGACGGGGCTCTGTCAACCGGAGTGCCAATACATCTACGACTTGAAGATGCCTCCAGATGCGATACCGAAGCCCGGCGACGATGAGGCAATCGATTTCCAGCTGCTGACCGTGGAAGAGGTTCAGAGAGCCATGGCCGAAGGTCGGTTTAAGCCAAATTGTGCTCACCTGCTGCTGGAATTTTTCGTACGACACGGGATCCTGACGGCGGCGAACGAGCCCGACTATATCGAGATCGTCACAAGACTGCATAGAAAGTTGGAATTCCCGACGGCCTAATTTTGTGTGAGAAAGCAAGATCCTCCAACGCCTTCGCTCAATGGACTTTTTGTGCCCCCCCAACAAGACATTTGCCGCAAGCTCAATATCGAGCCGCTTATTTCTTCATGAGGAGATAGACATGGTCAATCCTCAGCGCGTTGAGAAGGGTGTAGGGACCGTCCATATACAGAAGTAGGCCGCCGAAGGAGACGTAAACCTTGCTATGCAGAGTCAGTCTTGCTGTCGTCAACGTGATCCCATGCCACCCACATATTGTCTCCGCTGCCTTCTTCGAACCTGTAGATCTTTCCATGGCAGACATAGTCAAACTCGTCGGCCAAGGTCTGCTCGCCTCTGCCCACTTCTCTCCACCCTTTTCCGTCGTCTTTGCTTCCGTCGAGGTTCAGAGAAACAGCCAACGCGACTGTCATGCGGTCGTCGACGTTCAGAGGGTAGAGTTCGGTGTTGACATCGAGAGTAAGAAGAATATCCTGGGAGCCTTCGCTGTAGGCCTTGATGCGGGAGACTCTGTCATATTTTGCGCTATTGATGTCTGTGATTTTGAAGCTGTTTTCGAAGAGTATGTTTTCGGACATTTTGGCGATGTGTCTGACACGGGCGTGGTACACGAGCAGACCGCAGGAGAGTTGGCGCAAAGCAGTAGAGATCAAGGTCGCGTCCTTCGAAAGAATTTCCTTGTTGAAAATATATGTACGGTGAAGCATGTACGGCAGAACTTGCGGCAAACCTGCGCAAACGAAAATGAATCATGTCTTGAAGCCACTGTCCACTCTCTGCAATCCAGCATTTCACACGTCACCCACACGGTCCGGATGTGGCAACTCAATGTCCTTTCGCAAGCGCAATGTAGGCCTCTCAGGCTCGACACGGTCAGACGCCTCTCCGCAAACCTCCAGCAAATTCCATGTTCAACTGCCCGGAGTGCGGCCATCGCCCGTTGATGGACGGTTAACCACATCGACCGGTACCGCCAGCCTCGATGCGCTATTAGCAGGACATTCCGGCCTCGCTCTTGGATGCTCATTATTAATTGAAGAGAGCGGCACGACGGACTATGCCGGCGCGCTCTTGAGGTTCTATGCTGCTGAAGGTCTATTGCAGGGTCACCATGTCCAAGTCATTGCATTGCCCGAACACTGGGGTCGAGAATTGCCAGGCGTGGTGGGCGAGAGCGAAAAGAGAGACACGCCAGTGGAGACCGAGAAGATGAAGATTGCATGGAGATACGAAAGCTTAGGCCAATTTGGGGCAAGTCCGTCATCAAGAGGTGGGCATGTTCGTCCTTGTAGCATAGCTAGATCCCCAATCCAATTCGCTCCGAACCCGTCTCATCCATATCCTTACCGACACTGACCTTTTCTTTTTCTCGCTGCAGAACGATCCCAGGCCTCGGGAATCCCCCAGAGCGGGACAGCGGGCCAGAGAGCATCCATTGCGTTCTGCCATACTTTCGATCTTACCAAGAGGCTTATCCACCCAGCTTCGTCCAAATTGACCTTCGCTCCCTTAGGTGCCAATCCGACGCAGTCACCGTTCACGGCCGTCCTTGACCAGCTGAAAGCATCTGTCTCAAGCTCAGCGCCAAACATAGTCCACCGCATAGTCATTCCTTCGATGCTATCACCAGCCCTTTATCCCCCATGGGCAAGTCAACCACAGTACATCCTCCAATTCATGCACGGCATCCGTGCTCTCTTCGCCGCATTCCCGGACCGCCTGACCATGATGATGTCACTTCCGCTATCACTGTATCCTAGGTCTTCTGGACTCGTCATATGGATGGAACACCTGCACGACGGCATTCTTGAGCTTGCCCCTTTCCCACACTCCGCTGAGGGTGATATGAACGTCACTCGTGGTCCCTCCGGCACATCCGACGAGCCACCCCAAGGACTACTGCAAGTTCATCGTCTACCAATGCTGCACGACCGTGGCAGTGGGGTTGGCACGTCTGAGAATGACTGGACCTTCACTCTCAGCCGGAGAAAGTTCACCATCAACCCATTCAACCTGCCGCCCGTCGAAGGCGACACAGATGCTCAGCAGAGAGCAGATTCGGACAAATCAACTAAGAGATCTGACGTGGAATTTTGAAGGTCTCATGAGGAGCCATCACATCTCGTCCTCTGAGTGCCATCCGTGCTTGTTGAGCATAGTCTCCAGCTCGATGTGCTCGGAGGAGGAAGGCCCAGGATTAGTCATGGTCCGGAAGTACGTAGAGTCGTAAGATCCGTGGCGGGCAGCAGAGCCAGAAACTCGGCCACGAAATCTGTCACCCAAACAGGATGACAGAGCAAGGAAAGCTATTGTGCCTCATTAGCATACACTAGAAGAGACTCGTCGCCAAGGCTTACCCAGAAAGAAGAGCAGTGGAATAAAGAGGAGTAAGGACAGGAGTAGAAGAATCCCCATGGTGGAAGGGCAGCCAGTGATTACGCATGGACGAGGCTGAATGTCAGAGACGAGGTTGAGCTTTGGCTTTGGCCTGGTTTCGTGTCTGACAGAATATGACTTTGCCTGCCCACGCTCGTTCGGCAGGCGGACCATTCCTGTCAGGCACGCCAAGTGAATTTTGCATTCTCACCTTCCGACTCACTTTTTCTTGTTCACCTTCCAACAGAGACCAAATCATGTAGACGCCGCTACACCGCTTGAAGCAGGCCTTCGAGCCCCGACTCATCAATCACACGTCTTTGGAACGTAGGGACTATGCTATAGCATTCTTGCCAACCTCAAGACGGACCCTCGGTCCAATTTGGTGAGTCGATTCCTTCACTTCTACCCTCGCAATCTGCCTTGCATGATTAGAACAATGTTTATATCTGTCAATCCCCTGAAAAGCCTCTTCGGAAGCCATGTGATTGAAAAGAAACTCATGTCAATATATGATCCCTCAGTATCGCCATTGATTTGACTACTCAGTAAAACAGCGGGAACCGTCGCTAACTGCCGATATTCCAGGCCAATCACCGCTGGGGCGATGAATGCCTCCTCAGATCCGGGCTTTGATTTTTCGCCTGACTTGCCAGTGGCCGTTTCACTGGTCGGAGGCAGATACCTCCTTTTCGACGTCAAAGTAGTGACTTGGCTTCGCCGAGAGCATCGAATATGTGGCACCGCCCTCGGCACCCTTCCCATAGCTCCATCTCAGAATGTGTTTCTTGGTGTGCCTATCGAGATCATGCCAGAGGAGGCCCAGCTACTTGTCGAACGAAACGTAGCAGTTATTGTGGACGACGCTCGAGCGCATGCCCAAGCTGTGCGGTCGAGGGATAAAGCTCGAAGGGCTGATTACCTCGCACGGATAGAGAAGCAATCTAATCACGTTAAGCAAGCTAAGGACCAGGAGAAGATGGAGTCCAAGAGGCGTGGTCTTGAGAAACAAGCTAAGAAATCGGCTCATGCGTCGCGGTCTACCCAAGCAGCACCAGTATATGACCTGCTTGACTTTGACGAAGCTGTCGCACCGGAGGGCGGCCCGGAAGAGGTCCAAGCAGCAGCGGACGAAGAAGCGGTCGTTCAAGATGTGTCTCCCGTCAAAGTGTTGCCTCTCACCGCGACGTCAAACGTCTATCGAGTCACTCCTGCAACCTCCCGATTACTACTCCCTCCCCCTCTGTCCACGCCTACATCGACGATCGACAATCTTCCTCGAAGCTACCCTCTCTACAGACATCTCCATGACAAGGGCTTCTTCATGACGCCCGGCCTTCGTTTCGGGTGTCAATACACCGTTTATCCGGGCGACCCCCTCCGCTTTCACTCTCATTTCCTTGCCATCGGCACGGAATGGGATGAAGAGGTCGATCTCATGGATATCGTCGGCGGCGGTAGGCTGGGTACCGGCGTAAAGAAAGGGTTCTTGCTAGGTGGTGCCAACCCAGCAGGGGACGGTGTCAGGACTTTTAGCGTCGAATGGGCGGCCATGTAACGAGCCACTGAGCCAGCGAGCAGGGCATTGTAGTGCATATGCCGACCTCGGACATGCGTACCAATTGCCAACAGCCCTCGAGGTGTAATAAGAATTCGGTGTTGGAGTTCCAGCAATCGAGCTTCCCTCACAAGTAGTCCGTGACCTTCCATTTGAACTTGCGATTCGCCCGGTCCGCCGGCCTGAACTCGAACTGGTTCCCATGTAGTTCAAACACCAAGCTTCGGCCCTGCCTTTCGCCTCCCTCCCGCACCTCGCCAGCAACCTCAGGCAAAGGAATCTCATACCGAAACACCGTATTCTTCTTCGGCACCACCCTCACCTCGTCCTTGGCCGTAACAAGCACAAACGTGAACTTTGTGTCCCGAATCACAATCCCACTTGTCCCCACCCTCCCCGCGTCCGCACACCGGACCACCTCGAGCTGTGCGCCATGAAAGTCCGCGCTCGCCAACAACGGGCCGCCGCCTTGGGGCGTCACTGTCTTCCGGAGACTCTGCTGCACCACCTGCCCATCCTTCATATACCCCAGCACCTCGAGCATATAGTCCACCCACATCCGATGGAGGCCCTCATACAGCCTGTAGCTCACTTCCTCCTTCTTCAGCTCGAACACGCCTAGCTCTCTCTTTTCTTTCGCGCTCAGCGGCCGGGGTTTCCTCTTGCGCAAGTAATATTCCTGCTTGCGCAGGCGGACGTGGCGTCGAAGCGCGCGCTTGTCCCTGTCGGCCGAGGCCGTCGGGTTGAGGAGGAGGGGCTTGTTCTTGATCTTGTCGCCGAAGATGCGGCTCGCGGTGTCGGGTGAGTGTGCGCGCGCGAGGAGCGTGTGTGCGGGATGGGAGGGAGTCGTGGTGGGGGAATTGGCAGGGCGGGGCGAGGAGGTCATCGTGTCAGTGTTGAGGACGCTGCTGTCGTCGTCGTACACTTTTGTCTGTGTAAATAGGAATGAGTATCCTAAGTCCTCTGGACGTGCCTAGCCTACCTAGGTACCTACGCAGCGGATGATGCGAGTGCGAGACGTGCTACAGAGCGGCAGCCATCGAGTCGTGCAAACATAATATGACATGACGTGCAACTTTCATCAGTGCGCAGCGAATAGGTCGCAGCGATGGAATCTTGGATCTTTCTTCAAGACGTGGTGTTCAACTACTTTTTTTTCTTGGGCAAAACGGCGCGGAGCCTAGAGACGGACGACGTCACTCTCGGCGTTACAGGAAAAGAGAATGGGCTCACCGGGCCGAGCGTGACTTAACGACGAAATAGCAGCCTTGAATTTCGTTCGCATGAGCTTTACATATCTGGACCTAGTTATGCTTATTTAATACTCGCATTGGTGTCGAAGTGCGACCGTAAAAGGTTGCCGGGCTGAAAATGGAGATACGAGATCCTGGCGTTCCCAGGGTTCAGAAATGCGCCACCAAGCCAGGGACGACGAGGCGAGTTGAGCGCTGAAGTCCCGATCGGTCGGGTCGCTGGCGAGATCAGAACGATTGGCGACGAATTAGCGGGCTCAGCCGAAGTCCAGGTCTTCCACTCCGTCGACACGAGTTGCGATGGGCGGCATTCGTCTGTCTACTCCATGAGGTCTCGACCCTCAGCTGCATGCACACACAATAAGTGGCAAGCGAAAAGGCAATGGACTTCACCCAATTATGCATGCAGCTAAAGGTCGAGAACCTGGCCTCCCTCGCCAGAATCGCCGAGTATAGCTCCCATCACTATGAATTCCACCACTGTCATCTCAGCCGCAACCTGTACACGCATGCACATAATTACATCGAGGTGGTCGACCAGATGCCGCCTTCTCACTATGCAACACAGATACTATCATCTAGCCTCTGAGTCGGCATGGCTAAAAATCCACAATTTACCTGGCAGCCGCTACGGCATTCCACCAAGAACATCAGACTCATCGAACTCGTGTCAGCTAAGTCGAAACACGCTCCTATCCGACTCAAGCTCGCCACCTATTCGCTCGATGGGTATTGCCCTGGTTATGAAGCAATCTCGTACACATGGGGCGATGCCCTCGACGAAGAGGAAATCATAATAGGCGAAGAAAGCGTGCAATCTTCGCGAAAACTTCGCATCCGCAAAAACCTGTACCATTGCCTGAAACGACTCCGCCAGACGACCACCAATCGATACCTGTGGGTCGACGGCATATGCATCGATCAGAGGAACAACGACGAAAAAGGCGCCCAGGTGTCCATCATGGGCAAGATCTTTTCCGGCGCACAGCGCGTTCTCGTCTGGCTCGGCGAAGTCGACGACGGCAGTGACACGATCTTGGCAAAAGCTACCAAACGAAAGTGGTGGGCATTCGGCGCCAGTTTCTGTATCCCAACCGTGTCAAAGAAGGCAGCGGCGCAGCAGATGTCGGAAAAGCCGTACTGGTCACGAACATGGATCGTGCAGGAGATTGTCAGCGCCCAAGCCATCTCTGTTCACTATGGCGGAGCCATCATCGACTGGGGTGCTCTCCGACTGTTCGCAGAACTGTGCGGCCACCACGGTGACCTGTCTTGGAAATTCGACACATTCGATGAGCCACGGCGAGCGTGGCACCTGTCGACGAACATTCGTCAGATTTCCACAACGTTGATGGACCACATCGAGCAGTTCAGTCATTTGCAATGCCAGGACGTCAGAGATAAGGTGTATGCCCTGCTCTCCATCTCTGCGCCACCCATAAGTGGCAAGGCGCTCTTCCCGGACTACAGGATCAGTTCGGCAGAGCTGGTGTGCAGAGTGTGCGAACACTATCCGCCCATGATCAAGGATGGAGTCGAGATGCGGTCCAAGCTGGCCAAGATACTTGACGTTTCCGAGGACGAGCTCGCCAAGTGTATCCGTGGTCGAGGTGGCGTGCATTTGAATCGTCCTCTGCATAGGAGGGTCTTCGTCGCCGGCAAGACCGCGATGAGCATTACCAAACACGCCTACCGCAACCTTATCCCGGATACCTTGTACAACTTGACGTATTTCTTCCGGCGTAATTAGCCGGGATTGGCACTACGCGCGCTTCATATCAACAAGCCTGTCCCTGAAGGCTGCAAAGGAGCTTCTCTGGGTTTTCCTCTGCTGCAAATCACCTAAGGCTGTATTCGCCAGCAATGGATGTACTTGCTCTTGGCTCCCATGGCGGCCGACCTGGACATGGCCGCCGGACGCTGCCGCCTCAATCGCTGCCGTGGTGGCCAACCTGATGATTTTCAAGGACGGGTTGCGGAGGTCTTTGCTTCGTCTGAATCGATGGAGATATGTTGTGTCCAGCCGCAACTCGACGTTCCAACCTGGCTTCACAAGCGTGTCCCACTCATGTGCAAGGACCATCGTAGTGGGTGGGGCGTTCCGGTCCTCGGCAAAGACGACGGTGAGTTGACCTAAACGTGTCGCCTTTTTCATTTCTGCCAACATCGTTTTGAAGTCGCTCTCACCGAATTTGAGATCGACTGAGACTGATAAGTCGGTCCAATTTACCTCGTCGTAGTCTGCAGCTATGAACGCATGCATTGCCTCGACGAAATTTAGCAAGTATCCGGAGAATGGGACGACGGCAGGGGCACTTACCTGCCAGGTGCGGACGAGATTGTAAGGTATCTCGAAACTGGAACCTAGTGTGTCGGTGAAATAGATGACTTGAATCAAATCTCTAGTATTCGGTGCTTCCCTCGCGGCTACCGGTTCTCGCGGTTGCTCCGGCGGTTGCTCGTGTTCGTTACCCTTCTGCCGGTGTTGCATAATGGCTGGACTGCTCTGGACCGAAGTCCTGGTTGACTGTTTGGAGAGTGAGTCGTCCTCTATGCTCCCGGACTCGCTGCTCTCAAGGAGATCTCTTCTCTGGTAAGGACTCGAAGCCGAGGCGGCGGTCGTTGCTTCGTCGGCCAGTCTGATGACCTTCTTCTGCACGGCGCGGATCGCAGCATATGCTTCGAGTTGCTCCTCTCGTTCTTCTTGCTCTTGCTCGGCACTCCCCGTACTATCGGCATCCAGCAAGGTGAACTCGCTCAGACTGTCGGCGACCTCGTCAGCGTCGGTGACAAGAACGACAGCCAGATCTGTTGACAGCTGCAAGCTATCCTGCGATCTAGACGTTGGCCGAGGAATAGTTGGAGCGACGACACCTGACTGGGACACTTGGACTTGCGCCGGGTTGGATACGAGTAGACGTCCGTCTCCCTTTGCCTCATTTCCCGACACGAGCACTGGAGCTTTGTTGCGAGAGGTCCCCTGCAGAGTCGTTTTGGTGTCGGCGATAGACCTGCACAAAATACTGGGATTCGTTAACCTGGAATACTAGGCTGTCCGAAATTGAGTCTTGGCTTACAAGTGAACGTGTGGTGGATTCGGAGCCTGAAGCGACAACGCCTGCAGGAGAAGCGACATGTTGCCCTTGAGCGCGTTGAGCGCGGCGTGGTAGAAAAGGATCTTGCTCTTGCAGCTAAAGGCCCACTGGATGCGCAGTCCTAGCTGTCTCATCCGGCTAGGACTGTCCCTCCAACGAACGAGAAGCGGCTCCAGTTCTCGAAGGAGTGTCTCAAACGGTTTGACAACTTGGTCCATGGCAACGTCGAGCAATTCTTCGGTGGTCGACTCTGTCCGCCTAGACGCCGCCGGCAAGCTGTCGAGCAGGTCGCCCAGAACTTTGGTGGTCTCGACAAACAGCCAGAAATCGTTAGCAAAGACGCGCACGGCGTCGCCGGCGCTGCCAATCTCGTCGGCAAGGTCGTAGAGACCTTTCGCCACTGTCCATGCCGTCTGCGCTAAGCCCAAGACGCTGGCAGCCAGTCCTACCGCCTCTGCCATGATGCCGGTATTTTGATAGTACACAGAGACCCAGCAATGAAGACATTATCAACGACATGGCAACCATAAAATAGACCCATTGTGGTGCCCTACGCATTGTGGCTTGAGGATGGGAGTCTAGACTCCAGTCGGCTCGTCGCGGTCGGTTTAGGCGTGGGCAACTCCACACTGTTGGTGTTGAACCGTGTAATATTGGAGGGCCAGACCCTTCATCAGTACATTTCGGCATGTTACCGTACGCTCCTCGGCGGAACTCGAAGTGGACCTACAAAGGCAGCATCCACGAGAGCCTCAAGTTGAGGTCTTGCACTGATGATTGTGGGAAAGGCATCATGGACAACGTCCGAGCAGGCTCCGGTGTATGTAGACATGCAGCGAGTAGGGGAAAGCCTAGGCACACATTGAGCGGCTTCTGAACAACGCTTCACCAACCACACGCGTGCGCTGTTACATGTCCAGCATGGTGACTAGACTGCGGCTGCCTGTGTCCTAAGGGGATGGAATCGTGACCGGCCCGTCCTGTAGGAGGTGCGATGAACCAGGTTCCAGACGGCGGAAAATCGCCGTTCCGGTGTTAGTTGGAAAGTGCCATCTGGTCTGGACTCTGCAACTTGCACAGTACTCGTATGAAGTATCAGGTCGCCCTCGTCGCTGCCCTGTACTCCGTAGGCGTTCCCCTATGTGCCCCATCAGCTCGACTTGGAAAAAAGCCCCACTCGCCGGATTCGCCCGCCTGCATCTATGCTGATCCTCGTAGGGTTAGGCCATTATAGAAATTCGAGCTCTGAACCTCTACCTTGTGCTTCGTGATGGAGTGAGAGTACGGAGTACTCTGTGGATACTGTCGTTCGTTGGAGCCGAGTCTTTGGCGCTTCCCCTGCCGCGCCGAAGCTGGGGCCGGCCCGACTAAGTTAGCCACCGCTTGGTGACTTCTGCCCTACTGCTCAACTACGGCGTAGCGTAACTTGATGACCCATGCCCACATCACGGTCTAAGCCTGCGAATGTGAAGGAGAGAGGGAAAGGCACACCAATTTACGCGCTCATTTACATATCACGGACTGCTTGTGATCGTTGGATAACTACATGAGAGCAATGCCCCGACTCCAGGCGCCCCGTCACCAGCGCACAGCTGCCGGCTTCTGACATTAGTCCACAAGCGGCAAAGCAGCGGCATGCAAGTTACACAGACTCGTATTGCAAGGCAATGCAGCACCTGAGAGGTCTGACGGAAAAGGCAACCCTAGGAGCGCCAGCCTCTCGTTTTTGAGACAATGTTTTAGGGCACCCAGGCTCGCCAAGCGGTTCGTTCACCGACCTGAATAGCATGAACAAAACGGAGGTCGGCGAGAATTTCAGCCTAACAGCATTTATGGTATATGAGGTCGGTTTGGACTTGACAATGCCATGGTACTTCGACTTCTAGAAGAATCAGTTTCTTCATGTGTCGGTTGCTTGGCTAGGCCGTTTCAATTTCCACCCCATGGAGCAAGAATCCCCAAAGCCATTAGCAGAGGGACCTTCAAGTCAGGAATCCGATACGACCGCGACTGACGAGCTTGCGAGACCTGTCGAAGAGCCGATATCGGTGAACTCGGCCTTGAGTCGTCCAAGAGACGACAATGGAGTCCAAGTTACCGGCACTGATTCCAAGAAACCTTCCAGAGAGCCGATATCAGTGGACTCGGTTCCAGGTCAATCGAGCGACAACAATGGAACGCAAAAAACCGGCAGTGATTCGTCCGAGTCCGAGAAGCTCCTTCAAGACTCATTGCAACCAGACTATCCATGGGTACCCGGCTTCTGGCAAAGGCTACCCTGGGCAGCGACTATGGCGCTAATTCTAGCCATTCTGTGTGGTGCAGCATGTATAGCCGTTCTCATGGTGTCGGACAAGCAAGAAGTCGAAGGCTGGAGTCCCCGGCCCTCAGTCTGGCTAGCTATATTTTCCGCGCTCGCAAATGCTTCCTTACGGTTTGCACTATCTGAAGGAGTGTGCATTGCATGGTGGCGCCGTGCCTCGATGCCAGGGACGCTCGGCGACCTTCACCGGTCCTGGATCGCTGGCGTGAGCCTCAAGGCTGCGTGCTGGTCGGTCCACCGGTTGAATCTCGTGGCCCTAGCCAGTATCATCTTGGCTGTAGTTGCGGTCGACGGCCCCCTCCTTCAACGAGCGTCGTCGACTAAACTTGCGCAGATCTCTTCCACAACATCTCTGAATATGACGTTGGCAAAAGAGCTTCCCTTTGGATATACCGGCATGGACTATGTCGGCGACAATGCACCCAAGAACAATCGGGCGATTCTGACGCCTTGGTTCCTGCATCAGTTCCTGGCGTATAACCAACGCAGCCCGATACTAGCAAGTCCGGACCTTGGCTGTAGAGGAATCTGCATCGGGGAAATCGAAGGAGCCGGGCTCTGGAGGAATTGTACTGAGAGTTCAGAGACCTTCAGCTGGCCAGAGGACTACGGATCTGGCGGCAACGGTTCTTCTTCGAGAAGAATTTTCGGCGTCGACTGGGAGCTTGTGACAAAGTACCCGGCCTTCAATTTCCTCGACTATGGGTATACCCCCGTAGCCGATGGGAGGGACGACGTAATCGCACCTGATGAGGCCTATATCAGACTCAACATGACATACTCGCCCCTTCCAGCCATTGGGGGTGATGGTGTGATAAGGCACACCCTTGTCCACAAGACCTGTACTCTGTATTCTGCCACCAGCCGGTACTCGATTCGAGTCCAAAACGACACAGACACCTTGACAACCAATAATTCGAGTTCTAGGAATGGAATCATCACGCTAGAGGGTGCGGTCACTCCTATTCAAGGCTCGGTCCAGAATCTGCGCAGATCGGTCGCTCAAACAGGGCTGAACATGTCCATCCAACGCGAAAGCGTAGCCTCCGATCCCGCCACCAATTCAATGCGCGACCTTTCCTTGGTCGTGTCTCTCCCTGTGACTTACTTCGCTGGTCCGCAGTGCTATCAGAACATCAATTGTCCACTATACACCACACTGGGAGGTCTGCACTCTGCCGCCCAAGACACGCTCGCCGCTAACGTAACTGCGATGCTCGGCTTCAATAACGGGCTGCTCCTAAGCATCTCTGGGCCGCTGACCAACCAAATGATGCTCTCAACAAAGACCTCCGGCATCGACGGGCTAGACCCTTTCGACGCAAGCACAGGCTGGGCCGATCCGTCGGCCGTGATATTTTCGACGCTCGACGAGGTCATGTTTCGCACCGCGTTGGCAACGGCGCACGTCGACGCCCTGCAGAACGTCACATGGTACTACAAGGACCTGGAGCGAGGAATGACGGCAGACGCACCCACCCGCAACCAGACGACACAATACGAGGCGTACCCGCAGCCGCAGATCGTCTCGATGCAGCAGACCCGGACCATCCAAGTCTACGACTCCAACTACGGCTCCCTTGCCGGTGGTCTGGCCGTCATGTTCGTCTCTGTTATTGTCATCTTGCCCCTGTTCAATGGCTTCTGGCTGATAGGGCGTGGTGTCTCGCTGTCGCCCCTGGAGATTGCAAACGCATTCGGCGCACCAATTCTTGCAAGGGCGAATTCCAACATGCCAGCTGCGGTGATTGTCGAAGTCCTGGGCGATATCCCAGCTCGGTATGGCGAGGTCCAAACCAAAACTGGACTTCGGCGGCGAAAGTTGCAGTTTGTTGAGGGAGGTGCGGTGGGTGATCCTCGATCTGGGAATACTTATGACTGAGACATCTTTGACGGCCTAACCCTTTTTCATTCCTGTTCAATGAAAGAATCCTGGAGGGAGAATAATCAATCTTTTGGAATCAGGCGTGGAACGGCTTGTGATTTGGAACGATACCGCAACACAAGCACGTAGGATCATTAAGTTTGCGTCGGGGACTTCCCGTTGTTCCCTAATACTGTAGGCCGGCTCACGTGCCTGCAAGGCTGATTACCTGGAGACTGTAGTTGCCCAAGCTTCTCGAGCTGTACGGAATATAAACGTCTAGCACAGTACAACTCAGACGCACGGAAGACCAATCCACTGAGCTGGCCTGAACATCAGCCATCGTGGCATTGACGGAACCAAGCGAATGGCCTGATGCTTGATACATAAGAAGCGACTTCCGGGTATGGACCGCCCACAGACCATGGTCTGGTGCCGATAGCCGTGGCGCCAACACCACAAAGTGCGCGTTCGCGAGGGTTGGAGATTGTTAGGCGCGGCGCCGCCCCGCTCTCGCGTTCTCTTGGCGCCTTGGCATCGCCTACTTGGGCTTCCCGTTGAGCCTCTGACGCGCAAGCACCACCAACGGCTGAGGCGAGGTTCCAAGCCCACTGACGCTTCGGGTCCCCTCATGCAAACCCTATCGTGTACCATCTCGACCGTCGAGAGTGTGCCGTTCGTCAGGTTCCTCAGACATGCCCGGCCTCTGGTGGGCCGTCTGGGGCAAACGAGATTGTACTGCGTCCCATGGTACTGTGTACGTAAGGACACTCTGAGCTTGACATCTGGCACGCGACCAGCGAGGACACAGGACGTACCCCAGTCCTGGGTAGTGGGCGCTAATATTCAGCGGATGAAATCTAACGAGTACCGCTCCGATGTACCAGTGTAAGCCGGGGCACTGGAGCAGGGGAATAATCAAAACTCAAAAGAGTCGTGGGTGCATACGTACTCCCACTACTGCGTACTAACGCATCTATCAAGCAGGAACACATACATGGAGGAGCCACCCTTTCTATTCTTGCTCTGGCGAATGTGGTGCGCGCTCTTTTGCCCTTGATCCATGTCACCATTGCAGTCAATCGTTTCCTATCGTTCTCAATCAGGATCTTGATTCGCTTTCTGGGCTCCTCTCTTTGGGTGATAGACCAGCGATTACTCGGTGTTATGCGAAGCAGGCCAACGGCGTCCACGGTATACCATGCGCATGCGACAGGTCCATGAGCAGCTTTTCCAGGACGTCGGGTAGGGAAGCGAAGGGACGGACGATAGGCAGAGGCGTCACTCGACATTTTGCTGCACGCCAGGTACCACTTCATTGTCTCTATATCAGCGTGTGAGAGGTAGGAGCGAAGAGAAGGGGGAAAGAGGGTAGATCCAGACGACACAGGGCAACGATGAAGTTGTCATGGCTCGGCGCCATCACCGCGGGCCTCGTCCTCGGCGCAACACCAGTCCTCTCGCAGGATGAATTCACGACCCTCGACGTCGACCTAGGTGCCGAACCCGTGCCAAAACAGTCTGACGAACCGGTCCCGGAGGAAGGAAGTGAATATGAATACACAGGAGAGGAAGACAAATGGCACGGGCATCCACACCTTCCCGAAGACTGCAACGACATCCGCATCTTCAGTGCGCGAGGGTCGGACGAGCCGTACCCAGGCCGCGGAGGGACGATGCTGGGCGTGTTGTGCTATCTGTTCGAATCGAACGGGCTGTCCTGCGACTACGAGGACGTCGTCTACCCGGCCAACATCTCATACTCGGGGCTCTTTTGCGAATCGGCACATACAGGCGCCACCAGGGGCCAGGCTCAGATGACCGCCTACATCGAGCGGTGTCCAAACTCACGGATAGTTCTGACGGGCTATTCTCAGGGCGGCAGTGTCGTCGGCGATATCTTGGGTGGCGGCGGTGGGCCAATCTTTGGGTGTGACCAGCCGTTCAACCCTTCGATGCCCAGGTCCACGGCGCCCGGGTCAAGCAGTAAGTACAGGATCGTACCATTGCTCTTCACACATTCCACTTTCAGCTCATATGCCACAGACGGCCCTTCCAGCTTACTTGTTCATCCTCCACTCCCCTTCCATTGCTGTTCCCACTTTCACATTCCTCACTAACGCCCTCCAGTCGTAGCAGTCGTGACCTTCGGCGATCCTCGCTTCACCGTCAACCAACCGTACAACATCGGCCGTGGCTCGCCATACAGCGGCGTTCTGCTCCGTGAGGGCCAACAGCTCGCCGACCTCAACCAATACGAGGACATCCTCGCCATGTGGTGCAACGCAGGCGACCCTGTGTGCGCCGTCGGCAGCGAACCCGTCAACATCACGGCCCATTGGTCCTACTACGACGAATACACCGACGTGGCGTCCCGGTGGGTCGTGGCCACGGCGCTGGGCCAGACCGATCTACGCCTCGACTTGGATCTCGACGGGCAGAACGAGAGTGTTGTCTTGACAGGCTCGAATTCGTCGAGAAACAGTAATGGTAGCGCCCGCAATAGTGGAAGCGGTGGCGGGGATGAGGATGCGGCTGTGAGTTTGCGAGGTTCGATGACTGGCGGCATGGGTGTGGTTGGGCTCGTGGCGTGGATTACAGCGGCGTTGGTCTGTCTGGTGTAGGAAAATCAATAATGACTTCAAGAACATTGTACATGAAAACATATCACAGCACATGAGAGAGGAGTATGTCTTTCTTATCTGCTCTTCGTTGTCTATGCTCGGTCGAGCGTTTCCAAGATCCAGCCTGAGCGTCTCGCGTCCCGCATCTCGAATTCGGGTTTGCTCCTCCTTCTTCCTGCCTCAGTTCCACAGACACTTCGGTCGATGACGCCAATGTCCGTGGAGCCAGTAGCTACAGTAAGGCATTCCTTGCGGAAAAACCCTCCTGCCCAACCCTTACTAAAGGCCAGGGAAGGAGACCTCGGGCTCGTGTGACCAGCTAGCCATTGACGGTATTGATGACCGCCCGAGGAGCAGCAGCCGCGGCAGAGGGGCTACTAACAACAGCACAACGCCCCAAATTAGTCTGAATCGGTTCGGTCTGGCTCGCATGCGAAGCACGCACTCGTCGCCAGGACGGCGTACTGTCCATCTCACCTGTTTTTCAATCCCATGCGGTCCAATCCGGCGACCGACCTCGCTAGTACTACATACAGTCAGTACCTTGTTCATACTTCATAGTGTGATACCTAGGCTCACGATACATAGCTCAATGCTAGGCTCTCGCCTCAACCGTTATTCGAACAATGCCCCACTCCCATGCCCATTTTGCGCGTCGGCCACAACCACCCCATTCTCCATGACTTGCCCATCACCACCATTGCCGTGGCACCCCGCCTCACCGTCGACCAAGACACTCCGATTCACCGCCTGACAACTCGGCCGCACATCCATGGCCGGGTTACGCGTGAAGAAATTGACGGGCTTGAGTCCCACGCTCATCTTCTCACACGGCATGACGGGCCAATCTTCCACGCGCGGATTGTGCGTCGACCCAAAGGTATGCCAGACGACGATGTCCTCGTTGCGGACGGACGAGGCCGATGGGGACGAGGAGCCGTGCTTGCGGCCGTCAATCCAGCTGGCGATCCCTTCCCCGCCTAGCGACTGCATCGTATGCTTGCCGCTCGCGAAGAGCTCGTCGTCGTGGTACCGCGTGACCCAGACGGGGTGGGCGGCGAACTCGGACCTCTTGGCATGGTACGAGGACGCATCCGCCAAAAGGAGCTGGCTGTAATAGGGGGTCAGCTTGTATGCGATGGGGGTGTTGGTGACAGGGTTGAGCACGGCCTCGTTGACGATCTTGAAGACCCTGTTGACGGTGTGGTCGAGAGCGAGGCCGCATTCTCGGTCGACAATGTCGCCACGCGTCGTGTATCCTATGCGGAAGGGATTCGGGATGGTAGTGGTATTGTGAGGCGGCTGCGCGTTGTCAACCGGCAACGGGTGACTTTCCTCGACGAGGAGGGAGTTCCGCCAGCCGCCGACCGCGGGGTCGATCCGCAGACAGAATAAATGCTGGTGATACGGCGCCATGACGCCGGGGGCGACGGTAGTCCCGAACGGCACGGCGCCCCCGACGGGGATCGGCACGGTCGACACGATCCCCGTGGCGCGCACCTCGTACTGCAGGCTGGCGTCCATGCCGAAGTGAAACGCAAAGATGTACTCGTAGTTGCTGACGGTGATGATGGTCTGCAGGACGAGCACCCGGCTGCGGACGACGACGCCGTTGCCCGTGCGGAAGTTGGTGTGTTTCCACAGAATCCCGTCGTCGACTTCGTGGCAGCAGACCGCGTTGGGGATCTTGATCGCATCGCCCGAGGACGTGACGTGCCAGCCGTCAAAGTATTTGATGTGGCCCAGGCAGTCGCAGCCGAGCTGGAGGTTGTTGGCGTTGCACCCGGCCCCGTCGTTGCCCAGGTCGAACGCCGCTTTGCGGGCGTACGGCGTGCGAGGGTCCCCGTACGGCACGAACATCTCGGACAGGCTGAGCCGGTAGAAGAGCGAGTGGCCGTCGTAGCGCACGTCGTGCAGCGTCAGGCCTTCGCGGTAGTTGAAGCCCACGCGGATGTGCCATTTCTCCCACTGCACCAAATTGCCACGTGTCGCAAACGAGGGGCCTTCGGGCTGAGAGACGTGGTATGGCTTTGTTGTGGTGCGGCGCGGCGGCGCCACGTCCGGGTGGTATTCGATCTCTGCGCCGAAGATTTTGGAGCGGTCGTAGGGAGTGGCGTTTGTGGTTGGCCCACCCGACGCCGAGGCCGGGAGGTAGTAGATCTTGAGCACCTCGGCGGAGCCGGACATCTCGACGCACAGGTCCAGGGGGTAGGCGTAGTGGTTCGCGTCAGGGTGGTCCAGGAGACGCATGTAGAAGTAGCACTGGGAACCCCCTGTTTAGTCGATTTGCTCACTGTCTAGAGCGGACGTACATACCATCGTGATCTTCTGGCTCATGTCGTTCATCCCGTCCGTGGCATACGTCCACGGCTCGATCTTGACGACAGCACCGTCGGGGAGCTGCATGTCCTTGATTGCAGCTTGCACTCGCGGATCATTGAGGCATGCTGTCTCGGTCTTGACCATATCGTTGCCATCAACATGCGGGTGTCGACCGGCGAGTTGCTCCTTGTGGACGATCTCTCCAGAGTCCACGTTGACCTTGAGCTCGTAGAAGTGCTCGCTGTCTCGCTTTGCGCCAAAGAACACCTGGACAGTCGCCAGCCGGGCGGGCCTCTTGCCTACCGGTTGTCCCTCGTGTTCGGCGTCTAGGAAAACCATCATCTCCTCCTTTGGCGGTTCTGCAAGGGTGATCACCCTGAAGTATGCCTCGCTGTCAGGGAACGCTTTACGGACATGTTGCGCCGTCTAATCAAGTCAGTTCTGGTTTTTGAAAAGTTTCAAGGTTGCTCTTACTGCAGAGATCTCCTGAGGAGTCAAAGGATCCAGCGGATGAGGAGGTGATATTGCCATCTTGTCGGATGACTCTACTGCTACGCATCTGCATCCAGCTGGAGAGCAGTCTGGAATAGAAGCCGGTGTGCTATTTCTCTCAGGTCCTCGACCTCTTGACGACGCTTGTGGCAGGGCGTATTTTACCTAGCATGTGGTAGAGTGGAAGTGTTTTCTGCATGCTGTGGAAGGAATTTATTCGGTGTATGGGCTACGCCTTCTGATGAGACTTGTACTCAGGGCGTGAGGGCCGTGTCCTCCAAAGGTAGTTCGAGACGAGGCCATGGAATCGTGCCGATGTACAGAGTACGTACGGAGCTATCCGCTCGCAGACGTGTGGCGGTTAAGCGATGGTCGGAAATACGCGACACCAAGACCTGCTAACCAACCTAAGAAACAACTGAGCATTCGGTCACCATCACAAGAATCGATGTGCTGATTCAGATGTCGATTTGAAATGTCTGAGGGAGTAGTCAAAGATGGCACAGCAACGAGGGGGAGGATGTCTGGGCTGCACGTGAAGCGAAGGGCGGACATAGGACAGGATTCGTCTCGCTGTATCGGCTCGAGGGGACTGTCTCACACCTGCTGGAGCATTTCAGCTGTTTTGCGATGGGTCGCCAGCAAATCAGATGCCCGGCCCCTCAGAAGGCCGCTGGCTGGAGAAGTTGTAGCCCTCTGTTGCCGCGTGGCTTGAACGGGACAAAGATGTGAGAGGGCTTGCAGTGCTCAGTGAGAAATTCGAACAAAGTCTTTTCAGGAGAATAACCGAGCAAAAGGCCCTATGATGGAATTATGTCCAAGTGGATATTGCTTCCCATATCGAAGCATGCCCTCAACCGGACCTGGTATACATGCCGCTTTCTCTTTCGTACACAGAGGCGAGAGTCGTTGAAGGAATCCCATCCTCCCAATCTTCATGTGACCGCCGATAGAAGGCTTCCGGCCTAGTTCATCAAGAAGGGATCTAGGGTGGCTTTGCATTTGTGAGCCATCCTGCAAGGAGAGTCTTCTGCTGATAGTACAATTGCGTTCGCGTCATCAACTTGTCGGAAATTCTATTCAACGCCAGGGCCGCTGTCCGAAGCTTCGCTGCTCGCGCCGAATTTGCCCACTTTGAGGTTCTTGTCTTGGGCCACCATGATGGCAAGGATCTCGAGGATGTCTTTGGGCACGGTATTATCGTAGATGCCGATCAGTGATTGCGGTTCGGGGTAGACTTTCAAGCCCTTGTAGAAGCAGAGAGCTGCACCAATAGGGTCGGAGCCTAGACGAACAATCAGTATTGGACACAACTGGGAGGAGAGAAGTGAGGCGCACCATCACCTGCAAGCGCTTCACCCTGCGCGATTTGTTGCATGAAGAACGCCTCCTTCTCCTCAATGTCCGTCGGGAATCCCTCTTCAATGGCGTCTTGTACAGCTGCCTTGATGTCTTCGCGCTTTTGCTTTCCCTGGACCTCAGCCTCCTCCTTTGCTAACCTTTCTTGCCTGCGTGATTCTCTCTTGAGAGCCTTGCGAAACTCAGGGTCATTCCTCCGCCTGTAGTCGAAGTACACAGCATATGCTGTTGTCTCGTTAGCCCCACCATCCCAGCCTGATAGGTAGCTACGAACCGAGAAGCCCGGTTACCACGGTGCCTACTGATATCGACACGATTGTTGAGGTCTTCATGATGAGAACAAGGAGAGGTGCGACTTGGCAGAGATGGCGTGCACGACGTCTGCCGCCGCAAATCTGCTGCGTAGATGAGACAATGACCGGCAAGGACACCGGAGCTAGATGCAGATCACCAGAATATGCGAAGATCTATTGTGGTCAACAGCGTCTTGAGCAGTTTACAGGTGACTTGACTTGCACAGAGAAGCTTTGCCAAAAGTTTGGAGACAGCGAGACAACGCAGCCGCAAGAACTTCGGCTGACGGCTGAGTGCTTAATGGTCGACCGTAATCACGTGCCTTAGGACACCAATACGACACAATCAGCCACGCTCAGATTCAAAGCCTGTTCATTGGCCATATCGACCTAGGAGATCCGTGTCTGTCTTTCGACACATTATGATCGAGCTAACGTGCTTTGAACTGGCCTCGATGTCGCATGCAAATGAGTCTTTGTGTCCCGTTGGATATCTGTGAGGAGACAACGACTTGCAGCGACACACTTAGGTTTGACCGCTACCAGCAGCGCTTCCTCATGTCTAGTGTCTTGCCCGTGAGATTGCCGTCTTGAGATATCTGAATCTCAACTGCCAGCCTTCATTGTCTGTACGTATACACAGCTACCCTATCAGCATGCCTGCACGGCACTGGCAATAAGTCCAAAAGGCCCATTTCAAGGACCAGATGAGGACAGCGTTGCTTCAATCTATGATAGCGCCTCTTGCGTCAAAGATTCTAAGTCGGGTCCTCAACGACCGCCACGCTGCTAACGCGAACACTCACTCCACTTCCCATCATTGTCGGTCGAGAGATCGTCCATGCGATCAGCGATGCGGAAATCAAGCTCCTCAGAGCTGATATTTCTCCCGCTGGGCAAGGCCGATTGATGGCATCGGATCAAGCCATAAGATCCTCGTAAAGAGTACACCTGCTGCGCTGAGTAACGATACGAAATATACCTCCTACACACGTAGTGACCTTGCAGGCGGACGTGTGATCTGGGGTGTAGGGCCAATCGCAGGCCTTCGAGGGTAGGATACAAGCCGAATTGGGCATAGCCATGCTGTCAGGGCGGGAACACTTACTCATCGACGGCTCGCCGTTCCTTATGGCCAACAAGTCGCGGCCGACATAAGGTGCATGCCCCGACCACAAGCTCTGCAGCGTTTTGAAGCGACCTTCTGGCAAAGAATCATTGTGCGCGGCATCGGTATTGACCGCTGCAGTGCCCGAGCTCAAAGCTTACATTAATGGCTGTTTAGACTTGACGACATGTTCTCAGCTTTCTTTCAGGCGTCTCTGCTGGCTCTGATACAGACCGACCGAAAGATAGGTGCTCAGCTGGGTTTAGAAACACGAGCCCGAAAGCGAAAGGAGGCACTGAGGGTTCGAAGGCCGAGTTTCAGACATTTGTGCCGAGCACGCGCGGAGTTCAGGCTTCTTTTCATGCCAGCTCCGCTTCACAATGACCCGCCCGCCCCGTCTGTCAAGGTACCGCCTCATGCTGGGGAGCCCGCATGGGGGAACTCGGGGATTACAAGACGCGTGAAGGCATCCTTCCTTCGCTCTTCGTCCGCCACCGACAGAGAATATCGAGCGCCGGCAAGACGGAACGGATCGTGCTCTGCTCGGTTGCATCCACTCCAGCGGTGGCACTGGGTGACTGTCACTCAAGAGCAGCTGGAAGACCTCATACCCATTAAAGCAGCAGTGGCAGAGGGAAGAAAAGGTTCTCATCCTCGGATCTCTGATTGGTTGTTGGAAATAGGTCCTGAGTAAACCGCTACGTAAGCAGGCATAGGACAGGGGAGCGAGAGGTTACCGAGCGGTCAACCAATGTTGGCCTATATGAGCTTCAGAACGGCCATGGATACTTTCCAAGTCGGTTCGGATGAACGATCGCTTCCCAAAAGCTCGATTTACAGTCTAAATAGGTTAGGTATTCGAAGGCCGTAATTGGGTGTGCTGGCCCAGGAGGTCGTAGCTTTCCCGGCTTTGCATAAAATGGGCGGTTGACAGAGAGAACAACTAGAAAGTGGTTCCGTTAGCTGTGATCTTCCTCACCATCTCATAACCGAGCGAATATGGGCGGCGGTAGAGCTCCTCAGCAAACTTTGAGAAAGCGAAGGTCCCAGCCGGTAAGTTCATCGTCCTTCCCCTCAAGCAGACCGAGCCGCTCACGCTCGAGGTGATAGGGGTGTGAAAGGAAGCCTTCCGTACGCCAGCTTCGTGCATCCGCTGGTGCCGACGATGACATTCAACGACTTGAGAGCCAAGTGTACCAATTGAAAACCGAGTGCAAGATTCTGCAGCGGGCCCGGGACGAGTCCGTGGTTGTCGCATCCAAAATGGTGAAGGAAATCGAACGGTTGGAAGACCTGCTGAAGTCTCAATGCAAGGCGAAAGAGCAGGGATCGAAAACTACCTCGCCTGGAGATTACGGCCGGGATTGAACGAAGGGCGACCTACACGCAACCCAGAAATCGCCTTTGGACGTAGCATTGCATGAATGCAAAGCTCTCTTTGGACGTCCGCGGAGGCGCTTGACGTCCACCTGGATGCTTCAAAATCTCTTCGTGCTTCAGCGGAGCTTTAGGAGGAACGTTCACTTCTCCCGGCGGTGGCAACAGCGGGGTTGATTGACGACTCTCGGTGATTGATTTCGGTCCGGCCGTTGACGCTGCACTTCTGGCTCCTAGGCACATTCCCGGACCCGATACCAAGGATTGAGAGCTGTTTCGAACAGGAGCATGCCGAGGATGACAACGGCAGCCCGTCACCGGGTTCCTCAGGCGTCGGGGAGAATGGTACATGCGGAGAAGAGCCGTGACAAGCTGATACCACCTGTGGTCTGGTTGCCTTGTCGAGGCGAAGACCTACCTCAAGGATTGGGTCTTGCCATTGCCAAGGCCAGCAGCTGCCTGAAGGAGGACTGCGAGTCCGGCCTGTATGCCAGCTGAGTAGTATGTCGTTTGGCGCACGAAGTTGGTGGATAGGCCATGCTCGTGCAGGACTGCTACAGTAGCGCTCGACACTTGAGGAATTTTCCTTTCACAACCGAATGGTGAAGTCGTACGAACGACCATGTTCTTGTCAGAAGCTGAAGACGAAGGCCAGTTACCGTCAGGGGTAAGAGCCAGAACCAAGTATACCTGCGCGGCCACCTATACCGGGTCTTTGCAGTATCTGCTTTAATGAAGCCGCTAGTGCTTGAGAGCCGGCTGTCATGCCGACCGACACAGTCATTTTGCATGGAGCGATCTCCAGGATTGAAGGAATTGGACATTGACGAGGCAATGATAAGTAGAAGACATATGACACAGCGGCATTCCAGCCGCATCGCGACGGAACACGACATGAATCCCTTTTCGGCTTGATACCATGTGTTCATTGAGGCCAATTCGTCGCATCGCCAGAACGCACCTGGCAAATGTCTCCGGGGGAGTACATGAGTCTGACGATGGTACCTCGCCAAATCTGGCGTGTAGATCTGAGAAATTCTCTGCTGGCTGGTGGCATGACCTTCAGAAGGCAAGCAAGTACACCTCATTCCAAGGAGACCGGGGGTTGCCGTAACCAAGATGCGGTGTAAGAAGAGCTCTGACCGCCAAACGCAGGCCAGATACAAAGTCTGCCGACGTACCCTGTACAGAGTACGAAGTACAAAGCATGCTTACTGGTAGTTGTTGCGACCAGCGTGACAAGGAACTGCTCGACCCTGTGTGAAAAGTCCGGCAAGCGGGAACAAGCATGCCTACTCCGTACCTGCCTGATGGCTCCAAATCGGTAAGAACAACATTGCCCTTTGTCTGAAATAGAGGAGTCGCGAGCCTCGTCCTCGCCTCGTGCATAGTCCGAAAGTAGACATCGAAATGGCTGGGAATAAAACTCCGACAGCCACCTAAGCCGTCGCTGTGACACCTTCTGGAACAGCCTATTCTGACACGAGGCTGCTGCAGTGTACCCAAATTCCAGAGGAAACCGTTATGCAGAGCTCCCCAAGCTCCCACCAGTCGAGATGTACGGGAGGCTCCCTACCCCCATCAACAGGCTTGTCCCTTGCAGCTGGCGCAGGAACATGCGCAGCAAGGGTGTTGAAGGGGAATGGTCAGCAGCCGCCGTAGGCCTCTGATTGTCCGGCAGCAAGAGCTGTACTCCGTAGGCTCCGCTGCGTTCATGATGTCTCTAACTTAATTGCTCGCGACGAGGCGTCGTTGCAGACTCTTATTGACGACACCTACCCAACAGTGAAAGACTACAACTGCTCGAACCAGCCAAGTTCGTACGGAGTAGAGTAGGGAGAGACTAGGAGAACTTAGACGAGCCGCAAGGTGCTAGCAGCCATGGCGATCGCCCGTGCTGACAATCGGGATGGCGAAAAGGAAATTCAAGCCTGATCAACTCACCGGGATTTTTCGCTGGATGAGTCGAAAATCAGGTCGGCGCTGGAGCGAATCGGCAAGTCGCCGTATTCGAAAGCCACCGACAAGCCTCTGTTAGCGTGGGCGCGTAGATGCAGAAGCGTCGTTGGTAGCGTGAGCCCCGAGTGAAGCCGAACCGGGATGGCCCTTGGCCGCAAGCATGAAGCTTATCGATCCGACCTTTTGGCTTCGGGGCTGGACGCAGCTCCAGGCCATGTCTCTTGAGATGCTAGGTGACGGCAATGACGATGCTGTTGTGACGCCTGAGATGGGGAAGAAGAGTGGCTGCACGCTGTCCGGTGCATCGCAAGTGTCACAGTGACACCCAAGTGAAGACGGACATCCCTCGCACCGCCGCCAGGGATCGTCCAAGTGTCGCCCACTATTCCACGTTTCTCCGCAAGCTTCTCTCAGGAAACTGGATCGCTCCGAGGCTGGAGGCGCATCTCCATACCGATGTACGTAAATTTTCCGACGCAGTCAACGTGGTTGCAGTACTCTACAAGCACCATGTACGACTACATGTAGATTGGAAGTAGAGAGTCTAGGGTCTGCTGGCGCAAAGGCTCGAACTGTGGCCGAGAAGGCCCTCGGGCGCCACTGCATGTCATGTTCACCGTCGTCTGGAAGGCTGCTGTCTTCCGTGCAGTAGTTAGACCTGTCACTTCAACCTGACGAAGCGAGCGTCCTGCAGACCCGCGGGGCAGTCGGGACGTTAAAATCGCAAAAATAGCCAGTGCGATCGTCAGAAGAACTAACTCTTGAGGTGTTGTCGAGGGACCAGAGTTCATGAGCCGGTGGCTAAGAGTCTATGAAAGAGGCGGCACTCACTCCGTACTCCGTACTCAAGACGCCTTTCTTGCGTTCATCGAGCCTCGTGCAATGTGAATATCCACTGTCTCTGTGCACGCGGTGCTGTATCACTGACTCGGTGTTCATCGTCCCCTTTGACGAATACCAATGGTGTTACCCAGGTCTACGTACTCCGTACGGAGTATCTCGCCCTCCAACAACCACCGCACCCTCGAAACCGCAGCCGAGAGACATTCCACGCAGTGATATATAGGTCTTCCAATGCTCTGAACGAGATAGCCGCTGGACCCGCGGGCCAGGAGATTGCAGATGCAGACGGGCGGCCAGGCGTCAAGGCATGCAGCGCGCTGCCTGACAACTGGGAGCATCTTCGTCCAGGCCCCCGCAAGCATCATGCACGGGTGGTCCTGGCAGGGTTCAGGTGAGGGTCCGTTGGCTCTAGGCATCCCTACCCCTGTATCCCGCATCGTGGCGGGGTCGATGCCCGACGGTCCAGGTGATGGAATCGGTGTGCTGGAGCCTGTCATTGGCGAACGGTTTCAACGTCGCTTGATGTTGAGTGTGTGACGGCGGGCGCGGTGCAGCCAATCGAGCCTCTCTAAGCGCTGAAGGTCGTGCAGTTGCCTCGTCCCTCAATCCTGGCTCACTTCCTCCTCACCAACGACACTATGCATCCCACCTCCATCAAATCGTCGCCATTTGTTCCGTCCAGATTCAACCTGCATTGGAGCTAGACAAGAATTGCCATGATTCGGCGACGCCAGACAATTTCTGCGGGCTCACCTGCTTGGGCGGGGCTGCAATCAACACGCCGGCCATAGAGCTTGCACAGCTGTGTTTCCATCATGTCGTTGGTACCTCGAGAGATGACCGCCATCTTCTCGAACCGTTCCGCTCGCTCTCAGTTGCGTATACTTGCTGTGCTGCGCCCCTCTTGCGCTTCGAGTGGAACCTCAGCAGAGCCTGAGAGAGAGGGTTTGTTTCACTGATTCATTTACGGGCACGATTATCTCTGCGACTATCAGGTCAGGTGGCCGGTACCTGCGCCCAGTGCGGTCCTTCCGCGATCTTCTGTTCTCCTGACCTGATCACGACATCTTCCGATCGGTGCGGTGGTCCCTATAAGCCCATCTGCAAGAGAAGAGCCCTCCGCGGTTACCTTGCCGCCCGCCCGCGAAAGTCGTCAGCCTTCCACAATCGCCTGCGAGAAAAAGGACATATCCTGCCGCTATCCACTTGCCTAGTTCCACGACCGAATCTTCAGTCCAGATCGCAATAACCGACGCCCTGGAAATCCCCCTTGAACTTGGCTGTGGTCATGTCCCCGTCTCGGACCGTATAGCGGAAGAGGTACACAGAGCGCTCTCGTCCTAGATGCTGCCTTTTACACAGTACTGATACCAGGGCAGTCGCATCTCAGTCCAGCGGCCTCATGAACATGTCGGCAGGGCCCGGTCTATCCCGGCAGAGATCTATCTCGAGCAAGTCGAAGGGGGTAATACTACCACCGGGTCCAAAGCCAAGGGCCCCGAGCGAAGATGGCCCCTTTGAGCCGTGCGCATCAACAGCATCCCTCCTGCTCATCTCGCACGGATCGACCGTGTTGTGTCTGCACCATGATACGCTGGCGGTGGAGCGACGGTTCGAGAAACACTCAAAGGATATCCAATTGATATCGGCCGACAATGTTAGTGAGACTGGGGCTGGGAGACTGGTGGTCACGTACGATGTCGGACAGACGGCCATAGTGTGGGATTTGTTCACTGGCGAGCAGTTGTCTCGTTTCGTCTCGTACGAATCTCTGAGGGTGGCGCATTGGATGAGAAACGGTAATGTTGCGTTCGGTAAGCCGAGTCCGACCCGTCGTGTCAAGCCATCTGCTGAGAATGTTTGAGGAAATGCAAAAGGCGAGGTGATATTGTTCGAGCCTGCAACAAGCGACCACATTTCAGCTCGGACGATATTTGATCCTATAACGGCGATAGCTCCCTCGTCGGATTGCAAAACATATGCTATCGGGTGAGTGATGCGAATTTACCAGCTTGAGTTATCCATTCTGACCTGCGGCAGCTATAACAACGGATCCATCCTGCTAGCAGCACTACAACCCTCGTTCACCATTTTGCACACCTTGACGACCTCCAGAGCGCCTTCGCCCATTGTTTCTTTGACATGGCACGCCTCATCCTCAAAGCAGAAGTCCGATATGCTGGCCACTCAGACGGCCGATGGCGATCTGAGAGTCTGGAGTGTGTCCAAACCTGCAACTGTCGAAGCCCCGAAAGTTATCCGTGTTCTAAAGCGGTCTGACACTTATGTCCCCAGCCGGAACTGGATATCGTGGTCCAAAAATGGCCGCATTGTGCAATACTCCGAAGGCAAGACCTGGGCTTGGGATGTTCGGACAAAGCATGTCACCTACGAACCTGTCCCCACAGTCGAGGGAGTCAGAGCTATTGCTTGTCATGGGCCAACGGGTACCCTATTTACTTTAGGACCGGACTATACCGTACAGCAGTACGATGTCGAGAGGGCGCTTCTGGTTGCAAACGTCCGCCACATGCCTCTGAGCGTACCTCCCACGCCTCCCGAAGATTCAAGGGCCCCAGTCTGGACCACCTCCGAGAGTGAGGAAGAGTTAGCTTCCCCACTCGTACGTGCAAGAGGGGAACTCCGTGCATCTGAAGCGGCCAGGACTGGGCGAAATAATATACCGAGCCCTCGCTCAGGGATGAGCTCTCAGAAAGGGGCGTTCAAGAACGGAATCAACGAAATCATTTCACCCGCTGGCAGGACCGACTACACAACAACTTCGTTCGACACGGGTATACAATCAGCTTCGACATTGAACCAATTAGCTGTGCCGCTGCCTAGTCAAGCCTACCAGCCTCAGTCTCCCGTGGCCGCTAGGACGACCAGGAAAGGTTCTCGATTAAAGCAGGAGGTCGTTATGAGCCCTGAAGAGAGGGTGGTGACAGAGCTTTTCCCTTTCACCAGGGCCCGATTGCATGACGTCCCGTATCGGGCGCCTAGAATGCTCGACGAGACGCACATGACTCCTGATGACCTGCGGAGGCAGATGCTGAGCGTCGTCTTTGGCTGGGAGGAAGACATTCAGGACCTCATCCGCGACGAGCTGAGCCGACACCCCCGAGAGAGCCAGAATGCCATCTTCCTGGCCAAGTGGCTCGATGAGGACCCAGACTATCTGGCCGAGATCATGGGATCTACCGGACTCATCTCCAACCTTGACTGGATGCTTCTTGCCTTGGGTACGATCAGCAATCAAGTAGCAGCGAAAAAGATCACCCAAGTCTTCATCGAGAAGATGCTGAGCAAGGGTGATATCCACGCGGCAGCTACTCTCATGATCGCCCTGGGTGACCGGAGTGACGCTATCGAAGTCTACGTCTCGAGACATCAGTATATGGAAGCGGTTCTGCTGACCTGCCTCGTCACACCTGATGATTGGCAGAGGCAGTCTTATCTTGTGCGTCGATGGGGCGAGCACGTTGTCGAGAACTCACAACAGTCACTGGCTATCCGATGCTTTTCGTGCACAGGCGTTGAGCCATCTGACCCTTGGACCTCTCCACACGCTCAACAGGCAGCCAACACGTTTGTGGAGATTGTCTCTAGCCCTCAGAGCGCGCCGCAGGTGCAGACTTTGGAACCGACGGAATATCCAGCCATTTTCCAGAAAACACTCGAGAGACGACGAACCCTTGATGCCCCTACTCCCGTGGCGATGCCTCCGCCTCACATGATGCAGACTATGCAACCCCCTACACCCTTCCGCACTGCGGCCGCGCTCGGAACAAGAATCACTCCTCAGACATCCGCCCTGAAACTTGTCACCTCGTTTGGCGCGCAACCCAACAATAACTATAAATTCCCCGGCCTGAAGCCAGAGGACCGCACTCCGACGGTTGCTGCTGCTGTCACTCCTATTGCGGAATCGGCCATCGACAGGTCTGCTTTGTCTCCAGGGGGTCTCGGCTCGTACCGGTTGAACAATATCCGCAGTATCAATAGTGCTCTTTCCGCCAAAACGGCGACTCCAGGTGGTTTCCAGCCCAGCAGACTGGCGGCAATCGGGGAAACTCCAGTCGATGTCGAGGCACCGCAGTTTCCTACTCCGATCCCTCAGAGATCGATCTCTGTGCCTGCCGAACTAGCATCTTTCAAGTCGGGCGAGGCCGACGAAGCAGCTGCCTCCAACGAGCCGCAGCGTGCTAAACAGCCTTCGTTGACTCTTCTCACCTCTGCGCGTTACGAGCCATCCATGACAACACCTGTCAGAGAAACTCCCCAGACCGCTGTTGCACCCCAGACGGCCATCAAGTTTCCGTCCTCGACTTACAACGTGCTGGGCCACGACGAGCCTCACAGTGACTTGCCGCGATCCAAGGTCGCCACCAGGAGTCGCAAGCCTGATGGACTTTCCATCCAGACAAGCCATGTCTCTGCCCAAGATTTCGTGCCCGCTGAAAGCTACGGCGAATCGATAAGCCGACCTGCAACCACCGGGTCATACTCCAATACCCAACTTGACACCGCCGGTGACCTGACCAGCCCTCCCACCACCGGCCAAAGTTATCGAAGTGCAAAAAGCCCTATGGTGACGGGTCGAAGTATTGATCAATATATTAGCAGCCTGGAACAAGCTCAGTACTATTCCAAACATGCTCGAGCCCGTGGGTACAGCAGTACAAGCAAGCAATCTAGGGATGACGTGTCTGAGCGAAAGAAAGGCAGAGAGGAAGAGAGGGACACTCGACGGGTGATACCAGCAGGCAAACGTTCGCCCACTTCGCCCATCCCCATGTCCCCAGAGGACCTTCGCATGTACAGCACCAGTGTCGAGAGTTTTGACACATTGTACAGCTCCAACTACTCTGGCGTCGACAGAACAGGCACACCTGGGAGCTTGTCCAAGCTGAGCCGCCGCGGCTCTCAGTCGACGGCGAAAGGCGCAAAGTCTCGCAAAAGATCTCAATCTAGACAAGCGGGCACTGGAAGCAAGACGGCCAGTAGGCAACACAGTCCGGATGCCGCATTGTTCTCTCCCCGAGGCCGCAGCTCTTCCCGGAAGGAGAACCTAGGACATCGGTCTCCCTCATCCCCTCGACCAATGATACCGTCTGAAGAAGACCGGCAGAGCCGATTCGATCAAGACTCGTCGTTGAGGCTTGTCTCTCGTGACCGCCACCGACTGCACCGGAGCACTAGTCGCCAGCCTGTACGTAGTACAAGTGCACGACGGGACCGTTCGCCCGATCGGCGGCGAGTGCGTGCTCGATCTCGCAGTCGCCAAACGGAAGAAGCAACAACGAGTTTGAGTCGCAAGCCAAGCCGGAATGAACGTCATCGACGCAATCGGCGACCTAGCGATGCAACGTATGATCGAAGTGCCCATCCAGATGACCCCGAAGACAGCATGCCCAGTGATGTCGTCCCGGCCTTCGACATGGTATCCAGATCTGCCAGTCAACCTCAATTCGCTCCTGAGCAGGGCAGAGCTCGGACGCCTGCAGAACAGCTTGAAGCCCGCCGGCTGTCGCTGACCCGTCGTCCCTCTGTCCCTAATGTGCCACTACCTGTTCAGACTTCAGCACACGGTAAATCTGCTTCGACAGGCAATGCGGCCCTGACTTCGACAATGTCGCACGCAGATGATGGCCTGATGCCTAACTCGCCTGGGAATGACTATGCTCCGGCACCAGAAATGGTCGCTGGCCTAGGAGTCGTGACTGGGAGACCCGCAACACCCCGAGCAATGCAGGTCGACTCCGCCATCCCGGAAGACAAAACTGTATCTGGAGACGGGTCGAACGGGGCACAACTGCTTACAAGTGATGTGTACCGTCCACCTACACGAGGAGAAGACGTAAGTCGACCTGGCTCCACACGGCCCCCAGCATCCCTCGAATTCCTGACCCAAATCCCCAAGCACCCGGCCTATGATCGTCGCATCGCAGGCAGTAGGTCAAGCAGCAAAGGAGCTGAAGCTCGCGCTAGTTCACGTAGTAGAGCCGCCTCTCGAGATCGTACCGCTCGGGTCTCTCCTCGGGAGATGCCCCAGGGGTCTCCGCCCATCAGCGAGAACGAGGCAGTCATCTATGCCAGTCCGGCGCCTGCACAGCGACCCAACCCACCTATCCTGCCTGAATTGCAGCACCTCGCCGAACCACTCCCTCCACCGCCTCCTCCGCCTCCTCCGCCACCTCCGGCTGCACCTACTTCAAAGATGCCCATATTCATGGCAAGTCCCAATTTGTCAAACGTTCGCGGTGGCTTCGATCAAGCTGAGGCGGCCAATATTGCGCTCCCGATGTCTGCCATCGTCACGAAAACTACCTTTGCAAAAGATGACGGCCCAAACACCGCCAACATCCCGCTTTCCGCAAGCTCGCTGTCTGCAATGGGTCACCGGCGCGGCCGAAGCGGGAATGATAATCAAAGCGGCGGAGCGAGCTCAAGCGGGCAGTTGTTCAGCAAATTGAGAAACTTCACGGGACGCAACAGAAGCCCTTCTCGCGGAAGGCGAGGTGGGGATGATAACCAGGCAATGAGCCCGCGAATGGGAGGGATCGGGGAGAACGTGCAGCCCGCGCCATATGAGAGCATCCCGAGCGCTATGGTGGGGAACGCCTGAATGTGCAGATGCGGTTGTTAATTTTTGTCAATGTTGTTGCTGTTGCTGTCGGCGCCGTCAAATGAATGATGTGATGTTTTTAGAGCGAGAGACTGAAACTGAAAAGAGCGAAAGATCGACGGAATGGCTCGCGAGGGCTCAAAAGCAAGCAAGCATGCACTGTCTCGACGACATGTATTCAATTCTCGACGATCCTTGCTGATGAGCAAAATGTACGGCTGGAGCGATGGTTGGGCGGTGCTACCTACTATTTGGCGGTGTTGGACTTGAATTCAGGGTAATGGTGATGGGGAGTGATACCGTCGGTGGAGGCACACCCGGCACACGAGGCCGAGTCTTGGAGCTTTACAGCACAAATGCAAGAGTCCTGCCACCAACTGTACCATCTATCACCTGTTCCCGCGATCTATCATGCTCTCTCATCACTCGTACACCGTGTGTTTATATGGGGTGGGATGGGATAGAATGTGAGGTGTGAGGTATGAGGAGGGTGGATGGTGAGCATATATTTATTGTACAACATCTCACGTGCCCTTTCCTTGCCAAGCATCAATGAATATAGGTGCTTTGCTCGGAAGGGGCCCATCTCGTGGGGCTACCTTTCTACTACCTATCGAAAGTCGAGAAGCGCAAAGAGAGGGGAGAAGATGAGAGAAGAATTGGGTTCCATTTGAAAGATGGAGGTATGTGGTGGACATGTAGCGTAGTGTGGGACTCCGTACTCCGTGCTCCGTGCTCCGTACTCGGTGCTGTATGTCCAGTCCAGTCCAGTCCGTGGCCTCATGAGTCTTCATTTCCACTAATTCTCGCAAAAGTAGAAGGGAGCAGAAGAGATGAGAGGAGACTTGCGTTGGCTTCCGTTGGAAGAAAGGGCATGTGGTGTAGTGTAGCGTATTGTGGTGCTGTAAGTCCAATCCACAGATAGCCTCATGACCTTTTCTTTCCTTTCCACTAGTTCTCGCAAGAGTACCCCGTAGAGAAGCGCAGAGGAGAGCAGAACAGAAGAGAGTTGGGTTCCCTGTGGAAGAGGTCGGGTATGTGCTGTAGCGGAGCATGTTGTGGTACTCCGTATTCCGTTACTGTACGTCCAGTCCAACCCGGAGCCTTATGACCTTCCTTTCTTGTCGTTGTGGTCTGGAGTGGGAGAGGTCTCCTAACTGTCTCTTGTCTGTTGTGATCTGATATCGAGGACATACAGTACATCGTTTCGACAGTCCGGGAGTGGTCTGATATTATGTGCAGTAAAGTATTTTGAACTGTGTAGGGAGGAGAACTCTCCATACCGTACTCCGTACGTGCGATGTCTGCCTCGGCCTAGACGTCCTTGAGGTAGGAGTGGCTTGAGGATTGGGTATGTCGCTTTTGCTAGTGCTGTTGCTGTCGTGTGGATCTGCTTTCGTTTGCTCCACTGCATATGTAGCTGTAGCTGTGGTCGTTGCTGATCTGCTGTCGATTGGGCACTGGGCATTTAGCCGTCGCAATTGCTGATCTGCTGCCGATTGGAGCACTAGGTATGTCACTGTAGCTGTTAATGGCGCTAATCTGCTGTCGATGAATTGGGTATGTAGCTGTTACTGTTACTGATCTGCTCTCAACTGTTGAACTGGTGTTGGACTGAGTCTGGTCCGGTCTGTCTGGTGGTGTCGTTGCTCCGAGCTTGGGCGCCGGTGTCAGTCCCGAGTACTCACGTCCTGTGGTAATCCATCCTGGAGACTCCGTATGGTCGGCTCCGGTTAGGCCAGCTCAGCCTTGTCAGATAGATACTCCTGCGGGTCGGATTCTCAACGTGGGTGCGGGTCGAGTGGTAATCTCGGGTCCAGTGAATGGCCATGCCCTCTTCTGTCTGCCCTCTGCTCTCTGCCCGGCTGAGGGCCCTTCCTTGCCCGGTCGATCCTCTCACACCTTGCATCCCAGCGCACTTGTACCTACTACTGGTACCGCTCATTCTCTGAGAGTGCATATCCCGAACTTTGACTCCTCGTGTATCGGGCCATGCATGTATCTTACCCCATCCGTTTCCCGTTTTGAATGCATGACATTGGAGTAGACGCCTTTGTCCGTGCCCTCGCTGAATGCGTGCAATCCAAGTAGACAGACGCCCTCGTCCCGATCGACCTTTCGATACCGATATTTCTGCTCTCTTCTCACCCATCATAGCTGGCACTGATCAGTCTCAAACACCCCCACCACTCCTTCCGACAGCGACGCTGAGATCCCGGTCCTTCCTCATCGCAATATACCGCTGCTTTTCCTTCTCAGCCTGGATCCAGCTCCTGCGTCCCTCTTCTTCCAGAAGTCTCGTCCGTTCACGGGAGTTGGACTCCAGCCGCCGCAGCCACAGGTACGATGTTAGAGGGATGAAGAATATGGCGGTAAGGAGGAGGGTGCGGGAACGACTGCGACACATCGAGTCAGTCAGAGGGGGAAATGCGACAAAAACACAAGGCGCAACACTATATGGTTGGAGTGGGCTTCCAATGGCTCGGGTAATACGTACGTCAAGTAAGGACCGGGGCGATAGCCCGGGATAGAGCTCTGAGGATGAGGCTGAGGGTTGGGACGCGGGTCGGGCATCGGGAGAGGATGTGTCGTGTCGTGTTGATTCTGTCGTAAGTGCTGTAGAAATGCGAGTCTTGCGCGTTATCGTGCACGACTGCAGGTGATTTGGAACTTCGTAACTATGTAGACCAAAGTGGCGTGGTGTTCTGGACCAAAGCTTGGGAGGCAGGCAACCTTCTTTCAGACCGGGCATGTACTGTATGTACTGCGGAGGGAGCAATGAATGACGGAACGGTGAGCTAACTAGGTACTGTAGCTCTACCGCGTGGCCAGAAAGCATAGAAGTCGGGCTGGTGCTAGTTTCACATAGAGCTGGTTGTCGTCACTGTCGCTGTCACTGTCACTGCAGAGGGAGACGAAGATGATTGAGCAGGGAAATAGACTGATTCATACACTGTAGGGCTCGAGCTCATCACTCATGGCTCATCATGCAGATGGTGCCGTTCTGAGCAACGCTGGTGACGCCTTGGTAACTTTACTTGCGGCAGGCGAATCGTCATGAGCACAAGCGAAGGATCGGCCAGATTGATTGGCGATGAGGGGCGGGCGGAGAGTTTGGTGACCATGCCTGAGCCGCTACGGGGGGTCGAGAACACCCGTCAAGTCGACAGCCGATGTCCACAGGTGATTGAGCTCTTCTGATCTCTTGACTCTGATGGATCTTGCCCATTTGCTGTAATATTACCATAATCATCGTAAACCGGCTCGAGCCAAATGACTGTGGCATGCTGCGTGGGCCTCGTATCATAACTACGATGCAGCAGCAGCAGCAGCAGCAGCATGGTCACGGTCTCTTCGCTGAAACGCAACAGCCCAAATCGACGACATGCCCCTAGCTTCCATCCTTCGATCCACTACTCTCTCCATTAGTCCCGCTCGAACCCTCTCCATTGTCATCTTCGCTGCCGTCGGCATCGTCCCCACCTTCTTGACTTTCGGCGTCGTTACTGTCGGTATCATCGTTCCGATCTGATACGGGTTCGCCGTTTGCCTTGGCTAACCGCTCTTCCTCCTTCAACTGTCGGATCCTCTCGGTCTCTTTGCGCATGGCTTCGAGGTTCCATGCTCCCTGGTCTTCGTCATCTTCGTCGTCGTCGTCATCCTCGCTATCTTCGTCCTCCGAATCCTTCCAGTTGCCACTCTCGAACATGGCTCGGCCTGTTGCTTCTCTGGCTTTCAATGCTTCCGCTTCGGCAGCCTTCTTGTCCAGGCGTTCCTTCTTCCACTTTGCAAATGTTTCCGGATTGACGGGAGTCAGTGTGCCAGTCAATTTGTGTCGTTCGGATTCGAGGAAGTCTTCTAGTGTTAGTGTGTTTAGCGGGGACTTGTCCATCAGGGCCTTTTCGGCCTTCCGCTGTTCCTTCGTCTTTAGCACGAATCTGAGCAGGCTTGTTAGCAAGACCTTCAAGGGGCAGTAAATGGGCATCATCATACCCAGGCGGCAGGCTGTGTCTGTACATGCACTTGTCGCCTCCGTTCGGACATGTCCAGAACCAGCCGTACTTCCCATCCTCGACGGCTGAAATGAAGTATTTGCAGACCTTGTCGGTCGTCGTCCGCGGATTGCCGTGTTTGCTCATCACGACTTTTCGTAGTTTTTCTTCGTCCCAGTCGTCCATGTTGTCCTTCTCCTTCTCATCTTTCTCTTGCTCCCGGGTGTCTTGGTACAGGTCTCTCTTGGCCACCTTCTTCCCCACGTCGAGGTCATGGCTAAACTTGCATTTCTTGCCCTTGTCGCAGTGGCCTTGCTTGAAGAACTGGCAGAGCACGGTCTTCGGATCCACTCCGAACGGCACCTTCTGGACCTGAATCGGCTTGAAGAGTTCTGCGGCCTCTGCCTTTGCCTTCTCGGCGGCCGCCTTCTCTTTCAGCCGCTGCTCCTTCTCGGCCTCTTTTCGTTTCTCTTCCGGCGACTTGTTGGACTTTGCCTGTGCTTGAAGCTGGGCGATTTGTTTCTTCGCACTACCGCCCTTTTTGTTTTTCATGCCAAAGGTCTTGTCATCGACCGTGGCCTTGGCCTTTTTGGGCTCTTGCTGCTTGCCCTTTGGCGCCATGTTGGCTGTAAACGAAGCACAAATGCTAGAGCTGCTTTGTGTTGGCTACGACTTCGAGAACAGACGTTGCGGGTGAGAGGCCGAAGTGGCGTCCGCTATGCAAATCCGAGGACGACTGAGCGATACTGTGAAGGTCCGATCGGGGTCCAACTATCAACGGAGGACAAGAGGCGGAGAAGGTACCGGCGGAAAATGGGTCGAGGCGTGCATGTAGTAGGCTTCGTGAGGCAATAGCTCGTGGTCAGTCGATGGTGCGTGATGGTGGGCGAAGTGGGCTGCGGATCTTTTCTCGGTGACTCTTTGTTTTGTGGGGAAGTCACTGACATCAGTCCGTCGACATGCAGAACCTCCGGCTACACAGTACACAGTCCTCCATAAGCCTCCGACGTCCTCGAACTTCTCTGATAGTTACACACCGACTCTGATGATTCAATCGTGGCTCGGTCGACATTTCTAACCATGGCATTATAGCTGGGGTTTTACAAACAACGTGCATCCACGCAGCACTCACCATGGCGAGCGACCCGCGCGTTCCTCCCTCCAACTACCCTCCCTCGATGGGACCGGGTGCCCGACCAACGAACCCATCTGGCGATAGCCCTGACACGAGAACAAAGTTGATGCAGATCATGCAGGTCAGATCCAAGTATCAAGTCTCGGTAGAGCCAGAGACCCTGTCACTGAGCTACGAACTGAACGATTCACCTCGCCTCTACCGGCTCCCCTTCGATGCCCTGCCCTTGCAGGGCTTTTCCAGGTGGTGGCTGTTCGGAGGACCTCAGCGCGCACGTCAAGCGGGTGTTCTAGCCATTGACATCATACGCGGATCTGAAAATGTAGCCAAAAGACCGGTCACACAACAAGAAGCCGAAGCACTGACATACTGGACCTCGAAAAGACTGTTATACAGCTCATACGCCACGGCAGCTAGCATCGTGCTGGGAACGTTCCTCGCACGCAGAGGCCACGCCAGGATGAAGTTTCCCATCCTACCAGCAAAACCGTTGGAACAATACAATCATTTCCCGCTGAAGCAGGCACCTATTTTGACGGGGCAACTTGCACAGTCAGCATGGCAGTTTACGAGGTACAGCGTCTGGATACAGCTCACGTTCCTGGTTGCTTCACCCACCATTGGAACCGCCGCTTCAGTCTATATCGCAAACGCGATGTCAAAGGACTCGCGGACTCAAGAACTCGTTCATGCCTTGGACCCCAAGCGTGGATGGGAGGGCGGTGGTCGAAGCGATTCCGATAGAAATATGTCGCCCGAACAGCAACAGCACCTGCCCTCTGGGTTCGAGACGCCAAACCAAGGTCAAGATTTCGAGGCTGACTTCCAGCGGAGTTCCAGGGACCTGGACCGGGATGGTCGTGCCGACCAAGCTATGGCGCACGATTACAACACTGGAGATAGTATTGAGCGAGGCGCAGCAAATGGCATGGGTACTTTGAGTGACTCCGCCGTGAAAGATCGTGAAAGCAGACGGCAATATGAGAGGTATCCTTCATCACCGCAGCAACAATCACAAACATATGGCCAATCTACCATCCCATCCGCCTCGGGAGACTCTGACCCCTTCTTCTACGACGACGCATCACCTACAGCCGGCAATGATCCAGACAACGCATCACCTGTAGCGCGCACTCAGCCCTCAGGTGGGAGTGTATGGGAGCGCCTTCGACGCGGTGGCAACGCCTCCCCTTCGCCATCACGACCGCCGGCATACGATGCTCGCGTCCAACCCGGCGCAGGCCGACCCTCCCGTACCACCGAGCAAGAAGCAGACTTCAGTGACCGCGATGCATACAGTAGTAGCGAAACCAAATTCGGGTCAGCAGGAAGCTTCCGGGACGGCCGCGATCGCGAACGGGCGCAACGAGAATTCGACGAGATGCTGGAACGGGAGAGACAACAGAGTGGGAGCGGAGATTACGACAGGGGTATGAGAGCCGTTGAACAAGGCGAGGAGAGCGGCAATGCGGCCACAGGTGCAAGTGGAGGTGGAGGTGGAGGTGGAGGTTCAGCATGGGAGAGGAGGCGTCGGGAATGATTCGTTGACATTGAGCTGAACCACGTCGCGATGCTGAGCGAGACGCTTTCCATTCCATCGCCACATCTACGTCAGAGTGTACTGTATAGTAACAATATTCCGACCCAAAACACCCAAAGGACAGACCTGGCAGGCATGACAAAAGTGAACTTGTTTGGTACTGTAAACTCAATGTAGAGTGATACCACAGGGGAACTGCAACGGGGCTCAGTTTCTGAATCCGATCTGGATCTATCCACGTGCTGTTAAACTTAGCACCATTAACTACGAGTTAGTGGTGGTGCCGTTATGTAAGCACAAGCACCAGGACACCAGGCACCTACATCCAGCATGCGCCATTGAGGTGGGGTGTTGCATAATGGACGTCTGAAGGAAACGCGCAGTGTGTATTCAGTGCAAGGGGAATGGACTACGTCCTGGCGATTTAAATGGTAGGAAGGGGAGCCCGAAAAGGGAGCCCAGGGAGCGCCTCCAGAGGCGTGGAAATGGACGAACACAAAGGAATGAATGCTTGCTGCGCTCTCACGTCAGATGCCAGTTCAGAGATTTTTCTTGACTTAAGTGGGTGTATTTCCAACTACCCAGTAATTGACGGGTGGATGTGCTCCTCTCCAAAAACACGATACCAGATGGCCCTGTCTGGGACTCCCTGTCACAATCAATCCAGCCTGGAGAAGGGAACAAGATAGCGGTGCGATTGTTTGGAAAGACCATCTCTTCCATTTACCCCCAGTCGCAAACCATACTCCGTGCTTTTAACCGGAAAGGGACGGTTCTAGAAGTAGTATTGACAGTGCAGGAACGGTGTGTAGGGGTTGATTTTGTTGGTCTGGAGTCGTAGAAAGGAAAGGCTCGACTGGACTGAGATCTTTGTAGTCGTGTTCGATTGCGCCTTGAGAGGGCGGACAAGAAGCGCAACCTGTGCAGGTGGGTATCGTGTTGAGTTGGTTGCTTGCTTCGAAGGCCCGCACAGAGGAGTCGCATGACTAACTCCTCTACGCCGCCTCCTTGCCCTTCCCCTTGCCTTTGTCACCTGCAGCATCGTCTTCTTCAAGGTCGGGCATGTCATCGTCGTCATCGTCCCCCTCTTCGTCATCGTCGTCTGCGCCCTCGGCGTCAGCAGGACTGTCTCCGCCGAGACCAGCGCCACCACCAAGTTTGGAGAAGTCAATGCCGCCAAACCCGCCATCCTCACCGAGACCGCCACCGAACTGGTTCATGTAGTCATCCTCTGGAGCCTCGTTCTGTTCGTCCTCGTCGACCCACTGAGATTTGATTTTAGTATTGGCTGGAATGACATGTGGATTGTCGGCAACATACCTTGTCGAAGTCAGTGCGCAAGTAGTGAACTTTTGCCGAGTCCTTGAGCAAGCGCGGCCAGTATTCTTCCTTCATCTCCTTCTTTCTCAGAATCAGTTGGATGTTGGCCGGCGTGTGGTGCGTCTTTGAATTTTCCACGTCAATCTCAGAGTAGAATTCCATCTCGAGGTGGTATGTGGTCTTCTTGGTCTCGGATGTGCCGGTGAAGGTGAGGCCGGTAGGCTTCAGGTCGAGTTTGAGAGACTTGGGAGGAACATCAGGCACACTGATCGTCAGGTAGACGTAGTTCTTCTCAGCCTCGGTGGCGGATGAGCGTTGAGCCCACAGGACTGCATTGTCCATGTCAGTGTTTGCTCAAGCACCAGAGGGAGTTGACAGTGGCATTTACACCGTTCCATGTACTGGAGGTGAGCGACGGGGTACCATACCTTCGGGAGTAGCTTGAGAAGACATTTTGAGGATTGAAGATTAGTGGATTTACTGATCTGAGAAGATTCAGAGTCGGGAGTGATGGTGGTAGGGAGAAGTGCTCAGTTATGGGGTATGGTTGCTGCAGAGAGACAAGGGAAGAATGATCTGCCTGCTTTAATGCGACTGACTGCGGAAGATTCGTTGTGTGCGTGGGCTGTAGGTTCTAGAGACTGAATGGAAAAGGACGATGCCAGCAACGAATAGAATGACATCGAACAGGGCCAGAAGCTATCCCACCTTGCACGAGCAGTAGCCGCCCCAATCCCCCACTCCTCGCTCACCAGGCACCAAAGGCAGCACCTCGGAGCAGCCCTACCAGTCACCAACTTTACTTCGGCCAACTTGCTCCGGGAGACGTATGCATGCACCCTCTACCACTGCCATCTACCAAGACTGGACACCCTCACTGAGAGCCTCCAGCGGTGGTACTTTATTCACGGTCCGCCATGGCTCAGTAGCTGGCCGCAACCAGGCTGCGACAAATCCCAGCCGACGTCAAACGACCCGTATCCGTGAGGACTACCCACCGCGCCAGTATGCAGTCATTCAAGGCAGTTTTCTTTAAGCCGGATCCCCAGGAACAAGTGCGTTCTCGAGCACTGGCTACGTCAACCCACGCTGACCCCTTCTGTAGAAACGAAAATGTGACAGTATTATCCGCAAGAACGTGCGGGGGCTCGACCGCGACATTACCAATCTCAAAGTCACTGAGCAAAAGACACGAGCTCTCATTCTTAACGCTGCGAAGAGAGGACAGAAGAACCCCTCACAAGCCAAACAAGGAGCCAACGAGGCCCGGATCTTTGCGCGAGAGCTGATCAAAGTGCGAAAACAGGCGGCAAGACTACACACTAGTAAGGCACAACTACAGAGCGTGCAGATGCAGGTAAACGAGGCTTTCTCAGTTCGCAAGATCGAAGGCAGCCTCAAAGCAAGCACGCGGATCATGAAGGATGTTAACACGTTGATTCGACTGCCGGAATTGACGGGTACAATGCAGGAACTGAGTCAGGAATTGATGAAGGCCGGCATCATCGACGAGATGGTCGGCGACGCTCTGCCAAATGATGAGCTTCTGGAAGGAGAGGACGAGGAGGCTGAGACTGAAGTCGACAAGATCCTGGGCGAGGTCCTGAAAGGCAAACTCGGGGCGCAGGAACAGCAACTGCCACAACTCCCTGTCGAGCAGGAAGAAGAAGAGGAAGAAGACAGAGAAGCGGAACTGGAACAAATGCGAGGGAGGCTAGAAGCACTAAAGAGTTGATGTGGCTATGACCAAGGCGAGACCGCATTCGTGCCGTGCTACGAAGGTAGACTGCACCATATTGATGGGATATGAACTGGCGTTGCATGGACACAGGAGTGGCGTCTCGCTGTCTTCAGATGCCCGCGCGGCATCGCTTTGAATAGGCTCGTGACATTTTATTGGCGCGCAACCCGAAACCGGTCTAGTTATGTAGCCTTGTTTTAGCGGCTTCTGGCGGCTGTTGCCTCCGAATTCTCCCCCTACTGTGTAGGCTACGAGCAGCCACCTCTTTCCTTTCACTTTCACCTTCACCTCACTGTGCATCGTCACTGCCACCGCTTTATTCAAGCGCATCTCTAATTCTACTTGCGCCTTCATCACCAAATTTGTTCCTATAATCTATCTCTTCTTTAAATTCTTTCACGCTTACAACTTGACGCGCTGCGACAAACCAATCACTTGCTTCTCCTGTGGCGCAAATCCATCTCAGAACGGCTCCCTGACGACCACAACACTCATTATTCCTCTCTACTTCAGTCCACCTTTACCACTTCTTCCTTGAACCTCCAAGTCAAACGTTCAAGATGTCTGGCAGGCTAGATCAATCTCTTGACTCCATCATTGATAGCCAGAAGAAGGCAAAGCGCGAGACTCGTCGTCGCAAGGTCGGAAAGCCCACCGGAACGGTCGCTCCTGTCGGTGGTGTCAAGAAGGCAACGAGACCCGTCAAGTCGGCCATCAAGCCTGCTACTGGCGCTGCGGCTCAAGCTCGATCCAGCAAGATTGTCGTCAGTGGCTTGGTATGTCCCGACCGTCGTCAATGTTCACCTTGTCGCTGCTAACAGATATCCCAGCCATTTGACGTCAACGAAGCCCAGATCAAGGTATGTTGATTACGAGGCTTATCGACCTTGGATTTCCATCGCCGCCCGTCCATCACCTGTTATTCTGCGCGCGCTCTTTACGCGACCGTGTCCAAGGAGAGGTTGTCGAGGACAACGAGAAAGAACATTGAAGAAATGGCAAGACCGGAGTGACTACACCCATGGATCATATCGCCATGCTGAGAACGCTGGCTTGATATAGGGCGGGCACTGTTATTCCGTGCACTCTCATGCTCGTATTCGTTTGTTGCGATGCAGCTTATTGAGACCGCGGATTGCCTACGATTTCGCAAGATCATTCCCGGCGGCTAGCCACCGTGCAGGGTCTGAAGCAGATCTGCCCAGAGAGCTTCTCATCATGCCGAGACGCATTTGAGATTCTCACAACCTTGACTATATGGAGCATCAGCAAGTTGCGTCAGAGTTCAGGAAAGCACAGCACAGCAGCAGAGCGCATCCAGCAGACGAGCCCACTGGCACTCCAGCAGCCATCGTCGCCATCCGGGAAAGAAGCAGGCTAGTGACAAGGAACAGGAGCCACCTTGCCAGGCCACTCATCAATGCTGCCCGCAGTACACCCATACATTCCACCAGGAGCCTACATCAATACGGCTATATGTCCAATTCATCGCCGCTAAGGCGCCGATGACGAACCTCAACAGCCCGTTCACACATGGTCAACTTGTTGGCCCGTCTTACACGACATCAGCAACATCTGTTGCCCTGAACTCCCAGCTCTCGTCAAGCATCTGGGCGCCACACCCTCTCGCTGTTGCCATGCTGCTGCTCTGACCTATGCACTTGCTGATGCTTCTCTGCAAGAATATGTACCTGGACCGGACTCTACGGTGGAAGCACGTCTTTATCAATTTCTTGTCCGGGGACGAACGGAGCGGAGATATGCTATCACTATCCATCCACGGCAGCTTACTGATCACTCTCGGCCGAATAGGAATATTTCGGCAAATCCGTAGGCAACGTCAAGAAGGTTTCCCTGCAATATAACCAGACCGGTCAGAGCCGTGGCATCGCAGACATCATCTTCTCAAAGCCAGACTCTGCGGCCAAAGCAGCAAAAGACCTGAACGGAATGCTGGTGGACAAGCGACCAATGAAGGCAAGCACGACTCCGTCCACTGCATGCCTGGAATTTTTCCTGACCTCAGCTAGATCGAAGTGGTGGTAGACGCAAGCCATGTTCCAACACCGGCTCCAGCCAAGTCACTTGCGGAACGTGTTGCGTACGCAAACCCAAAACAATCGGTAAAGTCGGGGCCACTGACCAAGACCAGCGCCAACCCAAAGGCCCAACCCAAATCAGCTACTGCACCCAAGAAAGTTGTCGGAAAAGATAGTGCCAAGGGACGACCTGCTGCTAAAGCTGGAAAGCCAAAGCGAGGCCGAAACCCGAGACCGAAGGCTAAGACGGCCGAAGAACTCGACGCCGAAATGACCGACTATTGGGGAGGCAACAACCCAGCAGCGGCCGCCACGAACACCGATGCGGCCGCCACGAACGGTGCTGCTCCCGCACCCACCACTGGCGAGGACGCCATGGAGGAGATTTCAGTGAGCGACATCGAATTCATATGCTGAACCCCCTTGGAGACTGACACCCGCATCAGTGAAATCCCATGATTGGATATCCCAAACAAATTGAGACCAAAGCTCGCACGAGAGCGACACAAGACGACTGGCGACTCTCGAACTTTCTCTTTTCGCCAGATGACTGTACTACATAGCACCTTGTACCCTCACCCCTGCTTTCATTCACCCAACAAATGTGTTGCTAGCTTTGCGAGGGAGGACGGAAGACTGGGCGGAAGGCATACTGCGGGCTGACAGGGTTGGTGCACGAGAGCAGCAATTGGAATCGCACGGAAGGGAAAGGCGTCGGCGATAGATCGTGCTTCGATCCAACGAGCTTGTATGCAAGATGCAGGCACTGTTCAGCAGAAATACGTGCACAGAAACAAGCCCAATTCTAAGTTCATTCCCAAATCAGCAGTGTCAAATTCTTTCAACGGGAATTTCATCTCAAGCGTAGTCCTCTCCTCCGGAACCTGATTAGACCTTGACTTATTCCAAGATTCTCTGTAGGCCATAACACGTTGCCCGAATAGGCGCTTTCATTATTCATTCCGGTCGTGAAGTGATTTATTTGAACCCACCGCCCAACATGGCCAGTATGTGACGGGAAGCCCGGCCCCAGTCCAACCTGTGGTGATCTGACCTCAACGTAGCAGCTCTGTAGGACCCCTCGAGTTTTTCCACGCATTGGCAGTGGCTTTAAAGAAATTCGTACTCGTCTTCGTCTTCGTGTTGGGGTATCGCGGTACGTCGGACATCGGAACTCACTTGGGCGGACTGAGCGGGCTGAGCGGACGGAGCGGGCCGATTCTGCTTGGGATGCTCAAGGACGTGATCTTCGTGTCGATTCCGCAGTAGTACGAACGGTTGGTTCTGCGCTTTGGCCTTTCCTTTCTCTTCTCGCCCTTCTCTTGTTCCTTCCGTCTCTGCCTTCGTCTCGCCCTCCGCCACAGCGTGGAAGAGTGCAGGTTGACCAGGACCAGGGACAGGCCTGATGTCGGACTCCTCCTCTGCTTGCTCGGCCTGCTCTGCTTCTTCACTTGTATCAGGTAAACTCTCGTATGGCTCGTTGGGGTTGGAGGGAGACTCGGGATCATCGCCAGCAACAAAGGCCCACAAACTCGTCGTCATTTCCTTTTCGAGCGAGTCGTCGCCGTTGATGGTGTCGATGTCGGTGTCGTCGTCACCACTGGTTTCGGATATCTCAAGTTCGGTCTCGAGGCCCTCCATCATTGCAGAGCTGCCCGCGGTATCTCCTCGTCTTAGGGCACCCTCGCTGAGGTGAATCCCACCCAATGAAGCGCTATCGCTTGCCGGGTCAACGAGTACGACGTCTGTGTCAGGGCGGCCATCGGCGCTAGAAATGTCAGAGGAGAGACTCGTCACGGTATGTGTTCCGTCGGTGGCTAGTTTGCTCGCCCTGCCGACTGTCGAGATGGCTTGACTGCTGCTGATATCTTCAATGTCACTTGCACAGTTGCTCATCGGCGAATCGACTTGATCATAGGCTCTTCTGATGCGGCCAGGACCGAAAGACTCAAAGGTAGCTCTGACGGGATCCAAATTTGGCACGGGTGTCTCGTCAAATACACCACCACTTCCGTCGTCGTTGCCGTCGGGCACCCAAAGCGGTAGGTACCGGAATTCATCCTCATTGACGTTGAGCAACGTGTCGAAGAGATCCGTCGGCAACAGACTGGTTTGATGGAACAGATGGGGCGGATAGAGGACACTGGAACAGATGTTGCCCACGGCTGCGCCAATCTCGTGGAGCATCTGCTGCGGATTGATAGGGTAGAGGGGCTGATTGCCACTTGAGCCGTAGGCACTGGCTTTGCAGTGGCCGGTCAGATATCCGGCCTGTCCAGGGGTATTGCTGTTGGAGAAGGCTTGTAGGACTGTGCGGTTGCTACTTCCGGGGGTCGGCTGTAACGGCCGTTGAGGCGTAGACATGATGCTGCGAAAGCCATTGAAAGACCTCTGCTCATATGAGGACGATCCTGCTGTTTGCATTGCAGAATCACGACGCACTATACCTGCCTCCATGGAAGGCCGCTCTTTGGTGGCGGCAGGCGGGTCCGAGTTCGAGTCTGAGCCATCTCCAGTGCCTGACCATGCTTCACCTTCCAAAAATGGAGCCGACGAATGAAGCGTTGAAGGGTTAGCTTTCTCGGTGGTATTCACCGCCATTGAGTCAGCCTCAGGACGGCCCGGCAGGGTTGAGTTAGCCTTGGAGCTTCTGCGTTTTGCAAGAAACTCGGCTACTTTTCCCGCCCACGCGGTCGCAGGGGTCGGCCCGAGCTGTATATGCTCGACTGTTCGTTGCTGCTCCTCGAGCCGTTGTTCTCCCATACGACTCTGAACGGGACAAGAAGCATCCATCCTCATCGCCTTCTGTCGCAAGGCAAGAGTAGGTTGAGTCTTGCTCGAGACTGTAGCCCTCTTCTCTACCTGCGGAGCTAGACGGCCATCGATGCTTGACCATGACGGCGTTGCGGAAGCTGGAATTCTGTAAGAAGATATCCAAGCGCTAATATTGCTACGGTATTCCTCAGACACGGCTGGAGCGGTCGCTGTATTGGACGAGAACAAGAACAAGTCTGATTCGTCTTCTGATTGTGCGGCTGGAGCTGAACTAAACTTTGATGGGCCGGCGGCGAAGGCCACTTCCTCGCTGGGAGCTGGCCTACTGGAAGGAGGGACTGAATTGTCCATATCCCAGAAACCACCAATGAGTTCCTCGGCTTCGCTGGTCTTACGTCGTTTGGTGGGCGAAGATGGTTCTTCTGCTGGTCGAGATAACGAGCTTCCTGGGGGAGTTTTGATTGCAAGTTTGTCGAGTGTCAAGTCAGCGGGATCTTGGATGCCACCTGCACTCGTCTCAGAGATCAGATGATTAATGCCCTCCGGTCCCCGGTGTTTCACACGCTCTCGCTCGCGCAACATCCGATTCACCGCAACGATCTTGTCGTCGAACATGGTCCGTAGTATCTGGGTGATGCCGTTCTCTGGCTGTTTCTGGTAGAGCGCCTTGAAATCTAGGGTGTGCTCGGTGTCATATAAAAGTGAGGTGGTGCCTTTAGAGGCGATGTTCGTGTAACCAATGTCAAATTGCGTATGCTGTAAAGCAAGCCAAAAGGTCTTTGTGAAGGGCCTCGTTGATGGGTTGAGGGTCTTATACAGTTCAGAACAGCTGTTAGCCGTAGCTGATCGGAATCGGAGAGTGGATGTCACATATTGCTCTAGCTCTTCAAAGGGCTTGTGATCCTGGCAAAGGACGAAGTAGATTCTTGAGCGCACGTATTCGCGGATAGTCCTTTTCGCTGACATCAACAACTCCGCCTCTTTCGGCATCTCTGCGATGGTCTTGTCAAGAACGCCGTACATGGTGCTCTCTTGTAGGAAGCTTAAATGTTCACACATACGAGAGGTGATGTCCCGAATACGCTTTACAAGAGACGAGGCAGCGTGATCAATACGATTGCGTTCATCGTCATCGAGAAGCTCAAGTTTCCGGCCATGGACGTTTTGGCGAAGTGGTGTGAGAATGTTTGACCTGTGTTCTCCATAGACTTCGATGAGAGCCCTCTCGCCGACCAGGATCGAGAATGAATCCTTGACGAGAGTTGGAGACCTGATGCCCATGGCGATTCGATACGCAACTTCAGGATTGTTTTGGACGAAATTGGCATTGGTGCCTGCATAGAGCCAAGTAGTAATCCAGCCCGAGATGCGCTCATGGGCAGCGCAGCCGAAGTAGCGAGCAATAGCGAAGAACGTCCACACTTTCGGGGCCGAGTCGAGCTTTGGGTCCTTCCCACTGATGGCCTGCAACAGTCTCTCGAGAGCGGAATGGTGGCGAAGGGCGGAATACTCTGCCGCGACTGCTGGTTGTGGCTTCGGTCCCGATGGTCTAGGGGCACTCACCAGATTTTGCGCAAGTTCCAATAGGTTGGATGGGCTGGTAGCAGGATCGGCTGGGGGCTCTCCCACGGTATTGGAAGGGGTAGCTTCATGTCCCGGGTCTTGGCCTGGAGGTAGTGCTCCTGCTCCGAACTCATCATGACCTAGGACCAACAAAGGTGCGAGTTTGTAGTGGTCTTTTGCCTGATGCCACGTGAGCACGCCACGAGTGCAGGAGAGTTCGGTGATGAGGATCACGGCTTCCTCATCTTCCCTGGGTGGGCGAAGATCGATGTAGCATCTGAATTTCCCTCCGTGCTTCCTTTCCGCCTCTTCAAGCACCGTGCGGTGCTCCTTCCTCAATCTTCGCTCCGCACGGAATGATTTCGTCGGGTTCAGCAAATCGTTGTCGGTAAATCTGGACTCGTCGCCCATGAGTCGCAGAGTTCTCGAATTCAGGACATGGACACGATCAAAGTGACGCTTAATGTACTGGTAGTCCTGAGCTGTCTGCCCAACCTCTTGTGGGGGGGCACCAAAGTAGATCGCCACGTCGTCGTCCGGTTGATCCAGCGGAGCGAACTCGTTGTTGAGATTGAGCACAAGTTCCAGAGTCTGTCCTGTGGAGTCATCCTCGATTGGTTGCTGGCTTTGACGGAGCAAGTTTTGTCGGTCCTCGAGTGACAGTCTGATAGCTTCAGCCAGTTCCGCCTGCTCGTTCGCAACGGGCCGGGGACTAAACGAAGTGCTGCCGGTAGCATTCCAATCGTCCTCCCACACCGGATTAGCAGCGAAACCACGACATATCTTGGTAGGCTTTGGGTCGGCGTGTAGTTGATCCATGTCCACTAATGTTCGTGCCGCCTTCTTAGGGAACGTTGTCCTGTCAGGGACGAAGATGTTGTTGTGGCCGAAGTTCTCGAAGCTAGAAAGGCTCAGCACAGTCTGGTGAACAACTGGGCCATTTCATTGCGTACCTCACATGCGTGACACAAGCCGGTCTTCAGGCTGCCTCGTCGGTGTGATAATCCGCCTTAGAAATTCGGCGTGAGGCTGAGGCGGCGGCAAGGTTGTGATAGATGCTTGCACTGTCAACACATACGTAGCGAAGTTGCAACTGAACTGGAAAAGAGACAGAGACAAGCAACAGTTCTGGACCAGGCTGAAGTAACGTCAAAGAATGAAGTGAAGTGACGCGGAAAGGGCACTGGTGTCTGCCTGAGCATGTCAGTCACGGGTTCTTGAGACTCAGCTGCATATGCATCCTTGCTCCCCCGCCATTGAGATGCTGGTTCCCACCCCTGGCAAGCAATCCACTCCATGCAGCAAAGGGACCAATGGCGAGAAGAAAGTGCTCGCAGGGATGGCGCTGTTCATTCATAGGAAAACAGTAGGCGGACAGGCAAGCAAAAGCCTGGCGCCGTGTGTTCCCCATTCTTGCACGAGCTCACTCTACGCCATCGTTTGGCTCCCGCAAGCAAACCTTTGGACAATGAAGAACCAGACTCAATAGACAGATTGCAGCAAGGTGCGATTTGGGTGCGTTTGATGACGGAAAACACGCAAAAGATGAAGTGGAGAGAAAGCCGAACTACACAGTACGAGACAGTACGGCGCACGGTGGGTCGTGGCTCCCACCGACTCCATACGCGGCTGCCACCGGCCACCCGCCCTACGGCCTGCCCGGTCAAGCGACAAACACAACTCCTCCTGCCTGACGTTCTACGCATCGTGCTTTCATTTGTCTCTTGGCGATATAGGATGTTGGGTGCTTCTTCACAGAAACTGGCATAGCAACGAGTAGAGCATGGCATGGTGGTAGCGGAAGCGAGGTCATCTCAATACATCGCCGCCACCACCGCAGCAACAAGTATGACCTCAGACCAGTAGTCCTGAAGCGCGGTCCGAGAATACTGTACAGCCCTAGAATTGTGCGAAAGAGACATCGGTCCTTCTCGAGCGGGATTGGAGTCGTCCTTATCCCACACATTTGCTCCACGCTGGCAGACCACAGCCAAACCCAACGAACAGATAGATCAGGAAGATAACCACAACCACCAGCAGTACCATGACCCGAACGTTCTTCCACCACATCTGTCGCCTAAGCCCCCTACTTCGTACCCGAAAGTCCCTTGCGCTACCTCCAAGCCGATCAGTCTTATCCACCAACAGATCAATCCTTTCCCCTCTCTCCAGCACCCGCTCAATGTTCTCCGTCATGATATCCCGTACACTGTCAATTTCTTTGCGTGCGTTCGTGAGCGCGTCGCTGGGAGGCGCCGTGTTGTATTGCTGTATCATGGCCTTGAGCGTGGAGTTGAACGCTGCCGTGCCGTACGCCGGGAGAGACTGAAAGTCCGTCGACTCAGGCTTGTATTGCGTCAGGAACTTCTTCTTGAGTTCGAGCAGGAAAGCGAAGGGTATGCGCCGTCCCATCTCCGTCTGTGCCACCACGAGGTAGGTGAGAGCTGCATGGCTTGAAAGCTGTTCGTCCGAGCCATTCGAGGTCGACGAAGGAGAGTCGGCTATATAGTGCACGAACAGCCGATCGTGTGTATACGTGAGCTTTGCTGGACTAGCATGGGAGATTTTAGGGAGGATGACTGAGGCGAGAGACGAGGCCGACGACGATGACGTGCCGGGTGAGGTGTGCTCGGTCAGGATGGTCGTGCCATGGGCGATGCATGCACTGTAATGTGCTGTCAGGAGGTGACCATCGGAGCATGCAACAGGTGCACTTACTAGAGCAACTGGTTTGACTGGCCTGAACTTGAGGCCATGTTCGGAGGCGCTAGGCGCTGTCCTGTAGTGATTGGAGATATGGCACGAGTATCGAGCGTTCTTTTAGGTTGTCAGTTGAAACGATAGTTGGCGTTGGGGCTGATGAGAGAAAGGGTTGTCGAGGCACGAGCGAGAGGACTTCAACCGACTGTCCCTGTTGCTGCTCCCTAGGCCCAGGCCACTCACTGCGCAGGGTGTTACAGTAGGTGCACCAGGTGCGCTTGTGCAGTTGCGTCACTCAGTCCCGCTAAAAGGAGTGGCGGCAAACAGTGGCTAAGCACGCTAACTAAAGTCAGTGGCCACGTGGCGCACGCAGCCTTGCAGGCTCACCAGGCTCAGGGCTATGACAGTGGGTAGGGGCACCCAGTTATTGTAGAGCGCCAAAATACTACTTGATCTCCACGCCTATGACCCAGCTTTCTTAGGCCGGATGGGGTATCAACGCAAAAACAGAGCATCCGCCCAAATATTACACGACCGGTCTTTCCAAGGTGTGCGTCTCCTGATCTTCATCAAGGAGCATGGGCCTGTCGTGGGCTGGAATTCGACCTAGCTCCTCTACTTGCTTCTTTGCCGTCCCAGTCACCGTCACACCTGGCTGGGGTTGAGCTAAGGTGCCCTTTTCCGGTGTCCTGCTTGACCCAGGTCTAGCTCCTTCCGCATCAGCACCTGCCGTGGCTGGCCGGATAGCCTCCTTTTCTCCCAGCCGGTCTTTACGACCGCGTCCACGACTCTGGCTGGCTCCTTTACCGTGCCGCAGCTGGCTCCGCATCTCGTGAATGACATCTCGGAAACTTTCTTCCAACGAGTTCATCCTAGCCATCATGATCTTGCTAAACATCTCCTGCTGCTCTTTCTGCTCCTTGGCATGTCGTGACTCGGCTGCCTCTTTCGCCACATGGGCGGCAAAGGAACTCGGTAGCGCCCCAATAAAGCCGCCACCGACTGCTTGGTTATCACCTATGTCTGACACCAGATCCAGTTCAAGCGATGGTCTCCGCCGAGGTTGTCCTTGGACTGGTAGCAGTCCGGCAAGATTCGGAGTCGATCGAAAGGCTTGGTCACTTTTACCAGGGAGAACCGGCCGCATCCGAGTCGGGCCTGCTGTAGGTCGCTTTGGTGTCCTGTGGCCTGGAGTATGTGATCTGGGTTTGGAAAATGGTGTCCGAGTTCCTGATCCTTGGGCCGAGGCCTGTGCCTTGGTGACTGGAGCTATTGTGCCCCCAACCGAGGAAGATTGCTCAGTGCTGGAGTCCAACACTGGTCTGAAAATCGTCGTTGCGGTTGACACGTTGCGCGTGTGTGAGGGATGCCCATGCTTGGGAGAATACGCCTTAGCAAGCCTGGCGTGGGGATTTGTCACCGCAGACTGATCGTCGTTGGGTTCGGGAGCTTTTGGCGACTGCTTAGATGTGAAGTAGTCATGGCGCTCAACAACGGCCGGAGCTCTGTTATATGTCTCTCGTTCAACCTCTTTTGGCGGTCGAGTTTCGGATGCTGTGGTTTCTTCCTCGTCAACCTCATCGTTTGTGTGTAGTTCATCGTCTCCATCCGCATCCGTGTGGTGACTGGGCTCTTCCATGGCCGACGGCGTCACCATCATTGGCTGTCTTTCGGCTGGAGACAAGACATTTGCAGCGGCTGTAAAGTCAGCCGGGTCAGATACAACTGACATTGTGCGGCGCGAGAAATCGCGAATTCGGCTGAAGTGGCGTGGGCGGCGGGAGGACGACTTTTCGGCCTCTAGTAGATCGACAACCTGCCTGTCCTGCTCCTGTGGGGGCTCCACAGTATCGTCGCCCATTTTGCTCATCCATGTGTTCACCACGTTGCTCGCCTTGCGAAGATCGCGACGTCGCTGGGCGCTCCGTACCGTGGCATCAAAAGGCTGTCTGAATACCTCCTCAAGCGCCCTATCTTGTCTGAAAGTCGCGATGGAAGGGGCCCTAGTCAGACGCGGGAATTTGGGCGCCCTTTTCTCTTTGCTTCGGTGGTCGACAAGATCAATACTGTCGTACACTGTCGACTGCAGGATAGTCTTCTCGTACACAAAGATTGAGAATAACAGCGGTAAGTGGGTGATTTTGATTATAGTTCTGTTAACTTTGACGTACTGCCGGAAAGGAACACAGTACCGCAGAGGCACCAAGAGCCACTGCAAGATGTTGGTCGGTGCGACATAGGAGAAGAGAGCATCGGATTTGACGTGGGAGATGGTGTTGACTGCAAACAGAAACTGATGTTCTTCATTCGCGTTCCGGACGATTGCCATGAAGGAATTCGTCAGTACAGTGATCAAGATGGTGACCACGAGAAAGTGACAGATGAACAAGAACAATGTCAGGATGGTCTTTCCCAAGGCATTGTATTCGTTCCATCGGTCCCATGCTGCAGGTGTGAAACCCATCAGCATCTGAAGCAGCGCATATGCCACCGAGCTAGGAGTGTCAACGCCATCATTGCCGAAAGACAAAGTCAGCGCAACAAAGAAACCACTGCAGCTGATCAGGATCAAAAGTGAGACTGCAATGAGGTCGGCGGCCATGTATCGAAATGCAATCAGGAGCGGCGAAAAGTAGCGGTAATGATCAAGAACAGAGAACAGCCTGGGAAACAGCAGGATGGCGTCAGCGGCGAGCACGTCGTACGCCATGTTGGCCACATAGTGTTTCCTCACGTCAGGCATCAGTATGCCATACAGACGGAGCGCCAGGTGGACAAGAAGCAGGACAAGGATTCCCAGGTCGAATGTATTCCAGAAGCTCGCGATGTACAGACTGAAGCCTTGTTCGTTGAAGCCCACGATCTCATCGAGCATGTATCCCGCCGCCCAAAACCAGAAAATGACTTCGAGTGTCGTGATCTCCAGCGATCGTTCCACAAGGACCGCCACAAACAAGCTGAGAAGGACGGCAAAGGACAAGGTGGAGAGAATATTGCGGTATCGAGGGACACGCAACCGGGACAATTTGAAGAGCGAGGCATCGCGAGGGTTGTAGAGCGTGACAGCTCTCCGCGCAGGTTGAGTTTCAATGCTTATAGGCACTAGCTTGCTGGTTGAGTTCCCGCCACTTGTCCCATAGCTCCTTAGCTGTTTGCTCGTAGGTGGATACTGGCGATGCAGGTTGTCGGCAGCAGAGTGAAAGACGATAGTGCCGGCCCAGATCGCTTCCAGCTGCTTCACCACCATGGGATGAGAGAGGAACTTCTTGGCCTGAGCACGGATGGCGATTTCGAAGCAGGATATCCTTGCTGGGCGCTGGGTTCCTCTTCTGGAAATCACGGTGGATCTCCGTTCGTCCTGAGTATGCGGCATCGCGTCCAGCTGTCCCTGTAGAGGGTCAAAGTCGTACGACAAAGCGTCAATCAGTCCTCTTGTAGAGAAGTCTCTAAGCATCTTGATGGCGAGCAGCTCACAGACCATGGCACGAGTTCTATTCGTCCCACTGTTGCCCGAGGACATAGCAGCTTCTTTTCCATACTGAAGACAGTTGGCCATAAGAGCATAATGTGTGGCAGCATTGAGATGATTGTTGCGAATCTCTTGTTCTATTGGCTTCACAAGGAACTGCGAGATCTGAGGAGCTCGGAGCTGCTCCCAGGACAAGACCGTGTCGCAGCGAGAGGTAACCAACAATCGAATGGCATGGGTAAGAGCAAAGACCGGTATGGCATCCAGGTGGGCTGTTGAAAAGATTGGAAGCAGGGGTTCGCGATCGTCGAGGCCGTCTTCATCCTCGTCGCCGCGCCCAGCATCAGCTCCGTCTTCATCGTCTAACTCTTCCTCGTCGCCTCCTTCTTCGCTATCATTCCCCTCATCTTCCATCGCCTCATCATATTGTTCGTAGGGTGACCGTCTTCGGCGTCGAGGAGCATTTCGTAAAGTTTCGGGGGAACGCGTCGTCGGAGTATAGGTCGAGGAGAACGGGGAGTGATCACGATGTCTCCGAGTTCTTGCAGATCGCCGGAGGGAAAAGGACAGCATGGTCGGGGCTTTAGAAATTAGTGGAACGTGGTAGGTATGTGAAGCCCGAGCAAATAGCGCAAGGTTCTTTAGTGGCGCAGACGCGTAATAATATGGGAAGAAGAGCTGCAATGCATTTCAACGCCGGCGCATGCGCAAGAACAGACTCTGCGGAAACAGTCTGAGACGACTCGGAGCAAATGGGCTTGGGAAAAGGCGAGAAGCAGAGGGTGGGAGGGGGTAGGCCTTCGGCGAGATTTGATAGTCGCGATCTTTGTAGGAGCTTGGGAATGGGAGATGAGGGATGGCAGTGTGGTGATTGGAGTGCCATCCCACCTGCACTCCACCTTAGCACTAACACTTGCATTCCTGGGTGCTAGAAGTGACAACCGCATCAAGAGCAGCAATACATCTGCATGTGACGATCGAGGAAAAGACTGGTACGGTGTACAGACAAAGTTGGTGGCCTACGAGTGAGGCCAAGGTCATCTGAACAAAATGTGTATTTGGTGACCTCAAGTACTGGCTCAGAGGTGGTGGAGGCTCGGTAGAGATAAGGGCACCGAGGGTTCGATGCATAATCTGATTGGGGGAGCCCCCATTGCAGCTGCAAAGGCGGGCAAGGTCGCAGTAAGCGTGCAGAATTTCTCGGTTGCTTGCAGCTGGGGATGCAGCGGCATATTTGGGGGCACAGCGTGGAGTAGCGATTTGCAGCGATGGAAGCTCGTCATTCACGGGAACTGCGTGGGGAGGAGAATCAGTATATCAGAATCTCCCCTAGGTACATACTCGGTCCGGATACTGGTGTGCAGGAGTCGACTCCTAGATTCACATTTCCCTGGTGTGCGAAACACAGCCGTTAGAACAGGTTGCATGTCACCTAACCGCCGCCTAGCTGTCACTCAACTTTCGTGCACTGCAAGAACCGGAGTCGTCACCGACTCACTGTCACTCGGCGCCAGAGAAAGCAAAAAAAGCGAGCTAACGGGCAGTGGCATTAGCGCATGGCTACGGTCACTCCATGATTGGCTGAAA